GTATATACAATCTTTACGTAGCTTCTTGTTACTGTAGCAGTTTCATAGCAAGCTTATTAGGTTTTCATTGGAGACAAAGTTGGGCTCGGAATCCTGAGTCAGGGTCTGAAAGATCTATCATCAACTGCTTTATTTTTGAAGATAAAGCGAAAATTGTAAAATGCTGAGTTAATCCTTTTCAAACCTCTTCCTAAGAACGGGCTCTGAAGCCCAGATTAAATAGTGAGATCGAATTATGAACAGCTCCGAAAAAAGACTGGTCTCGTGAAAAAGCGATTAGTAGAATAAAACGTCAAACGAATGTTCAACTCGTCTACATTTTTACAAAAAAACGGTTTTAGGAACCGACAAAAAATTTCGACAAATTTTGCGTGAAAATTTTCAACCAATCAAAAGCCTGCGTTTTGCTGACCGGCCAATCAGCAGCCGAGTAGCCGCCCACGCAAAGTTTGTCGAAATTTTTTGTCGCCACCCAAAAAAACCTGAGTCAGGGTAAAGTATCTATTTCAAACTATTTGTGATTGACCCTGACTCAGGTCTTCTACACAGGTCGCCGAGTCCAGATTCCCGCTTTTTAGAAGCTCTACAACTCGGGGCTCACTCTCTCTCTCTTCACGATTTTATCAGTTAAGGTTGTATATTAGCTTAAATATTTGCGTCAATAATTATGACACGCTGACAGATCTTTTTGTCAAACAGAAGAGTCCCTTTTTTCTAAAACTCTAAAAGTGATTATTTCGGCTTTGCGAAACTCGGAATCTTTGATGAGGCAACTTTTTTTCAAGCTTTCAAGTTTTGAATTGTTCACGGTTTTTAGAGTTGAGCCGCGATTTGAGGCCCTCGCGCGTGTTTGGGTTAACCTCGAAAGTCTTGTTTTTTGTTAACAAGAAAGGCGGTCAATTAAAGATTACGCGAGTTTGGTTTAAGCCACGACGCTTTTGGAAAAAAGTACATCTTCGTGGTTTTAACACCAGTTAAAATTTTAAGTGCCCCCTTGACTTGGGCAAGACGTCTTGACTTGATTCTCTTTACATAATGTGCGGTCCAAATCCGGGAATCCAGCGCCGCCTGAAATTCTTTTGGTCGAGCTCGCACCCAATCTTGGGCCAAACAAGGCGGTCGATTACGTACCCTATAAAATACCCATTCTGACAGGCTGGGGCTCAAGTTTTCTACACGCACTTGTCTTGAAAACCACTTTTACCCTCAGAATAAGAGCAGGGCTGAGTTCAAAAATAGCGAGGCAAGGAAACTTTAGCTTGGAAAGCGACGGCGCTGGCGAAAAAGGATAGCCACGCAGCCGACGTTCCGAGGTATTGTTTCAGTCTTGCGTCAACTCGGAAATAATTTGATTACAGCATTTAATGTTCTCCTGACTCAACTCGTCGAGGCGAACTGATGAAATCATCAGACAAATGTCCATGACTCCGAATTCATTGACGAAAGCGAGCCGTAGTTTCTTGCGGAGAAAATTTATCTTCTTAGATTTTGGAAGAAGAAAAAACACTGAAATTATAAATAAGGGTGTCTCCCCGAAAATAAGCTGTTTTTAGCCCAAGATGTCAAGTTTTAGACGCTTGGAAAAATATTTTTTCTTCCAATTTAGAAGAAAAACGCTTCGATAATGATTTTTAACAGAAAAAAAAATACTTTTTCAAGCGTCTTAGAGGTGATATCTTCGGCTAAAAACTGTCACTTTTGCGCAATCGCGCTATTTATTATATATCTCAGCAAGATAAATTCTGAGTTCAAAGCGCTCAAAAATAGTCGTATCTTCAATTTAAAAAGCTGGTTTCTCCTAATTCTGTCAAATGGGCCTGTTCTTTTTGAAACATTAAGATGTTCAACACGGCAATTAAGTACTTGAGCCATCACAAAAGCCGATTTAACATTTTGTTCAAGTCAAAAACAAATATTACGTTCTAAAACATCTTAAAAATTTGACAAAGTGTGTTCTCAATTTTAAAGGATCAATAATGCTACCCGACAAAAAACTTGTTTACTGTAAGATTATAATAAGTATTCAGCATTGTCAATACTGAATTCATGAATACAAATTTTGTTGCCTAAGCTAGCTTAGCCTTAGGGAAGCTAGCTAAGCTGCTGGCTTAGATAAGGCTTAGCTAAGCTAAGCTATTCCCAGGAAGAACTTAGCTTAGCTTTGCTTAATAATTTTCCAAAAAAGTCGGCTCAGCTTACCTTCGGCTAGAATTTGTTAGCTGAGCTTAGCTTAATTTACATCTCAGCTAAGCTACTAGCTATTAAAGGCTTAGCTGCTAAGCCAGGTTAACTTTTTTTAAGTCATTTTTATCCGCAATTTTCAATCTCTCAGCTAAGATTCGTTTATTGGCTAAGTTCGCTTAGGTTCGCTATGTTGGCCTTTTAAATTCGCTTCAGCTTAGCCGAGTAAAAAAGTTAGGCTTAGCTTAGCAAAATTTTTTCCTTAGCTTAGCTTTAAATCTTGAAAGTTTTTGACTTAGCTACACCCTTATTCTACCAAAGAAGAAGTGTGCTCTATCTATCTAGGAAGCTGGTGAGCTCGTGAATCAAAAAATTATGTTAAATTAGTAGAAAAGAGCTAATCCGAGGAAAATTGCCGAAAAGTCAGACACGGAGCAGGTTCGAATTGATTTCGTCGCTTCTAAACAGCTCGCGGTTAATTGACCACGTGGAGGCGACCGGATGCAGCAGGAATTTCGCTCTTTCATTTAAGAAGCACAGCAATGTCGTGGCCACGATAATATTATACAACAGTGCCTATTAGGACGATCAATCCACCGAAACTGCCCCTTTTAACTTCCGACTTTTGCGTCACAGCCGAAAATAATTTAAACTCCGCAAAACATATTTTCGGACAAGTTTGACGTTCAATAAACGAGAACTAGGCTCGGCAACCTGTGTAGAAAACCTGAGTCAGGTTCTGCCAGAGTTTTTGATAAACTGAAATGGTAATATTGGCGAAGCCGCTTTGCGGCTTCGTTTTCAGAAAAGCCGCTACGCGACTTTTCATAAAAAATTTTTCAGACCCTGACTCAGGTTTTCTACACAGGCTGCCAAGTCTTGAGATCGAAATCGTGAGAAATTGGTCGATCAGAAATTCAGGCAAAGCGCTGGAAAGAAGGTTACTCAAGATTGTCTAGATTGTTCCTGTTTTTCGCGCCTTGAGAATTGGCCGTCTTCTCTGATTTCTACGGAGACGGCGATCAACTGACAACGGCCGGTGCGTAAAGACGTCCGATTCCACGTCGCCAAAAAAGTGGAGAGAGAAAAGAAAATTAGGGGCACGTTTTTTTTCGACGTCGTCTCGACCTTTCCTACTTTCAACGGGCTTTCTTTCTTTGCTTCAAAAAAATCTATAGATTCTAGAGTTTTGAAACTCGGCAGCCTGTACAGAAAACCTGAGTCAGGTCCCGAATAGCTTGAATAATAAACCAGCTATTCAAAGTCATCTCTTCAAAACCTGAGTCAGGTTTTCTACACAGGTTTCCGAACCAAGAGCTAAAGTAAGGGAAAAATGAGTTCTACTTTTTGGCTTTTTTTTTCAAATAAAAATTTGATATTTTGCGAAGTGAATAAATTTGGAGAAGCAACAAAAATGAATCAACAAGAGTTTTTACTCCATCCAAAAAAACGTCATTTTCTTTTTCCCAATTTCTGAGATTCATTTGCTCTTTGAAGCTAGTTTACTAAAAGTACGGTGACCCCGATTCAAGTTTTGCGGAAACGAGTTTGATCAACAGAAATTCAATTAATCGTCAACTCCAACTCGCTGATCCGATCCTTTGGCGGCGTACTTACTAATATTGAAGCGTGATGCAAAAAATGAAATATGCACGAGGTCGAGCCAGTAGATCACTTTTTCCAGAATGTGGAGAAATTAGCTCTTTGTCCATTAGTACTTTTTCATTGGAACATGTTCAGATTTCAACTTGACGTTCGGCATTTTTTGGGAATACTGGGTATCGGGAACTGAGGAAAAACCAATCTGCGGATCTGTTTTTTTTCTGGTTTTTTTTTGTCTTTCTTCGCCGTTCTTTTCAGCTCTGAATTGAGCTACAGTAATATAACTTTACTCACGTGTCTACAAAAAGCAGCTTCGATCCAAATTGAACTTTTGGCGAAAAATGAGCAAATCTGCGTTCCTTCCTAAATTCTCATTTTCCGCGTGAATTACTATTCTCAGCGCGAAACTAATCTCTGCTCATTTCTATAAATATTAAACGCGTAAATCAGCTTCTGATCCGAGAAAAAGTCTGTCAGAAAATGACTTTAGACTTGCAGCTACTTCTGACCATCAGATCAACTTGACATTTTTGGGGTTAAACCAATTTATGGGAATGATTTTCGGATTACCAATAAGATTGCTGTATTCGGCCTACCGGTCAATGAAAACCCTTTCCATAAAAATCAGTTCCAAAAATTGGTTCTACCCACATTTTCGGGGTTAAACCAATTTATGGAAGTGATTTTATGGATCACGGTTTTGATTGGGTGGTAGGCCAAATACAGCAATCTTATTGGTAATCCAAAAATGTACTTCCATAAATTGGTTTAGTCCCATTTTTGCGACATCTGAGCTCAAAAATCTATGTAGAAATCCTGAGTCAGGCTCTGATTCAGGTCAAAAGACGAACCCAAAGGCAAACAAAAGATTCTCCTCCTTGATTTCATCACGTGATCAGTGATCACTGACGTATTTGATCTGTATTAGATCAGTCCTTTTTAATCATCAGCTTTTGAAGAATCAAATTATTAACTGTCAGCTGACTCAAGCAACAAAACCAGTTCCACAAGGGCGAAAATCAAGAAGTATCATTTTCCGAAAAACAGAACCGGCTCGAACTGCTCCTGAAGAAATCCAGCTCCATTGCGCCACCAGTTGACGATTCCGCACGATTTCGGGAAGTATTTAAGCACCGAGGGGCCGTCGGATCTTTACTCTTCAAGTCAAGAGATAGAAAAAAAAACAAGAACAGTTACAGCAAAAAAAAAAAAAGATAATGCTCGTGAATATTTTCCTCGTTGTCTTCATCCAAATCGAGCTGGTCGAGTGCCGAAACAAATACTTCAACAGAAACAGCTTCAAATCCTACCACGGGCTCAAAATGGTCGCCCCTCGTCAAAAAGTCGCCCTGAGATCATCCTCTTCCTCTTCCTCCTCGCAGATCGAACAAGCCAAGGAAAAATCGTGCACCAGGAGCTTTTGCAACTTCTGCTTCGAACTAATCAGCCGCGAAATGCAAAGCCACAAACACTGGGAAACCTGCGACATCGTCACCTCTCACTGCTGCGACGGAAAAGTCTCATTTCTTCGAACACGATATTGAAATTTTGAACAAAAATTTTCAACAACTTTTGCGCGAAAATTTCCCTATTTGTAACTTTTGTATTTTTATCACGATTTTTCTTTTTACTGTACTTTTTTCTGCCTTCTTTATACTCTTACTGCTTCCTCCAAAATATAAATATCTATTGCTCAAATTTTATCTCTTAAGTCCTGTTGTTTCCTCGTTCCAAGGTTCGGCATCAAGTGTAGAAAACCTGAGTCAGGGTCTGAAGGGCTAAAATGAAAAGCCGCCACGCGGCTTTTTTTAAAACGAAGCCGCAAAGCGGCTTCGCATATTTTAACTATCTCATCTATTTTCAATTTTGCGGCTTTTCATAAAAGATTACTCAGACCCTGACTCAGGTTTTCTACACAGGTTACCGAGCCGAGTTCTAGGTTTCTTTGAAAGTGTTCCTTATCTGAAGAAATGTCTTGTTACTAACACTTGTGGTAAATACGTAGAGAATATGAGAAAGAAGAGTAAGCTGGTTAAAAGTCAGAGATTACAAAACATACTTTAACTGTGACAGGTCTCGTCACTTTGTCAATCTTCTCCCACCACCGAAAGAGCAAACTTCTCAAAAAAATGAATACATCTTTCGAATTACTTGTGACTTTTCCGGTAAACATTGTATAGAAAGTTGCCTCCTGAGAAATATAAAAAACACACAGCAATATTGAATTCTGAGTTTTATTGCGACCAAAGCCGTAAATAAAGCAAGTTATACAAAAATATTCTTGATTAGAGTAATGCCGAAAATCGAGAAGACAACAACGACGAAAAATGCCAAAATCCAGATGAAAGCCGTTTGCCTAAAAAATTGTTAATTGAGCTGATAATTTGTTAAAAAAAACTTACCGAAACACGCTCATAATTGACTCAAACAGAGTTGGTTCGTGTGTTGCGTTGCCAAAATTGACAGGTACAAGGTAGGAGACTTCGTCATCGATGATAATTCGTTTTCTCTGATTGCGAAGAATTGGCTTCTTTGCCATCAAAAATTTGAGGATTCGAGTTAAGATTGGGGAAAACTGATTTTTGCGCCGCAAAAATTGCACTCGAAGCGAACAATCAGATATACTTTTTCGAAGGAGCGATTACTAAGCGAGTACAATCAGATCGAAAAGATTTTCTCGACGCATCTGAAAATGACCGATTTGCAAGGATACTACCCTAAAATTTATAGAGCAGGACATGGTCCATGTCACATGGAAAGGATGCGAAAGTGTCGGTGCACGTCTTGCTTTTTGAATAAATTATGGGCTAGTATATATTACGAAAGGTACACTCACGCTTTCTCAGGTCCCGTGCAGATTTTGTTTTCGCTGTTTAGCGATTGCCTCGCCGAATTTATCGAGAAATAGCAAATACTTGCTTGCAAACAATCAAAAACTAGAAAGAGACAGAGGATCCAGCCACGCCAAAAATATCAAGGTTAGTATATTTTCGTTCAATCCAAGTGCGCCAGTAAATTCCTAGATGATCGTAAACAGGGTATTCATTCTGATGGCAAAATAATTTTGAAAGGTCGCCATTCTAACGAACTTAATATCGGTTAAAATGCAGATCTCTCAGAAGTGATTATGAGGACCTCAGACTTTATCTTGCAAATAAAGCCATATTTTTACTTTGTTCTTTCCTCGAAGATTTATTCTTGTCAAAATTTAAGACGGGGAAGACTTTCATTTGTAGGAAAAACGAGATGATTGAAGTTTATCCGCTTCAATATATTTGAAACGCGGATGATTTTCATTCACAGAAAAATCGTTAGTTATTAAATTTTGATGAAAATCGGATAAATTCATCACAATGTCGATTTGAAGGTATTATGTTATTCTGAATTCTCTCTGAATTCGATTTTCTGAATTCTGAAAAAAGCTGCCTGAATAACAAAGATTGTTGTTTTAGTGACTTTTTTCGTTCAGCTCGCGAATCGACCAAATCATTTCAAACAGCCGTATCTTTTTCTCGCTGCGGAACGGAAAAATGAAAAGCTGCGAAGAAAAGTCAGAGAAAGAACAGAAACGGCCTCATTCTACAACAGGAGCGGGATCGAACTTTCTTGTTTTCAATTACTTTTTCCAGGTAAAAAAGCATTTTTCGACCTGCAATAAAAAGACAGCCACGAATACGGAGACTCATTGTCTGTAGTCAGCTCTCTTGGAGGAACCGGTAAAATGAATTTTCCTTGCTCTGTCAGAAAGTAAAATGTTGAGCGATATTCTTACCGTGAAAAAAGAGTACAACCGCGCTCGCGTAGTGAGCCGTTCAGCAAGTGCTTTTTCAAAGCGCTCAGCTCGGCGAAACACTGCCCATCCTATTTCCGACTTTCTTCAAAAAACGTCTGGTTCTGGACGAAAAACGTCCGAGGCCAACTTCGAGAACGACGGTGTTCTTATTCCATACCAAAATCGAATCGATCTGATAAAAAATGACACTGTCGAAATACGAAAATGGGACATTGATAAAAAGGTGAAAAAATATTAAAAATGTGTCGAAACCTGAGTCAGGATCCTGAAAAATCATAAATAAAGTCGCGTAGCGGCTTTTACAAAAACGGAGCCGCAAAGCGCCTTCACTAGAATCGCCACTTCATCCTTTTCTTAAAATTCTGACTCAGGACTCTGACTCAGGCTTCAACACAGGTCGCCAAACCAAGAGCAATGGATCACCTTATTCAGATTCAAAAATCCTTCTTTTCGGACATCGAAATAGCTGGAAGCTGGCTGCTCTGGATATGTCTAACTTTTGGGCTTTTATGCTTGGGAAACGCAGTGATCTTTGCATTTCTTCTTTCAGAGCAGCTCACTTCGCTCGTTCACGCAGTTATTGTCGCTCATTATTGGTAAAAATTTCAACTTTTTTTATCCTTAAAAATATTTCAGCCTTGTGATTTTGAATATTGCTTTCCTGCTCGTGGCGAATAAATGCTTGCAAGATGTAAAGCATGATGTCTATCTGTTCTGCAGCGGCCTGGCTTTGGCGAACAGCTTTTTGGCTTTAGGAAAAAGCGTCTTTAAGCTTCATGAAGCCTTCATCCTTCAACCCAAACCCTAACCCGAACCCCAAAGAAAATAAGAAAAGGCTCAAGACCTTTGAAAGGATTTTCATATTTCTTCTTTATAAAATCGTTTCATTCGATCGACTACAGTATCGGTTTAATTATGACTTTTGTTCTTTACTGCTTTATTTTTGCCGCCGCTATGTTTTTGGTAAGCATTTTCTTAAAATAAGAGCCGACTTTTTACTTTGCTTCAGTCTTTTATTTCGTTTCAAGTCCAATTCGTTCTCTCCAGGCTGGCAGGTTAGTGAAATCAATTAATAAAACACAGCTGAAATAATCTTATATTTTAGCTTCAGACATAGAAGCCTAAAAAAAGAATCGCTGTTGTTTCAACCTGTCCGTCAAAATAAATTAAAAAGGGTGATTAATGATTTCTATAAGAGAATTTCAATATGAAACTTGAAAATTATACTTCTTTAAAATTTTTTTAATTTAAAATTAAAAGTTATATTTTTGACATTTTTTATTAAGAAATTTTATTTTATGTTTTTAAAAACTTCGAGTTATCAATAGATATGTTGCATAATATTGACCAATAAATTTTTTTCCGTGACAGAAGAGAGTTCGAAGCTTCTTGAATATTTTCGAGAAGGAAAGACCGGATGCTGTTTCAGAAGTGACGTGCTAAGTTCATCGCCGATGTCCTGGATTTGTAGAGTGCTCAAGAAGCCGGTGCTGATCCTCTTGACGCGCGCGAAGGTCCGTCTTCTGATCCGCCTCTTCAACAGATCTCAGAAGACAACTTGAGCTATACTTAGCAAGAACCGACACAACGCCGATTCTTGATCCTCAAGGAGCTCTTACATTCTTCACGTGTCGCAATTCCATTCCAGAAAGATCTCCCTCCTTCAAATACCGAATCTCAGATTCCAAATCTCTCCAGTCTATAATAAAGTTAAAGTAGGTCAAAAGGGCTGTGTTCAACCCCTTTTATAAAGCACTTTTAGTTACTATTGAGCCAAGACAAGAAATATCTTTGCAAAAGATAAACCTAGTGACACCCTTAAATTTCAAAGCCTTAAGGAACAAACCCCCCCCTCCCCCCCGTCAACAATTTTCGAAAAATCTATTTTCGGAATTTCAAAATTTTGACCCCAGAAATGGATTCTACAGGTCAAAAAACGATTTTGAGGCTTCATTTTTTGGGGTCTATCTCGATTCAAACACCCTTAAAATCGCGTTTGAAAATTGGACTTTTGACGAAAAATGACGAAAAAGTCCCATATTCGCTAAAATTTTAGATTTTTATTGGTCAAAAAGTGCTCCGAACAAGTTTTAAAAAATATGGCTGTTTTAAAATTTTTGATTTTTTGAGGAAAATCGTTGGCGGGGGTCCTTAATGGACTAAGAAAGTCCATTAGAGAATTAAGATTTCCTAAAAATTATTCTTTTATTTTAAATTTTGTTGCTATTTAGATAAAAGCTTCTGGAAAATTCGCGGATGATTAGCCGATTTCCTAGAGATCCTGGAAGATGGGCGCTGCCTTCAAGGACTCTTGAAACCGAAGTTCGCGGAAATAAATAGCAGGATTCTGAGCATTTGGAATCAGTCAGTGTTTCTGACCCGAGGGTTTTATTTAGATAAAGCCCTTTTTTCTCACGCCTTTTTAGGAGTGGTAAGTAAAGAGATAGAATCGAGCCTGTTTATTTCTAACCACACTTGTTTAGTAAAACAAAAACAACAAAACAGACAAGCGTTTAAAACGCAGCATGGGGATGCTTAACCCCGCCAAGGTCCTTTCTCTTTGGACCATTCTGGCACCAGGAGTAACACCTGCTGAGAAGTCGGTTTACTCCGAGGGCTTCGACTCTGCTGAGCTTTTCACAGAGAAGAATCTCTGCCGCAATTTGCTTGCTCCAATCAACGGTGAAATCAATTGCTACGTCTCCGACTACGATACGTAAGTTCAGATTACTACTGCTTCAAATTGCGGTCCGAATCTTATTTTTTCAAAAAACTGAAACGGCGTCAGAATTAAGTACTTGTTACAAATATTTACCTTTTTTAATACTGCGACAAAAATTTGGTCGGAAAAAATTTGTTTCGTTACTCAGAGTTGGCCATTTTTTCATGTGATCTCTGGTACTCTGAAAAAATCAATAGGTTTAAGCAAAATAGTCTAAAGAGACTGGATAAGGAATTTTTCAAAAAATTTTTAAGAATTTGCACTGCACAATGTAACCGCGGATTTGTTTTCTCCGATGCTCTTGAGATCGAGAAAACATTTTCTTGTGCAAACGATCTCGGAATTTGGGATCCCGCTAGCGAGGTGCCAAGATGTATTCGACTCACACAGTGTCTTCGAGCAAAGATGGCTGCTGGTGCGGGTGCTCAGTCTCCACAGTGCGACGCACAGGGCGATTACGAGTCCAAGCAGGTAGACGCTCAAACCGGCGAGAGCTGGTGCGTCGATCCACAGGGCAAAGAAATCGCTAACACGCGAAGCACTGAAAATGTTGACTGCAGCCAGTTCGCCAAGATCCCATCAAGGCCAATGGTTCCCAACCACATGGATCTCGACGGTGCATGTGTCCACTGGGACGACGTTTGGTACAAGACCTTCGATGGACAGATCTACGGCTACGGAGCTGATGGTCCACTTACGTTGCTCAAGAGCCGAGATGGCCAATTCACCATCACCATGCTCCCGCTTCAGAACTTTGGATCAGACTCTCATGCTAAGCGATGGATCGAGTTCCGAAAGGGCGACAAGGTCTTCACTCTCCGATTCAACAACGGAAAGTTCGTCATTTCTTCAGAAGGACAGCTTCTCAGCGTCGGTGAAGAACCTCTCCGACTCGAAGGTGGCTTCGTCGCCACTTTTGATGGTGAATGGGTTTCGATCACAAACCCAGAGAACTACGGCAAGTCCGTTTTCATGTACTGTCCACTTTCTGGCTCACACTTCATCAAAACTACCAAGTCATTTTCTGATACTGAAGGTCTTTGCGGATCCTTCGATGGCGATATCGACAACGATTACCTCGCTAAGAACGGAAATATCTGTTCTGATTCTGTCGAGTTTGCTGAAACTTGGCAGATGACTTGCCCAGTCCGACCATACTGGAGAACTTTCAACACAGTCGGCGCTGAAAAGCGACAAGTTGAGTTCATCAACAATTTCGACGAAGCTATCAAGCTCTACGTTGTTACTATGGACGGCTCATGGGAGAAGATGGCCGACATTGACCAGTTTGCTTCTTTCAAGGCAAAGAAGACCTACTCTTCCGTCGCCTGGATCGCCACCACAAAGACAAACGAAATGCTCAAGCTCAACAACTACTGCGTCTTCTACGCTCTTGAGACTGACGAGGTCCAGCACGTTTCCATCACCGACGCCGAGCCAAAGGAAGGCTACGCTGTTCACTACGAGAAGATGTGCAACGCCATCGCTCCAGTCAACGGTCACGTTGAATGCAAGGTTTTCGGTGGATTGAAGATGTGCGCTGTCAACTGCGACAACGGATATCAGCACGGCCATACCAGTCTCTACATCTGTAACCTTGAAACTGGAACTTGGGCTCCAGAACTTCCATACAATCAGCTCATCTTCCCAGCCTGTCACGACGGTGCTCGACGATGCACTGACATGGAAGCTCCAATTGGTGGCTCAATCACATGCTCAATCAATGACGAGGGACTCCAGATCTGCGTTCCAAGCTGTCCAGAAGGATTTGACATCAAGCCAAGCCCACCAATGTCTGGATACTACACATGTAACGACGGTCGATGGGGCACAAGCAGCACTCCACCAGCTTGTGTTGCTCGAGCAAACGCTGTCGATCCACGAGAAATCGGACAGGTCTCTGGTGTCTTCACCAAGGGTAACGTTCCAGCAGATCAGACAGGCTACTGCATGACTTGGGGTCAGCATCATTACCGAACTTTCGATGGAAAAATCTACCGATTCCGAGGCCAGTGTAGCTATGTTCTTGCCCAAGATAAGCTTACAGGCTCTTTCTCTATTCACATCAAGAACGACGGTGAATGCGACGGCACAGGAAAGTGCACTCGAGCATTGACCATCTTCATGAACGATGCTTCTGTTGACATCAGGCTTGACGAAGATGGCCAGCCAGCTGTCTTCACTGCTTCCAACGAAGCTGTTCCTCTCCCAACAATGATTTACGATCTTTCGATCCAGCGAATCAGCGACTACATTGTCGTTCGAGAAGCAATCAACGGCTGGTATCTCAAGTGGGACGGTGCCGAGTCTGTCTTCCTCCGAATGGACGAAGGTATGATGGGCCAGACATCTGGTCTTTGCGGTGTCTTCGACCGAGACCAAACCAACGACTTTGAAACTCGATCTGGCACTCTCGTGAAGACTGTTTCACTTTTCGCAAACAGCTGGAAGATCGACCAAAGCTGCCTTGATGCAACTGAAGAGGGCTATTGCAACATTAATGACGAGGCTTCAGCACAGAAGGCCACCGAAGCTATCATGCTTTGCTCTTATCTCCTTGATACAGAATGCAAGGATACTGTCGACCCACGACCATACTTTGAGTCATGCAAAGAAGACGTTTGCTTTTCTTCCGGAAACAATACTGAAGAGTGGATCTGCAATTCCATGTCTGCTTACTTCAGAGAATGCGCTCGACACGACGTTCATGTCGACTGGCGATGCCCTGCTCGATGCGAGGTTCAATGCCCAGTTGGTCAAATCTTCAAGACTTGCGGATCAAGCTGCCCACAAACTTGCTGGGCTCAACAGTACAACTGCGACGACGATCACTGCATCGACGGCTGCCACTGCCCAGCTGGAACTTATCTCCATGATGGCGAGTGTCTTCAGCGAGGAGAATGCCCATGCAAGTTCGGCCATGACGAGTACGCTCCAAGGTCCCGAATCCAGCGAGATTGCAACCAGTGCGTCTGCGTCAATGGAGGATGGAAATGCACAACAAACGAGTGCGACGGTGTCTGCACTGCTATGGGAAGCCACTACACAACCTTCGATGGTGTCCATTACGACTTTGAAGGCGATTGCACCTACGTTCTTTCCCGTGGATTCGGTGATTTCACTTGGGAAGTTCTCATCCAAAATCATGATTGCTCTGGATCAGTTTGCGGCCGATCCGTCATCCTTCGAGTTAACGGAGAAGATGTCAAGCTCATCGCTGGAGGTGCTCTTCATGCTACCGACTCTGTCACTTCTCTTCCATACCACGGAGAGTACTTCGTTATTGAGAAGGTCACAACTATGTTCCACAAGGTCACACTTGCTAATGGTTTGACCATCTTCTGGGACAAGACCGATCGAATCTACCTTCGAGCTCCAGCTTCAATCAAGGGATCTGTTTCAGGTCTTTGTGGTAACTTTAACGACGCTCAATCTGACGAGTTCCGAACACCAGAAAACGACATTGAAGCTAATGCCGTTGAGTTTGCTCTCAAGTGGCAGGCAACAACATGCGACAGCGCTCCTCAGCGAGTTCCCATGAACGCCTGCGCTCAGTTCGCTAACCGACGAGGTCACGCTCAAAAGATTTGTGCCTCAATTTTGTCCGGACAATTCGTCCAGTGTCACGAACTCATTGATTACGAAGCTTACTACTCTCTTTGCATGCAGGATTACTGCAAGACTGGTGATGAGAAGAGTGCTTGTACAATCCTTTCCGACTACAGCAGCGCTTGCGCAAAGAACGGAATTATTATTGATGGTTGGAGACAGAATTGCACTGAGTGCAATGTAGAATGCCCACATGGTATGGTCTTTGCTGAGTGCGCCAAGAGCTGCGGACGATCTTGTGGATCTCTTAGCTACGCTGATGATTGCACAGAAGGCTGCGTCCAGGGTTGTACTTGCCCAGAAGGATCCGTTATGGATTACGACGGTGAATGCATTCCAATCGGAGAATGCCCATGCTACTATGAACAGAAGAAGTTCCTCGCTGGTGAATCTCGAATGCAAGATTGCAACATCTGCGAGTGTCACAAGGGACAGTGGTTCTGCACTGACAACGAGTGCGAAATCGAAGAGACTTGTGGCATCAATGCTGAGCTCAACTCTTGTGTTCCAATCGATCCACTTACATGCTCTAACATGCATTTGAACCGAATTCCATTGAAGGTTGAGCATTGCCGAACTGGCTGCGTTTGTATGCACGGTTTTGTCTTGGACGAGACAACTGGAGACTGTGTCCGACCAGCTGATTGTCCATGCCATCATGGAGGAAAGTCATACAAGGAAGGCGAAGAGATGAAGAAGGACTGCAACCATTGCCAGTGTGTCTCCGGATCCTGGGAATGCACAGATCTTGTCTGCCCAGGCCATTGCCGAGCGTATGGAGACTCTCATATTACAACTTTCGATAGCCGAAACTATCAGTTCCAGGGTGCCTGTGAATACACATACGTCGAAACCATCCCAAGCGCCCATGCAAGCTTCCGAGTTACCGCTCGAAACGAGCAATGTGGTAGCCAGGGAACTGTCTGCACAAAGTCTATTACAATTACTTTGAATCAAGAAAACACTATGGAGAGGTCATCATTGCGACTTGTCCGAGGAAAGCCAATCACTCTCGAAAAGGGATCCGGATTTGACGTTCGATACGCTGGTTTGTGGGTTTTCATTACCACTGACGTTGGCTTGACCGTTCAGTGGGACAAGGGTACCCAGATGATCATCAAGCTTGACCCAATGTACAAGGGTAAGGTCCAAGGTCTCTGTGGCGACTACGATGATCGAGTAATTGATGATCTTGTATCTCGAGGTGGCATTGCAACTGCTAATGTTCTTTCCTTCGGTGATTCCTGGAGAGTCGATTCAACATGCCCAGACTCCAAGCATGTGAATGACATTTGTGAGACAAATCCTCATCGAAAGATCTGGGCTGTCAAAAAATGCTCAATCATCAATTCTGAGACATTCGCTGCTTGTCATGCCCACGTTGATCCATCATACTATTATGATAACTGCGTATTCGATTCATGTGCATGTGATTCTGGCGGAGATTGCGAATGCTTGTGTACTGCCATCGGTGCTTACGCTCAAGAATGTAACCGACACGGTGTTCATATCTACTGGAGAAACCAACAGCTTTGTCCAGTCCAGTGTGACGGTTGTCGATCATATGATCCATGTGTCAGCGCTTGTCCAAAATCCTGCGACAACTATCATAACTGGGCACAGATTGAGACAACTTGCCCAGATACATGCGTTGAAGGTTGCACTTGCGACGACGAGCATGTCATGTCTGATGACGGCAAACACTGCCTCCCAGTTGATGAATGCATTTGTATGGAAATTAACGGTGTTGTCTACGGTCACGGTGAAAAGATCGATGAGATGTCTGACGATTGTCGATCTTGCTTCTGCATGGAGGGCCACGCTCAGTGTCTTGGTCTTCCTTGTGGCAGCTCATGGACTGCACCAACGGTCACAACGATCTGTCCACCCGATGTTAAGTACGAGGGTATGGAGACAAAGCCATTCACTACAAAAACAGTCGATGAATGCCCAGAGGGCAAGAAACAAGAATGCTCATTCACATGCAACATGGTTTGCCATGCTTGGCGATCAGTCTTGGTACAGTGTGTTCATGACACAGATACTTGCGTTGATATTTGTGAAGATGAAAAGCCTATGCAATGTGCTTCTGGATATGTTTTGAATGACTTGAATACCTGCGTCAAAATGCAAGACTGTCCATGCATGCTTCCTTGTGGACAGACTCTTGCGCCAGGATCCCTTTACGATGACGAAGATGAGTGCAAGCGATACTTTTGCTGGCAAAACGATCTTAAGATTCAGGATATTCCTGGATGCTCCGCAAAGACAACCACAACAACAACCTCGACTACGACAACTTCTACAACAACAACAACAACAACGACCACTCACCCAACAACAACAAAGCCCACAATGAAAACAACTTCCTGGTCATGCCCACCAGTCTCTGAGCCATGTATCGATAAGGATGGCGAAGAACGACAATTCGGTGAATACTGGAACACAGCAAACTGTCATTACTGCATGTGTTATCAAGATGGATCTGTTCGATGCCGTCAGCTTGAATGCGACTCGCTTGGCGAATGCGAACCAGAACAAATAAGAGAGGTAAAAATGTCGAAGGATGGTTGCTGTGAAGTAGCAGAATGCCGAGCAGAATCATGCAAGGGAGAAGAATGTGATTTTGAGGTTCCATGCTGCGAATACTACGAAGATATCATCACAGTCCAAGCATCTGAGTGCTGTTGTCGATTTGAATGTGCTTGCAATGAATCAAAATGTGAGATTTTCAATGATTGCTATTGCGAAAGTGGATACACTCTTGAACTCAAGAAGCCGGCTGGTGAGTGTTGCCCTGTTCCAAGATGCGTACCTGATTATAAATCAACAACAACGACAACAACAACAACAACATCGACAACAACAACGAAGACACCTGATGAGACAACAACTACTACTACTCATACTGATTCAACTCATCCAACAAGGACACCATACATCCATATTGATCCAGAGACAACCACGAAGATGGATAAGACTATGACACCACAGACCACTTACACTCATGTCACCCCATCTTGTCCACCACTCTGCTATGCCAAGGACGGCAAGGAGTACCAGTATGGTGAACAGTGGACTGTCTCTAAGTGCGAGACTTGCTGCTGCCGAGCCGACGGCACAATCTCCTGCACAAAGAGCTCATGCCTCGACGTCTTCGTTACTTGCGATGAGACATGTGAGACTAAGGTCACAACTGACTTGGGTTGTTGCGTCCAGGAGAAGTGTATCCCTGATGACTGTGCCGATGTTGTCCAGCCACAACCACCAACCTGCGGTGCATGCCAGGAGTGCGTTGCCGTTCAGACTAAGGACAAGTGCGTCCCATACACATACACTTGTGTCTGCAAGGAGTGCCCAGATATGGGCAAGCTTACTTGCAAGGCTCCATACGTTGCCGTTGAATACTGGATGGATGAATGTTGCAAGGCTACTCGATGTTGCCACGGCACCACTGAGCCAACATGCCCAACTTCAACTCCACCAACAGCCACACCACCAACTATTGGCACAAGGACTACTCATCCATCTATGCCAACAGTGACACCACATACATCCTTCCCAACACCAACTCCACATATTGAAGATCCACATACTTACACTCATCCAACTCACACTACTCACTCTATGGGTACCAAGCCAACAGAGCCAACAGTGACACCTATGACTAAGCCAACAGCAACTCCAGCTACTCATACAACTACCGTTTGCACCACCACAACAAAGATGATGTGCATCGATACTGAGGGTAATCCACGAGCATATGGTGCCATCTGGAGCGAAGGCGATTGCAAGCGATGCTGCTGTACCGCTGAGGGCAAGCCTCAGTGTGTCGAAGAGAAGTGCGAGACACGAGAGTGCCCAGCAGGTACTGTTGAGACTGGCAAGTACGCTCTCACCAAGTGCTGCGACGCCCCAACATGCTGTCCAGACACAGACAGCTGCAAGGATGTTAAGTGTCCAGCAGTTGTTGTTCCACAATGCGAGGTCTACGAGGTCTGCAAGACAAGGACATCCAAGGACAACGAATGTTGCGAAGAGTTCTATTGCGAGTGCGACAAGAGCCGATGCTTCGAGCTCGATGATTGTGACTGCCCAGAAGGATACGAGCTTGTTGATACCATCAAGGGAGCTTGCTGCAACACACCAAAGTGTGTCAGGATCCAGTGCACAACAACCGTTGCTACTCACACTCCACCAACTCAGACAACTGAAACCGTTACACCAACTCATACAACTACCACCACTATCTCCTGCACTCCAGGTAGCCCAACTTGTCCACCACCACCACCACTCTGTATCGATGATGAGGGTTGTGAACGACATTACGGCGAAAGCTGGAGCACAATTGAGGAACCATGCAAGGTCTACACATGCTACTCTGTCAACGACATCCGAGTGACAGACCGAAAGTGTCAGCAGACCGTTGCACCAAAGTGCGCCGATAACGAGTGCGAGTTTGTCCACAAGATCGATCAGTGCTGCTCTGTGACCACTTGTGTTCCAACCAGCTGCAAGGACGTTGAGTGCGACGAGACCGTTCCATCATGTAATGTTTGTGAGGATCTTGTCATCACCCCAACTGCCGATGAATGTTGCTGCAAGTACTCTTGCAAGTGTAACCGAGACAACTGTGTTCCAGTTGGTGATTGCCCATGCCCAGCCGGTTTCTCTGCTACACGATTCACTCCACTCGGAGAGTGCTGCGAGACCGTCAAGTGCATTCCAATCACAACTACAACAACTGAGTGCCCAACAGAAACAACTGATGCGACAACAACTACTACTACTCATACTGATTCAACTCATCCAACAAGGACACCATACATCCATATTGATCCAGAGACAACAACTAAGATGGATAAGACTATGACACCACAGACCACTTACACTCATGTCACACCATCTTGTCCACCACTCTGCTATGCCAAGGACGGCAAGGAGTACCAGTATGGTGAACAGTGGACTGTCTCTAAGTGCGAGACTTGCTGCTGCCGAGCCGACGGCACAATCTCCTGCACAAAGAGCTCATGCCTCGACGTCTACGTCACTTGCAATGAGAAGACTCACAAGAAGGAGACTACTGATTTGGGCTGTTGCATCCAGGAGAAGTGTATCCCAATTGAGTGTGCTGATGTTGTCCAGCCACAGCCACCAACCTGCGGTGCATGCCAGGAGTGCGTTGCCACTGAGACTAAGAACAAGTGCGTCCCATACACATACACTTGTGTCTGCAAGGAGTGCCCAGATATGGGCAAGCTTACCTGCAAGGCTCCATACGTTGCCGTTGAATACTGGATGGATGAATGTTGCAAGGCTACTCGATGTTGCCATGGCACCACTGAGCCAACATGCCCAACTTCAACTCCACCAACAGCCACACCACCAACTATTGGCACAAGGACTACTCATCCATCTATGCCAACAGTGACTCCACATACATCCTTCCCAACACCAACTCCACATATTGAAGACCCACATACTTACACTCATCCAACTCACACAACTCACTCTATGGGCACCAAGCCAACAGAGCCAACAGTGACACCTATGACTAAGCCAACAGCAACTCCAGCTACTCATACAACTACCGTCTGCACAACCACAACAAAGAACATCTGCATCGATACTCAGGGTAATCCACGAGCATACGGTGAGATCTGGAACGAAGGTCCATGCAAGCGATGCTGCTGTACCGCTGAGGGTGTTGATCCTCAGTGTGTTGAGGAGAAGTGCGAGACACGAGAGTGCCCAGCAGGTACTGTTGAGACTGGCAAGTACGCACTCACCAAGTGCTGCGACGCTCCAACATGCTGCCCAGACACAACCGACTGCAAGGATGTCAAGTGCCCAGCCGTTGTTGTTCCACAATGCGAGGCCTACGAAGTCTGCAAGACAAGGACATCCAAGGACAACGAATGTTGCGAAGAGTTCTATTGCGAGTGCGACAAGAGCCGATGCTTCGAGCTCGGTGATTGTGACTGCCCAGAAGGATACGAGCTTGTTGATACCATCAAGGGAGCTTGCTGCGACACACCAAAGTGTGTCAGGATCCAGTGCACTACCACCATTGCTACTCACACTCCACCAACTCAGACAACTGAAACCGTTACACCAACTCATACAACTACCACCACTATCTCCTGCACTCCAGGTAGCCCAACTTGTCCACCACCACCACCGCTCTGTATCGATGATGAGGGCTGTGAGCGACATTACGGTGAAAGCTGGAGTACAGATGATGAGCCATGCAAGGTCTACACATGTTACTCTGTCAACGACATCCGAGTGACAGACCGAAAGTGTCAGCAGACAGTGGCTCCAAAATGCGCCGACAACGAGTGCGAGTTTGTCCACAAGATCGATCAGTGCTGCTCTGTGACCACTTGTGTTCCAACCAGCTGCAAGGATGTTGAGTGCGACGAGACCGTTCCATCATGCAATGTTTGTGAGGATCTTGTCATCACCCCAACTGCTGATGGATGCTGCTGCAAGTACTCTTGCAAGTGTAACCGAGACAACTGTGTTCCAGTTGGTGATTGCCCATGCCCAGCCGGTTTCTCTGCTACACGATTCACTCCACTCGGAGAGTGCTGCGAGACCGTCAAGTGCATTCCAATCACAACTACAACAACTGAGTGCCCAACAGAAACAACTGATGAGACAACAACTACTACTACTCATACTGATTCAACTCATCCCACAAGGACACCATACATCCATATTGATCCAGAGACAACCACGAAGATGGATAAGACTATGACACCACAGACCACTTACACTCATGTCACCCCATCTTGTCCACCACTCTGCTATGCCAAGGACGGCAAGGAGTACCAGTATGGTGAACAGTGGACTGTCTCTAAGTGCGAGACTTGCTGCTGCCGAGCCGACGGCACAATCTCCTGCACAAAGAGCTCATGCCTCGACGTCTTCGTTACTTGCGATGAGACATGTGAGACTAAGGTCACAACTGACTTGGGTTGTTGCGTCCAGGAGAAGTGTATCCCTGATGACTGTGCCGATGTTGTCCAGCCACAACCACCAACCTGCGGTGCATGCCAGGAGTGCGTTGCCGTTCAGACTAAGGACAAGTGCGTCCCATACACATACACTTGTGTCTGCAAGGAGTGCCCAGATATGGGCAAGCTTACTTGCAAGGCTCCATACGTTGCCGTTGAATACTGGATGGATGAATGTTGCAAGGCTACTCGATGTTGCCACGGCACCACTGAGCCAACATGCCCAACTTCAACTCCACCAACAGCCACACCACCAACTATTGGCACAAGGACTACTCATCCATCTATGCCAACAGTGACACCACATACATCCTTCCCAACACCAACTCCACATATTGAAGATCCACATACTTACACTCATCCAACTCACACTACTCACTCTATGGGTACCAAGCCAACAGAGCCAACAGTGACACCTATGACTAAGCCAACAGCAACTCCAGCTACTCATACAACTACCGTTTGCACCACCACAACAAAGATGATGTGCATCGATACTGAGGGTAATCCACGAGCATATGGTGCCATCTGGAGCGAAGGCGATTGCAAGCGATGCTGCTGTACCGCTGAGGGCAAGCCTCAGTGTGTCGAAGAGAAGTGCGAGACACGAGAGTGCCCAGCAGGTACTGTTGAGACTGGCAAGTACGCTCTCACCAAGTGCTGCGACGCCCCAACATGCTGTCCAGACACAGACAGCTGCAAGGATGTTAAGTGTCCAGCAGTTGTTGTTCCACAATGCGAGGTCTACGAGGTCTGCAAGACAAGGACATCCAAGGACAACGAATGTTGCGAAGAGTTCTATTGCGAGTGCGACAAGAGCCGATGCTTCGAGCTCGGTGATTGTGACTGCCCAGAAGGATACGAGCTTGTTGATACCATCAAGGGAGCTTGCTGCGACACACCAAAGTGTGTCAGGATCCAGTGCACTACCACCATTGCTACTCACACTCCACCAACTCAGACAACTGAAACCGTTACACCAACTCATACAACTACCACCACTATCTCCTGCACTCCAGGTAGCCCAACTTGTCCACCACCACCACCACTCTGTATCGATGATGAGGGTTGTGAACGACATTACGGCGAAAGCTGGAGCACAATTGAGGAACCATGCAAGGTCTACACATGCTACTCTGTCAACGACATCCGAGTGACAGACCGAAAGTGTCAGCAGACAGTGGCTCCAAAATGCGCCGACAACGAGTGCGAGTTTGTCCACAAGATCGATCAGTGCTGCTCTGTGACCACTTGTGTTCCAACCAGCTGCAAGGATGTTGAGTGCGACGAGACCGTTCCATCATGCAATGTTTGTGAGGATCTTGTCATCACCCCAACTGCTGATGGATGCTGCTGCAAGTACTCTTGCAAGTGTAACCGAGACAACTGTGTTCCAGTTGGTGATTGCCCATGCCCAGCCGGTTTCTCTGCTACACGATTCACTCCACTCGGAGAGTGCTGCGAGACCGTCAAGTGCATTCCAATCACAACTACAACAACTGAGTGCCCAACAGAAACAACTGATGAGACAACTACAACTACTCCTTCAACTGGAGATCCAACTCATCCAACCTCAACTTACTCTACTCATCCAACATTCACACACCCATCGCATTCCGAAACATATCCGACACCTGATCCAAAGATCCTTACTTCAACAGCTCATACTGATATGCCAACTAAGCCAACGATGCCAACTCATCCAACTGAGACGACCTCCAATTTCATTACTGAGTTTTCATTTGTTACTCAAAGTGTCTGTATTGACGGTGATGGAAACGAGCGTTCTTTCGGTGAAGTTTGGTATTTGGATGATTGTACTACTTGCTGTTGCTCATCTGAAGGTGATGCTATCTGCCAGTCTATTCTCTGTCCAGATCGCGAGTGCGAGACCGGTTTTGTCGAAATCGGCCGCTACAATGTCGATCGCTGCTGTGATGCGCCATGTTGTTCAAGATGTACTGAAGAAACGGCGGGCGATTGTCCACAAGTTGCTGAGAAGACATGTTCATGCGTTGAGGATCAAATTCAGAAATTCAACTCCGAAGATTGTTGCTTTACTTATGAATGCGTCTGCAATAAGGATAAGTGCTTCAGGTTCGACCGAGAATGTCCAAAGGGATACATCCGTCAATTCGATTACATGGTTGACGATTGTTGCCCAGTGTACAAGTGTGTTAAGTCGACAACAACAACGACAACAACAACCACCACAACCACGTCAACAACAACAACATCGAAGACAATGACACCAAAGACGATGACTACACCTACTGAGTCAACCTGGACTCCAATGACAAAGACAACAACGACGACACCAGATCACACCCGAACACCAAAGATTCACATTGATCTTTGTCCTGGTGTTACTGATGATTCTAATTGTCCAAAGTCTTGCCCAGAAGGTCTCGTGTGCAGTGGATCTGAGTGTATTCATCCATCAAAATGCGCTTGTACTTACAATGGATTCATTTACGCTTCCGGTCAGGTTTGGACAAGTGACGATGGCTGTAAGACATGTTTCTGTACAATGGGTGAGGTCAAGTGCGATACAACTCCATGCGATATTGAATCATGCCCTGTTGGTTTTGCTCTTCGAAAGGTTGAGGGAAGCTGTTGCCCAACATGTGAGCCATGCATTAACAACTGTGTCGACGAGAATGACGGATACACTTACTTTGTCGGTGAGCAGTGGACGAATTGTGATTCTCCATGCGATACATGCACATGTAACGAAGATCTCTCCATCACCTGTACTCGACAGCAATGCTCACAAGTAATCCCAACTTGCAAGGCAAATGAAAAGGTTGTCGAGATCACTGGCGTGTGTTGCCCATCTTACAAGTGCATTTGTGACGAGTCATCTTGCGATGAAGAGAAGCCAGTTTGTGAGTCATACGAAAAGGTCGTTGAACTTGTTAGCAAGACTAGCTGCTGCTCTGAATTCGAGTGCCAGTGCGACTACGAAAAATGTGTCATCCCAACTTGTGCTGCCGATGAGATGCTTGTTAACTCTGGCAAGCTTAATCGATGCTGCGATAACTACGTTTGCAAGAAGAAGGGATGTGATTACAATGGCCAAACTTACATGTATGGTGAGATCGTTTCAAAGAGCGCTTGCACTACATGCACATGCCTTGAAACAGGACACGTCTCCTGCGAAGATGTTACCTGTGCCGTTGTCAAGCCAACTTGCGCTAACGGTCACGAGCCAATCGAGGTTCAGGGTGAATGCTGTGTCACTTACGTTTGCGGTTGTACTTGCTCTGGTTTCGCTGGAGTTGGTTTTACTTCATTCGACTCAACATCTTTCACATCTACGATCACTTGCACTGAAGTGACTGTTGCTCAGTCTAACGATGGTCGATTCTCCATTTCTGTCTACAAGAACGAGAACTCACAAGTTGACTACATCAAGATCTTCTCTGTCGACAGTGGAGTATTGAAGATTTCAAGGTCTGAAGCTATCCAACACATTCTTGGCCTCCAGAGTAACACTGTTGCTGTGGCGACAGGCAGTGAAGTTAATGCTGATGGATTCACAATCACTCGATCTTTCAATGAGATCCGAGCGTGCATTGGCGATGCTCAGCTTGCTTACACACCTTGTACTGGTGCTTGGTCTGTCACTGTTTCTGCATCATATGCTGGCCGAATGGAAGGTATCTGCGGTCAGTGCGACGGAATCAGCGAGAATGATTTCGCAACTGCTCAGTTCTCAACAGTCGAATCTGCCGTTGACTATTGGACAGTTTCAAGGAACGAAGAATGCGATGACATCGAAGAGTGCGAGGATACTCAGTCATGCGACACAACCTTCAGCGAAGTCTTCGATATTTGCTCACACGTCAACTCTGAGATCTATCAGACAGTCTGTAACACAGTCAATTGCGAGACCGGTCATATCACCACAACTGTGGAAGATCGAGTTGTCAACACTACTGTTGACTACACTTGCGAGAGTTACGCCGCTTACATTCGAGAATGTCAGCAGACAACAGAGTGTTTCGAGTGGCGATCTGCTGAGTTCTGCCCAGGACATTGCCCAGCCGGCATGGAATACCGAACTTGTGGTCCTGATGTCATTCGAACATGTGAGAACTACCTCACATACGAGTCATTGAAGATCAACTACAACTCTGAAGGTTGCTATTGTCCAGAAGGTCTCATCCTCAAGGATGGCGCTTGTGTTACATGTGATAAGTGTAAAGCATGCGTCGATGAGGACGACATCGGCCGACATATTGGTGAGATCTGGACCGACTGCACCAATCCATGTATCCAGCATACATGCGTTGCTATTGGACACATTGCTTCATCTCTTATCAACCAATGCCCAGCTCCAATCACCTGCCCAGCTGGTTGCACGAAGACACTCGTATCTGAGGATACTTGCTGCGAGTACTATGAGTGCTACTGCGAGGAGAAGGAATGCGACAAGGCACCAGTTTGCGATTGCGGAGAAGCACTTGTTGTTACTGGCGAAGACAAATCTGGCTGTCCAGAATATAACTGCGAATGTGACGAGAAACTCTGCCCAGCTGTGAACGATCCAGTCTGCGGACTCGGCGAGCGTGAAGAGATCAAGGTTAACGGATGTTGCGAATCAAAGATCTGTGTCTGTGATCCATCAACATGCCCAGCAATCACAGTGAAGTGTGGCCCACAAGAGAAGCTCGTCGCTCTCAACAGTGACGTCTGCTGCCCAGAATATGCTTGCATCTGCGACCTTACAACTTGCTCAACCACAGTTCCATGCTGCGACGAGCACGAAGTATTGAAGATAATTCCAGACGGCGACTGCTGCACAAAGTACGTTTGCGACTGCGACGAATCTCGATGTCCATCTGCTCCAGTTTGTAATGAAGGATTCAAGCTCGAAACAACCAAGACTGGTTGCTGCGCTACATACAAGTGTGTTTGCGATGAGAGCAAGTGCCAGGAGTCAGTCACTCCAACTTGTTCAAGCGACCAGAAGCTTCGATTGGTCTCAAGCTTCATTATCAACGCATGCTGTCCAGCGGTTAACACTTACGAGTGTGTCTGTGACGAGACTAAGTGTGCCAAGATCGATCTTGCTTGCGAGTCATACGAGATGATCGTCAACCATCCAGCTGCTGAGAACGAATGCTGCTCATCAGCCGAGTGTGTTTGCGATTACAGCAAGTGCCCTATGGCCAACAAGATGATGACCTGCGAAGCTGGAAAGTCTCTCAAGAACATTGAGCTCAACCCTTGCTGCTCCACTGTCCAGTGCGTCTGCGATGAGTGCATCATTCCAGATGAGTGCCCTAAGGGAACAATTGCTAGCGACTCTACAAATGTCTGCGGTTGCATCCAGCGAACATGCATTGCTGAGCCAATCTGCTGCATCGGCGACAAGACATACGAATGCGGTGAAACTTGGAGCAAGGATCTTTGCACAACTTGCACATGCATGGAAGTTTCCGAGGGAACATACAGCGCTGTTTGTCACGAGACAAAGTGCTCGACTTGCTCCGAAGGCTACATCATGATGCCAGTTGAAGGACAGTGCTGCGGCGAGTGCGTCCAGGAGAGCTGTAAATACAACAACAAGATGTACACTGTTGGCCAGACATGGTCTCCATCAAACGACCAGTGCTCAACTTGCTGCTGCGTCCGAGATCAGCTGACTGGTCAGGTCTACACCGAGTGCTCTTCCGTTCAGTGCCCAGAGTTCGACGAGACATGTCCACCTGAGTTCATCAAGACCTCAGAAGATGGCTGCTGCGTCACTTGCGAGCGAGAAACAACTTCTGGATGCGGCGTCAAGGTTGATTACACCGACTACGTCGAAGCTGATGGATGCATCTCCAAGGAGGTCGTCGAGATGACTCTTTGCTCTGGTGAATGTACTTCAACTTCCATCTGGTCAGAAGCCATGAACAAATACCATAAGCAATGCTCTTGCTGCACTTGCACCGAGACCGATACAAAGCTCGTCGATATGATTTGCCCAGACGGCTCATCATTCACATACGAGCTTACAGTCGCCAAGGAATGCAGCTGTATGTCTTCAGAATGCACTGACGAAAACTAAGAAAAACACGGCGAAGGGGTTTTTTTTCTCTTATACCATTATTCACTCTTTCTTTCTTTCAATAAACAAAATATGATAAAATTCTTGCGTCTTTTTTTTGTTTGCAAAGAAATTATTTTTTTTATTAGTGGACAATCGAAATCCGAAAAGGAAGCACTAACAGCATGTGCAAGTTCTTCCAATCCGACTTAGCAGAGAACTTTCAAAGGCAATTTTGACTTTTGATGACAAAAATGCAGTAGTGTTAGTATCAAAGAGAATGACGAAAAAAGCAAGTTGATATTTTGAACTTTCAAATGACAGACCAGGTCTCAGAAAGCAGGTTAATGACACTTCAAAAGCGCGATTTTACTATTTCTAGGACAAGACAGACAGTATACTGCGACGGACGTCTGTCTTCAGGTCAGCTGGAGTTATGATTTCCTCAGAACACCCATCACTGATACCGGCGATCGGTTACATTTACTTCCTGAATATTTTTTTCTGAGAAAAACGGAGTCAAATGGTAATTGAAGAGGAAAACGATGATTTGTCTAAGCAGCCGAGAATTCAGGTCTTTATCATTAATAACTTTTGTTTTTGATTTTAAATAAGTGTTTGGATTGCGACTGTATCGGAGTTCTTCGCCAAAAAGACGGAAAAACGTATCTTTTCTCCGAAGAAATTCTGACAACTCGAAACGTCCGAACGCGACAGCGCGATTTGAAAAAGACGAAAACTTGGAAAGAGAAAATAACTGCCGAACTGCAGCTAAGCAAGCATGGATTCGCCACGGATCCGCAAAAGTACACTTATCTAGCAGTTTTCGGCGTTTTTTGGACGACAGTCATTCTTATCCGTAATTTTTAATCATTTTTTAGTTTGATGGAAAGTATCTTTTTAGTGAACTTTCAGTCGTTGGAGAAATCCCGAGGCGTAAAGACTTTTCTGACTTCGGTTTGTCATCGAAACTATAAAAAGTGCGTTCGAATGGAGACGATGGGCGCTGGGCTCGAGAACATGTATTAAAACCTGAGTCAGGGTCCAGCCTTTTACTAGAGCTCATTCCGGACCCTGGCGTAGGTTTTAACACAGGTTGACGAGCCTAAAATAGACTACTGCGGCCATCTAATGAAACAATGCTACGAAACCCAAGAATTCATTCTTCCTGGGCCTATTTCAGCAATTGACAGAAGCGAAACTGCAAAACTAGAATTTTCAAACGAAGAGAACGAAGTGAATCTCGTCCGCTGCAAAAAGAAAAAGTTCTACGACCAAAAAATCTGCCGCCATCTTTGTTCCAAAACGCTGGTTTTGAAATCAACGAGGACTAACCCAATTTCGCCGTGTGAGTCGATTTGCTTCGAGCTGACAAGGGCGTTCGATTCGGCCGGAGAGGTTTGCCCTTTTCAGAAATATTGCAAAGGTGGATGTCCGTGTCCGTTTTACGAGTGCGAAAAAATGCACTCGCCGCAGAAAATGGTGCCTGCTTTTGACATTCAGAAATCGGAGACGATTAAAGTCGATGAATTGAGCAAAAAAGACGAGTATTTTGGAATGGAAGTAATCACTGGTCGCTGGCCAAGCCGTCCCTCTCAAATCAAAAAGTTTCCAATGGTTTTTTCGGATTTGAGCGAAAGCGGGAAAGAAAAAATGATAAACTTGACGGAGACTCTCTTTCCTTACGCAAGTTTTTTCAATATCTATTTTCTTAACAATCAAACATTCACTTTATATTCGGCTTATTTTCCTTTAAAAAAAAAAGATAAAAAACGCAAAAGTCAACTGGTGCAACTTTTCTCAATGGAAAACACTATCTTGTTGATGCAATTGGCAATCTTGTCGAAATTCAAGAGACAGCCAAATCCCCAGTTTTTATTCCAAATCGATCATATCAAATGTAAGTCTCCTTCAAGATCTCTTTCAAAAGGCGCTGTCCAAAAAGAGGGCCAATCTGCGCACGCGGGTTAACCCTAACCCTAACCATTGCCGTGGTCCTTGCCTTAGCCAAACCCTAACTTTATTGGTTCTTAAAGGAGGTTCTTTGTTTTTCATTTTGGGTCGTCGATTGGAACTCATTACATCGAAATCCGGCGAAAAGACGAAGACAAAAAGATTTTCCCTGTTGTCGTTGTTTGAAAAAGGTCAAAACAAAACATAGTTTTCAAAAAAAAAACCAAGAATGTTCTGATCCTTCAAAGCGCTCCAACTGAAAGATCAGAAAAGTGCTACTACTATGCGCCAGAATACAATTTGAATCGCTTCGAGGAGGCGCAAGGTTTCATTGCCAGCAACCATTTCAACGCCAAAACATCTTCCGTCAGCTTCAAAGGAGTGTTTTATTTGATGAGCATCAGAATGGGCGAGGAATGGATCAAGATCTCCTCCACAGTGGCTTTAAACAGGATCAGAAAGGACGAAGAACTGGAAAAAGGGTGGAGAAAGAACGAGATGGCGCTGCCGGCGGAAATGAGAGCGGGATTGAATTTTGATCCTGTTCATATTGTTCCTTTGAAAGGGGTCGAAAGTTGTAGAACTGTGATTTTTTGTCTGGAACCGACAAAAAAAATTCCACAAATTATGTGTGGGCGGCTGCTGATTGAAAATTTCCACGCAAAATTTGTTGAAATTTTTTTGTCGGTTCTAGAGTCAAAATTTTTTTGTGTCCGACCCTATTCTAGACACCTCCCCTTTTTAACTCCTCAAAGATTGACTTGGGTCGGCTGATGGTCATTTTAGTCACTCGAAGGCTCGGCTCGGCAACCTGTGTAAAAACCTGAGTAAGTTTCTCAAAAATGCCCTAATAAAAAGCCGCGAAGCCGTTTCAAGACCTTGACTCAGGTTTTCTGCTTATTTGCCGAGCCCAGCACAAAGCATAAGTCTTTCGAACACGCGATATTCCTTCTTGCTCGAAGCGGAAGGAAAGTTTTTGATTCTGGGCAGCGAGTGGATCGGATCTCTCGTTAAATACAAGCAAGAATCACGCTGCTATTCGAAACTCTATTCTGAGAATGATCTGAACTATACAGACATTCTCGGACGCAACAACGACGAATGCGAGTACTTTTGCAGCGGAGCAATTCAAAATGAAAGATTTTTCGTTCAAAATTACGTTTTCGACGCTGCTTTTGAAGTCAAACTCGATTTCGAGCGAATAGAAGTCGATTTCATCCAACAAAACGCGACGGAAAAAATGCCTGTCACAAGCAATCCCTTCTTTGCTTTCCACGACGATGTTTTTCCAGCTTTCTCTAAAAACGCAGTTTCCCAATCGCGATTCCCCAAGCCAGCCATCACTCTATTCGGACCAGTGAAAAAGACCATCATTCCGGACAATTTCTTCACTTTGCCGGAAGACTTTTTGCACATTTCTTCTTTCGAACTTGATTTCAATCGAACAACGAGTTTGAAATTTCAAATCAATGTTTTGAACACACTTGAGGAAGAAAAATCGGAAATGAAGATTCTTGAGTGTCAATTTTTCGATGAAACTATTTTCCTGAGCTTTGGAAAATTTGAAAATGGGTCGATTTGGCTCGATTCTGACTATTTTTCAGAGCAGTTCGTTCTCAATTTAAATATTTCTCAATTAGCCGATGTTGAGCTCAAGTTGAATTCAACACTCGCGCCCGAGGCAATTCTCGTAGAAATTCTAGAGGAACAGTTTTTTAACAATGCATTTGTCATTTTTGTATCGATGCTTAAAACCATGAAAGAATCCACAAAGAAAAATCAATGACTACAAAGCAGAAATGGATAAAGCATGGAACAAATGTCGCAAAAAATGGTGTCGTGAAAAAAGACGGTGTCGAAAGTGGTGCGACGACTTGAAGGGAATGAATCCCAGCAATTCTTCTAAAATTGAGATGACCGCTCTAGACGACTGGGCTCGGCTACCTGAGTCAGCCTCTGAAAAAGGCAAAATGAAAAGACGCGTGGCGGCTTTTTTCAAAACGGAGCCGCAATGTAGCTTCGCAAGTATGCTTTTTTTTAATCGGCATCCTTCGCGACTCCGTTTTGAAAAAAAAACCGGCTTTTCATTTTAGCTTTTTCAGAGGCTGACTCAGACTGCCGAGCCCAGCTAGAAGAAAAAAACGATGAAAGAGTGCGGGTTATTTTACACAGTGGCGCGGAAGTCAAGAACTTTATTTATTCAATCGAGGAAAATTCGAAACAAATTAACGCCCTTGACACCAATTTTCATGCCAGGAGACCTTTTGCTTTGAAACACGATGGCTCGATCGACAAACAAGTTTCCTTCTCCCCGCCGATCGGGTTTTCCGGCGACGTTTCTAGTTATGTTACTTTCTCGACATTCGCTTTGCTCAACGGCCAAGTTCACGTTTTCGGAGGCAACAGTGATGCCCACAAAGTAAAATAAAAGCAATAAAAAGCTGCTAATGCTATTTCGATAGATTTCACGGATGGAGGGATGCAGCTTCAAGGAATTGTCGGTGCGACTTTTGGGAGATTATGAATTCGCACACGCGAGTGTTTCTGTTGAACAAGGAAGCAAAGGTAAGTTCGGTTTAATGATTATACTATCATCATATTATTTTTATTGAAGTTTTGGTCTGTTTCGACAGAGAAACAAAGAAACGCTGCGAATTATTCGACGGATTGGAAACGAAGCCTCTGAACGCAACCAAGGTCGTTCACGCGGACGGAGGACTGGCTCTATACAATGGTAAAGCAATCGCTATCGCGGGATTGCGGTCTAACGGAGCTGTCGAGATTCTTTCTGAAAACGGGTGGACAAATTCACTTCCCGTTCATCCGCGGTGAGAGCAGAAGTTTTATTTTTTCTTTATAATCGCGAATTTTAGAGGAAATATTATTCGATTTTCTACAATCGGCTTCCCTTCAGGAAAGCTCTTGACGATCGGCGGGAACGACCATTGGGCCGCCAATTTGGACAGAATCTACCAACTTTTGAACGACGAATGGTCGATCGCTGGTTTTCTCTCTGAGGCAAGTTCTTTTGCTCGGCATTTTTAAAAGTGGCTTTTAAGCCTATGTTTGCTTCATCGGCGATTTTGGTGGAGAACAATATTTTTCTGTTTCCCAGCAATTTTGAACAAAGTTACAGCGACATTCCAGACTCTTTGGGCTTCGTCCACCAAATCAATTTAGAAAATGGTTTCTTCGTTTTTAATTAATAAGAGTAGTTTTATATGGACTCTTTTTTATCAGATCAATTTTCTAGTTTCATTACTGTTATAGTAATTGTAATGGTTTTATATTTTTTACAAATTTGGAACCAGAAATGAGACTCCGAAGAAAATCCCGTCTGGACTGATATTATCGCTCAAGTAGAAGGAGAAGGCGCCGCTCCAGTCGTTTTCCTCGCCCATGATAATTCCTGCAGCCTATAGTAGCGATAAAAGCATGTTTTTTTTTGTTACGAGATATATTTTTGATCAAAATTACTTGAAAAAATAAACAGTTTTATAATAAACTATTTATTTGTTCTACTGTATGCTAGATCTCAGGTGGACATGGTATCTTTTTTCTTTGTTTTAATAATTTTCGATCAACAAAAATACCACTCTTGTTTTGGCAAAAAAAATTATCTTTATTCAGAGTCTAAACAGAGAGGCAAAAATTAACGAGCATAAACTGACAGAGAAATCATTTTTTGTCCCCTTCGAGGTGCTTGAAACATCTTTCATCGAGCTGAGTAATTGGTGCAGTTGTTCAAAGATTTGGACGTTGTCTTCCTTGATTTCGGTTTCCGCATTTTCCAAATTTTGAAAGGGAACGGTTTCAAATATTGGCAATCGCTCGCTGATGTTCACTCTCAGCGAAGTTCCAACCACCTTAAAATCGTCAAACTTGAAATTTTGCTCTAGAACTCACCGTTCTGTGATTTTGATTATCGTATTCGCCAGAAACAAGGCTTCTTCTTCGCCTTTTTCTTCCAAGACCAGGGAGCGGCCCCGAAACCAACAAATCGGGCAGATCATCTGCGAAGCAAGTGCTAACGTCGATGTTGCAATCTGCCGAGTTCGCCTGAATTGAAACAATAAAACGAGAAAAGTGAATTGATGAATTTACCCCGCAAATGAAGATTTGACAGTTGATGTTGAGCGACGCTTCGTTTTCAAAAGTAAAAACTGGAAAGGAAACTGAATTGGGACGAGTAAAGCCGCTTGGAATTGTGAGAGAAGCACTTTCGGCCTGGTCGTTTAAGGTGACCCAGTCGTAGTTTGGACAGCCATTTGTTTGGTCGTCCAGAGCGCCAACAAGGAAGAAATCTAAAGGCGAAGTTAAAAATGAAAGATAAAATGTGTTATTACCAGCATTGGTGTCCGAAAACGCCCAGCACTTGTTGATGACGTAGTCAAAGTTCTGATCGAGATCGTCAAAGTCGAGTCCGATTTCGACGCGCTCACCAAGGCGGAACTCGTCGGCGGCGCCGGCAGGTCGGTTGATTACTTCTAACGCGACGAATTCGTGGAAAATGATCTCGTCTTCGATCTCGCCGATGATGCTCGTTTCGCTAGCGGTTTCAAGAGTGATAGAACTCGTGTGACCAAGAGTAGCAACTTTGCACGTGACCGAAAATGGACGGAAGAAGTTGAGGCCGGAAATGTCGGACTTGAATTGATTTTTTTAGGTTTTGGATAGGAGCGAAAAATAAACCTTGTATGAAATTTTGTTGGTGTAGTAAATCCAGCTTCCGAGAATTTGAATATTAGTATTGCATCTGTCGAATAAAACCAGCGCTTTTCTCGTGTCTGAATCAAAGTCTGCAAAGTCGCATCCAGTTTGGACAGCGCCGGAACCGTCCAACTCGCCAATGTAGAAATTCTCAGCTTTCAAGAAACTATACGTCTGAAAACACGATACATTTCAAAGCCAAATACAAGATCTTTTATTACAAGACTAAATAAAAATATTCAAAAAGAACTCACCCCGGAACATGTCTTATCCAGCGTCAGCTCGAAAAAGGTCTTTGAGCATTCGACAGTGAACATATCGCAGGTCTCCGTGCATCCATCGCCGCCGAAGCCCGGCTCAAAGCCGTTGCCGATCTCGCCTGCTGGGCAGATGCAGGTGTAGCCGTCGTAGACATCGCTCTGCTCGCAGGTAGCTGTGTCGACGCACAGATCGCTCCCGTCCGCGCATTCCGTCGTGACGCCCTGGACAGATCTCTGCAAAAATAAAAGAAAGAAAAATCGAAATTTCGAATTCATGTTTTTTTTTGAAATTTTGATTTTTCGGAATTTTCGAACTGATTTTTCGAGCTTTTTGAAATGTGTCGCTTAAATGAGCTGGAAGGAGCAGTAGAGCGCCGGGAACAAAGTAGTGTTCTAGTGTGATTGATAGAAGCGACATTGCTGTGATCAGCTGGCCGGAAATTTGGACACTTTCTAGAGCTGCCGACATTCCATCAAACCAAACAGTCTTTTCTCTAGTAGCTGAATTTTTGTTCTTGATACTTTTTGTTTTGGAACAAACACGGACTCTACTTCCGCGAAAGTTAAATTCTTTCACACTCTCAAAAAACTAAGGGTATTTTTAGACTCTAAAATTTAGAATCAAGACCTAACCGATGAGCTTTCTTCCACTGTACTTTTTATTTAACCTAACCGTAAACTTTGGCAATAAAGAACCTTTTTCTATTGCTTCAAACAACCTTCTTTGAAAGCATTATCGTAAAAAATCGACAATCTTGGGCCCGAAATGTTGATTTTCATTCGACCACCGAGGGGTGAACTCTTTGACATGTAATTACTGAACAAATTGAAAGGGAAGAAATTTTCGTCAAAATAGTTTCCGCGAATTAAGCTCTTCAAAATAATTGCGCCCCCTTTGAAAAAGGAAGGACTGAGCCTTGACCGAAAACACCAACATCGATCAAAATTGTGAAAATTGTCTCTGGAAACGCGCTCATCCGTGACTTCGCATGCTGGGAATTTTTTACTGTATTCCAGAGTTGTCGCCACTCTTCATTTGAGTCTGCCGTGAGCTGGGCTCGACAACCTGTGTAGAAAACCTGAGTCAGAGATGAAGCTTTGAACCGTCTTTGGCACAATTAAAACTCAGGGACCTGACTTAGGTTTTCTGCACAGTCCGCGGACAAAAGGACTGATGTTGACTGCTAAAAATTCTATGTTATTGGCTTCGTGCTAGGTCGTTGAGTGGGTCAGCAAGGTCACGCTCGACCTTTGTGTAACGTTCCTTAGTTGAATCCCTTAATCAGCACTATACGTGACGAGCGCGGCGCTTCCCTAGAGCATTCGCTTACATAACTCCTGCGCAACCATGTTCCAAAACTCGCCAAATCGCCAATTAATCCCAAAGTCGCCGTTTCTCCCCGGGTCAATCGGTGCAAAACTGACCTTGGCAATGCTGGGATCGGCGAGCTCTGACCTCGGGGTCTTCAGAAAAGCAGAAGAATAAGAAAACTCGTCTAGAGGTCGATCGAGTTCATGCTTGCGACGTGGGCGCTCCACGGTCAATCGTTCATCTATTTAGTCGCCAGATACTACCTTCCTCAGAACAGAAAATTTAAGAGACCCGGTTACGATTCGCCCAAAAGGTACATTCATTAAAATTACCATTTTTTCCTTTCTTCAATCGAATTTTTATCGACCGAATTGACCTTCCGCCCGACCGACTTTCAACGATCAATATCTTAATTTTACGATAAGGGTTTCCCTTCGATAATTAAAAATTTCCACTTTCATACTTGATAGTACATTTTTATTTCACTCATTGTTTAAATTTTATGAAATCAAAAGAAAAGTATGAAAATAAAAATTTTAATTATCGATGGGAGAGCCTTAATTGCCAATTAAAGATACTGATCGTTTTTCAGTCGCTAGTAGATTTCTGGGCTATAAATCTTGATGAATTTTTATTGAAAAGATCATTTTTATCATTATAAATTCGTTGTTAATTTGTCAACAAGTTGATTTTTCATTGAATTCTACGAAACTCATCGTTTTTTGGAGAAATTTCGTTTTGCGAGAATGCTATTTTTGCAGGTGCAAAGGAAGTTCGCGCTTCGACCCGATTCCATTCCAGACATTGAAATGAGTTTTTAGCGGCGAAAATATCCAAAAAGAAAAAAGAGAATTACTCCGAGAAAATTCCTCCGAAAAGGCAGAATCGTCGACGAAAGAAATGGATCACGCGTTGATGCCGCCGCAGCTGGCCAGTTTGGCCCCGCATCAGAAGCTTCAGCCAAAAGTCGACTCTGATATCGACGAAAAGGTGGGTTTTTGGTGGAAAAGGGTAGCGGTGCTCAGCAGCCTGTGTAGAAAACCTGAGTCAGGATCCTGAAAGAGAGCTCTTTAAAAAAGCTTTTTTCAGAGCCCTGACTCAGGTTTTCTACACAGGTTGTGGAGCCAAAGCCTCAAATTACTGAAGAACTTCTCAATTGAATTATTAAATAGAAAAGAATAGAAAGGATTAATAAATCTACTTAATTAAATTATGCTCAACTTATGCCACCAGTACTTAGCGTCAAAAAGAACAAAGCCGAGCACATAGTCCCAAGGGGGGATGGCTGCGTGTATCACGGCCGAACCCTTTTCAACCCAATTAGCCGCCATTCTGTTTCGTTCCCACGGGAATCAGCGGGAAAAAAAGCGGAAGTTTTCAGCTCGCTGCATTACAAGAAGGCCTTGATCTTGACTCGAGCACTGAAGTTTTCATAGAAACATCCTTCCAAGTTACTGATTTTCAATTAACCCGACCCGACCCCCAAAAAAGAAAAAGGGTGCTCGGCGGCGACCCTGAGCTTAGCGGACGGAGATAAACTCATTTTACCTCTTTTTCTTTTTCAGATTTGCGTTGTTTGCGAAGATTTCGCAACAGGCTACCACTTCAACGCCATGACTTGTGAAGGTTGCAAGGTAAGCAAGGCTGAATTTTATAAAAGCAATTTTTTTATCATCAAAAAGAAATTTGGCCCAAAATTTAGTAGAAAAAATGAAATCACCAAAAAAAAGTTGTAAAATCTAATTTTTGAAAACGCGAACGTGACTTTTCTCTTGACATTTAACCAAAACGCTGACTGCGCCGAAATCAAAAAAAGAACAACAGTTCTAGTTTGAACCTGCCAGACGGTTCGTTCGTCGCCACCGCCCCTGGTTCTATTCTAGCGCGGCGATTCAACTCGTTTTCAGGGCTTTTTCCGGCGCACGGTAAAAACAACAAGAACTTCCTCTGCGCCTACTCCAAGAATTGCGCTGTAACTCGCCAGAATCGACGCCAGTGCCAGGCCTGCAGGTTTAATCCGAAACTTGAATAAATTGACATCTAATTTCCTTCATTTTAGATTCCAAAAATGCTTGACAAAAGGGATGAAACGAGACTGTATTCTTTCGGATTTGGAGCTCAACAAAAAGCGCAAAATCATCCAAAAGGTAACTTGCTTTCTTCTTGAAAATTAATAAGAAAATATAACTAGAATCGAATAAAACGAATTCTCAACGAAAATCCTGACATCCCACAAGTCGAGCAAGAAAAAATCAGCAAGGGTAATAATGACGAAAGTTGAAGAGAATTGATGATAAATTCTAGTCGTGGCTGCGTACGACCTGGTTCAAAAGCAGTGCGCGGGAAGCCAGAGCTTTCGGAATTGCGAAGACATGCCCAACTGGCAGCGAACTGGGTTCAGAAGCGATGTCCACAACATGATTTACTCGATCGAGAAGCGACTTTTAGGTTTGTCAAATGTCGTTGACAAATAAATGCCTCAAATTTTGCTTAAAATTAAAAACCTTAATTTTGTCGCCGTTTCTTGCCGGCTCATGAAACCTCCCCCGTATTTTCGAACCCCAAATTCATAATTACAACTCCAATTGATAGTTCTATTGAAAAAAATGATAACTTATGAAGCGTAAAATTGGATTTCAAAACCTCTCTTTTTAGTCTTTTTCAATTTTCGAATTGCTCAATATTGAAAATACAAAATGAAATTGAAAAAAGGTTAATCGGGTGCTTGTTCTTTTTTGAGAAAGTGTTTTTGACATTTCGAAATATTTTCGTAATTACTCTTTTTTTCAGGCCTTCACGTGGTGCGAATCGAGGACCCGAGAACCGGCGAGAACGAAAGCATCACGATCAACATCAATTATTTGAAACACATGTCGGACGTGATGAACTCGGGACTGCTCCAGCTGATCAACTTTTCAAAGCAGATTCCGGAGTTCGCCCAGCTCGAGCAAAACGACCAAGTCGAGCTTATCAGAGCTGGAACTCGCGAAATCGTCATTTTACAGGTGAATATTTTCTTGTAGAATTTTCGGCTTTCGTTTGTGCTGCAAATTTTCTGAGCTAAGTTAGGTGAGCGAGCTGAGCTCAATGATTTAAAAAAAAAATGAGCTCAGCTTGGCTCAGCTCCAAAAGAGGTCGCCTAAGCTCAGCTAAGCTTTTTTCAGAATAGGCTCAGTTAATCCCAGCTCAGCTCCTGTTAAGCTCAGCCAGAGGAGCTCCATAATTTACAGGATGAAGCTAGCTTAGCTCAGCTCAGTTTCAACTTAGCTCAGCAAGCTCAGCTCAACATAAAATTTGATGAAAACTGAGCCTTCGATAATTTCTTTTTAGGCTGCGACGTATTTCGACCTGCAAAAACGAGCGTTTGTAAATTACGATTCGCAAATGGAATACACTTTCGACATTCTCCTCGATATCGGGCTCAAAGAGGTAAGCAAAGCAGCGAAATTTCCGGTCACAAGAATTTTTAGCTTTTCATCGAGCGACTTTCCGACTTCCTGGTGAAATTTACGCAAATCGATCTTTCGAAAGAAGAGTTTCTTTTGACGCTTATTCTGGTTCTGTTTTCTCCGGATCGGGCTGGGCTCCAGAACCCGACGCTGATCGGAACGATTCAAGACTCCTATGCCGAGCTTCTAGAGCGGCTGATGATATCGCCGCGGACCAAGGCGAAATACGGAAAGAACAGATTCTCGGTAAAGAAAAAATCGTTCAATGGGGATTAATGAATTATTTCAGGACATAATTTCGCTGCAATTGAGTCTCCGCTTCTTGTCGTTTATGACACTGCCACTCGGAAAAGCATTTCATGACCAGTTGGCGAGCGATGTCTTGGTAAGCAAAAAATATTAACAAATAATTAGCAGATTTAATTTTTGATACATACGCTATCTAGCGGCGAGGCAAAAGAGCGCCACCACTTTGATTTTGCGCCTTTTGATTGGCCGAGCTTGAAAATGGCTTTTTCTGAAATTAACCGCTTTATTTTAGCCCCCACTATTGAAAGAAATGCTTGCCTAAACAACACAAAGGATCACATGTTCAAGATTTGCTGCATTCTCCATTTTACTGTTGTCCAAAAAAGAATCATTCTTCTGTGCAAGGTGCATAAATAGTATTCAAACGATTCAAACGTCGAATAAAAAAAAAACAAAAAAAATATTATCGATATTACTAATTCTGCTGTAACCTGAAAATATCAGCAAGGGCAACAAGGGCATCAATGTTATTAATTATGTTGTAAATTATTACTTGTGAATCACAAGATAGTATGAAAATTCGTGGAAAAAGCTTTTTTTAGCTACTGTGATCGCGTATTTTTAAATGCAGTAATCAGCTGGAACTTCGAAAAGAACAGGGTTCAAACTGTAAACACCGTATTCTATGACTTGTTGGTTGACCAATTGATCTCCTTCGAAATCGAGGCGTTCAATTGCGTGAGGACTTTCGCGGCCAGAGACGATGAAAATTGAGTTTCTGATCATAATTGTCGATCCATATCCATCAGCCTTAATTGAAACAAGATTCATATTTAGATTTGTATGTCCTTAAAAATTACGTATTGAAGATTGCCAATTTTCTTCCAAACGTCGTCTTGTAGAATCCAAATTGGTGAATAGCAACGGGTGTATTTATAGACTCCTCCGGCGAGCAAAAGACTTCCACTTGGAAGGCCTATCAAAAAATGATACGCCACAAAACTAAAAATAATTCTCAAAAAAAAAATTTTTTGCTTTTCAAATACCTTTCGGTAGGGAAATCGGTTAAAGTAACCCAACCAGATGAAGAAAGAGTCTCAACCTTGTTCTGCTCGCCCGAGAAGGAGAAACTTCCAACAGTAGTCGGGTTTCCTTTATAGTGGGCGAGTTTACCAGCCCAATGTCGAAACTTAGACGGAAAAGTTTCAACTGAAGATTCTCCATCGTAGACTTCGCATGTTTTGTAATCAGACAGAGCAAAGCAAATCAGTACTTTTTCTCCGTCCTTAATCGAGAGTGCAGCAGAAAGGACCCCAAATTCGTTAATTAATCGTGTCCGTTCTTCTTTCCATTCGCAGCCGACCAATTTGGCGATCTTAATAACGTATTTTCGTCAAATAACAAACTTGCTACTTACTTTTCTTTCATTCCAGTATCCACCGAAAATAAAGAGCTCGTTTTTTAGAAGAGCATGAGGGGACGCTTTAAGATATTCATTCAATTCTCCGCGCCCCTTCCTCGGTGCCGAGATTGTTTCTGCCGTTTTTGTTGATCCATCATAGGAAATCGAAAATGCATACTCTAGGTTTTTGCCCATGATTAAGAGTTTTTTCTCAAAAGTGTAAATAAAGCTTTTCAGTCTAGTCCAGCGGTCAATTTTGATAATCCTGATAGTTTTACTTTTGATATTTTCAAGGCCGATCATGCGTATTTTTGAAAGTCTTTTCTTGTTCTTTTTGAAGTTCTTGTATCAGTTAAATTTCATGGAAATGACTTTGTGGATTTAGCGACTCTATCATCCCTGTATGGGTTCATACATGCCGATGATAGCAGACTCAAATCCGGTGTTACGCCGCCACTACAAGTCTCGTAAATTGTGATTGGCTAGTGGCGAAAGATTGTCGCCAGGGGGTGGCGCCAGGTTGTCGCCAGGTTGTCGCCAGGCAGTATTTTTATCCAGGGTAAAGGCCTGCTATCACCGGTATAGTATTATATGTATGTGATTTTCGGGGTCGGCTCAAATTGATAAAATATTGCAATCAATTATTTAATTTTCCTCGACAATATTTCCTGAAATTTGATTGGCTACCGAGAGAAGGGGGACATCTGGGATGTCTAAAATTTGATGAAAATTTTGGTCAAATTGTAGTTTTTATTCCGTCAATTCTTGCCTCCTCCCGCTCTGAGTGGCTCAATCAACCGGAAAAAATTCCATGTTTAACTGTTCCTCGGAAACTTGTAGAAAATACGTTTCGTTTGATGGGAATGAGTAAAAATCAAACCCTAAGTGTGTTAGCTTGTCACAATTCAAGCGTAAAATAGATCGTCCATCGAAGTAATCAGAATCAATCCAAAGAGAGCCATTTTTAAAATTTCCGAAGCTCAAGAGGCTTGTTTCATCATAAAAAACAAATTCGAGAATTTTAGTATCTTTCAAGATGCGTGATTTCGTTCGGAAATCGATTTCGAATTTGAATTTGTCAATTTCGTTGAAATCCATTGCGAGAGTCGAAATATGATTTAATTCTTTAAGCGAGGAAAAGTAATTGCGTGGAATGATTGTTTTGAGTAACTTGCTCGTCTTGCTGTAAGGAAATTTTATCTGGGCGGCGGCATTCTTCGCAAAAGCAGGAAAAACATCGTCGTGAAAAGCGAAAAAGGGATTACTTGTCACGTGCATCTTCTTTGACGCTTCGAGTTGAACAAATTCGAGATCGACTATTTCTTTTTAGCGGATTGTGACTGATTCAAGTTAATTAGATCTTTTCTTGAATTTAATGATTTAATAAATCCTTTCCGAAATTGAATTTGATTTCGAAGAAAGAATCGAAAACAAAGTTTTGAATAAGGATCCTTTCGTCGCTGACGATTCCTTGACCAAAATATTCACATTCATCCTTGTTGTAACCTTCAAGATCTGTGTAATTGGGATCGTCTTGAGCAAACATGTTGGAATAACAGACATGATGTTTATCGTATTTTACAAGAGAACCGATCCACTCGCGACCCAGAGTCAGAAATTTTCCCTCGACCTCAAGTAACACTGAGTAGAGTGTATTTGAGAGTTCTATTTTTCTTGACACGAGTATCAGCAAAAGCCTCCCTAAATGGATCTTTCTTGAGTTAAAATGAAGTCTTTAAATATGTAACGTATAATATGATCAATAATAAACTTCAACACATTCCAGTGGAACGACATGCACCAGATCCAGGTCTCTGATTTCTATGGGCACCCTAAAGTCGCTTTTTCTCCATCCTTTTTCCAATTCTTCCTCCTTCCTGATCCTGTTCAAGGCCCGAGTCGTCGATAGCTTGATATAATGATCTCCTAGCCTCACGCTCATTAAATAGAATACTCCCTTGAAGCTGGTTGAAGACACTTTTGCGTTGAAGTGGTTGCTGGCGATGTAGCCTTGGGCTTCTTCAAAACGGTTCAAATTGTAGTCAGGGGCGTAGTAGTAGCATTTTTCATCTCTTCCAGTTGGGCGGCTTTGACTGGTCATAAATTTTTTTAAGAACTGTCAGTTTCAGTCTGTAAGAGAGTGTAAAAGGTGTTTGAAAGAAGGTTATCTTTCTGACCATTTTCAGATGACGACAACTGGAAAAACTTTTGTGTCCTTTTCTTTTGTGCGAATTTCAATTTGATGCGTTCCAATCGAAGAACCAAAATGGAAGACGAAGAAGCCACTATTCAAGAAGAATTTCTTATTCAGACTCGAGCAAAGGAAAGTACGAAAGAATATGAGCTTACATTTTTTTGTGTCTATTTGGAATAAAAATTGAAGAATCGCCACTTTCCTTCACTATCATCAGATTTCCAATAGCATCGACCAGATAATGTTCCCCATTGAGAAAAGTAGCACCGATTGACTTTCGTTGTTTTACTAATTTTTTGTTATTATTTTGTTAATTTAATCAATCGAAAACATTCATGAGGAAAAAGTTTCTCCGCTAGAGTTGCATTCATCAAATTAATAGAACTTGATCCGTTTTGTGCTCGAAGATCGGTAAAGCGGATCGGATATTTTTATACTCAGGTATAGTTTCGGACATATTGAATCTTTTCAAGTTGACGTAGTGACTCTCGATTCTCTTCGTGATTAATTTGAGGGAAAGATCATCAGCTTTTGGGACTCGAAGGGTTGACGAAGCGGTACCCAAGAAAATATAGATTTAGCAAAGAATCTCAACCTTCCTTCAATAATTTCTTCTTTCTTTAAATCAAAGACAGGAACAAGCGTTTGCACATTCTCAATTTTTTCACACTGATAAAAAGGACAAGGACATCCTTTTTTGCAATATTTTTCAAGCGGGCAAACTTCTCCGGCAAAGTCATGTGATCTAGTCAGTTCAAAGCAAATTCGATCACAAGGTGGAAAAGCATTATTGATTGTTGATTCCAAGACGAGAGTTTGAGAACAAAGATGGCGGCAGATATACCGGTCTTTGATGCGTTTTTTAGGAAATCAAGAATTCTGATTTTGATTATTTATAAAAAACATGGCATAGAATTTTCGTTTCTTACATCGCATTTGATTGATTTCGTTTTCTTTCTTGGTGAAAATGAGTGTTGACTCTTTTTTTACTTCCGGTAATTTTATCGCAGCTGGTTGAGTAAAATTTCCCGTTCCAATACAGTCATGAAGTAGATGCGCACAGTAGTCCATATCATTCGTAACAGTGCAATTTTTGAAGCCGACTTGGCAAACCTCTGTCAAATAACTTGGTTGAATACGAGCAGCAAGCATCGAATAATAGTTCGCTGAAAGTTTCTTCAACTGAGTTTTTATAGCTTTGAATACTTATGCCGACAATGGTGCCCCAGAAAACGCATCCGAACAACATGTAAACAGCAAATTGACTCGAAGTTGCGTTTCCGCTGAAAAAGAAATAAAAACGTAGACAGTTGCGGACAAAGTTTCAAGCATACTTACTGAAGAGAAAAACGTTTTTTCGATCGCCAAAAATGGTTCTCTTCGAACTCGTCAGAGAAGATTCCCCTGAACTGATCGGGAGCATCTCTCGCCGGAGTTTTTTTCTTTTCTCGCTCCAGCATATCGGCAAGCCTTACTTTCTTCTCACGTTCTGCCATTCGTATGCCTCTAGTGAACCTCTCTCTGATCTTTTTGAAAAATCCCTTGGAGGGTCCATTGTCTTCACTCTTTTCCACGGCTACATTAAAACCCTCCATGAATTCTTTCGCCTTTTGATTTGCAAGTTTCACCTTCTCCACCGGCATCATTTTTTTTAAGTTCGGCATGAAAAATCCTCCACCGAGATCGATCAAAGTCTTTTTCACTTTATTCGGAGAAAGGACGATTCCATCGACTGTTTTCATCACTGTTCCGACACAGTGACATTCGAGGCACTTCACATTCGCTAGTTGGTTCGTTTTTTGGCCCTTTCGTGGCGATTCGTTTTCCACACATTCATTCGAAGCCTCATTTTCGACACTGTCTCCTTCTACTGGGCAAATCTCTTCCTTGATTCTCGTGCGCATCGAAAAAATCAGATCGAGATCGACTCTGAAAGTGAGTAAAGTCAAATCGCCTCTTGCTGAATGCCCTTTTCCTAATCTTCGTAAAAGCTCCTCTAGTTTACACGACAAAGCGGCTTTGCAAGATCCAAATCTGACGGGATTATTTTTGCTCTTTCGTCTTTACGATGAAGGTCCTCCAGCAGCATCCGTCAAGAAGCGCCTGTACCAGAAGAGAACAACCCGTTCGATTTGAGCGCAATCGTCGGACATTTGCCAGACGCGACTACAATCAACGAGAGAGCCTCCGAATCGGCGATTTTACTTTCTCTTCCTCAGGAGAGTACACACCGCTCCTTCGCCCGATGAAAACAACAATGAAGTTGTAACCAATGTAAGTACTTAGAAAACATATCAGACTAAGTAGCTATTGCATTTTAGGTAAAGCGCTCTAGCAAAACGACCAGGTCGAGCTCATCAGAGCCGGAATTCGAGAAATCGTCATTTTGCAGGTGAATTTTTTCTTTTAGAATTTTTGGCTTTTGTTTGTGTCGCAAATTTTCTGAGCTAAGATGATGAGCTTAGCTCAACGATTTGCTAAAAAAAGATTAGCTCAGCTCATCGCTAAAAGATGTTGCCTAAGCTCAGCTGAGCCTTTTTTCAGAATAGGCTCAGTTAAGCCCAGCTCAGCTCGTATTCATCTCAGCCAGAGGAGCTCCACAATTTGCAGGATAAAGCTGGCTCAGCTGAGCTCAGTTTCGACCTTAGCTCAGCCCAGCAAAGAAATTGAAAAACTGAGCCTTCGATAATATCTTCTTTAAGCGGCGACGTATTTCGACTTGCAAAAACGAGCGTTTCTAAATTACGACTCACAAATGGAATACACTTTTGACATCCTCCTCGATATCGGCCTCAAAGAGGTAGGCAAAGCAGCGAAATTTCCCGTCAAAAATTTTTCTAGCTTTTCATCGAGAGACTTTCCGATTTCGGAAAGAACAGATTCTCGGTAAAGGAAAATCGTTCAATGGGACTTTATGAATTATTTCAGGACATAATTTCTCTGCAATTGAGTCTCCGCTTCTTGTCGTTTATGACACTGCCACTCGGAAAAGCATTTCATGACCAGTTGGCGAGCGATGTCTTGGTAAGCAAAGAATTATTGACAAATAATTAGCAGATCTAATTTTTGATACAGGCGCTATCTAGCGGCGAGGCAAAAGAGCGCCACCACTTTGCCTTTTTGATTTCGCGCCTTTTGATTGGCCGAGCTTGAAAATGGCTTTTTCTGAAATTAACTGGATATATTTTAGCCCCCATTGTTGAAAGAAATGCTTGCCTAAACAACACAAAAGATCACATGTTCAAGATTTGCTGCATTCTCCATTTTACTGTTGTCCAAAAAAGAATCATTCTTCTGTGCAAGGTGCATAAATAGTATTCAAACGATTCAAACGTCGAATAAAAAAACAAGAAAAATACTTTGGAAAGTTAGTTTTCAATAATCATCAATGCTATTGAATTATTAGTTTGCGATGATGGAAAAGTCGTAATAACTGAGTCACGAGATGTTTTACGATTTTACGAGTGTGGTCGATAGAAAAACGTATTTCAAAGATAATTGTAGTGAGATTTTTGTTAACGTCTTACGAGAAATTTTAAAAACAGCTGATGGATCCTGTAATCGAATTTAACAAGAGAAAAAGAAAGAGATCTTCGGTCGAGGCCGAAGAAGGCAAACGAATTCCGATTGATCTTGATCCAATCACAAGCGATCTGGGGCAGGCGACTACAAGTTTCAATGAAAGACCGGTTGTTGTTGATTTCAGATCGGTCATCTTTGCTCCACCACCAGGGTATGAGTCTAAACCCGAAACAGAGAATGAAAATTCTCAAAAATCTGATGAGTCCCATGAATCTGTAAAAATGTTGCAAGTTCCGTCGCATCCAAAAGAACTGACAAGAGAAGTTGTTGAAAAATGGCTGGAAGAGTTTCAAAAGAAATTGAAGAGAAAAACGAGCCGAGATGATTTGGACAGGTTGATTTTGTCGCTGGACAGAATGCAGTTTGAAGATGATTTTTGTGCTGCATGGGAGGAGGTCATTTTCGAAGATGGAAAAGGAAAACTGTCTGGAACTCACTTTTGGGGAAACAAAGTTCAGGAAGAATGGAGAGTAACTTCATTTCAAAAAATTATTCTCGACAAAAATCCAGGCTTCGAAGGACGAAAAATTAAACGTTCAGAATTAAAAGAAGAAACCGGAGAGTGGATTCTCGATAAATATTTTCAGGAGATTTCAATTGGAGGAGAAGCGCTTGTTTTGGAAGAAAAATTCGGAGAATTGGAATTTGCTGTTCGGGTTCAGGCTTTTGATCCCGCGTTATTTGCGGAGAATGAAGAATTGGAGTTTAAAATTCATCTTTCGAAAGGTAATTTTTATTTCTTAAAGTTTTTTTTTTATTATTTTTAAGAATACGGAACTGCCCAAAACGACAAAAATGACGACGCCCGAGTGATTCCTTTTCACAAAAACGTGATAAAGAATTTCTGCAACATCGAAGTCTTTTTGAGTAGCGACTTGGAGAAAGAAGACTGTCTTGGATGGATTACGATTATGGAGAAATGCGACGCGGATTTGAGAAGCAAATTGAAGAAAAATCAGTTGAATTTGGACGAAAGGAAGAAAATTGCGATTGGCGTCCAAGAGGGAAGAGAGTATTTGCGGAAAATTGGAATTGTTCATTTCGATGAGAAGCCGGAAAATGTCCTTCTGAAAAATGGAGAAGCCAAATGGATCGATTTCAGCATTATTTACGAAACGACTGGACGAGAGAGTTATCAGGAGATGGGTTACGCGAGGAGAGGAAGCAGATTTAGAAATAGCTACTGTTTATGTAAGTTTTGAGCTTGTTGAAAAATGCTCGTGTTTTATCTCTTTTTTTCGTAGATGCTGGGTCTCCTGCATTTTCTTTTGGCTCGCAGATAGGCGGAAACCCCGCAGATCATTGCTCTCTTCCTCATATTTTTATTCTTTGCGAGTGGAAGACGGCCTGGACTCTTTTATTCAAACCAATCGAAGAAAAAGAAAGAGAAATCATCAAAAAAGAACTTGAGGTAAGTCTTTACTTTTCATAAAAAAGAAAATAATCTTTCTAAGACTTGCAATGCTGGCTGGCTCTCAAACAAATTAAGACCATCAATCTCAAAAATCCAAAACTTGACAAAAATCATTTCTTTAAAAAACGCGTCTTCTGATTTTTGCCTTGACGATCCGAATTTGACGAAATCAGCTGCAATGGCCAGTCTGAAACAAAAACTGACGAAACAAATCAATTTCGACTTCAAAAACGTGACGAAGAATGTTTTAAACCAAAAAGAAAGCAATCTCTGTGTCCCTATTACAGTTTTGGTGCTTTTGAGATGGGCACTCAAAAATGATTTGGACATTGATGAATCTAAAATGAAAGATAATTATACTATTGAAAAAATCTTCACAAATTTGACAATGGTTATTTATCCGCGGAGTTTGGCTGGCTTCAATCTCAATCCGAAATTCGAAGAACAAAAATTTCAAACCAACGAAATTGCAATGCTTCTCAGAAGATTGAAGTTAAGGGGGTAGAAACAGCTTTTGCCAAAGATGGAATACTAAAGATTTTTTCTAAGATTCTGAAAGCCTAGGACACAAAGAATAAAAACGCTATAAAAAGTTACCCCCTCACTATGTTGGAATGTCCTTTAAATTGTCTTTAAAGTTGTAGTTTTGGGAAAAATTTTAAATTTTCGAATTTTATCGAGGCTTAAAATCGTGAAATAAACGGTTGAACCCCGATTAGATAGATTTGTTTGGATCACATTATCATCGTTAATAACTTAGGTAGGAAGATTACTTAAGGGTATCACGAAAAAAATCTGTTTCAAATTCAAAATTTCGAAAATTTGATACAGAAGTTGCAATCGAACTCCCAACACTATCATTTTTTATGATAACGGAATTTACATCATAGATGCTCCTAGAAAAAGGGTTCAAGTATCTTATTATGAAATAAGAAATTCTCGGTTAATCACAAGTCTCGAGATAATCGTGCTTGAAAATGGGCGAAAATCGGGATTTTCGACGAGATGGGTTTATGTTTCGCTTTCTACCGATAAACTGAGTAAACAAAAATTAATTTTAAAAACAGATGTTCTTAGATCTAAGATAAATCTAACTAAAATCGAAGAGAGAATTCAAAAATCTAAGATTGGCTGAGCTCGGGCGCTGTTCAAAAATCGGCTTTTTTCAAAAAAGCTGTTTCTACCACCTTAAGGACTTATTTGAATGATAGTGGATGGCAAATTATCAGAGACAACTCAAGGAACCACTTCTCGATACCTTCCAATTTTGATTTCGAGCAAGGTAACGAAATTCAAAACTAAAAATCAAATAAAATTAAAAATTCAGTGCTCCTCCACCACAACTTCTCCTTCTCCCGTCCCCTTACCGTCACCGGCGTTTATCTCAACAGCAACGGAGAAATACTTTCCCACCAAATGGTGCTGGACCGAATCGAAAACTCCGATTTCATTCTCCAAAACACGCTCATCGACCATTACGGCTCTCAAATCAGAATTCCAGTTTCAAGAGAATTCTACGCCGATGAAGAAATGATGAAAGACTGTTACAACAGCTACCAAGATTTCGTCTATTATGGAGACAACAACGAGTTTCTTGAGTTAGTTAACGAAGAATTCAACATGGAAACAGAAAAATGGTATCTTCTGCCTCAAGCTTTTTCAATTACTCTGACTAGAATCAATGAGAACTCAATGACTGAAAAAACAATCATTTTTTATTAAAAACACGTGATCGTGAAAATAAAAATTGTGAAAATTTTTTACATTTTACAGTAGACTATTACCAAAGCGGCGAAGAGAAAGCTCCTGTCCAGAAACCAACCAGAACAGAAATAGCTATTTTGCTCTTTGTTTTATTATCGATGTACATTGTACACTGCACAGTGTATACTATACACTGTATAGTGACTGCAAGCCGATTTTGATTATCAAAGAGGTCTGTCAAGAAACGATAAAAATATAATTGACATATTAAGTCCTTCTTCACCCGAACCTCTCCTTCTCCCGTCCGTTGACCGTCACCGGCGCCTATCTTTATCCCAACGGAGCCATTGACTTCCACCAAATGGTGCTCGACCGAATCGATAATTCTGAATTCATTCTCCAAAACACTCTCTTCTCTCATTCCGGCTCTCAAATCAGAATTCCTGTCGACCAGGCATTCTACGCCTCTTCCGAAATGATGAGAGACTGCCACAAATGCTACGACGACTTCGTTTATTACGGAGACAACAACGAGTTTTTTCCTTTGGTCAACGAGCAATTCGGGAGATTGGACATTTCCCTTGCACTCATTTGGAGGCGAGCTAGTATATAATTATTAGTTTAATCATGTGCTTGATTAATTTATTTAAAACTACGAGAAGTTTTCCTGGTCGCCACTGAAAATGTAACGAATGTAACGGATGTAACGAATACAACGAATTTACTGAAAATGTAACGAAGACAGAGACATGTTGTTGTTAATCAGCTGATTCTAGAAACTTTTTCCAAAAAGCGATATTCTGGAGTATCATTTCAAATGACATTAGAACACCCCTAAAAGAGCATATAAATAAAAAAAAAGTGCACAGTAGTATAGAAAAAGGTTAATTATCTGATTTAGTTTGTCTCTTAGAGATAAATCCAGTGAAAACGCCCGCTCCGCGGGTGAAATGGTAGGAAACTCAAGGGGGTGAAATAAGAAAAACAAAAAATCTCTAGAATTTTACTGAAAATGTAACGAGAAAAAGACATGTTTTTGTTGTTTTCGTTACATTCGTTACATTCGTTACATTTTCAGTGCCGTCGGTTTTCCTTGCTCTTTCAGATGCTTTTGATATCAGCGCGCGCTCCGTTGCGCCCCCATATGTTGGCTAGTAGCGCGGTGTAGTATCTCGCCCCGAAAAGAGTGCAAGGGAAATTTCCAACCGTCCGAGCAATTCCAGAACATGAGAACAAAAAGATGGTATCTTCTTCCGCAAGCCTATTCAATCACTTTGATTCCAACTTGGGGAACTTCCTCTCGCTCAGATTTGCAGCCCCGACCTAGATCGCTCAACATGGCGGAACAAGCAAGCCTCAAGAAAGAGTTGGTGGAAAAGAACAATTGGTTGGCAGAACTTTTAAATGAAAACGAAAGGTTGAAGATCGAGATTGAGAATCTCAAAGAGCGGATATTGGAGAAAGAAATTGAAGATATGCTGGAGAAGCAAGTCGGGTCGCTCAAGTCAGCCTCTGCCCCTCGACAGTGAATGTCCTGCTGAATTCGTCGCTTTGCTGAAAACGTCGTGTATCCTTATCATTTTGCATCGACTGATACAATAAAAATTCTTAGCATTGTATCTCAGAATGAAGTCATTTTTGCCACATTGACGAATTTCAATAAGGATTTCTGAGTGAAATCCTTACCCCATTTTTTATTGGCTCATAAGAAAGAATGTAAAAAATTACCCTGGATGAGTGGGAAAGATTGGCGAATTTTCGAACTTATGAGGTCATAAAACGTGACGGAAGTTACTAAAGTACCAAACTTTGGACGCTTACCATTTTCATGTCGCTTGAGCTATCATGACATGCAATACATGAAAATGATCGTCGCGACGAGAGCTAGGCGTGCATTTAGGTTTCATCCCTCGAAAAAAATCTCATCCCTTTTATGAAAATCAGGTACTAGTGATAAAGGGTTGAAAATATTTTTTGAAGGGATGAAACCTAGATGCACACCTAGCTCTCTTCGCAACGATCATTTTCCACTATCACACGCCCTGATAGCTAAACTGGATCGAAAAGGCGGAGCATCCAAAGTTTTGGTACTTTTGGAACTTTTGGACATTTTCTAATAAAAGAGCCAGCTCAAATATACTACCTAGCGTTTAACGCATTCCTGAGTTTCCGCTTTCGGCTGCAAGAACTAGAATTTCGAAGTCCTCGTCATTGGAATCGGTGGAGCAGCGAACTTTGCTCATGGAAAATGGGAAATCAGCGATGTCGTTCCTACTTAAGGCTAGGGTGGTCGATTTTGGCCAAGTCTCAGGCTCTTTTTTTGACCCGCATTTTTGGATTCCTCAGAAAATTTGGAGCGAAAAACTCCTCATGCACTTTTTGGCTATCTCTTCTCGATCTCCCGGAAATTGCGACTAAAGCTGCAGAAAATTAGTGTATTTTGAAAGTGAACCAAATATTTTGAAATTTCAACCCTTTACAATAGTGGCATATGATACATTTTTTTGAAAGCTAACTCTAAGGACATTTACTTAGGGTAGGGCTTGTGGCGTCTGGGCTATGCCCGCAGGGCATTTTATAGGAATGAATAGTCAAAAATAGGTACCTTGGTTTATTGAAAAATTTTCTAAAGAAAAAATTATCAAATAAAAAAAATCTTCTGTAAATTTTAAGATTAGGGTCCAAGAAATCTGAAAATAGTAAGAGTTGATAGGACCAAAATGCAAACTTTGGAGTTTTGGAGCCCTGAAGATGGGCTATTTTCGCGATTTTGAGTTCAACTAGTTCCGACCAGTTCACGACAAAAATACGAACTATTTAAAACGAGATTTTACCGCAGAGTCCAATTTTGTAAAGAGAATGGCATTTCGACTATTTTTGAGTATTTTCGCTTTGAGTGCTTTGGCTGTCCAAAGTCTTCCTGAAATAAGCAAAGAAGAAGCCAGTGGATTTTTGATGAGACACAGTAAGTTATCTTTGGAAGCTTTTTTTTCTTGAAAATGAGGAACTGGCTAGATTTTGATTCTAAGGCGAATGAATTCGGACCCTTCCGCACCAGACGACACCCTAGCGGAAGAAGGGCAGCCTGCGGATCTTGAGCGAGAATGCAACGAGGAAACTTGCGACTGGGCCGAGGCGTTTGAAGTGTTCGGCGACCCGGATCAAACTGATCACTTCATGTACACGCGGCTCAATAAGTGCGAGATCCTGGAACCATGCTTTGCGTCCGGAAGTGCCAATTGCGAGAATAAATGGAACAGTTATTGGTGCCAGTGTTTGAGCGGCTTTTACGGCAAAGATTGCGATATTAAGGATACAGTAAGTACGTTCCATAGCGCGAATCAAGGTCAATAAGGACCTTGGATCAAAGGTCAAATTATTGACTAACCGGTTCTGCCGGACGCGCCCAGTTCAAACCGGTTTTTATCTTTAAAAATAATCTATTATAATTTTATATAGAAGAGAATTTTGCGAGAAAAAGCAAGCTGTGTTTTCATCGTAATTTGCTCATTGCTCATCTCGAAAGTTAAGATGGGTACATGTGTCAACGCCCGGAAGGCTGCGAAGGCTTCTTCGGGGCACAAGCAACAACGACGACGAGCACGACAACATCGACGACGGCGACACTTTTACCGCCATACACTCCAAGCGTTGAATGCGACACGATCAACGACCGTTTTATTGTGAGAATGCCGAAATCGAGTCTTGGCGACTATTTGCTCGGCTTCGACATGATGAGTGCCACTTGTCGTCTTTTCGTACAAGTAAGTATTCTACTCTTTCCAGTAAGATAGCCAGTGTTTTCTAATTTCAGGTTTACTGAGTGCGAAACGCGAATGAGATACGACGAAAACCAGCCGACCAAGTTCATTTATGAGAACAACCTAAGGTCAGATTCCGACAAAAAGAAATATTAAAAGCACTTGAAATTTAGCCGAGCACCAGCATTGACCGGGGGCGTTTACAGAGACTACGGCGAAATTTATTTATTTCGATGCGTGATTGATCGCCTCGGTCGAATCGACAACAAGTACGTGAATGAGACGAGTTGGCAAGTGTCCGCGCAAATTATGCCCGTTTATGTTATCTCGGACTTTATGGTGACAGGGAACGGTTCAAAACAAAAAATAATTCACAAGTTGAATTTTTTTCAACGAATAATTTGGTAAAAGCAAGAGTGATTACTGATAAGTGACCTTGAAAGAGGAATGGGAGCGATTCAAAACGAGGGCGATTTCCTCTTCAGGTTGAATGTCTACCATAATTCCAGTTATCTAACCAGGTAAAAATAAACAAACGCATGGAAGATAATTCTTTAATTTATTTTAAGATACCCATTTCAATCCTTTCCTCTGCCGAAATCCCTCAACCAACGCATTTATCTCGGTGCAGAAGTGATCACTCAAATGGATTATTTTTACATTTTCACGAAGAGTTGCTGGTCGGCTCCTTCTGTCGAACCCAAGTTAGTTGTAACTTGACTCACTTTTCAACTCTCTTTATTTTCTCTCTAGCAACACTGTTTCCTATCCAATGATGTACAACGGCTGTCCCGCGGACTCCTTTACTTTTCTCCAGCCACGGCTCAACAAGGAAGATCGCTTCGAGACGAAGACGCTGAGGTTTCCCGGCTCCAATTTCGTCTACATTCAGGCAATCATCACTTCCAAACGAAGGCTGACATTAGTTTTAGTGCGATGTGATTATTTGCGACCTGCGAAAAGCTAATGCCACGGGTTCAATCTCAAGAATTTAACTTCTCAATACACGGGCGAGCGACTAAGCGCTCAAAACAAGGGGTCGGAGTGTGATAAAGAGCGCTCAAGACTTCTAGCTCTAACTTGCGTTTCCGGCAAGCAAAATGTTATAATACATATCGGTGGAAAGCTTGAACACTCATCTATCAAGATTTTCAGCTGCAGAGTGAAAGATAAATCCACTGCAAAATGCCACCACTTTTGAGAAAACTTCCAAAATTTCACAAAGTGGTTCGTTTTAGTCATCTAAGCTCACATTACAAAAATCAGGTCAAATGGATTATCACAAGAGAAATTACGGCGGCTCAAAGTCGCCGTGGTCTATTGAACCGACCACGTGCATTGAGGTCAATTGACGAAGAACTAACAAAGAGAACCCTCAGTAAGACCCAGCCTGTCAATCAACTTGCCGGTTAGGCGATCTCACCAACCCAATCTTTTCTTCCGATCGGCGAAAACGGCGAGCTTCTTCGTTAGACCATCATCCAGAACACCTCGTCACTCTTGGTCCATTCCGGATTGAAGATGACGAAGAGAAAGAAAATAAAGCGAGCAGATTTACTTTCTGGTCCACATGTTTAAGCTGGTTCGTGGGCGCCTGTGCAATTGTTCATTTTCTCATTCATATTTTCAGAAAAAAACTTGCTCCATCTATCTCAGATTCTGATAATACAGTTACGTAAAAAATGTTTTTCGAATTCTCGTTTTTTTATCGCACCATTCTGCAAGTTGACTTGTCCGCTTCGTCCGCTAGTGCTCCTCCCTCATCGACACCCATCCATGCAACCTGCATTTTTCTTTGCAGCTTCTTCTTCGAGGAATTTTATTTGAGAATCATTTTCCTGAAGATTATTTTTCAATTTCAAGTTTTCTGATTTCTCCATTCTTTGCAGCTTTTTGAAATGAGCTCGATGCACTACACTGGCACTTTGATTGACGGAAAGAAGTTCGACTCCAGCCGGGACAGAAATCAACCCTTCCAGTTCGAGTGGTCTCCGTTTGCCCAAGTCGCCGTTTGCCCAAGTCGCCGTCTGCCCAAGATCGCCGTTTGCCCAACTTGGGCAGACGGAGACTTGGGCAAACGGCGATCTTGGGCAGACGGCGATCAAATTGAAAATATAATCATAATTCAATTTAAAGAGATTAATTCAAGGTTTCAGAACCTTATGAGCGCAAAAGAGACTTTGATTTCAGTTTATAATTACTAAAATCGGGAAATTTCTCATCTTGAATTATGAAATCAAAACCAGCAGGATATGATAGATTTTAAGTGGTAAAGTAAAATCGCTAGTTTTACGTACGAGGCCTATAGATTGAGGAAACGATGGATGCGCCGAGTCCTCACAAGCGCTAATCCCCAACTTGGTTGAATTGATGGTTTTACATATTGCTGTTTCTTGCGATTTATAATCGGTTCGTTCTATTTTTGGAGTTATTTCAGACTGAAACTGAGGGAAAACAATCATTGTGAGTAGTGAGAAAAAGAGAAAAAGGGGAAAACTGATGAAACTCTTCCCAAAACCTCTTCCCAGCGAAGAGGAGTACTCAGGCTTGATTTACAAACATCAAATGCACAAATTATCTTATGACAACCGAATAACGATCCAGTCTCAGTAAACCGGAGCCTTTTTTCTTCTTGATAAACTCTTCCGGGAATAGTTTATTAGGACTTTGATTGAGAATTAAGCGACTCTCATAATTAGACCATCCATTACGAAGGCTCTTCTTTATCAATGTAAACGATGTCATAATTCGGAAAGCTTCCCTAGAGTCCACGATACTGTTTTTTCATTTCGTCTCTTATTTACGTGTTTATGCTCAAGAATTCATTCGAAAATCGGGTACAACTATCGAAAAACAATTTAATAAAATTGTGGTGGTCTTGTCAAGGATCCACTGTTAAAAAACGTTCAAAAGACATCACAGGACAACCTTTGTTTTCACCTGAAAGTCTCTGCAAATCAGACCGCAATTAGCAGACTCAGTGGTGATAATGAAATTGTCGCCTTACTTCTATCATTTTATGACCAATCAATTTAAAAACAAATTCACATCGCCGTTTGCCTAAGATCTCCGTCTGCCCAAGTTGGGCAAACGGCGACTTGGGCAGACGGCGACTTGGGCAAACGGCGACTTGGGCAAACGGAGACCACTCTTCCAGTTCACCCTCGGCGCTGGAATGGTCATCAAAGGATGGGACCAGGTATTTCGACTTCAATAACTTCAATTTTTCTTCTAATTTTTGCAATCCGCCCCAATTTTTCTTGACGATCTTGACTAGATCTTTTCCTTTTTGTTGACCATTGATTTTCAGGGCCTTTTGGACATGTGCATCGGCGAAAAGCGAACACTGACGATCCCACCTCACTTGGACTACGGCGACCGAGGAGCTGGAGGAGTCATCCCCGGCGGCGCCACCCTTCTCTTCGACGTCGAGCTGCTCAAAATCAAGCGAGGAAACGATGAACTCTAAACTCTTTGACTTCTTTGGCAGACAAGAAATAAATAAGTGCAATTCTTCCCACGACTATCGATTCTGTAGTTCAAAATACAAACTAAAAAGAAATATTTGAAAAAGGAGATCTCTTTAACATAGTTTAGAAGATTTTCTTTGGTCTTTGTCATCTGCCGTAATGCAAGATAAAACCACCACGATATAATAACTGGGAGGTTTGTATTTATTAGAACGGTGAAGTTTGAAGATGTGTGGCAGTAAAGATGTGAACTATAAACATATTTTGATAATCTTCCCAGTTACTTTTGGGGAAACGGTCGGACTTATTACCTATCTTTTTACCAAAAATTTTGGTAAAGAAATCGACCGTGCCCGACTCTTCGTAGTCAATTTGTTCAGGCAATCCCTTATCCCAACCCTGAGGACTATTGTGGCAGATAGGGATTAGCCCGTAGTTGACAGTCGCACCGGCGACGACATATGGCAGCTTGCAGGCTAAAAATTAGATAAAACTTGATGATAAACAAAGTTTATTCACCTCGTGAGCACTCGTTGATGAATCGGGAGAGGCACGGTCCTGTTTCTTTAGACGAGTTGCTCGCCGCGGAGAACCAGTCTTTGTACAAGCGTAACGTAAATCGGTCGATGTCTCTATCAGTAACGTCCCAGAGCATGCCCATTACTGATGAAGAGCCAGAGTTCAAGACACTGAATTAATTTTGATTTAGTTACCTTATATTTGCCATATATTTTCAAACTTACCATGTCACTGCACCCCTCGGTTCAGTTCGACCATAATCGAGAAGTCTGCCGGAAGCACAGCCGAAAAGGTGCATGGTGCTTGTTACACCTTGTCTGGCCACACGTCCCCAGCCGCCAACGCAGTCGGAGCCGCTTCCATGCCCAGCAAAGACGTAGAGGTCGAATTTATTTAGTTTCTCAAGCAACTCCCTTGAATTCGGCCTGATGGAAACGTAGCCATCCCATTGCTGGACGCTCTTGAAGAAGTTTCCAACTGTCGCGGGCGAAGTCGTTAGGTTGTCCTGGCTGTCTACGACGTAGAGTAGATTTGAGATGTCTACCGACCGTTTGCTCGCCGGTTGTCGAAGGATGTACTCCGCGTGCCTCACAGAAAGCATCCTAGAAATACGCTATTCCAAACCTTCAAAGCAACAAGTTCTTACCTAGACATTTGAATTCCCTGACAAATAGGCATCCTTTCCATGGCGATCGATTGAACCACTCGTCCAAGGATGAGATATGTAGCGGTTGTCCGCTGATAATCCAACTCTTCAAAGACGTGGTTCTTTGCGAGATGATCGAGATCCAGTTTATTCACTCCAACGAGTCCAGCGACATTCGTCTTGCCAAGAGTGTTCATATGAGACCAAGCCCGAATCGCATGGCTCAAAAAGTCGGCGTGAAGAGAGTTTTTGGGCTTGGGAACTGCATCGGTCCAAGTAATGCTTTCAGAGAATGTGAATAGAGCAAGAGCCGGACCAAGAACATCTAAAATGTCATATATAAAAAGCCAAAGTGAAGATATTTTACCTGGGAGAACAGACAGCACTAAATCCTTACAGTACTTTTCTCGTTTCTCGCGCACCTTCCACCATTTGGTACGGTTTTTGACATCTTTGCCAATCTCTTCAGAAATCTTGTCACACATGTCGCGCATTTGCACAGCCTCTTTGGCAAGTGCATGACCATCGAATCCGATCGAAATACATTTCCCGTTGGGCTCCAAACGAGTGACAAGTGCGAGGCAATTTTCGTATGTGCAGGATAATGTCTTCGAAAGAGCTGGAATCAAACTCACCAAGACGACGGTGTCCTTCAGTTCCTGTCGTAGGAAAGGAAACTCAATGCTTATATTCTCGGCCATGTCTTCGGCTTGTCTCAAATTCTCTTCCGGAACAGAGCTGACATTGTTGGACATGCGAGCATGAGCGTAGTACTGCGCCTCAAGAACTGCTCCAATGCCGTTAACATCAATGTGAAGCGCGGCGAGCTTCGAAGAATTGCTCAAGACAATCGTGCTTTGCTGGGACACTTGTTCCTGGCGAAGAATCTGCCCTATGCGTAGATTGTAAATCGCTCTGATGGTTTCCATGTCGCTGTTTTTCTTGGCGGTCGCGAGAGCTTCATCCAGGTCTGCCTCTTCTGAAATATTCTCAGGCGAATCTCCCACACTGAAAATTGTTTCGATCTCAGGCTCAATTGGAGAGGCTGGTCGTGAACCGAAATTCAGGAGACGAGCATTCTCTATCGTATCCTTTTTGTTCATTTCGATTAATTTATCGAAAAATTTCGAAAGAATAGAGGTTGGCTCAAGATTTTCCTTGTTCGCGTCGAAGGTTCTATTGTAAATGACGATTGCCACTTGCAATTTCGCGAATCGGCCGCACTTCTTTGGACTGGCTTTCTCGGAGTTTCGGACAGGGTCGAGAGCAATTTTGACGTACTCGACAGCGTCAGATGGTCTATCGAGTTCCGTCGCGCGAAGAACGATGACGTATGCAAGCTCCAGGAGTAGCTGCGATAGTTGATGACCAGCGATAGCGATCTCTTTAAAGAGGAGCAGGCCAGCGTTGACAGCTCGAGTAGGATCTGGATGAACACGGAACAAAGTTGTAAGTGCAATAACATAGTTCCGCGCAACATCGAGATCAAGCTTGCAAATCTTAGGAAGAACTGGAAGTTGAAATGTGAAGGCTTTTGTTGTTTCCGTTTTCTTCCTTATTTTCTCTGCCATTTGCGAGTTAAGTGAGATCGCCTGTGCTTTGGCTTGAGGATTGACGTCGCGCATAAATGGGTTGTCCTCGTTGATATCGAAGACTTTTAAAAGAGCTTGAATTTCCTCTTCCCACTTGCTCGTTTGACCTTCAAGCTCCAGTGCTCGTATTTGGAGTGTCTTTGCCATTATGTTGGCAGTCTGCAATCCCCAAATATCGGATAAAACAAGCAGCTCGTTGGAAAACATTCTCGCCTCGGTCGACATGCCTCGTTTGATGAGATCATCGATGAAGTCGACACTTATCCAGATGGTTTTCTCAAGCGCACGCAGGGTCGCAATGATTTCTCTTCCAATTTTCTGGACTTTCATTGAACCCTCGGCCTTCGCCGAAGTAGGGAAGATCGTTTTGTAGAATCGCCGATCGCATGCACTTGAAAGGAAAGTGATGATGATTTGAATCGCATAACGAAGGCCGCTTGTTTGATTCGCAGTTATCATCGAGCCCACATGACCAAAGGCCTTGTCATGATAATCTGACCAGCCGGAAGATCCAGAGAGAGAGGTTTGTAACATGATTCGGGTGATAGACTCATCTTTCCAACCAATGGAGCTCTTTTTGGTCTCTGGGATGCCATCCTGGAACATCATATAACCAAAAGCAAGATGTTTCTTATCTTTCGAGGTCAAATGGCAAATATTCGCTCGTTTCAGGGTCTTATGAATATCCTCGTTGTATTCGGGCTGGGTAGAGAAATGAGAATGCCGCCGCGCAACCCAAAGTGACGAACCCAAGTCCATCACAAGATCACCGAGAAGCTCACTCACAGAAGCGATAATTTTAGTCTTCAGAAAATACCAGTCGACGAGGGCTGTAAGCAAGTCTTTCAGGATCCTATTCCCAGCTTCTCGTTTTCCAAGAATCAAAAGAAGTTGCGCCGCAATGTAGAACGTGTTGACATAGTTGCATACCTGCAACTCAGAAGAAGTCTTCTTGAATTGAGTTTTGACTTTGATCTTGGATAATTTTTCAACGTCGAGTGTCGGGGGCTTCGAAGTGACTTTTGCCATTTTCTCGCTCCACGCGGCTTGAAGATCGCGTTGCCAAACGGACAGCATCTTCCAGACTGTCGTCAGCTCATCATTGCCATCTTCTATGGAAACACTTATTGCTGCAATATTTTTCGTCTCCTTCGGGAAGAATTCTCGCAGCTGAGCAATGACGAGTTTGAGTAGGTCTTGATCTTCCTCTGGGAGTTTTTGGCGTCTCCGAACTCAACAAGGGTGTCGACGATAAGCACAACGGCCTCAGTTTTCTGCGGGATGCCATACTCGCTCAGCGTGCTGATTAATATGCTCAAGAATTGGGCGCGCGATTCTTTTGTACTCCGAACATATCGAAGAGCGAATTCTCGGAAAACCACATCGTTTATAAGGCTGAGAAAAAGTTGATTGAGAAATGCCTTCATGTAGACGATGTCCATTTTTGAGGGTTGACGGTTTTTACGAAGATCGATTTCCATCTCTCTGAAGATTGTCATGCTGTTCGAGTTTTTGTAGCTGCAAAGATTGTTTGTTTCGCAAGTAATGGCAAGCTCGTTGATTGTCAGTTCGATGAGATTCCAATGCTGCAGATTTGTGAAGTTGTCATTGTCTCTGGAAATCGAGGAGACGTACTTGAAGGAACCTCCAAGATTTTTGAGCCCGGTCTCGACGATCTCGCGCTGCTTCGTTTTATCAAGATCGTTTCGTTTAGCAATCGTCTGGAGTACTCGACAAAAGCTGTAGACGGAGAAGGCAGCATATTTGTGAAGGTGTTTGAAGTTAGAACCTGTGAATTTACTTAAAGCTTCTGCCATGTTGCCTATCGATTCGTTGAGCGGAATAAGAACAGTCTCGAGAGCGAGGAGTACATTCGAGTCTTTTTCGGTCAGAGTGACGAGGTTTTCACAGATATTGTGACAGATTTGCGCGAAGCCGTAGATGATCTCCTGGATGTCGTTTTCAAAGATCCCGCTAGAAGGCGTGATGAACTTCGGAGTGAGATCTAAAATAAATGATTAAAAAGTAATTCTTACTATTGAAACTTACATTTGCTCAGATATTTCAACAGTCGAGCCATGCAGACGAACTCGTGCTTTCTCCAGTTCTTTCCACTTGGAAAACGGTTGAAGATGTCCTGCTTGAATGCGCCCACGAACGCTTCCAATTCTTTGAAAGTTTCTCGGATCGGCGGTCCGAGGTGTTTCTTGTCGTCGAGGTCCATTATCTTTTCGTCGAGCGCTAGCACTTTGAATTTCTCGTCGATGAACTGTAGGAATTCGTTGATGAGACGGAGGCCGAGCCCAGGGACGCTTGATTGTTGGATAATGTCTTCGCGGAAGTCGTTGTAGAGCCGATGACATTGCGGGTGAGTCGCCAACTCCCAGGTGGAGAAGAACTCGCGAAAAACTGAAAAATATCTTATTGAGATGATAGCTACCGAAGCGACCTTTCTTCGAAGGTCAAAACACTAGCGGTAACGGGTTCCCGATACCCCTGAAAACCGGTAGATTTTACATTCTAATTACTTACCCGATTGCCCCGATTCGATTGTCTCCAACGCCCGAGCTTCAGCCACGCGACAAGCTTCTGGTACTGAGCTTGGTCCTGGTCCATGGTTTTTCTCTAGTTCGACCTTCTCTTGCACGCGAAAATGACGTGCCGAGAGAAGAAGAGATGTTGCTCGAGATAAAAAAGATGAAATTTTTGATAAAGTCAAGAAGCTCTACAAATAACGGTCTGAGCTCTGTGAGATTCTCGTTTGTTCCTCTGAGACCGTAGAGGTTCCAAATCGGCATATCGATGTGGTCGACTCCGAGATCGGTCCTGTAGCAGCAGTAGTCCCAACCACCGCCTTCGATAGAGCACCAAGTGCCCATCGAAATATTCATCTTTAAAATTATAGCTAATCCAGGAGTTGGTGCTGGACTTTTGTCCCCCAGCCATCAATTTGATTCGAAGTTTGGGAACTTCCTCTCGCTCGGATTTGCAGCCCGGACCAAGATCGCTCAACATGGCGGAACAAGAAAGCCTCAAGAAAGATTTGGTGGAAAAGAACAGTCGGTTGGCAGAACTATCAAATGAAAACAAGTCAGCCCCTGCTCCTCGACAATGAATGTCCTGCTGAATTCGTCGCTTTGCTGAAAGCGTCGTGTACCCTTTTCATTTTGCAACGACTGATACAATAAAAATTCTTAGCATTATGATGAATGAAAATGGTATTCTCGGGACCAAATCATGACCCCTTTCTTTCTAGTGCTTATCTGAAAGCCCATGATCTGAGGAGTTGAATGGTATGTTACTTAGGGTCTGAGTCATTGAAAATGACGTCATTTTGCTCGAAATAAGGCTCTTATGGGGAAAACCTATGTAGTGCCATAACTTTTATTGAACATATAAAAGTATATTGATCTTAGGCTCATTCGAAAGAGCAGCTCGAGATCTAGGTCGGGAGAGGAAAATCGCGGCCAACCACCCGGTCAACCACGTGGTCAAAATTTTGAAACCGGCCGGTTTAACGCGGTTTATGCCTCCCGACCTAGATCTCAAGTTCCTCTTACGAATAAGCCCAAAATCACTATACTTTTATATGTTCAATAAAAAGTTATGGCACTACATAGGTTCTCCCCATAAGAGCCTTATTTCGAGCAAAATGACGTCATTTCAATGACTCAGACCCTAAGTAACATACCATTCAACTCCTCAGATCATGGGCTTTCAGATAAGCACTAGAAAGAAAGGGGTCATGATTTGGTCCCGAGAATACCATTTTCATTCATCTTATATCTCGGACCAAGCCTTTTCCCACATTGACAAAATGACACTGTAATAATTTTTTATTCAAATAAATTTCTTAGCTCCTATACAATTATTAAAGTTATCAACGCTTTTGGCATAAATATTATCCTCCGCTAGAATCAGGGTTTGAAATCTGAAAATTTTGCGTGAGCACGAGCACGCGTGAGCACGTGGGTGCTCAAAATTCAGTGAGCATGAGCACGCGTGAGCAGGGGATGCTCAAATTTCAGTGAGCATGAGCACGCGTGAGCAGGGGATGCTAAAATTTTCGTGAGCATGAGCACGCGTGAGCACGGGGGTGCTAAAATTTTCGCGAGCATGAGCACGCGTGAGCATGCTCATTGAGCTCACTCACGTGCTCATGAACAGCTCATGCTCACGTGCTCATGAGCAGCTCATGCTCACTTGCTTATGAGCTGCTAGTAAGCCTAGAGTATTTTCAAAATTTTAAATAAAAACCATAATAAAATTAAAATCTTGGATAATTTGAAGTTTAACAACAATGGGTGAGGGTGGGGTTGGGAACGTTACTGAGATTGATCACCTCAAAGGTCCTAGCCAATGTCAAGGCCCTTAAATTAAGAAATCAAGGAACGGGGCTGAGACGGCCCGAAGGGCCGTCAAGCCCTTAAATTAAGAAATCAAGGAACGGGGCTGAGACGGCCCGAAGGGCCGTCAAGCCCTTAAATTAAGAAATCAAGGAACGGGGCTGAGACGGCCCGAAGGGCCGTCAAGCCCTTAAATTAAGAAATCAAGGAACGGGGCTGAGACGGCCCGAAGGGCCGTCAAGCCCTTAAATTAAGAAATCAAGGAACGGGGCTGAGACGGCCCGAAGGGCCGTCAAGCCCCTTAAATTAAGAAATCAAGGAACGGGGCTGAGACGGCCCAAAAATCCCGCCAGCGCAACCCCAAGTTAGAACTGCTTATAAAATTTGCCAATTTGAGTCGTAAACGACTGTTAGCACGTCAAAATGTGAGCTATGAGCACGCGCTCACGTGCTCATGAGCACAGAATTTGCCCTTCCAGAGATCCATGAGCATGAGCTCGCGTGAGCACGACTGTGCTCTATAATTGGTGAGCATGAGCACGCGTGAGCACGAAGGGCGCAGAATTCTGTGAGCATGAGCACGCGTGAGCATGCTCATCGAGCTCACTCACGTGCTCACGTGCTCGTGAGCTCGTCAGATTTCAAACCCTGGCTAGAATTTCGTTAGAATTTCTGAAAGCGGGCGATTTCAATTGAAGTTTGGAGCTTTTGGCGCGCGCCCACGCGTTTTTCAATTTTCAGCGCGGCGCGGCGTGATTCTTATGATTCTTCAAATTCGCGTATTTTTTCTGGAGAGGGACTTTCGCGCTGAAAACTACTGTAATTAGAGAAAATGGAAGCGCAGGAGCCAGAGAAGAAATACGAGTTCGAAGAAGAGTGGATTCAGTACCAAGGAGTCTGGACGCAAGTCATTTCGCTCAAAAGGGAGGAGCCCAAGTACTCGATTGTTTTAATTTCCGGAAATCCGGGAGTCGCCAGATTTTATTCAGTTTTTGCAGAAGAGATTTTCAAACTTTGCCACTGCGAGGAAACGATTTCAAGATTATAAAATGACATTTCAAATCCATTTTTTCAAGTAATTTCTCAATTTCGAATATTCATAAATCGTTCTTGAAGATCCACATTCTTTCCCACGCTGGGATGGTTTCTAGCGTGCCAAAAGAAAAGAGCAACATCGACAAGTCCAAACTTATGTTCCACTCGCAGATGAAGCAGAAGCACTATATCATCGACAAACTGGGCCTGTACGAACATCCGCGGCTGATTTTGATGGGCCACTCGATCGGCGCTAGAATGATGCTGGACTGCATTCACGAGAATACTCTTCTGGCGATTGGGCTTACTCCAACTATCGAAAGAATGGCCATCACGCCTAGGGGCAAGGATCTGACGCCCCACTTCAATAGCTATATCCAAGGGCTATTTAATTTGCAGTATCTGTAAGGTGACGTGGCCTAATGAACGAACAAGGGCACGTTCTCACTTGTTTGTATGAGAGAACAAAGGCCCACTCTACTTTTTGATATGTTCCCTTGATTTCTCTCACAAAATAGCCCAAAATCAGGAGCATGTTCTTTGTCCAAGTCTTTTTCTTCATCCTCTCAATTCTTCCCCGCCACCTGATTCTGTCTTCAATCAAAAAGCCCGACCGAACAGCCCAGAATTGATCAGCGAAGTCATCGTCGACGACATGTGCTCTGTTAGGTCATTCAAAATTCATTTCCACTATCAAATTAAAAATACCATCAGCTTGTGAGAAAGCCGTTTTTGACCAGATTCCGGAACAGACCGGTTTAAACTTTTAACTTTTTATTTTGAACTATTGGTTTCGTTCGCGCGATTTGGAGCTGCACGACGATGGCCTGCGACGAAATGAAACAAGTGGTGCGCCGGCCAGATCACCGATTGGAGCGGTGGCGCGACAGACTTCGCTTTTGTACTCGCAGACTGACGATTGGGTGCCCATGTCGTATTATTTGGACATGAAGCGAGACTTTCCAGAGATTCCGCAACTGCTGCCGGAGACGATTCCCCACGCCTTCGTCGAAAACCACGACCAGGCCAAGTACGTCGCCAAGAAATGCGTCCTGCTCATTCGTCAACAAGAGAAAAAGCCCTTTTGCTCCGACAGCGCCAAAATTAAAATGAAAAAAAAAGACGAACAAGTCCGAAAATCCGACTCCTCCAAAAATACAGCTTCAATTACACAACTTCAATTCTCACAATTTCTGTTTTTCAATTCCTTTTCCGCGAATTCTAGCGGCTAATTGGGCTGGGCAACCTGTGTAAAAAACCTGAGTCAGGTCTTGTACACAGGGTGCAGAGCCTAGAGCGGCGAATTCTGCGTTGATTCTTCATTCACTGATTATTTTAAAACTCAACTGAAAAAAGATTGATTTTATTTATTTAAAAAAATCTTTCAAAAGCTTCATACCCAGCAATTTTAGACATGTTCTGTTTTCAATCTCAAGTCGTAAAGTCCAAATCGATCCATGGCTTTCTCGGCCTCGTTTCGCTCGTGGTCGGTCTTTTCTCGCTCCTGCGCTTTGGCTTCTTCGACGAATGCCGCGTCAAGGACCACGACGAGCACGTCCTTGTTTGGGACATTCACTACGACTTGACGGACGTCGCTTGCTGCCTCCTCTTCGTTGGTTTCGTCAATTTCGGGATTGTCGTCGGCGTTTGGCGATCGAAATCCTCCGCGAGCGTGGAGCACTATCGAATGGGCCTTTCCTCCCTTTTCGGCGCGTTCGGGATCTACTTTCTCATCAAAATCCTGCTTTTGTCGGAGTCCGACGATTCTGCCTGGCGATCGCCCTGTCTTGAGACGCGACAGCAGTGGTGGATGCTTTTACACCAATCTCTTCGTGATTCTTGCTTCGATGACTGTTCCCTGGTTCAGCGGCGATCCGAACGAATCTTCTACGGATTCGAACGACAATGATCAGGAACCACTTCTTGCAGAGGGAGAAGACGAGGGAGAACTCAAAGGAACCGTTTCAATTTAATAATTTATAGAAGAACTCTTTTACTTGTGTAGATATTTTATTTCCTCCTTTTACTTAATACAACACTTTGCACATCAACGTGATAATATAAATAAGTTTCATTTAAATAGTATACTCGAAAGTGTAATAGTAACTTCGAGCGTTCACTCATCAACAATCTTCGTTCATTTTCAATCCGATATTTTTGATAGCAACAAACTAATGAGTGGACGCTTTTATCACGATATTGGCCGAAAGAGGGCGTACCAGACCATCTTTTCACGGCGGGATACATGACCCGCTAGGAGCAGCTGAGCTAATCAACCTAGAGGAACTCCAATATTTATCTTTTTTCCAAGATTTCAGACCGATCCAATACTTTTACGATCCTTAATTCAGTCTACTAATTATTCTTCGAATAATTCTAATTTTGAAACGCGAAAAACAGCGAAATTTGTGTGGAAGCGAAAATACGGCGCCTGCGAAGCGATCGGCCGTCTCCTCTCCGAAGCCTGCCCAGATCTGCACGTGATAGTCCTTGCCTTCGTCGCGCTCTTCATCGCCGCCGGCTCCGATCTCTTCAATCCCTGGTTCATCGGCAAGATCATCAACGACATCGTCGTCAATCAAGACGTCGAGAGCTTCAAGCGCAACATCTTTATCATCATTTTGGTGACGATTTCCACCGGCGTCGCTACTGGCTGCAGATCCGGCTTGTTCACGCTCGTCATGGCCAGAATGACGCTCCGGCTCAGGACGAAGCTGTTTAGACAAGTCATTAAACAAGGTTGGTCTTTGACGGGTCGAGAAGCCGCTTGCGGCTTCGAGCTATTCAAACAAAAGCCATGGGAAGCGCGAAATCGGCTTCTTGATTTTGCCCTTTATGTCAGTCCTATTTTACAAATTCTTCCATTTCAGAAACATCATTTTTCGACTCCGTCCGAACTGGCGACATAACGAATCGCTTCTCTGCCGATTGCTCGAAGATGGTGGACACACTCTCGCTCAATATCAACATCTTCTTGCGCTCGATGGTGACGATTGTCGGCTCCATCGTCTTGATGGTCAAGCTCAGCTGGGAGTTGTCGCTTTTGACCGTGATTGGGCTTCCTTTTGGTTTCATCCTCGGCCGCTATTACGGCCACATGTGGCGAGTGCTCCAGGAGAAGATCCAGGATACTTTGGCTGATGCTGGATCTGCAGCAGAGGAAGCTTTTGGAAACATTCGGTATTGACACTTACTCGTCCATTTTCACTTCTTTTGATAGAACTGTGCGCTCGTTCGCCAACGAAAGCGGCGAGTCCGACGTCTACGAAGAAAAGTGTCAGCTGGTGTATACTTGGATGCGTACGAAAGCGTGGTACATGGGCGGATACATGTCCGGCAACATCCTCATTTCAAACGGTCTCGCGGCAGCGACACTTTGGTATGGCGGACATCTCATCCTTGAAGATAGAATCAGTGGGGACACGCTCATTCCATTCGTTCTTTACCAGGTTGGTTTAAAATTCCTCTTGCACTTTGAAAATGAATTCTGTAGTTGAGTTTGGGAAATGCGATCGGCTCGATTGGTGCCGTGTACACAGGCTTGATGGAAGCAGTTGGCTCTGCAGAACGCGTTTTCCAACTGATGGATCGTCAGGCGGCAATCGACTTGTCCGAGGGCGAGCACGCTCCTGCCAAGATCGAGGGAAAGATCGAGTTCAGAAACGTCAAGTTCAACTATCCAACTCGACCGAAACAGCCGGTTCTGCAAGGACTGTCGTTTACCGCGCCGCAAGGAAAGGTCACTGCGCTTGTTGGTGCCTCCGGTGGCGGGAAGAGCTCGATCGTCTCGCTCATCACCAGATTGTACGAACGAAATGACGGGGACATTTTGCTCGACGGAGTTGATGTCAGAAAATACACTCACGAAAGGTCAGTTCTGCGCAACTTCTTCAGCTGGAAATGATTTTTCTTTCTAGTCTCCACCGTTTGGTAACTGTTGTCCAGCAAGAACCGGTCCTCTTCGCGCGAAGCATTCAAAAGAACATTCTTTACGGGCCGTTTGAAGTGGACGACGTCGACGAGGCAATCGAGAACGCGACGAAAATGGCCTCTGCTCACGAGTTCATTTTGAACATGGCGGACAAGTTCGACACACAGGTAGATAAGCCGAAAAGCCATCTTTCAATTGTCTCATTTTCTAGTGTGGCGAAAAAGGACAGCAATTGTCAGGTGGCCAAAAGCAGCGAATTGCGATCGCTCGAAGTCTCGTCCGCAAGCCGTGCGTTCTGATCCTCGACGAAGCCACTTCCGCGCTCGATGCTGCTTCTGAGAAGATCGTCCAAGCTGCGCTCGACAGAATTCAGCAAGAGGCCAACATGACCATCATTCTCATCGCGCATCGACTATCTACGGTTAAAAACGCCGACCAAATTGTCGTTATCAATCAAGGTAAAGATAACCAGAGGAAAGCTAAAAAGTAATGTGTCAAGAGAGGGAAGTGCACCCCTGTTTTTGGCCTCCAAAAAGAGTCACATAAGACCTGGGTCAGAGTGATTAGAGGTCAAAATGAAAGGTGTACTTCCCCTTCCCTGTGCCGCTGTTTTTACAAGCTAGGATTGGCAAAAAGTTGGTCAATAGCTTGATTAACGCTCTTTAGGAAACGTCGTGGAGACTGGAAATCACGACGAACTAATGACGAAAAATAACCACTACGCAAAGCTGGTCGCTGCCCAGCTCGCTGAAAGTGGTCAAAACTCGCCGCAGAAGACCCTGATCAAAGAAAAAGTTGTTTACAAGCGAGTAGTGACCAATTCTAGCAGCCAAAAGGACTATGACATTAGTCCCGGCACTTCAGCTTGAACTCATTTCTACAATTAGTCTATTTAAAATTTCAATTTCACGAAAAAAAACATGTTTACTTAAATTTACACTTGAAGCCGCAATCACGAAATTCTACAATCCGTTCTTCTGATAGCGTCTTTTTCCATCCAGCTAGCTGATCGGCTGGACGAAAAAGGTCGCTATTTCAAGAAAGCAGTGTAGAAAAAAAAACTGGCTCGTTTTCTGATTCACCTTTTCTTGCTCATTGTGAGATAATACTAATGTCTGTATCTTTTTAAAATTCGATGTTCACTTCAGTTACACACAGATAATACGCTTTTCCCTTTTTCCGAATGATTATAATTTTAATCTTATTGTTTCTTTTTTGATTCACTGTCACATATCCGATGCTCTTTACTTCACCTAGTGTTTACCTATTTTCAATTTAGAAATATCAAAATCCTAGACCTCAGAAAATCTATCAGATAATCCCTTTTTTTCTCTCTGTGAATAAAAAAGTTATCGAAAGAACCGATTTCTTGAAATTTGCTAAAATTGAAATAGCAGAAATAGAAAAAATAGAGTTTCTGTTCAGTTAGAAATCGGTGAAGCTGTAAAGTTACAGTCACAATAATACGCAGTAAATGGCGCACAACAACAACGGGCAGCAAATTGTGAAAGCGCAAGAAGTCGTTCTCATACAGTCAAGGAAGGGTGCCGCAAATTACAGATTCTAGCGTTCCTTTTTGGATTTTTTTCTCTAGGACATTTTTTGGGTAAAAATCGAACTTGAACATAATGGAAAGCAGCTTGCGGCTTCGAGATACTTTAGCCGCTATGCCTGGCTAATTCGTATTTGTATCTCGAAGCCGCAAGCGGCTTATTTTTTTTGGGTGAGATGGAACTTCATGCTAAATATGCATTATTCGTAAAAAATAAGGTGTGGGGAGAAAGTCTCGTGCTCTTTCTCAGTTTTGCCCATTTTACAAATTGACCTCTCTTGAAGGCTTGATCGTTTGGATTGTGTAACAATTATATAACCGCGAAACAGAATAGTCTTCAGTTGATTACTGTAACTCGTAGTGGCGAAAGAAGTTAACCCGATGCCGAAATCGGTAAAAATTGGACCCGTTGATTTTCGCGGAGTTCACTAATTCACGTCAGGAGACTCCTTCCTCTTCCTTGATTTCAAAAAGCGAAAAAGAAAAAAAAGAGGAGGGTTATGTAAGAGCTCCTTTCTGGGCGTGTCTGACTCTCGAGCTCCTGGTAAAACAGAAAAAGTCAAATAGTTTCTTTTCGACGAGTTTCAGCAGCGCGCCAGAGCGGAATTACGTATTCCCCACTTTCCAAAACAGTGTTCTTACGAGAAACAAAAAGATGGACTTAGATAACTATTTGAATTTTAATGAGCCAGGACACCCGCACCTCAGCGACAACGGAATCAACAATGCTCAGAACATCGGAATCTGCATGAATGACCAGAACTTGAGGAGAGAGCTTCTTGGTAAGAAAAACTTAGATAAACAAAGATGATCAATGATCATGAAGTGGGATTAATCAAAAGTCTTTTTTTTCCTTTTTCCGGAAACTAGCAAAATGATACCTTATTTTGTATAGTCAAATGGATGATTAACCCCTTATTTTCTTTCTCAAATGACCAAAATTTCAAATTTCGATCATATTTTTTCACAAAGATTTTAATAAATGTTCTCTTACTTTGATAAAATGCCCATTTCGACCAACATTTCTGTTGATATAATTCATTAAATTGACTCAAATAGATTCTGTTCATGATGTCTAGTAGACATTGTTTACCTAGGCCAAAGAAAGTCTTCTGATGATATTTGTTTCAGGAAACGACGGACAACACGGCAACGATCAGTCCAGACAGCAGTCGATTATCACAGTTCAACAACCAGGAGATGTAAGCAACACCTTAAAATGAAAGAAAAAGCACTAACTCGTTTTTAGGCAACTGGAAGTGGCCAGGTCCGCGTCTTCATCATCAGAGATCAAGTCAAAAACGTCATTCAAGCGGGAAACAATCTCATCGTCGAAACAGGTGCTCAAGTTAAAACCGAGAAGCCGCGCTTTGAATTCAAAATTTATTTTCAGCGAAAAACGATGGAGCAAAAATCGCACCACAAACTAGCTACATCCAGGGAGTGATGAAAGACAACACATTTCAGCAATCGTCGCCGGTGAGCTTGAGCGGATCTGAGCAAAGCAGCCAGCTGCAGAGTAACCAGCAAGGACAGACTGGTCAAGAAGCGATTCAAGAAAACGGCCCCCCGACTCCGAAAATCGCTGCTCAGAAATCGCCGGGAGAACCGCTGATCAAGCCAAAAGGAAAGAAACGACCGGTGCCGGCGCACCAAAAAGACGAACTCTACTGGGAAAGGGTAAGTTGCTGATAAGCGCTTATCGCAAACGTAACGATTCTTCTTTCGAAAGAGACGGAAAAACAACCTCGCAGCGAAGCGATCGAGAGAGTCTCGAAGACTTCGGGATAATCAGACGACGATGAGGACGGGATTTTTGGAAAATGAAAACATGGAATTGAGGGAGAAAATTAATCAAGTCAGGTAAATATAGATCTTTTCTCAGGCGGTCCTAGGGTTTGTCGAAAGCCTAGAGCTGACTGGTTTTCGTGGTCTCTGATAAATTATCAGAGAAATAGGCCCTTTGGTCGAACTTGTTCTGTCCAAAATCGGCCAGTCATGCAGTACTAGAATGATGGCAATAGTAGTTATCAATAAAAGTCTCCGTGGAAGGCTTCAACAGGCTTCGAAGCACAAATCAAATTATTGATCATTTATTTTCAGGTCTGAAATTCTGGATATCAAAGAAAAGCTGCAAGAATACAACGCGATCTACCGAGGAACAGAAGTTTCCGCCCTGGCCGAGGCTGCTGCCGTCATGGCGGATTCGGAGCCGATGATTCCTCCCGAAATCAAGCAGCAATGAACTTTAAATTAACAAACTTAAAAGCAGAACCAAAAGACTATCTCTATCTATAATACCCTTTTTTGACTGTTGTCTCCTTTTCTTTGCCACCTTACTTTCTTTTTTGATTTCTATCTCCCGAGGATCAACGGAGAAAAACAAAACTACTGTTTCTATCTTTTCAATTTCCTACCGCTTCATCTTCTCTATCAAAGGATAACACCCTCCAAACTCCTCTTGTAAATATAATTATGCTTTTGAATGGATAATTTAAGAATTCCAATAATCCCTTTTTTTCCCGTTTTGAAAGTGTCCTTTTCCCGTGTCTTTTTTAGCGATTCTGTTGACGTAACAGAACATGAGTTACCATGATCCCGAAAAAGCCGAAGAAGAGTATGAAAAACTTAAAGATCACTAGGGGTCGCCATTCGTCCCTCTCTTTTTTCGTTAAGTTTCACTACCCGCTGCTTTCCTTTTTAGACCAGGGGCGGTTTAATTAATTAACATTCTTCTAACTTATTTTTGATTCCGTTTTCCAACTATACAGTTGTGGGTCGCTGTGGTTTAAAATCAGCCCTTCTCTGTAAATTTTATCGATGGCGACCCCTGTAGCTGCTGTAGCGTCGGGATCAGAATTGATCATGAGAAATTGATTTCAGAAGCGATTTCTAATTCTCAAACTTATCAGAATCAAAAGAGAATTTGCAATCAAGGAAGAGAAAATTTCCTTGCTTATCCGCATTTTTTGATTAGGATAAATTCTGATCCCCACTTGAGACGCGCAAGTTCGCGAAACTATGGCTGTCATCGAAAGAGCCGTGAAAAGGTGGCCAGGTGGCCAGGGTGGTTCAAAGGAGCAAGAAAACGTAGAGTCTAGCTCTGAGTCCGGCTCTGAATCTGAGTCAGAGTCTGAGTCAGAACCCGATGAAACCATGTCCGATTCCGAAATGTATGACGAAATGCAAAAGGAAATTGGTTCAAAATGGTTAAAACTTGATCTACTACTATTTAATTATTACTTTTGTAACTGGTCTGAATACAAAAAGATTGACTGAATAAAAATATAAGCGAAAGCAAAACAACAAAAAAAAACCTTATTTGACAGATGGCCTCTGAAGATGATAGTCTCGGAGAGCAAATAAAAAAGATGTCAGCGTTGTCAAAATCACTCGCAGCGCAGCCTTTGGAAGAAATTCAGGCCGAAGAATTAGGTTAGCACTTGTCTAAAGTTGAAATTGTCGAATGAAATCCTTTTCGACGATTTAGGGCAAATTATGCAAAAATCTACAGTAGTCGACTGTTCAGCCTACTTATCCATGTCGAGCATAGCTTTTTGTGCTAGAATGCAATCAATCAGGACAACGGATGGAAAAACTAGTTAACCAAGCAGTCCAAAGTAGCAATAGAATAGGCCTAGCTCGAATAACGAGCTGATTTCTTTGTCTTTTTAGAATATCTAATAATGATATTCAGAGTTCCGGGACAAATGCGTGGAAATAGGAAATGTTCAAAGACTCGAGAAAGATTCAATTCCGTGCAAAACAGCTCAAAATGACAAGAGCAGCGCCCGTATGAGCAAGTTGGAACACAATCAGTCCTAGAATTAGCAGCAATTTCAAAGATGTCGCCGCTGCAGGTCGTTTCTGAGCTCAAACTGCCCGATTTTATCCGCGATGCCATTTAGAATTTACTGCCAGAAAAAATACTAGCGAGCATTTTCATTTTGACTTTTCCGTAACGAACTTCATTTTTTAAGAATGGATCCGTTGGAACTCGCGGATCGAAAAAGCACATCCCGATCGATTTGAACGTCCCTTTGAATGGCAAGGACAAGCTCTCGGAAAGGTTGAAAACGATCAAGGATTTGGGCTGGAGCGGTGCGGCAGTGTCAGTTTATGTTCCAAGCGGCAAGGAGATTCCGAAGCCGCCCGTGATAAAGGAGGATTTTGGATTGAGGCTTTTTACGAGGGTTACTGTGAGTGCCTTTTCCTTTACCTGTTTTTCCCCTTGATGTTGATTAATCAAATGATCCAAGGTAGAAGTGGTGACAAACACAGACAAGTACAATGTGCGCAGCGGGAAGAGCTCGACGAATTTGACCGATTACGACATAATCTGCGTGATTCCCGGCTCGGAGAAGATCTTCCAAGACTGCTGCAAAGACGTCGACTGCGATTTGATCAGTTTCGATTTGGCGGAGAAGCTGTCTTTTGATGTGCGACGAGGAGCGGTCAGCTCGGCGCTGCAGAGAAATGTTCAATTTGAGTTTAATTACAGGTAGCAGCAGAAACACGAGACTTCTTGTTCACAGAAAATTCAGTTCATGGCTGATGGACTCGCAAAAGCGCAAACACGGCATCCAGTTGGCGTTCCGCCTCGGCGAGATGTCTCGCCACGCCGGAATCGTCCTCAGCTCCGAGTGCTACAATACCAGCGACATTCGCGCGCCGGGCGATGCGTCGTATCTTCTAGCGCTCGCGCGATTTCCCGAAAACTGCCTCCCCTCCCTCGTCCAACGCAATCCGACCAACTGCGCGGTCAACGCTTTCAAGAGAAAAACGCGCAAGTGTGCTGTTGTTTTGAAGAGGAAAAATGATGATGAAGAAAACTGTCTGTCTGATTGTAAAAAACAAAAAGCCTTGTCCTAGCATTCACTTGAGGGTTAACAAAAAAGGGAGAGGAGACTTTTAAGGTATTTTTGATCGTTTCTGATTGGTTGACGTACGAAATACTGGCCTCTTATTGGATGAGAGGCGTTATTTTATCCCTTCGGCAAATAAGAAACCTGTATTTCCTGGAACAGCCAATCACAGATGCCCGAAAGCCCCAAAACCTGGCCTTTCCCAGCTTTGCCCCACCCAAGTTCGTAACATGCGTTTTAGAAATCTTGAATTATGAATCGAATCGGACGAAAAAACGGTCCCTTCGCGAATCTGCTCTCCGTCCGCCAAAACAGTCGAAAAGTCCCTGAGCACTTGAGAAGAGCAAAGAACAGCGGGGAAGAGGGGATTTCCGTCACGCAGCTTTCTTCGAAAGATTACTCGAAGTTCGCGCGCTGGGACTGGATTCTACGCTTTGGAACGATAGGTGCAATTTCCGCGGCTGTCTACTTCGCGAATAAAGACAAAATCAAACGTTATCGGGTTTATGGCCAATTTGAGGAACTGGTCGATCGAAAATACGATTTGAATGTTTGGACCAGATGGCTAAAGCTCTATAATGATGGATATTCAATCAGAGAGTATTTTTTTCACCTAAAAGTGAAGATTTTTGATTGACTATTATCATAAATTATTTGCTCGGGCGGTTAATATCCATCTGTAGAATTGCCTGACAACGTCAAAATCGAGCTTTTAGCTCTCCTCCGAGATCGCGAAGAAGAACCAGTCTGGTGGGAACTGCTCCGGAACGAGCGTTCTCTCGAATTCGTCTTGGCTGAGATTCGAAAACACCCGAAAATCCTCCTTCAGCTTTCGCGCTTGTCCAACAGCAACATTCTCATCAATTTGATCAAAAAGTAAAACACTTTCTTTTTGACTTAAACCGATTTATATTCGATTTTTAGCGGGCACTTCGAGAAGACAGAAGTGCTTCAAGAACTGATCGCGCTTGGAGCAGACGTGAACGCCTCTGAAAAAGGAAAAAGCGTGCTCGAATACATCATCGACACTGGCGACGCGAAGCTCATCGTTCAGGCCATCCGGGCAGGAGCAAATGTAAACGTCAGACTTCCCTTTCACATAAAACGCGCCGTCGTCGAAACTGCCTATTCCAAGTTTACCAGATCTCGATGTAAGTCTTGAAATTAGGCTCTGCAATCTGGAAAATAACTTGACACTGTTTTTATGTTCCGACCTCATTTTCGACCCTCTGTAAAAAAGGGATGAGTACATCATGAGGTTATCTTAACCACCCTACGCCACAGAGTAGACCTTCAGCAGCTGAAGTTCAGCTCTTATTTGAGCCCAAAGTACTTCGAGAACATCGACTCCCAAAATGAGGTTAAAATTGGCGAAATCGGGTATTTCCGAGTTGATGACGTCATTTGTGAAATATCACTTGACATTGACATTTGATCAGTGTCCCTACGCCACAAATCAGACCCTAAGCTACATTTTGGTACTCTTAGGGACTCTCTGCGACTTCTCTGGTCGGAGAACATAGACTCCCCAGTTATCGGAAGCATAAAAAAACAGTGTCCTTGTAATTTCTTATAGATTCGCACGGTGACAAATTTAACGCCTTCAACGTGACCACCTTCGACAGCGAGAAAAAGGAATTCGCCCTGGAACAAGTGGACAATTTCGCCACAGCCTTTGACCTGGACCACGAAGCCGAGGAAAAGCGCCAGCTCGTCGAGGACCCAACGATCTTCTGCCGCCTTTGTTTGGCAGACGACATCGCCTTGGTCGAAGAAATCATCGATTTTGCGAGCAGCGAGAGTTTGGAGAAGGCGTTTACGCTTGTTCTGGCGCGGGGGCAAATTCAAATGGCAAAAGTGATTTTGAAAGGGTTCAAAAAGTCGTTTCAAAAAGATGGAGAAGAGAGGGTCTTGGAGAATATGCTTTACCGAGCGCTATTGGAAGGGAAGAGCGACGCTTATGGATTGATTTTGGAAGCGCTGAATATCGAACCGGCGGAAATTGCCGACTTCCACGTGATAAAACGCGCCAAAATCGTTCTCAATCTGCTTGGACGAAATAATGCTCTTCAGGAATTTCAATTTCAATTCCGGAATGCGAGGAGAGATCAAGGGAGAGAAAAAGAAAATGAACCGATCATTGACGATTTTATCAAACAAATTGGAAACGTCACCCTCCTCGCCGTGGATGATACAGATCCATCACTAGCTTCCAGATGTTCTAGAACCGTGTCCGATCTCAAGCCTGATCGTATTCTCCTCCCCCTAAACTCAACCACTATTGGCTACTTATTCCACTCGATCGAAGGCCTCGCGCAGCAATCAAAGAGCCGCTTTGACGAGATTTCAAAGAAATCCGCTCTAGAACGGACGCCAGAAGAGGAAATGCAACGCACCTTCGACTACCGAGTCATCCAAAGCGAACTCTGGCCCTTTCGCGAAGCCGTGGCGACTGTGGAAGCGGCCGCGAAACTGGAAGGAAAAATGTCGGAACTGGTGATGGCGGAGCCGGAGACAGAGGACGTTTATAAAAAAGTTGGTGTTTGTAAAGATCGACATAAATTTGAAGTTTATACTCGCGAAAGATTAAGGCAGGGATAAGAGCAGAGAGAAATAAAATCAGAAGATAGCGGATAAATCAACAAATTGGATTGTTTCTGGGAGAATAAGAGCCGTCTGGAAACAGTCTTCAACAATGAGCTTCGCACCTAACTAAGACCGTTTCCACAAGGCTTTTATTCTACCAAAAATCTGCTAATGTGTAGATTTATCCGCTAGTTCCTAATTTGTCTATCTATTATGATGTATGTTAAAATTTTTCTAATCCCAACTTAGTGACTTTGATTCGTATTCAAAGACCTGCTCGAAGGAATTCCGTGAGAAGCTGAAAAATACGCGCGAATCATATTTTCCGGAAGCTAACGAAGCATACTACGGGACCAAGAAAGACTTTCTCGTTTCCACAATCCGGGAGCACTGTAAAGACAGGCGGAAAAGCTGCCTCTGTCTAGTAGACATTGAGCTCTTTGATAGTGTTCTTGATGCCCTGCTGTAACTGTAACTGTTTGATTGTGATTTTAAGTTTATTGAAATGTATTTTTCGTTGGCTGGGCAGGATATATTCTTATTAAATAAAACGTTAAAAAGAAACACAACTTTACAAAGACTGTTTGTACTCAAGCTGCTCGATTTTTTGGGAGAGTTTTTCGTTGGCTCTTTCGAGCTCTAGAATTTTTTGCTCGCTCTCGTTCAACTCGCGCTGGAGGTCGTTGCAATGCGAGCGCGTGTCGTTGAAGCGCTCGCTCGTTTCCATCGACTTCTGCAGCTCAGAGGCGAGTTTTGAGACTTCCCCTTGAGAAAATTTGTTATTTACCGCAACCTCATAATTAAGTGGGCTTTTTACGAATGTGTAATAGTTTTAAATGCCAATTTTCGCTGAGCGACCGGAGTAACTAATAAGACTAGAGAGGGCCTAGAGAGGGACTTGCGCTCGAACTTTATTCATAACTCCGCTCGCTCAGACGAAATTGGAACCATGACTGTTGTTACTGAAGCTTTTATTAAATGACTTACTACTGCTTGCCTCTTCCCTAAGAATCGACTCGTTCATTTTCGTCCGTAAAGTAGCAAGCTCGTCCCTGAGGTTTTCAACGACCCACTGGAGCGATTCGCACTCGGCGTAAATGTTGCTTTCCTCAAGGTCGAGTTTTTCTACAACAGGAGCTGCTTCGGGACTTTGGGGAGCATGTTCATTCTTTTCGTCTTTTTCAATTCGAACGCGCGTTTCTAAAGGCCAATTTTTGTATTTCGAAAGTATTTTAAAAAGGTACCTTTAGGAGTAGAAGCAGCAAAAGTTTGAGGAAGGGGAGGAGCTTCGGCGGCCTGAGATTCTAGCTCAGCGATTCGCGCATTCGCTGCGTTGAGTTGTTCTTGAAGCAGTTGCTTTTCTTCGTCCAGGAGTCGGCGAGCCTCTGCATTTGACGCCTCGAGTTCTTCGAGCTCGTTGTTGTTTATTTCATTTTTCTCTGAACCAAGAATTTAGGAGAGATCGGCAAAAAAAAAATATCGGTCGTTGGGAAGGGTTTCTTGCAAAAGAACACTTTACGTCGAAAAAATAAGGGTATCCAATTGTTAAATTAAGAAGAAAAGCCTGCTAAAATTCTGATTACCGTTGTACTTCTGTCTTCTTTTCCCTTTGTCCCCTGAGCAACAGGCAAATCGCCGAACACCGCTGACGAATGATACCCATATGGCCATTGCGTAGCACATGCACCTACAGTTGCTTCATTAATTGCTCTATAGTTCGTTCTCTTGCAAATCAATTAATTGCAATCATGGAATAGCGCTATCGCCCTTTTTGGGTCAGCGTTGCGTCCATCCCCGCATCAGTGAGTTTGCCCTGGGCGGGGATATTGGAACGCCCAACAAAATAATATCCAAAAATATATGTATACCCTCAACCAAACACATTCTACAAGCTCATTTTGAAATACACTTTTTTACGAACACCATCTTACAAAACTTTGTTAGTTTGAGACATTTTTGGTCATTTTTCCATAATTTTCTAATGAAAAAGACCTAAAACCTGCCGAATTTAGCAATATTTTGAAAGATATTTTCCAAAAAAATATTTTTCAAAATTAGCTTGTAGAAAATATGATGCCTGACCGAGGGTATTCATATTTTTGTGTAATAATTTTGAGTTCCAAATACGTTATTTTTCCCGTCAGAAATAATTCCAGTAATTCATTTTCCAATTATGATATTATTTTTTCCTCTTACCTCAGGCTCGCATTTTATCAGAAAGAAGCAAAACGCACGAATCGATTTAAATCGGGCACCGTATCTGAATAGATTTACTGTTTATAATTGCTCGATGGCCAGAAGCGCGAAACGCGGAATTGTTTGCTAATTTCGTAATCATTCGCAAAAAATAAATTTGAGCTTTTGTCAAACATGAAAGAAAATCGCCACTCAAGTCTTCCTCGATCACTCTTTTTTAATTGTATTGTCTTCTGATTGTAATTCGGACGCGCTCTCCTTTTGTCCCGCGCTTGTTATCCCGCCCGATTCTTAATTCTTCTTTGATGGTCATTTTTTCTTAATTGTTGAATGTTCAGAATGCAACGATGATCATGAGCCGCCGTTTCGCGAACGAAGCAAGTCAGAAACTCAAACAGCAGGAGAGCACGAAGCTGGTTTTGTGTGTGCTCCGCATCGCACTTTATGGATTCATTGTCGTCTTGTCGCTCGTTTTTGCCAGGTTAGACTTTTCAAACAACAACTTCTTCAAACAAAAAAGAAGAGAAAGACATAAAAATCTTCTCTTTTTCCTCTTTTTTTTGGAAACTTCTCCATTTTACCTTCCACTTTCAGCTTCCTGAATGGCTACTGGGACCGGCTGAGTCTCTACATCGCCGGGCTCTTCGGCATTTTCTTCGTCTCAGAAATCATGGTTGTCATTTCTCTTGGAATTCCAAAGCCGCCGCAATCGTCGCCAAAGAAAGAACAAAAAGAAGAGCTGCCTCAGCCGGCCATCATTGTAAGAAATAATTACCTTCATTACTAGCCGCTTTTCTTTCCTCTTTACAGGAAGCTCTCAAATAGGAAACGATATCTCTCTAACGTTGTTCAGGCGCCGGAGATCAACCTTCGCGATCACACAAGAGCCATCGCCGCGTGTCTCAAGCGCAACGATCCGAACAAACGGGAGAGCCGCTCGCCGGCATCGCTCAACTCGTCACTCCGCCACCGCATCAAGTCACCACAAAAGTTGGCATCACTACTTTTTTTTCTCACTGACGAACTAACTTCTCTTTCTTAGGCCAATCAACACCGAAAAAGACCTCGAAGAATACCTCCAATCCTTTGTCGGCCCGGATAACAAATCGACCTTGATTTGCCCACCAAAAGAGGTAAAAAACTGATTCAAAATCAGCGTTGCTAAATTATCAAAATTGTAGGTGTGGCAGTCTCCGATTCGCTTCTCCGACTACCCGAACAAGTTCAAGTTCCAACTGTCAAAGACGCCTCCATCCAAGCCAGCGAATCCTCATCTTCCGTTCGACACCACTGGCGTCGAAGAGACCTCGACCAATGCTTGGATTCAGCTGGGCGTCACTAACCGCGAATTGAACAACTGGCAACTCAACCTCCGCGCCGTCCTCTGGCGATGCATAGTCAACCCGCTTTCCAAAGAAATTGACAGGGTCAACAACGAGCTCAAGGGTTAGTAAAGAAACTAAAGGGGGATCCTCCCTGGGAACCTATAAGACATACACTGAAGAAGCTTTTTCACAATGATTATTTATTAAAAATGACAAAAAAAATAACAGTCTAGTTCCATTGCTGTAGAGCAAACTTGTTTATAAGTTTCATTAAACAATTTCTGGGCCAGAGTGGATCATATTTTCGACAGGATCTTTTACTTATAACTAAAATGATAAATCGTGCTGTAGCATTATTTTTCGTGGAGACTGACTGCAATTTCACTTTTTATACAGTCAAAATCACCCAAGAGCGCTACTTTTTGTATAAACTGCATTAAAGTCTAAGTTGGATATTTGCAAGTATGTTTGTACGTCCTTCTTACGATCTAACGATAACCTACTTTCGTGCAAACGAAAAAGCAGGATTGTTAAATATTGCTGTCCTAATTCTAAGCTTCAGCTGTCCTCCCCGACGTTCAAATCGGCAAAACATCGATTTCGGATCTCCAAATGGTTTCCAATCCTCAATTGAGTCAGGACATCCGGCGCATTATCCCCTACTTGGAGGTCGGATCCAACCATGGCTATTTCGTCAAACGTCTCCGGACACTCGCCCAAGAGGGCTATCTCTCCAGCTACATTTGGAACGGTGGCGAAGACTACAACGGTCAGAAGTGGGCAAAGTAAGGTTCACCAACTTCATCCTCAAATAACATTTTTTCCCTCTTTCAAGGCAATTTCCAACTGACACGGCGATTCTGATGCACATCTTCTCCTGCTGGATGGACAATCACATGCCTCCAGATCCCTCCGCCGGGGTAGACGCTAGAGCTTTCACAGACAGATTCCTTCTTCGAGCAAAGTCTCTCGGTAATACCTTTTCATTCCGTTCCAATTGTTATTAGACCTTCAGTGAAACGAAAGCAGGACATGCGGATTAATCCCAACTCGAAGAAAAAAGTGGCCTTTCCCGTGGCGGTCCGAGTTCCAGTCTCGATCGTCGAATTTTCAGAAGACCCGCCAGAGTATTATGTCCAGCACCTGGACCAAGAAAAGCTACGAAACAGCGAGATCGAGTATCAAGTCAAAGAGGTTACTTTTTCACTTGCTTTCATACCACCACCAACCCTTTTTCAGTTCCCAGCTGGGCGATACAATCCCCTCCAGAGCATTTTGTTGCTTCTTTACATGCTGAACAAAGAAAATCACGGCGAAATCGCTGGCGTCTCCCTTGGCCCTGCTGGCCTCGATCTCTTGAGCGTCTTCACCGATTTCAAAACATGAAAAATTGAAATGAAGAAGATTCAATTCTAGGCACATTTTACTATTTTTTTTTTCTATTTTTGACTGACTAGTTTTCAATTATCACTTCACAACGGAACAGCTATAAACCACTGCGTCACAAACAAACTAAAAATAATCAAGTTCAATTTCGAACCATGAAAAAAAGCTAAAAGGTTGATTTTTACACGGCATCTTTTCAGAATAGAAAAGAAATGTCAGAACTGTGGCTTGTCTCCGTGCCGGGCGAGCAGTACAATCAAATGAACACGCTCCCGGGCGACTTGTGCGCGATGAAGGCGGAGATGAAACTGCCCGAGCTAAAGGTCGGCACGCTCGATCAACTCATCCAGCTGAGCGATGAACTTTCCAAGGCGGATGCCTTCGGCGAATCTGTTTGTCGAAAAGTATCCGGCTGTATGCTCGACATTCTCGATGGGGACAGAGCCCAGGCGTCCGAACACTTGAGGATGAACAATGGAAAAGATTCGGCGAACAGTGAGTTGTTTTTTTTCTTTTTGAAAAGTTCGTAGAATATAGAAGGAGCTTTGTGGATTAACTGAGGCCTAGGGTTAGGTTAGGATTGGCCAGCTAAGGGTTAGGGTTTTACGTTGACAAAAGTAGTGGCTTTGTAGATACGATTTTTAACAAAATTATTGATCAAAAATCCTGGTTGCTAACATCCTTGATTTGTAGTGTGGGTGACGAAGTTCAAGTGGGACGCAGCAAAGTTCCCCTCTCGCGTCGCACTGCCACAACTGCTCGGTGTGATCAACCGGGCTTTGAGCGAAATCGACACTGCGGTAAAGAAGAAAAGCGCGCACTACAACGGCATCAGAAGCCAACTGTCTCAGTTTGAAAAGCGTTCCAATGCCTCGCTCGTCACGAGGCCTCTTTCTGATGTTGTAAAGGTACACTTTAATCGATACGTTTATGATGATTTTAAACGATTTCTCTTCAGCAGGCGGATTTGGTCCAGGCCAGCGAGTATCTGGAAACCTTGTTCGTCGCCTTGCCCGCTCGTTGCGAAGAAGAATGGCTCAAGGGATACGAAACGCTGACCGACATGATCGTGCCCAGGTCGTCAAAGAAGATCGTCGGCGACAACGAATACTGCATCTTCTCAGTGACTGTAAGTCCTTACTTTATATAAATTTCGGTATGCTCTTTTTAGCTGTTCAGACGCGCCGTGGCTGAGTTTAAAAACGAGTGCTCAAAGCGAAAATACATCGTGCGCGAGTTCAACTACTCAGCCGCCGACATCAAGAACGAAAAAGAGCAACAGACGACTCTATCTACTGAAAAATCAAAGACCTATCCAGTTTTGTTCAAATGGCTGAAGGTCAACTTTAGCGAGGCCTTTTCTGCCTGGCTCCATATCAAGGTGCGGATTTCTTTTCGAGGAAAAAGAGCATCATCCTAATTTTTAGGCGTTGAGGATTTTCGTCGAAAGCGTTTTGAGATATGGTCTGCCTGTGAATTTCCGAGCCGCTGTACTTATCCCTGCCAAGCCCAGAAAGCTCCGTGAGCGATTAAATAAGGTACGGCAGAGCGTAGAAAGACAGCAGAGTGATACCCTTATCATATAATGTTGCGTCTTCGTTCCCAATTCTCAATTCTTTGTTTCAGATTTACTCGGAGCTGGATTCCGCCAATTTCAGCAACACGGCAAACGACGGAGACGTAGGTCTAAAATTCGACTCAGGCGACTACTACCCTTACGTTTATTGCCGCATCCCGGGCGATATCGTCGAATCTTCCTAAAAAACATGAATTTTACATGTCGTTTAAATCCTCATTTCACTCTTCAAACAATATCTTCATCAAATACTACTGTAACTGGTATAAACTATTGTTTCTCTACTTGAACTCTTTTTATTTTTTTCGTGCAAAAAAGTATTTATCGCCTTTTAAAGTTCATACTTATTCTTTCGTTTGTGCAATAATTGGTCAAATAACTATTCATAAAATTTATAATGTTAAAAGCTTATATCAGAGATAAGAAAAGTGAATGACAGAGGGAGTGACTGTATGTGCGTGCACGGGCATTCGAAGTTGTATGGATTGTTGCGAGCTAGAGAGCACGAAAGAACGCATTTCTCGGTAAAAACATTCCTTGTTTTCAATATCTTGTGAAACAATGAGTTGCTAATTACTGCCTAGCTAGCGCGAAGAAGCCGGAGGAAACAGATGTAACTGTAGAAGTTAATTTGATGAGCAGCGATGAGTTATCCAAAATCGGTGCTTTTGTTTTCCCCGATTTTCTAACCCGCGAAGAAGAGAAACAACTCGCCTCGGTAATGGACTCTGATGATGGAAGCAAATGGGTGAACTCGCAGTCCGGGAGAAGGAAGCAAGACTTTGGGCCGAAAGCCAATTTTAAGAAAAAGAAGGCGAAGCTCGGCTCGTTCTCGGGGATGCCCAGTTGTATGTTTCCGCTATACGAGAGAATAAACAGACTACATCCGATTCTGAAGAACTACGCGCCCGTGGAGTGCTTGTTTCTAGAGTACGAGCCTACGAAAGGCGCTCACATCGATCCCCATTTCGACGACAACTGGCTTTGGTTAGGGTGCAGCGATTCCGAATTTCGATCGTGAATTTCAATTAATTGAAAGCGCTAGTTGTATCCTCAGTGAAAGGGCGAATGTATCATGTCTCTGTCTTTGCTGAGCGATAGTGTTATGACTCTGTCTCGTCAAGTCTCGCCAGGGCGTCTCGTTGAAATCCCCGTCCCGATTCCTGCCCGCTCGCTGCTCGTCCTCTCCGGCGACAGTCGCCACAAGCTCAAGCACAGTATCAAGCCAGAGTTAGTCATTTCAAAGAAGGAACGATATGTATCGATTGCTAATTCTACACATCGTAAAATATAGCTCTACAAAAAAAACAATTTTCAAATATTTCGACAATGCCCGAATTCAGGAAGAGGTGTATTTTCGTTGCCTCCACGGTATATTTTGTACAGCTATATTTTACGATGTGTAGAATTAACTGGCAATTGGCCAACTCTGTTTTCCAGGCAGAACATATAACTTCTCGCCGTTTGTGCGTGACCATCCGAGACCTGTCCGAAAAATTTATTGAAGAGAATCCAGAAATAGCTGCAGAGATATCGCGTATCGCCGCAATCCAGCTTTGAGAAAAAAGTTTGACATCTTTTTTGTTTCAGAATGGCGTCGAAAAACGCGACGCACAATGCCGTGCCGAAGCTGTACAACGACATCATCAAGGATGTGATCAGTTCGGTGCGCGACGACTTCATGAACGAGTCGATCGATGAATCCGTGCTCGAGGACTTGAACAAACTCTGGCTCAAGAAGCTCGAGGACACGGGCGCGACGAGAACACTTACGTCTTCAGCTGTCACCGCCATCAACAAAAACGTTTCAGACTCGGTTAGTCACTCTCTTGCTACCTGTATAAAAAACCTTACTTAACCAATCCAACCCGAACTCTAACTTACGTTTTCCTTCGCTAAAATTTCGGTAAAAAATATAGAGATAGTTATTTTTCAGAAAGCCGCCACGCGGCTCTTTTTAAACTCATTTATGACCCTATCTTAGGCACTCTCGATTTTCAAGAAATTTCAATAATTATATTAAGCACGGAGGAAGCAATGTCGTCTACGTCGGACCAAAAGGAAGGAACAATCTAACGCTGCCGGGAAGGCATCCAGTTTACAAAAAACCAGATGGAGTCGTTTATCCCGAGAGAACGACGATCGTCAACTCGACTAGCCAAAACAGCCGCTTTCCCAATCAGAAACCTAGATTTACGAATTTCACGAGCGGAGATAAACAAATTGGAAGTAAGTTTGGCGGATTTTCGGTATACTTAGTTTTTTGTAAAATCTGAAAAGTATGAGATCCCCTAATTCTTTCCTTTTCAGATTCGACGCGACGTTTCATTCAAATCCCTTCAAATAACAGTGCAGGAGTGATTCAGCAAAAGTATCAAACTATTTCTAGCAGTACTGTCAATAGAGCGGTCCGGCCAAACCCGGTAAGAAAGTCAACAACTGTTCTTTTTCACCCATTTTTTTTCTTTCAAGAAACCGTACGGACAAGCGCGAACAGGAGGAGTAGTTCACTCAACAGCGCCAGTGAATATCAGCCCTACCTCTGGCGGCCAGAATCAGCGACAGGCAGTGATAAAACAGAACACGCAAACAGTAATCAGCGGAAACAGACGGATGCCGCTATATTCCAACCAAATCGCCCAGAAAAACGAGGCTCAGATGGCCCAGCATCGAGGACAAGCGCAGAGTAATCAACAGGCAGGGGGACAGTTACAGAGCATGAACGGGCAGCAGTCCGTTCAGCTAAGCAGCCACGAACAGCAGTCGAATCTGAACGACAGTTACAGCTCAAACGAATACGGAGTCGAATCGGCGTACTCCAGCTCAGCCAGCCAGAACAATATCTACTTTTCACAGGTTAACTTTATCATTCTGCTTTTCTACTGTTGGTTCCCTTGATAACGAAACTCTTCATCGAGCTATTGATTGGTCCAGAACTTTCTTTACATCTCCAGGTCAATCAGCCGCTCGATGATGGAAGGTCGTTGTCGGTGGAAGCCTCTGTAGCTGTAGTTTTTCTTCCTAACTCTTGAACTTGAAGACGGACGGTCCACTGGGCGACGACGAATTCGACAGCGACTCGAGCTTAGAAGATAGCGACGAGGAAACCGAGGAGATCCAAAACAGCGAGCCGGCCGAGGCGGAAAACCCACTCGGCTCCGACGATGATTTGGACGGGGCGGACGACGACGACGCAATTTTCGAAACAGGTCTGAGCGCGTTTTTCCTCCTTGATTTCAAGCAGCACATTTCAGACAACCAAATAGTGTGCCAGTACGACAAAATCCAGCGCGTCAAGAACAAGTGGCGCTTCTGCCTCAAAGACGGGATCATGCACCTGCACGGGCGCGACTTCGTCTTCCAAAAAGCCAGCGGCGACGGCGAATGGTAAAAGCGACCTTTTTCTTTCGCTTCTTTTGCAAAAAATGAACAACCGCGCACAATGTAAATAAAAATCTCCTCTTTACTTTCTCTCTTCTTTACTCTCTTTTTACTCTCGACTGTCACTGTTTTTTTGTCTTGATTTCTTACAGTTCAAAAATGCGCTAGTCTCTTAGTTGATCCTCCTCCTCTTCTAGCGATTGTGAGAATTTTGAATTTGAATTACTGGGAGGCTCAAAAACACGAAAATAAAAACCCAAATTTATTCCGAATTCGCGGAAAAGACACAAATAAAAATCGCTTTATAAAATTTCAACCCTTCCTGTCCAAAGTCCGATGTTTCTACTATTCTCACCCGTCACGACCATTTTTGACTAGAAATGGCGTCACGTGACACTGACGAAGCCAGTTCAAGTACGTTCCGTTTCATCAATCAACTTGTTGTTTTATTATTATTTATTGTTATTTGCTAAACGCGAGAAGGAGGAAGTTGGCACCAATTTAAGTCTACCTGCCTAGATGATGCAGTTTTTAATATTTAACTCAGCAGTTCAATAATTTTTTCCCTATTTTTTCTCCTCCCTTTTGAAAACGAATCCATGCTTTTTATCTTTTATGTATTTTTTTTTCTGAAAATTTCTGCCAAGATTCCCGTTTTTTTTTCAACAAAAAAGCATCAATTGTACAAATCCCAACTCGGCGTTCGCGAAGAGCCCACAGTTCTGTATTCTTGTTTATACAGTACTTTTTCGAATCGAATTCGTATCTTTTCATTTAATAAATCTCCATTTACCGCCTAAAATGAGCACTCTTGCCAACAACAAATAATAAAAAAAGTTTAAAATCGAAAGAAATTATCCAAGAAACAGGAAACTTCAATTTCCTGTTTCCGTGTTGGTTCTGTTTTTATGCAGGCTTGCAGATGGAAAACAGAAAATAACTGCAGGCAACATTGTTTATTCCGAATTTTATTTCTTAGCTGCTGATTCAACAATCTACTGTTTTTTTAGAAAACGTGGGGGAAGGAGGATCTTAAAATAAATTTAATTTGATATTTATTTAGTTTAATTTAGATGAAATTACTCGGGGACGATAGGTATGAATTATCTTGTTTTTAGTTCTTTTTCTAAAAATAATAGATAAGGAAGATTTTATCTTCTATTTTCAGACCGTAAAAAGTATTATAACATCCATTTGTTAAAGTACAATTACAGGTTGTAAAACAAATGTCTACAATGCGTTCAATGCTTCATTTGGGTTGATTTTCTTGACAGAATTCAATAGAAACGAAGAAGCAACCAGGCGGTTATTTTATAAATTTACGGAAATCTACCGGCTTTGTAAAATGTCGGTAAAACGGTGTTATTTAATATTCTTCCAATCCCAACTAATTATATTTAATTAAGTGTAATTAATTCAGAAAACTCAAGGTGTGGCTTCAAAAAAGTTTCATGTGTCTATGGGAGATAATTCCTTGATTACCATAATTTCCGCGTCAATCAGCTTAGACTCAATAGACAGAGAGAATAGTACTCTTTGGGCTCAATTGAAATTGTATTCAAAAATTTGATTATTTTTGCTTTTTTTTAATCATCAATAGAAATCCCCAAACTCTATCTTTCAAATGTCTGTAATCACTAAGTTCAACTGGCAATTTCTTTCATTATAAATAGGAGAATTATAATCTGGAATTTTCGGAAGGGGGCTTGTACGGTAATGCTTCGAATTCAGCTCAATTTGGATTATCCTAATCCTGAATTTTATTCATAAACGAATCCACTCCCGTGGGTTTGTTTCCAATAATATGATAATTATGCAGCTCGTGCCGCTGTCAATCATTATTACTCAAAATTATAAAATACGGATATTACTTCTGAATGCTTTTATTGAAGATTTCAGCCAATAAGAGGCCAGTATAGATTGTTTTAGCCAATCAGAGGCCACTGTGTCCCCCATTCATCCCCAAACTTGAGAAAACCACCCGAATATTCCCTATTTTAACTTTTTTATAACAAGATTGGATAAGTTGACATTTCGTTATATTTTACATTTAATCACATAATTCGAAGCAATTCTCGAAATAATTATTTCGGATAAAAGTTCTAATTAGCTGTGGATAATTCTTGGATCATGCAGCTTAATGTGTCCGAAAATGAACAATTTATTCTGATCGGAAATGAATTACTTCAAATAATAAGGTTATTTTTGCGATTTTTACATAATGAAACCCTTATTTCTGTCATCAAAAAAATTTACACGAAAAATTAATTGATTCGAGCAATAGATCTTCCATTTATCGGAACATGTGTCAAACTAGAACAGAGAGGAGGGTCATTCAGTTTCTTACAAGTGTAGTTTTATTTTTACATTTTTGGCGAATCAAATTTTGCGCAGTTCAAAGATCGTCTTTGCAAGAGGCTTCAATTTGATAATTGAATGTAAGCTCTTGCTTATATGCGTCAACTCGTTACATAAATCCCTTGTTTCTACATCTTTACCTTTTAATAACTCTCGTTTATTGCCCCCTCTTCAGTCTAATTATTGCTGTATTGATAATAAATAATCTTATCTAAAAATGATATTCTATTTTACGAAGATAAATCGTTATTTATCATTTTGAAATTAAAATTTTTGAATTTTTATCACTAGAATTTTTCAATATTAGCTAATTATTTTTTAAAAACCTCTTTCCTGAAGTTATTGAGCTTTTTGAAGTCCTGAATTAATTGCTGCCTAGCTGACTGGCTTCGAAAAGGATGGAAATTCGATGATTTCAAGAAGAAGAATTTCGATTTTTCTTTCATCCATTCCTGACTCTATATTTCTCTGGGTGATAGGAGTGCATGTTCTTTGCTGAAAAAACGCTTGTAAAGCGCTTGAAAAAGAGAGGGTTTAGTACGTACGTGGGACAACACTCAGCGGGGCGAACATTTTCATAAAATTCATAATTTTTTCTTTTTGTAGCTCTTATCGCCTTCTGTTTGAATTCTCAGACCAGAAAGAGGTTAAGTACTGTCTTTTATATTATGCATACGGCGGGGAACATAATTAATAATCAGACTGTCAAAAATTCTGCAAGAAAAGCGGCTTTTGTTTGAAAAAATGAAGATAAAGAGGATAATGTTTTTCTCCAAAAGTTAACCTAATGACACCCCTATTTCATTCCACCAAAAGATTTTTAAAAATATTCGTATGTTTTTTTGATTCTTTGAAAATCTGATATCGGAATAGTAGTTGATTGATAGGCATTTAGCTAGCTTATAAAATTCAAAATTAAATTGATTTGAATATTCGAAGTGGCTGTATTTCGTAACGCTTGCTCTCTGCCACCATCTTAGTCGGGCCGATTTTTGATATAAATAAATCGAAGATCGTACTTATCATTATCATTCAGGAAGAGCTATTTTAAATTGTAGACAATCTTCCCGATGACTCATGACAAGGTAGAGGTTTCATTCAACCCGTTTTACTTTAAAACTAATTGTGTTTTAACTAGTGGCTGATGATTTCCATCGGAATCGGCGTCGTCTCCGTCGTCCTTTATGGAGTCATCTTCAGTAAGTTCAACTGTAATTACTAATTATCAAAGGAAAAGTCGTAAAAAAACCCTGCTTTTTTCGAGATGAAACAAAGTGACACCCTTATTTTATTCGACCAAAAGAAGATTTGAACTAAATATGATTTCTAGAGTTAAGACAGGGACACCCTTATATCATTCCGTCCGAAAATAGCTCAAAGTTGTAAATCAACTCTAAATATATTTCCTTAAGATAAGGTTGTCACTTTGTTGACGGAGAAAAGAGCCTTTTTAACATATGTTTTCAGTCGTTATTTTGTGGTATGACTTCTGCAAGCGGCGAGTGCTGACCAACGACGATTCTGTCGACCTCTCCGTCACCTCTGTCTAGTAGCAGCAGGGTCTCAGTTACTGCCAGTTACAGTTTCCGAGCTTTTTCGGTAGCATCCGCGCTTCTTAATTACAAAATGAACCAGCCTTCAGATTGTAGATGAGATCTCGAATTAATAAAATAATCAACAGACTCGATAGTTTTTTTCATTTGATAAACTGAATCTTCAGTAGTCATACTTAATAATCACCGTTCGAAGTAATTTCGAACAATTTTCTTCGTTGTTATCTTTATCTTTATTAAATTGGAGGCCATTTGGTTTTATTGCCATCGAGTAATGTTACTAGTTCTTTTTTTTATCTGGCTATCAATAGTAGTAGTGCTTATCTTATTATACCGAGTAATAGAAAGATAAAAGAAGAACCGCCACACTAGGGGGCAATAAAACCAAATAGCGTCTAATTATTACTTATAAAGAGTTAATTTAGGTATGCACACCTTAAGTGATACCCTTATTTTCGGTGAAGCGGGGTATCAGTTAGACACCCAAAAGTAACTGTTAGTTTGAACCCTTTTCTCAATTAAGGGTTAGGGTTAGGGAACAGGGAGTCCGGGGGCTAACCCCCTGAGTTAGCCCAAAGGGGGTCCCCTTGGGTTAGGCTTAGGGGCTGTCCGACCGATAGCCCCTACTACCTAATTTTATAGCATCAAACGAGAGCCTGTGCCTAGGCTCGGTAACCTGTGTAGAAATCCTGAGTCAGGGTTCGCAGCGGCTTGGCAAAAACTTATTTAGCGAATACCCTGACTCAGGATGTCTACACGGGTTGCCGAACCCAGGCTTTGACTTTTTTATGATTCATTACTTGAAATTTCTTCTATGATTTCGGGCGATTTTCAAGACAATTTTTTTGAATGAAAATTTATTTGCAAGAATTTTTCAAAATCGAGAATTGTGAGTTTTTGTTTACGCTTCATACAACTCGTTTGACAGGGCGGTTTTCTTTGATCCAGCCATTTAATCCGGCAAAGTAGTTCTTCGCTTGCCTGTGGAAATAGAGTAGCAGTTGTAAGTAAAGTGCTCATAGCAACTGTCAAGTAACAGTATTAGCAACTACCTGTAATTGAGTTCAAAGAGCGCCATTGCCCCGTCCTGAGCGCGGCGCCCATCGCGGCAATACAGTATTATTTCGGTGCTCTCGCTTGGCTTTACTCTACTTAAAAGATAGTCGAGCCAAATTATAAGGAGGAACCTTTTGAAATGCTTCTGGAAGTCGTCGTCGGAGAGGTTGAAAAATTTGCGAATTTCGTAGTGTGGAATGTTCAACCAGTTCTTCGCGTCGATGATTCCTTCGTTGAATTCTTGCTTGAGCCGGACATCGATCACCAGACTTTTTTCACTTTTTCGTGCACTGAGGATTCAAATTATTGCTTTCTGTGGAAATAAACTCAAGACTCAAAGCTACTTTCTTACGCAAGTCTTAAGGGTATCACTACGAAAACATTGACAGCGAATTCTGCCTGAAAAATGGCCTCGATATTCTCGAGAATCTCTGAAATTAAGGGGGTAGAACTATGCTATTTTCGAAAAACCTAGTTCTACCCTCTTAATTTTGAAACATACTTTTACAGTTTTTTTCCTCTTTTGTGGACCCCAAATTTGTGGACATTTTCTTCATTTTAAGGGGTACTCGTGGGACACTATTGCAAAGATAATGTTCCAATTTTGTGGACATTTTCCCTGATAAGAAAATTTTAGAGGCAAAAATGACATATTTTTTTCAAAAATCAAGGGTTATTTTCAAGAAATGAAGGACAAAAGCATTTAAATTTGTCGAAAAAAGATAAACATAAGCAAGAGAAAGGCGTTTCGAGGATGAAATTTCCCATTTTTCCATAAAAACTTATATTTGAAAAAATTTAAATATACTACGGCGGGACATTTTTTGGGAACCCTTGCCCACTTTTGTGGACATTTTTCCGAAAATTTGGGACAAAAAATGTCCACAAAAGAGGAAAATAACTGTATATCAAAAAGTAAACCTAATGGTGTCCTAATTGAATATCTTTAGAAGTAAGTAAGTCTCAATCAAAATCATGATTCATGAGAATTTCTTCTAGCATAACTTTCTATTAAATTACAGTGCAATAAACTAATAAATCTTTCTTACCGCTCAAGATCAGATGTTTCTGCTGTTTGATCTTCAATCGTTGGGATTCCGATCATCTCTCTATCGTTTAATTAGTCAAATAAATCCCGGCAAGAATACAATAATTATTATTTATCAGTATTTAGTATCGATATTTTCTCAAAGATAATAAAACTTCAATTTGATTCAAAACTTTCGATTCTGTACTTGAACAAGTGGAAAAATAAAGAGCTTCCGCGAAGCGTTGTTGGTTCAATCTTTCTTTGCTTAGCTGCTTGCTAAGTTACAGTTAACTTCTGACTGTAGCGATTGAACATGAACCCGCTTGCACATTTTTCAAGCAGGAAATATGATTAATTTAGCTTTTGGCCGCAGCTGTTACCTTTGTGCGGCTTTTTTTTATTCTCTCGCTGGTTTCAAGTGTGTTCAATTCAATTTTCAAAATTTATATTCTTTTTTTTTTCGCCGCCGCCGTTGAATTGAAATTGAAAATTTGAATAGTCAATTCACGCCAAATGAAAAATGGAAATGCCAGTTTGTCGACACTGTCTTCAAAGAAACGACTTCCTCTCTCTCTGTTTCGCGATTCTTTCGAATTCCAGCGCCTGAGAGGGAAATCGATATGGCGCGTAATGATCGCTAATTCTTGGAAGATCTAAAAGACAAGTGGTCAGCTAGTTTACACACGTCAGGACGTACTATTTGCTCGCTGTTTTCAATTTAATGCGACTCAGTAATCGAACAAATCTGGCTCTACTTCTTTATCAAGCAGCGCTGTTTCCGAAACGGGTGATTCTGACTGCTTCGGGACTTGATTTATTGATGATGAGGGTATTTTTCGCAAATTGCCAGCAGAATTTTCTGTCGAAGTTAAAATTGTGAGACCCTTATTTTCAATCGTTAATTGAACGTTCGAGCCCTTATCTCGGTCTTTTTTTGCAAACCTGTGTGAAAACCTTAGTCAGGGCCCTGAAATAAGGCTTATAAAACTGTTCTTTTATTAAAGCTTTTAAAGGACCCTGACTCAGGTTTTTACACAGTTTTCGAGCCTGAATTCCTGACCTCAAAGAATTCAAAAATCAAAGAGGAAAATCAAGGTACTACTAATTTTTATTTTTCCTTAAAACTGCAGAAGTGGAAATATTTTTGCATCAGAAACGTTTTTTCCTCGCAGCAGGTTCATCTAAAACCACCTTGTTGACAAATAATTATTTCTTCGTTGCGTGATTCTGCTGAAAAAGGAGCCTTGAGCAGGGAATAAAAACCAGCGGAACGGGTGCCCAGATTAACCCTCTGCCCCAAGTAAGAGAGTGAAAAAAGAGAGATGAAGTTTTCCGCCGCGCTTTTCGTCATTGCCCAAGCGCAAAGCGACGAAGCCGACCGAGGCTACTATTTCCAGGTGAGAACAAATCAAAGAAGCTGCAGTTTTAGACAACTGTTTTTCATTCTAGGACTACTACAACACAAATATCTACGCTGGAAAGACCGGCCAGGACGCCAGTTACAACAAGTACGGTCTGGCGAACGGAAACCGTCGATACTGCCACGCGACGCCCAAACAGAAGCAGATCCGCCACTGGGACATCACCGAGCACGGCTACTTCAGCAGCGGCAACTACTACCCAGTCGAGTGCTTCGGCCACGACATGTTCTGCTACATCGAAGAGCGCGCCCAGTTCGGCCAAATCGTCAACATCCAAGCCGGCTGCGCCCAAATGATGAACCATCCCGGCTCCACCATCGCCAACGAGAGCGACCTCGTCTCCCAAATCTACAAACTCTACTACAACAAAGAAGCGGCCAGAGGCGACGAAATCAGCTACCACTACGGCATCGGCGGTTGCCTCGCGCTCCCAGCCCAAAACGGCTACGACAGCAGAAGCGGCGGAGACACCGATGATGACTTCAAGAAGAATCTCAAGGACAACAGATGGATGGGACTCCACGGCGGCTTCGGGCTCAACCAGTGCCTCCGTCTCCACGAGAAAGACGGACCCAAGGCTGCCCTCCGACTTGGCCCTTCGATTTGCCGAGCTTGCTGCCTCGCCACGCCTCATTACTACCAGGACGGCATGACCGGAGACGCCCTCACCAAGAACTACTTGTGCAACCATCTTCCTTACAAGAGCTCGACCGCGGGCGAGCCAGAAATTCCAGACAAGACCGCCTTCGACTGCGAAACAACAGTTGCTTGGTGCAGAAAAGAGGTAAACAAAATACAAGATTTTTTTGCGTAGAAACCTTTTCATACTTTTTACACTGAAAAATTTGTCAAACGTTTCTTTCCAGATCACGCCCAACTTCGGCCAATACAGCGTCCCAGACTACAACGCCTACTACAATCTCTTCGATCTCCCAACATCATCGGATACCGACACCTTCTGCGATGGCGGCACTTGCACACCAGAATAAGCACTATTTTATTTGAAAAAACAAAATGACCCTGCTACTCATTATTTCATTTACCGCTTGTCTCTCTCTCTGAAAAATGAGAAAAAAAAATAATAATAAATCAAAATTTCATGTTTCAAAAAAAACACCAGAATCTTCGAGCATCTCATTTTTATTTTTTGACAAAAAACGATGCCTTTTCAGAATATTGATTGCTACTTATGTCATCTCAAATCCATAAATGGCCACAAATTATTGACTTCGAATTTTGGAATCGAAATCTTCTTCATTTTAATTTTCAATAATCAGTCAAAAAACTCGAAAAGAGAAAATGTGCCGAGGAATATCTCTGAAGCCCCCAAAATGGGTGCAAAAATGGAGCTCCAACGTTTTCGCCCATGTCGGTCCTCAAGGCTCGATGATTCTCTTGAAAGAGCGGATTCCTCTTCCTCGCCTGATTTTTTGGAGCTCTGTCGTTATCATCGGCGTTTTCTACACTTTGCTGATTCTCAACGTCGACTACACTCAAGTAAAAAAAAAAGAAACGAGTAAAAGTAATTATTGTTTTTGAAACTTTTAAGTACGCGCTCGGGCAAACGCTCTACCAGTCGCAAAATGTCATCGACGCAGAAATCATCTTTCCGGAGATTACGCTCTGTCTAAACAGCATGCATTCGAAACAGCTACTTGCGTCGTTGATAAGTGAACAAGGGTTCTTACTAAGCGTCGCGACAAGTCTAAATGTTTAAATTTGGGGCAGAAGCAAAAAATAGAAGTGATTTTGAGGATCAGGGTTTTGATTGGTCGGTAGGCTAAATACAGAAATCTTATTGGTTAATCAAAAATGCACTTCCATATTTTGGTTTAGTCCAAATTTAAGACTATTTTTAGACTAAAATTTGGTCTTTTCGGCTAAATATTCGACTAACCCTAACCTTAACTTTTATTTAATCTAAGATCAAATTCTAATTATAAGATCCCTGGTAAGTGATTTCGACTTGAGTCAAGTAATGTGGGCATTTTACGGCTACGGCTACATCCTAGAAAGCGAAGTAAAAGGATTCCAGGAACCGGTCTAAATAAATCCTGTCCAAAGTTGCCGAAAAAATTATCGATAATAAATGTAGTGGTGTTTATCAATGCACATTTGCTCCGCGCTGCGCGCCATTCTCATTCACTGTCCGCGAAGCTCTATTCCACGCGCCGTGAAAGCGCCCGCCGCGCTCCGTGAAAGCTCAAGCCACATTCCTCAAACGGCTCAGCCACACTTCACGGAATATCTGACCACCCACCATAGAACACTCTACCACGTCTTACAAAACACTATATAAGAAACATTTCTCTGTTCACACACACACACACAAAACTTCACTACCAACAAAACTAACTTTACTCTTTTTGTATCCTGCTCCCGAATACAAATAAACCAGTCTCAACAAACCCAATTTATGTACTTTGATAAACACGTACATATTTTGGTGACTGAAGAAAACGGAACGCCCACAACAAAACCCAGCTAGAACCAGAAGAAAGAACCAGAAGAAAGAACCAGAAGAAAGAATCAAAAAAAGCGATTTTATCCTGACCTTCTGCAGAGCGCCGCTCCCAAGAACAGACTCACGTAAGTACAGGTTACCCAATAGGCTAAAGTTTTGATATCATGGGAGAACTTTATTATAAATTGGTAGTTGATCTGACTGCTAAAGAGCTTATGCTTATTTATGACAAGCACCCGGATAAGAAATACCCGCTCCCTATTCCCCGATTTGACAAGTCAGGGTGTGTCCTGAATTTGCTCAATATTCAGCCAGACTTGTTCGACCAATTAGATAGAAAATATTTTTTCCGAAAGGTAGACCAAAGAATTGAATTTGACCCAGATTTCGATGTGAATAATATCCAAGAAGCTGTTCAAAAGACAGCTCGTGCAGATCATAAAATTGATATCGATAAAATAAATGAAATTATTGAAATGGATAACCTGAACTCAATTCTCGCTCGAATTGATGAGTCTGAAAAGGTAGAACCGAAGTTCCGACCACCACCTCCTGATTCCAAGCCATCTGGATCTGCTCCTAGAAACGATCCTAGAAATGCTCCTCAAAAGGAACCTAATCAACAGCAAAAAGAATCATCGCCCGATCAACCAAAATTTGGACAAGTAAAAATGAAGACTCCCAAATTCGACTCCCAGCTCCCTGTAGAAAACTGGATCGTCAACATGGAACTTTACGGTAAATGTTCAAAGATCACCGACGCGGATCTGATCAGCGTCGCCTTGTCTCAAATTCTGATGGAAGAAAGTGGAACCTCCTTGATTGAAGCCATTACCGAAGAAGAAAAGAAGAACTGGGAAAGCTTTAAAACGAAATTAGTGCAAGTTCTTGGCAAAGACAAGGAACACTTCAAACATCTCTACACATCGTTTCAACGAGGCCAGGAAACCCAACAAATGGCCGTTACGAAGCTCCAAGCATATTTCAAAAAGGGTTATGGAAAACTCGTGCTCGATGCAGCAGACGAGTCAATCATTTGCGATCGATTCATCGAATGCCAGGATCCTCGACTTGCCGAATTACTGCGACGAGAAAAATCCCTGCTCAATCTCCGAAATATCGCTAACCGTGCTATGGAACTAGAACGAAGTTTCTACAAACGAGAAAATGTCTTCACTGCTGAATGCTCAAATAGTGGAAAAGAATCTGAAATGGCGCAGCTCTGCTCCCAGCTCAAAGAAATGATCGCTTCTGCCAAAGAACCTTCAAAGGAGAAGAAACGAAAACCACGATCGAGAATTCCAACTGACAAGATTCAGGGACACTGCATTGCCTATGTTCGTAATCGCCGCTGTCGATTTGGCGAAAAGTGCAAATATCTCCATGCGGAAGAAGTCCCTGAAGACATCCTTAAAATTATAAAGGAAGGGGCATGACTATCAAAAGTCATCGAAACGTGCGAATACGCTCATTTTGCACCGGCCTCGCTCAAATTTGTACAAATTTTGCTCAACGGATTCAAGTTCCCTTGCCTTATTGATAGTGGTGCAAGTCGAACCTGTTTCCGCTCTGATGTTCTCGATGTTTTACCGTCAACAATCAATCAACAAATCCCATCTTCAATAATGCTCAAGTGCGCAAATTCAGAAGTTGTAAAAGTCAAAACGCTCAGAACCCCTATTGATGTTCAGTTCGAAACAAGCTCCTCGCCACTTAAATTGAAGTTGGACCCGCTCATTGTTCGTAACCTATCTTGCCCGATCATTTTGGGAATGGATGCTCTTAAAGGAATAACAATTGGAGAAAAATCAGTTATCTTGAAGAATAAATCTATCCCAACAATCGACCCAAGCTCACCTGACTTGTTCTTAACCGGCTTAATTGAAATTGATAAAGAAACTGGTCGTGAAAGAGAAGAGTACGATGAATTCGTAAAACAACGATCAGAAAAAGCTCAAAAAATCAACTTCGTTCCCGCCATTGGATCTTATGGCGCTGCAAATCCAAAACAAAAGAAACAGCTCGGAGATTTAACTTACAAATGGCGACTCTCCTTCAACATGGACTCAAATGATCTCGGAAGACTTTTTGGTTTCCGATACTCGCTCCCACTTTATGATGAAACAAAATCTGCTCATCAGCCGCCCCGAAAAATTGCGATTCATCTTCAACCGCAAGTTGATGATCAAATGACTAATTGGAAAAAGCTCAATGTCATCCAAGAAACACAATCGGCATTCAACATACCGCTCATTATATTACGAAAGAGTGATTCCTCAATCAGAATTTCTCTTGATGCGCGAATGCTAAATGAACTACTCCAAAAAGATCGCTTCCCATTGCCAAGCATGCAAAGTGTATTCACCTCCATCGGAAAGAAGCTCTCCGGAAAAGAATGTTTTATCAGTTCAGTAGACTTCTTGAGAGGCTACTGGGCCGTCTTTATTCATGAAGCTGATGCCCACAAAATGGCCTTCAGTTACGATGGACGCCATTACCAAACCAATAGAATGCTCTATGGATCATGCAATGCTCCAGCCTGTTTCTCTCGAATTATGAACAAGCTGATGAAACATGATTCTATTCTGCTCTATTTGGACGATTTGATAGTGATTGACAATAATTGGGAAAGCCATCTGAAAGCTCTGGAATATGTGTTTCAAACCTGTTTTGAGCACGGATTGGTACTAAATGCTGCGAAATGCCAACTTGCCAGCAAACAACTAGACTTTCTTGGTCACTCAATAACCGCAGACGGAATCAAACCGCTCAGAAAGCACCTAGAAGCTATAGAGAAGATGTCACCACCAAGAGATAAAGCAGAACTGAAACGATATCTTGGTATGGTCAATTTCAACGTCAAATTCATCAAACGCGGAAGTGAGATTCTGTCCCCGCTCTATCGTTTGACATCAGTCAAAGCGAAATACGAGTGGTCCGACATCCATCAGAAGGCTTTTGATACAGTAAAAAGTGAACTCCTGAAAGAGCCGACCCTAGCGCACTTCAAGCCCGGATGTAAACTCGTTCTTGTTACTGATTCATCTGGATACGCAGTCGGAGGAACACTGTATCAAGTCCAAAACGATCAATTCGCTCCCCTTGGATACTTCAGCAAAGCTCTTTCCGGTCCCGACCTCAAGCGACCAATGAGGATCAAGGAACTTTTCGCTCTCTGCTGGGGAATCCAATTTTTCGAGTACTACCTGATCAATTGCGAGTTCGACTGTTATGTCGACCATAAGTCACTGCTCTATTTATTCCGAGAATCACGAAGACAGAAACTGGACATCAAATTATGCAATGTGCATAATTATCTGCTCGCTTTTAACTTCACGATTATTCACAAAAGCGGATCAAGTCCGGAAATGGCCTCTGCAGATTTCTTTAGCCGGCTCCCTAAATCAAAGAGTTCTGATCTTGATAAGGACTCAGAAAACTTCTTCGACGTTGATGAAACAATCTTCGCCTTGTCAACTCTTTCGAATGACGATGCTATCTTCTCATACGAAAATCGATCCTTTACGGCGAAAGAAATGACTGCTGCTCAAGAAGCCTGCTCCATTACGAAAAACCTTATTCAAAAAGCCAAGATCAACAAGTCTCAGAAACGCCTTATGCTGAAAGATAATGTTCTCTACTCGAATGATCGACTTGTTCTACCCAGTCAAATTGCCGATGAATTTATCTCTTACCTACACTCCTTGACAGCTCATGCCGGAAGTCAACAGCTCCTTCAGATGCTCAAGAAATTTTTCATCAGCAACATCCAACAAAAAGTAAGGGCAATCACAAGCTCATGTGAAACATGCATTCGCCTAAAACCGATCAAACAAATGCGACCTTCGCTGATAAAAGATCGCCAATTCGCTCAACTCCCCTTTGAAAAGGTCCACACAGACATAGTGGATTTTGGTAGACCCGACCAAGCTGGTAAACGTTATTTGCTCACCGTCGTCGACAGCCTTAGCGGCTACCTTGATGGAGAACCACTATCGAACAAGTCCGACAACCTCGTTGCTAAAGCTCTCTTGCAAATAATACTGAGGCACGGAATCTCCGAAAATTGTATTTCCGACAATGGTAAAGAATTTGGCTCAAAGACAACAGCCATTCTTGACCGATTTGAAATACGCCGTAGTACTACAAGTGCTTATTACAGTAAGTCAAATGGAAAGTGCGAAAGAATCCATCGAGAAATTCACCAAAAGCTCAAGAACCAACTCGCTACTAATCGCACTTGGTCAAACTACTGGCCACTGGTACAATACTTCCTGAACAACACCCCAAAAGGCTCCCTGGACGGTTTGTCAAGTAACGAAGTTGTGTATGGAAGACAATTTCATGTTCCATTTTCGCTAAAAGAGCCGATCGCTGAAAATATCCAGCCATTCATTAAAGGGTTAAATTCGTATTTGAAAAAATTGCACCCTGCTCTGCTCAACTTCCAAGTCCAACGATACCAGTCATTATTAAAACGTGACAAAAACAACTGTCCCGTGCTCCCGATTGGAACATCCGTTCTTTGTTGGAAACCAGACAATTACTCTGGAAAACTCGGAATATCATGGTCTGGACCGTTCAAGATCCACAGAAGACTCTCCAAAGACAGTTACATTGTCAAGTGCCCGCTCACAAGAAAAGAATATCGAAGAAATATCAGTTTGATCAGACCGCTCAAAATAAAAACTGATAACGACAAAACGGAAATGATTTGCAAGGATGAAAATCCAAATAATTCCAGCTCAAAAGAAAAAAGTGCTCCAATTCAAGCTCCTGTTCCTGATCCAAAACAAACTCAAGTCCCAGCTCTTAAACAAGCTCAGCAAAATCGATCTGCTCCGACCGATGATACAGTTCAAGATCAAAATCCTTGCTCTGATGCTCCCACTTCTACAGCGAATGATCAACTACTGCTCAATGAAAGTGAAAACAAGGATTCAGTATGGAAAGATCGTCTCCGCTCAAGACACAATAAGTAAAAAGAGAAGCTCATCACGTTTTACCAAGCTCAAATTAATTCGAATACATGAGTATTAAAGCCCTGCTCTCAAAAGATATATCGCCGCTCAAAATGAATTTCACAACTTCAACGATATGATGCACACTAGAAAAGAGTCCAGTTCCGCTCAATCGCTGCTGAAGTTAAATCAGGCCTCTGTGGACTTCCGACCGCATAAAATTGATTATGTACAAGTAACTGGGCCCCTCTACTTGGACCGCTACTCTTAACCTTGCGCCGGATTTCTCCAGATGTTGGCAATGTGTGCAGTTGCCGATTCACAAATATTCGAATGTTCGACCAAAGAGGCATTTTCCCAGCTCAAATGGCATAATGCGAATCTCCTTTTTCTGAAAAGGGGGAAGAGACGAATGAAAACTGCTCGTTTGTTCAAAAATAGTCAACTTCTCAGTTCACTCGACTTTCTGAAAAATCTAAAGCTCGAAATCAGAATCGAGAATCCAAATCGATAGAAGGACTCATTCAAAAAAGAAGAAATCTCAGCGCGCTGCAATGCTCGTAAATCTCCGCGCCTGGACAAAAGAAAGCTATTCAAAACAGCTCCCCGATACTCATCCGCCGATAAAATTAGCATGTACCGTTCGAAGCATGTGTTCCAAACTGCTCAATCAGAATGTGACTCTATTCAGAACTCGAAAAGAGAAAAAACATCTCACCAAATTGAAATCGAATTCTTCATGATAAAAGAGATACTCCCAGCATGCCGACCACACTCACTAGCGATATCTTTCTACTTCAAAAAACGAGTGACACAAAAAGACGTTTTCAACAATTTGCATTAAATTATGTTATTGGCATCCGAATCCCGCTCTACGAAATCGAATGCGAGAAAACGAAAATCATCCGAAATTTGCTTGAAAAAGTTGAATTTTCGATCCAAGAGCGCGAGGACTGGTTCGAAATACTCCAACAAAAGCCACTTGATCTTGAAGTAACCAGCGCTGACCTAAAATCCTTGCTCCTCTATTCGTGCAAGTGCTTGCTCTATACAGCGAAATCAGCTTCAAAAGAAACTCGCAAGAAAATCTTGGATACATATGAGGCAAAATTTGCTAAAAAACGTGGCTGCTGGAAGGAGCTCAATTGTAAACAGAGCAGTGAGATACAACTTATTGCTTCACAAGTTTACCTTATCCTCACTGATCTTTTGGAATTCCTCGGTCTCTTGGAAAACACTGCTCAACCTCAACAAGAAGAACAGTTCGTCGATAACCAGAATGAGAATGCTCCTCAATCCGATCAACAAATGGAGTTCGTCGACGTTCCCAACTTTGATACAGTTACCTCGTATGGACAAAACATCATTGATCAGCTTATAAACTCAGGAAACCCCCCTGCGAGTAACGATCTTTTATAAAAGAGGGAGGAATATGTAGTGGTGTTTATCAATGCACATTTGCTCCGCGCTGCGCGCCATTCTCATTCACTGTCCGCGAAGCTCTATTCCACGCGCCGTGAAAGCGCCCGCCGCGCTCCGTGAAAGCTCAAGCCACATTCCTCAAACGGCTCAGCCACACTTCACGGAATATCTGACCACCCACCATAGAACACTCTACCACGTCTTACAAAACACTATATAAGAAACATTTCTCTGTTCACACACACACACACAAAACTTCACTACCAACAAAACTAACTTTACTCTTTTTGTATCCTGCTCCCGAATACAAATAAACCAGTCTCAACAAACCCAATTTATGTACTTTGATAAACACGTACATAAAATCCGGCCAAAGAAGGCTTATCATAAAAGCAAAATGTTTTCGAAGAAAATCGACGAGATAAATATGACCAAGCTTTATGAAAAAACGCCGCCAGAGTATTACATTTAGGGCTTCAACGTCAAGGGATTTTAGAGTCCTCTTATCATAGAAAAACGGTCATATTTATAAGTATGAAGCCTCAGTTAAAGAATCACGTGCACGTATAGAAATCGCAAATGCCAGCATTGGGAAGAGCTGATGCGCCAAAACGGGAGAGAATGGGAATGTACGCCTTTTTTTATAATTTTTAGAATTACTCGACTTCGAAATTCTAGCCTGGTCGCTTATCTTCACCCGCCTTGGATACTGCTATCACTTCAAGCCGCCAAATCTGACCTGGTCGGACGAAAACACGGGAAAGAATCAGCTCTCCGTGACAATTGCCTTCAACCAGAGCGATTTCGTCCTTGGATGGGCGCATTCTCGTGACGATCTCACGCTTTTCATCGATGCTAACTCGTCCAACCCTAATCCAAGCCCCAGTCTTACTGATAACGTTAAGGTAGGCAAACCTATTAAGGTGTTGAAAACCTGAGTCAGGCTTTGGAAGAGCTAAAATGAAAAGCCGCGTAGCGGCTTTTTTAGAAACGAAGCCGCAAAGCGGCTTCGCCAAGAGTTTAAAGAAAATATAAATGGTTTATTTGCGAAGCCGCTTCGCGGCTTCGTTTTTAAAAAAGCCGCTACGCGGCTTTTCATTTTAGCTCTTCCAGAGCCTGACTCAGATTTTCTTCTCAGGTTGCCGAGGTAAGCATCATTTTGATTTCAAGGTCGTGAAAGGAATGAATCCAATCATCGAATTGAACCAACTGAACACCAGCCGAGTGGGTGGAGTTCGCTCCCCTTGTTGCTGGAAAAACGCGTCGCTGGAAGAACAAGTGGACGAAAGCTGTGGCGAAACGAACCCAGCAGACACGGAGGAGTTCCAGTATTCGTACAACAACTGCATGGAAAAATGCTTGGTGAAGCAGATCATGGAAAGCTGCAATTGCAGCCTCCCGTGGTTCAAATTCACCTACCAGTGCGACAAGAACTTCGTCGTGGCCCGCGAAGATTGCGAGAAAATTCGAAAGCTGGACGAAGAAGGATATTGTCCGTTTACGAGACATGTCCAGTGCGTTTCATGTAAGCTGATTTCGGAAATGCCCACGAATCAATTCTTTCAGCGATTATGGTCAATCAAAAGAACAAGTGCAGATGTATTCCCTCTTGTAAGGGTGTCCTCTCCTACAACTACAAGGTTTGCTACATCAAAAGAGTCTAATTGTTTAATTGGACAGTGCTAACAAATCAATTTAGATCCAATATGAAGGGATTCATCAACACGATTTTCGAAAACTAACAAGAGGTAAAAATTGTAGTTTCCACAAAACTTTTCTTTTAGAAGTAAAAAAAACCGGCCAGATGGCCGGTCCCCGCGGTATTATTAAATTGCGGTCAACCGCGGTCCAAAATTAATTTATTTCTTTCTTTTTCCAGTTCAAAAAAACAACCACGAAATCGTCAACTTGGATCTGGCCAGTTTCGCGATTTCGCTCAACGACGACTACGAAACTCGCCGCGAAGAGAAGCTCGACTATCCGCTGCTCTCGCTGGTTTCCGATATTGGCGGCACGGCGGGGCTCATTGCTGGAATGAGCTTAGGTATCTCTTCGCTCTCTTTTTCTGGATCAATTAACCTTTTTCTTAGCGACTCTTTGCGGAATAATTGATTTCTTCGCGACGCTGGTGCTGCGCATGGCCAAGGCTTTGATATTCTGGGTGGTGCCAGCGCCGATCACTCGCTTGGCGGTATTTAATTTAATTAGCAGGTGATCACGTGACCTTATCAAAAATTATCCTTAGAAGAAGGGTCTCCGCCCCAGAAGCAAAAGAAGCGCTCCCTGTCAGTTTCGACTGACACGCTCATTCTCAACAGAACCCAATCAAGGGCAGTGGTTTAATTCCGCTCTTCAGAATCCGGCAATCTGCGCCAAAAAGCAGGAATTAAACCACTTGAGCTCTAAAGATGTCTAATCAAGCAGCAGCAAAAGCACTCGTACTATCTTTCAGACAACAGCTAGTGGAAAAATATTTCATCGAATTTATTTACTGTAAAAGTCTCTTTTTGGTCTTTTCTTTACCCAGAAGAGGCCCTAGTTTGACGTCTCTTCCGGGTCTATTTTGATTTGATTAGTCTCTTTTGATTAAAATTAGTCTCTTTTAAAAGTCTCTTTTCAGTCTCTTTTAGTCTCTTTTTAGTCTCTTTTAGTCTCTTTTAGTCTCTTTTTAGTCTCTTTTAGTCTCTTTTTAGTCTCTTTTAGTCTCTCTTTAGTCTCTTTTAAAATCTCTTTTAAAGTCTCTTTTAGTCTCTTCTGATTAAAATTAGTCTCTTTTAAAAGTCTCTTTTAGTCTCTTTTAGTCTCTTTTTAGTCTCTTTTAGTCTCTTTTAGTCTCTTTTTAGTCTCTTTTAGTCTCTCTTTAGTCTCTTTTTAAAATCTCTTTTTAAAGTCTCTTTTAAAGTCTCTTTTAGTCTCTTTTAGTCTCTTTTTAGTCTCTTTTAGTCTCTCTTTAGTCTCTTTTTAAAATCTCTTTTTAAAGTCTCTTTTAGTCTCTTCTGATTAAAATTAGTCTCTTTTGATTAAAGGGACCTGACGATAGAATAATAATTAACTAAAAAAACACAAACAAGGGGTATCTTTACATAAAAATAAAAATCAACAAGGACCCCTTAGAAAATATAAATACATTAAAATGCTCCTGCTTATCCTTACTTTCTGCGGAATAAAGAGACTTTTAAATGAGCTTGTTTTGTTTTTTGTGTCGTGTTTCAATTGGTGTCAAGGATCATTCTGGAACACTGGAACTGGAAAAGTGACGAAATGTACAGTAGTAAATAATGAGAGTATTTTTTAAAAACGAAAAGTATTCTTTTTTTGGTTTTAGAATTGATTGAAAAGGCACCTTTTAGGGTCATAAGAAATTAAATAATAGGTTTAATTCACTTTCTTGGCTGTTTCTTGCGAATCACCACGATTGTTAGGCCAAAGACGAAGACCAGGATCAGTACGACGGCGACGATGCCGATCAGGACGTTGAAAGCCATCGATCCAGCTACAAAAGAGGGTTGAAAATCGGGTCGGCATGGCAAGGAAGATTTAGTCTTTAGGGACTCACGTCTGAGGATAGAGCCATTGGTTTCACTCTCGACCATAACGAGCCGGCTGTCCATGTCATTTTCTTCGAGTTTTCGCTGAATTGGGAGATCGGCAAAAGTTCTTTTCCGAAAGAAACGAAGGGCAATTCTCGTCGAGTGGCGGAACGACGTTTTCTGTTGTCTCCACAGTCGGGGATGCAGGAATCTAAATGTTGATTTTATTTGGGTTCGGGTTTGGGTTATGTTAAGTAATATCGAGAAGCCGCTTGCGGCTTCGAGTTAAAGAAAATTTAGCCGCGAAACACGCAGCTTTTAGACGCATTTTCCTTTTCGCTTTAAAGCAGGTAAAGCTTTAAAAGATAAGCTGTATCTCCCTCTTGAAGAAAGGCCGCGAAAAGCTAATTGATCCAATAATTGAGTAAAACTAACCTGCGGTGGCGTTGCACGCGCGCACGGTGCAGTGGAGCCAGACGTCGTTGTATTCGTCGCCGATGAATTTGAACATTTTCAAGTTGAATCGCGAGGTTAATCCTTCGCCGTTAGACGATACTTCCAAAGATGTATCTCCTTCCACGGGGCACTGGTTCTTGATGATGTAGTACTGAAAAAGAAGCGGTTAGAAGAAGCTACCAGGGCCAGTCGCGCCTCGATGATCCGATCTGTTGCGGCAGAGGTGGAATTTATCTCACACCCACCGCAAGAGCTCGATCTAGAGCGAGAAATAGTTGGATACCAAAAGAGAGAGAGGGAAAGTGGCTTTTACGGAGATTAGAATCACAAAATCGCCAATTCGGATTTCGCGCATATTTTCTTCTCTTACCTTGAGAGCGCCGTCACGTGACTGGCTTGGTGTACCCCAGCAGTTCTCCATGACGGTCGAGAATTCGGTGTAAGGGGCGAAGGCTTCGGAGATCAAGGGTCGCTCGAGATTAACTTCGATGAAGAGGTCGTCGTTGAGGGAGAGCACGGGTGGACCTGAAGGAGGAATATCTTTCGATTCTAGAGCTGAATGACTTACTTGTGTAAAAGTCGGTATAATTGGAACTCAAGTAGAGTCGCATGTCTCCGACGATTTCTTTGACCTTGCTTCGGGAAACAGCCGACCTAAATTTATTGAGTTGATAAATGCAAAATGCCCTTTGGAGGATTTTTCAATATGGAAAGGTTAATGTGTGGTTGGCGCGGTCACGTGATATGGGTGGAATTCGCGCGCGCCAAGTGGTGATTAGGAGCGAATACTTGTCAAGGCGATTCAGGGAGCGAGCGACAGGATTACCGGCTCATCGCGCGAGCAAGAAGACCTCCTTTTCAAAAGCTACTTACTGGACCAAAGGATTCATCTCGCCAGTCGTCATTTGCACGTTGGGGTAGACACACTCGAATTCGACGAGATCGAGAGCTCGATCTGCTGCGTCAAGAACGTTTCCATCTTGGTTGTAGACGTGGTTTTTGAACTAGAAAAAGAAATATTTAAAATAGGGGTTAGGGTTAGTTTCCGTGTAGGTGGGACTAAAAGTTAATGCTTTTGATGGCCGAAAATTAATTTTTTAAATATTTTTTGTTAAAGTATAGAAGTATATTTTTGTAAAGTATAACACATATTATTTAAAAATAAAAATTTAGCAAAAAAATTTAAAATCATAATTTCATTTTAATTTTATTTTAAATTAAATTTTTTTATTTTAATTTTTAATTTAAAATAAAATTTAAACAAAATATGATTTTTAAATTTTTTTTTTGTAAAATTTTTATTTTTAAATAATATGTGTTTTACCTTCGAAAAAAAACAAACAAAAAATGTTTGAGTTAGGGTTAGTTAGTAAAATAAGGGTGTCAATATTCTAAATTTAAAAAATTCCACGCGATCAGGAATGATTAAAATGGTTTGTAAAAAACGTGTTTTGGTGAAAAATACGAAACGTGCTATTTTGGATCCGAACAGTTTAGAAATCAAACACGTGACACCAGTCGATTTCTGCAACACTGGGCTTACAACCTTTTGTGGATTTGTTCCGGAGAAAGAAACATTCTTGGCGATAAAGAAAGATAAACGAAGAAACTTAAAATCGAAAAACCAACATTTTGGTTTTAAATTCAAATATTCGAAAACTATCTGCCGCGCGCCTGTTCAAAACCAAATTCCCACAAGCTGTTGCGTGGCTCTTTTTTTCCTCCGAAAACGTGATGCTCTAACCGACCGGTCGGAAATGCCACTCGAACAGCTGATTGCTCAGAAATCTGTATTTTTTCATTACTATTCGGTCCAAAAAGAAATGAAAGCCGAAGATCTTTTCTCTTGCTTATTGCGTTAGAATTGATGAAATTAAGGGGGTAACGGCTGTAAATTTCTACTCGAAGCTTTATTCTGACTTTTTCTGAAATTAAGCATAGTGACACCCTTATTTTTATCGCTCAAAAAGATGATTTGAACCTTAATTAAGCTCTTTTTTAACTAAAAAAAATAATTAACATAGGTTACCCCCTTAAATTCAAAATATGTATTAGGTGAAATTTCAAACAATTTTTTGAAAATAAAATATGGGTGTCACGAGAATGTAAACTTTGACTGTAAATCATGTTTCACGACCGCTGAATTTTAAAAATGTAAAATATGCAAAACGTGCTGAGTCAAAATTCTAGAGTCGCTTCTCGAGTTTTAAAATTTTTCGCAAATTACCTTGTATCCGGTAACAGTGACTTCGCCATCAATGACTTCTGTCTCTGGGGAAATCTGCATTCCGCACTTTTGGAAATCATCGGTCACTTCCAAAATGTAATTGCCCTCTTCGTCGGCTTTTCCAGCGCAGTCCCTGACGTCCGTGTATCTATCGACGTCTAGGGAAAGGTCTTTGCCGCTTCCAAGCCACTTGGAGTTGCGCTCAATGTAGCTCTTCATGACCTTGGCGGCGATTCTCGTCCCTTCGCAGGAGACAATGACATCTGTTCCGATTCTTGGGACTTCGACGGACTTCTTTTCCAAATCTCTGAATCCTTGGGCGCTGGCAAGCCCAGCGAGGAGCGATTTCACGAGCATATTTCTTTTTCTGCCTCTCTCTCTTTTTTATTTCTCTAGTGTACGAGCGGGTGCTTTACGAAAGTAGTCAATGGTGGTGCGGGTGGTGGTGGAGTGGTAGCTGCGTAGCCAGTCCGAGCACCAATGCAGCACCGCCCCAGGCAAGGCTGCACAATCTTGCCCCAGCGTCTCACGAGTTAAAGGTCACCCTTATTAAAGCTTATATTTTCATAAGAACACCCTTAATCCCTTTGTTCGATGTTCAAGATTTATTTGCAGATGAAGGTTTTCTTAATTGCTTGGATTAATGATAAGGCAACTGCTTATTTTGACAATGCTGCGACTGCAATCAAGGAAGACTAACAAAGACTTTTTTGGCTTTTTACTATTTTTTTATTATACAGAGCCGGAGGTAAAGGTGAGATGAAGTGACAGTGAGGTGAAGTGAATAGAGTCGATCTGCGTGGAGCGGCGGAAGTGCAGTTACGAGAAGAGCTTCTTGTTGTTGGACTTTCGTCCATCTGGGAAGCCCCTCCCGAGGATCGACTTATTCGTGTAGGTCGTCTGAAATTCAAAGTTAGCAATTTCGCGAGTCGAAAATTGAAAGCTTACCTTTATGTCGCCAAAAGCGTCGTAGGAGTGGTTGGTGACGCAAGTGGTGGCGAATGAAGAGACCGGACTTGTCACTGTATCATCACCTTTCATGAACTTTTCGAAGAAAGCACTGCCCAGGTTGAGTAGTGCTTTCAGAAGTCCGTGCTAGAAATAAAAAATTAGTAATGAAAGAAGAGAGAATTGTCCAAAGTAGAGGGCGAAAGAAAATGCTCAAAAATTAATGATGCCCTTTACTAAAGATAATTCAACCAGGAAGTCTTCCTTGATTTCCAAATTGCTTTACCTGATAGATGGATGCCTCGTGGATTTGATTGGCATCGGGCGATTCAGTTACGAAGCCGATGAGACTTGGGCCGACGCTTTTTGAAATAGCCTCGATCGTCATTCGGTTCTGGTCAGAGCGTTGGGACACCTATGTTTTCAAGAGATTATTGGAGAAAGACTTGATTCGTGTTTACCTGAATCAGATGAATGAGCATAAATGCGAGGGTATCTCGATGGACGTCGGGCAGCTCGGAGAAGAGATCCTTCAGCAGCGTCGCGTTCTCATCCTTGTAGGCTTGGATGAACGACGGCATCTGCGCCCAGGTCAACAGAGGCTGATCGATCATGTTCCGGAAAAAGTCCTTCAGCGTCGAGCAGATCACGTTTGTGTCCGTGATCGTCTTCAGATGCTGCGTCGTGACTCGGCCAGAAATCATTTTCTTAAAAATAATTCAGCTTGTTAAAAAGATTGAAAAGTTATTACCTTTTTCAGCTCGTTGACTTCTTTCGCCGCTCCGGAGATTCTGTAGATGCCTTCCTCGAGGATTCTAGCGTCGACTTCGTGAACCGCTTGGTAGACAAACTGCGGAATCAGCGGGTGAACATTGCGATTCGCGCAGTACTAAAAAAAACGCGTCAATACGTTTGATAGCTCGAGTTTGAGCTCACCTCAATCAGCGGACGCTTTGTGGTGATGGCTTCGGACTGGACCAGGCAAGCTTTGGCGACGTCGAATCTGCACTGACTGTGGACGGCCAAGCGGCAAGTCTTGCACTTGAACGCTTCGGACGCGAATTTGATCTTTTTGGAGCAAACTTCGCATTCCTTGGTGATGGGATTGTGAATCGACCGCTTCTCCCAGCAGTGATTCACAAACGAGGGCGATTTTCCCATCTTGGCCGGGCTCGTCAGCGAGGACATCTTGAGCTTGGCGCGCACTGGAGTCTTCACGTTCCAGAACGAGTCCGTGTCGTCGGTCTGTTCGCTTTCTCGATCGCCGGATCGCCGCCGCATCGTTCTCGACATTTGCCGCTTTCGCGAGTTGATCGAAATGTTCAATCGCGACGAGTTCATCACGTCATCGTCGAGAGCGTCCTCCGTCGTCCTGTCGATGACGTCCGAGTTGTTCAGCAAGTCGTACTGGCTGTCATCCTCGAACGTCTCGTGAATGACTCGGTTCTGCGGGATCGGCCGGCGCTTCATCGACTTCTGTCGGGAGACCGCCCGGATCAGCCGTTGCTTCTTCTCCGGGCCAATGTCGCTCCCGATTTGTCCTCCTTCATTGTCCAGGATCACTTCTTTGCAGAGCGCGACGACGTCCTCCAACTCCCCGATTTCGGCTTGGAGAGTGGCGTTCTCCGTCTCCAAGCTCACCACCGTCCTGAAAAAAAATAGTTAGAAACAAATTCAATCGACAATTTTTAGCTCAATTTCAAATCCAAAACAAAACGATAAAAATCTTTCAACTCAAAAGAAAAAAAAAAGCCCCAAACCTTGTTGTTTTCAAATAGATACTATTTAGAAATTAGTAATATAGAATGTTTTGACTGTTCTGAAAAGAGAAGACTTACTTGGAGTTGTGATTGAGTTGCGTCGTCACCGTCTGCAGCTGTTTCTGCAATTCACGGTTCTTTTTTGCGAGGGAAGTCGCGTCCTGGTCGCGCTGTTGATACTGTTGTTGGAGGGTCATCATTTTCTGCGCCAAAAGGAGTAGGGTGTCTTCAGCTTCGTACTTTTCTTTCGTTGTTTGTTTCATCTGATTCGTGATGTCATCAAACATCGAAAGAAGAGACGAGTTTTGATTGACCTCCTGAAAAATTTTTTTAGTTAAACATTTCAAATTTTGATAATAAATTAAAAATTCTTATATTTACTAAAAAAAATAGAAACTTACCCGCGCTTCATTGAGGTTCTTTAGTGTTTCTCTGAAGCTCTGGAAATTCTTCAGTGGTGGTGGTGGAGCAACCCTCTTTGCCATTTTTGAGCGTATTTTTGGCAGTCCAGAATCTAAAATAAATTCGTTCAAATCTCGCGCGCATTCGAGTCGGCGCGCCTTGATTGGCCCGCGCTGGGCGCCATATTTGCTTCGCTATGCTGAGCGCCCTTGACGACTCGACGTGAGACTGATTTCACGCAGCCGCCCTGGGTCGTTATTGAAGCAAAGCAAATTTTAAGTGCGCACAAATATGAACCACCCCAGGCCGTAAAATGGGAATTTCTCAGGATGGAAAATAATCCTTTCCTTTTTGAAATTTTCTTTTGACTAAAATCGAAAAGCCGCATGCGGCTTCGAACTACAACTCAATCGAAAGTGCTTTCATAAAAAAGCCGCGCAGCGGCTTTTACAAAATAATTTTTTTGAAAATTGGCGAAGCCGCTTCGCGGCTTCGTTTTCGCGAAAACCGCAACGCGGCTTTTTATTTAAGCCCTTTTAAATTCTTGATGGTTTCATTCAAAAACCAATTTTTTATTCGGAAATTTATCTCTGCTCTTACCTCTTTGAACGCAGAAATTCGACTGAAGTCAGTTTGACCGCGCGGTGCTCAGCGCAACAAGAGCACCGTCTGGTTTTGACGTCGCAGAGTCAAATCAGCGCGCGATCAAATAATTTTTCGTTTCATATTTTATGCGGGAAAAATACGTAAACATTTTAACTTTTCTTATTTGGAAATTTTATTGAAGACAAATTTCATAATTTCAAAAAGGGATTATTTAGGAAATGAAGAACTCAATAGAATATCAGTAAAAGTAATTTTTAGTAGGTTTTTTAATTAAAATTGAGGGTCTATTTAACTGTAATTTGCAGCGATAATACAGTAGTAGCACGAGAAATTGTTGTTAGTCACCAAGCCTGAATGATTGAGGAGAAATCGGAAAATTGATAAAGAAGCGTTTGATTTGCTTTATTTAAAAGATTGAACTTGTTTTTCTTAAAATTCTATAATTGGGATCTGATGAGGTTGTAGTAAGCGCCTCGTTTGTCCAGTAGTTCTTGGTGGCGGCCGCTTTCCACGATGACGCCGTTGTCGACGACGGCGATGACGTCCGCGTTGATAACGGTGGAAAGTCGGTGCGCGATCAGAATCGCAGTCCGCCCTTGCCGCGCCTTGTCAAGCGCATCTTGCACGATCTAAACAGATTTTCAAATTTTGTTCCCAGAAAAGCCAATTTGTACCTTTTCGCTTTCGGTATCGAGGGCGCTTGTCGCCTCGTCCAGCAACAGAATCTTTGGCTTTCGAATTAACGCCCTGGCGATGGCGATTCTCTGCTTCTGTCCTCCACTCAGTTGCGATCCCTTCTTGCCGCAGCGGGTTTCTAGCCCCTGCGGAAGCTCCATAACAAAGTCATACGCATTTGCTTCTTTCAGCGCCGCTTCGATGTCTTCTCTTGAGAATTGTTCAACTCCGACTTTGTTCGATTTTCGATCTCCAGAAGAAATTTCGTCATCTAGTCCGTACAAGATGTTGTTGGTAATTGTCGTGTCTTTTCATGGTTTTTCATAGAAATCAACGGAGAATTTCACTTTATAAGGGCCTGAGCTCGGCGACCTGTATAGAAAACTTGAGTCAGGGTCTGAAAGATCTGTAATAAGAAGCCGCTACGCGGCTTTTGAAAACGAAGCCGCAAAGCGGCTTCGCCAAATTATCTTGTTAAATTATTTCACTCATTTTTTGAATTCTGTTTCGTTTATTAAAAAGCCGCTACTCGGCTTTTGTCTAGAGATCTTTTAGACCCTGACTCAGGTTTTCTGCACAGGTTGCCGAGCCCACCCTAAAGTGCCTTCTCAAAATCACAGAAATGAAAAACCGGTTTGGCAAAAAGCACAGGTTCTTGTTGGACAAGTCCGACATTGGAACGCAGCCATTTCAAGTTAATGTCAGTAATGTCGACACCGTCGATTTTGACCTCACCAGCCGATGCGTTGTAAAATCTTTCGAGGAGCGAAATGCATGTGGATTTTCCACAGCCAGATTGGCCCACGAGCGCGAGTGTTTGGCCTGGCTCGACGATGGTCTTGAGTCCTTTTAGCACGAGTACGTCTTTGCGAGTTGGGTAGGAAAACTCGACGGAGGAGAATTCCACCTTGCCGGTGATTTGAGGCTTTTGGCCTTTGGTAGATTCGGGGTCAATCAAGAGCGGGTATTCGAGAAGTTTAACGACACGGCGAGCTGCTAACACTGCTTGACCGTAATCTGGTGCCATTCCAGCGGATTGGCCTGTTCAAGAGTCGCAAAACTATTTTTGGAATGGATGCTGGAATCAGAAATTATTGAATTTAAATTGTCAAGTCTTGTCTTTTCTGGACCCGATCCTGCAGTGAAAGCGGCGAAAACAAGCGCGAACAAGACTCTGAAGATGTCCGAAGTTCTCGAAATATCGATGATTCCCTCGTCGATCAAAAACATCGAGAAGCGGAAGAGACCGGCGTACATGAAGAACATCACTCCCAAACTGGCGCCGTAGAGGATTCCATAAATGTTGATCTTCTTGCCTTTTCCTTGGAAAGTAGCGTCGATGTTTTCTTTGTAGATTTTGCCGAAATGGGCTTCTCGGCCGAGTCCTGCGACTGTTCGGATGTTTGTTGTTGCTTCTGTCGCTACCTACAGTTTTTTTTTGTAAAATGGCTTTGATTGTTAGCGATTTACTTTGCTGGCGGTTTCGATCGCGAGTTGTTCGTTTCCACCAAAGTTGCCCGTCATCAGTTTCATCATCAACGCCTGAGTAACAATCATGAACGGCAGAAAAGCAAAGGTGAGGAGACAAAGTCGCCATTCATAATAGAAGGCCACTCCGAGACCACATCCAAGGGCGCCGATATTGATGAACATTTGACTCACTCGTCGGCCCGTTGCACCTTTTCATCCGTATTCATTAATTTGTTTGATTATTTAATAAAAAAAACCATGGATACTGAAGAGTGAAGTGAATACTTTCCTTGAACTTTGCCGGCGTCCGAAGCTAATCTCGCGGTAAGCGCACCTGAAATAAATCAGTGTCAATCTTTTGAGGAAATCAACAACGATTGTTTTTACCTGTCGAGTTCAGTGGCTCGTCAAAATAGCCCATATCTAGTCTGAGGAGTTTGGCGAACGACTGCGCTCGGAGCCTCGTGGTCATGTATTCGCCAGAAAAGCCGAACATCCAGTTGAGAAAGCCGTAGCCGATGAACTGCCCGACTCCTAGAACAGCAAACATTCCAGCCCAGAAGCGAATCTCGTCTCTGAATCCATCCAATCTGCACCCTTTCTCATCTGCTTTCAAGGCGTCCACGTCTACGGTGAAATCACCGAGGCCAAAGTTCAAAGTCTGATTCCCGCTCAATGCGCTGATGTCTTGATTGTAGGCGCAATTGAACTCGGAGTAGTTTTCAAGTACATTTGCGAAGACAATTGCCCAAATCGGCTGGATCGCGCCAGTTGAAACCGCTGCCCGTGAGTTTTTCAATGTCAGTTTTTTTCAATAAATAATTGGCTTTCAAAACAGAAGTGGCAATAGATTTCTAAAGTCATAAAAAATAGTGAAAAACTCTGACAAAAATGGCTCCAACAACGATGAAAGGCCACTCGGGACTGTTCATTTTCATGATTTGGCCCCAGCTCACTTCGGGAAGTCCTTCTCGCTCCGCAATATCTTCATTTGTTTCTTCTTTCTTTTTCTTTTCGTCGATTTTCGAAGCTGATTTCTCTTTTTCTCGGTTTTTGACAACATAGAAGACCAATTCTATTAACAAAAAAATCAATATTTTTGATACGAAAACAAAAATTGCTGTCAAAAATCCGGTCCTTCAGCTCCCTTCTTGCTTACTTCCGTAATCACATCATCTTTGGAAACGGTTTTGAGTGATTCCTCCTTTTCCGTCTTTCCGTCTTCGTTGTCTTCATCAACATAGGTTTGCATATTCGAGAGTGTCTTGTAAACTCCATCTTCGATTTGGAGCAACGATTCGTTGTTTCCTTCTTCCACTTTTTCGCCATTTTTGAAACCGATGATTTTGTCCGCTTTTTTGATCGTCGACAATCTAAATTTTTTATTTTCAAGTGAATTGGAATATTTATTTACCTGTGTGCAATGACAAGTGTTGTTCTTCCGAGCGAGGCAGTTTCTAGCGCCTGTTGAACAATCTTTTCCGACTCAGTGTCGAGCGCGGAAGTGGCTTCGTCGAGCAAAAGAATTCGCGGATTTCGAACAAGAGCTCTGGCGATGGCGATTCGCTGCTTTTGCCCTCCCGAAAGAGTGGCGCCTCCTTCGCCGACGTTGGTCTCCCAAACTGCCGGAAGCTTTTGGATAAAGTCGTAAGCATTGGCTTGCTTGCACGCTGTGATGATTTCGTCCTTCGTCACATCGAGTCGTCCTAGTCGAATGTTTTCTTCCACAGAGCCGTCAAATAAAATCGGCTCCTGACTGACGACTCCGACATTTTCACGGAACCAGGCGAGATTCAAGTCTTTTATATCATGTCCGTCAATTAGAACCTGTCAGAGTTTAGACAAACAACAAACAAGTGAAGAGATAGGAGTCTCTGGTCGGCAACCCTGAGTCAGGTTTTGAGAAAAGCCGCAAAGCGGCTTCCAATCATCACGATATCAGTCTATTTTTAGCTCCTGGCGAAGCCGCTTTGCGGCTTTGTCTTCAAAAAAAGCCACTTTGCGGCTTTTCATTTGAACTCTTTTAGATGCTGACTCAGGTTTTCAATAAATCTGCCGAAAGAAAGATGAATTGCAGGCCGTAAAAAGTTCGAATTTTCTCGAACCTCGGTTAGTGTAATAAACTCATTGCCTGACCATCTATGGCGTCGTAAAACCGTTGAATGAGTTGGAAGCATGTCGACTTGCCACACCCAGAAGCGCCACACAGAGCGGTTGTCTGAGAAGCCTCGGCCGTGAAGCTTACGCCCTTCAGAATTTCTTGCTCGGGTCGGGACGGATAAGTGAACTTGACGTCTTTGAAGGTGATGGTTCCTTTCACATCGGCGAGCTTCTTTCCTTTTGTAGAGTAAACGTCAATTTCTGGAACTCGGTCAATGATTTCGAAGACGCTGTAGGCTGCTGCCTGCGCTGTGCCCAAGTACTCCAAGTTTTGGCCCATTTGGGAGAGTCCAAAGCCCCCAATAATCGCGCCGAAGAACACTATGAGCTTTCGCCCAACATCGTAGCCGTCAGTAATGACCAGCTCCGCCCCGTACCAGAAGGCAAGAGCATAAACGCAAAACATGGCGAGGAAGAAGAAACCAATGGCGAATCCAGCCAGCGCTGACTTTTTGATTCCGGAAAATTGGGCGCGCAAAAGTGGGCTGTAATAACGCTTGTTTTCGAAAGCTTGTCCGCCGAAAGCAGTGACGGTGCGAATCGCGCCAAGAACTTCCTCCGCGATGCCGCCAGCTTCGGCGTAATCGTCGAGTTCTGCTTTTGAAGCGGAAGTCGTCATGTAAAAGAACAAAAAGCCGGAAATGCCGATCACAGGCAAAAGAGCGACGCAAACAAGCCCGAGCTTCCAGCCGTAAACAAGGGCAATGATGATGCCTCCGATGAACTGCGCGAGTGACTGAATAGCAATGCCGACTTTTTCAGCGATTCCATCTTGTATTTTCTTCACATCGTCGAACATACGCGTGTTTAACTCGCCAGTGTCGTGGGTGTCGAAATATCCGATGTTTTGGCGCACTACCGAGGCAAAGTAAGTCGCTCTTTTATGGAGATTTTCGAAAATATATTTCATGGCTATCTTTTCATGTAATAAATTAAGGGTATCATTACGTTAAATACACATGGAAGAATTAATGAAAGATCAGCTATTTTTTGATTTGGGTGGTCGAATCTAAATCTAAAGCTCGCTTGAGTTATTTTCTTTTCAAAATCATTGTGACACGTCGAATTCTAAGCTGACGCTCGTTATCTCCATTCCTGAGCTGGTTGACTTGTCGATCCGAGGAGTACATAAGACACGCGGTCTGGATCCACCCAGCGAGCCAGACGACTGCGCCGAGTCCGATGAACCACCAAATATTGTCCATCATCGTTCCAGAAATCGCAGCTCCATCTCCTTCGGTATACAGCGCCTTTTCCCGCTCGTTGAGAGTCGCCAACGTCAATTTACAGAAATCAGAAACTTGGTCCAGCGAGCCAGTTCCATTTCCCAAAGCAGCCAATGCTTCGGAATCGCCAGGAAAGCAGGCCTGGAACTTTCCAGCAGATGTAAAGTCATTTACAGACTAGAGAGGGGCTCATTCATCTTTATTGAGTTACCTTTTCGAACAAAGTGTCTACTACCGGATACTAAAGTCGCTTAGCAACTTACATTATTATTATTCTAGTGATTGATAATTATGAAATTATAACCAACAGCATTTTGAAAGTCAAGAACTTTTACCCATAATTTTCCTAACAATAAAAATCTGGGCTCGGCAACCTGAGTAGAAAACCTGAGTCAGGCTCTGAAAGAGCTAAAATGAAAAGCCGCCTAGCGGCTTTTAAAACCGAAGCCGCAAAGCGGCTTCGCAAATGAACCTCATAAAGGTTCTTCAAACTCCTGCGGCTTCGTTTTAAAAAAGCCGCTACGCGGCTTTTCATTTTAGCTCTTCCAGAGCCTGGCTCAGGTTTTCTACTCAGGTTGCCAAGCCGAGATAAAAATGAAAGTAATATGATTGAAAAAATGCATCAGTAAATATACAGTAAAAAAAAACTGTAATTGAGAATAAATGATCCCGTGCATTTCCAAAGAAAATAATCATCGCCGGCTGAGAAACGCCAACAAAAATCGCGGCAAACCATCCCAGCGAAATCAACAGCCAGTCTGTCTTCGTGGCAAATCGGTACTAACAAAAACGATCTTAGATTTCTCGGAAAAAATCAATCCGACGATCTTTTCTTTTTGAATTTGAAACTTACGAGTTTGAAATAAGAAACTTTCTTCAGCGGCTCTTTCTTTTCTTTTTCATCCTTTTTAGTCGTCTCTCCTTTGGACAGGTCGATTTTCTCTTTCTCTTTTTCTTCATGCTTTTTCTCAAAAAAACAAAAATTGATTGATTCGAGCGCAGCGCTCAAAATCGTAAATTCTGAAAGAACGAAGTGGCCGGACAGAAACAAAGGCGCCAGGAATTACGAAGAAGACGATGAAGAGCGCGCTCTTTATCAGCGTTTTAGTGCTCTAGTCCTTCTTTACGACGGGTAAGGACTAGTTCTAGCTTGACACCCGTCAGTGCAGAAAAACCCATTCATCTGGAACAGCCCCGCGGCGAGGTAGACAAGGATGAATTTTAGAAACCGGCGATTAAATTACTCAAAAACAAAAAGGCATCAAAAAACTATTTTGGGGAAAAAAAAACACTTTTTGTTTGATAATAAATAAGTTTATTAAATTCAAGAAAACTTGATAAATTTAAAAATTATACATGACAGAAATTCAAATATTTGAAATGGTTCTTTGAATGAAGCCAAGAATCGGCGGAGAGTAAACTTTCAGAAGATTCAGTACGTTTAACAAATACGATGAGGATTGAAAGGCTTTTGACCTGTTTTTGATTGACCATATGATTTCTTGATATCATGCTGACTGAACCTTTCCTTTCATAAAGCCAGTAGGATTGGCGGGGTAACAGCTTCGGCCGGACCAGCTGGAAATGCCAGAAATCTCGAATCTTGTGTAAGTAAAATCATCAGTAGTTCGCGCACAGACGAGGGGGCCGCCAGAGTCGCCAACGCAGCCAGAGCTGGTTCCGTGGTAGCCGGCGCAGAAGGAGTGCTCGCTGAGCAACAGTTCAAATGGGCCGCAGTTTGCGTTGATTTCGATGTGCGTTTCCAGCAGATTATCGGGGTACTGTAATTTCATAACTCAAAAAGAACAAGAACAAGGACTAGAACAACCTCTGGCGGCATCGCAACAGTCCTTCCCCAGCCGGCAAAGAAGCAGGAATCCCGTTCCGGCGGCGAAGAAGGCAAACAAATTGGAAAAACCCTCGACGAAAAATCAATCGCTCTTTTCGTTCGCAATAATGAAATGTCGAAGTCTTGGATTCCCCCGCGAGCGGCTCGGGTCAACGGATGATCCACTTTTTGCTCGGCTTCGTAAAACTCGCCATCCGAATTTTCAAATCGATCTCTATAAAGACAAAGTCTGGCTTTATCCATTCCTACCGGATTAAATTAAATGAGGGGGCGGACAGCGCGAACCCGGGTTTTGATCATAACTTTTTCCAGAGTTCATGATATGAACTTCATATGGCGACACCCTTATTTCATTTTCCCAAGACTTGGGACCCAAGCTGTTGTTCCTTATCTCACCGTTTATGTTATTAACCCACCATCCGAATTTTCAAATCGATCTCTATAAAGACATAGTCTGGCTTTCCATCGGATTTGATTGGATTAAGGGGATATACCACGGTACAAGGTCAGCTTGATTTTCAGCCACAATTTTTCTGGATTTGATAAAGCAACACCCTTATTTTATTTTCTCAAACTGTTGTTCAAACCCTAGTCTAGATCCTCACGAAGCCGATATAAAATATAACCACGCGAACTCCCTTAGATTCATCCTACCGTTTATGAGCTCCAACCACAATTTCGTCCTTTTCCACGTTGAATCGACAGTGCTGGGCGGTGATGATCCACCTCGAGTTCAGAATCGATCCGCTGCAAAAGTGCTTTTTCGACTGAAGTCAAAAATAAAGCACAAAATAAAAATGTTATTTTACTTTTTTGATCTGCAGCGCGGCTAGCCAAGGATGCGAGTGCGGAATCGCCTCGTTGGCGCCCAAAATTCTTCCTGTATCGACAATGTGTTCCTCGTCTTCTTCCGTTACCAACGAACAGGTGGGAGTTCGGTCTGCTTCGTCTGCGAACATCGGGACTCCGCAAGAGACAGTTATGTTTTTCGCCGCCTCGGCCGTTTCGTTCCCTCCTTCCTCCTCTTCGTCAACTTCCTCGCCGTAGTAGTCGTAGTAATCATCATAGTAGTAGGCGTAATCTCTGTCCGTAGTCAACTGGGCATTGTCGAGAATCCACTGCGAAACATAAAGCTGATAAGAGTCGCCACAGCTCTCCGGGTTCAAATTTGAATCTCCACTGCCAAAAACGGAAGCTCCCAAAACACGAGAAAAGCTCAAGAACGCAGCAATTTTCTTCATTATTTTTTCGAATTTGAACCTTGAAGGTGCTTTTATAAAGCGGAACAGAAGCACTCATCCTTTGCAAGTAGGCCAAAGCCGAGACGATTTTTCACGGACTTCAAGTTTTACTGCGACCTGGAAAAAAATAAACAATTTCAGGAGAAATTCCCAGCGTGTAATATTAGCGATACGAGAGTATTGGAGATTCATTATCTCCTGTTTAAAATGTCATGCAAATAGAGTAGCAGTCTTCAAACTGTCAGAAAGTCCCCATATTTGACTTTCAATTATAAAGCCTGCGATTCGAGCTGTTTTAACTGTTTTTCTTTCGAGCAATGCTAATTACGACGCATCCAAAAGAGTTGACAAAAGCAGCTGTTGAGAAATGGTTGGAAGATTTTAGAAAGAAGTTGAAGAGAACGACCAGCAGAGATGATTTGGACAGGCTGATTTTGTCCGTCGAAAGAATGGAGTTTGATGATAATCGTTGTGCTCTTTGGGAGCAGGTCATCTCTCAAAATGGAAAAGGAAAAATTTTTTGCCAAGATGTTTTCGGAGACGTTACAGGCTGTTCTTATTTGTGACGAGATAAGGAAACGCTGATAGAATGACTGAGCAACCTCTATCAAAATTCCTTTAATCCGCCAGCATTGTTGATTTGAAGCGCGCGCAATAACCTCCGATAAGCGACATCCAGAATGATTCAACCTGTGGGTCGGATAATAGGAATTTTCGATAATGCTGGCGTAGGGCCGCTATCAAAGGCCCCGCTATCTCGTCACAAATAAGCCCAGCCTGTAGATCTGAAGAATGGACGATAACTTCAGTTCAAAAAACGATCGTCAGCAAGAATCGAAGCTTACTCGAAGGACAAAAAAGCTTCTTTACTTTATCAAAAATTTTCATCTTTTTTTATCTCGCGAAACATCTCTTCTTCTCTCGGCTTTCACGTCAGTGTGCTCGTCGAGACTTTCTTTTTGTGTCTAATCCGGGCATTCCCACGTGCAAGAGAAGGTCGAACTAGAGAAAAACGATGGACCACGACCAAGCTCAGTACGAGAAGCTGGTCGCTTCTGGCAATGTTATCGCGGCCTTCAAGGTAAGATCAGGAAGCAGGAAAGCTTAGAGTAGAGTTCTAGTGGAATGTTGGTGGTCAAAAATCAAGTCTGACAATAATTTTAAGACGCAGTTCAACTATGTGAAGGAGACGGCAAAGAGGGAGAACCCAGTCGACTACAAAAAGCTTTCCTTGGTCGTAAATAACCTAATGGAACTCTTTCCCATAATTTCTGTAAATTCGAGTTCCATAATGGCAACCATCAAGGCTCGCTTACAGGGCTTTCTGTGGGATCTTTACAGCACAGCGGCTCACAGAACTTTGATGATGACGCGGGATGATGAGCTTTGGATTGACGGGCGAAAAGCGTGGCTGAAGCTCGAGCGTTGGAGACAATCGAATCAGGACAGTCGGGTAAGTAATTAGAATGTAAAATCTACCCATTTTTTCGGGGGTATAGGGAACCCGTTACCGCCCGTGTTTTGACATTCGAAGAAAGGGTTCTAAGGTAGCTATCATCTCAATAATATATTTTTCAGTTTTTGCGCGTGTTCTTCCACACCTGGTGGTTGGCGACTCACCAACAGTGTCGCCGGCTCTACAACGACTTCCGCGAAGACATTATCCAACAATCAAGCGTCCCTGGGCTCGGCCTCCGTCTCATCAACGAATTCTTACAGTTCATCGACGAGAAATTCAAAGTGCCAGCGCTCGACAAAAAGATGATGGACCTCGACGACAGAAAACACCTCGGACCGCCGATCGGAGAAACTTTCAAAGAATTGACAGCGTTCGTGAGCGCATTCAAGCAGGACATCTTCGAGCGTTTTCCAAGTGGCAAGAACTGGAGAAAGCACGAGTTCGTCTGCATGGCTCGACTGATGAAATATCTGAGCAAATGTAAGATTCAATAGTAAGAATTACTTTTTAATCATTTATTTTAGATCTCACTCCGAAGTTCATCACGCCTTCTAGCGGGATCTTTGAAAACGACATCCAGGAGATCATCTACGGCTTCGCGCAAATCTGTCACAATATCTGTGAAAACCTCGTCACCCTGCCCGAAAAAGACTCGAATGTGCTCCTTGCTCTCGAGACTGTTCTTATTCCGCTCAACGAATCGATAGGCAACATGGCAGAAGCTTTAAGTAAATTCACAGGTTCTAACTTCAAACACCATCACAAATATGCTGCCTTCTCTGTCTACAGCTTTTGTCGAGTACTCCAGACGATTGCTAAACGAAACGATCTTGATAAAACGAAGCAGCGCGAGATCGTCGAGACCGGGCTCAAAAATCTTGGAGGTTCCTTCAAGTACGTCTACTCGATTTCCAAACACGATGACAACTTCACAAATCTGGAGCATTGGAATCTCATCGAACTGACAATCAACGAGCTTGCCATTACTTGCGAAACAAACAATCTTTGCAGCCGGAAAAACTCGAACAGCATGACAATCTTCAGAGAGATGGAAATCGATCTTCGTAAAAACCGTCAACCCTCAAAAATGGACATCGTCTACATGAAGGCATTTCTCAATCAACTTTTTTCTCAGCCTTATAAACGATGTGGTTTTTCCGAGAATTCGCTCTTCGATATGTTCGGAGTAGTGAAAAAATCACGCGCCCGATTCTTGAGCATATTAATCAGCACGCTGAGCGAGTATGGCGTCCCCGACAAAACTGAGCCCGTTGTGCTAATTGTTGACACCCTTGTTGAGTTCGGAGACGTCGAAAAACTTCCAGAAAAAGATCAAGACCTACTCAAACTCGTCATTGCTCAGCTGCGAGAATTCTTCCCGAAGGAGACGAAAAAACTTGCGTCGATAATAAAAAATGAGGATGACGAACTCATCACTGTCTGGAAGATGCTGTCCGTTTGGCAACGCGATCTTCAAGTCGCGTGGAGCGAGAAAATGGCAAAAGCCACTTCGAAGCCCCCGACACTCGACGTTGAAAAATTATCCAAGATCAAAGTCAAAACTCAATTCAAGAAGACTTCTTCTGAGATGCAGGTATGCAACTATGTCAACACGGTCTACATTGCGGCGCAACTTCTTTTGATTCTTGGAAAACGAGAAGCTGGGAATAGGGTCCTGAAAGACTTGCTTACAGCCCTCGTCGACTGGTATTTTCAGAAGACTAAAATTATCGCTTCTGTGAGTGAGCTTCTCGGTGATCTTGTAATGGACTTGGGATCGTCACTTTGGGTTGCGCGGCGGCATTCTTATTTCTCTACTCAGCCCGAATACGACGAGGATATTCATTGGACCCTGAAACGAGCGAATGCTTGCGAGTTGACCTCGAAAGATAAGAAACATCTTGCTTTTGGTTATATGATGTTCCAGGACGGTATCCCAGAGACAAAAAAGAGCTACATTGGTTGGATAGATGAGGCTATCACCCGAATCATGTTACAAACCTCTCTCTCTGGATCTTCCGGCTGGTCAGATTATCATGACAAGGCCTTTGGTCATGTGGGCTCGATGATAACTGCGAATCAAACAAGCGGCCTTCGTTACGCTCTTCAACTCATCATCACTTTCCTGTCGAGGGCATGCGATCGGCAATTCTACAAAACGATCTTCGTTACTTCGGGGAAGGCCGAGGGTTCAATGAAAGTCCAGAAAATTGGAAGAGAAATGATTGCGACCCTGCGTGCGCTTGAGAAAACCATCTGGATAAGTGTCGACTTCATCGATGATCTCATCAAACGAGGCATGTCGACCGAGGCGAGAATGTTTTCCAACGAGCTGCTTGTTTTATCCGATATTTGGGGATTGCAGACTGTCAACATAATGGCAAAGACACTCCAAATACGAGCACTGGAGCTTGAAGGTCAAACGAGCAAGTGGGAAGAGGAAATTCCAGCGCTTTTAAAAGTCTTCGATATCAACGAGGACAACCCATTTATGCGCGACGTCAATCCTCAAGCAAAAGCACAGGCGAACTCACTTAACTCGCAAATGGCAGAGAAAATAATGAAGAAAACGGAAACAACAGAAGCCTTCACATTTCAACTTCCAGTTCTTCCTAAGATTGGCAAGCTTGATCTCGATGTTGCGCGGAACTATGTTATTGCACTTACAACTTTTTTCCGTGTTCATCCAGATCCTACTCGAGCTGTCAACGCTGGCCTGTTCCTTTTTAAAGAGATCGCTATCGCTGGTCATCAACTACCGCAGCTGCTCCTGGAGCTTGCATACGTCATCGTTCTTCGCGCGACGGAACTCGATAGACCATCTGACGCTGTCGAGCACGTCAAAATTGCTCTCGAGCCTGTCCGAAACTCCGAGAAAGTCAATCCAAAGAAGTGCGGCCGATTCGCGAAATTGCAAGTGGCAATCGTCATTTACAATAGAACCTTCGACGCAAACAAAGAAAATCTTGAGCTAACCGCCCCGTTTCAAGAAATGGCCAACACCAGCAATGTGAAGATGCCCGCCCGACGGGGTAGAGTGAAAACAACTAGCGATCAAACTCCAGCGATTACTCCGATGAAACCGGTCAATGTGAAGCTACAGAAAAGGAAGAAAGACATGCTTCGAATATTCAATGACGACGCGGCGATTTCATTGGCAACTCCAAAGAGGGCAAAAATCAAGAATGAAATCAAAGACGCTGACTATACGCCTCGAACTCCCGTTTCGGCCACTCGAACAACTCGGATTACGAGAGCTACAGCTCGTCGAATGAAAATAGAAGCCGTTGATGGAGATCAAGCCGGGGACACAATTTTTGAAGATCCTGAGGAAGAAGCGAGAGTCGTACCGATGGGTGATATTCCAGATCTGTCTCCCATCAAAACGAGCCAAAAAGATAAGACGGAGGGTGTTCGTCTCCAGAATTTCAGTTCACGACCAGTCTCTCCAATCGAGTCTGAGATCAACACGATCTTCAGTACTCATACTGGAGCAGGCGATCCGCCTAAGCATATTTCAGAAGAGGCAGTCCTGGATGAAGCTCTCGCGACCGCCAAGAAAAACAGCGACATGGAAACCATCAGAGCGATTTACAATCTACGCATAGGGCAGATTCTTCGCCAGGAACAAGTGTCCCAGCAAAGCACGATGGTCTTGAGCAATTCTTCGAAGCTCGCCGCGCTTCACACTGATGTCAACGGCATTGGAGCAGTTCTTGAGGCGCAGTACTACGCTCATGCTCGCATGTCCAACAATGTCAGCTTTGTTCCGGAAGAGAACTGGATACAAGCCAAAGACATGGCCGATAATATAAGTATTGAGTTTCCTTTCCTGCGACAGGAACTGAAGGACACCGTCGTCTTGGTGAGTTTGATTCCAGCTCTTTCGAAGACATTATCCTGCACATACGAAAATTGCCTCGCACTTATCACTCGTTTGGAGCCCAACGGGAAATGTATTTCGATCGGATTTGATGGTCATGCATTTGCCAAGGAGGCTGTGCAAATGCGCGACATGTGTCACAAGATTTCTGAAGAGATTGGCAAAGATGTCAAAAACCCTACCAAATGGTGGAAGGTGCGCGAGAAACGAGAAAAGTACTGTAAGGATTTAGTGCTGTCCATTCTCCCAGGTAAAATATCTTTACTTTGGCTTTTTATATATGACATTTTAGATGTTCTTGGTCCAGCTCTTGCTCTATTCACATTCTCTGAAAGCATTACTTGGACCGATGCAGTTCCCAAGCCCAAAAACTCACTTCACGCCGACTTTTTGAGCCATGCGATTCGGGCTTGGTCTCATATGAACACTCTTGGCAGGACGAATGTCGCTGAACTCGTTGGAGTGAATAAACTGGATCTCGACCATCTCGCAAAGAACCACGTCTTTGCAGAGTTGGATTATCAGCGGACAACCGCTACATATCTCATCCTTGGACGAGTGGTTCAATCGATCGCCATGGAAAGGATGCCTATTTGTCAGGGAATTCTAATGTCTAGGTAAGAACTTGTTGCTTTGAAGGTTTGGAATAGCGTATTTCTAGGATGCTTTCTGTGAGGCACGCGGAGTACATCCTTCGACAACCGGCGAGCAAACGGTCAGTAGACATCTCAAATCTACTCTACGTCGTAGACAACCACGTCAACCTAGCGACTTCGGCCACTACAGTTGGAAACTTCTTCAAGAGCGTTCAGCAATGGGATGGCTACGTTTCCATCATTCCGAATTCAAGGGAGTTGATTGAGAAACTCAATAAATTCGACCTCTACGTCTTTGCTGGGCATGGAAGCGGCTCCGACTTCGTTGGCGGCTGGGGAGGTGTGGCCAGAAAAGGTGTAACAAGCACCATGCATCTTATCGGCTGTGCTTCCGGCAGACTTCTCGATTATGGTCGAACTGAGCCGAGGGGTGCAGTGACATGGTAAGTTTGAAAATATATGGCAAATATAAGGTAACTAAATCAAAATTAATTCAGTGTCTTGAACTCTGGCTCTTCATCAGTAATGGGCATGCTCTGGGACGTTACTGATAGAGACATCGACCGATTTACGTTACGCTTGTACAAAGACTGGTTCTCCGCGGCGAGCAACTCGTCTAAAGAAACAGGACCGTGCCTCTCCCGATTCATCAACGAGTGCTCACGAGGTGAATAAACTTTGTTTATCATCAAATTTTATCCAATTTTTAGCTTGCAAGCTGCCATATGTCGTCGCCGGTGCAACTGTCAACTACGGGCTAATCCCTGTCTGCCACAATATCCCTCAGGGTTGGGAAAAGGGATTGCCTGAACAAATCGACTACAAAAAGTAACTGGGAAGATTATCAAAATATGTTTATAGTTCACATCTTTACTGCCACACATCTTCAAACTTCACCTTTCTAATAAATACATACCTCCCAGTTATTATATCGTGGTGGTTTTATCTTGCATCCACGTAGATGACGAAAACCAAAGAAAATCTTCTAAACTATGTTCAAGAGATCTCCTTTTTCAAATATTTCTTTTTAGTTTGTATTTTGAACTACAGAATCGATAGTCGTGGGAAGAATTGCACTAATAATTTCTTGTTTGTCAAAGAGTTTAGAGTTCATCGTTTCCTCGCTTGATTTTGAGCAGCTCGACGTCGAAGAGAAGGGTGGCGCCGCCGGGGATGACTCCTCCAGCTCCTCGGTCGCCGTAGCCCAAGTGAGGTGGGATCGTCAGTGTTCGCTTTTCGCCGATGCACATGTCCAAAAGGCCCTGAAAATCAATGCTCAACAAAAAGGAAAAGATCTAGTCAAGATTGTCAAGCAAAATTGGGGCGGATTGCAAAAAATTTGAAGAAAAAATTGAAGTTATTGAAGTCGAAGTACCTGGTCCCATCCTTTGATGACCATTCCAGCGCCGAGGGTGAACTGGAAGGGTTGGTTTCTGTCCCGGCTGGAGTCGAACTTCTTTCCGTCGATCAAAGTGCCAGTGTAGTGCATCGAGAGCTTGTCTCCCTTCTGCGACTTGTGCTTGCAGTCAGCTTCTGAGAATTTTAATTAGTACCGTTCCTGCGTTTTGGAATAAATGTAGTCTGCCCGATTAAATTAAGCGTATCAATCACTTACCGGCGATTTCGTGGGTCTTTTCGATCTTGAGCTCGTCAAGAGCGCTGGCTGAACCAAGAACAGCGGCGAAGATCGAGGCAAGCTTCATTTTTTTGTTATTATCTCTAAAATGAGAAAAAACTAGTTGTGGTAATTAGAATTTAAAGAAAAAAGGCGGAAGAGGCAGAAAAAATGGCAAATTCGACGCCAGCGGGAGAGGCGCCATGACACGTTGCACTGACGTTGCGCTGCGTAGCACTTTATGTTTTATTTGGCGCCGACAACAACGAAGAGTGTTTCTGTTTTTCAAAACTTGGGCAACAGGTCTTTGAAAGAAAACGGATTTACAGGGTCGGAGAGCTTCGCCTTTTGGACTATTCTGTGCACGCCAAGCTGAATAATGAAGCGGTCAATTCTAGCTATTCTAAATTAAGGGAGTGAGCATAATGAATCGGGATCTTTCATCTTTATTTTCTTTAGATTTAGGAGGCATATTCTTTATTTATTTCAACAAAAGGAAGTTACAGGTATCGCCTGGGCTCTGGAGCCTGGGTTGAAACCTGAGTCAGGGTCTTGAAAGAGATTGATTAAATATAAATAGTTCTTTACCTGAGGAGATAAAACCTGACTCAGGTTTCTCCACAGGTTGCCGGGCTTGAACTAAAGCCTTGTTTCATTATTTTCGCGAAACAAAATAAGGATGTCACGTTTTTAAGTTAATTCTAGGAGAAAATTCCGATGAAAGATCCCGGTTTCTTATGACGATCCCCTTAGATCTCTCTTACCGAGCCAATAATTAAGGTCAGGGCGCCCGTTAAATGGCCTCTGCTCTTGGTGACTAAACTGGCGGCGAAGAGGGAGTATCCCATAATTTGAATTGTGGAATATGCCTTGACGGCGATTGTCAGTTGTTCAAACTGCTTCGTATCGTTTACAAAGGGCATCGTATAATTTTCCGGCAGCGAAAGACCCAGGAAGTTTTCTAGCGGCGCTACTCCTTCCTTGATGTTGTAAATTAGCAGTTTCTCCTTTGGCACCGTTCGAATGACGTATTCGTTCCAATTCAAGTAGACTTGTTCCATTTGCTCGTCCGTCATTTCCCAAGTCGGCCTCACTTCTACTTTCTTTTCCGAAATCGAGTTTCCTTTTTCGATCACCACTTTCCAGAAATAGTTGTGAAAGCGCTGCATGTTGCACTGAGCCATATCAGAAATCGGCTTCTCGCTCATCAAACAAATATTCGTCCAGAACGGCAGTTCGCAAATTTTTGCAACAGTGGCTCTCCACGACTTTACCCAAACTTGTGGATTGTCTCGGACGCCCAGTATTACTTTAGCATCGGGATGCTTTTCCATCGTTTCTTCGAATAAGGCGATGAACGGAAGATCCAATCCGGAGTTGTAGCTTTCTAAAAAGAAGGGTTGGATTACTGGAGTTAATTTAGGGAGAAGAGAATGAGCTATGATCTGGGGTCGGCGAAAATGGTGGAAATTTACCTAGAAGATGATCGACTGGCTGATAGTCCTGTGATTCAAAGACTGATTCCCAAATCGACCTGTGCCCGTGCAAGATGCATTCCTGCATGTGATAACAGGGACCAAAGCCGTTGTCGTCAAGAAATTTCCGCGTTGACATGGTTCCAGTTCGACACAATCCAGCGCCGATGATTTTCATTTCGATGAAATTTCTGAAACAATATTTTTCATCTTTTTATGAAAAAAATTGACAAAAACAGCATTTTGTCGATTGGCAGTAAAATCAGCAGAGAAAGGAGTGAATACTCAGAAGAAAATAAAATGAATAACATTTTTGAGAATAACTTGGCTCGGCAACCTGTGTTGAAAACCTGAGGTAGGCTCCTGCTTGACCTTAAAGCTCCTTCAGGACCCTGACTCAGGGTATCTACACAAGCTGGCGAGCTCTGATAAACAAGGAGTAGTTAAAAATGGAGATTTTGAAGAGTTTTTGATGATTAAAAAAGGGAGGAATAAATACATAAGCGAGATTGAGTTTTCAAAAATATGACTTCCAATGAAATTTTCAATCAGTTTGATTTATCAATTACAGGTGGGCTATTTGAAAAAGCCTGTTTCATAAAAAATATCCGTGAAAGACTAAAAATTGGACTTTTGGGATTTCAATGCAAAAAATAGGGACAAAAACGGCTAGTTGTTGAGCATTTGATTGAGATAAGTGCTGCCCAGGATGGAGTGAAAATTGTTGTAGTTAAAAGGCGGCTGTTGGGGCCCCCCATTTGGGTCTGGGTTTTGTCCGGCGAAGGGTTGAAAGGGCGGGAAAATAGGGCCCGAGGCGTGTGGATGAGCAGAAGTCGAGGGCTCTCCTTGGACATCGTCTTCGATGGGAACTTTTGACGGGTTTAGAACGGAATTTCAAAGAATTTCTCAGAATTATTACCCAAGAAAATACACGAAAACTCGTTTGAAACAGTAATCAAGGAAGATTCTAAACCCGAATGTCGCGATCGAAATCGGCTCAGGCTCGTAAGTGGGCAGCTTTTGCCTGCTTTGCCCGTCCTTCTTGAGTTGGTCCTTTCTGTTGACTCCGTTGGCGCTGCGGTTCGCCCTCGGCGTCCGCACTTTTCCCGGGTTTTCTTCGTGCAGCTTCATGTGCCTCTTGTAGTGCGTTCCGTGGATGAACTGAACAGACCTCTAGCATCAATCCTATCTGTCTTTTCTTTTACCTGTTGGCCGCAGAGCTCACAGGCGAATTTACGCGGCGCCCCGTGCTCTCGACATAAATGTGGTTGGATGTTTTTGCGATGGTGGAACTTTGCTGGGCACAATGGACACTAGAATGACAGTTTTATAAGGAAGAGTTTGTTTCTTTTCGGTCACCTTGTACTTAGGCTCTCCATGAACAGTTTCAATGTGTTTTCTGAGCGACATCTTTCGCGTGTAAACTTTTCCACAGAACTCGCATGCCAAGTTGCCGATGCCGTTTTCTTCGTCTTCCTCTTTCTTCTTCTTTGCGCGGTGTTGCTTGGTGTGATGGTAGAGGGCGAACTGAGAAGTGAAGGACTCGCCACAAGTTTCGCAGACATTGATTGTCCCCTCGTCATAGTGGTACTTGTGCCAATGCTGCTGACGCTAGAAAAGGATAATGGTAAGGAGGGAACTTGATAAAACATGATTATTTCTGACCATTTTCAACCCTCTTTTCATTTCATTTTGTCGATCCCAACTGTTCCTCTCCGATCTTGAATTTAGACGATATTTCTTGACCAGTGTTTTTGGAACATATAAATGGCTCATTCAATTTTTATGTCTTACAGATGAATTTTGAAATGAAGCTTTTATAAAGAAAATACTTTGATGATTTTTTTTCTTGAGTGAATTTTTTTTGAAAAAAAAATCAACAGAGCATGTTTTTCATCTCCAGCAGAGAAGAAAGGGATGAAATAAAGGTGTCACTATGCTGAACTTACTCCGAATTGGGTGCGAGAGACTTGGTCGCAAACTCGGCATGGGAAGACGAAGCGCGGGTGCACGACCTTCATGTGATTCCAGACGCCCAAGAAGCTAGTGAAAATACTATGGCAGTTTTCTTCCGAGCAGGGGTACGTCTGTTCCTTCGCACTTTTCGTTGGATGAAAAAATGAAATAAAAAACTGTGAAAGTAATTCTAATAAATCCATTCCTGAAATTTTTTTCGCGTTCAACAATTTCTGCGTGCCACTGAGCGTGATCTCTATACGCTTCAAAGGACAAAAGTGGCTCGGGACACTTGGTGCAGATGTAACGCGTCTTTCCGTCGACGACTTTAGTCTTGGCGTTTTTGTATTTGAGCAGCATTTCGGCGTCGTACTCGCTCTGCAGCGCGGTGACGTCCTTTTCTCCGTGCACCTGCATCATGTGTTCCCGGAAGAGCACGTCGTAGTCTTTTTGCGGAATGTCGAGCAGCGGTTCGCTGTTTCCGCATTTGCCGCAACTCGTGGCGATTTTCTCCAGAAGCTCTGTTTTCAACTTTGCCGTCATGTTTTTAATTTGGGGAAGGCGCATTCGCTGCTCTGAGGCTTCTTTTGCTTCTTTTTCCAGCGATTTCTTTCGTTTTTTCTCCGCCTTTTCGTACTGCTTCTGGATGAGTTCCATTTCGTTGTCTTCGTCGATCATCGGAGTGTTGATGTAAGTGACCTCGTTGCCGTCAGTGTAGTCCAAGCCAACGGCTTCATCCACAGCGCTTACTGGTTTGACCAGAGAGTTTAAAGAGGGAGCGTTTCTGATTACCTTAAGAAACTTTTTGACGGACTATCGAGAGATAAATGAGAAGCTGCTTGTTAAACTAACGAATATTCAATAGAATCAAAGGATATCTAGTATGACTTACCGGTGTCTTCATCTTTTTAGAAACCTTGGCAGATCCATCTTTGCGTCGTTTTCTTAACCTCGGCCGTTGATTTTCGTCCAAGTAAGTTTCGTCTTCGGACTCATCGCCAGAAAAGTTGTTTACCACAAAACTGGAGTACTCGTTTTCGTGTTCGAAGTTGATTTCTTCGATGTCGGCTGGTTCTTCTTTCAAAGTGACAACTACGACTTTAATGGGTTCAGAGCGGCTAGTCCGTTATGTAACTCAGTGTGCCTCGGGCTGCGCGGAGGCGGACGATTTTCGCTCGACTCTGCGCCCGGCGCAAATTTCAACATTCAGTGTCCTGCCATTCTCGGCGAAAGCCGCTTTGCATTTTTATGATCGAGCGCCAAATACATAGAGAAAAACTCCATCTACTGTGTCTTCACTGAGTTTATTCTAGAGTAGTCGTAGCAGGAATTCGTAGCAACGAGGCACAAAAAGAACATGGCCTCATCGTTGACCATAGTCGTACCCTTGGACAGTAGCTTCTCAAGAATTACTGGCCAGGGATACTCTCGGACTCCGTTGAGAACCCAGTAACTGGTGTGCAGAAGAGCCGAGTGCTCGAATTTCCCTCTACGACACTCGGTATTGTATTTCCTATGTTTATTTTTACTTTTTCGTTATTTTTTTATGTTATTTTTACGTTAACTCTGTCGGTCAAGGTATGAGCCGAGCGGCGCGACTTCGCCCCTCGTCATAATTTTTCCTAGTTCTAGCTCCCAGCCCTTATTATCACGCGGTCTAGGGGGATGGTCCTGGGCGGCCAATGAGAACGCCGTTTTCCCCGGAAACTGCTGGTCAGTTTTCGAGGCAACGGATGCTTCCAAGGTCGAAAACATAATAACATGTCCGCAGTAACGGACTTTGCGCACAATCTCCTGCGAACCTGTTGATGAGAACGACAACAGTCGATCGCGGTTGTAGATCAAGTCAGTGTAACGGAATCCGGACAAGCCGTTGCGCACTAGACTTAGGCTAGCCCCATATCAGATTTTCAAATTTTATTTTCGCGCATTTTTCAACGAAAGATTTTCGTTGTAAGATTCCGAAAGGTTTCTTATCCCAAGTCTCAATCAAACCTTGATAGTGTAGCACTCCTAGAATCTCCATCTTTCAGCAATGACTACGACAATGGAGGAACTAAAAGCCAAGATTCTTGTGGCTCAGACTAAACTCGATACCTACACTGATCGCCCTCCCACCACGGATGCCCAGATTCAGGCAAAAGCTGACCTCGAGAAGGAGATCGCCGATGCCAAAGCTGAACTCGTCCAACTTGTTATGAGCGCCGGTCCAGCTACTTCCGCCAGCTCGGGTTCTTCGGACATGATTCATTTAGAAGGCCAACTTTTGTGCCAACACTTGCAATCACTGCCCAAGTTTACCGGTGCCAGTGCCGAAGATGCTAGCACGTTCATCAACAAAGTAAGAGCGATTATCCAGTCATGCCGAACTCTCGACTTTGAACGCATCTACGCTTCCATTAAGCCTAAGTTATCGGCTAATGTTTTGAAGACGCTAGAACTTGCTTCAATTAAGAGTGAAAGCGACCTCATCAAGTGCATCCAAACCAATTATGGCAATGCGAGCAACGTTTTTCAACGCTTGGAAACATGGCAGAACCGACCGAAGCCATTTAATAAGTCGTTCTCGACCTTCCATGCCGAGTGCGTTGCCCAGCTAGAGCCGATCATCCAAGGTTACGAGGAACTGATCAAAGCGAACAAGATCAAAGCTGACCCTACGCTTACTTCCTACACTCCGACATTTCATGATGCTTTTAATCTCCTCGTCACGATGAAGACCTTGCACTCGATCCGCCAGGAGTCGGCCGAGTTGTACAGCTCCATCGTGATCGAGTTGAGTACGTTCTCATCCCCGGACCAGCTTGCTGCGAGAGCTCAGGCACTCAGCGTCCAGACTACTTTCTCCTCGTGCAACGCCGCCGAGTCGAGACGCCCTGGAAACCAGTCTAACAAGAAGGGAAACAATTCCAGCGCGAAGAACGACAAGCGCGACGATGACGATCGTCACAACAACGCTCAGTCGAACAATAATCAGAATCAATCCAATAATAACCGACGTCGCCGCCGTAATGGCAATAACAATGGTGGCCACGCTGGCAACGGCAATGGTCACAACGGCGATAACCGCCAAAACAACGGGAACAATCGTTCCAACAACGGTGGTAGCGCGGGCAATGGGAACAACGGCGCCAAGGGTAACCCAAACAATCAGTCTATGTACAGGCGCCACGATGGCCCTAATTTCCCTCCTCAAATGCGTCGATACCAATCAAACCCTGCCTATGGTCAGCAAGTCTACGGCGTCAACGCCGCCGAGTCGGCCGATTGCGCGCCGCCGCAGGGATACGAGCACTTTGAAAGTCCGTATAATCCTAACGCAGCCCCTTTCGTGCCACACAATCAGATGTACAATTACAACAACGCATCTTACTACGCTGACCCTCACCCCGAGTATTCTTCAAAAAACTAATTGGCTCCGGCGGAACATCTGATTTCGTCGGACTTTCTCTTGCCAAAGCTGCTAAGCTGCCCGTCTGCGGTGGCTCCTTTTTTAAACATTGTTCGGCCAACAGCGAAGCCGTCTACCTTCCTGTGGAGTTCATTCAACGCCATAAATTTTCTGGTCTTTGGGTCCCGTGCTTGTACGATACTGGCAGCTTCGGAAGCCTAATTTCTGAGCGTGCAGCACGCGATCTCAACCTCAAAATTGAGCCGACTTCACAGAAAGTAAGGGGGATCGGTGCTGACAATCGCTGTATTGGCGTTATCAACACCAGCATTCGCATTGGCCCACACGCAATGTTCCCAACTACCAGGTGGTTTGTACTTCCGTCAAATACGATGCAAATCCCGGCTATAATTGGTAGACATCCTCTTTTCGACCGCTGCGGAGAAATCGTTCAAGTACTTGGGGATCGAAAATTACTGTTACGTGCTTACCACGGAAACACCTTAGCTAAGATTCCATATGTGAATAACCCCAAGTACGAGAGTTTCTTCCAGTGCTTCGATTCTGGCAAAACCTACGCTGCTTACGAGTCCGTCACTGCTGTCGATCTCGTCGAGATCGTCAAGAAGGAAATCGGTGCCAACATCCACATCGGCGACAATCCCAGCAGAGCTCAGCGAGTCGCGCAGATCGTCCTTGACAGACGCGCAGCTTATTCAACTCCTTCTCGCCCTGTTGGCAAATTCAAAAGCTATGTGGCTGATATTGATACCGTGCCTGGAAAAACGAAGCACGTCCCTCAATTCCGAGTAGCGCAACGCCATGTACCTGCGATAACAGCTGAGTTTGAGAAGCTCAAGGCCCTGACTGTTCTAGTTCCAAGCGATAACACGTGCGGCTGGAACACGCCAGTGGGAGGTGTTCTCAAGAGCGACGGTTCAACAAGATTAATCCTCAATCTCAACCTCACTGTTAACAAACTATTAGTTAACAACGACACGTTCATGATTCCATCCATCGACGCTGAAGCCGAGATCCCTCCGGGCATGATATTCTTTGGCACGATCGATATTTCGAAAGGCTTCTGGAATATCGCTGTTCGAGAGGAAGATCAGGTCAAGCTAACCGTGACTTGGAATAATGAAACTCTCAAATTTACGCGGTTGCCCTTCGGGCTCCGCACTTCCGGTCACATTTTTTCTCGCGCTATTGCATTTGCTCTTCGTGGCATGAAATACCGTGAAAACATCAAAGTGTATGTGGACGATATCCTCATATTCGCTTCTGACTTCGATACCTACTGCGAAACACTGATCGAGCTCCTGGACAAAATACACGAATACGGTTTTGTCGCTGGAGGCAAGAAAACGTTTCTGCTTTATGATGAGGTAAAATGGTTGGGCCGCATTGTCAACACTCATGGAACGACTGTCGATCCCGACAACGCCGCCGCTATCCTCAAGATGACCCCTCCGACTGATTACAAAGGGCTTCAAAGCCTTATTGGCCTCTGTAATTGGATTCGTAACTACTGTTCTGTCAAGCCGATGGACAATGTCGCTTCTGAGTCATTCAGCGACATAATGAAGCCAATTACCGGATTGCTGAAAACGAATCGCCCCAAGTCAAAATTTACGTGGTCATCGGAAGCGTCAAAGGCGTTCAACAAGTTAAAACAGAAACTTGCATCGCCAGCGACTCTATGGTTCCCGGACTTCAACCTTCCCTTCTGCTTGGTAACAGATGCTAGCTCAGCTGCCGCCGGCTGGGCCCTGCTCCAAGTCGTAGATGGAAAATCGAGAATCGTCCGAATCGGCTCAAAAACACTCACAGACACTCAACGACGGTACTCTGCCACAGAGCGAGAAGCCCTCGGAGTTGTTCTAGCTGTTACCGATTGCCGTGTTTACCTCACTGGTCGCCGTTTTATCATTAAAAGCGACCATAAAGCCCTCAGTTTTATTGACGCGAAGACAAGTAAGAACGACAAGCTCGCCCGATGGTGGGCCTTCCTCTCACAGTTCGACTTTTGCGTTCAATACCTCGAAGGAGAGAAGAATTCCTTGGCTGACTATTACAGTCGCCCGTCAAACGAAAGTACTCTTCGCCCGACTTTCAACGGTGAATCGATTCCAGCCGGTCAATTCCACGATTTCCACGGGTTTCGGATTTATGTTCCATCCTGGATCGATCTCTCCAAACAGCCGAAAGTACAGTTTGACGCCAACGAATTATCGATGTCTAACGGAAGTGACCTTGTTGCCCACGTGTGCGACAAAGTCCCGATCGAGAGTTCACTGTGTCAAAAGACGAGTATCACATCAGAACAGTATGCCTGCGAGCCGATCAAAGACGCGATGGATGCGCTGAGACACTCCAAAGCATTTCAATCTGACTCGAAATGCGAAGAATCGGCCTATCTTGCCCGCGAATTTCGTCATCTTAGCTTATGTGAAGATACTGGTGCCTTGCTCCATCAAAAACGCATGTACATTCCCGCCTCTCTCCGTCCAGACGTGTTACGATCATATCATGATAACTGTAATCACGCTGGAGGCAAGAGAATGCTCGAGAAAATGTCGCATATGACTTGGCCCAGTCTCGCAACTGATGTGACTAACTACGTCAAATCCTGCCCTTGCCATCATGTAAGTGGTCAACGTGGACGTCATCAAGACCCCGGTTTCCGCCCTACTGTCAAAGGCGAACGGCCCTTTCAGCGTTGCCACGTGGATTTTATTGAGCTTCCGGTCAGCCGATCAGGCCTCCGGTACGCCGTCACGATCCTCTGCACTTTCACGAAATACCTTATTGTCGTTCCTACCCGTCGCTGTCGCGCGGTGGACGCAGTAAAGGCAATTACTGAAAATCTACTCGACGTTTATCCCCAGCCAGAAATCCTGTCGACCGACCGCGGCACGCACTTTACGAGTCAGCTCAATGCCGAATTTGCACTCGCGAATAAGTTGAAATGGCGATTTCACTGCGCATATAGACCTCAATCTTGCTCACTCCTCGAGTCTCGTCACCGAGAGCTGAAAAATGCTGTCTTTATCATGGCGCATTCACTCTCGGTTGACTGGCCGGTTGTGCTCAAAAGAGTCGTCTTTATCATGAATGCAATGCCCAACAAGAGCACTCGCGTGTCGCCTCACGAAGCCGTTTTTGGTACTCCCCGCAGCTCTCTGATTTCGATAGAATGACTGAGATGCCGTCGGGCGTAAATATCCCTGATTTCCTCAAGCAGCGAAGAAGAGTTACGAAGCTACTCTACGATAAAATGTCTATTTGTCAGCAGCACGCTGACGAATCTGTGCTCCGGAACCGTCCAAGAATCACCCCTGAACCGTTAGAACCTGGCGACGAAATTCTGATCAAGCGCGAAAACTCGACAGTCGCGAAGTCGTCCAAATGTCGCTGGCTTGGCCCGTATTACGTGCAAGCTTCGAACGGATTCGTTGTCCAGGCCTCTGACGAGGAAGGTAATTCGGATTGGTTCCATCGGTCCTCTTGTATCAAAAAGATCAAGCGGTTCCCACATCTTGGTCCAATTCCATATTTCCCTGCCCTCAATATTCCGCTGCCAAAAACCACGCCCAGCCCTCCAAAAGTCCAATTCCGCTCGTGGACCCTCCTCCTGATAACCTCAGAATTGATCCGGAGGCAGTGCGCCCTGAAAATGTTACTCCGCCACCTCCCGATCAAGAGGAAACGATTTACTTTGACTGTGAGGATCCTGCGAATACGACAGTACCGCCCGCTGATTCTACTCAGAATACCGTTTCGCCGGCCGAAAACCGTCATCCTGAACCCTCACAGTCACCCCTGACAGTTCCTGCAGATATCGGAAATTCTAGCGCACCGTCAGAACCAGCACCTGGTCCTGCGCGCGTTGTGCGCTCCTACAAAATCCCAGACTTCCAGCCCCCTATGCTACTCGGCCCGTCACGCGAAATCAGCTTTTGAAGCAAGCCCAGGCAAAAGACCGCTCGGAAAAACAGGCCCAAGAAACCCAGGACCAAAAAGTGGCCCAGGAACTTGCGGACCAAAAACTTGCCCAGGCATAATGGCATAGTAATTCTATAACGCGCCGGAAGGCATAATGGGTTCAGAGCGGCTAGTCCGTTATGTAACTCAGTGTGCCTCGGGCTGCGCGGAGGCGGACGATTTTCGCTCGACTCTGCGCCCGGCGCAAATTTCAACATTCAGTGTCCTGCCATTCTCGGCGAAAGCCGCTTTGCATTTTTATGATCGAGCGCCAAATACATAGAGAAAAACTCCATCTACTGTGTCTTCACTGAGTTTATTCTAGAGTAGTCGTAGCAGGAATTCGTAGCAACGAGGCACAAAAAGAACATGGCCTCATCGTTGACCATAGTCGTACCCTTGGACAGTAGCTTCTCAAGAATTACTGGCCAGGGATACTCTCGGACTCCGTTGAGAACCCAGTAACTTCTTCTTCGGAAGGATCGCAAGAGGAAACGTCGCATTTTCCAAGTGGCTTGAAGACGTTCATTTTTGTTAGCTTCGCGAAGAGGAGGTAAGCTGAAGAAAAAGGATGTTAATTTTCCGCTTCTTTTGAGAGAGAGAGTGCACCTTTTTATGTGGCTTATAGGGTTTTTCAGCGAATCAAAGACCAGTATTCTTTGCTTAGCAAGTTAGAAACGACCAACCCCACAGAACATCCCCACTAACCCCACAAAACTTCTGATATGCTAAAGCAAAGAAAAGTGCTCTCTGATTGGCTGAAAAGCCCCATAAACCCCACCTAGAGTGATGAATACGATAACTACCTTTTTCCCTAATACCTTGAATGCGACTCCAAGTCGTCACTGAATGTCCTACATCTTCAGTGACGCTGTATTCTTTAAGAAACGCGAGAATGTCGTGATCTTCCACGAGTACCTCATTGAACACATCCATCGGAGTCATGCCCATTTTGGAGCTGGCAACGAGCATGGCGACGATTTGACGACCAGCCCTCGTTTTGTAGATCACCTGGTCTCCCACGTCGTTGCTTTCTTCCTCGAAACAGAACTCCAGGGATCTGTTACATGGTTTCAACAAATCAGTCAACAAAGTATTGATTTCTTTGAGCTAATTCATAAGTTTAGGATGAACCCTGCCTTTGAACACCTGCGCCAACGTCATACTCAACCACTCGCCATTCTTTTTCTCGACTGGCATGGCGTTCCGACTTCGACTTTCTGCAAAAAGTATCCATTAGACTTAAGTCTTCTTTACAAAGGTCAAATGCTCAAGCCTGATGGAATCATTGCTCAAAGAAAGGAAGTGTTTTTATATTCCGTGACGGTGAGATATTTTATTCACACCAATAAATAATTTGGTCGATTTTTTGGTACAGAAGAGAACTTTGAACTTGATTTATTGCCAGAGTCGGTATTTGGTCTTGAGCGCCTTGATTTCGTCCTCGGACATTTCAGCGAGCTGCTCGGCCCACCAGGCCTTGAGGTAAGGCTTGGCTTCCTAAAAGAGCGCTAGAAATCGGAAACCAAAAGAAGAGACTTCTTATCACCCAGAATTCTTGACAGAGGTAATTCAATCGAATATGTGTTGGAAGAATTCTGTATAAGCCGCAAGCGGCTTCTCCATTGATCAAGGATTCCTTACCTCGTAGCTGCTGAGTCCGAGTTCTTCCATGACGATTTTCTCGACTGGGTGAGAGCCGAAAGCGGCGTCAGAGACCTGGGGTGGGTTTTCCCAAGGGTACTGAAAGTAAAATCATAAATGAACTGATTGGAAGGATAAGGTAATTACAGTAGGGGCTCCAGCGGGAAGAGCAGTTGGGGGAGAAGCACCGAAGAGCTGGGCGACGATGATGGCGGCCAGACCGCCCATGAGAACGAAGATGACCTGCTCAAGAGCGGGCTCCATTTTCAGCCACTGCTGGATGCTCATTTCTGCCTAGAAACGGAGTTATTCAAAGATAATTTTACCATGAAACTGACCTTCTCACCAGCGTATCGAACAGACAAGGTCTGTCGGGGGACGACTCGAGCAGAAGTTCGGAGGATAGCACGGGAGAACATTCTTCAAAATAACCAAATTAATTAGAGGCCTTCTATCAGGATTTAAGCAAATATGATGCGAGTACTCTTTGTCACAGCCAGTCAGAGACCCTCTACGCCCCATAAAAGGTAGGAGCTTTTTGCTCCTGGGGTTGATAAATAGGGTTTTGCTTGGCTTTGATTGATTGAAACAAAGAATACTCGTACCTTATTCGTTGATAACCCTATTCAAACAGAAAGTAGCATAGTGAGGCAGCATTTTGAATTACAGCAGTGATTTTGATTGAAGCGGAACTTTTAGCGGAGTTTTGTGAAATTTTGTGATTTATTCGATTTCTTCTCGTTCTGTTTTGACGATAGGATGTTTCTCGGTTTTGGCCTTCGAGCTTGAAACGACTGGAAGACTGCGTCGATAAAACATGAGTCCCTCATCGCACATTGATTTGTGAATCTCTTTCAGGGTCGTTCCAGTTTCTTTGTGCGGTATCATCGGATCTTCGATGCTCGGGTCGGCTTTGTACTTCTCGTGCCAGTGCTTGGTCACGAACTGGATCACCTTCCCTCGATCTTCAAAAACAGAACGATGAAAGAAGCTGTCTTCCTTGCTTTTATAACTTACAGCTTCCAATGTGCATCTTCGTCAGAAGCTCGCGATTTTCATCCTCGCAAGTTATCGCCTGTTCTTTGCAGAGGTCGCAAAACACGTGATACTCGCAGCAGTTCGTTTGGCAGGTGGCGGCTTTGAAGCATTTCGCGCAGCGAAGTGGGTATTTGTGAAGAGTCAGTTTCGCGTTCTCGATGAACAGGATGGCATCACTCTCCGCCTCCGAAATCATTCGGCGGTGATTTGAATCGTCGAACTGGCTTTTTAGGACGGTCTCGGTGGCATTTTTCTGGCTTTTGAGATGATCCAGTGGCTGTTTGTCGGACGCGGATATTGTTGAAGAAGGGAAGAGTTGAGTGAGGAAGTTTTTGTCTCCAAGCGTGATTTTGGTCTTCTCAAGTCCTAGAATTAGCTTAGGCTTGGGGTTTCATTAGGAAAATTTATCTATTACTTGCTGAGAGTTAGAAAACGGACTTATGATTGGCTATAAAGACCCCATCCCCACAGTGCATAGTAAGCCTTCCATATTCTATTTAATGGATGAAGGGGTTTCTAAAGTAAGATATGGAGTTCTATGGGTGCTTCTAGCAAATAAGAGCCGAAAATTCTTCGTCTCACCCATGAAAAGCCCATTAACCCCATATCAGAACGGAACGTTGATCACTAAATCAACCTGCACTCTACGACAGGGGGTTCTGATAGGATTGCAGATCATCATACGGTATTCGTACCCCTCAAAAACCACACCCCAGTCTATTGAGTACATATTCTAATGACAATCTAAGATATAGCAGGGGCTTCTTACCTAATATTTCTAGTTGAGATGATGGAATTGTCGTTTCAGCAGTTTGCTTTGCTTTTTTATTCTGACTGAGGCAGACGCACAGTTCTAGAAATACGCATACTATCGAGCATTTGCTGGAAAAGGAAACTTACTGTCACAACTGGGATGTGTCATTCTCCAGCAAAGCCTGCATTACTGCAGCGAATTCGGAAGAAGGGAAAACTCAACGCATTGGAAGCAAATTCTCTTTTTCAATCCGCCAGGCGGGATTTTTAAAACCACTGCGCCTTGATTTTCGACAATTTTCTCTTCCATGCGTCACGAAAACGAATGATTCAAAAAAGGTCAAAGTTCACTCTTTCAAAGAGGAAAGACGCCTTCCTAATTGTGCTCTGCGGAAGGATCGCTCGGGCTTGCGGAATCGGACTGGTCTTTTCTTCTTGTCTCCTCGGTTGCTTTTCGCCATGATTGTAATCTTCTCGGCCAGGTTTTGACGAGAGCTTTTAGTTCCCAAATCCGCGAGTATCGCAAGATCCAGTTGAAAGAGCAATCGGATAAAATCTGACCTGAGTTACTGACTTTGTAAGGAAGGTACTTAGAGTTCTTTTTCTTGGGTAAATATAGGACAGGATGGTCTGTCATTCACTCATATAGAGAATCAGTAACTCCTTTTCCTATCGGGTGTATCGGAGTTTTTTCGACCAAGAGCTTCTCCAATTCGCGCAATTCAATAATTCCCCGTTCTTTATCCTTGAAATTCGCCTCGTTCAAAAGCAAACTCGTGTACTTAAAGAAATCGCAAGGCTTTAATTTTTCACCCATTTTTTTCTGAAAAATAAAACTTGATTCTTCTTTTCCTATTTATCCATGTTCGAGTGAAAAAAAAAGAAGAAAGGCAGTCAATGTGAAAAATATTTTGTTTTGAGTGAAGTGAGTGATCCTGAGGTGAATTTTCAAATATGAATGATTTTCGATTTCTTCTATTTCTCTAGGAAATCGGAGTCGTAGCCGCTCTCTCTTGGAATATTGATCTTGACTCCTGTTGTGACCGGCTTTCGGCAAGGCAAGCAATCGCGATTCAGATTCGATGAATTTCTAACTGCGTCATCGTAAATCTCCTTAATGTCGACGTACGGGGACTTGCTCATTGTGCGTCCCTCCTTCTCATGTACCCACAATTTCGTCGACGCCATCATCATTTTCGTTCGACCTTAAATTTAAGAATAAATTAAAGAATAATTGGGTGATTATCAAAATTGTCGAGAAGCCGCTTGCGTCTTCGAGAAAACGAAATAGAAATCGACCATCGCGCGGCTTTTCTTTTGAACAGCTAGAGGCCGCAAGCGGCTACTCGAATTTCTTGAGCTCCTAGAAATTCTAGCTTAGAATATAAAGCCGCGCACGCCAGGATTCATTTTCGTTTTCTCGAAGCCGAAGCGGCTTCTCGAATGATTTGTGACTACTAGAGACAACTCCAACTTTGATAACTTACAGTCGTTGACGTCTTTCTTGGAAACTAAATCCCGGTCGTCGCAAGAAACAGTGAGAACTCTCTGATCCTCGTATCGGCAAGAATCGCAGTAGAGGTGGAACTCGCAGCAGTTGACCTGGCAGTTGGCGCGTTTGAAGCATTTTGCGCAGCGCGGTGTATTGTGCTTTTCCAGTTTGAGCTTTGCTTGCACCATTTTCGAATTGAAGACCGCCTGGATCAGCTCTGGCTTCGGCGCGTTTCTCGGAAGCCCGTTTGGCAAAATCTCCGGCGTTTCGTCTTTAAGTGTACTCGCAGCTTGGCATGCTTTCTCATTCGCTATTCTTTCTGATTCGGCAGTTTTCGCAGGACTTGGCAGTGGCTTGATTTTTAGCTTGTTCTTCGAAATAAACATAAATAGCTTCTTCAGGAAGTCTGTGTCTGCCATTGTCAGTGAGTTCTCAAGACCTAAAATATCAATTTTTGAATGAGATTTCCACTTGTAATCTAAGTTTTGGATAAAGAAAAGGTTACATGGAGCGATTCAACTAATCAAAAGTCAGAGTTCATTGTCTCGACCAATCAAAATCCAGGATTCTTTGTTTGGACCCTGACTCAGGCTTTCTACACAGGTTGCCGAGCCCAGAGAAACACTATGCGAGTCTGGAACCAATAAAAATTGGGTGCCCCGATTTCTTACCTAAGATTTTCATCAAGGACTTGGGAACATCCGCCTTGGCTCGCTGCTCCTCTCTCTTTCTACTTCTGTAACAAACGCAGCCGGCTAGAATTGAACCATCTAACGAAGAAAAAACAGAACTCGCTTACAGTCGCACTTGAGATGATACTTCCTCCAGCAGAGTTTGCACTCGAGGAGTATCTTCGGCGACGTCGAAAATTCACAGCATCTGTAGCAAATCCTCCTTTTCAAGCCACCAGGCGGCGGCGAAATCAAAATTTTCACCCCGTTTTCGCACAGTAGTTCTTTCCTGCGTCATCAAAAATGAAGGTCCGCATTTTTATTGTCTTTGGAAGACGCGTTCCTACTTGATTTCTGGAAAGTGATCGTTCCAGCCTCCTCAGACTCAAAGAACCTTTCTCTTGCTCTCCGGATAAACTCTGAACTTTTTCGAACGCCTCTCTTTCCAGATGATTAGCCACAATATCTGCCATATCTAATTTGAAGATCATCTGGATGTATTCTTTTCACAGTTTTCAAAATAAAGGAACACACAGTTTTACTTTTTTCCTAAAGTCATAATCGATATCCTTATGACAGCCTTATTTTATTCGACCAAAAGTTAATTTCTCTTAGAGACATAGACTATGTATCATTAGGATTCTCCAAGAGCCGCTAGCAGCTACGAGCGTGGATACATCCTGTCCAGAAAAGCTAAGTCAGGGTCATCAAAGCACAAATCCAAAGCCGCGAAGCTGCTTTGCGAGAATAGAAATAGATTGAGATGGTACTGCCAGCTTCATTTCTTATGTTTCAACTGTTTCCTTTAGGATCGCATCCGATTTCCTCCTGTAAAACTTTGAGCAGCGACTGTAAGTCAATCAGTCCGTCCTCTGAGTTCGCCTCTTCCTGCACCACAAACGTAAAATACTTGAAGAAATAGTACGGCTTCATTTGTGGCGCTTTTCTCTCTACAAAGAAAAAAAAAAGAGATTGATTTTTTTTTTTTTTTTGCTTTTTGAAATTTCGGCAATATTTATTTTCAAAATTGAACAAAATCGAACAGAGATTTCCAGTTTTCAGAATACATGTAAAGAGCTAGAGATGAAAAGTAGTGAGAGCGCTGGTTGGGTTTTGGAATTACTCGTAGCCAACGATCAGTTTGGCGATTTCCCAGTTTGTCGCGAGTTCTCGGGAAGCTTCGATGGTTGATCCGGTCTGAAAGGGGGAATTTTTAGTTGTTCATTGGGGAGTTTGGACTTCTAAAGGATATTTATTCTTTGATTTCGATGAAATCGATGGGCCCTGAATTATGAGTAGCTGATTGCTGCTTTTTATGGTTGTTTCTATGGTTGCTTTTTTCTGATAAGATCTCTAAAACTAGCTCAAGCATGAAAAGTCCCGTATAAAGAGGGAACTGAGGAATAGTTGTCAGCTTTTAAAATGAGACATTAAACATAACACCGGAACATGAGTCCAAAGCACGACGAAAAACAGAGTCAAAAATTAGCTTTGGCTGTTTTTAAACTGCCACTATGAAAAACTACTGTGTCTATACCACTGTAATTGGAAAGTATAATTAGTTATCGTGTTCAAAATGAATCGAGAAGAATGCTAGAATAGCAAACAGGGCAGCTAAGTCGAGAATATTGTTTTAATAAAATAGCTTCTATTATTCTGTTTATTTCAATAAAAATTAATCTTATATTTTGATCAAAAATGAAAAAAGAAAGATCTTCTTTTAATAAAATTGATGGGCCATAAATTATGAGCAATTTGGGTCGTTAATGGTTCGATTTTGAAGATCTATAAAAATTATGCTTGCTCAATCGAGCATTAAATTTTGGAGGTATAAAAAGGAGGACTGGAAGTTAGCGATCATATTTTAAAATGAGACAGTATTAATTGGAATTGATAAGAAGCATGAGAATAATTCGACCTAGCCGTTAACAACTGGATTATATACTTTTTGTATCAGCTGTTTCAAGTTTCCACAAAATTAATAGAGAATTTTAGTTCAAAATGAGGCAATAGGATGAACATCCATCGGATTTTCTCGACAGGCTATTAAAATACCAATATTATTTCCCTGAAAAAGAAATTCTGTAATTACAATGTCTGCAAAAAATAATACGATATCAATTTCAAAATGAAGTTCATAATGGCTGACCTCTCATTAATGTTCTCTTTTACCATTCTCTTCAAAAAAAAAGTTGTGTTACCTTTTCTGTAGTTCCAATGCTCCACTTGTTGTAAGTAGTCTTGTCTCTGTAGTAAAGAACCTTGAGCGCGCGCTCGAGGATCTCGGTCGCCTGCTGCTTAGTCGGCCGTCCTTCGATCTTCTCCAATTCTCGTTCCATCAAAGGGTGCACCAGGAAGCCGCCGAAGCCAGTTCCGATCAAGTGGCTTTCGAAAACAGTTCCCTAAATTCAAAATTGGCCTTTTTCTCGTCACTTTCTTTTGCACCTTTGAGTCGATTTGGCCCATGAATGGCTTGTCTGTTGCCTTGTCGTATCCTGCAACGACGATTCGGTTCCAGAGCGGGTTGCCCTTCGATCTAACAGTTTTTGGTCAAAAGAGTTGTGCAAAATAAGGGCTTACCGTCGATTGTACATGATTCGACCCATGAGATTGAAATATTCAGAGGGTCCCAATTCATAGCCGTCGTTTCTCATGTCGTTTTCTCGCTGCTCGTCTTCCAGAATTTCTTAAAGAAGGGTCATACACTGTACAATGTCTCCGAGAGTTAAGCTAGTGACACCCTTAACTTTCACATTGAAAATGAAGTTCAGGCACTTGATAATGATATCCACTTTATTTTGAGTTGAAAAATAAGGGTGTCACTACGTAGAGTCGATAAGAAAAAACATCTTGAAAATCTGAACTCTTTATGTCCTATTAGCCTTTTCTCTCATAAAAACTTACCTTCGATGTACTGGAAGTCGGCGACGTCGCCAGTGTAGGTGATGAGAACGTTTTCGTTGACTTTCAAGATCCTGTCGATGTCTCGGAAGCGGTGGAGGCCGCCGTAGGCGCCGAGTCTGTCGCCAGCTAGAAGAACGCCACCATCAAACATGATTCCAAGTATCGATCCTCCGGTAACAGAAGGAGAAAGCGTTCGCGTCGAAGGCTCCATGCCAGAATGAACGCTATAAGCAGAAGCCAACATTCGAACTCGTGTATCTTGACTGTCTTAAAAGAAGCAACGGATCACTACCAAAAAAGGGGACAATTGGAATTCAAGTTTTTGAAATGATTGAAAAACTGACATAAAAGCAACAAGGAGGGAGCGATTCTAGAGAAAACAACAAGCTCGAAATCATGAAGTCAAAGAAGAATAATTCGAGAAGCCGCTTGCGGCTTCGAGTTTTTAGAATGAAAAAGCCGCAGAAAGCGCGGCTGCAATTTTATTTTCTCAAAGCCGCGTGCGGCTTCTAGAGAACCCGATTAATGCTTACAGTGGCGTTTGCGGTTGCCTCCCTATCCAAACGCGTCTAGAGAGGGAGGCAACGCGGGACGATTTCTGGTTCGATTTAATGCGCCCTTCTAGAAAAAGAGCGTCTGGATAGGGAGGCAACGAGGGACGCTCCAACAGGGAGGCAACCGCAAACGCCACTGTAATGTAGAAAGTGATACCCTTATTTCTCGTCTTCAAGATTGATTTCAGGCAAAAATAAGGGTGTCACGACCTAAATTATAAGTGCGACTCTTCTTGCTCGAGGCCGCAAGCGGCTTCTCGATTTTAGACAACGGTTGAAACCGACGACGATTCCTGCTTTTTCGAAGTGACTGTAACTCTGTTCTCATCTCTGCTAGTAAAAAGACACAGACGCGGGAGTAAGGGGAAGACTTGTATTTTGGCAGCGATCAAAATTTACCTACTTGAACGTTGAGAACAACAAAATTGGACTAAAGTAGTTGAGCTGGCAGAAAACAACTAAGTGGTACATGTTCGGGGCAATGGGGAGAATGATTCGATTTCAGGGACGATCACGGGCGACTCTGGGGCGCGGGACGGGCGATTTAGAGCTGGCCGCAGTCGGCGATGACGACCTTCTGGCGGGTGGAGCCGGACTGGCTGCCGACGGACTCGATCTTCTTGACGACGTCCATGCCCTCAACGACGGAGCCGAAGACGACGTGCTTGCCGTCGAGCCAGGCGGTTTGGACGGTGCAGAGGAAGAACTGAAAAAGAAATGTTAGACGGGTTAAATATTTCAAGATATGTTAGAACTTATCCAATTCGCCCATTACCAAAAAACCTGGGTCACGATTCGAATGACCTAATTGCAAGCCGTGTAACGGCTTTCGCAAAAATGAAGCCGCACAGCGGCTTCGAAAGTACTTAGGAGTTGATAAGAATGGTATTTGTGCCAAATCCTAACTCAGGTTTTCTACGCAGGTTTTCTCGCAATAAGAACTGGTTGTGTACCTGGGAGCCGTTGGTGTTGGGACCAGCGTTGGCCATGGAGAGGATTCCGGGGCCGGTGTGTCGGAGCTGGAAGTTCTCGTCCTGGAATTTGTTGCCGTAGATCGATTTGCCTCCGGTGCCGTTGTGGTTGGTGAAGTCACCGCCCTAGAAAGCGGTTAGGAATGGATGAAAAGAGGTTTGTAAATAAACGACGTTTTACTAGCGACAAAATTGAACTATTTTTTCAATTTGTCGCTTGAAAAGTATCGTTTGAGTAAAATTACCTGGCACATGAACTGGGGAATGACTCGGTGGAAGGAGCTGCCCTTGTAGCCAAAGCCCTTCTCGCCGGTGCAGAGAGCTCGGAAGTTCTCGGCAGTTCGGGGAACGACGTCGCTTCGGAGCTCCATGACGATTCGGCCGGCTGCGGTGCCGCCAATGCTCATGTCAAAGTAAACTCGTGGAAGCGCCATTCTAAAATAAAAAGAATTTGTTAGAAAAGTTTTTTGAATAAGGAGTCTCAGGTAAAGGCAGAAGATGGTTTTCATGAGCTCGAAAACCTGTGTAGAATACCTGATTCAGGGTTTTAAAAAATCTTTGACATAAAGCCGCGTAGCGGCTTTTTTCTAAAGAAGGATTTTGCGGATTCTACAGTTTTTTCCTTCGAATTCTTTCAGGACATTTACTCAGGATCTCTACACAGGTTTCGGAGCACAGGAACTCTCTGAATGTCGCAGAAAAGGAGCTTTTCTCTCTGAATTTTACGATTCTGGCGATTCTTAAAAAGCGACTGAAACCGTCACTGAAATCGAGGAAGGACGACGGCGAATCAGTGCGATCGGCCGCCCACGCCTCCCGATGACGTAACAGCGCGGCGCCAAGTTCAAAAAACTCACCGCGCCAGTACGGGAAATATACTTTTTTCTCACTCAGACTGCGACTCCCACTGTTAGTTTCACAAGTTTTAAAAGTGGGAGTCTTTCGCGCTTTTCTCTTTCTCGTTTTGTTAAAAACAGGAAGAAGCAATTGGCCTGAACGCGGGGCAAAATGGCGCCACTTTTTGATCACTCTTTTTTTTTGGGAATTTTCCGCTTTTCCGCGGCTTTTTATTTCGTAATTACTGTCACTTGATCGATTCTTTGAGGGTTGAACTCTTGTTTTTTATTTTATTTTTCAAGATTTAAATTTTAATCAAATTTTTTTAATTTTGCATTTTCTTCTGATTTCAGCCGAGTTTGGGAATAAAGTGAACTGGGTAGTATTTCGGGCAGAATTCATCCCAAGTTCCTGAATGCAAATTTTAAACTGAAATTTTAAGCTTACTGTTAGTTTTGTCGACTTTAGTCTTATTCGACTAAGTGGAAGATTTAGCTAGAATCTGGGGTCGGCGACCCATCTTTCAAAGATGAGAATGATTCGAAAGATGGGTTAGGGGAAAGATGGGTTTTCGTCTTTTTTCCCTCACCCATCTTTCGGTCTGAATGATGGGAAAGATGGGTTTTCAAAAGATGCGAAAGATGGATTTCGCCAGTGAAAGAAAAATACACTCCTAGCTTATTTTCCATTCCCATCTTTGGGACCCATCTTTCCCATCATTCCAATCTTTCGGAAAACCCATCTTTCCCTTTCCCATCTTTTCTTTGAAAGATGGGTTGCCGACCCCAAGGGTAATAAACCATCGTTTTGAGCGATCTTGACAGCATCTTTGACGACCTCATACTGACTAATCAAAAGTTATATTAATTCTCAAAAGCAGAAGCCTGGATTTTACGGCTTGAAACACTCATTTCGAGCTTGACTTTTACTCTTTAAAAGCGACGTATACAAACAATCGTTAATTTAGTCGTAAATTTAGTCGGAAAAATCATACGAAATCGAAAAACCGCTTGCGGGGTCGACTAAAAGGAGATGTTAGCCGCCTTGTTGTTTCGATTTCGCTCTCTTTTTTTTCGACTAAATTTAGGTAATTCTAGCTAAATCTCCAACTAAGTCGACTCTACTCGACTACATTCATATTTCGCCCGATTACCGTCGACGCAGGTCTCGTGATCTGGCGACCAGACAGTCCCTTCCTCGCAGTAGCATCCCCAAGTGCAGTCCGGGAAGTCGTCCGGGTGAGCGAAGTCCTCCAATTTAAACGGCTCGGGACACTTTTCCTGGCCACAGGACTCGCCGCAGAAACGACACGAGTAGCGACGATTTCCGTTGCAGGCGATGTTTGCTGAAATTCAATTTCAAATCTACTCGAGAAGCCGCGTGCGGCTTTGACTAAAAAAAATGAGCCGCGCGAAGGCAGTCTTTGTTGTCTTTCATGCTCAAAGCCGCAAGCAGCTTCTCGATGACAGTAGTTTGTTGGTAAAATTGACACTTTGTGCAGACTTTTTTATTTTGAGAGTTTGCACAAAGAGAGTCGAGTATTTAGGGGTTCTATTTGTTCATCGGAGTAAACATCAAGAATCCCAATTTTCTCAAGTGTTGATTTTTTGGCCAGAAGAAAGTTCAAAGCTTTAGCTCCTCTGAATCTTCCCCGATCCCAAAAGCCGCTAACGGGTTCGAGCGAAAATAATAATAAAAAGCCGCGGCTTATATTTTTCGTCTCGAAGCCGCGAGCGGCTTCTTGATTCCAGAGAGGATTCCGGCCTCCAAAGAAACTAAAGCTTTGAACTTTCTCCTGGCCATATTAAATAAGAGTATCACTATCTTATCGGAACGGGTAGGGACCCTTCCCGGTAGGCTTAAGTCCCTCCATCCCCTTATTACAAGTCTTACCGTAAGGATAAGCAGCGGCAAAAGCAACAAAAATCGCTGGGAAAAGTCTCATTTTACTCTCGTTCTAGTTTTTTCTTCTTTTGCCGAGTGTTGGTTCTTTTATTGACGAGGTCAGATTTTCTCCATTCCAAATTGGTAAATAACAACACCACGATTTTCAAATTTGAATTTGAATTATTCAAATCGCAAACTTTCAACTCCATCAGTTCAAACAAGGGATTAGAATCAGACCAATTACTGTGATGAAGAAATAAACAATCGGCCGAGGAAGAAGTTGATTTCGTCGGTTTTGGAATCAAGGAAGAGTGGCGCGGGACTTGAGATTTTCGACCTTTAAAATTTGCCTTGGAAAAAAATGGTACTTCAGCTGCGTAAAAACGCGGCGTTCTTTGATCTCGAAAAGGTTAAATCTTCAATTGAATGGTTCACTTCTGTGGGACAATTCTGCTATTTGAAAATGAATAAATTACAAGAACAAATTTCTGTTCTCTTTACTTTCGAATGTGAGAAATGAAAAAAGTATTCATCTGAACCCACCAGTTGCAAGATTCTCAATCGATATTTTGTTTGGCTCATCCATTGCCTTGGGAAGCGCCGATAGAAATCCTCATTATTACCCTTATCACTTCCGCCCACCGCTTTAAAGTGGCGCTGATATCCTCATAACTTATGAGTCATAAGTGTTGGATCAAGATGATTCCAAAAGATGACTCATCGCGCTCTCCAGCGCCAACGCACCTGCCAGATTCTCAAACAATGACTCACGACGATGGCAGCAACGAGTCACTCAACCGCGACATCTTCTCCATACCCCTAGCATTTACCGACTATATAAACAGACCTGTTACAATATCTCTCCATCACTAAACCATCAAAAAAACCATCAACAGTCTTTTTACTACTACAACAACCAACAACTCAGCATCGAGTTACGCAGCAACAACAACTACATCAGCAGCAGCAGCAACGGTAGCAACGGCTGGGGTCAGCAACCTAAGTAGAAAATCTGAGTCAGGATCTGGAAGAGCATAAATGGAAAGACGCGTAGCGGCTTTTTTAAAAAGAATATTTATATGGTTTATTTGCGAAGCCGCTTTGCGGCTTCGTTTCTAAATAAGCCGCTACGCGGCTTTTCACTTTAGCTACTTCAGAGCCTGACTCAGGTAGAAAAAAGGGGCGAAAATAATTCGTTTTTATTGAACCTTGGCGCCCTCCCCTTTTCTCGGCTCATCCCTTTTCCCTCTTTGGAATGATTCATCCCTTTTTCTTTTCCCTTTTTGATCTAAAACGCGCGGGGCGAGGCAGCCACAATCATTACAGTCATTTTTTTCAAACCCACAGGAAACTTTTTCAACCCTTTTTTATGAAGAGAATAGAAATTCAAAAGAAAATTGGACTTCGCTCCAACAGGTTTGAATCTGAATCTGATTGGCTAATTTAAAAACAAGTTTGTTAAAAATTTTTTTCTCAGAGAAAATTTCTAGAATTACGAATTCTAGTGTTTGCTTAATTTATTGAAAAAAGGGAAAAGGGTGGATTTCGTCGCTTCTATTGGCTGAACCGGCCATTCCTTTTCCCTTTCTTCGCTAATTAGCGCTTCCTGCCGGGTTTTTAACGCAAATTTATAATGTCAAAAGTTCAAGTTTACTATTTTTAAAGCCGCATTTTCGTTTTTTCTTTTGATCTCCAGCAGAGAATTTGAGAGGCTCCTGCTATTCAGAAGTGCTTTATTTTTCGTGAAAATAATTTCAAGACCGAGTTTTTATTCAGTAGCTAGTGTGACAGTCGCAATCGTTTTTTTTTCTATTTACAGAAGCAGCTCGTGAGAAATCAATTTTAGGTTAATAAAGTTTGACGGAGGCGATTTATTAACTTCGAGGGAATAATTCTGCTTGTGTATTTAATTCGTAAACACTGGGCTCAGAAACCTGTGTAAACGACCTGACTCAGGGACAGAAATTATAAAAAAAAGTTATCGATTAATTTTTATTCCTGGAATTCCGGCTAAGTCGCTTCGCGGCTTTGTTTTCCAAAAAAAAAAGCCGCTACGCGGCTTTTACTTCAGCTCGATCAGAGACCTGACTCAGGTTTTTCACACAGGTTTTTGAGACCAGCAGAGAAATTGATATTCCTGAGTGATAGAATTTGCCTTTTTAGGCGAATTTCTGAAAAAGAGAAGACCTTAAATTTGACCTTTTTAGAGTTGAAAAGAGGGCTGAGTCAACTCAACTTTTCAAATCTGTGGCCAACCCTGTCCACGACGACGAAAGTTTTCATCGAAAAATGGAGTAAGTTCGCTTTCTTATTGCGCCGAGGTGCTAACTCAAAACAGACAGTGGCTTATGAAAATGACCTGTTTTTGAAAGAAAAATAAGCAAAAAGCGCGCGTGCTCACTCGCTCTCTAGCGCCATCTTCAGCCCTTTTTTTGAAGATGGGGATCATAGACGCGCTTTCGTCGCATTTTGCTTTAGTAATAAAAAAGAAATTTCAAAGACTTTTTTTAAGAGATTTACGAATGAAGCCAAAAGTGAGCGCGGACTGGGAAATCCCGACGCGCGAAGTTCAAGAATATCGCCCAAAAGGGAACAGAATGCTGAATGAAGTGAACAAAGCAGCTTACAATGTATCGACCTACAGGAAGGAACGGGTGGGAAATCGGGCTGCAGCGCATCTCAAGAAAAACACAGGTAGTTTTCGAGTTCTCTCTTCCTTGATTGCAAGACTTTGCTTTTTAGGGCAAGGAACGAGCAAGGATCAGCGGTACAGGGGAGATAGAAACACGCCAAGAGGTTCTTTCGACTCTCAGATGAATCGAATGACTGACATTGACCCGAACATACAAGCCTACTGCCAGCCACTGCCCCCTCGAGGAGGTCGAACCTCCTCCTTGATGAGTCCAGAGCGCGCCGCTCCCGTCTCTCTGAAAAGAAAGAAAACCCAGTCGGAAGAACCGCAAAGCACATCAAGACCTGCCAAAGAGCCAGAAATCACTTCTCCACGAAGAAATTCGTTGGATACGAGCGCTGTTCCACCTCCTCAAAAGCGGAAGAAGCCACTATCAAAGCAAAACTCAAGAATCAAGATGATCGAAAACGCAAAGAAAAACGTCAAAAAGATGAACAAATGAGCAATTCTCTTCAAATAGAGCACTTCTTTCATCCTCTTTTTTATTTGTATATAATCACCAATTGAAACAAAAACAACCTGAAAAACAGCTTTTTTTTGCCTTTTGCCTTACACAGATTTTTTATTATTTTGAATAAAATTCAAATAATCTTCACGAAATTTTATTTCGCGCCAGTTTTTTTTTTCTTGCAGGGATGAAAAAGCGGCAGGAAACGAAGAGGTGATGAAATCGGGCGTGAAATATAAGCGACAGATGTCATTTTAGGAATTTTGATTGATGGCTCTTTTTTTTCGTAAAAATCGCAATTCGCAATTCCAATTGTGAAATTTTGATTGATCATTTATTCTGTTTGGAAGGCGAAAAATGAGTCTTCAGCCGTGTATTTTTGGCGCGGTTTGAGCAGTCTTCCTTGACATCAATCGGTCTTCCCGGGGCACGATTCGCAGGGCCTCATTTCACCGCCGCGGAATCTCTTTCACGGCCGCGAACGCTCAGCTAACAGCAGTTCAGCTACCATCCACGAGTGGCGAAATTTATCGAATCCATTTATAAGCCAGTGAAATAATTAAATTTCAGAGAGAGAAAACTTTGATTTTTAGACTGAGTCAACTTCCAAGCCTTCCTTCCTCGAAGGAACATTCATCGAAGTTCAAAAATGGAGTAAGTTCGTTTTTTATGGCGCAAGGGTGCTAACTCAAAACCGCAAATTTGAAGACGACCTGTTTTTCAAAAACAAGCAAACTTGAGCGAGCAACCTTGGCGCGCGAGTGCTCACCCTCTCTAGTGCCATCTTCAGCCCTTTCAAGCCTTTTTTGAAGGGAGGGATCTTTGCCGGCTCATTTTGCTATTTTCAGCAATAAAAAAATTCAAAGCCTTTATTTTTAAGAGACATACGAATGCGGCCAAAAACAAGTGCGGATTGTGCCCTACCGAACCGAGAAGTGCAAGAATACCAACCAAAGGGGAATCGACTCCTGAATGAAACGAATCCAGACGCGGTCAATGTCACAACCTGCAAGAAAGAGCGAGTGGAAAATCGCTCAGCGCATTTGGCGAAAAACACAGGTAATTAAAAACTTCTCTTCCTTGATTTCAAGCATTTTTTATAGGGCAAGGGACAAGCAGACCTTCGCGATACAGAGGAGATAGGAACGTTCCAAAGGGTTCTTTTGAGTCGCAAAAGAAAAAAATCTCCGACCCGGAGATGAAAATATTCTTCGAACCGCAGCCCATCAGAGGAGCCCGACGTACTACCTCTCTCCCAGAGCGCGACTCTCCCGCTTCAATTCTGAAAAGGGAGAAAGCGCACTCCGAAGAACTGCCCAGCACGTCCAGAGCAAAGGAAGATCGTTCTCCCCGTCGTCAGTTGGACACAAGCTGCGTTCCGCCCCCTGGAAGTCCCCCTAAAAAGCGAAAGAAAGCAGTCACCAAGCAGCAGTTTCGCGCGAAACAGATGGATCGGCTTCGAAGGAACGCCAAAAATATGAACAAATAAGCGAGCTCTTCAAAAACCAGCCCTTTTTTCATCCCCATTTTTGTATATAAACACAACTGAAAACAAAAAGACACTGAAACAACAACCATTTCTGCCTCTTCTTTGAATAAAATTCAAATAATCTTCACGAAAGCCTACCTATATCTCAAGCCAGCTTTTCTTGCAGGGAATCTCAGCAGGGATGAGAAATTCTCACGTGGCAAAAAATCAAGGGGAAAAAACTTGCGCGGCAGGAGAAAAAAGGTGGTGAAATCGTGCGTGAGCTACCCTAAAAATGACAGTTGTTTCGTTTGAAATTTTGATTGATGGCTTCTGAAGTTGACTGATTGATGATTTGTCCTGTCTGTAGGAATCTCCCAGAATTTGGCCGAGAAAATCGAGGTTTACCATCTCAAAGTGGAGCTCAACTGAAAAAAATTGGACGATGATGGCGAAAATGATAAGCGATAACTCCGCGGAGATTCTTGCTCGCCTGGCACTTTAGTTTTACGAAAAAAAGAGAGAAAAGGATTTTTGAAATTTGAAAAAATGAGCGTTCAAAATCTCGCTGAAAATGAGCTCGTGGCGCAATTGACGGCCAAAGTCAATCTTCTCCAAATGCAAGTTGATGCTTTACGGTAAGAAATATTCGAAAAAGAGTCGTTTTTACAGTGATTCTAGCTTCGAAAACGCAATAATGCAGGAAGAACTGGATGCTCGGCAAGAAGAGATTGTTGCTTTCCTCGACCGATCGCATGACATTTTGAACAACGCCCTTTTGGACGAAGATGAAGCTTCTTTGTACAGCGAAGGAGATGCTCTCAGCGACATAGAGGCGGAAGAGAATCACTTCATCGAGATCGAGATGGAAAGTGACGAGGATAGCGGAATCAACGATATTGATGTTTTTTCGACAGATTCGGAAAACGAATAATTCTCAATTTCTAGCAGTGTAAAACTGAATGTCACAATTGCTCTGTACAAAAATGTTTTCTAGTCATCTGTAAATTGCTCTTTATGTTTCTGTAGATATAAAAGTAGAACTGTAAAATTTAAAATAAACATTCAAACAACGAACTTCTTTTTTCATTCTTTATTTTATTTTCGATTCATCGCAGATTTAAAAAAAATATAATTTTGGTAGAAAAAATGGGTTTTCATTGTAGAGGTGAACTCGGTCAGGGCTGAAGATGTCACGAATGTCACGAAAGTCACGAATTTCACGATTTTGCTGAAAATGTCACGAAAAATTGTGTTTCTGTTTTCGTGACATCTTCAGCAAAATCGTGACAATCGTGACATTTTCAGTACTGACCAGTTGAGTTAGAAACCAGAGGTTCGTACTGAAAATGTCACGAATGTCACGATTTTGCTGAAAACATCACGAAAACAGAGACACAATTTCATTCGTGACATCTTTAGCAAAATCGTGACATTTTTAATACTGACCAAACCAGAGGCGTTCGGCTACAATACCAAAAATTTCGTACGTCATCATTCAAATGTGTCGCTTTTTTATATTTCATCCCTTTTATTAATTCCGGTTGAATTGAGAGTTCACCAGTCTATTTTTTCTTTATTTCTCCGCTCGATTTGCGCCTCAAATCGGAATTGCTCGAAATCGACAAAGCCATAAATCCGCCCTTTCAAAAAGTCTTTCCAAGAAGAGTTCATTCCATTTTTCGCGGAGACGGAGAGAGCAAAAGAAAGCGAGAAATATATAATTTGCAAGGACACAAACATAGCGGCTAAATGTCAGCTGCACATTTCGAACAGGGCGTTTCGATCGCGGTCAATTATTCAACCCATTGGAAAGAATAAAACGCGAATTTGCTAAATCAAACGAACACCAGCGACGATCGTGCACCGCTCAAATGGGCAACTGCCTCGCTCAGAGAACACGAGAGCTCCAGCCCAAACTCAACATTCAAGAACAAATCTCCAAATTCACCAAAAACAACGGCAAAACGGAAAAAGTCAAAGTCACTCCCACCGTCGTCATCATAGGTAAACATGGCCTTTTGGTAGAATAAAGTAAGGGTGTCTCTTTAAATTTCTTTTGGAAAGAAAAGTCTGAAGAAAAAGGGCGAAAAAACCATCAAAATCGCCCTTTTTCTTCAGACCTTTCTTTCCAAAAGAATAATAAAGAGACACCCTTAATTATTTTACCGAAAAAAAAACTCAAATCCTTATCTGACTCGTCAGAAGGTCAGAATTTCTAATTTCGAATTTCGATTTTGATACCCTTATTTATTTTTTTATGAAATTAAATTTCAGCAATTATTTTAATTTTGGTCATTTTGACAACTTTGACTGAAATTTTTGTCAAAATAATTTTAATAATAAAATAATTTTAATAAAAATTTTAGTCAAAGTTGTCAAAATGACCAAAGTTTAAATAATTGCCGAAATAAAAAAAATAAATAAGGGTATCACGATCTAAAATGAGAAAAAGCTCTTTTTCTTCGAATATTTTAGAGGACGAGGGTTCTTTTGCTTGGATGGAATCAGCAACTGCTTCTGCTTATCCGACCCAGAGGCCGAGTGCGACATTGAGCCAAATATCCGCGGTGGAGACTTTTTCTCTTTTGCAATTTTTGAAATTCACGTTTAGGATTTTGAAATGATCGCGTTAGCAAACGACTCGCAGGATAATCGCCGGAACATGATGATTGAAGAAGAACTCGAGCAAGCGGAGCTCGATCTGCAGCTCAATCAACTCAGCTGAATTCAGAGTTATCATAGTGACACCCTTATTTTATCTAGCCTGAATAAAGCAAAAAACTAAAAAAAGAAAACCTTTTTAATAAATTTATTTTACAACAAGGTAGCCCTTTTTTAAATGGGCGTTTCTTTAAGAATTATCATAGTGACACCCTTATTTTATTTCACCAAAATTAAGTTTTAAACTTTCTAAAACTTCTATCAAAGCTAAAGTCGGTATATTTTTATCATAGCGACACCCTTAATAAAAACAAGTTCGTATGGTCAAATTTGAGCAAGTCGGTTACAGAAGGAGTGACTGAATAAAAGCTCCTACTGTAACTGGCTTAAATTTGATCAAATGAAATTTTTTTTTATTAAGGGTGTCGCCATGATAAATTATGTCGACTTTGATAGAAATTTGAAAAAGTTTAAAACTTAATTTTGGTAAAATCAAATAAGGGTGTCACTATGATAATTCTTCGGGAAAAGCTTTCAGAATATTCTGCTTCCGTTAGAACGTTTAACCTGGTAGACTTGAGCGTGAGTCCGCGCCAGAAGCGATAATAACCTACGCTAGTCGTAGTGTGTCGCTGGTGAAAAAAAGGATCGCCCCGGTTTTTGCCTTCAAAATCTGAAAAATAAAATCGAAATTTTAAATTTAAAAGTTCAATTTTCATTTTCGTAAAAATCCAGAACTCGCCGCGGAGCGCTCCAAAAACACTCCAAAAAAGAGAAAAAATCAGCAGAGCGTGGAGAATTTTCCAATGTGGGTCTGCGTAGAAGAGCGGGTTGGCGAAATCTCCCACTTTGCGAAAATCAGAAGAAGAATTGTCTTTGACTCCATTTTCGCGCTTTCTCAGGGCAGAATTCCAGAGGTACTCTTCTTCTCTTTGTTTTTCGGGTTTGAATCATACGCAGCGTAAAAGTTGGCACACCGCCCGGTAAACAAGCTGTCCGAACTTCACTTATCAGCTTCACTTTATTCTAGATTGGCGACGAAGTCACTTACTACGACAATTGTAATGTTCACAGAGCGACTTTTTTATGCAGGTAAATTAACATTTTTTTTTATTCGAAAAAAAGATAAGGGTTTGGACTTCAATTTAATGCAATAAAATAAGGGTGTCATGACGTTAAATTTAGGGAAAGAAGGCGCTTGAAAATTGAGTTTTACGTGCACTTTTTTTCCCTAAATTTAACGTTATGACACCCTTATTTAATCGCATCAAATTGAAGTTAAAACCCTTATCTTTCTTTTGACAATTTTTCGGACTAAACGTCTAAAGATAAATTCTACTTGAAAACATAAGAAGTTAGGGCTGAGCTTGACAACCTTTATAGAAAACCTGAGTCAGGATATGAAAAACCTTAATTGAAAAAAACTGAGAGATATTGTGGCGAAGCCGATCTGCGGCTTCTTTTTTCGAATCCTGACTCAGGTTTTTTGCACAGGTTGCCGAGCCCAGGCCCTGGGGTTAGGGTTACAAACAACCTTCATGAAGTCCTTAATTTTCACTTTAGTTCTGAAACTCGAAATTTCACGCCAAAAGATCTCATCGCCAATTTATTGAACTCTGAAGAAGACCTTCGGTAAGAAAGCAATTTGGAAACTAAACTCATTTTTATTCTATTCTAGCCTTTTTGCAGCCTCGAACGGAATCGGTGAGCCGCAGACACAGACGATCGTTGAATTGACGCTCGAAGTTTTTCTGTTTCTTTTGGCGAAATTCGAACGAAACAACTTGAGCGGAGAAAACGACGCTGATTTCGACATTTTGCACGAGGATGAGTCGCGAACTGCCAGCAGCGCCACCGATTTCGACCTTCCGGTGATTGAGACGATCGAAACCGCCGTCGACGAAGATCAACTCGGCCACAAATCGCCGAGAAATGATGAAGGGTTGAACACTTGCACGGATGATGAACGAGATGCGACAGAGCTCGACTCGATGGAGATTCCAGGAAATTTGAATAATCAAGAGACTCTGAATATTCCAGGCTTAGAACTTACTTTTCCAAAATTTAAAAATCCCGAATATGTTTTTCGAATGAAAGCTAGAACTCGAGCCCGCGCCGCTAGACGACCCTTCCCACGAGATCGCCAACTGCCACGAGCAAGAACTCGACCCTGATCATTCCAACATCGCCCATTTGAACCTCGCCGATTTCATCAAAATCGAGCCCGAGTCCGAGTTCATCCCTCTTCCCGTCTCACTGCCTCCTCCCGAAAAAAGTGCCTCTCCGTCAAAAAAATCGACGAACCAAAAGTCGAGAAACTCGCAAAATCGAAAATCGTCAAAGCCAAAAAAGCTGAAATCAAGGAAGAATCAAAATCTTTCAGTCCAAAGCTCGACTTCGAATTCGAGACTCGAAAATTCGAACTCGAATTCGAATTCGAGCAATTTGGGAATGCTCGAATGCAATTTAGTTTCGAGCGAGATCCTCGAGGACATTCGAATTTCGACAAATTCAAGCCTTGAAAATCACAAATTCGCGAAAGTTCCGAAACTCAGCGAAGTCGAACTGGGCGAGCGTCCTTTCCCATGCGAGCACTGCGCGAAAAGCTATAAAACGAAGCGGCTGCTGGACGCGCACCTCCGCCGCGTGCACCAAGTTTGCGTGCTCTGCTCGCTGCGATTCGAAAGCGACAAGGAACTGCAAATCCACCGGGAGATCTCGCACAAGGTCCGCAAGTACTACTGCCACCTGTGTCTGTTTTGGACGAACAAGGAATCGGCTCTGGAAAATCACGTCAGCAAAATTCATCCGAGAGAGAATCAGCGCAAGGCGGAGGAATTCACTTGCGACCACTGCAAGAAAGTTTTCTCCAGAAAGCATCAACTAAAAGTAATTTTCAAAAAATGATATCGAATTTTGATTAGAGAATAAATTTCTTTCAGAAGCATCAAAACCTGAACTGCGACGACTAAAAAGCAAGCGACCCTGCCGAACTGACGCCGCTCTACAAAGTCTAATTACAGTAGCACATGAAGTGTCCTTATTTTATGCGTTGAATATTGCCTATCTAACTATTCGTAGAACTTTGCACAGAAAAATACAGCTTGATAAAAAAACAACCTTCTTTTCTCTTACTCTCTTTCATCTTCTATAGGCCGAATACTGAAATACTGACTGATCTTTTCCTGAGTCAGGATTCTTACAGGTCGAATGCGTCATCTGATTGGTCCAAAATTTGACCAAAATGTTGGTCAAAATAGTCTCAAATTTTCTTCTCACTTCGTTACACCTCTAAAATCTCTAGAGGAATAGTAATAACAAACCAGTTTCTTGACCACGCCCTCGGCCCGGATGGCCAAGTCGGCAAGTTCTTCTCTTTCGCCGAAAAAGGTCCCGGGTTCGAATCCCGACAAGTCACATGAGTCTCGCTTGGCGATGATTAGCTCTCGTCCTGGGAAGCGAGGAAACCGAACTGAAGAAAATATCGAAGCACAAAGCAGGCAAGATCTTCAAAGATAGACTGAGAAAGAAGAAGAAGTAACCTCAAAAAAAAACCCTTTTGTAAGTTAAGGAATCGAGCAAGTTTTTTCTTTTCCGATTTCGCGATAAAAGGACAACTGTAAGATTTATCTTATTCTTTAGCATTAATATTTACGCAGGATTGAAATTGCCAAGTGAGAGAATCTCTCAAGGTCAGTAATAATATTGCTAGAATCACGACCCGAAATTTTGACCCAGCTGTCGGCAGGCTGTAGCTCGATTGACATGTTCGAGGGATTCGGCTCCTGAAGGCGCGAGTTCGATTCCTGCCATGAGACTCGTTTGGCGAAGATTAGCTCTCGTCCTGGGAAACGAGAAAAGTAAAGAAGAAGAAGTGTGGGTCCGCCTGTCAAAAAAAGAAAGCGCAAGAGGAAATCTACGATGAAAATATCGCGAACTACTGTCGATCATGGTGAAAAAAGAAACAAAAAGACCGCGAAGAAGAAAGTACAAACAACATCGCAGTCCTCAACACAACTCTTTTTCAATTGAATTCAAGGATGCTACACTTTTTCGACCAGATTTACTGTTTCAGTACAGTAGCACATGAAAAGTCTTTATTTTTAAGTTTTGAATACCTATCTTATTCGTTGAAATTCGCACAGAAATAAACAGCTAGTAGATAAAAAAGGAAAAACTTGAATTTTTTTTCAAACTCTCAACTTTCATCTTCAATCGAGCAGGATTCAGCGAGAGCAGGAGTCTCTTCTATTTCTTTTTCAAGTTTTAAAACGCTAATTCTATCCATTTTTAAATTGGAAGGTTTAAAACAGGCCTTGAAGTGAGGATGATTCTCCTTCGCAAGCAGAATCTTCTGGATGAGCTGTTGAGTCCTCCTTGTTGATTTCCGGCTGGACGGAGATGTTTTTGAGAATGCCCTTTGAATTCGTTTCATAAGTGCTCATCATCACTTCGGGAGGAGGAGTGTCTTCTTCCTGATGAAAATAATGGAATCAAGGAAGAAAAATTTGGAAGAAAAGAGCCCGAAAGGGTTAGGGTTTACCTCGACTGGAGCGACGAAAACGCTATTTCGATGATGATGAATGGTCGTTCGTCTGGTCTGCTTCCTCTCACTGCTCACCGCCAAACTGCTCCTTCTTGGCTGCTTCTTTGGGTCCCACGTGACTTTTCAAAGGTGCAAATTTGGGTTGAAGACCCAACAACTCAAAAATTCAATGCTCATTTTTGGGAATTTCAACCTTTTTCCTTCTGGGAACGAGTGGGGATGGAAAACAATGACTTTTCGCTCTTCGTCCGAGTACATGTTGTTTTTCGGGTCTTCGATTTCGTCCTCGTAGTTGACTTTCGACTTCCGACTTGGGCGCTTTTTTTCTTTTGAGGGAGTGGCAAGGAGAGGGGCAAGGCTGCTTCTCCGACGCCTAAAATTGAATGCTGAGAGTCCCTTTTTATAATAGAATCGAACCTGAAGATTTCCTCTTGAATGGGAATGGAGTCGCGAATGTTGGAACCAGACATGCGTCGAATATTCCTCTCCTTGTCTTCCAAATGAATCCTCGACTCTTCGCCACTGTCCTTCCGCGCGTTTTGGCAAGTCAAACAGGCGAAGCAGCAGTTGAGCACCTCGACGAACAGTTCCGAGCAGCTCTCGCACATGTTCGCGATGCTGAACTCGTCCGACAGCTCTAGAATCAAGCTCAAGAATGATCGAATTCATGGAAGTAGAGCATTACCCTTGCTCATTTTGGCCTGTCGGATTGCAGATTGTCGGCGAAAGGTTTCAACATTTCGGATGTTTTCGGCTTTTCGCATTCCTGTAGCCTAGTAGCTGTTTCTTGGGCTTTCCAATTGGACTATGTTGAAAATCCTAATAATTAATCGTAGAAAAGTATGGAGAAAAAATTCAAAAAGCCGCCAAGATCTAAGATCAGAGCACCCTTTTTTCAAACTACTTGGAAATCTGGTTCAAGCTGGAAAAACAGGTTTGTATCTAGAAACAAATTAACAGAAAGAACTTCGAGAAATCTCACTTGAAACACCCTGCTTAGCTAGCCCTTCTGAACCTCATCGGAGGCCATTAAAATACTTCCAGGAGGGTCTGGTCGTTACAATCCGATAACTGGAAAAGTCGAATACCCTAACCCCCTTGAGAATATTGCGTGACAACTCTTTTGAACTTCGAAACTGCCTACAGTTGCTTCCTGCTGAAATAAACACTTGAGCAGAACTGTTGATGATGGGATACTGTAATGTGCGTAATTGGAATTATTGATCCCCCAAGGGCGCGCCCGAAAAAGGGATGAATAAGTGATGAACTACGTCAAGTGAGAAAATCGAGCTGTCTCGTTTTCTTTGACCAGGTCTGCCCTGAGCGTGTGGCTTATTTAATTACATCGAGTTTGGGCGTTTTTTTTAATGTTGGAAAAAGCCCTAAGCTCGCCAATTATATCTTTTTCCAATTCAGATCGATGAGAAGAACCATCATCCCTTTTGCCACATTCTCAATTTGCTAATCCTTCGAAAAACAGTCAAAAACGTTCAACAAACAAAAACACCAAAAAATGGGAAAAAATCAGCTTCAATATTTGCTTGATTCTTAGGCGACCCGAAGAAGCGGAACTGGCAATTTTATTTTTGGAACACACTGGATAAAATGGAGCTCTACATTTACTGTAGTAGTCGACTGTACTTCAATGGAAAATACACAGTATATTTTCTGAAACTGTTTATATAACAGTCAGACTGGCAGATTATTAGTGGAACTGTCTACTTTTCCAGAAAGCAGCTTGATTCTGGTGGTCAACTGTAACAGAAATTTCATGAGCTACAGTCAAATTACAAGCAGCAGAATGCGCTGACTTTTAAATTAGACATTAGAGCGGATTTAGAATTTGTATCGTTTCTTTCAAAGTCAAAACAATGGTCCACAATGAGATCCACAACTTGATCGATAATACTGTAATCAAAAGTAATTAGTAATTACTAATTACAGTGGTATCAAGTTTTCGATCTCATAGCGATTGTTTTTAAAGTTCAAAAGAAAAGAAAGAACAAATCCTAAATCAGCTCTAATGTCTAATTAAAAAGCCAGTTCATTTCGCAGCCAGGAGATGGCGCTTGAGCGCAGCGGGCTGAGATGGTGTTCTTGTGTGTTTTCCGATGAGTCAGGCCGTGGGCGCTGCGAGGCCGAATCGCCGCGCTTGGGAGTGAATGGCGCTGAATCGGCGCCACTACGCTTCTCAATCCCACTTCTCCGATCCACAATTTTTCATCGAAAAAAGAGAACGTCTCCGATCTCGCCCGGGGCAACTTCCCAATCGCCGACTTGGGGAAAAAGAAGAAAGAGAGAAAGAGCTGTAGAAGAAGATGCCGGAAACGAACATTTTCTTGCCCGAAGGCGAGAGTTTTGTTTACAAATTGGATAAAGGTAAATTTTCTTTTAAAAAATTAATAATAGATAAGTAGGAAAGATCGATTCTGTAAAAGTTATATTGTGAAAATTCAAATCCTGTGTGGAATACCTGAGTCAGGCTTTCAAAAACAGAACTCTCGTTTATAGAAAAAAATAACCATTTTTTTCAGAGCAAAATGACCCGAATTTCGTGAAGTACGAAATCGCAAGAGGAAAGAACAATGTAAAACACGGCGAATTGACAAAACAGCGAGAAGCGGGCGCGGATGAATCTTTCAACTATGTTCCTTTGAATACCAATGAACTGGTGATGTACGACGACGATTCGTTGAGTCTGACTTTTCCCTTTGAATCGCGAGAAGACGAGTTCAGAATTCGTCTCAGGGATTCTGGTCGGCTTGGAGACGCCGGAGACCATGATGACGCCATTTTTCAAGTGGAAAAAGTTCAAAGGCCCGCAGTTGGAGAATTCGGAGAAGTCAACGAAAACGAGTCCGTCCTTCTCTCGTGCGATAAGAACAACCTCGAAGGAGAAGTTTACTACACTTTGGACGGTGAAAGACTCAACGAAGCTTCCCTCGTTCTCACAAAAGAGCATCATAAGAAACCCCTCAAATGCCATGTCGAGTTCACGAGCAGCGAAGACGATCAAATCAGACCTGCAGAATACAACTCTCTCGCCAGTGAGCCTTTTGAATTGAGCATCGCCTTTGTCCCAGCCCAGCCAGAAATCGTTATTCAATCCGAATACTGTCAGGATAAAACGCAACCTTTGGTTCTCCTCTGCAACGACACGCTTCCTGAAACTAACCCAGAGTAAGTTTAGATAAGAGTTTAGAGATCAAACTCAATTTTCTTCTGAATTTGCCGAATTCATGTGAAATTTTCAGAGTAACATCTTACCAATGGAGAAAAGACGGCGTAACAGTGGGCAATGAGAGAACATATACAGTGTCTGACCCTTCCGAACTTGCAGAAAAGTCGATCACGTGTTCACTGATTAACGTCAAAGGGTCTTCGATGGAGTCTGCTGAGTTCACGAGTTCAGACGTCTGCGCGAGCAGCATCGCCACAGCGGGCATTTTCATCATTTCCGCCGTCGCCGGCGTCGTCGCCATTCTTGCAGTTGTCGGCCTCGTTATCTGCAATCGAAGAAGAGCCGCGAATTCGAAGGAGCAAGAAAGTATGAAGCTCGATGGCAATCCCGCTGCATATGAGGTAAATCAAGAGTCGTAAACTTGAAGTTCTTTCAAAGAGAAAATTAGTAAAATTAGAAATAAGAGCCCCTCTTTTTTCCTCGTTTGAATTTGCGCATCGCAGCTGAATAATTAAACCTTCTCCTTCTTTATTTTTTGGAGAGCGAGGCCCTTAATTACAGCTGCTCGGAGAGCCAGTTTGGTCAGTCAGAAGTAGCAGTATCCACATTTTCTGTTTCGGTTCATTCAAAAACAGACTGCATTAAAAAGCATCAATCGATTCATCAATAAAACTCGCCTGTGCGCAGCTAATCCCAAACTCGAGTTTTAAAAAAGGTCGAGCATTAGAAAGAACATGTCGATCAGGGTTAGGGTCACCTTAAAATTGATGTTGAACGCGATGTTGCTTTTTTCAATTAACCTCCAAAATGACTATCGAAATTGATTTATCGGAGCTGACATTTTGAATTGGATAAATTTAAGGAGGTAGCCATCGTAATCAGATCTTATTATCAGACTTTTCTTACTACGTAGTGACACCCTTATTTTAGAGAGAAATGATAAGGGTGTCACTCTTATATTTATTTCAGTAGGAAAAGGAGTCTGATGATAAGTCGTTATTACGATCGTTACCTCCTTAAATTTGTCCCATTAAAATTGCTAGGTCCGATTAATCAATGTTGATAGTCACTTTGGCGAAACGCGATTATTCAAAGAATTTGCAAATAGGCCATTTTGAGGAGCCATTCATTTTCGAATAATTGAATATTAATTTTCAGTACTCTGCTGGAGCTCCAACGGCGCCGCATCGTGGGCCGCCTGCCAGCTCGGGCTCGGACACGAGCTTGGTCGACCACTCGGACAACAGATACGCGCCTGGGCAGTACGTCGACTACGATCCGAAGCAGCAGACGAACAACAACTCGTCTGGACAGTACCACTCGCTCGACGCGGCCAAGATGGGCAAGCCAAAGAGCAAGAACCCGATCGGCCACAAGGACCGCGTCGATTACGTCGAATTCGGCTCCAGTACGGTTTCCAAGCGCTAGTGCCTTTTTGTTGACTTCTTAAAACTATTTTATTCTTTGCCATCATGTACATTAATTTATAAATGTCCAAAAAAGAATCTCCTGAAAACGAAAATTCATAGGTTTCGTCGTGGATTTTACCCAATTTTTGATCATTCTAGCCCTTTTCTTCAAAATCTACTGAAGAAATAATCTTTTCAATCTCTCAAAAATGAGTTCCAAAACTTCAATTTTGGCGAAAATCGACGACTAGACCCCTAAAACACAGACGTTCTCGCAAACAGAGAGACACAACTACTCGACAAAATAGACACCAATTAACCATTCCGCATGCTCAAGCTTATTTATTAAAACGAAATTAAATATCCCATTTGTAAAAAGAAAAGACCGGCCAAATTTAAAACGAAACTCCGCTCTTCACATTCACCAAGTTGCTTCATCATTCCACAAGCTCTCCCTTCTCTTTCTCTCTTTTTTTACGAACCCCCCAAAAATGTCTATTAGTTGCGGTTTCATCCTTTTTTTGTTGGTGTCACCAATTTTACTTTCAAACTCGATTTTCCTTCCTGCAAATAATTGGCTATTTGCATCGTCTTCTTTGTCAAATAAAACAATATGTATGACCCTAATCGATTGCCTCTATCTGAAACTCTTGGAGACAATTTCAAGACATATTGAATTTATTATTATTTTATTAAATTATTTTATTGCCTTTCAGAATTTTGAACTTGATGTCCATCAACTGTCACTTCTTTTTTAACAAATTATTTTCTCCTCTTCGTTTAGTTCCGCTTTCTATACCAAAACTACCAAACTTCAAAACCCACCAGAATTATTATTATCGTCTCGTCAAAAACGAAATAAAACCTTAATCCCCAAAACTCTCCCTTTCTTCTTCGTTATCGTAACTGTTGCCAAATCAAGACCGAAAAAAATCAGTGTAAATAATTACTTCTCGCTCTCGCTCTTAAAATTTGTTCAAATAAAAAACTATCTTATGAAAAAGAAAAGAACTCTTTTTTACAAACGAACAACTTTATTGACTCATATTTTGCGATTTTTTTGGTTTACAGGGCAAGCCGGCGAGAAATGAACAATTACAGAAAAAAAAGTGAAAAGGTTAAAAATGCAGGAAATCAACGAGGAAGAACGAGGAGGGTCAGAATACTGAGGACACTGTATGTATCATTGTCGGGAAAAGAAGCTTCTCTGTCTTTCTTTACCAGAAGATCTTGGCCATACTGACGCATTCGGCATCGTCGGTGTGGTTTGGCTCGCTGCCGGCCTTGTCCCATGGTCGGACACCGACCATGCTTCGGAGAATGCAGGAAAGTCCTTGAAAAAATATCTTTAGAATTTGAATTGCTATGAGTACTCACTGTCGGTCTTCCAGACAACGTCTTCGAGACCAGTGGCCATGACGTAGACGATGTCTTTCTTGGTGTTAGGGACGATTTGACCGTTAACCTTGGCGGTTGGCAAATCGTTGACAGCCTTGCCGTTGGGCCAGTTGGAGGCCTGGAGGGTATCGAGGGTGAAACCCTTAAAAGATCAGGTTGAAAAGACTCTTCTTCTAGGGAATATTTAAGTATACCTGGACGACGGCGGCCTCCTGGTTCTTGTGGACGCTTGGGTAGCCGACGATGTCTGGGTAGAGGGTGTCGATGTTCTTGTGGTTCTGGAAGTAAGTGTTGACGACGGAGCTGTCGTAGGCAGCGTAGTGGTCCATGAAGTTGAACTTGATGGTTCCGTCGCCGACTTTGTTGAGGAAGTCGACGCCGCAGAACTCTCGCTTGAAGATCATGTAGAAAGTGTAGTCCTTGACGTAGTTGGGCGAGGTGGGATCTCGGATGTTGAAAGCGGTATCGGCGACGCCATCAGCGTTGTTGGCGATGGCGATCTGGAAGAGCTCGCTCTCGGCAGAACCGGCCAAGGATTTGGACACTTTGGATCCCTTCCAGGCGATGTTCATGCATGCGCAGTCGGGGAAAGCGGCCTGGACTCTCTCGCACTGGGAAGTATCTCCCGCTCCGAGGGCATCGGCGCCGAGCAACAAGGCCAAAGAAAGCTTCATCCTTTTTCTGTTTTAAATTGAACAATTGTAAGTTTTTTTTATTTATCTCTAAAAATTGCTCAACTCTCCTGAAGTGAAAAAAGCTAATTCTCTTCTGACTAGCTTCTGCTCCTCGCCGGCGAGCTAATAATTTTCCCCGCTGCATAAAAAAGGTCAACAAATTCAAAACTCAAGCGGTAATGCTCTTGATTTGTAAAATAAGAAGATAAATCCGGGTTTGATTTGACTGAAATTTATTTCTTTAGAGTATTTTTTTTATTTCAGTCGGTATTTAGAATAGCAAATTGCGCTGCAGAATTTCGCAGTGAACAAGTCGAATTTCTTTGCCAGGAAATTCCTTGTTGTCCATCATGTACAGCTGCTTCAGTTTCGTTCGAATCACTTTGACAATCATTTGCCTACAAAGGGGTTAGGGTTAGCGTTAGGTAAGGTTAGGGTTAGGGGAACATAAGGGTGTCGCGATGATAATTCATCGAGAAAAGAAACTCACTTAGTTTTCTCAACCAAAAGTTGAATATCTTCTTCCTTGCTCCCCGTCTGCTGCATCTTCTTAACTTGAGCAGCTTTGGCGCCAGATAAGATTGCCAGATCAAAGAAGAGATCTTCCGATGGTCCCTTGAGCGAGAAGTTGTACTTGAGGAATTTCTTCGAAGTTTTCTTTGCGTACGCCCAAAGGGCCAATTTTCGCGAGGGTTCTAGTGAAAGGAGGATGTCTTTTGGCTCCACTTGTACGACGCTGTGTTTATTAACCCTTTTCTTGGTTCCAAAATTTTGGTTTCCAGCTCCTTTTTGGCGAAAGAAAATAAGGGTGTCGCTATGATAACTTTTGGGGAAAAATGTTTGGAACCAATTTAGCCAGGACGTTCGCAGAATCCATGCGCCATGAATAGCTCATCATCTCCTTTTGTCAATCCATATGAAATGCATAATTCGGAGCCTGAAGTATTAGATTAAGCCTCAATGAGAGGTGCATTAGTCGGTGACCTTTCGGAATGGCATTCTTTGTTTTCAAATATGTCGCGCTCTTCTCGTAGTCCATTCCCGACTTGGGTTCATTCCTTTGATTATTGAAAATTATACGAAATGCATTAAGGGTGTCACTACGCTAACTCATTTTCCGAATCTCCAAAAAGAAGATGAACCCATTCCTGACCAGACAATAGCGTCTCTGTTCCGAGTAGAGCCATGATTAGCAAAGTCGACCAAAGGACAAACCATAGCAGTTTCACCCCCGGTCATTGAGAACCACGTGGGTAAAGAATCACTCGTTTCTGGAGCCGAGATCTTCGACGAAAACGCCCTCGTGAACATCGCGCAAAAATGTTTCGCGAATTTCTTTTCGTCGAAATTTAGCGCCGCGGCTATTTTATTTATCCTACTCTTGTTTGGTCGTGTTAATTACTGAACGGGAATTACTGTAGGTTTACCTGGACTATTTTGATGCTGTTCGAAAGACCAAATGGTAATTTTGCCACTTCTTCTGGCGTCCAAAGAATCGGAGAGGAGAATTCTTTCGGCAAACCGGAGAAATACAAATGGAACTTGTCATTTGGATCTTCAGCGCTAGAATTTTCTTTGTTCATTCGTTGGTAGAAAATTAAAATTAAGAATAGTTGATAGTAGACGATTGGTTTTATAGTTACTTGATGTGATAATAGATCGCCAAGATTTCGCAGCCGTTGAAAACAAGATCCGATTTTTCAAGCGCTTGAACTAATTTTTCGTCTTTTACTGCATGCGATACAGTTAGAATCGCATCTTTGGGCACTTGGAGCAGCGTGATTCCGGCTGGCAAATCTTCCACAGCGACGAGTCCTTTTCCAAACTTGGTTTCTTGAATTTCGACTCTTTTGTCAAAAACGCTTCCTTCAAAACTCTCTACCCATTTGATCAACTCCATCTTTTTCCTTTTCAAAATATTTGAAATTTAGCGAATTTGAAATTTCAAAAAAGGCGAAAAAGGCGATTAAAAGTCGAAGTTTACAGCTGACGTGGTGATAAGCTTCAGATTGCAAAAACGATTGCATCACGCGTCCCTTTTTTCCCAAAAGCTCGAAATAATGGAGATTCTCCGTTGAAGAATACGCCTCGATTTTTTTTATAAAATGACACTTGATATGCTACTGTAATTGCAAGAGCAAACCTGGTCGAGAAACAAGCTCTCCAGAGTTTTAAAATTGAAAAAGATTTGTTGTTGAGAGAGGAGTTTTGGAATTCTCTTTCGTCGATCTCTCGCTTCAGGTTCATATTTTTCGCGTTTTTCTATCATAATCGGCAGCTATGGTGCTTATTATCTTCTTCTTTGATGGCTTCCTTACTGGCGTTGCCATCATTCTTCACCCTCAGTTTTCTCGTTTCCCAGGACGAGGGCTAATCATCGTCAAACGAGTCTCATGACAAGATTCGAACTCGGGACCTTCGGACTAGAAATCAGCGAACATCCCGATCGAGCCAAATCCTGACGACAGCTGGGTCAAAATATCGGGTCGGTATTCTAGCGATATTGTATAACTGGCCCTCGAGAGATTTTCTCATCTGGTAATTTTCAATCCAGGGTTAATCTTGATGCTAAAGAGTATGATTAACTTTAAAGTTATTCTTTTGTGGCAAAATGGAAAAAGACAGTACTTAGTCTAACTGTAGTTAGTTCTGGAGGAGAGCGGCTTCGCCCGCACTTTCATGCCAAATTACGACAGTTGGGTAGAATCGGATAGGCTTCATTTCCCTAGCCTGGGCAGATGAAGCTCTTGGGGAGATGAAGCTTTTATGGGGTAAAGGGGTACCCTTTCCAGAGTCAAATATTGACCGGCGAAAAAAGGCAAATCCTCTGCCAAGTTTTCACCCTTTGCGATTTTAGCTATTTGAACTTGCAACTGCGAATGTTAATATTTTCGTCCAAATATTCATGTGATTGTTGCATTGGTTTTTATAAATTAGAATCGAAATAGCGACAATTAATATTTTGAAAAATTGAAAGCCAAATGTCTTCAAATTGATTTAATTGCACATTTTTGTCGATTTTTCCCTACTTTGAATTGTGATAATAAAAATATGTCGTAAACTCAGAGTCAAGAGTGCGGTCTCTCGCTGGTTTATGATCTTCCGCGATTGAAAAATATTTTGAAATCACTCTTTCGGAAATTTGGTTATCGCTCTGTATACAAAATGCAAGTTTCAACTCATCCAGAAGAACTGACAAGAGAAGTTGTTGAGAAATGGCTGGAAGAGTTTCCAAAGAGATTGAAGAGAACGACGAGCAGAGATGATTTGGACAGGTTGATTTTGTCGCTGGACAGAATGCAGTTTGAAGATGATGGTTGTGCTGCATGGGAGGAGGTCATTTTCGAACATGGAAAAGGAAAACTATCTGGAACTGTCCTAATTACTGGACGAAAAATTCAGGAAGAATGGGCAATAAATTCATTTCAAAAAACGATTCTCGACAAAAATCCAGGCTTCGAAGGACGAAAAATTCAACGTTCGGAATTAAAAGAAGAAACCGGAGAATGGATTCTCGACCCTTCTCTTCAGAAGATTTCAGCTGGAGGAGAAGCGATTGTTTTGGAAGAAAAATTCGGAGAATTGGAATCTGCTGTTCGGGTTCAGGCTTTTGATCCGGCGCTGTTTGTGGGGGATGAAGAATTGGGCTTTGAAATTCATCTTTCGAAAGGTAATTTTTTATTTTTTATTGTCTTTTTATTTCTTAGAATACGAAATTGCCCAAGACAGAGAAAGAGATGATGCCCGATTGATTCCTTTTCACAAAAACGTGATCAAAAATTTCTGCAACATCGAAGTCTTTTTGAGCAGCGACTTGGAGAAAGAAGATTGTGCTGGCTGGATTACGATTATGGAGAAATGCGACTCGGATTTGAGAAGCAAATTGAAGAATAATGATTTGAATTTGGAAGAAAGGAAGAAAATTGCGATTGGCGTCAAAGAGGGAGAAGAGTATTTGGACAAAATTGGAATTTCGCATTTCGATGAGAAGCCGGAAAATGTCCTTTTGAAAAATGGAGAAGCCAAGTGGATCGATTTCAGCATTATTCACGAAATAACTGGACGAGAGAGTTATCGGGAGATGGGTTACGCGAGGACAGGAAACAGATTTAGAAATTTCAGTTGTTTATGTAAGTTTTGAGCTTCTTGAAAATTCTCGTGTTTTATATTTTTTTTCGTAGATGCTGGGTCTCCTGCCTTTTCTTATAGCCAGCAGATAGGCGGACACTACGGAAGAGATGAATCTCTCCTTCATATTTTTATCCTTTGCGAGTCGACGACGGCCTGGACTCTTTTATTCAAACCGATCAAAGAAAAAGAGAAAGAAATCATCAAAAAAGAACTTGAGGTAAGTCTTAACTTTCTTATAAAAAAATAAATCTTTCTTAGACTTGCAATGCTGGCTGGCTCTCAAAGAAAAGAAAACCATCAACCGAAGGCATCCAAAACTTGTCAAAAATCATTTCTCTTGAAAACGCGTCTTCTGATTTTTGCTTGGACGATCCGAATTTGACGAAATCAACTGCAATGGCCAGTATAAAACAGAAACTGACAAAACAGATCAATTTCGACTTCAAGAACGTGACGAAGAATGTTTTAAACCAAAAAGAAAGCGATCTTTGCGTTCCCATTTCAGTTTCGGTGCTTTTGAGATGGGCACTCAAAAATGATTTGAAAGTTGGAGATCGGGAAATGGAAAGATTTTTTACTATTGAAAAAATCTTCACTCAACTGACAATGGTGATTTATCCGCGGAGTTTGGCTGGCTTCAACCTCAATCCGAAATTTGAAGAACAAAAATTTCAAACGAACGAAATTGAATTGCTTCTAAGAAGATTGAAATTCAAGACTTATTTGAATAGAAGTGGATTGCAAATTATCAGAGAAAACTCAAGCGCTTCGATGGATGCCAATTTTGATTTCGAGCAAGGTAAAAATTCAAAGCTAAAAATCAAAAATTAAAAATTCAGTCCTCCTCCACGGCAACTTCGTCTTCTCCCGTCCCCTTACCGTCACCGGCGTCTATCTAAATCGCGACTCTTCAATACTTTTCCACCAAATGGTGCTGGACCGAATCGAAAACTCCGAATTCATTCTCCAAAACACGCTCATCGACCATTCCGGCTCTCAAATCAGAATTCCAGTTTCAAGAGAATTCTACGCCGATGAAGAAATGATGAAAGACTGTTACAACAGCTACCAAGATTTCGTCTATTATGGAGACAACAGCGAGTTTCTTGAGTTAGTGAACGAAGAATTCAACATGGAAACCGAAAAATGGTATCTTCTGCCTCAAGCTTTTTCAGTTACTCTGACTAGAACTCGATGACTGAAAAAACAATCATTCCTTTATAACAAACACGTGATCGTGAAAATAAAAATTGTGAAAATTATTTTCATTTTTTTTACATTTTGCAGTAGACTATTACTATAGCGGGGAAGAGATAGCTCCTGTCCAGAAGCGAACCAAAACAGAAACAGCTATTTTGCTCTTTGTTTTATTATCGATGTACAGTTTGAAGAGATTGCGGCAGGTGGTAGAACAAGTGAAAGTAGCAGATTTACAAAAAGGGGATTAGACTTGGCAAATGTAGCGGAACTCGCGGTCGCATTTTGAGGGGTACCATTTGTAGCCGAACTGCAGGCCCGCGGACTGGATGCACCGCTCCGAGCGCTAGAATCGTTGAAAGAAGGGGATGAGTGTTGGAAAGTTTTGGAAAGAGCTCTCCGTTCGTGTTTTCAACCCAGCTGAGACGATCGCTCTCTTTGTCCAGCGACAATCCAAACCAGTAGGAAGTGTCCTTGTTGGAAAATGCAGAACAAAACTGCAAGTAAATGAAAATAAGGTCAATTTAGGCGACATGTATCAGGGCTATGTACGGGGCTGAAGGTGCCGCAATGCCGCAACCAGATTTTCTTCTCCGTGCTTTGCCGCCGTGCCGTGCCGCTCAGATTTCCATTCCTGGTTCAACTCGCAGTTTTTGATGGGCTTGAAGCTTGATATCTTCTTTAGATCAGTTTCCTCGGTTCCGGACCTTTTGGACCCGGGGCCTGGTCGAAAAACTGAGTTGTTATTACTGGTCCTCTAGAGATTTATTTTGTCCCCTGTTCTGGCTTTGGAATCCTGTTTTGTTTGCTGTTGAATTATAATAATACAATTTATACAGTCTGTTGTTTCTAGCGAGCGTTTTTTTCTCTGAAGTGCCGTTCAGAAGGACATTCCAAGAAGATGATATTTTTAACCTTCTTGAAAATGTTTGAATAATTTTCCATGAAACGTTACTGGTAGCGACCTTTCGATAGTGGCCATCTCGGCAAATTAAAGTTGTGTAATGAATTTGGCAATCGCCCTTTCTACGTAGACGATGTGGCCCTAATGAGAGAGTTTGTCTAGTTTCTGTTCACCACCACCACCGGAGCTAAAGATGCGTGAAATCGCTTTTCCTCATTCGATCTTCTATAAAAGCCTCGCTCATTCCTTCTTAACCATCATCTGCAACTCGATAAGAGTTGAGAGAGAATCTTCCTTGATTTCCAAAGTCGAAATTCCGAAGTTGAAAATGAAGCTTTTCGCCTTTTTCGCCTCAGCTTCCGTCGCCCAGGCGCAATATCCAAGCTCAATGACACTCGAAGAGAAAGTCACCAAGGCCATCGATCGCTGCAACTTCTACATGGAGACTGCCTACGTCTGCGATCCGCCAATCGACAAAATCGGCAAGTACGAGCATCGAATTTCAAAGGTACCATTTTCGTTCGTTTTTTCTTTCTTTTCCAAAAACTCAGGTCTTGTTCGACGCGCTGCACCACTTGGCTGTTGGAAAGTGCCGAATTCCGCCTGCGATGGTGAGCGGCTACAACCCCGACTCGGCCAATTACGGCAATCGAAAACGACGTGAAACAGAAGTTCTGGAAGAATCTCTTTTGGATGCTGACCGCGAGTTTGCGTTAATCGTCGCGTTGATGCGAAATGCGAACGAACAAAACGGCTTCGAAGGGAAAGCTCTCAAGTCGCCAATGGCCAGCGAGAAGCAGCTCGATCGGTTGAAGAAAATCTGCAGCAAGGTAATCATAAACTCAACGTTTCCGGTCTCCATTTCTAGTTCGCGTTGGGCGCTCTCAACGACGATGTTTTGTCAAAATGCCCGAAACTCGGCTCGTGGCAGCGAAGAATGAACCACTTGATGAACGATTTGCAGCGAATGGAAAACGTCTGCATCAATCAGATTCCCGGTGAAGTTCCCGAAAACCCGTATTACAGCTCTACCGGGCAAGTGGTCGATCCCTACAACCCAACAACTCCCCCAAATCCCTACAAACCAACCACGACCAAGGCGCCGTACAAAACGACAACTACAGTTGCTCCGCCAACGATGCCGTACGAGGAAACAACCCTGTCTACATTAACAGGAGTGACAACTGAAGAAACCACCCAAAGCCCCTACATCGATATCACCACTGAGCCGACTACTGCGACTTCCGTCTACACAACTGACTACACTACTGAACCCACCACCACCGCTTCCTACACGACCGCCACTGATCCCTACACAACTACCAATAAGTACACTACTCCAGAACCAACCACCACCAGCTCAACTACCACCACTTCAACCACCACAACAACGACCACGACCACGACCACGACAACGACAACAACACCGACAACAACTAAATACACGCCAAGTACGACTACAACCCGAAAGTACCGAACACCAAAAAGGCGCCAGCCAAAGAAGCCAGCCAACAACAAGGGCCAGAACAAACGACCAGCAAGACCCAACCGAAACTGAAAAAAAAAAATTCTCTGGCCAAAACTTTCTTCTTTTTTTAAATAAAATCAAACAATCGTCGAAAAAAAAAATCATGACATAATATTACACGGCAAGAGGAAATGGTTCATTAGATAGCGGATAAAATGGAAGGCTGCGGTCTTGTCGTAGATTTTTGCCAAGTTGACTTGTAAGCAATTAGAAGCAGGAGAAGAAATTGCTTCCGCTGAAAAGGGCCTTTTCAAAAGGCAGTTTTAGCGCTGCGGGGAAAAAAGGGCGTGACGTGAGGAGAAAGTTCTAGATGACCTTGGTAGTTCGGTTCATTTGATTTTTTTTTCAGTGTTCCAGTCTACGAAATTGTGCTGTGTATTCTGCAATTTCGTCAAAAGCAAACATCGGCCGAGACAGACATGTCTGTCGCATCTTCCATTGTTCGATTTTCAGCTTTAACGAAAAGAAAATAAAAAATAATAAGCCTGGAAATTTGCCAGAATTAAACTCCTTGTTACTCATTTTCGGATAATTGTCCTGAGTCAACAGATTATATCAACGAAGTTGTTCAATCTATATCTTTTTTTTATCAGAAGAGAAAATAGAATCAAATCAGAATGGATCTTCTTCTGGAGGAAACTTGGGGAACTGGCTACTTTCAGAAACGCTCACTTTGTAAATATTCGGATATTGCTTTGAAATTTGACATTATTTCCTAGTTATCAATACAGTAATAATCCTGCCACTGCAAGGACTGTACTTCCACAACCTTTTCTTCGGCCAAGAACTCGACCACGCGTGCGATGAAAATAATAAAATACTCGAGCAGGTAAAGCAATTTAATTTTCGATGAATTTTTTTATCGGATTTTTTTTCAGTATTCTTTCGATTTTAATTCTTCAAGTTCAAGAATCGCTCGCAACTCGAGCGATTCCTGCGCCCAGGAGTGCTCAATGGAAAGCTCGTACGCGAATGAATTCAATTTCCTTTGCGAAGATGCGGCTCATCGAACAACCATTTTAAGAATAAGGGCTCACAAAATATAATAAAAAAAGAAATGAAAAGGAATGATTTTGGAACCCATCGAAAGTTATTTTTTATTTTGCACTTCGATTGGAGTTCTGCTCAACGGAATCGTTTATGATGCATTTGGGCGGAGAAAAACTGCGATTTTTTATGCGCTAATGTCGATGTTCGCCTATTTCGGTTTGCCAAAAATCTTTGAATGGAGAAAAATGTGTGTTTTAGGCTTGGTAACGTCCGGGACGAGTCTTCAGTTCAAGATTTGCTCTTGCGTGCTTGGAATCTGCGTGTCCGCCTTGGGCTCTTATCCGAACATGATGGAGCTGTCGAAGAAGTCCTGGAAGTGGATGATCGGGCTTGTCAACTCGGGCATGTGGACTGCCAGCGTCTTCTGGCTGATTCTAGTGACGTACTTTATTCGCGACTGGCGACTGGCTTTCAAAGTCTACTCGAGCCCAATGCTGATTGCCGTCTTCTACATTTTCTACTATCCGGAGAGCCCGCGCTGGCTCCTCGAGCAAGGAAGAATCGAGGAAGCAGTCGACTGGATCATGAAAATCGCCAAGACAAACGGCGTTCAAATCGAGCGAAGCTCCATTCTTGAACAACTGCAAGCGCTGAAACCCAAATCGCCGAGCGAAAAGCACGAAGAAGAAACGATCTGTAATTATTTAAAAAGAACAGCCGTTTCCGGACGCTTTTTCATCCTCATTTGGATACAGTAAGACCCCTCCTTCTTCTTCCTTGTTATAATTTTCTTCAGTTCTTGCGCGATGCTCCTCTGGTACAACATCGTTTTCGCCACTGGCCAAATGCACTGCTGCATCTACGTGACTTTCGCGGTGATGGTCCTTTTGGAAGGGCCGCTGAGGATTTCTTACAACGCGATTTTGCTGAAACGAATTCGGCGAAAAGGAATCGCCTTCTTTCTTTCCGCTTCGTCGGCCTTTTTCATGATCATGTTGGTGCTGCAAAAGTACGAAGAGGGAGACGAGTTCTGGATTCCGAAACTCGTCTTTGGAGTCGCTTCCAAACTCATGATTCAAAGCTACATGTCCTACATGTTTACCATGGTTTCCGAAGTCTCTCCCACTTTCATCCGGGCTCGAGCGATGTCTGCCCTACTGTAAGTCATGCATTTAAACTGTCGATTTCAGCCAAACTCTAGTGCCTTCGGCAATTTGAGCTCGACCTGCGCGCCGCTCATCCTCTCATTTTTCGGAACCAGCACTCCTATTTTCGCCCTGATCGCTTTGCTCTCCGCAACTCTCATTTTCCTGCTACCACCTGTCATCAAAAGCGACTTGCCGGACAGCCTCGACGACGCCGAGGCTCTAGCTCTCACTGCCACTAGAATCTTTGCAAAATAAAACTCCTCGACGTGTCTTTTCTTTTTGCTTTGTCTATCTTTGTGTTTATTTGAAGGGCATTTATGACAGTTTACGACAGAAAAGAGAAGTTACAGAAAGTATTGGAAAAATTGCACTACAGAAAAAAGAAGGAAGAGGTAAAACTGGATATAGACTTGAAATTGCTAAAAAGGAAAGAAACGAGGCAGACGTATTTTTTCATCGCATGAACATTTCGGCTTCTCGGTAGCCGGACTCGGGCGCCCCGTCTTCTAGCTGCCACATGAGCGTTTCGAAGGTCGGCCGCTTCTCCGGCTGCGACTGCCAGCACTCCAGCATAATATTGTACAAGTGCTGAAGGTGATCGATTGGAATCAAGGAAGAGAGCTGGTTTTTTTTCCTACCTCGGGACAGTCGATTGGCTTGGGCATACGGTATCCAATTTGGATCTTTTCTAGTACTTCTGTGTTGCTTCAAGAGGCTTAGGCGGTTAATAAAAGTGCTTGTTTAATACAAAGATTCCATTTTTCGCCTGTTGGCCGAACAAAGAACTCGAAAAGCTGATCGATTTAGCGATGTTATTACAGACAAGCTTGTGCCAACATCTCTATTATATATCTCTATATCTCTATATCTCTATATATCGAAAAATGAAATATCGCCCGTTTCGTAACTGTAAGCTCAAAAGAAAAAAAATCTAAGCCCTGGTGCCTCATTCCGGGGTAGGGAACTCTTCCGCGCGTGATTATCTCCATTAGGACGATGCCAAACGCCCAAACGTCCGATTTCGTCGAGAATCTGTTGTAATGAGCCGCCTCTGGAGCCAGCCACTTTATTGGCAAACGAGCTAGAGACGAGTTAAGATAGGTTCAGGCAGCTAGAGTCTACCTTGATGGTCCCTGGGCTGGTAGTCATCCGCGCCAACCATCACTCGCGTCAAGCCGAAATCAGCAACTTTGCAAATGTTGTGGTTGCCGACCAAGATGTTGCGCGCAGCCAAATCGCGATGGATGAAGTTCTTTGACTCTAAATAACTCATCCCGTCCGCCACCATTTCAGCCATACTCATCAGCTCCTTTTTTAAAAATGAATTATTAATAATTAAATTTTTAAAATAAAAAGTTTACCATTTGCGATAATGTCTGGCCAACAGGAGTTTGCAAGAACTTGTTCAGCGCTCCGTTTGGCATGAGTTCGGTAACGATGAGAATTGGTTCTGATACAGTCACTTTACAGAGGTTTTTTCAGTAGTTCGATAGAAAATTATAGAAAATAAAGCTGTTTCAAAACCGCTGCCTACGGCGTAAAGTTGAATCAGTCGCGGATGTTTGAGTTCTTTCATGATCTTTGCCTCCCTCAGAAAGTCCTGCGAGTCCATCATCCCCTTCTTGAGCTGTTTGATCGCGACCTGATGCGTTCCATTCCACTGTCCCTCGTAGACGCATCCGAATTGGCCTAGAGCACGGGCTCGTCAACGTCAATTTCTTTTGATTTGTTGCATCTGGAATACCGGTAGTTACTCCTGTTGACGACCCCTGCCTGATCCGATCTCCCGGTGGAGAGTTAACTGCTCCCTCGGGATCTCCCATTCATCTCTGTAGCTCAAGCCTTCTGTAATCGGTGCGTTCTCAGTCTGCGCCACCGACGAGGTCAACTTTTCAAGTGCTCAGAAAACATGCCTAATAAGCTGGCTACTGGCAAAACCCTAAAAATCAGAGGAGGAGAATTTCGCTATTTTTTCCAATCAAAGGGCCATTCCCAAGACAACCCCCGTGCTAGTTGTTTCTGCTTTAGTTGCCCGCCCTAGCGCAGTATTAAATAAATAATAACAAAATTGGCTATTGCGATATTTTTTGATTTATTGAGCCTGTTGATCCGGGCGCGGAGAGCATCCACATCCCGACTCATCTTCTTTGATCGATGAGCGGATTTTGCTCCACTCTGCTTACCAAAATTTCCAGCTGACCGCCCCTTTTATGCCGCGCCGTGGATTTTTTTTTGTTGTTTTTTTCCTGAAAAGGGGAATTTCAAATTGGCTGATGCCACTATCCCAGGGAGGCAATGTTCGGTATTTTTTTATCGCGAGTTGGAGTAGAGTGGTTAATTATAGAAAGCACTAATTTGGGAGTTGATGAATGCAGCTCAACTTTATAGCTTGTCTCCGGGTGGAATTAAGAATGGCGTGCATTTGTTCTCGTTCCCCTCAGGTTAATGAACGGCGTATATTGCTTAAATTGAATTACTTTTCCTCGGCGGTGCTGTCCTCGCTTAGACAGCAGCGAAAGAAGGGGAGCCACAAATTGCTCAAATTATACGTCATTAAACCTTCAATCATGGACCAATTTCGCTCTCTCCCTCGAGTTTCAAGACTGTGCTCGCGCCGCGAAATCTATCTTCATTTTTGTCACTTTTTCTTTTTGTTTCCAATAATTTGGGTTTTTGATGAAACTTCATTTCAAAATGCGCTTTCGAAAGAAAAAACCACTTCACTCTAGCATCTCGATTTCACTCTTCAGACTGTACACAGTCGAAAGGAATCAATAGCCTATTGATAGCCTAAATTAGGCTGCCTAATCCTAGATTAAGGGGATACCCATCTACTCTAGGCTCGGCAGCCTATACAGGCTAGGGTTCCCGAGCCCAGTCCATCTACTCATAATATACCAACGGCCAAAGAAAATGTGATCCCGAAAGAAAGAAATGTGAAGAAAAATGACGCTGAAAATATTAGAAGGTGGTCAAGAAGGAGAGTAAATTTGGCGTTGGAGAGGGAAGCTTGGCTGCGAAAGTTGCTGCGATGAAAAGAGAGGGACAAACACTGGCAACTGGAGATAAGTGTTTGAGCATATGCTGGCGGCCATTAGCGGTAGTACCCGCTTTTTAAAGAACCGCCCTGTTGTGTATCGCTAGAATGGGAATTGGGAGCCAGATGGTTGATGAGCGAGGATTAACTCGAAATTGAGACGATGAAAGGTCGACTCCAGATCGCTTATTCACGGCGCTTTTTATTTCGGCTTTGTAATTTTAAAAAATGGATGATTCTTTAAGCGGGTTAAGTTATTCGCTCTTTATTTGGCTGAGTAGGCTAACACTAAAGGATCAACGGATAGAGCAGTCCTTGTGCAACCTGGTTGACTTCACAAGAGCGCTCTTTTCTTTTTCTTTTGGAGCACTTTCCTGGCAGCACAGTCCATCCGCGTTCGACTGGTAGTATTGTACTAATAACTTGAGTCAGTTCTCAAAAACTCTGAAGAACTAAAGGCTGTCCCCTTAAATCGAGAAGAACTGTTCCTGTAAGTTTGGGAAGACGACCCTTTTGGCAATATAAACTCCGCTGTTTCCGTCCAATTTCCGAATCTTGTAATGCTCGCTGCTGGTTAGACCCTGTTTGTACGCCGCTGTCTTGTAAATCAACAACGAAAAATAAAGGAAAATCAATGGTCTACAGATAAATCTGGTCGATTTCTGGCCAGATTGATTTTTTTATTTTTCGACGACTCTCATCATTCTCGGGAGAGTTTTCAGTCCGAAGGGAGCAAATACAGTAATACTCGTTTCAGAACTAATTCAATTTAATGGGGTTGACTCTAGATTCAACGATAACTTGTGTAGAGACCTGAGTCAGGTTCTAAAAAAGCTCTAATAAAAAGCCTCGTAGACTGACTCAGGTTTCTAAACAGGATATTTCTACATATTTAAGAAGAATTAAGGGCGTCGTAACCATAACTTGACATCGTCTACATCTCTGACGGAGAGTGAAAAGTCGCCCTGTCTGGACTCAGACTCTCGAATCAAGAAGCTTCCAATGGAGTTGTGATTGTTCATCAACTGTCGCTCGGCTGCCTGTCTGGGGATGCGTCCGACGTACCAAAGATGGCTCTCGTTGGAGTTGAGCTTGGCGACGAAGTTGGAGGGGATGTAGCCCTGCTGACCGACTAAACGAGCTTGTTTTAGAATTATCGAGCCGTTTAATTGATTTACTATGATTTTTGGACAAGAGTAGCTCAGCAAGCCACCAGGCGCCGCGCGTATTGTCCAGAATTCGCAGATGGTCGCCCTAAGTAACAACTCTTCAACTTTCGCTCAGGGCTCGTCTTATCGCCACTGATCGTGGCTGATACAAACCTGTTCGAAAGACAAGTCGTCTTCAGTCCGAGCATGGTAGCTGTACAAAGCGATGTAAGTTGGCAAGTCTGGACGAGCCTGAAAAGAATAGATAAGTTTAACGGATTTTAGACATCGCGTACGAGGGCTGCCCCCTTAAACTACAGTTTTAACAGTGTTAACAGCAAGAAAATGGCTATTTCTAGGGTATTTTTCTTCAGGCTTTTCTCGAAAAGCTCACATAGTCGACCCCCTAATTTCTGGTTAATTTGATACTGAAATAAGGATCTCACTATTCTAACTTTAGAAGAACAGGCTGAAGAAATAATACCGTAATGGAGACTTTTCAGGGGCACGTAGCCCAAAGGCTGAACCTTTTCCTTTGGAAGTAGATATTCGAAATTTAAGGGTGTCGCCCAACTAAATCCATGATTTTCAAATATACTCCGTTTTCGCCAAAAAATGTTAGGACATCACCTTTTTTCGTATGTAAACTTTGGGAGAAAACTGCTTTTAAAAGCGAAACGTTTATTTATAGAAATGGCTGAAAACGGCGCGAGGAAAGGTAGGAAGTATAAAGAGGCAGTCTTAAGGATCTAGCCCAGTGATCGTCTCCGTCCGCTATGGGGTGGCAATAGGCCTCATAAAGGAGCGCGTCTCCGCTCAGCAGGGCGCCACTGCACCCTTCCAAGAAAGCACAGCGGGACAAGTAAAAAACTCGACAACAAAAAGAAAAAGCCCAACGGGGGCGAAAAATAACAAGCGTTTTTTTTCGCACGGTGAGTTTGAACTCCCGAACTCTCCCTTTTCGAGTATTTTTCTTTTCCTAGGCGCATTTTCTTTAAAAAATAAATGAAGCATGCACTAATGAAAGTGAGAAAGTGCTGCTTTTGATCGGATTGTTAGTTCCCCGCCGCGGCTGGCACGGTTTTGCTTTGCCGGAAATAATTTTAAGTGTCTCTGCGCCGCCTTTCAAAATTTTTGATTTGATTAGCCAAATAGCGCGATTAGCTACTCTATTTACGCTAATTATTGCCGCCCGGAAATAGCAAAAAAGAAAGCAGTTTTCGGAAATAAAAAATAGCAAAGTTCTGGAAATCAAGTAAGAGAAAAATTATAGCTTTTCTATTCAGAATTCATTGAAAAACTTTAATTTGATGAGAAGATTCTTTTGAAAAACTTAGCTAGGGGACCTCTTTCTGGGCTCGGCATCTGAGTCAGGGTTCTGAAAGAGTTCTAACAAGCGGCTTTTTAAATACAAAACCGCTCTATCTGAACCCTGGTCCAAGTTCTCACACAGGCTGGCGAGCCCAGATACCCTTAATGAAGTAGAAGAAGCTTAGCCCTAATTTTGAGATAGAAAAGAATCGGGCGCGCGGTAGGGGGGCGCGTTACTTTTGTTACCTTTGTTGGAATCTTGGTAGAGTAAGCTCGGTTTTGTTGGTTCGCCTGCGATGTTGGCCTGCCTTCCTCCTGATTGTCCAACGAGTAGCATATTCCCATTTGGCCGCAAGCGGGCCCCAAAACCAACCACCGCTATTTACAGAGTTCTGAAGTATCAAAAATCAGGTGAATTACGGTCCAATAAGTCGCCTTATTTGTCTTGATGGACCTGTTTCCGAGTAAACACGCGGAAATTAGTCCGGAAGTAACCCTTTTCTAATGACAAGTCATCACCCGGGCTAACCAAGTGTCAAAAACGCTGCTAGAGAAAGAGACCAACACAAAAAAAGAGCCAGAAAAGAGCAAAAAAGCAATTCAATTTCAAATTTATTTTCAATGGGAAAAAAATTAAAGCGGGGAAATTCGGAAAAAAACAAGGGGAAAAGAGGGCGCTTCAAAGTTTGAGCAAAACCAGTGGCGAGAAAAAACGGCCGCCTTGAGGAGGGAGAGAAAGAAAAACGGTCGACCTCAACAAGAGTAAGGGGCGCCAGTGCCGCTGCTTGGCGCCGTGGAGCGCATCCTTGAAAGGTCCAATTCGTGATCTCTGGTGGCTCAAAGCTCGTCGCCCTCTGCTCCTCGACGCAGCAGCTTTTCGAAAATGAAAAACTAGAGAAATAACCAGAGAGAGAGAAAGAGCCTTTTAGAGAGGACCTAGCGAAGCACCAGAAACTGACATCTGTTAAACCAGCAGCGTCACAGATTTCACCTTTCTGGCGCCAGCGACAGGCGCCTCGGACTCGACCCTTCCTCTTTTTTTTCTTCCGAGAATTGAGGCAGAGAGAGATTAAGACGGAGAGAGAGAGGGGATTAGAGATGAGCTCAGCCCGGGCGGCTGCAATAAAGATTAAAAAAAACGACAGAAAAACACATACACGATTCATTTTATTTTCAAAAATTCTTATTGAAAAAGGACCGTTTCAAAATGAGAACAATGAAAAAAAATAAAGAAATGGAGCTGCTAAAATTGAAGAGTTGAAAATTGAGCGCTAGTCAGCTATTTTGAATGTGCTGGCCATTGTAGTTCAATTTGCGTATTGTGGGCCGTGTATCAAATTAGTACGCGTCTCTCTTTCTTTCTCTCTCCTGTCCAAATCGATAAGAGAGTTAATCGTTTTTTTCTTTTTCTTTCGCTGCGAAAAATAGCGGGGCAAGAGCCAAAAGCGAGGACTGGACTGTTTGTTAATTTGGAATTACGGAAAATCACAGACAGAATTGACAGCTCGTTAATTAAACGCGCTCTTTTCTTTCTTTACAGAATGGAAATGAAATCAAACAAAATTAAATAAATCCGAAAAATGAACAATCATTCGAAATCACGCAAATCTGGATAAAGAACGCGCAGTAATTTTTGCATTCAGAAGCTTTTGAATTTTTTTGAAAAATTATAATTGAAAAATGACACTTGAAATCAAGGAAGACTGCTTCTCAAAAGAACGCCTTTCCTAAATACAAAAAGAGGGGTCATTTTTCGAATAATAAGTTTGTGATAAATTCAAATTTCTAAGAAAATAGACTGTCTTTTTAAAGAAAAATGTTACCTTTGAAAAGTGATTTTGTTAAAAAAGAATATTCCGCGAGAAAAAATTGGCATGTAAATTTGAAAATGGAGTTTCACGAAATTGTGTTTCTCTGAAAAAAAAGGAAATGGAAAGCGAAAAAGGCAAGATGCATGAATAGAAAAGGAGAATATCTATGTCCTGGCTCCAAGGGACAAGAGTCCAGCGATTCTATCAGGAGATGTTCCGCGAAAGAGAAAACACAGCTGCTCTCTCTCTTAAAAGTCACCCTTCCCAAAATAGCCCAGATTCACTGCACTTGAGTGATAAAATAAAAATACATTTTACCCGGCGCCTTTACTTTTTATTGCTCGTCGCAGATTAAAGTTACAGTCAGTGAATAAGAAGAAGGAGCGTTGAGCTTTGAAAACTTGGATAAGTAGAGCCAGAGCTACTGTAACTGACAGTAGCTCTTGTGTAATATATTAATAATTAAATTCAAGAAAAGGATGAAACGGAAAAATTTGTAAGAAAAGCGGCAGAAAAAATAATGAAATATTTTCTTAAATTTATTATCGACTGGAAACGAAAGAGAGTAATTACGGATGGAATAAAATAGAATTGAATTCAAACAGTAAAGATTCTGTATTTTCGGGAAAAAAACGAGTCGTACTGTACTGGTAGTTTTGCTTAGAAAATTAGCAAAAAGCGGTAAAGGAAAAGAGACGGGTAATAAGTAGTAAAAGAAAGAAATAAGTTGAATGTAGGCTGGTTCGTAGTTTTTTTTTGTATTTTTAAGATTTTAAATGAATAGAATTTTAATTGAATAGTTCTGTGTTTTTTCGTCAGCGTCTTGGATTGGCGTTGGGATGGTGCGGCCAAGGGTAGCCAAACTGCGCGTACGGGCCCAGCTGCGACGAATACATGCCTTTTTTCAGCGTTGAAAATTGAATGAAGTGATTGTGTGATTTAATATTTGGATAATTCGGAATCACCCGAGCAGATGCAATACCACTCAATATTTGCGTTTTATCGCTCCTTGTCAAAAAGAAACTTGATAATTGTCAAACGCCGACAACGTTCAAAAAGGACAGGGTTTCAAACAGATAAGCGCTAACAACCAAACAGGGCTTGTGCTCGTTTTTAAGGCTATCCCGCTCGTCTAAGCTAAGGAACTGGTAGATATAGATTTGATCTTTCATTTAACTAATTTTGAGCGGAAATAAAATAGTCCAGAATATGTTAAATATTTGAGTAAATGAAATTTCGAAAAGAAAATTTAGCAGATTATTTTTCTACACTGGACCTAACGGCATAGATGGATGATGAGGAAGAGAAGTGCCATTGGAGCTTGAGCGGCTGGTGCTTGCAGCAGCGGCGGCGCCAAATGCTGCTGGGCCAAGACCGGGAGGATGGAAACCCGCGAGTCCGATCAAACCCGGATTAGGAACGCCCTGAAGAGGAAATTGAAATCAAGGAAGACAGAAAAAAGGTATTACCTGCGGCGCGTGGTTGATCATGTGCGGATGGTGGTGGAGCAGTTGAGGATAAGAAGATAGATTCTGCAAGTCCTGGAGAGGATTTTGAGAATGAAGAGATGAACCAACAGGGCCCGTAGCTGGGGAGACGCCCAGTTGAGGGAAGAACGGTCGTTCCTGGCGCTGCTGGAATCCACTTGCCAGAGCTGGATGTCCCGGGAATGTCGGGGGCAGAGCGCCACTTTCCTTGTTTTTAAATACGTTAGATAAGGTTTTGAGTTTATGTTTAGTACCTTTTTCTGAGTGGCACTGTTCTGCGGAGCGGGAATATTAATCGGGAAGTGGGGCAGCGAGAGCTGGGCTCTTCGATCGGGCAAAGCCTGATTCAGCGCCGTTCCGTTCGCTGTGCTTTGATAATCAAACGTCGAAACCGCACGATGCGGAGCCAACAGATGATTGCGCAGCGATGATTCAGCAGCAGCGGCCGCTGATTTCACGATTTCGTGCGTCGCAGCATTTTGGAGAAGCGACGATTCAGTAGCCGTGCTGATCACGCGAGTTGGTTTCGGTTGCGCTGGCGGAAGAGTCGATGGAGATGGCTGGGGGAGGCTCGGGATAGTTGACTTTGATAAGGAGGGGATAGTGGTAGAAGAAGGGGCAATGCTGGAAGAAGCGCTGATCGAAACGGCAGGAGCGTATGCTTCGTTGTTCTTTGGAGAGGGAACGCGGGTGTACCCAGACAAGTAGCTAAAATAAGAAAATATGATTAGACAATTGAATTTCGCCGAAATTGAGTACCTAGGAACAACGGTAGGAGCGTCAAGCCCAGGATGTGGGACTCCGAAGCGCGGTTGAGTTTGCCCAGCAAATGACTTTGAAAAAGCTGTTTCTTCTTTTAGCAGCTTCGGCGGTTGAATCGGAAGAGGATGCTGCGCCGTTTTCGCGGTATTTTCCGGTGTTGACTCTTTTGCGATCTTGTCACTTTGCGATACTTTGAGACTCGGATTTTGAGGGGTGTGGGTTTCTGTGCTTTTCTTTCTCTCACAAACTGGACTTTTGCTTCTTGCCGGGTTCGTTTCAGTGACGATTTTTCTTGAAATTAAATTAAAAAAGATTATTGAAGAAAGAACGTACTTTTGCTCTTGATTGATAACGAAGCTGCTTTCTGGAATTTTTGATTTGAAGCTGTCACTAGACAAAGGCGTCTGTAGCTCTTCCTTGGGCAACTCTTTCTTTGCTGAAGAATTCCCGTAGAGCTCCGAGTCGCGTTCGATCTGCTCGCTGGTCAAGTTGTAGTCCTTGTCAGAGGAGTCGGATGAGCGCTTCCTCTCCGATTTCGAGGAAGAAAGAGAAACTTCGTCACTTTTGTCCGGTACCTGTAGATTTTGAATGAAATCGAGGAATAGACTACTGATTCCTTTACCTGAGGCGAGTTTTTGAAATCTTCATTCATCTCCAAAATCGCGTCTTGAACTTCTGCAACTCGCTTCATAGTCGTCGGAGAATCAACCATCTGGACATCCTGAGCATCGAGCACACGGGACACAGGGTTTACTTTTGCTTTCGAGTAGTCTTGCTCCCAGTTCGTTGCGCTTTCCATTGGTGATTCAGAGGACTCTCTGAACGAAACAATTATGTAAAGCAATTTTTGGACGTTACTAAACCCTAACTTAACCGTAAGATAGACTAACCTCGAGTCTCTGGCAGGTTGAGGTTGAACTACAGCAGTTGGCTTGGCGGTGGATAGAAGAGAAGGGCTGCTGTCAGACATTTTGTTGTTGTCCGAATCGTAGTTTTTCTCGGAGTTAACAGTGTTGATTGCGATTTTCGTAGTTTTCTTGGCAGATTGGATCTCAGTCGACATTCTCATTGGGCTGGTGCGTGCCTTCGTCTTTGCATCTTCCGCTTCCGAGTCGCTAGAACTCGAAGAAGAAGACGATGACGAGCTCGAACCGGAAGAGCTGGAGGACGAGCTCGAGCTTGATGAGGCGGAATTATCAGGTCTGTTTCGATGGTTTGGATTTGGGAGCGGTTTTTTAGCAATTGCTGCAGGAGCAGGAGCGTTCTTCTTCTTTATGTTTGGCCGGCCGCGGATAGGTGGCACGAAGTTCGCGCTTTTTGGCGGATTCTTGAGCTTGCTCTTGGCACTAGAGCTGACAGGTTTACTATTATCTACTGGGCGCTTTTGCTTCAAAGTGTTTTGGAACTTTTTTGATTCTTTGATTGCTAGTTTTTCTTTTTGCGCTTTGGTCTGTTTGTTTTGAGAAGCAGGTCTTTCAGGGGAGGAGTCATTGCTTTCGGAAGAGGAGCTACTTTCTCTCGAAAACGAGGACGATCGTTTCTTCTTTTGAGCAGTTTTTGAATTGCCAAGAGATCGGGCAAATTTTTGCCCGTTTAGCTGGCCAATTTTGATGTTGAGTTTTCCCACTTTTCGCGTGTCACTAGTATTTTGAGTCTTCCTTTGAGCTTGAGATTGAACTTGCTTCGTTTTCGAGATTGAATTGGCGATTTTCTTGGGCCCTTTCTTTTGACCCTTCGCTCCCTTGGACGATTTAGAGGCTGTTTTTTGCGATTTTGAGTGAGCCGGATCGAACTCTTCTTCATCAGAGCTAGAAGAAGCGGAGGAGCGATTTTCATTCCCCGATTCGTCTGAAAACCGGAACTTGGCGAGACTCACACTCGGCATGACTTCCTTCATCTGCGCGTTGAAGATCGCCTCGAGATCGTCAGCAGATTCTGAGTACTCGTTTCCCTCGCCGTTGTAGAGGCGGCAATTGTCGAACATCAAGCAGACATCCTCGACGAATTCGCGAGGCGTTGAGTAAATTCGAGCAGCGATTTTTTCCTCGATGGTTTCAATGTCCATCGGACGTCGGATGATCGAGGAGTAGCTCGGCGCGATCTCGTCCGTGATCGGGCTGTAAAAGGGCCACGAGTCTGGGTGCGCGCGAATCGTGTCGATCACAAGTTGCATCTTTTGCCAGTTGGTAAGGTTCTTTTGAGAAGCGGGCGGATTCGATTTGGGAGCGGGTTTCTTTTTTGGAGCCTTTAAATTAGTAGACTTGGCCTTTTTTACTTGTGGCTTTTGGGGCACTGGGGAAAATTCCTCTTCTTCTGAACCACTACTGGAAGAACTGGAACTATCTCTAGAATCGGGACGAATTGGCGAATTTCTCCCTTCACCAGCTGACTCGCTTGCCTCGCTTGAGCCGCTAGAAACGTCGGAGGGAACGAGAACGGTCTTCTTCTTCGTCGGCAGATTGTTCTTTTTGCCCGCATTGGCCTTCTTTGGACGACCTCGTCCTCGCGCCTGTTTTTTAGCCGGGGAGGGGTTTGTTCCGTTTTGTCCCTTCTTTCGCTTTCGCTTTTTGGCTTTTTCAAGAGGCGAGAAGGCATTGGGATTTTTGTGGAACTTGACGGCCTCTTCGAGCGTCTGGCCGGGGCGGACTTTGACGAACTGTGGCCGCGTTGCCGAGCAGCCTGGGAGCAATTCCCAGGTGCCGGGACTTTCCGCCCCGCTCCGCTCTTTTTGATCTTCTTCCTCTTCGGAGCTGGAGCTTGAGCTTGTATCCCTTCTGTTGGGCACCTGATTATTCGAATTTCGCTTTACTGCATTTTGCAGCTTCGAATTAACGAGCTTCTCTCTTTGGATTTTTTTCTTCTTCACTGATGAGTGAGTGGAAGATTGGGACGAACTATCGGAATCTGAATTCGAAGTGCTTTGATCGGACTTGGACGAAGAATGATGCAAATCCTCCTCGTTGATTTCAGCTGATCTTTGCTCCTTTTCGAGTTTGGTGATTAACCCGGCGCCACGAGCGAGTATTTCAATCTGATCAACCGGAAGCAGCGTCGGATGGGGCTCCTTGTTCGTCACACGCGCTCGTCGCTTCTTGCCCTTGAGTTTTTCTAGTTTCTTGAGTCGCTGATTCCTCCGCGTTCTCGCCCAAGTGTGTGTTTCTTCTTCGATTCCGGACAAGGTCGGATCGAAGTTTTGCTCGATCGTTTCTCGGAACCAGATTTCCTCCTTGTCCGTCGAGTTCGCGTACTTGTCCCTTAATGCCCGCCACTCCTCCTTCGTCCGCGCCACAGTCTTCCAATCGCCCGTCTCTTTGATTTGCTTGAAGAGGTGAATGCCGCCAAAGTACCAGAAGAGGTTTCCGTGGCGATCTTCAGCGAGCGATTCAGGCCGCGCTTCGGCGATTTCGATTGCGTCCGTGATCGACTGCTCGTCCTCGACGCGCCAACAGCAGAGCTTGTAGACCAGCCAAATGCGTAAGCGCACTGGGAGATCGAAAAACGACACTGTCGGATCTGCCAAAGGGTTGAACAGTGAGTTCTCAGCGGGAAGACGCACCGAGCAGATTTCATGAAGCGAATTGTCGAAGTTCCACGGGTCGATTTTGGGATTTTGATAGAGACCTCTGAAAATATTTCAAATGCTAATCTATGCCAGAGACGTGGACTTACCGTAGAAGCTCGCTGAGAAGGGTTGAAAAGAAGAGTCTGCTTTGCGGGTCGTCCGTTTCGAGGCATTCTTCCAGCTCATAAATCGAAAACTCGGAAATGTCGAAAGGATGCTTCAAAAATAAAACAATTCACTCAACGGTCTTTACCGTCAATTTTACCTTGTAAAGAGAAACAAAATAAGCAATCCATGGAATCTCCCACCAATTTGAAAATTCCCTGTCCATCAAACGTTACATTTCTACAATTAAAACATTCAAAAGTGAGATGACAAGGATGATCATATTAATCATTTATTTAAATTCACTGAAATGTTCAATCAGAAGTTTCTTACTGAGCTTTGTAAATATATATAAATAAATATTCATGTCGGCGTTGCTACTTTTGGAATTTTGAATCAAGAATTTTGAACTTTCAATCGAACTTTTTTTTTCATTTTGGATACTCTAGTTACATGTGTTTTTTATCAAAGGCGTGAGAATAGAAAGGAGTAAGGTCGGGTAGCTTGGGTTTTGATCTACAACTGCTGTTTTCTTTTTGTTTCGTGAATTTGAAATGATTGAGTTTGGGGGTGAGAAAGAAGAAGGATGAAATGATCGGTATCGCTGATCAAATTTTATTATTTTTTGTTGGAATACGCAGCACGATGTTCTGCTGTGAAGAGTTTCGGTTTCTATTTTTTTAATTACAAAATTACAGGCTTCAGTTGAACAGAAATTGCAGCGCGTTCTCCGTGTTCCAGTCGTGTTGCGACAGGCTGGCAAGTACTTTTTGCTTGTCTGAAAAGACCAGAATGAGTAAGGGCGGCAATTGGATAAACTGGATGACTGGAAAAGAGCGGACAACTTACCAAAACCCATGGCAACAACTTTATCGAGCGAATCTTTGTAAGTAGCGTTTAGTGCTCCAGGAGCGCTGGCGTGGTACTGAGCCCAGAATTTAGCCGTCGCTTCCCAGCAAGCGCGGTTCTTGTTGAATTGAGCCGCAACAACTGCGTCCTAAAGTTGCGTTCATTACTGTAACTGTTTTCGGTTTGATAAGTTTACCTGTGGATCGTCAGGTTCGGGGCTCTCTAAAAGAGCTTGAATGGACAGTAGCACCGTTCTGAGAGTCATGGCAGCCGCCCATTTTGTCGAAAGAATATCTAAGAAAGACATAGCTTTAAGAAAAAAGGAGCGCGCACACCTAAGCAAATGGCACCAGTGACGGAAGATATGTTCGGATGCCAAATCGGCGTCGTAAAGCGAATTTTCGGAGGTGAAAACGGATAATTCGGCGGTATTTCTTAATTTTCAATAAATCTAGCGACGAGTTCTACAATCAAGATCTTTTACCTATTAGCAGTTTGTATTTGCCGCCAGCGTAGACTGTGTCAGGAGGCCCGTCTATTTCGCCCTTGAATTTCATCATGTCGCTGCCATCTCCGAGATCTATTCATTCGGCTTTACTCTGGCTAATCCTGCTACTGTAGAAGACTGTACAAAGCCGTTTCCTAGTCGAATTCCCACCAGGTCGCCTCCCTTCTTCTGAAAGTCCTTGAGTTCTTTCTGGACGCGCGCGATCGCGATTGAATCTGCCATTCTCGATTTTTTTTAAATCTAAAATTACAAATTTTGCTTCAGTTTTTTTCGTTTTAGCGATAAAGCACCTAAAACTAGAAAACAAGAGTAAGACGTATGTCTCTGTCTGTGTCCCTTCTAATTCGTCGAGGGAAATAAAAACGATAAGACTCACTAATTAACTCGCAAAATGCATGGGAAAGTTATCCATTCAAGTTTCATTGAATGATAGGCCAGAACTTAGGTCCTTGCGTCTGATGCTTCATATATATCGGTGATATATCTTCATTATTAACCGCTATTGTTTGACTCGATACAGTATGTCTGGGCTTGGCAACCTGTATGAAAAACAAGGGTCAGTGTCTGTAAGATCTTAAATGAAAAGCCGTTACGACTACCCTGACTCAGGATTTCTAAACAGGTTGCCGAGCCAGCAGTATAGACTTCACTGTATGGTATTGACATCTCTATCATACTGTTTATATCTCGAGACAAAGACGAATACTGAATCGTATACACAGTAAATAAGAGACTCCACGATAAATCGTGTAAAGTACTAACCGTATACACTCATGAAGTTCTAGTTTTCGTCCCAAATTGGGACTCCCAATCTTACAGTAAGATCCCTGTTTACGGATTTCTGCAGATCAACAAATGAAAAGCTGAGTTACAATTCATTGTAAAAATTTATTTCGGGCAGTACATCAAGGAGCCTAAAATGATCAAGAATTCGGTTATAAATAGTAGTTTGAATGAAATTTTCAAAAAAAAAAGCGGAAAAAGAAGAATATTTTTTTTGTTTGAATTTTTTGAGCAGCGGAGAAAAAGCTACTGAATAAAGTAAGGTAGTAGAAGTATTGCAGGAGAAAGAAATAGGCCAATAAGAATAAGGATAAAGCTTTCAAAAGGTTGGTTTTTAAAATGGTTTGGAAATAAAAATACTTTGAAGAAAATCAAGACTTGGGCGCATTTTGAGAAAAAAAAAGAGGATTTCAAAAGTTTGAAATGAAATTAGAAAAAAATAATAGTTTTGGAAAAAAAAGTGTTTTCCTAGTCTGAGGAAGCGGTTGGAGAAATATTCAATAATAAAAAAATGGTTGTTGAAATGTTCGAAATTCAGTTAATTTCATTTAAAAACACAGTCACAAACAGTAAAAGTATCAGTGCACCAAGAAGAGGGAGCTTGAGCTGAACTAGATTTCACAAATGCTGAATTTCAAAGAAAAAAATGACGAAAAAATTGCTCTAGCGTTTAATGCGCTTTTTCGCGCGCTTTCACAGGATTCAAAAACACTCTAGTGCTACTGTAATAACTCTAGTATCCACTTCATATTTTTTGAAAGGAAAAATGAATTGATCCTGTTCCTTTTTGGTGAGAGCTGCTTCGACCTGCTTTAGCTTTTTCTCGAGCTTTCTTCGTTTCTTTTCCGAGCGCGTCGATTTCGCTGAAGACGACGATGAGGAGGACGAGCTCGAAGAAGACGAGGACGATCTAGGGGCGCGTTTTCTTCGATCCCGGCTTCTTTCTTTGCTTCGATCTCGCTCTCTACTGCTCCTCCTAAATATCCATGTTACTCGGGTCATATAGGGGTGTCATTCTCGCCTGGGCTCAGAACCTGCGTACAAAACCTGAGTCAGGGTCTTGAAAGAGCTTTGCGGCTTTTCATTCAAGCTCTTTGAAGGCCCTGACTAAGGTTTTATACACAGGTTTCCGAGTCCAGGCTCTGACCGAAAATGGAAATGGTTGATAAGCGACTTTATCCTCTTAGAAGACTGTACCTGCGCGAATGCGAGCTAGTTCTTGAGCTAGGCTTGCGCTCAGTGTATCTCTTCGCTTTCTCTTCCAGACGTCTGGTTCTCCTGTAGTCGTGGTCCTCCGAATCTGACGCTCTTCGAGACCCGTTTTTCGTCCGGAACGCCTGTTTTATGGTTCATTAGTTATAATTGTGAGAAGAAAGTACCTTAGGGGTTCTTCTTCCTGAACTCTCGGACGAATCCCTCGACGAATCGGAAGCAGAAGAACTCCTCGAAGACGACGATCGCGACGAGGAAGACGAGGAGGACGACTGAAAATGATGAATACTGAAGCAACTAGAATTAGATTTACGTCGATTGTGATTGTAGCTCGCGAGTTGGAATGTCCGCGTCTCCCCCTTTTCGCGTTGCTACTCTTGGATGAGGATGATTTGCGCTGCTCGTCTTCGAAATCTTGGGAGCGGTCCCATCGCTCGCTCGTTTTCCCGCTCATTTTTTGGCGCTGGCGCTCGCTTTGGTACGACTCGAGTTCCTGAACACGTAATTGAATTAACTATTTAATACCACATCGTCGATTGATACTTAGTAACTTAGAGTTGGGAAAAGGGGGTTTCCCCCTTAGAGAGGGAGGGGGTGAGTTGTCGTGTTTGGTTAACCAACGAACACCGACTTATGATACAGTTCTTTTCCTCTTTTGTGGACATTTTTTGTCCCAAAATTTTCGAAAAATGTCCACAAACTTGGGCAACGTCTTCCGAAAAATGTCCCATCGAAATCGCTTAAAATTTTTTTTCGAGATTTGAGTACGCCGAATGGTTTTCTAGACTTTGCATTTATGCTCCTGAAAGACTGACAAAGGCCCCTTTGTCTCTAGTTCAACCTTTAATTTTGTTTTTTTTTCGTAAACAATGAACAACTCGATCTTGATTAGCAAGAATTAATCTCAACACAAAAAAATTGTCTTTTTTATTTCTTTCCGCGAAAAAATGTCCACAAACTTGGAACAGCATCTTTTATAAAGTGTCCCACTTGAAGGCCTTAAAATGGAAAAAATGTCCACAAACTTGGGGTCCACAAAAGAGGAAAAAAACTGTAGCTCCAAAGCTCTCAATCTACCAACCCCCTAACCCCACAAAAGCTTTGCTCCCGAATTCAGGGACAACCTGTCCCAGAGAGGGAAAACTAACCTTGGACAAGTCAGGAAGATGGTTTTTCTCGAGCTGTATCCTCTTCAAAACGTGCTCTCTCTTCTGCGGCTGTTCGCCGTTCTTTTCGCCCAAAACGGGTCCGGCTCTTCGAACTTCACAAAAAACAGTCAGTTAAACAATCAAGCAAGTCTCCCTTTACCTTTCTCGTCTTGCCAGAGTTTTCATTTTCTCCCAAAGCTGGTTGAATTCCGTTTTTCCGCAGCCGTGCTTTCGCTTTCAACGCTTTTTCCCAAGGTGTCTCGCCAGTTGCTTTTGGTGGTGGAGGACGGTTCAGTCCCACATGCGCTAAAAAAGGGTGTTTGCAGAGGTTTCGCGTGGCTCTCTTCATTTGTACCTCGAAGCCGCAAGCGGCTTCTTGCTTCTAATAGTTCTTGAGAAAAAGAATTACCTGATCTGACGGGCATGACCGTAATTGTTCGTTTTGTCTTTGGAATGGCTTCTTCCTCGTCTTCGTTTTTGGAGAACATGTTGTATTTGCCCGTGTCGACCTTCTCTTCGACGGGATTGATCACTTCCATGTTCTTGCGCGCGTGGACAAAGTGGCATCGCTGCCCGTACTGGCAGTACCCCTGCCTGAAAACCACTCGTAAGAAGCTGAAAAGCTCGGAAGGTCTTACTGGTAGTATCGACAAAGCGGCTTTTCCGGACGCGTCTTCGCAGGGCGCTTTTCTTTTTCGGGGAAAATGGAAGGAAGATTCGATTTTTGCTGCTCCTCTGCGCCGGCTTCTCCGTCCGAACCGCTGATTTCGCCGTCCTCCGCATCTGCACGAAAAATAATGTTTATTTCATAGAATAAACTATAGTATAAAATTTATACTACGATGGAACTAAAAGGGCCCTCGAGCAGACTTATCAGTTATTGAATTAGTTTTGAAGCTATTCTATAACTACAATCGTTTCGATGCAAGCCTCAGTTAAAACCGCGTAGCGGCTTTTTTACAAAATGATCCTTCTCTACCTAAGAGGTTTTCTTACCCTGACTCAGGTTTTCTACACAGATTGCCGAGCCCAGGCACTCTAGGCCAGAGTAAGCTTGATGCTTCAAATACTCTTCACTAAGGCCGCGATTCCTGCGGCTTTTTCAGTTATTTTTACTCGAAGCCGCAAGCGGCTTCACGATTTGAAGGATAACTACATAAATCTATGGCGGACAATTATTTTATAACAATTTTAGAGCGATATATGAATGTTGCGAGTGAGTGTACTTTGAGAGAATGAATTTTGAAGTTTTGAACTTGTTTGTTTTTATTAGCCATTTCAAAAAGGGAAAAATGAAAGTGTTTCTTACCGGATTTGATTTCGCCATCGTCGGAATCGTCACTCAGCGCGCCTTCCTCTTCTTCCTCCTCCTCGTCCGAGTTCGGCCGATTTCGCTGGTTCTCGCTCTCCTCGTTCGAGCGTTTTCGCCCGTCGCTTTCGTCTTCGAGGAGGTCGACCACGGGAAGAGCGTTTTGAGGTTGTGGCTTTCGTCCTCGTCGTCGTAGTCCAGCTCGTCCAGATTCAATGCATCGGCATTCATCTTCCGAAAAATAGCATTTTTAGATTTTTGACGATTTTTAGCTTTTTCAGATTTTCGAAGTTCTGATTGATTTTTTCAAGTTGGCAATTTCGCATTTTCCAAGAAAAGAAGAATTGTTTTTCGAATTCTAGAGCGAGCGCGCTCGTTTAAAATAAACAACAACGCACAATGCATTTTTTGTTTTTTGAATTTTGCAGATTTTTTGACAGTTTTCTGTTCTCAAAATGGAAAAGAAGAAAAAGAAGTTTTGAAATTATTGAGAATTTGAACAAATTGAGCAGCGTTTTAGATGAGAAGCCGCGCAGCGAAAAAAGGAAAACGACGCCCACGCGCTCTGACGCCTCGAGCAACAAAGACTGAATAAACGCACTAAAACGGGAACATATTTATTTCTCGATTAAAAACTGCTTAATTTGTGGAATAAATTTTATTACAGATATGTTAATTGTTGCCTGAGGGAATATTTCTTGGTATATAATAATTAACAAAAATAATAATTATAATTAATAATTAATTAACAAATAATAATTGTTATTACTTAACAAAATTCTTTTATTAATTAATTGATATTAAATTAATTAACTTAATTTCATCATAAAATTTAATAATTTCGACTTTGAAAATTCTCAGAATTTAAGTTGATTTCTACAGTAGCCTCAATTCCGCGATTTATTTTTGAACCTTTTTTATCAGTCTCGAAAGTTTCGAGTCGAAACACTTATTTTAAGGGAAAATCAAGAAGAAGAGTCCTTCATTTTATGCCCTCAAAAAGCAGGATTAATAGTCTTAGATTATCCGATCAATTTCGAGCAGAAAAGTAACAAGATCAAACAAAAGAAGAGTCTTTAGAAACGTCTATTTGTTTGTAAGTTTTTTTTAATTGCTACATACTACGGTTCCTATTTCGGACTGACAAATTCGGATCCGATTATTTGAGGCTTCAAATAAAAGAAAACCTTTCCGTTCTCGGCGGCTTTACATTTCAGCGACTTCAGACCTGGGCTCGGTAAACTGAGTAGAAAACCTGAGTCAGCCTGACCCTGGGTCTGAATTACCTTAATTGAAAAGCCGCATAAAAGATTGAATTGATAATTTGCGAAGCCGCTGCGCGGCTTCGTTTTTAAAAAGCCGCTACGGGGCTTTTCATTTAAGATCTTTCAGATCCTGACTCAGGTTTCCCGAGCCGAAATTTTAACGAAATGATGAGTTGGAATCAGAGAGGAGAGATCCGTTAATTCACAAAATAGTCGCAAATCGAAGCAGTAATTAGCGACTTTTAGCAGGATTTTAGCCCCCTTGCGTCGCTGTTATCGGTGGTGGAGCTGCGCGAGAAGCTAACGGCGCCACCTCGGCTTGGCGCGCGTTTCGGCGGTGTCTTTGGTTTGGTTTGGTTTTGCGTTGGCGGCTGGGGCGGCCGCGCGCTCGGCGAATCAGCGCGCGCCGTGGCTGGCCACTTCGCCTCGCCGCAGCGCGAGACACAGCCGCTTGAAGGACTGGAGCGCACTTGCCAGAGTGTGCCAGAGAGATTTGCCGCGGCAGCAGCAAAGAGAGGACGGCAGAGAAGTTAGCTCCAGACGACCACCATCGCCAAAACGCGCCAACAGAAAACCAGCCAGCTCTGGATCTCCACCATCTTCCAAGGTGGAGCTTCTTTGCTCCCGAATCGCTCCAAACCAACAATCATCAAAGTCTTAACTAAAAAGTAAAATCATCAGATTCAATCGTCTTCCCAAGACTTTCTGGTCTTGCAGTAGGTGAGAAACAGTAGCACAAATTCATCCCTTTTTCCCATTTTTTCCCAGCGCGCGATTTCCCACGATTTCAGTTTTCTTCTTTTTTCATTCATTTTTGTTTCTCACCAAAATCGATTTCGGAGAGGAGCTACAATTTTTCTGATTCTTAAGGATATAGCCTATGAAATTGAACTTTCATAGCGCCTAAATGCGACGTCGGATCATTCTATTTCAAAAACAATCCTATCTAAAAATGTACGCAGAACTCGATTCTGGTACTTTTTAAAAATTTTCATTAGAATTTTTCTCTGTAGAGCGTTTTGAAATCTTACGATCGCGATTTCTCGAAATATTTACATTAAATCGCTAAAACTAAACCGATGACTGCATTAGCAAAATGCTAAACTAGAATATTGTGGCTGAAAAATTCTCAAACTCGGCCAAATTTTCATTCTAGTGTTTTCCTCTTTCTTGCTCCTGTTTTTCTTCCATGCGCGCTTTTTTGAGTCCAACCAATCAGAGCGCTCTTTCAAAGGCGCGCACTCTCTCGGGAAAGAGGAGTCGAGAGATTAAGCACACCGCGCAGCGCTTTTTACACTATTCACGCGCCGAGGAAGCCTCATGGAAATGGCTCTAAAATCGGTTTTTGTCGAGATAAGAGAAAACCAAAGCCACAATATTGTAGATAAGGGTCTAGATTACTTTTCTATCAAAAAAACTCGACCGATTTAATGTAAATATTTCGAGAAATCGCGATCGTAAGATTTCAAAACGCTCTACAGAGAAAAATTCTAATGAAAATTTTTAAAAAGTACCAGAATCGAGTTCTGCGTACATTTTAAGATAGGATTGTTTTTGAAATAGAATGATCCGACGTCGCATTTAGGCGCTATGAAAGTTCAATTTCATAGGCTATATCCTTAAATCAATACCCGATTCAAATTCTTTTGGACCTTTCGAAAGGAGAATTTAAATTCTTTTAAATAATTTAATTGGTGAAATTTTAATTAATTATTTTTCGAAAAATAATCAAATTTAAAATTTCAATTTTCCATTTTTGTTTGAGCCAAAACTGGGCCGGCAACCTGTGTAGAAACCTGACTCAGGGCCCCGAAAGATCTTTACTAAAAAGCCGCAATCCGGCTTTTTATAAACAAAGCCGCAAAGCGGCTTCGCCAGAATTTAAAAGTTTGATTAAGATTTTTATCAAGGCTCTTTCGGAACCCTGACTCAGGTTCCTACGCAGGTTGCCGACCCTTAAAAATGGGAAATAAAAAGTTTCGCCAATAGAAGCATATTTTCCTTTTGATCGGAAAAAGCTACTGTTTAGTTGAAACTCGGTAAATAAAGCTGGCTTTTTCTTTCAATTTTTTCGCGGAAGAGTGATTAAATTATAGCTCGAGGCGCTTGAGCGAGCAAAAATCGCTGATCCTTGCAATTTTCTATTATTTTTCCTCAACTAAAACGCACTCGAAATAACAAGTCATTACTGTAGCAATAACAGTCTCTGTGTCGTTCAATTTTAAATATTCTCGTTTCGGGGAGCTTTATTTTTTAATTTTGTTTTACATGAAATAAATGTAAATTATCTAAAGCAAGCTATTCTTAATATTAACTTTTTAGCGACTGTAATTGATTATTATTGTTATTATTTCTAAGAATTTTTCTGAAGAAAAAATACTGTATTATTTTTATGAATAAAATTGTTTTCTTTTAATAACTTAAAAGAACTTGAATCAATGAAATTCGCTAAAAATTTAAAGATAGAATAGCTGATCTTTACTTTTTATTGTTTATTTAGAATTTTTACTTCCAAATACGGAAAAAACCAAATCGCGCAATTTTGAGACTTGCTATTTTGACGATTATTCATTTATTTTGCTCGCTGTCTAAAATAACTGATCTGTTCAGTCGGAGGCAATGAGTCAGCAGCAGCAGGAGTATGAAGAGGAGCCGATTATGGAGGAGGAGGATGGAAACACCACCACCGTCCAGTTCATCGCCGTCGCTCCGGAAGAGCACGAAAGAATGGTCCGAGAAGGAGAACTGCCAGAGACGATCCAGGGAGCGGACGTTCAAATGACTATAGGCGGAACTGAGGTGACTAATTGAATAATAAAATGAGCATTCTAACTTGTATTACAGGCACGGCCAGTGCGGCTAATCGCGGTGGACAGCAACGGCATCCCGGTGACGGATCCGACGATTCTGCAAGCAGCCGCCGAGCAGGCCGGAATCATGTTCGTTTCAAAAGACGAAAACGACCACGAAAATCAAATTTCCATCGACGAAGCCATGCAGGTAAATTTCTTCTTGATTTTCAGACTTTGAATTATTTTCTTCTTCTGAAAAAAAGGTGTTGAGCGCGACCTCTAGGCTTGTCCCTGGCGCCACCATCTTCGCGCTCGCACTTTGCTCTCTTGACGGAGCAAATACCGCAGTGAAACTTGTTTTCTTAATTTTAAGAAGGGACACCCTTAAAATACGATATTTTGAAGCTCTTGTGAATATACTTAATCTGTATCCCCTCTGATATAAGTAACCACTAAGTGACTATTTATCAATAACAAACACGTCTATTTTCCAGTAGATTTTTCCTGAAGAGTTAACATAATCAAAATGGGGCCACCCTTATTTATCCTTTAACTTCCTGCGTGTGTCCCCTTGTTCATCCTTCGGCCACGTAGCCTTTCTTTTATGAAAAATCTAGAAATTTAGCGGCGGGTAGATTCTATCATTCACAGGTAAAGCTATGTGGCTGAAGGATGAACAAGGGTACATATGCAGGAAATAAAAGGATGAACGAGGGCTTACGTAATTTTAATTTCTTTTATCCCTATTTTGCAGCGAAACTAAAATTTTGAACTTGACTCAGCGAGCCAGTGAGGAGGGATTAATAAGTAAACAAAATTGTTCAGCTGCGAAACGAGGAAAACCAACAGGTGCCTGGCTACGGGGATCAGCAGCCCGCGGATCCGTACGACTACCAGGCTGAGCCGGAGTATCACGACGCAGATAAGGGCGTCCCTCTGCGAAATTACACCAACCAAGACGTTGTCTACGAAGAGACGACGGATAATGGAGGAATTAAGCAGCAAGAAAATATTTATGACTACCAAGGTCAGTTTTCTTTTTAGAGATTTTACGTGGTGACACCGTTAGTTTTCTGCGGGAAATAAAGTGAAGGTACAAGATAGGGGTCTAAGCCTTACTTTTAGCAGAAAATGAAGGGTGTCATCACAATATGTCTTTGTAAAAATGATTATTTTCTACGATATTTAACGAAGTGACACCCTTATTTTCTGCTATAGAGTGTTGAGGCCGTATCTAATGCCTTAGCTTTAATTTTAGCAGAAAATATAAGGATGTCACTACGCTAGTTGAAATGAAAATTTAAAGAAAGTAGCTCTTTCGAGTTTACTTAGGAAGAAAAATGAGAAAGAGTTCACTTCTCCCAGGAGAATTGACGTTGAAAGTTGAAAAGAACGCAAAAATAAAAGGATTGATTTAGACGTGCCGATCCAGAACGAGCCCAAGATCGAAAATCACTACAAAAAGTCGCAGCAAACTACGCAAAGGACGAAGTATCCTGGAACGATTCAGGTCGGCGCCAACGGCGAAAAACGCAAAATCTACCAGTGCTCAGAATGCGCCTTCTATTCCCACAGGTACTTCTGGTTTCGTAATAACTAATTGCTGAAATTCTAATTTCAGACATTCCAATTTGATACGCCACATGAAGATACACACCGATGAAAGACCCTACAAATGTCATTTATGGTAAGTCCTCCCAGGATAAAAGATTGACAAAGGAGGCGCTACATTCTGTGATTCCTCGAAAATAAGACAGTGACACCCTTATTTTCAGGCGAGGTTAGGGTTAGTGTCAATCTACCAAATCTACAATTATTCACTAGTTCAGGCTAAATTGACAATAGCTCTACCACTGCCTCAAATTAAGGGCTTTACTCGGTTAATTTCTGATATATTTCGATTTCTAACCCGACCATTTTCTAGCGCGCGCGCTTCCGTACAAACACGTTGCTGCGGAATCACATCAACACGCATTTAGGGGTCAAGCCTTACAAGGTAAACACACTTCAACTTCTAGTGCTCATTGAATATCTTTCTAGTGCCCAGAGGCGAACTGCGAGATGGCCTTTGTAACATCTGGTGAATTGACGAGACACAGGCGGTACAAACACACCCACGAAAAACCGTTTAAATGCACTTTGTGCGAATACGCTTCTGTCGAAATTTCAAAACTTCGTCGCCATTTTAGGTCAGTCCAAAACTTCATAATTATTTTTATTAGAAAATATCGTTAATTAAAAACTAACATAATAAGAATAAGTAGTCTTCAAAGGGCGCCAGGTTCGAATCCTGATGATGACAACTTTTTCTTGATAAAATAAAGATTGGGAGCCATGAAAACTTAAAATATATAAAGTCAAAGAGAACTCCCTTGTATAAAAATATTTAGATCTCACACGGGCGAGCGGCCTTTTAGCTGCGACATCTGCGGCAAAGCGTTTGCAGACAGCTTCCATCTCAAGCGACACAAGTTCTCGCACACGGGCGAAAAGCCTTACGAGTGTCCGCACTGCAAGGCGAGATTTACACAGCACGGCAGTCTGAAAATGCACGTCATGCAGCAGCACACGAAGACCGCTCCAAAGTTCGAATGTAAGAAACGAAAAAATATTCGTTGTTGATTTCAATTTCGCGATTTTAGGCGAAATTTGCCACACGATGTTGGGGCGAAAGTCCGACTTGAATGTTCACTTGCGCAAACAACATTCATATCAAGAGGTAATGCCGCCGTTGCTGTTTTTTGTTTTTATCGCTGTTTTTGTTTAGATTCCCATGCAATGTCGCTACTGCGAAGAGGTCTTCCACGACAGATGGTCGCTCATGCAGCATCAAAAGACGCACCGCTCCGGTCGCTACAGAATCGACGTAAAATCGAACACGAACTTTCTAGCGCTAAAAATACATTTTTCAGGAGGACGGAAACCAAATCTTCGATCCAGATTACGACTCCGAAATGGACGACATGGAAAGCAGTCATTCCCAGGGCGGTCTAGTCTACACGGTCAGTCACATAAAAGAAGGGTTGAAAAAGGGGTTTTCAAACGTGCTGGTGAAAAAGAAAGGTGCAGGCAGTGGTGGTGGTGCCACACCAGCGCCACCAGCCAAGCTCTCTCTCCAGCACGTTTAAATCTCGCCACGTTCTCATTCTAATGAGCAAATGCTGAAAAATTTTGGGCTCGCTTAGATATTTTTGTTTTTCAGGAGGACGGTCACGTGATCGGGCAGAACGGTTCGCCGGTAATGGTCCAGCGCGTGCAACACCTGGACGGGCAGCAAGGAGTGCCCATTGAAGAGCATCAAGGGCAAATGGCGGAGCACGAAATGCACCAAGTCGACCCGCACCAAATGGAGCAGCACCCCGGCCAGCACCAAGAGCAGCAGCAAATGCACCACCACCAACAGCGGCAAGTGCATCCAGGCGATGCAAAGTCCGAACGCTTTGAGCAAGAGCAACAGCATGATCCCTTTGCTTTTGACGACGGTAAGAGACAAGGACTTTTTCATAAAGATTCGCATTTTGAAATCGCTTTTCAAAGTGACACCCTTAAATTTTCTTTCCAAAGTCAAGTCTAGCCAGTGAAAAAGGGTCTTAACCTTTCTCGGAGCAGAAAATATAAGGGCTTCACTCTGATTAGTCTACTAAAGAGAACCTAAAAAGCAATTATTATTATCATTCATCTAAGCGATGTTTTCAGACCAAAATATGGGCAATGGAGAATACATGCACGCTCCTCAAATGGGCCAGTCGATGGCGCAACCGGTGGAATGAGTTAATTCAAAATTAATGATTCTCTCGAAAGCGACCCTGTTCTTTAACGAACCCAATTAACTTCCATTCTTATTATTGTAAATGTTTATTTTGAACCTTCCTTGAGTAGGATGCATTTATTTTTATATATTCAAAATTTCAAAACTGAAAAATGAACTGAATCAACCCAACTTCCCCGATTTCCCTCAACTCCCCATTGACCTTTTTCTTATTCTTCTTATTCCCAACTTGTTCCAACTCGAACTCGTGCATTTTCCAAAAACACGAGTTCTGCATTTAAAATTGCAATTATCAAATAATCGCTTGTATCCTTCTCTTACTTCTCTCTTTATTTCTTATTCGGCTATTATTAAAGTTAATCCATTTAAAAGAAAGCTCCCTGTTTCATAATTTTAAGCCGAGAATGTCTGGTTTTGAATCCATCCTTTCCTCACCCGCTAAAAGCGTGAAAAGGTGCTGCTTGGAATTCAAGTTTAAAACCTCTTACTCAGAAAGTGCCACTGCCAAAATCATCAAAAAGTATTAAGAAAAATAAAATGATCTTCTTCAACAAATACACAATTATTAACATGCTTATTTCTCGTCTCATTTCTTTGCATAACTTTTTAAATTAGCATTTTGAAAAAGGATTAAACCAGGGGAAACCCTTAGCAAGCTCTCCAGTACAGAAAGCTAACAAGTGTTATTTTGCTCGATTTGAATTTGGTCTCGGCTTGGCAACCTGTGTAGAAACCTGAGTCAGGGTTCAGAACATAAGTGAGAACTCTTTCTTTCAGGACCCTGACTCAGGTTTCTACACAGGTTCCTTAGTTCAGAAATAAAGCTTATTTTATTCGGGAAAAATCAAGGTCCTTGATATGGACCCCCGATTAAACGTGATGATTGGGTGCGTGTTCGTGACTGTATGTTTGCATTACACAGTGGATAGAATTGGGAAAGAAAGAATTTAGAATTTGAGTTTTGTGGAAAGATCGTAAATCGGAGAAAATGCAGAGTCGGGCTGAAAAAACTCATGGTGAGAAAGAAGCGCCTACGCTGAGCAAAGACTCTTTTCAAAAGAGGAAGAAAAAAAAGGAAGAATCTTCTTTTCCAGCGAGAAATAATGAAGCCAGAGAGTATTTCTTGACACCTGATTATTTTAACTTTTCCGTGTTTTCTTGGATTTTGTTTTTATTTGAAAAATGAGCGATTTGAATTTCACTACTTCTGTAACAGGAATGGGTAGTAGAGTTATATGTTGAAGTTCGACCCTAAGTAATCGCGTTTATCTAAAGATGGTCGACCATTTTATTCAAACTTTCTTGGAAAACTAGATGATTAAATAGGATAGTTTTCGATGGGAATCCTATCAATGTTATTTTAGGGGCTAGCCATAGAAAATACCGATTTTCTAACAGGCTATTCTCGGCCACTTTAAATAGTGACTCTCTTATTTAATTTAACCAAAAGAAAGTTTCTTTATTAAGATCCTAGCTAAGCATAAATTATAAAAATAATAAGTAAGTACCCAATAAATCAGACAGCAGCGATGTGCCTTCTTGGTACGACTGGGTTAACCCGATGAAGGACTGGTCGGAATGGGCCAAGTTCTACATCGTGACGTTCGTTTCCGGCTTGTGGATCATCTACCTGACTTTCTACAACTCGCGCCTCTTCGGATGGTTCATTTCAAAGGTGAGAGCTTCTTTTCAAGTTTACTGCCTTCGCACTTTTTTATGGCGAAGTAAAGACCTTTTCTTCGATTTCGTTTCGGAGGAATTTCGAACTGATTCGCTTTTTTAGTACTTCGCCTTCAAAGGACAGTCCATTTCTTTCGGCAGTTTCTCAATCAACCTCTTGGGCGGGAAAATCATGTTTCGCAATTTACGATACGGCACTTCCGATTATACAGTCACGGTCAACGATGGCTTCTTGATATTTCGTTGGTGGTTGCCTCATCCCATTATAGGTTTTCAAATTTTTCTTTTCATTTACGACTTGAGTCTAAAATTGTCTATGAATGCCTAAAGATGTCTAAAAAGTCTCTTAAGATGTTCGTAGATATCTAAAAATGTCTCGAAATGTCTAAATAAATTCTTCATCACCGATTTCATAAGCAAAAACGTAAAATTTAGCGCCTGAAACGAGCCAAAACGTCAAGGAAAAAGGACGCATCCGACGAAACAAGAAGACTTCTCGAGTTTACATTCAACTCAGCGGCTGCGACTGGAATTACTTCTACAATGAATCGGTTCACGGGGAGAAGCGGGATAATTCGAATCCTGAGCAGGCAGTTTCGAAGTGGTGGGATGAAATTTACGACTTGTGTCCCTACTTTGAAATCAACGTTCTCTACGGCCGAATCATCATGGGAAACAAAACGCTGCCGTACTCGATCGTCTGCTCTTTGTCGGAAGGAATGTTCCAGTACCGAAAACCGGACAAGAAACTGCGCCAGAGCTTCGAAGGCGACGCCCGTAATTTCGAAGTGATGTTCGTCCCTTCCAGTGGCTATGAAGGACCAGACAAGGATGACAAGCCGATTCCCGGGACTGGCCAGCGCGTGTTTTCTGATCAAAGCGATCACCAACATCGTAACTCGTATCGCGAAAGAGGCGTTTACTCGGTCTGCGTCTCTCGAAAAGCCTCAGTGAATTACTACTGGGACTTGTTGCCCAGCGAAGTGCATTCGGATTCGCACCCGCTCGTCTCCGAAGACCCAGAATGGGGTGTTTCGCTGCAGCTCGCCAACAACTCGACAATCAATTGGGGTCCTTGGTGCGATCGCCAGCGCGAGAAAATCTGGCGTTTTTTCTTTCCAATTGAGAAAAAAGAGTGGCAGCCACCAACGAGCCCTTCTCTTCGCCAATTTCGTTTCGACTTCGAGTTCTCCACGCGGCTGGACAAGCGGCAGAAAGCCTCAAAAGCAAAAAACTTGACCAACAAGCTGAATCTGGAATTCCTCGGCAGCGATGGCCACACAAAGCAATTACAAGTGCAAGCAGGAAGTGGAAGTTCTATGAGCTCGATTTCGCCTTATTTTCCAAAAGAAGTTGATGAGAGTGGAATGCAGTTCCACATGCCTGTAAAGGGAAGAGGGTAGACATTATTGGCATTGCCATTTTCTTCAAGATTTAACATAGTCACGTCCTTATTTTTAATAATCAGAATATAGCTCAATCATTAATCTATATTCCCTTGATGTGTATCCCCTTTGAAGATCCATCTGGTGGACGCAAAGATCACTCTTCAATCAGAGCACTTGAAACGCTTCGTCCACGCCAAAGAACTGTCCGTAACGCTTGATACGCTGACCCCGACGTTTTTCAACCGTCACCAAATTTGGTCCTTCGAAGTCAACGTCCGCGAGAGCTCGTTGCTCTTTGTCTGGCCCATCAAGGAGTTCATGACCGAATTCATCAACGACTGGAGTCCTGATCAACCGCTCGATATTGTCCACTACGTTCCAGTCACCTACGAATTCAAAATTCGATTCCACCATCTCGAAGTGCTCCTTCCAGTCAACGAATACAACTACGTCGACTGCCAGAATCCTGTTCCGGAGAGTGCAAATAGCACATGTAAGAATAGCTTACTCGCGATCGCTGTTCCAGAACTCGACGTTGACTTCAGGAATGGGTTCTCCTTTAGGCATATTCTTAGAGACTTTTGCAGTCGTTCTTGCTAGCTTGACTTTATTCTTGTTGATGAAAAAGCTAAAACCCTTTGAACAGTCTTCCGTTCGACACTTTCGCACCAGCCAGCGTAGAAATCGTATTTAACATCGTGACACGACACGGGTCTATTGCGATTTTCGTCCCTCCCTGTGCTCCCGCGCATCACATTCAAAAAGCATCGCACAAGGCTCAAGAAAGTTTCCAACGCTCTTTGGGCCAGAATCGCGTGCTCGTCTACGACGCCGATTACTGGCGCGAAATTACAAAGGCGGAAAATGGCTTCGTCGAACTCGGTTCCTTCAACAAGCTGAATTTAACCTTCGAGTACAAATGGAACTGCGACTACATGCCCCATCCCAAGTATAGAAAGAAGGTCAAGGTCCAGTACGATCCGATGCTGCTCGAAGCTGACTTCCTTAGAGCGAAAATACTCGCCGAGCAAATTGAACCCGTCGCGTTTGGAACGCTCATTCCAGTCCTGCTCAATGTTAAAGAAAACGTCCTCGGTTTCTGGGATCAAGTGACGCCTTTCGTCAAGGAGTCTAGTAACGAATGCGAGATCGTTGAAATCAACACCAATACGGTAACAGACTTCAAGCAGAACGAGAAGGATTGGATCCGTCCCTTCCGTGCCTTTTCCGTCGTCGTCGAAGTCGAACTACGGGATTTAACTGCGCGTCTGCCTCTGCCACCAAACTCGAGTCTTCAAAACGGCGGTCCTTTGGTGAAACTCGACTTTTTGATCTTTGAGCTTGACAAGCACTACACCAGCACACGGATGCAACTGACCCTGTCAGAAATCGAAGTAACTTTCGGCCACAAATATGCGGATCTCCACCTCTCGGGCTTGCAATATCGAGGGAGCGCGTTTTTCTCCGCTGAAGGATTGCCTCTCACTGCGCCGACTTTGGAATACGCGTGGATGCAAGAAATTGAAATCGGAAAACTCTCCGGAGAGCTTAAAATCGAAGACGTCGTGAATTTGGGACTGTGGCTCGATCAAGTGATTCTCTGCGTTGCGGACAAGGCGTATGAGCTCAAGGCACCCTATGAACTGAAAATCGGCGATGAAATGAAATACGAAAAGACAAAAGTCTCCTGGCTCGGGCTCGACGTAACAGCCGTCTGCAAAAGTGCCAAAGTAAATGCCTCCGTTGCTAAGTCGTCCGTTTCGATCAACAATCTTCGCTGCGACGATCGTGGCGGCTTTGTCTGCGCAAACTTGGGTGTCATTTCAGTCCAAGTGGCCCTTTGCTACGAGAATCAGTGGCTGCAAGCAGGACTGCTTCAGCTTCCCAAGTCAGAAATCGCCGTCGAACTGGGCATTGTGGAAAGTGAGCTGCACGAACAAGACACGTGGCTGAGAAAACACGACCGGAAGAGAAAACGCTTGGATTTCCTCTGGGACAGTAATTCCAGAGAAGCGGTTTATCGAACATCGCTAAAAGACTCGTGGGGTTGTTCCTGGTTCGATCCTGATGAAAACTCGCCAGCAGAAGTGATGCTCGACGGTGTCGTCCAGCGTGGAAAGAGCTTGATCCAAGACACGGTTTTGGTCGATCTGGAGCAGAAGTTCCAAAAGCGCCCGTTCTGCAGCCGCCTGACAGCTACTTCTATCGCGCAGAGCACTGGAAGCATCAGCCCCGATGGGCCTTTTGCTCGCTCGTCTTTCCGAAGCTCGTACGGGCTCCTTCAGCCGACTGAATCGGGCGACTCCACGAAGCTCAAGTCGAACTCAATCTTCGGCGGAACCGGACGAATGAGCTCAAAAAGTTCTCGCGATGGCTCGCTGGATCGAGCAAGAGCGGAATCCGCTTCTCGCCTTCCTGGAGGGATTCTAAAAGCACGAACACCGATCAGTCAAGATGGCATTTATGGGCAACCCGGATTGATTTCGAATGAAATGAGTCTCAAGGAAAACGCAGAATCGACAAGCGCTCTGGATAAAATCTCAGTCAAGAGCTTCAAAAGTGCTAAAACTACGGCCAGCTCCGTCACTGAAGGATTTCATTCTGCCTTGAGCTCGAGCTTCGGCTCAAGCGATACCATCGATCAGTTCTACTCGGCAGATGAAGGGGAAGACGGGGAAGAAGATGATGTCGAAACTGGAGAGACTACGATGGAGAATCAACTGTTGAACAAACAGCACACTTCGTTGTCTCCACATTCGCACTCGAGAAACACCAGTTTCAACGAGAGCATTATCTCCAACAGGACCCTAGAACGGAATGACTCGCGAGGCTCCCGCCGCTCCCGCTCAAAGCGAATGTCAAAAGAATCAAGCCAGGGCAGTTCACGAGTCAGCCAACATCGCCTCAGAACAGAATCAAGAAGCTCCAGAGCTTCTATTAAAAATGAATCGCGAACTCGTCAACGTCCTTCTAATCTTCCTCTTCACACGATTGCGTCTCCGATTCAAGCGGATGAGATCGATCATGAAATGTATGACAAAGTGCTGCCGATTTTGGACGAGGATATGACGATCAAAGAGTGTAGCAATCGAGTCTGCAGCGGAATAGTGATCAGAGATGCAAAACGCGGCGTAGACTTTGAGCCAGAATCTCCGCGCGTTTCTCAGAAACAATCCGTCACGGACAGGAACGCAACGAAGCTCAATGTAACTCTCAATTCCGTGGAGAACACCTCAGCTGTGGACGTCTTTGCGACGCCGCTTTGCTTGGCCGCAGTTCGCCATGCCCTAGAAGACATCGAATCGGTCGTTCAGCGACTTCACTATTCAACGATTACGTCGATTCTAATGGCCAAGGTCGTCGACGAACACATTAAGAACGACGATGAGGATATTACGGAGGAACGAAAGAGCCCCCTTCAACTCAACTTCAAAATTCAAAACATCAAAATCGGTCTCTGCCAAGTGGCCCAAAACATCAACGAAAGCGGCACTTCGTTTCAGAAGCCGATGCCGTGTGCCACACTTCTCGTCGCGTGGATGGAGCAAGTCGACGTTTCCGCCAATTTGAAGCAAGAAAACAAAAACATCATCGCTTCAGCCTCCTTCAGAAGACTTCACTTGCAGCTGCGAGCAAACTCTATTGACGGGCAGGAACCGGAAAGAACAACGGTCGTTTGCCTCCAAGAAACATCGCAGAGATCGCCAAAGTCCGTCTCCGTCGCCTTCAAATGCGAAAACGATTGGGGATGGATCATGGCAGAAGCAGGCATCGACGGGATCAAACTAAAAGGAGAAAGGCTTATTTCAAAAGCGCAGATGAACATGAACATCGAAAAGATCTGGTTCTTGGCAGCTGCTCCGTCGAGTCTCTCGCGTGCCACGCGCCAGTGGAGTCTTCTATCGACCGCTTCTTATGGGGCCTCGAGCTGGGTAGAACGCTTGGAAGATATTTCGAACGAAATCGCGCACATCAGAGAAGACGTCATAAACCAACGATGCAAGGTGATTGTTGCTCCGCTAGCGCACCGAGTTGCCATGACGGAGAAAACGGACAAAGAAAGTCTCTTCAACTTCAACATCCGAAAACTGATCGACAACATTAACGATCTCTCCGTCACCGGCGGCGGGACACTACCCCTGACGAGAACTGCCAAAGCGTTGCGGAAGAACGTAGCCTTCTGCGCTGCGGCCTCGAACGTCTATCTACTCTCGTTGCCAGAATTCGTGAAAGAGATCTTCCGCGACGGGTCAGACGAGGCTGAGTACTTCCTGGAACCGAATCAACCGACTACGAGCTATACCAACTTGAAAATCCCGAAGTCCCAAACTCTCAAACGAGCCCTTCTCATCGTCTGTCAAAAGTGGCAAAAGGAGATGGAAAGCTACGGAAAGGAGAAACACTGGCCCGAGTACACGGACAATATGTTTGATGTTCTCAGAATGCCGAAACTGCCAGTAGACAATATTCACACCGAAGCATCGCGGAGACCGACCAAGGTGCAAACATTTAATCACAACTACTCGTTGCCCCGAGAAGGGGTCGAGTCCATCATCAAAATGAAGTCGATTCTCGATTACTGCCATGTACCAGTTGACAACGATCCGGAAACATTCACCAGTCTTTATAAAGAAGAAATAAGCCAGTGCAAGATCAATGCCAATTTGTCCAGTTTCCAGGTCTTTATCAAAGAAACCGAAAAGCGCCGAACGCGGCGGGTGCGTGCCTTTGCGCTCGAAAACCAACCGGTGCTCAAGCTCGACCAAATCAAAGTCAACGGCTGCCTGGACATTCCCAACACGGAACTCGAAAAGCTGCAAAATGTCCCCCCAAAGGTTTCTGTTTCGCTTGATATTTCCGAAATTTCGCAGCGGTTGGACATGAGCCTCGTCCGTTTAATCGTTCAAGTGAACGGAGTCGTGGACAATATCGCCCGGGCGAAGATGGACCATCGCATTGGACGAATGGAAGAAAGATGTAACGATGAGCATTTGAATTATCCGAGCTCGCTTTGCTCATCCGAAGACTCAATCGACATCCACCAGGAAATCAGCCACCAAGAGCAGCTCAACGACGGTGAATTGTCGAGCAGAGACGAAGATCCAGTCTGGCTGGTGTTCGTTTACAACGATGGATTGAACGTAGCAACTCAAGAAAGCACTGTAGAAACGATGGAGATCGAAAACGAAACTCCCATTTCTCGCCTCGCCCGATCAACAGTGATTCAAGCAACGGAACTTCACCGCCCTGGTGGTAAATTCCACTCAGATAGCTCAGCTTCCAATTTGGAGACGGAGACGACTCTCAGGGTGGAAGTTTCGTTTTCAATTCGCACGACGCGTCTCTCCGCCGATGTTGGTGGATTGAGTCTATCGATTCAGCTCAACGCGCTCGACGGTTCCGTCAATCTCGACCAGCTGAGATACGTTCAAGAAGTGACCTTCGACGCGGATAATCGGGTCCAACCACTGCGCATTTCTCCGAATCTCGCATCGCTCAAACTTTCAGTAAAAGTGAAACTAAAGTCGATCAACATCGATTTCATCGAAGCACAAAGTACTCAAGCCGTGCTCCAAGTTACTGTTGATCGGTCGTTATTCAACGCGCATCCAAACACGCGCGAAAGTCAGAAGGTGATCGACCTGATCGCTGAAATCGGAAAAGTGAATCTGAAACTGCCCCTTCGTGTCCAAGAACTTCATCATATCTTTTCAAGGACCTCACAGAAGCTGTTTCACCAATTGAAAGACTTTGAAAGCTACCAGCCTGGCATCATCATCGACACGCCGGATTTCGATGCTCCTAAGCTCCCTCCAGCAGGATTGCCAGTTACGGACGGACAACTCAGTCCTCAACTCGGGTCGGAGAGCTCAAAAAGCTCGCGATCCTCCACGATGCCGTTGATCTTCAAGGTCGTCTTCAAAGGCTTTTTCATGAAAATCAATCTGCTACAGTCGGTCACTGCTAATTACGAAGTCGGCCCAATAACGTCGAATGGTGAATGGAATCCTAGTTCTGTAAAGACAACTCTCGGCTCTAGCCAAAAAGTCCTGATGACCTCCAGCTTGAAAGTAACAGAACACAAGATCAGCATTTTGGGCGAATTTCGAACGGCCGATCACGAAGAAAAGATCTCGCAAAAGATCGTCTTCCCCTCGATCGAGGTCGATCTAGACCTGAAAAAGGATGGGGCCGAGCTACTTAGCGGGCGCTGCGAAATCGAAAAATTCCAACAGGATTTGACGACGGATTTGCTAAACATTCTTCTCTCCTGCGTTGAAGAGTTGAAGTCGGAAGTGACTGATATTCTCAACAAGTTGAAAACAGAGGAGCCGTTCCCTGCTCTTGGATTTCAAACAGCTGCAACTTCTGCATCGACGCCTAAAGAACTGACGCCCGTGACACCGATGAAATACTCCTTCAAAATCCAGATGAAAGGAATAAACGTCGAGGCTTCTACACCAACCGGGAACATTGTCAAGCTCGATGTACCTGTAATAAACTCATTTATCGCAAACTTCGAGGATGAAGGAACCAAGTCGCCAGTTACCTACAACTTCCTTACTTCCCAGGCCGACAAAATCATCATCAACGGCGACGTGGAGCTCAAACTAGCCCTAATTTGCCAGGAAAAGAAGATGGCTTCCTTCGACGCGCGAGTGAACATTCACAACACGAACGAAAGCGCAGAAGATGTGCTCCTCGTGACGCTCAAGAGCCCGGTCGTCTTTATCCATGCAAATGCGATCGATCGCGCCATTCTAGTCTATTTGAACTATCGCTCGTCCTATAACGTCTGGAAGGAAGAAATTGAAAAGGCTCAAGGTCAAAGTGGCATTTCCGCGATGCGAAATCGTGGTGTTCAGGGACAGATTGATCCGGCTCAAGGGGGCAACCCTCTTCACCCGACAAAAGGAGGAAGCAGCAAAAACACGCCCCAGGAGCCTTCGAAACTCTTCATTAACTTGACAGTTAACGACTTTAAAGTGAAAATGCCGCTAATCGACATGAAACATGAAGTGACACGGTCAAGCCACGTCCTCGTCCTCACCATTTCTCACGTAAATGTTTGCGGAACTGTCGGCGATTTGTCCGCTTTCAAGGGCAAATTCACAGGTTTTGAGTTGCTCTTCGATAGGGAAGGACAACCACGTGAACTAAAGATGAATTGCTGTGAAGTGAAAGAAGGCGGAATCGAAATCGTTTCGGGCACGGAGCACTCGGATTCGAATTTGTCATCGAATTCGAGCGTTACCGGAGTTTGGAATTTAATGATCAGTTGGAACATGATGGGATTGGATGGCAAGTTCGACACTCAAATCGGAACGCTCTTCTCTCGCCTGGGAAAAACGCTGACAACGTTTTCCGACGAAGCAGCAGTTTCAGAAGGATCGAAAGCGCGACTTAAAGAACTGCGGGATAAGTACAACACTGGAACGAAGACATTGGAGGATTTGAAGCAACTCGGCGCGACGAAAAGCATCATCAGAGACGAGGAAGAAGCGCTGAGGGAGATCGAGAAGGAATATAAGAAAGAGTACATTCTACTCAAGCGGCGACCAGAGCCAGAAAATGGCGGAAATGGTCAAAATCAAGGAAAAACTCAAGGAGGCAATTCAAGCAACAGTGGCGAGGGAGAAATCGAGCTGATTTTGAATGCGACGATCACGATCAAAACAGGAAAACTGGAATGCTATCCAGTCGACGTCTTGGGAGGTGTCCCAGGTGGAAGCTCCAAGAAACTCGATCACTTTGCGCTCGAAAGCGAGCGAAAGCGAAATTCGGCGATGAACTCGACTGACTCTAGCGTTACAACTTTTCTTCTTCCTGCATTGGACGTCGATTTGAACTACATGTCGCATGGAAGCGGGGAAACTCATCGCCGCGCGAAGCTTTACTCAAACGTCGTTATCGGCTCCATGCCCAAAGAGATGAGCATTTCGCCCTTGTTCCTCGAATATCTCAGTCAAACTTTAGACATTCTGGACGAGAACGAAGTCTACACTGGCAAGGAGCCGGAAGACCCGGATCAAATCGATCTACGAAGCGGCGCCGATCACAACTTCGAGCAAAGTTCAGTCCAGTCTTTCCCCGTCGACGTCGTCGTCCACGCCAAAGTGAAGCCCTCGACCGTCCTGTTCTCTTGTCAACCTAAAGCAAAGGTCGAGTGCACGCTCCGAGTACCGCTGACAAACATGGTCTTCTCGTCAGCGCCGTCGGCTGACGCGAAGAAGTCCGGATTGAATTTGGCGATTCAACTGTCTGATTTCGCTCTCCGTGTGAACCATCCTTACGAAAACTCGTCAAAAGGATGTTTCCACTTGAATTTCGAAGGCATTTCAATCAACATTTTGAGACAGCACGTCTCCGAAAAGCTCCTCACAATTTCTGTCATCTCCGACATTGGCCAGGCAAATATCAACTACGACATGAGACGTCTGTCAGAAATCCTCGGCTTTCCAAAAGCCTGGTACAACAGATCCATCGCGAGACGCCTTTTCCTCGGTGAAAGTAGCCGCGCAAAGCCGACAAACGAAGCTGCTCCCGTCCAGCCGAATCATAACAACGAAAACTGGGAAACTGCAGTCAGGGTTTCCACAGTTCTCCGAGAGCTACGAGTCGATATGAACATCGGAAACGTTCTCGGCAAGACGGTTTGGGTGACGGAGCAGCTCGCATATCATGGTGCTTTTGACATGAGAAGCAGTAGAAAAAATGACATCAAGAATTTGGTTTCTCTTGCAAAGACGAAGATCGAGTCGCGATCAGGACTCCTAGGAGGAGTGATTTCGATGAGTGGATTTAATGGTGCTTGCTTGTGGCGAGAACGAAGCACTCAAGATTCAGCTCATGAAATGAAGGTAAATCTTTGTCAACTCTTTATGATTTCGGTTAGGGGTAAGGATTTGGGTTAGGGTTGGAAGAAGGCCAGATTTTACTGATAGCCCCCTTGACTAGCTTCGAAAAATAATCGTATTCTCTTTAGGTCTCGCTGGATGAAGTGAGCCTGCGATTGGAATACCACTCGACAGTAATTCTACTTTCGAAGCTGAGCGATGCACAACTGCTCGTCATCGACGAGAGCTTGTTGGACGAGCGTCCTCCGCGGGCGAAGGCGAACATCGACATGCGCTGGGGCGAGTTCGATCTTCTTCTTTGCAAGTCGACTTCGAAGAATCTCGTCCAAGGCGGGCGCAAAGTCAAGGACTTCGTCAAGCAGCAGATCAACACGGGCAGCGAGGCCTTCCGGAGCATGTTCGCTCACAGCTCAAATTACGAAGAAAAACGCCGCGGCCCTGTGGAAAAGTCGAACGACGACAAGTACCAGCGCCACTGGCCTCCGATCTTTAATCGCCACCCGGTTGCTTCATATCAGCTCGGCGGCGAGTCTCGCCTCCGCGGTCAGGAACTGTCAATTGTCTGCTTCGACGGGGATTTCCGATCAGCCGATCACTGGGTCGTCTTTTCCGTTCATTTGCCAGATATTTCTTTCTCCAGCGATGTTTACTCCGCGCCAGAAGATGATGCCCAAGATCGTCTTAATATTTTCATTTTCCAGGTAATTTTCAATTGCTTGCTTCTTTATTTCATAATTGCCATTTTCATTCTTGATGTTCAATTTCATTTTTAGACGTTCATTTTCAACCTTGGCCGTGCTATCGAACGCGTTCCCAACTTCGAAACCGACAAGCTCGGCGCCTTCGTGTTGCACGTTTCTCGCAACAAAGCCCGTCGCCCTGGTGCACAAGCCGACGTCCGCGACTGGATCAACTACTCCGTTCCTGGGATCAACGAGGCCGAGCCAGAAAAGAGTCGTGAAAACGTTCATGTCATTTTTGCTTTGCCGCAAACCGAATTGACGCTCAAAACGGAGCAGATTCAGCCACTGAAGCTCCCTGCTTTCCCGGAAGAATCAAAAGTCAGCTGTGTCTTTGTGGCTGAATTTCATGATCAACCGCTCAAGGTATTTAATATTTTTGCGACTATCATTTCAACTTTTTATTTCAGGTAACGATGAGCACAAACGAGATCATCTTTTTGACAAACTTCGTGAGGGAGTACATTCGAGAACACAAGTCCGTTCTTTCCAACGAAGGTAGTATTCTTTGCCTTTCTGTAATTATTGACAAACAATGAATTAGAGCTGGGAGATGGGGACGACGAGGAACTAGGAAATTCGACGGATCCGCGAGCGTACATGTGCAGGACGTGGAAGCTGGACCCGCTGACTCGCTTCATGTACAAACACACGGTGCTCGAGTGCCCAGGCGTAGACTCGATTATCAAGCAGCTAGGCTTCAAGCACGCTAAGGTACGTCAAATCAATCCTTTTGAAAACTCAACAATTGTTCAGCTGACAATTCCAAAATGGTTTCAACGCGGCTTGCTGGACAAACTAGACTCAACGCACGCGCTATTCACTGCCCAACTACTTGACGTTTATAGAAAAATCAAAAATCAAGCTAAACCCCAATTGCAATAAACTTCATTCTGCTTCAACAATTCTGAGATCAAAACTGTTCTAATAAATTTCATGTAAATTTCATTCAAAACCATTTTCTGTTTCTTTCCAAGAATTATTTTCGAGGAAAGAAGAATAAGAATTGTTTGAAATTTCAAATTTGCAGTTGGGAGAAGATTATGATTTATTCTGGACGAGCAAGACTATAGCAAGAATTTTAGGCACAAGAAAAGGGAATAACAAGAAGCAGAAAAGGAAGGAAGCAATCTTGGGTGTCGTTACGGAAGGGACTCTTTTTTTGTTTTTTGTCGAATTTTGCGATTTTTTCGGAGAAGTTTATCGTCGGTGAGAAGCCTTCTTGTCCGGCTTGGAAATATCTTTTCGGCAAGATGGACAGGAGGGATTGGTCTTGAGCCAACCGTCGATGCAGCGAGTATGGAAGCCGTGTCCGCAGGGAAGTGAGCGGACGCGCTGGCCAGTTGTGAAGCCTTCCAGGCAAATTACGCTTTTCATCGGTTTTTGAAAAAGTGGAAGCAAGAAAAAACTTGGAGAAAAAACCGTGTCAGGGTTCCGAGTCCGGCTTGGCCACCGTGTCCGTGATCGCTTTCTTGTCATGGAGGGTCTTGAATCCTCGAGGAGGAAGATGCCGCTCGTCCAAAAGCTCAGCTACGAGAACATCAAACTAACAGTAAGTAACTTGCTTGTACCTTTGGCGAGGGCGTCGTAAACGAACCACATCTTCTCTCGATCAAAAGCAACGGCAGAAAGGTTGAAAGGAGTTATTTTCTTCGGGGTTTTGTTTTGTCGGGAGCAAAAAGTTTACTTTTTAATTCCAGTCGCGTTCTACGGCCAGACCCACTGCGCGGCAGTTTAAGAGGACTCAGCCGAGACAGAGACCAAGACATCAAAAATACAAATGGTTGATAAAAATCATCCCCGGGTTTTTTACCAAAACAGGAATTTTCCGAATTGATTTCGTCTGAGAAGCCCAATCAATTCAATATCATAAGTACTATCAGTCGAAATTATATCAAATCATTCCGCTGTTGTTGTTTTTGTCTCCTTATTCTGTCTTCTGGGTTGAAAAAATGTCTCGACGACGTTGAATTCCTCAGCTGGGAAGAGATGCCAGCGCGGTAGATGGGAAGAGATTCCGAAAATTAACCTTTTTGGGCTATTTTTTTTATAAAAATTTATGATTTCTCCATTTTAAGCCTTAAAAATCACTAAAAATGAAGTAGATAAGAAAAATTAACCCGCTAAAAATTAAAAAACACTATGAAATTATGATAAACGCGGAAAGAAGGGGCCCTAGACGCATGTTTCCATAGTGACGAGTACGAATGTTGAGTTAAATATTCGAGATGAGTCTTTTTGGTGCAACATTTTCTAGCTCATCCCTTCCTTGTTGATTGTTTTTGTTACAAGGGAAGTAGTTGACCAAAGTGCTTCCGAGAGATGGGCGAAGAGATTGAGAATAATCCGTCGGAGCCGGAGCTCAATAACGTGAGTTTCAAGCTATTTTTCAACGTTTCCGGAAATTTTTGATCAAAAAGATTAAGAAAAACAATTTAATATTTTATTTTTTGAGAAAAAATTTTCCTCGAACGAACTTTTATGATAGTAAGATCGACTTCAGATCACAGAAGAAGACGCTGCCCCAGTCGAAGAGGAAGAACTGGTCGAAGAAGTGAACACTCAATCGGCCGAATACCTGGCTACTCTTCCCGACTCCTTCAAACAAAACACCCCCAAGAAAAACGCGCTCTCAAGCTCGCCGAAAACTTCCGACAGCAGTATGCATTCTTGTATCCCAATCGAATGCCCCTGCTCCTCGCGCCAGTCAATGAAGCAAACACGGAAAAAGTGATCTGCACGTATGTCATTCCCACTTTGATCAGATACGTCAACTTTTTCGACTGGCAGGACATTGCTAACTACATCAGGCATTTGTTAAAAAAGTATTAACCGAGAAGACGACTACTTTTTCTCAAAAGTGTTTCCAGTTTTTCAAGCTCGCTGTTCATTTTCGAGTCTTCCTTGTTTTCAATGCATTTTTTAACAAGAAAAAGGGATGCCTTGACAGTTAGGCCGCTGAAAGAGCCGACAGTGCTCCCAACTCAACTGTCCTCTCCATCCACGACTCTGGAGAATCAAGCAGCAAACTGCTTCGAGTACAGTAACACGCTTTGCTCGCTTCTCCTCGGCGCAGGCTACGATGCATACGTCGTGTCCGGCTATGCCACGCGCGAAATTTGCACCAACGACTTGAGCTTCGACGATCCGCCAGAAGCCCCGTCGCCCGAGCCGCCGAAACCAAAGACGCCATCTCCTCAGCGGAAGTACACGGTGAAAGGGGCGCGCGATCTTACTTCCAAGTTCGAGCAAATGATGGCCGAGCGCGAGGTCGCCGACGGAATCAAAAGGAAGAAGGAAGAGAAGATCAGGGCGAAGAAAGAACGCGACGCGAATGAACAGCCCGGCGAAGATGAGCTTTGGGGAAGACGCATTCACTCCTGGGTCATTGTTCGCCCCGGCCGGCGGGAAGTTGCGAAACCTTTCTTTATTGAGCCATTCAGGTAGTTTATGCTGCATAATTTTTTTATAAATATTTTATAGTGGCCTTGGATTTGAAGTGTCAGACGACAAGTTCCTTGGCGTGGAGTCCTGCTGGAACGACTTCAACTTCTGGGCGTGCGTTCAGGATTCGAGCGAAGGTGTCGACAAAATCAAATGGGACGTGACGGACATGAAGACTTGGGAACCGCTCGTCGGGCGGACGAAGAGAATCGATGACGGGACTGAGCGGAGTCCACTCGACGACGCCGCGGATGAAGAGCCCTTCGACGATCTTTCCCTGCCGAACGCCCTTCCTCTTTCCTGGTGCGATCATCCGGACATTTCAGTGCTCCAAATGGAGAAACGCGCACCCACCGGAATCAAAATCATCAAGTACAAACGATGCATCGTGGAAATGTTCTCGCCTTACGTCGAAAAAGATGGCTTGGTTTTCAGACAAACGTTTTTCGAAGACCGAGAATACGAAAAGAAACTCACCCAGGAATGCCAGTACAAGAGGCGAGAAGACTGCTTGGAAAGCCGCTTCTTTGATCACGTGGAAAACACGGTCGTGGAACATTACGGCTCGGGCAGAGAAGATTCTTTGAAGCGACAGACTGTCGGAATCGCAGATAGGTACAAGCCGGAAGCGACCAGGAGATGATCTTCTGGCCCGATTCGAGACCAGACGGGCTTGTTTACTTGAACTCCACGCCTCAATCGCTTGAATGTAAGTTAGTGGTACGGGGAACCCTTATTTTATGCATGCTTTTACTATCGAACTCAATATTGATTGATAAATTTCACTTTTTTCTCTGGTAAATCGGATTGGCAAAGCCCGGATTAACCTTGTGAATTTTCCCTTTCTTCTGACACGGCCGGTAAATTAAGCTGCTAAATTAAAGTGCACTACACTGGGCGAGAAGACAAACTCCACTTCCGGTCTGTCCAATTTGAAGAGCCTGGGAAAGCAAAACTCGTCGCTGTCGGCGAAAAGGTCCGACGCAAGATTATTGAAATTATCGAAAAGAGCGGGTAACTTAATCATACTTCATTAGGAAAAGGGACTTTTGATCATTTCAGGCGACACCCGGAAATTGAAAACGCGGACGACGATATTGCCTGCGTCAGGTATCTTCTCGCACAGGACAAGATTGCTTTTCGATATCACAAAAAGGTAGTCCTTTCTCAGGGGCTAGAATTTTACCCCTTTCCAGGACGGCTTCGTGACGAACTCGACGCGCATCTTCGAAAAACCAGACAACGCGGACGACAAAAACATGAATGTTTCCTTCTCCGCCGACATGAACTCCACTTTCACGGCTCACAACGGCGTCGACGTCGATCTAGCTGCTCAGGCCAGGCAATTGCCAGTTTATCAAAAACTCATTGCCGCGATCAAAAGCGAAACAGTTGCAATCAAACAAGGAAGAGTTTCAAATTCTCAAATTCTTGTTTGAAATAGATTTTTATTTCCTCTTCACAAATCATTCACTGTAGCAAATACTGTAACTGCAGTTGAAACTTGAACAGTGAGACTAATAGAAGAATCGATCAAAGAACTACTGGAACAATTGCACGAAGAAGATAACGCGCCCGAGCTTAAAATTTCCGTCCGCGACATTAACAGGTAATAAAACTCTCCTCCTTGATTTCACCAAAAAAAAAATCAGAAACGAAAAAGCAAAGACCCGACGAGAATACCTCGCTCATCAAGCAGATCTCGAAGAGAAGCGAAAAAAGGAAGTGGAAATGGACTATTTGGCTCCTTTCCTGGCTCAACTTGGACATCCGAAATCTTTTACAAAGGAAGATGTTGCCAAGCTCACGAGAGATTGCCTCGAAGGTAGAAATTGAAAAAAAATAGTCGATTGTTCTAACAGTAACTTAGACTGTAAACAACGAGTGATCGAACAGGGAAAGCAAATCCAAGCAAACTTCGACAAGGAGTCGCAGAAACTCAAGGCGCGCCAGGTCGAGTACCAAAATCGCCAAACTTCGATGCACAAAGAGGTTCGTCCAAAACGCCCTTTCCCTGATTCTAACTTTTTTTCGTTCAGGAAGAAGAAGCTTATCGCCAGTTCTGCTCGGAGGCGATGTTCCGCATTTCGATTCTGAAGATGCGCCTCGACCGACACAAGATCAACGCGCCGCAAAAGTACGCCGCTTTGGACCAGAAATTAAAAGCCGACCCTCGTTTACGCGTTACCAGCGATTGACAAACTGCATATAGACAACATTCCTTTTTTAAATAAATTAATAAATACACTAATAAATTCAAACTTTAAAAGGCTACCAGAGAGCTTTTTTGGGGCAGATTGTTTCCACGAAGCGCAGAATCCAGCCAAGATCATCATTCCCCCGGTAATTGGTCAAAAAAGAAAGGGCATAAGTTCCTAAAATCAACAAGGAAAAGTCTCAAAAAGGGGCTTTTCAAGAATCACTTCGCAGGTGCAATTAAAGTGCTCCCGTTTTGTTGCAGTTAATTGTACGCTTGGCTGGATCTTGCCCTCGACGTCACGTGCCGTTTCGAAAAAGAGAAAGAGGGAGGAAACGCACCTGCCAGAAATCCGAAACTGCGTCAAGATAAGCACTTTTCGGATTTGCGAAAGATCAACAACTATCATCTGATAACGATAAAATCCCAAGAGTGTTCTACACAGCAACACAACAGAACCACAACACCAAGAATACACAATCTTCCAAATTCTAGCGCTACAGAGGCGAATTACTTTTGAGCCAGAAGAGCCACTTCTTATTGGTCATCAAAGACCATCTTGTTTCAACCAATAAGAAGGGGTTCTACAGATTAAAAACAAATACAACAGGGAGAGGCCTTGTTCACCATTTGAATTTCTGCATGTGTCGCCTTGTTCATCCCAAAAAAGATGATAAACAAGGCAACACATGCATCAAGGTAGAGGATGAACAAGGCCACTCCCTATTTTCGAGTTGCAAATGATTTAAAAATGTCGCAAGAAACAAGAACTTGGGCTCTAGCTAGTCGATAATAATCGTTTTTTAAGCTGTGGCGGGGGTATTTTCTCATCCTTTTTTTTCGCGAGTTGAGAGTGCGGCACATTAGCTGAAATTAATCATGGTTTATCGTTCCGAAAAAATTCTATTTCGGTGTGAAAAATATTTCACACCAGAGCGTGACAAAAAACATGTTTCCTAAATAGCGCGCAGCTATAATTACTCTTGAGAAGCATACCTTCACGATGGTCAGAGAGAGAAATCGACACCGGCCTTCTCGTTTGACAAGGAATTGGTTCATTATCAAACAATCGTAAAGAAAAATTTCCGTTTTTCTCTGATTCCAAATAATTATTTTCAAAAACACATGATTTCCCAGAATCCAGAATTTACCCAATCGCGGCAAAAGCAGGCGTTCGGTAAAAACTGGTTTTCGGTAAAACGTCGATCTTGGAAAATCATTCATTTTGGGAGATAATCTGTTCTGCCAAAATACAGGGGTTTTCATTAAGAAAGACGGAGTTATTCGCTGTTCATTTCTGAAGATGGCGAATTGTCTAATTAAGATATTTCCGCATGAGCAGTGGTTGGTTCACCTCTACTCGTTTGATCCAGCCAAGGTAGGTAGCAATTTATGTGTTTTGGATCGGAAGCGAGGGCCCCGGAAGCAACTCTCAAGGAATTTTTAATGCTGCCGAACTAGTGACGAAGATAGCGCTGGAATTTTTCCCAAGAAGAGTCTCAACTTTCTCAAAATCAGTTTTGCCCTCAAAAACTCACCAGAAAGAGTTCGTAATTATAATTAGAGGCTTGGATAAGTGTCTCCTCTTCTGACCCTGGAAGCTGTAAATTTGATGTGATTAAAAAATAGCGCGCTTCAATGACATCGACAGATTTGTGCATTTCTTTCTGTGTTTCTTTCTCAGCGAGGGAATGTATTTTGGAATGATTTCTCAGGCGCTCGGCCTCAAAAAGAGCGGGGGCTACTTTGGCGACTCTTCCCAATGAAATAACGAGCAGCTAGCTGCATCCAGGGTGCCAATTTGAGAAATTATCTTCTATCACTTGGGAACATCAACCATCGCCACCGCCACTACTACACCGGGGACGATACACTCGCAAGAACCAAATGAAAACTAGAAAAAATGAATGTTCAACTTGAGCTCTCTTTTTCGAGTTGCTGAAAATATAGAGTAGGCATCACTTGGACAACATATTAAAAAGGCCCTTTTTATGAATTTGATAAATTATTCTCAAAAAGAAAGTAACAGTTTTCATTAAATTTCCAATTTTCTTACATTAATATCCGATAAAATATATTTATCGGCGAAAAAAACTGTATTTGATTATATCAAAGAAAACATCTGATTGTGTCTAATTTTCTTTAAATTTAGCCATAATTTGTTATTATTGATTACGTTATTCATAAATAATCGTTTTTCATATTCGGCAAAAGGTTGTCCAAGTGGAGCTCTTGTCCAAGTGAAGCCTACTCGAAAATATATCCAAAAAATAATGAAAAAAAGACCTTACTAAAATTACAAAAAATTTCTTTTTGATTACTAAATAAGAGTTCCCCAAGAACTAGATTAGTTATCGGTGGTCGATCTGGTTATCTGATGAGTTGGATACAAAGATATCCCGCTGAGGAGGGACAACAGCGTCCTCAGTTGGATGAGATGGTCGATATAAGTGGCTTGGTCCTTTTGCATTCATCTTTATTTGAAAAAATGAAACTCAACCTATGAAATTTGGTCTAGGTCTACTCATTCCTTTTTAATGAAACTTGCCTTTTTATTTATAAAATGAAGCTGTAGCTGCAAGATCGAATGTGGTTATGATGACACCCCTCCTGAAAATAAATTGATAATAAATTGAATGAACATAACTTGTCGTAAAATGCAGCGTAAAAGATTATCAATAATAAGATAAAAAATTGACGTCTGAAAAAAATGAATTGGGCAAGGCGCGATGGATTCCCAACGACTTCCTGTGTTGCTCCAGTAAAACTTATCAACTAATCGTAAAAAACTAAAAAGTGCAAATGAAAAGTTACGTCAAGCTCTAGTAGTAGCATGAAGAAGAGCTCTTGGAATCAGCTGATGAAGGGATGCATGGGTGGGAAAAGGGGGTTGAAAGTAATGGCGCCGCAATTGTGATTTTGGATTATTTATTCAACTGGGCACTAGGAATGACTTGGCGGTGCGAGCAAGATTTTTCCCAGCGCGGTGTTGCCGCCTTTCATCCGCCGACAGAATGAAAAATAATTTTTTGTTTTTTCTGCTGCGGCCAAATAATTATAGAGCCGATACAGGCCACGCTCTATCACTCCGCCAGTATAAACTCATTTCCATTCACACACAACTTACCAGTCGAAAATGCACTGAAGCTGTGAGCTTGGGAGACTGAAAACTCAATATATCTTCCGAAGAGCATTGACACCCTTAAGTTTTTCAAAATTCTAGCTCAATAAAGAATCAAACTTTGATTTTTTAAGATAGAATAAGGGTGTCGCTATTTTAACTCTTGCTAAAGAAGAAAAGTTTAAAAAACGGTTATTGATGTCTACCCCCTTAAAAATAAAGGAAGAGTGTACTTAGCAGAAGCTGGTTAAGAATTTTAAGTTGGCTTAACTGAGTCCCAATAAGCTTCGATTTCGCGACATTTTCCATTTTTTTGGCGCTGGTGCAACTCTAGCAGTTAATAAGGACCTTGCCACCCTTGAGATAATAGAGATTGGATTCCGCACGCGCCTATGCTGGTTAAGTGCCCATATCTCGCACTGAAAGAGCAGTCAACCGTTCTTTTTCTTAGCAAATAAAATGAGTAATCATTTTTGATTTATTCTTAGAAATTTTTGCTTCAAAAAATGAACAGTACCAGCCATAATTCTCCAAAAACTAAGGGTGTCACTTTGCTACTGGCTCCTACTCGCCAGCCTGTGTAGAAACCTGAGTCAGGGTCCTGAAGGAAACCTATGTGAAATTGGATTTCTAGGACCCTGACTCAGGTTTCAACTCAGATCGCTAAGCCACATCAGATACCTTTGGTGCCTGGTAATGAATTGAAAAAGTGCGTTTTTGACTTATCAGAGAGCGGTTAGCTTGAGGTGAAGCGTATTTTCTCAACATTCGCGAAAGTGCCTGTTTGAAACAAAAATAACGCAGTGGCACTAAATGTTAAGTACAAAACGCGGTCGACGGGGCGTAATTCCACCTCGGCAGCACGCGCAAACAAGAATTAACCTCCACCAGAATAAATACTCGCCGCTTTTTAAGACAACGGCTCCCCCCATTTTACGAAGCAGGCAAGCTTCTTCAGCTTTTCGACTTCTCCGTTTTCAAGTGTTGCAAAAAAAAAGAACGGGAGTGGGAAAAAAAAGAAGCTCGAATTTGTGAAAATGGGAATTTAATTCAGCCGCGGCGCCGTTTTCATCCCAAGTGGTGGTGGAGCTGCTCTCTCTCTTCTCTTTTTAGTGGAGCGAAGAAGCGAGTCAGGGGTCATCGCCAATTGGCATCTTCTTTTCCCACCAACCGGTTCCTTATCGACCGCTATCGACGTAATAATACCTCCCCTTCCATTCAAACTTTCCAACTTATCAAATCACTCTTTCTTTTAAAATTTCCGATATTATTGGAAACACTTTCAAGTGCACTCCAAAATCAATTGATTTGCAATTCAAGAAAGAATAAAAAAGGCTCGTTTCTGATCCTTTTAAAATCAATTTTATGAAAATATTTTCTTGCTGAAAACTTCTTGACGCAAGTAAACAAGTCTGGCGCTTTGATGGAACTTTTTAGGTTTTTTTTTAATTCTGAAATTCAATTTCAGTTTTGGAAGAATCTGGGCTCGGCAACCTGTGTAGAAAACCTGAGTCAGGGTCTGAAAAGGCTGAAATGAAAAGCCGCGAAGCGGCTTTTTTTTAAAAACGAAGCCGCGGAGCGGCTTCGCTAATATTCTCATTACAATCTATAAGAAATTCTGGGGAAGCCGCTTCGCGGCTTCGTTTTTGAAAAAGCCGCTACGCGACTTTTCTTTCAGACCCTGACTCAGGCATTCTACACAGGTTGCCGAGCCCAGGGAAGAACGGTCCCTAACCCTAACTCTTCCTTGTCCAATTTGTTGACCTTGCTTTGGTGAGTGAATAGAAGCAGTAATTAAAAGCTGTTGCAAATTGCCAAAGCATAGCATTTGAAATAGCATAATTCACCGTCTTTTATCCCCTCTCTTTAGCGATATATTCGGTGAGTAACGACTTCCGTTTTGCGTAACGATAAACAAGCGCCGTAAAGATCATCAGAATAATGAAAAGGAGCGAGAGCCACACGTTTTTATTTTTATGGCCGCCCTGATTTTTGCGAAAATAAAAACAGGAAATTTCGGATTGGGGATTCAATTCTGGCGTGAATCGATCCGATTTCTAATTGTTCATAATTACCCACTAATAAAGGGGCTCGATAAAATGCATGGAGGCACAGCTCCGCTCTTCCATTTTGGGTTTGTGGTGGAGCATCCTGCGGGTGGCGCCGCGGCGCGGCCAATTCCGCCTCCGCTTTCTAGCGCCCCTTGCGACGAAATCGAACTCGCCCGTCCTACCAGCAGCTACCTCTCTCTCTTCACTCCAAATTGCTACTTTTGCTTCTTCACCCTTCGTAACACCCTTAAATTTACCACCAAAGACTCCAATAAAGAAAAAAGAGCGACGAACTTCAAGACACCTGGTTCCAAAACTCAACACAAAAACAGAGAGAGATTCACAGAAACAGAGATGCTCTCAGTCGAGAAATCATTGATCGCCGATCCGACACATGCCGTTGGAGTGCCCAAAGGAGTAGCAGGAGTCGCTCCAACCAGCGTCACTGCTACTGTCACTTCTACGCCCTGGGAGACTTCTCCCTTGGGCGTTGCAGGGTTGACCCCAGCGCTGAGTTCTACAAGCACAGGTCTCGTCCAGCCACAGTCGCATACAGTCACGCAGAACGAAAAGACGAGCCATTCCCACTCAGACACGGAAGTCGCCAGCGGAACCGACAGCAGCAGCCAGCAGACAGTTTATCCACAGACAGTTTCCACGACGGGGGTTGACGGCTCCGTCGGCCAAAGTCTCTCTGCCGGATCGAACGAGTCCAGCCCCACGCAGCCCAAGCTTGAGCCAAAAGATGACACTCTGAAACAGGAAGAACACAGTGCTTCCAGTGCGGTTCCTCATTCGTCTATTTATCAGGTAATTAATCTTAAAATCCATCTTCTTTGTTGATTTTTCAGATTTCACCTTGAATGCCTTTTTCATGTTTTTAAAAATTCAGAGCGGTTTGGATTTATACTCGTTATATCCTTATTCAACTCCTTGGACAAAACCAGCCACTCCCACTTCCTCGTCGCTTTCTCCATCAGCCTCGATTCCGTCCACGATCCCCACGACTCAGAGCTACATGACTAGCCAGACGGTCTCGCAAGCTGGATACCCCGACTGGTCGAACTGGGCGACAGGGCTCGACCTGAACCTTCGCAATCACGCAACGAGTGCACTGCCCGGCGCAAACGCATACGTCGACACACAAGCTTATCAACAGATGCTAGGTAATACAGCTCAAAATTCGACTATTTCGCGGAAACAAGCCAATAGCAACTCTGATTTAAAATATCTATCTAGATCGTTGACTGGCTAGTTTTTGGATAATTTCAGTTTGTAGCCAATCAATGGCCTTGATAGGTATTTTCTGATCAAAGCGCTTATTGGTCCGATTCTTCGACATCTAATTCATTTCGTATTTTAGGACAAATGACAGCAAACCAGAACCTGGCGAACATGTCATCCCCTTATCCTCTCTACGACTATTCGGCGACGACGTTACAGTCGCCCGGCGGTGGCAAAATGAGCGGCTCGACGACGTCGTCGATCGAATCCACCATCCGAGCTGCTTCTGGTTTCTCCTCGCGCTCAAGTGGCACTTCCGTGCGGCGCAATACAGGAAGATCGAACTGCACGTGTCCCAATTGTCAACAGATCGAGTCGCTTCCCCCTGCCGCCCAGTCCTCCCTCCGTCCCCGCGTCCACAACTGCCACATCCCCGGCTGCGGAAAAGTCTACGCCAAAACCAGCCACCTGAAGGCGCACTTACGATGGCACTCCGGTAAGTTCTAAACGAAATGATCAAAACTATCGCGGAAACTCCAATTTTGCGTGATCAATCACACTCGATTCCGCGCTGCGACGGTTGGCACGCAGAGGATATTTCCTCCCGGAAATTTGAATCCTCCGTGCCACAAATGCATCGGACCAAGAGTGCGCTTTTTTATGCCAAAAATGGGTGATTTTCTTACTCTTATGTAATCAATTACCGACAACCAGGAAGATAGTAATGTTGAATGGTTATTCTCTTCAAATTTGTTTTCAAAAATTAGTCTATTGACACCCTTATTTTATCAAAAGAAAGACCAAACCTTTGCCTAGATTTTTTATAAATTTGAAGACAAATTTCAATAAGGGTGTCACTATGTTAAGCCTATAATTAAACCTAGCCCTAACTTTCAGTTGAAAACTATTTACACCCAAAATTCTAGTTAAAATCGGCAGAGAGCGCTCATTTTCTCAATATTTTTGAAATAAAAGCGGAAGCAGTTAACATTTCGTACCATAAATCAGCAGGACTTGGAAACGTAACTCATGATTCATCATAAGAAGAGACTCGTCCGAAAATCGTTAATTTTAAATTGCGTTTTCTAAAAGTTTGTTCTGAGCTGAGCGTTACTAGCCATAGTCCGTGGGAGAGTGGAGAGGCGCTAATTTTGACGCATCTGGTGGTGCAAATTAGCGGCTAAATGCACCCCCGCTCGCCACTTTTTTGCATCTTCGCTCTTTTTTTTCTTGACTGATGGGCCAAAAAAGTATCATCAGTACAAATGTTAAAATACTTGTAAATAATGCTCTTTGGGCAAGGGTTAAAATACGTCCTCATTCTATATGAGTCTGGGCTCGGCAACCTTAGTAGAAAACCTGAGTCAGGCTCTGGAAAAGCTAAAATGAAAAATCGCGTAGCAATTCAAACATGTAAATTTTCTTTAAATTCCTGGCGAAGCCGCTTCGCGGCTTCGTTTTTAGAAAAAGCCGCTACGCGACTTTTCATTTTAGCTCTTCCAGAGCCTGACTCAGGTTTTCTACTCAGGTTGCCAAGCCCAGATATGAGGGAAGAAAAGTTTGACCCCTAATTATTTATTTTCCATTTTGAAAGCCAAAATTGGCTTTTTTTGATAGAACTTTTGACCACTAGAAGTAGATTTTTTCGGATGATGATGAATGTACAAGTACTGTAACGAGTCTGAGCTGCATTTTCGATTTTTGTTGGTGCAAGTGCGCCGCCTGGGAGTGTGATTTACTGGGTGCCAATTAAGAGCTTTGGAAAGATGCAAAAAATCTGAAAGTGGCTCTCAGGGGATTGAAGGGGTTTCCTCAAATTTTCAAGCTCGCGATCGCGCCTGAGATCAGATTCACTCATTTTCCGCTCACTTCAAACTATCTTTGCTGGCTTTTCTTTTTTGAGGCTGACTGTAGAATGCGTTCAACAGTCGGGCAGGCAGGCATCTAGAAGACGAGACTTTCCATCAAAGCGGTCGAGTCTGGCAGGTCGGCATTCGATGAATTTGGCGAATTCGTGTAATTTTGCCAAATCGATGAAGCTAGCGAGCCGCCCTGTCAAATTACTTCCGCATAACTACATCTCTGCAATCATGCTTCTCCAGACGAATCTGCTTCTAGCACTAGCGGGCTACTAATGGACCACTTACTAGAATACTAGAATTTGTGCTAGCTTTATTAAGGGTCTCACCATAGAAACTCTAGCAAGAAGAGAAAAAGACTAGTTCTTGATCTGGGATCGGGAAGCCTAGGCTTGGCAACCTGTGTAGAAAACCTGAGTCAGGGTCTGAGAAATCCAATATGATTTTCTTAGAGAAGCCGCGAATTTAAAAATTGATTGAAAAGGAAATTTCGCGAAGCCGCCTCGCGGCTTCTTCAAGAAAAAGCCGCTACGCGGCTTTTCGTATTAGATTTCTCAGACCCTGACTTAGGTTTTCTACACAGGTAAGGGCCATTACAAAACTAGAAAAAATCATGCAAGTGGCGATTTTACGATTTCGCGCAAGGCAAAAAATGATAATTCCTCGAGAATAATAATTTAAGAATGTCCGATGAAAGGGCGCCCCTGACACTAATTGTTTTCTCAGCAATAAGCTCGTGTAAATCTCCCGAATTTGAAAGAGCGTCTTGAGCGTCTGTTTGAAAACTCTGATTTTAATTTTCGACAATCGTTAAATCGTAAAAGGCGATGTTTTGCGTGTGATGATTTTTCAAAATTGAAACTCGACTTTTCAAATTGAAAATTCAGCAATTTTCGTTTTGAATAAAATTATTTAAAAAAAGGCGGTAGCAGAAATCATCAAAAAAGGGAACTACTAATTGATACTTCTGCGTCAGAAAAAGCGTTTTGAAGATAAGCCTGGAATTGGCCTGTCACGGTAATCTCGACATGTAGCATTCGAGGTAGTGTTTAGAGAGAGCGGCGCGGTCAACGAAATAGCCACCTTTTTCGTTTTCTCGTTATTTGAGCAAGTACTTTTTCAGTTCGCGATTAGCAATTTTCCTCTATTTCTCAATTTCCACGAAATAATCGCCGCTAGAAATAATCCGCCCGCACTTGCAAGTCATTTTCGCGGCCAGCTGAGTTGCTCGAGTTATCTCTTTAAATTCGCAACGCCACAATTTTCCTCGAAATTAATGCTTACACCCCAAAATAACGTTATGAATATTCTAAGAAAATGCCTTGAAATAAGGGCGTCACTTTGTTAACAGAGGATTCGTTTTATCGACAATCCTTGACAATAATCGGTTAATTTTAAGGTGCTACACACCATAAATGGGCTTTAACATCACGCTTTTCCTTCTGAAATTAACACAGTCACACCCTTATTTAATTTTACCAACATTAAGTTCAAACCTTAATCTAGCGCCTTAGAGAGGCATAATTTCCAATCTGAAAAGTTTTTTCACTTTAATTTTCAATCAAAGTTTACTTTACTAATACGGCTTAAATTTCAAGAATCTAAAAATATTCTTTCAGGCGAAAAGCGATTCTCCTGTCCAGTCTGCTCGAAGCGATTCATGCGTTCGGATCATCTTTCGAAGCACGTGAAGGAACACAAGTGTTCGCAGTGAGGAGCAAGAAAACAAGAAAAAGAGAAAAACTTCTTCCCGACCTTCCTTTCTGCAAAATTACAACCTGCTTTGTACATAGTTAAAGACGACATCGACTCTATAACTTAATGCACATACCTTCCAAATTCACAAACACCGAAAAATACAACAATAAAAAGAAACATATCAAAAAGTTACTTGATTATTTTTTAATTAGTTGTAAAAGAAAATCTTCGCTGAATATGGCACACTTTCTTGGAGGATTTTAGACTTAATTTTAGTTTCAAGTTAGAGGATCAAGTCAAGAACTGGGGGCGGCAACCTATGTAGAGAGCCTGAGTCAGATTCAGAACCATTATGAAAGAAAAGCCGCGAGAGAAAGATGCACCGAGTCTTCATTGCCGGATTCATTTTTTCTCAATCCTGCAATCTCTTTAAACATGCTTCATTTGCCTTGCAAGGATAAACGTTCCTGCTAATCGAAAATGCAAATAATACAGAAAACAACGAGGAGAATTGGATTCTTCTGAAAGAATTCAATTGAGTAAAAGTTGAGTTGTTGAAAGTTGCGACTGTATTTTCAGTAGCGTGTACGTCACGTGAGTGACAGAGGAATACAAGGGCAGTTGTCCGAGCATGAAGAATTGTTGTTTGACCCTTCCTTTTCAGGTGATCTCGCAGTCGAACAGAGCCGGAGAAGTGGTGAAAGAGGTAGATTCCTCTATCCTTGTCCTCTTCCATCAGTTTGGAAGCAAACTGCTCGTTAATCTTCGCACCGCCACCCGTTATGGGTGGCAGTGGAAGATGTAATCGCCCGTCTCAGGCAAGTTTTCGCAGAATAACCGACCGGACTGGTCGGTTATCGATTCGCGCTCAGGGCATTTCTTTCGTCTGAAATAGAGAAAATGGTTAATTTTTAGTTGGTAGGTAGGTGTGATAATTGGCAAAAGTAATAGTGAACTTGAGTAAAATGAAAGTCGATGAATTCGATTGCTTGGCAATGATCAGGGGTCTGAGTTCGCCATTCCCGTCTTCCGCCTGAGGCCATCGGAGGAGGAGTATTTTCTCCTTATTCTTCGTTGTCTCCGAGGGTTTTCCCTCTCGTTGCGGCTGAGCACATCAACGGAGCCCGTTGCATCAGCGATTGAAGTCGCCGCTCGCAGTTATTCGATGGAGAGATGACCGACCAGGATCTTGAGAAAGTCTTTCTGCTTCTGACGATCATCGAACTCCACATTCGACGCACATATTCCTCATGTCTGAATTGAAAAGGTGGTTAGGGGACGAAATGTAGAGATAATAGTAAAAAAGCTAGACTCGGCACTCTCTGTAAAAACTCAGCCAGTGCTCTAAGTTGGCACATTGTAAATAGCCGCGTAGCGGCTTCCTTTTTAACAAAGCCGCGAAGCGGCTGCGCCAAAATCACTACCAGTAGTTGATCTTATTGAACTATGGCTATTTTCTATTTAATTTAGTGTCTGTAAAACATCTTTAATGCCCTCTGATTGGAGTTGCCAAGCCTAGCTTAGGAGTTGATAGTTTTGAAGTTGAATAAGTTGCGACTGTATTTTCAGATGTGATAAATCTTTCCGGAGGGTTTTCCCTCCCGTCCGAAACCAGGATGATCTCTGGTTGTTGGCCAAACATTGGCACTGCTCTAGTTTCAGGCTCAATGTCCACTCCTGGCCTCTTTTCTTCTCCACTTCTCGGTTTTCTCAATAATTCTGAATAGAAGGAAAGTTAGTTAATGCGAGATTTTTTCACTTGTTTGTCTTTGAATTTTTTTGAAATAGAAAAAAATATTCAAAAAATTTAAGAGGCGCATGATTTGTACAGAAAACATGATAAAAGAGTGTTGTTTTTCGGAAAAATTTTCTTCAAATAAATAAATTTTAGCAAAAATGAAGCAGGGGATGTTTTTTTTTTCAGGGGTGGGGCTCATTTTTTTTAACTTCGGTTTTGAAAACGAGATAGGTTGATAAGGATATTTAAAATATTGAAATTTAGGAATTGAAAGTAATCTAGAAAGGAAAAAGATACAGTAACGCGCGGACAGAGTAATGCTGTGTTACTGCGAGTAAAAGGTTCAATTTTGACTAGTAGAAGGGTTGAGAGCAAAAGAGAAGAGCGGGAAAGAGAGATGAAAAAACAAAAGAACGCGACGGCGGTGGTTTACATTAGTAACTCGTTTGCGATCTGGTCCACCGCTCGGTGAGATTCCGACAGGTCTGGAGGCGCACGGATAGGGGCGTTTGAAGAATTCTGAAACAAAAGGGTTAGAATCTAACCGTTAGCGGCTTTTAGAAGAAACATGGAAATTCATTGCTTGTAACACCCCATTATGGGTTGACTTACTATTGAGGATTGTGCTGAAGCAGACTGCCTTGCCCTCGACTCGCGGATCTTCTCATGTTCTTTTCTTTTTTTCTCTTTAACTTTCTAGTTTTGGGTCAGTGAGAGAACTTTCTCAAGTTCTTTTTCATGTTCCTTCGAAATTCGAAAATTTCAGAATGAGAGATTATCTCTCCTCTGAGCACGTGCAGTGGTGGAGCACCAATCAGAATCTATGGCCCATAGTGGGGGCGGCGCCTACGCTTTGATCTCGCGCGCGACTTTCGATTTCGAGCCGAAAGCGCTCCGCGTATCAGCGCGCGCCCCTGATGGGCCCCTTGTCTCGCAGACTTGGATCGACAAATGCTCCCGAAATTCGGATCGGGTTTTCATCGGATTTTCTTGCAGCCCGAATTTGCCGATCGGGCTTTGGTCGGGTTTTCGTAGGGGAGTTTTCGGGTATTTATAGCGTTTTTTTCGGGTTTTTGTCGGGCTTGGGTTGGATTTTTAGATTCGGGATTTTGTACGAGATCCAACAAAAACTCGACAAAAACGTCGGTTTTCGATCGCGTGTCTGGTGGGCATTGTCGATCCTAGCTCGAAGACGCTTGCCATCAATTTATGACCATATTTAGTAGGATAAGATTAATTAATGATAACAAATGATATAAAATCTAATAATATAGAAACACTGACCCATGATTTACAATACTCTTTCTCTTCGTCGCTCAGTTTTGCCCAAAGTTCTTTTTGTCTAAGGCACTCTTTAACGAATCTCTCATCAGCAGTTAGTCTAGGTAAATAGGATCCAGGTCGGCCAGAGTTGGATGAAGCAGAGTTAGAAGAATTTGATTTGTGCGCGCTGCTGGGCCTGAAATGAAAAAAATCATAAAAAGAAAGAAGTGATGGAATAGAAAAAGGGTCAAGCACAATTAGATTCATTCAGACATTGAAATCCATCTTCCCAAGCCAAGAAAATAAAAATGACATAAATAATGAAAAAAGAAAGTGCTGCGGAAATTTAGCTCGAAGGACTGGGATCAGCAACCTGTGTAGAAAACTGAGTGATGAGAAACGAAGCGTCAACGCAGCTCTTTCAAATCCTCAGTCAGATTTTGAACACAGTTAGCTGAGCCCAGTCACAGGCATGCCACAGTTACAGTAGCCCAGACCTGTTTCACTTTACTTCTCAAGAAACTAGAATAAGGGGAGAAAGGGATGGTAACTTCCCTACTTTTGGCTGTAAACTTTAAGAGTCTCTCTTCTAGGGCCCCCTTGTTAGGACGATACTGAATAGTACCCTGCTTTTTTTGTTTTGTTTTCTCAGTCAAAAATACTCATGCTCAAGAATACCTCTTTAAATATTCAGAATACGGAACCTTTTTCGGTCCCAGGGACTTTTTCTGATTTTGACTGAACTCAAAGTTTTCGAAAGTGCTAATAATCTTAAAACGAAGCGATGGAGCGAACTGGACTTACATTTTCGAAGAGCTAGAGTTCCCGCTTTCGGGAACTTGGAGACGCGATTCGATCTCGCGCATACGATCTCGCGAACACGAGCCAGGAAGGCGAACTGGCGGTAGGGTCGGTTTGGGTCTGAAAAATGGGAGTTAGAGAGGTGGAGGCGAGATTTAACGCGCTCTATAAAGAAAGGGCGACTTACTCTTCTTTAACTCTGGATTCGGTCTTCATCCTCTTTGATCCTTCGGAGTCTTCGGCAGAGTAGGGCCTCTTGTTGCTGTGGGACGTCGAGTTGCTAGACTGATTGTGATGGTGGCTGCTTATTCTTCTGTGAGAAAGGCTGGAGTTGTGGTCGTTGCTGGAGGTTTCGCTAGCGCTTAAGTTGGAGTTGTTGAGTGAGTGAGTCTCAATGGCAGTGCCGGGGCAGAGTTGCTTGATTTCTGTCAGCCTTGTGGGGTGCTCCTTAAAGTTCGCGCGCATTAAAAAATGCAATCGAATCTAGTGCAAGAAGAACCTTAAGAACATCGATATATCTCTTCACATTAAGGATAAGGTCGTCCTCGGTCAGCGTCGGATCCAGGTAGCTCCACCACTCCTAGAATATATTAAGAAAAAAGCTACGATCAAATATGAGCGTTATTATAAGGGTATCTATGAGAGATATTGACTGAAACGAAAGTTTATCGTTTCGTTGTGGATACACTTAAGAATCATGTTCGATTCAACTTACCCTTCCTTCGCTGCTCCGGTCCATTTTGAACTTGCTCCATTTGATGCTCAAGTAGATGCAGGTAGCGGCGACGACTTCCGGCCGCATCTCGAGGCAGAACGTCGTCAAATTGAGCGAATTCGTCGCCATGAAGTAGGCGACGTGTGACAGTTCGCGTGGCGCTGTTACGGTAATGTTAACAGTCAGTTTTTTGGTCACCGGTTTTTACCTCGCATGAACTGTGTCGCCTTGATCACATGCTTATGCGGGTGATCGATCGTCACGTCGAAGCCGAACGTTTGCAGCATCAGCAGCTGAAAGAAGAAATGATAGAAAACACGCGATTCTAGAGCCACTAGAAACGAACCTCATGGTCGATGAGTTGGTTGAGCTTCCACTGGTACTCTTCGCTGTTCGGGTCCAAGGGCGGCTCAGGCGAGGATGCTCCTTTCCGCGTCCAGTCTTCCTTTACCTTCAGCACCTGCTCCACTTTTCTTGGGCTTTCTTCCACCTTCGACGCTAGAAACAGTGCCGCCGCGGCAACGTCGTATTTGTTGAATTTCTTAACATTTTTTGTTAACCATTTTGACAACTTCCAAGCTATATTAGTAACACCCTTATTTCTTAATTAGTTGGACTGCTTTAAAGTAATCGAAAATAATTTGAGAAGCCGCTTGTGGCTTCGAGCTACTAAAGTCGAAAAGACGCTTGCGGCTTTTTCTTTGAACAAAGCCGAAGTCTCAATTTATGTTGAATTCATGCATAGCCGCTACAAGACTTAGAATTTTGTTTCTCGAAGCCACAAGCGGCTTCTCGAGTCTATATGCAATACATAGAATTGGGGGTTTTTATAGAAGTGTCTGTTTGTACCTTGAAAGAATGGACCATGAAGAAGCGATGGCTAAAAACGATGGCGGTGTTGATGGGAAGCTGGGCGAGTTTGAGCTGCTTTCCGCACTCCTGAAATCCGTGTTCTAGAGATTCTAGAGCGCGAAGAACAGACCTGAATGAGGTTGGCCGCGTGCTGCCGATATCGCAGCTCGTCGTAGTGGCCGATCCCGTCCGATGCCGAGGGCGTGTCTTCGATTTCATTTTTACTAAAGAACCATCTCTCCTCTACTTTCTTTGCCGAGCGACGAGACTGGTTCGAACTCATCTGAAAACCACGCGTTTTTGATTAAAAAAGCTTGAAAATTTCAGAAATGGAAGAAAAAAAGGAGGCTGGAAATATCGGGCTGGTTCGGTTTCCATCATTCAGTACGATTCTTGGTGATTTGGAAATAATCGAAAAAGCTACTAGTTGAAAATTTGATTGGGACTGGAGTTAGCTGAAATAGGAGACGTCTGAGACATGAGCTGGCGTATTTTGACTGAGGATGGATTTAGGAAGAAGAGTTGCAACTTGAAAGATGGGCTTGGCGACCTGTGTGGAATCCTGAGTCAGGGTTCTGAAAGAGGCTCAATAATTAGCCGCGAAGCGGATTCTTTTCGAATGAAACCACTTTTTAATCTACGGAGATTTTTTTTATAGTTTTGCAGGACCCTGACTCAGGTTTTTACACAGGTTGCCAAGTCCAGGGAAAAGATCGAACAATATAGAACACATTAGTTGATTCAACGTTAATATGCGACAGTTAGTAATTCCGAAATCGGGAAAAATTGAACAAAGACTGAATAGAGGCCTAAAATTTGCTTCGCAAGATTTGAATTTTTTGACACATGTCCATGGAATTTGGGCTTCACTTTCACTGTCAGACAAGGGCTGTCGAGTAAATCGGTAGTCGTAAATTTTGTCTCGATTGAAAAGAATGAAATTTCTTTGGATTGCATAACGACTCGACATTGCATCACGATTACAAAAGTGAAAGAAACAATCAAGTTAATCGTTGACCGGAAAGATAAGTCGTGATCAAGGGAAATTCGTGTTTTTACAGTTTTCACTTCAGGCATTCTGTAATTTTCAACCCGACCAAAGAAGGGAATCAAACAATGTGAAGGAAACCTGAGTCAGGGCCCAAAAAGAGTTACACTGAAAAGCCGCGTGGAGGCGTTTATAAAAAGAAAGACGCGAAGCGGCTTTGCTAAATTACCAATACAATATGTTTGAAGACTTTTGCGTAACCGCTTCGCGACTTAATTTTAATAAAAGCCGCTACGCGGCTTTTCATGACAGGAGCCTTACTCAGGTTTTTGACACAGTACGCTGAGCTGAAGACCAAAGAATTCGGAATGGATAAGGAAACAATTTTTATTATTTAGTAATTTCACGCAGAGTTGACTTACGAATTTATCTACAATTTTGAGAGTTTCATTTTATATAAGATTGATAATTCATATTTCCCACTGAAAAAGACCTCGTCATTCTCAATTCCGCATAATATTTTTTGCATCAGTTTTTTCTTCTTTTCGACGATTCAAATTTCCACAAGCCACAATTTTTTTCTCACAAATCAAAAGAAATTCTTTTCTCCATTTCCAATTCGTTATTTCTTCCTTTTCAACCAATATTTGCCGAATCAACTCATTTTCCTCGCGTTTAAGTTTTGCTCTTGCGTTTTCTTCAGTTTTAAATCATGTTTTTCCTCATTTTAATCGTTTTAATTTGTTAATTTGCGGCGTTTTCGTACGCTCTTTCGTTGGCGAGAAAAAGGGAGAACGCCGCGTAATCGGGCGATGAGTCATCTCGCGCGCGTAGGCGGCGAGTTTTTTTCTCACGGAGTCACTGACTCGAGCACGTCGCTGAATAGTTATTTCGGAATTTTCTCAGAAATGAGGCAAATCTAGAATTAGCCTTCTGAATTACTTCGTAGAAACTTGTCTTATTGTAAATATCTTTCTGCAGTAACAATAACTACCGCAAACACATTATCTTATTGCATAGTTTAGTTATGGAGCTATTATTACTAGAAGAAGTTGTTGACAGTAAGAAAAATGACTAATTTGAGTTAAAATTAAGACACCACTTTAGCTCAATGTATCAGAAAGTTATCATCACATTGTGGAATCTTAACTACAGTGATTGTAGCCACTGTATTTCTCTGCTGAAGCTTCAAAGGCAAATACAGAAGCTACAATTACTTTTTGTCAAAATTCCACAGTAAGAGAACAACTTTTTGAAAGCTACAGTGGCGAATTAATTTTTAGCCCGCAGAGTCAAATTAATGCTTTTATCCAGTTGATTCCAGACTAATCCTTGCTTGTAAGAATACAGTTTTCCTCTTTAGAATGAAAAAAGATCCGAAGCGCTTGAAAAATTGTGAAGAAGTCTGACTCTAGCATGAATATTCGAATTTCAAATTGGGAAATCTTAATCCGAAAACGAACGAAAAGAAGAAGAAAAAGACGACACAACTTTTAGAGTAAATTTTAGTAAGTACTCATAATTAGATTATGACTGTTCTCGGCTCGGTTACCTGTGTTGAAAACCTGACTCAGGGTCCTTGAAGTGCGTTAGTGAAACTACGCGGCTTTTGTCAAAAAACCACATTCAGGACCCTGACTCAGGTATTCTACACAGGCAGTCTAGCCAAGATGATAGTAAAGAGTCTTTACTAAAGACAGTAGAAATGGACTTTGATCTGCACCGTGGGTGATAAGGCTCTAGCCTAATCCCCGTGTGAGTTGCATTCAGAAATTAGGGCGAGTTTGAAACTGAAATTTCGACGATTTCGAGTTTTTTACGAAAAAAAGGTGAAGAAAAGGTCGAATGTTTTTTTTTCAAAGAAAGGGGGTAAGAGAGAAGACCTCTCGAATCATTTTTTTTGAAGAGGCGCCCGAGCTTGAGGAGAAAAAAAAACAGACAAGGAACAATAGTGGGGCAGAATAATGCCAAGAAAGAGGAGATAAACAACCCCCGAAACCTTCCTTTTTTTCTAGAATTTGGAATGAAGATCTAGCTAAATCCCTAAAGCCCTGCATAATTGATCCCTTTCAATATCAATAATAGAAATAAGAAGCGAGAAACGAAGGGCCAAAATAGCTTTAATTAAAAAGAGCTGTTTTTATCCGATGGATAATCGAGAAAGAAACAATTTTCAATCAGAAGAAAAGAATTTTGAGAAAATGGCGCCGATTCTGCGGAGAAGAAAGGTCCATTTTAAGGATCAAGGTTGTGGAAAAGCTACTGATGTTTACCCCCTTAAATCCCCTTATTGAGCCCTAAGAGCGTCAAGGTCGATTAAATAAGGATTAGGATTCACTCGAATAATAGTTTTTCAACTAGAATTTCGGTACTTTTCTTAACAAAAACTTTCAGAAAACATGGACGACGGCGATTTGGAGCAGCCTCCGACGCCGGAAGACTACGATCGAGAGCGAGCTCGCAAGAATTTCTGCTTCGTTCTCGTTCGTAACGACAGACTCAAGAAGAACAAGCCGCGGCCAATTCATTCATCCTCGACGGCCGTTTCGGAATCGGAAGAAATCTTGAAGCACCGGCGATTCGTTGAAGACTTTGAAAACAATTTGAAGAAGGAAAGACTCTTCGTCGAGCGGCGAATGGAAATCGTCAATAACAAAAGCAAGGAGTTCGTGCTCATCGGAATTTCGGAAGAATTGCTCGAAGATTATGCTGAAAAGCTGGAAATAAAGCTTCCCATCGAGAGCGAAGGTATAACTTCCTCGTTTTTCTTTTCAGTTTCCAACTTTGCGATTTAGAGGAGAAACAAGAATCGGTGATCGCCCGGGCGCTCTACCGCTTCGATCCGTTCATGTCCCCAAATCTGCTTGCGCCGATGTGGCAGCAACTAGCGAACTGGACTGTGGAGAACGCGAACGCGCTCAAGTTCTACGAGAAGAAGAAACACTACATCGACGCGCGCTACCAAAAAGTCCGCCGAAAGGTCTTCCAGAAGTTCGCCTCCAACGAACTGATCAAACTCTCCAATCCAGATACAGTGTTTTCAAACAGCGTTCGGATTAGAGTGATTCAGGCTAGGGTGGGCGAATTCTCAAAATCATGATAATTTTCTCTAATAATTTTGCCCAACCATGGATTCAGTACATTTTGAAGCACACTGCTTACGGAAAAAACGCCGAAATCGGGATCGATCGACTCTTGGCCGAAGAAGTCTACGAAGACGCCTTCCCCCTCCACGAAACTGATACCGAAGAAACTGGCGAGAAGAAAGTCGGAGAAATCAAAGAGTCGAATCTGCGAACGATTTTGCGGGAAACATGGGCTTGCTGGGCAAAGTCCCTCTATTTTCAGCCGTTGTTTTTGATCAAGAGATATTTCGGACCGCAAATTGGTATTTACTTTACTTGGCTTGGCTGGTACACTCAAATGCTCATACTGCCAGCAGTCTTAGGGACCGTGCTCATAAATTATTACGGAAATCAACTGTTAAACTAGTTGAATAACTCTGAAAAGGCGATCTTGAGCTTGGACAAGGTCTGCTGGTAACGATGCGCCAGATAATGGGTTTCGCCGTGCTCGGCTGGGTAAACGATTCGCCGGTGCAGCGAGCAATGTGCAACGATACGCGAATCATGTGTCCGCCGTGCGACGGGCCGGCAAAGAGCTGCCGCTTCACCGTTTTGGAAGACTCGTGCGCCTCGGCCAAGATCAGCGCTGCCTTCGACAACAAGTGGACGGTGATTTACGCGTTGTTCATGGCCACCTGGGCGAAGATCTTTTGCCATCTCTGGGCCAGAAAGGAAGCGAAGATGAGCAACGACTGGAACTTGACGGAAGACTCGATCGACTCCGTCCGCGTCCAGTTCGAAAATCGAGCGAGGAAGATGCAGAACAGCCAGGGCAAGGGGAACATTCTCAACACGATTCTACAAAAACTCTATCCAGTTAAAGAAGAAGACGGAAGCTACAAAGTGAGCTACGTCCGAAAGCTACCGTATTTATTCGTCTCCGTCTCGATCATCCTCACGCTCTGTCTAATCGCAATTTTCGGCGTGTTAACAGTTCAGCTTTATCGACTCTGGATGGCTTCTTTCCTTACTGGGTTGGATTGGGACGATCGGATCACGGAGAACTCAGTTCTCATCGCTTCCGCTTCCTCAGTTTCTAGGGTGGCCAGTTTAATGGTATGGGTATGTGGGGGAGCAGTCTTTACACTGTAAATTTTACAGCTAATCATCCCCTTTTTTGAGTATCGTTGCCACCCTAGCTCAGTTTGCCTAAACATGGTTTTCATCTACTCACTGGACTGGGTCTTCCGTCTCGTAGCCAGCTGGCTAACCGAGTTGGAAATGCCGAAGTTGGACACTGCCTACGAAAAGAGCTACACCCTGAAAGTGTTCATGTTCAACGCGGTCAACTTTTGGGGGTCGATTTTCTACATCGCTTTCATCAAGGGACACGGTACTGGCACGCCGATTCGCTATCATCGCTGGCAGGGGATTAGTTCCGACAGTTATTATCGTCTGGAAGAGTGCCATCCCGCCGGCTGCTTGATGGGCAACGGATTTAAACATAAATGTCGTGAACTTTTTTACTAGTTTTCATCTGTAATGAGTGTAAATCCTCTTTGAAAAGACGTGTCCCTCCAACTGGGCATCATCCTCATTATCAAACAGGTAGTTTCCAACATCGTGGAACTAGCCTGGCCGTGGTGGAACGCCCGAAAGCAGAAAAAGACGAACAAGGGGTCGGACGAGAAGCCCTGGGTGCGTGACTACTTGCTCGCCAAGAATGAAAACCTGTGCTTGTTGAATGAGTACCAAGAAATGGCGATTCAGTTCGGATTCATCACCATTTTCGTCGCCACTTTTCCGCTCGCCCCGTTTTTTGCCCTGATGAATAATGTCATTGAGATTCGATTAGGAAAGGATGAAATCAAAAGTGAAAGGGCAACCATAGTTCATACGGAGGACCGTCGTTTCATCCCTTTTCGATAGATGCGTATAAATTTATTAAACTTCATCGACGGGCGCGATTTGTGATGGCTCGCTCGATCGGTGCCTGGGTTGGCATTCTTCGCACTGTAGCTTCGGTAAGTTAGATTACTATCAAGCCCCTAACAGGCTTTATTCAAGATCGCAGTATTGACTAACGCCCTGGTAGCCGGCTACACCTCCGACCTGGTCCCGAGGGTTGTGTACTCGACGATGTACGCTCCCAACTGCGCGCACTTGAGTCCACTGCTGCGGCCGATGAAGAACGAGTGCTACCGCGGCTACGTGGACTGGTCCACCCAAAGCGTCCATATTTCCCAGCTGGATTACGGGCTCCGTGAAGGTCAAAACGGCCAGCACCAGATTTGGACGATGAAAGACAAGTGGGATCACCGCCACTCCAACGACTTCTTCAAACAAGTCCTTTCCGACCGCCAAGAGTAAAAGCCCCTCTTTTTTCCAAATGAAGATTTCTTCTTTTAGTTTTTCTGTAATCAAAAACTGCCTCAACTCGCCCAGTTCTACCTCCGACGATGCTCGTTGCAAGTGCCATTACCGCGGCTTCGAAACAGAAGCTTACTACATCGTCTTCTGCGGCAGACTCATGTTCATTCTCCTATTCGAGCATATTGTTCAGGTACAGTTTCAAAGCTCGTTTTTACAATAATTTTGATCATTGTAGTTCATGAAATGGACAGTTTTGCGGATGCTGCCCAACCACACTGAAAAATTAATGAAAGAAAATTTGAAAAAAGAACGCCTCCGCCAGCAGAAATTCCACGAACTAGACACCAACCACAATTTGAATTCGAGCGACAAGACACATCCTTCCCTTCTAGAGTTCAATTCAAGCGACGACAATAATGCCGACGAAAGTACACTTCTCGTGAAAACTTGACCCTTCTGTCCTCTTTTTATATATTGAACAAATGCTAATATACATATTCTTTTATACCATTTTCTGAAAATCAGATGGTGCCTTTTTATTTATTCTAGTCTCTGTTTGTTAACTCAACTCAATTTTCTTGTCATATGACTAACCCAGTTATTATTGAAAAGGAAAGAGACGGTTCTACAAATATTTTTCTTAAAAGTTTCACAAGTTATCCACCTCCTGCCTTTTTTGATTTCGAAAATAATAATTCACCAAAGTTGATAAAAAAAATTTTAATTGAGAATTGCTAGAATGGGGGGATTCATACGCGTTCACTGGATTGATATCGACGCAGAGAAGGCGAGAAATACTGTCACTAAAGGAACTGATAAGCAATTGAGTACAGTGATTAGTAATTGTTGTCAGACTGTCCAGCAACCTGAGTAGAAACTTTAGTAAAAGTCTTGATTTCTGTTTTTTGATCCTCGACAGTAAACACAGGTCTGAGTCACTCACACAGGACCTGAAGAGATTAGAAAACAGTGGCTTCGATTTCATAAAAGTCGCTACGCTTTCAGATCTTTCAGGACCCTGACTCAGCTTTTTTAAACAGCCTCTCGTGTCGAAATTACTGACAGTAGTAGTTTTTGAATAGTCTTTAAAAAAACGAGTTGTCGATCAAATAACCCAGCGCAGAAAGAAGGAAACTTGTTCACTCTGCAAGTGTGCATCAAAGAATATGAAAACGGGGCACACATCCAACGCAAGAAAACGATCTTGCTCGAGTTCCGAAAATCGTTCGACTCGCATCCTCGGCCGGACAGACTAGCCCAGTTCATCATCGCGCAGGGCCCAGAACAGACCGTCATCGGCACCACGAGTATTTTGATCACTGCGCTTTCCAAAGCTACCAACGGAACGTCGAATATTATTAAATTGCCATTCAAGGCGACTCCCCTCGGATCCAGAACAGAAGTCGAGTACTTTATCAAGGCACGGCTACACGATCTAACTTGAAAAAATAACAAAAAGCTATGAAAATTTTGAAAGGATTTTTAAAGTTCGAGAAGCCGCTTTCGGCTTCGAGCCTAAAGAATGAGCCGCGCATAGCGCGGCTGTCATTTTTTGAGACAAAAAAGATAATTCTTAAGGCTCGGAGCCGCAAGTTGCTTCTCGATTTAAAAGATCTGATCAAAATTTCTATAGATATTCGTCTCTTCCTTCATTTTCTCTTTCTCTCTCTTTAGCGAGTCATTTATTTTGAGTTCTAAAGAGTTAATCTTAATTTTTGGATCAATGAAGCGTCAACAACTAAACGATCTTTCGTTGAGCCGTTTCGTTCAGGTGTACGTGAAACTGTACGAAGAGAGCGCGCCATTGACGCAGTCGATCAGCGGCCATGACACGAGGTACCTGTTTGAAATTAAGCTACAATTAGGGCGAGATAAAACGAACGCGTTCTACATTGAATGAGTTTTATTTTGGGAGCTCACTCGTTTGTAAAAATTGTTATGTTCCGAAACGTAGAAGTGTAAATGTAGATCGCGCGAGCTCTAGTAGAGACGAATATTTTTAAACTGAAATAAAATAAATAAATTTTTAAAATTGCAAATTTCAGATTTTATCCCTCATTCATCCCTTTTTTAAGTGTCAACGCAACAGATCCTATGGAAAGGGTTCAGGTACATTATCTATATTAGTAGTAGTTACAAATTAGCGGACAGAAATGAGTATCACGGTAACTCTTTATCAAGGGCCGAGCCTTATTTATGCATAAAAATAAGGGGGTCACTAGACTAACTGCTGGTGAAAACTGTCTGATTGGAAAATGATGCCTATTCGCTTTATTAATAATTAACAAAGATGCCTAAATTGACCAGTAATTCTAGAGGACGGAGCTGAAACGCCATCGCGGTGCGATCAAAAATCAAGATGCTGAATACCACCAGTTGGGCCACGCCTTCCAGCGCCACTACTTCCGCCAGCCGACTTACTGCGGCCACTGCCAGGAGTTCGTCTGGGGCCTCACTTCCAAACAAGGCTTCCTATGCAAGTACTGCTCCATGGCCTGCCACAACCAGTGTATTGAGAAGATCTTCACTCCTTGCCAAAACAGCACTCAAGCCGCTACATCGGCGAATCCCGGCTCCGTCGCCATCACCAAGTCTTTCAACATTAATATTCGTCACAAGTTCAAAGTTACCACACTCAAGGTATAATTTAGTCATTCAGAAATGAGAAACCCCTAAATTCTTTGGCAGTTTTCAACCCCTTTCTTTCAGTGGCCGACGCATTGCCGCCACTGTGGCCAGTTCATTTTCGGCCTGTTCAAGCAGGGAGCTGTCTGCACCGAGTGCGGCTTCACCGTCCACAAGAAATGCATCGAGCAAGTGGCGAACACCTGCGGCACGAATATGAAAGAAATCAGCGTCGCCCTGGCCGAGTTGGAGAACAAAAATCTTCTTCCAAAGAAAGTGGAGGGCGGCGCTTCCGGCGACACCATCGTCCCCCTGCCGACCTTCGACGCCGAAGAAGAAGAAAACATTTATTTGCCGCCTTCCGAATACGAAACTTATAAGCCCAAGACTGCGCCCAAACCGCCCGTTAGGAAATTGGCTAAAATCAACCCCATGAACCAGGATTTTTATATCATATAAATTATAATGAATTCGTATTATGAAAACTTGCTTCTTGTTTTTAAACTCAAGTTGCGAAGCCGAAATAAGACAAACGACGATCGTGAAGCGAGGCAAATTGGAGGCGCTAATGAAGATCGATAATTTTACTTACACTGTTGTCCTTGGAAAAGGCTCCTTTGGAAAAGTGCTATTAGCCAAGATTGTCGGCTGCGGGGAAGTTGTTGCTGTCAAAGGAATGGTTCTTTTTCATAAGAGATAAAGGGGTAGACCTGTACTACTGTTCTGTTATTTTGAAGTACCTAGACAAAAGCGATGCAAAAACATACAGTAATGACAAACGGGGATGTCATGTCAACAGCAGTCGAAAAGCGAATGCTGGAACTTGCTGGCGAGCACCCTTACTTGGCACACTTGGTAGCGACGTTACAAGACGAAGCCTATTTATATTTCGTGATGGAGTACCTCTCCGGTGGTGACTTGATGCATTGGATTCAGAAGAAACGCGTTTTCAGGTGAATTTTTAAAATTTGAATGTTGGCTCTGGAAATCGGACTCCGATTGAAAAGTGCCGCGAAATCGCTTCGGCTAATTTTTCTATCGTTTTTGATCTTTATTTTTTCAGTCGTGATGTTTCGACTTTCTACGCGGCGGAAATCTACTCGGGCCTAAAGTTCCTCCACCAGAGAAAAATCGTCTACCGCGATCTCAAGCTGGACAACGTCCTTCTCGACAAGGAAGGACACTGTAGAATCGCCGACTTTGGAATGTGCAGAGAGAATGTCTCCGAAAATAACAAGTAAGAAACTGGCCTCCTGGAAGACTGAGATTCTAGCGCGTTTTTGTTTTAGGTGTCATACTTTTTGTGGGACGCCGGAATACCTCGCTCCAGAGATTATAAGAAGAGACTTGTATACTTTCTCCGTCGATTGGTGGAGCTACGGGGTCCTCGTTTACGAAATGCTAACTGGTAAGTCATCGGGTTGAAAGCATAAGGAAGTGACACCCTTAATCTATACCACCAAAAAAGTAGGGACTTTTTCCTTGTTAGTTCAAACTTTATTCAATTTTGAAGAAGAAAAAAAGGGTGTCACTTTCTTTAAATCGAAAGGAAAGATAAAACAAAGATCGATATTTTTCGGACTTTCAATGCTCATTCTTTTCTAGGAAACTCTCCCTTCCACGGCGATCCAGTTGAAAATCTCTACGAGTCGATCCAAAACGACGACGTTCCCTACCCAAGAAAGATGGACAGCGACGCGCGCGAGTTGTGCAAAGGAGTAAGCACCAATGTTCTTAGATCAGTCTAGTTATGAATGATTTTAGCTGTTTGAGCGGCGGCCAGAGCGACGATTGGGCGTCAAGTGCGACGTCAAGAAGCATCCATTCTTCAAAAGCATCGATTTCGAGAGACTGGAAAACAAGCAAATTGCCCCTCCCTTCCGCCCTCCAACGGTAAGAGAAAATCATCAATGAACTCGAGGCTCAAGAATGCAAATTTTAGATTTCGAATTTCAACGATCCTTCTACCGTCGATCAAGAATTCAAAGATCTAAGGATAGTTTACGAACGACAATAACTTTAATCAGAGTTAACAACTGAGTCATAAATAGAGAAGCCGCTTGCGGCTTCGAGTAAAAACAAGATAAGCCGCAGAAAGTAGCTCGACAATCTGTTGAAAAGCCTGACTCAGGGTATTAAAGCTCTTCCGGACCCTGACTCAGGTCTATATACAGATAATCGAATAAAGCTTCAAAATTTTTCGTAAACTCGGCCAAGCCCGCGAGTGTCCATCGTGAGCCGCGAAAAGATCGAAGACATCGACCAAAAAGTGTTCCGCACCTTCGACACTATCAACCCCCGCGCCCACGAGATCGTACGCGTCCACTAAACTTCAAGAAAAAAAACTTCAAAAATTCAAAACTTCACCTGTTCAAAAAACCCAAAACCAAAAAACACCCTCTTCAATCTCTCAAATCTCTTCCATGTCTTCGACGAGTTCCAAGCTGAAAGAAAAAGAAGCGAGAAAGAAATCTTAATCAGTTCCAATCTATCTTCTTTCTTTTTAGCCTTTTTTTGTAAATTTAAAATTGTCAAATTATTTCTTCGTTCAATCCTTTTGTTTATGAATCAAAACTGCTGCCCCTTTATATTTTCAAAATTCAACATTTACAAGTTCGAAAATTCAAACTCAAATTCATATGCAATTATTTCTATTTCGTCACAAGTCCATATCCACCACTATGCTTTTAAATCTCACCTAATAATAACCTTATGAGACCCTTAATTCCCTCGAGGAATCGCCTTAAGGAGCTCCATTAGATGGAGTCCATCTAAGGATCCCCTAAAGAGAATATTAAGGACACACCCAATGCCGTTAGCTTGAGGGGTGGGCTCGGTTAGGCAACCTGTATATAAAACCTGAGTCAGGGCCCTGACTACGCTGCTTTTTCAAGACCTTGATTTAGGTTTTACATACATCATCCCGAGCCCTTCTGAAGCTGACGGGTAGGAAGGTTCCTACTATCGCCTGTAGAAGCTTGCTACTTATTAAGGGAGTGACAGAGATATCTTAAGGGCGTGAGCTCGATAAATCTCTTTGTTTTATGAAAATCCAACTCCGTTAAATCTTTTAATTATTTCTGTATATGATTCTCATCTATTCCTTTTCGTCGTATTTATTATTGTTCCTAGCTATCTTCATTTTCGTAAATATATATATTCCGAACAATGCAGTTATTATCATTCTTTAAAAGAAACGATAAAAGTATAATTGATCTTCGCTTTTTTCCCTTTTGACTCCCTTGTTCAATGACCCAGTTTCTTTTTGACTGGTGATACCCTTAATTCTCGCTGCGCAAAACTTATTTCTCTTTGTTGAAAATCAACCTCTTTCTTTTTTCTAAAATTCGCTTTTAATTTTTGTTATCAATTCTTATTTATTCTTTCTTATTTTCAGTTACGCTTCTTATCGTTTATGATGAAAACAACTTCTCTCTCTACCTTTCCTATCGATATTTTTACGCCCTCCCTCTATTCTATTTTACCATATTCGCTCAAAGGAAAAATGAGTGATGTAAATGTTCCTCTATCAGAATTTCTTATTTCAAATCGTTCTCATATCCAAATCAAGTAAAAAATGACTTTCGCGAAAGTCAGAAAAGAAAGTTGCGCCATAGCGCCACCATCTGACTCGCCCCGAGGCGCGTTCTTTTTTGTTGTTTCATTCCGATTCCGCGAACTCCTATTTCCAATTCGAAAATCGCTCAACTGCATTCCACTCCTCTTTTTCCGGGACTTTTCAAAACTCGGAAAAATTAAGAACAAAATAAACACGCCCTTTGACCTGTTTCTTCAGAAAAAGAGAGAAAAACGAAAGCGGCTCAAGAATGGAATCCGAAGTCAGAAAGGAAGCGGATCAATTTTAAATGATAAATATTTAATTAAGTGGCCCCTTATTTATATTTAATTGATGCTGTCAATAATCACCCAGCAAATTCAGACATACTTGTTTTTTATTTGTTTTACAAATGGTGTTAAATAAAAATCAGGCCACTCTTACCGAAAATTGCCTAAAAGACAGAATGACTTGATAGCCTTATTTTGATAAAAAGTTAGGCTCAGCAAGCTGTGTAGAGAACCTGAGTCGGGGTCCTAAAAAGCTTAATTTTGGGGGAGCCGCTCTTTTAGGAACCTGACTCACGTTTTCTAACAGGTTGTCGATCTTAGAAAGTTAACGAAGTCTACCCCCTTACCTCTAAATCATGCTAAAAGTGAATTGGTTTTCTTGATCGCGCCAAAGCGGCCACTGGCAAAAGTGGACTCCATACCTATGGAAGAGCTGATCCAAGGCGCGCCCGAGCCGACAAATCCCAGCAGCAGCCAAGCTGGGATTATCAAAGACGAAGACATTCCACAATCGGGCGACACGGGCGCTCTCTCCAAAATGCTCGCTCATCTGCCGGCGCGCTGGCGTAACTGGTGGATCCGTGTTTCTACTTCTTTCTTAATGCTTTTTGGCTTCATCTTCATCGGCTATCTTGGCCCTCTTGCCATAGTCCTTCTCATTCTCGCCATTCAACTCAAGGCCTTCCATGAAGTAAGATCTCAAGAAATCGACATACTATTCATTTTTTACTAAAATGAAGCCGCTTTCAGCTTCGAGATCATTAGTATAACTGCGCTTCGCGCGGCTTCTCGCTTTTAGTCATAAATGTGAAAGTCTAGATGAGTTGCTTTCAATAAACTATCATTACAGATCATCACAATCGGGTACATGGTGTACCGCAACTACGAGCTTCCGTGGTTCCGCTCGATCTCGTGGTACTTCCTCTTCTGCGCCAACTATTACTTCTACGGAGAGACGATCAACGAGTACTTCGGCAGTGTGCTCCAGAAGGACGTCGCGTTGCACTTCCTCTTCAAACACCACCGCATCATTTCCTATGCAATGTACAGCTGCGGCTTTATCGCTTTCGTCTGCTCCCTCGTCAAGACCTTCTATCGCTTGCAGTTCTTCATGTTCGGCTGGACGCACTGCACTCTGCTCATGGTCGTTGTATCCGTAAGTTTCACTTTGGAGACATAGAGGAGTACTGATCTTTCAGAGCCATCTCTGCATGCAAAATATATTCGACGGAGTGATCTGGTTCTGTCTTCCCGTGCTGCTCGTTTGCGCCAACGACACTTGGGCCTATATTTGCGGGTTCTTCCTTGGGAAGCGTTTCATCAACCAGCCTCTCACCAAGCTCTCGGTTTGCCACTCCTTTTTGCACCTTTCTCACCGTTGTTTTTTCAGCCGAAAAAGAGTTGGGAAGGGTTCGTCGGTGGTTTCATATGCACGCTGATTTGGGGCTTCATTTTTTCCTGGTTCTTGACTCGTTTTCCGATTCTAACTTGTCCGGTTCGACTTGATGCCAACTGGCACGTGCTTTCCACTTGCGAGCCATCCGAGTATTTCATTCCCGTGGAACATACAGTTCCGATCATTTTGCGACCGCTGTTTGGCTTGTTCGGCGTCGGCGAGGTACCAAAATCAGGATGAAAAAGGGTGATAAATGCCAAATTTTAGACGGTTTTGATCCGCCCGTTCCAGTACCACATCGCCGCGCTGGGCGTTTTCGCCTCTTTCATTGCACCTTTCGGCGGCTTCTTCGCTTCCGGATTCAAACGAGCATTCAAAGTCAAAGACTTTGGCGATTTAATTCCTGGCCATGGAGGCGTCATGGGTAAGCGGCTATAATCTCCGGCGAAGAATTCAACGAATACTTCTTTTAGATCGAATGGATTGTCATTTCGTGATGCAGTCATTTACCAATGTCTACTTGAGCACTTTTATTCGGACTCCGTCTGTTCAGACCGTTCTTCTAGCCGCGATGAAGCTTTCTACGGCTGATCGAGTAAGTCCACGGGTATCAGCTGAGCTTGGGAACCTGTGTAGAAAACCTGAGTCAGGATCCTAAAAGAAAGGTCCCTGACTCAGGTTTCCTACACAGTTTGCCGAGCCTAGATGGTCCCTCCCTCGATTCTCTCTGAGAAGTAATACTCATTTTTATCATTTTAGGAGTGGTTGATAGAGCAACTTCAAGGCATCATCGACTAGCCCTTTATCTTCGTCGAAAAAGCGCTTTATACAATTATTAATAATATTATTATTATCTTCTTTCTTTTCATATTTGCCATCACCTCCACCGAATTTCACGTCAACTTCATGAAACTAGTTCCGCCTCAAGTATTTACAGTAAAATACAGTAATTCGTGTTTTTATTTCAATTTTCTTCTCGCCTCGTCTAAAAAATCGTCTTATCTCTTTTTCCAAAAAGGCAACAAAAAAAACAACGCGACCCAAAATCATTTCTTCAACCCAAAGTGAAAACTCATCTTATTAACCAACTGCAACTAGTAATGTAAGTTAATGTTGCAAAAGAGTAACTGTACAGTTCGTAACCCGTTGATTGTTTTTTTTAAACGTCAAGTTCAAAAAATAAATGAATTCTTGAAAAATGAAATTTTCGAAAAAGAACATCTGGTTTTTTTTCGTTGCAAAGAAAAATGATTTTGTGAAACATGCAAGAAATAGGACTTGGAATATCTTTTTTTAGGTTTATTTTTAAATTGCTCTACGATAGACGATCGGAGCATGTAAAAATTCTAGAGTGAGAATACAGGCAGGGTTAATTCAATCGAAGATCTTCTTGACTTTGGCAGGAGTGAAGCGAGTTCGGCATTTCGGGCAGTTCTTCGGCTGGAGAGCATTGATGCATGCTTCGCAAAAGTGATGGAAGCACGTGATAAGGACAACTTGGGGTCGATTGTCATCATAAAGATCAAAGCAGACGCTGCATTTGAGTTTGTCATCCATCTTCGACTGCTTAATGAGGATGGTGTCATCTGAAAATTAATATTATTGCCACGAGTAAACAGATAGTTTTACCGAGTTCAGGGTTGTCTTCTTTCGCTTCATCGAGCGTGACGAATAATCGACGTTTTTGAACTTTCTTTCGCCATTCTTTCTTCGCTTCGAGATTTTCATCGGCATCCTTCTCTTCTTGTTCGGCTTCTGCAAGTGATTTCTTCGCCTCCTCGACCTTCTTCTTTGATGTTTCGGCCCTCTTATTTGCGGAAAATTCCTCGTCTTTTGCTTTTTCATAAATTCGGTTGACGGTCCACATAAGCCTAGTAGTAGATTTACCTGAAAATTGTTGTAATTATCGGCTTTGCCAAAATGTACTCACGATTCCTTTCCGGATTGCTTGCTTTTTCGCAGCAAGTTCCAATGACGAATTGCTCGAAGGAAAGCTGATCCTCGTTGCAATTTTTCGCCGGACACTTGAATTTCCCATCGCTTGGCTCGTATTTCGCCGTTGTATTCGCAGGAAGTTTTCTTGGCGCACACACTGCGCAGTATCTCGATTCTAATATCAAAGCTGTCCTGTCACTCGCCCTAGTTTTTTTATCTTTATTCGCAAAATATTTTACTCACAATTTGCATTCATGGCACTGTCCTCTTGTCCCGTAACTCGTAACATAGCCAGCATTGATATACAAACATGGGGCTGGCTTGTTCATTTTCTCTTCGTTATTCTCAAAATATGAATTTTTCTGACAGGATCAGGCCTATTTATACGTCGATTTGCACGTGGAAAGGTTTTCGAGCGACTTCAGAAGTCCTGGTTGGTTCGTCGTCCACCTCCTTGATTTTTCTTCGAGAAACGCCAGCTCCGCTCGAATAGGCGCGAGAACTCCTCTTTCTCGACTCTGGAGACAGCGACACTTTTTTGCCCGGACTCTCAGACAGAAGAAAAATTGTAGACTTTGCTATGCTAGTACCTTTTATTAGCCTCTCAATAAATGGTTGATAAAAACTCGAAGACCACTTTTCTAGAGTAAAGAACTAGTTATTCCGAAACCTGCACCTCAGGAACCAGTGGTTCTCGTAATAGATCTCCAAAAAATGAGATTCAAAGTCCCGTTTTTCAGTTTATTTTTAGTGATGTTATTTCCAATGATGTTGTTTCCAATTTTTCAATTACAGTGAAGGACAGTACTCATGTAGTAGCAAAGCGCTCAAAGTTGCAATTCCAAGTCTTTTATTAGTCTAGTAATATCCAAGTCTAGCCATCAAGTCCTCGTTCTTTTCTTCTTGAACCTGAAGCTCCTTTTTCATCTCTTCTTTTTTCGCGTGAAATTTTCCTTCGCACAGGTGATCCTCAAATACTCGACTTTCTGTGTAGCAAAAATCACATCTATAATTTTCTATCAATCCTGATTCCCGAAAACATTAGATCTGACCTGACAAGTCGTCTGCATGACTTTTTCCAGTGTTCATCGAAATCTTCATATTTCATTTCCATCTAAAAATTCGTTGAAGAAAAAAAAAGTTAAATGCGACTTTTACCTTGCACTCTTTATCACGGCATCGAACCATTCGCGCATTTATCATCTTCAGATAAAACTTTGAAGCAGGATAAAATGTTCCGCGCGAATAAGACCAGTGACTATGAATAGGCGGATTGTAAGAAACTCTGCTCCAACAAATAGGACATTCAAGATGATAAGTATCACGCTTGGGCGAGTGAAGATCGTTTGTCCAGCATTTTCGGCAAACATATTTGTCGCAGCAAGATGTCACTACTGGATCATCAATCTCGTTTCGACACTCTCTGCAAAGAAAATCTTCATGTTGAAGTCTTGCAGCGGTGCCATCTTCATTTAGGGGCTTCCAAAATACGCCTCCTGTTGGAGATCTCTCAGGATCATCTGACTCGTTACCGTCAAATTTCAGCAGCTCGTAATTTGGTCTCTCCATCTTTCAAAACTAATTTTGAGAGTGAGGTTTTCAGCAAACGAAACTCGCTTTTATACCAGGCGCCGAAGAATCGCAAAATTTCGTCCACAAAACAGAATCTCAATCATCTTTCTCGATCACGAAACTGCTACCTACACGAAGACCTCTGCTCTTTAACTACTCAAACTGCAATAACATAACTGTCGCAGCAGGCCGTCACTACTGGATCTACAATGTCTTCGCGGCATATTTTGCATTGGAAGTCTTTGAAACGGAGACTCGCAGCAATGTCTTTCAGGGGCTTCCAAAACAGGCGCCCTATTAGAGCTCTCTCAGGATCATCCGACTCGTAATCCTCAAACTTGAGCTCGTTATTTCGTCTCTCCATCGCTTTTAAGTGAATTTTTCTACCAAAGAGGTGTCGCTTTTATTCTAAGCTTCGAGGTATCGCAATATAATAAATATTATACAATTGTTAAATAATAATAATAATAAAATTATTATTATATAATAATTTTTTCAATTGGGCTAAAATAAACACTTCTACAAAGTTTCGGGCGTTTCCATCAAGGGGTACTTGGGGTTGATTTTTTGCTCGTCGGCCCTAGCAATATTTCACAAAGAGAAGAAACTCAAATTGATCTTTCTAGGTACATTATTGCCGGATCTGTACTAGGATATTGGTCCAATATCATATTGTCTACTCAAGTACAGTCCACTCAAGTTCTTTTCTTTTTTGATTGCTCTTTGTAGATAGTGATGGTTATCATCAAATGATGGCATTTTTATTCTCGGCTGGTCATTTGTTCAGTTCCGGACAATCTGGAGTCCAGACTCTGGAACATCTGCTTTCTTCAAGTAGCGCCATCTAACTGATCTTGCGGATATAAATAAGCATGTGAAAAATAGAACTTCATAAAAATGAATACTCAGCAAGATATCCATAAAACCACCACTCAACCAGAAAAACGAAAGGCCACCGATGATTCAGTGAAGAATAAATCAAAGAAGACAAAGACTGTGGAAGAGTACACCCAGCATCTTCGAGAAAATAACTTCGCCCTCAGAAAGAAGTGGGACCAAATCGCTAAAATGGACCCGGAAATCAACGAGTTGGAAAGAAAACTCATTTCTCTGAAGTGGAAACGTCGTGTGGAACGAGAAGCATACAGCAAAGAGCTCGAAAAGCTCAAGAAAGAAAGCTGCCCTCCCGAAGGAATCACCCAGCCTGATGGGGTAGTCCGCATTGCCAAGGATCCAATATGGTCCATACTCTCGGTGGGTGAAGGCGCCAAGCCGAGGCAGGGAGATGCATCGTGACCACCGCCAAGTGCTAACTCCCGCAGAGGCAGCACCTCGGCCCAACTCGACGCTGGCGAGGCTACTCTCAGCGTGTGATGGCTGAGCTGTGTGCAAACATAATGAGCGAAGTGAGCTGATTAAAGCTCGACCCCCGGATGAGCTGCAAATTTGGAGATATGGAGGGAAAAAATTGAATTGACTGAAAGTTTCTCTAGTAGGGTTTTTTGATGCGACGAATCCGAATCTGATGTCAAAAATGTCTAGTTTTAACAGGGCAGTAATGTAAGCGAGATTCCTGTCCAAAGATTCCTGTCCTCCAGGATTCATTAACATGGAACAGAAGATGTAGTCGACTGCACTTATGGATTTTTCAAGTCAATTTTAATGGTATAAGGAGAAGTCATTAGTATTTACTGAAACTTTTACATTTATCCGATCAACCGCGGCGAAACTCACCTGCTGTCCGAGAGCCGATCTGTCCCATGTAGTTAATTACAGGATCGAGGAAATACCTTTATAAGGGCAGGAAATCTAGCGTAAATCACTGCCCTTTGAAAACTGGACATTAAAAATCATTTTTGACATCAGATTCGGATTCCTCGCATCAAAAAACCCCACATGCGATGTTTTAAGAGTATTTAATTTCTTGGACTCCTTATCTCCAAACTTGCGGCTCATCCGGGGGTTGAGCTTGATCTGCTCAACTCGCTCATTATGTTTGACCATCAGCTCAGCCATCACATGCTGAGAGTGGCCTCACCACCCTCGAGTTGTGCCGAGGTGCTGCCTCTGCGGGAGTTAGCATTTGGCGGTGGCCACGTTGCATCTCCCTGCCTCGGCTTGGCGCCTTCACCCACCGAGAGTATGGGCCATATTGGATCCTTGGCAATGCGGACCCAGCCAGCCTGATGATCTATTCGAACAGGATCTCGCCATGTTCGAGACCATAATTGCACATCTCCGAGAGATCGAGGGCGATACTTCTTCCCACAAAGCGTTTGTCGACTTTCTCAACATCGTTAGCTGCTTTGACGATTTGCTCACCGGCATCGGCCCGACTTACTCCAAGCGAATCCGCGAAGCACGACCAATTTCTGACTTCGAACAAGTGCAGAAAATTCTTGGAAAGAAGCGAGCGACGACTATTGCATTGAAATTCGAACAACGGTCTATGTACAGATACAATCCAAACAAATAAAAAAATATCAAACCATAATCTTGTTGATTCTTTCACTTTTACACTAAGCTCCGTTCGCTTCAGCAAAACGATAAGCAAAACTTAGTAAGGCGACCCTAAAATGAAAAAATTAATGAAAATTAAATATAAAAAGTTAGACGGTTATCAAAAGAAATTCTCGTTGATTGCAAAAAAAAAAAAACGACTAGAACTTAGGTTAATTTAGGTGTGGCTCTGACCCAAAAAAATTTTAGAGAAAACTTAGAAAAAGCTAAACGTCCGAATTCGGAGGTTCCAAAAATATCGAGAAATTTGTAGACTCTACATTGTAGAGTCTACAATGTAGAGATTCAAGGGATTCTGATAATAAAGATAGTAGCAGTGGATAGTAGTCAGAAGCACCATTTTCTGATACATTTGATCGCTTAATATAAAATTCAATCAGATGATATTCTACGAGCCAGAGCTCATTTATGGTCTCTTCCTCGATTCTCTTTGAGAATTGATTCTCATTTCTATCATTGATTTAGCAGCATCAAGGCATCATCGACTTCATTTAGCCCTTTATCTTATAGAAAGCCGAAGTTATTCCGAAGAATTATTGGCTTAGGTCGTTAAAAGATTAGAGATCCAACTCTTCGCAAAAGTCGGAATGAAAACATCGTTTATGATTGCCTGGCTCAATAAATTACTACTTCGCGGTCGACATTAAATAACGTCTGCCCTTTTACCAACGGATTTATTAAATAGCTTAAAGCTATTTTCTCAGCAGAAAATAAAGGTCTTTCAAATCTTTTGCTAGTAACGACGGACTTGAGGGTCTTCTCAAGTTGAGACTCAGTAAAACAGTCAATTATTGATGGATTCTTTTGAAGGCTCCTTTTTCGGCTGACCACAGCGTTAATTTACTTTCTGAAGAAAAAAAGAAAGAAGAAAGCTAAGTTCAATGGGAGTTTCTAAGTGATAGTTTAATATACTGACACTCTGACACCCTATTATTTCATTTGTTAGAGCATCTGTTAAAATTGAATTGTCAATTGTTTTTCAGGCAGAAATCAAGGAAGAGAATTATGGAATTAATTACTGAGTGATAATTTTTATGAGTTTTACAAATTGCTTCATATGCAAATTTGGGCACGTCCTGTCTCACTGGCATTTAGACGAAGATTGGAAAGCATTTTTATGAGAATCGGATGGCAAGATTTTCCGAGTTCTCAAAAAACGCTAGGCTCTTAAACGAGTGTAGATGGCGGTGCGCGATTGCTAAAAGCTTTGCCAGCTATCAAAGAACCTACTACCTCTAGTCTGAGTTATGCTGCCGATACAATTATGAGCGGCTCGTAATACGAACGCACCAGCAAGTTGTGCCTTTTGCAGAGATTATTTCGTAAAAAAGAGCACCTTCTTTTCCATCGCTAGAATTCAATAGAAGCTATGATTTATATTCTAAATCCAGGAAAAAAAAACGAAAGAGGTCTTGGATGAAATATTTTCTGAAATATTTTATGCAAAACTAAATTTTATAAAACAGAGCATTTCGATCGTTGTCAGGCTTCTTTGATCTTCAAGTTCAAGAATTTTGCACAATAAGTAGTGTGGCTTGACGAAAATGAGCTTTTGATCTTGAGGAGCTTTTGACGGTATTTTTTCATTTAACGGACTCGTCACCTTAGTTGAAATTTTGAAGAATCTGAGACCACCACCAGAAAGAGCATAGAGGTTATGCTATAGAAAAGTTAGTCAAAAAGAAAAAGAAAATTTTGATCCAAAATTGGCTGGTCGAAATTGCATGAAGTTGTAAGCTCGTTAGCTCATCTGATTTTGAACAATAAAATAAAATAATCTTTAATTACGAAGATCTTTTAAAGTTTCAAGCGTGCTACCTTATTTACTGCTTCTGTATTTATTCTTTTGTACGGCCAATATTTTTCATGAGATTTTGATGAAAACATAAATTTGATCTTCAGATAATTTACCCGTGAATTATTGTGCGTTAATAAGTGCGAATCAAAACCGAAAAATGGCAGAATACGAAGCAGGAAAACCAGCAGATGAAGAGGAACCAGCATGCTGTGATTGTTGCATTTCTTGCGAGAACAAAATGATTAGTTTACTGGATGACCTGGGAATCAAGTCAAAAAAACATGTTCTCCATGCAACAGGCAAGCTATTCAGAAAAGTCATCTCTGGCTAACATAGATCCAAAGATCCTGCGTACAACAAAACCATGGATCCTTGTGATTTGACATGCAGAAACGATACCGACGGAAACTTTCCTTATTTCACGCTGATCATGAGCGCCATCCATATCGGTTTCTATATCTATTTCGTTGCTACTGACCCGACCCACAATATCGCTGGCTTTAACAAGTAAGTAGACGAACGCAAGAAGAATGCATGCTGAAAATTTATTCTCAGGAATATCTTATGCTCCCCATTTATCTACTCGCCTTATCACCGGGAAGAAGTGTGGAGATTCTTTACTTACTCTTTTACGCATTCTGGAATCTGCCATATAACTTTCAACCTCCTCTTCCAGATCGGCATTGGATCCCTTTTGGAGGTAAATATGGGCTAATATCGGGCAGAACCAAGAAAAGGAAGTGATTTTCTGGGTCTGGGTTTTGATTGGCCGGTAGGCCAAGTACAGCAATCTTATTGGCTATCCAAAAAATCACTTCCTTTTCTTGGTTTGTGCCCTAAATTTGGGCCCCTAATATCTGTGTCTAGATGATCGCCAGGTTTTTTCATCCCCTTTAGATGGTGCATGGAAGTTGGGATGTGATAAGGATCTACGGCGCCGGCGCCTTGGCTGGAGGACTTACAGGTATTTTTCGGGAAAGAAATGAATGATAAAAAAACGCCTATAAGCTGGAATCATCTCTCCTGGAAAACTTCTTGTTGGAGCTTCAGGCGGTGACTACGCTCTTATTTTCGGCTACCTTGGCAACATGATCTTGAACTGGGACAGTATGAAGAACCCCTTCACCAAATATATGCGACTTATTTTTCTTCGTAAGAGAATGAGTCACGTTACGTATCTTTTCAAATAATTATTTTAGTTCTGTTCATTGGATCAGATCTTTTCAACGCGATTTTTGGATCGTTGGCTAGTAGCGGCGTTTCATGCGGTGCTCATCTCGGCGGTGCCATCGTTGGACTTGGTGTATCCATGGCGTGTCTCAAAAACTTCAACTCTGACAATGATTGGGAAAAAAACGCAAGCTACGTTCTTATGGGTACGCAAAAGAAAAAGTCTCTTCAGAATAATTAAACAAAATTCAGCTCTTTCCGGTGGTTTCGTCCTTTTCGCCCTTGGATGGCAAATTTTCTCCCCAACTTTCGACAAATACGACGAAGTCAATCCTCCCTGCTACTTATTCAGCAAATGCGAGCAGTATGCGACCAACTGTAGCTCCTTCAGCAATCTGTAAAGAATGCGTTTGAAAAGTTTTTTCAACGAATCATTATTTTCTACTGCTAAATATCACGAAATTGCTGATGCGACTTCTATTAATAAACAACTTCAACTCGAAAATTCTTAAAAAATTTCCGAAATCGTTATTGTTAATGTCTACAGACTCTTACCGCTCTTAGCGCTCTTGACTTTGACATTTAAAAAAGTAAGCGGAAATGCTGATCGCGCTGCTCCGATGATCGTAAAAAAGCAGACGAGAAAAAACTAACGAAACGACCCGTTTCTGGGTTCATTCTTTGCAGCTGATTCATTTTACGAGCAAAACTTTTAATGGTTTCCTTAGCTTTATTTCTTCACTTCACTTTTGAAATCAAAGGCAAATAGGTTCGTCTGTATACAAAAATGAGGAGTAGTACATTTCCATGTCATCAATGTCAGGAGCGTTGATTCTCGTTGATTGGACGTTGTCGCCGACGAGGTTGAATCTTTCAAGGTAGATTTCGCCGGAAAACGCGAATCGACCCATTTGAAAGGCGGTTGAGACAACTGCACCGCTAGATACTTGTTGGAGAGTTCCGATTTCCGACCACTAAAGATCGTCTCTCACAATTTTTTCGAAATGATCGCTACTTACAGTGTTGTTTCTGAATCGCCAGATGGATTGATTGTAGCTGTCGGCTCCGAGAGACTTGGTCATGCCGCCAAAAAGGAAAACCGATTCTCCGTCAGTTGTCAATCCGTGTCCGAAGATACCCGCCGTCGCTGGATGAGCAGTCAAACTAGTCCAGCCATCGTAGTCTCCTGCCTGGTAGGTCTCTACGGCGCCGTTGCAGCCAGGTCCGTTCTTGGAGCAGCCGCCAACGACGAGTAATTTTTTGTTGAAAGAAATCATCGCCGCCCAGTCGTGTTCATTCGCAGTCGTTGGCTCGTCGATTCCTTCTTGTCCTTCTCTCCACATTTGACATCGATTTGCGAGAGGAGCGCTTTCGTTACCGAAACACATGAAGACAGCATTTGCGTGCACTAGAAGTTTCTTTTGAGAATAAAATCATCATTGAATTTTAACCTGCGCAAGAGCCGTAGATTCCATCAATGTGGGGATATCTGAGTCCATAAGAATTCGGAACAACTCGGCAGTTTTGAAGCGTCGCGAATCGGCGCGGATTCCGGAATCCACCGAAGAAATGAGTTTTTCCGTGAAAGACGACTGTGCATGTATCTTCCATTGAGAAGTCAACTGGGTGCCTGTAAATTGGACAAAGAAAGCATTGATTGAGAGGGACTTACTCGTAATTGACATTTGCGACTTGAATACTGTTCGTAGCCATGTTTAAATTGTACCCGACGCGTCTTTCTTTCCAGTTGTCGTCCATAATCAACAAGTTTCCGTTTCCGCAGAACTCACTAGAGCAGCCAGAACAACCACTTGGGCAGCCACTGCTGCAAGGACAGGCGATTCTGCACTCGGTTTCGATCGCCAAACACCGCGTTTCGCAGGTATAGTCGGCATCATCGCACTTGTAAACGCATCCTTCCTTCGTATCAGCGCAACTCTCAAAGCAAAGGTCTCCTAGACTTTCGTCAGGGCATTGAGCAGAACTTGAGGCAAGTAAAATTGATAAAGAAAGCTTCATGTTTTTGAAAAAATCAAGGAAGAGAATGGAAATTAAAGGCCTTTATACAAAACAGCTGTTTTTTCCCACTACATCGTGTTTGTTTTATGTAATAAATATCCTGGTTGGCTGGGGTCGGCATCGGTGCAACGGTCGATGGTGCACCGCACCGCACCGCACCGATTTATTTTCGAGGGACAATTGCACCGTTTCGCACCGCACCGATTGCACCGATTGCACCGACTGTCCCGATTAAAATAAAATTAGAGAACTTCGAGAAAAAACTGTCTTAATGCTTCCAAATCTTTCACCTAACAAACATTCGATGATAGAATTGAGTTTGAAAGCAGAATCAAGAGTTTTAGTTAAGTTTTAGGCTAAGTTTGTTAAGGAAAACAGAAAATCGGTGCAATCGGTGCAATCCCATTTCGTGCACCGCTCCGCACCGCACCGAAAAATCGGTGCAATCGGTGCATCGGTGCGGTGCAATTGCACCGTGCACCGTGTACCGATGCCGACCCCAGCTGGTTGGTGATTCTTTTCTTGTTTTAATTCTTTGAAAGGGATGACTTTGGTTATTTTTATTAAAAGTTTCTAGAACTCGTTTTAATATAGAATATGTTTTTGTTTAAAAAATCAGTTTTAACTTCAAGACAATTACGGTAAGGCTTTTTTTGTTGTAAGCGTTTCAAGATATCTTCTGAAGGACCTCAAGACATGCGTGGTTTTATCTGCAAGGGTCCCACTACGGAGAGTAGCCTGACCAGCCCTCGTCCATCGTAAGAAATATATCAAAGCAGGATTATTTTAAATACTTTTTTAGGGGAAGAACGCCAAAAAAAACAAAATTTCTTTTTTCTATCAAGAAAAAAGAAAAATTTGTGAGCGAAGAAGAAGAACACAAAGGGATAGAAGTCGAACAACCGGAAGCACCCATCATCAGAACCTTCTCCAGCCAGAGTTCAGAATGATTATTTAATTAGCTGCATATGTAATGCTACACGAATACTCTTATCTTCAATTTTTAAAATTAGCAAATATCCATAGTATATACGCGCAGATTTTTGAACTCTTATCAAGCGTTGAATCCATGATCTCCTTCACTCAATGGTCAGCAAACCGCAGCGAATGTGAGATTGATTGTCTTGTGGATGAAATTTTAATGTCGATGTCCAAAGGTAAGATGTCGCTGAGTTATATGTTCGAAAGATACTCAAAGATTTAGCCTGATTATAATCAAATAGCATTCTGAATGCAAAAAAATTGTAATAACTCATTTGAGTTAACTTATATCATAATAAAAAGCATTAAATTCAACCTCTCAATTTCAGAACTCTGTTTGGAAATGGAAGAAAAGCAACGTGAAAAACAGATAAAAAGAGAACGACTCAATGTAAGTGAACTTTTGAAAAATTTGATTATTAATAACTGTGTACAACATGTAAATAACATCATCTTTAGAGAATCACCGGATTCCTGCTCTTCTCCTCAACAGTCGCAATTCTCAACAACTTTTACCAGTCGCAGTGATATGAGTGACATAAAGTCCTCAATCGGTCTCCCGTTGAGCTTAGATAGATAAGGCTATTTCCGCCGCGAATCAACTGTTCTCATTTCCTATCAGCTGCTTTCCCCGCGATCTATCTGTACTCGATCCAAATAGGATCATTCAATAAAGTGTGTCTTGAAAGAGTGAACAATCTTTCTTTTACGCTTGAGTCAAGTAGAAAAACCAAGAGTTACTTATTTCAGCAGTCTTGAAACTAATTTTTTAATAAATGCTGAAAATGAGCTTGTTTTTGATCTTGATGTTGAAAGCTACAATAGAAACTAGAATAGTATAATCTCTAGAATAGTAATAATCTCCCCAACTTTCGACAAATACGACGAAGTCAATCCTCCTTGCTACTTATTCAGCAAATGCGAGCAGTACGCGACCAACTGTAGCTCCTTCAGCAATCTGTAAACACCGCGTTTGAAAAGTTTTTTCAACGAATCATTATTTTCTACTGCTAAATATCACAAAATTCCTGATGCGACCCCTTTTAATAAACAACTAACTTCAACTCGAAAATTCTGAAAAAATTTCCGAAATCGTTATTGTTGATGTCTACAGTAGGGTCCGGCATGGATGAGGGTCAGATTTTTATTAGCCCATTTCACTTTTATCGAATTCTTCAGGTCAAAAAACATATTTTATTCCATTACAGTGAAGCTTGAAACCCAACTAGAAAAAATTTACAGGCAATTTTGAGGATTTTTGAGAGTTTTTTGGGTTATCATTGTTTTTATTAAGAAAAATTTTACTGTAGTCATATATTTTGATCGGTTGATCATTTAACTTAAAGAACAGACTCTGAGCTTCATTTTAAGAGATCATTGATAGAATTTCATCAATGTTTTCTTGGAAAAATTCCCGTTCAAAGTTCAACAAACGCCGAAATTTCACCTTTCTATGAGTTTCAATCAAAAATTTAATACAGTAAAGTTCAACTTGAAGCGTAAAACTTTCTTGATTATAATAGCGCAGACTCTAATCTACAAATAGGAGTGTCAATCACTCTTTGTCGAGTTGGGAATCGTAAGATATTTAAGGTTTTCGAGGTTGAAATACGATATTTCAGCCTTGGGAAAGTCCTCCGGAGGACTTTTGCTTGAAGATATTTGCTTAGAAAGGAGTAACGAGGAGTTACAATTCCTCTTTTTCTAGTTCTCTTTGCACTGAAGATGGTCTAAAGAGCCGTAATCGATATGCAATAAACTTCACATTAATCATAAAAATTATTATAAACTATAACATAATAATAATATACATAAATAATAATAATGAAAATCATTTCGGTGTTCTGAAAAAGAATGCGGTTATATAAAAACCATAACGATTTTTGAAATTGGAACAATTCAGATTTAATAAAAAATGGGTGTGGGCGGGGATAGGGACAAAACTGAAATTGATCAACTCAGTCTTGAACATTTAAGTTCCCTGCCTATGTCAAGCCAAAATTTAATTAAAAGCCAGGGAAGGGGAAACGGCCCTTCGGGCCGTCAAGCCCAAATTTAATTAAAAGCCAGGGAAGGGGAAACGGCCCTTCGGGCCGTCAAGCCCAAATTTAATTAAAAGCCAGGGAAGGGGAAACGGCCCTTCGGGCCGTCAAGCCCAAATTTAATTAAAAGCCAGGGAAGGGGAAACGGCCCTTCGGGCCGTCAAGCCCAAATTTAATTAAAAGCCAGGGAAGGGGAAACGGCCCTTCGGGCCGTCAAGCCCAAATTTAATTAAAAGCCAGGGAAGGGGAAACGGCCCTTCGGGCCGTCAAGCCCAAATTTAATTAAAAGCCAGGGAAGGGGAAACGGCCCTTCGGGCCGTCAAGCCCAAATTTAATTAAAAGCCAGGGAAGGGGAAACGGCCCTTCGGGCCGTCAAGCCCAAATTTAATTAAAAGCCAGGGAAGGGGAAACGGCCCTTCGGGCCGTCAAGCCCAAATTTAATTAAAAGCCAGGAAGGGGAAACGGCCCTTCGGGCCGTCAAGCCCAAATTTAATTAAAAGCCAGGGAAGGGAAACGGCCCTTCGGGCCGTCAAGCCCAAATTTAATTAAAAGCCAGGGAAGGGGAAACGGCCCTTCGGGCCGTCAAGCCCAAATTTAATTAAAAGCCAGGGAAGGGGAAACGGCCCTTCGGGCCGTCAAGCCCAAATTTAATTAAAAGCCAGGGAAGGGGAAACGGCCCTTCGGGCCGTCAAGCCCAAATTTAATTAAAAGCCAGGGAAGGGGAAACGGCCCTTCGGGCCGTCAAGCCCAAATTTAATTAAAAGCCAGGGAAGGGGAAACGGCCCTTCGGGCCGTCAAGCCCAAATTTAATTAAAAGCCAGGGAAGGGAAACGGCCCTTCGGGCCGTCAAGCCCAAATTTAATTAAAAGCCAGGAAGGGGAAACGGCCCTTCGGGCCGTCAAGCCCAAATTTAATTAAAAGCCAGGGAAGGGGAAACGGCCCTTCGGGCCGTCAAGCCCAAATTTAATTAAAAGCCAGGGAAGGGGAAACGGCCCTTCGGGCCGTCAAGCCCAAATTTAATTAAAAGCCAGGGAAGGGAAACGGCCCTTCGGGCCGTCAAGCCCAAATTTAATTAAAAGCCAGGGAAGGGAAACGGCCCTTCGGGCCGTCAAGCCCAAATTTAATTAAAAGCCAGGGAAGGGGAAACGGCCCTTCGGGCCGTCAAGCCCAAATTTAATTAAAAGCCAGGGAAGGGAAACGGCCCTTCGGGCCGTCAAGCCCAAATTTAATTAATAGCCAGGCAAGGGGAAACGGCCCTTCGGGCCGTCAAGCCCAAATTTAATTAAAAGCCAGGGAAGGGGAAACGGCCCTTCGGGCCGTCAAGCCCAAATTTAATTAAAAGCCAGGGAAGGGAAACGGCCCTTCGGGCCGTCAAGCCCAAATTTAATTAAAAGCCAGGGAAGGGGGGGAAACGGCCCTTCGGGCCGTCAAGCCCAAATTTAATTAAAAGCCAGGGAAGGGAGGGAAACGGCCCTTCGGGCCGTCAAGCCCAAATTTAATTAAAAGCCAGGGAAGGGGGGGAAACGGCCCTTCGGGCCCCATCGCAATTTTTTAAAAAGCGTTGAAAATAACGAAAGTTTTTGATCATTTTTCCAAATCAAAAAAATATATTTTTCGTCTGATATAAATGAAAAATGCCCTCGGGCGCTTTTGAGACAATATTTTTTGAAATCTGCGTGCCTTAAAACCCCCTTGGGCACTTATCTTTAACAAAAGAGAAAACAAAAATTCATTTTTAGAACTTCAAATGACTCTAGAATCCTATTCCCAACTCGTATGGTGATGAGTCATACATTTTTATAATCCCCAGATCATAGGGATCACGAGGGTATATATAAGACCGCTTCAAGTTGACCACCCCAAACCACTTGCCGGACCCTACTCTAGAGCAATTTGAAATCTCACGATCACTTTTTCTCGAAATTTTTCGATTAAATCGCTAAAACTAAACCGTGTATTATTATAGATAACTGCTAATCTATCTTCCTAGGGCCTCAAAATTTCAAAACCCGAGCAAATTTTCATTCTAGCGTCTTCTTCTTTTTGGCTTTTCTTTTTCATAAATGCTGCGTTCAGGGCGCTCGACCAATCAGCGCGCTCTTTCACATGCCAGCCTCACCGCGCGATAGAGGAGGGCGCCCAGCGCAGCAAACCAGAGCGCTGTCTGACGCTTCGGCTTACTCAAGTAAGCCTCATAAAAATGGCGCTAGAATCATAAATAATTGGAATCTATTTAACTTTAGACCCTAGGAATGTAGAGAAAGGTCCAAATTTTTAATTTATCAAAAAAACTCGACCGATTTAATGGAAAATTTTCGAGAAAAAGTGATCGTAAGATTTAAAATTGCTCTAAAGACAAATTTTTCCATAAAAAAATTAAAAAAAACACTAGAATCGGGTTTCTTAGGCAATTTTAGGTAGGGTTCCTTTTGAAATGAAAAAATTTTATCGTCCCCTTTTAGCGCTACGAAAGTGCCTTGAGAACGGCTATATCCTTAAGAGATATTTTTGACCAGATAGAATCAATGCTGATCGTGTCATAAATAGTTGCGGCAGGCATTATTTAAATAAATCAAAGTATCTAACTCATTTAATTTCGGCACCTGTGCCATAATTAGAGCTTTGAAATTAGCCTGTGGTCCCTATTCCAAATATAAAAGGACTCTTCCTCTCTTTAAAAATGACACCTATTTGAAAACGAGCCTTTCATTTTCTCCTTTCGCCGCGAAACAACTGCCAACTCGAATATAAATAACTTACTCGATTTTCTCAGTTCAGATAAATCGGATAAATTGCTCACGTGAACTTGATCTTTTTCACCTTTGAGCGCGTTGAGTCGAATCAGTGACGTAAAGCTCGATATATTGGGAACAAAGAGCTGATACCCAAATTTAATTAAAAGCCAGGGAAGGGGGGGAAACGGCCCTTCGGGCCGTCAAGCCCAAATTTAATTAAAAGCCAGGGAAGGGGGGGAAACGGCCCTTCGGGCCGTCAAGCCCAAATTTAATTAAAAGCCAGGGAAGGGGAAACGGCCCTTCGGGCCGTCAAGCCCAAATTTAATTAAAAGCCAGGGAAGGGGAAACGGCCCTTCGGGCCGTCAAGCCCAAATTTAATTAAAAGCCAGGGAAGGGAAACGGCCCTTCGGGCCGTCAAGCCCAAATTTAATTAAAAGCCAGGGAAGGGGAAACGGCCCTTCGGGCCGTCAAGCCCAAATTTAATTAAAAGCCAGGGAAGGGGAAACGGCCCTTCGGGCCGTCAAGCCCAAATTTAATTAAAAGCCAGGGAAGGGGAAACGGCCCTTCGGGCCGTCAAGCCCAAATTTAATTAAAAGCCAGGGAAGGGGAAACGGCCCTTCGGGCCGTCAAGCCCAAATTTAATTAAAAGCCAGGGAAGGGGAAACGGCCCTTCGGGCCGTCAAGCCCAAATTTAATTAAAAGCCAGGAAGGGGAAACGGCCCTTCGGGCCGTCAAGCCCAAATTTAATTAAAAGCCAGGGAAGGGGAAACGGCCCTTCGGGCCGTCAAGCCCAAATTTAATTAAAAGCCAGGGAAGGGGAAACGGCCCTTCGGGCCGTCAAGCCCAAATTTAATTAATAGCCAGGCAAGGGAAACGGCCCTTCGGGCCGTCAAGCCCAAATTTAATTAAAAGCCAGGGAAGGGGAAACGGCCCTTCGGGCCGTCAAGCCCAAATTTAATTAAAAGCCAGGGAAGGGGAAACGGCCCTTCGGGCCGTCAAGCCCAAATTTAATTAAAAGCCAGGGAAGGGGGGGAAACGGCCCTTCGGGCCGTCAAGCCCAAATTTAATTAAAAGCCAGGGAAGGGAGGGAAACGGCCCTTCGGGCCGTCAAGCCCAAATTTAATTAAAAGCCAGGGAAGGGGGGGAAACGGCCCTTCGGGCCCCATCGCAATTTTTTAAAAAGCGTTGAAAATAACGAAAGTTTTTGATCATTTTTCCAAATCAAAAAAATATATTTTTCGTCTGATATAAATGAAAAATGCCCTCGGGCGCTTTTGAGACAATATTTTTTGAAATCTGCGTGCCTTAAAACCCCCTTGGGCACTTATCTTTAACAAAAAGAGAAAACAAAAAAATTCATTTTTTAGAACTTCAAATGACTCTAGAATCCTATTCCCAACTCGTATGGTGATGAGTCATACATTTTTATAATCCCCAGATCATAGGGATCACGAGGGTATATATAAGACCGCTTCAAGTTGACCACCCCAAACCACTTGCCGGACCCTAGTCTACAGACTCTACGCTCCTAGCGCTCTTGACTTTGACATTTTAAAAAGTAAGCGGAAATGCTGATTGCGCTGCTCCGATGATCGTAAAAAAGCAGACGAGAAAAAACTAACGAAACGACCCGTTTCTGGGTTCATTCTTTGCAGCTGTTTCATTTTACGAGCAAAACTTTTAATGATTTCCTTAGCTTTATTTCTTCACTTCACTTTTGAAATCAAAGGCAGATAGGTTCGTCTGTATACAGAAATGAGGAGTAGTACATTTCCATGTCATCAGTGTCAGGAGCGTCGATTCTTGTTGATTGGACGTTGTCGCCGACGAGGTTGAATTTTTCAAGGTAAATTTCGCCGGAAAACGCGAATCGACCCATTTGAAAGGCGGTTGACACAACTGCACCGCTAGCTACTTGTTGGAGTGTTCCGATTTCCGACCACTAAAGATCGTTTCCTTACGTCTTTTCTAAATGATCGCTACTTACAGTGTTGTTTCTGAATCGCCAAACGGATTGATTGTAACTGTCGGCCCCGAGGGACTTGGTCATGCCGCCAAAAAGGAAAACCGATTCTCCGTCAGTTGTCAATCCGTGTCCGAAGATACCCGCCGTCGCTGGATGAGCAGTTAGACTAGTCCAGCCATCGTAGTCTCCTGCCTGGTAGGTCTCCACGGCGCCGTTGCAGCCAGGTCCGTTCTTGGAACAGCCGCCAACGACGAGTAATTTTTTGTTGAAAGAAACCATCGCAGCCCAATCGTGTTCATTTGCTGTTGTTGGCTCGTCCATTCCTTCTTGTCCTTCTCTCCACATTTGACATCGATTTGCCAGTGGAGCACTTTCGTTACCAAAACACATGAAGACAGCATTTGCGTGCACTAGAAGTTTCTTTTGAGAATAAAATCATGATTGAGTCTTAACCTGCGCAAGAGCCGTAGATTCCATCAATGTGGGGATATCTGAGGCCGTAAGAGTTCGGAACAACTCGACAGTTTTGAAGGGTCGCGAATCGGCGCGGATTCCGGAATCCACCGAAGAAATGAGTTTTTCCGTGAAAGACGACTGTGCATGTATCTTCCATAGAGAAATCAACGGGATGCCTGTTAATTGGACTGAGAAATCATTGATTGAGAGGGACTTACTCGTAGTTGACATTTGCCACTTGAATACTGTTTGTAGCCATGTTTAAATTGTACCCGACGCGTCTTTCTTTCCAGTTGTCGTCCATAATCAACAAGTTTCCGTTTCCGCAGAACTCGCTAGAGCAGCCAGAACAACCGCTAGGGCAGCCACTGCTGCAAGGACAGGCGATTCTACACTCGGTTTCTATCGCCAAACACCGCGTTTCGCAAGTGTAGTCGGCATCGTCGCACTTGTAAACGCACCCTTCCTTCGTATCAGCGCAACTCTCGAAGCAAAGGTCTCCTAGACTCTCGTCAGGGCATTGAGCAGAACTCTAGGCAAGTAAAATGGATAAAGAAAGCTTCATTTTTTTGAAAAAATCAAGGAAGAGAATGGAAATTAAAGACCCTATGCAAAACAGCTGGTTTTTCCCACTATATCTTGTTTGCTTTATGTAATAAATATCTTTGGAAGGGGTTTTGTTTGGTAGTTGTAAATTGTTCATAAGCAATTTCTATTTTTAATTGTTCTTCAACAATTGGCCGAAAATTCTAGTGCGGTTATTATATTCGTAATCTTCGCATTCTAAGCTTTCGAATGACCCCTTGTTTGTCTTATTTCGATGACAATGAAAAATCGAAAAAAATTGCGATTTTCACGCTAAGTACAATTTACATGCATTTTCCCGATCTTTGGGAGCCAAAATTTCGGGGATGCATTTATGTAAAGGGGTACTATAATATATCAAAATGATCCTCAGAAAACGAGGAATCTAATCATAGGCGATAATGACCGGTGCCAAAGTTTTGAAAAATCGGGGGGTGATCCCTTAAGGGGCAAGAGCGCCATTAAAGGAAAAATGCGATTTCTGAAAAGAAGTTTTAAGCAAAACAAAGAAGAAGAAACAACTGAAGAAGAAATCCCCGATCGACCCATGACTATTCGCAGCTTTGGAAGCCAGATCTCCATATGTTCTTTTGCAGTTCTCGACAACCAAAGAACTGATATTCAACGTGATATTGAGCAGGACAAGGCCATCGAAAGTCTAATCGAAACAACTCTCGTAGATTCAATTAATGTAATTCTTCGTGAATACCAAGGTAAGGCTAGAGTTTCTAAATTGCTTTAACGCTTGTACGCACGTTTGTAAAGTTTCGCTGAACACATATTGCGCAGCGCCTTTGAAGGGTTCTAGCGTCGACTCATTAAAAGATAAGAGACCAATGAATATACCAGATTAATGCTGAGACGCTTGGCAACTAGAAAAAGATAGTTTTGAGTCCTAACCCTAACCTGAACCTAGCTCAAACAAATGATTTCAAGTATGAACTATATGCCATTTTCTCAAGTTTTATCGACTCTTTTACAGATGAAGGTATTATTCTAACAATTAAAATTAAAAATATAATTAAACTATGAAAAATTAACTGATTTCGTCAAAAAAAAAATCAGTTTGTAAAAAAAAAATATCGAGAATTTGTAAAGGACGGAAATTTTCCCTCTGAAGCCAAAATTTTATCCTGAGGCCAAAGATTTTTTTTGATTTCAGATTTGGATTCTTCATCAAAAAAGAGCCCGAAAAGTGGGAGTTCATTTTAAATTTTGATAAAGTAAAGTTTGAGTTATCGAGCTTCGAAGGTGCTCTGCGTAGAAATCTGCGCAATATGCGGTCAAGTGTTAAAATTAAAGTTTTTTGCAAGTTGAAAATTAAGTCAAAAATTTGAGAAGTTTTGGGTCATTTTTTGCGTGTATTCCTTTAGAATTCGTATTCTCAAATATTCGTAAAATATTTTATTCAGAACGCAGGGAGGAGGAAGAAAGACAACGACATATTCAAAGATTTAGATTTGGACAAGTAAGTGAATTTTACTCAGTTTAAATATTGAGAACTTTGCTATAACATTTATCAATCTTATCATGTTAAGAATTGTCACCTCGCTTTGGCTGCAGCAATGCTTGTAGCGATCGTCATCTACATCACGAGAAAAGAATAAATCTTATTTTTTTGTAAAATATTTATTTTAATAAAAAAAAACTGTAAATAAACTGTGCTCTATCAAAGCCTGACTCAGGTAACCTGTCAGGCTTTCCTCACAGGTTGTGTCCAGCTCCAGAATTGATGATGAAAATGCCTTATATTAGCAATGACAGCGTATATTATACCTACTGAATTTCAACCCTCATTCAAAATTTCTGTAGCTTTAACTTTAACGTGAAAGATTCTTACGAGTCCGAATGATTTTCAGATTTTTCTTCGTTATTTATAATCGCTTTTTTTTATTGTTTATAAAAAGACCTTGTCAGAAAACGATGAGGTTTACAATGAATACGTTTGAGAATTCACAAAAAAGCAAGAAAACGCATCTCTATCTTTTGTTTCCTAGCTAGATTGAAGAGGAAGAAGGAAGAACCTGAAATTCAGGAATGATCCGATAATCCCGTAACGCCCGTGCTCGTCTTCAGTTTCCACGATAAGACGCAAACGAGTGAAATCGAATTCACTTTTGCTTTTTCTCTCAGAGAAGCACAAAGCCGCGCTTTTATTGAAATTTTGTTCTGTTCTGATTTATTTTCAGCCGCGTGCCTGGCCGATGTTTCTTTCAGATCGCTCACGCACGCGCTGGTTTTTTTTTATTTTTTAATTGGCAATTATTTTATTTATTTTCCTTCGTTTTTTATTCGCAGAGATTCTAAAACATTAAGCAGCAACAGGTCCGCCAGTAACAGATGAGCCACCAACGGAGCTGCCAGCGACGACGGAAGAGTCCACCGATGCACCAGAGACAACGACTGAAGCTCTCCCTCCCTGCGATGCTTGCCAAGAAACGCTGAAAAACTCGACCATTGCTCTTCAAGGCCTTTTTCCAGGGAAGGGTTGATTTTTTTCACGATTATCCATTGATACCCTTATTTTGCCGGGATTCTTACTTCAACCCTTTCTTTCCAGATAACAGATATGATCTTCTGAGATCTTCTTGCGTGAACAAAGATGTCTACGGAAAATTCTTCGTCTTTTGCGACTTGAATCAAAACGGCGAAATCGACGTCAATGAAGAATCTGTCAAAGTCTCCCTCTACGCCGTAAGAGACAGCTTCTGAGAAGAGGGACTCTAAGATTTCTTTCTTCAGAAAAAATGCGGAAAAGACGGATACGAGTACGACTTGGCAAACAAGGTCGATTTCAGCTGCAGCGAGGTGGCGGGGCCACGCTGCGAAGTGCCGGAAAAGTTCTTGGACGTTATGGGTCCGGGCGGAAGCTACTTTGAAGAAGACGGCAAGCTGATCTTTTACTGCGATGTGAATGAAAACGGCGAGTACGACAAGAAGAAAGAAAAGAAATACGTCTACAAAAAATCTTGTAAGGAACGGTCGATTTTGAAGGGAAAAGTGAGACCGTGGGAAACTACATGCCGATTCAAATTCCAAGGAATATGTTATATACAGCGCGCACATGTCTCATCTTCATTTAAGACTATTTTAGTCATAATATTCACATATGATAGCCTGAAACAAAAAAAAAAGAAAGTCACGCCTATCATCTTCGATGTTTTTCGGCGTTATTATACAATCTTGGCCTATTTAGGCTAGGAATATGGAAAGAGAGAGAATGGGTTAGGGTTAGGGTTAGGGTTATCTACTAGTCGTGTTATAGTATCAAAGTAGACCGTTTAAAAGCTTCAGAAAATCAAAAAGCTGTTGAAAAAGAAGGCTAGTGGAATGTGCGAGAAGCCAACAACAACGACAACTTCCACAACGACAACTACAACAACGGCATCATCAACAACATCGACATCAACAACTACAACATCCACAACGACATCGACAACAACTTCCACGCCAACTACTACCACTACTACTGCTTCTACCACTTCCACAACCACTACAACAACATCAACGACCGAAGCGCCAACAACGACAACAACAACAAAGAAGAATCCATCAGGATGCTTGAAGCTGTGCGACTACGCTTTCAACCGATTCTCCCAAGACGGAATGCAAGTTTCGTGCACCGGCGATTCTGGTAAAAAAGAGAGACGAATACTGATTGATAATTTATTGTTTGTTTATTCTAGAAAGCACATACGAGTGGACTGTTGCATGCTCTAACGGAAAAGAAGCATTGACCTACGGCTGGAGAAAGAACTGCTGGAAGACAGCGAGACGATTCAACGAGTTGAAATGCTAGAAACATGAGAAAAAAATGAATTTTAAATTTGGCGAAGCTTATTTACAAAACACTGGCAGGGTCTTATTCTGGTGAAATAAAGTCTATCGATATCTTTATTTAAACTCGTCGCTGAAATAAATAATATATAGTGATAGAAGAGAAAGATTAAGACTAGAACATCGAAATTGGAAGAAAAGAGACTCGAGTTTGAGTAGTTAGTTGAACTTAACTTACTTAACTGGGCATAGCGTAGTGACTAGTTTCGATCGACAGTTTCGAAGCTGACGATCTGGCGAAAACAGAGTTTTTCGTTATGGCTCATTTCGTGAAAAGGAGGGTCGACAGAAGGTATCTGCTCAAAGCTATCTACAGAAAAAAAGCTTCCCAAAGAAAGCGTGAACATGGAAGCTGATAATTGAAATTGAACATTGATGTTTGCCCAAAAGGGGCTAAAGAAGGTGATGAGATTGAAGCGAGGTTGAAAATTCTGATCTGATACTAGGGGCATTTTAAAAGCGAAAAAGAAGAAGAGCAAATGGTAGATTATTGCAGCTGGAAAATTATTGCTTTTTGCCTTTATCGTAAAAGAGTAAAAAAATGCTAAAAAAAGATAATGAAAAAGAGAAATTCAAAGAGAAATCAGTTGATCGGGACGCAATTTTAGCGCCGCCTTTTTTTATCACTTTTGGGTTTACTTGTCCAATTTCGCGCACTCTTTGCTCACATATCCCTTTGGACAAACACACTTGCAATCTTCGTTCATCAATAAAGGAGGAGGGCAGTCGGATTTCACGGGTTTTTTCACGACCGTATTGTCGTCGTTGTACTTGATTTCAGCTTGCGCCCAGTCAAAATAATATGTCTTTTTTCTTCTAAAAAAAGGCGCATTAGTAACTCTGAATATAATTTATATTATATACTTTTTATATTATATAAATAGTAGTCTTACGAATTATCAATGGCGAATTCGAACTTGAAAATTTGTTTGTTATCATTTAAAGATATTCCCTTCTCGAATACATCTTTTATTCCTTCAATGTCGATCATTCTACTTCTCCCATTGCTGAAAAAAAACTCGTATAGTTTCTGGAGACTATCGCTACTTACGGATATTTGATGGAATGGGGTTGTAAGAATCTCATCGTCGTTTTGTCTGCAAATGGAAAGACGTACTTTCGGTGGAATTTCCGCGGTTCGTCGATGCTTGTGAGGGCGAGGTACTCTCCCCGTCTGAGCCCATAGGCAGTGGAGTTTCCCTTCATGCAGCTGCTGTCGGTGAGCTTGAGTACAAGTCTCGGCTTCCCGGCTTTGGCGACAACAAGGAAAATCGGCAGGAGAAAAAGCTCCTCGCTCCTCCCATCCTCTTTTTCTTTTTTGAAAAATTGGTAGAATGAAGATTTGTTTGAAGGCGACTGTGGAAAAGGATTGGCCAATTGTAATGTTATACTTACACCACACCCCGCGGTTGCTCAACAAAGTTGAAATTAAAGCGATGATGCAACTTTTTCTTGTTGGGAAATCCTGACCGTAGAGATCCGATCTTCCACTTGCTTCGAAGTGCTGCTCGTGACGGTCAAAGGAGGAGAAATCCAGTATTTATAGCTTACAGAATCAGGAGCGATTGCGCAGTAGCGCCGCTTATAGAGCTCGAGCAAGAGCGAGATCGAGCACCCGAGAACCCGGATCAACGTCAATGTCAGTTCTTTCTGCCTCTGCAGCCGCACGAGCACACTTTCTCTCTAGTTCTATCAAACTCTTTCTGAAGCCATTCTTCTACGTCTCTTTCTCGGCTAGGAGTGGCCAAATTAAAGAATTTACTATTTGCGACATAGCAGCCGGTTTTGAGATGTTCCACTTTCGAAACCAGGAATTAAAGCTCTACTGCTCGTAGCTAAGTGATTTTAACATAATTGCATGTATATAAGGAAAGAAGTCACTTATGAATTCTATTATTCTTCTATCTATATTTCGTTCTAAAAATAGAGGGTCACGCGCAATCAGCTGGAAATCAAGGAAGACAATACTATTATTAGTATTAATAAAATCTGGCTCAATCCTTTCCTGCTTCTCAAAATAGAACTTCCAGGTTGAAAAAAAAGACGTTTCTTCTTTCAAGTCCTTTTTCTTTTTCAAAATCTCTCTCGCGCCACTGTAAAATGTACAGTCTCTTGTTTTGCAGATAATTCAATTTTCTTTCCCTTGATGTTCGAAGTTCGAAGTTCGAAGCTCTAGTTCAAGTGCTAGAAAAAAGAAAAGCGAGGAACGATCGTGATGGCGAGTTGAAGTTCGGTCAACTCAAGTCACCCTCTTCAGCGATTTGCGACCGCGGGCCTTGTTGTATGACTAGGATTTTAACGAAAATTTTGTGCTCGCTTGCAGTCTGAGAGACAGTGCCAAAGCAGGAGAATCTGAGCAGGACTAGGATTACTTTCCCAGGATCACTCTTTTTGATTATTTTTGTTGTTGGTTTACGAATTTATTTTGATAACGAATTTCTCTCGAAATCTTTGGAGATTCTTCTTTTTGAACTTGAGTGATTCTAAAAACATGGAAAGCATCGCTTTTAAAGGAGGTTTTTTGTTGCCGTCATTGACGGAAAACGTCAGTCAGAATCCAGCGTGTCAAAGAATGTCAAAAAGAAGTGTTGATGTTGAACCTATTTTTGGATACAAGACTGGATCGGCAAGACCAAGTATGGCAGACGAAATTACTCAGAAAGCGACGACGGGTTCGTAAAAATGGTTCATGGTCATTCTAGGAGAATATCTGTCTTTGTCAACAAAGTAACACTATTCTTTTTAATCAACCGAAAGAAAAATTCTAATTTCTCTTTGATTTCTTTTCAGATTTTTCAGCAGAAAAGGAGGAGAATCTGCTCAAAACGGTTTGAAAGGAAAAAGTCAATGCGCAGTTGAGAAGTTTTTCTGCTTTCATAAGGCAAAAAGGGAAAGGAAAAGCTGACTGTATGGGTGAGAAAACAATCACACAGGTAATTCAAAGAGAATAAGGGCGTCGCTCAAAACCGGGAAAAGAGAGCTCTGACCTGTGAAGAAAGCCTGAGTCTAGGTCTTGAAGGGTCTCTTCTTGACCCTGACTCAGGCGTTCTTCACAGGTCAGGGCTTGCGTTTCCCAGTGTTGAGTGACGCCCTTATTTTCGTTGAGAGCCCGAGTCAGAGTCTTGAAGAGCTCAAACAAAAAGTGCGTAACTTTTCAAAATCCTTACTAAAGATTTCCACATAGATTGCCAAGTCTTGACAACAACGATTGAAGCTGGTTTATAAAGATTTATTCTAGAGCTTTTTCAGAATTTGATTCTTCATTTAAATTTTCAGCGACGAGAGAAAACGCATTTGCTTCTGTTTTTCGGGGTTCATTTTCAAGTTTCAAAATTTCAACAATCCAAAATGTCAAAAACGCAAATTTCGTCAACCCCTAGCTGAGTTGAATCTGAAGGGAGTGAGCCGTGTCGAGCAGCAGACTTCCTTCTCACGTCCGAAGAAGCCGACTTTGGACGAGTCCTCGCAGCACAGCGCCTTGAAATGGAAATTTACCGAAACGGGGAAAAGTTGATGCTTTTACTTGGCCGGTACTGTGGTGGACCAAGACGCTGGTGGTGTTCTGCCGAGCCGTTTACGAAAGATGATTAGATACGGTCTTAATTAAAGCGGGTGTCAATCACGGTTTTCTTAAGGATCTATCTTATTGAGACGCTTATTAAGGATGTGTTTCCGCTTAACCCCTTCGCGCACATCGACCGATTTGTTGGCAGCGTTTTCTAAGGGTGCTCTATCAAAGTTTATCTGCCAACAAATTTGCTGATATCTGCGAAGGAGTTAAGAATCATTACTAACGATGATGATGAGGGGAAATTAAGACCCGTGATTCACGAGCTGTGAATCGATTAAAAACGCTAGAATGCTAAAAATAACCCAATCATTTGCGTCATTTTCCCTTTTTGAAAAAAGAAGCTAGAGCCGCCTATTCATCTTCAGTAAACAGTTCCTGCAAAACTGGCGTGTCCTCAAACTCCGGCCGCGTCCGTGGATCCCAAGCAGTCACGCTCCACATTGTTGCCTAAAATTGAATTGTTTCAATTTCGTAGATTTTCGAAATGAATCTTCATTCTCCCCCTCTTACACGATCCTTTCACAACGGCGCATCTAACTAACCTACGGTAAAAAATCAGAATTAATCGTCGTAAAAGCCGGTTCTATTTTCTACTTGTCAACTAGACTTGAAACTACCGTATTCACCGATCTGATTGATGATCAACTGGCAATTACTGTAATTATTGTTGGGTTAAGATATTAACTGGTTAGCGCATAGAAGGCAAAAAAAGTGGTAGTTTTCTCAAATTTTGGAATTAATTATTTTACGATGATGCAATTTCGAAAGCTCGGAAAAAAGTTGACTTTTGGTGAAAAACGAACTAGTAGAGCCCCCTAATTAGGGCACAATCCAAGAAAAAGAAGTGCGTTTTTGAAAGACCAATAAGCTTGCCGTATTTGGCCTCCTGGCCAATCAAAACCTAGATCCAGAAAATCACTTCTTTTTCTTGCTTCTGCCCCTCATTTTTGGCCCTCACCCAAACCCTAGAATTCTTCTTCTATAATCCAAAGTTAAGATTCCTAACCCTAACTCTAACCCCTCGGGAGAATAATATAAAAATTTGGCTCTTGATTAGATTGATTGAATTCACCTTGGACTGAGACTTGAGCAGGAAAACTCGATTTCTTTAAAAGCATTTTAAGAACGGCAAAGCATAAAAACTGTCCTCCGCGAGTATTTTATGTTAGCCGAATTGCGAAAATCGAACTATTCTGGCAGAACACCGTTTGCCAAAGCTTTACTGCTACTTTTATCCACTAAATCCATTTCGAAACGATCTCAAAACTCAACCACTCAATATTTCATTTATGTCTTTATCAAATGCCTTTCCTTCCGTAAGCGATGTTGCTCAGTGACTGTAATTTCTCGATACTGTCCGAGGCTAGGAACCAGCCCGGCTCCACACAGCTCTAAAAAGAACAAATTAGGGATTAGTTAAAAAGTTAACTAACCTGTAAAGAAAAAGGCTGCCCGTAAAATACTGATTTTCCGGTAGAATCTTCCGATGATTCAGCGCATGGGACCACCCGGTAACATGTTCTTTTCGACGGTACCGATTTTGAGCAAGCAGAAACTGAAAATTTCTTATTTCCTCGACAATCGAGGACGCTATGGTTAGGGTTAGGGTTAAAAAAATGCTGGACGAAATCAGAGTTTTTTTGCCCTTGAGACCCTTAATCCCAGTCATACCTGTCCAACTTATGTCGTTATCAGTGTGAACTGCAACCGTGCTCTCGAATGCGTCGTTCTTGATTTCAACAATGTCCCCAAAGCGCAATTGCTTATCGCCATGCCCTGTTTTCAGGAAATCATCAAAACTGAAAGTGAAAAAAAAAATGAAAAATGGAGGCCTTTAATAACTAATGAAAAGTACTAAATGGCGATCACGAGGTTTTTATACTACGCCGTCGTCGTGGGAAAGAGTTTATGAATACTCCTCTTCCCAATTTTGAGAAGCTCAATGTTTTTTTCAGATCAATAGATATGGCGTTTCTTCAGTTCCCTTCCTGTAGTTTTGACAGGAGCACAGAATCTGCTCCTGATCTTTTCGACGATTTGGTTTCGAAGTTGGCCTGCAGCTTTTAGTCGCTCGTAGTCTAGGAAATAGTCTAATTTTCGCTTTGAAGACATAGAAGAGATTTCAAATTTCTCAAAATTAATCAGCTGCCATTTTTTACTATTTGATGTCATTTTCTTAAGAGCTTATTAGGCCCTCATAAATAATAAGTAATAGTATTAAGGTTAGGGTTAGGGTTCGAGAACTTCTTCAAAATGGCGATTTTCAAAGAAAATTTTGCGAAAAATCTTTTCCGAACTTCATTTTCTGGCCGAAAATTCTGGTTCAAACTTTTCTTTGAAGAAATTAAATAAGGGTGTCGCTTGCTTATGATTCATAAGTTATGAAGAAAAGGCCGATGATGCCTGGCGGCTGCTCAAGAGTTTGTTTTTCTTTGAAATAGATGAACCTTTCAGTTGAAGACAAGGAAGACTAAACAAGTGTCTGGCCAAGTTGAGTTCAGTGTGCTATATGAGCTAAAAAGAGCGGCTTCAAGGAGGTGAGTTCAAGAGAACTAGAGCCGGCACATTTTGCACGTCGCTCAGGGTTCAACTCGAGCGGAAAAGAAGAAAATTGAGGAGAGAGAATTGCGATATTCAAATCCTGGTGCTGGCGTGCTTACCAGACCTCGGCGGATTATTCAAATCATCTCTTTTTCCAGCTGAATATTAGCTGAATTAAATTGCCATGCTAATCTCCCTCTTTCCCAATTTCGAAAATATAGTGATCATGTAAGCGGTTCTTTCTAGTCATAGGGGAACTTACTTACTCAATAAAATTCAAAGTTATTGAGGTTTTTTCTTCTCTCTAGTGCTCGTCACGTCAAAATTTAATAATAAAAGGGTATCATTCTCGTTAAAATAAGTTCGAAAATCGGCTCAAAACTCATAAGGTCGAAGGCATCCAGGTTAGGGTTAGGGTTAGATATCCCGAGTTTTATTTTTTTTCAGATACTTCTCTGAAAACTTAAGGACCCCCCGTCAACAATTTTCGAAAAATCTATTTTCGGAATTTTGACCCCGGAAATGGATTCTACAGGTCAAAAAACGATTTTGAGGCTTCATTTTTTGGGGGTTAGATCTCGACTCTATCACCCTAAAAATCGCGTTTGAAAATCGGACTTTTCGACGAAAAATGACGAAAAAGTCCCAATTTTGCTTAAATTTCAGATTTTTATTGGCCAAAAAATGCTCCAAACAAGTATTCATGATAAATTGAACTTCCACGCACACAAAAAAGCCAAAATATGGCTGTTATGTAATTTTCGATTTTTTGAGGAAAATTGTTGACGGGGGAGTCCTTAACATAGCGATAACTTTGGGAGGCTGGAATCTAGGGTTAGGGTTAGGGTTATCTATCTAGAGTGATTCAGGCATGATGTCCTAATTCTAGCCCTGCCAAAATGTAGATTTTAGCAAAGAAAGAGGCCGTCGATCGAGAAACGAGAAAAAGGTTTAAGCTTTCTTCTGATCGAAAAATAAGGGTTTCGCTTTGTTATTTTTGAGAAACCTTGCGCTTATAATCTACCTTGATTTTCTCCGTCGATTCTGAAAAGATCTTCATTCCAATTTCCGACGCGCGTTTTCGCACTTTTTCGCAGTTCAAAATCGAGTCTTTTCTATTTATGCACAAAATAACTAGTAAATAAACCGCGCCTATAAGCATTGATAAATGGTCGAGGGTCCATTTTTCCTCTTCTCTGATAAAAAATAGAGATGTAGCCTGCTTGGGCCTAGAAAGAAGAAAAAACTGCGCGTTGCTATAGTGACGAAATTGCTATTTGGCGAGAAAGGAAATTAATTAACAGCTTGTTTTATTGCTCCTCCACCGAATACTCTTTCAAGCCATTTGACGATCAGAAAAAGAGTTCAGAGGGTAGGGATAATTAGGGATCAATCAGCATAATTGTCGATTGATCTCTCTTCTTTGAACTGAGCGGAGCAGCTGATCAGCGCTTCCTGCTTTAGATTCTAGCATCTGAACTTCTACTAATTGAGCTCACCTGCCTGAATCATGCTCCCTATCCCCACTTTCCGAATAAAAGCGCAATCAATTTCCTGGAACCATCAAACAAAGAAACGACCAAAACATCGAGAAAAATGACCGACTCGATCCGATACTTGAATTTTTACGAACTCGCGCTTCTTTCCCAGTCTGTTGGAACCGAAAGGGCCAGCAAAATGGTCATGAGCCGGAGCCGAGGGCCAGTGGAAATGAAGATCGACCAAGAAACCGCGGAAAAAATGAAGATACTCCCTCGAGATGAATGGGTTACCGTCCCCCTTCCTTCCTCGAAATCGCCTTTCCAGGAAGAAAATAAGAAACAGCGGAAGCAGAAGACCGTCAAGAAGGGATCCCTCAAGCCGACCAAGCCACTGTCTGACGAGCAGAAGGAAAAGCTCTTTGGAAAAGAGAACGCTCGGAAGAGCGCCAGCCCAGAAAAGATCAAGAACGACGAAGCACCAAAGAAGAACAAGTCAAAAGCGAAGAAACCAAACAAGGGAAAAGCTCCAAATGCCATCCGAAAAACGAAGAAACCTTCTCGCCTCTAAATCAAACGCTTTACTGTCACTTTTACTGCATTCGATATTTTCTACTGTTGAACTTCTCCAATAAAGTTAACACCAAATCAATCGATAAAATACATTCTAGAGCAGAATTCTTCTTTCAATAATTGAATCAAAAGAGTATGAATTTTCAAGCAGGTCTACTAGACACAAGACTGCTAGACACAGGACTGTCATGCATGCCGGTATTATTAGGTAATCAAAAAAATAACACTTGACAGTAATTTGATATTCTTAATCAAATTATAAGCTTTTCAAGTGAGAGAAAATGTGAATTCAAAGTTTAATTTCTTCTAGAACAAAGTTCTATTATTGAATTTTAAAATTCAGAAAACCAGTCTTCCTTTTGAAAGCCCCCTACCCAGAGAGAACATTCTTGCTGCTGGCGCCTGGCGGTCCCACATGGAGGGGGTGCACCACGCTATGGAGCCATCCACAGTGTCCACGTCATCCAAGGTAAGCTATGCAGAATAACTTGATCTCTAAATAATATTTTAGCTTACCGTTACCAGCGACATATCCTGCGATGTTGCCAGCAAAATGCTGGCAGTTCGAAAAGAGCAAATGGAATGCGACGCACTGGTCAACCCAGACAGAAACCGGTAAGGAGCCTTCTTGACTGATCTGAGTTGATAAAAACTATTCTAGTGCGCCTTTTCGTGATCGATTTGCTGGACGTCCCCGGCGCGAAAAAACTGATTCGTAAGTAATTTGCGCTTTTTCACGTTTAATTTATTTTTCAGGGACAACATTCAATTCGCCGATGATTCTTCAGATGGAGAAGATTTAGCACGAAAAATGGGCCGATCATTTCCCTGCCACTTACACTGAAAAACATTTGAATAGAAAGTGAATCAATCAAACTTCGCCTAAATTTCAATTTCGATTCGAAAAATAACATATTCTAGCTTAGCCACTTCGTGGAGTAAACCAGAGTTGCAAATTTGGCTTTATTTTCGCTGAGCTGAGCTGAGCTGCCCTGAGTGAGAAATTCTCTGAGCTGAGCTGGCTATTTTCAGAGGTCGTTGAGCTGAGCTGAGCAGACCTTTTTTTAAGGTAGTTGAGCCGAGCTGAGCTGAGCAGACCCTAATTAGAGCTGAGCTGAGCTGAGCTGAGCAGAACAGATCATGTTCGAGAATAATTGAGCTCAGCGGAGCTGTGATGAGTGATTATTGTCTGAGCTGAGCTGAGCTGAGCAGATAAATTCATTTTCGAAAATAAGTGAGCTGAGCTGAGCTCAGCTCACTCAGCTCAGCAAATTTGCAACTCTGGAGTAAACTTCAGTGTATGAATCTTAGAGCATGGTATACCCTTATTCCAGACATTTAGAAAAGCAGCTTGATTAGAAATTGGCAATTGGGGATGGTCTTAATTAGCGAGTATAATTTTCGGAGTAAAATACCAGCGCAGAGTACCAGAAGGTTTTGGTGAATTCGCCGCGGGGCAGATCGATTCAGAATTAACACCGCGTTTTGGCTCCAGCCTTTTCAACTTCTCATAACAATAAAACTTAAGGAGTCTGGCCTGGCCATTCAAAGCGTTTTTTCAATTCCCGAATTCCCTGAATTACTTTTTCGGAGCAGAGAGAAAAGAAAGAAGAACGAAAAACTTGCGCCAAAGAGTGAAAACGCAAATGATAACGTCTCTGGCGAAACTTCGGAGAAAATAGCCTTTTTGATGGTTATTGAAAAAAGAAAAGAAAAAAATGGAAGCTCATGTGAGGAATCAACTCATCTTCATTGTCTTCTGCATTTCGAGCTTCTTCATGCTCATTTTTTATATTGGTAAGCAAAAACAATCTACGGTCTTGGAAATTTTTCACTTACAGAAAAGAATTGAAAGCTAGAATTTTTGGAATTTATTGAATCATCAGCGATTGAACGATTGAAACTTTGCGGCTTTCAGATCTTTCAAACCCTGACTAAGGTTTCCTACCTGTGCTCAGCAACCTGTGTAGAAACCCTGAGTCAGGTTCTGGAGAGCTAAAATGAAAAGCCGCGAAGTCGGTTTGCGGCTTCGTTTTTTAAAAAAGCCGTTGGGCGGCTTTCATTTTAGCTCTTCAGAACCTGACTCCGGTTTTTTACACAGGTTGCCGAGCTCAGTTTCCTACACAGGCTCACCCTCTTCCGATGCATGGAATAGGAAAACTAGAATAAGGAAAAGGGGCCCCCTTGTTGACAAAAAAGCCTTTGTTTGTTATAAAATTAAAGTTGTCAAAGTGACTCGTTAATAGTAACAGTCATAAAAATAATTAGATACGATGATTTTGCTTTTTTTTAGCTTGGACGGAACAATGCTTCTTAACAATTGTTTATTTTTTGTTATATAAAACGCAATAATAATACGTAAACAAAATGGAAAAGGATCAATCAAAAGGGGCCGTGGAAGAACTGATTGCCCTCGAAGCCGTGAGAAATGTCCTCCATATTCAGTGGCATTCGCTTTTCCAGGCGATATTCATTTTGGCTCAGGTTTTCTTCGGCTCTGAAAGTTTCAGAATAATAATTGGGTCAAATTGGCCGGGTCTTATATTCAACTTCTTCTGTTTATTCTTCGCAGTTCAAACTGTGAGGAATTGAATTTCAGAATAATTTCATTTTAAGACCAACAAGTCCTGGACTTAATTTTCATATTTTTCCGAGTTTTTCAAATCCTGAAATTCAACATTGATGGTCTTGAAATGACAAAGGTCTGATCAAAATGAACTTGCCGTCTCTACTAACGATGGCTAGGTCAAAAAGAGTTCAATCTGAACTGACCTTGGTCATTTCAAGACCATGAATGTTGAATTTCGGGATTCGGAGACGTCGCAAAAATGAAAATTCTATTCTAACTGGTCTTAAAATGAGCTTATTCTGTAGTCTACCCTCAATAAGGAATGAATTTCTACAGAATAAGCTCACTATAAGACCTAGGTCAACTTCACCTTACTGAAGAATATGACAAAAATTGGGACCTTAGTAAGGGTAGAAGAGGGTTATCCTTCGAGCTGCCCCTAACCCTAACCCAGGGGCTCAGCCCCCCCCCCCCCCCCACAAGGACCCCCCAACTAAGGCCTAAGCAGGGGGGGGGGTCTAAGGATGACCTCTCTCTCCGCAAGAATTAGTCGCTTACCGAGGAAAATTGTTGTTGTTCCATGGATTCGTATAAGAAAACGGCTGACCATGAGTAGTTGGGAATATGAAAAGCGTAATGATCCCTAACGCCTCAAAAAAGAATCTCATTTTCGTCAAATTTCCTTTTTCTTTTCCCGTTTATAATCGAATTAAATATTCGCGAAAAATGCGCTTTCGTCGTGACTGAAAATGCAGTAGCGCTGCAGTGGCTTTTATGAAAGCCGCAATTAATGATTAATCAAAAGATATATACAGTAAGTGTCAGATCGACATGGTAATCTGCAGCAAGCGCCACTGGAAATCCATTTTGAGCCACCTCTTCTCGCTAATACTTCAAATCAAAAATTCACGCGATCGACATTCGCTCTCTTCTCGATCAGCGCCAAAAATAGATTACTGTAGCATGGGATCTCGTTACAGGCGAATACGTCAATCATCACTGACGGCAGATTTTCATTAAAGCGTTTTGAGGACCCCGAGTCAGGTTTTCTACACAGGTTGCCGAGCTCAGTCTTGTAGAAAACCTGACTCAGGCTCCGCGGCTTTCTGTCCGGCTTCCTTCAGAACCCTGACTCAGAAACCCTGTTTTCTATTCAGCCAAGGCCAGTTCGTAGCCTTGAAGTTAACTCAAAGTTTGCTTTCAGTGGTGGACCAGAGTCTCGAAGAAGAACGCTCCTTCGCAGCAGCAGCTAATTTGGTGAAGCCGGGCTTGGGGGAAATCTTCGATTCCGACGTAGTAGAAGGAAAGCGCCCAAAGTGTCTCCCCGTCAGGAAGGGCTACTTACGCGGCTGAGAAGTCAATTACGATATTGTTTTTGGAGGAAGCGAGCGATTATTTCTGAGCCGAGTTTATGCGTACAATATACAGCATCACAGTATTTTGGAGAAGGCTTTTGCGGTAGAATGAACACGATCGAGTTCAACTGTCTAAAATTTAATTGCTTGTTTTTCTTTTTTTCTTTAGAAAATAGACAGGTTAACGGGGTTGCCATCGTCGTTCCGAAAATTCTCCTAAAAATAGTGAAGTGACACCCTTATTTTATTTTAATACGTCCTCGTTTTTTTTGTGAAAATGCTTGTTTTTACCTCCAAATTAACAGGAGTCCTCCTTGATTGCAAAAAAATCGAGCCCACCAAAAAGCCACATCGCCTTCTTGCCGATGGACACAACGGTAGATGCCTCGAACACGAGATGTTTCCAACGATTATTCGCGCAATATGGAATGAAGAATAATTTAAGGCAAGTTCGTTTTCCCTCTTTTTTCGTTCAACCTTGTTTTAGCTTCGCTTTGCCGACTGGAAACAACGAGTGGCGAAACGGGCTGGGTCACTCGTTCAACCCGCTTTCGAGCTCGGGCAATATCAGCACGGTGATTGGCTTGACCGACAACAACGAAGACTACCACTTTGACATCATTTTCCACGAAATGGTTTTCGACGCGGTAAAAATCTACGAAATCATGCCTGGCGACACGATTTTCATTTCGCTGCTTCAAGATCCGGTTTTGAAGTTCTACGACGCCTGGGTCAAGTACGAGGATCACTGGGCGATGAAGGAGAAGCTTAAAGGCCTCTCTCGCTTCGAAGCGATGAGCACCTTCCTCAACGACACGGACGAATACCTCAAGGACCCCAGGAAGATGTATCTCGACGCGCAAATGCTCAAGGGAAAAGGAATCCGAAAGGCGAATGCGAAAATGAAGCACGGGATCGAGCCGCTTATTCACCTTGTTAATCCGCAGGTTAGTCGTCTTGAAAAGAAAAAAAACACTATTATCATAATTCAGCTATTTGTCCTCGGCTTCGAAAGCACAGAATTCCGGCAAGTAGACAATCTGTACCAGGCGATGATCAAAAGCACCGAGTCGCAATTCCACGTGATGCTGCTCGACGAGTTCTTTGAAGAGTCGTTGGCGATGCTGAAACACAAACTCTGCTGGACGGTTCGGGATGTCGTCTACTTGGCGGCGGCGATCAGGAGGCCGCAAACTGTGCGGAGCTACGAGGATGTCGGGCTCAGCGACGAAATTGTGGAAAAAATCAGACACGGATTTTCAAAAACGTCGTTTTTTTGGTGAAGCGACAAAAATGCGACAAATTTGCATTAAAAATCTTGTCGCTTATTTTGTCGCTTTCTTTTTATTGACTCAAAAATGAAGATTTGGAAAATCCGCTTTTCAGAAATTTAAACAAGGGCGATGTTTTACTTTACGAAACCTTCCAAGAATCGTTTTGGAACTCGATCGACGTTATCGGTCGCGCCCGGGTCAACGTCATCAAGAACCAGATCTTCAGCAATGCGGATAAAATTGTCCAGCGGTGCATAGAAGACTGGGACGATCAAGGCATCGGTTTTTGACAGCTCAGGCGCACTTCTTGTCGTTCTCTTTTGAACTTTTCAAAAAACCGATTGAAGATGGAAACCCGGTGCCTGTTTTTTTGGAAGAAATGCGTGAAGACCACCACTGCCAGCGAGTTGCCCTGATTCGTTACAAATTTCTGAGAGATCTTCAAAGTCGACAACGCAAACTTATGCAGCGCAATTAAAACCCCAATCCTAATATTAAAATTTTTTCAATTAAAAGTTGCTACAATGAATTCAATTAAAAAATAATAAAAAAAAACTCGCGCTAATTTTTCGATTTTCTTTTCAATAAAAAATTGGTGCAAATTTTTCTACGTACTACCAGTAGTGAAAAAAGACCACTTTCTGTTATTTAAAATATGATATAGGTAAAAACATATATCATTCAATCTATCTATTTTCGAGACCCTTTCCTGTACATTCTTTTTTTTTGTGAAAATATTTAAAAAAATTTCTAAGCCTGTGACATAATATATGCAATATATTGTTCAACTGCTTACGCTGCTCCTCTTTTTAGACAGTCTTTATCTATTCAATAAAACTATACAAACAATGATTTTTTCGATAATTTCAAATTTTCAGAGGACATAAAAAGATTCTTCAGTAATTCGGATCTGATTCCATTTTTTCATTTTCCACTAAAAAAGAAAAGTTTGATTGAAACGGTTATCTTACTGTCCGGGCTGGGCAACCTGTGTAGAAACCTGAGTCAGGGTCAAAAACCCCGACTAAGATGGTATTTTTGACAAAGCTCCTTTGCGGCTTCCTTAGGAAAATAGCCGCTACGCGGCTTTTATGAAAGCTCTTTCTGGACCCTGACTCAGGTTTCTACACAGGTTTTCAAGCTCACTGTAGCCTACCTCTGTAAATCTGCTCGGTAATCCATTCGGTGTACTCGTCAACATCAGCATAGGCAGCTTTTAGTTGGTTTTTCAATCAATTTTTAATTATCAAAAATACATATGATCATCATTGATCATCATTGAAATTGAGAAAGAAGCTAGAAAATAAAACCTTAACTGGATTTCCCGAGCCACAATGCGCGTCGCCAAAGCTGGTGACTCCGCGGAGGAACCAAGTGCGTGTAGTTGAATTTTCTAAACAAGAAACAAGGATTTGAAAACAAGGAGGAAACGAGCGCTTTTCTTACCGGAAATAAAAGCAGAGCAGCTCAGTGGGCCGCCAGAATCGCCACTACAGGTATCCTGAGCGCCCATGCCCGCGCAAACCATTCCCTTTTCCGTCCAGCCTTGTAAGCGCTGGCAAAGTTTTTCACGGTCGAGCGCGTTTTTTAAATAGAACAAAGGATCTCAGCTTGAGAAATAGCGCTTTTCGCCGTGATGGGAAAGTTTTGGATGAAAAAAAACGCGCTGCCTTTGGATCTCGGCTCGGCAACCTGTGTAGAAACCTGAGTCAGAGTTATTTCAGGGCCCTGACTCAGGTTTATCCACAGGTTGCCGAGCCCAGCTTTGGATAGGAATCGAAGCCTTTTGAAGCATCTTCGCCGCCGCCGGATTCCACGTATTCGTGTTGCCCGTCAAACCCCAGCCGACGATTGTACAACACGATCCGGGCGGAAAAAGGGCGGATTGATGAGTTCGCGAGAGGCAGATGGGTTGAGTATTTTCGTCGAATTCGATCTCTTCGGCGAGGCGAATGAGCGCGATGCTGGGTTCGGCAACCTGTGTGGAAAACCTGAGTCAGGGTATGGCGTTTCATTAGAGATCTTCCAGACCCTGACTCAGGTTCTTACACAGGTCGCCGAGCCCAGGCGCAATATCGTCAGCTCGCGATCGCTGAAAGCAACTTGGTCAACTTGCTTATTCAAAATTACGCGTTTTTACTTCCATACAGCGCTTTATGTTTCCGGAGCTCTTCCAGCCGCAGAATTCGGCCTTGACCACCACGTCCGAGATATTCACATTTTTCGTTCCATCAAAAACGGACGAATACGGATTCTGCTCATTCGCGGGCTCTTTTCTTTCATAAATATATGCATACTTGGCTGGTGTAGCGAGAAAAGAAATAAATCAGCCCCGCGCCTGGCCATACCCGAGATGTGTTCCAACACGCACAAAAATTTTCTCCACATAATTCCTCAAATAAGCCGCTTTGTTGTTGCGGAATTTCTGAAGTAAGAAATTTATTCAGTTGATAATTTAGAAAAAGCTTCTCCAGAAGAGATACCATTTGTAATCATTTAACGAAGAGACACCCTTATTTTATCTCGCTAAAATGCAACTCGGCAATAAACTTTGTTTTTCTTAGAGAAGAAAAGGTAAAATTAAGGGGGTAGACAGCGATTATTGCAATTTTCGAGAACATTTCTCTTCGAGATAAACCATAGTTACAACCTTATTAAGACAAAACAAAAGAAAACTAGTCGCTCAGCTTGTCATCTCAAATCAATTTAGTGGGACAATAAGGGTGTCCCTCTCAAAGATAAATCTGCACAAAAATTGGGTTCATAGCTGTCTACCCCCTTAGTTTTAATATTTTTTTCAAAGACAAACAAAATAAAGACCTAAGTTGCATTTTTGAACGATAAAATAAGGGTCTCTCTTCGTAAAATTTTGTGAGATTATTCAGCTTTGTAGCTCTTAAAAATAAGGGTATCACTACGTAATTTTTTATTAATAGAACCAAAAATTTTTTTCTTTTAAAAATATTTTTTGAAAAAGTTTTTAGAAAAAAATGTATTTTCTACATTTTGTATTTTGTGGGAGCACGTAATTATTTATTTTTCGCTGTTTTGCAAGTCAAGCAGATAAGCTACTGGGACGCGTTTATGTTTTTTCTCTTCTAAAAACCACTCTCTTGACCTGGAAAATAATCAAAGCAGAAAATTGCTTGCCTGGAAGTTGAAATTGAAAAGCGACGTGTCCGTGATACAGTGCGCCGCCGTAACAATCCACCGTTTGCCGATTATCGAACCGCTAAGTAAAAAGGATGAGATTAAGATTCAATCGAAATTGAAATTGAAACGAACCCGCAGAAGTGCGCCCTATCTTCTGGAATGTCTTTCGCAGCGCTAGAAATTGGTAATTTCTGTTTGCTCGGTCGCAATCGCGCGATTTGGAATGAAAAGAAGGTGTTTTGAACTTGCAAATTTGATTGGGATCGGAGCCCTTTTTGCTTTTAGAAATTGCATATGCATGAGAAGCTGTTATTTCAAATTTCAAGTACTGTAAATGGTATCGAAACTGTTTTATGAATTTATGAATTATGTTAGCGCGTTGCTTTATATCTGAAAAGGGCTCGAATTCAAAATTGCTTCTAAAAATTTCAAGAACAAGTACTACAGTCATCTCGCAAAGTAACGAATTATCAATTTCATCAAACGCCAATCCGTTTTCTGATTGGTCGAAAGTCAAATTCTTTGGGCTCGACCAATGAGCGAAAGGAAACCAGTGGTTGGTGTACTGGTTTCCTTTTGCTCATTGGTCGAGCCCAAAAATTTGAATTTCGACCAATCAGCGAATGGATGACGCTTGATGAAAAGATTCGTTATACGGCGAAGTGTCTGTAGACAAGTCTGGAGAGAGATTAGATTATCTAAGCCCTGAGCTGAGCGAGACGATCCAAGGAGAGAGGCGCTGGAGTTCATCGTGTCCATTGACAATCCTGCTTTTCGCGTGGCTACCTTTGGATTACGAAGCGCAAAAATGTCAGGCCGCGCTTTCAGGAAATAATCCACTCCGTTTGTGTCTTCTGGCGACATTCTACCTCAGCGCGCGAAGGCAAAGCGTCGAACAAATCGGTTTTACGAGAAACGATTCGTGTTTTTACAAGAAAAGTTACGCTAAACTCGTCTAAAACCGTTTCCATGTGAGCAGGGCTCGAATTGATGATCGCGATTTCTTCTTCATTGATGATGTTTTTGCCGCAGTCGCCGAGTTTGGGAAGAATATCCCAGTTTCTAAGTCACTATTTTATTTCTTTCAAGAAATTTCGAGTATAAATTTTCTGAATTTTCAAATATCTAAAATTTTTGATCAAAGATCTGAGCGGCTATTTTAAAAGTCAAACTCTACTACCCTAGATCAGATAGATTACTGCATAACTACAATTAGATTCGCAAAGTAACGTCTAAATTCCAGATCAATTTGTAAATTTGATTTTCAAAGGAAGCAGGTAGAAATTCTAAGTCTCGATTGCATGGTGGTTTGTGGAGATTTAAAAGTTTCAATTGAAAAATTGACTTTCAAAGAACTGAATAATTTTCAAAAAATAATTGAAAACTTAAGGGTATCACTCTTCTATTAGCCCCTAGTCTTGTCGAACCCTTAGGCTTCCCCGTCCGAAAGCTTAACTCAGGAACCTGTGTAGAAAGCCTTTAGACTTAAGTCAGGGTCCTCAAGAAGCTATAATGAAAAGCCGCGTAGCGGCTTTTAAATAAAGCCGTGAAGCGGCTTTGCAGAATTTACCATATGAAGCCGGTACGCGGCTTTTCATTATAGCTCTTCAACAACCCTGACTCAAGTTTTCTCAACATATTGCCCAGCCCAGTCAAGTGACTTACTCAAGAAAGATGTGTTTCGCCGAAATGGGCGGCTGCTGAGTAATGTGAAAGATGTTCAAAATATCGGAATCGTCCAAGCCCTTGACAAAAATTTCGCGCAGCGTCAAGGGCGGAAATTGCACATTCAAGCGTCCAAGCTCTTTTTCGTTGATGAAAATCCTGAAGCTATCGCTTTCGCCTTCGAAGTCGTTTTCAAGCGCGATTTTGATTTCTTGCGCGCCCAAAATAATGGTTAAGCTCGTTACAGATTTGGCCGAGAATTTGCCATTCAGACAAACTCAAATTCACACAATCGCCTCTTTAGAAATTTCGTTTTCTTATTTTGCTTTTTTGGTAATTAGCGCTCTATTACGTGACGTAAAAAGTATGTGATAAAGTTAGTGTTCGTTTATATTGTTCCGGTCGGCTTTATTTGAAAAAGAAATTATTTTTCTTGCGTTTAATTTTAGATAATCTAGCATCATTAAAGACAAGGAAGAATCGTGGACGAATTCCGAAAGACTTTCTAATGCGAACTTTCTTTAAAATAAAATAATTTTGAAGTTTTTAAGTGATTTCAGAGATAATCGAAAAATAAATCAAATTTTTTGATTCAAAGGATTTTTATGCTATCTTGAAAGAATCTTCTTGTTTTAAACTGTTTCCACGAAGGTAGTAGGGGTTATCGGTCGGGCAGCCCCTAATCTTAAGCCTAACGCAGGGTTAGGGTTAGGGTTGGGACCCCTAGTAAGTTTTCCCTGTGGGGAGGTGTCTGGAACCGACATAAAAAATCGACAAATTTTGCGTGGAAATTTTCAACCAATCAGAAGCCTGGATTTTGCAAAACGGTCAATCAGCATAAGAGTAACCGCCCACGCAAAATTTGTCGAATTTTTGTCGGTTCCACACACCATCCCCCTGTCCTCTAACCCTAACCCCTAACTGAGAAAAGGGTCATTTTTTGGTGTAGCCCCGCTAAACATTCAGAAGTATTAGCCCGATAAAATGGGGACCCCATTTTTAGGCCTTTTTAGCTGAGCTTGAAAACGTGCCGAATCTGAGGTCCAAATGGAATCCGCTGGTACTGGCGCTGGGTTCAAGAGGTATGCGCCGTGCTGATGCACTGACAATAATTGAATAAGGAAAGTCGACACTTTGCTTATGAAAAATGGACAGTCGAGATTATAGAGCCTCTCTCTATTTGGCTGCAACGTGGAATTCTTTACTTTTTATCGCGCGGAAATGCGATTTTCGAAGCGTATTTTTGAACCGGGCCTGTTGTTGTCTCAGAAGGGATGATGCTTTTTCAGGAATATTAGATTGTTTCCGAAAGAAACGAGAAAATAGAAAATTGAGCGAAAAGTTGGAAAAATCTTTTGAGTCGAAAACTAGCTAAAGACTCCAGCCTTAGCCTTAGATGGTGAGCTCGGCAACCTGTGTAGAAAACCTTAGTCAGGTTCCGAAAGACCATTGATGAAAACGTCGCTCAGACCCTGACTCAGGTTTTTACACAGGTTGCCGAGCTTAGGGCCGAAATTTATGTGAATTTTTACCCTTTTTATGGGTCCTTCTTGGGGAAAAGCAAAATTTTAAGAAAATTTTTTCAACTCAGCCAAAAATCTATTTTCGCAATAGCTCATGCAAGAGGCTCTTATCTACCGCGAGCGCGAGGGTAAGGCATCGCCCGCGACCTAACGTGTCGAATAAATCTTTCTCCAGCGAGTGCTCCGCCACCAGCGTCATTCCTCGCTCATCCAACAGCTGCAGCGATTGAACGCGGCCGGAATTGGCGCTGAAAAAGATTCGAATGAAAAACTTTCTGAAAAAAGCCACGATGAGCTCTTTTTTCAGATGCTTTTGTATGTGCCGCGCTTTAGAGGCGACGCTAGAGCGTGTCTAGCAGACGCTATCCGATTTAGAACGATCTGAGATTGTTACCTCTTTAGCTGCAATACTCCTCGTGGACAGATAGCACAAGAGCTGCTCAAAACGATCGTGGCGCCGTCTTCAAGTCAGATGAATCAAAATCCAAATTGCAAAGATTTAATCGAACTTACTTTGAAGTGAAAGAAAACGAATCCGGAAGCGGGATTTTTCATTCAAAACGTTGCCATTTCGCCACAAGTCTTTTACTTATTGAGTTTCACGATCGAGTTTTTACCCCGTGCATTTTACAAAGAAATTAGAATACAAAAAGGAAAAGAATGATGCGTTTTGAATCAAGAATTAAGTATAAACGGATGTTTTTGACCAGCGATCCTTAATAATTACCCCGTGGATCGACGATTTAGACGGCTTTTTCACTAAAATAGAACGCCTGTGTAAAACTGGGCTCGGCAACCTGTGTGGAAAACCTGAGTCAGGGTATTAAAGTTTTAAGCTGAAAAGCCGCGTAGCGGCTTTTTAAAAAAAAGAAGCCGCAGAGCGTCTTTGCAAAATAGTCTTAAATTTAATATTCGTATTCTGGCGAAGCCGCTTTGCGGCTTCGTTTTTTAATAGCCGCTACGCGGCTTTTCATTTTAAAACTTAAATACCCTCACTCAGGTTTTCTAAATAGGCTGCCGAGCCCAGGTGTATAAATCCTGAGTCAGGGTCCTGAAAGAGCTGGCTACAGGCCCCTTTTAGAACCCTGACTCAGGATTTATACACAGGTTTTCGAGGCTAGAATTCGAACTTCGTGTGTAAAACTCTGCCTCGTAAAATATCTTCGCCTAAAAATTAAAAATAAGATTATTTTTTTCCGTTAAAATTAATTGACATACTTGTAACTGCAACTGCTTGAAGGATTAAACTTAAAAAAGTCGAGAAAATCAAAATCTTCCGCATTGAAATTCCCCAAAAAGTCGTCTTCTCTTTTTTTTCAAGCCTTGAATTTTGTTTGTCTGGTTCCTTTCTTTCGATTTTGTTAGTCAACAATTCAATGTCGCGTCATTTCATTTCCAAATCTTGCTTCGATCAAAATTCTTTTTCAACCCTTCTTCAAATTTCGAACGTGAAAAAACGCTCTCTTATCAAATTTTTCGTCTTCTCAATTGAACATTTCTTTTTTTTGATAAGAGCCCTAGAATTTCAAAATTGAGGATAAAGTCGTTGCTATTGCCAGTTTGTAATAAGACCTTTCTTCCAAGTTTAACATAGTGACACCCTTATTCTATTTCCACAAGAAAGGCTGAAGAAACAAAGGGTTAGGGTTAGGTTTATCGATAAATCGAGAAGTCGCTTGCGGCTTCGAGCTTAAAAATCAAAAGCCGCGCGGAGCGCGGCTAAAGTATTGATTTCTCGAAGCCGCAAGCGGCTTCTCGACTTGAAATTCTGTCGATAAGCCTTTGTGTCTTCAACCTTTCCTGTCGTAACAAAATAAGGGGGTCACTATGTTAAAATTAAGAAAACAATATTTTAACCGCGCTTCGCGCGGCTTTCGTTTTGTTAGCTCGAAGCCGCAAGCGGCTTCTCGATTTGTTGCTCTTTCTCTTTTGGTATTCTTTTTTGATGAAGTAATATAAGGGTGTCGCTCTGTTAAACTTTAAAAATAGATCTTAGCTAAAAAATCGAAAGCCGCGCGGAGCGCGGCTAAAAGATTGATTTCTCGAAGACGCAAGCGGCTTATTGATTTGTCAATATTGTCTATTGGCTGTATATTTCTGTTTGCGTTTTCTTCGATAATAAGGGTGTCACTATGTTAGAATTCAGAAACGAATATTGCAACCGCGCTTTCCGCGGCTTTCGTATTTTGGCTCGAAGCCGCAAGCGGCTTCTCGATTTGTTGCTCTTTATTTCTTTGTCTTTTCTTTTTTGATTAAGTAAAATAAGGGTGTCGCTCTGTTAAACCTTAAAAATGGATCTTTCCTCAAAAAAGTACAGGAAAAGTGAAACTGCAGCAATAATCGCTTCCGAGCATATTTTTTCTCGCTGAGGGAATACATAAATTTAAGTCCGATAAAATCGCTGAAAAGGGGAAATTGGTGGAGCGCGCGTAGAAAATTAAGCGCTCGGCGCGGCGGCGGAGGAGGAGCTCCGAATTTTTGGTGGTGGCGCTTTGGTGAACTCTCGACGGGGCGCTCGTGCTCGGTCATCGGCGCCGACCGATAACATTTTTGCCAAGAATCTTAAGCTTTCTTTCTTTCTTTCCAAAAGTGACACTTTTTTATTCGACCGATTTTTTTGATCTCTTTCACGATGAAGAAGTTGCTGCCCGTTTTGTGCTTTCTCAAAGAAACTGGCTCGATCTTTTCGACTTTTTCAATTTTCAAATTTTGTGATTTTTTTTCTTCATTTTTTCAGCCAGAAATCAGAAATCAGCGGCAACTACCAGGACGTGCTCAACAGTCAAAGAGAAAGCTTCAACAAGTTCAATCCGAAAGTGACCAAGAGAGCCAGAACGACGCAATCGACTCCCTTTGAGCAGAACGGAGTCTTCGACGATCTAATCACTTCCGATTTTACGGTTCAGACTGCGCTAGGCAACGGGTTCAAAGCTAGAAATCAAAATATCAAAATCGCTTTAGATTTTTTTGATGAACACAAAGCTTTATGATTTTTTTACTTTCTCACAGAGATAACACAAAATATAACACAAAGTTTTAACACCTTTTTTTATCCAAAATCTCCAAAAATCTTGAAATAAAACTTTATTTTTTAAGGGAGTAGACATCATTATTTGTGAATTTCCAATTCTAAATTGGATTTTTATTTTGACTTTCGCGGGATTTACGTAGTAATATTAATGACCGGATTTCTGAAAAATTTGATAAAAAAAATTAGCTTTCTTCTTTTAAAATTAAATAAGGGTGTCACTTCTCTATGTAAAATTTTGAAAGACAAAGCTTGAGAAAAAATCTTAATTCATGATGACTCCCTTAATATTATCAAGCGTAAAGATAGTAAAAGACATTTTCCCTTATTCCAAATTCTCCAATTAGTGAAGGCTACCCCCTTAATATCAAGGTAATCATTCAATTTGATAATCCTTCGAAAAAAGTTTAAGCTTTCTTTTCGCCTAAGAAAATAAGGTCTATCTCTCGTATTTTTTTAATTAAAAAGAAAAGTTGTAAGTTAAAAGTAATAAGGGTATCGCTGTGTTAATATGCTTGGTCGTTGATTAATTACGAGTCACGCGATTTCACGTTTTTTAAAAGCTTAAAACGTTTCAAAGCTCTTTGCTAGGTCCTCAATCGCTTAGGGAGCAATTTCATTTGCATTGACGCTTCCAAAATCGGCGGCGTCCTCAATTTGATTTGAGTGGCGCATTCACTTTTTTTTCTTTTTCGAAAGAATAGCACTAGAACCCGAAAAAAGGCTCTTGGACCTTCAAAGATGCTGTTCACGCTACAGGCACGTGGTTGAAAAAAACGATCGGAATCAAGAAAAAACTTGAATTTAAATTTAAAATTTGAAAAAAAAATTGATTTCTAAAAATTTTTTTCGAGAGTTTTGAAATTTGAATTTTCATAAATTTTAAATTTTGACCGAAATGGCTCAAAATAGAAAAGGAAAAATTAATTAGGCGCGGTTCTATTTAACATAATCGCGAAATTTAAAATTTCACAAGTTGTCCGATTTCGTTCTAAATCGCGGTGAAAGGTGGCCGCGCGCGCTCCCACTTCCACGGCAAGGGGCTTGAATGGAACGCACAGGACAGCTCAGAAATCACTCTTAAAAAAATATCCTACTGAGGGTTCTTTCGATAACGAATCTTCTCATTCCTGAACCTGATTGGTTGGAGCCTGCGTTCGGATCCAGATCCGAGTCAGGGTAAAATCGACCAATCAGCTTTTTGATGGAAAGATTCGTTATCAAAGTAACCCTCTGTAGAAAAAAAATAAAATAGTTATGCATTCGATTCTGAGCTAAAAACAGGAACTCGCTGTACATATCGAACCAGACAACGAAGGATCACCTCGAGACAGGCATGGTTACAAGCACTTCTACAGTTCCATTACGGAAGCCCTTTCAGATCATTATTGTTTCATTCAGACATTCCCGGTTTATTATTTCTGATCTGATCCCTGCGCTTCTATTAAGAAGGCTGAAAAGAATCCCCAATTAAAATAAGCGAGTAGTAGATAAAACCCGATAGAAAGTCTCGTCGTGCGTAACCAATCTTTAGTTCTCAAATTTTGAGTCCCAAGTTCACGAATGTCAAGAATGGCTGGAACCGCAAATACTGCATGAACTTGGATCTCAGTATCCTCAGCTCAAGGAACGTTTCGAAAAGTAGAAAAGCTACAACAGGGGCTTTGAATAATGAATTTCTTCAATCAAGCATCTGATTGGTCGATCAGATAATAATTCTTCTTTTTCGAAACAATCAAAAGCACGAAATTAACGATTTTCAACAACTGGTTCAAGATCACAGAAAAATGGCACGCAGGTGAAAAAATCGCCGAGATCTACTCGACCGAAGAGTGCGAATCCGAAGACCCAACTTTTCCCTACAAAGACGAAGAGAGAAAAATCTGCGTTCCCGGCAGCTCGAGTGGGGAGGAATCGACAGTGGTGGAACTGGGCCCATTCAAACCACTCGCCGTGAATTTGGTGCTCAAAATGGTGCTCGACGCCGAATCGGACATCATCATCAAAAGCATTGCTTTCCGCGATTGCAGCCCGGAACCGGACATGTCCCAGAAGCCGACACCGAAGCCCTCGGGCTGGCTGGCCAATGCCAAGGCAATCAACGACCCGCGCTACGGAACGTACTGGAAACCGGAGGAGCAAAAAGAAGAAGAGGAAATCGAAGAGGTGCAAGAGAATGCACCAGCTTGGACGCCCCCGCCAGTCGTCATTCTCAACGCTCCGACGCAGCCAGCAACTCCAGAAACGATCGTCGAAGCTACAGAACAAGCAGCTACAGAACAAGCAGCTACGGAAGCGAACCCCGTCCCGGGCGAAATCAAATTGAAAGGCGCCAACGTTCGAATCAGCTCGACAACAACCACGACGACGACCACAACGACTTACAAGAAAGCAGAAGCGGTGGACTTGCCCGCTGATTGGGGCGTAAAGAAGGAAGAAGAACCATTTGACTCGTTTGTCAAGTATCTTGGCGCGGAAGAAGAAGAAATTGAGGAACTCGTCGAAGAAGAGGAAGAAATTATCAAAAAAGTCAATTTTAAAAGTGAGTTTCTTTTCTTTTTTCAGAAGAGTGACACCCTTATTTTCGCTTTATTAAATTAAGGGTGTCATAATGATATGAGAAAGTTCTATTTTTTCGCCTCAAAAGGCCAATTTTTAATATATTTTTTAGAAAAACCAAAAACGCAGACGAAAGCGGAAGAATCTTCCTCCTCCCTTGGCATGACGATATCAACCCTTTTATCATCCCTGCTAATGCTGCTTTTAATCTAAAACGCCTATTTTCATAAACCTAACTATGTACCTTTTCAACTGTCCAAAGCTCTCCTCAACCTTGCTATTATGTATGTTTCCACTCATTTGTACAAATAAAAAGTCGACCCTCAAAGCTTTCAAGTGCGAAAAAAGTGTCAGTTTCCGTCAATTTCGCAGCTCTAGCAATTAAAAATCGGCAGCTTCAATTTGAAATTTGTCAAAAATGATCATCAACTAGCGTCTTCCCGCATTTTTCCACGTTTTTTTTCAATAATAAGGGTGTCACTAAGCTAAATCTTTCAAATAAAGGCAGGGCTCTTTTAGATAGAAAATGACTGTATGTTTTTGTTTACACACTTTTGGGAGTTTCACTTTCGGATCAGCTGACGTGTCCTTGCGAATATTTCAGCGCGAAAAAAAGGGTTGAAAAAGAGAAGAAAGAGAAAAATATTAAAGAAGGATGAAAGGGAGGGTTTTATTGAACTCAATCGCGGGGGCTATCATAGTACTCAGCGAAGCGTGTCAAAAAAGAACCGAAAATGCAGATACGTGATAAAAGAATCTGCTTATATAAAGATGCCAAAATTGCGGCTTAGCTGCGTATTCATCCGATGGTTTTCCGATTCAGAGCATCCAAATTGCTTCTAATTACTGTACCTTTTTTATACGACATATTCTCGTCCTGGACTCTGCAACATGTGCAGAAAACCTTAGTCTGGGTAAACCTAACCCTAACAGGGTGAGGGTTCGATTTTTTTCGATTTTGGCGAAGCCGCTTTGCGGCTTCGTTTACAAAAAAGCCGCTACGCGGCTTTTCATTATAGATCTTTCAGACTCTAACCCTGGCTTTCTACACAGGTTTCCTAGTTCTTGTCACGTGCTAAAACGCGCCCTAGAATTTTTTTAAAGCGAAAAAGGTCAATTACTAGTACCACGGTTGAAACTCGATGCAGCTAATTCTAATTGATATAGCCGCCCTAAAAGACTCAAAACCCGCTCTAAAGTCGCGAGATTAGTGGCGTTCAAATTGTTGTTCGCGGAGGGAAGACTCCACAGAACTCGCTTGGAGGACGAAATTGACGGGCTTTTGGAGGTCAAGGACGAAATCAAGGAAATCGGACGAAAAAAAGAATAAATTGGAAAAGTTAGAGAAAAGGGTTAAGGTTAGGGTTAGGGCTTCTGTAGACACCCGTAGACATTTATAGACATTTTTAGACATTTTAAGACATCTTTAGACATCTCAAGACATCTCTAGACATCTGTTGACATCTGTAGACATCTATAGACATTTAAGACATCTAAAGACATCTACGGACATCTACAGACATTTTAAGACATCTGTAGACATAATATCATCCAATAAGGATGTCAATTTTTTAACCAATGTCTTTTTTTCCATGAGAAAAATTTACCTAACTTATTTTTATTTTTCAAAATCGGATAAATCTGGTTTATGTTGATCCTCTTCCCGCGAAACTTTGCTTGAATGAAGCGAGTTTTTAACCCTAGAATAGAAGTAAAAGAAACGTGACTGTATTTACATAAGACTCCTGATCACAGTGATAAGAGAGAGAGGTTGATATAGAAATTGGCCAAGCTGCTCGAGATTTTAAACGTCGATAAGTTGAGTATCCGCTAGGTAAGCTCGAGGGCTTAATTGCAGAGCCATACAGATGCTGTGGGACAGTTATCACGTCCCACGAACTGTTGCCTTCCAATCCGTTCTTTTCGCGAAATTTAACCTTGTGACACCCTTATTTTATTTGACAAGAAGAAGGTTTAAACGTTTCGTTTCTTTTTCTCAATAGTGAGGTGTACCCCTTAAATTCATTTTTTTACTCTATCACAAAAGCTAGGGGTGTCTCCTTAAAGAGAAATTTATTTTCGCAAAACAGAGTTTAGTTTTTTTGTCGAGTAGACAAACATGGTTATTTGTTGACATCTTTAGACATCTTCAGACATTTTAAGACATTTTTAGACATCTACAGACATTCATAGACATCTATAGACATTGTAGACATCTTTAGACATCTCTAGACATCTGTTGACATCTATAGACATTCTATAGACATTTATAGACATTTCAGACATCTAAAGACATCTACAGACATCTGCAGACATTTTAAGACATCTGTAGACATTATATCTCAATATAATTTTACTCTATTACAAAAGCTAGGGGTGTCTCCTTAAAGAGGAATTTATTTTCGCAAAACAGAGTTTAGTTTTTGTTGAGTAGGAGTCGTTTTTAAGCTCTGAAAGTTTGCACCTCAGATTTAGCCTTCCTGTTTTGGATTAGCTTGTTGTGCTTTATTTAGGCCTCACGTGCGTTAACTCCCTTTTCCCACAGCTCACAACTTTTTTGTTTAAATTTTGCATTCTTTCTTCTCGTCCCAAAAGGTAGCTCTTGCACATGACGGCGAAAGAACAGCACGAGTCACTGGCCAAGATCTTCGCCAAAGTCGACAGCAACCAGAACCAGACGATCGAATACGAGGAAATCCACCAGTGGATGCACAAACTCGAGGACCATATTGTCAAACGCGATGTTAAAATATCCGTAAAAGCCAAAATTTCGTCAATTTATTTTTCAAAATCACCTCTTTTAGTTTCCGAAATTTGACATCAACGGGAATGGGCAACTGGTAAAAACGAGTTAACAGTTAATTGTCAATTCGTGAGAAGAATTCTTCACGTGGCAATTTTAATGGAGATCCTTAAACTTTAATCTCCGAAAAAGAAGCCTTTTCCCTTACTTAAATTGACCAAAATTATAATTTTTGAAAATTACACCTTTTTGGGCCAAAAAGTGCGAAATGAGCTCTTTTTCTAAATCCAATAAATGCCTTGTTCAAAGGAAATAAAAATACAGTTGACATTCATCGACATTTGTAGACATCTTTAGACATCTGTAGACATTTATAGACATTTTTAGTTATTTTTAGACATCTTAAGACATCTCTAGACATTTGTAGACATCTATAGACATTTCAGACATCTAAAGACATCTACAGACATCTACAGACATTTTAAGACATCTGTAGGCATTATATCTCAATATTATCATTGAACTTCTTTTTACCTACAAAAAGACTCGTGGATGAAAACGAACTGCTTCAAACCTTGGGAATAAACGAAAACGAAGTGGAGCATGAATCGCTCTACTTGGTCAATGTGGAAATCTTCCGCGCGGCCGACGAAGACAAGGATCTTCAACTTTCAGGAACGAGGGAGCAACACCTTCTCCTTGCTAAAATATTGATCTTGAGGCGCGAGTGGCCACCAATTTGCAGCCAACGTTATTTCATAGCTTCAAAGTCGAAAGCGCCGAAATCTCGAAATCGTGGCGACTCCTCGAATTCGATTTAGAACACTCTCATTACGCGTCTTTTTTCAAGTTGATTTTCCCTTCTAAAAAGAGCTTGAATTTGGAGCTTTCCTTTTCCCGCGAAATTACGAACGAACAAAGTATCTATTTGTCAAGGAGTTTATCGCAGACTTGGATTCCAACCACGACGGAATGATCAACTTTGGTAAGTTCATTTTTTTGTTTTGAAGAGTGTGGTATTGGCGATGATAATCAGCTAATAGCTAAGATTAAGGGTGTCACTTTGATAATTTTCATAAGATAATTTTTTTAATTTTCTAAATATATTATTTATTTAAAAATTTTTTTAAAATTGAAAAAAATTATCTTATAAAAATTATCAAAGTGATACCCTTAATTCTAACCAATGAAATATCAGCCCAGTTCCACCTTATAAGCCCTAGAAAACCATACCTTTTGGAATCGGTGGAAAATTTCAAGAAGATTGATCCTTTTTAATCTTGGAAAAATCTTTTCCGGTGCGATTCTAGAGCCCCAAATTTAAAAAAGGCTCTGTAATGACACAAGCTCGAATTTAATGTAATATGTCACTGTCGGAAGGCATTTTAGAAAGGTGCTGATGAATTTTAAATTTCAGGCTCTAGAATCGCACCGGAAGGGATTTTTTCAAAATTAAAAATGATCAATCTTCTAAAAATTTTCCTCTGATTCCAAAAAGGTATGGTGTTCTAAGGTTTATAGGGTGGAACTGGGCAAAGATTTCATTGGTTAAAATTAAGGGTGTCACTTTGAAATTAAATCTCTGAGAAAAATAATATAAATTTTTCTCTTTTTCTTAATTTTTTGATAAAAATTAGAAACTTTCGGAAAGATAAAAAAACTATGCATTTGTCGATTTATTCGTGATTACTTCTAATACAGAAGCTATCACTGACAAGCTATTATGACAATCAAACGGCGCTATCTTTCTCAATGCCACACCCCTTTTCAAAGAGGAATATTTGATGCAATACGACATCGACCTGCGAAAGGAAATTTCGGAGGATGAGGCGCCACGTGTTGAGCTGGAGCGAAGAACGTTCTCTTTCCACGACAAGACGAAAAACGGACTTTTAGAAGGTACACTTGCCAGCCTTAGTGTCAATCGTAAACATTTATAAAAAACAAGGAAGCGAGCTAGATGAGCTGGTAGATCCGCCAGGAATCAGCTGGTTCGACGGGGAAATCCGCCATTTAATCAACACTGCCGATTTGAACGACGACGAGGGATGGGCTCAGCAGCCTGTGTTCAAAACCTGAGTCAGGGTCTGAAAGATCTTCCAGGCCCTGACTCAGGTTTTCAACACAGGTTGCTGAGCCCAGGACAAGGTAATCTCAAAGAACGAATTTCTCCGCGCGTACGACACCTTCATCGCCTCCGGTTTCACCGACCACGGGCGCATCCACCACGACGAGCTTTGAAATTTCAAAAATCTTCAATAAAACTTGCTTCCAAGACGAAATTAAAAGAGATGACTCGACGAAAACGCAGTTCAAGTCTTTTCTTATCTTTGAGTTTCGTTTCGCTCTCCCACGCTCGATTACGTCTTTTCTAGCACTTTTTAACCCGTTTTGGTGAACGTAGACACTATTAGTTATAACCGAGACTTGAATTTTCGAGCACTACTTTCTCATTGACACCCTTATTTGCTCCTACTAGCAAAATGTAGTTTGAACCTTTGTCAACTTCCTATCGAAGTCTAAATTTTTAAATAAGGGGTCACCCCTTAAATTTATATTTTCTAACTTCAATAGGGGGCTGGAGAAATGTTTAAACTGTATTTTGATAAGGCAAAATAAGGGTGTCAATATCAAAAATCAGATCCTTGAAGAACACTCTTTCTGCTTTATCGACATTTTTGTCGGATGATCGAGCTTACTTCCGGTGAACGGCTAGGCCGCTAAAACGTGTGAGCTTATTAGTCAAGTCCTTAATCTCTTTAAATTTTATTCTCAAAGCGGAGCAGATAAACTCAGAATCCGTTGCAGGGTCGTTGTCCGTCACAGCAGTCAACCGACAAAGAATGCTCGCAAATTCGCGAGTTCGGCTCCCAGTAAGTTCCTGGAGGACAGGTGAAGTCGTACAGGATTCCGTTGGAGCACTGATTTTAGGTTTTTGCCTCGAAATTACCAAATTGATTACAAAAAAGTCGCCCTCTAAAACCGTTCCTGGAAGTAGTGGTCGCAGTACTGCGGGTGGTTGTAGTAACCGTCAGGCGAGTTACCGCAATCGGGCGTGACACCGTTCGAGGTCGTTGTTTGCTTAGTTGTAGTTGTCGACCTCGTGGTTGATGAATTAGGTGTGGTCGGGCCGCCGGTTGGCGCTGCTCCGCCGTGGAACCACTCGTCGTAACCAGCGGAAAGAAGAGGATATCGAGATCCGCAGTAGTTTCCTAATCGCGATTTTCAAAATTCGTTTCGCGGAGAAAATACCAAGTGTTGACCTGAATGTTACCTTTGAAGTCGTCGTCGTCAAGTGTCCACCACATAATTCCACCGAGGCGGTAGTGTTTCGCCAATTTCACCTGGAAAATTTACTTATTTTTTCCTTTTCTCTCATCGATTTAATTGAGTGACACCCTTATCTTTTTTCAAAAGCGCAAGTTTCTTGAACCACAAATTTCAATTTCCAATATTTTTGGATTTTTCAGTTGCGCTCAAATCTGCCAGCTGAAAATTTTCAAAGAAAACCAATTTTGATGGAAAATTTTTGTGTTAAAAATTACCCAAATTTAATATTCCCGTCTTAGGAACAAAATAGATAAAGGATTGAACTATCTTTTGGTGGAATCAAATAAGGGCTTCACTTATTAAGGACCCCCGTCAGCCTTTTCTCCAAGAAATGGAAATTTTGAAAAACGCCATATTTTTGGTTGTTAATGCGTCCTCAGGTTAACCTTGCTTCAAAAACCTGATAAGAGGAATATTTGACCAAGAAAATTCGATATTTTTGCCAAAATTAGGGCAAATTCGTCAATTTTCGGCGAAAAGTCCAATTTTCAAATGCGATTTTGGGGGTGAAGGAGTCGAGAAAGACCCCCAAAAATGAAGCCTCAAAATCGTTTTTTGACCCGAAGAATCCATTTCCGGGGTCAAAATTTAAAAATTCCGAAATTCGATTTTTCGAAAAAGCTGACGGGGGTCCTTAAAGCTCCTTTAAAACCCTGACTCAGGTTTACGAACTGAGCTAGACAAGGTTCTTACCTTGTATCGGATGCTTTCTTCGTTGTCAAAGCCGATCCATTGGTCGCCGCCGTGAGCGTAAGTGGCTGAGATCTCCTCGTCCCAGACCGTCTTCCAGCCTTCGTTGATCTTCTCGCAGATTTCGTAGTAAGACAAGAAGCCCGGCTCGCGAGTGTACTTGCCCGGCGCGCCAGAGTAGAGTCCGGTGTTGGTGTCGAGCTTGGCGGGAGCCATGTACCCGTGATTGGCGGAGGATTCCAGGGTGAAGCCACGACCGTAGGAGGCGAGTCCCAAGCTCAACTTCTGGGGATTCGCGCCTTGGACGATCCAGTTTTCCAAAATCCACTCGACGCTGTCGGTGTAGCCCAGTCGGTCGTCGGCTCTTTTGATGTGGGCCGGCATTTGGTGTCCAGTCTTGTCCTCCCAATGACCGTGCACGTCGTACGCCATCAAATTGACCATGTCCACGTGTTGCGTCAAATGGACGACGTCGTACGCCGGGTTCTTTCCGTCGATTCGGTAGATCATTTTTTCTGGGATGCCGACGGCAACAGTCAGCAAGAAGCCTAATTTAGAGGTAAAGTCGCTATTTTTCATGATTATTTTCGAACTGGGCTCGGCAACCTGAGTAGAAAACCTGAGTCAGGGTCTGCAAGAGCAAAAATGAAAAGCCGCGTAGCGGCTTTTTAGAAACGAAGCCGCAAGGCGGCTTCGCTAGAATTTAAATATAAGATGGAATAATAATCTTGCGAAGCCGCTTCGCGGCTTCGTTTCTAAAAGCCGCTACGCGGCTTTTCATTTTTGCTCTTGCGGACCCTGACTCAGGTTTTCTATTCAGGTTGCCGAGCCCAGTTTTCAAACCTGGGTGCTTGTCGACTTCTTCCCTGAGAATTTCGATCATTCGCTGGTACCGGTAATAGTCTTCTTGAGGCGAAACGTCGACAGTCGTCATCGCTGGGTACTCCCAATCGACATCGAAGCCGTCGAAGCCGTGTCGCTTGCAGAAGGCGATGGAGTTTTGGGCCCATTTTCGAATTCCACTTTCGCCAGAGTCGAGCATTTGGGTGAATCGAGTGCTTCCGTGATTCCAGCCGCCGACGGCGAGGAGCGTCTTTGCGCCCTTTTTGTTCGCCATGAATCTGGCGTACATTGCCTCGTCGTTCCATTCGTACTCCTTGATCGTCCATTCGCTGCCTTAATAAATGGCTCTTCAGATAAACGTACGAAAGAGCTGTTTTTGTTGCAATTTAGGGAGCGCCAATTAAGACGTAAGGTTTTCAAAGACAGCGCTAAATTACACAGGAAAAATGGGCCGCTCAATTAAAGATACTAAGATAAGACTGATACTAAGATAATAAAGGTGCATAAATTTCAATCATTTTTATTGACGTCTGGAATACTTAGTACGTAGATCAATTAATAATGTATCATTTTAAAGAAATATTTATTTATAGAAAAAATGATTCCTGTCGGGATCGGAGAACTTTGGCTAGGTTTTGTTTCATTTTAAAATTCTGATTCTTGACTCCTTTCCGTCAATTTTTATACCCAAGGTCATGCTCTAATACTCCCAGAAACTGATAATAATCTACCTCTCCACCTGCTATCAGCTGATCAGAATCATTTTGGAACACCTTTGCCAAACATTCTTTGGCCGTGAAAAAAGGAGCTGTATGTTTACCTGTATTGTGCATTTCGGCAAAAGCGTAGATCAGATGGGTGCAGAGAGAGGCGTCCATGTCTTCCGGAAAGTACGTGCCATAGTCTGGCCGGTACTGGGACCAGTTGGTGTAGTAGCAGCTGATCCAGCCAGCATCTTTCGTGTCTACTTCTGTCGCCTTATCAGCATTCAACTGAGTTGGGCTGAAAAAAACGTGCTAGAAAAAAAACCTCTTTTTTGGATGAAAAAGTACCTGCTGTAAGCAGAAACTGCCAAAAGAGCACTTGACAACTTCATTTTTCTCTCTGTCGCTCAGAATCTAATATTCTTCGAGGAGTGGAAAACTTCGTGATATTTGAAGACAATTGCGTTTTTACGATTTATTGAAAGTTGGTTATTATTTAATGAATTTGGACTTTGTCTTACAATTAACTTTGAAGAGTCAATTGAAAAATGGAAGTTCAAGCCGAGAATATTCTTCTTCGAGAATCGCAAAATAACATAAACTAATGTTCGTTACTCAAGCTTATCATTTCGCCGAGCAACGGGAAGGGAGAAAATACGGAAGGCGAACCCGTTTATCATTTTTTGCGTAAAAATTTTTACTAAAAATGGTGTTTACTCGAAAACTTGATCGCTTCTTCATTTCCTTCTTAGATCTCCAATCTCCAATAAAATGAATATGAATACTACGGGCCAGTTTAAAGTTGAAGAAAACCTGAGTCAGGGCCTGATATTTTCAATTAGTATCAAAGCTTTTTCAGACCCTGACTCAGGTTTTCTAAACAGCCAGGCTCAGCAACCTGAGTAAAAAAAACTGAGTCAGGCTCTGAAAAATCTAAAATTAAAAGCCGCGTAGCGGCTTTTTGAAACGAAGCCGCAAAGCGGCTCGCTAGTATACCCATTTTAATCGTATTAAAATTCTTGGCAAGCCGCTTCGCGGCTACGTTTTAAAAGCCGCTACGCGGCTATTCATTTTTGGTTATTCAGGGCCTAGCTTCCGTTTCTGAACAGGTTGCCAAGCCCAGATCAGGATTTTTCTAATGAAATTTCTTTTGCTAGATTTGCTAGCTTCAAAGTAAGTTTCATGTCAATTAGACGATTTTTTGAATAGAACGGACACGAAAGATTTTTACGCCATCGATTGGGATTAGTCCAGGGGCTGACCATGGAGTTGCTGATAAGTAAAATGCGCAATAAAGGGTTGATGATGATAAGTGCCACTTGAAAACGTTTTTAATCTGCCGTCTCGACGAACATTGAACAATTGTTTGTTCAAAAATTTTAATAGAATTTCGTAAAAAGGAATCAAGTCAGTTTTTTTGTGTTATTTATTTATCATTATTTTAGTCGGAAAAGCAGGGTTTACCAGAAAATATTTCCCCAACTTCGGCGTTTCAAATTTCTGCGCCGCTGCAAAAGGCGAATGCAGGAAGGCGTCTGCAGGCAGCGTTCGATACTGTAGCTTCCGTTTGGCTGCGCGCTCGCTACTGTTATCAGCGAGGAAAAGAGGAAGAGGGCGAAGCTAAAGAAGATCAGTTTTTGCATGTTCTTCTTTTGGCTTGTGTTTTCTGTTTGGCTCTGTTGGCGATTGTTTTTTCCTTTTATAGTTGTACTAGATACAGGGAAATTCTGACTATCTCCCTTCGATGGCGCTGCGCAAAGCTAGGAAAAATGAATGTGGGCAAAATTATCAAGCAAATTATCAGTTATCGCTTCTCTAAGTACTTTTGATAAAGAAGGCTTTCATTTTCAAAGATTCTAAAGAAAAATCTGGTCCAAACTAGCGAGAACAAGAACAAAGCGTTCTACCTCGGGGAAGGGAGATTTGGTAGCGTTTTCATTTACTGTTATCATTTTTTCAATTGATGGATCAAAAAAGAGCATGCTGTCAATTAAACTAAGATAGCCGCCAGAAATAAGCTTTCAATGAAACAAGAAGTGCTTTGTTATTGTAGATAGAAATGGCACGGTGTGCATTTGACAAGCTACAAACATCTTTTAGTTTGCTTTTGAGCGCTTCGACTCGAAGCCTTGGAGGTCCGTTTGAAGAATACAATTAGAATATCAAATAAGGTAGAAGACCAATTCTTCTATAATATAGCTAGAATTGGTATGAAACCTTTTCTCGGTTAGGGGGCTTGGAGTATCTACTGGGGGTTCCGGGGGCGAAGCTCCTGGGTTAGGCCTGAGGGGAGGGGGCTCGGGGAGTAGCCCCTGGGTTAGGCTTTAGAGTTAGGGGACTTAGCCTAAGTTAGGGGTATCATACGGCATGATTCATACCAATTCTAGCCAGATTATAGAAGAATAGGTCCTTTACCAATCCTAATTGTATACTTCCGATTAACTATAAAAATTCATTTGAGATCGATTTTTCCTTTTACAGATCTAATTCGTCACTTCAAGTTTTCTTTCAGTTGTCATCATCAGCTCAAATCAAGCTTTAGCTTTTAAATAATTTTTCGAAAGATGAACTCTAAAGGCACTGAATGGCACTTATCAATTGATTAGTCTGAGTTAAAAATTTGGCATAACGATTCTAGAGCTTTCTCTCTCACAGGGGGCCGATAAGCCCTTTCCCTGCGAGATGACAAATGCGCTTTTCGTCTTGAGAGAAAATGAACGATTTCGACGATGACGATCTCAGTCAGGCGATTCTCAACTCGCTGCGCGAAAATTACAGGAAATTTAATTTTAAATTAGCGAAATAAAAAAGTTCAATTTCTAAAACTTAAAAATGAAAGAAGCGAAAACACAAATCTTGAATTTGGAAATGACCAGCAATCGACGAATATCGCTCTCCAGGCTGGAATTTCAAGAGACGAGCAAGAGATTCAAGTACCAACTTTTTGATTTGGAAATTGATGATTTTCAGATATTGAATTTGAAAATTCAGGGCGCGATCAGCGAAAGTCTCAACAATCGACAAAATTCTGGAAATCCGAGAGTGACGGAAATCGAACGGCAAATGGCGCAGGCTTCAGCGGGCATTTCGGACGCAGAAGTAAATTACCACAACCGACGATTGGCGGAAAACAACGCTAGAATCGAAGCAGAATATGAAAATGTCGATCAGCCAGTTGTTCATACATTTTTCAGCTCGCAGCTTCTGGGACGGCTTCATATTTATCAAAAATGATTGTGCTCGGCTTGCCAATCTGTGTAGAAAACCTGAGTCAGGGTCCTAAAAGAATTTTTCGGCTTTAATGAAAGCTGACTCAGGACCCTGACTCAGGTTTTCTTTGCAATTTGTCGATCCCAGCGGTATAGAAAACCTGACTCAGGGTCCTGACTCAGGGTTCTGACTCAGGGTCCTGTCTCAGGGTCCTGACTCAGGGTCCTGACTCAGGGTGCTGACTCAGGGTCCTGTCTCAGGGTCCTGACTCAGGGTCCTGTCTCAGGGTCCTAACTCAGGGTCTTGACTCAGGGTCCTAACTCAGGGTCCTGACTTAGGGTGCTGAGATTTTTTTCTTCTTGGAAGTAAGTTAAAGTTTATAAGCAGTCTTTTTCGGCCCTGTCTCAGGTTTATTACACAGGTTACCGAGCCAAGTTATGCCAAATTTATTGTTGAAAGCTGAAAAAGAAAGACCGCCGAGCAGCGAAAGAAAAACTCGATCGAGAATCGCTGCAGTGGACTTGTTGTGAAGTCCGAAATGGAATTCGCCGTCGCGATCCCAGCATCGTAAGTAACTCTCGTAAATTTGAAATTCCCCTCCAACTTTTGTGATTGACGTTAATGATCATCCGGTAGATATTCTCGTAAAAAAAAGATGGAACATCCTCTCTATTTTTGATGAAATCGGTAGATGAGCATCAGGAAGTAAGCAATCGGAAATGAGGAGCTAATTTTGATCTTCAGATGGAGACGCTTCGTAATTGCCTGAAGAATGGAAAGGCAGATCGGTATCCTGTCTTTGACGCGATCAGAAAGGAACACACCGAATGCCTAGCGACGATTATTTCAAAGTTTCCCAAGGTAAGGCTTTACTTTTAGACCGATAAATTGACGCCTTTATCAGATGATTTATCTGCGCGATCATTCGGGTTACCCGCCACTTTGCGAAGCCGCCAGCCTTAACTTCAAAGGTATAGCTTCAGGTGTAAGCTTTTTTTTACGAATGAGGAGCTTCGATAAAGACAAATAGAAGCACCTTAGAAATTAAATGCCCATTTGTTTGTTTATCGGCAATAATAAGTGAAAAGTTCTTTTATCAAACATAATTTCAAATAATTTTCTTAATTTTCTTCTATCGAAAATAATAAGCGATGAACTCTGAAACTTTTGTTGCAGATTTGGAACAATTTCAATACTGAGTTTTCCCGTGCTAAGGGGGTAGCCATCAATATTCGGCGTTTTTCGACCAAAGTAGTAGATTCCTAATTTTCGGGATGGCGTCTGGAACAGACAAAAAATTTCGACAAATTTTGCGTGGGCGGCTACTCGGCTGCTGATTGGCCGGTTTGCCGAATCCAGGTTTCTGATTGGTTGAAAATTTCCACGCAAATTTTGTCGAAATTTTTTTGTCGGTTCCAGACACCTCCCCTAATTTTCTTATAAAAAATAAATAAAATAATAAATAAAAATAATAAAATAATTTAAATAAAAAAATTAATCTTAAAAATTAAATTTTAATGAAAAAATTTAATAAATAATTTTAAAATAAATATATTTTAAGCCCCAATTTTTTGTTCTATGAAATAAAATAAGGGTATCACTTTCTATTGACATTTTCTAAGAGGGCTGCGAGCTAATCCTCCGCTACTCGGAAGCGGTAGAAAATCCATTCGACGATGCTTCTTTGCTCAACTACGCGAATTACCGGCAGGAAACGCCACTTTTTCTGGCCGTGGAGAAAGAAAACCTCGAAACGGTGATTTGCTTGATGCAGGCGGGAGCAAGCGCCGTGCAACCTTGCATTCGCGGCTGGACTCCGCTGCACGAAGCGGCGGCGAAAAAGACTTCGCGCATTTTGGTGAACCTTCTCATGTCCGGAGTCGACTTGGACACGGCCGATTGTTTCGGAGTGACGCCTCTCTTTACCGCTGTGATTTCTGGCTCGACCGAATGTGCCGAGCTTTTGCTTCAGCGAGGCGCGAATGTGGAACACGGCCGCGCTGGATTCACCGAGGTACTAAAAGATAAAAAAGACGGAAAGCGACTCACTGGCTTGGCTAAAAATAAGGGCTCTAAAAATAATGCGAATAAATATTTAGAAATTTTAATTTTCAAGACAAAACTAATAAATAAAGTTTTATACTAAAATTGCTCGAATAAGAACATTAGTAAGCACCTAATCAATGCCAATTTTCGAGCTGCAAAAGCAGGCATCGCTCAATCTTCCTCCCAGAATCCAGCGACTCCTCTTCACGAGGCCGCGCGGCGAGGCGATTTGAAAATGTGCGAGATTCTATTGGAAAATGGCGCGAATCCGAATGCTTTGGACAAGCGAAATCGAGCTCCCATTCATCTTGCCGCGATGGGCGATTTCATTTCTATCGTCGCTCTTCTCACCAAAGTTACTAACAAGCAAAGTTGGAAAACGCACAGTAGAAAATTGGTTTTAAACGTAGTCTTCTATGTTTTCAAGAAAATCGAAGGCGTTTCCAACTTGTGAAAGCGTCGAATTTACAAAGAATCGGGCCTGAGCCCAGTCATTTCCTGCCTGGAAGACCGCGCCGACAACTACTACACGATGGAACTGCTGCTCGAAGACGGCTGGGACCCGAACCACTGCATCAACGACAAACAACTGATGTACAAGGACGGGCGAAAAACAGCGCTCTACTTTGCGGTCTACAACAACGACGACGATGCGGTCGAGTTGTTGCTCCAGCACGGCGCAAAAGTCGACCTAGGCAGGAAAAAATAAGAAAGAAAGAAGTTCATTGGACTTTTCAGATCCTTTGAAATGCATCACCGTGGCGGTCGGAACGAGCAATTTTGACATTTTCGACATGCTGCTCCTCCACGGCGCGGATATCCACGAAGTCAACTTGAAAGTTGGCGACTTTCCGACCACTTTTGCGAGCGCTCTTTCCGACCATCGATTCATTACGAAACTGCTTCAGATGGGCCTCGACGCGGAGCACCTTTTCAAGTAACAGAATGGCCGCTAAATTGTCTTCATTCCTTTAGATGTCCTTTTGGCGAAGGAGAACACCCGAGCTACGAAGAGTTGTATCGAATGAAAAAGCCGATTCCAGTTCCCTGGTGCATCAAAATGCAAAACATAAAAAACTCCGCGATGCCTTCCTGGCTGGTTCCGTACATTTTCAAATTCAGCAAACGAACGGGCGTGAAACTCTGCTCCCTTACCAAGCAGATCATCGACGAAAACGCTCACAATCAGGTTGAGAAAAAGCATTGAAATCAGAATCAACAAATTTTAGATCGCGAAAATGACGGAAAAGCCAACATCGCTGAAGCATTTATCCAGAGTCACCTTTGTTAAATCTTGTCGAAAAAAGCTTCAGGAACTGGCGCTCAAATTTTCATCCATTTCTACGAATATTTTATTAAGAAAAGTTCAATCTTGAGCTCCGATAAAAGCGCCAAAGTTTCCTACGCCACGAGCTGCCAAAACTACCCTGCAAAGTTCTCGACCAGCTGCAGTTCAAAGACATTAAATGGTGAACAGAACAACTACTGTATCTACTACTGTATTTATCAAATTATCGACCGAACTCCTGTACATTCGTCTATCCTTTCAAAGATAAATAAACTTCAATTTTCTGGAAAAAGAGCGGTATTAGATTTGTTGCGAGTCTGAAATTGACTTGAAATTTGGTGATTGTGATGGCAAATGGAACAAAATTAAATAAAAAAGATAATAATAATAGAAAGCGTTTTTTTTCGATAAAGATAAAGGCTCAATGATAAAAATGAGAATCAATTCTCAAGGACAATCGAAGGAGAGACCATAAATGAGCGCTGGCTCGTAGAATTTCATCTGATTGAATGATATATTCAACGATCAAATGAATCAGAAATATTTTGTATTTCTATCCCCCTCCCCTCCGCCCTTTCGAAATCTCTCTTGTATGATTATATAACTGTTGTTGTGGGATGCGGTTTTGCGTTTTGCTTGGTGTAAAAATCAATCAACAAGAATATGGTTTGATATTTTTTATTTGTTTGGATTGTATCTGTACATAGAATGTTGTTCGAATTTCAATGCAATAGTCGTCGCTCGCTTCTTTCCAAGAATTTTCTGCACTTGTTCGAAATCAGAAATTGGTCGTGCTTCGCGGATTCGCTTGGAGTAAGTCGGGCCGATGCCGGAGACCTTACCTGAGCATTCAAAGTGGGTGATTATGTTGAGAAAGTCGACAAACGCTTTGTGGGAAGAAGTATCGCCCTCGATCTCGCGGAGATGTGCCATTATCGTCTCGAACATCGCGAGATCCTGTTCAAAAAGATCATCTGGCTGGGTGATTCCTTCGGGAGGGCAGCTTTCTTCCTTGAGCTTTTCGAGCTCTTTCCTGTACTCTTCTCTTTCGACACTTCGTTTCCGCTTGAGAAAGTAGAGTTTTCTATCTAACTCGTTGATTTCCGGGTCCATTTCAGCGATTTGGTCCCACTTCTGTTTCAGGGCGACGTTCTTTTCTCGAAGATGCTGGGTGTACTCTTCCACAGTCTTTGTCTTCTTTGATTCATTCTTCTCTGCATCATCGGTGGCCTTCCGTTTTTTTAGTTGAAAATCTTGCTGAGTATTCATTTTTATGAAGTTCAATTTTCAGATGCTTATTTATATCCGCAAAATCAGTTAAATGGCGCTACTTGAAGAAAGCAGATGTTCCAGAGTCTGGACTCCAGATTGTCCGGAATTGAACAAATGACCAGCCGAGAACAAAAGTGCCATCATTTGATGATAACCATCACTATCTACAAAGAGCAATGAAATAAGAAAAAAAATAACTTTTATGAGTGAGCCTTTTCCTTCAATTTAACTCTCTTATCTTTGCGAAATATTGCGATACCTCGAAGCTTCGTATAAAAGCGACACCTTTTTGGTAGAAAAATTCACTTTGAAGATATCTTTAAAACGATGGAGAGACGAAACAACGAGCTCAAGTTCGAGGATTACGAGTCGGATGATCCCGAGAGAGCTCTAACAGGACGCCTGTTTTGGAAGCCCGAGAAAGACATTGCCGCGAATCTCCGGTTCAAAGACTTCCAATGCAAAATATGCCGCGAGGACATTGCAGATCCAGTAGTGACGGCCTGCTGCGACAGTTATGTTTGCCGAAAATGCTGGACAGACGATCTTCACACCTCAGACTTTGATGGAAGTTTTCACAGCGACTGTCCGATTTGTTTTAAAGCAGTTGATTTCCATATTGATTCGCCACATGGCTTCTACCCTCGTTTTCCTCCTCCGCCAACATTTTACGCCGCTTCGAAGTTTTTTCTGAAGATGATGAATGCACGAATGGTTCGATGCTGCGATACTGAGTGCAAGGTAAAATCAATTCTTTCTCACGAAACAGATTGAATTTGAAGATGGAAATGAAGTTCGAAGATTTCGACGAGCATTGGGAAAAGTTCTGCAAAAGGCTTGTCAGGTGAGATTTTCTACGTTTTCCGGATTGATAGAAAGTTTAGATGCGATTTCTGCTTGACAGAAAGTCGAGTTCAGGACGGTCACCTTTGTCAACAAAAATTTCGCGCGAAAAAGGAAGAGATGAAAAAGGAACTTGAGGCTCAAAAACAAAAGTACAAGAACTTGATTGATCGACAAAGAAGACTCTTTTATGAAGAATTCGAATTTGATTGGGAATTTTAAAAATTGAAGTTTCACTGTAATTGACACTTTTTGGGAAAACATTATTAGAAAAGATATCACTGAAAAAAATAAACGAAAAGAACTGCAATTCTCAATCGAGAAAGATCAATTTCTGTCTCTTCTGCGAATGAAATTTCGCGAGACTCCGCAGCTTTGTATAAAAGCGACGTCGCCTTGGACCAAGGCCCTTGGTCAAAGGCTCACTTTTAACGAATAATTTTGAAATGATAGAGCAGCCGAATTCCGAAGATTACGATTCAGATGATCCTGAGAGAGCTTCAACAGGGCGTCTTATTTGGAAACCTCTAAAAGGCATTACTGCTAGTCTCCGATCCAAAGATTTCCAATGCAAAAAATGCGGTGAAGACATCGTAGATCCGGTAGTGACGGCCTGCTGCAACAATTATGTTTGCCGGAAATGCTGGATAGACGATACAAAGCTCGATAAAACTTATCACACCAACTGTCCTATTTGTGATAAAGAAGTAAGCCTCGATTTGCTAAATGGACCATGGCGTCCTCCACCAACATTTTACCCTGCTTCGGAGTTTTATCTGAAGATGATGAATAAACTATTGGTCCGATGCTCTGATAAAGAATGCAAGGTAGAAACTCACTTTCGGTTCTTTTGAAAAATTATAAGATGGAAATGAAGTATCCGGACTTCGACGAGCACTGGGAAATATCATGTAGATGGCTTGTCAGGTGAGATTTAGTATTCTAAGCAAACTGACTAAAAAGACTTTCAGATGTGATTTTTGCGCTGCGGAAAGTCGTGTAATTGATCGTCACTTGTGCGAGCAAAAATTTCAGGAAAAAGAAGAAGAGATGAAAAAACAGCTCGAAAATCAAAAAGAAAAGTACAGGGTAATAAGCGCTCGTTGTTGGTCCCGTGGCTTGGATTTCTAAGCATTTTGCAATGGATTTTGCTTCATACTGTAAATAACACATTGGAAAATATCGCTGAAAATAAACGAATGAATAGCAGAAAACCTAAGCTTCTATTCTTAGAGTGAACAGAGCCCTTGAGATAATGTCAATGGAATTCGTCGTAGTATATTGTCAGAGCAAAAAAGCTGCCCTTGAGCATTTATCGCTGATGGTGGTGTAGCCCGGGGCAGCAGCAGCAAAAAGCGATCGCGCCACTCTCTGATGGTGCTCAGAAGACAACTCAAGAATCTCAGAGAAGAAACTTAGGCTCATGTGATAATAATTTTCACAAAAGCTGATCTGAAACTTCTTTCATTCCAAAAACTAGGGGCGTAAAATGGTTAATTCCGCGCTCCAGCTGACTGGATATGTCGCTGGTCTTATTGGATCAGGTGAGAAATCAAGAGAAAAGACGAAGTTTTTTAAAGGATGAAGATATTTCCTTCTCTAATGCGAAATTCTAGCGCTGTCCCTGGTGACCTGTGTGATGCCGGAGTGGCGACGACAAGACATGGTCGGAGAAGTCATCGAAATGCAAGTAAAGAAGCAAGGAATCTGGTGGAACTGCCAGTACTTCTCCACCGGCCAGTGGCACTGCGACGACTTTGACCGAATGCTCCTTGGTCTCCCGCCAGAGTTGCAGGCTGCTAGAGCGTTGATGGTCATCGCCTGCCTTTTTGGCTTCCTTGGCTATATTTTGTCGAATGTTGGACTTTCGTGCACTAGCATGATGCAAGATTCTCAAGAATCAAAGAGAAAAGGTAGAGTTTTTTTGCATTTATCAAAAAATTTAACAAACTCATTTCAGTTGCAATTACTGGTGGAGTTTTCTGGCTGCTCAACGGTCTTTGCACTGGAGTAGCAGGTAATTAGAGTGGATTTTAAGGGGGTTTCTTCCTTTAAAAACCTATGTTATTCAACGATTTCTAGTAAGCTTCTACGCTGCATTGGTGGTTCAAGACTTTTACCAATCAGGTGGCATGAGTGGAATCGGCCTCAGCTCTGCAGGAGGCGTCAACTCCATGGGTGCCGCTGGAACAAGGTAATTTCAACTCTTCGTTCTTCGAAATACCCAAAATTGCTCAGATTCGTCTACGGAACGGCGCTGTTTCTTGGCTGGGCGGCGATGGTGCTTGGAATAATCGGCGGCGCGTGTCAAATCTCCGCCACCTGCTCCGACAACGATGACGATGACGACGACACCTACGGCGGCCCGATTCCCAACACCAACAGATACAACCCTCCTCCTCGCTCCGAATTTATTTAAAAACTTTCTCTCATTGACAAACAGTACACTAATGCGCTACAGAGTAGCATTAACAGTGACCCTGCTAAATTAACTATATTTTTTCTTGCTTGCCTATCTTTTATTGTTCAAATTAACAATGATAACAAATAAATTATTCGCAGAAATAAGTCTTCATTTTCTTCAGTTCAAAGTATGATCGTATTTTGCAGCAGCCACAATTTGTCTGAATTTCATGTTCAATCTTTGCATGAATGCGAATTTGCAGTTTTAAACTTGCGTCGCCTAATTTGCATCATGATATTACCTAACATGGTAAATAATTTCCCTGAGCCTTACACTTAACCTCACCTTACCTGATTAGTTGCATTTTATACAGCATTCACACCGGTCTCGAAAAAACATGAAAAACAATTCAGATGAGCTATTATGGTGTTTAGGCATCTATGAGAGCACGTGTAAATCGCTCTTTTTGAAAATATGGGGTTTTTTTCTTGCGGAAAGATTTCTTTGGGATTTCTATATTTGAAAAATAAATAAGGATATTATAGTTTTAACACGACGGGAAATGATCTCTTGATAGTCTCTTACCTGAGTCGTTCCTTGGCTTCTTCCATGTCTCCACCAATATCAACTTGATGCCCAGTTTCTGCGTATTTTATAATCCCTTGTTCTTTCAAAACAAGAACGTGAGAACTTCAAAAAGCTTTCTCAACTAATCGCAAGAAAAAAAGCTAGAAAAGCCCTCCTTTCCTTCGAAGCTGAAAATTATCAATTTGCGCGTCTCTTTCTTCGCGAAAAGAAACAAGTTCTTCTTCGCGAAGTCGCTGGTTTTCGATTTCTTCCATTTTCAAAAACTCTTCCAGTTCTTTTTCGTACTGCGCGACAACACCATTTTCGTTTACTTTTTTATCCAGTTGATAACGAACATGAAGAAGGGCCAGTTCCTCATTTTCCTTCGGCCAGCGCGTGTCCTGACATCTAGCGGTAGTCTTCGTTGGAACGTGGACAACTCTGGCCATGCTATGAGTTCTGTTCATTTTTTGGCCGCCGCCTCTGGAAGCACCGGCCTCGAAAAACACCTTGATTTCCTCAGCTGGAGGCTCGATCAGCTTCAATTTTCCCTTTTTGTTTCTGAACTGAAGTGGGACTCGATTTTTGAAATCAACGAAGAGTAAAAAAAAACTAGCGAGTCGACCTTCCTGTGTGTAGAATTGGCGGGGAGGAAGAGCGCCGCTGGATTGAATCCATTTTCCGAAAACGAGCCACTTTTTCATACTCTTTTTTATCTCTTTTGAATCGACTCTTTTGCTGACTGGATCTGAGAAATGAACCAATCAGAAATGGCCTCTTTGGTATTCATTGAATTCGATGGTTTTTATTCGCCAAATCTGCTTCTATCAGAATTCTGATTATGATTTACATTGACGCGCTTTTTTTAAGATGGGCGAAGTTTTCTAGCCCACTTGCGCCTTATAAGCCCTATCTAGGTCTTCTACACCGTACGTTTTTGAAATCAGCAGGAAATTCTACGAAATTTGGCCGATTTAGTTTTCGAAAATTTCATTTCCGATCCAATTCAAGCGCCGGAAAATGATGAGGAATCAGATGTTGAGGAGCATTTTAAATTAATTTAATTCGTCTAGGCCAATATTTTGAAAAATAAGCCAACCAATTCTAAGGAGCAATTATGGTGTTCAGAAGAGCCTCAGTTAATCAAATTCTTTTAAACCAAATTTATTCCCAAGAAAACAAGCAAGCTAGAGAAGAGACAGAGGATTTGAGCTGAATTCTGCGGGACTTTGGTTAGATTTTTCTGTCCAATCGAGTCCACTCGTTTGTTCCAAGCGTCTTCGTGATGGTTTGTCATGTGATCTGAAAGACTGATTTGAAAAAGTTTTTTGAAAGAGGGGCATCTTACACAAATTGTCGAATTCATGTTCTTTCCAGATGATGATTTTTTCTCGCTGGGTTTTTGCGTACTAGAATTCTTGTTAAACAAACCAACTCAATATCCGACTCAATTAAGATTAAAATTACATGATAGCCAGCTCTTGGGCCGGGCCAGTCGGACCACGCCGCGTATTTTGGGTCTTCTTTTTGTCTCTTCCAATTGCCTTCGCCGTCGAAAGTCGACCCCCGAGCGGACATGACCCAGTACTCTTTGTTCTTTTCGATTTCAATGCATTTGCTGCATCCTTCCGGCCGCTTCAGAGTTCGCGACCAGCGCGGCTTTCCATCTGGATGAGCCGATCCTGGCGTTCGCTTCCAGTAAGTCATTGCTTGCTCGCTAAAAAATCGTAAAGTAAATTCAACTCTTGAAAAGCTAACCTCCATTCGGCTCCGCCAGCAAAGTGACCTCCAAAGTACGGCCAAATCGCGCCCTTGTAATTTTCATCTTTATGAATTGATCCTCCATCCCAAATCAGCAGCTCCGAGTTCTACAATTATCAACTTTGATAAGAGCTTAGGGTCGGCATCGACCTGCATTTTTGATGCTTGGGTTTTGGTCTGATTTTGGTCGTTTTTTTTGTAAATACCTGTCAAAAAACCGACCAAAATCGACAAACCAACCATCCAGGCTGGTTTCTAGGTCGGTGCCGACCCTTAGTTTTAGCCTGTGCTTGGCAACCTGCTTAAAAACCTGAGTCAGAGTCCTGAAGGATCCTGAGTCAGGACCCTGACTCAGGTTGCGAAACCGATTGCCGAACCCAGGATTGAGCCTTACAATCATGGTTTTTGTATGAGTACTATCGTCGTGAGTATTGTTGTTCCATCCGACTCCAAGATAGTAAGGCATATCGACCAGATCATCCAGCCTGAAAATGATCTCTCCCTTTTCTTCGTCGATTTCATAGGCGAAACCGTCCGCTCCAGGGAACCAGCCTTCCGATCCACCTTTCAACTCCACTTTAGCACTTTTTATTTTTCGAAAAACTTACTTATTTTCGGACTTGCTTCGTGAAAGAACGTTAGAAAAAAGAGAGAAAACAACAAAGACATTTTTAAAAATTCCTGAAACTCTAAAACTCTTGAAATGACTCTGCGAATCGTATTTTTGAGAGCAGGTGTCGAATCTTGTCGAAATGTCAGTGGATTATGCAAATATAAAAACCTTCTTTTCGTAGTTTAGTTTACGACCGATTGGAAAGTTCTAGCCGAGAATGCTCATTGAAATTCATTGTTCAAGCAATACGGTACTGGCGATACTTTACTGTCAATGCCGGTTTATTTGATGACATTTAGGGCTGAGATTAAGGCTCTCCCGGCCTTACTTCTCAAGAGAAAATAAGGATGGGAAAGCCTTAATCTTATCCCAAGCGCCAAAGAATAAACTGGTATTTTTGAAACAACAAATTTGATGAGCAATTGACGCTAGAATTTCCCAATTTTCGGTCATTAGAAAGAATAGAGGGACGAAAAGGGAATCGAAATTAAGGGTCTCCATCCCTTAATTCTCAACCCTTTTTGTCGCATCAGAAGTACCAGCGAGTTTTTGGTACTAACACTGCGAAAATAGGTAGAATTTTGCGTCGTCAAGGCGGGTTCAAATATGGCGCGCGCTGATTGGTCGCTCGGCGCTGCTTCTCATCTCGGGAGCGAATTGTCCGAAGAATTAAGGATGAACGAGAACTGACGACGAATCGAAGATGGGCTTCCTCAGCCAAATTCGCAAGTTTGACGCGTACACCAAGCCAGTCGAGGATTTCCGCGAAAGGACTGTCACCGGCGCCGTAATTACGATATGCTGCAGTCTTCTTTGCATGCTGCTCTTTTTCTCAGAGCTGAATTATTATTTGACGACTGAGGAAGAGTTCTACATCAGATTTTTTTTACTAATTGTATTTTGATAAGTTTAATATTGAATTAAACTAATTTATTTACTCGTATTTATATTTTTCTACAGAAGCGTCGCTCAGTAACGACCATTTGGGCTCAGAAACCTGAGTAGAAACCTGAGTCAGGTTTTTTGGAAGAGCTCCAATAAAAAGCTCTTTCAGAACCCTGACTCAGGTTTTTACACAGGTTGCTGAGCCCAGATGGTCATTTTCTATTCATTCTTTGATCAGTCGAACAATCAGGTACGCTTCTCCATTGATTTGGAACTCTTGATTGTTCGACCAATCCGAGGCTTGATGGAAAAATTTCTTAATTGCGCAGTGTTTTGTAGAAAAGTTAAGAAAGATAAAGAACTCAAATTCAAGGTTGTATCGGAGCTACGAGTGGACAATACTCGCGGGGGCAAGCTAGTGCTAAACCTGGATCTGACAGTAGCTGGTTTGCCATGCAACTACTTTTCGATCGACGCGATGGATTTGACGGGAGACAGAGCAGACGCGGAACATCAGCTATTCAAGACGAGGATGAAGGACGGAAAAGAAGTTTCGAACTCGGAGAAGGTCGAAGAAATCAACGCGCAAAAGCTTCAAGATGAAAAGAAAGGAAAGGATCATCAATTAAATATATTATTTTTCTGATTTCTTCGCGTCTGAGCTTGAAAACCTGTCTAGAAACCTGAGTAAGGGTCTCAATATCTTTTAAAGGTCTAGCGAAGCTATTTCAGGACCCTGAGTCATCTTTCTACACAGATCGCCGAGCAAAGTTTGCGCTAAATTCTCTCTGATCCAAAATAAGAAGAAGAAACCGGCCTGGCGTTGAAAGAAGACGAGTGCCAAAGTTGCTACGGTGCGGAAACGGAGGAACACCCCTGCTGCAATTCCTGCGAAGAAGTCCAACAAGCGTATAGAAACAAGGGCTGGGCGTTTGATTCTAGCGCTCAGCAGTTCTCCCAGTGCGTCAACGGTAATTCTTGTCTTCGAGGATTTTTTCTGAGCGGCTTTGTTTTTAGAGCATTTCAACTTGGAAGAAGAGCTGAAAAAGACGCTGGGAGAGAGTTGCCGCGTTCACGGACATTTGGAAGTAAATCGAGTTTCTGGATCGCTGCAGATTTCGCCTGGAAAGACGCTCGTTTTAGATGGAAGCGTTGTTCACGATATTCGAGGGATGAAGCACATGAATTTCGATACTAGGTAAACATGCCGAATAACAACTGTTGCCATCAAGCTTTCTTTAGCCACACAATCCATCACTTGAGCTTTGGCGAAGTCTTCCCCGGCCAAGAAAATCCACTGGACAACTCCGAAGTAAGTTTTGACTGTTTCGATCTGCTCTAATTTTCAATTCTAGCACAAAGCTGAGGCGCTGAACATGGCCTGGCACTACAACTTCAAGGTGATCCCAACCGAGTTCCGTAAACTGGACGGAACGCAGACGGCGACGAATCAATTCTCGGTGACGCGGCATGAAAAAGCGCTCAGCCAGATGAGCAGTCGACTTCCAGGCATCAACTTTCACTTCGAAATTGCGCCTATTGCAGTTATCAAGGTACAGCTACAGTTCTTTTTTTATAAAAATAAGGATGAAGCCGGCGATAAAAGCCGTTTTCGGTTGAATTTTCTCTACTACTGGACTCTGAGCTCGGGAACCAGTGTAAAAACCCTGAGTCAGGGTCCTAGAAGAGCTTTGATGAAAGATGAAAAGAGGCTTTCTTAAAAACCCAGCCGCGAAACTGCTTCGCCTCAGCTGAAAAATTAGATTGAATTTGTAGTTCAAAGTTTTTCTAGGAGACTGACTCAGGTTTCTTACACAGCTTAGGAGTCCAGACTCATACAGTAGTGAAAAGATTAACAAAAACGGCTTTTATCTGACACAGGTTCTTTTGCAAAGGACATTTACACCAGAAGAAACGTTAGAAGAAAGATAAAAACAACGACTGCTACCCCCTTATCATTCTTTATTAGACGGAGACTCGCCGATCGTTGGTTCATTTCGCCACGTCAGTTTGCGCGATCATCGGCGGCGTCTGGACGATTTCTTCGATCCTCGACTCCTTCATCCACCGAACGAACAAGCTTTTGATAAAGACCGAACTCGGCAAGGCCGGTTAGAAAACATTATTAGACCTTTTTCTTGTATTTACTCCTCAAAATAATCAATTTCTTTCAATTTCGTTCAAGAAACTGTAACTTGAAAAAACAAAAGAACAACTTTAGCGACTCATAATGAGTCACTCATTATTTTTACTTTCTGCTTCACTCATTTTCTGTAGTTCATTTATTTCCGTGCAATTACTGATATTCAAATTAATAAAATCTAAAAACGAAAAAGTTAGATGTACTCGACTTTTATTAAATTTGTGTTGTCAGTGAGTGAAATAACGGGCAACCCGGTTTGCTTGTCGATCTCTTTTGAAATTATGAGTTTTTGGTCGACACTGCAAGGCAATTGAATATCCGGCTCTTTTGATTCTTCGTAGCAGCGCCAACCAACGGCTTTCTAGGGTTGCAGATTTGTTTGATACTCCCTTAATAATTCTTTCTATTGATAGAGTAGGGTCCTAAATAGACAAGACTAGGCTCGGCTCCCTGTGTAGGAAACCTGAGTCAGGGTTCTTGAAATGCTTTGATGAAAAGCGGCTTTTATCAAAGCTTTTCCAGGACCCTGACTCAGGTTTCCCACACAGGTTCCTTAGCAAAAAGTAGGTATAAATAGTCTGTCTTTCATTAGCTCGAAATTCGGAACCCTCGGCAAAGCAACCAAGAATGCACATCAATCCAACGAAGCAATAAACAAACATGATTTTCACTAGAAAAACTTTAGAATTTTCATCGAAAACAAAACTTACCAGACATGACCTGTTCTTCACTATCGCAAGTTGTACAGTTGGGGCAGATTTCATCCAGCCTAAGTCTTTGATTCGCGAGTTCGTACTCAGCATCGCTCAAATGAGTCTTGTCAAGAACCACTTTGAAGGCATCATAAATCCAGGCGACGTAGATGAGCTCATTTTTCAAGCACAACTTTGTGTAGGAAAGAAGATCTTTGTTGGTTATGTGTCTTGAGCAGCAATTTTGAAGGTTGAGTAAATTTTCGCATCCTTTTGATTTTTTCCTTGAAAAGTAAAGATGGTCGTAGCACTAGAAAACGCATAAAAGTGCCAAAATTCTCAAGTAAAATTACGATAGCGCAAGCTTCTTTAGTACAATTCTCGATTCCGGAAGCCTCTGAAATTGATAGAAAAAAGTGAAAAAGGAAGAGATCAGAAGATTTCATTTGGAAAGCCAAAGCTCTGAGGAGATAAGAAGATTGCCGCTGAAGACTTTAAATTATTTTAAATGCCGATTCGAATGATTGATGCGCGGAATCAATCATTTCTTCGCGCGTTTTCAGAGTTGCCTAGAGGTCCATTCTTTCAATTCATAATTTTTCAAAGATTGCTTTAGAAACTCTTGGAATGGAAAAGCCGCGACGAAGCTCTAATCCAAGAGCACGAAAAACGCCTCAACGCCCAGGCCGAGTCGAACTCAGCAGTGGCGCACTTTACGAAGCATCACTTACAAAGTAAGTGAAGCTCTTTCCGAGTTCAAAAATGCTCAAAGAAATTGATTAAAGACGCGCGATTCCGGTGCGCCGGCCACGGGAAAAGAAAGGAAGCTTCTGCTTCAACTTGAGCAAGGACAAGCGCTCGTGGGAGGCGGCCGAGCAGAGATGTAACAGACAGGGTGGATCTTTGGCGGTGATCAAGGACGAGGACACAATGTTGTTTATCACGAATTTGATCAGAGGCAGCTCTTATGTAAGTCAAGCAAGATGGCTATTATCTTCGAATTGAATGAAATTCCGGTCGACAACCATCGCTAAAAACCTGAGTCAGGGCTCGAAAATGTTCAACAGAAAGCCGCGTAGCGGCTTTAACAAAAACGAAGCCGCAAATCGGCTTCGACAGTTTTAGAGAATTAATTCAAACGGTTATTTGGCGAAGCCGCTTGCGGCTTCGTTCTTGTAAAGGCCGCTATGCGGCTTTCTAATGAGCAGCTTAAAACTCTGACTCAGGTTTATAACACCACTGATTGAAATAACTTTTCAGGACACTTCCTACTGCGTTGGATTGTCGTTGGACGAAGAAAGCGATCGCCTCAGCTGGGTGGCCAATACGACCGTCACTGACAGCTCTTTCCAAAACTGGTATGGAGAAATCCGCCCCACAGTAAGTTCTACCACTCATCCCCTTTTTTCAACGATTCTAGCGCTCGGAGCGGTGCATTCAGTCCGCGGGCCTGCAATTCGGCTACAAATGGTACCCTTCAAAATGCGACCGCGAGTTCCGCTACATTTGCCAAGTCAAATCCCTTTTTTGTAAATCTGCTTCTTTCACTTGTCCTACAACCTGCCACAATCTCTTCAAACTGTACATCGATAATAAAACAAGATTACTGCACCTTTTTCTTTCACTTTTTTCATCTTAAGACATCAAAGAAAAAGCCATATATCAACCGGTTGTTTAGAAATTAATCATTTTTTTTTGAAAACATTTATCGATAATTTAGACGAAGAAAAGTAGGATAAAAGAAACAGTCGAATAAGTTTAAGATAGAGAGTGTCTTTTTCTTCGAAGAGTAATTGAATATGCATGAGGCAGAAGATACCATTTTTCGGTTTTCATGTTGAATTCTTCGTTGACAAGCTCTAAAATCTCGTTGTTGTCTCCATAATAGACGAAACCGTTGTAGCTGTTGAAACAGTCTCTCATCGTTTCTTCATCGACGTAGTATTCTCTGGAAACAGGAATTCTGAGCTGAGAGTCAGAATGGGCGATGAGAGTGTTTTGGAGAATGAAATCGGAGTATTCGATTCGGTCAAGCACCATTTGGTGGAAAAGTGGTGTTTTCCCGTCGCCGGGTTCCAGATAGGCGCCGGTGACTGTTAAGGGACGGGAGAAGACGAATTTTGGATGGAGAAAGACTGAATATTTAATAAATATTTGTTCTTAGACTTTATATTAATTTACTAACGTCTTTCATAAGAAAACTCGCTAAAATAAATATCCATCATCATCTTCCATCCAGGTTCATTCAAATAGGTTCCGAATTTCAATCTTTTAAGAAGCAATTCAATTTTGTTCTCTTGAAATTCTTGTTCTTCAAATTTCGGATTGTGATTGAAGCCAGCCAAACTGCGCGGATAAATCACCATTGTCAATTGAGTGAAGATTTTTTCAATAGTAAAACATCTTTCCATTTCCCAATACACAACTTTCAAATCATTTTCGAGTGTCCATCTCAAAAGCACCGAAACAGAAATGGGTACACAGAGATCGCTTTCTTTTTGGTTTAAAACATTCTTCGTAACATTTTTGAAGTCGAAATTGATCTTTTTTGTCAGTTTTTGTTTCAGACTGGCCATGGCAGTTGATTTCGTCAAATTCGGATCGTCCAAGCAAAAATCAGAAGACGCGTTTTCAAGAGAAATGATTTTTGACAAGTTTTGGATTTCTTCGGTGGATGGTTTTCTTTTCTTTGAGAGCCAGCCAGCATTGCAAGTCTAAGAAAAGATATTTTCTTTTATATAAAGTAAAGACTTACCTCAAGTTCTTTTTTGATGATTTCTCTTTCTTTTTCTTCGATTGGTTTGAATAAAAGAGTCCAGGCCGTCTTCCACTCGCAAAGAATCAAAATATGAGGAAGAGATCTATTCCCTCCGAAGTTTGCGCCTATCTGCGCGCCATAAGAAAAAGCAGGAGACCCAGCATCTACGAAAAAAAAGATAGAACACGAGCATTTTTCAACAAACTCAAAACTTACATAAACAGCTGTTATTTCTAAATCTGCTTCCTCTCCTCGCGTATCCCATCTCCCGATAACTCTCTCGTCCAGTCTCTTCGTGTATAATGCTAAAATCGATCCATTTTGCTTCTCCATTTTTCAAAAGGATATTTTCTGGCTTCCGATCGAAATGCCAAATTCCAATTTTCTCCAAATAATCCAATCCCTCTTTGACGCCAATCGCAATTTTCTTCCTTTCTTCCAAATTCAACTCATTATTCTTCAATTTGCTCCTCAAATCCGAGTCGCATTTCTCCATAATCGTGATCCATCCAACACAGTCTTCTTTTCTCAAATCAGAGCTCAAGAAGACTTCGATGTTGACATAATTCTTGACCACGTTTTTGTGAAAAGGAACCACTCCGGCATAATTTTCTTCTTTGTTTTGAGCGATATCGTATTCTTAAAAATATTTAAAAAAACAAAAAATACCTTCCGAAAGATGAATTTCAAACCCCAATTCTTCATTCCCCACAAACAGCGCCAAGTCAAAAGCCTGAACGCGAACGGCCACTTCCAATTCTCCAAATTTTTCTTTCAAAACAATCGCTTCTCCTCCAACTGAAATCGATTCCAAAGATTCATCGAGAACCCATTCTCCGGTTTCTTCTTTTAATTCCGAACGTTGAATTATTCGTCCCTCGAAACCTGGGTTTTTCGAAAGAATCATTTTTTGAAAAGAAGTTATTTCCCATTCTTCCTCATATCTTCCAGACAACTTTCCTTGTCCATGTTCGAAAATGACCTCGTCCCATTGACCACACTCATCATCTTCAAATTTCATTCTGTCCATCGACAAAATCAACCTGTCCAAATCATCTCTGCTCGTTTCTCTCTTCAATTTCTTTTGAAACTCTTCCAGCCAATTCTCAACAGCTTCTCTTGTCAGTTCTTCTGGATAAGTTGAAACTTTTTCGTACTCATAAGACTCGTCAGAGTCAGAAAATTCATCAGATTCGTAATACTCATCAGATTCTTGACTTTTCACGTCCATTTTCTCTTTTTCAGAAGCCTCTTGCAAACCTGCCGTCTTATGGCCGGAATCGCCGCCGATTCGATCAAGAACACTCGGAATTCCTTCGCCTCCCAGAAGCTCGACCAAAGAACAGATTCTCTTGTTCAATTCGATTGCTCGATCCATCAGCTGTTTGTAATGATTTCTCGAAGGAAATAATAATCAACAAGAAAAGCAGTTTATTTTTGAAATGATGCTCAACTCGCCGGTTTTACGCGCAGATCATAAAATTCTTCTGATTCCGCTTTTTGAATGGACCCCCTCAGATTTCCCACACAGTTTTCTTAACAAAAGTATAAATAGACTGTCTTTCATTAGCTTTTTTCTTTTTCTTTTCTTTTCTTTTATTCACAGGAATATTAAGTCAAAAGACACCTTAGTACACGGTACTCCGAAGAGCCTCCTAGTCCAATATGCAGCATTTTATGTACAGAGTAAGAGTTTAAACCGAACAAAAGAATTGGTTCAATGAAAGGTGAGGACTGAGAGACATTCTCCCAGAACTCTAGAATTCCCACGCCATCGCCGCCTCTGACTTCGAGTGTACCGGAGCAGCATGTTGTTTTCTGGCTGCAATCGTATTTGCTTTGGACGTCTTCCGCCGGAGCTTCCAGCGTGCAGACGACGACAGCGGGGACGATCGTAGTAGTTTCCATTGAAATTCGGAACCCTTGGCAAAACAACCAAGAATGCACATCAATCCAACGAAGCAATAAACAAACATGATTTTCACTAGAAAAACTCATCGAATTTTCATCGAAAACAAAACTCACCAGACATGACCTGTTCTTCACTATCGCAAGTTGTACAGTTGGGGCAAATTTCCTCCAGCCTAAGTCTTTGATTCGCGAGTTCGTACTCAGCATCGCTCAAATGAGTCTTGTCAAGAACGACTTTGAAGGCATCATAAATCCAGGCGACGTAGATGAGCTCATTTTTCAAGCAGAACTTTGTGTAGGAAAGAAGATCTTTGTCGGTTATGTGTCTTGAGCAGCAATTTTGAAGGTTGAGTAAATTTTCGCATCCTTTTGATTTTTTGCTTGAAAAATAAAGATGGTCGTAACACTAGAAAACGCATAAAAGTGCCAAAATTCTCAAGTAAAATTACGATAGCGCAAGCTTCTTTGGTACAATTCTCGATTCCGGAAGCCTCTGAAATTGAAAGAAAAAAGTGAAAAAGGAAGAGATCAGAAGATTTCATTCTGAAAGCCAAAGCTCTGAGGAGATAAGAAGATTGCTGCTGAAGACTTTAAATTATTTTAAATGCCGATTCAAATGATTGATGCGCGGAATCAATCATTTCTTTGCGCGTTTTCAGAGTTTTAAATGTCCGGAATAGACCCCAATTTTCCTTCAAGTCTTTAGCATGCATAATCCTATAAATTATAGGAAGATATGCTATTATAGGCTATGATGAAGCCACTTTATATGAATTTTATTACATGAATATAAAAGTACCGCCCCGGCGCTAACTTGCACAACGCTGGGCGGCTTAGCTTTTTGACGATTTAGCGGGACTCGACAATGATTTTGAATAGATTTATTGAGCATATCTTTTTTAGATAATAGTAAAAACAACAATCAACTGAGCATTTTTAGAATTTTATTTTGTTTGATGAAATCAAGTTTACAAGGGTCTTCATTGATATATGCCAGTCTTCAGTGATTTTCTCCATTTTCACCTTTTTTTCTGATCATTTTTACAAAATTGAACATGTTTCATTTTTCATTTACAAAGCTGGAACAGTAAGCTCGCTCGGAGTCGCATCACTTTGCTTCTCAAAGCCAGATATTGAATGAATGTTTCTGAAACTACAGTAGTTTCTAGCTCCGATCCTGGTGTGAACTGTGAATTGAAGTCATCTTTGGAGATTTTTTTGATTCATTGATCCGGACGCAAAATGCTTTATTTCGGCTTTTCCTGTCTTTTTTCACATAAAAATTGCAGAAGATAAGCCGTTTCAGACCTTGGCTAGGGGCTTTGGCCAGTTGCAAACAAGCAAGCCAAGGAAAGCGCCGCCGCAAAGCACGAGAACTAATCCAAGCCAAAGACTCCGGAGCATGATTTCGGCTCTGACTGAAAGTACATGTTTAACACATCGGGGCTACAGGGAATTTTCAGTACAAGACCATCATGAAATCATGGAAGAAACCTACCTTCTTTTGCTAGACTTTGGACCATGATACTCTGAGGAAGGCCAGAAATAGTCGACTAAACAATCAAATAAATTGAATAAAAGCTAAAAAACATCCTCAATAGATTTTCCTCACCTGTCCATTCTCCTCATCCCTACAATGATGCCCGACATGAACATAATACGCCGCGCAAATGAGCGCTAAGCCAGTCGCTGTGAGTGGAATTCCAGTGCCGGCCAAAAGCGGTATCGTTTCTTGCCTCTTTCCAGCCATGCGTTTGTAAATCACCATCACAATCGTGCCAAAATAACTGATCGTAAAGAAAATGAGATGGAAGAGCACTCCAGATTCCACATCGTCCAAAACACTGCATGTCGAGAAGTCTTAAAAACTTGCTCAAAAAATGGATAAGACCAGTAAGAAGGTTAGGTTAAAGTAAGGGCTGAGCTCGGCAACCTGTGTAGAAAACCTGAGTCAGGGTCTGAAAGATCTTTAATGAAAAGTCGCGTAGCGGCTTTTCAAAAACGAAGCCGCGAAGCGGCTTCCCCAGAATTTCTGATAGATTGTAATGAGAATATTAGCGAAGCCGCTCCGCGGCTTCGTTTAAAAAAAAGCCGCTTCGCGGCTTTTCATTTCAGCCTTTTCAGACCCTGACTCAGGTTTTCTACACAGGTTGCCGAGCCCAGGGTTAGGGTTAAGGATGAAAAATTTTTCATTAAAAACGTTACGGTTAGGGTTGAAGTCCCTCAAAAAAATTATGAACTAGAATCGGACTATCGAATCGGTTCTATCGGGCTACCTGATTTATGGAAACTAAAATTTTATCAATAATTGAACTAATCTGATGGCCCTCGAAATCTGATAGCTTGAAAAATCTCTGCAGAAAACACTCCACTATTGAGAACTGAGGCAAACCTTCTGTAATCATCATCGTCGAGGCCATGATACAAATCGGAAAGATGAAGGAAGCTTCCATATTTTTCACCCACTCTACTAGCTAGCTACCGGCTCGCTTAACATTTTCCTTCGCAGAAATTCTCGTTTTCTTTCTCTTTCTTCTTCAGTCGCTTTTTCTTTTTCTTCTTTCTCTAGCCTCTTGATCGTGAAAGCGGCTTCATTTCGGGCTTGACAATTATGCTACAAAAGTATCGCTAAATTATTAAACAGCGAAATTCGCGTAAAAGCGAATTTCTCTAACCTTGGTTCAAAATTCAAATGCAAGGGTTATTCCAGTTTCGTCTTCCTTTATTTGTCTCTCTTACTCTACAAAACGAGCTGTAACTGTAATCTTATCGACTTCTTGTCGGCTGCGAATGGTCGATCTGGTTGAGAGAGAGATTCAATCCCTGGAGCTGAGTAAAGACTTTAGAACTGAAGCCAGGGGCTCAGAAATGCGCTCGATGGATTTATAATAAATGAGATATTTATTTATTGGTCCTTCGAAAATTCAATTAAAAAAGAACTGCGCAAGTAGATGTAGAATCCATCAATTCTAATGCCCAGAACTCGCCAGCTGTTTCCACGCTCATTCTTCCTTTCCGATTCGTAATTATAGAACTCATTCTAGAATCCAGAACTCTTTCTAGTTGTCGCTTAAATTTGGATATAAAAGTGTTCAGTTATCGAAACTTCATTTATCAAAAAAAAATAGAGGATGGAACATGTAAATTCAAAGGTTTCTGCTTTTACTATTGCTGCGCTAGAATCGGGTTAAACCAATTTATGGAAGTGATTTCATGGATTAGGGTTTTGATTGGCCGGTTGCCCAAATACAGCAATCTTATTGGTTATCCAAAAAATCACTTCCATAAATTGGTCTTGTCGCTAGAATCTGAGCTAGGCAGCCTGAGTGGAAAACCTGAGTCAGGGTCATTGAAATTCATTGAAAATTCGGGGTGATTTTCAGATCTCGCCACATCTTTTTGACCCTCTTTCAAATTTAATGCTGTTTTTAATATATAGCGCTAGAAGCACAAACATGGCAATTCTCTCCTTGTTCTTTTATTGACTTATTTTGACCCCGGGATTGATAGTTCATCCGGGAGAAACACGAGAATTTCAAAGTTCGCAAGGCGTTGTCCAAAGTTGGTTTGCTTTGTCTAATCTTAATCTTCGATGCTTTTTTATTTCAAAACAATTTCTAAACGTGACATTTTGTTTGACGGTTTCTTGCCTTTCTTCGCCCACGGACAATTTTATTTACGAGTCCAATCGTTCTTTTATTTCAAAGATAGAAATAGACTCTTGACAAGAGATGACTGTTGTAAGTGAGATTCAGAATACACATTCAGACATTCAGTTTTCTTGAGAAGATTCTTTATTTTTCGGCGGTGGCCTCGGCAACCTGTGTAGAAATCCTGAGTCTGGGTTCTGAGAAATTTGCCAAATTATCATTTCGATCTATTTTTACCCTGACTCAGGAAATTCACACAGGTTGCCGAGCCCATGTTTGGCTGGTGTTTAAAAATGGTCTTTAATAAGGGTTTTACTCTATTATTTTTTGAAGAAACTGTAAATTTTTCCGTGAATTTTAGATTTTTGATCGTTCTTTTTTTCAGATAATAATCGATCCAAGCACGAAATTCCGCCCAGATGATCCCGAATTCGCCGATAAATTACCCGACGCTTTCAGAGACTATTCCGAAGGAGGAAAAGTAAGCTTCCAAAACGTCTCTTTTTCGATTGAGTTTTGAGCATTTCGAGCGAGTAAAACGAACCTACCGCTTGATGCACACGAACCAGACGGTTCAATTCGGCCTTGAGCAGCGGAAAAAGTGGATGAACTTCGACCACGAGTCGTTGACGATCATGGAAGCTCTGGATCGCCTTAACGACTTGATCGACGAGTCGGATCCGGACTGCGATGTGCCGAACGTGTACCACGCGTACCAGACAGCCGAGGGAATCCGCAAATCCTACCCGGAGCGCGACTGGATGCACCTGGTTGGCCTCATTCACGACCTTGGCAAGATCATGTGCTTTTATGAGCAGGAATGCGAGTTCGAAACACCTCTATTTCCGATCATCATAATTCATAAGCCTAATCCAATTAAATTTATCATCTCCGGAGGTAATAACTCTTCATAATCCAATTTTCAATTCGATCACTTTTTCGACTTCGCAAAAGCCACAGTGGGCCGCTGTTGGGGACATTTATCCCGTGGGTTGTGCTCCAGCAAAGTTAACGGCCTCTTATACAGAAAAACTTCGCTAATAACAAAACTTATTAATAATTAGTAATTATTATTGAAGCCTGAACTCGGCAACCTGTGCTGAAAACCTGAGTCAGGGTCTGAAAGTGGCGCTAAAAAGCTTTGCAGACCCTGACTCAGGTTTTCAACACAGGTTGACGAGCTCAAATTGAAGCCGAAAAACAGGAAGTGGTCTATTCCGCGGACACCTTTGATGAATGCAAGGACCAGATGAATCCAAAATACAAGTCAGTTTTCTCAAAGAATAGTCCTTTGAAATAATGCCTGTAGCACGAAATACGGAATGTACGAGAAAAACTGCGGAATCAACAACTTGCAAATGTCGTGGGGCCATGACGAGTATCTTTACCAAGTTTTGAAGAATCATGGAGCCACGATTCCGAAGATGGGCATGTATATGATTCGCTTTCACAGGTGAGAAGCATTATCAAGGGTTTGGTACAATTTGATGGGGATTCCAATCAAAAGCCAGTTTCTTTGTTAGAAGACCAATCGAGGTTAGGGTTAGGTCTAGGGTTGAATTGGCCCTAACCCTAACCCCAGAGGTTAGGTCTAACCCTAATCAACCAAAATCATCCAAAAGATCATTGACAAATGAAAGTTTACTTTTAAAATCAAGACTTTTTGATAGCTTCTACCCCTGGCACACCGGAAAGGCGTACGGTCATTTCTGCACTGAAGAAGACAACAAAATGCGGGAAGAAGTGAAAGCGTTCAGGTAACCAAGTTACTCCTTCTTGATTTCCGATTTCCAATTTCTCCTGTTTTAGCAATTTCGACTTGTACACAAAGTCAGACGATGCCCTGCCCGACAAAGCAGCACTGAAGGAATACTACCAAAGCTTGATCGACAAGTACATTCCTGGAAAAGTCAAGTTCTAGCTGTTTTTTTTCAATATGTTATCAAAATTATGTTATCGTGATAATTGTATTTGACTTATTATTGTTGTTTCGCGATAGTAAGTCTGTTTCATCGTCAAAGCAAACGGTATTCTTTCTTTGTGTATTCAACTGACGGACTTTGCTAGGGCTGTGATAAGAAAAATGGCGCAACTCTAGGCTCTCGTAATCCCCAAATTTTGTTTCCAGATGGATACTAAGTTGGATCTTGGGTTTCCAAAAAAATTAAAATTTTTGAAAAATTTAAGGGTCTAGCCCCCAAAAACGCAATTTTTCGTCAAAAATCTTTGTTTTTTGGCTAGCGAGGGACGAAAATCAATATTTTTTTGGGTTATTCTTCCACCAGTTGGTTTTTCGAAAATTTTCCGAAGCAAAATTTTTTTTTGTGACGAGATGCACTCACTAGGGCTAGAAAATGTGGCGAAGAAGATGCTCCCGCCGAAAAAAGGCCGAAAAATGGCCCAAATTTCCTCGCTGGCCAAAAAACCGATTTTGGCCATTTTTTGGATTTTCATATTTGAAAATTAGCGTGATACCCTTAAGGTATCAATTTTTTCTTTGGTGCATAAGTTTCTCGGGACCCCGAAAAACCTAAGAAAAATAGTCGGAGGTATCCCCTTAAAGAATTTCTGGGGGTTGATTTTCTTATCACAGCCCTAGACTTTGCTCAATCGCCGCTCTTCCAGACGGTAATGCTCAGCTTCTTCCTGTTTTGCACTAGAATTTGTTGAAATAAGGATGTCGCTTCAACAACGGTGTCAACAACGATCCAAAAAATTAAACTTGCGTTTAGATTATCTAACCTAAAACGGTCTCAAAACTTTGGCGAAATCGTTGTTGACACCCTTAAGACTTAAAGCCTTGAAAGGAAGTTAAGGGGACCCCTCTTTTATGAGTGGGTTCTTACTTTTTTTCTTTCAATTTAGCAACTCTCTGTTGTTCCTTTTCCTTTTTCTTCTTCTCCTTTGAAATAAATATCCAGTTGATAAAAATTAGCACGGCAAAGAGTACTAAACCAACACAGCATCCAAGCAAATTTCTTTCCAGAGCGTTCTTTTTTCCGAAATTTTACAAAATTCAAGCGCCAATTCTCGTAATTTTTAAAAGAGTCGATTTCGATTCCCGTGCCCAGCCTGGTAAGAAGACATTTTCCAAATTTTCACTGGTCTCTTTCATGATTTCACAAAAATCGCTTTTGAAGGCGTCTTTTCTTTTGCTTTTTTGAGGCTTATTTTGCTGTTGCAATTTTCCAGCTCGTTAGAGATTAGCATCTCCTCAGACTACTTCGTTAACCTTTGCTGAAGATACTGTAATGACCTGACTGAGGTGCGAAAATGCCCTTTTCGTTCGACGAAAAAAAAAGAGGATTTGAATTAATATTCATTCATTTTACCGTCAATTAGGCTAGAAAACTGCATTTACGACTTCTTTTCATTCATTTATTTCAAAGTTCAAAATATACTTCTTAAAAATTGTCAAGAACAAAAGCTCGAATGTCAGTTTCCTTGCTTCGACAGCCAGTGTAGAAAGCCTGAGTCAGGGTCTGTGAGGCATTAGAGATTAGAGATCTATAGGGTCCTGAAACAGCTTTAGTAAAAAACTGCGCAGCGGCTTTTTTAAAAACGAAGCCGCAAAGCGGCTTCGACAAGATAACTACTTCAATGTATTTCTGAATCTCTTTCAGGACCCTGACTCAGGTTTCTACACAGGTTTCCGAGCCCAGAACGAAAAAATAAAGGGAAAAATCAACCCTGAAATAATGCTCTGGAAATGGTTACGTAACTTGAATTGATCGAAAAAAAAATTGGTAAAATCATCGATGTTTTGAAAAATACCTGGAACTGGGATACGATTTTCTAGAAACGAAATGTATCGGTTAAGGATTATGCTTTACTTCCACCAGTTTTCCGATGGTACCCCCCGTGGCTGCCGGTCCTATAAATGAGGCAAGGCTTTTTCATCATTTTAAAACTTGTTAAAAACGAGCGCTCTTGCCAAATTTTGAATTTTCTAGCGTCAATCAAAAAATTAAAATTTGTATTTTCGAAAGTGTTTCTTAAAGAGCTTGAAATTTTTAATTTTTTTTTTTGAAAAGTTGAAAAGGCCGAGTTTAGACCGAGATTCTCGCTCGTCATGGCTACACGATCGGTGCCGAGATGGGAGAAGGCACTTACAGTAAGGTAAAACACTGTACGTGGTCGAAACCAGGCGAGAGTCCAGCTGAGAAAAAGGAAATCAGTGATCAATACTGCACGTTTTTGACAGTAAAAAGAGGTTTATTTTAGGAATAATTAACTAAATAACTAGGACTTTTAAATCGATAAGAAAGAAGGGAAAAGAAAACTTCTATCTAGACTCGGGAACCTGAGTAGAAATCCTGAGTCAGGGTACTGAAAAAATATGCAACAAAAAACGAAGTAAAGCGGCTTCGTTCTTTGGAACGCGGCTTTCATTAGGGATCTTTTAGGACCCTGACTCAGGAATTTTACGCAGGGTGTCGAGGCCAGATTGAGTATAATAAGGAAGGTGCAAGTATTGATCCTTTTTTTGAGAAAATAGCGATAAAGATCATCAACAAAAAGACGGCGCCCAAGGATTTTCTGGAAAAGTTTCTCCCCCGTGAGCTTGAAATACTGCGAAAAGTACGGAGCGATTTCTTCGAGGTAGTTTGAATTCTTCTTTTTAGGTTCATCATCCGAATGTTGTGCAGACGTTCGAGATCATAACGATCAACCACAAAGTCTTCATCGCGCTGGAATGGGCTGGCAAGGGAGATCTGTTGGCTTTTGTACGTCTTCGCGGGTCGCTAAAGGCATGGTTCTGACTTTACGATGACAGTAGGACGTGTAGTTACTGCTTTATCGACTGGGTTAGGGTTTGAGTTCGGGCCAGGGTATCTGAAGGGAGTTAGGGTGAGGGATATCTTGTGATTCGCTGACGCAAGAAATGATGGCTTCTGTTTGGTTGAGAAAACAAAGTCAACCAATCAGGAAACAGATTTTCCTTGATGGGAAAGTTCGTTATCGTCTGGCACTGTTGTAGAATTATTTAACCCTACTAGAACTACTGACCATTTACTTTGAAACAGAACCTTTGCGAAAAGGAAAGCGACTGCCGAAGAATTTTCACGGAAATGTGCAATGGTAAGCTCGCAAAAATTAAATCTTCTTTAGCATTCTTTCAAAGGAATCAAGTATCTTCACGAGAACGAAATCGTCCACAGAGATTTAAAATGCGAAAACATTTTGATTTGTTCGAACAATACAATCAAAATCGCCGATTTTGGATTCGCCCGTTCTCTCAAGCCAACTGATCTTTCGAAGACATTCTGTGGATCTGCCGCCTATGCCGCTCCTGAGCTCCTTCAAGGTACAGTTTTGATGAATTACTGACGATCTAAAGTTCGACTAAAAAAGGGACTCCGTACATTGGGACGAAAGCTGACATCTGGAGCATGGGAGTGATTCTTTACATCATGATTTGCAGCTCTATGCCTTTCCGAGATAGCAACATTAAAACTCTTCTGTCCGACCAGGTTGGTGAATTTCGTCTTTTCTGTTTCGTATTTTCTATTTTTAGCGAGCACCACTTCACATTCCATCTTCGATATTGCCGAATTTGACTAAAGGAAAAGGCTCATTTATCAAAACATGTATCGAGGTCCAAAATTATTGCTATCTTGGATGGCTGGGCTCGGCAACCTGAGTAGAAAACCTGAGTAAGGGTCTGTAAGGGACTTAAAATGAAAAGCCGCGTAGCGGCTTTTTTTTAAACGAAGCCGCAAAGCGGCTTCGCCAGAACTTTAGAATGAGATTGAATGATAACTTCGCGAAGCCGCTTCGCGGCTTCGTTTTTAAAAAAGCCGCTACGCGGCTTTTCATTTTCAGTCTTTCAGACCCTGACTCAGGTTTTCTACTCAGGCTGCCGAGCCCAGTTCTCCACAGGATACAGGAGCCAGATTCTCCTGACTTTTTCGAGCTTTAATAATCTGCCGGAAACGACAACAAGGACCATGAATTAAGAGTTAACATCCTGAGCCTTGAGCAGAATTGAAAGACCTGCTTCTGCACATCCTGTCGTTCGATCATAATCGGAGAATAACGATGGAGCAAATTTTCAAATCAAAATGGATGAACAAGAAATAAAGAAGACGAATAGAGAAACGCGCTTTCTGCAACCACAAGGAAAAACAACAATGATTTTATGATTTTATTTAACCACGCGTTTGTTGTGTCTTCTTGTTTTGGGATTGCTTCGATGTTTTGCAAAAAAGGGTTGAGTGTTTGCATTGGCAACCTGTGTGGAAACCTGAGTCAGGCTTGTGAAAGGCGCGTATTTTGTTCAAGTTTTTTCAGGGCCCTGACTCAGGTTTTTACACAGGTTGGCGAGCCCAGGACGGATAGTTTTTTAGTAGAAATCGCGCTTTTTTGTTTCAAATTTTTCCGCAATCAAGGAAGAAATGCGGTTTTATTCGGGGTGGTGTCTAGAACCGACAAAAAAATTTCGACAAATTTTGCGTGGGCGGCTACTCGGCTGCTGATTGGCCGATTTGCCAAATCCAGGCTTCTGATTGGTTGAAAATTTCCACGGAAAATTTGTCGAAATTTTTTTGTCGGTTCAAGACACCTTCCCTTTTTTTCGCCTGTCATTTTATTCTAGTAATTTAAAAATTTTAATTTTAAATTTTAAAATACTGGCGTAGTAGCTTCAAAAAAAAGAGACTTGATGATCATCATAAGTTTACATTCTGAACTTGAGACTCTTCGAAAATAACTCTCACCAAAGCCATCTGACCTTCGTGAAACTTTTAGTGCGAGGAATTTCGAAGATAAGTTTAGCTTTATTGACATTCTTTATTGGCCATAGAATGACGAGAAAAAAACAGTAAATTTTTGTTTTTCATTTTTGTCAAATTAAAATCCCGTCGTTAAATTCTTGCCACACATGATTTGATTGACACAAAATTGATTTATGATAATGTTGATCATTAAATTTGCTTGAAAAAATGCACAAAAAATGATATTTGGGAAAAAGAAAGCAACTCCATCTGTGGAAACGAATTACAACTGTATTACTAATACAGTATTAGGGTTAGGGTTACAGTTAGGGTTTACCGCGAAAACAGCTTTAAGAATATAGTTGATCTTTTTGGTAATTTTCGTCGATAGGTGATGTTCTGGAAAGCACATTTCTCGTCCCTTTCGAGGTGGATTTTCTTAGTATTGTAGTGAAAAAAGTCATTTTCTTCCTACACGTGGACGTTTTGAGGGGAAAAGCCGTTCAAAGCTAAATTTCTAATGCTATTTTCGACCACTTTTTCTTATCGATATTTTGTTTTCTCACAGTATGTTGAAGGTGGTAAAGAATTCTATTAAATAGAGGGAGTCTTAAATGATAGTTAATCTAATGCTCGAGATAGGAGGGATCAAAAATTTGAAAATTCGAAAAAGGCGCCTTTGGCCGGCTACGGATGACTGTAAGCTGAAAAATGGATAACGTGACATTTTGGGCCTGTAAAGCTGAATCTGCTCATTATCTAAAGCTTTTGATATTTTCACTTCTATTCCTAAGAGTAAGATGTCAAAGAATGCGCTACTATGCGGGAGTGTGCTTAAAAAGTATTTGCGAGGTTCTCACAAAGATCTGGTACTAAATAAGTACAACTTATGCTCGAAGTCCGTAGCCCTTGGGAGTGCCGAAAATCGTAAAATCAGAATCGTTATTGGAGGCCGCCTTAAAAAAGGCAGTTTTGGCTTGCTTTTTGATCATCGCATCAGTTTGTTCTGAAACAGATTTTAACCAACATGCCTCGAAGAGAAATTTGCGTCACCTCACCCGAGGTTGCTATGCATGGAGAGTGAGTACAGACATTTCCTACAGAGAGAGAGAGAGATCGATTGAGGGAGAATATATCTTTTGATGATTTCCGAAAAAGCTGGACTCGGCAAACTGTTTTCAGGGCCTGAAAGAACTTGAATGAAAAGCCGCCTAACGGCTTTTTTGAAACGAAGCCGCTATGCGGCTTCGCCGAAATAAAACATGGATGGGAATGGTTTTTCTTGACGAAGCCGCTTTGCGGCTTCGATTTCAAGAAAGCCGCTACGCGGCTTTTCAGTCAAGTTCTTTCAAGTTTTGAACTCAGGTTTCTGAGCTCAGTTTTCAATGTCTGGGAGCGAATTTTTAAAAGACATTGAAAGACCAATTGAAGTCCTAGTTTGAGAATTTCTTCAGAATCAACATCCATGCCCGAGTAGCCGTGGTGACAAAAGCCAAGCTCGACGATATCCGAATCGGAGGCGAGTGTCTCTGCGGCCCAGCTCCAGTGAAGCCACCAACGCCCGTTCCAGATGTCTACAATCCAGTCGCCCTCGATCTCGTCATCCTCATCGACGGTTCCGACTCCTTCGACTCCAGCTGCAAAGATACCAGCACCAGCGGCACCCAGTTCGAGGAAGCAATGGACTGGGCTGGTCAACTCGTCAATGTAAATAAAAAATAACGAGCGACGAGGCATTTTTACATCACTTTTTAGGACGTTGCCGACAGAACCAGCTTGGCGACAGCGACCGTTGTTCAATTCTCCGGATTCAAGAACCAGGACATCAAATACAAGCCCGGCAGCCGGGGTGTTCTCTTCGAAGACGAAGGCGTGACTCTTCGACAGTACAACTTCGAACACGGCCCAACAACTGTTTCTCAAGATCGACAGCTTCCCGCTCAGCTCCGAGGAGTTGATGCTCTCGACGGAAACTCACAGCTTTTCCTCGCTCTTCAGGCATGATTTCAGCTCTTTCCCCTAGAATTAACCAAACTCTTTAACGATTTTTTTACAATACCATCAATAAGCTACGTTTCCCTGGATTTTAATTGGTTGGTTAGGGTTTGGGTTAGGGTTAGATGTAATAACAAAAACATGCTTCAAAGCTTGTAGACAAAGACGCACAAATATGCACTTTAGCTAGAGTCGATAAAAACGTCACTTTTGACACCACAAAATACAACCAGCAATAGACGTAAAAGAAAATATTGCTGAAATCAACAAGGATCTCTCCTTGGATGAATTCGCCCAGGAATTGGAAGCGGCTCTCCCAAGCAGCGCCGACCACGCCGGTCGAAAGCGACTCCTGGTCATCGTCACTGATGAAGAATGGGATGCCAACCAGCTAGCCAGTGCCAGGTAAGAAAAACGTTCAATAATCAGTTATTACCAGCTATGAATTACATTGTAGCGAATCGTTATTTTGCAAATTCCGGTAGCAATTTTTAAGTTAGCAATAAAAATCGTGTTTTTGACAGTTTTATATTTTTCCTCCGAAACCATAGTTCATCAAGTCCATTCTCGTTTTATAGACAGCTGAGCCAATCCCTTGGAGACGAAGTTGATGATGCTGAGGATGTTCCAGCCCGACGAATGTCCAAACTCAATCACTCGACTGTCAAAGACTCCACCCACGATCTCTACAACGAGCTTCTTCCAAGTAAGAAAACAAACGAAGAGAGGGGTTATCATTCGAGCCTATGATTCGAGCCATCCAAGATCTCTAGAATCTGAGCTAGTGGTTAGGGTTAGGGACTGGGAACTCTTAAGGGGGGTCCGGGGGGCGAAGCCCCCTGGTTTAGGCCCCTCCTGGGGGGTCCCAGGGGGCCTACCCCCTGGGTTAGGTTTAGGGTTAGGGGCAGCTCGAATGATAACCCCCTACTATCAAAACAAATAGAACCACGGACCGGATCATACGGCAATCTCTGTAAAAACCTGAGTCAGGAAGCCGTTTCCAATCCTGACTCAGCTTTTTTACACAGGTTGCCAAGCTCGAATAGTAATGAAGCGGTTTATTTCCCTTCTGAGTATTTTGAATCGCGTCCTTTTCAATTCTTCTTTTTCTAGTCTGCAAACACTTGGCCCATCCATTCTACGACGAAATCCACCCCGTCATTGTGCGACGAAACCACATCAAGGATTTGGAAGGCAACTTCATTTCCGATCAGGTTGCCAAGCCGGCGAAGGAGGCCTACCACAAGGTACGTTTTAAAACTCTTCAGACATGTTTTGATGCCTTTGGTTTTGAGAGCAGCAGCGCCCATAAACTATATTTTATAACGAGCTTTTAATGCGAGCAATTAGCATCATTGATACTTTTTCACTCGGAAAGGACATCATAAAGCGCGGAATGCACTGGTTTATGAGCGCTGCTCATTAAATTGACGAGATGAAGCTAACATCTTGATGAGACGCACCAATTTCGCGCCGCTTTACTGCCATGTTTGGCGCAGCAATAAATTTCGAATCAAACAAATTATATTTCCGAAAGAATTGGTAAAGCATTGCCTATTACTTTCAAAACGTCTTGCTTGGTTACAAACTTATATCCGATCTGCTTCCGGCTCATTTCCTAGTCTTGCTTTTATAGATTTTTAAGCTCTGCTCGGAAGCCTGTGTGAAAAGCCTGAGTCAGATTCTTAGAATACTAAATGAAAAGCCGCGCCGATTTGCGGCTTCGTTTTCAAAAAAAAGCCGCTACGCGGCTTATAATTTAAACGTTTCAGAACCTGACTCAGGTTTTCAACACAGATTCCCAAACCAAGACTAGACCCCTTCTCCCTCCAAAATCGTCATTCTTCAATTTAGATTTACGAAGAGGACTTCACCAAGGACATGGCGAAAACCAAGAAGGACATCGTGAGCAGAATCGAAAACATGATCAAACCCGTCAAGATGAACTAATAAGAGAAATGCTCTGTTAGCGAAATGATGATGCGACCCGATGCGAATGTTTTATTATAATTCTACTGTTTTTACACTTTAACAAAATTTCTACAATCATTCTTCTGGCAACGACAAAGCATGAAAACTTGAAATACATAAATGATTTTGAACATTGTAAAAAAAATACTGGTTGTTTTGGATTGCAATCAAGGAAGAAATGTACCTTCTTGTGTGAATTTTGTTTTCACAAAGCGGCTTCGTTTTTAAAAAAAGCCGCTACGCGGCTTTTCATTTTTGCTCTTCCAGAACCTGACAGGGTGCAGCAGCGGTGAAAAAGAAAGAGCCGAGCGAGGAAAGTTTGGGTGGCTTGGGAGGAGCCAGACAACCACTTCGGCGTGGTAACAATCGGCGATTCGGGCGAGATATTCCGAGCAAGCGACTGACCAGATCGCTCATTTTACTTTTAATATTAATTATGCGAGTTTGCATATTTTTCTCCAATTAATTGTCTAGAGCGGAAAGGAGAAATACATAAATCTACTGGGAAAAAGGCGCTAGAAGTGGCGAATTTTTTTTTCACAGGCAATGCTTTACTTTCATCGGTATAACTCGACAGGTAGAAGTCTAACACTTTCTGTTTGATCGTTTCACGCCATGAAATTTGTTTTGTTACGCTGTAATTTTTTACAGTCAGGCGCCAGGGAAAACGACACATCGAAATTCCAATAAACCGGGAGAGAAATTACACAACAACTCTCAATGAACGATACTAAAAAAATAAGTGTTGCTAAAATTAGTCGAGAAAGTGGAAAAACCTCATTTATAAATTTTATACAGACATCGGATTTTGAAATGAAAATTGATTCATTAAAATCCGCGATCAGGCATTTTAAAAATGCTTACGAGGTTGAACTCATCGTGAATTCATTAAATTTTTGTTTGAATTAAGGTCGTTCAATTTCTTCGATCTCGAGCTGGAGTTATTGAAAAAATTTCAATTTCGAAATCGCTTAGCAATTGCTACAATCGACTTGGGGAATTATACTATAATTTGGCTAAAGAAGTGAATCTTCCATCTGATGTGGGTGATGATGTTGAAGCAATGTTCACGAAACTTAACCTCGACGCGGGTGCAGCTTCTTCTTTTCAGGAATCCATGGTCAATTTCGTGGAATGCGTTCGATATGGAGCAATAAGTTGTGACTTAGCAGATTCGATCGGTAAAAATCTTGTAAGCATCAAGAAATAACGATAATTGAGAAACCGATTTGCAGAAGGAAAATGACAAGAAAATCGCTGTTTGCATAAGTGCTCTCGAAAAATAAAGGATATTTCAAAGACTGACGACTACCATTTCACCTTCAAAGAAATTTGCTTAAGATATCTTTCTGCTGGTCTGCTTTTGCTACCAGATAATCTTCAGGTCAAAGCAGTGAGTTTGATGGAAGTCTGTAAAGAACTCACATACGAGGCGCTGAATTACAAGGACTATCTCCAAGAAATGAGAGCAACGCCGTACGAAAATATTGAAAACGTGCGCTCATGGTTCAAGGATAGGACAAGAATGGAAATGGTTTTTCTCAAAGAAATAAAATCTCTTTTACCGCGTAGGCTATCTCTAAGAAGACTGATAATTAATATATGAGTAACTAGATGTTAACACGGAGGTTCTGTTTCACGAGCAAATAAATCAACTGTACGAGCTCCAAGATGAACTCGGGGATAGCCTGTCTCGATCCGAGGGCCTTCAAAATTTATATCAAGCTAGAGAATTGATGAGTAGAGCTATTGATAGTAAAAGACGCCAAGCTGGAGTAATTGATGCTCTTGATCTTCTTGTATGTATTTGAAACTCCTACTTGTAAACATAAAATAAGAAACGAGCATACGATCTGACGATTGGAATCGACCAAAAAGCAAGATGTGTGATAGCTTCTGAGATGGGATACATTTACGCTGAATTTGATGAACGGCCCCACGCAAAAATTAAAGCCAAGGAATACTATAGAGATTGCATTCATTCGGCGCATGAAAACGGATATACAAGTGGTTTCTTTTGGCTCAAAAGATCAAGAGAATATCTTGCTAAAGTCGCGTAAGCAGAGTTCCAAAACACAGTGCGTACGTGCGCACGCGTGCGCGTGTTTGCGGATTTTGAAAATTGTTGCGCACGCACGCGCACGCGTGCCTGATCGTGCGCGTGATCAAAATCCTAGAGAATTTGGCGTTTTCAGGTAATTTATGCCAAAACAATTTCCAGAGTGTATTCAAACACATAAAATTTTCGGTTTTCCTATCTTTCAAAATAATTTTGATTAGTTTTTGCAATAATTGTTCTAGAATTAATTACTGAAAAAATTATAGAGGCCTAAAAATGCTAAAATTGTGCGATTTTTTTCCTTTGTTGCACGCGCAGGATCACGTACGCGCGCGCACGCGTGTGCACGCGTGTTCAAGAGTCATTTTCGTAAGCACACGCACGCCCACGCGAAATTCTAAATTTCTCCGCACGCGCACGCACGCGCACGTGAGAATTTTGCGTTTTTTGGAACTCTGCGCGTAAGATCCTCATACTGAAGATTTTAATCAATAAAAATTAAAGAGCAGAGATGTCAACTTTTGGTGTAACCTTTCAGCCTTCAGAAAAGGGGATTGAGGTGATAGAGGAGTTTAAAAAGCAGAATTTCGACAAAAAAGAACCAAGAGAATTTCTCGCGTTCTTGGCCGAACATCATCCTCCAAAGAAGGGTACTGTAAGTACTAATAATAAATAATCTCCTTTTCATTTGTATTTTATTAAACAGTGCAACTTCTTTAGCCATTTTTAGATGCCGATAGCCACAATATACAACGAAAATGAATGTCTTACAAAAGCGACCAGATTGTATCATCCTGACAGGTACCAACGATAACAAGGTAGAATAAACTAATTTTAAAGAAATGCAAATTATGATGATGACTGGCGAGCTCTCTGTGAGCAAATTTCAATGGTGGCAAACAATTTTTACAATTGCTCAGTAAGGGGTAATTGCTAAATTTTATGCTTATGAATCTGTTTTACAGTAAAACTTTCACTGTAGAAATATTTATGTCTCTTTATATCAATTAATAAATTTATATATTGGGAATTGACTTTAAAATGAATTATGCATGTTAAAAAGAAAATTTTGTTTCCCCCGGATGTAATTTTAGGAATGAAAAAGACCCGCGCAAAGAGGCAATTCAAAAGAAAAAAATGAGAATTGTAAAATAAATTTCAATTCTTCTCAAAATGTTGCATATAAATTATATGATATAATGGTATTTTTGTCTACTCCTGGAGAAATATTTTGAAAAAATAAATCATCAAATCTATATCTGTAATGAAACTGTAAGCACATCACTTTCCTCTCCTACAATTGGCAGGATGTTATATAAAGTTAATAAATTTGACACACAGTACAACACTTTGGCTCATTTTTCGCAAGCATCTTTCAATCAACCGATAATGTTTTATATTTTTCAGTATACAAAAGGCCAAATGACCAAATTTATAGAGAAGGGCAGTATCAACTGAAGAGGATGAGAGCGATGAAAAATGGCGCCTTCTATTAAAGTAGCCATTTATTAGTAAAGTATGTTATTTCTAAAGGAAAGAGAGGATATGAAAAACGATATTCAATATAAAAATAAGTTGAATCTTTGCGTGAGATGAGATTAATGAAATGAATTTTAAATTTTATTTAAATGAAGCAATACAAGATGAAATATTGTCAGGGAAGACAGGATAAATATTTTTAAAAAATCCAATCCTTATTGAAAATGAACCTATGAAAACTTTTGTTTCTTTTGTCACTACTGGAAGAGATGATTAATAAATGACCTTAGTTGAATTTTGGTTTGATTTTTCGCAGGGAAAATTTCGATTCCGCGATAAAATTTCAGATTTTCAAACGCAACTGAAGATGTCTCATAAGGAGGGTTATCAGTTGCAAGAAATTGCGCATACACAAGGCGGCCTTGTTACAAAATCAGTCAGTATTCTAAAAGCGTTGTTTGGACAGTGGAGTGATATCACATTTGTGCATTGTGTTTGATGAAGAAGGGAGTAATTGGGGGTTTGAGAACTGTGCGCCGACCGCAATTGGCACTCGCTTGGCTAATGCTCAGTTTGGACAGGGCGACGTCCATTTTATATCGTCCACAATATTCCATTATTATTTCAGTCCTCCCCAAACAGCTCAAAAATAATATCGGCGTAATTTCTACCCCGCCAAAAGTGCGCCGCAGATGTAATTACGAGCATAGCTTCAAAATGCTACACAAATCAATCAAGCCAAAAATATAATTCAATGAGGTCAAGGTCGTAAAAAACTAATCAAGCTCACTTTCACCCGGAGTTAACTGAGTGACGCCCTTATTTGGCGAACAAAGATGAAGTTAGAGAATTTTTCCAAGACTAATCCATAAATGGCTTTATCTTGACTCAAATGAGTTAAATTAGAGCTCCAACAGCTTCTTAATTTTGGGGGAAATATCATTTTTAAGCGGCCTTTTTTTCAAGAGTTATCGAAGTGACATCCTTATTATTGCCTTGTAAAATAGAGTGTTATTTTAAATAAGGGTGTCACAATGTTAAATCTAGTCGAAACGAGACTGACAACTTTGCTGGGTAAACTGTGTAGAAAACCTGACTCAGGGTCCTGAAAATCTTTTAAGAAAGGAAGCCTGACTCAGGTTTTCTACATAGTTTACCGAGCAAAGTTGTCATTCTCGTTTCGACTAGATTTAACATTGTGACACCCTTATTTCAAGTAACCATCTATTTTGGAGAACGAAAATAAGGATATCACTTCGTTAATTCTTCAAAAAAAGGCCGCTTGAAAATGATATTTCCCCCAAAATTAAGAAGCTGTTCGAGCTCTAATTCAACTCATTGGAGCCGAAATAAAGCCATTTATGGATTAGTCTTGGACAATATTCATTTAACGAAGTTGAGGAGGGGAGAACGTCTCGAGTTTGTCACTCAGTTGACGTGAATTACTCCTAATAGTCGCGACGATTGTCACGTGCGCCTGCCGCGCTGGTCATTCAAGCGCCCGTGAAAGCAGCTTATGTTCAGCAGTTTTCAGCCAATTTCGATTAGAACCATTTTTAAGCTACTGTTTGTTAAATCGATTTATTCAGCTTAAAAATGAAAGGAAATTTAAATTATTAAACGCCGGAATAAAATAGAAAACTCGGCAACCTGTGTAGAAAACCTGAGTCAGGGTCCTGAAAAGATTTTGATAAGAAGCCGCGCGGCGGCTTTTTAGAAACAAAGCCGCATAGCGGCTTCGCCAAAATAACTAAAATTTTCTGTAAGGACCCTGACTCAGGTTTTCCACACAGGTTTCCGAGCCCAGCTGAAAATAGAAAACAAAATGTTTTTTATTAGCTATTTGAATATTTTTTGAATCAGTAAAACTGAAGAAAAAAAGGCAGGTGTTGCGGTGCGGCGGCGGCGGTTCCAAATCATCCCTTCTAGAGACTGTGAGAGCTAAATCGAACATGTCCCGAGCGGACATCAGAGTGGCCACCTGTGTCTCCCCGCCGCGCAGTTCCCAAATATATTATTACGCGCTAAATAGAATTTATAGGGATAAACACAAACACGCCACTTGTTTATGGGAAATTCAAAAAGAAGGAAGGATGGATGATTTTTAGTCAAATTTTCAATTTAGGGACTGAGTTTTCTTTATTGCGGATGTTGGTTTTGGCGAAGGAAATAAGGGGAGACAGATAGATATAAATAAAAATTCGAAAAAGGTATTATTAGTCAAGAGAAATGAGAAATACAAAATGATGATCAATTGGGAGCTCAACTAGTTATATGCCCTTGATGGTAAACTTGATGGCTTTGAAATATTTCCACAACCAGCTTTTCTGTGAAAGCGTTTGTCTCCAACCATAAGAAAAATAAGAGTTATCCTGAATGATTTATTCAACAACTGTCCACATTTTATTCATTATTCATAAATTAGACAATTTATAAGGGTGTAATAGTTAGTTCGTTAGTTGATCAAAAATCAAATAGAAATATCTTAAAATGATGCTCAAAATGCTCCACTGTGATGCTGTATGATTAGAGACAACAATATAAAATGATACGTCAACCGTTACTAGCGTGACTGATAAAAGACGTGAATTTCATTATGAATAATAAACAAAAATACTTTGTCTGGTCATTTTTTTGCAGGAAATTTCAAAGAATATTCAGAAAAAAGGCAGATTGAAGGAAAAAGGATGTGCATTTGTGTTAACTAGTGGTTGGTCTCTCCTGTCGAGTGGGAAATGATCACAGTGGAATTTCTCAAGAGGCGGTGTCAGTGGCGATTCTCAGCGAATTTCTCAGATTTTGACAAAACTGCTTTCATTGCTCGAGCACCTCTGTCCGCTCTCCTTCTCTCCATTACCGGCTGAGTGTTTTAATTAAGCGAACTTGGCAGACATTGCAATGTTGACACGCGCTTCCTTAATTGCCGGCCACAGCGAAAAATTATGCGCTCGAATTCAAATCGAGAAAGCGCAAATTGAAAATTATTGAATAAAGAAGCATTCGAATAATTTAAAACGAATTTTATCGCGGCTTTTCTAGGTCTAACAGCGGTCGCCTTGCGGTCCAGCGAAACAACAGATCTATCAAATAAAATACACAATTAGCAATTGAAGAGCACTTTTCTTCGAGAGCTTTTCCTATTTTTTTCGGGAAAAAGAGCTTTAGCTTGAACCTCAATAAAGCCTCCCGCCCTCGGTTTTATGTTTGAACCCCAAATTTGAAGAAGCGAACCGTCCATCCTCAGCAAACATTAAAAATGACAGAAATCGAACCAGGAAAGAGAGTTACTCGGTAAATATGAAGACCCCTTCTTCGAGTATAAATGCTGTTGCGAAGTCTTAGATAGCTGTTATTAGAAATATCGGAATGTAAGAGATACATTTTTGAAGATGACAAATGAGACAATGACTTCAGTTATTTGTTGGCTGAAATCAGTTCGCTATTACATGAATACTATGGTGAATATACTGTTAGAAGATTAATTATCTTTATTCCTAATGAAACTCAGCTTGAATAAAAAAGATTCCCAAATTGCTCTGATAATTCTGATGAAATTTGACTTTTGAAGACTTATGATAAAAAATGAAACAACAAAAGAATGTTCAGAGGAAAAATTTAGGGTTTTTATTCTTTCTTTCTAATGAAACTGTGCTCGAATAAAAAATAGTGTTGTCAATATTCTTATCAATTTATTTTGATGTAACAATCAGTTCTCAGAACAACTTATGATGATTAAATATGATTATGAAATGATGAAACAAATAATTACACACCCATGGAAATTTTCCCCAAGATTCTTCTTTCACTTTTCTGTGCATAATACTGTCTTCTTTTGAAAAGTATCAAAATGTAAATTAACCAATTCTGACTAAAATGAATAAGCAAAACCTCTAAGAGTAAATTCAATAAAACTGTCAGCTTTGGATTTATGTTTGTAGCCTATATTTGAAGTACTGTTGTGTCTGTCTTCAGTAAATATCGTAAAAGATAGTAACCGGACCAAGTAAAAGTGGTTCTCACTGAAAGCTTCTTAGCAAATATCAAGCGCCATCTTTCGATTATCACTTGAGTTTTGAAGGAAATGATTATAAAATGATTATACAAATAAAATAAGAATAAATAATCTGCGTGAAGTGAGGGTGGATTCACAGAGAATCGAAGAATTGTCCTGATCCTTTTCTTGCCATGAAACTGTGCTCGACAATAACTTTTCATTAATTAGAATGCGATTTTCAAACAAAAATTATTCTAAAATGAGATGCAAGTAACTAAATCACTTGTTGGAAGATACACGAAAAATGCCGATTTCCTTTGCATTGTCTCGTAATAATATAGAAATATAAAAATATTTATCGTTAATTTATCGAATTCTGACTAAAATGAAGTTCATTAATTAGCGGAAGTAAGTTTACTTTTAGTGAATCCACAATCCTTAGTTTTCTTTCCTGAAGTCTCTGAAATAAAAAAATTAGGAAACCATTTGAAATCGTTTATTTCTGCACTGTTCGTTATTCTGGCCCCGGCAGATCCTTTTTTCTTTGAGTCGGCGCACGCGTCAGAACGTTTGAAAAAAAAGGAGTGACCCTTATCTCCCCATGGATAATACTCTTGGAGATCAACTGATTTCGAGGCAAATATTTTGAGCGTCCGTCTGAGGCTACATTTCCACTTGCACTCGAGAGCGCGTCCTCAGTCGGCGCGCTTTTGATTTTTTTGTCGATTGTTTGTTTTAAAATTTATTTGACAAGTTTATCAACCCTTTTTCCAAAAAACGAAAATGAAGGAAAAAAGAGACTGTTCTGGGCTCAGAAACCTGTGTAGAAAACCTGACTCAGGGTTTTGAAAGAACTTTGATGAAAGCCGCGCAGCGGCTTTTCTAAAAAAAAAGCCGCGAAGCGGCTTCACCAAAAGCATTCAAAATTCTTCAAGAACCCTGAGTCAGGTTTTCTTCACAGGTTTTTAAACTCAGAAACCCTGACTCAGGGTTCTGAAAGACCTTTGGTGAAAGCCGCGCAGCGGCTTTTCTAAGAAAAAAAGCCGCAAAGCTGCTTCACCAAAATTCTTTAAAATTCTTCCAGAACCCTGAGTCAGGTTTTCTACACAGGTTTCTGAGCCGAGAAATAGTGATTTAATTTTGGTTTAAAATATATTTACAGGCATTTAAAGAAGGCACAGAGCGATTTTTTTCTTTATACAGTGAAATGAATAATAAAAACAATTCAATTTTAAAAGGGTCTTTTTTTTAATGAAATCTTCTTTTCTTTTCGCAGAAGTTTTTTTTATTCGGCGGAATTGGGCAGTAGCGATGTTGGCAAGTTGGCGTTGGTAAGTCCCATCAGGCTCTGAAAAATAGAAATTGAAAAAAAGAAACTCGAATAAGGGAGAGATTTTCACCACAGACGGGTACGATAATTGAGTTTGTAAATGGGATTAATCGGCGTAGTGTTGCGCTTTTCAGAAAATCAAAGATATTTAGACAACATACGTCGCCGCTCCTGAAATTTCAACAATAATAGAGAGCGACTGGTGCTAGTTAAAATGTAATGATAAGGGGAGAGTACTGTTGAGGGCAAAATATGCAGCGCGGAGGGTTTTTCTTGAGAATTTCTTTTCTTTTGGACTTTTCGGAGTGACACCCTTATTTTAGTTAGGGCAAAAAAAGAAAGCAATTGTTCTAATAAGGATGTCACTTCTTTCTTCAACCTGGGCTCGGCAACCTGAGTAGAAAACCTGAGTCAGGGTCTGAAAGAGCAAAAATGAAAAGCCGCGTAGCGGCTTTTCATTTTTGCTCTTTCAGACCCTGACTCAGGTTTTCTACTCAGATTGCCGAGCCCTGTCTTCAACCCAATGTAAAAAAGTTAAGAAAAAACTGAAGAATTGGTTGTTGACACCCTTAAATTTGCTGCGGATTTTTACCTGTGCGTTGTGAGTTAGCTGAGGGTAGAGGTTGTTAGCGAGGAGATTCGCAGCTGTGAGGTTGAAGGGAAATCGAGGACCGTCCTGGAAAACTCGAGGCGTTTCCATTCCTTTCATTTGGTCGTTCAGGTGATTTTGCTTCATCATTTCCTAGAAATCGGGGTTTGAAAGACTGGGGAAGGGAATGAAAGCACTACCTTGTATTCGGTGATTCTGACTTTTTTGCCGTTGACGAGGCAGGTTCGTTTTGGGCGAGGGCGGTACTTGTAATCGGGGTATTTTGCCATGTGGGCTTTGGACAATCGCTGCTGCTCTTCGTAGTAGGGCTTTTTCTCTTCGTCGCACATCGTTTTCCAGCGTTGGCCTGAGAAGTTAAGGGTTAAAATGGGGCTTGAGGGGTTAAAATAAGGGTATCAATATGTTAATTTTTCTCAGAAGAGATCGATTTTGCTTACCGAGAATTTTGGAAATGTTGGAGTTGTGCATGTCTGGGAATTGTTGAAGAATCTTGCGTCGCTCGTCTTTGGCCCAGACCATGAAGGCGTTCATTGGCCGTTTAATATGGGGCTTCTGTTCTTGTGGCGGCTCGCGAAAGTGGCGTGGAGGTTCATGATTGTGGTTTACCAGCTCTAGAATGGACGTAAAGGCTGGAAAGGGGGGTTTGGATTGTACCTTTTTGAGGGGCTTGCTGGAAGGGGAAGGAGGCGTGGCCCATTAGACCGCTCAATCCAGCGACGGGGAGTCGAGGAGTCGGCATTTGAAGATGGCCGGCGTTGACAGCGGAGGTGAGCAGCGGCGAGGTGAGATAGGACGAGTTGGGCGACGAGGTCATCGTCACTCCGATTCCAGAACTGGTCGAGGGCGAAACTGTCTTTGGCGAGTCGCGATCGAGCTTGGCACGTTTTGGCGAGCTCGGGGACCCATCAGAACCGCTGGCGTCCGATTGAACTCCCGATTCGTCGGCTTTAATTTAGAGCTTTAATTTTTAGTGTTGCGATAAGAATCAAATTGATCCGGGGTCAGCTCCGTGTTTTAATGAAAAAAGAGCGGCCGGAATCGGCGCGAGGAAATGACCGTTGAAAACTTACCGGTGCGTGAGGTGATGTCCGTTTTTGTACCAAGCGGCAGAGACGTTGGCTCCGGGCTCGAGCGTTTCCGATCTTCCTGAATTAGCCAGTTATTATCCGAGGAGAGGTCGCGAACACTGCCTTTTATCAAATTTAGAATTTGATGCTCGATTTCGAATATTTTCATAAAAAAAATTTTGAACTTTGAGACCAATTTTTCGGGCCACTTTTAACTTAGAGTTAACATAGAGATACCCTTATTTTATCAAGCTAAATAAAAGTTTAAACCCCGTATTTAGCTCTAATTCCGCTAAAAAAATCAAACTCCAACACCTTAAGGGGGTAAGGGCCGTTAACTTTTATCATTAACAAGGGTCTAAAGATTCATTCTAAATGATTAAATAAGGGTCTCACTCTGTTAAAAAAACACAAAAAAGCTGTGGAAAATAAGACTTTTCGACGGGTATACCCTTATAATTGTTTTTCTTAACAAAAATTATTTTGCTTATATTATTAAATTGCTGTGTTTTGTGTACTTTGTCGCGAATTAGTACATTTATTCAAATCGGACAGTTTGTAAACTAAAACGATTCAAAATCGTAAAAATCTTCCCCCGAGTTGTCATGATAAGTGGCCGGAACTCGTTATTCCCTGTATCCCACTACATGGCAGGACTACATGCATTTTTGCATGCCAAGAGGCCTCCGCGGCATTTTCAAAAAATAAAAAGCAAATGAGAGAAAAAGCAAACTTCGATGTAGTAACAGTAGCCAGTTTCTAGTAAAAAGTGAAAATAGAAATTTTGATAATTTTTGATAGAAAACATTTCCATTGAAAATCGCAAAATGATCCTAAGCCGATTAAGATTTTGGAAAAATACTTTCACAAAAAAGAGTAAGAAGGAGAAAAAAAAAGAGTTTGCGTTTGGCGGTTGCGAATCAGTTTTTGTGGCCAAGGACAGATTACGGCGGGCGGCCTCTGTAGCGACCGGTTGGGTATTATCGTTGCTGGTTTATCACAGAGCATCCAAAAACACCACCAATTGTCGCACCACTGTGCAAACAAGCAACTATTGAAAGAATAACTTTCCTTCTCTCTTTGCTTCCCCCTTTCCCACGAATCAGAAATTGCAGCGAAAAAATCAGTATTTTTTAAAAAAAAAAGGGTTCAAATTTTAAAAGAACTGATTTCTGGGCTCGGCAACCCGAGTAGAAACCTGAGTCAGGGTCTGGAATATCAAAAATGAAAATCCGCGTAGCGGCTTTTTAAAAAACGAAGCCGCAAAGCGGCTTCGCCAGAAGTTAAAAATAATGTTGAATAATATTTTTGCGAAGCCGCTTCGCGGCTTCGTTTTTAAAAAGCCGCTACGCGGCTTTTCATTTTTGATTTTTGAGACCCTGACTCAGGTTTTCTTCTCAGGTTGCCGAGCCCAGACCTGTGTAAAAGCCCGAGTCAGGAAAGATAGCTTACCTTTGGACTAGAAACACGTGGAGGAAGACAGGGAGAAGGAAGACTAACACTGGGTCGCTGGAGTCCTCGTTGGAAGTTCAGGAGACCGAGAAGGTCTTGATTGGGCTGTTGTTGCTGCTGCGCCTGCTGCTGTTGTTGCTGGGCAGCTTGGTGTTGCTGCTGTTGCTGGAGAATCTGCATTTCGCGCTGGCGCATCAACGTTTGCAGCGGATTCGGGAAGAGTGGGTTTGAAATTGGCGCGGAAACGGAATTGGCGATTGGGATTTCTTCTTTCTTTTGGGCTGGAATGGACTGAACCGTCTTCGACAAGAGCTGGAGGAGATTCATTTGAGCTTGTCCAGGATTTGCCTGAGCTTGAGCTTGGGCTTGTTGCTGAGCTTGAATGATTTGCTGGGCGACGAGTTGCTGGAGCTGGAGCTCGAGCGTTTTGCAGCGCTCCTTCCAGTCGACTCCTTCTTCCGCGCTGCTGGGCTGAAAAAATGGAATTGGTTGGTGAAATTTAAAATTGTCTGAGAAAGGAGCTATCGCGGGCAAATTAGTATTATATTAACTTGGTACGTCGCGGTTGTCGCGGTCAACTGGCGGTGCTGCGATCAGCGGACAAAGCACCAATCAGTGGTCCCATTGATACTCCCAGCCCGACCAAAATCGCAGCCGTATCAATAAAGATAAACCAACCCCTATTATCAGTACTACAAGGGGGAGAGTTTTCTTATCGCGCCAAATTCCGGCGCTCTATCTATCTCTCTCCTCTAGCTCTAGAATCGTACGTACCTCTGGAGCTGCAGCGGGAGCTGCTGGCTGATTTTGTGCAGTTAGGATCTTCTGTAACCGGTCAACATCAGCCTTCAGTTTCAGATAATCAGGCGCCTGGGCTGGGGCTGTTTCGATTTCCTCGATTTCCTCCTCTGCCTCTTGGGGATCCTCTGGGGTGATGTCTGCCGAGCTACCGACCTTTTCCGGGGTGGATTCGGGGGTAAACGGAACTGGCGCATCGACAATGGGAATTTCTTCGTCATCCTCGTCGAATACTGATGGTTTTAGCTCTCGGGGTGTTTCGACTGGCGACTCTGGGGTCACTTCGATTGTGTTGGGGCTAATATCTGCCATTTCTGGGGATATTTTTTTTTTTATCTTTGGGGAGATTTTAGCTCTGGAAAAGTTTTTTTGATTGGAAAAGTATTGCTATCTTTTTTTCTTTGCGTTGTGCTTTGTGGTTGTCAATTAATTCGAATAAAGGTATTTTGGTGTAACTGGTGGTGGCGGCGGCGGAGAACGAGGGCGCCAGAGCGGAGGCGAGGGCGCTTTTGCTCCTCGCCACCGCGAACAATGGAAGTTATAATCGCGCCAGACAATGCCTATAGGCTCCAAAAACGGCCAATCACGATTCTCAAGTCTTGAAAAGAAACGCAGAATAACTAGCGCTAGAACGATTGAGCATTGTTTACGCCCAGCGTGGGAACAAAAAAAAGTGGAAAATATAATTAATCGTAATTTCGATTAATTGGAGCTCGTTTGAGAATAATATCTCGCGGGTCAGAAAAAGGTCGCGGGATGATGTTGTCACTATAATTCGATTCTCAAATGAAGATAATAAGAAACAAGTAGTCAAGAAAAATGAACGGTGGAAATGAATCTCGGTGAGGGAGGAGAACACACATTTGCTAGTCATCAAAGAAGGCTGCTCCACCGCTGCGACACCTTAAGCACCCAAAATGAACATGATTTTCAAGACACCTCAAAGACGAGCTTTGTCGAGAGCGCTTTTTTGAGGGGGACGCAACACAATTTATTTGTTGCCAAAATAGAAGAAAATGAAATGACCGATCTAGATTTTTTTTCTACCCACTGACCATTATCGTTAAAAAAATTAGGATCATTATTGGTAAAATCGAATAAGGGGGTGACAATGATAACCATAGAAGTAAAAGATGTAATACCCTTCTTTACTGTAGCTTTACAGGCCAGAGTTGCAAATTTTGATTAATTTTTCTGAGCAGAGCTGACCTGAGTAAAAATTTCTTTGAGCTGAGCTGGCCTTTTTCAGAGGTCATTGAGCGGAGCTGAGCTGAGCAGACCTTTTGTTTAAGAGAGTTGAGCTGAGCTGAGCTGAGCGGACCCTAATTAGAGCTGAGCTGAGCTGTTTTTTACTGTTTTTTTTGGTAGTAAAATTGTATTCAAATCATTGAGCTGAGCTGAGCTGAGCTAAGTGATAGTTGTCTGAGCTGAGCAGAACAGATCATGTTCGAAAATAATTGAGCGGAGCTGAGCTGAGCTGAGTAAAAATTGTCTGAGCTGAACTGAGCTGAGCAGATCAGATCACTTTCCAAAATCACTGAGCTGAGCTCACTCAGCCAGCTCAGCTCACTCAGCTCAGCAAATTTGCAACTCTGTTACAGGCAGATTCACAGAGTAGTCTCCAATTATCTTCAGAAATGTAAGATTTTTGCGTTTGGGGTAACCTCCATTATTTTTCCCGGAAAAGACAGCTTGAAAGTCGGGCTTTATGAGGTGTACCCCCTTAACTACTGTGCTTTAGCATTACGTTAGTTTCTTTGTTGTGATTATGATGGTGCGTTGTGGTGTTATAAGGCGTTGCCTGATCTTGGGTTAGCTTTGTTTCCGGCGGGTGCTAATCCTTTTATGCTCTTTTCACACATTCTAGCGCTAAAATCGGTTTGGGCAACACTCTGTTTATCCCGTTGTGGAAACAACGCAGCAGAAAGCCCAGCCAAATCGCCCCAAATACATAATGAATGAAGCATTCGAAACAATGCTCTTTAGCGAGCAATACTGTTCTTGTGGTTTGATTCTAGAGCGATTCCGAGCTCAGATTATTTTGATTTGTGTTTTGCGAGAGTTTTGCATTTCACGCTTTTGTGCGCGGATTATAGCGTTTGAAGATGAGCTGAACTCGGTGACATGATCGCTACGAAACAATACAAAACAATATGTGACCGGATTAATCGTTCAAAAATCCATACCGACAATATATCTTCTTTACCGGAAGAATATCCGCCGCAGTCTAAACATCAACCGCTTTTTTTTCTGTAATTCAACACTTTATTTTTTCTCGATTTCTCATCCATTCAGGACCAGAAAAGAGAAAAGGATTCCGGGCTAGGGTTAGGGTTAGGGCTGGGTCTTTTGGGGAGGTGCCTGGAACCGACAAAAATATTTCGACAAATTTTACGTGGAAATTTTCAACCAATCAGAAGCCTGGATTTGGCAAACCGGCCAATCAGCAACCGAGTAGCCGCCCACGCAAAATTTGTCGAAATTTTTTGTCGGTTCCAGACACCATCCCGGTCTTTTTAGGGTAAGGGTCTATTTCATCTCTCAAATACCCATTTTACACAGTGACACCCTTACTTTCTTTTACAGAAATGAAGCTTCGATATTTATCCTTTGTTTTCTTATTAAGAATAACGCTGAGTACACCCTTAAAATAAAAATTTTGAACCAAAAAACTGGATTCAAAAAAACTCCCCCTAATTCGAAAGAAAATAAAGCGGCGCAAATATTTTGCGAATATTTTTTGAATAATGACATAACGCTACTACCTTTCGGAATTCAATGCTCTGCCCAGCAAGAATGTCGAACTCTGGCATACACACACACAATCATTCCAATAACAAACTACTTTCTAGCAATCTACAAACTTGTGTGAACCCTCGCGCATTCTCCGGCCATGTTTCAAAAACGCCCTAGAATAGAAAAAGAGATTTTTAGTTTGAATAATACTTGGTTAGGTAATTTTAACTATTTTACTTTTGAGTATTTTTCAATTTGATTTTTGCTTTTTCTAGAGCAGGATGGCGGTGCTTGGTGTACTCAAGTGTCCAATTCCGTAATCCATGTCGGACAAAGATGCCTTTATTTGGATTTTGTCGAGATTTAAATCGATATCTCAGGTAGCTGAGCCACTTGGCTGAGGCAACGGCTGTGAAGCCGACATTTTTGGAAAAGCGATCCTTGGCGATCGTCAATCATAACTTGCATCACACCCTCAATTCGGCCACGAAGCCCCAAGTCGACCACAAGGAACAATTTCGCCCTCTCTTGTGGCCTGGGCGCGCCGACCTCGTCCGATAATACTCCGCCGGCTTTTATGATAACAGATTTAATTTTGCAAGCCCGGTCGGTCCTCGTGAAATCTAGCAACTAGGATAATCGCTGCTAGATTTCCAAATTGAAGCAGTTAATTCATAGCACATCAAAACCCTCAGTTTTAAGGGGCTCAGCATCTTAAACAATAACGCCTATTTTCTTCCTAAAATTAACATAGAGATACCTTTAGCTTTAATAGGTGGGTACACCCTTAAAACGAGGCTGGACCCTAACCCTAACCCCAACCCTTAAAACAAGGATGCCTCTATATTAACTTCAGGAGAAAATTCTGCCAAAAATCCAGCTTTAACGAGGTCTACTCCCTTAAAAGTATCCGACAATTAATAAAATAAAAACTAAAAATCACTACCGCGAGGAAACCGACCAGGTGGTATCACTCATAAAATTTTGGTTTTTGGCCTTGAGGAGCCAAAATATTTGTCGCGTAATTGGCAGATTTCACCAAAATTAACAGGAATGAAAATTATTTTCCCAGGGCGAATAGCTCGGTCAAGTGCGTAATACGCAGCTGCATCCCGAAAAAGTCATTTCGCCCGTATTTAGCCACCTATATGGGGTTGGCTAATAAGTGTACTTTTCTTTCTGGGAGAGAAAGAGGCTGCCACAAATATTTCATATTATAAGGGTGTCGCCTTTTAACAGTGCGTTTGAATTGTAAAGTGCTTGGCGACATTCCGATCGGCAGCATTACCCATGCCCGAGCAACGATTACTGGGACGATCCAGTGGGAAAAATCATTTCCACTCGGGGATAATAGGAGCCTTCCCCGACATAAAAGCAGCCCCGCCGCGCCCGCTTCACACCAAATTCAAGATGATCCTTCTTCCTTCAAATTGCAAGAAAAGAATGTTAATAATCGGCCAAGGACTATTGAATTCTAGCGCTGGAACTATTTGATCCAAAGAATTCCAAAGTAACAATCTGGTCATAAATTTTAAGGGTGTCCCTATAAAATATCCGAAGCCTCACTTTCAAGCAGATTGTTCCCCAGAGTTAACACAGTGACACCCTTATTTCTCTTGAAAAATACGATGTTTCAGCCTAACTATTATATAAGCCTTTTATTCATATTTTTGGAGAGAAATAAGGGTGTCACTGTGTTAACTCTGGGTGAAAAATCTGCCTGAAAATCTGGCTTCGGATATCTTATAGGGACGCCCTTAAAATTTATGAAGAAATTGTAACTTTGGAATTCTTTGGATCAAATAGTTCCAGCGCTAGAATTCAATAGTCCTTGGCCGATTATTAAATGCCCGATTATTATTTTATTTCAGATTTGAAGATCTTTATTTTTGGAAGAGAGTTGCAGTTGTTTCCAAAAATCGAACGCTGGCGTGGGATTTTGTTGGTGATTGAATTTGTGTTGAGCATGCACAATTACCAGACCGAGGTATCCAAATCTTTCTCCCTCTGTGATTCCTGGCGTCGTGCAAGAGATTAAAATGTTGGAAAAACATTTTGGGAAGAAGACAGGCCGATACATGTTCTTCGAATACTTTAACATTATAAGCTTACGGCAAAATACCGGATTAGCGTCCATTTGGCACCGATTAACGCTGCTTTTTTTATTTTGGCATTTTATATGGCTAGCTCTCGAATTGAAAGAAAAAACCATAATACTTCCAAGAAATAATTAAAAAAAACTAGGGTTAGGGTTTCAATAATAAGGGCGTCAATATGCTAAGTTTTTATGGAGAAAATTTATTTATCAAAGTGAGACTTGCTGATTGATCGTTCTTTGAGAAACTTTAATAAGGGTTTCACTATATTAACTTAGCTGGAAAAAGATACAGAATTAACATAGTGAAACCCTTATTAAAGTTTTTCAAAAGAACCATCAATGAGCAAGTCTCACTTTGACAAATAGATTTTCGCCATTTAGTCTTAGCATATTGACGCCCTTAAAAAGATATAGAAAGATAGGATTTTTCAGGAGGCTGAGCTGAAGAATGGATTCATTATCAGTGTACGCGTTAAGGGAGTAACAAACCACAGCAGCTTCTCATTACACGTTCAGGTTAGCCTTCCGTTCGGCGGGATGAAAGGCTTGCCGCCGCCATCTTTGGCGATAAGTCGCGGTCATTCATTCACCAACCGCAGGAGTAACTGACCCTTCTTACAAGTCCTCTCTTACAATTAGTGCTAGCCGTTGTAATTCGGCTTTTACACCGCTTGGCGGGATTGAGAGGCTATGTATTTAGGCACTCTGCCGCAAAAGGTCGGATTTGGAAAGCGTATCAGATGCGGTGAAGAATCTAGAGTTCCGCCACAGGCAGCGCGATAAGCCCATAGTTTATTAATGGCGACCTTCGAACAACAATTTCACTTCCTCGCACACTTTCTTCCGCTCTTCTATATTATCAAAAACACCCAATAAAAACACCTTATTCGAGCGAACTGAGCTCGGCAACCTGTGTAGAAAACCTGTGTCAGGGTTTCAAAAGTCTTTACCTGGACCCTGACTCAGGTTTTCTATACAGGTTGCCGAGCCCAGTTCGCTGGAACAAGGTACAAAATTGCAGTTTCTTTTTCAAATAGTGTAAACATTAAGGGTGTCACAATCTAAACTTGATAAAAAAAGTCGCAGTTTTCGCCCTCTTTTGATTGCTGAGCTCGGCAACCTGTGTAGAAAACCTGAGTCAGGGTTTGAAATGTCTTTTATGAAAAACCTCGTAAGACCCTGACTCAGGTTTTCTACACAGGTTGCCGGGCTCAGGGGGAAACTACGATTTTTCTTATAAAGTTTACATTATGACACCCTTAATTTTTAAATTATTTAAAAAAGAAACTGCAATTTTGTACCTTTTTTTAAATTTTGAAAATAGAACTTCTAGTTTTGTGAGAAAGGAGATTCAGACGGAAGAAACGCCTTGTTCGAGGATTCAGTATCTTTGAGTGCTTTTTGTAGTTACCGCCCGCGACACATTGTCCCGGAAGTTTTCAACTTGTTGTTGTATAAACACTCCGGAAGGGGCGAGAACTCTCACAACGACGCCTGCCAACACCATAATTTATCATCACTATCAAGTTCGCCATCGGCTCATCAATCAACCCTTTTCGAAAAAGAAGGTTGAAAAAGAGCTCCAATTTTGTTAAAAAGCAGTTGAAAATGGTTGATTTCTTGATTCTGGATTTGAAGTTTCTTGAGCAACTTGTTGATCCTTGTGTTTTGAGTCGAGTCGGCGGGAGGGTGCTTTCTTCTTGTTGTCTCATTTGTGGCGGTTCATAATCGGATGGTGTTGATGGTGTTGGTCGGCTTTAGCAATGGTGTCAAAATGATGTAATTCGTCACATTTTGGCGGTGTCAATTATTGTGCCCTGCTTGACCGCATCATCAGATACTTTTAATGTTTTTGCAGCAATTGTGGCCGATGCGGCCTTTATGCAGATAACACCCCGAATTCTAGCGCTGAATTCCGCTCGTGACCGCCCGAATTAGCAAAATTGATCAAACAAGTAACGATGAGCGATGTGATAAACAAGGCCGATAAGGGTAAAAACGGGCTTACGAGTCGTAAAGCCGAAAGGTGTCACAGAATTGATTCCGATTCCGGAAGGGCTTAGGCCGCTATAGGATGACAACTATCGATAAGGGGAAGTGTTACATGACAAATGAAGGGGCAAAGAAATTTATGCATCTATGCAATGTTTACTCTCCTCGCCGGATCCAGCTTGACGCAAAGCCAAAAGGGAAGAGTACCAGCAGATTACGTCCCGAACGAAAGTGATTGTGCTACCAACAAGGGTTAAGGGAGTAGCCCCGCTAAAAATGGCATTAACAACTTGTGCGGAAATCTGAGTCAGGGTCCTGAGTCAGGTTTTCGCTACGCGGCTTTTTACAATAGACAACTCAGGACCCTGACTCAGGTTTCTACACAGGTTGCTGATTTCAAATTAAGGGAGTAAACCTGCTAAAAATGGGATTAATAACTTGTGCGGAAATCTGAGTCAGGGTCCTGAGTCAGGTTTTTGCTACGCGGCTTTTTACAAAAGACGACTCAGGACCCTGACTCAGGTTTCTACACAGGTTACTGATTTAAATTTTTGAAAGTCAACTTTTTCAAAACTGTCGAATTCTAGTTGATTTTAAGGATATGCACTCCCTAGAACAGAGTTGATTAGCAGTGCTGGATTCCATTAAAGCTTGATCTGAAGCGAGAATGGCGTCGGTTGATCAGACCTTGGTACATTTTGAGTGCGGTGGGGCTGCACCTGTTTGTGTTTTGGTGCTCAGGCGCGAGAAACCGGAAAAATCAAAGTGGGAGGGCGATATTTATTCGCTTAGCTGCGGTTTATAAGTGATTTATATGAAGCTTGTTCGACGTTTCATCAAAGGGGATTAGAACTTGTGTGATGGAACTGCCCAACAAAATGCGCCTCGCCAACCGGTACAAATCCAAGCGCGGAGACAGTATTAATCCCTTTGAAATGTCACAATTATAAAACTTCGAGCACCTTTGGGGATGAAAATAATAAACAAAGAATTGCAATAAACTTCACTTGAAATATTTTTTTATTTTCGAAATTTATTGTTTTGCTTCTAAGATAATTTTGAGCAAGAAATGAAGAAGAGAATACTTGAAAAAGCTGTTCAGACTTTTAGGTGATCAATGGAGACTTCTTTTCATCCCTTCTTGGTGTTTTCTAAAAATCATTTAAAAAAAAACTCAATCTTCAATTGATTTTACCTTTTTCGATGAGCGACTTTCCAGCATCGATGAGAATACGAGATAGTCGACGCTTGGCCATTCGTTTCTTTTTTAGGTGTGCAGCAAGCCTAGCTTCAGCCGACTCGGACTTGATCTTTGCGACTTCTGCTTCGTGCTCGAGAAATTTTGTTTCATCCTCGATTTTCTTCAGCTCTGCTATTTGTGATGGAATAAATCGATCATGTAAATTTTCTTCCTCAAGACATTCCTCCCAAAACCACTCATTTTGTTCATGGACTGCTTCTTCACAGCACACACCTTCTTTCCATTCGAAGAATGACACAGGAGGACATTTGTCGTCATCAGTTGAAGGGCACCTGAAATTCGCACCAATACGATAAGGCTTCGCATAGAATCGTGAATTAGGCTCATGCTTCTCGTAGCATTCCGAACACAAGTCGAATTTGTCGAGTCGCCACATAATGTCAGTTGTACTAGAATAAAGATATTAATTGAATAAAAACCTAACATAGGCCACCCCCTAGTTAGCATGATAAACGTAGGCAAATTGATGAATGAAATTAATAATCTTACCCTTTACAGCGAACGCATTTTTGTACTTTCTGCCCATCGTAGATGAATTTACTAATTCGAGTAGCCATTGTCACATAGCTACCTCCTGCTGAATTCATGTTGAAACACATCTCTGGTTCCTCCTTTGGGATATGCTTCTTCCAATCAACATATCTCTTTCCAATACTTTCTTCCTCTGACATTGAAAAAAAATTGGAGTATATTCGAGCTTTTATTAGAAAAACTGATTTCAAATGCGCCAAGCAGTGCATGCCAGTTTCTTCAATCAGATTAAAACCCCAAATCGAGCCATTTAGTCCAACGACATTCAGATTCAAAGATGAAAACTAGCGTTAAAATTTGTTCAAAGCTTCTTTTCGTAAAAGCTTCAAAATAACCGTAAATCATCTCAATAGCATGCACGTTATTTGCCAGAACTGCGATTAAAGATCTCAAAAATTACCAACTAGGTTTTTGATGAGAATTATAGAAGTGCTGAATCTTCAGTGTGGGACTTGAAGTCTCAAGAGAAGTAAAATCTGGACTTTTCTGTGCTGGGCAGAAGGTACAACCACCGGCGGCGGGCGAAACACTAATTTTATTAATTCTCACTTACATAGTCGCCGCCATTTTCAGATTTTCTCATCCTTATTTGATATTGAAGTGATTTTACAAGGCCGCAACTGGCGCAGCTGGCCCGCTCAATCCTTCCCAACAACTCGAAAAAAGCTACGCTACCACGAATGCAACTAAATAGTGCCGAAATCAAAAAGTACTACTCTTTCTCACCAACACGCATAATCAAGAAATGACAGAAACAACTGCAATTCCTCGGCAAAAAAAATTGCAGGTGTCTTTCTCCGTATATTTCTCCGGATGATAACACAGTGACACCCTTATTTTTTCTGCCAAAATTTTTCTTTAGACCTTTTTATACTTATTGGCTCGGCAACCTGTCAAGAAACCTGAGTCAGGGTCCGGAAATACCGAAGTTCTTTCGGGAGTCCTAAATCAGGACCCTGACTCAGGATTCTGCACAGGTTGCCGCTCACAAAAGAAGGCCTAAAGAAAAATCTTAGCAGAAAATATAAGGGCGTCTCTTTGTTAATCTCCGGACACAAGTTCCTCTGAAGACTGAAATTAAGGACGTGTACAGCCTTAATTTTTCATCAATATTTTAAGAGAGCATCGAATGGTGAATCCTAATTCTCGAAATGTCCAAAAAAGAAAGAAAAAACGGCAGCAGTGATAAGCTGCTAATATAATTATTTGATAAATAGAGCTTTAGGGCGTCGCTCTTTTTTTTGACAAGCAAAATGGACAAGGCGTTTCCCCAATCGTAATTCGTATTTTATAATTTTTCCAAATTTGTTAACGCTTTTGGCTAACGAAGGAAGTAATCCATAATCTCGAGCCCGATCCGTGTTTCCGGCAACGAGCACTTCACACCAGAATTGAGCTCCTTACGCTTTTCTCTCACTTGTATTGTGAATAATCATCGACATCAAGGGGCACTGCCGATTTGCGTAAAAATAATCCAATATCCTGGCGCCAGATATACTTTTGCAAATTTGTCGAATTCTGTTGCTGAGAAATTAAAACTAGCCCAGCGCCGAGTTTCTGGAAGAAGCTACTACTTACTAGTAGTCATCTTCATTTTTAAGGGGGCAGACGTCGATAACTCAACCTTTGTCCAAACTTATCTCGAAGAGCTGACATAGAGACACCCTTATTTGAATAAAAAGAAACGATTTCCAACCCTGTATAAAGTCCTGAAGAGGGTCAGTTCTCACGTGCTCTAGCCACTTAAGGGTGTATGCTTGCTAAATTTTGGTGTTTAAGAAAAACTAAATAAGGGCCTTAGCATTATTTCAGGCCACAAAATAAGGGCCTCACTATGTAAATTTCAAGAGAAAAGCCTCAATGAAAACCTAATTACTGCAGTCTAACCCCTTAACTTTTTAGTTCTGAATTTTAAAAAAGCAATCAACAAAAGGATTTTTTTAAATAAGCATTTTCGGAGCTTGGGGTTGAAACGCGCCGGAGACACTTGAGTTTAAGTTTTCCTCCTAAGATAATAAACCCATTTTAGTCAAAGTCCGAGATCAAAACGATTTTGAAATGAAAGTGGACGACCACTCAGCCTCGCTGCTAAATAAAGTTTAATTCTTTATTATTTATATTAAATCTTGGAAAAGGGCAGAAAAGTATCCTCTTAGGCGGAGAGGGAGGCTTTTTTCGATTGCGGGATTGAAGAAGAAAATTATTAAAAAAAGAAAAATGAAACAAAATTTTAATAAATAGATTTTTGATATTTAGAGGTTAGGGTTAGATTAAGCGGCAAAATAAGGGTATCTTTACGTGATTTCTTGAAGAAAAAAGTTGTTTAGGTTAGGGTTAGGGTTTGATTTAGAGATACGGCTATGTTTTTGACTGATCGAAATAAGGGTATCTCTACGTTAATTTTTGAAAAAGGGGTTATACAGTAGATGAATATTGAAGGTTGAAATTTCTTTAGTAAAATAAGGGTGTCATTGTGATAACTCTTAGAGAATTGGCTTTACGAAACTGGCCATTATCGATGCCTACCCCCTTAGCTTGCCTTGGATGTATGTGGTGTCAACTGGAATGCTCTCATGATAATGTGAGAAAAAAAAAACTGGGGGCGAAACAAGTTCGGAATTTCGCATTTCTATTTCTATTTTGTTTTAGCTTTATTTTGTTTACAAAGAGAATTCTTCCAGTGTTGCTTCATTCTGTCGGAATTTCACGCGAGCGGTGTTTTTCGCCAAATTCAAAATTGCCGAATTCGAGAAAAAAGCAGAAGGCCTCTTGCTTTTGATGGATTTGGCGTAATTTTTATAATGCGCCGATTGAAAATTGAGGTGTGGAAACAAGCTAATCCCATTCCGAACAGCGCCCATTTTTTCAACCCTGTTTGATTTTCAAGCAGCCGTTGCTCTGACCCCCGCACTTTACAATTATTATTATCTTTTTATTTCTCAAAATGGGATTACGGAATGGAAATTTCATCCCGGCCCCGCTTGTGCATAAATAAAAAGAATTGCACCAAAACATTCACCAAAATTATAAATTCGATGTTTGCCGATCAGAATTTGCCACCAAAATAAATTCAAGAGCGAACTTAAACAACCGAATTTACTGACGTTTCAGCTCTTCATCCTCTTTCTTCCTGAGCTTAGCCACCTGTGTAGAAAACCTGAGTCAGGCTGTGAAAGATCGTAAATGGAAATATTAGTATTTGAAATAGTCAATTTCAATCTGTTGGCAAATTCTGGCGAAGCCGCTTTCCGGCTTCGTTTTTCGAAAAGCCGCTGCGCGGCTTTCCATTTACGATCTTTTACAGCCTGACTCAGGTTTTCTGCACCGGTTCCCAAGCTCAGAACTAAGCATTTGAGCATTTTTTTGTTATCATGGGAACGTAGTGACGTTCATCCTCAATCAGCCGGCCTCTTTCCCTTTAGTCTAACGGGAAAGGCTCAATTCTAACAAAATAGATAGCCAAGAATAATGGACAGAGAGGAGTATCAGGAGTATCTGAGAGAGCTCGAAAAAGCCAGAGCATGGGATCATTTTCTTCAAGACATTTGCCGCGGCACTACTTCCAGTATTCCGTTTTTGTGGGCTTTTTTTATGGCCTTTCATATTATGTTTCTTGTGATGAGCAAGGGAAAGCTCTTTTGGCGGAATTTAGGGGACTGGGTGGACAATGCTGCTGGGTAAAATGAAGGGCGGAAATTGAGGCTCATGAAACTTTTATTTTTAGCTTTTTTCTTGTGCTGCCGATTATTTACGATCTCATTGCTGTATGGGCTTATGAGAGAAATCAAAGTCGCTACCGATCATCATATCACGCTGATGTTTGTTTTTCCGTATAAGTTATACGGTATAACTATTTTGCGAACGAAAATACTTTTCAGCGACCCACGCGAACTAGAATTGCTTCTCTCGTTTTCTCAGCCATATGCGTCTTCTCAACAATTTACTTTCGCCGTCGAATGATTCGAAATTCGACTCGAATCAGAAATGTACCAACAACTGTTGATGGAGGGAATGAGGAGCAGAAGAATTATTCTCTAAGAAGAACTTGGTTCAAAAACGGTATTGGAAGCTTCCTCTTGAAAACTTAACATTTTGATTATAGCTTTGATACTTTCTCTGTTTGGCGGACTCTTTATGATTGCATCTGACTGTATTTGCTTGAAGGATTACATTTATTATCACTACGACTGCTACTTTAACTCCTACTCATTATGTTTATATGTTGATTGAATTTAATGTTTATTTAATAAATGTCAAGAAAGAGGCGAGTTTTTGTTTTTTTTTTCGCGAAATGAAGATTATGAATTTGCGCGGGGTTGAGAATTTTGTTATTTACCGCGCCCTCGATGCGAGAATACTTTTTCACTCGCACGATTTATAATCATAGCGGCATTAGCAGGCAACAGGGCAACAGCGAGGCTCATTATTTTTCCATTTTCAATAATAAACTGAACTATACAGATTATGTCTCGGCCTATTTTCGCGAGCGCGTCACTTTTGTAACTGCAAATTTGCGAATTCTTGAATCCGCGATGCAACTCTTCTTCTGTAAATGCAATCATGAAGAAACGAGAAATTGGCAATCGGCGTAATCCTCTGAGCAGCGAAAACACTAAATAATTGACCCCGTTCGCGACCTTTTCTCCAATTCATCAACTGCCTTGACATTCTTCTGCTTCAATTTCTCCTTTTATTTACAGCTAAATAAATCTTCAGTAAAGGGTTTCAATAGCTCAACACCTCAAAAATAGCATTTGAACCTCCTGAACCCGCAAAATCCGAGTTTGAAATGGTCAAATCGACGAGTAGACCCTTAAAATCAAATCATTCTTTCTCCCCTTCTATGTATAATGAGTCTATCTTTATGAGTCTGTCTGTAAATAGAGACTAATTAGTCTAATCCCCTAAGCTCGTAATTGGCCCTCTGTACTTCCTAGACTGTAATCAGTTTGAGTAAAATTAGCTCGGGAAATCACGAGTTCGAAAATTTACAAAATCGATCGCCAACACCATTCAGTCCATTAGTTCAATTGCAATCTGACGAGATTACAGAACACCAATGTCTGAGTCTCTCTCTCCTTTTTTTCGCTCTCCTGATGGTGACAGAGAGCACTTTCGAAAAGCAACGGTTCAAACACTGCTTATTCAAAATCTTTATATACAAATCATTTTATTCAAAAATATTACCCTAATTCCAGAGAATTTTTCGTCGAATATGGCTTTTGTCAATAACGTGACAAGTGTAAAACCGACGTCAAAAGCTGGTCCAAGCTCAGGAAAAGTTCAGAAGAGAGGCTCGGAGTCTCTCTCAGAAAGCGCAACCTGTGTTGAAAACCTGAGTCAGGGTCCTAAGTTGCCGCTTGGCCGCGATGCAGATTGAGATGGTAATTTAGGCGGCTACATTTTAAAAACATCCGCTAAGCGGCTTTTATTAACGCTCTTACATGACTCTGACTCAGGTTTTTACACAGGTTGCCGAGCCAAGATAATTCCAAGTCGAGAAAAGCGAAATTTTCCTTGAAAAAATCCATAAATTCAGGTTTTTTGGCTGTTCTCTTTCTTGATTTCAATCCGCCAAATTCCCCATTTCTGAATTTTTGACAGACTACATGGACGAATACATCCAAGCAAAACAGCGTGGAATCAAGACTTTCACGACAAAAGTGAAGATTTCCCACATCGTGGTGAAGCATTCTGGCTCAAGAAATCCCTCCACAGCTGATTTGGTCCCGGTCAAACGAAATCGCCAACAGGCTAGAGGTCTTTTTATTCAAATTTTTCAAGTTTTCCAACGATTTTTTTTAGAAAAACTAGAGCTTATCAAAGCAGAAACGACAGTGGCAAATTTTGATGTGATAGCGGAAAAGTATTCTGACTGCACGACAAGATCTAGTGGCGGTGATTGCGGGTAAACTAGCTTATTTATGCAATTTTTAACGTGCGTGCAGTTGGATTTTCAGAGGAGATTCGCACAAAGTCGTTGAAGACGTTGCTTTTAATCTCAACATTGGGCAGCTAAGGGAGTCGCCATCATCTCCAATAAAGACGTAGATGTCGAAGAATTGTTTTCCCACCATTTTTCTTTTGAAAAGAACATGTTTTTTGTGCTTCTCAGGCAAGGTGAGAAACACTCGATTTTCTAGAGAATTTTTGATGTTAAAGTTGCTTGCAGGAGACAAAAAGTCTCTAGATAAAAAGAAGTGTTTCCCACTTGCCTATGAGTGAAAAATTTATCAACGTGTACCCCCTTAAAACTATTTCAGAGCTCTTTTGTTTGCGCAAGAAGATGATGGTGAGTCCCTTTTTTGTTCTATTATTGAGAGCGATTCCGGATTTCACCTTTTGCTGCGCACTGAATAATAATAAAAAAGATATTCCTACTTATCATTTTCTAGCTCTCTACTTCTTTTGATCGTAAACATAAAGTTAATTAATGTTGATTGGATTGCTTAGGAGTTATAATTGAGCATTGAAAGTTTAGGTTTTCGCGTTGAATTTTTAGAAATTTTGAATGAAAAGTTGCATAGTTAACTTGTTCTCACAATCGCGCTTCAAGAAAGATAATATTTACACAATTAACGAATTGGGAGGTATAGAAGGAGGGCCTAGCGGGAGGCCGTACTGGCCCGCGGTCCAGGTCACCCGGAGCTGCCTTCTATTGGCCCGGGTTAGGCCACGGCGAATATCCCCTCCCAGTGTTTGATTACAGAAGAGTGAACCGGTCACCCGCTGTTCCTGCTCTTCCGCGACAGAGAATCCAGAAGCCAGGAAGCCGAGAAAATGAATCTCTTCCGACTATGTGGCGATCTCTCGCACCTGTTCGCCATGCTGATCCTTCTCGCCAAGATTTGGAAGTCAAGATCAGTCTCTGGCATCTCCGGCAAATCCCAGGTAAATCAACTAAATCAATGCAAATCCTCCCTCAATCCAAGTTTCATCCAAATTCAATTTCAGCGAATACTCATTTTTTCCATTTTCAGGTGCTATTTTTCCTCGTCTTCGTGACTCGTTATTTGGATCTTTTCACTGTCTTCATCAGTCCGTATAATACCTTCATGAAATGCGTCTACTTGCTTTGCTCCTTCGTCACGTGCTTCTTCATCTACTCGAAATTCAGATCTACTTATAACGAAGAAGGCGATAAGTGAGCTCATTTTTTTAGTTTTCTTTTTTTTCTAATTTTTATTTTCCAGGTTCCGAATTGAGTTCATCCTCGTTCCCGCCGTCGGCATGGCCTTCCTCGTCCACCACGATTTCAACATCACCGAGCTCTTGTGGACCTTCTCGATTTACCTCGAATCCGTGGCGATCATGCCCCAGTTGCAAATGATTGCCGAGACTGGCGAAGCTGAATCCATCACCAGCCACTACCTCTTTTTCCAAGGAGCTTACCGGTAAAACTCTACTTTCCTTCTTCTCCTACTATCCAATACTCTTCAGAGCACTGTACATTGTCAACTGGTACTGGCGATACACCCACGAGAACTTTGTCGACAAAATCGCAGTCGTCGCTGGTTGCGTTCAAACTGTCCTGTACATGGATTTCTTCTACCTTTACATCACTAAAGGTACGTTTTCAAGCGCTCTTTTCTAGGAGAGTTAACAAAGTGACGCCCTTAATTTCTCTAATCCAGACAAAATTAAAGAAAGTGCGCTTCGCTTAGCACAATTTTAAGAGGAATTTTCTCATAGAGTTAACGTAGTAACACCCTTATTGTTCAAGCCCAACAATACTTGAATCTGTTCTCTTCTTCATTTTAGTATTCAACTTTTTATTTCTAGTTCTCTACGGTAAGCGACTCACAATCCCTGGTGGCGGATCGCAAGGTGTCTGAACTGCTGTCTCCCTTTCTCTCTATCTATCTTACTGTATTGACACTGTGCTAACTGTGACTCTGAATGGTGAAGGAAGAAATGTACGGCCCTTTTGAGAATTTGACAAAATTTGATACAATGCGTATAGTTATTCTAAATTAATAAAGTTTATTATTTAACCACAGACTACAAAAAAAGAGAGTTTGACAAATGTTGAAAGAAGAAAGTAGGTTACAGGGTCGCTAAAGCCGCTAAAAAGTGGAAAATTGGAAACTATTGATATTCAGCCTCATTGAGCAGGATTTGCTGGACCGGACAGGGACAGGTTGGCAGAGTTGAAGGCACTAGAAGCGTAGGCAAAGCCGTCCTTGAAGACGAGAAGAAGAAGTTGAGCCAGATTTTTGACGAGTTCTCCTGCGTTTGCTCCGAATTCGGCGGCGGTGGCGGAGGTCCAGAGCTTTCCAAAACTCGTGTTCTTGAAAAACATTGTATAAAGATCAATTTTTATGAACTACCATGGTGCCGAAAAGCGCCTGGTTTCCATTGTAACAGTAGTAGGACATGGCAATAGCAGCGATAAGACCCAAAACCTAAAATTTGATTTAAGTCTCCGACGGAAATTGATAATTTTACCTCCAAATTAGCGACGCTAGAAATTGATCGTGTAACCCGCCGGGTGACTGAAATAGCAATCCATGTGCCAGCCACTAAAAGTGCAAACGACACCACTAAAAGCTCGTTAATTATGGCACTTTATCAATTCAAATTTACACTCATTCTGCGCCTGGCCCATTGGAACTCCGGCATCGGGAACAATTTGAGGCTCTTGCTCTTGTCCCTCTTCGAATTCGTTTTCAAACTCATTCTCGAACTCATTCTCCATCTCCATTTCTTGCTCCATCTCTTGTTCTAGCTCTGGTTCAGGTTCGGGCTCCGCTTTTTTCGATTTTTTGTACTTTTTTCCCGCTTCGACGGTGATATTGGCGATCTGGCTGATCAGGACGAGGAAAAAAGCCAAGTATTTGAAAAATCTAGCCATCTTTTTACTTTGTCTTCTTCGCTGGTTGAATATTTGATGGATAGATACAGCAATAGCCTCTTTTTATACAGGAACTTTCAGCGCCCCGCCGTGATAAACTTCGCCCCGTGTTTTTGCATTACGCCCAATCCTCAAAGTAGGGAAAACTCGTGCAGTTTTATCGACTTGTAAGTAAGCCGCTAATAGATTAGGAAAAACAGTTTTTGGCCATGTATTTATATCTTTTGTATTATCCAAAAATAGGCAAATATCATTCTGCATAAAATTAATAAACTCAGGATGTTACATTGGAGATTCTTTATTGAGACAATTGGCAGGTGATAAAAAATATAATAGCTTTGTTTAGAATAGTGAAATATACAGGGAATGTGAAAGTGTTGGGCTGTGATTTCTGGTGAGGAAGTTGATCAGTCTACATTTACTCAATTCTTCTTGTTGAGCGCTGGCTACAATGAAAGATAATAACAGTATTTATCAAGACATATTTTACCCTTGGAAGCTAAGAGGGGCCAAATTTCTTTGCCTGGATGTGTTCATCAGACGCTCGTTTTCCAGCAGGCTCGACGAGAGGAGAGTTGGGACCCTTGCGCTTTTTAGAGCGCGTCTTTTTCGATTCCTTTGAATTCGATTTAGATGCAAAAAAAAAGATACAAAAAATGACTCACCCCAAACATAGGAGCAGATGATGTTGCCTGTCGGCATTCGAAGGCCATTGAGTCCTCGGAGATGTTTTTGGAGTCTAGCTCTTCTTCTGGTTCTGTCGGAAGACTCTCATCCTGCTGAAATCATTAGTAAAAATCAGTTTTCAATCAAGTCAGCTACCGGAAGATCTTCTTCGTCGATTGTTGTGGACGGCTCCTCGTACTCGCGAAGAATCTGCACTTCGTTCCTGATGCTCAGAGGCTTCTGAAGAGATCGTCGATCGCGTTTTGCTGGAGTTTCTCCGCTCTCGTTGTATTCTACCAATGAGAGAGAAGTGAGGGCGCCTTCAGTGGATTTGTTTGAAGCGTCGATTTCCTGAATTAAGTTTTTTTTTTTAAAGGATAAAAAGGGGAAAGCTTACCTCCAGAAGAGATTTTTGAGCAGTCGCGAACGATTTTCCTTCGGACAAGAGCTTTCCAACTTCGTCCTTGATTTCTGAGAGCTTTTTTTTCTGCCCTTGTTCGCGTTTCTCCAATTCGCTGGTACATGTCTCGGTCGCTGTTTTCACTCGCCAATACAAAGTCTTCTCGTGGCAACTCGCATCTTGAGTAATCTTGTCAAGAGCGACCTTGAGCGATTCCGAGTATGCTTGCTTTTTGTCGATGGAAGTCTCAACGTGAGCACTCGTTTGTCGGTTGACATCGACCAGAGTCTTCTTTGATTCCGCAAGTGAGTTCTTTATGTCTCCAGTCTTGCTCTCGAGTGTCGCTTTCGCGCTTTCGACAGATTTGGAGACAGAATTCGCCGCGTTCCGGAGCTTTTCGTCGGCAGAGCTCTTCGAAGAAAGGCACTGGGACATCTGGCTTATCATCTGGCTCATCATCTGGCTCATCGTCGCTTCAATTGTCTCCTTCATCTTTTTCTCTGTTTCGCGAAGGATCTTCGTTGATTCTTCGCTCGCAGAAGTCGCATTTTCCATCTCTGGCTGGATGGAAGAGAGTGACTCGAGAACTTCGCTGTTTAGTGACTCAACAGAACTGCTGACAGAGTTCGTAATCGTCTGCAGCTTCTGGATCGACTTGTCATGCGATATCTTGAAATCCTCAAGACTCTCGAAAAGTTTTTTCAGAAGACGCTCGGAGGTGCTTTCGACTTCGCCAGCGCATTCTTCGGTTTTCGACTTGAAGCTGGCAAGGAGTTCGTTCACACCTGCGGTGAGGTCTTCGAATCCTTTTCGCGAAACGCTGGCATGCGAATCCAACTCTTCCTTCAATGTCGCTTCCACTCGACCGACACTCGCCTTGACCTTCTCCATATGAGACTCAGTCGCATCGGTGCTCTTCTGGACGAAATCCGATCGCTTTATGCATTCTGGAATCTCGTCCTCTCTAAATCTCGCGATCGATGACGCGTTTTTCTCCATCACTTGTTTGCAAGAACCAAGCGCGCGCTGGAGCTCGACGATGTCGCCCTCATTTTTGTCGAGATCGGTACAGAGGTCTTTTGTTAGGTGATACTGCTTGAGATTGGCTTTGAGCTGCTCGCCTTTCAGGAAATCTGTTTTGTGCAGATCGGCCTTCACGGACTTGTACTTCCTTTTCAGCTCTAGAAAATAAGTTCATGACTAGGAAAATATAGACAATATTTACCTTTGTTTTTCTGAATTAGGTCGTCGATCTCGTTTCTCAACTTTTGCATCTCTTCCTCAATTTGCGCGTCTTTGACAAGCATCTGTTCTTTCTCAAGATTCAGCGCTTCCAACTCCTCCTTCATTTTCTCATACTCAGTTGGGTCAATGTAATCGCTATTTTTCTGCTGAGAAGCGGCGAGATCTGCCTTGAGCGCTTTGATTTGATTGACAAACTTTTCAATCAAAGCTCGCTTTTTGATCACTTGGTTGATCTGTGGCTTGTTGGAGATCTTCTTTGCTCTGAAGAGAGATTTTGATTGGGAACTATTGATGGGATCGTTTACCTAGCGGAGTAATCGAGGGTTGAGAGGGTTTCTTCCTGAGAAGTGCTGGCCGGCGAGATAGTAGAAATGATGCAGGTTTTCGTTGATCCGCCGAGCGAGTCTTGCAGAAGTCGAGTTAGCTTCGACTCTCTAAAAGGAAGGATGAGGCGATGAAGAGTGGAAGGTATTTACCTATAAGGGATGTGCGGTGATCCCTCAACCAGGCCAGTAACAACTCGCCCGAGGGCAAGCAAGCTCTGGTTGATATGACCCGCTTCTCTGGCTTGCTGATTCTGCGCTACTGATCGCCCAACATTCTCGCTTCCGGCCAAGTCGACCAGGTAGAGTTTTCCCTGTCGAATGTAGTCCTCGTCGATGCCATCCGAGTCCTCGACTTTCACCTTCGTGCTCAATTGAATCTGGAAGACGCAGTGTGATCGCGATGAGTGTGCGTTCATCTTCGTCTTTGTGACTTTCCTCTTCTGCGATCCTCGCTCCATGATTGCGTAGATGTCTTCTTTGTTGGAAACTGCAAATTCTTTGACGCCCTTGATCTTCACAGCTCCTTTTTTATTTGGGTCGTCGAACATCTTGAGCTTCTCGATGTCTTGGCGGTCAGAGAGAAGATCGAAGATTTCATCGTTGTAGATTTCGATGAGACTAAAAATGAATAATGATTTTTGAAGTTTCCTTTGGTTGCTCTTTCTTACCTCACATGAACGGCGTATTCCGAGAAGTCGCCAGAATTCAGCTTGTCGAAAATGTGGTTCATCGTCCTCGGAATGATGCCAGAATGAGGATCGTTTTCCCACGAAAACTCGCTGCCGGATCTTTTCTCTCCCTCCATCGTGTACGTTTTTCCTGAACCAGTCTGGCCGTAAGCGAAGATGGTACAAGAATAACCGCCGAGCACTTCCTTGACGATTGGAACAACGACCTCTTTGTAGACGGCAACTTGGCTTGAATCAGGACCAAACACTAAAAATATTGTTGAAATCAAGAAAAAGAATCGAAAAATACCTTTGTCGAAAAAGTAGCTTTTTTTGTTGATCCTAACTTCGCCGGTTTTCTCCGAGACATCGACGCATCTTCGCGCCTTTTCCGTGGTCTCTTTTTCGTTCATCGGCCTGCATCGTACGCATACCTAGAAATTGAAATTTATACAAATTTAAGATAATGTATTTTACCTTTATTTTGTCCATTCGCTGCTTCTTGTCATTTTTCTCCTCAGATGACTGCGCGAATTTTTCGAGCGGCATTTTCATCATTTCGAAAGAAGTCTAGAAAAATATAATTATTCAAGAGATTCCTTATTAAGGAAAATGAAAGTCCAGGACGGGTTCTTCTCTTATTAAGGGTCATGTTCTCTATTGAAGGTGCAATAATCGCGAAAAGTAAATCGAGCGAAAATCAAGAAATTGCCCGGCGCGGTGGCATGTGCGGTGGAAAAAATGAAAAATGAGCTTTTCCGCCATAGACAAGGCCTCTTATAGGCCAATGCCACATGTGGGAAGGTTTTCGAGCGAGATTCGCAAGACCTGGTTGGTTTCTCCCCGCCTCGTTGTTTGTGGCTTGCGACGACTGCCGTGCTTCCGATTTCGAATTAGCTTCGTCCGAAACCGACCCAGAAGAAGGACCTTCGGGGCGCCAGTCTACAGCCTATCCAGAAGAATTACCTTACCACTAAGAAAAATCTCTATCAAAACAATCACTTTTGTAATTATCCTTGGAGCATGTTTCTACGGCAATACCTCCTCAGCTGGGTTCTCCTTGTTGATTCCCGCCGGCATTGAATTCAAAAGCATCATAATCTCGTCGATATCATCGATCATGCTTTCGACAGGCCAACCAGACTAACTTTAGATCTTTCTTTTTTCGGTTTATTTTCATTTTTCAATTATTTATAAATATATTTCTTAGCAGGAATTTCACAGAAGAACGAATGTTTAATTGATTGATCTAGAATTGCAATAACATAAAAGTAGAAGTACAGAAGCAGATTTGCAGGTAGATTTGTAGATTTGCCGACGTTAACTCCAAACATCTTCTTGGTAGCGCCCCTTGTTCCTCATGCCTAGATCAAAGTTAGATGTGCAGGAACTCTGGGTTAGGGTCAAGATCGAGCATTAATGAGAAGAATATATAATATAGTCGCTATAATGTAGACTATATTTAATACTCACTCTTGAGAAAGTCTTGAGCAGCTGATTTTGGTACTTTCTTGAATTCGGAAATAATGTCGAGTATAACTTCATTGACATCGAGTCCTACAATTGAATGTGGACTATCATACCATAAAAAATTAGCTGACTAATCATAATTAGTAAGCTGTTTTCATAAGATTTGTGGCCCTTAAAAGGGCCGGTTTTTCGCTCTTCGTAATTAAAGAATTACTTAGCAGCGTTGTACTTAGCCACAGCTTTAGTACCTTCGGAGACGGCGTGCTTGGAAAGCTCTCCGGGGAAGAGGAGTCTGCAAGCAGTCTGGATCTCCCGGGAGGAGATGGTCGACTTCTTGTTGATCTTGGCAAGGCGGGAAGCTTCGCCACTGACTCGGTCGAAGATGTCGCTCACGAACGAGTTCATGATGGACATGGCTCTCGAAGAGATGCCCTGGTCGGGGTGGACCTGCTTCAAGACCTTGTAGATGTAAATAGCGAAGGACTCCTTTCGGGCCTTTCGGTATTTTCTGGTGTTGGCGGCGGCGGGCTTGGCGTTGGTCTTGGCCATTTTTGCTGTTTCACAAGTTTTGCAAGTTTGTGAGTGGTGAGCAACTGCGTTTTCGCCGCGTATTTATAGAAAATCCGGCCTTGAGGATGTTCGTGCGGGAGACAACCCTTCGCCGCGATTTTCAATAACAAAAACAACATGTTCTCGAAGCACGATTTCGAGAAAATTTGTTTTTCTTTCCGTGCATTCCAGAGCTCGTTGTTGTTTTTCTCGCGCTCTGGAGAAAAAGTCTCTAGAGCTGGCTGTTGTTCTTCCCAGCAACGCCTATATAAGGAGCCCGAAATCGCGAAACTGCTCATTCTCACTTTGCCGAGAAAACGAAAACATGTCCGGACGAAAAGCGAAGACAAACGCTGCCGCCAAGAAGACCCGCTCATCCCGAGCTGGACTCGCCTTCCCCGTCGGCCGAGTGCACCGAATGCTCCGCAAGGGCAACTGGGCTGACCGCGTCGGCGCCGGTGCTCCCGTCTACTTGGCTGCTGTCCTCGAGTACCTCACCGCCGAGGTCGTCGAGCTCGCTGGCAACGCAGCCAAGGAAAACAAGAAGACAAGAATAAACCCACGACATCTTCAGCTCGCCATCCAGAACGACGAAGAGCTCGTGAAACTCTGCGACGGAGTCACCATCGCCCAGGGTGGTGTCCTCCCCCACATCAACCCAGTTCTCCTTCCCATGAAGAGGAACTAAGGACATCTTTTTGATGCTCCTTCAAAACCGGCCCTTTTAAGGGCCACAAATTACAAAGAACATTTTGAGAAACTGCTCGCTGAGCATTGAAAGATTTCCTCCTCTTTTATAATTTTATTTGAATTAAGCTGCCATTGTCTATTGATCGCCTTGGAGTTTGGTAGTTGTAATTGTCAAATTTATTCATAATTGAAGTTACGTTCTATTAATTATGGATAAATTCAGAGATTATGCTTCAAGGTTGTTGAACTTAAAAATTTTAACGCATCCGAAAGAGCTAACGAGAGAAGCAATCGAGTCATGGCTGCAAGATTTCACAAAGAAATTGACAAGAACTACAAGCAGAGATGATCTGGACAGATTGATCTTGTCGGTCGAGAGAATGGAGTTCAACAGTAAAGATTGTGCTGGATGGAAGGAGATTATTTTTAAGGATGACATATTAAAAATAATTTTCGTTCCTCGAATATCAAATAAGATATTGCAGACAAAACAAATGACCTTGTTTCAAAAGAAAATTCTGAAAAGAAACCCAACCTTTAGCGGCAGAATAACTCAACGGTCAGAATTAAAAGCGGAAACTGGAGAATGGATTCTTCATCAGTCTCTTCGTGATAAAATAATATCATCAGGAGGAGAAGCATTCGTACTGAATGAAAAATTTGGAGACCTAGATGTTGCTGTTCGGGTTCAGGCGTTTGACTCCGCATTGTTTACCACAAATAATGAAGAATATAAATTTGAAATTCATCTTTCAAAAGGTTATATTATATAAATAATTTGATTAATTGCATTTCATATCTTGCGATTTAGATTACCGAATTGCGCATAGTCGGGATGGAAATGAAGATTGTATTCCCCTTTCATACGAATATCATCAAAAATTACGTTAACATTGAAGTTTTTTCAAACGACGATGTTGATAAAGAGGACTGTATTGGATGGATAACAATTATGGAAAAGTGCGACTCTGATTTGAGAAGCATGTTGAAAGACGGAAATTTGAATTTGGAAGAAAGGAAGAAAATTGTAATTGGAGTTATAGAAGGGGAAGATTATTTAAGGAAAATTGGAATTGATCATCACGATAAAAAACCAGAAAATATTCTTTTGAAAAATGGAAAAGGGGAGTGGTCTCCGTTTGCCCAAGTCGCCGTTTCCCCAAATCGCCGTTCACCCAACTTGGGGAAACGGAGATCTCATAACTTCTCCAATATCACTGATATTAAATCAATCATTGCTTCTCCATCGTCAATTCTGGTCTCTACATCGTCAATCCTGGCTTCACCGACTTCAATCATGGCTTCTCTGATGTCAATCCCGGGGTCTTCGACGTCCATCCCGGCTTCATCAATTTCAATCTAGGCTTTTGAAAAGCCGCTTTTCCAACGTCATTCCAATCTTTGAGAAGCCATGATTGACTTTCGAGACGCCATGATTGACAACTGAGAAGTCGGGACTGACGTATGAGAAGCTAGAATTGATGTTAGTGACGCCCGGATCGGCGTTAAAGAATCCGGGATTGACGCTGGAGATGCCAGGATTGAAGTTTTAGTCACAAGGATTGACCTCTGAAAAGCTAGGATAGAAGTTGTTGAAGCCGGGATTGAGTGTGGAGAAGCCAATAAAATAAAGTTATTTGGTCAATCAATTTTAATTAAATCACATCGCCGTTTGCCCAAGTCGCCTTTTCCTCAAGTTGGGCAAACGGAGATCTTAGGCAAATGGCGATTTGGGCAAACGGAGACCACTCGCCGAGTGGCACTCGGAAAAGCGAAATGGATTGATTTTGGGATTGTTGATAACAAAAGTGAAAGGAAGAGCTACCAAGAAATGGGCTACGCAAGAAGTGGAGGGAAGTTTAGACATTTTCAATACCTTTGTAAGTCTACATAATCTTGAGTCAAGCTGAGATGAAATTGTATTTATAGTTTGGAATTTGTTTCTGAGAGACTATCTTAGATAGCCTATCTAAGAATACTCTATTTTAGATGCTGGTTCTGCAGGCTTTGCAAGAACAGAACAACTTTGCCACAATTATGATGTTCTTAACAACCTGTATTTAATTTACATTTTCGTGCTGTCTGAATGGAAGACAGCATGGAGTCTTCTATATAACCCGATCGATAACGGCGAGGAAGAGATAAGAAGATCACTGGAGGTATTTTCTTCATTGTAATAAAAAATCATAATCTTAAGGCTGCAAATGCAAACTGGTTAGGATATCTGAAGGCACGTCCTCCGAAGATTCAAGAAATAAAGCAAATGACGAAAATCATCTCATTGGAAAGCGCGTCTTCTGACTTCTGCCTGGACGATCCAAATCTGACAAAATCTTCCGCAATGGCCAATCTCAAACAAAAACTTACAAGGGAGATTAATTATGATTTTAAAAATGTGACGACGAACGTTTTAAATCAAAAAGAAAGCAATCTGTGTGTCCCGCTTTCAGTCAGCGTTCTTCTTCGATGGGCGGTCATGAATGATTTGAAAGTGGGTGAAATGAGACTCTCGCTTTTCGAAGAGTATTTTTCTCTCGAAAATATCTTCACCATTTTGACAATGGTTGTTTATCCGCGTAGTTTTGCTGGATTCAATCTCAATCCAAAAAAAGAAGAACAGAAATTTCAAGATAATGAAATTGAATTGCTTCTCAGAAGAATGAAATTCAGAACTTATTTGAATGAGAGTGGATGGCAAATTATCTGTCACCATAGCCCGATTAAATTATCAGAATTCGATTTTCAACGAGGTTTAATTTTACAAAAAGTCTTTTGAAATAAATTCAATATTCAGTTCTCCTCCACCAAAACTTCATCTTCAGCCGCCCCCTGACTGTAACCGGCGCCTATCTGAATCCCGATGGATCAATAATTTTCCACCAAATGGTTGTCGACCGAATCGAAAACTCCGAATACATCCTCCAAAACACTTTGATCGACCATTCTGGCTCTCAAGTCAGAATCCCTCTTTGTCGTGAATACTACGCTCCTTACGAGATGACTGCCGACTGTTTTAACACTTTCAATGATTTCATATACTTTGGACCAAACAACGAGTTCTTAGCTTTAGTGAACGAACAATTCAATATGGAAATGGAAAAATGGTATCTTCTGTCTCAAGCATACTCTATCACTCTTACTTTCAAGTTACCTGCGCGAATGCCAAAAGAATTCTTTTCGAATTAAATAAATTAAACTTGATATTTCAGAAGTGTCAAAATTTACAACTAAACTAGAATCAACAGCTCTTCGCTGTCATAATGACAGTGTCATTAGTGAAATCGATAGCCTATTCCTGAAATTATGGACTTTCTCGTCATTTTTCTCCTTTTGCTGAGCATTCCAGAGCATCCTTGTTGTTTTTTTTCGCGCTTTGGAGAAAAAAGTCTCTAGAGCTGGCTGTTGTTCTTCCCAGCAACGCGTATATAAGGAGCCCGAAATCGCGAAACTGCTCATTCTCACTTTACCGAGAAAACGAAAGGATGTCCGGACGAAAAGCCAAGACTAACGCTGCCGCCAAGAAGACCCGCTCATCCCGAGCTGGACTCGCCTTCCCCGTCGGCCGAGTGCACCGAATGCTCCGCAAGGGCAACTGGGCTGACCGCGTCGGCGCCGGTGCTCCCGTCTACTTGGCCGCCGTCCTCGAGTACCTCACCGCCGAGGTCGTCGAACTCGCTGGCAACTTCGCCAAGGAGAACAAGAAGAGTCGAATCAACCCCCGACATCTTCAGCTCGCCATCCAGACCGACGAAGAGCTGGTGAAACTCTGCGACGGAGTGACCATCGCCCAGGGTGGTGTCCTCCCCCACATCAACCCAGTTCTCCTTCCCAAGAAGAACTAAGGGCATCTTTTCGATGCTCCTTCAAAACCGGCCCTTTTAAGGGCCACAAATGAACTAAATTTTGTCTTCCTTGGAAAACTGCTCATTTTATCGATTATCATTGATAATTTATCAACCAATAAAGCTATCTTTCATTATCACAAGAAACGAAAGTAGAGAATTTTGACGAGACGTCACAGGAGGGCGCCGCCTACGCAAGCACTGTCTGAAAAGCAGCCTTGTCAGCTCCGCGTCGCGTTTCGTTAATGATGTTCTCGACTACTTACGAAAACGTTTCCTTCGAAGGCCCAGAGGTACAGAAGAAAAGAAAATCTCCTGATCTGTCGATTCTTTGAAAAAAAGAGAGCGGAAAAATGACTCAAGAAAAAAATAATTATCAAAAAATTGAAGTTGACTTTAAATTTTGAGCTTTAGAATTGTCTTTATGAAAAAACCGCACGCGGCTTTTTATGCAAATGACTAAATTCGAATCAATTTGCCTGTAGTAAGTTCTTCTATGCGGCTTTTAAATTGAAACGCGGCTTTTTACTCGAAAATATTGGAATCTTAGCTCGGCAACCTCTGTTGAAAACCTGAGTCAGGGTCATCATCTTTAGAAAAAGTCCTAAATAGATTGAGACAGTACGCGGCTATTCATTAAAGCTATTTCACGACCCTGACTCAGGTTTTATCCACAAGTTGCCAAAGCCAGTATCAAGTACTTGAACTTTGAGGCTATGATTTCAATGAATTAAGAATTAAGCCGCATGCGGCTCTTTCATACAATTTTTCCAAATGTCGGTTTGTCTCCTTCTTCATCTGGATTCTGAAGTTTTTGAATGACAAAATAGGAGATTGAAGAAAAATCTATTTTTGGGTTTTTAGACTGTTACTGTCTCGACATGAGATAGGCCTAAATTGGACTCATGATCCCCGCAGTTATGTCTCGCTTCTTCCCATCCAGTGGCGATCAAAGTGGAGATATTAATGAAATCCAAGGGGTTAGTTTCAAGTGATTAAAAATGAAAAATCAATCTACCACTAGCCATGTTCCTAACAATAGAACTAGCAACAAATTTTCACAAAACTCTGTTTGAAAATTTGTAACTTCGAAGCCCCCACTTGTCTCCCCGTTTCAACCCCTTTTCTTTCATTCTTATTCTATTGAGAAAAGTAATTTAGGAGCTGCCAGACAAGAATAAGAAAGTAACGCTGCTGGGAAAAGAACATGCCGAATTGGAAAGAATTACAGAAGACTTCCAATCGAGACTGTGGTTTACTTATCGTCGGAATTTCGCCAGTATAGGTGGCTCTGGCCCAACCTCTGATCAGGTACTTGGTGATCTGCTTTCTAAAGAAAAGGAAATATCCTAGAAGTTGTGAAAATATCGGCTCGATGGTAGAATTGATTCTAGTAGTAGTAGTAGTAGGTAGGGTTAGGGTTAGCTTCGTTTTTTTAAGCCGCTCTAGGATTTGATGTTTTCTTTATCGATAGTTCAGTATAATCAAATTACTTCTCTGGGATGATGTATATTTTTATCTACGACTGTGAAACCTCAATTCTAGGGCTGGGGCTGTATGCTTCGCGCCGGACAAATGATCATCGCCGAATGCTTACTGAGGCAACGTCTTGGCCGCGAATACGTTTGGAGAGATAAAGCAGCGATCGAGGACGAGCGATATACAGAAATTCTCGAGCTCTTCCGGGACACGCACTCTGCTGAGCTCAGTATACAACAGGTACAAGCACAAACAAGTGAAAAACTCAAAATTCAGATTGCGCTGACAGGAGCTACGGCGGAAAAACGCGCTGTAGGCGAGTGGTTTGGGCCGAATACGATGGCCCAGGTGCTGAAGAGAATCACCAAAAGCAGATCGTTGGGCTTCGGCGTCGCTGTCGCCATGGACTCAGTCGTTTCCATCGAAGACGTCTCCGCGCAAATCGTCAATCAAGGCAATCCGACGCCACTTGTGCTCATTATTCCGCTGCGTCTGGGACTCAACAATGTAAATGAAATTTACGTCAATCCGTTGAAAGTCTTTCTCGCTTCAAAGTACTGCGTTGGAATCATGGGCGGAAAACCCAACCAGGTAAAAAACTTATAAAGAAGAAGCAATCCAACTTAATTTAAAAAAGAAACGTTCAAAGGCCGCGTAGCAGTTTTTAATAATAAAGCTTTGGCTAACTTTCAAGTTATTTCGATACTGATCTTGATTGCCTGTGTCGAAAACCTGAGTCAGGGTAAACGAGCCCAGTTTTGATCACAATTTCACGTAGATCAGGTCATTATTCTTCGGAAAAATCCTGAAAAAACGTGAATTATTCTCTTTACTGAATTTTGGCCTTTTCCATCCCCTAAAACTCTCGATAAACCCTTTTAAAAGACTGGAAATGATGGAAGAAGCTATTTTTTGTCCATTTTTGGCAAGTGAGAAACACCCCTTCATCTAGAGACTTTTTGCTGTTGGAAACTTCTTCTGCGAGCAACTTTAACAACAAAATTTCTCTAGACAAACGGGTGTTTCTCACCTTGGCTGAGAAACGCAAAACGTTTCCCAGCATGTTTCCCAGGCTCTAGAAAACGATTTTAAACCGATTTAGGCGCACTACTTCGTCGGCTACCAAGAAACAGATGAAGAGACGTGGCTGCTTTACCTAGATCCGCACACGACGCAGCAGTCGCCCGTTTCTGTCAACAACCACATGCCCTTTGAAGAGTTCGACAAATCCCTCCACACGGACAAGCTCTGCTGGATTAAAGCGCTCAAGTTGGACCCGAGTTTAGCTGTCGGCTTCATTTTTAACACTGTCGAAGAGTTTATTCTTTGGACTAAGGTAAGATCAACTGTTCTATTTTCTTGTAGACACTCAATTGCTTTTTTCAGGATGTAAAAGATGTCCCCGATTTGCCGTTTGGAGTTGTTGACCAAGTCAGGGTGGCTATTTTGGACAAAATTTCGGGGTCTCGCCATCCAATTTCCATCCAATAAATTTTGAGTCGAAGCTATCCATCCAAAATCCAATCCAATCCAATTTTACCCAATTCCCCAATAATCCCCAATTCCAATTGGATCCAATTGGGTTTCCAATTTTTCCAAGGCTTCTAGTACTTTGAAAAGAAATGAAACAGTAAGTTTTTATCCGAAAGGAGGATCAACAGAGCCAAAACAATGATTTTTTTAACTGAGATTGTTCATTTTTATCATGAAAATGACCCAACTTTGCATAGTTTAGAGATATATTTTTTATTGGATCCGATTTCCCCAATTTCCCCCAATTGCCCAATTTTCCCCAACAAAATCCGGTACCCTGGCCATCCAAATTCCATCCAAACCTTATTGGATTGGATCCAATCCAATTCCAACTAACCCCCAAATCCAAAATAGCCACCCTGGACCAAGTTTCCCAGCGAAAAGTGGCGGTGTCTTCCATTACTGTAACGGCGGACAGCGACGACTCTACATCCGACTACGAAGTATTGGATATCTACTAATTTCTGTCTCTCTTTCTGTTCCATCCTATTTCTATTCTGTCTGTTAAAAACACTTAAAAACCGACCTATCCAAAAAAAAAAGAAAGCAGCTCATCATCTTTCGCGCACTCTTAAAAACCGGCTGTATATAATTCGAAAAACCCCCTTTCCGATCTTTTGTGTGCCTTGATTTTTTAATAACGCTTTCTTCAATATTCAAAATTCAAATTCAAAATTCTACATTTCGAAAAAAAGACCGTGTTTGAATTACTCTTTTGTGCAATCAACACCAAAAAAACTGAAATAAAAAAATGACAAAATCTCTTCAAGAAAATTGTCGGAATTGACAAAGTGTTTCTTTTTTTCTGGTTCGTTTGGAAAGAAAAAGAAGAAGGGTGTGCTGAGGGCGGAAAATGAACGAATTCGATTCGCACAACAGAGGCCAGTGGTTCTTTGGCCAAATGAACCGGGAAGAAGCTGTTGAAAAACTACAGGTAAGAATTAGGAAAGGAAGAGGTCGATTTTGTTCGTAAATAGCAGTTTTGTCAGATTCATTTATTCAAACGAATATTCTAGCGCAAAAACCACGGGACCTTCTTGGTGCGCAAGTCTCCCCGAGCTCCCGACGACTACGTCCTCTCCGTGTCGCAGAACGGCCGCGTGATGCACTACAAGATTATTCGCCAGTCGGACAACACTTACATGATCGGCGACTTGAACTTCCAAGATCTTCCGCAGGTAAGAACGACGAAAACGGCTCAGAACTGATAACGCAACTGATCAATCAACCATAGCTTCTTGATCATTACAAAGTGAATCTGTTGGATACAACTACGCTTATTTCACCCCTAGAAAGGCCAAGGCATCAGCCGGAACCGATGATTCAGCCCCGCCTCGCCAAGGAACTCGTCAAGGCGATCTACGACTTCGCCGGAACCGACGACGAGGACTTGCCTTTCCGTCGCGGCGAAATCTTGGAAGTCATTGAAAAACAAGAAGAAAAGGTATTCTTCTAAAATTTGCTCTTTTATTGGTCAAAAACTGTTCGTTAAACCTTTTTCGAAGTTTGGTAAATGCCCTGAGAAGCATCTCTTGCGAAGTGGGAAACACTCGTTTGTCTAGAGAAATTTCGTTGTTGAAACTCCCTCTGCGAGCAACAAAAATTCTCTAGACAAATGGGTGTTTCTCACCTTGCCTGAGAAGTGCAAAATGCTTCCCAGTGTGTTTCCCATGCTCTAGAAAACTCATTTTAAAAACTTTTTTAGTGGTGGCGCGCGAAAAACGACGACGGAAAGACAGGAACAATCCCGGTCCCGTACGTCTCTCCCTTTACGAGGAATCCTCCGAGCTCTGGAACGCCGAGTTCATCACCTGGTGGCTCCAGGCCGCCTTCCCACAACGACGCTGTTTTGGCCAGAGTCATCATGCGACGAGTGCCCAACGCTTACGATCCCCAAGCTCTTCCTCTCGATGTAAGTAATCGGGTTCTCGTATTTTTTTCAATTGTTATTTTCAGGTAAATGATATAATCGAAGTGACGCGCAGAAACGTGAACGGTCAATGGGAAGGCAGAATCCGCGGCACTTCCAGAGAAGGGCACTTTCCGTTCACGCATGTGAAGATAATTGACGCTTCAGAATTGCAAGTAAAGTTCGCCTAGCCTCTTTCTTCCCGCCTAGTCTAATTTAAGTAATCCCTTCTTATCGTTTATTCTTCTACTTACGAAAAACAGGAATTCAACGCTCAAAACGAACCTATCAATATTCGAAATTCCAGAAAAGACTGAAACTTTCTTCCCACTGCTGATTTGCACGGACTCAAATATCAAATACCGCGATTCTTTTTATCTTTCTTTTTAGATTCTGTAAAAACTGACTAATCATTCATTCAAATCCACTTCTCATGTGTTTTTTCGCTACTTTCAGACTATTGGAATCGAGGAAAAAAGAAGAATGATATGGAAGATTTCTCCTCTGGAGCCGTTCTCGTACTGATATTTGCTATTGTTTACGTAAGTACACTCAGGCAAATGGTCTTTCAGGATCCTGACTCAGATTTTCATTCATCTTATTCATTTTAGATCGTTGTACGGTTGATTCTTCTGATCGGAGAGCGATATGTTCTCTCATATTTGCGCAAAAGCTCAACTGCGAGTTCGAGCTCGCCTACTACAACTTTACCTTCTTCTCGACCTACTTGTCAGTCAACGCAGTAGAATTCACCGTCACCTTTCCGAATTCGCCTCCAATTTCAAACGGTTTTGCATGCGAAAAAATCAAGGCGAACATTTCCTCCATTCAAATCCATTGGTTCTGCGTCTTCAGGCGCCTTCTTTACAAAAGACCAATTTCGCTCAAAATAGGCGACGTAAATACCGTCTTCGACTTGTACCGCCAAGCTGAAAGCCCAGTTCCTTCCTTCGTTCCTCAATCTTCTTCATCCTACGCGTCTCGGTCGTCCTCGCAAGATTTCTTCATCAAAAACTTTTTCCTCCAAAGTCTTCAATGTTCCTCTTTCACCAGTCGTTTCGATAGTAAGTCATTCGCCTCCTCCACCTGCTTTAATCAACCTTTTCAGTCTTCAACCCTGGCTATCGCCTGTCAGAATGCGCGATAACATTTTCAGTCCTTCAAACAGAATTCGCCATATCCGTGCGGGAAAAACTCAACCACCTTTTCACAACTTTATCTACTCCCGAGATTTCCCTATCGATCAACTACCCGAAAGGCCAAATCCTACGGGTGTACTGTCCCTTACTAATCAACTACACACTGCCATTACAAATGCCCTGCGTCAACGAAGAGCCCGAGTTCCTCGAGATCGTCTTCTCTAAGTTCAACATCGAGGCGGAAATCAAAGCCTTAGGCGTGATCCGCTCCTTCATCAAAAAAGCGCCACTTGGAGGAACTAGCCCGGAGCACTTTTCCTCTTCAACGCAGCTTATCCACTCTTCCAAAACTGCCCAAAAGCTGCTCAAATTGACGAATATGCCTCGTGCCGAGCTTCGAATTCACAACTTCTGCGCGGAGATCAACTCAGAGCGCGAAATGAAAACGCTGGAGCTCTCCTGCTCCGAAGTGTCTATCATGAAAACGCTGAAGGAAGTCGAACTCGTCGAAGTGGACAACGCACGGGCGAATAGAGCGGGCTCCAGAAGAAAGCCATTTCGCACCTCCTGGTCAATCGAATCAATGGCTGCGTGCGAACGAACATCTCTTCTTTTCGAACTGAAAGAAACGAGTCTCAGAAGTCACGACATAGAAGCGCCGCTGATCGAAGCGAATCACCTGCGATGCAATGTCGAGGTGGAAAACGGTCGCGTCCAACCAATGCGCATCATATTCGTCGTCCAAAGCAGTCAATTGACCCTGTTTCTGAACTTGGACGAGGCATTCCTTTGGTATAAATTGGCGAAGGCAGGGTTGGAATGGACGCCAGGCCCGTCAGGTCTTCGCCCGTTTGGTTCAAAAGAGTCCTTAGAAATGTTCAAACTTCAGAGGCATCGGAAGACCAAGTCCGAACCGGGAATTAAAAATCCCTATGCGAAAAGGGCGCTTGTCATTGAATACTTCCTCTCAGCAAAGATCAACAACGCCAAATGCTCCATTGAGTCGCATCAATCCAAAGCTCTACTAACCTTTCGCTCGCTCTCCATCCTCAACCATAAGCACTCAGACAGCCAGGGGATCATCTTCAACATTGACAAGCTGCAGAGCTTCACCGAGTCTGTTCTCGGAAAAGGACCGCCAGCTTTTGAAAGTGGTACGCATCATTGGGGCACGCTTATTGGAATTGAACAAGTGCGGCTTGGAAACTCGCTCGAATTCGAAACCGGAAGGGATCTGAATCAAACCATCTGCCACAACGATGTCAAAGTGTATGGCTTTACAATGGAAGTATCGAACGAAATTGCGGAAAACTTGACTCAATTAATCCGCACAGTCACCAACTTTGTCGAAAATCACTTCCAAGATACCTCTCCCGATCGCGTGCGAAATTCTAGAATATCTTCCGTGCTCAAAGTTGACTCCAGATACGCAGATGTGAATGTGCGCGATGTGACGATTTATGTGCGATCGAGTCAATGTCCAGAGCTGGTTTTATTCCGACTCGATACTCTCCAAGCAGATAGAAATTTGAAGGCGCTGAAGATCAAGATTTCTGGCGTGGCATTTGGACTGACGCAGTTTATTGGATCGAAAGTAGAGTGTCTGCCTTCGGATAGCATCGATGACAAGTTCTTCGAAATCAAGGAATGCCTCGCAACGTTTGAGCTGTCTGATTACGCCTTGGAAAAGTTATCGGTCGAGTTTCCTGCTGGTCATGTGACAGTGCTCAAGTGGAGTCCACGAGTGCACATTCTCTTCCACGAAAGCGTCGTTGAAATCATCAATCACCTTCGGAACGCGGTCATGTCCACTCCTCCCTCGACACCAAACTCTTCTTTTACCAATGGGCCAGGTCTATCAGGAAGCGAAGGAAAGGAGAGACTCAATCTTCTGAAGTATATCAGCGCGAATTTACGGGACTTTCACCTGATTTTCAACCTCGACACGGGCCAGAAAATGGAGCTGCGTCTCGTCAACTTCGGCTGTGTGTGCAATAAGCTCTCCGAGATTCGATTCTCGTCCTCGTCGATGATATTCGACTTCGACGATCATTCCAAACTCATAAACATAGAAGAGCTAAAAGTAACTTACAAAGAAAAAGACGACAATTTAGACGCGTTGCGAAAAGATCGTGAGGCTTATTTCAAGCTGAAGCCAAAAACATTGTCAAATCGCGTTCTTTTCATCGAATCCAGCCTCCTGCATCTTCATTTCCCCTTCAACTATATGTTCACAACCACATTCGAGCACTGCATCGCCACTTTCAAGATGATCAAAAAACTCTACAAACCGAATTCGGAGCCGTTTTCAAGCACCAAGTTGCCACCCGATCTCGTCTTTCGCGTCAAGAAGTGGCTCTGGACGGTCGAAGACGATCCCTTTGAGATTAAGCTTCGGTCAGTCTATGACTTTCACTCCCAAGAGGTTATCGACCAGCAGAAGCGTCTCAAAATCCTCGAAGATCGAATTAAACAAATGGAAGCGGAAGAAAGTGTCTTACGGGGGCTCCTGGACAAACTTCTTGAAAAGAACATTGACATCTATCTAGGTAAGCTTATTCCAGATAAAATCTCGTATAATCACTCGGTTTTAGCTCGTATTCGTAAAATGAAAGCAGAAGAAAAATGGATCAAGTATAAAAATCTCTTCAGCTGGACTGTAACTGATTTTGACTTGACAGTTTTGGCGGATAAATCGATGAACGGATACGAACCGCTGAAGGAACTGCTGCTTCTGATCGACCAAGACCTTCAAGACGAAACTGTAGCTGCCTTCGAGTACTCGACAATGTGGGGCCGAGTGATTGAGCTCAAAGCATCGAACTGGCGCGTCCAGCTTCGGGACTTTCCGACCGACTTGGTGAAAGCCGAGAATTTCTCGTGGACAGGAACGCTCTGCGGTGCAGAGCAGCACGGAACGGAAGAGCACAACTGGAAGCGATTCACAATCGATCCGGGACAGCCGTGGAGTTCGCGAGAAGTGATGCGAAACCTCGCCCCGCTCAAGTTCTTCCACGACATTGAGATGAATTACGATCTTCTTGAGCTCGGTTGGGGTCCATGTCTAGAAGCAGCCTGGGGCGAGTTCCAACACGCATTCGATCGAATAACCTCTGGCCCGCCGGATAACTCGCCAGCACTGCCCTGGTGGGACAAGCAGCGACTCAAGTACAGAGGCAAAATTGTCCTGAAAGCTAATCGATCAGAATGGCATCATTTGTCGTCAAAGAGTCCGTACGCGCACGAAGAACGCCTTTGCTGGCAATGGGACTAGGGATCTTCAATTTTCAATTAAGAAAGATTACACGCGTTTGTTTTTCGATTATTGACTAAAGCTACCGGTTGAAAGTGTAGAAAAATATTCATATCTTTTATCTGAACATTGACGATGATCCCATAAAAAGAACTCACTAACAGAGTCGAAAAAAGGCTTGACAATGAACTGGGTGCACGGAAAGATCTCCTTCCTGGGCGATCTGATCATCACCATCAACACGCGACGAAAATGGTCGAACATCAAATTCATCGAAATGCCAAACTTGTCGATGGACTGGCTGATCAGCTGGAACTTGCCGCGGAATGGGAACCGAACTGGGCACAATGTCTTTCCCTCTACAACGCCTCTACAAGACGGGGCAGATACTTATTCCAACTTTCGCTCGAAAAGTCTAGACCTCGAATGGCGAATCAACGTCCCAATGTTTCGCATTTTTCTGTTTTCGACGACGCTGAACTGGTTGAGCTCGTTTTGGAAATCGATAACGGACGTGGCTCGGCCGATCAAGCGCGGAAACGGTTGGTGGGCCGACAACACTCCGCCGAAGAAAAAGTTCTCCAGGCATTATCACAAGACTTCTCTTCTCTGGCGTTTCGACTCTATGGCGTGCGAGTATCGACAGAGCTTTTCGAAGAACATCGGTTTCGTGATTCAATCAAAAGCTGGCTTTCTCGAGTCCAATCACTTGCTCAAGATCGAAGAGCGACCCCGCGACGAAGCCATTCTTCTCCGTCCAAAAGCCGAGTGGTCGATGGAAAAGATGAATCTGGAAGCAAAGGAGATCCACGTCTACCTCAAAAATGCCTCCTCCTCGACTGACAACGCCGAGAAGAATTTCTTCGCCAGTTTAGACAATGTGAAGTTCCGTCGCTTCGCCGAGTTCATCGAGAACGCCGATCGACGAAAAATGATCTTTGACGCGGCCGATTTCAAAGCGCTCTGGAAGGTGGAAAACCGAGACTGTATTATGACACTGATCAATTCAGCAGAATGTGGAAACATTTTGAAAAAGAACTTGACCGCGAAATTAACGGTGATGTTTTCAAAGAACGAAAACTTAAGTTCCAACTCGAAGAACAATAAAGGAGCCCATCAAAATGGGGAGGAAATGAAAGAACTCACAGCTGCGGAATTCATCAATCCTTTGAATCAACTCTTAAACTCTGGAAAAAAGACTTGCTCGACCGAATTCGTCGAGCAATCAGCCAAGGCGAACGAGGAGAAACCAGTCTACACGGGGCTCGAATGTAATCTGCGAAACTGCCAAGTGCTGCTGAAGGGATTCGAAAGGCCTGGCTTCATGTGTCTCACCGCCGACAATATCAATCTGATACGACACGAGTATTGCCGAGCCTGGCGAGACGGTCAGTACTTGGACAAGTTCGGCACGAAAGGCACACTTACAGGGATGCAACTGTTCTCCCTCTCCGTCGGCTCCAAAGGCAGCACGCTAAACGAAACCGACCACCTCTGGGTTCCTGCGTATCAAATCCAACAAGAACTCTCCCACGATCTCGATCCACCAGAGAACATGCCAGGCGCGGATGTCAAATGAATAAACACTCTTATTGATTTTAATAATTTATTAAAATAAAATTTTGTAGCAGAAGTAACTGCTGCTGAGGAAAACCCCAGCGAGCACCGCGCCGGAAATAATCTTCTTCGTCCGGGACATCTTTGGTCGGCGAAGAGGAGGTGTCTTCAGCCGGGCCTGGCGGTTCGACCAGAGGATCTCGTTCACCGCCGTCTCCTGGAGACTCGCGAGGAACTCCTTAACATTTTATTAACTCTTTCCTGAGAAAAGATACTTACGTCAGGGTTCCAGTCGGACCCGTCGAAGGTCTCGAAGGCGGGGTCGGTGCTCGCTGGGGTTCTAGGCATCAGAAACTCTTCTGCTTCTTCGGAGAAGACCATGCTGCTCAGCTCAATTTTTAAGAGTGAAGAGTCCGTTGATGAAATCTCAAAAACAATGGACTCATATCTAGAAAAGATTTAAACGTTTTCTCGATCATTTTGACATTCTTTTTCAAAGGTGCTTACACAAAGATAGTTCATCCCTGCGCCTTGACGATAAACTACATGTCTTACTGCCCGATTCCTGGCAACGTCGACATTCCTCCGATCTCGCCTGAAGAAGTGCTCCGCGACAGTCGAACTTTCAACCGGGAAAAGACAATCAACACACTCACTGTTTCACAGAAACAAATGGAAATTTGGACGACGGATCAACAATATCTTCTAGCTTTGGATATCGTGAACAATTTATTCCTCCACGTGGAGCCAGGTATAAAGGAACGACTGACGCTGAAGATGCTGTCGAAAAGATTTCATCTGCAACTGGTAGAGGATCAGACCGTTGAGAATAAAGTCGAGGAGTTGCGCGAGAAGCTTAGGTAAGTTATTGAACTCCTGAGCTCGTTAATACCGTAAATCTTTATCCTAAGTTATAGGTGGATCAGACAGCTGAGGCATTCTGCTGAATGATCACAGATTAGATTTTCGCAAGTTTGATTCCTTTGGCTCGATTTTTTTCGTAATTTTATTAGAGAAATTCAGAGAAGATAACACAGTTGAATTAGTAGCGTCACACAATATTGGTCCATTATATTTTTGAATATTCTGAAGAAGAGTCAGAGGTTTATATGAAGCTCATCTCCCGCAGAGAGATGCAAATCAACCAAAATTTAGGCCTCCAAATTTGTTTTTCAAATATTCGCTGGAACGAACTAACACAAATCATTAGAATTGCAAGCAATTTCTAACCAATATCTTAGGGATCAAGCGATGGAGATCCAAGCTCGAATTCGGGAAGATCTGGATTGTGTCCGTAGCTTGGAACACGAACTGTACACCTTGTGCTGCTCGAATGAAGACGACGACAGTGATGATGAGGAACTCAAGCAGCTTATTTCTGAAACAGAGGACCAGGTCAACGACAAGAAAGACGTACTCAACATTCGATCAGAAGAAATGGCCGTAATGGTGTCGCTGGCGAAGGAAACGCACCTCAAGCAGCAGTTGTTGAGCGAAGACATCGGAAAGGATTCGGAACGGCAGACGAGGCGGACGCATTTTATCTTCCACGAAGTCAAATGGAAACTTGTCAGTGTGGAAGCTTCGCCAAACATTTTAGCTTCCATTCAGCCAAAGGTTTCCTTCTCAACATTTTGGAATGACTAACTGTTTTTAGGGAATAGCAAATTTCGTCATGAAAAATTTCGAGTACCGCTCTGTAGCTTCAGTTGATTCCGATCTGCACGAGAAGTCAAACCAGAATCACCATTCCCACGAGTTTAAAATTGGCGATTTCGAATTGTCGAACTTGCTGGAGAATCAGAAGTTCCAAACCATTCTCCGACCGCAAGTTCGCATCGCCCCCTCCAATCTTGCCTCGATTCGGGTCTTTTGCAAAGTGAGGCCTCCAGTCGGCGGCATCCCGGTCAAAGAGCGCATCGAACTGAACATTCTACCTTTGCACATTACTGTAACGAACACTTTCTATCGCGCCTTTCGCAACTTCTTCTTCCCGGACCCGTCTTTGGACACAGTGTCAGTTTCAAAACCTGCCTCGCCAAAGACTTTGAGAAAAGAAGCCGATTCAAAGTCAGAAGCTGGAAGTGATAGAAAAAGTCGTCTCTTTTCGAAATTTAGACGTTCGAGTCCAACGCTTGAAAAACAATCGAGGTAAAACTCAAGGAAGAGCTTCTGATTTTCCGTATTTTTTAGTCACTAACGTTCCCTTTTCTAGTTTATCCGAAATCTACAGCTCAAGTCTCCCGAGCTTCGATGACCACGGCGCTAAAATCATGGCTGATCGGGCGCGAAACAACCAGACATTCCACCACATCCAGATTCCAAAAGTCCCACTCACCGTTTCCTACCATTCCGACTGTAGAACCAACAAAGGTGCAATTTCGCTCAAATAAAGAATATCTCGATCTATGATTTTTTCAGTTCGAGTGCCAAGCTTGGACAATATGCGGCTGGATATTCCGTGCATTGAGTACAAGAACAAGACTTGGACTTGGCAAGATTTAGCTTCGAATATCAAAAATAGCTGCCAAAAAGTTCTCATGCAGCAAGGGACGGGTTTTGTCAACTGGTACTTTTTCTCTAGAAACTCTACTTGTTATTGATCGCCGAGCTTGTTAAACCCCGAACTAGCATTTCAGCAGAAAGTGCTAAAAGTAAAAGACCGAAAAAACAAGAACGAGAAAGAGCTGCCATCACCGGAAGACAACCTCTCCACGAAAAAGTTGGATCTTCTTTTTCCCCAAAAGCAGAAGAAAGGCCTCTTCAACCGCAAGAAGAAAAGCTAAGTTCAAAACAGAGTTTTCATTGTGTTCAATCAGTTCATTTTATTTATCCATTTCTGCTCGATCGGGCAGGGTTAAGGGTGTACTCGTCGATTTCGCCTATCTCTTAGTTCATTAAATTGGGATTTACTTTAGGAAAGATGATCAAATCGACGAGTATAGTCTTATGAATACTATTAAACTTCGTACTGCTACATTATATTCTATTCTATCGTTCGACCTTTCACTTCTTAAAACCACTCTTTAAATTCTCTAGAATGGACTCTGGATCAAGTTTGGAATCACCAGTTTGCTCCGTCCGCGCTTCAGTAATGATGTACAATCAAACAGAGAAGCGCTGGTATCCTTGCTCTGGGAATGGTATCTCGCGCGTTTGCATCTATCAGCACCCGCAGAATCGCTCGTTCCGCGTCGTTGGACGAAAGAACGATACGCAGGAGCTCTCCGTTCATTGCTCCATTGTCAGAGGATTGATTTACAATGAAGCAACTGCGACTTTTCATCAATGGCGACACAGTGGATCCGTTTATGGGTGAGTAGTGAAAAGTTTTACTTTGAAATAGTTTGGAAATCAACGAAGAGTACCAGATTTTCCAGCATTTTTTTGGGAAACCTGCGTTTATAAGGGGTTTTCGTTGAGAAAATTGTTGAAAATTAAGAGGCCAAAAATATGTTTCCGCGGATTCTGCTCGATAGAAACAAACTAGAGTTCTCTTCTTTCAATTTTCTCAATTCTAATTTGTCTCTTTTTAGGCTAAATTTCTTGTCACAAGAAGAAGCCCAAAACTTCTCGCTTTGGATGAACAAGTGTCTGGACTACGTGTGCGGCCGAATAGCGTGGCCTTGCGAGAGCCACGTAAAAGAACTGCGAGTCGCGGAATCAGCTGCAAATCAGTTGTCAAAGTTGCATCTTGATAATTCAAGTTCGGCAGTCCATCAACAACCCGATATCAACCAAAATATTCACTCCTCGGAAATGCAAGCAACGCGAACTCCTTATCAAAGCAGCTCAAGTCAAATGACCAAAAACAAAGTGACGCTGAATCCGAGAAAAGAAGAAAAATCACCGCAACAAGCTCAAGCAGCAGAAATTGTAACACAACCGGTAGGGTCGTTGAAAGTCAGGAAGAGGTCTCAAAGTTGGTTTAGAAAGGCAAAGAAAGTACACAACAAAACTTCAGCGATGAATTAAAAAGGTGTCTTCAAACGCGCGTGCAAACTACAAACAACCCGACAGAAGTTCAAAACCAAGTTCAATCGACGATTCAGCCCCAAGATTCAAGGTTTTTTTCTATCGTAAATGGACAAAGATAATTTTCACCTATTATTTAGTAAAGTTTTTAAATAGTAACGAGATGCTTTCAGCTTTTTAACAGTTACTACTGTAGTATGATTTTATTTGCAGAAATTGTGGTAGATGATATGAAGTTCAGCCAAGTATTTGCAAATGCATCATTTTGAAAATATTTAACAACAATTAGTTGTTCTGTTTAATAAACAAAAATTCTCACAACTATGATCGTATCATTTTTTCGAATGTTCCTTTCCAGATGAATTTTTCTTTATATAATCAAAAGAAATCTATGTGCCCTTGATTTTGATCTTTATTTCGTTTGATGTTGATTGCTTGAAATTTCACGGTTCCATAAACTGCCGTCCAATAAAAATGATTAAACCAAAGAAGGGAAAAAATTGGAATCCTCTATGCATTATATTCATCTTTTTTAATTATTTATCTGCTTATTATGTTTAAATCTTATTTCTAGCTCGGATTACTCGTCAGAAACCGCTGGTGAAGTTTGCGAAGTCTCCAAAATGCAGCAAATGCAGAAAGCCCTGCGCCAGGAACTGTTAGTTTTTCAGGCCGATTTCTTGAGCCAAATTCGCGAGATCGTCCGTTCCGAGATTCGGAACTCGCGCCTATCCTCGGACTCGTTCCATTGATAAAACACCCGTCTCGTTCTCTTTTTTTCTTCTTCACTAATCATCTACTTCATTCTATTTTTATTTTTTCGGTGGTGCATGCGTATCACAAGCAAAAAGGGATAAAAAACTGCCTCTCCGATAGTTCGATTGTTCGAAATCGAATCGATGCGATACTTTAAGTACCATTCTCGCAGTGCGTATCTATCAGATACAGATTCATCTGCCCAACTTTATTTTGCATCATCGTTTCATTCTTTTACCGCATTGACCAACGATCTTCGCAAGTTTTTAATTTAGTAAAAAAGGCTTTGTGGAAACCGTCTTCCACGAAGAAGGGTGTACTCATGCTCTTTTGCCAATCACACTCCATTGACGTGCTTTTTTTAAGGTTCCTGGATTTAAAAAACCACTTTCTACCTTTTTTTACCTGGAACATCATACAGATTTGGAATCAGCAGAAAAAATCTAGAACTTTGACCCTTTTAGGTTTCCAAAAATCACTTCCGGTTGCGATTCTAGAGCCGGAAGTTGGCGAAATTTATGAGAATGGCATGCAAATGACCTTTCAAATTGAAGCGTAGAACATTTTAAATCATTTGCGCGCGGTCAGATTCAGTTTTTATTTGGTTTAATTTGTTTTCCTTTAATTTGAAATTCTTAAAAAAGCCCAGAAAAATCGATTTTGTTTTCTGGTTTTACCGGTCGTTTTGACCGTGTTTCGATTTAATTCCTCTTTCAAGTGACTGGAAATGTTCTAAGCTTCAATTTGATAGGTCACATGCATGCCATTCTCATAAATTTCGCCAACTTCTGGCTCTAGAATCGCAACCGGAAGTGATTTTTAGAAACCTAAAAGGGTCAAATTTCTAGATTTTTTCTGCTGATTCCAAATCTGTATGATGTTCCAGGTATAAAAAGGTGTAAATCGGTTGTTTAAATCCAGGAACCTTAAAAAAAGCACGTCATTCGATCTTTATTCCATATTCTATGAAATGAAAAGCTGACGTCGCATTACTATGTATCTTCATTCACTTTAAACTACATATAATATCCAACAGATATCAACTGGAGGCCTGAGATCGGCAAAAGCGCTCCAGTACCCTCTTCTTTGTGGAAGACTGTTTCCACAGTGCATCTATTAAAGCCTTTAATTTGAAGGTAAGACCCGCCAAGATCATTGATTTTTTGCGGTATCTTTATTTCTTGTTTCAAGTTTGTCATGCTAAATGTGCACTAAACTTATTTCCACTTTTACCTGCTCAAAAATCACAAGTATACTCGTTCAAACGCTTTTCTATCTAATCTCACTGCAAAAAAGTCTCAGCAAAAAACACACAAAAAATTTAATCGTTCAAAAAAGTTTTCAACTAACGCTTTCCCGCATCCGTCGTTACCTAAACAACTTTAAATATTATAAAAATATATTCGGTTTGATCACAGAGGTCTTCTGCCTCTCTGCTTTGACCAGATAAGTAAACAAACAAATGCTTCTTTACGTTTTGTTCAGAGTCCTCAATTGTCACTCAATTACTCGATATGGAATCGTCTGGCAACACCCCTGGAAAACTTGAGCAGCTTAGGAAAGGACTAAAATAACTGTTGTGTATGAGCTAAGTTGGGTAAGGGTTGGGAGGAGGCTCCTAAACCTAACCCTAGTTGGCAGTTTTGTCAAAAATGGTTGTCTAGTCTTTGAAAGAATCCGAATTTCTCGCCAGTTTCAAACTATCCTCGACAAAACCGTTCCCCTCACTGTTCCAAGATGGTCCTTTGCTTTCACTCTTTACATGATTTACTGGGTCCGAGTCTGGTAAGTCCATCATATTCACAACACCCCCTAAAATAGAATCAAGGTATCTCAACGGCTTCCACATCATCACTTACGCGCTTCACATTTATTTCCTCAATCTTTTCATCGCGTTTCTCACACCAAAGGTTGACCCCATGAGTTACGACGATGCATTAGATGAGGACGATTCCGACGGACAGCTGCCCACCCGAGGCGGCGAGTTCAAACCTTTTATCAGAAGACTGCCCGAGTTCAAGGTAAAAAGGGCTTTCTTTCTTTTCCAAAATGTACTTGCTAGTTCTGGTGCTGGGCAACGAGAGCAACGTGCGTTTCATTTGCCATGACTTTCTTTGAAGGATTCAACGTGCCAGTCTTCTGGCCCATTCTTGTCATGTATTTTATCATGCTCTTCGGTTAGTATTAGCTCTTACAGTAGCTTTTCATATCCCATTTTTCGCTTGATCTCTTACTAACTTAAAAACTTAAAGTCATCACGATGAAGCGACAAATCAGACATATGATGAAGCATAAGTATGTTCCATGGACCTCAGGAAAGAAGAAATTCCAGGGAAAAGAAGACTCCGGCACCGTAAGCAAAATTTTCTTTATTCACATTTTTCAAGTAAATTTAAGGTGATCGACCAGCGCTATTAAAGAGCCCACATGCTTTTCCTTTTTCTTCAATAATTCAACTACCGATAATATTTCAACCCAGCTGCATATCTCCAAAAAACAAAACATTTATCAAAAAAGCAACAACGAAAAAAAAACAAAACATATTCCCCGACTCAACCACAACCGCTGGCGCACCAAAGCAACACCATCAACTGGGCGAAACAAAAAAAAAGATAATAAAAAAAATAAATTCCTATCTGCCCAGTACCTCTGTCTGTGCAATTCCTGTGCAATTTCTAGATTATACTTTTAAATAATGGAATACGTTTAAAATAACTGAATTGAGCATCATCTTTTCTTTCGTCTATTCTGAGCATCTCTTTTTCAGAAAAATAAGCCACCATTCCGCCCGCTAAGAATGCGCCGATGAAGGGGAAGGCCAAGCCACCTAAGACCCCCGATGTTGGCGGGAAGGATCGGGGGTCGGCGAACAACTCCTCGGAGTTTGTTCCAGGTGTGTCGGAGGCCGATTGGGACTTTCTGCAGGGCATAGACGAGGTAAAAACGCACTAGTAGCTTGAAGAAGCATTTGTCCCGGTTCTCTTCCATGATTTCAGCGCTTCATTCTTTCAGAGAGACTCCTTTATCGCCGGCCTAGTAGGAAGCTTGGTTGAGGACTCGCTCAACACTTGCCAAGCGCGAATTTTGAAGCAACAGGCATCTGCCTACGCGGCGGATATCTTCTGCCAAATTCTAGAGGTGCGAAAGAATTGAAAGATTCGAAGCTTACAAATTTCAGTGCACTGTTGAGAACTATTTCCTCTCGACAGATCTGGAATTCGGACGGGATGAGATCTGGGCAGAAGATGAGCCTCCAAAAGTATCGATAATCGACTCGTGGATGAGTAACAAAGTGCCGGTGATTCGAACTCCCACTGATAGGTACAGTTCAACGAGCAACACTCGACAAATGACCATTATTTTCCAGGCCTTTCTCTCGTCTCTCTGCCTCGACTTCGAGTACGCTGATTTCAGAGGAGCAGCTGCAGAACACACCAAACACTCCAGAGTTTGAATCTCCTATTCCCCCGCCGAAGAAACTCTCGGTCAACAGAACGGTAAATTTTAGTAGGAGTGTTCGCAATTCCATCTTCCCTTTTTCATTTCAACTATTGAACTCGCCTAATTGATGATTAGATAAACGGACGACGAAAAGACTCCCCAAAGATCAAAAAAGGAAGTCTAACTCCTTCGCCTCTTCTGAGCGACGAAGCAGAGGTACCCGTTTTCTTTCCTTCAGCGAATTCTAGTCACTTTTCAGCTGCTTCTTTCGCCCGTTATTCCGCCATCTGGCAAAGGAGGTTTGAATCCTCTCCCGAAGATTCAAAAGTACGGAACCGACTCTTTCCGTGGATCAGTCAAGGCCGCCTCGAAGGTCAGTTTTTTTCCTTTTCGGGTAGATTCTAGCGTTGTTAATTTTAGCATTTGGTCGAGTACGACGAAGTAGGCAATGTTATCAGCGTTGCTAAAATCGGCGTGGATCAGTTGCCCCGCGCCAGCAAGAACCGAACGTCTTACAAGATCGAGTCTCCGTCCTCGATGAGTGAGGCTTCCTCGACGAGCGCCCCTCCTGCTCTGCTGAACCGGCCGCGGCGAATTACAAAAGTGCGAGAAAACAACAAACCCGTCAAGTGCAACACCCAAATCATCACTCATGCCAACTTCCCGTGCGGCGTATCGATGGACGAAATTGGACCAAGAGCAATTGCCAAAGGATTGTTTATAAAAAATATTAAATTCTCAATCGAAGGAAAATTTGTTATAAGCCTGAAAAGGTTCTCAACGCTCTCCGCGAGTAGTGGATCTGGCTCCGATCAGAATGGTGAATCGCCAAAAAGTGAAGCCATCGGACATCGTCACTTCCTAAAAGAGCCAAGCGCCACTTCAGTTCTCTCTTCTTTCTCTTGTTTTGAATTTCTATATTTTTAAATTTCAAAAATAAATTATATTTTTTCACTGTGAATAAACTCCTGCGCCAATTCAGTCTGAAATGAGTTACCAGCAGAATCATCATCCGCAGCAGCAGGCGGACAATGACGACTGGCGCTCGGACTCGTTTCGAACGCGGGTGCGGAATCAGATACATCAGTATCTGCAGGAAGGAGATCTAGATCATATGTCGCTTTTGTAGTCTGTAGAAAACTGAGGAATAATACTGTCTATTTGTGCTCGGGAATTTGTGTTGAAAGCCTGAGTTAGGGTCTGTCTTCTTTCAAGAAACCCATCTTGGATTTCTCGATTTCTTCTCGATAACTCAGGAGTCCTCAGTTTCAAAGCAAGATGTAGTCAGTAGTAAAATCGTGATATATCTCGCCAGGAGGTCGACAACTCCGGTTCCGAGAAGGCCGCCACTTGGGAGCAGCAACTCTTTTCAAAGTCCACAGCCAAGTTGTTCACTCGAAAACGTTAATTCCTCAAAAAACAGAGCAAAAATGAACACACTCGGGCAACTCGTGAAAGACAAGAACGAATACGTCAACCTGGCATCGAAGTTGATCTCCAAGCTCCAAGGATCGGCTCATCAAACGCCTCATTAACCTCTAACAACCATTAAAAAATTGAATGGCAGACTTTGATTGTGTTTTTTGAGCCTTTTTTAGAGTATCAGGTTATTTCGTTTCCCTTTTTTGATGACATTTTGGAAGAAAGAAGAATTGAGATATCGGCTTTTGACTAAATTGGTTCTTTCATGCTCGTTTTTAATCGCCAGATGTTCTTTTTTTCGACAATCAAAGAAAGAGCATCCGGGATTTCTTTCCGATAAGTTCTTTTGAAACATTTTTTCAGCAGAACTCGGGCAACCGAAACAACCCGAACAATCAACAACAGCACAATCAAGTCCAACCACCCGGCCATCCGCAGCCACAAGCGCAGCAGATCCATCAGGAATGAGTTTCAATATCTTTTTTTTCCAAAAATGGCGTCCTTTCAGTTCTGACTATTTCTCGTTAATTTGGCAATTATGAACAAATCTTGAAATTCAAATTGAAGCATCATGGTACTAGTTTAATTTTTATTAGTTGATGGTTGAATTACATGCCTTTTCAAGGCGTTCAGCAGCAGCAAATGGGCCAACGCTGGATGCCACAGCAGCCGGGCGCCTTTCAGAACCAACAAAATTTTCAGCAGCAACAGGTAAACCCTCCATCTCGTTTTTTATACCGAACTGTCGCATGCAGGGTATGACAAACCCACTTATGATCATTCATTATGTTCCCATTCAGCTAGGAATACGTTAATGAAATCATATAGAGCCTTTATAGGCTTCAATCAAGCTAAATTCATCGTCATTTTCGATTTCGAACAGCACGTCAAATTCACAGCACTGTAGAGCTGACTGAGTAAATCCCATTCGTGACATTTTCAGTACGGGCCGGCGGTTGTTGCTCAGCTCCACATGAAGATAAGGGAACTCACGGCACGAGTTGAGGAGCTCGAGAAAGAACTCGAAGCTGAGCGCGCTGCCAAAGCCGAATCTGAAAAGTCCCGATCTAGTCTTTCTCAAAAGCTGGAAGAACTCTCTTTACGATAATAAATCAAGCCAAAGATCAAGAGTCGAGTAAAAATAATCAAAGAGTCAATGTTCAATTTTAGTGAATCTTACTTTTATAACAACTATGGGAACCGCAATATATTTCACCTTCTTAGAAAAAACGATATCTAGACAATCATTTTCTAGCGCGTCCAAAATCAACATGTTCCAAGCCCACAGCAGCAGATGAACTCCGGAATGGCTGGACCAAACGCCGGCGGAATGCCTCAAAATGCGAGCATGGGCTCTCATGGCCAAGGAAACATGCATCAAGGCGCTCATCCGGGTAACGCGCAAAATCCACAGATCAAGCGCGAAAATGACGAGGAGCAGCAACGCTTCTACAAAGAAAAACTCCGCCGGCTGCAACGATACATCGAGCCGCTGAATCGAATGATTGCTAGAAACGAAACCAACCAAACCGTGCCGCGAATCAATGACCCTGCCACAAAGGTTTCAAAACAGCATCTAATTCAACCAAAACCATTTTACTAAAGGTGCGAGCGATCATCCTCGGCCAAGAAATCCACGACATTCAATTGCTAGACAAAGTGGAGGCGTTTTGCAAGCAGATGCTGGTCGAAAATCAGCAGCAAAACGACTACACACCGAAGAACAACAACAACCATCCCTGCCAGGCGCTGCTTGACGTCGTCATTGCCCACATCTCCAAGCCCAACATCAACCACACACTCAGTCGGACCTTCAAGCCGGTTTTGGACAAAGTCCGACCAGACCCTGCGCCCTACGCGATCAACCAAAAAGAGGAAAATCTCCCAGCGCGGAAACACACCATCCCATTGATTCTTCAAGGAGAAGTCGCTTCTTTGGACAAGAAATTCTCCGTCAAACTCAACGATTCCTGCCACAACACCAAGGGCGACATTCATATCGTCGTCGAGCTCAATGATCCAACTCTACCTCCTGTCAGACCTCTTTAGTAAGTAAAAAAGCTGAGCTCGGCATTGCCTTACAATTTAAGAAATAGTACTGAAGCTTTATTTAATATTCTAGTATAACGATTCCTGCTGATTATCCGAATATATCGCCGATTGTTGAAAATACTGATGACAACATGGAACAACACATGGTCGAAACATTGGAAGAAGGAACCGATTTCATTCAAACCCAGAAATTGATCTTCCATGAGAGGCAGTACTCTCTCGGGAGCCATGTTGTTACTCTAACTCAAGGTAAACAAAGAGGCTGATATGGCGGTCCCTCTTTCTCTATGTAAAGATCTGGTTTGACGGTGACTTCAGTTCTATCTGGCTGGGAGCTCAGCATCCGCCAGGCAATGGCCCGTGCCAACATCGATTTCGCCCAACAGAAGCTCAAGGAATACGAAGAAACGCACATCATCGAAGAAGAGCCACAACACATCATTGCCTAGAAAAAAACTCGTTGCTTTGGCCAATTGTTGGCCGCCGGACAAATTTAGCAATTTTTTTCTCTCGCTCAGCCAGAGTTTTTTCAGTCTAAATTTCAGCCGGCCTCTGTTCCTTCCCTTTTATGAAGTGCAATATTGAAGAGTCGATTTCTGAATCAATAAACGACCTCTGAAAATCTACGTTTCTACGAATTATTAACAGCTGTTTTATTTTCTAGAACGCGAATTATTCTACTTCAGAAAGTAGTTTTCACAAGCAGTTATGGCTTTCCGGGCAGGGTTATATAATTCAGGTCAATCTGGCGACCTCGGCGACATGTGTAGAAACCTGAGTCAGGTTTCAAATAGCTTTGATAACACGGCTTTTTATCAAAGGTTATCTTGACTCAGGTTTCCACACATGTTGTCGAGCCCTGACGTCAACAATAGAACATTCCAAGTCGAAAAATATGAAATGTTGGAGAATTAATTACTTGGAAAATCAATAAGCAGTTTAATGATTATCATAAACATTCGGAAAATTTGAATGAAAAATAGTATCGATTTCAATCGATTAAAAGTAGTGTCCGTTGATTGTGAATTGTTAGCATTGGTTCTTTCTCGAAGAGTTATGTAACCCGCTGTCATTACAGCGCTAGTTTTATTTTTTCTCCCTCGAGGCTAAATTATTATTCGAAAAAAAAACAGCAGTGAAAAATTAAAATGTCTAACCCGTGTATGAGTTCGTTACGGCGACATGTCCCGCTGACTTGTCTGCATCGAGGGCGAGTGGTGCGAGTACTCAGCCGACCGCTAGTTTCGACCTGCCAGTTGCGCGCTTTTGACAGAGGAACTGGGGGCGCTGACGGCGGAAATGATGGTAACAATCACAAGTGCCCCGATTGCGGAGCGCCCATGGTCTCCATCTCCAAGTTACAAATTGGCGCGCGCTTTTTCGAATGCAAAGGTACTTTTTAGAACTAGCCAAATATTCATGCCTCTAATTTTTCTTTACAAGTAGCTTACAGTTATGTAGCATAATCCTAGACTCGCAACATGTGTACAAGGCCTCGTATAAGGTCTTTTAGAGCTAATTATATCAGAATTATATGGATAGAAGTTAGTTATAGTCAACCTGTTGGCAGCCCAAGTTAACATTGATTCTTTAAGTTTGCAAGATGTACTACAAATCTGAAACGCGACTGTACCAGCCGAACAGCCAGCCGCAGGAAACGAGCGAGGCAGGCCTAACAGAAGGAAAAACGTTTCAAGAAATTCCGACGCCGAAAGAATTCCACCAGTACTTGGACAGATTCGTGATCGGACAAGAGCCGGCGAAAATGGAGCTCTCCACCGCTGTTCATTATCACTACAAGAGGATACAGAACAACTTACAGTACAAGGCTAATCAGGAGAATAAGACCCAAGCGGCGGAGGGCGAAATCGCGAGTGTTCTCATTGACAAGTCTAATATTTTAATCATGGGCCCAACTGGCTCTGGAAAAACACATCTAGTCCAGGTAATAAGACAAAAAATAGATAGAAATCAATGGTAAAACCCACTTTTAGACGCTTGCAAAATATCTAGACGTCCCCTACGCCGTCGCCGACTGCACAGCCCTAACCCAAGCAGGCTACGTCGGCGAAGACATCGAATCGGTCATTCAAAAGCTTTTGCAAAACGCTGGAGGAAATGTAGAAAAGGCCCAGCGTGGTATCGTTTACTTGGACGAGATCGATAAAATTGCAGCAAGAAAGCTATCCGGCGGTAACTTCCGCGATGTTTCTGGCGAGGGTGTTCAGCAAGGACTGCTCAAATTGCTGGAAGGGTCGGTTGTTTCTGTCAAAGATCCGTTTAAAAAACCTGCAGCAGGAAATATTCAAGGTAAAGCAAATTATTATACTCCAAAAAAAGGCTCGAATTCACCAAAAGAAGTAGCAGCACGTTATCTTGGTTCAAACCCTACCCCTAATCGTATGGTTTTAGTGGACACTTCTGATATTCTCTTCATCTGTTCGGGTGCGTTCACTGGACTGCCGAAGCTCATTCAAAGCCGTTTGCAAAAGAAGTCTCTTGGTTTCACGACGAAGCCTCAAAAAGTCTCTCTCAGTAAAAAGTCCAAAATCGCTGCGATGGAGGAGCGCCACAAGGAAGAAGACGCATGCATGCTTAGGATAGAGCCTGACGATCTGCACAAGTTTGGTCTCATCCCCGAGTTTGTCGGTCGCCTTCAAGGTCAGAATTCGAAAGCAAGGAAGAGAAGTTGATTTTCTTCTTTAGTTCTTTGCCCGATCATGAACCTGACACAGGCGGACTTCGTCAGAATCCTCAACGAGCCGGACAACGCGATCGTGAAGCAGTACCGCTCGCTGCTCGCCCCTGTCGAGCTGGAGATCACGGATGAGGCGTTCGAGCGCATCGCCCAAATCGCCATCGAACGCGGCACTGGTGCGCGAGGCCTCAACTCTTCGATGCACAATCTTCTCAAAACTGTAAAATATGAAATTCCTGGCTCTGACATTACCTCTGGTAAGTGCCTTTCAATTAAGAGTCCCTGTGCTAGAATTGATTATTTACTAAACTTTGCTTTAGTTTATATTGACGCCGATGTCGTTGATAAAAAGAAAGAACCCGTGCTGACAAGAAGGGAACCTGAAGTCGAGGAGGAGCAAGCAGCGTCAGCCTGAACCGGGCGTATAATTTCTATTTCTGTTCATTCACGGAAAACGACGATTTCTGCGTTAATAAAAAAGATCAACAAAACAGAGCAGACAGTCAGGTTTATTGACGTCGAGTCAAGAAATCAAGCACGTACCAAAGATTTTTGTTAGCGCAGGGGAAGTGCATTTTATAATGAGAATTAATTTTGATTAACAGAACTATCAGTTTGGAATAAAGAATGAATACAGTATTCAGAATACTCCACAGATGTAGATTCTACAGACTACAATAATTCATCGGCGTCACGAAGAGAATCGGATAAGTTGCAAATTTCTCATGATACCCAATAGTCTCTACCTTGGCAATATCGTCGCCATCTTTGCTATCAGTTGAACAAGCAGCAAGTCTTTGGGAATAGAAAGTTGGTCAACTGTTCCTAGTGATATGCGTTGCACGTTTCGAGTGGATGCCCTACTTTCCCCTGGAAAAACATAAATCGTGTTTTCTGATAGAATTGATGATCCCCGATAACATGGCTGAAGAATTAAAGATTTCAAATCTCGAAAAAACTCTGAAATTGTTTCACCTGTAGCAGATTTTTCATTTTCGCCCAAGCGACTCCGTTGAGCAGCCAAACTTCTGCTAAATACAAATAAACGTGGTCGTCAAAGCCGCCTATCGTGATGATTGATCCAGACGGCAAGCCAATAACAGAATGATCTCTTATTGGCCTTGGATGTGTAGGAAGTTCTTCCCAGCCATCATTCGTGAGTTTTTCAGTCGATCCCGGACGAGTATTCCGACCGCCGACTGCTGTAGGCGATCCCTTATAAAAGGCAATGCCGGCATGCACGTGTCCATAGTTTGGGGTGAATGAAAGCTCTCTAGTAACAGTGCCATCGAATACTTCGCACATTTTGTTTGTATACCAATCGAAACAAAGCAGAGCTTAAAAATCATAAATCAGCAATCAAGGATTTTCGCGTAGTACCTTCACTTCCATCCGAAATCGACAGTGTAGCCCCGACCATATAGTCTCCCAGTAGCCGGTTCGGAAGAAGAGTAAGACTGCATCTATCTATTCTTAGAATCTTAAAATTTATAAATTATTAATGATGATATCATGACTTACTCGTAATCCGTCCTCCCAGCCACCGAAAAGATGCAATCGACCATTGATAAGTTCATATTTAGATGCATAAATATTCTTCGAAATAACTATTTTCGCATTGTCGTTTCTAGCGCCGTCCCCAGAAAGAGAATATTGTACGTAATTATTCAAATTCCGTTCATGTATGATGACATGGATCTGACTCGGTCTATGCTCAAAGAAATAGACGTTTCTGATTTCAGTTCGCCTGTCGAATTTAAACACTCGTATTCGCTTTTCTTTCAGCGTTCGAAGTTCCTTCATTTCTTCTTTTGCAATTTTCTTGTCTTTATTCTTTATAATCAAAAGCACTGACGAGTCTCCTTGGGCATCGAAAATCAGTTCAAAAGACGTCCAGTGCAAGCTCAAACGAGTTTCCAAGACGATCGTTTTATCGAAAAATTCGGATGAAATTCCAATTGAGCTGTTATCAAAAATTTCAACTGCAAAGATCGATTGCTCGCTGAATGATCGGAACTCGAGGATTTTGGCTGCTTTGTTTGGCAAGTTTGAATTTTTCTTCAGAGCCTCATAAAAGCGTTTAACGGTAATTACGATTATCGAAAAGTTTTGATTTTGTTTGAGACTCTTTCCTTTATTTCAAAGTTTAATTTTAACTTTTGGTTAAAGTCGAGTTCAATTGAAGAAATGTGGAATAATGACTCGTCGAAAGAGGTAAAACCAGAATTCGGAATAATTACGAGAGGATATGGCGGAGATAGACTGCTTGCTTTAATCAAGGCTCTTACCTTCGGTTACAATGCAGGTTGTACGTTCATCATGAACAGTTCATTTATAATTGATTATTCAAGAGCCTCAACTGACTGTGGAAATTTCTTAACTTCCCCAACAGCGTTTTTAGCAAAGTTGGGAAAGACGTCATCATGAAACGCGAAAAACGGGTTACTTGTCACGTGCATTTTCTTCATGGCTTTTTGCTGCTGAAAATCCATCTCAATTTGTTCGTTTTTGGGATCAATATGTTCAATATATTAAAAATCAGTATTTTTTAAAATAAAGTAAGATCCTTTCCGAAATCGAAGTAAATTTCAAAAGTGGTATCAAAAACGAGATTCTGAAGGTAAATACGATCATTGTTCAAGAAGCCATTTATGAAATATTCGCACTCATCGTTGTTGCTTCCGAATGGATTCGAGTAAGCAAAATCATTCGGGGCGAGTAAGGAAGAGAAGCAAAGAGACTCTTGCTCGTATTTGACCAAGGAGCCGATCCACTCGTTGGCTAAGCTCAGAAATTTTCCTTCTTTCTCGAGTAATAAAGAGTATTGCATGCTCGACAAGTCGATGCTCCTGGTAACGAGAATAAGCATTAATTGGCCGAGATCGATCTTTTACTGAGTTCCCAAACTCTTTTCAAAGAATGAATAATAATTTTATCGAACTCATTCCAGAGGGATCACGTGAACAGGGTCAAAGTCCCTGAACATTACTGGAACCGCGATTTCATCCTTTCGCCAGCCCTTCTCCAATTCTTCCGTCGATCGAATCGAGTTCAGAGCGACCGTTTTCGACAGTGTAATCCAGTTAACGCCGAGTCTGACGCTCATCAGGAACAATGTTCCGCCAAAGCTGACCGAAGACATTCTGGCGTTAAAGTGGTTGCTCGCGATGTAGCCTTGAAATGTAAGAATCCATGGAAGAAGCGATTCCTTACCTTGGGCGGATTCGAATCTGTTGAGATTATAATCCGGTGCATAATAGTAACATTTGTCTGGACGGCCGCTTGGAGAGCTTTTTATGGTCGAAAATGATGGATAAAACGAATGTTTTAAGCTACAGGTTTATCGTTATTTGTTTCGCACCATTTTCAGATGACAACAACCGGGAAAGCGGTCGAATTTTTCTCCTCATTTCTGATTGTGATTTCGTGAGTTCCAATGGAAGAGCCGTAATGAAACGCAAAATTGCCAGTTCTGCAAATGATTGATCAGTTTATCCCTTTCATTAAAGGCTAACCTGACAATGTAACGGTTTTCAATGAATAGAGAGGCCGTTCCGTTTTCACTGACTCGCATCAAACTTCCTCTTTGGTCGACCAAATAGTGTTCTCCATCCAGAAACGTAGCGCCAATTGCCTTGATGTGTTCATTTTTGCTGGTATACTGGTGTTTTGAAGAAAAAAAAATGAAAACGTTCATAGTGGTCGAAAGACTCGCCTTTCAAAAACACGATGCTCTTTTTCTTTGAAGCTTGAGTTTCAGAAAAATCTACCAACTGAACGGCTTCTTTCTTTACTATGCTTTTAGTCTCTTCTTTTTGATCTTTTCTTCGACTGTAATCATCCTTTTTTAAATCAAAGACGGGGACGAATTTCTGGTCCTTATGAGTCTTTTCGCATTTATAGAAAGGACAGGGACATCCATTTTTGCAATATTTCTCCGTTGGACAAATATCTCCAGCAGAGTTGAAAGATCGGGTCAGCTCGAAGCAAATTGATTCGCAGGGCGAAATCGAGTGAGTCCTCGTTGATTCCAAATTCAGCGAGTTTGAGCAAAGATGGCGGCAGACTTTTTGGTCGAAGAACTTTTTCTTCTTGCAGCGGCGCAGATTCACTTTATTTTCTTCTGCCGAGAATTTGACCAGCTCAGTCTCTTTTGCCTTGATAAGGGAAACTGGCTCTGGAAGGATGAATTCTTGCGTTTCGTGACATTGCTTCATTAGATGGCCGCAGAGACCCATTGATTCGATTTTCACGCAGTGTTTGTAGTTTCTGTGGCAAACTGACGTCAGAAAAGTCGTTTGTAGTTTTGATTTCTCCAAGGAGGCGTAATTCGCTAAAACGATTAGATAGCGTTTTGAATTTTTACTGACGATGGATATCTTGAAAGTAAGCGATTTTACGAACTAGAAACGGCCTGACATTTTAAAGCTGCGAAGCCAAGCAAAATTTCATTCACTCTGTTTACCTTGAATTCATGATTACCTATGAGTATGACAGTCATCCAGAAAAGAAAGCCAAGTACTAGGTAACTGCGTTGTTGTCTATCCGTGGCGTTTCCATGCTTAGCCAGTCTTACTCCTGTGACCTTTTTCTTCCATGTTTTCTTCGTCAAATCTTTCTTCTGCGTATGGATGTTTCGTGTGGAGAGAATCTCTTCGGTGTGGAGATAAACTTTCTCGCCGAGCTTTCGCAACGTTCCAAAGCATTTGCAGTCCAAACACTGGTTTCAATTTTAGTTCAAATGCTTGATTTTTTTCCTTGCCGTCTTAGCAAGTTACTCAAATACCTGAACTTTTATTCGGCTTAATTTAGTTTCCTTTCGCCGCTGGCCCTTCGATCTTTTAAGTTTTGGCGGCCTAGCCTCTTCGATATACGGAACCCCTTCCTCGATCCTCGATCGCATCGATAAAAATCAAGCTCAAGTGCGAAAGTGAATAAGATCGACTTCTACTGAAAGTCCTCCACTCTGCTCGTTATAACGATAATCTGCCGCAATTCGTTTCTTGACGGGAGAGAAACCCAGAAGGGAATTAGTGGAAGCCGTGTTGGTATTCAAATCAAGCTTGAAGTTCAAGCCTTGAACCGGTTTTTAAATCTGACGAGATTATTTTTGCTCTTTCGGGGTGTTGATATGGACAAAAATTCTGGAGAAAAAATTTCTAGGAGAGAGTTTTTATCAAATTTTATTTTTTTCATACAGAAATCTTGTATATTTTATTCCAACGAGACGTTGCCGATTTGATAAGCTGGCGATCTTGAAGATGCAGTGATCGACCATCCTTCGATTTGACCCATTTCATCACTGAAAAAAAAATCAAACTGCAATACCCAAGCTATAAACTCTCACCGTCAGACTTGTTGCCTCCGATCCAGTTTTCCGGGTTGCACAAGCTCAGCTGCTTGAATTTGCTTATCACTTGTCCCTATTTTTAAAAAGTCGCAAAATCAATCGTAAACTGTTGCTATTTTTTAAAAGTTTTTGCGACATCCCTGCCAAGTCTGCGAGTTGAGCCACTCGTCCAAGTGCTCATGCGAAGCTAGCGGACCATCGATTTTAACCTTCTTGACGCCGGAAGGACAGCAATACGCCTATAAAATGTATAAATACCTAGCTACTTCTGTAGATATAAACCTGGCTGTATATTTTCGGCATCTGCTTGGGCGAGGGCTCCGGACTCGGGCTTTCTTCGTCCTCCGAGTTGATCGGAATGCTCTCGAAGCTGCCTGAAATCGAGTCCTTAAAATGGCCGTCTCGCCACCGCTCAAGTTTAACTCGCACACACCTTTAAACTTGAGGAGAAGGAGAACTGCTCCTCCTTCAAAAAGACGGGCGCTGGAAGCTGAGATGGCACACTTTCAGTTTGTGCCATTTCAGAAACAGGGGAAGCGCATTCAGAAACAAATACTTCCGGAACTATTTCCTCACTCTCTTCATTCTCATTCTTTCGACTTTCAAAACTGCTTTCAAGCTGCTCAGGCTCACTGTCAATGTCAACCAGTTCAGGCTCAGAATCAAGACAGGAATCAGAAAGAGGCTCTTCTTCTTCTTCCTCCCCCTCTCCCTCGCTATCAGAATACTCTTCCTTGTCTCCAAGTTTCTTGCTTAGCGGCTCATCGTTGAAGATTTCAACAGTGTCTTTCAGAATCGTTTTAGGCAAGTCATCGAAAATTGATGCCCGACGTTTTGGCGGCTCCGGTTCTGGTTCCGAATTTTCAGCTTAAAAATACAATTAAGATTTTCAGATATTTTTTGGCGGAAACCTTCAACATCCTCAAGACTTTTCTGGAGCTCTTGCGTCTGTTCTTTTCTGTCCATTCTCGCCCAGATCTCGCATTTGACCTGGTCGAGCTGTTTCGTTGAGAGCTTTTCATTGCTTTCGAGTAGCTCGAGCGGCTCCTGGCCGTTCTTGTTCTTGAGGCGGAAGTCGGCGCCTGCTTGCAGAAGCTTAAGACAGGCTTCCACTGCGAAGGCTCCTTTGGCAGTCACGTGATAGTGCAGAGCAGTGTTGCCCAGATCGTCCTGAAAGTTTCGATGAAACGCTTGATTCTAAGAAATTAATTGGACCTGGGCATCGAGCGATATATTCGGCAGCAGCTCGTCCATTGCCAACAGCATTGTTTCAGTATCTTTCTGTCGGTTCAACTACTGTCACTCATTCCTTCGAGAGCGACTACTGAACAATTTGAACTTATGAACCGTGGCTTTTAGCTTTTCATTCAGCGCTGATAGAGGATAATGTAAGCTTTTATATTATTCGTAAAAAACGAAAATAGTCTAATGGTGAAAATTACTGTAGCTTGAAATCCCCGTGGCCTAATAGATGAAGAGCGTTGCGTCCAGTTTTATCAGTTTTGTCGACGACGGCTGGCACCTTTGAATTGAGGAAGGCGACGACAGGGCTGCGTAAGGCTGCTCAACACGTTTCACAATGGTGAGTTATCTGATTGGCACAAAGGATGATAGAGAGTTCTCACGGGTTGAGTGAGTTCCATTACGTAACTTGTGGAACTTGTTTTTTCGCAGCCTTGCCCAGGGTCGCAGTGAAAGAGCGCGGCGAGTAAAAGCGTTGTGAATCCATCTTCGTCTGGGTCTTCGAGGTCGGCTCCGTTCGATTCCAGCGACTCGAGAAACTGGACTGTTGTCGTACCGCGCTTTGTATAAGTATCTCCACAGGCCACGTGACAGGCTTTCTTGCCTCGGAAAACCATTGAACATCGCCCAATGTATCGTCTACAAAATATTTGGTGAATAAAGTAAAAGGTTTACCATGGGCTCGGCAAGCTGTGTCAGGGTAATGGAAATGGTTGTATAAAAGCCGCGTCGCGGCTTTCTCAAAAACAAAGCCGCAAATCGGCTTCGCCAAAATAATTTTCAATCTATTCTATCAGTTCACTGAAAAAAAAAAGTTATTTTTAACCTGCCAGTGGTGAAATTTCCGTCGATGATTGCTTGATGTAAATCTCTCGAAGTCATTGTTGTTTTTTTCGGAATGAAAATGAAAAACGCGAAAGAATAATTCTTTGTAAAAAAAAGTTTGAAAGAAAAGTTCTTTTTTTTATTTATAGAAGCGTACACAAAAGACAGCGACTGATGGACTTAATGAGGGTTGACAAAAGAACTTTGATAGGGCGAACTCAGAGAGACACAGGTGCTAAGTGCCAGATTTATAAGGTAAGGAATCGTGCTCACCCCTCGCTGGAATTTGCAGCGCTAGAATGGGCGCAACGCTTCTATCTTGCGAGTTGCGCATAGTTCAGGCACAGACACACAAACAGAAACAGTCCAGCACAACAACTGTAAAAAGAAGAAGCCGCGCTGAGTCGCTGAGTTACCCGCGACTCCGCGCTGGGAAGCCCCCGCGGGCGCAAGGACTCCCTTTTTTACGCCGTGGGAAAAAGAAACACTCTCTAGTCACAGTAACTAAATCAGATCATTACTGTCGTTTGAACTTTCACGTGACGAGTGTCAACTTATTCATCCTGACACTTAGGCTTGAAAATAAATTAAGTCGTTTTACTAATTTTATCTTTGAAATTGACTAATAATTTTTTTGATCAAATGATACTAAATATCATTTGTAAAAATATTAATTTTCATTTTTTTATTTATTAGTTTAAAAATAATTTTGATATTTTTTTTTCTTCAGTCATTTTCAAAATAAATTGATGCAATTCTACAGTGGATTTTACCTCCAAGAGTTTGGCAAATTCTTGAGCCAAGTTTTTTCGAAGTGCAAGCGCGTAGAAGAGAGTTACAGTAAGAGTGTTCGACGGCGTGAATGAAGCGGCGAGCGCGTGTCATTCTATTCGTTTAGAGCGCGTTTAGAATTTTCAGCGGGTTCCATTACGCGTTACGAATTTACCAGCCCCAGCTCGCGCCACCTGACCCGAGTACTCCACCGAACGCCACCAGCACCACACCGCAGCCGCCGCCACTCTCGCTTGCTCCAGTCAGTTTACGTTACGAAACACAACAACCAAAGATGCACTCCATCATCTTCAAATAACTACTTTCAAAAAGCGCTTTCTATCTCTCCACAACAGTCAATTTTAGAAAATTCTACCCTTCATTGAAAAATTACAGGATCAACCCTTTTTTATTCATTTTTTTAATTTAAGGGTATCTCTTCGAAAAGGCAAAAAAGACGTAATAATGATTCACACTCTTTTCGATAAAATTTTTAACTAAAAACATTAAGGGTATCCCAACAAATTTCTAAAAAGATTAACTTACAATTTTCAAGTTTTTTGATTAAGGGTATACCTTCAAAAAAGCCGAAATGAAACAATATCGATTCGCTTTGAATACAGCGTGTTTTTGGTCTAAAAACTTAAGGATATCTCCGTAATATTCGCTATTTTCGCACGTAAGTTTAAAACGAAGAAGACAATTAATAACTATGTTTTGGCGAAAAACAAGAAACTCTCGACACTTATAGAGATGTCACTAAAAATAAACAACGTGTCGTAATCTAAGACGGTAGATTTTGGCAATGCATGATGTCTATTTCCCGCTTTTGATAAATTGCTTTATGAAAATGAAAATGGATCGAGTTTTCGATAAGTTTCGCTGCATTTTGCACAAGGAGCTACTGGTCGGAGATCGTAATGAGCTTTATTCTAGTGCCGGAGCTGCTGGCACAAGTCCAAAGCCGGACAAGTTTGGCGCTTCTCCAACCCGTTCAGATCCACTGGCCGAGATCCAACTCATCAGACGCCTTCTAAAACGCACCGGTTGATTGAGAAACGTCGTCTATGAAATTTTCTCTATCTAGTGACTAGAGTCTAGTCTCTAATAAATGGTGATTTTAAACTAGAAAAACTATAGCATTTTCAATACGATATTCTCAAGCCAGAGATAAGAACAAGATCGAACTAAATTTAGCGCGTTCAATCTGATAAAAATTTCTAGTGCGGAAAGATATTTATCGATGTCAATAAATGCATGAAAACCATCGTGGTTCAAACATTTTACTTGAAAAATGAAACTTGAAAATTTGAAAGTAATGCTCTGTACTCCCGACTGACCGAACAATTATAAAAATGAATGAGTGTATAAGAGAGAATTGAAATAAATGTAAAAATAAAATAGTGTTGTTGTTGAGGCCATGGCTTTCGATGAAAATATAGAATTTCTGTAATAGACCTTGTCATCATATCATTTTTATCCAACAAACCTGTGCTGTCATCCATGTGAAAGCATTAAGATAACTTTAGAGTCTAAAGTTTAGACTGAATTAATTTTCTTCAAAGGAACACTTATTAAGCTGGTATATGCACTTTGATTCGTATAGTTGTAGATACCCTTAAGATGTTGGATCAGCATGATCTGACAGATAACTATGAATCATAGTCTATGATGTTAAGAAAATGAAGAAATAAACCAATTTGCGCGTAAATTTGGGAATTTTTCAAACAAAAACGCAAATCTTAGAAAAACAAAGGGAAAATTGGGATGGATAAGTTGTAAAGAAGTGTCGTCTAAAAGTGCGATAATGCGAGTGAGCGGTTCGCAAGTAGAAGCCGCGGACTAGCTACTTGCGGCTGCGTTTAAAATCGGCGGAAAGAAAAATCAGCGCAGCTCCTGTCAATTTCGAATCTCTAAACCGCTTCTAATTAGACACGTGTTTCACCTTACATCTCACTTCGTAATTAGAAGCTGCCCCAAAATCAAAAATCAAAGTAAAAATTCATTATAAAATCGCTCAAAAAAATCAATTCTTTTTGTTTCTACATCAATTTTCGTAATGTCAGAATCAAGGGATTTACAAAGAGCGTCTTTATTTTAAGGGTGTAGACCTCATTACCAGTATTTCTTTTATCTTATTTATTTGAGAATTAAAATAGTGATACCCTTATTTATTTGTGAAAATTGCTTTTAAATTTTATTTCAAAGTCTTTGTAATAAAAGGTTTTTTGGCTGTATAGGGTTTTAAGGGTGTATACTTCGTAAACAATATTTCGTATTTTTGAATTTATTCAGAAATAACACCCGTAAATTTTCTGGTAAAACGAATTTTCTCAGAACTAATTTGAATTATAAAAAGATAGGATTTTTATTCGTTTCAGTCTTAAGGGTGTAGACTTCATTAATTGGTGTTTTTAATTTTACCAAAAAAAGCGTCAAAATATTTAAAAAAAACGATCAAATAAGGGTTTCGCTATGTTAAATTTCGAGGAAAATAAAAGATGAAGAATATTAAACGACAATAAGGTAGGGCTACCCCCTTAATCTAAGAAATCAGAAAGAAGCTTTTCTTCGGATTCGGAGATTTTCGGAAGCGCGAAAATGTTCAATAAAGAATTAAACTTGCTTTGCTTGATGAGTGTGTTTGGTACGGAAGTGGATGGAAATGCACGTTAGAAAATGTTCGACGAAATGGAACGGGCCAACGTTGCGAGCGCGGCGAGAGAGTGGCGCGGCGAAGGGTGTAGTACATTTAGAACTCCAGCTCGGCGCGCGCCTTCTAACGTGGCGCTCTAAACGTTCTTTAAGCCGCGGTGTGGTGGCGCCTTCCGCAGCAAAATCGAGATTGTGCAAGACACCACACCGCCGCCTCACGTCACACAATCGCCTAGCACCTCCGCCAGACACCACATCTCCCCAACGACACTTCAACAAGACATATCCGCCAAGATCACTTGCGCTTCATCGCGCGGGAAGTATGCAATTAGCCTGGCCCAAAAACCAGGATTCGACCAAAATCCGAATCCTGGCCCCCCGAGCCAGGATTAGCTATAATTTTTCTAGCCTGGCCCCTGGGGCCAGGATTCGTCTAAAATTCCCAATCCTGGCCCCGGCGGCCAGGATTCACCTGAATGAAGAAACTCTTTTACTTATCAAGGTTGCGATATAATTTTATTGACAGAACTATTCTATCTCCTAACCAAAAGAGACCGGGGAGTGCGCTTCGCGCCTGGATTTCAGTAAACTCCAGGATTGACCAAGACTCAAGGAAATACTTGGTATGGAAAGCCATATTTAATTTTGTAAATTAAGAAAAATCCTAGTGCCCCTTACCACGGGGCTTCGCCCCTTAGGTCCTAAAATGCCGGGGTCTAGTCTAGGGTTACTTAGGGTTACCTTCAGTAACCCTAACTAACCCTAGCCTATCCCCCTCGGGTGAAACTGTTCTGTCATTTTGCGAGGTGCCCCTAACCCTAACCACAAAATTAAGCCAATCATTAATTACAGCCAATAATTAATTTGATTTATTAATTAATGGGCAAAACCTTCGAGAGAATCGAGAGAAGCGAGTGTAAATTGACTCTACCAGCCGCCGTGGCCAGGATTGGGAATTCTAGACGAATCCTGGCCCCAGGGGCCAGGCTAGAAAAATTTAAGCGAATCCTGGCTCGGGGGGCCAGGATTCGGATTTTTGTCGAATCCTGGTTCTGGGGCCAGGATTCGGATTTTTGTCGAATCCTGGTTCTGGGGCCAGGCTAATTGCAACCTTCCATCGCGCGCTCTTTTAAATTGCACAAAATATTTATTTTATTTACTATTATAGGATCAACGCTCGGCAAATTGTGTAGGAACGTTGGTAAGCCAGGGTCTTGAAAGTTTTCTAGTGAATTACTCGATGTTATGGCTATTTCGGATGGTTACTTCAAATTTCAGCTTTTACAATACCAAGATAATGGTCTGAGCTTTTTGTCGAGAAAATAAAATAAGGGTCTCACTATGTTAACTTTGGAAGAAAATCCAGCACGAAAATTTTGATTCTTGATGTCCAATCAACCTAAATTATTTATACTATTTTTAGTTAAAATTTTCAAAGAAAAACTCTTAGTTTTCTTGATTTTAAATCAAGTATATTTTGTCGAGGACTTACAGTAAAACTGTAGTCTAAAATATCCGTCGCCAATGTTTACGAATAAATCAGAGTGAGAAGATCTTCATCTTGAAATGTTATTGAAAGAATAAATGGTGCGAGGCTCGCTTTCGGCCACGTATGAGCGAAGAGCGCAATATTTTGGAAAGATTGAATAACGTTCGAAATTATCGCACTCACACGAGCATGTCGAACAAATTTCTCATTTTTTCTCGTCTGTTGGCAAAATCTTAAATCACGACATTTTTGATGAATTCATCAGAAAAGCACTGAGTTGGAATCAAGGAAGACTATTCCTTTTCTTCGATTTCTTTCGAAAGTTATTCTCAATAAAGTCGAATTAACTACTTCTTGGCTCGGCAGCCTGAGTAGAAAACCTGAGTCAGGGTTTTAAAAGAGTAAAATTAAAAGCCGCGTAGCGGCTTTTTCTAAAAACGAAGCCGCAAAGCGGCTTCGCCAAAGTTACCAAATCAATCAATTATTGTAACTAGCGAAGCCGCCTTGCGGCTTCTTACCAAAAAAGCCGCTACGCGGCTTTTCAGTTTACTCTTTTAGAACCCTGACTCAGGTTTTCTTCTCAGGTTGTCGAGCCCAGAACTCCGTTTCCTTGAAAAATTGCCAGAAAAGCTCCGGATGGCGCTTTCTTCGTCCTTGAATGCTGAGTTTGATAACGAGTCTTTATCAAAAAGTAAAAGGGTTAGCTGGATTGATTAGGGAACGTGTTGAAAAGCACGTTCTATTTGGCGCGTTGCTGCGCCATCGTGAAGTTAGTTAAATCCATTAGAAGGAGCTTCACATTTGCGCAATGTTCAACTTCGCGAGCGGTGGTGGTGCTGGTGGAGGCGCTCGCGGCAGCCCCTCCAGAGCGCCATCAAAACTGAATTAGAGTCGGTTCATGGAACTCTGGATTCGTGGAACTCAGAACATTTTACTTCACAGCACGGCGAAAAGCAACAAGAAGAAAAAAACGTGAAAATCGAAAACTTTTGTATTTTATAAAAAAGAAAAAAAATAAGAAACGACGCAGACAGAGACCCTAAAACACAAAAAAAACACAGAGAATGTCCTTGTTGAATCTGCTCGGACAGTCGCGCCTTCTCCAGCAGCAGGGCGCGCAGATGCCCTTTCCGGTAAGACTAAAAAAGTAAAAGACCGTTTTTCCAATGCTCAATTCCAGGGCATGAACAACTTCCAGCTCCAGAGCATGAACATGGCTCTTCAGCAGCAGCAACAGAGCCAACAGCCGCAGCAGCCCCCACTCAACCAGCCGAAAGGGATCGTCTCTGACAAACCCTACGTGTGCGACATTTGCGGCCGGGGCTACTCCTACTTGGCCAGCTTGGAGCAACACAAGGTAAGAAAGAAAAAACAAAAACGATCATCCCCTATCTTCCGCGGCGCCTTCTAAATTACTCCACCGCGCTTTACTGGCGCTGGGTTGCGCAAGGCAGCGCGCACCACCGCGATTACCACACTAGCGATTATGCAACGCTGCTTTCTATTTTCTAATCGCTCATCTCTAGGCCTGTCACCGCGCCGACCACCAGCACCAGTGCCAAGGCTGCGGACGCCTCTTCAAGACCAAAGACGAGCTCGAGAAGCACAAGCTCACCCACAACACTGACGGTAAAGAACTCCTCTGTCCGATCAACCCTAATTCGGTAATCTAGGTAACGAAACCCGCCCCCACCAGTGCGAAACATGCGGACGTCGATTTACCCTCCTGGAGAACCTCCACCGCCATCAGATGATCCACACTGACGAACGGCCCTTTGGCTGCCATTACTGCCACAAGCGATTTCGACTCGCCCAGCACTTGAAAGAACACATCCGAATTCATACAGGTAACTTTTCTTTCTCCCTTTTCCTCTCTAACGAAATTTCAGGAGAGAAACCCTACAAATGCAATGTCTGCGGACGCGCTTTCTGCCAAATCTCCAACTTGAAGAGTCACCAGAAAACACACACGAAAGTCAAAGCCTTCGAATGCGACATTTGCCACAAGACCTTCCGCCGCAGCTTCACCCTCAAGCAGCACAAGCTCATCCACGAGCGCGAGAACATCTCCGGCGCCGCCGCCAAACAACCAGAGCCCAGCATCAACAACAACAACAGCGAACTCATCAAGAAAGAGCACTACGAAGTGCCAGCCGGTCTCCCATTCGTCGGACAAGGAAACGAGCCAGACGAACAAGAAGATGTCGAAATCGAGGTCTGCGACGAACACCCATCCGCCTCCGAGCTCAACTCCTGCGGCAACTCCTGTGGCAACAGCTGCGGCGAGGGTGATTCGCCATCCCAGGCCCACTCCGACTCCGGCCACGGTTCGCCAAACCACAAGTCGCTCGAGAACTCCTCCGAAGAAGAAGCCACCAACTCGGGCTCCGACGACTCCGGCGCCATTGTCGAGAAAGAAAAGCGACCAAAATTCTACCGCCCCTTCGAGGTCGACGACTCGCCAGTTTACACTCCATCCAAAAGACACAACCGCGACAATCATCTGCCAATCGACATTACTCAAACCAAACGAGTTCGAGACACCAATGGCAAAATCATCGTCTACCCAGGCATCCGCGACAATGCTAGAATCAATCCCACAAGGTAAACATTAGATTCATCGTTTTTGATTGGGTAAAACGAACAGTACTGGCTTTTGATTGGCTCGAAACTCCCGTTGGAGCCTTACTTTAAACCTTCTTGTTTATGATCTTCTTCAACTAAATCTAACTGTATATTTGTAGTGCTCTTGACGAATTACGCCAGGCCGCGGGCGGAGCAGCGCACTGGGAGAATCTGAGAAGCGAGCGAGAATACCTCTGGCGACGACTCGGTAGAGCATCTTGAACATTCGCACTTGCCTCCTTCGCGAGCATGTGCAGTTGCGACAGTATTGCTAACTGTAGATTTAGGGCGAGGACAAGAAAGCAGTCCGGCAGTGCACGCGCAGGGAGTCGCCGCCAACGGCAGTGGCGATTCTGACATGGTGCCCGTGGTCGAGTGGCGACCCGTCGTCGTCGGCTACCGAAGCCTGAAGGACGGATCCGTCAACCGCGAAAACGCCGAGCAACTGATGAAGCACTCGCTCTTCAACCCGATGGCCTTCCCCAGCCAGCAATAAATTGAATCAAAGCAAAAAGACCCTACAAGACACGCCAGCGCCCAAATACGCAGTCTCCGCAAACAACAAAGTTACCATAGATCGAGCCAATGATCGATCAGGTAAACGCCAATCCACTTCTGTACAGACCTAAGAACACACAACCGCGAACCACCATTACTACTATCTGCTGAAGATGCGCACTCTGCTTGCGATACTTTCTGTAAAAAAACACTATCTTTTCTGTATTATACTTACTTTTTTTTTCGAATACATTTTGCGAAACGTCATTTTCGTTGTTTTTGAAATCATGGAAGAGAGCAAAATCGGTTGTTTTGAAATCAGTAGTTTTTTAAATTCCAGTAAAATCAGCTTCAATAGAACTTACTTAGCTCGAATTCGTTTGAAAGTCGAATTAGTATGTTTTCAAGTTTTAGAGTTGTCTCTAGAATTGTTGTCGTTATCAGGCCTTTTTTACCAGAGCTGATCAGTTCCCGAACTTTTCGGGTCCGCGCGACAACCAAATTTAGGTAAGTTCTTGACGTTTTTGCAATCAAGGAAGAGTTTCTTTTTGTAACCGAATATTTTTAGTGAGAAACGACTCGGCTGTTCGAAAGCATCGGCCCCAGAGTTTCTGGACATTCCGATGCTCAAAAAGAGAGCAATCAACTTCAAAAGAAAGAAAACTTCCAGATATTGGGATACTGAGGCGATTCCTGAATAAAATCAATTTCAATAAACTATATCCACCATTATCTCGCGCCAGATTTTGAAAGGATCGAAAATGCACTTTTCAAAATCTTCTTTGTCAATTTTTTGTCTTATTTTCTTGCAGTTTCCAGATGAGAACGTTCTGTAGTAAGTTATTTTAGGAAGGGTATTTGTCATATTTGAATTGAAGAGGAATTTATTTGAACATGCATTGAGGGAAATGGATTGAGTGAACTAAGAACTTGATCAGAAAAGAGAACGGTCAGGAAAAAAGAATTTAGAGTTTTGAGTAGACCCAGTTTCGTACTTTCATTTGAGTAGCAGGAGCGTACGATATACATCTAAGTCGAGCTTGGACGAGACCTGAATGGAATAAAATAAACATGTATCTAAAAATATTTTCGGCAAACCTTGCCAGGGTTTTGGTCCTGCTCCAACGATAGGGTGGTTCTCGACTTCTTCGCCGTTGATGAGCCAGACCTGTTTGTAAGAATTGTCGCTAGTTTTGGTTTGAACGAACTCGATCAAGTTCCAGTCGTCGAATTTGAGACTGAATAATTCACAATAATAATTTATAATTAAAGAAACTCGTACCTCTTATTCGTAGTGGTGCTTTTGTGACCTCCTTTTCCGGGTTTATCTCTGGTGAGGTTGATGTGGGAGTTATTTGGGCTTTCGTAAATTGACCACCAATAGCCAGTGGCTCCAGGGAACTCGTCGTTCAACGAAGCAACCGTTTTCCATCCTGTAAATATGAATTTCAGAGCTGCCGCAAATAAGGTTTTTTACCTCGTGAGTAAGATGGTTTCCAGAAAACTTCGATCGACACTTTGTATTGATCGAGGGCTCTCATGATTTTCAAGATAGGCGCATCGACGTCAGGACTGTGCTCTTTTCGAAGAACAATGACAGGTTTTTTACTTGAAAAATTGAAAAATTTAAAATACGTTTGGCTAGGTTAAGACTCACTTTACATCTTTAAATCGAATAACTCCGGATTTGGCATCAGCAGCTTCTTCGATGCAATCAGGATCGTTAGGGTCGCATTCGCCAGTGAGAGCGCATGCTCCATTAGCACAGTCAGCATTAGCTGATTTGGCATCTTTCGCATTGCACTTTGGATCGCTCGGGTCGCAAGATGGCTCGGGCTTCGCTGCTGGTGGCGCTTTTTCATCTTCGACAACTGCGACGCCTCCCCAAGCCATATCTCGGAATTCGGCGTTATTCCAACTGTTCCACTGAATCGAAAGAGTATCCTCTCCGTCCACTTCTACGTAAAGCGGATCCGAGTTGTTTGCGTTGGCCCCAACTCTGACCCAAACCCATTTTCCTGGGACAAAGTCGACTTCGTCGTACTTGACGTAGCCTCTCCCGAGAGTTTTGTTTGTTGTCCAAGATAATACGAAAATTGAGGGCTTCACGTTGTTGATGTTGATGGCGTCGTTGATTTTCATCTTGTAATAGATCTGGCCTCTGGTCTTTTTGACATCGAGTTTGACGGCCATGTAGATATCCTTGACTCTGCTTATTTGAAGCTTCTCGTAACCGACTGTATCGTCGTGCTCCCACTTGATCAAACCGTCTCTCATATATCTGGCTCCTACTTTGTCCTTTATCTCACATAATGTTGAGGAAGTCATAACTCGGTCTTTAAGCGGGTTCTCCTTGAATCCGTTATGGATGGCGTTGCAAGAGGGATCTCCGGGAGCACATGTAGCTGGCGCTGGATCATTTTTAGCAGAGCACCCTGCTCCAGCATCAGTTGATTCAGCTTTAGGGCGAGGTGCATCTTCAGGAAAGGCTTTTTTCACTGCAGCAGTCAAAGATTCTAAGCTTCGAGATCTCATTCCATGGTCACCGACCTTTTCGCCGTCTTTGAAGATGAACAGCGATGGAAAGTATCGGAGGCCGGTCTTGCTGATTACCTCGCACAACGCTCCGCTGTATTTTGAACAGTCCAAAGAACCAATGTTGGTCAGATATCCTTCAGCACGTAGATTGTCAGCAAGAGTTTCCCAATCAGGAGCCATTTGCTTGCAGGGTGGACAGTAAGGCGAGTACATCTTGACGAACCAGTTGCCAGATGAGATTTGCTGGAAGAAACTTTCCGCTTGCAAATTGATCGATCCAGATACGGGAGCAACGGCGTCCGCTTTGAACTCAGCAGCAGCTTTTTCCGCTTCTTTGGCGTCCTTCTCCTTTTGAGCGGCTTCTTTTGCAAGCATTTTCGCGCATTTTTGCGCCTGGCGTTTCTCGCGATTGCATTCCCTACGTGCTAACCTCTCAGCCTTGAGCTCTTCCTCAGACTTTTGCGGCGCTGCTGGCGGAGCGGATGGAGCGCTAGCGAGTGCCTTGACATTAGCGGCGAAGTATCCAGCATTGGTGATGTTGCCAGCGGGGAAATATCGGCATAAAACTAAAGAAAAATGATGGTCTTCTATCAACTTAGTCATTTTTTACCGAACATCTTGCCTTTCGGAGACACGGCGATTCCGAAGCCGACTTTCGTCGTCTTCGCCCAAACAGCCTGGGTGAAATGGCCGATCGCGCAACCTGCAGGATCGATCTTTTTTTGAGTTGCATAGTCGTAGTTCTTGATCTCCTTGTACCAGCTTGTCAACGCATTTACACCGTTTTTTTTGTACGCATCAGCGTTGTTGTAGTTTCCACCCCAAGAGCAGTAGAGGTTCTCGCCGCTGCGCTGGTAACTAATAATAGTTCAATTGATAGTACGCTTTAAATTTTATTACGGCGAGTCCATAAACATATCCAAGTGGTCGAATATATCATTCTGCGCGAGATAATCGACGGCCTTTTGCGCTTGCTCCGTGAGGATGTTGCAGAGCTTCAGGGGGTTTGTGTCCTCGTGAAGAGCTCGTTTTTCATTGTGAGCGTCGAGACAGGCGACAGCGGCCTCATCTCTCCATTGCTGGACCTCGTTGACATACGATGCGGAAAAATCTCCTCCAGTACCGACATTTTGAAGAATATCTTTTAGCTGTCGTCCGAGATCTTCTTCCTCGTCGTAAATCTATCGTAATGAAATCAGATGGAATTCATGCTAGTTTTACTTACAGAATCATCAGTATCGTAGTCGTCCGAGTCGCTAAAATACAGCTCACTGTCCGGCATTTTTTCGCCAACTGTGGGATCGGCGACCCCCATACTATCAAAACCGAACATTTTCGATGGTTCACTAAAAGTAACGAAGAAGGTTTCGCCTGCGCTTGATTTTATACCGAATCGCCTCGCAAAAACCGTAAAAGAGCACCACCTATAATCTTCACTCTGCGTTATTTTCCGAATTACGAAATTAACTAAACTCAAAAACAATCCCATAAAACTGGCAGAAAACTAGGTTGGAAATAATATCTTTATAAAGAAAGACTGTATAAGACATGATTCTTTAGGGGACCGTTCCATAATTGGGTTAGGGTTTTGGTTAGGGTTTGGGTTAGGGTTAAATGATTCTCTTTTGACCGGAGGAGCGAAGCTTAATTCGCCATTCCGACGCATTTTTAGCGAAGTTGCCACCATCAAAAGTAAACCACGAGAAAGTTTAGCGAAAAGTATTAGTAGTAGTAATTGCCGCTCTGGAGTAACCACCAATGTCAAGTGTGTTTCAAGTAATGGTGTACCATTTATTCTCTTCCGGTCGGCACGTTAGATATTACTTTATTGATCTATTAATTTTGCGTTTTATTTACCGGGTGTCAAAGAAAATAACATCTTTGTGATGAAATTGCTCAGAAATTTATTGCGCGTTCTAGACTTAAACATTCGAACGTACTAAGCTAATCCCAATAGAGTTAATTCAAATTGATAATGCACTATGCCTCAAATAACATAAGGCTTTTGCTCGTCTTTCATTTGAAAATGCATGAAAAGCTAATCAATTTTTATCATCGTTTCTATCTCGTGATTTTATTGCTGAGAAGTAGCAAAATTATGCTGAAACGCGGTAAAATATCAAGCCTGATTCCCGGCGGACAAACTAACGACTTTTGGCTTTGAGACGACTTTTTTACTACTTTACTAAGTAAGGTCTTTGCTTTATTCTTCTTGCGCCCCAGAAAACGATGATCACGCAATCTAATATTCTGAGTCAGGATCTGAAAAATAGGTTGAAAATAGAATTATGCAAAGCTCTTTCGCGGCTTCGTTTTTAAAAGAACGCGGCTTTTTATTAAAGATCTTTCAGACCCTGACTCAGGTTTTTTTCGCAGAGGTTGCTGAGCCCAGCAAATGCATCCAGTAAAGCAATTTTTTATAGCGATAGTGCAAATTTGTCTTTGAGCTCGTCATTATTTGCATAAAAGTATGAGGCTGCCATTCGAGCGAAAGAAAATATTCTAAAAGCAAAAGAAAAAAATGTCGGATGACGGCGAACCAACTGAGCTTGGGGAAAATGGAAAATTCAAAATTATTGAGGTGACTCAAAAATAATTCCGAAAACAGAGAAAGAGAACGAATATTTTCAGACAATTTACGAACATGAGCCAAGGATGGTTTACATTTGCGAAGACAAGACAAGTCCGTTGAAGTTCTTTTTTCTTAATTAATCTTTCAATAAGGGCCAAATCAGAAAGTGAGAATCAAGGCGATCCCGATTTGCCATCAAAATGACTTCAAAACTGCTCAAAATGAGGCGGAATTGACATTTATTCTCGAAGGTAATATTTTTCTCGACCCTCGATTTCCTAACTGAAATTAAGGGAGTCCCTTTATCGTTCGTTTCATGGAGCTCTTTGAGTACGGAAACTCCTTCGTCGATACGATCAAATGCATCGTCACCGAGCAAGTCAACGGGCCACTGCTAGAAGATTTCCTCGATGAGAAAACTGCGAAAAGTAAGGGGCATTTTTCAAGCCGTAGTCAAAAGAGATACTGTTAAGACCAGAAGCTGTCAGATCGAGAAGGACACATCATGTGCGCTCAGGTGCAGTTTCAACGCTTCATCTTCTTTGATATTTTTTTCAAGCTTGTTTCCGCCGTCTCTTTTTGCCACAGCAGAAATGTCGTCCATCGTGGTATATCTCCGGCGAACATTTGGGTCAAGAACGATAACCTTTCCGTGAGTTACAGTCCATTAAATCAGCAGCTAGAAGGATTCAGATAAAACTCGGCGACTTCTCGAGCGCGAAGCAAATCGAAGGAACCATGATGTACCAAAAAACAAAAACGGCCAAGTTTCGCTACTCCTCGAAGAAAAAGAACGGACAATCGTCGGGAAACAGGAGGTTGAGATACATTTACAACTTCGACAGAGCACCAGAGAGCAGCCAGGAAATGCAAAAGTTGACGTTTTCAGCGGATAGTTGGACGGTCGGCGTTTGCATTTCTTACATTTCGAGTGGATATCATCCTTTTGGCGGCAAAAACTTGGAAGAGCGACGTAAGTTTTTCGCGGAATCGAAACATTCGAATTTCAAGTTCTTTAGTCAAGTATTTCGAGCATTACAAAAGAAGACCAGAAAAGCTAGAAAACGGCCTAGATCCTCTTGTTTCAAACTGCATTCTTCGCGATCCTGACAAACGAATTCCCAATGCCTGCCTGATGAAAGATGACCCTGTTCTCAAGCCGATTATTCACCAACTCGATCTAGGAATCAAACCTGTCTTCCTAAAAGATCATTCGGAACAGAACTCGGACATTGAGCTTCTGCAGCAAGAACTTCTGATGATCAAGAATCAAAATAAGGCAAGATAGCTTCATCTTTTGTCGCTAAATTTGCTTGAAAAAATAGGAACTGATGAAACAAAACGAAATCCTGACAACCAGGCTGAGCCAACAAGGCGATTACGTAAATCCTGTTCCTGCTGCCAACTACGGCGGATATGCCGATGATCGAGACTATGAATGAAATAAATGAAACATGATCAACAAAATCAAAATGGCTTTGATCCCGTCGAAAAGCTGTTTTTCCCACTCAGTCTTTTTATTAACCACTTGAGGGTGCTTTGAGAAAGAGTACACAATTTGATTTGTTCGAGAAAATAAGCAGGGGAGTAATAATCGGTCACTAAGTTACTTACTAAATAATGATAAAATAATAGTAATAATGGAAATAGAAGCTAACAGTTATCGGAATTCTAAGAAAGGAAGCCAAGGGCACACTAATAGTCAAAAAGGAATAAATACGCGTTCTTCATAAATTCAGTAATGGTAAATAATAATAAATAAGACGAGTTCGATTGCTCTTAAATTAAATTGGCTATTCTCATAGCGGGTACAATTTGAGGTAAATTGCGGGACGGTGGGAGTTGAAGCGGGGCACGAGAGCGTTCTTGGAAACGGCGCCGCTCGTGGGGTTTTCGGTGCGACTCCAACTTTGAGCGCAGTAGCTGGCTCTGCGCGCGTGAATTTACATTTTTGTCGTTTTCGCTTGAGTCAGATACTGTGCCAGTTACTAGCCGTTGGAGTTGGGCACCGATTTGGCACTCGAAGAGCGAGTTCTCTTTCGAGTTTTTTTTTACTGTCTCGAGTAGCGCGCAGGCAGGCCGCTTGTACAGTAATAACAGAGAAGCCTGACTGGACGTACTCGAAAGTGGATTCTTGAGTAGGTTCTAGGGTACGCACGGGCTTGCACGATTACGTACCCGGCCTTATGCTCGCTCTTTTGCTTTCTGGCGAGAAAGAGAATAGAGTATAGTACAATTGAGTCAATAATTTAATATTTTACAGGAAAGAGCCAAAGTAGTCTGCGCCAGAGCAATAAGTAGCCAACATAGGACCTGGTTTATCTGATGGAGGAGTGTTGACTCCTCCAGCAGTGGTGGGATAGGAAGGGACCGATCTTTTCGATCAGTTTCAAAAATTGTTAACAAGTCTAATAAATCTGTCGGGTTCAGGCTTTTTTCAAGTTCAAAACAGGGCATTTTTAAGTCAAGAAAGTATTTCTCAAAATTTAAAAAAGCGATTTTGGAGGCCTTTTTCCCCTTTTTCGGCCAAGTTGAGATTTTGGCCGGTCGAGATGAGGTCAAGAGGAGGAGTAACCGCTCGGTGGTGGTACAGGGCAGGGTAAGAAGCGGGGCAGAGCAATAGTTAAAAAGAAACAGTTTTTCATTTTTCAATTCACAAAAATGGATGGAGATGGATTCAGTTCAGAGCAACTGCCGCGGGAAGAAGTTATTATTACAAGTTTCTCTAACAAAAAACGAAATAGAACGGGAATACGCAAAAGTAACGCAGGAGATGAGAGGAGGAGGAGATGTCGAGTTTAACTTTAGCAGGAGAACTTTAGTAGTTTAATTTTTGATGAGTCGTTTATGTTTTTTTTCTTGGTCTAAGTTACTGCCAGAAACAATTCGGCAAATTTCGATGATTCGAGTTTAAACTGTTCTCTCTTTTACAGCCCCTACTAACTAGTTAGGTGAAGAGTAGAAAATAACTTAGATTGGAGAACTTAGGGCGAACAGGACACAAGTTAAAACTGATTTAACACGGTTAGTTAAAGTTAAAGTTGTTTTGCTGTTGTTCGTTGTTGACGGCGAAGACGTACTGCCCGTCCACCGTTTCAGGGTCGACTGCTTCGTCCGCGTCGTCTCGGAAGTACTGGGCGATGATCTCGTAAGCCAGCTGAAAGAGAAAGGCTTGAAATCGGGCTTGATGAGCTCAATTTATTACCTTGTAGATTTCTTCGTTTTCGTGGTTCTGCAAGAGCTCGATCTTGTCAACGCCGCCGCATTCCTCGATCTGCGAAGTCACGTTCTCGAGACCCTCTGGAGCTGCCATTCTCAGAATGTTCTGGAGACCGTCCAGTACCACTTGCACAACCTAAAGAAGCGATCATTCAGACTCAGTTCTTTCGTCTTAGAATTTACCTGGTTGTCTTTGCCGTCGAGAAGAGCGCAGAAAGGAGGAATCACACCCATTTGAACAACATGAGCGACCTGAAATAATTGTTATTTTTTCATTGTTTGAAGGGTTGATTTTACCTGGTGTCGGCTTCCAGAGACGGTCAAGTTGGAGATTGCCCAGGCCGCCTCCTTCTTCGTTGCAAAGTCAGATTGTCCCAAATGGTCGATGATCGGAGCGATCAGTCCGTTGTCGATGACAGCCTAAAAGAACAATTTGAGGACGAGGTAATCACAGAGATCGAGTTCGTTACCTGGACTTGTCGCTGATTTCCAGCAGTGATGTTGGACAAGAACCAAACGGCTTCCTTGTTGATTTTGTCCTTGCGGTGGCGGAGAAGGGCGCCGAAGAAGCTCAACGCTCCGTCGTTCAAAACAACCTATCAAAAAATGAAAAATGACGAATGAATTAAAAAGAGGTTGAGTACCTGAGTTTGCTCGTCGGTACCAGTGACGATGTTGCCGACGGCTCGGAGAGCTGCCGTCTGGAGTTTCACCTCTGGATTGCCCAGCAAAAGCACCAGCTTTGAGACGACATTGGAGTCGATCACCTTAACGAGTATGAGAGAAGGGGCGAGCACATAATGCTTTAGGGTTAATCTAGGCTCGAATGCTCTATGATTCGCTAAGATTAATAATGCTGGTTTCTTATTGGCAGAAAACCTCCCACAAAACGCGAAAAAGATGATGGATTGAAATTTGTGCGAAAAGTAGGTCGATTATTACCATTTGGATCTGCTCGTTGCCGCCATCAGTAAGGTAGGAAAGAGCCCAAACCGTGTCGACAAGGATGGAGGTGTCTTCGTGCTGGATCAACTGACAAAGCGCAGGAAGAAGCTCGGAGATGGTAGCTAGAATCAAAAGTGAGCGAAAAGGGGTGAGAGTAAATATAAGAAATGGATTTTTTTGAAATTGAACTCACCGCTGGGTGGTGGGGGGTCCTTATTTCGGCAGAGGTTTACGATGACCCAGGTCACGTTTCGCAGAAAGGTAATGGGTATATCGGGGTTGATGAATTGAAGAAGGGGCTTTACGACGTTAAGGGATATAACGTAGTCTCGGAGACTGGGCCCGTCTCCGATAATGTTACCCAGCGCCCAAACTGCCTAAAAACCGGGTTTAGCTAAAATTGGCGGGTTGTCTAAACAGAATCGGAACTAGAAGAGTGGAATAACGGTACAAAAGATTAGAGAGAACAAACTAAAAACACTAACCTGCTCGCAGACGTTGTGATAGCTCGAGTTCAGTAGCTTCAAAAACGACTGCACAGCGCCGGCGTTGACAACCGCCTGGGTCTGTTGGGACGTGCCACTGGGAAAAGTGTGAATTTAACTGTGGACGTCTTTAAATTTGTACCTAGCGATATTAGTGAGCGCCCAAGCAGCTTCGAACTGAATATCTGGGGTGTCGTCCCTGTCCAGGCTCTCGACGAGAATGGGGAGGATGCCAGACTGTATCAAGTCGTCGATGGGAGGATTTCTGTCGGACGAAAGCAGCTTTCGCGCGGCTAAAAGATCGCTTTGAAAAAGACGAAAAGACGAAGGGCAAGTCACCTTGAATGGCTTTGAGCTGAATCTCCGTGTCTTGCGATTTGGCGTTTTCGACAATATCCCCCAAGTTTGGTCGCGCTCGTCCATCCTCGTTCTCGAAGTCGTCCTCGTAATCACAGTCGGGCACGTTTCTCCGCTTGTTCAGCGAGTCCTACAAAGAGTCACCGTTAGATATCAAAAACAACGAGCTCTCTTCTACCTCTTTCTTCTCCTTTCGCAAATTGACAATCGTTTCATTTCGCACTCGCCTTCTTTCGTCCGCGTCTTTTCCTAAAAAAGGGGATGAGTAATGGGGGCCCAAAAGGGGGAGGGTGAACCCCTCCCACACCTTGCTTAGGGAGGCTTTGAGTAAGAATTGGAATGACTTACCCTTGTTCTTCCAGTTTCGGAATCGATTGCTGTTATACTTTGCCTCCTCGTCGCCCATGACGTTCTCTGAAATAAGTTTTCGATGAAAAAGGCGTTGAAGTTTAAAATTAGTGAATAGATGATATTTTAAAAGCTAGATTCAGCTAGATTTCATGTTTCAAAGTTGAAAAGGGCAGTAGTCGCGGAGTATTCGAGACAGAATCCAGCGGCGGGAACGGATAGTTGACTGTACATTCAAAATTCAAGTTACAGTATTAAATCAGTTCAAAGAGTTTTTGTCATCATTTTTGACTTCAGTCAGAATAGCTCGAGTAATTTCGTCTTCTGGATTTTTTCTCCTTCTTCTCTTTTTTCTTCTTTTCCTTCTTCGATTTCTTGAAAAAAAGAGACATTATTTTTTTTATTTCTTCTTGAAAATGCGAAAAATTTAAATTTTGGATCGATTTATCTTTTTCGCGATAATGCGCGAAATTTGAAATAAGCTCCGAGCGGAAGCTTTTTTTCAACAAACTAAAAAATTAAGAAAAAAAATGAGTGTTTCAATTTTTGAATTAGAAATGGAATCCAATAAATAAGATTTTACAGTACAGGGCTTTTTAAGTAGCGCGCTAATACGAGATTAAAAGATCGAAAAATGAAATGACTCATGTTTCTGGAATGAGTCATTTCACTTCACGATAAAACAATGTTGCCACTCGCCAGCTGATCAGAGGGTAATTAAACTAGGCAGTAATAAAAAAAGAAGACTAATTGGTGAGGACTCTATTTATCCAAAATTTTGGACGAAAACGAAAATATCTTTGGAAAAATTTCTGTAAAAAATTGAAGGACGCTCAACAATTACCTTTTTCTTCGAGGTGTCATTGTCGGAGTGATCTTCTGGCTCAAGAACCCTTCTGATTTCGACCCTTCTCTTCGGCTGCGGCGACGAGAGAGCCACTTCTTTTTCTTCTTCCTCATTTTCGTCCGAGTTGTAGTTGTTCCTCCGTTCCGAGTCCTCGTCGTATGATCTTTCGCGTTTGTGTTTTTTTTCTTTGTTTTCGCGCTTTCGCTCTTTTTTCTCCCTTTTCTCTTTTTTCTTCTTTGAGCGGCGCTCATCTGAGGAGCTCCGCGAGCGCTTCCGCTTCCTTGGCGAAGATTCGGACGAAACACTCCTAATGTTTTAAATTAGAACCGGAATTCTGCTCGAATTGAAAAATCGGCTTTGAGCTCAAGTAAAAAAGAGCCGCGCAAAGTGCGGCTTAAACGTAGATTTTTGCCCGAAGCCGCAAGCGGCTTCTCGATTTTTAGCAATAAATGTTTCTAAGCATCTTGGACTGTGCTATTTATTTGACTGACTAGAAATTTAGTTATTCAGAGATCGGAATTTCGGTACTCTTTGTCAAGTTTTGGCTGGTTAATTACCTGGTTTCTCTTTTGCGAGTGCTTCTGTCCTTCTTCGGCGACGTCTTTTTCTCGGGCGAGCCAGACGAGGCCAGTGAGATTACGTCTTCTCCGGAGTCGATGAAAATAGGAGTAGGATCTTTATATATTGTTTAATTAAAATTCAAACGAAGTGGAATTGAACAAACCTGCTTTCTTGGGCGGCGCTTTGGGGAACTCGGTGTCCGACTCGACCGAATCGTATCCGTTAAATATTCCCTGAACAACTTCTTCGGTGAGTCCATCAGCCTCGTCCAGCTCGAGCACGTCTTTTTTGTGTTCTTCCCAGCGCTTGCCGATCAGACCGTCGTCCTGAAGCTTCTTCTTCAGAGCCTGTTCCTTTTTGTACGTTTTGCCGCCCTGAAATAATCGATTATCAAAACTACGTCAGTTGTAAAAAAGTCGGACTGTTTCGCCTCCCGCCGAAGCTCCCACTTAGATCTCCTACTGTTAGTGACACAACTAGCAGACCGTACCTGCTTCTGGGCTATCCTTTCTGCCTTTTCTTGCAGCCAGGCGAAAATCATGCGCAAGTTACCGGCGTCGATTTTTTCTCGGATGTCTTTGACGGCAGCGGTGAATTCATCGTACTAGAAGAAAGTTGATAACTTTTCAATTCTTTGAGTAATCAAATTGAAGACAACAAGGACCACCCTAAATTCTCAAAAAGCTGAATTTTCCAAGTACTTTTTGACGAGTTTTTCTTTATAATTTTGATCGAAAGAGTATTTCACAAAGGCTACAGTACAAACTCTATTGTTAAGACTGATTGAAGACTTACAGTTGATTTTTCGGTGAAATTTTGGTCCTGCTCTTTGAGACACTCCTGGACGAGTTTCTTCTCGGCCGGGAGTTTTTCCCTTATCTCGTGCACATAAAACTTGAAGAGGTCGAGCGGCGTCGAGCCAGGCTGCCCAAGCATATCCGTGAAGCGCTTATCAGTGACGAAGCGCGGGTACAACTCGCAAAAGTGCGCCAACGAATGGAGATGGCCCTGTTCATTTAGCTGCTTCAAGTAGCCGATGAAGCGTTCCCGGTTTTTGCGGAACATCCGTTTCTCCAAAACGCGCTTTCTGTCGCGTTCCTCGTCGTACTCGATTTCCAGTTCTTTTATAACTTGCTCGAAGCACACTAGAGCGTCCTAGATTTCAGTTAGTGTTTCGGCCTCCCCTTTTTGTAAGTTATAAAGCTGTGGCTCACCTCCTTGTCCATGTTTTGCAGCTCCTTGTCATTTGAGAACTCATCGCAGTCGTACAGGAGCTCCTGAGCCTCCTTCCACATTGTTTTATGACTTAACCCTTCCAAATCATGAAGCACTTGGGTAAGCTTACGCATGTTGTTTTTTCGCATGTTGCGCGTGTTTTCCTTTTCCTGCTTCGCCAAAGTGACAACTAGATCGTCGTAGAGATCGCGGCGGTCCCGGTCCGGCACGTTTTGCCAGATTGAGAGTGTCCTAAACTCATGAATGTAAGTACACGGTCCAAAATCAACAATTTAGGGGTTCCTCTTCCGACATTTATCGACAAGTTAGAGTATTTGTTCGATGCTTAGGCGAAAATTTAGATGAATGTATCTAGGAACAAGTGATAAGTGACTGTACCTGTACATCTCCTCTGCTTGTCTGTATCGGATCTGCGAGGTCATCTTCGGATGCGTTTCGAGGAACTTGATGAGTTTGTCTTTGTTCTCCTTTGCCTTTTGGCGTTCTTCTTCTTTCTCCTCAACGCCTCGTTGGGTTTTGTACTCATTGAAACACTGTTTCTTCTCGGAGAGCTTCGCCAGTGCTTCGTAACGCGGGTCGTTGATGATTTGCTTCATCGCCGATTCCCAGTTCGCGCTGGATGGGATCAACTTGTCGCGGAGTAACTGCTTGAATGCTTCTTTTGCTTCTTCTTTTGTCTCGTACTTGGGCTTTTCCACGATCTCCTGTTTCTTCTTGAACTCTTTTTTCTTCTCTTTGCCTTGTTTTTGCTGTGACTAGGAAACATTGAAAGTTACTCACTTTCCTCTCAAGAATTCACTTACCATGAGCATCGTCATCATCTGCATCATCATCATTGGATTCATCGCGTTTGGATTTTGGGCGCTGTTTTGGGCGTCGATCTCCGCCGCCTCTTTTTTCGCCTTTTTCAGCTCGTCCGGCTCATCCCAGCTCGACGCTTTCGTTATTGAGTTGTAGTAGTACACCTTGCCGTCTTGATTCCTTTAAAACAAAAGTGAGTTGAAAAAAAGGAAAAAAAAATTTCACCATGCTGATGAAAATCAACAATAATTATTATTTTTAGCACTAACTTGTGTGATTTCCAGGGGCATTTGGCCAGCTGCCGCTCCCCGGGAGTCATCAACTCCGGGGGCTTCTCCCAAAGACTTTGCTTCGTCCTCGTGTTGTAATAATATGTCTTGCCATTCGGAGCCACGTGGTCTACCCACTCGGACTCTTTCGCTTTCGAGCCAATATTATTCGCGGCGTTGCCATTCCAACTGTTCTGCATCTACAGAAGACCTGAGTTAAAAAGCTGCTTTTAATAAATAATATTTATTCGTGAACTTGTCGGTAAGTGGCAGTTGTGAGATAAAAAAAGATGAAAAAGGAATGTGAAAAGTAAAAGTGAGGGTAGTGATCGGTTACGCTTCCATCTTTATGTTTTCGTCTAAATCAGAATGTTAAAATTTAAGAGAATATAGATTTTCTATTACCAGAAAGGTGCTTCCTCTCAACTTTGTCGCTCTCGATGGCTTTCTCGACCGCGTTGAGATAGTTGTCAAGGGTGACCTGCTGAGCTCCAGCGCAGTACTTCATCAAGGCCAAGAAGGGTATCTTTCGAAGAGTACGACCGCTGATGCCTTGAGCATTGTCAGCAATTGCGATGAGACTTCTCTCGCATGCAGATGGACTTAAAAATACCATTTAGTTCACAGTTTGAAATTAGAACTGTTGAAAAGACGTTGTAACATTACAAAAATGGATAACTAGGGAAAACAAGCCGCACCATGCGGGTCTATTGTTAAACTTTCTCGAAGCCGCGAGCGGCTTCTCGATTATTATGAGGTTTCACCATGATTACAACTATTTAATTTGAAAGCTTCATTAACATCAAACGCGCTCTTACTTTGGTAGGTCGTATCCTTCCGATCGCAAGGAGTATTTGCCTGTAATCATGCCCTTGTGGAACAACTCATGGATCGAAGACTCTAGGATCGTGTAGATGGCTTTCGGCTCTGGTGGTCCAACGAAAATCTTCATGTCGGCGCGATCGATGAATGCCAGATCAATTTTGCCAGTGATGTTCGAAGTGCAAACAACGAGCACGTTCGGGTACTTTTTCAACGAATCAAGCTGCGTGAGAACGGCGTTGACTACTCTTACGGCGTCGGCTGGCTCGTTTGCGGACCCAGATCTGGCGGAAGTCAAGCTCTCAACTTCGTCAATGAGGATGATCGTCATAACCGACTGGTCATCTTAAAAAGTTAGTTTGGTCTTGATGGAAAAGCCGTCACCGCTGACATCGCCAACTTACCAGCGTAATCTCTTATTTTAGCAAACATCTTCTGAACGAGTTTGCCTGACTCTGAAAACCACTTCGAGAAGAGAGAATGCGAGTTGATCTCCACAAGTGCCGTGTTTTGATATCCGCCTATTTGTCGAATCGCTAATTTTTGAGCAAATGCCTGAAGAACCGTTCTTTTCTCGAGCTCCAATAAGTTTGTACCTGAGCGATTGAAGTCTTTCCAGTGCCCGGAGGGCCATGGAAGAGGATCACTTTGTTCCAGCTGATGAGCGTGTTGCTGACTCCGAGCTGCGAGAGCCGAAAGGATGTTTCCGCGTATTGGATGAGATCGCTCTTGAGCGAGGAGGAGTAGTGCAGCGACTCCCACAGTCCGTAAAAGGCCTTGTTTGGCAACATCCACGTTTGGCAGGCGGCGATTTCCCCGTCTTCAATTTAAAATAATAAGCGAGGAATTAATCCGGGCTAGTTACCTCCTTCCTCGTCGATGTGCTCTTCTTCCCCCTCGGCTTTGTCCATGTTGAACAAATAGAACTTGCCAAGAACCGCGTTTGGTAGCGCACTATACTTGAGGCTTTCTTCGCAGATGATCACCTCCGCCACGCACTCTTCCACGACGTTCATCGCCTCCATCAGCTCTTTCGTTTCTATTTCGTCCATAATCTCGCTAATCGCCTGCACGATCTTGTCCTTGTCCTGTTTGGGAATCAAGCTTTTGATTCCGTCGTCGAACAATTCGAAGATACTGCGCAGACTCTCTTCCACTTCCGCCACCTCGTATTTCGGGTTGTTTTTCAGTCGCACTTCGTAATTGATCTGTCGTTGTTCTGGAAGGTGAGCGGTCTTGGCGCCTCTGAACTGCTCGCCTTCCATATTGAGCTCGTGGATCTCTACCATTTTTATACTAAATGGAAATGAAATCAGAAAAGGCTGCTTTTAATAAATAAATTTATTCGTTTTTCGTTGCTGCTGATTATTGAAATCGGAGTTGTTGCAGTTCTTGAAAGTTACAGAAAATAGGGAATTGCAAGTTTATCAGTCTACTCGCGGAAGCAAAAGAGAGTTATCTGGCCAGAGTCACAGAAAAAAGCAGTTTATAATACAAAAATAAAACAACTAAAGTCATGATTTGTTTCTTTTTTGAAGAGCGTTATTTGTCATTTTTGAGTACAGAAGAATGTTCAGAGGAGCAAGGAGTAGGTTCATAGGTTCGTTCTGGTATAATTGTGGCTATAGAAGAGTTGTTAGTATTGGTTCTTTATTTATATTTGAGGTAGCTGTTGTTTCTAGTCGATTTTGAAGCTGAAAGAGACCTTTGGTTAAAATTAAACGAGGAGCGATCGAAGTGCACTTGGTCGTCGAAGGAATCCTCGCCGTCGTCTTCAGACTCGATCAGTCGGTGCTCGAGATCTTCGCTGGCAATCGACGAGTTCGAGCGCGCGCGCTGGTCCAAGTTGAACTTCCTCGCCGTGCCAACGATCTCTGAACAAAATGCTCACTTTTCCTGCCTTGGCTAGCTTTTGCCTCACCTTCAGAAAGCTCCGTCGTCGTGACGATGCCCACCAATCGTCCGCCATTGACAACCCAGGCTCGTTTCATGTTGAGCAACGAAAACATCGTATGAACTCGGTGCAGAGACGTCTTTTCCGTTATCATCGCCGGGGCCGCGTTCACAGTCGCCGAATCCAAAGGCCTGAAAACTTTTTCAGTGAAAAGAGAGTTTCTTTTCGTGGTTCTAAAAGGTTGAAGTCTTTAAAAATTTTCAACGGACAAAATTTCAGGTTTTACCGTTGAGCGCTTTAATCTAAAAAAATCTAGGAATCGCTATTTTTTATTTTTGCAAAAATCGTGAACGATTTCTCTTCAGTTTAAAAAATTAACCGCTAAGGCAAGAGGAATTTTAGTGATTTTCACCTCTTTTTAACGAAATTAAGAAATGTACTCTTTAGTAAAGAGCAGGGGGGATATTTTGATTTCAACTCCTCATTTCAACCCCAATTTGGCCATCCTGATTGGTCGAGAACGGGAATTTCGGGGTTTGAAATGAAGTTTGAAATCAAAATATCCACCCCTGGTAAAGAGTCTTTACCTGGGCATGCTCATTTCGACCGAGTGGCTGAGCTCTGCTCGCGTGATACTTCCCAAGAGGACTTTGTTCGAAACAGAGTCGATTAGCGGAAAGACGGAATACTTGTACCGGCCAAGTATTTCTCGGATCTGAGTTGCATCAGCAAGCGCGTGAATAGCCGCAACATCCCGTTTCATGAAGTTTTCCACGCACGTATTGTAGTTCTATAAATTGTGAGTAAGAAAAAGCAAGAAAGGTTGCTTGGTACAACCTGATAGGATCTCAAATCAGGCAGGTGCGGGAGTTTCTTCTGCACGATTATAGAGTCGTAAAAAGAGGGAGCAAAGTACTGAGCGATAGCATTCGAAACGAGAACTGCCAGTAACACGGGCAGGCAGTGGCTGATTTGCCCAGTCAGTTCGAACACGATGACGGATGTTGAAACTGAAAAAAATCTCTAGTTTGAGGCTATTTATGAGTAGATTACTTGTATGAGTGACGCCACCAGCGAAGGCTGCTGCGCCAACGACTGCGTATCCTCCAGGAATCACTAATTGTCCCTTGAAGCCCATTGGAAACCAAGCGAACATAGACTCGCCGACCAGTCGACCAAAAGCGGCACCAATCATGAACACTGGCATAAACACGCCGCAAGGATATGCAACTGTCTGCGCCACCGCCGCAGCGAGATACTGCACGACGATAAAGAGCGTCAAAGAAACGTACAAATTCGCTCCGGTCGGCTTTCCCGTCGCTCTGTCCCAACCAAACGCTTCCACTTCGCTTACTGGAATGGAGCTTTCGTTGAGTCGCTCGAGCTCGCCTTCAGCCAGGAATTGACGTTCGTCGATGAATGCCGTCGTGTCTGGATTCGACCAAGTCGCGTTGTCGAAAAGCATCATGATTGCCTGCTTATCCGTCAATTCACCGGCGATTACTCGGCCGAGCCCGCCTAATTTTGAATATAGCTCTTTTTTCAAGTCCAAAAATTACCTGGGAAGGTCATTATCGAATAAACAGCAGCCACAAGAACGGGATAAATCATCTGTCGCTGCGTGTCGGACTTGAAGATGAGCGGAATTTTTTTGTTCAAATACTTGTGGAATGCAACGAAATTGGCAGCTGCGAGGCCAGAAACAACGCCGATGACGACGAAAGCGATGATTTCTTGCGGATCGAAGGGAAAATCAACGCGGAAGTTTGTTCGGAAAAGGGCAGTAAGCGTTTCTTCGTCTTTCCAGAAGACTGCTAAAATACGAAAGACGAGGGCTGACATGACTGATCCAAAGAAGGCACGCCAGTAGTCACGAACAGCAAAGTAAGTCGAGGTGACTTCGATCGAGAATAACACGCCGCCAATGGGAGCACCAAAGCAGCAACTGACACCGATAGCACATGCTGCGCTAGAATTCAAAGTGAAGCTCATTTCAGGTATTCAATTTTGTACCTAAGAAGTTCTGTCATTCGCGCGTCTTCAGTGCGTTTTCGAAGAATGAAATTTTGAACTTTGCAAAACAAAATCGCGACGATAGAAGCGACGTGAATGAATGGCCCTTCTTTGCCGATCGGCATTCTTGAGCCCAGCGCCATGACGAGACCGAGCAACTTGGCCACGAGTACTTTCCAGGTGACGAATTCTTTGTGCAATCCAGGACTGCGTAGAATAGTCTTCATTTCGGGAATACCGCTTCCAGACGCTTTTGGAGCGATCGTCTGAAGAAAAATGTTCGAAATTCGAATTCTGAGGATCAATTGCTGATGATATACCTTGGTAACGAGCACAGCAGCAAAAACGAGAACACTGGCGAAAAGAAGCCACACAAAAAGCGAGGCAACGTAGCTGTGGCTATTGGAAGCGTACATGATGTAATGCACTTCTTGGAGGTTCTCGATCAAGAAGTCGATTCCGAAACTGAGGATCGCCATCGTCGTCCCCATCAGGAAGAGATAAAACCACTCGTTCCGCAGGGCCAGGGCGATCCATTTCGTCAGTGTTTTCAGACCCATTCAAGTTCAAAGTTGCCAGTTGAAAACACTACGTCGAATTCTCGCCCATTCTAGAGTCAATCAACTTTAAAAAAGGGAGCGAAATAGAATTTCGAACAAGTCGAGAGTCCGTTGATTCGGTTTTCTTTACGTTTTCTGGCATTGGAATAGAAGCAGTGAACAGAGCAGTGTTTTTGTTGTTGTTTGGGGATTTAGTTTGGTCAGAAGGAAGGTGCGTATAGTTTCTTCTTTATCAGAGGCTACTAGCTGGGGCTCATCTGATAGTTGTCCATGACGTTCTTGAGAGCGAGGAAGAATGAGCAATTGCCGCCTGTTTGATTCTGGAATCTCTGAAAAATAATTTGGTTATTATTTGACAAAAACTTAAAATAAACCTGAGGTGGTAGTTGCTGCAAATAGTTGTTGATTGTCTGCAAGTGGCGCGCGTAGGGGAGATACTCTTGGTTGTTTTGGTTGATGAAGTTCTGGTAGAGCTCGGGGCGGATGCTGTTGTTCTGCTCGTGCACGCACTTGATGGGAACAGTGATGGTGTTGGAACTTGAGTGGAACTGGATAAAGAACAGAGTTATCACTTGGTTGTTTTGCGTCAACTTCAGCACTAGAAAACACACTCGTAGGGCTTAGAACAGTAGTAAGGCTATTACCAGCTTGATGGCCAATGGCAAGAGGAACATTCAGCGGTGAAGGAGGCACTGTAAGGCACATGGTCATAACAGGACGCATGTCATTCGTCATGAACTGGCTGTGGCCGACCTCGCGGTTAAATATATTTATACAGTCCTGAATCAGAGTGATTAGTTGGCAATCTGTAAGGGGGTCATTCTCCGGAGACCAGTTAGGGTTAGGGTTCTGCCTCCTGATAACCTTTAAGAAAGTTACCTTTAGAAGTGAAATCGGCTCAGAAATTATGGCGATGAATGACTTGACAGCGTTTGTTCTAAAATTTAAGTAACGAGAAACTTTCACGGAAAAATAAATTACCTGAATGGCGGTCCAGCAACTTTCTTCATAAAGTACGTTGACAAAACAACTAGGTCTGATTGTTGAAGAAAGGGTTGAACTTGCTCATTCAGTGGCATGCATTGGAGGTCTAATTTTCTCATTTTGACGTTGATTGATAAGACGAAGGAAATAAACTGGGTGTTGAAACGGAATGTTGCGTCGGGCGATCGATGAATCTTCGAAAGAAATTAAAGCTGGGAGAAAGAGAAGCTTGTACCTTTATTTGAGGGTTTTGCTTGAGCGTTTCGTGCTTGACGTGAGCTCTCGTGAAATCAAACAAGTAGACGGCGGCTAGATATTCTTCTAGAGGGGATACACTGAATTGGTCGTCCACGCCCGCACCAAGCACTAGAAAGGAAAACGTTAAACTAACTAATAAGCGTAGATTGCCTCTTACCATTGCCCAATGAGACGGGCCTCGAAGCAAAGACCTGCTTCACGATTTCGATGTTGAAGAGGCCGCCATTGTTCGAAGCCCAGACGACGCCTTCGGGAAGCGTTTTCGCCTCAAAATCGTGGTCAGTAGAGAGAAACTGCTCTCCAATGATAGGCTGGACAGGACTGCCAAAGGCGGAGAACAACGCCAATAGCCCGGTGATCGGATGCCAATTAGACAGAAGCTTCGTGTTGGAGAACTTGCTGAGGGAGGCGTCTCGCACGAGCACAGTCTCGTTGTCCACCATCAAGAACTCAATACAGTACTGTCCGCGGTAGAGCAGCCTATAATGACACGGCGACTGACAGAGAACAGTAAACGCCTGCCGAGCTGCTTGAATGTTTCGGGCCCGGCCAGGCTCTGGAATTACACCAACGACGCACGCGACCGACAGTGTTCCGAGAAGCCGCACAAGTTTGTAACCGCGGACGATTTGCGAAATCGTTTCTACTAAATTTCTCGACTTTTCAAGGCTCGATAAAGATAGGGTTTCATTTCAGGCGAGTTCAAGAGCCCCGTTCCTGATTCAAATTTGCCTCAACTTGCATTTGCGCTATTGAATGAGGATTAGCGGCGAAGTTATTTCCCACTTCGCCGAAACGAGCTTTCACAAGTGGTATTTTTGTCCGTTTTGGTCTTCCTTTTCGATCCATTGCACTACGCAAAGTGAGCTAAATTGACCATGTGTATTTTGTTCGCCGTAGCCGATAACGATTCGTTTGTAGTCGTACTCGGTTAGCTGATATTGTCTGAAAGAAGATTTATAGCAAGAAATCGACGCTAGAAGTGGCGTACCCTTGAATAGAAGCCGTTTCATGAGGATCAGTAAGCTGCAGTGCCATATCATGAAGATGAACAACCAGAGCCCATTCTTGAGTGAACATCGCCAGCGGGTCCATTTTCTGCATACTCTCCGCCAAGTCCTGCGAGTGCTTCGATTCAAACGTAAAATTGATGCGGACGCAGTTGTTCTCGACCGAGTGAGCTACTGTTTGGCCATTTGCGTTACTACTCGCAAGGGCGGCGACGATGGCTGGATTCGCTTCCAAAAGCACCTCCACCATCCAAAACATAATGTTTGGCCGCACCGCTGTCACTGCTCGCGTGTCCTTGACACAAGACAGGCGGAATGTCAGCGATAAGAAAGCGTCCCTCAGCGACTGTTGAGCTACTGTTGGCAGATCGGCATCCGGAGGAAAAGGAAACTCAAGCAAGCGGATTTCATAGGTCGATGAAATCGACTTGTCAAGGATGCCAGTGTACGCGATTCCGGCCTCGCGCAGTGTGTCGGAGAGCGTGACGAAGGGGATGCGCAAATCGCACATGGCGATCACGTGGGAGAGCTCAGCGTCGGCGTCCATCCACTCGGGTTGTTGCATGTCGCGGGCGCGTTTTAGCCCGATCTGGAACTCGGAGAATTGATCCAACGGGTTTGAGTTCAGAGTTACATGGCAGTTGATGTCGTAGAGATCCTCCTTGACGTCGGCGAGGTGAATGTTGAGCATGTGATACTGGCGGCAGATGCGGCCGTGGTGTTCCGGATCGTCGTACAGCTCGACGAGGAGGAAGTACGTAACGTAGCGCGAGAATTTGAACAGTTGATAGTGGGGGAAAGCATCGAGCAGTTGTTGCGAGTCTGGCAGTAGTCGAAGGCGCTCGACGGGCGCGACCAAGTGTGCAGAAGCAGCGCGCACGCAGCGTGCTTTGGCGAGCGTGTAACGAAGCGTGTTAATCACGTCGGAGAGATTCTCGTGATTGCGTTGAAAGGTTTCAATCAACTCGTCGAGGTCTTTTTCCGCGGCGCCGGGGAGCAGTGGCATCAGCTCGCCAGTTTGCGGATCGATCGAAACATCCAGGCGTTCTGACACTTCGCCGGGGACTAGAAGCGGAACAATCAGCCTCGTTCCATCTTCAGTAACAATCGGATTAACTGGGACTTCTACTCTTCTTCTGAGCTGATATTCTAACTTTTCTAGTCTCGCGCGAGTTCGGCACTGGATCGTGTCCATCAGAAGACGCTCGATATTTATGTGGTCGACGTTTGAAGCCTGCATTACTTCTTTGATCGAGCAGGAAGAAAGTGTTGGATTGTGGATTATTTCCAGAACGTCGGAAGAGTCCCGCTCGTTCACTTGGATCGTGATCGTGTAGTCTTTGTCCTGATCCTTCCAGTAAGAAATCACCAGTTTCGATCCTTCCTCGTACTTTTCGATGACGATGTATTGTTTCCATTTGTGGTTGATGAGCTTGTTGGTCTGGGCGGCAAGGACTTCCAACTGCAGACTCGAGCAAAAGGAGTGCAAGCAGCTGTACAGGTCGCAGATAGGCTTTTCGTTCTTGTACAATCGCGACTGGCAGAGACTGTGGATGAATTGCAGATGCTCGTAGTGCACCAGATTTCTATCGTCGTTGGAGGTGCAGTCTTCGACGAATATCTGTACGCGGAGGAGGGTCCAGGGCGTCTCCGCCGAGTCGCCGCGTATCGTCAAGTCGACTTTGAACTCGTTTGGCACTTCGAAAGAAACGATTCCTTTCGCGATCTGGAAGTCGGTGATTTGGGCGGGCAGCTCGCACTGGACCAGGCGACACTTGATCACTTGATTGAGGCGCGTGATCGTCTCCGCGCGGTTCTCCTCGCTCAGTGGCTCTTGCGGAACGTAGCGGTCTTTGATCGCTCTAGGCAGGTCGGGATACGAGCCTGTCGTCAACACGTCGATGGCAGTGGGGACGGCGAAGGTGGGGAGACGCGCGTGGCGCAGGAAATCGTGCGCCAGGCTGTACAGTCGATCCGCAGTGTCAGTAAACATGCCCGACTGGTTGTCCATAAAGTCGACGATGTCCATGCACGTGGAAGTTTTATTGACTTGCTGCGCCCATTTTACCAGCGCGATCAAACGAACGAAGGACCGCCTCGTCCGAATCACGAAACTGATGATTTCCATTTTCCTTAACGAAGTAGTTAGCAAGATATTCTAAAAAGCAGAAGAAACGAACCTGTGCATGTCTTCTTTTCCCTGCAGAAGCTCGGCCAGATTAGATAGCTCTCCGTACGCCTTGTGGATTGTGCTTTCCACGAGCATGGTGAGCGGAAAACTCATGTTCCCAAGTCCACTTGGCGGGCCATTCTGGGGCTTTGGCGGCCCAGGCTCGCTGCCCTGGTGGCCCAGCGGCTCCGAGGCCAACCCGGGCATAGTTACCGACCCAGTCTTAATTGCCAAAGGTTTATAGAATGACCGAAAATTAAAAAGCTCAAGCTTTCAAGCTCTTCTTTTATTACAACGTCTTTTTGTCTGATTCATTAGACAGCAGCTACAGTAGGTAAATACGAAAAGAGTAAAAATACACGAGCAAGAGGGCTGTTGAGAATAAACGAAGCGATTTTTCATTTTTTGCATTAGAGGTGACTACCTGTAATTTGTAACTGTAACAATGGTTATGTATAACGATGATTATACATATGAATATCTACAAGAGACTCGCGAGTATGTTACAGTAGTTTCTCGAGAAATAAGACCACGAGACTGGATTTTAAGTTGAAACCAGAAGCGTTTTCTGACTTCATTTGGTAGGAATTTACTAACACTGAGAAGCTCAAAACTCATTTGTGAGGAATTTGAAAGAAAAAAAGCTAAACTAGATTTTATTCTGAATTGAGAATTTTAGGGGTTTTCTACCTCCGTTACCGTTATTTATTCTGTAGCAGTAAAAATAGAATAGTAAGATGATGATGAAAGTGAGGATTTTAACGATGATAAATGATAATTAAAAAATAAGGGTTTCCAAGCATTAACCACTCCAAAAAATATAAGGATGAAATGAAATGTCCGAAATTGCGTTCCAGCGAAAGAAATATGTGAAAAAATTGAACAGTCTGAGAACGAGAAAATTTTGGACGAACTTTGGTTTCTTTTTGGAATGGAATTATTTCTGGATCATTTTATCGTTGTGTGTTTGGGGCGTGTTTTTTGTTCCTTTTTGTCGCTTTACATGTATTGGTAAAATAGTAATAGTTAATTTAGTCAATTTTACAGGGAGAGGCGGAGAGACACACAGCAGGAGCGCACCTTTACAGTAGTTGTTGTGTTTGTTTCACGTTTTCTACAGTTGTCTACAGTCTCTCTTCACTACAGTTGCGTCGAGCTTACAGAATGGCCGCCGTGGAGTAGGAAAGTGAACCAGTGCCCGATCTTCTCCGTCAGCCACCTGAACGGCGTCCCGATCATCGTAATCAACTCCGTCACTGAGCTTTTGACGAGATCGGGGTACTGAAAATGAATCCGTGAATGAATGAAGCAATCAACTTGCTTACCAGATGCGTGAAGAGTGCTAAAGCGGCTGTTATACTGAATAAAACCGCCGTAAAAATGATGAAAAATGGCAGATCCTTCTTTGGGTAAACAGAGATCGGATGAAAATCGGGCAGCAAATCGCGATCGTGCACTTCTGTCGACTGAGGATACGGGTAGAAAAGATGGCCCTTCTCCAACGGATACTAAAATAAGAAGAAATTGGTGCTGGGGAATCGAAAAAAGGATCTTACGGGGATCATTTTGAATGTTCCTTCCCAAGTGGAGTGAAGTAAGTTTAACGCTCCGTCTATCCTTTTCCAGTGCTGTAGGTGATGGAAGGCGTACGCGACGGCTTCCGAGTCCCCTCGTTTGAGAATGTGCTCTGGTGGGAGAATGAGGCTCTTTTGCTCGAGGAGATACTTGGGCACGTGTGGATTAAACTCGACTGCTCTGTGGATGGCGTCCATTGCGTGGAACTCTTGCGATGTTGGCCCCCGTCTTCCCGCTACTTCGGCAGAGAAATTTTGAGAAACAGAACGGGCTTTTAGGAGAGCGGCTGTGTAACAAATCGTTGCACTTTTTGGAAGATTGATGTCGTCGTAACGAGCCAGTGTAGCCTTAAATTATGTAAAAATTGAAGAGAAGGTATCAATTCTAACCTGCGCGTTGGCATAGTCCCCCAGCTCAAGATAGCACTCTATTAGGTTTTCCCCGAGCGACGCATTCAACCAGTTCACATTTGGCGGCTCTTTGGTGAGTTCTTTGAACACTTTCGCCGCTTCTTTGACTCGGCCAAGTTTGCGCCAGCACATCGCCAGGCGTCGTTTGACGTAAATTAAAACTGTGTGGTCTCGTTTGAGTTCAAGCTCGCAGCATCGTCCGTTGCTCTGATTATAACTTTGCAGGGTCTTTTTGTGGCGGGCTTCGGCGGCGACCAGCGCACTCTGGAAGTAACTCTCGGCTTCTGCCACTGTCGATGCTTTTTCTTCGCCCAGGAGGATCAGTGCTGAATTTCACGAGTTGATTCGCGCCTTTCCAAAATAAAAGTGTACCTGATGGATTGTCCGGTTCAATTTGCAGCGCGCTTTGAGCAGCTTCGATTCTGGCCTTGACGTAGCGCTCCCTCCAGGCGCCGGTCATGATGCTATCGGCTTTGCGGTCCTTGTCCGAGTCGCAAGTGAAGAATGTCTGGTGGTCTTGGGCGGAGAGGTTGAGATCGTAGAATGTTAGTGCTTGTTTCTTCGTGGCCGAGTAGTAGCGCTCGTACTCGGCGCCGCGCAGCAGATTCATTGGATTTTGCCACACTTTGCACTCGAAGCCGGGCTTGAAAGAGTACTGAAATGAAGAGAGAATTCTTGCTTACCTTTTCGCAAGAGCCAAGGGGATCGCTTGGATCTGGATTTATCAGAGGCCCAAGATGATTTAAACTCATTTGCTCGATGAAGCTTTGACCGTTTCTTTTGAAGTACCACCACTCGAAGACGAGTATTAACCCTAAAGCTACGGTACAAAGGCGTGTTAGATTGATAAGTACCTGATAGAAAGGAGGAGGTTCCAGTGAGAGCGACGTAAAATTTAGGAGAAAGATTTTGAAAGAGATCGGGCAGTTGTTGGAGAAATTGAAGCATTTTCGTGTGCAGCTCGAAGAAGTAGACAACTGCGAAGAGTATGACTACCCACATCACCCTTGGGAGAAATTGTTAAAAAGAGATGGAAGAGAATCTAACGCACCAAAAATATGTGAGGAGATACGAGAAAGCTGAGCGACCAGGCCGACTCGCCATGTCTAAACAAACTGAACGACTTAATTTTAATCCTTTTTTAGTATCTGCTTTTTTACTGAAAGAAATCTACAAGCTCTCTAAGGTTCGTGTTAAAGGGAAAGGACAAGAAGGCTAAATGCTCTCTTTACTAGTTTAGGGGACTCGTTTAGGGGGGAGAGTTAAGTAGGGGGAGGGATGGTGATAAGGTCTAGTAGGTAGACTCTGCTGCTGAATAAATATCATCCTGCAAAGAATCAATAGAGAATTTTGAGTTTCCGTCCGTTTCGAATGCTTTATTTTTATCAAAGCCTAAATTTTAGAATTTCAAATTCACAAATGTACAATTATTAAGGAATCAAATTGGAAACAAATGGGATGACGTAGCTATTAACAGAATAAACGGTGAAGAATGAAATGAAGGAATATCTTGATACTTTTCAGATAATCTCGATTTTGATGGCAGATTTTGGTTATTTACAGAAATGAGGCGATAAAACGGATTTGGAAGTTTTTGTATGTAATATTTTCGAAGTTAATTTTCCACGCGTCGTTTCTTTGTGGAAGAGGCGTTTTCAAGTGAAGTGGATGCTGATGGCGCGCGTTTTCGATGAGAAAGGATTGATTCGTGGCCAGGTCCGGGGTTGTTTTCCTTCGCCGGGTTGGATGAGATCGGGGAGAAGCTTTCCATGTGCTTGTGGATCTAGAATTATTACGATAGATTGTCGAGTTGTTTCGAATACGCTTACGTGGTGGAATTGGTTGAAATATTGCTGATTCTTCTTTGACAATCGGCGGATTTGCGAATACTTGATGCGGCGGATTATCGTTCCGAATTTTACTTTGAACTCGCATTCCACGATGTCTGCTCGTCGCACTTTGACGATTCCTGGCACCCAAACCGGTCCGCCCTCTTTCATCTCTTCGACGAGAATGTCCATTCCGGGCCGCATTTTCTTCTTCTGCAGCGGCTTGGCAAGCTCCAACTGGACTTGTTTATGGAAGAAGAACCAGTTTTCCTTGTTTTCTGGCTTGGCGTACTTTTCCTCCGCCATTTTTTTCGCGGCTATCGCTTCCTTTTTCGAGTACGGCTTGATGTCATCCTCGTAAGTGTTTTTCTGCACATATCCGTCGAAAAACTTCATTTTGTAGATGATCCAGCCGAGTTTGTCACGCGAGCGGCTTTGGAGAACCCCCGGGTAGTAGACGCCATCTCTAATTAATGTATTATCAGATGAGTAACAGTCTGTTTAAACAATTCTGGCGCTTATCAGAAGAATTTTCGGCTAAATTTGAACGAAAACCTTGTAAAATTACAAGAACCCAGTAAGTGATAGTCTGTAATTGCAAGCTACAGTAAATATTTCTTACTAGCACTCCTGTTTTGCAGAGATACAGGATGAAAATTACAGTCCTTTTGCAATTTTACCGATTTTTCGCCCCAATTTAGTCTAAAAATTAATCGCCAGCTTTTCAAAAGATAACTGTATAAACGAGTTATCTCTAGTCTTACTTGTAGTATTTGGCCAAGACCTGGCCATCCTCAGGGAGGTATTTCGGATAGGTCCATGGAGCTCTCTTGGATCGGTCAATTTTCGCCATCTTTTGCTCCTGACGATATGATGAAACTAATCGGAGTCTTAAGTTTAATAAGCTGCTAGAAAATCTCTAAGTCTTCACCTTTCAACTTCGCAAAAGAAAAATCAATCTGGCGCCTCTTTGAAAATATAACGGTTTGCGATTTGAGCATCGTTTTAGCAGCCTAGCAAGATAAAAATCATGCTCTTTCTTCACCGATCATGATCAACATCGAACTCCGCCGAATTCTCAAATCCTCGAGAACGGGCTCGACTATCTTTGCTTCCAATGGAATAAAGCATAATTCTGAAAGACACGATGATGATCTGGTTTGAACAGATTTATCTCTGTATTTTTTTATTTTTAATAATGAGGGACAAGGATTCAGTTGATCGGATTTTGAGCGTGCGAAGATGCAATAATCTTACTCTTCGCAGTAATAAATAATTTTAGACTAGAAATTAGGGACAGTTGTTATTTCTTCTTCTTCTTCTTCTTTTCGACGACTTGGCTTTTTAGAGGGGTTTTCATTTGATCCTTATTCTTTACTGTTCTTCTGCTCATAGCTCTCTGCCCTGCAACAGCGAATAGGTACTGCAATTAGTCAAACTAAATTCAAATTTTAACAGAGGGCCGCTTGCAGCTTCTATTAAAAGTAAAATTGAAGCCGCACAAAGAGCGGCTATTTCGCTATTTCTCCTCGAAGCCGCAAGCAGCTTCTCAGTTATTAAAATTGTCAGTCAAGGATATTTCTGAAATTATTCATGCTTTTTGATAATGAGTCTTGGTTGCCTGCAGAAAACGGTACGAAAAAAGGGTTGAATGATGAATATGGTGATTTATTCTGTAATAAATAAAATGCCAAAACCCGCAGCTTGGAAGTAATCTAAAGCTCAGTCTCGACAATGTGGAGGTTCATGTCTTCGACGGTGGGAATGCCGAGGTCCTCGAGAGTGGGCGCCAATTCCTGCATGACCCAGTCGTAGACGTCTTCTCGGTCGCCGCACTTGAGTCGGATCAACTCCAAGGTTCGCATGGCGGCGGGGAAGTTGTTGAATCGTCGGCAAGCGTAGAGCATGGCCTGAATTTCAAACAATGAATTCGAGATCAAAGAACAATGAAAAAAGGCTTTCGTATGAAAGATAGGAGCGCATAATTTACACTGTAAATTTTACAGTGAATTTGTGTTGGAGAGTTTCATGGTGGCCAAGAGTGGGTTAAGAAATTCTAGAGGCCAGGTGGTACTTTCTTATCGAGCACCAAACTCAAATAGGGAAATATTTAGAAAATTGGACTCTTCTAACTTTCACGCTTGATGAGGAAGCACCAGGTGACCTCTAGAATTTTCTAATTCACTCTCAGCCACAACAAAGCTCTCCACTAAATGATCACTGTACGTTTCACGCCCTTTTCTTGAACAGGAATCGATAAATTATTTTCAGAAACGAGAAAATACAAATCGAGAAGCCACTTGAGGCTTTGAGTCAAACTATTTTAGCCGCACTTTGCGCGGCTTTATTTAATTTTGCTCGAAGGCGCAAGCGACTTTTCAATTCATAATCTTTCTTATTTTGTTGTTACCTGGTAGACGACGGGGTCAAAGAGCAAATCGTCGGAGAAGAGGTGCTGCGCGCCGAGTCGGTAGTTGTAGTAATCGCAGTCGGGGTGGTCGAAGTACTCAACCCAGGCGGCCATGACGTCGTCTCGTCGAAGTGGGGCAGCGGGAGCGGCCGAGTTCAAAGAAGCAGAAACAGTCAATCGACGAGTCTGGGCGGTCAAGGCCGGTCGGAGAGCGCGGAATAACGACATCGGAAATCTGAAAACAGAAAATCCTTTAGTTCCCTTCGGAAAGCACCAATCCAAAGTTTGAACATAAAACAGGAATCAAGGAAGAGAACAGACTAACATAAACAGTGAAGAAGATTTTCTCGCAATTAAAAAGTTAAACAAGTTAAAAAGAATATCATAATAGTGACCGATTAATATTAGTTTGATTTAGAAAATGTTCCATAGATAATGATCAAAAAGTAAATTTAAAATTGGTTTAATTTAATAATAATACTTTTTCGAGGAGTTTTTTTAATCTTCATCGAACTTAAGTTCAGCCAACTCTAGAATTTTTGAAATAAAAAAAGATATTTTTCGTTCAATTCTTCGTCCATTCTATCTCTCTCTTTACGAATAGTAATTCTGTTTCTTTTCGTTTTTCGCGATTTTTTTTAAATCGAGCTTAGTCACCGCCTTGAGCGCAATTGTCAATTGGCGAGGCCGAGTGAGTCATTTTTCTTCGCGCCGCCGCTTCTACTTCTTTTGGCGAATTCTAGAGCCGAGGAGGGAAAGCGGGCAGTCTTCAGAAATTCATCTTGTGCGGCATTTGACCCTTGGAAAGCGAGAACTTCTGCGAGAGATAGTCGCCCATGTAGGGAATCCGCTTGATCGAGTCTAAAACCGCTTCGTCGACTTTTCGCTGCAGCGATTTTCGCTCTTCGCTAACTTCGTCTTTTTCCTTGTCACCAACATCTTCTAGCACTGATTCCAGCGTCGCTTTCGGTTTCTGAAAATCACATTTTTATTTGAGAAAAATTACGATTCGAATTAGATTCGCGAAATAAGCTATTTTTCAATAAGGGTGTCGACTTCTTATAAAAGATTTTTACCAATATGGGTTTCTCAGTAAATTCGACAGACCTTCACATTGAAAATCTTTAAGGGTATCTCTTTGAAATTGCTTCAGAGAACATTGAACTCATGTTCCCAATCAGATACCCTTAATACCACCATCCTAAACTGCAACCAGTATCAGGGAGGAGATATGAAGGGTATCCACTCGGTTTCGATGAGAAACTCGCTCTGAGGAAATTTCGAAGGGATATCCTCAAGAAAACCCAAGGTCACACTTTATCAAAATGAGTCAGAAACGTAAATTCATAAGAATCTTTTATCATAAATCGACATCCTTATTGCAAAGTGAAAATGGATAACAGAGCCTACATTTTCGAAAAAATCCGAAACTGCCTTGAAAAAGGCAATTGATAATATTCGAAAACGAAGTTCTAGAAAATTCACCTTTTTCGTGCAAAAATAGGAGTCGTCGACAAAAGGCGGCACTTGGAAGTCCTCGGTCGATAACGGAAGAGATGTGGTAGTTGTAATTGTGGTTTTTTGATGGACGCGGCGGAGGGGGACTCCGTTCAAACTGTAAGGCCCTGTAATGAGCAACAGGCCCGATTGGCGCATTTGTTTGATGAAGACGACGCGTTTTCCTCGGTGGCGTCCGGTCAACAGAATCAGAATTTGGCCGCTCTCTGAAAATATTTTTTGAATTTGGAAGTTCACTTGAATTCAAACCGCACGCGGCTTTATGAATCATCAGTCGGAAATGAACATTCTAGCCGCCTTACGTGGGGCCTTTTTTGTGTTTTCTTGAAGCCGCGAGCGGCTCCTCGATTTTTGACGTTTCAAATTGAAAATTGGAGACATGGAAGAGTACCTAGAGAGCAGGAGTCTCTCTTCTTTTCAGAAAAAGATTTCGCCGGATCAGAGTTTTTCTTCTTTTTCTTCTTGAAAAAGGGCGTTTGTTCGTTTTGATCCCCCTTTTCGGTTCTTGACTCAGGAAGACTCCTTTTGATCGCGATTTTCTTACAGTAAGCTTCCGACATAATTATTTCTTCTTACATCTGTTGCTTTTTGCTGAAAAAAAACCTGTCAAATTCGAATCTTGCTGAATATAAATGAGAAAACAAGAGTCGAAATAGATGACAAAAATTCAACCCTTTTGATGCATTATTTCTTTACTAAAGAAGCAAATTTATGGAAAGTAAAATAGTTCTTTTCCAAAAACCGCGGACCGAACCTTGCGTGGGCGTTAAAACTGCAACTGCACTCACGGAAAACCATTCTCTACGGATTTTCCATTCGCGCGCTATGATTGGTCGCGCGCGGGTATGACTCATCGCAAAGCGGAGGCGTCTCCACAGTTGCAATTTTCTTCATTTGGCCGACTATTCTTGCGCCGATTAATTACTGGCAGCTTTAAAAAAGACTATCGGAAAAATGTGGATCCGTAAGTACTCTTTGACACTACGTCAACAATATTTTTACAAAGAAAAAGCTCCTATTTAGTTTGAAAATTAGTAATGTCGTAATCAAACTTGTTCGGTAGCAAATAGGACTCCCGAATTACTGAAAAGCTCGAGAAGCCGCTCGCGGCTTCGAGCAACGGGCTCAGCAACCTGTCTAGAAAACCTGAGTCAGGTTTCTGACGGTGGGTGAATCTATCTGTTTCATCATTTCTGGTGAAGCCGCTTTGCGGCTTTATTCTTTAAGAAAGCGGCTACGCGGCTTTATTTTTAAGAAAGCGGCTACGCGGCTTTCACCAATGATCTTCCGGAACCCTAATTTAGGTTTTCTGCACAGGTTACCGTGGCCAGTTAAAGCATTCTGGAATTCTTTTTGTTATTGAACTCCTTTAGTTCGCACAGAATGTTTAAAATAAGGCCCTCTAGGAGTCAGTTTATTCAACTGAAAGTGGCAGTTTCAAAAATGGTATTCACAAAAGCAGTGATTCTAGCTCTGATAGTGGATTTCTTAAAAACTTCTCATTCTTTATCAGGGTCGGTGTAGGTCTTTCGTGTTCCATTGTGGTTGAAATTTTTGCCCAAGTAGCTGAAAAGTTTCTTTTTCGCAGTTTCGATTTCCTTGCCCTTTTCGGACTCTGGGTTTCGTTCGTCGATCCTCTTTTCCGCCAGCTGCCGTTTCAGCTTCTCTTTTATGCTTATTTCCTCCTTTGAAAGGAACAGCGTCGGTTTTTCTTTCTAAAATGAAGATATGAAAAACAGTTTTCTCCAAAACGGCGTAAAGTAGTCTTAAAATTACCGGAATGACCCTGATCCGCATTTTCTTTTTAAAATCGGCGTCATTAATGTTCACAAGCTCCGTGTGTTCGGTCTTCAGAACCAGCGGCTCGCTGTTGTAAAGCTGGCGCAAATGAGTTGAAACATCGGCCAACAATTCCTCCGGCGTTGATGGGAGGCAGCCGAATCTCTGAAAAAGGAATGTCCGATAATAGTAATTAGTAAATTACTGATAATTAGCAATCTAGTCCATTTCAACCTTACCCGCATAACTTGATTCAACTGACTTTCAGAATTCAGCCGCGCCTGCAAATTCTCGTAATTGTATTCGAAACATGGCCGTCTTCTGGCCTAAATATTTTTTAAACACCCACTCCTTATCGTCGTCCAAGATTGTCGATTAAACTCCGGAATGAGACCCCGAGATTGTGCATTTTCCGAAAATTAACAATCTCGGGCTCAGAACTCGAAGTTTAATCTACAATTTTGGACAATTTAATTTCCCGAAATAATTTTAGAAAAGTTACCCCTCTTTACCTTTCTTTTCGCAGCACCAACAAGTTTTTCCTCCTCCTCCTCTTCACTTTCTTCACTGGAAGATTCAGTTTCTGGTTTAGGCTCTTCCTTGATTTTTTCTGAAAAATCATGTCAAAGACGAAAAGCTCTCACGGAATAACTTTATCTAAGTAACGATGAAACAGAAAAGCCGCCCTCAATGCGGCTTTAAGATTCCTTAACTCGAAGCCGCAAGCGGCTTCTCGATTTTTTTAACCTCTTGATCTGAGAACCTGTTTTTTTAATAACTCGGGCACTTTTTCGTCTAATTTGACTCGGTGCGTCCATGATCATGATTTTCTTGATTTTTGGCTTTTCATTTCGGATAGGAGAAATTCTGAAATCGAAGCAAGAAGAGTTAAATTCTCAGTCACTAACGTATTTGCGGCTTTATTTTCTAGCTTGCGAGGTCTTCCTCTGCCGCGTTTTTGTTCAGTAGAGGGAGGTAGACTCGACTTCATCTTTGATAATCCACTTGGGCCGGGCATTTCTAGGGAATTATATTAGCGGAAGGCATTCAAATATTAGGTTTTCTGATAGCGTTTTTAATCCTGAATGGTTGATGAAAATCGAAACCACTCAAAGCGCGATTTTTATCAATCATTCAGGACTTAAAAGACGATTGAATTACTGTAGCCTCAGCTCGGCAACCTGTGAAGAAAACCTGAGTCAGGGCTTCGAAAGAGCTTTCATAAAAACCGCGTAGAGTTTTTCAAAAACTCAACGCTCCTTCAGAATCCTGACTCAGGTTTCCTACACAGGTTGCCGAGCCGAGACTGCAGCTTTCACAGAATACCTGTCTCATGTAAAGCACGGGCGCGTGTTCTACGAACACTGTTTTCTCCGGGCTTAGCCTCATTTTTCTTCGTTTCGCTTTTCATCTGATCATCCTTGATTTCTCCCCTAAATTAAAAAAAAAACAACTGAAAGCTCGAAATCAACGATCGACATACGGAACTTTATCTTCGCCAATTTTTGTTCGCTTTGTCGGATCCTGATCCTTTTCATTTTCTTTCTCGAACTTGAGTCTTCTCGAACAGCGGGGAGAATCAGTCCTTCTCTTTCCTGATCTGTTGTCACTGAGTTGACTGCATTTGGCGAGGAGAACTTCTTGAGGCAGTTGCGACAGCTCTGTTTCATTGCTGGGACATTCGCCTACCGAGTCAAGTTCTTTTTCCATTCTGAAAAGGAAAGGACATTCAAATGGAGATCTAATTTTGATCCAAAATTTCGGGCGATTCACTTAATACTTTTTTCTGATCAAATGAGTCATTATCCGGACCGGCCAATCAAAAGATCTGACCACAGATGACATAATTTTCGCCTTTGATTTGAAAAAACACTGAAATTCCATCGAAAAGACAAATTCCGCGAGAAATAGCGCCACCTTTCAGCGAGGAATCTTTTGCGCCATCGCTGGATTCGATTGGTCGGCGCTGATCACTGTCGCCATTGATCATTCTGACTCAAGCCAGCGCCCACTGCTTTTTTGCCCTCGCGGGAAAGTTACTACGTTTTCCTTTTTTCTCTTCTCAAAAAGAAAAAGTCCGAAAAGAGACCGTTTTTCTCGCGAAAAAAAAGAGATTGCCAAAAAGAAAAAAGAAAGAATAAGAAGAAAGACCATCCGCCAATCCGGATGGTCGACGAAAAACCCACGAAAAAAGTAATATTCTAAGAAAAACTAATTTTTTTTATAATTATTTTAAAATTTCTCTTCTTTTTTTTACTTTCTGCTTTTCTAGGTTCAACAAACGAAGGTAAAAGAATGTCGCTTTGAATTGATTGTTAGTTTCTCGATAAATTGTAAATTGAATTGTTGATTGTGCATTTGATTGTTTTTTCACCATTTTCTGGGATTTGATAAAAATTATCACTTTCTGGTTGATTTTGATTATCATTTTTGTCGAGAAAACCGCTCTTTTGATGTCAATTTCTAACAAAAATCGTAGCTTGAATCAATTTAAAACTTCTGGTCTCGGAATCATCTGGAAATTGCGCTTTTAGCACTCTTATTTCTTCACTTTTTTCACTGCTGAGTTCAGCAACCTGTGTAGAATTCCTGACTCATGGCTTTAAAAAGACTAAAAACACAGGTTTATACACAGGTTGCCGAGCCCAGGCACTACAGCGTGAATTTTTCCGTTTTTTCGGGGCCCAATTCCGAGTCCAGTTCAATCTCTCAAAGTAACGCATGGAAAATTAATTGTTCACTATTGCCTTGATCAGTTTTTAAGATTTTGTTTAGTGGATAAACCTCTTGAATCCATGAAGATTGGAGACAAAGTGCTCGTCAAAGATGGAATCAATTCTAAAACTGGCAAGGTAGTTCAAAACTTCCCAAAAATCTTCACTTCTTACCCTTTTCTTTTTTCCCAGAGTGTCGAACACCCAGCGAAAGTGGTGAATATCGACCGAGAATTGCGCCGCTTCAAAGTCCACTACTTGGGCTGGCGAAAGAGCTACGATGTGGAGTTCGACTTCGACACGACTGAAGTCGTCTTTTCCAATGCGCCGGAGCCCGTGATGATCGAGCCGCGCTTCAAGCCCGAGGAGAAGATCATCGCGCTCTTCCGCAAAGACGGGCAGCGCTACGCCGGCGTCATCAAAAAGGCCGACGCCAATCCGGTCACTCCGATGTACGTTGTGCGCTTCTACGACGGGGTTCGTCAGTCCAAAACGCCCGAGACGGACATTTCCCCCTACAGCGAGGAGGAAGCGCAAAAGGGCATCGAATACGCAAACGAGCAGTACAACAAGCCCCACGTCAACAAACTCAAATTACTTAATCCCGAAGACTTGACCGAGGAGGATTATAATCAAAAAAGAACTACCCGACGAGGCGGCAGCTCGAACACTTCTCCAGTGAGCTCCACTTCTCGATCACGAGGCTCCAGCAGAGCATCCCGATCTCAACGCTCCGCAAAGCCCTCTCCAGCCAACTCTAGAAAGCCAAGCCTGACGGAAATGACCCCTGAGCCAGAAGTTGAAACTCCCGCTGTAAAAGACAAAACTCCAGAAAGAACAGTAAAGAAAACGCCGGCGAAAAGTAACTCCAAGTCAAGATCGAAGACTCCAGTTAAAACTCAAACTCCAGCTAGTCCAAAGAAAGCAGCAAAAAGAGAATTGGAAAGACCAGCCTCTCCTGTCTCTGAAATTCTTGATCTGACAACTGAAGACTCTGAAAATGACTCGAAAAAGAAAGAAGATGAAAATGCGCGGGGACGATCAAAGACCAGAAAGTCGACCACTACCAGCAAACCAGCTTCCATTTCGCCCAAAAAGATCGACTCGCCGAAGAAAAATAAAAATGATGCTGTCATCGTCAAGGAGGATTCACCAAAAACGCCTAAACGAACACTACGAAGCGCTATACCTGAAGCAGCTGAACCTGAGCAAGAAGAGATGACCGTCGAGAGTCCGGCCAAGTCTAGAAAAATAGAAGAAAGCGCATCTCGACGAAGCAGTCCTCGAAAAGCAGGAAAGATTGAAGAGAATCACTCGGTAAATGAACCGAAGAAACCGGAAGAGGAGAAATCAATCTTGACGAATGTGAAGAAAGAGACTCGTCGTGTTTCGAGGCGATCGGTAGGAAATGCTCCTCCCTTGATAAAGTCTGCTTCTGCCCCAGCGATAGGCCGAGCACGTAGCACTCGTCAAGCTTTGCCAGCGCCACTGTTGCCAGCGTTGCCGCTTGGAATAGGAAAATCTCTTCTTTCGCCTGCGAGCTCCATTGATAGCAGCCCCTCACCTTCGAGACGATCGAAGAGAATCCCAACTGGCGCTGAATTGCTGCAGACTTTGCTTGGTGCGGATGGCTATGGGAAGAAAGTGCGCATTTTCTCGATGGGCGGCTGGTATCAAGCGAAGATCATCGCCCCGCCCCGGAACAAGAAAGGAGAACTAACCGTAGAAGATCGCAAGAGCACTCATCTTTATGTGCATTTCTGCAACTGGCCACAGCGCTTTGACGACTGGTTCGAGTGCACACCGGAGTTCGTCCAATACGAGCCTGTAGTCGAGGAAGCCCCAGTAAAACACACCTTTAAAATCGGAGATCGCGTGCTCGCCGAATGGAAGGCGCAAAAGAACAGCGAAGGCCGTTGGTTCGCCGCTACTGTTGTCGGCCTCCCTCCTCGCCACTATGAAGTTCTGTTCGACGACCAGGTCAAGAGTACCGTCACTTTTGATCGGGTGAAAGCGATGAGTGCCAAAGAAGAAAAGATCGCGAACAAGGTAATGAATTCTATTCGATCGTCTTTTCAACCCTTTCTTAGACTTTGGCGAATTTCTTCAAAGAACTTAGCGGTGAACTGCCCGTCCCAATTGAAGAGACTTTGGAAGACCTAGATCCGGAATCGAAGCCAGTCCGACAGCGAAGGTCCATCTACGGGTAAGACTCTTTCATCCATCTGAATTAATCGTTAAATCATCCTCTAGTTCTCCTACAAAGCGACAAGCATCGCCAATTGTCTCTCCAAATGTCACTCAACGCAAACGAGCCAAAACTGATTCTGTCGTTGATGAAAATGAAGAAACTCCCGCTCCCGTCAAGCCAGCAGATGTGCAAGAAGATGAAGAAGTGCCAGCGCCCAAGAATCTTAGATCGAAGGCAACGGAGCCAAAGACAGAAGAGAAGGAAGTCAAGAATGTTCCCAAGGCTCTGGCGACCCAAACTGTGGCACAGAAGGAAGCAAAAGAAAACTCGAAGGAAGAACAAAAGGTCACGGAAATAGAGGACTCATCATCAAGTCTTTCCGTCGATTTGACCGTCGAAAAAGAGAAGCCACAGAGAGGGCGCAGCCGTCTGGCAAAAGAACTTGAGCAGATTCGAATTAAGGCTGAGAGAGAAGGAGTCGACCTAGAAAAGAACTCGAGTAGACGAAAAACATCGCGTCGAGCATCTGTTTCAGCCATGCGTTCTCCGTCCCCAGCGAGGTCGAAAAGATCAGCAAGTCCAGCCCTTTCGATTGGATCAAACGACTCCGGCACCATCAAAACCCGAACCCAAGAGAAGGTCCCAATTACACTGCCAGATTATGACGTCGGCGATCTTCTTTGGTGTCGATGGACAGACTGTAGAGTTTACGGAGGCGTCGTTATTTCCGTCAACGAGAAAAACTATTCTGTGCGTTTTGCCCTGGACGGTCTTGAATTCAAAATACCTTTTCCGCAAGTTGAAGGGTACTGGCAGCCAGAACTGAGGCCTCAAGAAGACTTCCACTTCTTTTACGAAAATCTTTACAAGGAAAAAGACGACCAAAGTAATTACAACTCTCGAAAGCTTCTTCAATTGATTTTATTTTATTTTAGGAGTGAAATCGGCGCTCATCGCTGCAAAGGCAAAGTACGAGGCACTCAACCCACCAAAAAAATCGAAAAAGAATGCGAAGGACGCGAAGAAAGAGGCAGTTGAAACGACTCCAGCGCCAAAAACGAACGCGCCAAAGTTAAAGCCAACGGCAACGAAGCCTCCAACGAAGCTAACCTCGAAATCTAGCAAAGACAAATCGCTCGGCAGTCTAGTCCAACGACTGGCGAAAAAGAAGGAAGAGGAAGAAGGTGCACTTTTGCCAATAGCTGAAGCGCCAGCTAAAGAGCAAGCAGCCCCAGTATCGGGACAGAAAAAATCGCGAAAAACATCGAAACCGAGTCGATTGTCCCAAGAACCCGTCATTCAAAAGCCATTATCGCTTTTGGAAAAGGCAGAGAGGGCGGCTGAACTTCCGAAAAAAGAGCTGGAAGAAGGCAAAGAGGTTCCAAAGGAAAAGGAAGCTGTTGCTAAAGAGAAGAAAACTCCCGTCGAAGAAAGCTTCGCTGTTGGTAATGCCAAAACTATCGCCAATACAGATGGTAAAATTTTCAACTTATCTTCATCGCTAATAAACCTTTTCAGTGGAATCGTCTATGGATATAACTGTGGATAAGGATGAAGACCAGGACACTCCAGCACAATCCCAGACATCCACTGACTCGCAAACGACTCCAGAAGAGAAGCTGCCGTCTTCCCCAGTCAAGTCACCAGTCAGGTAAATATTTTTGCGATTTTACAGTTGTCAATTCATGTTTTAAGACGATCTCGACGGGTGCGTGAGAAGAGCCAGACGGAATCTGAAACAGCCGCTAGCCCAGCTCGAGCACCATCCCCAGAGAAGCCAGTGGCTGCTCTTCCGAGATCGAAGTCTCCAGCAGCAGTATCTACGGAAGAACGATCCATCACTTCTCCAAAGAAGATTACTTCACCCGCTCGTGCTCGTGTGACGCCTAAAGCGGAGCCAGAGTCGCCAACAAAAACAGTTCTCCCACCGGACACAAAAGAAATCATCAGAGAAATTCCAGCTTCTCCGGAGAAACCACTTTCTCCAGCTGCAAGAGGCCGATCGTCTTCTCCAGCAAAAGCACGATCTCCTGCCCGAAATCAAAAGCAACACACTTCGCCAGCTCGTGCAAAATCCCCGGCACAAGCGACTCCTGCGGATTTGAAATCGCCTGGACGGCCGGCGAAATTGCAGAAGCAAAAGTCTCCTGCTCGCGCTGCGGCCCCAAAGCTAGCAGAAAGCGCCTCAGCTCCAGTTCAACCTCAAGAAGAAGCAGCGAAAAAAGGAGAAGATATAATTGCCACTCGAACTCGTCGTCGAACCAACACTGTTACTTCTTTATCACCCTCTCGGTCACCTGCCGTCAGAGGACGAAAGGTAAAAATTGCTAAAAATATTGATTTTAACTAATTTCGTTTTAGCGAAAGAACTCCGAGGCAAAAGCCGAAACGCGTGTTTCAAAGCTGCGAAAAACATCGATTTCCGCTCAACCATCTCCATCCAGTTCTCCGATCCAAGAAGCTCCTACTTTCGATGCGTCGGAAATGGTGAAAGATCTGCTCTTCGATCTACTTGGCCAGGTGATCAAGAAGAGCAACGCGAAGACATATCGACTGAAAGCGAAGGAGAAACGGGAGGCTTTGGCGAAGGCTCTTAAAAATAAGAAGGATCAAGAATGTAAGTGCTGCTCTTTCTTAAAGATAATTGAGCTTTTATTTAGTGACCTTGGCATCAGGACCAACCCGCCATCACTGTCCGGTGAACGACTGCGAAAAGAGTTTCAGAAAAGAGACTGGTTTGGCTAGCCATCTGAGGCATTATCACAAGGATTATCTTCGGGAGAACTACGCTGAGGAGTTTGGAAGCACCGATGACGAGTCAGCGATGGAAGTCGCTTCGGCAGAGTCGGCTGATGAAGGCGAGGAAAGCTGGGCACCCGCTCCTGCCGTGGAGAATGAACAGACGGAACAGACTGGAGCGATTCTTGCACCAGCAATTCCAGAGCCTCCTCAGGAAGTAAAAGACCCTGAATATCGCACTCTGCCGACTACTGGGTCGCTGCATGATATAGTGATCCCTGAATTCCCCGATGACATCTTCAACGAGATCGACATGACGGATTCGGCGCTAATGAATGATTCAGTGCCAAAAACAATGTACAGGTGCACCTGCGGGTGGGAAGGCGACCATGAGTTTTATCAAAGCGATTACTACAAAGGTCACAAGTGAGTATCGCTTGATTCAATTTACACTTACTCTTATTCAACATTTATCAACCTTTCATTTATCTGTTTATAAGTAAGCGAATCTACCGGCGCCACTGTTGCAAGCGGCCTCGTGCTGCTAGAAACCTCAAATCCACACATCAGCTAAAGGCTTGGGTCGATAAGCGCCCATTTCTTGCCTTTTTATTCTAAGTATAATATTCATACTTCATCCCCTAATTACGCATGTTTGCTGCAAGTGGTGTAGTCGCACGAAGAGACTATCGTCCATTCAGACGATACAGTCAGATTTTAGTTTTATACCGAGTGTTTTAGCGGGACAATTTCCGCTAAAACAAATCGGATACAATTAAATTCAGTGTTGTAAAGGTGAAAGTAAGAATCTAAGCTCTCCTGCTTTGCTTTCATATTTTTACGTTGCTGGTGTTTATGACTGAAAAGTGGGATTTGATTTCGAATCCACTAATCAGCTGATTTTGATTCATGGAGTTCCAGAATCGAAAATAATATAAATTATATTATATAATGCTTAACTTGATGACAAACGATCTGCTCCCTGATCAGCAGATTGATCGAAAACTCAAGTTTACACTTGTTGGCTAATTGTTGATTTCATCCGCTCACTCTTTGTTTCCCATTTTCGTGGCGATTATTGACCCCAATCGAACAGGAGAAAAATCGCATGATCGATCACGGCGACTACTTTGACGGTCTTAAGTCTTCGTACTGGACGAATGAGTCCGTCGTCGAAATCTGTAAAATGTTGAACCAGGGGATAAACGCCGAGTTCAACGGACGAAAAAAGCGCGACGGTATGGTCGACGAGATTAAAAATGATCTTGCCACGCAGGAGCTACCTCCCGGCATTTCTATGGAAGATTATAAACAATTCGTCGATAAACTTTATAAACACGAGAGGGAGCTCGCCTCCCCTCACCCATCTAGCGCTGATGAGACTTCTAGCCTCGCTGAAGCTACTCCATCTTCTAAGGGAGATCCTAAAGGAAAGATTTGAAACATTCGCATGTTTTTTATATCTTTCTTTTTCAGAAATACAGTTTTTTAAAGAAAAAAGAGAATGATGTGAAAGTTTTTTCTTTTACGAAATGATTGAACCATTTTTTTCTCGAAAGAATCGTATTTTTTCACACAAAACTTCACTCCCAGTTATCACACAATTTATGAGTTTGTTTCGATCTTGAAATTAGAAAAACGTGACTCGTCGAAAAACGCCGTCACTGACTCTCTTTCTAGCCCCAACTGCCTCTTAGCTTTCGACAACCCGTACCAAGATATTGACGACAGGACCGTCAATTGGCTCAGCTCGAATCCAAATGACACGAGCTCTGATTTCATTCAATACAGCGCTGAGCCGAGGGATCCGGAAAATGAGCCATGTCCTGTTGTGTACGAAGATCCGACAAGGATCTACCTCAACTCGGCGCCGAGTAATCCGCCAGAACAACCCCCACCCGTCAAGGACGCTGCCCAAGAACTTCAGGAGCTCTTTGACAAGGCGGGCGTCACAGTTGTTCCTAACGATCAACCCTCCGAAATCGACCGTCCAGGCCCGTCCGGCATCAAAGAAATGAACATGTTGCCAGCTTCCGAAGTGCCGCCGACAAATAGACCACTGCCTGTCTACGTAATCAATCAGAACGCCGGCACTATAAAAGAGAAAAAAGTGCAAGAAAAGGAAAACGCACAGCTTGATCCTTCGATGATCGCTGGTCCCTCAGGTCTCAATCAAATGGGCACTTTACCTTCCGCAGAAAAACAGGATAAACCCTTCAGTTTGGACGATATCGTTATGGTAAGTTTCCTGTTTGTATTTTTATTCATAAAGATTATTTTCTATAGGAGGTTCTGCAGCCAGTTACACCTTCTAGCGTCACAAGTTCCATGTATAACTACGACGACGGCAACAGTACCTCGGATCCAGCTTGGAAAACCGAGAAGATCTTAAAGAAGGAAAAGAAAGAAAAAAAGAAGAAGAGCGAAAGGAGGGAACGTCGAAAACTCCAGAAACTGGAGAACGTCGACTTGTCCAAGTACGACCAGCAATCCGCCGCAATTTTAGAGAATTTCAAAGAAAAGTGAGTTCTGCTTTCGTTCTAATTGTAAAATTAACACTTTATTCAGGAAAGTTTCGCTCGACAGAACTATCGAGCAGGTGAAAAAAGACGACGAGCGGAGCAAGGGTTTGAACGAGACGGTGGAATTGATCAAGTTCCATCACACCCAGCGACCGAAGCCGAAAGTAGAAGAGCCGAAGAAGGTCAAGGAGCGAAAGCCGAAAGAAAAGAAAAAGAAGAAACAGCCAAAGCCAGAGGAAACATTTAGCAGCCTATTTGGGGTAAGTCGAACAGTGAAAATTATAAGAAATTGAATATAAAAAATAGATTGAATGCTAGAATTGACCCTTTTATTTTCAGGAAACTCTAATGGCTCCGTCCAAAAAGAGAAAGGAGGAACGGCCTCGAAAGCCCTCGAAGGAAGAAAAACTCCTGAAACGCTTCCAAGAGGGCCAATTTGCACGCAAGCCTTCCAAGTGATAGCGAATTGATGTTCAGACAGTTTCAAGTTCCACCCAAAAATCTTTCAAATTATTATATTATTAATTAAGTTCAGTTCCTGACCCTCACTCCTCCCCTCCCCACTTTATAACCAAATTTAGAAGTTTAGGATTAAAATATTAGTATACAAAAATTCGCATCTATGCTGCCCATTTACCGACTGAAAACATTTGACAAAAACTGACATTGAAAACATCAATAAAGTTATCAAAATAAACTGCTATCAAAAAGTATCAAATCTTGTTTTTTGAGTACTGAATTGTATTTGAATGAAATTAAGTTTCTGTGTTTTGAAAGTTGTAGACATCATGAGTCTGAAACAATGAAAACCTGTGTCTAGAAAAATTGAAAAGGACGCCATTTGATCGTCGGTAGAGGTTAGCGGCCGCGAGATGAGAAAAGTTAGTGAAGTGCGGCTGGACGAGGACAATTTAGTTTACACTGTTTGCGACGATTTAGGCATCAAGGTAGCAATTGAACATGAAAAAACAAATACTAACATGGCTAAATAGTAAACGGAGACTTCAGATCTACAACCTCGATCCTCTGGCTGAAATCGGCCGGCTAGACACGGGCAGCACCGTTTCGGCATGCAACATCTCGCGCAGCAACATTCTCTCCTTCGTTTCGGGAGGCGAGCGACCCAAGTTTTCGCAAAACACGCTGGTCATTCACGACGCCGAGAAGGACTCGCTTGTCATGGACTTTACTTTCGGCGAGCCAGTTCTCAAGACGCTTCTGACGAAAGATACAGGTATTTCATTCCTCAATTCATCTTTCGATCTTTGATTTTGTAATAAAAAATTCAGCAATCGCGTTGTTAAAAACGATGTGTTACGCTTACTCTGTTCCTGATGGTCGTCTCCTAGTAGAAGCGCCCACAAGAAACAACAGATTCAAGCCAATTCACTTCAGAGGAAATCGACTCGCTATAGGAGGGCACAAACAAGGTTCAGTTCATGTAAGCCCTCTTTCTTTTTTCCCAATTATGAATGATTCAGGTCTACGATATTGGTTCGTTGAGAGAACGGAAGAGCAGCTCCCCACCCGTGCAAATTTACGCTCATCAGGGCGAAATAGCGATCGTCCGTTTAAACACGTCCGGAACGAAGCTGGCTACTGCTTCTGATAAAGGAACGCTTATTCGAGTTTGGGACACGAACACGAAGCAACGACTCATTGAATTTCGCCGTGGTGCTGACCCTGCTCAGATTTACTCGATCGGTGAGACACCACTGATTTTGATGATCTTTTTAACCGTTAAATTTTTAAGCGTTTTCGAAGGACTCTGCTTTTTTGGCTGCAACTGGAGATAAAGGAACGCTGCATCTATTCGCACTAAAAGACAAAGTTTTGAACAAGTAAGAAAACTCACTTTTGAGGAGCAGTCTTTAATTTTAATTAAAGAACTTCCGCTTTTGCTCGGGCTGGCCGCGTGGCAATGATTCCAACTCAGTACACGGACTCGCTTTGGGCGCTGGCGACGGGCCCGATTCCCGAAGAAACGGAGAGCCACGTCTGCTTCATGAACCAGAATCGCATCGCTGTTGTTGCCGTCGACGGGACAGTTCACCTCTTCCAGTTCTCGACCGACGGCGCTCTCAATCGAGTAGAAGTTCGCAACGCCAACGAGTTGGACATTCACGACGACAATTGGTGAAAACACCTTTTTTGTTTCTTCCTGCCAGTCTTTTTCTTCAATTCGAATAAATTCTTATTCATATTCTGAAAACCCTTCACTTTGTTTTTTTAATTTATTCCATTTTCAGAAGCAATGTCGGCCGTGTTCCCGAGACATGCCGACACGCTTCTCCGCCTGGCGCGTTCATTGTCTTCGAAAGACGATTCCGCGAAATTGGCGAGAATCTCCCTTTCTAAGTTCTACTGGAGAGGCGTAGAAGCTCACTCGGCCGAGTATGACGAGAAGAAACTCTACGGACTGGTCGGCATTGGCGCTTTCGTTGTCATGTGTGGCGACGACAGGGCAGAATATTTGGAGCAATTCCTCGGCATTATTCAAGACATTCCCTTTGTGAGCAACGAGCCGATCTTTGGAGCGCCCGAAAGTCCAGTGGAAATGGAGAAAATAACATTTTCCCTGGGTGCGATTTTGAGCGACATCTACGAATTATTCCCTGCTCATCAGACGCAGATTCTGACGACAACTGCGCAGCTCCTGTCTCGCTATCACCAAATACTAGTCGAAAAAGAGGACGAAGAAAACATTGCGTTGGTCACACTTCCAGGTCTGTTCGGGTTTCTGAGAAGTCTCTTCCGCGTCAAAAATGCTCTGGCTAGGCTCATTCCTTTGCAGAAATTCGGTCAATCAAAGTTACAACAAGTCGACAAGTTGGTCGACTTGGAGCACTTTTAGCCACCCAGAAGAGCAACTGCCGCATGATAGCGACTTCAAAGTGAAGGAAGAAAAGTCGCTCACAGTAGTGGCAATGAGTCTCTTTGACTACTTCGCCTCGGATAGTAACGACGTCAACGATTTGGGAGTGATTCAGCTCTCCCACTTTTTCACGAAACTAACAGCTTCGCCGTCGGACGAAGAAGAGTTTTCGAAAATGTCGAAAACGGCGCTGGACGGTTTCATCAGCAGCGTGAACGCAGTGCGCCAACGAGGTGAAGAGAACAACGAGGAAAGCACGATTTTGAAAATGAGCCGTCTGCAGCGGCAACTGCACTGTATTGGCGCCTCCTGTTACTTGTCTGTTCGCACTGTGAGAAATGAGCGCGGCGCGGCCAGCATTTTGAAAAAGATCGTCGCCCGTCTTCTTGGAAACGATCCCACGGCACTGTGTCTCATCGCGGTGGGACTCTTCCACGACCTTCTTTCCAGTGTCTCCGAGCTTGTCAATTATCACAACTCGATTAAAGACCAAGCGACAAAGGCGATTCGCGACTTTCTCCTCACACCAGCGCCCGTTCTGATCAAGCTCCAAAAAGCAAGCAAAAAAGGCGAATATCAACAACTTCGCGAGCATGGAATCAAGACTTTTCAGGAAATCTGCGCTGCTGGGGAAAATAACGAAAGCGCGCAGGTTGGACTTCTTTGCTCAAAAATCCTTTCCATCAGCAGCAGCAATCCAAATGGTCCTCTGGCAATGGATCATCTTTTCGCGTTGTTGACCACTTTCGTTACGGAGAAAAGTGATAGCCAGCTGAAGGTGTTTACTACTGTTCATAACACTCTAATAAAAGGCGGTCTAAACTTGGAGAAAGAATGCCTAGTTCATCTGACCACTCTTTCGATAAAAATCGCGGAGAAATCGCCACCAGAAGATCGAAAAGGAGAAAACATGGCTGCGGAAATCATCGAAATCATCATCCAATCTTTCGTCAACACCAAATCAACCGTTGAAAGAACCCTTTCCTACAACTGCCTGAAAAAGCTCGCTGAAGCAGCAGCTGGTCAGCACAAACTCTGGCTCCTTAGTCGTTACTTGAAGCTCTTCTTTTCAATTTCAAGTGAAGACAAGAACGATGAGCGCGTTTCTTCCATCATGTCTTGCATTGCGCTGATTGTCTCTAGTGGAGCGCCCGATTGGAACGATCCGCAGTTCTTCTCACTGAGGAATTCGATGCGCGACTTTTGGTTTTACTGCGCTGTTTTCGGCTTTTCCGACATGTCGATCGGCTGGCCGGATGAGCAAAGGGCCGATATCATGGCCATTGCAAAACGATCCCCGACGCTGTCTTTTCTTACAAATGAACCGGTGAAGCAGACCCTAGAGAACAATCCTGCCTTGAAAAAGGGCAGCTCGGGTTCGACGATCAAAGAAGTTCAAGACCTCAAACTTGCGTTAAACCACTCGATCGGATCTAGAGACATTCAGCTGGACGGCGAAATCAAGGCGCTCGACTATTTCAATGTGCTCTATCACATCGCTGTTCTTCATATCGAGCGATTGCGACTTGCGTCTTACCTGGTAACGGAACCGACTGCGTACGAGTACCGAGAATTGTTCACTTACATCGAGAACCAAATGGTCCAGCGATCAAAACAGGCGAAAGACAAGATCCTCAAGGAAATCCTCATTACCATCTTCAGAGAATACCTTTCCTCGATTCGCGAGTTCGCGCGAACAATCAACATCGACATCTGCCTCGTCGAAAAGGTCCAACTCTTACTGGTCAAGTTCAACTCGACGAATTCGACTTCTCGCTACGTCGCCGATTCTAACTTGCTAGCGACTTTCAACTACTTCGAGCACCTAGTTTGGCAGCCGGCAGTGATTGAGACGGAACTCGACATCGTCCAGCAGCTGAGTTTTTCGCTTGAAGACGCGGAGGAATCTTTCGCAGAGGCGCACGAGTTGTCCATTCCTTCGATTAAAATGTCGCTCAAACTTCCCGACAGTTTGGATAAGCGAAAAAGCATGGTTCTCGCTATGCATCGCTATCTCCTTGAAAAGCCTGGGATTCTTATAAGAGCTTTGAAAGCAGCGCCAAAGGCGACGAAATCGCACTTGGCCGAGTATCTCAGATCCAAAGACGAAAAGGATGAAGAAGTGCACGCTAACACGCATCATCTTCTTTCAAGCGCGAAAATAACGGCCAAGGACTTGAACTTCAGTAAACGCGCGAAATATTTCGGCGAAGCTGTGCTCCTCGTTGACATCGTTGATGATCCAGTTAAAGAGATCATCTCTAAATACGACAAAGTTGTTTCTTCCGGCGGAGAGAAGAGTCTCCACAAACTGGAAGAACACATGTACCAAATGGCGGCGCTGATTCTTCAAAAAGAAAAGATCTCCGAAGAAGCAAAAAGACGCCTACTCCGAAAGATATCATGGGCGATCATCGACGCGTTTCACATTCAAGTGGTGGAAGCAGCGATCTACTGCTGGCAGTGGATTAGCTCGGCCCGTCCCGAAATGGACGAGGTGATCATGCTCGAAATCGCTTCAGTTTGGCAATGCACGAAAGAACGACAACTGGGCATGTTCGAACCTTATCGATCTGAAGGAAACGTCCTCGCTTTTCTCGAATCAGACCCTCCATCACCCAACCCTCCAAACGTCGCACCTCACCTCGCCTGGGTCCGTTTTCTCCAAGAAATGCTCGCTTCCTTCAAACTCACAAAAACTGGTCCTTGCCGAACCATTCTTGCTCTTTTGAATAACACGTTGAGTTCGAGCATTGCCGGCTCCACCGACCACATCATTTCCCGTCACGTGAATTCCGCCGCAGTTCGAATGGAACTCATTTCTCTTGGTTTCTCGATTTTGCACTCTCAAGTCCTCATCAGGGAAGTTGAAAGATCGGTTTTGCGCGCCAAGCTCTACAACACAATTTTCGATTATTTCACAACTCCGAGCTCTCTCCCGGTCATGCCAAAAGGGCAACTGAAAGAAGACATCGACGCTCTTATTCGTTTTGTCATCGTGATGAACAAGGAAGGAAAGAGGATCGTCGACCCGTTGGCAGGAGTAGCTGGAATCGTCTTCAGTGGCAGCACTAGCAGTACAAAAGACTCGATCTCGATCAGTGGAACGGACTCGCTCTCTCGCCGCGCTGATTTGACTTCTTCTGCCGCCTCGACTCTCGCTGCTAAAAGCCAGATCCTTCCAAATGGAGTCAGACACTTGGTCGACAATTACAAACGAAAACGACAGTTTGCCATGCAACTGCTGATTTCGGAAATTGAGCGTTTCAAGATCTGGCTCCAGCCGCAGCCCCAACAACACGACGATCAGGACCGTTTTATGCAGTTCTCAGAGATGTACAGTCTTGACAAACTAGTCGACAAGCAATGGAAGCAGCTGGCGAAAGACGGATGGTCCATCAGTCCTTACCTCGCTTGTCAATTGCCGTCGCGACTCAAGCAAGAGCCTGCGTTGATTCAAGAGCTCATTAATCTTGTCCAGCGAAATCCACAAATTGCACACGACATTCCCGAAGCAGTAAGTCTTTTCATTATCCCTGAATTCGTCCGACTCGACGCCAAGGAGTTGTCTTATCTCCTTTATTGGAAGTCTACCGATCCAGCTACCGCGCTTGGTCTTTTCTCGCAACGATTCAACCCTCATTCGTACACCGCCCAATACGCCGTTCGTTGCTTGAGAAGCTTCCAGGAGGAGCAGATCCTTTTCTACATTCCACAACTGGTTCAAGCGCTCCGATACGACTCCATCGGCTACATAGCGGAATATCTTCTTGCTGCTTCGCGGCGATCCCCACTTCTCGCTCATCAATTGCTCTGGAATATGAAGGTAAGAGAGATAAATCCTAATCCCAGCTAATATTTACCAAGACGAATAAATTCCGCGACGAAGACGGAAAAGAAGAAGACCCCGACATCGGCCACAAAATCGACAAACTCGAAGGGGCGATTCTCCGAAGCTTCACAGAAGGCCACCGTGCGTTCTACCAACGGCAGTTCCAGTTTTCCTATGAATTGACGGAGATTTCTCACAAAATCAAACCGAAGAATAAAGACAATGGCGATCGGAAAGTTGCTTGTCTTGAAGAGATTGGAAAATTACTCATCCCGAAGATGGTTTATTTGCCTTCCAATCCCGGTAATTCATAAACAAAGGAAAAAACTTGTATGATCTGATTTTAGGCTGTCTCGTTCTCGGCATCAATCGAAAACTTGGAATTCCCCTTCAAAGCGCTGCAAAAGCTCCTTATCTCACTGAATTCAAGGTGGCCAAAGTAGGAGTGGAAAGGCTCGAGAAGATCTGTACCGGGCAGGAGAAGTTCGACGAGTTCAAGCATCAAACCTTCATGCAAAAGGCCATTTTCAAAGCTGGAGACGATTGTCGACAAGGTATTTTTCATATTATCAAAATCTTTCTAATCTTTGGATTTCCAGACATGTTAGCGTTGCAAATTATCCAGCTATTCCAAAACGCGTTCAATCAAGTCGGCCTGGACGTTTATCTCTTCCCTTACAAAGTAGTGGCTACTTCTCCCGGTTACGGCATCATCGAGTGCATTCCCGACGCCGCCTCGCGCCAGGAACTGCTTAAACAGTCGGAAATGAACCTACTCGAGCTCTACAAATTCAAATATGGCGACAAAAGCGACTCCCTCTTCCAAGAAAAGCGCCGAAATTACATCAAGTCGATGGCTGCCTACAGTTTGGTGCTCTACATTCTCCAGATCAAGGATCGCCACAATGGAAACATCATGATCGACAAGGAAGGACATTTGCTCCACATCGACTTTGGCTTCATGTTTGAATCGAGTCCCGGCGGGAACATGGGCTTTGAGCCGGACATGAAGCTCACGCAGGATTTGATCAGTCTCATGGGCTCCAGCATGGACACAGAAGGTAATTAATTTTATACTGTAATGACGAGTCGACAATTCTGGCATTTTGGGGTGTATAAGCATTCTTTGCCATCCAGAAACTCGTATTTTTTTCATCAACCTGTCAAAGACCACGAAAATGTCCGAATTATCGAGTCTTGATTGTCGCTACAAAATTGATCTTTTCTAATTTCTGAACTAGAATTCAAATGGTTCGTGGACATGACGACAAAGGCGTACTTGGCGGTGCGCCCTTTCCAAGAAAACATCGTCAGTCTAGTCACTCTCATGCTGGGAACCGGCCTCCCTTGCTTCCTTGGTCAAACAATCAAGCAACTACGCTCGCGCTTCTACCCGACCATGACCGACAAGGCTGCTGGTAATAATCCAACCACTCCGTCATTTTCTATTTTCATTTTCAGCTTTGAAACTCAAGGAAGTGATCGCCAAGTCGTTCCTCTCGACGCGATCGAAAACCTACGACATGATTCAACTGCAGCAACAAGGCATTATGTACGCCACTTAGATGATTATTAGATGCATTCATTCTTCAAATTAAGTTCCTTCTTTATCTGTGCAATTAGTAAACACAAGAATTAATAAACAAGTAATAAACAGTCATTTCCAGTATGATCAAAAATTTTCTGTTTTGGAAGATTTTGACACACTTCTCGATCTGCTCGATTTTCCGCTTATCAGAATCACTTCTCACAGCTTCGGAAAAAAATCATGTTCAAGTGTGACAACCCGCGATTATTTGAATCAACAGCTACACTCGACAAATTGAGCACTAATGTTGATTAGCAGGATTAGCTGTTCTAAGTAGAACGCGGAAAATTTTGGATAGAACTTTTAGCAACTGACAACAACAACTTCGAACTTCAAGTTTCCAACAGTTACGGAAACTAAGAATCTTCATTCAAATTAAGCTTATCATGCAGTTTGTCGAGCATTTTTTAATCTTTCCGATTTATATGAGAATTTGAGGCATTTTACGAAAACAACAGTAATGAGATTTGAATGTAGTCGATTACAGGGTTATCAAGTTGAGCGGGCAGAGGCAGTGTGACGGGGATTGGGCGTGATAAGAGTATCTCCTTTTGAAGCGGGCGGCTTCTTCCTCGGCGGATTCTGCGAGAGGGCGGTACAGCGCGGCGCCGAGCACAATTTGTAAGGGACTGCGCCACTTTGCGCGCGCTTCTCAACAGATTTCTTCGCTCCGCTGCACCTAGAGGTGACTACTCCTCCACCACGATTTCCAAAAACAACGCAAACTTTTTTGAAAGAACTTTTTATATTTTGAACTCGCGTCAGTCTCAAGAGCGATCAGAGAGCTTCGAAGAGCAGAGATAGAAGCAATAATGCGCAAATCGATTAATCAAATGATTGACAAGAAGACGCTTGCCCAGGTCATCATCAACCACATCGTCGAAAGAGCAACGACTGTAAGTAATCGTAAGAAGCATTTGTTGGGCTCGACAAAAACATCTGTTTCTTTTCGAACGCGTCCAAGCAAATAGTACTACAAAAACGGCACCGTCAATTAGAGCCATTGTTCCTTCCCGCCCATTTGTTGGAAATAATTGACCATAACAGGGTCCCTAATTCATTATTGGCCTAATTAATCAACTCGATTTCCTCTGTTCAGGCTAAATCTGAAATCGGCGCTTGAACAGATTGCGTCCTTTTCGCGAAATTAGAGCTGCGTCGATTTGGGATCGATTTTAAAATTTAGATTTTGGACTTCAAAAATTCATTTTGGCCCAGCTCCAGCGTTTTGTCGATGCTACCTGACAGGTGGAGCGGTTCTTCCTGCTGTCTACATTGGCACATTTTCTACTAGGAGCAGAAAAGTGCCTTTTTCGAAGATTTATGATTGCAATTTTTATAAAAAAAAGGACCGATTTGATGGCTTTTTCTATCCTAAAAGGAATAAACTTTGCATATCGCTTTTTCTCAAGCTCTGGCTCTAAGAAGGGGTCCTTTCAAAATTTCATTCTTTCAAAGAGCGCGGCCGCTTCTTTCAATCGTTTGCGCGATGACCTGGCAAGGGACCAAGGAGCATGGACTCTGAGACTCCCCATAAAACAAGCCCTTGACCCGATTGTTGACTCCCATAATCGGTGGCCGAAAAGGGGCCCCACTTGACTTGAATGGAGAATTTGTTTTTTGGTGTCAGCGACTTCTGAGCACTTAATCTCACTCGAAGCATTTAGGATGTTCAACTCCACGAAACTATTCTTTGCCTGCGAATGATCATCAAGCCGATCGAAGCACTTCAATCGCTCAAGAAATATCTAGAAAATGCGACCAAGAAGAGCTCAACTAGCAACCTTGGTTACTGTAAGACAAATGAAATGATAGTAGTTCATTCAAGATTTATCATCGGGAATTCCTCTTTAAGATTTTCTAAAAAGAAATGATCATTGATTAAACTTTTCTTAGCCGAAACAACTCTCAGAAGAACTGGAAGCAGAAGATGCTCGAGAAGCAATTCCATCGCTCAGAGCTTTTCTGCAGGGACGATCAAACGCTCACGACTGAACAGAAAATCCCACCGAGAATCGGTTCGATACACAGTGATCCAGGCAGAATCAGAATCCGAGGAGGAGAACATCATGGAAAATAACCACGTCCGCGTCGTTGAAGCCTTCGACGAAATAGTCTCGGAACTCGAAAGTGTCTCGCTCGTCGCCAAGTGCCGTTCCCTCATTCGCCCGTCTTCGATAAAGAGTCAAAGGCCTCAATCTGCGTATGTTCCGAAAGGATTCGGCTCGACCTCGTCTTCGGGCGTGTCGAGTCCGGACATGGCCGACCGCGATTCAGGTAAAAAAGAGCTGAAAAGAAGTTGGAATAAAATTGATTTCAAAGGTTACCAAAGCTCGATTTTCGACGATGGAGAAGATTCATCAGCTCAATGCACAGAAAAAATATTCAAAATCGTCGATTTCTGGTCCAAATCATTTCCGGGCGATCTCCAGATTCCCGAAACTCTCCACATCCTCATGGGCATTCTCGAACATCTCCGCTCGCAAGAAATTGTAAAGCAGCCGTCTTCTATTTCATTCTCAATTTTTTTTTTTCAGATTTCTCTTCAACAATCCTCAGACATCGTCCTTCGCGTGCACCGACATTCTGCACTGCTTTGTAATCGGCTTGTAGCGCCGCGATTTCAGCCTGAAGTCGCCAAGAAAAATCTCAGGCTGAAACCGTTCGTGAAAAACTACTCCGTTGATGTCCTGGCAGAGTATTTAACTTGCAAAGAATTGGTAAAAGATCTCTTTAGAATTCAAGTGTTTAATTCCAATTAGCAATTTCTTCGACAAACTTGCCAAGAAGATTTTTTAACGTTTGGAAAACGGCGGAAGAACTCGCTTGATTTGTGGGCAGAGTGGTTCAACGAACTCTCCCAACAAGCTGCTGCTCAAGTTTGCCTCGTAAGTACAGTTGTTTTACGGAAAAGAAATTGATTTTGATGAGTCCTCATTTGAATCTACTAGTCATCGAAGACGTCCCAAGCGGTGGAAGTTGTCGAACATCTTGTCGAAGTAGCGATTCGGTGTTGCGATGTTGGAAATTGGAATTCAGCCATGGCGCTGAGCCTGGGATTAAGTTCCACGCCGGTCAGTCGACTCGTAAAAGTGAAATCAAAGGAAATGGCAGCCTAAGCTCAAGGATTTTTAAAAACTACGTTCTTGCTGGTTATGCCATGAAAAAGGTGCGCAGCCAGCGTTTGCGCGTGCTCAAGCACATCACGGATCCGAGCTTTAATTTCAAAAACTATCGCATCATCTCAAAACATCAATCGAAGTCGCTCCCGTGCGAAATCCCCTTCGTCTCTTTGTTGGTGAAAGACGCCTGCTTTCAGGCGGAGGAAATCCGCAAACTTGGTCAGGAAGCGCCACTTCCCACTGAAAAGCTCTTCCACGCCTTTTCACAGACTGCACTGCCACTGTCCAAATTGTACGAAAGACAACAAAACCCGCCATCTCAAAAGGTACTCTTCCTTGTCTCCAACTCTCCGTCTAATTACACTTTCAGCTAAACGCAACGCTTGACGCAGAATTCCGGCTGTGTGACTTTTCAAAGTCCGACGATTTCCTGTTTATGGGCAGTTTTAAGCTTGAATCCCCCGCCAATGCCTTTGAGAAGAGTCTTTACAAGCAGACGAAGCAAAAGATCAAAAACGCTTTTTAACACTAATTAACTACTGTAATTATCTTCCGACCAATCCTGACGACACTAGAAATATAACTGACAAGTTCAAGCTCGATTTTAACTTTCAATAAATTTGTAAAAGAAATTGGTCTTTGTTGATATCAGCAATAGATGAATTGGGACTTTATGAGTTGGGAGATGTAGCAATTTGATTTACTAAATCGGACATGGCTGAGTGATTCGCCTAAATCATTATTATGCTATCCGTTTTGTACCGTGCCCTCGTTTTATGATTTTGAGATGAGTTCCAATTCAGAGAAACTGATCAGCTGCTTTTTCTGCTCAGGTTCCAAAGCACTGGAATTTCTTAATTTCATTTTTTAAATTTCAAAATTCGAACCTGAAAACAGCAAGACAAAGTTCAAATACAAAGGTCTGTTTTCGAATTAATAAAAATTTTTTTTATTTATTTTTCAGTATTTTTTTAATTTTTTTAAAGCATGGTCGATCACCATCTTGTTGTGGAGTTTCTTCATCTCCGCCAATCGTTCTTCTTGTCGTTGGATATCCATCGACGATCGCTCGATCTCTATGGAGCCAATCGAACGTCGATGAAGAGACCCAAGAGACGACTCCGACAAAGATGGAGGATCTTCCAAGCTTTCTCGATCCGACATTCTTAATATCATTACTTTTTTTATCTTATTCTTTTAAATTTGGAGAGATGCGGGGAATCGAACCCGGGACTTCCGCTTTTAAAGACGGAAGTACTACCATTTAGGCCATTACCTCTCCGACAACAGTCGGTTATAACAACCGGTTTTTGCTGAGTAAGTTTTTTTTTAGAAAATATTAAGGTTTCAAGTATTATTCTTGTTGTTTTATTAATAGTAGACTTTGTCGAATCATTTATTATTAGATCGTTTTAACGACTGTTTGTTACAGTCTCTTGAAATAAGAAATAAGTTTGATGAAACATTTGTGGATTCTTGTCAAGGCTCTGAAATCATAAATTCTGATTCAAATAATTGAAGAAATTGATTTGATTAAAAGACTTTGAGGAAAACGAGTGGAGAAGGCCTTGGCGAAGATGGAAACCGACATGAAGCAGACGCCAGTGAAAGTGTCCGTAATACAGGAAGCGCTCTTACTGTAGCTTTTACTGCAAAAAAGAAAACCTAAGTCAGGTTAGAAAACATCAAAAAGATAATTTTGGCGAAGCCGCGCCGCGGCTTCGTTTTTAAACGCGGCTTTTCATTTTAGCTCGAGAGCGCTAAAAGGCGAAGAGGAGTTTTCGAAAATGTCGAAAACGGCGCTGGACGGTTTCATCAGCAGTGTGAACGCAGTGCGCCAACGAGGCGAAGAGAACAACGAGGAAAGCACGATTTTGAAAATGAGCCGTCTGCAGCGGCAACTGAACTGTATTGGCGCCTCCTGTTACTTGTCTGTTCGCACTGTGAGAAGTGAGCGCGGCGCGGCCAGCATTTTGAAAAAGATCGTCGCCCGTCTTCTTGGAAACGATCCCACGGCACTGTGTCTCATCGCGGTGGGACTTTTCCACGACCTTCTTTCCACTGTCTCCGAGCTCGTCAATTATCACAACTCGATTAAAGACCAAGCGACGAAGGCGATTCGCGACTTTCTCCTCACACCAGCGCCCGTCCTTATCAAGCTCCAAAAAGCAAGCAAAAAAGGCGAATATCAACAACTTCGCGAGCATGGAATCAAGACTTTTCAGGAAATCTGCGCTGCTGGGGAAAATAACGAAAGCGCGCAGGTTGGACTTCTTTGCTCAAAAATCCTTTCCATCAGCAGCAGCAATCCAAATGGTCCTCTGGCAATGGATCATCTTTTCGCGTTGTTGACCACTTTCGTTACGGAGAAAAGTGATAGCCAGCTGAAGGTGTTTACTACTGTTCATAACACTCTAATAAAAGGCGGTCTAAACTTGGAGAAAGAATGCCTAGTTCATCTGACCACTCTTTCGATAAAAATCGCGGAGAAATCGCCACCAGAAGATCGAAAAGGAGAAAACATGGCTGCGGAAATCATCGAAATCATCATCCAATCTTTCGTCAACACCAAATCAACCGTTGAAAGAACCCTTTCCTACAACTGCCTGAAAAAGCTCGCTGAAGCAGCAGCTGGTCAGCACAAACTCTGGCTCCTTAGTCGTTACTTGAAGCTCTTCTTTTCAATTTCAAGTGAAGACAAGAACGATGAGCGCGTTTCTTCCATCATGTCTTGCATTGCGCTGATTGTCTCTAGTGGAGCGCCCGATTGGAACGATCCGCAGTTCTTCTCACTGAGGAATTCGATGCGCGACTTTTGGTTTTACTGCGCTGTTTTCGGCTTTTCCGACATGTCGATCGGCTGGCCGGATGAGCAAAGGGCCGATATCATGGCCATTGCAAAACGATCCCCGACGCTGTCTTTTCTTACAAATGAACCGGTGAAGCAGACCCTAGAGAACAATCCTGCCTTGAAAAAGGGCAGCTCGGGTTCGACGATCAAAGAAGTTCAAGACCTCAAACTTGCGTTAAACCACTCGATCGGATCTAGAGACATTCAGCTGGACGGCGAAATCAAGGCGCTCGACTATTTCAATGTGCTCTATCACATCGCTGTTCTTCATATCGAGCGATTGCGACTTGCGTCTTACCTGGTAACGGAACCGACTGCGTACGAGTACCGAGAATTGTTCACTTACATCGAGAACCAAATGGTCCAGCGATCAAAACAGGCGAAAGACAAGATCCTCAAGGAAATCCTCATTACCATCTTCAGAGAATACCTTTCCTCGATTCGCGAGTTCGCGCGAACAATCAACATCGACATCTGCCTCGTCGAAAAGGTCCAACTCTTACTGGTCAAGTTCAACTCGACGAATTCGACTTCTCGCTACGTCGCCGATTCTAACTTGCTAGCGACTTTCAACTACTTCGAGCACCTAGTTTGGCAGCCGGCAGTGATTGAGACGGAACTCGACATCGTCCAGCAGCTGAGTTTTTCGCTTGAAGACGCGGAGGAATCTTTCGCAGAGGCGCACGAGTTGTCCATTCCTTCGATTAAAATGTCGCTCAAACTTCCCGACAGTTTGGATAAGCGAAAAAGCATGGTTCTCGCCATGCATCGCTATCTCCTTGAAAAGCCTGGAATTCTTATCAGAGCTTTGAAAGCTGCGCCAAAGGCGACGAAATCGCACTTGGACGAATAATAATCTCATGCCCATTTATCTGAATGAAATCTCCGACGATGCCGAGCCCAACATGGACACATTTCACGAATGGGGACATTACAGCCAGCTTTGTTGGAAAAAGTCGACGCGGGTTGGTTTCGCTATCGCAGAGTACGAAGGATTCAAGCGAAAAGAAATTCGTTTTCAGTTTGTAGTCGTTGCAAGATATCAAGGTAAAATGCATCAGGGAAAAAATGAATCTAACACAATTCAGCTTGTGGAAATATAAAAGCCCAGTACAAAGCTCAAGTCGGGAGCTACAGTAAGAGCACTTCCTGTATTACGGACACTTTCAATGGCGTCTGCTTCATGTCGGTTTCCATCTTCGCCAAGGCCTTCTCCACTCGTTTTCCTCAAAGTCTTTTAATCAAATCAATTTCTTCAATTATTTGAATCAGAATTTATGATTTCAGAGCCTTGACAAGAATCCACAAATGTTTCATCAAACTTATTTCTTATTTCAAGAGACTGTAACAAACAGTCGTTAAAACGATCTAATAATAAATGATTCGACAAAGTCTACTATTAATAAAACAACAAGAATAATACTTGAAACCTTAATATTTTCTAAAAAAAAACTTACTCAGCAAAAACCGGTTGTTATAACCGATTGTTGTCGGAGAGGTATGGCCTAGATCGTAGTGCTCCCGTCTAAAAAGCGGAAGTCCCGGGTTCGATTCCCCGCGTCTCTCCAAATTTAAAAGAATAAGATAAAAAAAGTAATGATATTAAGAATGTCGGATCGAGAAAGCTTGGAAGATCCTCCATCTTTGTCGGAGTCGTCTGTTGAGATCGAGCAATTGTCGATGGAGATCCAAAAATCGGAACAACGACTCGCCGAGATGAAAGAACTCCACACGAAGATGGTGATCGAACATGCTTTAAAAAAATTAAAAAAAATCTGAAAAATAAATAAAAAAAATTTTTTTTTAATTTTTTTTAAAATTCATTATTGGCCTAATTAATCAACTCGATTTCTTCTGTTCAGGCTAAATCTGAAATCGGCGCTTGAACAGATTGCGTCCTTTTCGCGAAATTAGAGCTGCGTCGATTTGGGATCGATTTTAAAATTTAGATTTTGGACTTCAAAAATTCATTTTGGCCCAGCTCCAGCGTTTTGTCGATGCTACCTGACAGGTGGAGCGGTTCTTCCTGCTGTGTACATTGGCACATTTTCTACTAGGAGCAGAAAAGTGCCTTTTTCGAAGATTTATGATTGCAATTTTTATAAAAAAAGGACCGATTTGATGGCTTTTTCTATCCTAAACGGAATAAACTTTGCATATCGCTTTTTCTCAAGCTCTGGCTCTAAGAAGGAGTCCTTTCAAAATTTCATTCTTTCAAAGCGGGCGGCCGCTTCTTTCAATCGCTTGCGCGATGACCTGGCAAGGGACCAAGGAGCATGGACTCTGAGACTCCCCATAAAACAAGCCCTTGACCCGATTGTTGACTCCCATAATCGGGGGCCGAAAAGGGGCCCCACTTGACTTGAATGGAGAATTTGTTTTTTGGTGTCAGCGACTTCTGAGCACTTAATCTCACTCGAAGCATTTAGGATGTTCAACTCCACGAAACTATTCTTTGCCTGCGAATGATCATCAAGCCGATCGAAGCACTTCAATCGCTCAAGAAATATCTAGAAAATGCGACCAAGAAGAGCTCTACTAGCAAGCTTGGTTACTGTAAGAAAATGAAACGATAGTTTTCCATTTCTCTGGCTTTTTCAAAGATGTTCTAAAAAGAAATAATCATTGATTAAACTTTGCTTAGCCGAAACAACTCTCAGAAGAACTGGAAGCAGAAGATGCTCGAGAAGCAATTCCATCGCTCAGAGCTTTTCCGCAGGGACAATCAAACGCTCACGACTGAACAGAAAGTCTCACCGAGAATCGGTTCGATACACAGTGATCCAGGCAGAATCAGAATCCGAGGAGGAGAACATCATGGAAAATAACCACGTCCGCGTCGTTGAAGCCTTCGACGAAATAGTCTCGGAACTCGAAAGTGTCTCGCTCGTCGCCAAGTGCCGTTCCCTCATTCGCCCGTCTTCGATAAAGAGTCAAAGGCCTCAATCTGCGTATGTTCCGAAAGGATTCGGCTCGACCTCGTCTTCGGGCGTGTCGAGTCCGGACATGGCCGACCGCGATTCAGGTAAAAAAGAGCTGAAAAGAAGTTGGAATAAAATTGATTTCAAAGGTTACCAAAGCTCGATTTTCGACGATGGAGAAGATTCATCAGCTCAATGCACAGAAAAAATATTCAAAATCGTCGATTTCTGGTCCAAATCATTTCCGGGCGATCTCCAGATTCCCGAAACTCTCCACATCCTCATGGGCATTCTCGAACATCTCCGCTCGCAAGAAATTGTAAAGCAGCCGTCTTCTATTTCATTCTCAATTTTTTTTTCAGATTTCTCTTCAACAATCCTCAGACATCGTCCTTCGCGTGCACCGACATTCTGCACTGCTTTGTAATCGGCTTGTAGCGCCGCGATTTCAGCCTGAAGTCGCCAAGAAAAATCTCAGGCTGAAACCGTTCGTGAAAAACTACTCCGTTGATGTCCTGGCAGAGTATTTAACTTGCAAAGAATTGGTAAGAGTTTTCGTCAAAATCATATATTAATTTCCAATTAGCAATTTCTTCGACAAACTTGTCAAGAAGATTTTTTAACGTTTGGAAAACGGCGGAAGAACTCGCTTGACTTGTGGGCGGAGTGGTTCAACGAACTCTCCCAACAAGCTGCTGCTCAAGTTTGCCTCGTAAGTACAGTTGTTTTTCGGAAAAGAAATTGATTTCGGTGAATTTGCTCATTTGAATCTACTAGTCATCGAAGACGTCCCAAGCGGTGGAAGTTGTCGAACATCTTGTCGAAGTAGCGATTCGGTGTTGCGATGTTGGAAACTGGAATTCAGCCATGGCGCTGAGCCTGGGATTAAGTTCCACGCCGGTCAGTCGACTCGTAAAAGTGAAATCAAAGGAAATGGCAGCCTTAGCCCAAGGATCTTTAAAAACTACTTTCTAGCTGGTTATGCCATGAAAAAGGTGCGCAGCCAGCGTTTGCGCGTGCTCAAACACATCACGGATCCGAGCTTCAATTTCAAAAACTATCGCATCATCTCAAAACATCAATCGAAGTCGCTCCCGTGCGAAATCCCCTTCGTCTCTTTGTTGGTGAAAGACGCCTGCTTTCAGGCGGAGGAAATCCGCAAACTTGGTCAGGAAGCGCCACTTCCCACTGAAAAGCTCTTCCACGCCTTTTCACAGACTGCACTGCCACTGTCCAAATTGTACGAAAGACAACAAAACCCGCCATCTCAAAAGGTACTCTTCCTTGTCTCCAACTCTCCGTCTAATTACACTTTCAGCTAAACGCAACGCTTGACGCAGAATTCCGGCTGTGTGACTTTTCAAAGTCCGACGATTTCCTGTTTATGGGCAGTTTCAAGCTGGAATCGCCCGCCAATGCCTTCGAGAAGAGTCTTTACAAGCAGACGAAGCAAAAGATCAAAAACGCTTTTTAACACTAATTAACAATTGTTATTATCTTCCAACCAATCCTGACGACACTAGAATTAAAACTGACAAGTTCAAGCTCGAATTTAACTTTCAATAAATTTGTTAATGAAATTGGTCTTTGTTGATATCAGCAATAGATGAATTGGGAATTTATGAGTTGGGAGATGTAGCAATTTGATTTACTAAATCGGACATGGCTGAGTGATTCGCCTAAATCATTATTATGCTATCCGTTTTGTACCGTGCCCTCGTTTTATGATTTTGAGATGAGTTCCAATTCAGAGAAACTGATCAGCTGCTTTTTCTGCTCAGGTTCCAAAGCACTGGAATTTCTTAATTTCATTTTTTAAATTTCAAAATTCGAACCTGAAAACAGCAAGACAAAGTTCAAATACAAAGGTCTGTTTTCGAATTCCTACTCTGTCAATCTTCGTTAGACTGCTTCTACGATCATCTGGCCCAAGTTCACAAGAAAACGCTCAAGGCAGAGTTTGACACGGCCCCGGGCGAGTTCTACAGGCTTTTTCGGCGCGCAAACTCGAGTTAGACAATGTTAAGGTTTCATGTATTATTCTAGTTGTTTTATTAATGAGAAAAAAAAAGTGTTAATTAAAAAAAATTTTTTTATTTATTTTCAGTTTTTTTTTTAATTTTTTTAATTTCATGGTCGATCACCATCTTCGTGTGGAGTTTCTTCATCTCGGCCAATCGTTGTTCTTCTTGTTGTATCTTCATCGACGATCGCTCGATCTCTATGGAGTCAAGCGAACGTCGATAAAGAGACCCAACAGACGACTCCGACAAAGATGGAGGATCTTCCAAGCTTTCTCGATCCGACATTCTTAATATCATTACTTTTTTTATCTTATTCTTTTAAATTTGGAGAGACGCGGGGAATCGAACCCGGGACTTCCGCTTTTAAAGACGGAAGTACTACCATTTAGGCCATTACCTCTCCGACAACAATCGGTTATAACAACCGGTTTTTGCTGAGTAAGTTTTTTTTTAGAAAATATTAAGGTTTCATGTATTATTCTTGTTGTTTTATTAATAGTAGACTTTGTCGAGGCACACTCCACTTTGTGTCGGGGTCAAAACTTCGCACCTGGAAAAAACGGGCAGGATCTCCAGCCGAGCAAATAGGATGCAAGGGCTCGCCGATATGTGCGAACTCCTGCAGAGACTGCTCTCAGCGCAAAGTCGGAGCTGCACTCGGCACGAGATGTGTTAGCCATTAAGTAAATATGATCACAGGGCACATTGAGCCCAAGATCAGGATCAAGCTCAGGCGCGGATAAGCCTCAAAAGTGAAGATATGAAAGACTCAAAAATAAAAGTTGGTCTAATCCTGCCCAGTGGGGTAATCGACGGCGTAGATTCCGATTTTGGTGTCAAAATTGACTTATAAAGACCCCAAATACGGTTTTAAACTAAATGAGCCTCGTACGTACCAAAATTACTTTTATGAAAAATGTGGTTATCATTAATCAATCATAATCAAGTAAAGATCTTGTTATTAAACGAATCAACCCTTATTTTCGCCTATTCTCAGGAAATTCATGGATTTACGAAAATATAATAGTTTCTACATTCATTCGGTATAAAAGCAACAAAAAAATCGAAAAAAATCAGAAAATAAGAAAAGGGCAGGATTTTGTTATTATTGCAAAGATGACTGCCCCGATTTCTGCTGGTTCATTCAGTACAGGCAGTAATATTTCTAAAAAAATTGTGCTCTTGGCTTATTTAACAATTTTGACGCCAATCGGAATCTACAAGATGCGACAAATTTATATTTTTGGGCATTTTTAGGCTTATCCGCGGCTGAGCTTGATCCAGATCTTGGACTCAATATGCTTTGTGATCATATTTACTCAATGGCTAACAATTCTCGTGCCAAGTGCAGCTCTGACTTTGCGCTGAGAGCAGTCTCTGCAGGACTTCGCACATATCGGCGAGCCCTTGCATCCTATTTGCTCCGCTGGAGATCCTGCCCGTTCTTTCCAGCTGCGAAGTTTTGACCCCGACACAAAGTGGACTACCCCTTTGTCGAATCATTTATTATTAGATCGTTTTAACGACTGTTAGTTACAGTCTCTTGAAATAAGAAATAAGTTTGATGAAACATTTGTGGATTCTTGTCAAGGCTCTGAAATCATAGATTCTGATTCAATTAATTGAAGAAATTGATTTGATTAAAAGACTTTGAGGAAAACGAGTGGAGAAGGCCTTGGCGAAGATGGAAACCGACATGAAGCAGACGCCGGTGAAAGTGTCTGTAATTCAGGAAGCGCTCTTACTGTAGCTTTTACTGCAAAAAAGAAAACCTAAGTCAGGTTAGAAAACATCAAAAAGATAATTTTGACATAGCCGCGCCGCGGCTTCGTTTTTAAAAATGCCGCCACGCGGCTTTTCATTTTAGCTTGAGAGCGCTAAAAAGGCGAATCCCTTCTATCTGGCGCTAGAAAAAGCGCGCGAGCTACAGGATTCGAACCTGTGCGGGCAGAGCCCATCTGATTTCGAGTCAGACTCCTTAACCACTCGGACAAACTCGCGGTGAAGGAGATGCTAGAAAACGCCAGTTTCAATCGCTTCAAAAGGAAAAAACGACGAAATTTTTTAAAATGAACTCGGCTTCAAATTAACTTGACTCTAGAATTTTTTTCAAGTTTACGAAAAAGATCTGCTAGAATTTCACTGTAAGTCAATCTTCAATAGATCCAAATTTTAAAATCCTGCTCTGAGAAATTTTCCAGCGCACGCGCCTGGGGCTCTTTTTTCGAAATGAAATTGCGACGTTTTTCGAGTCAAAATTCAAGCGGGCAATGGTTCGCTTATACTCGCGAGTCACAACCAAGCGTAGGCGCTGCCAAGTAGTCTCGTAGGCAAATTATGGTTCTCTTCCTTGATTCCAAAAAAAGGATTTTTTTGTAACGATATCGACTTTACGAAAAATTTTAGCTCTTCTTGAAAGTTCCATAAAACGCCCGAAAATCTGTTAAAAAATTGTTTTCAATCATTCAATCCTACAGCCCCTTACTTGTAGCATCAGTAATACGTTCTACTTTTCAATAAAACTCGTCACATTTTTGAAAATTAAAAATATTAATGCTCATGCTTTTTTATTTAAATAGTGTTCATTGTTCAAGCAAAGTGCGGCAAGTTGTTCAGGCATGTTATAAATAACTGTTTGTCCGTAATTTTATCTTCCTTGTCTCTTTTTTTCGCTACTTCTTTGGCATCATCGGACTCAGCGCGTGTTCCAGCTCAGCAACTAGCGTCTTTAAAAATTAGGTTGTGGATAATGCTTTTTGAAAATGATTACCTCGTATCGATACTGCAGTCGAATATCCGGCACATTTGTTTTTCTCGGATCGTTGCCGTTGATCCCTTCCGAGTTGAAATTCTCTCCAAGCCAGTAGGCTTTTGTTTTTTGATCGAAGCCGGAGTGGTAGCAAGAGTTGCGGGCGATCTCGCACATGTCTACTCCCGCCAGTTTCCAGACTAGATAGAGATTGCTTGGCAAAGAACAAGAAAACGGTTCATACCTTGTGCTGCGATGGAATATTCTTCCATCAAGGGCTCTTTTGTAAAGTGAAATTGCAGCGGATCATCTGTCGAAAGCGAAATATTCAGCCCTCTTCTCAAGTAGCTCTCTGAAGTTTTACTTTAAAATCGAAGCTTCGAAGCCGTTTTTACCAAGTGGTGACTTTTGGTAGTCCAAGAAGAGATGGTTGTTTGACAAGGGCGACATGCAAATTCCAACTTGAGCTTGGAAAATAATTGAGGAAGGGATCGAACTCGGTTGCTTACCAAGATAGTAGAGGTACTCCATGACAGGGACCTTTTTCAAATTGAGACCGTGAGCAATGTTTTCAGCGAGAAGGAATGCCGTGCTAGTAAGTAATGAGTTGCAGTAGCTGCAATTTGAGCCGATGTAAACTTACCAAAGATGATGGAATGCTCCTGCTTCTCCACAATGCGGGCGCAAGTTGAAAGTGTTCATCCCCCTACTTTTTCGGACCTAAGAAGTCGGTTAAAAAGGCCTGTAGTAGAAACTACTGTACCTGGTTGATGACAGAAATGTTGGCGAACATGTACCACTGGTAATAAGAATATGGCGGATTTTCTCGCTGCGTCCAGTTCTCGGGATTCGGCTGAACTAGTTTTTGAATTTAACACTATTGATGGGAGAGATTACAGTATCATTGGAGAAGAAATGCGACTCGGGCTTTGACTCATCGTCGACAGAGTCGAATCCGGAAACATGTTCCAAGAACTTGGCCAGCTCGGGGTGATTCTGTGGGTTGATTGAAGCTTCCAAAACGGGGGTGAAAACGTTGTTCAAATATTCGCCGAAGTTGGCGATTTTGCCGGATTTGGAAATGATGTCGTAAATTCGAGGAACCTGGATTAGCCAGCGAACATGCGGGGAATAGACCTAATGAATGATCAGCTCTGTTTCTAGCGCTTATTTTACGTTATGATTGACAGCCCATTTTGCCAAGTCGGAGAACTCGTTGTAAGAAACGCCATAAACCGACAATCGTAGTTCGGCGAAAACGTACTTTTGCGCCTCCAAATCGCGCATCATTTCTTTGATAATTTCGGCAAAGTATTCTCCCTGGATGAAATTGTTCGTCTTGATGTAGATTTCTCGGAGGAGACCGACGCCCATTGGGTTGTATTTTGCGTTGAAGTTGTCGAAGCGGTGGTAGATGTTGCGATCGGCATGGCAATCGAGAGAGTCGACGGTCAAATCGTACGCGTTTACGTTCAATTGAGAAAACACTTAAAATATTTTTTCAATCAACTAATCAATTTTCCTCGTACAATTATCGTTTGCGCCAACTATTTTCCGAGAAAATGAAATTACCTTGAGACAAAGTGAGCTCATCTCCAGAGGCCTTGTCGATGCAGACTTTTCTGTTGGCGTCTTCTTCTAGCGTTTTCTTGATAAACTTGAGCAGATGCTTTTGATTCATGCAAGCAGACGCGTGAATATGAGTGTCGACCTTGCGACAGTTGTAAAAATCGCGATGGGGGCATTCCTTTTGAGCAGTTTTTCGGAAGCGCCATTCATCAATTCGTGCAGTTTGAATTTGCCTTCCAAGTACTACAATTTCAAGCGTTGTTTTCTTGTTATATGTCGAAACTTACAGTAAGCCGTTCGTAGCAAAATGTCTTGCACGGGCCGTTCGCCATCATCGCCATAACAAGAGCTTGATCTTCGACGAATTCGTGAACATCTGGATAAATGAAATCGTCGCTAGCCGCACCCACCTCCATGTCTTCTTCGGAAGAGTAAATCTCCAGCGTTCCATTGCGCATTTTGAAGCTCCAGTTGAGATTGGGCTTGATCCCTTGCTTCCAATCGCCAATGTAGGGCTGCTCGTAACTCCCGTCGACTGAGAAATTCTAGTAAAATTTAAATAATCGCTGTTTGCAATTACAAATTTACAAGGATTGAACTTTGTGTGCTGAACTTACTCGCTCGGCGATGATTCGTTCATAGTGCTGCTCTGGTTTTCCTCCTTCGACTCGTCGGAGCCATCTGATCGAAGAGTTGCAAATGAGCTGTAGTTCTTGCTAAGCTCGAGCTGAATATTTGAAACTCTGCCTGGAGGTTGTTGGATGATAAGATTGACCAGCCATAGCCGCATATTTTTCCCGAAGCCGCAGAGCATCCAAAATCAATCCAGAAGCAGTTTTGTAGTCCTTGCTGTTTTCGTCCCTCTAAAAAATCCTTTTAGCAACCGAGAAAGTCAAAAGCCGCGTACTTGTCCAGTAATTTGAATTCGATGGAAATCATGGATGATGTTCTTGTTGATGTCGACGCCCACAGATTTGAGCACGGTTTTTCTGTGTCGTTTCTTTTCTTCCTGTGCGTGTTGAAGTGGCATGTCAAACACCTCGCCTCCATCTTCGTACTCGTCCTCGCTGTCTTCGTTGCTCGAGATCGAGGATTTCTCAGCCCCGACAGTTGACTAAGCAAAGATATAAAGGCCAATTTTATAAATCCAGTTCTTACCGTTTCCATCATTTTCTGTGCGATTTTCATGTAGTCGGAAGTGCAGTGTGTTGGTGCCCGATTGTTTGCTGCCCATTTCACTCTCTCGTTGATTTCTGGCCCGATTTCTGGCTGTTGAGAGTCTCTCTTGAAATTCACATATGTCTGTCTCTTTTGCGGTTTCTGCTTCTTAGCGCTTTTCAAGTTCGATTTTGAACCGAAAAAACTCTGCTCGGGCTCATCTTCGACTTTTTTTGCTTTGCCCTTGCAAAGTTGAAACCACTTCATGCTCAACACCAAAGTTTAAGGCTATGCTTGTTTACTGAAAGGAGTTCTAGAGACGACTCTTTCCTTGGACATTGTGCGCATCCGGCGATTGAGCATCGGCGGACGCTTGAATTCTGAAGAAAAAACTACTGGATGATCTGGCCAGAAAAATTTTTCTTTAGTCGCAATGAATTTTTATCCAACGGGTAGACATCAAGATCGTATTTTCGGGGAGACTAACTTATCATTCTTGACTTAATTGAGCGCTTTTCTTCAATATACTTTCCTTACTCAAGAGATCTAAGCCTAAGGGTAGGTTAAGGGTCAGGCTTCATACTTTTATTGAAGGGTTAGGGTAAGGGTTGCTCTTCAAAATATACCCTTTTGGTGAAACTCTTGGAACAATAAATTTTCTCAATAACAGGAACTCGATGATGCCCTGCAGTTAATTTTCAGCAGAAAAAAGATTGCCACTCTATTTAGGGTGGTAGAAAATTCATCTCAAAAATACGAATCTTGATGTCTACCCGGAGTTGACTACCCCCTAAAGTTGTTGTATCAAACCTTTTCTGGGCTCTTCAGTCATGATTCTGCTCTGAGGCGATTTGCTCTGTCTTTCTTTTTTCGAGTTTGATGAATAGAATTAATCTGTTTTTTGATAGAGTGATGCAACAAAGAAATATCGAGGGGCGTTTAGATCCAGAGTGGAAGAGATAATAGCACCAGCCAAAGCCATAATGGGCTGTCCTGGCTTTACAAATGCCTTTTTATCAACATTGAAAAACGATGCTGCTGCCAGATTGCGAAATGCATCCTAGAACACTCCCAAGCTACGAAAAAGAGGCGTGCCAGACTCAAGGGAAGCCACAATTTTCATGATCAAGGACGTAGTTAACACTTCCTTTTACTTCAGGGGATCAGAGTGGGAATATTCATCATCTTTATTATTTCTCAAGAAAGTCAATTTGAAATTGACAATTTCAAAGCTTCAAGATCAATCAATATTAAATCTAAAAGATTTGCCCGACCAAAGAGGAGTAATTAGGATGTATTCGCCACAGCTGGTTGGATCCAGCTGCGAAGGAGTATATAAAGAAATCGGATTCGTATAAGTTCCATATTTATAAAATGAACCAAAATTAAAGAAAAAGGAGCAGTAAACTGCTTGTAAAGGTCGTCTACTGCTCTGTGTTTTTTAACATTATGAGTATTACTGTGTTCCATGTGAATACTGTACTACAAAATAACTTAATAAATGAAATTATAATAGGAAAAAAAGTCTTTTGTTTATAAAACCGCGTTAGACGAATCCTATATTCCAATTTTATTTGAGACTTTTGAGCCCGTTAGTTTAAATCAGGGTTCCAAATCACCTCACTTTAGGGTGCACTTTTTCGAAAGTGATCAATAGTGAATTATTATCACTTCACTCACCTCACCTTTTCAGCTGGCTCCACGTTGTATTCGCGTTAAAGATTTTGCCGGTAAAGGTAGGGGCATGGGCACGGCAACCAAAGGCTGACTCAGGCCCCTTAGTACGGATCGCACAGTGCCTGACAAATTTAAAATCGAGACTCAGGAAAAGAAACATATTCTATAAACACCAAAAAAATCCCACTTCGCACCACACTCAAAAAAGACAGCCACGCGCCCGTTAACGCATAAGATCGGATGCCCAGTTAACGGGTTAATTGGGAGATCTAAGCCCCAGAAACCTGTGCTCCTGCTCCTTCCGTTCTCAAAGATTTCGAACTCTGGTTCCGATAACGAAGACAGGATCATCTGCTCCTGATAACTGAATAAATTCCTGCATTTGAATAAAAGAGTGAAATTTTGAAAGAACACTGTCATTTCAACATTTCTTGTTTTTTGATTTTTTTCATGATTTATTTTCAATGATCTTTTTTGTTTCAAAATTAATTCAAATTGATCAGCCTAATTAAAATAAGTCGCTAACTTTAAGTGCAAAACTAGAAATAGAATTAACCATCATTTAACCAAATCATCGATAAAAAATAAGAACGAAGGGGGTCAATATTTTTCGGAAAATAATATGCGGCAGTATTGACATCGAATTTAAGAATCTATCTTTTGAGCTAAAAGTCACAAAAATCGGAAACTTTTGGAGTTGAGCGCTGATTTAATTTACAGAGCAACTCGGACACGCTTTTTGTGAGAGAAGAGAGCAACTTTCTAGGGCCCTTGTTTCGCCAGGAACAGTATCAAGTCAGTAAGTAGCGAATCAAGGGTCCCTAATTAGATCTAGGGTGGAAAGTAGACCTGAACGATCTCCCACAATGGAGATACTCCTCGTTGATTTCTCCCTCAATTTTGCGTGGAGCCGATTACGCTGATTACGCGGAATTAAGGGTATACAATTCAAATTTAAAAATGTTTTGGAAAAAACGAGAACGAAAGAACGAAAAAGTTTGCTGGCAGGGTGGATGGGTGGTTTTTTTAACAGCTGTAAGTCGACTGTAAGTTTGCTTCGAATTTGTTAGGAGAGGTTTACTGTGATTGTAACTTCAGCTCATTGAATTGAACCAGAGAGAGATTTTTACGGCAGGTTTATGAACAGGGCGTATAGAAGTAAACAAGACCGGGTAGATTCAGATTGAGAGAATTGAAAAGGAGTGAGAGGAGTCCCTTAGAACAGCTCTTAGGGTCATTTTAGATGGTGCCCCGAAAGCGACGCTTTTTTTAATAAAATGAATTTGACGCGGAGGAAAAATAAAAATAATAAAACGAATCAGACACAGAGTACGATCAGGGTGGGTTTAGAAATAGGGGGAGGGGAGGTGTTGTTTTATAATTGAGGGGCCTGGAATTACTGGCACTGGCGTTGATGCTCGCTAGTCTACTCGGCCTTCTTCTCGGCTGGCTCGTCCTCGTCCTTGCTTTCTGCCTTGCGCTTCTCGCCTAAAAACCGTCAATACGAGCATTCAATTTTGTTTGAGGAAAACTCCCCCATTTTCTTCATGAAAGTGTTTCTTACCGGCTTTGTCGCCATTTTCAGCCTTTTCTTCGGACTTTTCTTCCTCTTTGGCGGCTTCTTCCGTCTTTTCTTCTTCTTTGGGAGCGTCCTCGACCTTTTCCTCCGCTTTTTCTTCTTCTTTCGCTTCTGCCTCGGCGGCGGGTTCAGCGGGCTTCTCCTCTTCCGTTGCCGCTTCTTTCACTGCTTCCACAGCTGCGCCTGATGCTTCCACGGCTTTGCCATTTTCTACAAAAATTTTCTATCAATTGAAATCAAGGAAGAGTGGTTTTCAAATGAATGGTCTGTAATGCCAGGTTTACTTCTCAGTATGCTGAGGTTGGATATGAATTCTACCTTGTTTTTGTTGTTCTTTCAACTCTTCAACGGTTTCGGTGGTGGGGACGGTCTTGGCTTCCTCGACGGCGGACATTTTTACGAGAAGTGTGTTGGGAGAATTACTCAGTCTGAAAACGCCAAATTGTTAAAATAAGAATAAGGAAAGTTTAAAAATAACGAGAGTTCCAATCAAAGCAGACCAGAGTTAGAAACAGTGACGAGCATACTGGGGCGGCCGGTCTCTCTGCCGGGCACTCCTGTTGCCTCAATAATATCGAGTACGTCGTGGCCGTCTATCACTTCGCCGAAAGCGACATGCGCACCATCTGAGAGCGGGTTACTCGACCAAGCTTAGTCTCAAGCGCAGTTAATATTAAAACCATTTCTCGAAAATAGATCAATAATTAGACTTAGACCCAAAAATCTATAAAATATCGGCCCAAGCCCCTTTGATCTTAGAAATTTTTCTTGGAATCTTAAGGGCCTCGCGTCGACAAAAAAATTTTTCTTTTAATTTTTGATTTGAAGAGATTATAAGAAAAAAATATCCGCAACTCGGCTTGGCAACGTGTGTAAAAAACTGAGTCAGGGCTCCGAAAGATCTCTAATTAAAAGCAGCTCAGTTAGCCATTTTAAAAAGATCTTCCGGAACCCTGACTCAGGTTTCTACAAGGGTAGCCGAGTCTTGATCTGTAACCCTTAACTAAATCTTGCCGCTTGTCTAAAGTAATGAAGAACTGACTGCCATTGGTGTTGGGTCCCTTATTAGCCATTGAAAGAATACCACGCTTATCATGCGAAACGGCAAAGTTTTCATCTGGCCAAAGTCGCCCGTACAAATTTTGCTGTTACAGGGGTTGATCACGTGAGAAAATAGCGAAAGAAAAAAACGAAGGCGGAAGAGCGGAAACGCGCGCGCTAGTAGTGACGAGAACGGAAAACTACTCGATTCTCATTGCTCTCTATCTGTCCATTCCCTCGCGCTCGATCAAACCTTTTCTGGGCTCTTCAGTCATGATTCTGCTCTGAGGCGATTTGCTCTGTCTTTCTTTTTTGAGTTTGATGAATAGAATTAATCTGTTTTTTGATAGAGTGATGCAACAAAGAAATATCGAGGGGCGTTTAGATCCAGAGTGGAAGAGATAATAGCACCAGCCAAAGCCATAATGGGCTGTCCTGGCTTTACAAATGCCTTTTTATCAACATTGAAAAACGATGCTGCTGCCAGATTGCGAAATGCATCCTAGAACACTCCCAAGCTACGAAAAAGAGGCGTGCCAGACTCAAGGGAAGCCACAAGTTTCATGATCAAGGACGTAGTTAACACTTCCTTTTACTTCAAGGGATCAGAGTGGGAATATTCATCATTTTTATTATTTCTCAAGAAAGTCAATTTCAAAGCTTCAAGATCAATCAATATTAAATCTAAAAGATTTGCCCGACCAAAGACGAGTAATTAGGATGTATTCGCCACAGCTGGTTGGATCCAGCTGCGAAGGAGGATATAAAGAAATCGGATTCGTATAAGTTCATATTTATAAAATGAACCAAAAATAAAGAAAAAGGAGCAGTTAACTGCTTGTAAAGGCAGTCTACTGCTCTTTGTTTTTTATAGAAAATACGAAGGAATTCCATACGAAGGAAAAACGATTTACCTGTGAAATCTGTGGCTATGCGTTCTACGAGCGTTATAGACTAAAGGCTCACCAGGGAAAGAGAAGATGCAAAGGTAAGTGAGAACGATCTTAATTTTATTGAATTATTCATTTTCATTTTTAGGCCGAGCGGTTTTATAGAAAGAGACCAGACCGGATTTTGATTTTTGCCTCAGATTTAGAGCCCTGAAAGAGACAATATATCGCGTCAAAAAAAGAGTCTCTGCTCCTGCTCCCTCCGTGCTCCCAAAGATTTCGAACTCTGGTTCCGATAACGAAGACAGGATCATCTGCTCCTTATAACTGAATAAATTCCTGCATTTGAATAAAATGAATGAAATTTTGAAAGAACAAGACTTCTTTACCAAGTCATTTCAACATTTCTTGTTTTTTGATTTTTTTCATGATTTATTTTCAATGATCTTTTTTGTTTCAAAATTAATTCAAATTGATCAGCCTAATTAAAATAAGTCGCTAACTTTAAGTGCAAAACTAGAAATAGAATTAACCATCATTTAACCAAATCATCGATAAAAAATAAGAACGAAGGGGGTCAATATTTTTCGGAAAATAATATGCGGCAGTATTGACATCGAATTTAAGAATCTATCTTTTGAGCTAAAAGTCACAAAAATCGGAAACTTTTGGAGTTGAGCGCTGATTTAATTTACAGAGCAACTCGGACACGCTTTTTGTGAGAGAAGAGGGCAACTTTCTAGGGCCCTTATTTCGCCAGGAACAGTATCAAGTCAGTAAGTAGCGAATCAAGGGACCCTAATTAGATCTAGGGTGGAAAATAGACCTGAAGGATCTCTCACGATGGAGATACTCTTCGTTGATTTCTACCTCAATTTCGAGCGTGGAGCCGATTACGCTGATTACGCGGAATTAAGGGTATACAATTCAAATTTAAAAATGTTTTGGAAAAAACGAGAACGAAAGAACGAAAAAAAAGTTTGCTGGCAGGGTGGATGGGTGGTTTTTTTAACAGCTGTAAGTCGACTGTAAGTTTGCTTCGAATTTGTTAGGAGAGGTTTAATGTGATTGTAACTTCAGCTCATTGAATTGAACCAGAGAGAGATTTTTACGGCAGGTTTATGAACAGGGCGTATAGAAGTAAACAAGACCGGGTAGATTTGAAAAGGAGTGAGAGGAGTCCCTTAGAACAGCTCTTAGGGTCATTTTAGATGGTGCCCCGAAAGCGACGCTTTTTTTAATAAAATGAATTTGACGCGGAGGAAAAAATAAAAATAATAAAACGAATCAGACACAGAGTACGATCAGGGTGGGTTTAGAAAGAGGGGAGGGGAGGTGTTGTTTTATAATTGAGGGGCCTGGAATTACTGGCACTGGCGTTGATGCTCGCTAGTCTACTCGGCCTTCTTCTCGGCTGGCTCGTCCTCGTCCTTGCTGTCTGCCTTGCGTTTCTCGCCTAAAAACCGTCAATACGAACATTCCCTGGCTTCAGTGTTATCAATTTTGAATGGCGAAAACTCCCCGATTTTACTCTTGAAAGTAACTCTTACCGGCTTTGTCGCCATTTTCAGCCTTTTCTTCGGACTTTTCTTCCTCTTTGGCGGCTTCTTCCGTCTTTTCTTCTTCTTTGGGAGCGCCCTCGACCTTTTCTTCCGCTTTTTCTTCTTCTTTCGCTTCTGCCTCGGCGGCGGGTTCAGCGGGCTTCTCCTCTTCTGTCGCCGCTTCTTTCACTGCTTCCACAGCTGCGCCTGATGCTTCCACGGCTTTGCCATTTTCTACAAAAATTTTCTATCAATTGAAATCAAGGAAGAGTGGTTTTCAAATGAATGGTCTGTAATAAAAGGCCTTGAGCCAGGTTTACTAATCAGTATGCTGAGGTTGGATATGAATTCTACCTTGTTTTTGTTGTTCTTTCAACTCTTCAACGGTTTCGGTGGTGGGGACGGTCTTGGCTTCCTCGACGGCGGACATTTTTACGAGAAGTGTGTTGGGAGAATTACTCAGTCTGAAAACGCCAAATTGTTAAAATAAGAATAAGGAAAGTTTAAAAATAACGAGAGTTCCAATCAAAGCAGACCAGAGTTAGAAACAGTGACGAGCATACTGGGGCGACCGGTCTCTCTGCCGGGCACTCCTGTTGCCTCAATAATATCGAGCACGTCGTGGCCGTCTATCACTTCGCCGAAAGCGACATGCGCACCATCTGAGAGCGGGTTACTCGACCAAGCTTAGTCTCAAGCGCAGTTAATATTAAAACCATTTCTCGAAAATAGATCAATAATTAGACTTAGACCCAAAAATCTATAAAATATCGGCCCAAGCTCCTTTGATCTTAGAAATTTTTCTTGGAATCTTAAGGGCCTCGCGTCGACAAAATTTTTTTCTTTTCATTTTTGATTTGAAGAGAATATAAGAAAAAAAATATCCGCAACTCGGCTTGGCTACCTGTGTAAAAACCTGAGTCAGGGCTCCAAAAGATCTTTAATTTAAAGCCACTCAGTTAGCCATTTTAAAAAAGCTGCGGCGAGGCTTTCTGATAAAGATCTTTCGGAACCCTGTCTCAGCTTTCGACACAGGTTGCCAAAATCTGATCTGTAACCCATAACTAAATCTTGCCGTTTGTCTAAAGTAATGAAGAACTGACTGCCATTGGTGTTGGGTCCCTTATTAGCCATTGAAAGAATACCACGCTTATCATGCGAAACGGCAAAGTTTTCATCAGGCCAAAGTCGCCCGTACAAATTTTGCTGTTACAGGGGTTGATCACGTGAGAAAATAGCGAAAGAAAAAAACGAAGGCGGAAGAGCGGAAACGCGCGCGCTAGTAGTGACGAGAACGGAAAACTACTCGATTCTCATTGCTCTCTATCTGTCTATTCCCTCGCGCTCGTTGCCACTACTACTCTCCCCGGGGACAGAACAGCCAGGGAGAACGCCTTAATCACGAAAAGGAAGAAAAATACGCCGAAATAGGGTAAATCGGCGGCGCACGGCGATTTCGATTTAGCCCGGCTAAATGTGTAGTGAAACACCTAGATAAAGCCTATTTAGGTATAATTTAATAGCTATCTAACAAGTAACGCACTCAGCTGTAACAACCCCTGCCCGATATGTGTCCCTTATTCCCTTCTAGAGGCAGCATTCCGCACTGGGCAGTGAAACCAGGCACAACTCGGAAGAAACGAGCCTGAAAACAGTGTGAAAAAGGAGCTATTCAAAGTTTTCTGAAAAAATTAAGGGTCTACCCAAAATATTCCGCGAAATCAAAGGAAATTATTGAGCAGGGCAGATTTTTAATTTTCGAAAGATGCATCAACCAACGCGCGTTAATTGTGAATCATCCTCCCCGCCTCTAATTCGAAGCCTGTGTAAAAAACCTGAGTCTAGGTCAGTAAGATCATTTATAAAAAGACGCGTAGCGGCTTTTTTTGAACGAAGCCGCGAAGTTTTGCTGGAATTTTAAAAAGATTGGAATTCAAATTTTTACCTAGGTCCTGACTCAGGTTTTTTACACAGGTTGCCGAGCCTGTTTGATGTTTTCTTTTTGAAAAATGTCCGAAAAAGGGAAAAGTCGGTATTTCGACTGTCCGCTGATTGGAGGCGTGTCCGGTGATTCAAACTAACGCGCATTTGAAAAAACTTCAATTCGGACCTTATTTTTAGCGTAACCAAATTTGAGCTTCATGTCCTGTTTTCCCTTCCCCTCGGCGTAAATCGGCGAGCACTGGTTATTACAGAGCGCGGCGAAGTTTTGAACAGTCTCTGGCACGATACTGTCGTAAAGAGCTACCGTCAGTCGCCCTATCGGTTGGCCGTCCATTTCTAGCTCTAGGAACGCCTTGCTTTGTGAGTCTGATCATTTTAGATTTTTAGATTTTTCTCTTCAATTCGAAAAAAAGAAAAAGAAGCGTTTTGGGCGAGTTTGAGGGAAACTGAATGAGTGAATGAAAAAGAGCGAAGCCGAAAAAGCGGCGATGGAACGGGCGCCCCCGTCACAGCTCAAGCAGTACTAGCTCGCTTCAAGCAGTCTAGTAGCTGCCACTAGACCAGCGCCAGCGGATCAGCCAGTCTAGTTGAGCCCAAATTAGCAGCTCAGCCCAGCGCCAGGGATGCCACTACCAGTATTGAACAGTTTCAATTTGAAATGTTTTAATTTACAAAATGAATGAATGTTGAATGTTACGATTCAATTTTCTCATCGATTGAAGCAATAATTACTCTCAAATTGGAAATCATAGAAAACTAATAGCGCAAAGACAATCGTTAATTCTCCCTTGTGAATATTAAAAAGTAATTTGGTTTACGTAGACTAGAATTTCTAAGAGGGGTTTGCTGGCCTTTTTTTGCCAAATTTAACATGGTGACACCCTTATTGTGCTATTCGGGCAAATAGATAAGACCTTAAACTTTAATCAGATTAAGGATTTACCCCCTTATTAATGACCTTTCGCCAATAATCTTTGTTGCTCAAGTCAAGAGCTTTATTTAATGATTTCGGGCTCAAAAAAAGACGAAAGAATAACTATAGTATATACAAAATTTCAATCCTAAAATAGTCAACCCAATTTTAATCATTTTCTAAACGAGTTCTATTTCTTCGCGCAAAATTCGCGGTTTTGATTTGGTATTTCGGTTGCGGCGCTGCGCCGCGCGTTTCAAATCCCGCGCCGCTTTTTTTCTGCATGCGAGTGGTTCCCACGCGCGCTCTGGAAATTTTTTATCGATCGGGAATTGATAAAATTTCGGTTTTCCTATTTCGATTTTCCAGCGCGGTAAGGAAAGTATTTTTCTTTCTAGCTCGCCCAAAAGATGCATATTTACGCGATCGTAAATGTCATTTATTTTATTTCCGGAAAAAAAGAGCAGCTTTATTTCACGATTTCGATTTACGATTATCCTCAATCTTATAACCAGAATAACCTTATCCACATCTTAGTTTTTTCGCCTTGGGCCTTCCCCAAAATTGTCGATAAAAAGTCGACATTATGAGTCGAAGATAGCTAATAAAACTTTTGTAGTTAAGCCTAAGATTGCCAAATTTTTGTACAAGCTTTTCTACTAAAAATTGTCAATCTTCGGCTCAACCTCGAAAGTTTTATCGACTATCTTGGACCTATAATGTCGATTTTTCATCGACAATATTGGGGAAGGCCTATCCCGAATGATATGGATGAAAAAACAAGAGTAAAAATGGTCTTGAAAATTCTAAAAATCCGTTCCTGCAAGAGCATTTCTTAATTTTGCCTCTCCGATTTTCACCCGATCTCGTTGATGATTTTCCAGTCTATTTTCCGCCTCGGCAATGTCATCTTTGTAATTTTGATATTTCTCTCAAAGAGGTTTTAATCTTTCACTTTCCCTGCTTTTCATTTTCGGAAAACATAAATTTCGATGTATTTCGATCAGTCGAAATGTGTTAACTTCTCAATACACGGGCGGGCGACTAAGCGCTCAAAACACGGGGTCGGGAAAACCGACCACCAAGCATTATTCAGCCCCGCGCGGCGCGCCAAATTCGGAGTGTGAAAAACAGCGCCGACTATTTTGATCTCTTATTCATATTTCCGTCGAGGTCATATGTTCAAAACTATAGTGTTAGAAAGCCTGAACACTCAGCTATTTACTCATGTTATTATCAAGGAGAAAAAACCCTCCAATTTTTCGAAAATTAGCTCGAAAGAGGTCTGGTGCAAAGCGCCATCCCTCTTGAAAAATTTCACGAAACTTCGCAAAGTGGTTCGGTTTGTTCATATAAGTGCACATTGCAAAAATTTGGTCAAACGGATTACCACCTTCGAAGAAATTGAGGGCCAAAGTCGCCGTGGTCGGTTTTACCGACCACGTGTATTGAGAAGTTAATTTCCCACATGGCAGGGAGAGAAAGAAAGAGTACAGTTACTCCACTGATCGGTGCTTCTTTTTTTATACTTTTGGCATGTAGCCAGATTACGAAAAATTATGAGATAGATCATTTTCCAGGAGGGAAATATGCTCTATCAAATTGACCCCGCAAACATACTACTTTTTGGCCAATCAGGGAGTAAGAAAACGTACTGTTACTGTGGGAAAAATTGTAGAAAATCATTAATTTTAATTTTCTAAATTAAGGGGGAGGTCGTCGAGAATTTTTTTTTCGCCTTTTCAAAATTTTGATTATATTTTTGGATTCCTCGATAAAAGAGGAGTATTTTTGGTCTCTAGCTTTTTCTCAATTTGTGAACTTCTTAATGTAAAATTTTCGATTTTAAGTCTCGAACTTGAAATTTCTTGAAAATAATTCGTTGGTGATTTCGTCCAAAAACTATCTGAAACTGAATATCATGCACTAGGCATTGTTTTAAAATGATTTCTGACTAATTATTTTGAAAAAAAAATCCGAGTCTTTGTGATTTTTGCAGAAATTTCCATGAAAAAATGGGCAAAAATGTCGATTTTGACGAGAATCGAATATTTGTAATCAATAAAAAAAAATTTTTATGAAAGTAACTCTTAATTTTTTGATCGCCGGTTAATTTTAAAGGGTCTAAACTATTTATAAATTTTATTTGATGAAGAAAAAAAAACTCGGTTTTCGAGATTTTTTGGTCACGAGACACCCCCACTTCAACCCTAATTTTTGAAAAATTTTTCAAAAAATTTTTTTTCTGCTTTTCGCCGGTTAATTTTTCAAACCCTTTTCTTTCAATCCGAAAAGTCAGAATTTTCCTATCTAATCGGGTTTCTCCGCATTTTTGGTCACGGAAATCCCGATTCTCGTCGACCTCCCCCTTAAGTATCTGAGCTTGACCTGTGCAGTAAACCTGAGTCAGGGTTCTGAAATAGGTTCAATAAACAACCTCTCTTTTAGAACCCTGACACGCAGGTTGCCAGGCCCAAATAATGCACAAATTGGAAATTTATGATTTTCTACAGAAGCGGTTCATTATAACGTACGTTTCCTTGCGACCTGATTGGCCAAAAAATAGTATGCGTGCGGAATCAATTTGTTGAAGCATATTTTTTAGCAGACTTATTTTTTCTTATATATATATATTTAAAACCCTTCCTATAGCAACAAAACCGCCCATAACTGTACAACCAATAGTCATACTTTTTACTGCGATAGGCAATCTTTTCCACAAAAGTGACATTATAAATAGCTTTTTCTAAAATATAAAAGTTCATTTCCTTTTGCTTGAATCATTTTTTCTGAAAGTGTTTTTTTGTTGGAAGAGAATGAAATCATGGAAGAGAATCTTTAAAAATTAGTTTGAACGTTTGTTTTTGAAGAAACTTTCTTTTTCGCGAATTTTTAAACTTTTGAATAGCTTTTTATTTTTTGTACTGCACATAATGTAATTTAAACTTATGAGTGAAAATGAGGAAGATCGAGTTACAGAAAGAAAAAATAATTTATTTATGTTTTTTGAGATTAAAACACAGGTCTTTTTTGAAAAGGTCATGGATTCGGAGAAAAAGGAAACGCTAGAATCGAAATTCGGAAACAGATCGGAATAATCGTTAAATACAGTTTTGGAAATCAATCAAAATAGAACATTGATAGGTCGGAAACAAAAAGAATTACAGTACCTGGCGTGCAGGCTGACCCAGCAACCTGACAAGAAGACCTGAGTCAGGGTCGTGAAAAAGCGCGTAAGCACTTCTATTAGAGATATTTCAGGACCCTGAGTCAGGTCTCTACACAGGTTGCCGAGCCCAGAATGGTGCCCCTTTTTTCGCTAAAAATTTGGGTGTTGAAAATTTACGAAAATAGAAACTGACGCGCGACTGTAGTTGAATTGAAAGGAGGGCATTCGAGCTCATCAAAAATTAATGTAATCGGCAAGATAGAAAATGGCGCTGTGATCGATCAAATCTTCTGTGGAAAATAGAATCTCTCGTTGAATCTCTCGTCTGTTGAGGTAGAAATTGAAAAGGACTTGCCAATAAAGGATCAACTGATCCTTACTGCATGCGAGAAGGATGATTTTTAAAGAAACAAGTTCTTTGTCCTATTAAAAACGTCGCAGAATCATGTTTTTCGAAAAGAATTGAAAATTCTGATGGTTATAATAATATTGATAAAGGCATGAAAAAGGGGTCTGAGTTGCAAAAATAGTTTATTTTCCAAGTCGATAGTTTTTGTTTTGTTTAATTGATGAATGAGTTTTAAAATGCGAAAATTTCAAATTTCAATGCAGCGAAGAGTAAAAAGTAGACTGAAAACGAAATGTGTGTATAAAGGAAAAAAGAGAAGAATTGTCTGAATTGTCTTTTGGTCGAGATGATAAAAACAGATGAATGTTGAATAGGAAAAAGAGAATTAAAAGGGAGACGCTTTTCAGAAATCAGCCTTTGACGGGGGTTGAAAACACCGGCGCCGGTTTGCACTTGGAAAGCCACATCATCACTCGGATTCGTTTGTCCACTACAGACACTGAATTGAATGTATTAGTATGTTGAAAATCTATAAAATTAATAGCTGAAAAACGGGGCTTACAATGGCCCCTTACGATAACGAAATTTTCTATCCAGTTTTTGATTGGCCGAGTTTGGAGTAGGAACTTCTAAAGAAGGCCCTAGGGACCGAAGATATTCTCAACGAAAGGTACACTAAGCGCTAAAAAATGAGGGTTTGTTTAGTTGCTCGATCTTTTGAGAGACTCATTTTATTGTCGGATAAAATTTGCTATTCAAATATGGGGTAACTTCAACAGCTCATTTCTATGGAACGAGATGCATATTGAGTGAAAAAGAGAAAACTGAAAAAATGAAATGACTTCTATAATGCTTTTCTTTTCGCTAATGAGTCGATTTATCACATTTATTCTGAAATAAATATCCTGAAAAATACCTTCTTTGGGCGATTTGATGGGGAGGGGAGAGTCATCGTCTAAAGTAGACGAAGAGGCAGAACGAATGAGCTGGCTGGCCGCCATTGAAAGTCCAGACAAATCCGAAACCGAGCCGGACGGGACGATCGAGGGTGGATTTGACTGAGGCATCAGCGTTCCTCCTTGATTTTCCTGTTAATTTGGGAATATAAAGGGGGTTCGCTTACCTAAACTGTCGAAGAACTTGTCGAGGGAGTTTGATCGCGTCCGCAGTTTTCGGTTTTCGGGAGAGCCTTCTTTGAAAAAGACGCATTTTAGGAGATCGAGATAGAAGTAATTGGTTTACCTTGTAGACGTCTGTTGTGTTTTGAAGAGATGCAATAAGGCTGGGCAGTTGTAGGACGTCTAGGCGAGGGCTTGAGGGAGGAGTCAGCCCCAGAAGATGCGTTTTGGCTGAGCAGACGCGCCGCGTAACCAGCCGGGCATACTCCCTTCGGCTTTTGGAACAAGCTTTCGGCAGTGCATAACTAAAAAAAACATTTATAAAAGGTCTCTTTTTCTGGCCTTCTTTGAATGTAAATAGGAAGTATTGATGGCCCCTCTACAGAAGATAACGCTCAATTTTCGCCATTTGGTCGTTTAGGGGTTAAAATAAGATAGAGTTTAACAGTCTTACGTCGAGGTCTGAAGCTTTTTTCTTCACAGGAGCAGTTGCGGGTCGCTCACGTTGCCGAGTCCCCTTAAATTTATTCTTTATTCTCGCTCTATCGGAACTGATAAAGGAAAAGATGAAAAATCGAGAATATAGGTATCATCGCTCTAAGAAAAATCTTACTTGATTAGTTTCTGCTTGTTCTCTTTTCGTCGGTTTTTGAATGTTGAGCCTCTCGGCCGCTGAAAGTTGTCGCTTCACTCTGGAAGTCTTGGGCGGGGCGATGGCGTTTCTGAGGTACTCCGGTCCCCGATTCAAATACTTCAGTGGATCCGTCATTTTCTCATTTGACGAGCGCGATTTCTGAAAAAACAAAAACTTGACTTTCTTGCTCACGAAAAAGGTAAGTGTGGAAAAAAGCGCGTTTCTTTTTGTCTGTTTGTGAAGTTACTCAGATTGGAGTTTTACAGACGTATCAATACACAGTTAATCCAGATTCACCGCAAAGCTGCGGATCACCAAAATAAAAAAGACGAAAACAGTTCTCTCTTTGAAAACAAGTGAAAAACACCTGTGACTTCTGTTTTCCAGACCTTTCTCTTTTTGCCGAAAAAAGACAAGAAATTTTCTGAAAATTCGAAAAGACTCAAGTGTTCCGGTTGGCTAGACTTGCATTCATTCTAGAGCCTTAGAGCTGTCAGAACTAATTTTCCAATCAATCAAATTTAGTATTCTGAAAAATTGGGCTAGGCAACCTGTGTACAGAACCTGAGTCAGGGCTGACTTTCATGAGTAAAAATGAAGAGCCGCGTATTCTTCGCTTTTCAGAGCCTTACTCAGGTTTCGTACACAGGTTCCCGAGCCCAGTTTCAGAACCCTTTTCTCGTCTCTTTTTTCTTTTGAGATTGAAGTGTCAATTTTGAACTACTGTAGCTCTCAGTCGCTCAAAAACCAAGTTCAGCAAAGTAAACAGAAGAATTGAAAAAGAAATAGTCTTGAACTTAATATCCTCTTGATGCCTTTTGCTCTTGAGACTGGAGCTCGTCAAAAAATAAATAAATTTTTGAATCGGATCATCCTGTCGTAAACGCATTTGATAGATAAGGAGGGACACAATAATTTTAGACAGAAAATGATTGAATGTATTCAAGACTCGCAGTCTTCTTTTGCCAGTGATTTGAACATGTGATTTTGGGCGATGAAAATACTGTTTCGAGAGAATTAATTGAGGAAAGAACTGGGTTCTGCAACCTTTGTCCAAAACCTGAGTCAGGCCTGAAAGATCTTCAGCAGAGTTAAAAAAGAAATAGATTTTATTTTGGCGAAGCCGCTTTGCGGCTTTTAGTTTAACATCTTTCAGACCCTGACTCAGGTTTTGAACACAGGTTGCTGAACCCATGAAAAGAACTTATTGAAAATTTGTACCTTGTTTTTGATCGGAAGAATGAAAGTGCGAGACATGATTGTTTCTTTCTAGTGTTTGCTCTAGGTGTATTCTTCCATAATAATGCACGATGAATGTCTTTGATCGTTAAAAAAATGCTCAGGTTTAGATTTAATGAATCTTTATGATTGGCAATCTCAGAAACGCGGAAACGCGAGCAATTACGATTCTGCCCTTGTCATCACGCTCGTAAGATACACCTCAAACTCAAAAGCCGCTACTTACTAAATTTACTCTTCTAAGATTTTGGAAATCAAGGAAGAAATAGAAATCCAAAAAAATTCTCTTTTTTCGAACAAAAATAAAATAAAAGTGATAATCCCACAGTTTAATTTGACAGATCTCAGACAGACTCTTTCAAAATTTGACGAAAACTGAGATTTTCTCAATTATCTGAAGTTGAAATTTTCTACTGGACTTGGAGCGTGAAAATTGAAGGCCATAGCTGTTCCCTTAATTTGAATATTTCCACCATAATTTTAAGAGCGAATATAAACAGATGAGAGACTAATTTGGCAGAAAATAAACAGCTGCAGCCCGTTTGGGTAGAGCACAAGAATAGGGACTTTTCTCTTAAATTTAACACAGCAACACCCTTAACTAAATAAACAAAGATAGAAGAAAAACTTAATTCTCCCTGTCTACTCCCTTACGATTTCTCGCGAGGAATATCAAGAACAAAAAAGTGTCAGAAAATTCAAGTCCTCTCTCTGAATGACAAGGTGATAAAAAACTTGCGCGTGTAAAAAATGCTCCTTTCACCGAGTTCTCTGGCGGATATACCCTTAGGTATACGAGGAAAGCTGGAGTGGGGCCAACTTGGTCTCCCGCTCTTTTTCTTTTCGCGCTCTGGGTGATTTGATCAAAAGGTTTTCTTTCTCCTTTACCAGAAAAAACCTCTCTCCTTCAAGAATGAAAAAAGTCCAATTTCAGAATTCGCCTAACAACTAACAAGGGCGCCGTTTTTTTTGTTTTGTTCTCAGTATGAGTTTCGCCAAACAATATTTGTTCTGTCCATTACAACCCAAAAGAAGAATGCCGCAAATCCTAACCCGCGAAGAAAGAACGCATTTTTTTATAGATAGGAAATAAAAAAAGACGGTCGCTGTTTTTTGCACAGAGGGGTATTTTTTATTTGGAAAAAAGCAAGTAAAGAGGGTTGTGAATGTTTACAAAAACAAGTTTATGTCGATATTTTTTCTTATTTAAGGATATAAGCTATGAATTTGAACTTTCGTAGCGCCTAAATGCGAAGTAGGATCATTTTCACTTCAAAAGTAATCCTACCTAAAAATGGACGTAAAACTCAAATCTGGTATTTTTTAAAAAAATTTTATAGAAAATTTTCCTTTTAGAGCGTTTTGAAATCTTACGCTCTCGATTTCTCGAAATTTTTCCACTAAATCGGTCGAGTTTTTTCGATGAATAACTTGTCTTAGCCCTTATCTACAAAATTGACGGATCAGTTTTTCCTAATTCCGACCGAAAACGATTTTAGAGCCATTTCCATGAGGCTTACCCAGCGCGTGAATAGTGTAAAAAGCGGCGCGATGGGCGCTCGCTCTCTCAACTCTTCTTTTCCGTGAGAGTGGCGCGGGTGCCCCGAGCGCTTTGATTGGTTGCACGCGAAAAAGCACAAAAAGAAGAAAAACTCGAGCAAGAAAGAGGAAAACGCTAGAATGAAAATTTGAGGGAGTTTTGAAATAAAAGCCCGTCAATTTTCTAGCTTAACATCATCAAAATAAAAGACACGGTTTAGTTTTAGCAATTCAATGGAAAAAATTCGAGCAATCGAGAGCGTAAGATTTGAAATCGCTCTAGAGAGAAAATTTTCCATAAAATTTTTTTCAAAAACTCCAGATTTGAGTTCTACGTGCAATTTAACGTAGGACTGCTTTTGAAATGAAAATGATCCTACGTCGCATTTAGGCGCTACGAAAGTTCAAATTCATAGCTTATATCCTTAAGTTGATGGTTTCTTTTCCATTTGATGGCAGTTCTGGATTGCAGATCAGGATCTAAAATAGGTTTTATAAAGGAAGAGGTTACAAAAAGAGGAACTGCATACGCTTCTCTGTGATTGCAAAACCGTTATTTATGACATAAGGATCCACTGTGCTGGTTAAGTGATTCTATGTATTTAGAATTCATTTTATAAAAAATCAACATTTTTGGTGTCTATGCAGCATAGAGCGTTGGAATCGGGAGAATGCTATTAGGAGTTAAACTCTAGGTTGGGTTACATTTTAGAATATATTTTTGTCCCTTGCAAATTATCTTGTTTATAAGACAAAAATCACCTGCAGAGATACGCCTAAACAAATAGCCACAAGAGGGCGCGGTTGAATTGCAATTTGATATATAATTTTGATGACCGAAAAAGATCCCAATCATTGACCCTGGGTAAATATGCATTAAGGACTTACGAAGAGCGCCGTTCGCGTTTGAAGCGACCCCGGTTGTCTCGGCCACGTGATCGAGATCGAGAACTTCTCGACGACGCTGACGATGAGGAGCTTGAAGATCGAGAGTAGGATCGTCTACCGCGTCTCTAAAAATCGAGGTTATTTGGTGAGAAGTGCTTGTAAAAAGTACCTTTGATCGAGAGCGAGTTCTTGAGCGTCTGTTTCTGCGTCTATCTCTTGATTTAGATCTGGATCTCGACCGAGAAGACGAGCTCGACGAAGAAGATCGGCTTCGTCGATTTCGTCGTCGGCGTCGATCTCCAGAGCGGCTACGCGAGCGGGAGCGGCTTCTCCTCCGTCTTCGTCGATCGCTGCTTCTGCTGCGGCTTCGCGACTTCGAGCGGCTTCGTTCTCGACGGCGACGGTCGGGCGATGATCGTTTCTCACTTTTGGGAATCAGCTTTAGTACGGATTTCTTGATGTTTTCGGCAATTTCGGGAGCCACCAGCTCGTCGTCACGGCTTTTCTTAGGAGTCTGTAAGAAGAACTACGTTATTTTCGTTAAAAAAAGGAGAGTATTTACCTTTGAACGAGATCGTCTTCTCCTTGGACTTGCAGAGGGCGATCGCCTTTTGCGAGGGGGACTTCGAGATCTTCGTCTTCTTGGACTGCGAGACTCTCTTCGTCTCTTTGGGCTTGGCGAGGGGCGTCCTCTTCTCGGACTCTTCGATCTTCGACCCTTTGGACTGGGTGATCGTCTTCTGGGCGAGGCTTCTTCTCGCTCCTGCTTGACAACATCGTCTATTTCCATGTCCGAATCCGGTCGTTCTTGTTTCACCTCCGTCTCAGGCGCCGCCTTATCCTGGTCTTTTCTCGACTTTTTCTTTTGCCTTCTCTCCGCTTTCTTCTTTTCGTAGTCTTCTTCGTCCGAATCAATCCAGTTGTATTTCGCCTTGTCCGCCAGTTCTTTTTGCTTTCGCTCGATGATCACTTTTTCAAGGCGCTTTTGTCGCTCGACCTTTTCTTGCTCGCGAGCTTCTGCTCTCTTCCTTGCATCTTCTGCTCGTGCAAGTTGGTATTCTGAAACAGGTGATTAGTTTTGTCTTTCTAGAGTTGATTACATACAAAAATAATGCTCTAGATTTCTGTCTTAGGAACTTCATTTACTAAAGGCTGTGAAATAAAAGAGAAAATGGAGCAAGGGGATGATTTTCAAGGTACTATTTAACAAAAGTCACAAAGTTCTACCGAAAACTGATCTGAATCCGCTTTGAATGAGCTTTTTAGGTAGCAGGAACATTGCAGCACTCAACGCTCTGGATCAAATACTGTCGCCTGAGTCGTATGAAACTATTCAATGGCTACAATCGCTACTAAACGAACAAGCTGATCCTAATGAAACGTGTAGTACACTGCTGTCGTGTACTGCTGAATATATTGACTACAACCTCAATTTTCAAAGCGAACCATCAAGTTTTTTACAGCAACTTTTCGAAGAAACGCCCCTTCAAATACCATCACCGTTTCGTCACTATTACCCTTATTTACATTACCCTCAGCCCGCTACTTCTACTGAAACCGAACCCATAGTTCGAGCTGTTCTTTTATCAGCGGGTAAAAACAAGCGACACTTTTTGCATCTCGTGGATGACGGCAAGATCTATCTGGTGTACGTGTCGAGCTACAGGAAAAAACTCGGCTTGTTTGCGTACAGATGCAACGACAAGAGCTGTACAGGGATGTACGGTGTAATGGTGGGGTTATCAGTAATTGGATTGATCTTACTCGGTTTAAGGGACCCCGCCGACCGAGCCTCGCGCGCGTTCCTCGCTCTTTTTCCCTGCTACTTTTCGTCGGGATTTTTTCATTCGATTTTAATGAAATTTTACACACCAACTAAACTTTTCATTCTCTTTCTCATAGACTTTTTAAAATTCTCTTATCTTTTTTCCACCCCGAGTTATTGCTGAATCTTGGGCGCCCGCTTTCAAGTGTACATAAGTACTCGAAATCTTCGGATTGACACTTCGAGACTACCACCATTGAAAAGCCCAGGCTTTCTTTGACAAGGCCTACTTATTGAGATTTCCTGGAAGCGTTTACTTATCTGATTAACGAGGGATTAATGTGGGTCACCTGTAGCGCTCAGCGGGATTGGCGCGTGCGCTCCGCGGGTGATACCAGAGGAGACAAAAATCAGCCGAACTAATGAAAGAGACCAATGCTTGTTAGGTTTTCTTCATCTGATAGGAGCTCTCTGACGCTAGAATGCAAACACAAATTGCATATAAGCCTTATTTTTGGAAAATTGCACCATGGGTGCAACAAAGCGCCAAAGTAATGGCAAAAAATGAATCGAAGAAAATCAAGGTTGAAAGACCAAGAACTGTTTTTTCGCTGATAACCTCAACCTCGACTTTCTCTTCAACCAAACGGCTTGTCCGAAATGTAAGAAGACTCATACATTGAGGTTCGGCTTGTCAACCAATGTTCTTCTCAATTTCTACGCGACTGTGTCCTGCTCTTTCTGCAAACATTCTCTTGGATGCTGGCTCGTCGATGAAACCTTCAATCTTCTCTTTCAAGCAGCAAAAACCATGGCTGGAATTACAGATACCCAGACACAAAGACAACTTGCAGGCATAGGGATGAGTGGAGAAACGATTGGTGGACACAAACGGTTGCCTGATTTTGTCAAGGGAGCCTCTACTGCCGACAAGTATCAAGACAAAGTCGACAAAATCATCATGGATCTTGCAAATCAGTCAATGCTCAACGCGCGTAATTTGCTCATTTCGGAAAGAAAAAATGCCAGTGAGAAGACAGTATCTGTCGCTGTAGATGGCACATACAATGATTCAGGTAACTGATTACACAAAAAAATAATTTTTCTATGTAAAAATTCACCTTTTCTAAGTAAATTTTCACCCTTTCCAAGAAAATTTTCACCCTGCCCAAGTAAATTTTCACCCTTTCTAAGTAAATTTTCACCCTGCCCAAGTAAATTTTCACCCTTTCTAAGTAAATTTTCACCCTTTCTAAGTAAATTTTCACCGTTTCAAAGTAAATTTTTACCCTTTCTAAGAAAAAATTAACACTTTTATTTCAGGCATCAAGAAAAACAGTGCTCAAGGATGTCTGGTAAGCTGCGCAGCAAAAGTCGATGGAAAATACAAGATCATTGGATCAAAAGTTGTCAAGAAGCGACAAGAAATCTCAGACGAACACCTGAAAAAGTACCAGCGAGGAACTGTCGCACCGACTGGCACAGCTTCTTCTGCACTTGAAAAAATCGGCACAAGACATGTTTTTGAAGAAACACTCCTCCCGATCCACAAAGCTCTCCCAGATCATGTCATCCAAGTCGCATGCGACGCCGACGCCAAAATCCGAGACCCATCAAATACAAATGTCTACATCGATGCTGAGAAATGCCGTCAATTGATGATTCCATTGATCAATCTTGCATTTCACTCGGATGTTGCTCACATCATAAAGAATATATATGGAACATTTTTGCGAAACTTCAAGACAGGTTCCGGTGCCGACAAATTTACAAAGAAGCAGTTTCTCCAGTTTCACATGCGAGTCAAATTTGCTATCATGGAAATCATCACGAACCGAGCATCTGGTGAGTGGTCACATGAGGATGCCATGAATAAAATGGAGAAAACCCTGCGACACGCCTACAGCGACCACACGATGTGCGATGAAAACTGCCCACGAGGACCTGGCATCTTTCAACCTTTTGGAAATTTGACACAAGAAATCATCGAAGAGCGCTTACGAAAATTTATCAGCACACATTTTGGCGAAAATTACATCAGAGAGTGTGGTCAAACTGGAACAACAAGCCCAGTTGAATATCTACATGCTGAAATGATCCGTCGACGATTATGGGTCAAGGGAACCTATGCTTCTCCTCTAAATTATCGATATGAAGTCGCGGGAGCGACGGCAATCCTGATCTACAATGAAGGTGAAGTGAATGCGATTCGTCAAATTCATAAGAAACTACAGTACAAAGTTTCAAATGTTGGACTCGATCGTCTTCAGCGACTTGATGAAGAAAGCAAAAAGAAATGTGATGTAAAAATGAAGAAAAAAGCGGAAATTCAAAACAAAAGGCGACAAACACAGAAACAATTTGCTGACCTTGGTACCTATGCTTCTCAGGTTCAGCGTGACATCGACAATGCTCGCCAGGCCCATATTCAATCTTTGGAGGCGAAAGATCTTGATGATGCTGATGAAATACCAACTTTCGAAGAGCTACTTCAATTTGAGGAAGAAAATTCAGCTTCGGATTTCATAGATGATGAGGAGGAAGTCGAAGGTTAAATAATCATTCTTTATTTATCTTATTTATTCTCTGAAAATATTGATTTTGTTTTAATAAAAAAATTGTTATTCTTGTCTTCAAAATTTTTTGCCAATTTCCATGGCTGAAGTCGCGCGAGCATAATTGAAACGGGCGAGAAGTTCACGCTGAGCGCTCCAGGTGACCCTCATTAATCCCTCGCTAATCAGATAAGTAAACGCTTCCAGGAAATCTCAATAAGTAGGCCTTGTCAAAGAAAGCCTGGGCTTTTCAATGGTGGTAGTCTCGAAGTGTCAATCCGAAGATTTCGAGTACTTATGTACACTTGAAAGCGGGCGCCCAAGATTCAGCAATAACTCGGCGTAGCCAAAAGATAGAAAGATTTTAAAAAATGTACGAGAAAGAGAATAAAAAGTTTAGTTGGCATGTAAAATTTCATTAAAATCTAATGAAAATATCCTAACGAAAAGTTGAAAGGAAAAAGAGCGTGACACGCGCGCGCGGCTCGGTCGGCGGGGTCCCTTAAGGGGGGGGTCGACGAGAATCGGGATTTCCGTGACCAAAAATGCGGGAAAACCGGATTAGATAGGGAAAATCTGAGTATACTGGTGGATAGAAAAGGGTTGAAATAATCAGGCGGCGAAAACTAGAAAAAATTTTCGCCAGAAAAAATCGGTCGAAAATCCCCTCTAAGTAGGGGCATTTTCGCGAAAATGCACCAAAAATGGCCATTCTTTTTACATTTTTCATAATTTCACCCCCTAAATCTCATTTTTCTCAAATGTTTTTAGGCTTAACGGATTCGGGAGGATCTGACAATTCCAAAAATATAAGTTTCATAGCCAGACCATGTGTACAAGAGAAATTACGATCACCCCTGAAAAATTCTCGTCGACCCCCCCCTTAAGGTAGATGATAGTTTGGTGCGCGAGACTGAAAAACGTACAAAAACGGATGGTAAAGAATACACGATGAAAACGTTTGAAATCGCTCCCTTTCAAAACAACACAACTCATCTCAAAATCCACCATTTCAAAATTCAATGGCGGCTCAAAGAACACTCCTGCTCTGGTGAAAGCATCACTTCATCGAAAATCATGCTCAACTACAATTCAACCAGCACGATGCTCGAACTTGTCGATCAAACAAACTCGCGCTGCCTTGAAATTATTCCCCAACTACACTAGTAAGTCTTTCTTTTTTACCTTCAGTAAAAGCTGCACCAGGCTTGTAGTCTTCTCGAATGCCAAACGCGCTACACGCTTTTTTGTTCTTCATTTCGTTTTGCGCCGCCAACTGGTGCGTTTCGTTCGAGCGGGACGACTTTGCCTCCACTGTGTCCAAAAAGCCTTCCTTATTCAGCAACATCTCTCGGAACGTCACGCATTTAGCCTGATTACCAATATGATTTATTAAGAAAAAACAAGGAAGAGTACCTCAATCTCTTCTTCGTCATATTTGCCGTCATCTTCCATCGCTTCACGAAGCTCGAGCACTTTTACTTCGACTTTTCTCTTCGCCTGATGTGACAAAATTTCTAAAAACGCAATAAATTGATACTATCTTTTTTAAACTAGAGGAGCTTCTTTCTTCGACGACGAGAGAAACTGTACCTTGATTGGGCTTTCGATTGAGCATCGCTTCCATTTTTCGGATATCATCGTCGGTCTTGACTTTTGTCTCGAGCCTCGACTTGCGGATAAATGCCATGTTGGTCTGGACATAGCCGTTGGTGCCCGAACCACGGGCGGTGGTGAGACCCACCCCGTTGTACATTCTTGCTGATAACGATTCTAGCGATCTGAACAGACAACGAATTGATCATAAATTGAATAAGGAGCGTTTAAATAATTGGAAGAAAATGGTGAAACTAAAAACTAAGGCCCGGCAAAGAAGAGAGTACTTAACCTCCTGAGACGCAGCTCAAAATTGGGAGTTAAAAAATTGAAAGATAAATGGGCTTGATAATAAAGGCGTTTAACTTAAGTGAAGAGCAGTCTTTTTTGAAGAAGCTGCTATGGGAGCATGTAGTGAAGAAAATGAGCTTGTGGCTATCGCTGGGGATAGCCTTAAAATTAAATAAAACATGTAATAGAAGCAATAGAATAAGAATAAACTAAAGTGATAAAAAAGGAAGAGAGAACTTTTTCAACTGACCATTGTCGAAAAAGTAGTTGTTTTGAACTTTTTAGGTGATATAATACAGTATTATAAGCGGTTTGTTTTCAGTAAAATAGAGCAGGACGGACGTTGAACTTCTTTTAATCTCAATAATTGAGACTCAGTTGGCTTTGCTGCATCCCATCGCGGGGAGCTGGAACTCGAGGCGGAGCTTGTAGCCTTTCGAGAGCTAAAAAGTGACCTTAGATGCTGCTGAAAGAAAGGTTTTCTCACCTCGGTTCCTTGGAGAGCGCAGATAGCACCAAGGGCATCCTGGTAAACGGGCATTTGTACAGTGCCAGTAACGATTTTCTTGACTGGATTGCTAAAGGAAACAAGTGTTACGTGCGTTAATCCTTTATGAAAGCCTACCTTGATTCACTCTCCCGTCGAGTGATGCTGATTGAATTGACAGCTCCAAAGGGGCCAAAGAGCTCCCAGACTTTTGATTCTGTCACATCTGGTGGCAAGTTTGAAACAGAAATGAAGACAGGCACGGAGCTACGTCGACGGGAGGAGTACGCAGCTGGAGGAGACGAGGTCGATGCTTCTGAAAATGAAATGAATAGAATTCAAAAGCGCAAGCTATGGTAAATCTACACCGATCAAACATAACAAATGCAAAATTTTTCAAATTGAAATTCCACATTTGTAAGAGTTATAAATAGAGCAATAAATAACTGAGCGATAAATTAGTAGTTAATTATTGAAACAATCAATGTTGTTAATCAAGCGCAAATCGTGATTCTAGCGATTTGATTTCACGACTACGAAATAACTACTAGAAGTTCAACACCAATACCTGACTGTAAATACATACAGGGCAGTATGTATTAAATTCTGCCAAAAGCTTTTTCCTGAAACATTTTAGTTGAAAAAAGAAGGTTGAGAAGCTTTAAAAGAATCTTTTTCTTCTTTTGAAATGAACAAACCTGGACTACGACTGTCTTCTGAAGTCGAAGAAGTGCGTCCAGAAAGAGGATCACGTCGGGGCGGCGTGTGGGGCGGGTAGTGCGGCGAGTAGCCGAGAATCATCTTCTGCGGTGAGCTTTTCTTTGGTGGACTTAACCTTTCATTCAGTGAATGAAAGCCATTCCGGAGAAGACGGAGACTTTGAAAAACACGAGCCTGGAAGTTCTCTTGGAACTGCTGGAAGTTTAGATCAACTGGCTGCTGATTAGAATTGCCTTTCATCGAGGCATTTCCGTTCTCGTTCAGGTTCGATTGGATCCCTTTTTCGGCCTTTTCCATTGGAGAGGCGAACTGAATGATGTTAGGGCGTTCTTGGTTGTGATTAAGGGTGTAGTGACTACACTGTAGTCGTCAATTTGAGCACCGATCGACCAAAACTATTAGGCTTTCCTTCTATAAGCTCGGAGCCGCAAGCGGCTTCTCGATTTGTTACTAGCTCTTTAGTAGATCTAAAAGATTGCTCTGAGGTAAAACTTTTAAGAGCTGAAAGATAGAGTCTCAAACCGATCGATGCCCAAATCGACAACTACGATACTCCCTTGTGAAAACTTAACATATTTATTGCAGAGAATAAATACGTACGAAAATGTCGGGGCCAAACTCGTATGCTGCTCGATTCAAAGTCTTGCGATCGACTATCTATCATATAACGCATTATATAATACGGATGCATTGGTGCTTCTTTTTTACCTTGACGGTAAGTGTCTCGCCTTCGTAATTATACTGGTGCATGAGTTTGACCGCGCGCTCTGCTTCCAAACGCGTGTCGAAGCGGACGAAGGCGACTCCTTTGGAGAGTCCTGTGTCTTTGCAGTGCAAGATTCGCGCCGAAATGATCTTTCCAATTCGAGAAAAGAGGTTCTTTACTTCCTGCAGCGTCGCGGAGCGCGGTATTCCAGCGACGTACAAGTTCGTGTTCTGAAATAACGAAGAGTTACCTTAAAACGTCAAATAACTCAAGTTCACCTTGATTATGTTGGATGACGGACGCGCAAAGGAGACCTTGATCGTTTTATTCTGAAGACTGAGGCCGTTGAACTGGCTGACAGCTCTTTTCGCATCCCCTGCTCGTCGGAAATTGACGAAACCGTAGCCGAGGGAGAGCTTCGTGTCCCGATTGCGGCAGAGCTTGCATGTTTCGATGTCGCCAATTGAGCTGAAGAGTTCGCGTAGATTATCTTGTGTGTAGTTCTAAAATGTAAGAAATTTTAATGAACGTAAGAAGTAGGGTCTTTGCTCGAATCTATGTAAGTCTGGAAGCTAAATCAAGCTGGAGAAGCTGCTCGCGGCTTAGAGTAATAAGCACAGCTGCGATTCGCGCGGCTTTTTCTCTTTTTAACTCGAAGCCGCAAGCGGCCTCTCGACTTAAAATTAAGTCTGAAGCAAAGTTGACGTCTGAAATCACCTGTGGAAGGTAGTTGACGATCAGGTTCGTTTTGGACTCCATGCCGCCTGTGGAGCTGAAAGTAGGCATGGTTGAAGATTGCATCGTTCTCCGCGGCTGAGCAGGAGTAGAAGTGACGATCGGAGAACCGGAAGACGCTGCTATTCCCGGCGAGGAGACGCGAATTCGCGGCAATGGAGAAGAATGAGAGTGAACACCGCCCATAGTTGAGACGGAGACTGGAGAAGCGCAGGGAGAGGGCTTTTGATTGTTGCGATTGTTTGGCGATCCGTAGGGAGAGACGATTTGTGAGGATGCGACTTCAAGGCCGGAATCGACGCTCGGCATCGAGAGTTGGGTGCAGCAGAGGCCAGCTTCGTGGCCACTACCAGAGCAAAAGTTACACGCGTTTTGGAAGACGGGCCCGTGGCGAGTTGACGGGACTTGCGCGTTTTCAGCCATTCTTAATCCTAACAGTTGATTCAGATGATAAAAAAGTACTATCAAGATGACACAAATGAGGCTACCAAGACTTTTTCAAAAACTGGATAGCTGCTTTCTCAAGTAGATAGCCGCGAAGCGGCTACGCCAGTTTTAGAAGTGTTCACAAAATGGTGAGCTTTGCGGCCCATTTCTTGAAAAAGCTGCGTTGCGGCTTCAATATCTTTCGAACGTTGATTCAGGTTTTCCATACATGTATCCGAGACTCTGGTTTTTCTATTAATTTTTGAAAAGGATTAACATTAAATTTTCTTAGAATAACCTGCCAAATTAAATGAAATAAATGCAAATTGGAGACAACAAGGAAAGAGACGAATGATTGCTCAGACTAGTAGTTTATTTTCAGTCGAGACTATGGTTTTTCAGTAGCTCTGAAATCCAGCGGCGGGGCGATTTACTTTCGTCGGCCGATGTCCTTGACCTGGAGTCCTGGGGGAAGGGAGAGCTTCAGTTTGTCAGCCTTCTCTTGGTCTACAAAGGAAGAGTTAGGGAAGGGAGGGAAGAGGTTATGCTTACCGTCAACGACAAGAGTGTACAGATATCGCGAGCATCGGACCTTGAACTTGGTGTTGTTGACGTTTCGCTTGATCTTGACAGCGGAAGCGTCCTTCCTTCGAGCAGTGTTGAGGAACTCCTTGATCTCTTTGATCTGCTTAGGCATGACTCTTGAAATCCGAGATTGATCTGAAAAATAGTCGTTCTTTAAACCTTTTCATTTTAAAAATGTGGTGATGATTGTATCGGAGTGAATTTGCTCGGTAGGCTATTGCTCGGATCAACATACAGCGACACAGCGACTGTAAGTTGATGCGGCATTATACAGTTGCTTATCGAGCAATTGTCGGAGCATACAGTCCGCCCTGAAAAGGGCGAAGTTTAAACTCGTAGGAAGAAATCGAGAGTTCTTCCCACAGAAAATGAGACACAGCAGCAGCAAAAAGGGACAGTAAATTATCTGTAAAACCGCGAAACGTAGGCACTTTTGGCTTACGTTTCGTGGGACATAGCGCTGGAAAAAAGGCACAGGCTAAGCACGACGAATCTAGATTGATTCTAGACTCGTCATGTTTAAAAGCGCTATTTTGAGGACAATACAGGCAGTTCTTCTCAAAAATTTCTAGAGCTTGAAGTCGAGCGGCGGAAGGTGACGCTCCTGGCGGTCCTTGCAGTACCATTCCCAGGGCACCTTCGACATTCGGAACATTCGCAGCTTCTGGCGGATTTGACCTGAAGTCAGCTGGTAGACGTTCTTCCGGTCGCGAACCATCGCCGCGAAGTCCTGAACAAAGGATTAGAAATTCAAGTAAACAACAATTTTTCATTCTTTCGCTTGTCTTTTACTGACAGTCGATAAAAAAGACGCGATTTTAGAAGCAGTTTTAGTTAAATTAAATAAATTGGCAAACTATATTACTCATCCCTATATAAACCCCTTCAGTAAAGCTCGGCCCGTAAACCTGGGTGAAAACTGAGTTAGGGTCCCAATACAGCTTTAGTAAAAGCCTGGTGTCGGCTTTTTTAAACTCATTGAAAAATAGACTGAAGTTGAACAAGGCTTTTACATAATCTCTTTTCGAACCCTGACTCAGTTTTTCTACACAGGCCCACAAGCCCAGAAATCTAACAAAACAGATGAAGAGATCATAGAAATTTATAAGCAGATCGAGAAGCCACGTTCGGATTCGGCCTTGAATTAAGAAAGAAAATTTTATAATCAACAGTCGATTTGTCAAGCCAAAAAAACCCGTTTCGTTTTGTTATTTGAATAAGAAATGGACTTACCAGCTCGTGCCTGTCGAACATATGAACTGCGAAGTGAATGTCTTCTTGTGAGACGCTCCATTCTTTGTGAAACTCGTTGGCAGCGATGTCCTCAAGAATCTTGTGAACTTCCTTCTGCTGAGAAGTTGGCTTCTTTTCGTTCATTCTTCTCTCGTCTACATTTTTCAGGCTGAAGGTCAAGTTAAAATCAAAAGAAACTTTCACTAAAAATCTTACGTTGTTTTTTGAATCGGAATAGCTTTGCTGCAATCGGCGACGAGTCCGAGAGTTTCCATGTTTTCCTTCAACCCTTTCGAAGAGTTCCAGTGCTGGGCCAGTGCTTTTGCTTCTTCAGTCAGTTTAACTGTAAATGAATGTTTAATCGAACTCCGAGTCGGGTACCAAAAGAGATTTTTCGAAAAGCCGCAAATTTAAAATTAGAATAAGATATTTCTTTAGAAAATAAGAATGGTAAATCTTAATTAGTCAGCCTGTGTCGAAATCCTGAGTCAGGATTCTGAAAGATCTTTAGCAAAAGCTGCGTAGCGCCTTCGCCATTACTAATAGCATATCTCATTTTGTAAATTCTAGCGTAGCCGCTACGCTACTTCACAGGACCCTGACTCAGGTTTTCGAGCCAAGATAAATTATTCTTTTAGTCCAAAGAAATATCTTTCTATCAATAAATAAATGAAAATATAGTAATTTTTTTGAATCAAAAAAACTGATTTTAAAATCGAAAAGTAGTGATTTTCAAAGAAACAAAATTTGATAAGAAAGTAAGATTTTTCATTTTACTTCGATCAAGCTATTTTGATTGGACACTTCATAGATTAATGACTGTATTAAAATACCACTAAAATTTACCTAAATTTCGCTGACGGCGTTTCTTAGCAATCGCTCTTCTTCGTACGTTTTTGCAATTTTTCGCGTAATTAAATCGCTTGTTTCTTGAGAGCTTTGAAAGCCCCATCTCTGAGCTCGATTTCTCTTTCTAGAGTCTTTTCTTGCTACAGCTGAATTGGTGGAATCGGCGGATTTCCTGGATTTCGTGGATTTTTCGTTCAATCTTGGCGAAACGAATTTTGGGCGCAGCGGCTGAGTCATGCGTGGGCGGCGCGCGCGCGAGGGGCAAACGCACGTGATGACTCGGCCATGGGAAAAGGCGAAGAATGGCAAGTGGAAGATTCTCACCGTGGAGGAACTCTGCAATTGAGAATTGCTGGAAGATAATCTTTTTTCATTGCAAAAGGGAAAATAAAGTAATGAAATTAGTTTTAACAAATAAACAAGTTTATTTCAAATTAGAAATTTTGAATTCATTAAAAAACCCTTTCTATTTCGATAAATAAATGTTACTCGTCATAATTTCATGTATAGTTCTAGTAAAATTTTGCTATAAAACCTTGCTTTCTTGAGCAGCCATCGCTTAGCGACATACCGCGTAGAATAAACCAGTTCTCGTCCGATCACTGAAGTCAAACTACGACGGGCGGGGTTAGTACTTACATGGGTGACCGGTTGGGAATACCCCGTGCGCTAAGCATTTTGACTTTTCCCGAAAATTGATCATCCTTTTTGACGGCTGAGAAGATTTTCTAGCTATCATTTGAAATAAGAAAGGAACTGATGAATTCATTTTCCCGTAGAGAAAAGCTGAAGCAAAGACGTGCTCAAGATCAATTCCTGCTGGAGCAAGAGGATTTAGCGCCCTCCTGTGAGCGCTCTTCTGAAAAGAAGTCGAAAAATGGAGCGTGCAGCGACAAAACGACCTCGAAATCGAGCACGGCTGTCTTTCACTCATCCCATTTTTGAGTCCGATTTCGATTGTCTAACAGGTAGGAATCGTCTTCAAGCCCACTTCCTCCCATCCCTGTCGCCTCTTACAAGCATGAAACTTTATCGACGATAAATTATCGTCCTTTGATGGTTAAACCTCAGGACGATGATTTCTTGAGAAGCCAAGTCCCAATAAAATTGAGTGAAATATACTAAAGTATAAACAGTAAAAACAGGAAATCCTGTTTTTATTACTTTTCTTGGCAAAAATTATGTTTTATAAAATATTTAAATCCGTGAATAAACAATGCAAAAGAGGCATGTTCGGAATACAGACATTGTCCTGTAGAATCGAATGTAGTCCGCTATGGGTAAATAAACTCATTCATAATTGAGCAAAGAATGCTGAAAAAAGTGCCAGGCTGAATAACATTTTGACAGGGCACCCTTAGAGCACCATCTATTATGAAGCCTCTCTTTTCCTCCCATTTTCGCAGCGCTTTTCAAAGACCTACATTTTCAATAGAGATAAGAGTCCCAAATAGTTTCACGAAATCGATTGTTCAGGCATTTATTCTGTGTTAAATTTATGTTTTTAACAGATAGTGAAGCAAAATTTATAATAGTGATACCCTTAATTTTTTGTTTGAAATTTTCAGTCTATAAGAAATAAACTAAGGGTGTTACTACTATAAAATATTATCTCTCGAAATCGAATTATCAAAATTGGAAAGCCGCTTGCGGCTTCGAAAAATCGAAATGGAGCCGCTCCTCCTGCGGCTATTTATTGTTTAGAGCTCGAAGCCGCAAGCGGCTTCTCGATTTTTCAGAAAATTCTCCAGGAAAAGTCGATTTTTGACCTCAATTTTGATTGTTTATTTCGCTAAGGAGTTAGTCTTCTATGTCTTCAAAACAAAAAATGGACTCTCGATAAGAGCTTTTGTTTGACTTGAGTTTGTTATCTGGCAAGTGTGCCTAAAGAAGCGCAAGCTCGATCACTGTGCTATCGATTGTAAGCTGGTTAAGGAAAATCTCTTTTACTTTTAATTGCGCCGCGGCGTCCGTGCTCGGGGGATCAGCTCGAACAGGAGCCGGACAGGCAAACTCGATCGTCCAAATTCGAACGCACTTTTAAACAGAAAAGACAGAAGAAGATGTCGCAGACCATATACCACTCCAGTATCGACATCGACGAGGCCTTCGCTTCCGAGAGAACTTACTACTTTCATCCGCTGCCGCTTCCGCACTTTATTTACGAAGAAGAAAACGGTAAGATTACTAAAATTGAATGAGCCTCGGCAACCTGTGTAGGAACCTGAGTCAGGGTCTGAATCAGAGTTGGAAATTTGGTGAGCTGAGTGAGCTGAGCTGGCTGAGTGAGCTGAGCAGAAAAAAAAAACAGCTCAACCCAGCTCACTCAGCTCAGCTCAGCTCAAATTATGGTCTGCTCAGCTCAACTACATTAAAAAAAAAGGTCTGCTCAGCTCAATGACCTCTGAAAATGGCCAGCTCAGCTCAGTGAGCTCCGAAAAAGGTCAGCTCAGCTCAGCTCAGCTCAGGGAATTTCTCACACAGGGCAGCTCAGCTCAGCTCAACGAAAATATAGCCAAATTTGCAACTCTGGTCTGAATGATCCTCAATGAATAGCCGTGTTATTTTCTTTTTCTGGGGAAGCCGCTTTGCGGCTTCATTTTTAAAAAAGCCGCTACGCGGCTTTTCATTAAAGATCTTTCAGACCCTGACTCAGGTTTTTTCACAGTTTGCCAAGCCCAGTTTATAGGATTTTTGTCGAGTTAGAGCAGATCTGAATCTTCTCTTGGCAAAAAAATAAGCGCTAGAATTTACTCTTTGATTTATAAATGAAATTAGCCGCAGAGGGGAGAAATCGTTCCTGGAAGAAGGAGTTTTTTTTTGATCGTTTATTTTATTCTGGGCGGCTTATTTTAAGTTTAATATTCGATTGAGGCAATAATGAAGATAAGCGGCTCAATCAGTCAGCGGAAAATGGATTGAGAAGACACGCGCCGCGGAGAAGTACAGTAATCTGGATTCTCTCGGTCCTCGTTGTCGGCGTAGTTCTTTCGCCGCTGATATTCGACTGGTTGCGATTTCAAAGCGAAAAAAGTCAAAAAACGGAAATTAATTTTTTCCCAAATGCGATTCTCAGCCTTCCAGATTCGAGTATAAACGACACTGCTCAATAGTTCAATAGTTTCTTTTTCATACTTTTCATTTCATCTTCCGACAATCAAATAAAAATTCATCCCAACATTTTTTAACACGAATTTCTTAGGAAAGTTTCCACCCCGCGTCTTCGAGAAATCAACACTAAAGCCGCGATTTGTGCGGCTTTCTCTATTCCATAATCAAAGCCGCAAGCGGCTTCTAGATTTGTTTATTGAACTCTTCCTTGATTTCAATTTGTCAGAAAAGAAACCAAAAGAATTGAAAATAATGATAAAATCTTCCTTTGAAAATTTTATTCTTCTCGTTGTTTTCAATAAATGTTTTCAAAATAACAGTGCTAGAAGCAAAACAGTGTCAGTTAAAATTATCCGGATCGAGCATCTGGAGCGAAGACTGGTAGCGGAAGTTTTTCTTTGGAAGATCTCTTCTGTTTTCGCGGTATTGCTCGTCCAACTCGTCCAGAATATTCAAGGCGCGATTTGGCTGAATTAAGATTTTATTTTCCTTGATTATGTTGCTCTGAATGTACCCTTTGAGACTGAAGCTGACTCTCGGTGGATCTGATTCGGTCGAAGACAGTCAAGTCTCGTTCGAAATTCGTTGAGTCCATCAACGGCATGTCCTAGAAACAGAAGTAAACGACTCGATAAATCGAAAATTTACATTTTCTAGGAAAGAATCAGCCATTTCTTCGGCTCTTCCGACTTGGGGATTTCGGCGAAGCCAGTCTTTCACTTTCGTTTCGTAGGACCGCTCTCTCTTTTCTGCTGGAGATTTGTATGGCTGTTTTCGATAGAAAATTTATTTAGTTTTTAAATATCATTATTTATTTTTATCGTTTTCTTGAATCTTGATTCTCTTTTCTTCTCCCTAGCATCAATCAAATCAAAGTCTGGAATTGGGCTCGGCATCGCAAAGTCAAAATCGGGAATGGTTGGAAGATTCAAACTTGGAAAGTCGGCATCGAAGCCTGGAGAAGTCATCGTTGGCAGTGGCAGAGAATTGTGTTTCGAACTTGAGCGCGTTTTTTCGCCGCTCCTGGATTTCGGGATTTCTGGGGGCGGAAACATCATGTTGGAAGAGGCATTCAAGTTGAACTGCTCCGTTGCTGTCTTTTCGGTTGTCCTGTTTGTTGTCGTGGAAATCTGGGAAACGGTTCTTCGGGAATTAGTCTTCGGATTGATGTTCTGGCCTTTTGAAAATATGCTGGCTTGATTTTCAGTAGTGAATTTCTGATTTTTGGGCTCATTTTCAAAGAGTCAATGACAGCGTGCGTTATCAATATCTAAGTAAATAGAAGGTCAAATTGAGCCTTTCCGACAGCCCAAAGGACTCGTTCGTTTGATGAATTTTCTTGATTGCTGATTGTGGAAAAGCACTGCTCTCTTGTTGAGTAATTCTGTTCGTTCCGTAACTCATGCTCTGATAGGTGCTGCGATTGTAACTGCGCCGTTTTTTCGGGGTCGGTCTTGCCAACTTGACGGAAACTGCGGAGAGGCAGCCGGAGGACTCTTGCGACGGGCTGCGAATGTGACTCGGGTTCGGAGTGGCGCGGTAAGAGCTTGGAGCTGCAGGTATTGGAGGAGGCATCATCGTCACTGGCGAAGTTTCTCGTTCAGAAAAAAGGAGTGCACTTCTTTGGCTCGCGCCTATTTGATGGTCAAAAGACATTGGGACGGAAAAATATATATTTTCGGTTTTGACAAAATGTCGTAAACGTGATATTTTCAAAAATCTAAAAATGCAGTTATGTCGAGCTGGATCTGCCATTTATAAATCTGCAAAAAAATTTTGGGATTTCATTATTATGAAGCGTGGGCGGGGCGATCTAAGAAAAAGTTACGGACTCGCCTAGGGACCAGGCGTACTTATTTTTTCGGTTTTTTTTCTGCTATATAATTTTCTATGATCCAAGGACGCTTCATCTTATTTCAGATTTAAAATTACTCATCGCAATCCAGAAATATTGCGTAATTCATGATTTTCTTATATAAATTATATAACTATAATTTATAGTGATTGTTTAGATTGGATAACAATTATGGAATAAGTTTCATTATAGTGAAGTGGAAGTTCTAAATATATATGTCTGAAAGTACAATACGTTTCATTTTACGTAATCTAATACAGTGAAAAAATTGGGATTTGAGAGGTAATTAGCGGAACATTTGCTTCGGGCTGTGTAGACGGTGGAGCCGAGCCCGGTGGAGGAGCGGCACCACTCCGTGGCGGTGGTAGTCTTAGGTGGCAGCGCCGCCCCACCGCGCCGCGGGTGGCCGCTCCGCCACCATATAAGGCTCCGCGCCACCGTAGATACTCAGTCTATGCAAGGCCCACCATCAGTTATCCACACTGGTGACTGAAGTGGGAGTTTATTCTTGACGATTCGGCAGAGGAGTAACAAGAATGCGACCCGTGGAAGAAAGTTTCATCATAGCAAGTCTTCGTCGAAACAGGATCAAGGCTTGCCGCATAAAGCCGTACAGATGATCAGGGGCATCCTTCCACGTTCTCCTACAAAAAATGAGAAAAACGTCACAAGACAAATCACCTGATGAAATTTGCGTCGAAACCATACGGGCGAACAACCTCGTTTCACAAGTCAATTTCCACCTTCTCAGCCCAAAATGTCTGTGGACTGAAAATTTTGGCACGAGCAACTTTCGCCAAAGACAGCTCCAGATTCTCACAGTAGAGCCGCCTGTAATTTTGGCGAAACCTAATGTATCGCAAAAATTGAGTTTTATCGTCAAAATCACGCGCCTTCATGAATGGAGCCAGGTTCGACAGCAGCGCCCTATTCTCGCGTCGACAATTGTTAACAACCTCATCGGGAGTCATCGATTCGGAAACCAATAACAACGGCTCCCGATCATTGATTTCCTCGACAACTTCCGGCCAGAGGTCTGACCTCCGGATAAATTCTTCGGTCGTCATACAATATACACCTAAAAGGGCTAAAATTGGGAGAAAAATTCAACAATACCCTGAAAGAGACCATCATCCGTCTCCTCGACAACGTCACTCGCCAGGAACGAGGAAATCTGGAGAACCCCAAAAAGGTTCTCAATCTCTAACTCTCCGCAGGCGACCGACCAAGATAGATTGTAAGGTTGACTTGGCCCCCGGCAAGTGCGCCGACGGATTCGAGACGGTCTGATCCGCTGGAAACGAGATATACCCGCTACATACGGCCCTGCCAGCGAAACCGAGCTGACAGAGCCGCGCAACAGACGTAAATCGAGGCCACCTCCGGCGAGCGTCCAGTCCGGACAGCGGCCAAGTCGTCTACGGCCCCAGCGACGTTGTCGACTTGAACATCAGCGTCGGCCCCAGCGACGTTGTCGACTTGAACATCAGCGTCGGCCCCAGCGACGTTGTCGACTTGAACATCAGCGTCGGCCCCAGCGACGTTGTCGACTTGAACATCAGCGTCGGCCCCAGCGACGTTGTCGACTTGAACATCAGCATCGACTCTAGCGACGTTGTCGACCTGACCATCAACGACGGCTCCAGTGACGTTGTCGACTTGACCTTCGCCGATGGCTCCAACATCACCGTCGACTGGAGCAACGCCATCGACCCCTTCTACGACATCGATTCCACCGGCAATGTCGCCTTCATCAGCGTTGTCAACGTCTTGCTGGCCCGAGCGCCAGCATCAACAGATCTGGCTACCCAGGCCGCCACGGCTTCCGCCACTCCTTCGCGTAGGAGAGCGACTAGCTCATCTGGAACGTCCTCAGCACCAGCGTCGACGGCTGGATCACCTACGACTTGATCTCCGCGTCCAGCAGCGCCCCCGGCAGGAGATCCACGACGAAGATCCCTCTTCGCGTGAACCTTAAGCCATTAATTAGCAATAGGAAATCATTAAAAATAATTATTTTATATATATTATTATTATAATTTTAATAATTTATTTATATAATTAACAACTATATTAAACTCACACCAATATTTACTCACTAGAGCTAGAAATTTGTGGAATTGCCTCTCTACCGCCAGCAAAGCCGCAGTTCTTTCCCTTAGGGTAGGCCTTTCAAAGCATTCTTCCATGATAGACAAATAAGCATTGAAATTAATCGCCATCTCTCTCTTTTTTTTCTTAAAATATCTCTTTACTCAATCAGCAAAAAAATGCTGACTAGGATAGGCAGATTATAGCCACGGGGATAGAGCAAGCGCCGACCCACCCGGCAACTCAGCAGCGCCCCCTTAACTCGCAAGCAAGCACCGCGCGCATAATCAGTCTGGAAAATAAAAAGCAGAGAAGGCGCAAAAGAAAAAAAATCCGTTAATTAGAGAAGGGATCAGCTGGGTGTTGCCCAGGGTGTTCACTCGAGCCCTGGGCCGCCCAGCCGTCACCGGTTGGCCCCGGTCCCGACTTGAAATAATTATTTTTTCCCTCGACAGCCGATTAAAATAGAAGATAAAATGAAACGAGAAATTTTAATTGTGATATATGAATAGACTTCGTGTTTCCTTATATTTTCTTAATACATAAAATTCTTTCTTTAGCTGCAAAGGCATAAAAAGAAGAAAAAGGGGAAAAGGAATGCTGACGGAGAGGAGTTGAGAGGAGCTGACGGTGCCTCGCCTGTTTTGGTGGAGAACCTTTTGGGGTCGTTGACAAGCTATTCCTACGAAGATACCTTCCGAAATGGCTTTTCCATTACAGTTATACCCGCCGAGGAGGTAGACGCCTTGTATTTAGAAACTCCATCTACTGCTTTTGGGCTCAGCTGGGTTTCCAAACTGGGAGATCCAATTCTTGACTCTCCCTTGGGCTTCATTTCCGTCTCTCAATTGATCCTCTCAGACACTCTGTATACTGAGGACGGAGTTCCTCAACATGGTATTTTTGAGTTTTTTCTTCTTGTTGAAATTTGTATAGGAATGCACCTAATGCCGTATTCGGAATTTTTGGAGCGCGGCACTTTCACTAAACGGACCGTGGCGAAGATTGATGCTGCTCCGACTTATTTATGTCCACGAAAGGACGTCTTTGTGGCCAAGGATAAGTTGTTCCAGAGTATCAAATGTGAAATTTTGGGAAGGCGCACAATGAGTTTTCCCTGGGTGGACCGACCGGTCAATTGGCCTCCGGCGAGATTCAAGCGGCTGAAGGACTTGCGGTCTAAGCTGGCTAAGGCGTCACGATTTTAGATTCCCCGGAAGGGGAATTTTTGTTCGCGGGCAGAGTGGTATTCCAGTATTACCAGAGAACTTAGAGGTCGGAGGGAAATTCTTTTCCCATGGATCCATAACATGGATCCATAAAATGGCCATAAAATGGCAATTACTGGCCCTACATGGCTATTTATTAATTTTTGTAAATATTGGTCTTCCAGCTATTAGTCTTCCACCAAGGTGGTCCTCCGGGAGATCCTCCGGCCTAACCCGACCGAATTCGACCTTAAGTGGCCATATCCTGGCGGAGGACGGCGATATATTTAATATTAATAGTGTAGGTGTTATAAATTAATTGATTATACAAGAAAATCATGAATTACGCAATATTTTTGGATTGCGGTGAGTAATTTTAAATCTGAAATAAGATGAAGCGTCCTTGGATCATAGAAAATGACACTTCATAATAATGAAATCCCAAAATTTTTTTGCAGATTTATAAATGGCAGATCCAGCTCGACATAACTGCATTTATAGATTTTTGAAAATGTCACGTTTACGACATTTTGTCAAAACCGAAAATATATATTTTTCCGTCCCATTGCTCTTTAAAGATACTGACTCATGTAGCCCAGCCCAGACGGGAACTAATTTTCTTGACCAAGACCTGAATATATTTGACTGAATTGATTTCCGTCTTCTTCTTCTGGAATGCTATTTAGCTGGCGTGCTTGAGTCGGACTGAGAATATCCCTTGTTTCGATTAAATTTGGATCGTCGAAAACCGGCAGTTGCGAGAAATTTGGAAAGTTGAAATTCTGACTCGGTGGCAGCTCGAATTCAGAGTCTGGAAGAGGAGAATCAGAAAGAATGCCGACTGAATTAAGCGATTAGGGATGAAAAGGGAGGAATCTGAGATTCCGAATCTCTTTTCTTACTTGGAAGAGGACTGTATGTTGTTGACTGAGTCTGGCTTTTCTCAGGACTGGAGATTTGAGTTGATCCGAATTCCTAAAATCGAATTGCAAAATGGGCCTTTTCAAGAAAAGATTATCCAAATTGAGCGAAAATTTGAGCAATTATTCCTGCGAAAGCGTATGCATTTCTTCGTCATTTTCCTCCAAAATCAAGTTTTGGTCGTTGTTGATTTCATTGATCGCCGACTGGTTATTCAGAACTTGATGAAGCTGCGTAGCACTCAGGTTTCTGATCTCAGGAGAGTCGTTTGCCAACTCTTTTCTTTCCAATAGCTCAACATGTGATTCTTAAACTGAGCTCCAGAACCTGACTCAGGGTCCTGAAAGAGCGATTGAAACTTGCCATCCCGATCTGTTCGTAGATTTGCGGCTTCATTAATGAAAAAGCCGCTCCGCGGCTTTAAATTAAAGCTATTTCTGGATCCTGACTCGGGTTTCCTACACAAGTTGTCGAGGTCAGTTCTAAAATTTGCGTAAAAAAATTTTAATTTGAGCCAGTTCCTTATGAGCTGAATAATATTGAGCTCCTTGGACGATCCTTCTCCTCCAGGATCCCTGTTCTCGCTTTCCATTGATTTTTAGAGTTATTTCTCTTTTCAGAATCCGAAATCGAAAATAAATGATAAAAAAGGCAACTTTCAATTTTATTCTTATTGAAACTGCACTCTCGCGTCAACAGATCGAGCGGACGGGTTGGTCTAGAAACGAGACGGCTCCGCGGCGGAATCATTTTTGCTGGTTCGAAACGGTTACTCATAAAATGGTTTTCAAGAATTACATTTTAGAAATAATATAGTGACAGACTGACAGTAGAATATGGTCAATTTGACGAAGCCCCTTAAAATTTCGTCTTTGGTACGCGGCTTTCCATTGCCCTGACTCAGGCTTTTCTACACAGGTTGCCAAGCCGAGATTCGGACAAAGGATGGGGTCAGCTGCTCGATCGAATCGGCTGATTTCAACAAAAAAGGGATGAAGACAGTCGTCAGCCCCTTTTTTGTCTTTTCGAGTTTTTCGAAATTAGGCGTGGGCGGAGGCGCTCGACCAATGAGCGCGCGCGCCCTGAGCCAAGCTCCCTCGCTCTCTCTTTTTTCCGTCTCAGTTCAAAAAATTCGAAGAAAAAAAAACGAAGAAAATAGAAATCGCGAAATTTTTTAAAAACGAAAATCGTAAAAAGAGAAAAGTCGGAAAATGGCGTCTTGCGTTACTTTGAAGCGATCTGCTTTGGACAGTCCTTATGGTCACAAGTTCGATCTCAGGTTTGAAAATATAATTCGATTTTCGTAATTTTATATTTCGTAATTTTTACATTAAAATCACTCGATCGTAAACTGAATACTCTCTTCGTTAGAGAAGCTTTTTGTCAATTTTATGCGCTGTTATCGTCGTAATTACGCGATCTAAGATGCATATCTATTTTGAGATTAGAGTTCTTATGTAAGCGATTTGAAATTCAATTGAGTTTGCGCTCTTTTCAAATAAAAGAATTTGAAAGACGATTAGGAAAATAACTATAAATGACTCTCGTCATAATTAAATTAATATGTTAACGATTAATGTAATACTTTTTGGAAAAAAACTGAGTCAGGATTTGAAAGAGCTTCGCGGGATTTAGTAAGGTTCTTTCAAATCCTGACTCAGGTTTTCTTCTCATGCTCCTGAGCCCGGACTGAGGCTACACTGGCTTTCTACGATCGCGGATGATTCCATACAGCTCCTGACTTGTCAAATTTCGCCATTTTAGAGACTAACCAATAATCAGTTCGATAGAATCATCCGTTATCTAACAAACCCTCTGTAGACCTGAAAGTCGACTGGATCTATTCTATTTTCTATTTGGCCGAAAGCACTTTTGACTCGAAAAGACATGTACTGCTGGATTAATTAAGTCGGCATCAACACACGTCTGTCCTTTTTCTAGAACAACAATTCCCAATCGCTTTTCACTTTAACTTTACTTTCTTTATGAAAAAGAAAAAAGGAACTAAACGAATTCTTAGTCCGAAGCGCCGCTGCCTCACCGGAAAACGCCCGCTCCAGGTCACTCCTTCCAAGAAGAATAACGCGCCAAATGTAGATCTTCAAAGGTAAAGCGGAAAGACCCTGAAAGTGATGACTAACCGCTTTTGTTTTTAGTTTGTCTGAAAGTCTGTCCGAATCGCAGTTTCGCCGGCTCCCTCCGCTCGAGCCCTCTAGAATTCTTGACGAGGTAAGGACTAAAATAGTCTTGGATACTTTGAGGAACTTTACTTTTGGCCCTTAGGGCCAATGAAAAGTCCTCCTTCATGTATCTACAAGACAAAGAATAACGATTAAAATTAAGGTGACCCAGAGCTACAAACTTCTGAAGCGACGTCGGATGGTGCCTCGCAGTCCTCAGGTAACTGAAAACTCGATTGGCCAAGGAGAAAGCGCCGCGGGCGAACTCTGACTGTCTGGGCACAGTGCCAGCCTCTGCGTGTTTCAAATTCATACTCTACTTTCGTTTTCAGCAAGTGGCAGTTTCGACTACGCCGCCCAAATGTCCAAGCCCAGCTTCGTCCTCAGACTCCGACGAATTCGCGCCTACAACCTCAAAAGTCGCCAAACTTGCCGAACCACTCAAGAAAGAAGCTAGAAAGTATCAACCAGACACGACCATTCGTCTCACCATAAGCAACGTAAGGCTCTTTCCGTCAAGAAATACATTTTTCGAACACCAATTGACTAGTGACCCTTATGACTTTTTAGGTGGCGACCATGTGCGAAACACTCCTGCGCCAGCGAGAAGACCAGATCAGAGAAGAATACGACAAAATTCTAGCGGAGAAACTTTCCGGTAAAACCCCCATTTCCGGTTGTAACTAAACGATTCTTTCAGAACAATACGAAGTCTTCTGTCGCTACACTCAAGATCAGCTCCGGAATCACAAGTCCTCAGCTTCGTCGAGCTACATTTCCTGAAGCTAGAATTTGTTCGTTTTTTCTTTACTCACAATTTGTGCCGCCATTGTGTCGTCATCTTTTCAAGTGTATATTCATCCTTTTGTCTCTTTCTTTTTGTAAATTTTTTAACAAATTCAATTTTTCACCACTTTCGCAAGCCTTTTTTAATTTCATAATCGATCCTTTTGTCGGTCAGACAGAAACTCTCTTTCGCACCAAAAAGATCCTAGGCCCTCAAGAATAACAAGAAAGAGCTCATCCGTGTTTATACTTTACCTCTGAATCAAAATCTAAAATGTATAATTTTACTCTTTCTGGCTTCTTTATTTTTTAACTTCTCAAGGCACGTGGTCCAATCATTGGACCACGGCGACTTTTACCTCCTGTATTTCCCGTTCTAGTAATCTGTTTGACCTGAATTTTGTAATGTGAGCTGATAGGACGAAAACGAACCACTTTGTGAAGTTTCGAATGAAAACTCAAAAGTGGTGGCGTTTTGCGCCATATTTCTCTTTCGCTCTCTGGTGGAATATCGAAACGGATTTTTCGACTTACAATTGTAAATTATTATAGAAGAGGGTTCAAGCTCTCTAACAATATATTTATAATCTTTTTTACTCAATGGAAACGTCAATTAGAGCCAAAAGTTCTGAGCGCTATTTTTCACACTATGAATTGGGCGCGCCGCGCGGGGCTGGATAATGCATTGTGGTCCAATTATTGGACCCCGTGTTTTGAGGGTATAGTAGCGCGCCCGTGTTTTGAGAAGTTAACTCGTTCCGGGAAACCCCAGTCAAATTTGTCTAGCTGAAATTTAGTGGTTCGTAACGGGGTTAACCTGCTCGTGAGCGATGACCAGTTTCTTGGCATTTTACTTCTGGAATAGTCCTGCCAAAAAATTGGAGATCGCTCACAAACAGGTTAACCACAGTTACGGACTGCTCTGTGAGGTGCTTCTAGTCAAACTAGAACTGAATCGCGCATTGGTTAAAACCCCCAGCGCCACTTTTTTGACTGGACGTCGTAATCCCTTCTAGAATTCATCCAATTCTCCTTTGTATAAGAAGTCCCTAAAGTCGCTTTTTCCGCCTCCCGCTTTTTTCGCGCTCTTTCAACTCTTTCATTGATACTTTCTAACAATTTTTCTCAAAGTTAATAAATCACCGCTTTTTTCAAGTTTTAACCTGTTTCTCTATCTTGCCTTTTTCTTGTCTAGAATATTTCACTTTCTTTGGTATTAACCAGAAGCAACTGGATTTCCCTACTTCTTTGGTCACCGTTGTCTTCGCCAGTTCACTTTTTTCCTTGCATAGTAATTAACTGTAAATCTTTTTTTGTTATTCACAATTGCTGATGACAAGTTTTCTTTTTCACAAAAAATAATTTCAATAATAATTTTAAACGCTTTTTGGCGCCCCGTTGGTTTGCTCTCAGAAACCTGTGAGGAGAACTGAGTCTGGGTCCTGAAATAGCTTCAATAAAAAGCCGCAAATTTTAAATTATCGTTAAAGCTCTTTCAAGACCCTGTCTCAATTTTCCACGCAGGTTCCCGAGCCCAGCCAGTGGCTGTCAAATTCTTGTTTTGTCTTTATTTCTGTATCTTTCTTTTTCGTTTTGAAACAGCTAAAGTAGTAGTAATTGTACAATAATTTCGTAGTGCGCAGGAAGGTCTAATTTCGTAGAAGAAAACAGGCTGAACTGTAGGTTGAAGTCATAACGCTCTTGTTATTTACAGACACGAGACGGTTATTTACAGTTTGGCTTTTTTAGTGGAAGTCTAGATTTTGGGCTAAGGGTCGTTTTTGGACAGTAAATCGGAAAACTCTTTTGCGTGCTCTTCAGTCATAAGGTCGTCCCAGCGATACAGCAGGTCTGAATAGTCGTTTAGTTAGGGAGCCAATAGCTAATTGATTATTCTGATCCGTTTCTCGTACTTGAGGCCAAAGCTGGTCTATACTTGGCTTCGAAATGGGGGCTCAATCGACAATCTTGGACTCAGCTTTTCAAATTTTATCAAGACCAACTAAGCATTAATATTTGGGGGTTAGCAAGAGACCGTAAATCTTTCTTGTTCATGAAAATCTTCATTGTTTTCACTCGCACAATAACTGTAGATTTCAGTGTGTAAATGGGAGATGACGGGACGGGTAGTTGGGTCAATCCAGCCGCGGTCATCAAGCGAAAGCGCAAGAAGACAACTAGGGCATCAATCGCTTCGAAGACTTCAACGGAGGAAAAAGAAAACCTCCCAAAGAAACCGCTAAAAACATTCAACCCTTTCGCTAAGCTCAAGGAACAGACAAATGATCCAGCTAATACGTCCTTGGGATTGAGCTCCCTTACAGTCGATTCCCAAACGGATGATTCACAGAAGGACGAGAAAGCAAATGCTAGAGATAATGAGTTTCTATCGGCGCTGGAAAACCACGGTAATGTCACCGACCTGCCAAATATCGAGGACCGCTTCAAATTTGAGAATATTCTAAACGGAAGCAATGGCAGAAGCCTCCGAAATCGAAGAAGAACCATTGCCAACATGAGGTACAGAATACAGTAAGGCGAAATTCTAATCACTTACTAGAGATCTTGACGATGACAGCGCTCGCGACGGATTCACTGCCCAAAACAACCTCAATCAAACTTGCAGCATCCCGCTCGACTTCAGCATCAAGTCGAAGATGAAGATCAAATTTTCCGACACAAGCGCACTCCGACGAATTAAAAAGGAAGACTGGAACACTGCGATTTCGGTGACACCTGCTGATCCGACCAAGCTCTCACAAAAGCTTGCCGCAGCTTGTCTGTACTACGCCTGGCCGGCGACCATTGGAAAGAAATTCTACCCGAGGTACTATTAAATTGATCTAGTAGGAATTGTATTCATAACTCGTCAAGGTACGCTACTGATTTTGAACCATCGAGCCACGGCCAACGCGCAGAGTACTGGACTCAATTCGAAGAAACTATCGACGCTGCCTTTGACGCGCTCAAGACCAAGTTCCTGCCGCTTTTCTACGTCTTCACTCGCAGCTACTCAATTGTCTTCTACACTCACGATGGCAGCTCGAACCCGAACAACGAAGACAGCCAGTCTCAATCTGCGCTTTCTCAATCGTCCTTTCATTCCAAAGCGGTTCCCTCTTTCTGCATTCGAGCTGTAATTGCGCCGGCGACGCAAGGGCTCAAAAACAAGCTCATAAAAGGTTTGTTTTGACTTTTGAAGACATAGAAGAGAACATTCTTTTTCTAGAGGGAGTCAAAGAAAGCCCCAAAAAAGAAGGAGACAACGAGGAAGACGCAGATGCTTGCTCCCCAAAACCGAAATTCCATCGGAGCAATAGTTGCTCCGGTAGTAGCTATCGATCGAGGGCACTGCCTGATCCCGACTTTGACTTCAATCCGGACGACGATGAAAGCTGGGACGCACTGCGGGCGATGAACGTTATCAAAATGAAGTCCACGACCGCTTATGATACCAAATACCACGACGGAAAAGGCAAGACCTCTCTTTCTGATATTTTGAATAACCGAATGTCCTTTAGATTACGCCGATGTAACGGAAGTAATCGAGGGGCGCACCGCTTGCCAGCGATTAGTTAATTTCCTCGTCGATTTAAAAAGTCGCCCGGAATGGAGTTCCCCCAACCATCATCTCTTCCGCCCCTTTCGCCAATTCCACGGTCAAAAACTCGATGTGAAGTCTGGTGCCGAGCAAATCAACATCGAAGGAATCCTACTACCCGTGCACCAGTACGAAATTCACAAAGTCCTTCACGAGCTAATGCAAAAACGGACGATTAGAGAATACGAGGTCGAGTATTTTACTGATAAACCGACCAAATCATTGAGCAACTATGTCCCCGGAAGATCTCTTGAAAAGTAAACCAGTTACAAGAAAGTCAACTAACTCTTTCTCAAGCTCTTCGGACGAAAATGTCAAGGATTTCCTTTCTTCAAAGCCCCAAAGTCTCCGTCAGCTCAAATGGAAAGACGACATTTTCAACATCGTTTGAAAAGAAAAGACGAAACAAAAAAGTTTTATACAGCATTCAATTATCTATTTTTTACTACTTTGAAAATATATCAAACATGAGTTCATCAATCTTCCTCATTACTGGGTCCAAGATTGTCTTGGGCCTATAAGTCCTATGTATAGTCGACAATCTTTTGCAGGAACCCATGAAGCAAGAACCCAAGCTTACCTTGATAAGGTCCTCCTGTGCACTTCAAAATGAATCGAGTTGATAGGCAGTTGACTTTTGGGAAGGGAGGTCTGTTTGGTGGCTTGAAAGAGCCGGTTTTGTAGTATTCCCAGCGCGCTTGAAAGACGCGTTTGGCGTATTTGTAAACCCACAGATCTTGTGGCATCAGAGATTGCAGCTTCTCCATCGATTCTTCGGAAGGTTTGGCAGCTGGCGCTTTGTTTGAGTTTGACTTTGGCAGGCTTAGCGATCCGAAGGGCAGTTTTAGTTGAAAAGCGAGCAGTTCCAAAGAGCGATCAAGGTCCTCGAGAATCCCGAACCAAAACATTCCGTCGATTTTATCAGCAGTTTCGAGCAGTTCCTAGAATTATTAGCTGAGTAACCTGGTATGAAAATGAATCGACTGTACCTGTTGATAGTTGAACGCTTTTCGCTCGAGAATCTCTCCGTTAGTTTCAGCCGATCTTCCCTTTTTCACCCAGTTTCCCACGTGAGTGCCTGTAAACCACGAGACGGCAGCTTGTCCATCCTGCCAGCATCCGCGATTGTGCATCATTGAAACTGGATCATCTAAGAACTGAACACCTTTATAGATAAATATTATCTAATTCGTTTTACCTGGTCGATGGATTGTTGTCTAATAGCCATTCCTTTCGTCCAACTGAGTTTTTTCATGAAGTGAAAGTGCGAGATTGCTCTAGAAACCGGCTCTCGGAGCATTGTTACCACTTCTCCGGAAGGGTATCGTTCCTCGACATAGGTCCAGTCAAAGTGCAATCCTCCAACGTATTTGCTTCGGCCTTTGAGTGCTTTGCCCATCATTCCATCGAAAGAAGTGCCTCCCGCCTGAAATATGACTGTTATTGTAAAAAAGCAAGATAGAAAATTTGAACTACAAAAAAACGCGACCAGAAGATACCTAAATCGACGGGCGTGCTGTTGAACGTACCTTTCCAATATGAAGGAAAACTATTTTCTCCTCTCCATCCCATTTTCTGACTGGTATCGCACTAATCTTCCCTGGCGGTAGTTCCGTAGCTATCTCCTTGATCTCCGCCCCTTGATCGCTCCCCTTCTCAACCAAAAGCAGGTCGAAGCGCGAAGCAAATTCGCGTCTTATCTTCTCAATCGCCGTCTTCGACGCTATCTCTTCATTTTCTAATCGCTGAAGGTCTTCGTAGAACTTCACGATTGCCTCAGACTGTCGTTCTTCCAAAGAGCGCAGTTTTTCTTCCAACTCCAAGGCCGTTTCTTTTTCTGATTCTTGAATAATTCTCAGCACTTCTTCTAGCTCCTCGATCTTTGTCGAGGACATCCGCTCGCTTCGAATCATAATTCGCTAATAAAAAATTAATAATAGCTATTCAGGGTTAGGGTTAGCGTTCGAGTTAGGGTTAGTGTTTTCGCATCAACAGTAAAAATGTTTAATAGTGAGCTTACCTTATCAAGGTAGTACTTATTGCTCAGTACAGTCGCGTAAATTAGCAATAAAATTCCAGCCAGGAGCAAAAACTTCCTTGAAAAATTGCTCCTCATCTTTCTTTTGCGCTGAAAATACGTTTTAGTATCGTCAAAATCGTTAAATGCAAAGCCGAATTACAAGAAAACACAATTACTATCATAAAAATGCGGTTTTTAAAACTTTTCGTTTCTTCCTTTGTCGTTAAAATTTGCGAGTAGCAACCATTGTCATTTTATTTTTTTCTCTGTTTGTTTATTTCTTTTTAGGGACCCGGGCGAGACAATAAAAAAGGCGTCGTTTTGGATTTTGAGTTTTTGAAAAATTAATTTTCAAAAGTTCACTGCTTGAGAAAAAAAGCTGGCGCTGCTTCCAAAAACGCCGTTTTTACGAGTTGGATGCGACAATTCAAAAAAATGAAAATGAGTCAATTTGAGTTGCTCAGATGATAAGAGCAATCCAAACATTAGATCCCGACTTGTCATATCTAAGCGTGCGAGTTTCACAATGAAATCAAAGCTTCTTTTTTGTTATTTTTGAAAAAAGGAAAATCGAGAAAATAATGAAATCTGGGCTCGGCAACCTAAAACTGAGTCAGGGTTTGAAAAATAGATTGAAAGGGTTATTTCGGCAAAGCCGCTCTGCGGCTTCATTTTCAAAAAAGCCGCTAGGCGGCTTTTCATTTATGCTGTTTTTGGCCCTGACTCAGGTTTTGGACACAGGTTGCCGAGCCCTTTTTTGGGAAGAAATTTACTTACGATATGAAACGATTTTCTTATTCAAAGATTTCTCTTTATTTTAGCCTTAGTAGTAAAAAGCCCTTTTGCTTTTTGAAAAATCGGATAAATTGCAAAAATGAAGCGGCGCAGCGGCGGTTTTTTGTAAATTTGAAATTCAATAAATTTAGCCCGGAAAAGCGCAAACATAGAGAAAGGCAGGAGCAACAAAGAAAGTAAAGAGTGACTATTGTACCCCGAACAGAGGGCTACTTTATTGACAACGGGGTTGAAATTCGATCAAAAGCAAGACCCACCCTTAATCGCAAATGAATCGTTTTTAAGTCCGAAAAGCATCAAGTTCAAATGACCGCTTTTTCATCGAGAATTTTCACAATTATCTTGGATCTCTTGGTTTGGACTACTGATAAACCGCAATTACAGTTTGCTGGCTTATTAACAGAAAAAAGGGCATCAAACCAGCGAAGTAATTTAACTGCTATCAGAACTCTGATACTCCTCTTTGTTTTCAGAGACAGGTCGAAGGTGCCTCTTAGCCTTTTTAAAAATATAAATGATGAGCTAACTATTTTAACGCTAGTAAGAGCATTGGGAACTGGTTTTGCAAAAGCGAGAAAATTGTTCACAAAAAATAAAAAAAATTGTTAAAAAAATGAAAAATTCTCTCTTTACCTGAGTTGACGAAACCAGTCGGCGAAAATTTCTCTTTCTCTGAAATGAAAAAGAGGTGTCAAAAAACTTTGAATTAAGTCTCTTATCTAGAATCCGGCAATCGCCCTGCAGAATCGGTTGAACGTGAAAAATTAGCACTGAAAGTTAAACAATTGACGAATTTCGCTCAGCAGCGAATGAAAATTCGGGACTTGGTTTTTTCTCTCTGATCTCCTGCTTACACATTTCTCGGCTGATTTTTTATTTGAGGATTAACTGCTGCTTGAAATAGTTAAACAGTTAACTTTTTTTCTGGAAATAAGCATTTCTATTAAGGGTATAGGCATTCATATTTATTCTATGATTGATTTTAAACGCAATAATGAGCAGGAACTTCAACAAGAACAGGACGCCAGAATTTTAAAGTCATACTTCTCCCAATGAGTTTCTGACTGATCAATCTATCACCGTCAAAACTAAGTCTTTCGATTTCATCTGATTTGAGAGAGCTTCCGAAGATGAAGATTGAATCATGGATTCGGATTGCGGATCCTAAGTAGTCTGCCTTAATTTATGTGAGAAATGTTTACTAATTAAATTAAATTTTACATTTTGAAGATTGCCAATCTGCCTCCAAATATTTTTCTCGAGAAGCCATAATGATTTGTAGACAGTGTATTCCCAATTAATTAACTGATTGTTTTTTCCTCCAGCAAGTAAAAGACTGCCACTTGGTAGCCCAACCAAGACATGTTCAGTAATAACACTTATAAGATTTGAATATGTGCGTGTCTTTTTTAATTAATAAGGATAATTACCTCTTCGGGAAATCAGTTAGATTTGACCATCCAGAAAAAGAAAGAGTCTCGACTTTATTCTTCCCTTCACCATAAGCGCTTCCCACAGTTGTAGGTTTCCCTCCATAGAAGCCTAGTCTGCCACCGGCATGCGGAAAGCTGGCTTCATATGTCGGGATCGACGATGTGCCATTGAAAATCTCGCATTTTTTATCACGAAAATCATCGAAACAAATAAGTGCATTATCGCCATCATAAATTGAAAGTGCGTCGGAAAACCTAGAGTACTCGTTGATCAATCTTGATGCATGTTCTTTCCAAACACAGTCTTCCAATCGAGCAATCTTTATTGGATAAAAATTATGTTAACCCTTATTATATCTTACTTTTTGTCTGTCCATCAAACCACCGAAAATGTAAATCTCGCCCTTTACAAGAGCATAAGAAACGTAAAGAAGATATTCAATTGTCGGTTCGTTGATTGTTGCATCCCTCACTGTGCTTCCATCTAATGAAATCGAAAATGCCTCGTCCAACTGATATCCCATAACTAAGATATTTGTTACGGAAGTAAAGAGAAAATTTTTCAGGTTTGCGAGATTGTCAAGCTTAAAAATCCGGATCTTTTTGTTTCTGATAGTTTCAAGGCCAGTTGTCATTATTTTTGAACTGTTTTTCGTTTCTTCTTCCTTGAACTTCCTTAAGTTCAATTTTACTAGAAATCTGCGAGGAGCAAAAAATATTTTAACTGTTTAATTTGAACCCTCACTGAACAACTTCAAGGTAATTTGACTCATAAGAATTCGATGTATAAAAATCAAGTCCCAGTTGTCTTAATTCTCCATTATTTAATAAAATATAGCGTCCATTAAAATAGTGAGAATCAATCCAAAGAGAGCCATTTTGAAAAATTCCCAAGCTAATGAAAGAAAATCCATCGAAAAATATCAACTCAAGAATTTTGAATTCTTTAAGAACGGTAAATTTCTCCGGGAAATCAACTTCAAATCTGAAAGCGTCAGTTCCATTTAATTTCATCTCGACAGTTGAAATATGTTTCAATTCTTCGAGGGAAGTAAAGGGATTATCCGGAATGATTGTTTTGTAATAAGAACTCGATTTAGGAAATTGTTGCTGAGAGACAGCATTCTTCGCGAAAGCAGGAAAAACATCGTCGTGAAAGGCGAAATAGGGATTACTGGTCACGTGAATTTTTGTTTCGGATTCTAGTTGGGTGAATTCAAGCTCGATCATCTCTTTATGAAGATTTTTTAAGTCGAAGTAAATCACGTTTCATTAGAAATATTGCAAATCCTTCCCGAAATTGAAGCTAATTTCAAATAAAGAGTCGAAGACGTAGTTTTGAACAAAGATCTTTTCGTCGTTGGTGAATCCATTCCCGAAGTAGTCGCATTCGTCAATATTCTTTCCCTCTTGATCAGTATAATTTGTATCATCTTGCGCAAACAATTTCGAATAGCAGATAGAATATTCTTTGTATTTTACAAGTGATCCTATCCACTCGCCGCCAAGAGTCAGAAATTTTCCTTCCGCTTCTAGTAACACAGAATACAGGGTATTTGAAAGGACAATGCTTCTCGTTACTAAAATTAAAAGCAGTCTCCCTAAATCGATCTTCCTCGAGTTGAAACGTGAATTTTAACAATATTCAAAGGTCTGCGGTGGTGAAGTCAGACAACTACAATCTATGAGAATCTGCATGACCTTCACCCCCACCTTCGCCACGCAATTGACGTCAATACTGTGACATTACCATCTGTCAACTCTTTATTTCCCCCTGCACCGCCAGAGTTAAGGCACTTCTTGATAACACGAATCAGTATAGAAGTCCTGATCTTCAGGCATCTCACTTGCGTATTTATTGTAGTCCAGTCAGGGCTTGTTGGGTAGTAGTTTTAACACCCACATCTGGTGACTGAAGTGGGATAGACAATGCGAAAAATAAAAGCTGTGGAGACCACGATAAAAGCAAGAGAAATCGCCATTCAGATTAGTTTTTTTTCTGAAAACTCAAAAAAAAGGGTGCTTTTCACCCTTCAAATGGATACACTTGACGAAGAGTTACTCGTCAACCCTCAGACAGGGGGAGAGAGGGGAATTCGGCGATCCAAACGACGAAGTCATTCTTCAAGAAGTACAGCAAGAGCAAGTTCCTGCTCAGGCTAATGATCAACCTCAAGCGCAACTGCAAGTCGAAAGGCCAAACGATATGGAAATTGCAATAGACGCAATTAGAAACGAGCTCCTAGCCGCCGGCCCCTACGACAACGACGAACGATCAATCAAGGACGTGGTAAATTACCGGGAACTGGGCATCGAGCGAGTCCCAGTACAAGCGCGCGGCTACCGGGATCGGGCTCTGGCGGTTCGAGAAAAATTTGCTCGGGAATTCGCGTACGAAGGCTCGAGAATTCTCAACAGCTAGAAGCAGATGGCCACTGAAGCAGGGTCACGATTGATGTTTAACCGACAACAAGACATGCAGGACGCCCCGCAGGCCCTAGTTGACAACCTGATCCGGGCGCTCAATGAAGCGAGAATACGTCAGCTGACGGGAATCGCCGGTACTCTCCATAGCCTCAATCTGCACATCACTTACGTTAGTTGCCCCCATGTGTCATTCTGCTTTCCTCTACCTGCGCCTGAGAACTCATGAGCTGCGCAGACTTCAAAGAGAGAGTCGAAGATGGCGACTGGATGTAACGCTCCCTCGAATCTAAAAAGGGGGAGGAGATGCGATGGTGAAACCAGACAACTACAATCTATGAGAATCTGCACTTGACGTCAATACTGTGACATTACCATCTGTCAACTCTTTACTTCCCCCTGCACCGCCAGAGTTAAGGCACTTCTTGATAACACAAATCAGTATAGAAGTCCTGATCTTCAGGCAACTCACTTGCGTATTTATTGTAGCCCAGTCAGGGCTTGTTGGGTAGTAGTTTTAACAATCACAAAGTCCACAATTTCAACTCATTCCAAAGGGACAACATGGACAGGATTCAGGTCTCTTAATTCCGCTGGAACTCCAAAATCCCCTTTTCGCCATCCCTTCTCCAGTTCCTCGTCTTTACTTATTCTGTTCAAAGCAACTGTCGTCGACAGTTTTACATAATGATCTCCGAGCCTGGCACTCATCAAGTACAAAACTCCTCTAAAGCTTACAGAGGACACTTTCGCGTTAAAATGGTTGCTTGCGATGAAGCCCTGTGCTTCTTCGAAACGGTTGAGGTTGTAATCTGGGGCGTAATAGAAGCACTTATCATCCTTTCCAGTCGGGCGGCTTCAGACGGTCAACAATGATTTTTTTAAGAATCCCCTGATGTTTTCGACCGTTTTCAGATAACGACGACTGGAAACACTTTTCTGTTCTTTTCTTCTCGGCGAATCTCGATTTGATGAGTTCCGATTGAAGATCCGTAGTGGAAAACGAAGAAACCTCTTAAAATTTGGATCGAAAGAATCAATCAGAAAAGATGACGTACATTTTCCCGCGTCGATTCGGAATTATATTCGAGGTTTCGCCATTTTCCTTCACTTTCATCAAGTTTCCAAGAGCATCGACCAAATAATGTTCCCCATCAAGAAAAGTAGCACCTGTTGACTTTCTCGTTTTTATTAATTGGTTGCGTATGATATCATTTTAGAAGAAAAAAAAACCGTTCATAAAGGAAAAAAGAGTCTGAAAGATTCATTTTTACATGATTTCCACTCAGATTTGAAAGAATAGGCTTCCGAAATTCTCGCTTTTCATTTTGTCGACCAGTCCAACGAGCAGTTATAAGTTCAACCTCATTATTTGACGCTGTTTTTAAAGCTTCCGAGGTCAAATCTGTTGAGTTCGCATCCATATCAAAAACAGGAATCATTTTCTGCCGCGATTGTAATTTTTCACACTCGTAAAAGGGACAAGGACAACCAGTTGAGCAGTATTTCTGATAGGGGCAAACGTCTCCAGCGGAATCGGCAGTTCTTGTTATTTGAAAACACATTGATTCACAGAGAGAGATGGGATTAGTCCTCGTTGATTCCAAAACGAGCGATTCTGAGCAAAGATGGCGGCAAATCTTTTGATCGTAAAACTGTTTCTTTTTGCAGCGTAAAAGATTCACTTCGTTTTCTTCTTCGGAGAATTCTAGGGCTGCATTTTCTGGCGGTTCCATATTGAAAACTGGTTCAGGAAGAATAAATTCTTTAGTTTCATAACACTTCTTCATCAGATGCCCGCATAAGTCCATTGTTGCAATTTTGACGCATTTTTTGTAATTTAGGTGGCAAGTCGAAGTCAAAAAAGTGGTTACGGCACGGGATCGCTCTAAGGACGCGAAATTTGCTATGAACATAAAATACTCCTTTTTTTAAAATTATAAACGAGGTACCTATAAGCATGACACTGATCCAGAAAATCGAGCCAAGTACAAGATAAGTGTATTGCTGAGTATTTGTTGCATTTCCGTGCTTCGCCAGGCTCAGCTTTTCGGTGACCTTGACTTTCCACTTCTTTTCATTCTTCGAGCTTTTAATATCATGTTCTTGAGTTAGAATGCTCCGGATTGTAAGAACTTCTTCCGGCAGTAAATAAACTTTCTTCTCTTTTTGTCTCAGAACCCCAATACAGTCGCAATCAAGACACTTTTGGTAAGTTTAGTTCATTCTAGGAGCAAGCGAGTCTATAATACCTGTATTCTCGCCTGGAAAATTTTATTTTCAATTTTTTCGTTTTCCTCTTCGATTACCATAGCAAGTAATTACTGAAAAAAAGCGGGAAAAAAGGAAGACGTTAACGAGAGCATGCTGCGTGCTCTGAGCATGCTTATGCTCAGCACTTTTCAAACCCTGGTCTGACAGCTCGACAGTTTGGTCTCCGTTCCCGTTCCTTTTTGAATATCACTCCATCTGAAGTGGCGAGTACGAGATCACGTTGATTTGATCACTCGCTATGGTAATCGAAGAGGAAAGCGAAAGAATTGAAAGGCCAATTTTACAAGCAAGAATACGGGTAATTATAACGGTATAATTATAAAGATAGCGCTAAACTTAAAAGTGTCTTGATTGCGACTTTGTCGGGGTTTTGAGAAGAAAGGGGAAGAAAGTTTATCTATTTCCGGAAGAAATTCTGAGAACTCCAAGCATTGAACCACATGCAATCGTCCGACTTAGTTTTGAGGGAGTTACATTGGTCGACCAGAAAATTTTTGGGAGAAGTAAATTCTGGCATCCTGTTCTCGTTGAAGTTCCTGCTCATTATTGCGTATAATAATAAAATCATTAAAGTTATCATAGAAAAATTATGAAATGAAGGATTTATTTGAATTAATCTTAGTCGAGGTAAATAAAATGAACAACGGCGATAAAATTTCCACCATTCGCTTTCTGAGTCACTAGAAATAACAATAAGGGGATACAGTAATAAATAGAGTACCAGAAACGCTCATGTCTGTCTCCTTGTCCCAGAGAGAGCTTGATGCGAGTTTTGAATCTGACGGATTTCCGATGTGAAAAGTCTGCTCTTAGATCGAGATGGCTGTATTGATGATGGATGGTTTTTTGAATCTAAGGTCCTGAATAATGAATCTGTATCGTTTGGGCATCATGAGCTTTACTCTATCGTGTATTTCTGACGTTATCTTGGTAACAAAGCTCGTGTCGATCACAGTAGGCACGCTTAGATCAAAAATTGAAATTTGCGATTCTATTTGAGAAGGGCTTACTTCTTCAAGACGCTTGTCAGGACGAAGCGGATTACTTCGAGATTGGGTTTTTCATCTGGAAGCAGTTTGTACGTTGGCTCGTAGACTGTGGCGCCTGTTCGGGAGCGGAAAAAGGACCTGAAAATGAGGATGAAAAATTGATGTTGAAAACCCTTATCAGTAATAATATGGCTACCAGATATTTGATAGACTATCAATGATAGTGCTCACAACTTGGCTCGGCGACCAGTGTAGAAAACCTGAGTCAGGTTCTCAAGAGCTTCAATTAAAGCCGCGTAGCGGCTTTTTTGTTGGCTTTGCGGCTTCGCTAATAATCAAAAAAGATCAAGATGGTTATATTGCGAAGCCGCAAGTCATTTTTAAAAAAAACCGCTCCGCGGCTTTTCATTCACGCTCTTCAGAACTCAGATTTTATACACAGGTTGCCGATTTATGATCAAACCTTCTCCGGCGAACATGTTCCTTCAACGCAATTTTCGCTCTGTCCAAGTTTGAATAAGTTTATCTCTTTTTACAAAAACAAAGGAAACTTGAAGAGAGTCGATTCTAGTATTGAAACTCGTGTTGCCTATTAATTCCCATTCCCGGATTTCCAGATTTGTTGCTTGAAGATCGCCGCGATCGCGCTTCTGTCCTAAATCAAAAAAGTTCCTTGTGTAAATTTGCTCAAGTGCATTCACAGTGGGGAATATATTTTTATAAGGCCTTCAGAAATTCACTTGGGAAGATCTTTTGTCTCGATCGATCAACAGAAGAAAGTTTGTTCTGTAGTTCTTTCGAGGAAAACTCAGTGTTGTTTTTGAACATGGGATAAGCGCTAGAATTAGTGAAGTCTGAGTTATCAGCAAAATTATATTTCTAAGCCATTTTCTTAAAAATTTTACTGATAAAAGTCGAGAAGCCGCTTGCGGCTTTGAGAAACAAATATCGCCGCGGCTAGCGAATTAATGTTCTGATACCCTTAATTCTTTAGCAAAATAATTTCTTATCCGTATTTTGAAACCGGTTTATTACTTATTTTGCTGATAAAACTTGAAAAGCCGCGTGCGAGGCATGAAGCATAAAAAGCCGCTCTGACAGCGGCTATATTTATTCTCGAAGCCGAAAGTGGCTTTTCGATTTTTATCAGTTAAATGAGTGATAAAGTGGCTTTAAAATATGGATCGGAAATTCGTTTGGTAATTGATTAAGGGTATCAGAACACTAATTCGCTGGAAAAATCGCTGATAAATTGGTTGAGGGTTACTCCAAAAATTAAGGCTTTCTCTTACAAAAAAAAAAGATCGATGGTAACGTTAAAATTCTGAAGCTAATTTTTCGCGAACTAGGGGGAAGAAAGTAAAGCTGATTGTCAAGAAGAGCTTCCGAGAGCAAATGCAGATTTCGAAGGAATCTCGATATTCCTCAGTCCTATCTCGAAAACAATGCAAATAGCCTTCTTTCTGACCCTTACCTTATAAATGGAAGTGATCGGCGATGCTGCGAAGACATTTTTTCTTTCTTTTGCAATTTCTTATTTCTCTTTTTTTTTTTACTGTAGAATTTTTCCTACAACGCTTTGCGAAATTGTTTCTTTTTTTATTAAATTGGTACTTGAAAGTTTGTTTGTCGAGTAATAACTTATGACGAAAATTGACAAGAGCAGCTGCCGTCTTACTTTAGAAAAATTGACTCTGCGGTAGAATTTTTCAATTTGCCCGTCAGAAGAAAATTTATCACTGGGGGGAACATGCGCTGTCGAGTGCGTTCTTTATACACTCAAAGAATAAACACCTTTTGGAGATGCTCAACATGCGGCGATTCCTGTAATTGGCGACTGACCAGGGCTGGCAAATTAGGGTCCTAACAGCCGCACTACCGAAAAATTGTTAGGGTTCTAACTCAAAATTAGTGCAAATTAGTGCGGCATCCCCGTCCTACCCGTCCTATTTTTTCCTTGATATTTTTCGTCCATTAGGACCGAATCGCCGCCCTAACCGCACTAATTTGGAGGCTCTTTTTCATCATCCAATCGGCGCGCGCTTCCCACCAGGCGCGGAGGACAAATTGGTGGAAGATTGAAAAAGAATGCAGCTGAATGGATGAGAAAAACGAATGACCCGCCATGATTGGCGGACCAATAAGCGCGCGCCTATTTTAGGACGATTTTAGTGCGGCTTTTCCAACTCTCGTACTACTCGCACTAAAAGTTATAAAATGAGAGTTAGGGCCCTAACAATAGGGTTCTAACTCAAATTAGTGCGGCTGGCGGGACCCTAATTTGCCAGCCCTGGTTAGAACCCTATTGTTAGGGCCCTAACTCTCATTTTATAACTTTTTAGTGCGAGTAGTACGAGAGTTGGAAAAGCCGCACTAAAATCGTCCTAAAATAGGCGCGCTTATTGGTCCGCCAATCATGGCGGGTCATTCGTTTTCTCATCCATTCAGCTGCATTCTTTTTCAATCTTCCACCAATTTGTCCTCCGCGCCTGGTGGGAAGCGCGCGCCGATTGGATGATGAAAAAGAGCCTCCAAATTAGTGCGGTTAGGGCGGCGATTCGGTCCTAATGGACGAAAAATATCAAGGAAAAAATAGGACGGGTAGGACGGGGATGCCGCACTAATTTGCACTAATTTTGAGTTAGAACCCTAACAATTTTTCGGTAGTGCGGCTGTTAGGACCCTAATTTGCCAGCCCTGGTTCTAACTCAAATTAGTGCGGCTGGCGGGACCCTAATTTGCCAGCCCTGCGACTGACAGATGAGTTTGATAGCTAGAGTGGCCAACAAAGCTAATAAGATGCAGACATGCAATCGGAAAGATTTGACAGGCCTTGTTTTACTCAATGGAATGCAAGTTTTTCTCTAACAAAGTAGATATGAGGTTTTTGTATTCGTTTTCATAATTTATTTCGACGGATACCCTATGAACAACTTCAGTGGTTTTCTGTCAGATCATTTTATCTTCTGATTTCGAAAATGGCCTGCCGATATTTTGACCAGCTTTTATACGAAAAATTATACTAAAAGAGGGCGCGAATGTTTGCTAAGAAACAACCTGGTTCGATTAATGTTTGCTGTCTTATTTACAGAAATCCTCAACAGTACTTCAAATCTAGGCTGTATCACTCTGCCTCGGCTTGGCGCCTTCCCCACCGAGCCTGCGCACCATATTTTATGGACCATCATATGTTACAGGATCCTAGGCAGCACAAACCAACTCAAGCATAATCGTACCTTTTCATTTTATTTTGACAAAGATTCAGGTTTACAGTCATTTTAATACGTTGTTGATCTTATACAGAATAAGTTATACTCTTACTGGTTTGAATTTGATAAGCAAGTGAATAAGTGCATCACATTTTCGTTCAGCCATGTTATACCCATTCCAAGGAGTAAAGTCAGTACTTTTTGAGTAGATATCTAGATATAATTAGATAGAAATCTTTATATAGGAACATTTACATAAGTAACTTACAATCAGCGCATTCTACATAGATTGAGTTCAAATCAAACATAGACAGAGCCTCGCTTGAAGCAAAAAGAAATAAGAAAAAATTCATTGCCTTTGAATGTCTACCGATGAACTAAGGTTCTTCTCGAACTTCTGACTCTTATAAGTAATTTTTTTTGCATAAATCATAAGAACCTATCAATGATGCTGCGGCCCGGGACGACCCCAATCAAGGATATTTACATTTGCTTAAATATTATTTTTTTCGACGAATTTGATATTTATACAAAGCGTAGTTATACAAAATATAGCGAAATTGGCTCGCCTGAGACTTATGCATAATATGCCATCATGCACTTGCTTTTGACTGCTGCCAGAATTAATGAGAAGGCGAACTCCTTCAAAATAATATTTGATCATCCAAATTTAATGTTCTCAATTTCGATTCAACGTGGTTCCTATGAATAAACTTTCTTTTAGTGCCACTTCCAGAAGAAGATCAAAGATAACAGGTTTTGCATGTTGAGTTGACCTTATCGAAGCTTGCCTCTTGGAATCAGTTTCGGTTGAGTAAACTTAAGCCCTTGCACTTTTTTTTTTATCTTTTCTTCGGCGATCCGAGACGGATACATTGCTGAAGGTCGAACAAGCCAGCTTCTTGTTGAATCGATTCAAGGGCACTGTAATTAGAAGCAGTAACTAGTATCAGTTGCTGCTTTATGCTCAAGTCATCAATCAAAGGGTCACTAAAGGGTTCTTTTAAGCCCTTACTATTTTGATTGCTTTTCTAAGAAAGTGCATTTATTCTTTTTTCTTTGTTTGAAAAGAAAGAAATCAAGGAAGAGAACGCCCGCAAGAAATTTCAAATTTAAATTTCGTGCCTCCGAGAAATTTCAAAAAAGGCACCAAAAGGGCATAGGTTAGTAGGTGCTCAAGGAGTAGCTGAATGCACTTGGTGTATTTGTTGGCGGAGGTGCCCGGGGCGCGGCCGCGGTGACTGCACTACGCTGCGGTTTGTTCAATTTTACAATTTTTCGAAAATTCGCAACTTCCAACTTTCAAGAGAGAAATTGATTAACCAAAGCGACAAGCGGAAAACAATCGGACACGCGCCAAATCTGAACAGAAACAAGAAAAAAGACAGAGAGAGAGCGACTTCCAGAATGTACTGACCCGGTAAGCTAAAAAATAAAGAAGCTTTGAAATTCGAAATTAATACTTTTTCTCAAAAAATATTTTTATGGCCAATTTTATTATTTTATCATTAAAAGAACTAACCGATCGATTTCCAAGTGAATGTATAAATTTTTCATCGCAAAATTTTTCATTTTTGATTCCCTAAAATGTCAAAAAAATTGTACCTAGTTGTCCCTAAAATATCTATCAATCGTAAGAAGTAGGCTTGGGTTAGGGTAAGGGTTAGGGTTAACGCAATGATTGAGGTTAGGGTTAGTTTTGAATTCAAAGAAAAATTGAGACTAGCTTTTGAAACTCAAACCAAGAAAATTTTGTTTGTTGATTGATAATGCTTCCACGAAAACAGCTGACTTTAGAAGATCACCTGCAAGATGTGATTTTCATGTTTTGCTATTTGCAAAGATTCTCCTCAAGCGGAAAATTCTCATCATGAGAAAACCTGGCGCAGACTCGAATTTGATCAATATTTTGGTCTGTTTTTGTCTGATAGACAGGTTAACATTTCCAGTTATCAATAAACAAGTTCATAAATTGACTAGCCTCGGCAACCTGAGTAGAAAGCCTGAGTAAGGCTCTGGAAAGGCTCAAAGCGGCTTCGCAAAAATTTCAACAAGATTGAGATAAATGTATTTTCGAAGCCGCTTCGCGGCTTTGTTTTTTAAAAAGCCGCTACGCGGTTTTTAATTTTAGCCTTTCCAGAAACTAACTCAGGGTTTCTACTCAGGTTGCTGAGGCTTGTAAATTGATGATCAATGATGAAGATAAGCAAATGAAGTGGCCTTGTTTAAAATGCAGATTTGTTGATTAGTGTGCTCGTGGGAAGTCTGGGACGGAGATTGACCGGTCTCGTAGCCACAAATCAAAAAAGACGCTTTTGATGATTTCCAAGGACGGATTTATATTCTGAGATGAAATCAGATACAATCTAAGAAGCGAGCAATAAACCCATTCAGATCATAAAATCTCTATCACAGTTTTTTTATGATTAGGTACAACAAAGAGCACCACAAATTGAATTTCCAGACTTTTTCAAAAGAGAAAAAAAAAACCGGAAACAGAAAATTCAAAAAAGAAATTTTACGAAAAAAATTTTTTGAAAAAAAGAAGACAAGTTTGTAAGTTTTTATTTTTACTAGTTTCGTTTGTTTAATTTTGTTTGTATGTGTGGCGAAGATTTTAAGAGAAAGAGAGCTCTCAGGGAATGAAAAAAGTCAACAAAAGTGTTTGTCGAAAAAAAAAAAGCTTCAAAGCGCGTGTTAAGTGGCTCATTTGGCATTCCAAAAAAGTTTATGTCCGGGATTAGCTCCATTCAAAAAAAGAGGGCCCGGAAAGAGTGGCTCAGCGATTTTCTAGCAACAAGAGTCATGCTTTGATCGCGCCGCTCAGCCTTTTTTTTTTCATGAAATTATTCCCGGTGGAAATTTTATTTGCTTCCTTGATTCCGGTTTTTTGGAAATTCTTGAGCTTGATTAATTTTAACCACGAATTTGTTGAACACTAATTTTTTATATTTTTATTGCTTTTTTTGAGCATTATTAGGTCTCGCTCATTTTAGGGGTGATTCACCAAAAATTATAGCGCAAAAAATGACTAGCGCTAGAAAATGGAACATTGGAAGGTGCGTGATTCAAAACTCGTTTTTTGTATTTAGCGATAGTAAATAGAAGTGAGGGAGATTTGAAGATTTGGGAGTGTGGTCCGCCAAAATTACGCGCTAAGCATACAAAGCCGTATTGTAAAAATCGTATTTCCAAATTCAAGTGTTTGGCTGAGATCGATTTCGGTGATCAAATAGAACTTATACCACACACGGAGGAGTGTTCGTTTCTCACGTAAAATTAACCACTTTTTTGAAACTATACAAGTTCGCCAATACAGTTAGAGACATACAGTAACTCGTAGGTATGTGTCTATTCAAAAACCATGATTTTCAAAATCAAGTGTCTGTTGATTACTGTAGCTACAGTCTTGGTTTGGCGACCTGTTCAAATCCTGAGTCAGGGTTCTGAATAGCGTAGCGGCTTTTGATTAAAGCTTTTTCAGAACCCTGAACTCAGGTTTTTTAAACAGGTTGCCGAGCTCTGCTGTAAATTACTGTAGCTACAGTAGCAATCAGTAATAAACGCCATTTTCGCCATTTTTTCGCACCGAAATGGCAAAACAAAAAATATTGGCCCTTATCACACATACTCAACAAGTTTTCTCTCTCGATTTCGAAAATTTCGCGTTTAAATTTTTTTAAGTTTCTCAAATTTGAGACGCGAAAATTAAAAATTCTTTTCAGAGAACGTTCCAAAGAACAAAAGTGAAGTTAACACGCTCAACATGGACTACTACAATGATCAAAAAGAGAAAGGCAAGTAACACGCTAATTTTACACGAAATTCGAGGAAAGCAGATGATCAGCAGCGTCTTTACTAGTCGAAAAGTGTCAATTTTCGCACTAAAAAGTCGCTATAAAATCGCAGCTTTTTCAATAAAGAAGCATCTTGATCAAATTTTATCAGGAATAAAATCATTATAAAGCATAAAAACCGAGCACTTCTGAAAGCGAAAATAATTTTTTAAACCCTGGTGGTCCACCAATCAATCAATTTTTGTAGAATATTATACGATGACATCTCCGCAGCCGGCGAAGAAAGGATGTATCACCTTTTCAAATCAGTTCTATTTGTACTTCAGCTTTGCTGGCACTGCCCTCTGCCTCTTTTTATTCCAAATAGGTATGTTTCTGATTATATTTTTTCTTCTGAATAGCGTTTTAAGTGTTCACGCTCGTTTTGGCTTATCTCTTCCCATCATGTTTTTGCTCCGACATGTTCCATCACATCACAATTCTTCCAGCCAACGCGGCGATGCTCATGTTCGTGCTTTTCCTCTTCTTCGCCACTTTGTCTATTTTCGGCATGTTGGCGCTCTACGGAGTCTACAAAGAAAAGATCGCCAAGATCTATCCTTTCCTTTTCCTCCTCGTTGTCGTCCTTGTTTCCATGCTGATCGGAGGCATCATCGGCGGGGTCAAGTCCATTTCAGCTCCAGAAGCCAACCCGATTGAAGATACTGAAACTTCTTTTTCGCAACAAAAAGAGGAGATTCTCTCAATGCTCAGGTAAACAAACAATTATTTTATTTGATTAATTTAAAATTAAATTCAGCATAATTCTGACAGAAGAAGGACTTGAGCTCGTAAATTCACTGCTGGTTCTGACTGACCCTCAATTCGTCTCGATGGATGTGCAGAAAATGATGGAGAAGTTTCTGAAACCCTCCGCTCTAGAATTCGTCGAAGCTGGCGAAAAGACTCTGATGGTTGCGGCGATTATTTCTGTCGTTGGAGTGTTGGTTATGCTCATTGGAACTATTGTCTGTCTTTGGAAACTGGTACAGAAGATGGCAGAATATCAGGTAACGAATCTAGCTTTTACAGTAAGATAACTTTCTTGATCATAGAAAGCAGAAGCAAAAAAGCGTAATCTGGTGTCTCCCGATGGCTACATCCTCCAACACAACAACACTGTCAGCGTCCGCAGCAGAAACCACTCCCAGCAAAACGTAAGTTCCTTTTTTCAATTGAAACGCGATTCTAATTGCTATTTTCAGCCGAAAGTAGAATACCGTTCCAGCGTTTATCACTCGCGCCATGCACTCAGCTCCCATTCCGAAGAGGTAAGCTCATTCTTCCCGAACTAAGGACTGATTAAAAATTGTAGATCCTGCTCAACAGCTAACCAATAATTCGTTACAAACGACCGAAGAGACCTCGAAGACCCTGAAGACCTTAGTTTACGAAAATTCAAAGCGAATAAGCCTATTTAATAATTCGTTCTTTTCACTGTTAAAATATTCTATTTGTAAATAAAAAATGTACAATGATATTCAAACAAACAGGCAGCTTTCAAAAACAGGCCTGCAATTAATGAGTTTTTTACTTAAAAGAAAAATTTTGGAGAAACCAATGAATCTATATATTTTATTGATGAATAACAGTATATTTTAAAGTAGAGAGGTCGAAAACGTCCCAGAAAGATTTTCTGGGATCCCGATTCTTAAAACTCTTGAATTTCTATCCACCAAAGAAAGTCTTCATTATTCAGGTCGATTTCCATTACTCGAAGCCAATTGTATCCACCATCAATATTATTTTTCCAACCTTCAAAAATATTTGCAATCTACCTAAAAGAAATATTCTCTGGGTACCTCTCGTTTGATCCTCTGCTGCTCTGACTGTGTAAGGACACTCTGCATCATCACAGGTGATTCGTTCTATCAACCATGTGTTTCCATACTTTGACAAATCGGCGCCGTCCGTTCGTATATGATTGACATAAGTATAATTGTCATCAGTGTTATTTCTGCAGTACATTGCTTGTGTTGGCTTCTTATCAGCGTATAATAAGTGAGTATGGATAATATATTCGTGTTTTCTTGGCGTTGCTTCAAAATCGACATGATGAATACCATTATCATTCAACATCTTCGTTTTCATCCATTTTTGGTTTTTTGTTCCGTCACCACACTTCACTGTCATCTAAAAATAATGCTTGAAGCTGAGGTATTAGTAGAAGCTTACTTTCTTATCGTGACTTAGAAACCCAATTGTAGCGTCGATGCACGTGGGAATATCATCGATTTCGAAACAGACGCCTCCACCGCAATCGTAACCGAAGCATTGGTTGAATGTAGGGTCTATTGTTGTAGTTGTAGTTGTAGTTGTAGTGCCTTGAAAGTTTCCATAGATACATGGGTGCTCTCCCTCACGTGGACACCAGTGACATCCAGATGACTTGCAACTATTCTCGTCGTATCTGTTGCAGCTAACTCTTTCGAGACAATTGCAATCATGACAATTTTGTCCAGGAATATCCATTCCTTCTGTATAATAACACCATGGTTTACCATCAGGCATTTGGCAGAAAGTACAGCCTTTTTCAAGACATTTGCGTTCATTTTCTGCTCCATAATCCTGCTCAAGACAATCAATCGCTGAGCACGAAGGGTCACAGCCATTGCAAGATGTCCTTGTTGTGGAAATTGTTGATAGAATCGATGTTGTAGTTGAAGTCGGAAAAGTCGAGGATTCTTTATTCGTGGACGATGAGATTGAATGTGTTGTTCCTTCTGTCGATTGCGATGGGAATGGAGCTCTCATAGTTGTTCTCGAACGCAGAGGTGGTAGATTCCTGGGTTAAACTATCCCTAATAGTTTTGGGCACTTCTAATTAAATTTATATCAGATCACTGATCGAGACCTCAAAAGGAACAAGAAACTCTTTTAACAACACTATTTTTAAGGGCACTTATCTACCACCTCTGGTGTAAAAAATAGTCGAATCTTCCTTTCTCGTTGTTTGAAAAGCTGTTTCTTTAGTTGAGACTTCATCGTCTGTCCATAATTGAGTCTCTCCTTTCGTCTTTTTCCCATATAAAATCGGAATAGAGATCAATAGCCCAGTTGCCACAATCAAAAAAACGGCCCATAATTTTGCTTTCCTGTCTTTCATTTTCTGGATAATATGGCCGCCGACAAATTAAAATGGTCTGGTTTATCAGTTTATAGAAAGACATCTTGATGGTCTTGAAGGACACATTCAAGATAATGCGAATATTTGACAGATGAAAGGAAGACGATACTATAATTAACGTAATTTGCAAGAAAAAAATTATTAGAGCTTCATTAATTCGAACCCGTCTCATCCGAACTTAAGATTGATAGAAAATATTGTAGATCCTGCTCAACAGCTAACCAATAATTCGTTACAAACGACCGAAGAGACCTCGAAGACCCTGAAGACCTTAGTTTACGAAAATTCAAAGCGAATAAGCTTATTTAATAATTCGTTCTTTTCACTGTTAAAATATTCAATTTGTAAATAAAAAGATGTACAATGATATTCAAACAGAGAGATTAGTTGTTACTGAAACTTTTTATTTTTCGCTAGAAGGTTTCAAAATGTGTGAATCACAAATAAGAAAGCCTGTTGCTGCAAACATTATCACAAAAGTCAAGAGTTGTCGCAAACATGACAGGAATAACGTTAGAAAAAGAGCTAGAATTGCCGAATTCCAGCATTATTTCTGTTTCAAGTACCAGGTCGTCTTCGATTTCTAAACGCTCAACCGGAAATTGATAGTCGCCTTCGTAGTCTCTCCATGGCTCATCTCCGGGCGCAAGGTAAATAAACTTTCCAACCTTGATTGCAGATCCAACAACATTTGGCTTAAAAAATGTTAAGTGGGGGCTCGTCAATAAAGAAAATTTTGGGTTTGAATATTTGCCCACCGATTGCCCCAATTTTGGGTTGATAAAATACTTACTTCACGAAGTTCTCCAACTAAACTCCATTCGTCTTCACTCAACAGCCAGACTTCTTTTGAAGTAACGATGTTATAATTAATGAGATCTTCATAGTATTCCCCTCCTGCGAGGATTAATCCACCACTTTCGAGTCCGATAAGGGTGTGCTGAGAGATAAATCTGAAATACATAATTTTAATCTGGTCTTTTTATGGTCAAATATTTTTTAGATTTAATTTACCTTGGATGCTCATTTAGAAGTGTCCAGCCGTCTTCGTTCAGAACTTCAACTTTTCCCCAAGCGTTGTTTGTAGGAGTTTGATGGCCAACCGAAGTTGGTTTGCCATTGTAGTGACCGAGTTTCCCATATAAATGGTCAAACTCGGTTGAAAAAGTTGAAACGACGTTCTCAGTGTCAAAAATATCGCAACTTTTTCCAGCTTGAAATCCGAAACATATAAGCGCTAAAAATAGGCAACATGAATAAAGTGAAACCTTTACCTAAGGAACCCCCCCCCCATCAAGAATCGCGAAAATGAGCGAAATTAGGAGCAAGTTTTCCTCAGAAACTATCTCAGCAAGACCCTTAATTTTATTTGATACAATTAGATCCAACCCTCGGCTACAACCGTTCTCCATATGATGACCCCTTGATAACAAACTTAAGGAAATACAGGCCATTAAAGGTAAGGCTGCTAAGAGAAAGTATTTTTTCGTTTTTTAGTCGTAGGTATACCCTTAATTTTTTACAGGGTCAAGGTAAGGCCCTAAGCTACAACCGTTCCTCTTTTAAGAGTTTTAGGTCAACAAATTTAAGGACAGGTCCATTAATAATGGTCTTTAAGGACCCCCCCATCAAGAATCGCGAAAATAGGGCATCTTAGTGAAAGTTTTTCTCCAAAACTATCTTAGCTAGACCCTTAATTTTCATTGCATCCTTTAGATCGAACCCTCTACTGCCACCGTTCCCTTTAAGATGATCTCTCGATGCCAAATTTAAGGTTATACAGGCCGTTAAAGGTCAAGTTGCTTAGTGAACGTTTTTTTTGGGGTTTTCGTTGGGTTATACCCTTAATTTTTCTTCATGGTAAAGTTAAGGCCCTAAGCTACGACCGTTTGCTTTTTGAGAGTTTTTTGTCTACGAACTTAAGGAGGACAGCCCCTTTAAAATTTTATAAGTCGAATTTCCAGATTTAAATTTTCTGTAATTATTGCGTAAATTGCCATGAATTACGTTTTTATACTCCAGTTTATGATAAAAATAGTTTTTATGGTTGGTATACCCTTAATTACCATTAAAAAATAGCGAACTAAAGATTTTTATGAAATGTAAAATGTTAATTTTCAATTTTTGAAGTCAATTTCTGCCAAAATTTTCTATAAGATCAAAAAAATTTTCTGAATAAAAGTTGTTCCTCGTGGTCTAAACTACCCAAAAAAGCAAGAAAATTTTGAAAATTTTGACTTTTTTCATCTTGATGGGGGGGTCCTTAATGCCTTTTTTTGGCTGACAAGAAATTTTAAAAGTGGCCTAAAATTGGATTTTTTCGATAGCAGGATTCGCGGATTATCCGAAAAAGGGGCATTAATTTGCTGAGCCTTGAGTTAGGGTTTCACTGTATTAAAATATATTTACCTTTCGTGTCGTTATCGATTGGCAATGCTGCACTGACGTAAGAGGGATTAAAACTCAATGTCAGTGGAAGATACTCGATCGAACAGCCATTTAATTTTCCGACCTGTGATAAATTTAGATAATTAAAATCTTGATGAAAATATAACGAAATTTTATCGCTACCTGTTGGCCTTTAAATACATAAAGCTCATCTTTTATAAGAGCAAAGACTGAAAACATTGTGTCATAAGAATTTTCTATCATTGGAGTTGATATCTTTGATCCATCTTCGGAAATTATTGTTTGCTGCGTGTAATGTAAACCATTCTCAGTTGTATAGTTACTTCTATTGTGGACAATAAGAAGGCCGAATTCGCTCTAAATATCATAATATCATAGAAAGTTAATTTCAATTTTGTATTGAGTTTAAAAATCTTGACTATGATGACTAATTCTTTTCAAAGTCTCTAGAGACTTCTAGTCTAGAGTCGAGATCCTGCTATTCAGCTGACAAATTATGAATTATCGTAAAAAGTAAAGTCTGCTTTATAAATAAAAATACCTCTCTCTCGGGTTTACAAGAGTTTTTCCAATCATCTTTATTCCAAGCTGGCGCGTTGAATTGACCATCGTTGCAGTGGACATTGCCGGCGACAATTCCATCGTCGCAAACAACCTGGAAGTCTGCCCTTTTCTTGTTTATCACTTTACCATCAAGAAGATGCAGCGCACCACATTCAATTCTGGTGTTATCAGCTTCGGCGATGCAAGGATGGGTTGGCAGCTCCGAGCATGTCAGATCGGTATCGAGCGGAAGATTTCTTATGAAAAATTATTTTTTGAAATTACAAATATTGGCTTACTTTCTAACAATGGTTGGTGGGTCGCCGCATCGCACCATAAACCCTTTCCCATCTTTTTTCGGCTTTGAAATTGACTGATCTGTCCAGTCAGGAGCTGTTCCTTTGTCGCAAGTCGGATGACATCTGATCTTGGACCCTCCAAGACCTTGATCGGGACAAACCCACGATCCGTTTTCGATCGGGAATAAGGCTTTTGTTTCTTCAGCCTTAGCATCGCAAAGCACTTTACGATCTTCTCTCTCCTCAGCATTCAACTTTCGATGCTGCTGGTAATATCCACCGAAGACATTTTCAGCGAAAAGAAAATGAAAAAGTTTCATCGTTAAGTTTTCACAAGAATTTCGGAAAAAATGGTCAAATTTATGGTCAGGAGCAGCGCTCTCTATCGCATCCAGATAATCGGTTGACGAGGAATTGAGACTTCATTTGAGAGCGCCGTGTTGGCAATCGAAACAAAGTAACGTTAACTAGTAAAAGTTCACATTTACCTCGAAAAAAAAGGAAGCTGATATAATTTAATATTTAAGGAGGGGGTCGACGAGAATCGGGATTTCCGTGACCAAAAATGCGGGAAAACCTGATGAGATAGCCTGAATCTGAGTTTACTGCTTAATAGAAAAGGGTTGAAAAAATTAACCGGCGAGAAGTAGAAAAAATTTTGGCCGGAGAAAATCTGTCAAAAATCCCGTCAAAGTAGGGCCATTTTCGCGAAAATGCACCAATAATAGTAACTTTTTTTACAATTTTGTTAATTTCGCCCCCTAAAAATTATTCATCTCAATTCTAAGAATTCATCTCAATTCTAAGAATAACTGCCTGATTATGATGGAATGAAATTTCAATTATTCTAATAGATATCAAAAAACGGATTTCCTCGCAGTGTTTTTTAGAAAGTAACCCCGTTTTGTTTTCCTATGGAAGCCAAAAATTTAGATAACTTGAGATTTCGAGGTGCCACGATGCAACTCTGGCAACTGCGATTGTCGTCTAAATGAGGCCTAAACCAAGAAATGGAACTATTAGGCTTACCCCGCCAGGGTACACCTCCTGAGGCACAAGGGTCGAAAAATTAGCTCTTGCGCCAAAATGCCTTGAAGTTTTGAAATAAAAAAATTGTAGAGCTATCTATCGCTAAGCTATCTTCAGGTTACACTTCGACTACTCTAGGTTAGGGCTAGGGTTCGGAAACAAGCTCATTTTGAGAATTACTGAATTCACCTCCTGAGGTGTTTTTGGCGGGGGCCTAGTATTTTCTCGCCGAAAAAAGATCATGTCTACCCAAGTCATAGGAAGTCGGTTACCTCTTGTTGGAAAATATGCTTCAATATGAGATATTATATCTCCTTATATAATGCTTAATTTCAGGATCAAAACATGGTCTTATATCATATTTATGTATTACATAAAACTTAAAGTTTTATATGTCTAAAAGGCTCTGATGCACCTCCTGAGACGTTTTCGTAGTATCATGAATGAAGTTCGTACGTTGAACTCTAATGATTATGATGACAACAGGAGGCAACGATTTAGCGTTGCTCCTTCGTCGTGTTTGGAGCAAAAATAATTATTCCACGTTTTAAATGTTCAAACAAGGAAAGTTAATTAACTTTCTCAAGTATTCTCAACAAGAAAAGATTAAAATTTCTTTTGAACTTGCGAAATCAGCGAATTATTGAACATCTTTATTAATTTTTTACAGTGAAAAAAAGGCTTCGTATAAAAATTGAGCTAGTTGGGCGGGGCGAAAGTTGCGCCTCTCACTCTTGCATTGAATGACGTTTCTTCGCTGCTTGACTTTTGCTCGACGACTTCGTCAACAAACTCAAAGTCGAATCTAGCAACTTCTCGCTTTTCCTTCTTTGGCGCCGTCATTTCGACAACGATTGAACCAGTAACAGTCTCATCCGGATCCACCACCTAAAAAAACACGATTTTAGTTCCCGGTTCGTTAGCACAGTTTTCTTACAATGTGTCTGGATTGTTCCCAAGGAGCAGAGGTTTGCTTGAACTTTGGCTCATAAGCAGCCGCGCCTAGATTCCAGCTTTTCGTCACCTCTCCTGCTTTGACCTCGATCTTGGCCGAGTAGACTTGCGTTTTTGCCTCGTACTCTGGCTCATCAACGAGGAGCCCGTCTAAGGTGCCTAAATAGATCTGCACAATCTTCTTTTCGTTGTTTGACTTGTGCTCCGTATTCACTTGCTGAAGTTTATTGTAATGTCGGATCATTGAAATATCAAATCACCTGGGCTTGTTTGATCATTTTAGGACAAGTAACGTTCGGCCGGAATTTCTGAATATGAAGATAGAGCTTTCCCTTTGGCGTATCAACGAGATCGACCCAGTCCAACCAGTCATCATCGATTTCGTTGAGTTTGAGATGAAAGTTCCCAAGTGGATCGTCCTTGTCCACGTCGCTGTCGAACACGTTGAACTGAATGTCGTCGTCTTCGCGGTAGACGCGGAAGAAGTCGCTGTGCTCCCACTTTCTACGTTTTCTATTTTGATTCAACCTAAATGATTTTAAAGAAATACAAAAACATCCCTTCGGGTTCAAATTGTCGGCCACTACTGGGGTCTTCGTTTGATTCTCAGCGTCCATGAAGACTGTCACGTAAGGGTCCGATTTTCCAGCAATATAGCTTTTTTAAAGATCGACAAGCATACTTTTCATAAATTTATCTTCGAAAACAACGGGTTAAAAACTGAGCTTGGGAACCTAACTCATAAGTCCACCTCCATCAGCGTCCACCAAGTCAGCCGCTTCTTTCACTGTAATCTTGGCAATGTACTTTGGCATCGGCCATCTTAACAATCATGATGAAACTCCCTTATCCGCGGAACTACCTGTAAACAGAAGCGTCAGGTGCACCCAGAGGAACAACGATTCTATGCGGGTTGACGAGTTGCGTGCTCAAAGCATTGACAACAGTGCTTCTGACGGTTTTGCTGATGAGTGGATTGTCCGCGACGTTGGCCAGTCCAGTCAAATCGAAATCGATGTGTGGCGGGGCGATGAAGTAGCCGACAACGGCGGAGACGAGTGGAGGAGTTGGAATGAGATCTTTGAGCTCGATTCTCATCACGCCGGAGAATTTAACGTCTTTGATTCCAAAGCCAAGGTTGCCGAGTTTTGTTCCGACAGTCATTGCGAATTCACAGTCGCCGTCGTAGTTGACATCGACTTGGAGGATGATGTCGTCGTCGTTGTCGACGGGCATGATCTGCCAATTGGAAAGCTTAGGTTGTTCGTTGCCAAGGTTGCTCTTGGTGAAGGTCAGTTTGTTGAGGAGGGAAATGTATTCCAAGGAAATATTGATGTTTCGCTCAACTCCAGCCATGACATTCGTAGCCACGTGCTCTTGAATCGAAGGCCACATCCGTTTCATGATGTAGCCCAAAATGTCCATTTCCTCTTTGATCTCAATTTGAAACTCTCAATTCGCTTTTTCAGATCCTACCTTTGCTCATTTCACTAAGCCTGCGGGTTAGATTCGCCTTGTTAGTTTCGTTGTTGTTGTTTTGTTTGAGCGCCTCTTCCTTGATCGCGTTTATCCAGTTATCGCTTGTTGGCGTGGGAAATTCGAATTCCTTCGCTTCTGTTCCGCACTTTTCTTCTCCTCTTTTCGTTGACTCTGAAAAAAATCGGCTTGAAATCAACAACGACTCCCGGTTTTTGTTTCTACCTTTTCTCATTTTGAATATTAGAAAAAATACAATCAATTGCGTAAAAAATTGAAGGTCTGTGAATTTATTTGGAAGAGATATCTTGCCCAGGGGCTGTTTAACTGTAGTAATAGTTAAGTTTAGTTATGATACATACGTAAGATGAATTTTGAAGCTAGAACTGCAGCCGCTGCTCTTGCGATGCGAATCTGTCTGATCATAACTGTTAATCGATAAACGCATGTACTGCCCTGGCTCAATGCCTCGTTCAAAGGTCTTTCTAGAGATAATCCTTTTCCCTTTTCAATAATATATGCCGTCGACAAATTTTTAAGGATCCAGAAATTTAAAAAAGTTCCAATGATAACAAAAAATGCTTTCTTTGATCGTCAAAAAATGGCGAAAAAAAAGTTTCAATATTTGACAAGAAATAAAAAAAAGCGAACTCAAAAGTTGTTTTTTCTTCTTTACCTTTAGTCTCGTATTCCTGGGCTCTTTTGGATCCTTTCTCTTTGCTGGACTCAGACTGGATACAGTTCCCCATTCGTGCTTGGTGCGATGAAGCAGTCTGCTTAGTCAGAAAATCTTATCAAGTGTTAAAAAATGCTCTCTCTCTTTCTGTCAATCTTACTTGGCTCAAGACCTTCCTTGCGACTCGAGCAGCGCCCTGACTAGCTGCAAAAATAACTGAATTGATGTAATGAAAACGACGCCGTAAAAATTATAATTCTAGAAAGCTTATGAACCTTTGAGGGCTATAAAAATGACTAAAGAAGGATGAAAACTGTCATGACTTATCGGATTTAGATCTCTGTCTATCAGTCTCAATGACAGAAAAGGGAAAAAAGAAGGTGGAAAGAAGGGAAAATGGCTTTAGTCCGAAAGGTTTTTGCATGCCATTTTGCCATTTCAAAAATCAGTGTTTGGAATTTTTACTTTTTTGAATTAAACCAATCAGAATTGAAAGCCCCGTATTTCCTCATTCCGGCAAAAGAGATGAAAAATCAAGACGATAACTTGTGTCAAAGCGAAGAAATAATTGAACTTTCCGTCCACGTCAATGGCAAGTCAAAACGAATCGCCAACAACTTTTAATTTTTTCTTTTTGGGTTAGATACGACCAAGCTGAATCTGTCGCTTCCTGCGGATGCGCTCGTCGAAGATGTCAAGAAGGAAATTTTCGAAAAAATGGGAGAAGATCGAATCTCGCCAGAAAATCAGAGATTAATCTATTTAGCCAAAGTGTTGAGAAATGAGCAACCGTTGAAGGAGATCAAGAACATTTTTCAAAAACCAGGATCCGGTCGAATCTAGTTGAGGCTGCCACCAAAGCTGCCAACCTGAGTCAGGTTTTCTACTCAGGTTGCCGAGCCCATATCGAAGCAAGTAATCAGACCGTTTGAAAGTTTTCCACTTGAGCTTTTCTGATCCAGCAACTGCATCAACAACCCCTTCATCCGGGAATGCTCGGGTCCAGCATGTGCGAAAGAAGATGGAGCTTTGCAACACTCTTATCGCCAATGGCCTGGAATGCGTAAAAGCTTCAAACATGGATACCCCAGCCAGCGAGAGAAAAAGATTCTCAGACAGTACCGAGACGGGAATAGAGGTCGAAGGGACGGATCTGCCTGATTTGGCGGAAATAACTGAGTCTCTCGGGCAAGGTAAATTGCAAACAAAGCAATTCTTTGTTAATATAATCTTGTTCTAGCGATGATCAAGTGGTCGAACGAACTTCATCTGATGGGCAACACATTGATCGAGAGAGAGGCAATTTACCGGGATCCAGCCACGGGAGCACTTTTTAAGCGCCCATTGAACCTAGCTGACAGTGGCAAGAACTTGTATCAGAACAATTTGGACGCGGCAAAGTACTTCGGCCCCTGCTTCAAAATACTCAGCGATTTTCACGTCAATATCACCCTTCCGCCATCCTCTGGCGAGCGTCTCTCCACTGTCCAACTCCGCCAGGGAGAGAATTGATAAAAAAGCGAATAAAAGAACATGAGAAAGTTAAGAAACACTGTCAACCCTATCTCTGTATGAGACACGCTGTGTCGATGCATTATCGAAAATATCAAAAACAATAAACGAAACTGAAAAAATTGCTTGGCAGTCATTCATGACATACTGTTGTCGATCAAATAAAGTGTTGTAACAAAAATCAATTATATTAAAATTATAAAAAAGGTTGTTTCTTTCATTTTCTGAGAAAATAAGAGCAGGTAATGCATAGCATTGGTAGTACCAGAAATTGTGGAATACAATCTGAATCTCTTCAAAAATCAAGCCAGCATATTTTCAAAAGGCAATAACACCCGAAAGACCCGAAGACCGATTCGCGAAGAAACGTTTCCCAGATTTCCACGACAACAAACAGGACAACCGAAAAGACAGCAACGGAGCAGTTCAACTTGAACGCCTCTTCCAACATGATGTTTCCGCCGCCAGAAATCCCGAAATCCAGGAGCGGCGAAAAAACGCGCTCAAGTTCGAAGCACAATTCTCTGCCACTGCCAACGATGACTTCTCCAGGCTTCGATGTCGACTTTCCAAGTTTGAATCTTCCAACCATTCCCGATTTCGACTTTGCGATGCCGAGCCCAATTCCAGACTTTGACTTGATTGATGCTAGGGAGAAGAAAAGAGAATCAAGATTCAAGAAAACGATAAAAATAAATGATGATATTTAAAAACTAAGTAAATTTTCTATCGAAAAACAGCCACACAAATCTCCAGCAGAAAAGAGAGAGCGATCCTACGAAACGAAAGTGAAAGACTGGCTTCGACGAAATCCCCAAGTCGGAAGAACCGAAGAAATGGCTGATTCTTTCCTTGAAAATGTAAAATTTCGATTTATCGAATAGTTTATTTCTGTTTCTAGGACATACCGTTGATGGATTCGACGAATTTTGAACGAGATTTGACTGTCTTCGACCGAATCAGATCCACCGAGAGTCAGCTTCAGTCTCAAAGGGTACTTTTAAAGCAGCAGAATCAAGTTGAAAAAAAATCTTAATTCAGCCAAATCGCGCATTGAATATTCTGGACGAGTTGGACGAGCAATACCACGAAAACAGAAGAGATCTTCCAAAGAAAAACTTCCGTTATCAGTCTTCGCTCCAGATGCTCGATCCGGACAATTTTAACTGACACTGTTTTGCTTCTAGCACTGTTATTTTGAAAACATTTATTGAAAACAACGAGAAGAATAAAATTTTCAAAGGAAGATTCGGTCATTTTCTTCGATACTTTTCGATTTTTTTTTTTGATAAATTGAAATCAAGGAAGAGTTCACTTAACAGAGCTTCAAAATTAAAATTAAATATTTGGCGGAATAAATCTCTAGAACATGCTGTTTTTCAAAAGAGTCGTGTAGGACTGTAAGTTTTTGTAACATCAAGATGGACCACATCCCAAGATTCGTTAGTATTTTTTCATAATTTTAAATAGAATTCTGGCTTTATATAATTATATTTTCAGTTTTTTCCGTGTATCATTGTCCTCAAATGGATCGTCTCAAGTGAATCGGAGACCCGCGATCCTATCATCGCCCCCATGAGCAACGCCGTGGAAACTTCAAACCGGTCGCCCCAGAGTTCGGCATCATTTTGGTTAACCACCATCATCTGCACCGTTGTCGGCTTGCTTGGAAGCTATGGAGCGTTTTTGCTCCAAAAAAGCGCCGACGCAGATGCCCCAGCGCCAGCGCCAGCGGCCGGAAGCATGGATGACTATGAAGAAGAAGACGAGGACCAAGAAGAAGACGAGGACGAAGAAGAAGAGGAACAGGACGAAAATGAGGAGCCAATTCCAGCCCCAGAAGTCCCTCAACAGCAGGTGAATTTTGGTCGATTTTTTGTTGATTCTGGAAGAATTATTTTAAACTGTAAATTTGTTTAGGAAGCGCGCAGAGAACGGCCACGGAGAGGCATCCGCCCTAGATTTTTTATTGGAGAAACTGTCTGGGATGTGACGAATCATTGCCAAGCTACAATTACAGTAAGTATTTATATATAATTTTTAAAAATTATACCTCTACATTAATTTTATAACTCATTTTATATACAGGTAGTTATATATTTATACCTTTTCAAATCCATTAATTAACATTTAAGGATATAAGCTATGAATTTGAAATTTGAGAGATCTTTATGACTAGAAAATTTGTCTGAAGCAATCGAGTTTCGCATTCGCAATAATTTCTCGGCTGAAAATATTTCGGTGCAACTCGATGCTTTTGCCTTATTTTCTCAATCGACACTGCCAGTATCTATCTGTTCTTTCATAAGCAAAAATTGTTTGTCCCTAAGGGGTCAACTTTATTCTGAAAAAAAAATTAAGGCTATCTCGTAGCCTACCCTTAATCCTATTAAAAACGTCGCAGAATCATGTTTTTCAAAAAGTATTGAAAATTCTGATGGTCATAATAATATTGATAAAAGCATGAAAAAGGGGTCTGAGTTGCAAAAATATCTGTAAAATTTATCGCCGAAGGAAAGTGCTCACATTGGCCCTCAATTCTCGACAATAATATTTTCTAATCGACAGCCCAGGTTGTAAACTTGAGCATTGCTGCTACTCTGAGTGGTCTACGTTTGCCTAAGTCGCCGTTTGCCCCAGTCGCCGTTTCCCCAACTTTGGGAAACGGATATGTGAATAAATTTATATTGATTGATCTTTTAACATTCTTTGGTTTCCACAACTTCAATCATGTCTTCTTAAATATCATTTATATTATATCAATCATGGCTTCTCAATCCTGGTTTCTACATCGTCAATCCTGGCTTCACCGACTTCAATCATGGCTTCTTCAACGCCAATCCCGACTTCTCTCATGTCAATCCGGGCATCATCAATTTAAATCTAGGCTTTTCAAACGTTAATTCAATCTTGGAGAAGCCATGATCGACATTCGAAAAGCCATGATTGACAACTGAGAAGCCGAGACTGACGTCTGAGAAGCTAGGATTGAAGAAAGTGACGCCCGGATCAGCGTTGACGAAGTCGGGATTGACGTTTTTTCCACCAGGATTGATGTCCGAAAATCTAGGATCGAAGTTGTTGAAGCCGGGATTGACTGTAGAGAACCCAATAAAATCAAGTCATATGATCAATCAATTCAAATTAATTCACATCGCCGTTTCCCCAAGTTGAGCAGACGGAGATCTTGGGCAAACGGCGACTTGGGCACTCATCGAAGGACGGAAGCTTTTCAATATGATAAGTTAGAATTTTTCTATATAATCGTAAATAACCGTTTTGAAGAAGCTGAGGGTTACATTGCTAGCAATCATTTTAATGTGAAAGTCTCGTCGATCAAAAATGCGGGAAAACCTGATTAGATAGGCAAAATCTGATTTTACTGGTGGATAGAAAAGCGTTGAAAAAATCAGGTGACGAAAACTAGAAAAAATTCTGGCCAGAAAATATCGGTCAAAAATCCCGTTAGAGTAGGGCCATTTTTTGACCAAAAATGGTCAATTTTTTTACAATTTTGTTAATTTCACCCCCTTAATCTCAGTTTTATTCATTGATTTTAGGCTCAACAGATTCGGGAGGTTCTGTAGATTCCAAAAATATAAGATTTATATCCAGACCATGTGTATAGGCGAGATTACGATCACCCCTGAAAAAATTCTCGTCGACCCCCCCTCCTTAAGAAAGTAAATGATTAGTATTTAACTCTCTTTTAAAACCTCTTTTCAGGAGTTCGAATTCCGGGAAGGCAAAAGATATGTAAAAATCCGATTCAATCGGGCAGAATATCGACGTGGACAAGGAGAAGAGCTGACGATCTGGAGAGAAGAAAGCAGACTTACTGGATTTTAATTTATTTAACTCTTTTTCCGTTTTGTTATTTTTCTCGCTTTTTTGGTTTCTGTTTCTGTTTTTTTTTCATTTGTTTTTAAACACTTTTCTTTTTTCTTTATTCTTAATTTCAATAAAAATCAGCTCGCGACTACCTCTTAGAATTACTGAATACAAAAATTTTTATATGAAAGAGTTTATTAGGCATGTCAATTTATTATTATGACCAGTTGAATGTTGGAGAGTTTAATGCAGATCATTGATCTGAGATCAATTTTGCTCAAGAAATAATGTGTTTTCTTCTATGTTTTCAATAGTCAAAATATACCTTTTATGAGTTTGTTTTTGAGCCCTTGCGTCGCCGGCGCAATTACAGCTCAAATGCAGAAAGAGGGAACGGCTTTGGAGTGAATTGATAAAGCGCAGATTGAGACTGGCTGTCTTCGTTGTTCGGATTTGAGCTGCCATCGTGAGTGTAGAAAACGATTGAGTAGCTGCGAGTGAAGACGTAGAATAGCGGCAGGAACTTGGTCTTGAGCGCGTCAAAGGCAGCGTCGATAGTTTCTTCGAATTGAGTCCAGTACTCTGCTCGGTGGCCGTGGCTCGATGGTTCAAAATCAGTAGCGTACCTTGACGAGTTGTGAATACAAACGTCCTAACAGATCAATCTAATAGTACCTCGGGTAGAATTTCTTTCCAATGGTCGCGGGCCAAGCGGAGTACAGACAAGCTGCAGCAAGCTTTTGCGAGAGCTTCGTCGGATCAGCAGGTGTCACCGAAATCGCAGTGTTCCAGTCTTCCTTTTTAATTCGTCTGAGAGCGCTTGTGTCGGAAAATTTGATCTTCATCTTCGACTTGATGCTGAAGTCCAGCGGGATGCTACAGGTTTGATTGAGGTTGTTTTGGGCAGTGAATCCGTCGCGAGCGCTGTCATCATCAAGATCTCTAGAAAGTGATCAGAAGCGAACCTTACTGTATTCTTTACCTCATGTTGGCAATGGTTCTTCTTCGATTTCGGAGGCTTCTGCCATTGCTTCCGTTCAGAATATTCTCAAATTTGAAGCGGTCCTCGATATTTGGCAGGTCGGTGACATTACCGTGGTTTTCCAGCGCCGATAGAAACTCATTATCTCTAGCATTTGCTTTCTCGTCCTTCTGTGAATCATCCGTTTGGGAATCGACTGTAAGGGAGCTAAATCCCAAGGACGTATTAGCTGGATCATTTGTCTGTTCCTTGAGCTTGGCGAAAGGGTTGAATGTTTTTAGCGGCTTCTTCGGGAGGTTTTCTTTTTCCTCCGTTGAAGTCTTCGAAGTGATTGATGCCCTAGTTGTCTTCTTGCGCTTTCGCTTGATGACCGCGGCTGGATTGACCCAACTACCCGTCCCGTCATCTCCCATTTACACACTGAAATCTACAGTTATTGTGCGAGTGAAAACAACGAAGATTTTCATGAACAAGAAAGATTTTACGGTCTTTTGCTAACCCCAGATATTAATGCTTAGTTGGTCTTGATAAAATTTGAAAAGCTGAGTCCAAGATTGTCGATTGAACCCCCATTTCGAAGCCAAGTATAGACCAGCTTTGGCCGAAATTACGACAAACGGACCAGAATAAATAAGCTACTGACTATTCAGACCTGCTGTATCGCTGGAACGACCTTATGACTGAAGAGCACGCAAAAAAATTTTTCCGATTTACTGTCCAAAAAGGACCTTGCTGTTGAACAATAGCAATTGGCTTGGCGGCGGATAGACGAGAGGGGCTGCTATAGCCTATAGGACAGTTTGCTGTTGTCTGAATCGTAGTTTTACTCGGAGTTAGCAGTATTGATTGCGATTTTCATAGTTTTCTTGGCAGATTGGATCTTTTTCGACAATCTCATTGGGCTGGTGCTTGATTTTGTCTCTGTTTCTTCCACTTCCGAGTCGCTGGAACGTCTTCAACTGGAGGAAAAAGACGATGAAGAGCTCGAGCCAGAGGAGCTGGAGGACGCGGATAGGCGGCACGAAGTTCGCGCTTTTTGGCGGATTCTTGGGCTTGCTCTTGGCAGTAGAACTGTCGGCTTTATTATTGTCTACTGGGCGATTTTGCTTCAAAGTGTTTTGGAACTTTTTTTGTTTCTTTGATTGCTAGTTTTTCTTTTTCCGCTTTGGTCTGTTTGTTTTGATAAGCAGGTCTTTCAGGGGAGAAGTCATTGCTTTCGGAGGAGGAGCTACTTTCTATTTGGGCGAAATCAATTTACCACGAAAAGTAAAGTATTTGGGGCAATCTTTCAAGAGTACAAACATAAAGTTTCAAAAGCATATATTCTCTCTAGAACTGTATTTGCTTGAAATTGCTAGACATCTATAAGAATCCTTGGAATCAGTTTTCTTTTCGATGAAATCAAGGAAGATCATCTACAATAGTGATGATTTTTTTCTCGTTCTTTTTTATATCTTCAACCTTTTTATAATTCTTACCAATCTATATTTACTAATAATATGGTAACTTTTTAGAAAGCATCATGATTTGCGAACTTGTTGACGGCATTTCCTGGGCGCTGCTTTATGCCTGTGCATATGTCGTAACCTGGTTCCAACTGGAATTGGAAAAGATCAAGAACAAAAGAAGGGAGAGAGAGGTAAGTTTTCCGAGTCTAGGTTAAAAATACTGCCAACTTTTTGCAGACAAATTTTGTCTCCCGATTAAAACAGTCAGAGAAAATATGCTTCAATAGAAGTTGATTCCAACTAATTTTTTAGATGGACGAAAAGGAAGCGCAAATGGCCGAAAGGGAAGAGCGACTGGCCGAAAGGGAAGAGCGAGTGGCCGAAAGGGAAGAGCGACTGGCCGAAAGGGAAGAGCGACTGGATACAATGTCTCAACATCTCCATTTTCTTCTTCATCTTTTTGAAAGATGTTTAGTGCAGCAAGCCATGATAACCCAGGAAGAAGCCCAGCCGCCAAACAGTCCATCGGTGAGTCTCATTTCTATAATTTCGATTAAGAATCGATGAGTTCTAGCAGAATATTTATTTTTTATTCTAGGCCAACAACGAAGAAGGAGAAGATGAAGATGATGATAATGACGACGACATTTTTCATTCATGTTCAGGTAATTCAGGTGATAATGGTAGCTGTAGAACGATGTTTGATTTACAAATTTTCACCACTTCCAATGGCCGTTATTTTCATGTGTGTATTTCTCGGTGAGTTCTTGATTAAACGGCGCGTAGAACTTCCTAGATTCCTAGACTCTAGGACCTAGAGCATAAACTCGTCCTGAAAGAGGAGCATCCCAGCGAGAATAGTAATCTTTCACGCAATGGCGGATTTCTTCTGAGCTTAATTCACCAGGCTTATTTGGATTCGAATTAGAGGTTATCAAAGATATTTATTTTTTTCTATGTTTTCTTGATATAATGATGAAAAAAATATGTAACATTATTCAATCCGAATATTATTCAAGATTTACTACATACATGTATACTTAGACAGATTAGAATCCCTAGCAATGAGCCCTCTAAAATCTTCCTCATTGCAATCTCGATGACTTCTGTAAAGTTCCCATGTCCCTGTAAGTAGTACCAGCCAGGCATTGACAGTTCTCCCTTCTCCTTCGTTTTCTAAATGAAACTTTTGATTGAGCGCTTTGCTGAAAATGTGAGAAAATCCCCCAATCTCGAGGGGGAAATTGTAGTCCGGGGTCTTTTCGTACGTAACTTCGTCGGAGTAAGAGTTCGGCATCTGATTCAAATACCAATCTAATCCCATCTTCCAGTTTGTCGGCCGGTTGAAAAATGCTTCTCGCCAGTTTATCTCTTCCTTCAGCTGCTGGAGCTCGACACAGACTCGGAGGGTCTTGGCTTCTTCGGTTTCGATAGCAGCTTTAGCTTCTTCAAGAGTACCCTGGATATTAGATTGTTCTTGGTCAGCGATTCTCTTGCTCTTTTCGAGTTCGTGGATGGTCTTTGATCCTTTCTGGAGCTGGTCAACAAGCTTTTGAACTTCCTCGGCAAGGTTTTGGTTTTCTAGTCGGATAGATTCAAGCTGATCAACCGCCTCTTCAGTAGATTTTTGAGATTGAAGAGCTCACTCTGCTGAGATCGAACTCCCTTTTGCGCAATTTCGAGTTCAACGGCGGCTTCCTCCTGCTTTTGTTTAGCTTCGGACAGGAGCTTGTCGTAGTTTCGCTGTTTCTTGTCGAGTTGAGCGGCGGCGGCGGTTCGCTCCAAATCAGCAGAAAGATCTTCAACTTCGCCCTGAAGTCGGGTCTTTGTCTTCTCGAGGGAACCGCATCATCCCTCAGCTGCCTCGACCTGTTCTTCGGACTCCTGGAGTCGCGCGACAACCTTCTTCTTCGCTTCTTCGAGCTTTTCAGTTCGCTGAATAGCATCAGTCTCATACTTGTTTCGCCACTGGACGCACTCGTTGTTGGATTTTGTCAACTTACGCTGGAGGTCTTGCTTAGACTCCTGCTCCTCTTCCATGTGCTCGAGATTTCGAGTCTGTTTCTCGTAGTTGAGCTTAGACTTGGTCAAGGATTCAACGTTGACGTGGAGCTCATCGACTTCAAGTTTGGCCTCAGATTTTTCTTTCTCAAGCTTTTGCTTGACTCGGTTGAGATTTTCGATCTGCTCATTGAGGCTGCTAGATCGGCTACCTTCTAAAAAATTTGCATGGATGAATTTTCCCTCTCGCTCTTTCACTCGCGAGCATTTAGGAGCATTTCAAATTCTGGCCTCACTTTTTTTTAGATAAAAAATATTTCGATTTACAGTGAATATTTAATCCATGATTAAGAAGATAACGACAACGACAACGACAACGACAGCTACAACGACATCGACAACGACAACGACTCTGGCTCCGACTCTAGCTCCGACTCTGGCTCCGATGAAGAAACCACCGGCGTTATTGAAAGGTATGCAATTTTTGTCCCTTCTTTAAAAAATCATCAAAATCAATCAATATAAAGTTTACATTAAGAAATAAAAAGCGAAATTTTAAATATTCACTTTCAATTTAGTGAAAGAAGAGTCTCAACTACCTCTGTAACGCCAATGTCCACGTCCTCATCACCTTCCGTTCCCTCCACGTCCTCCATTACTACTTCCACACTGTCAAGCTCCAGCTTCATTACTACGACATGTTCATCCTCCGAAGACGATTGCGAGCCTCAGCGTCGAAACATTTACGCCGTCCTTATTCTACTTTACTTTATTTATAGAGCTCTGGAATAAATTTGCGAATAAAATTATAGAGTACATTTAGATGTCATGGTAATTGCGCTGTAATTTGGCGTGAGCTCGTGTGAACGTTTACTCTTGTTGATTTTGGGGTGGACAAAGGCGATTTCCTGTTATGCAGGGTACGTTCGACTGAGAATGTTTAAACAAGCAGGGCGAAGTAACAATCGCTTCATCAAAACAGTTGCTCTTTGAGCTTTTGTGTTGAGCAGGCGCGAATCATGGATGATCCACCATCTACCACATTCCTTTGTTTCTCCCTTCAAGAGCACTAGAACATCCAAAAGCTGGAATTATTCTCAAAAAAGCGCGACCACAAGGCCGACAAGAGAAAGGTATGTCAAAGTCGACAGTGATTTTTTATTTTATTCGAAGGACTTCGGTTCATGGCGCCTTCGCCAAAAACTTCAAATATTTACCAAATATCATTTTTTTGATTTTTTAATTTCCACGTTTCGAGGGTACCACTTTGTTTAACTCTCAATTTCATAAAAAAGAGATCGTCTTCCTCGAATTCAAAGGTAATAAAAAACCGAAGTTTTTGAAGAAACTAAGGAGTTTTTTGAAAGAGAAAGTTTGGAAATGTGCAAATTTAAGGGAGTAGATGTCGTTAATCGTTACTTTCGACCAACTCTCAAAATAACCAGCAGATTTTTCTTGAGGTTAGGGTTAGAGCTCGTATTAGGATGTCAGTTCTTCAGGATAAAATTTAAGATAAAGTCAAGTTCAAATACTTCTGAGAATAAATTCTGAGGACGTGTGTAAAAAGAGCAAAAGGGAGATTTTGAAGATTTGTTTCTGGCTTTAGCGCTTAGTGGGAAAAAAATGCTGGCGCGGGGCTGTAGCATCTAACAGTACTCTGAGCATGGCCCCCTTCTTCAAGTGACATTTGTCAATAGAGATAGTTACAGTTCGAGGCAACCAAAATAAAATAAGCAAAGATATCGGCTTGATAGTCAGCTAGTGACAAACGGTGAACATTTTCTGAATAAAGACAATCCCGTTCGTTTTCGATAAGAGCATTTTTGCCGCTCTCTCCTAAAAAGTACAATAGATTGGACTCAGCAACCTTTGTTGAAAATCTGAGTCAGGGACCCTGACCCTAATCCTAACCCTGACTCAGGGTCGCGAAAGAGCTTCAGTCAGGACCCTGACTCAAATTTTCCAAACAGGTTCCCGAGGCTAGAGTCGAAAAGAAGGCTTATTTCTTCGATTTATTGTACCTAGCCACTCTTTCTTTTCGATACTGGCTTTTGAGAAGATTACAGGCGGCTTCTATTGAGGCAGCCTGCTCCTTCGGAAGTAAGCTGCTTCTTACAGTCGCTGTTTGAAGAGAGACACAGGAGGGGCATTGTTGTTGTCGAAGAAGACTTGTAAAAGCGTTTCAAATCTTTTATCTGCGCATGTTTACTGTTCCTTCGTTTGTCCTTGACTTTGGGCACACACTTTTTTAACACACACGCGCGCGCTTAGAGACGAGATCAAGGAAGAGAACCGACCGCGCTTGTATTTTCGACTGTTGATAATTGCATTCCTGCTCGTTTAGTTCGTGACACTGCGCAAATAGCGAGTCAAAGTAAAGAAATCAAGGAAGAGGGTTGCTTCCTCCAATTTTGATTTATTTTTCTTTTCTCTTCCACCGCCCAAAAAAGATAAATTTAGAAAAGAAGAAGAAGAGGAATGGTCGAGTTGAGTTGGGATGAGCGAAGAGAACTACGGCGAAAACAGAGATTACAGTCAAGGTACAGTTGTTGAAATGGTTGTTTTCTTGGCTCGTCAACCTGCGTAGAAACCTGAGTCAGGGTCCTCAAAAAGTATTTTTTTGACTGGTAATTTAGCGAATAATTTCGTGTCAAAAAAAGCCGCAAGGTGGCTATGATTCTAAGCTCTTTGAGGACCCTGACTCAGGTTTCTACACAGGTTTTCTTGTTTCTTGCAGAATCTTTTCTTAGAAAATTCTGCTAATTTTTTTTCTTCTTCAGAAATGTCAATTCAAATATAGAAGAAATAAAAGAACGCCGCCGCCAAAGAACCGAAAAAAATCAAAGCTGAAAATGCGAAAATCCAGTAAGTTTGAATCCAACTTCGCCGTATCATTTAATTGCCAATGATTGTGTCGCTGAATTTTTAACTGAAAAATAATATTGCAAAAAGGAAACAACTGGAAAGTGATGAGCAGGCGCGGGAGGAGAGACAACGGGTTCGAGAAAAACGGAGACAGTCGAGAGATTTTGAGCTCGATCCTGATTATATTCAAAGGATTAACGATATGGTCATGCTCAGGATAGCAGGTACTTTTTATTGGCAAAAATGGGCTTCTTCATTTTTTTCATAATAAATTGGATACCGCGGAGCTTCTTGAAAAGAAGCCTGTCCATATCAATGGTCTCCTCGGTATCTAACTTCTTCTAGGGCCCCCAAGTCCTGATTTCACTGGCCCGGACCGCCCAGCACCTCTGCGTCGAAGAAGCACCGCAGATCTCCGTCGAAGTCTTTCCTCAATCCGCCGAGCAAGCTCCATAGCCAGCGGGGGAGTCCCTCCGACGAGTGAGCGATTTGAGCGATCCTGCCACCAGCGACGTCGTCTTCGAAAACTCCACTGCTCCGGCCAAGTCTCAAAACGGCTCAAGCTACGAGGTACTTTTTGCTTTATTGGTGTTTGACGAGGGAGGGTCTCGTAGTTCATCCCCAGCGCTCTTGAATTTTGATGGATTCTTTTGAAAGAGTTTATTTATCGCATGAAATATTCACAAATTGATTGACAAATCGCTATTTCCTAATCTCATGTGACCCAATCTCCTTTTCGGGAATTATAGAAAAGAGGATCTTTTTTCAAAATCGAGAAATAAAAAGTAAAAAGTGAAATGGGTTCTGCTTGTTCAAGCGACAGTGGATCATTCGAGAGTTCATCCGGTTCCTCGTCCGATTCCTCCGATAATTCGTCAGAAGATGACGCATCTTCAGAAGACAGATCTTCTCAAGAAAGTCTCGAAGTTGGGAATTTATCTGCTTCGCAAAAACTTCGCAATAGAACTCGTTCGATTATATCCGGTAAGCAACAGCAAGTCCACCCTCAATTTAGAACATTTTTTCAGGAATCAAAATTCGTTCGCCAAAAGAAGAGCCGCTAGAAATCGTCCAAACAACAAATAAAGACGGAGTTTCGTTGATCAGAAAGCTGCGGCTTATCCGAAGATTGGGACCTCTGTCAAAAGCAGTAAATGCAGCAGAAGAAAGCACAAAAATGCAAATTCCCGAAATTCGCGTAACAAAAGCGCCAAACTCTTTTCTCCGCCGCGCTAAAATGGTCAAACTTGGGAGCTTGACGAAATCGCCAAAAGCTGAAGAAAAATCTCCAAAGACAGAAAAAAAGTCTCCAAATGCTTTTCTACGAAAAGCGAAATTTCTTGGAAGCATTTCCAGGTCGGCGAAAAGCGAAAAAGACGAAGAATCAATCGAAGAAGAGAAAAAATCTCCTCGTGGTGGTGGTTTTTTGCGAAAAGCAAAAGGCCTCGCCCGACTCAGCAGTTTATCCAAGTCGCCGCCGTCAGAATCCAAATCCCCGCCGCCGCAGGTATCAGGTAAACAGACCTTCACAAACATGTCTTTTTTTGCAATCTGCAGCGCGTGTTACAGAATTAGTTTTCGATAAGCGCCATTTCCAGCGCAAATCTGACGGATGCAGGTTGCGGATTTTTTCTATCAAAAAAAATCACTTCCGCAGCTTGTGGTCAAACATTTCCCCCTTTTTTTTACTGTTGGTTTCATTTTAAACAAGTCCTAGTTTTTCATCAGATAGAGCAAACTAGGCTACCAGTCACTGTGGTTCGTTTTATGCAACCAAACTATAAGTGGTTTGTTTCGAGCGATCACCTGCTGAGATCGTAGGTTCTAGGGCGCCATCTTTTTCTTAGATTTTTGGATAAAAGCGACAGCTGGTTAAAAGTTTCATTCAAAATTACAAAATGATAAACTCTTTCAAGTGGCATATCGTCCATAATGACAACATTACTGTAAACGTGAATATCAAAGTTTGAGATTATTGACTGTATAAAATGAAGCTCTATGTATTTCTGTTTTTTCTAGTGGTTCCCCATATCCATTGATTATGAAATTGTTTAACATACCCTGAAATTCAATGACCCTGAATACAATGTGAAGTGATTTCATCGTCTTATTGTCTTTATTACTACTTATTCGATAACATCTTATATATTATAATTTATATTTAAATTCTTAAAAAAAAACAAAAATAGAAAATAATTATAGGGAAATCCTTTTTCTCCCGAAAAGCGCGTCTTCTGGCAAGTCTCGGTTCCTCTCCAAAAATGACAAAATCAGAAGATCACGAAGCCAGCGTTACCCGCGCAAGCTCAACTTCCAAAGCCCGATCAATCATCAAACGCCGACGGATGTTAGGAAAGCTTTTCCAAGTAAAATCGGAAGATCACCCGGCAGCCGAAGAAGTCGAAGACGCAACTGACCAGGCATTATCGGCGACAATGATGAGTTCGTTGGCACCGTCACGTGACGGTTCTAGCGCGTCAGAATCCATGAGAACGTCGCGCTGGGGATCGGCCAAGAGCTCGAGATTCTCCTTTAGTCTTTTTAGCAAATCCAAAAACGTAAATCGCACAAACAATTTTATTGTTCGATTAAAGTAACAAACCTTTCACTCAATTTCTTTTTTTTTTTTTCTAGTCTTCCAGGAGCAGCGAGAAGCGGCGAAACAGTGGGTAAGTACCTGGACTCGACAAGCTGTGTAGAGACCAGAGTCAAGGTCCTGAAAAAAGCACTTATGAAAAGCCGCGTAGCGGCTTTTTTTTTAAACGAAGCCGCGTTGCGGCTTTGCCATAATTGCCATCTCAATATATTTGATCTTTTGGGGAAGCCGCTCCGCGGCTGCTTTGTTTTAAAAAGCCGCAGCGCGGCTATTCATAAGATATCTTTCAGGACCCTGACTCAGCTTTCTCCACAGGTTGTCGAGCCCAGGTAAGTACATCAGAAAATGGAAGAGGGACAGGAACTAGTTTGCGCCTGAATAGCTCGCAAAAGAGTTGCTGGGAAGAGCAACTCTTGCATCTCCCGGCAAGCGAGCCGTGAAACGAGCAAAGGGCTCGAATCAGCATAAAACCAGCCCCCTTTTTTTGGAGTTACTCGCTCACTCACTGCGCGAAGTCGAATAAAATACGATTTTTCAAGTTTGAGAGTTTCTTCAAAAAGAGAGACCTTTAGAGCGTGTTTGAAGTAACAATCTCCGTTTTTATAAGAGCGAGCTCAATAATAATAATTTATTTCATCGTTATTTTAAATTGCGTTCCCTTTTTTCTCCATTTTTTTTAAATAAAAGCTAATCCGATCGGCACTGCGAGTGAAGCCCGTTTGTGTTTGCGAAGCAGTGAATTTGCAGAAAGCGAAATTACCATTTGGGCATTTGCATTAGTGACATTAGAGAATTTTTCAATCCAAAAATCACGTCTTTTTTCTGCTGCTTCTAAAATTACTGTGGTCGCCGAACTCTGCTGCTTGAAACAATGCTTTAAAATTTAACATTTAATTACATATTTATACATTAATCGAATATTCCCCGCTCGTTTGAGCTCTTTAGTGTTTTTTCTTCTCTGTCCATTCAGACTTTTTTCTACTTAGAGTATTCGCTTCTCCACAGTTCAAGTCACGTGACTCCAGTTTCAATTAGAATCTAGCTTTTTCATAAAAGACGAAGTTCCATTTTCAGGTACAAAAAGAACTTATTTGTTTTACGATTAAGGGGGTAGATGTTGGAAATGCCAATTTTCATGAGTTTTCATGAGTTAAAATAGTGAACCCCTTATATTCCCAAACTTCGAGCTCCGAACTATACTGTAATTTTATTACTTCTATTTTTTCAGAAAAAGTTAAGGGTATCACTCTGTTATCAAAAAGAATAGACAATCTTTAGATTTTTGTTTAGGTTTTCTAGCGTGATAATCGCATTAGACTTTCGGACAAAATCACTTCAAAGATTAAAAAATAATATTAAATTTTATCAATTAGAACTGCTAAATAAGGGTGTCACTATATAAATGCTCAGGGAAAAGTCATCTTAAGATCATCAATTTCTAGCCCCTACGACTGTTTAAAAACAATATTCTTGCGAATATGAATAATTAGGAAAATGATGATTCTATTTTAATTGTGCATTAGAGGCGGAATTGGCGGGAACGAACGTCATGCGAATCTCAATTTGAGGGGTTGCTGATTTCGTTGCAAATCAGAATTCCTCTCCAGTTGAGAAAGTATAGATTAACCGTCGACAATTTAATAAAAAGACCTCTTTTTTCTCGATTTTTTTTTCTTCAGCGTACTCAACCATTGAAAATAGATACTTGTAGGAGTAGCCTCTTTGTTAGACGGGAGATGAACGGAGCCAGAGAAGAAAAAAATAATAAAGCACGGACAAACCCGCAAATTGAAAATTCGCAAATTTGAGATTGAAATAAAAAAAGAGAGAGAGACCGGGAGGAGCAATGATCTGGACGGGCTTTTTTCTTTTTCAGATGCACACCCCCTTAATTTTCTAGGGTTAGGGCTTGGTACTGGTCCGGACCTGGTACTGGGTACAGTGGTTTGACCACTACGCGCACCCCAATTTTTGTTCCAAATTGACGATTTAGCCACGATCTTGTCTTTTTTGAAAAAAGGGATGATATTTTCAGACCTTTTCCTAGCAGAAAATATTCGTCTTTGAAAAATTCGGAGCTAGTTACTGTATAAATTTGGACAATCTTAGTGGCGCGCGAACTGCACACACCACTAGATTGCTGATTATGCTATTTTTTGATAGTTCCTTATTTACGATTTTATTCATTTTTGCACTAGAAATAGATAAGGGATCAAAAATTACAAAACAAAAAAAAATTTGAAAAAATCTTTATTCGTTAAAATTTTATAGCGCTTTGAAAAGTAGTGACTGGCGGGGCGATCGTCCTTGATCGATACTGAAATTTTTCCTTTTTAAAAGTCCTGTCCAGATTGTTTCTCCTCTAATTGAACTCGAGGGAATCGTAACTCTGCAAATTGCTGTTACTGCAAGTGCAGCTTTTTCGCCCAACATCCGCAGTGTGATGATTGATAACTCCAGAGAGCGGGCTCTTTTGCTTCAAAAAACTCGAGAGATCACCCCTTATGGCATATTTATGAATCGCGGTTTTCCTCGCCCATAAATATTCAATCAGTACGCTATGGATATTTTTTTGAAAGCTCCAAATCAATCCAAAAAAAAAAGAGAGAAAGAAATGGAGACGTTCAATTCTTTTTGCTGAAGCACAAAATCACCCCTTTTCCTGTCCCATTTTCAAAGAAACTTTCAATTATTTTTTCCTTATTTCCGTTTTTCAGATCAAGCAAAATGTCCGAAGAAGTGAGCCAGGCTCCAGAAATGCTCGAAAACGCAGCTCCAGCTGAAGAAATCGCCGAGAAAAAGGTAGAGAATATTTAACTTCTCTGGATTCATGGCGCATCTGGGAAATGATGCATGCAGCGTGATTTATTAGCAGCAATCATAAAAGACAAATAATTGGGTAGGCGCAACATGCAATTTTAGCCTTGAACTTCCGCTGGTGACGCTGCTTGCTCCCACGCGCATTTTTTATTTTTGACGCTCCGTATTTTCGCTTTTTTCTTGGGAAAGAATGTACAAACAAACACTTTTTAATTGCAGAGCAGGCAGTTTTAATTGCCTGAATTAAGGGCCTTCAAAGCGAATTTATTTTAAATGGAAGTTTTTTTATCCAGAAAATTGTCAAAAGAAATGACATTGATAATTATGTTAATAATCACTGATTATTAATCAGCTTTGAAAATGAGCGAAATCGAGGTTTTATTTCGAGATTAAAAGATCAGATTAGGGTTAGGGTTAGGGTTCGTGCTAGGGTTATTCTACTGTATAGAATTTCATTGGTAAAATGAGATAAGGGTATCACTTGATTAACTTTCAAAGAAAAGCTTGTTGGAAAATAAAGATTTTCGACGTGTACCCCCTTAAAACCGTCCTTCTTAGAGTGGGTTAATTAAAATGGGGAGAAGAGAATTCAATCAAAAAAGCGATGAATAAGAGTCGATATTTTAATGATGCCATTTCTTTCTTCTTCAATATTGAGCGTGTAATCGGGAGCGAACTGAATTGGACAAGGCTGTGGTTTGAACCGTCCCCAGCACGGTTGTGTCAATACACCCTTTTTTGGAGAGTGGCTAACCCGTAAATAGAAAAACGTTATTTCCACTCCGGCAGTGGGTCAAATCAATTTTCAGGCTGCGAGCGAGGGCGTTGCTAGAAAAATCAAAAACACAAAGTTATAAAATGTGATCTAAACAATAATAATCTGTCAGAGTAATAATCATCGCGCTACAATGTGGCAATAACCTTTTTATGAAGCTGTTTTATATGCGTTGATTGATCAGCTAATCATTTTCCGTAACAAGCCCGTAATAATGTAGGAATGCTGTACTGCGCTCCTCGGTAGCCTGTGTAGAAAACCTGAGTCAGGATTTGAAAAGACCTTTAATGAAAAGCCGCGCAGCGGCTTTTACAAAAATAAAGCCGCAAAGAGCCTTAGCTATAATCAGCTTTTTATGCATTTTTCGAATCCTGACTCAGGTTTGTAGGAATGCAGTACTGCGCTCCTCGGCAGCCTGTGTAGAAAACCTGAGTCAGGATTTGAAAAGCGCTTTACGAAAACCTACATTGCGGCTTTTTTTAACAAAGAAGCCGCAAAGCGGCTTCGCCATTGTTAGCATTTGTTTATGTATTTTTTAAATCCTGACTCAGGTTTTCCACACAGGTTGCCGACCCCAGATTCAGTAGCTCGGTTTTCATGAGTATTCGACTTCTTTAACTTTTCGTAAATTCATCATTTTTTTGTTTGAATTCAGCTCCCGTCTGAATGTGTTACTTTTTATCTTCTTACTTTTTTTTCTTTCCCAAAGGTTAAATGCTCAACGTCAGCGCCCGTAATCAAAGTTGGCCTGCCTATTCAACAGGTGCAACAGCTCGACGACTTGCAAAAGAAGAGAGAGCCTCTCTCTTTTTTTATATTTCTATTTCGCATGCACTGTTGACTGTGTGTAAGTTTATGCTGCAGTGCGCGCGAAATATGTGCATGACCACAGCGAAAATGACAGATGTTATTCACAGACTGGCTTTTTGTTTTCTTACTGTTCTGGGCCGCTGGTTTTTCGAACTGTTATGGGGCGTTTTTCAAGGGCTGCTACTGTAAGAGCACTACTAAACATTAAAAATAGATTGAGTAAGGAAACTTTGGCGAAGGCGCTTTGCGGCTTCGTTGAAGAATAAAAGCCGCTACGCGGCTTTTTCATGAAAGCTTTCTAAGGCTCCTGACTCAGGTTTTCTCCACAGGCGACTGAAAAAACTTGACATCTAAAAACTCAATTTCGCTCGTTTTCAAACTTCCTTATTGACAATTTTCAACGTCTTTTCTTATTATTTATTATTTTTTTTTCTTGAAAAGAAGGCTTCTGAAAAGTTTTTTCTTCCGGAGCATAAGCAGGAAATCGCAGAAGACAGTTATTTTTTGGGCGAAAGGTGATATAAGAAAATGGGGGCGTGGGAGAGCTGCGCGTCCGGGACTAAGGGAGGGAGCTCTCCTCCGCGAGTCCGACATCTCCACGACTGACTGCGCAAACACGGGCAACTAATGATTCACTTCATTCGCACTTTTTTGAACATTTGAACCGAGAACACTTTTTTGCCCTTTTTTTATTATCAGACTTGTCCATCTCGAGTCGCTCAGGAGTTGAATCAGTCAGAGATTCAACAAGAGATCGTCCTACTCGAAGAACAAATTTCTAAAAAGAGAGATGAGCACGGAAAGAAGAAGAGCAGAAATAAGAAGATCTCTTCGGGGAATGGAAGATGAGGCGAACGAGCTTTTCGCCTTTTTAGAAAATCAACGGCAGCGGCGAAAAACGATCGGAATCGTCATCAACCAAGGACTCGGCTCTCCTCAACTTCTTCTCCATTCGAAAGAAAGGGGCGAGTTAGATTAGAAAACCTTTTGAGGATTTCGCCAGTGTAAACAGCCGGCGTTCTGAAGGGCCATTCTCGAGCGCTTGAACTGCTAGAAAATTGAAAACCTGAAAGGAGAAAATTCACAGAAAAGGAGCGCTCTTTTCGTAACTTTCGAGATCAAGTGCCTTTTTCTTCTCAAGGTTTATTTTTGTTGTGTTGAGCCGTTTTCGCAGGTGACGCCAAGCACCACATCACAATCAACACGGACGACATTCCCAACGACAACTCGCTGATACGCGTCTCCTCGAAGGAATTTTGGTGCTCCCGCTTCTTTTTTCCCTTTCCCACATTTATTCCCTTCTTCACGGGGCGTACAAAAACGCTTTCCTACAGACTTTCTAGCGGACGTTTTGGCAGTTTTATGGCCGAAGTCGAATTCTCAGAAGATTTTTTAGACAATAAGAAAGAAAAAGATGCGATTCAATTGCAAAAATTTGTCGAAAAAAGGGTTCAAATCGACTTGATTTTACGATTTTTAATAAGATGTGTAATTTTTTTCCATCTTTTTTATGATTTTTTTGTCTTAAATCTTCTGAAAATCGAAAATACCAACGATTCTTTGAGCATTTTTTCTTCTCCAAGAAAGTCTTTGTATAAATGACGGACGTATGATTTTAGTGAGACAGTTTACCGCTGGTAAGGTTTATGGATCACGCTCTCAGGTCGCCTCGTAAAAAAATCGAGTGAACTTGGCTTGCGTCTTTTAGTACTTTAATCAGAGAGATCTCTGTCCCTTTAGCTCATAAAACCGTTTTATCGCTTCCTCAATGAGAGCGTATTTTTCGAAAACAGCTGACTTTTTTCTCAGAATTTCTGAAAAAAAACGAAAATTGGAGCAGCGTCACTCCTGTTTAAATTTTCTCTTTGTCGCTCTTTGGCGGCCCAACCTTTTGAGCCCTTTCTTCTTGCCCCCGATAATTTCGATTGTTTCTGCCAAATATCTGGACAGCTGCAGTTGACAAATAACACTCAGGAAAATTTATGAGCTTCTCTCTCTCCCAGCCAAATTTTAAATAAGGGATCAAATCTCCCTCTTCGCGATAGAGTCCCCTTCATCCGTTTTAATTCATCCCAAGCGCTGATAAAACAGAAAAGGCTAATTGATAAATCCCCAACTGTCACGTGAGCACCAGTTCATTAGGGATCAGTTTATTCTTCTGGCCGTTGCAGTCCTTCTTATTCGACAACGAGTTCGCAGCGCTCCGTTCCCAAATGGCCGCCAGCTCCAGAAGCAAAAGCAGAATCCATTTCGCGAAGCAGCTCTTTTTCGCGGAAGAGCTCAGTTTCAGAAAGCCAGGAACAGGAATCAACAGAGCCTGACAGTCAGACTCGCATGTGGCAAGCGCATCGCGAGAGGCGACGGCGGATGAAACAGGCAAATCAAGCAGTGAAACTCGACGAGTCCAATTCAACTGCACCGTCAGTGTCCAGTGGTATTGCCGAAGCAATTACAGAGGAGCCAGCCAGCTGTACATCTCCTGCGCGCGTCCCAAGCGTCGCTAGTGAAGGTAAATCAACAAGCAAATACAGAGCTACCGCGATTCTGGATTTAGGCTGACTAATTTTCTCTGGAATTCCAGGATTAGTGACAATTAATTTGTCAAAGATTCTTATGATGATTAATATCAATGAAATTCTGAGTAGATTTTACGACTGTAGTATAAACACTCATAAGTAAAATATAAAACCGTTTTTTAAGCACCTCCAATCCCGCCCAGAACAGTGAATAAGCCGCTGCCATTATGTCCCAAACCGCGGCATAAATCCAAAATTGCCGCTCAACAGCAGCATCAGGAACAACAAGAAAAACAGATCATCGCGAAACAAGTCGAGCAGATTCCAGCATCGCCGAGTTCTAGCTGCGACGAGCCGAATTCCCCGGTCGAGTCCAATGACAGCGAGTCATTGCTGGAAACGACCGCAATGATGGACGAGGTCAATGTCCAGTCCTCGGATTCGGAGAATGAGCAGCAGACGGATTCCGATCCCGACTCGGGTATTTCTGGTGAAGCGACAGATCTAAGCCAGATCAACTTCAATTTGCGAGATATTGACGAGCTCGACGATCTCGCTAATGACCTTTTCCCGGTGACACTTGAACTGAGCCCAGAAACACTCTCCCACAAACCAGCCCAAAAATATCACACTTCCTTAAAACAAAGTCGCCCAAAAAGCAACCCAGTCCTAGCATCCTCGCCTCCTTCTTGCAAAATCCTCTCTTCTCAAAACGCAAACGCAAATTTCCTAAACACTAATAACTCAACGCCGTTTTCTCAATCTAAATCGAAGGTGGAGACAGAGGAGCAGCCGACGAAATCATACGAATCTACAGAAAAAGACCCTGCCCAGCAAGAAACTCCGCAAATTCAAATTCAAGCGGAGCAAGATCAGGTTCGTAATTCAAATTTTTGTCGATGAAATTGACGATTTTTATTTCAGGAGAATCTCAAAGAGAACTCCCCCGAAGCGAAACAGGAGGAAGAAGAGGAACAGCTTGTGGTAATAAACCCTGTTTCGTAGCACTGAAATCTACTGATGAAAAATTCTAGGAGAGCAAAAACATCGGCTCAGTGAACACCCGCCTGTCGCGCTACCAGTCCCGGGCGAACCAGTCGCCCGAGGTGCGCAAAGAACCCGTCCCGAAAGTCTCCACCATCGACAAATTCAAGGACAACTATCTCAAACAAACCGAGAAAGCAGGCAGCACAGTTCAGGTGAGCAACCCCTTTCCGTTCAAATAAGGAATAATTTCGAAGGCGGAGATGGCCACCTCGGGAGCGCTTTCGCTCAAGGACCGAATGAAAATGTTCGAAAATCAGTCGTCGAGGTCCGTTCAGCGCGAAGTCGTCGGACAGGCCGAGCGGGCAGGGGACATCCGCTCTAAGATCTCCAACTGGGGAGTCTCCGATTCTACCAACAGCTACAGTCAGGTAAAGAAGTTCAATTGATCACCGTTTTTTGATTTACAAGGCCGCAAAGACGCCAAAATCAGCGACTAAACGGTAACTGGACTGTGCTCTAATTTGAAATTTTCAGCGTGAGCGCATCACTGTAGCTCCTCTCAGCGACCGACGCTCCCAGTACACGGCGGTTGCGAACGCAAACTAACGAAAACCCTCTCCCGTCACGTGAACAATTTCATCAAGACTAATTGAACAAAACAACCACTCACCGCATCTCAGAATTATTAGAACCAGAAAAAGAAAAAAAAACGCTTCAAGCTTCAATTATTGGCAATTCGTGAACAAAAAACGCACACAACCGACAAGTGTTCTATCTTTCCTCGCTCTCTGTACTCTTCTTCTTTTTTTCTATTTCGCTACTTTCGTACAAAAAACAATTCCATAAAAACCCAGAAGGGACCCTTTATCAACTCTTCTTTTTCCACCGAGAAAAGTTCCCGATAAGATTCATACTTTACTTGTTAAGAAAATCAAAATATAGTTCTTCGCTCAAAGACCTGTCTTATCGATTCGCTTTCCAAATAAAAAAATAATATTCGCAAATTTTAGCTTATAAAAAGCTCATTTCCCCATGACAGATGCTCTGATTGAGAATTAGGGTTAGAGTTGAGTCTTCTATTTCGATAATTACTGTAGGAAATTTAATGAAGAATCGAGTTTTGACTTCTTGTCGACCCATTGAAACTGAAAATAAGGGTATCATTATTTAAAGTGAACAAGAAAAAAATAGCCGAAAAATTAAGTTCGAGCATTTGTTTCTACTTTGCATACTCAAATTGGGATCAACAACTCAACTCAGCATATCTATGCAATTCTTCATTCTTTCCAGCATTTTCAGCTAGTCATGCGATTCCTACTGGGAAAGAAAAGAAAGTCAGATTCTGACTGCCAGAAAGTAAAGACGTAAAAACTCACGCCGTCTGATGTATCTTTGATGTCTCTTTATGCAGTTTCTATCTGAGACGTCAGCGATAGACTTTTATCGTTCCCCGATTTCACACGATTATCGTTGATTATTGCATTCCCGCATGGAGCCAAAAGGCTGGCAGCAAAGTGTTCCGTTCGCAGTTTTTAAAAATTGTTTTCTTTATTTCACGTGCGTATGTTTTCAGTCTCAATCAAAAGCGTCCGGGTCGAGGGGATCTTCGTGTTCCGGATCGCCATCAGCATTTTCTGTCGTTCCGTCGACGTTCGTCCGCACAGTGCGCATTTGATCCAGCAGGGCGGAAATTGAATCCATCACGTTTTGGATCTTCAAAAAATATCAAAATTTATTTATTAAATGATGATGTTTACATGAGTATTTGGATTGCCGTCCGCGTCTTCTCCTCTTGGAAAATTCTCGAAACCAGGAGCGAAGCTTTGTAAAAACGATTCAGCGATCGAGTTGAAGCCGTATAAAGTGGTATCTTCGGCCGGAATGACCGGTTCGTAGGTGATCACTTGATCATCAGCTTTGGGCGGGTAGGGATCGAAGAGATAGGATTCCTCTGGGCGCAGATTACTAACAGTCACGTCTGACAAAATGCAGTGGCGCATTATTTGCGGAGGGGTCTACTTTCTGGGTCACCTTTTTGCTTAATTTATCTTTAGTCATTAGAGACTAAAGCCCCAATCAAGAAAGAAGCGAAGGGTTGACCCATTCCTTGTTGAATTTGTTCTTTGAAGCGGGTAAATTAAGCGCAACAATCGATTCGGCTGCTGCAGTGAGAACCTGCTGCGCCTTTGTCTCTTTCCACAAGTCGACTTCACGTTCGCAAATCAACTGGTACAGCAGCTTTCGAGTTCCTTCGTCGCTGTTGAAGAACTCACTGGAGGCGATTTCTGGGCCCGGTTCAGCTAAAAAAGTATTCAACTCAAGAATAGTCTACTATTCTTTTTCAAACCTTGAATCGCGTTGAGGAGTCTTATCAGTAAACCCGGGAAGTTCTTGAGGCATTCTTCCATCCTCTTCTGGGCAAGATCAACCTTGTCAAGGTAGATATACGCCAGGGAAATCGCCAAGCACCAGTTCGGCATACTGGAGACATTTCGATGCGCCAGCTCTTGCTCCATTTCGATCAGCTCACTAAATGCGCCACAGCGGACAGCGTAGAGGGGAATGAGCAGGACTGATGCCAGCGGATCCCGAATCGGATCCAGCGAAAGCAAAAGCTTTGCCTGCTCGAGTGCGGTTCGCCAGCAACCACGCCTCGCGGACAACTGACAGTACCTAAATTACAGTTTATTCACTTCCTTGATTTCAAAACAAAAAGAAGAGGGCTAACCTGAAAAGTCCTCCAAAAAGAGGTCGATTTTCTGGGCGATTGTAGTCAAATCTATTTTTCCCGCTTCCAATCGAGCATCTTGGATGGAGATTGCGCTCCATGACGAACAGTAGTCGCTCGAGCAGCTCTTTTGAAGCGTTTGTGTCGTCTTGGAGCCGGCAAGTGTCGGAGAGAGCGAGAGTTGCATCCGTGTGAGCAGGACACTTTCTCAAAATAACCATCAGTGCTTCATGATCATGTCCTTTGATCGCCTTCAAAAAGAGGCCCTGCATTTTCTGGTATTCTGCGTTGTGCGTGAATTTCCACCACGTGACGTCGCCTCCTTTAGGCTGCTTCTCGTCTTCGGAACATCCAAGTCCGCCGGAAACTCCTTGAAAATGACTTTGCGGGTTCACCAAAATACATCCTCTAAATTGGGACAAATTCCATCTATGGATGCATTTTCTGTAAAGAAAGAGTTGCCCCATTCCTGAGTTTTCGTTGAGGTTGTCTTCCTTTTTGCTGCTTTCGATCAGCTCGATCGGCATTAACTGCCGCGTTGCCAAAGATGCGCTTGAGCTCGGCGTCTGGATCCAGGAACTTCGAGTCGATTCTCAAGCAGGATGTCATCTTTCGAACAATTGAATCCTCCGCACTCTCTGCGCTCTTTCTGTCGTTTTCGGAAACTTTGAACTCGGCCAAAATCGAATCGAAGTCGTCTTCTTTCTTTTGCGCAGCAGCTTTTTTCTTTTTATTTTTCTTCTTCTTTGACTTCTTGGTCGGAGTTTTTTGAACAGTTGGAGTAGGGGCTTCTTCCCTATCTTCCTCAGAAAGATTATCTTCTTCATCATCAACCAGTGATGCAAAACCGAAGTTCTTTTTCTTCGGCGCTTTCACTAAAGTACATCGTTATAAATTTGAAATTCCACCAAACAAATGTTGATAGAAATACTTTCAATAGATATTTTTGATATCTATTGCCAGAGAGGAGAACTGTTTATCTGAGAGGAGGGGCTCTATCATTCGAAATTATCGACCGACACGCTCTACTTCAAGGCTTGAAGTTCCAGCTGTACGACTGTAGATTTTATCGTAAAATAGGTGGTGGTCTAAACTTTGAAGTTCTTACGTGCGATAATAACTTCGTGTGGCCTAAACTTTGATTGTTCCCATGTGCGATTCTTTGAGAAAGTGGCCTAAACTTTGATTCTTCCTATGTGTGAAAGTGGTCTAAACTTTGAATTTCCCCTTAGGCGCTCTGACTAGTTCTATGTGTGTCATCACCTTGCGTGAAAAGCGTAAACCTAATTGGTCCGCATAAAGCATAGTGGCCTTAGCGGGCAGTGCTCTAGTCACCGATGGCAGAACCGCCTCCGGGGAAATTCAAAGTTTAGGCCACTTTCTCAAAGAATCGCACATGGGAACGATCAAAGTTTAGGCCACACGAAGTTCTTATCGCACGTAAGAACTTCAAAGTTTAGACCACCACCTATTTTACTAGGTGGCGCTTTATATTCTTCATAAAAAGGGGATTTTCAAGAGTTCTACTGAAGGATTTTAACATAATGAAAACAATAATATTATTTACAATATGAACGTTAACCCATGGAAATATTATAGTGCAAACAAGACGCACTGTGAATTTAGACCCCTACTGTCACTGTGACATGAAAGCGCACATTATACAAGTTCATCAGTTGATACCTTGTAAACTGTAAAACTTATTATGAGATAATAAATTGTCAAATAGTAAAACAAAAATTCGACTTTATTTACAATGCTCCGTCTCCGCCCTCGGTAACAGTAACTTACTGAGTTTGGGCGCCTCTTCTTCAGACTCATCGCCACTCGCCAGCCCCATCATTTTCTTGAGATCTTCAGTCTGATCGTATCCTCTTAATTTCTTGAGCTGCCTGGCCGACATCTTCGTTTATTTCTCTGCTTTTCCGTCTGATCGCGATCGAGTGATTCTTTCTCAAGAGTCAACTTGACTCAATGCGCCGTGACGCAGCAAAATAGGAAAATCGTGAGTCATCGCGCCAAGTTGGGAAAGAAATTCTCGAGCGTGAGAAAAAAAGGAAAAAACGAATAGAGACTGAAGAAGATATTTCCAGATTATTTCCATAAAAAAATAAAGCTTTGAAGAGACTTTTCTAAAAGCTGTTATTTTTATGCCCAAATTTTCATAAAGTTTGAGTAACGTAAATTTTGTTCAGATGAAGAATGGGTTTCCTTCGATCGATTAAAATATCCGGAATCCGTTCAATCGGGCCTGGAGAAGAAAACGAGGTCGAGATCCGATTCCAGCGTCCGTTCACGCTCATTTCCGGGCAAAATGGAGCTGGAAAAACGACCGTCATCGAATGTCTCAAATACGCCACGTCCGGTGCATTTCCTCCTGGAACCACCAAAGCAAGTAAGAAGCAACGAAATTGACAGAAAATTGATTCATTTTCAGAGGGCTGGATTCACTTTCCAAAAGGACGAAACGAGGAAGCAGAAACTACGAAAACTGGGAGAAAACGAAAAGCAGCGAATGTCACGAAAGTGCCTGCGCGAGTCCATTTGGAGCTCGAAGTCCCGGCCGAGAATGGAGACATCAACGTCATCTCCGTCAGCCGAAAGCTCGAGGGAACGCTCAAGGATGGAGACATGACGACCAAGACTCTTGAAGGTACGATCAACATCAAGGACAAGAGAACTGGAGCGCCGATTGAAAACAGGAAAGGGCTGGAAATTCTGGGTTGCGCAACCTGTCCTGTATTATAAACTGTGTCAGGGTCTCGCCGACTCCTTTTCTTTAAAACCTGACTCGTTTTCCAGCGGATGATGGAACTTGAGTAACTTAGTCTGCGTCAGGCTCGCACAGGAGACAAAAGAAACTGACTTAGGGCTTGTTTTCCTGATTGAAATTTCAAAAATAGTTGCGCCGTGTTTTTCGAGTCAGGATTCCTGAGAAAATGAAATTCAAGCCCGGTTTTTAGAACAGAAAAAGTGGAAGAAATGAACCGGCAGGTGCGCCAATTGCTCGGCGTCAACAAGCCCGTGCTGGAGTTCGCCGTCTTTTGTCACCAAGACGAAACGCTTTGGCCCTTTGAGGAAGCAAAATCGCTGAAGGCGAAGTTCGACGAGATCTTCCAATCGGCAGAATACGTCAAATCGCTGGAGCAAGTGAAGAAAGTCTACAAAGAAGCAAATGCGACGATAAATGTTCAACAGGAACGCGTCAACGGGCAAAAATTCAAAATGGAAGAGTATTTGAAGCGACAAGATACGATTCAAAAGTACAGCGACGAAGTCGTGGAGTCGAAGAAAATCATCAGAGAGCTTACAAGCGAGCTAGAAAAGGTAGAAGAAGAAGAAGAGTCCCTTGTCGATGTCGTAAAAGAGCACAAGGAAAAAATGGATGCGGTGAATACGCTGAGATCTCGCTGCCAAGAAATTCATGCCGATTTGAAGCACTTTCAAGAAATGAAAGGGATCGAAAAAATCGTTGAAGATTACAACGAATCCTTGGAAGGAATCGACGAAGCGATTCAAAACTCGGACAAAGGCGATGATCGGGAACAACTGGAAGGTGAAATCGCGGAGCGACAGGAACAGAAAGCCTCGCTCGATGAAAGAATCAAGACGCTGAGAAGCAGCTTCGATAAGGAAGTGATGAAGAGCCAACAGTTCGAAAAGGACGAAAAGAACATGGCCGCTTTGTTCGAAAGAGAAGCGGCACGATTCCCGAATGTAGAGCGACTCGGCCCATTGAGTGAAAAAGAGAACCAGGAGGATTTCATCGAGGGCGTTTCTGAAGTCTTGCTTTTTCAAAAAGAGCAGATCGCGGAATTTGAAAAGAACCGCGACGACGAAATTGGCCAAAACGACGAAAAGGCGAAGAATAATTCGGTCGAACGGACGAAACTGGAAACTACGATTTCGTTGAAGAAGAAACAAATGCAAGATAAAAGGAAAAAGATTCAGGAGATTGAAGAGCAACTCCGATCGTCCTCGCAAATTGCCGATCGCCACGGTCGATTTTTGAGAAAACGCGACGCTTTGGAAAAAGACTATAATGCGGTCGATTGGGAGGGCGTATTTGAAGAAATAGAAACTTCCTTGACAAAGGCTTCAGATGAAAAAGACACTCTTTCTCAACAAAAAGAACAGCTCGAGGAAGAAGAGGAAAAGAGCCAACAGATGGAGGACCTTTTGCGCGAAAAGAAGTCGAAAGAAGCCGAAATTTCAAGGATGGAAAGCGAAGTCAGAAAGTCAAGTGATATTCTGACGGAGATCTTCAGCCAAATCGACGGTTTTACCGACCTAGATGATGTTTCCAAAGACGACCTGGAATCGTGGTCGATGAAATACTCCAAGGATTTTTCTCGAAACGAAGATGCTCTCAAGGTACGAGTATAGATGTACTTTTGGGGCTCATTTAGTAGATTATCCCTAATCCTTATTTCTAGCGGCAAGTGCAAGCTCTCTTCCAAAAGCAGTCTGATGAAAAGACGCTGAAAAAGGAACTGGTCAAAGTTCAAACTCGCCTAGTTACGAACAGGGAAAAGATCGAATCCGAGATTCTCGGAGAACTGGCAGACGAACGATCGAAGCTCAGCGAACTAACCTCCGAAGAAACTGAGCTTTCGGAAAAAGTGCAAGCAATGGAAGAGGGAAAGAAGCTCTTCAAGCAATTTCTCAGCTCCGTTGAAAAGAAGAAGAGCTGTCCTGTTTGTACGAATGGGCTGAGTGGTGATAAGTTGAACAAAACCATCGATTACTGCAAGTCAAACATGAGCTTCAAGAATGGACCCCAGCTTAAGTCGGATTTGGACGATCTCCGCTCAGATATCGAGAAGAAAAAGACCCACATCACTGTCCTTGAAGAAATCGAAAGGGACGAAGCCGAGGAAGCAAAGATCACTGCACAGCAAAAGACCCTCAAGAGCCAAATACTCAAGCTCAACGAAGACAAGATCAAGCTCGAGAAAAAAAAGAAGAGCTTGGAAACAATCAAGAACAAACTGCAATTGACAGCATTTGACCAGTTTGAGATCTTCACATCAGCGAGTCAGCAGTTGAATCCAGTCAAAGCGCGGCTGGTCAAAATCGAACGTGAATTGACGCAAATGGGGGTGGAGACGCAAAAGAGCGTCGTCGACGTCCGAAATGAGCTCAAATCCGTCAAGGACGAAATCAAGCAACTAGAAGCAGCTGAAAGCGACCTTCGTCAACGACAAAGTCAGCTCTCCACGAAGCAGCGAACGCTAAACGAGCAATTGAATAAAACTCGTGAAGAAATCGCCAAGTTGGAAAAATCGATGGGATCGAACTCGGAAGAGATGATTCAACAAAAGAGCCAACTTGAATCTGAAGTAGCTAGAATCCAGGCGGAAATCGATAGCGCCAACGAGCACCTCAAGGATATAGGAAAAGAACAGAGCCTTTTGCGAGCTGAAAATCAACGAATTCGACAGAGCTTCGACCAAAAAATCAACAAGGCGAAAGTCGCGTGTGAAAAATTGCCGCTTGCGTTACTTCACTCAAGAACTCCTTCAAGCAACATCAAGAAAGATACCAGAGCTTCTCGAAAGAACGAGCTGAAGAAGCAAAACAACAAGTCACGGAGCAAATCCAGGAGGCTGAAAAAGAACTTGGTAAATTTATCGAAGTAATTGAAGAGCTGCAGTCGAGACGAGGCGAGTTTGAAGTGCGGAAGTCAAAGTTGCAAAATGCTAGAGCTCTTTTGGTCAAGCAAACGGAGCTAGACGAGACTGGTAAGCTAAAAACTACTGTCGACTTTTTAATAATTTTGTATTCAGCTGATTCTTATACAAAAGCAAAGGAGGAATACAAAGCATTCGAAAGCTATTTGCATGAGGCCGGATATTGTGAAGGAAACAACCTCGCCGAGAGGCTAGAAAATACGAGAGTGAAACGAGAAGAGATTCTTGACGGGCGATCAAGTAAGCGCGTTTTTCTTGGTAAAAACATGTTTATTTCTTTTTTGTGTAGGAGCGGAAGGCGCAAAGACGCAAAAGATGGAAATGATCTCACGTTTGCAAGCAGCGAATGCGGAAGACGGAGAAGATCAGGAAAAGGAGTTTTACTTGACCCAGTTGCAGCTTCAAGTCGACAAGGCATTCGCCAGGGATTTGGACAAGTTTTCTCAGGCCTTGGGAACGGCGATCATCGATGTTCATCAGAAACAGATGCAGAAGCTCAACGCAATCATTGCTCAGCTCTGGAAGACCTCCTACCAGGTTAATCAGACTTCTTTGGTCTTTTGGTTAATTTTATTTTCAGGGAACGGACATTGAGTTCATCAGTATCAGCGCTAAGGATAGTAAGACGTCAGCTTCGCAGCGATCAAACATGGAGTACTGTAAGTAAAAACGTAGCTAGCACTGGTCTTTTGGGAATTAAAGCTAGCTCTTTTCAATAGCTAAGGTCCTGTTATAACGGTTAATTTGAAGGCGTGAACATGCACCGACCAGATGGAGCAGTTCTGTCAATGCGTGGCCGAGCATCAGCTGGTCAAAGAATGCTCGCCTCGCTCGTCATTCGTCTTGCTTTGATGGAGACCTTCTGCAACTCCGGAATTCTGACGCTCGACGAACCAACGACCAATTTGGACAAAGACGCGATCAGAAGATTTGCGGAAACCGTTGTCGATCTCGCCAAGACTGCTCGAGGATATAATCTCAAAACGCAGTTTGTGATCATCACCCACGACAAAGAATTCACAGACATTCTTACTGACCTTGCTGAAGTCCAATGTGCTTACAAGGTATGGCAAAAAGACATCATCTATTATTCATGAATTTTTATAGCTTGAGAAATCGCTTGAAGGATATACCGTCGCAAGAAGAATCGGCGACGAAGAAAATGTCCCGCCGAACCAAGACCCGGATAATGACGATTACGGATTCTTTTGAGTTAACTCAATCCAAACTCACTGCCTGAATCTATCATTTTACAGATACACTTTCACTCATTTACTTCAAAGGAGAACAACACTCCGCCATTCCAAAAACACGCTCTTTCGTTTTAGTGCTAAATTTAATTGCATCCATATTCTGGATCTGCAAATCTACTTGTTTTCACCGTATTGCCTGACATATTCCACAAGTTACAACCGTTATCGTGAATAAATATTATTGGAAAAATTAAAAACAGTTTTGTCTTTTTGAATCTTGTACTATTAGTGATAGTCTAAGACAGTATTGCAATCTTTGTTGACAATAACAAGCTCAGATTGTTCGAGATGCAGCTCTACCAAAACCTCAAGGTCCGCGACGACGGGTTCCTTATTAAAAACGATGGAACAGTTGTTGTGTACACCGACGGGGCTTGCCGAAATAACAATCGAAAAAATGGGCGTCACAGCGGATCTGGCATCTTTTGGGGAGATTATCGAAAAGCTATAGCATCCCCTTCCCGAAGCACGATGATGCACTGAACACCAACCAGTACGCTGAAGCTAGAGCGATTCTCTACGCTGCTCGGTATTTATCTAACGCTGATTTTCATAATAAACTATTTTTAAGTTATGCAAAAAGAGCCGGAATTAATCGCTTAGAAATCCGCACGGATTCGAAGTTCTGCATCGAGAGTCTGACCAAGTTCATTGACAACTGGATTCGCAACGCCGACAAGGATGGAATTTGGCGCTCGCAGAAAGGAAGCCCCGTCGTCCACCAAAAAATCTTCCGCGAAATCTACAACATTTCTAAGCGCGTCAACATTTCTTACCAATACGTTCCAGGACATAGTGGCGAGCGTGGCAACGATGCTGCAGACAGACTTGGTAATTTTAAACTCAAAAGGGCACTTTTTTTATTTTGGTTTTTAGCGGAAGTCGCAGCGGATCGTGCCACCTACTTCTACAATCGAAAGAAGCTACAGGCAAAGTCTGCGGCTTCTTCTGGGCAACAAAAGTCTTCCAAGCTTACTGCCGATGATCTGATCAACAACAACAACGTCGCCCGTATTGGGTACATTTCCGCTAGTCCTGCTTATTGAGCGTAACCAATTCTGCCGATAACTTCAGTTATTTATCTCTTTCTCACGAATACCTTTCAAACAGCTTCACGGTCCTCAGACAGATCTCCTGTCTTTCACCTCGTTTTTTCGCTTCAACTGTGCTGAAAATTTCAGCTTCAATTCATGTCTTTTCCATATCTTTCTTTCTTTTTTCTACGGATAATCAGTTCTGCCAAAGAATGCCTTTATTGAAACGAATACCGCTCACCCATACCTTTGATCAACCAAGATCAACATAAACCCATCACATTGTTGTCGTAGCTTCCTTAAACCTCTTGGCGTACATTGACACAAGAAACGCCATCTTTTGACTGCAAGTGAAATCGCTTTCATTATCTTTCCTTGTCTCTTTTATTAAAATTTTTTATTTATTCCTCAATCGAGTCATAAAACTCAGATTGTTGCGATTCTCCGAGATGCAGCCCTTCCGAAGCCTCTACATCCGTAATGACGGCTATCTCGTTGATGACGATGACATCGTCGTCGTATACACGGACGGCGCGTGCCGAGGCAATCATCGAAGAGATGTACGCCACAGCGGCTCTGGTGTGTACTGGGGCGACTACCGAAAAAATGGCCGATTCTCTGTCTACTTCCCGAGGCACAACATCGAAGAGAACACCAACCAATTCGCCGAAGCTAGAGCGATTCTCTACGCTGCACGGTAATGATCTATAACAATGAAAAGTGATTTCACTCGTATTTTAGTCACGCAGCCAAGTACGAAATCGACAGCTTAGAAATCCGGACAGATTCCATGTTCTGCATCGACAGTTTGACCGATTACATTTACAAGTGGATTGACAACGCTGATGACGATGGAACTTGGTACTCGTCGAGAGGAAGACCCGTCGTTCACCAAGAAATCTTCAGCGAAATCCACGACATCGCAAACAATCAAGTCGACATTTCGTACCAATACGTTGAAGGCCATTCTGGCGAGGAGGGCAACGAAGAGGCAAATCGACTCGGTAATGGAGAAAAATCGACTTGTCCTAATACTTTTGTTTAGCAGAAGCAGCAGCTGATCAGGCCAAGCAGTTCTACTTGAATGAGTACGATTAGTCGTTTTCATATAGTTGCTTCTATTCGAACCAGATTATACTCGGTTCTCTCCATCTCTTTTCCCATGATGGGAATCCCATCTCTCTTTTTTTACGGATAATCGATTCTGCCAAAGAATACCTTCATTGAAACAAATACCGTTAACCCATACGTTCGACCAAGATCAACGATTCGCATCACCGTTACATCTTTCATTTATACGCACGCTCACTGAAATCCCGTGTCTGACCAAATCGCTTTACATTTAATTTCAAATTAGCTGGTTTTCCTCAAGCGTTGATATTATTAAAATCTTAATTTATTCGAATGCCAGCAATTCTTTTTTAGAAAAAGAAAATGAAACGCTCACGAGAATGGGAGGGGCATGGAAATGTTTTGCAGCCGTTGGTCAAGAATCGAATTACAGTATCGACCTTTTTGAAGAACAGTTGCGGCGACAAGGCCTCACAACTTAAAACTGATATTGAGAAGAGAACTCTGAAGATGATGTTTGACAACAGCTCCAATCATCTTACTATGGGTAATTTTTCAAGTGGAACACAGCAGTTTCTTACTCTAGCAATTTCAGAAGCAGAAGGACAATCAGAACACATCTCCCTCCTTCCGAAAATAAAAGGGCAGCGTTCGGTGACCGATTTCTTCCAGAAAAAGGCGCCCCAGGGTGCCTCCCGTTCAGCCGCTTCGCACGCCAAAGTATGAATTAAAAATGATCCAATTACTAAAAGCCCTTCTCCTAGCCGCAGTGATCTTCAACTTCGCTTTCATCAACTTAGAAAACCCTACAAACCTGCCATTTATCTTTTTCCTTTCATTTATGTCTCCAATAAAATCTTAAAATATAACAACTTGTTCTAACTAATGAGAGTCTCATTATGAGACTGCTAGAAAGACTGTCTCTAGAATATGATAAGGGACTAGTGTTGATCTCAGTTGTTACAGTTAATCAATTAAAAACCTGAGAAATCTAACGAGTAAGTCATTCGCTAAGTAAAGAGTTTCGCCAACTAAGCGTTTTGATCACGCTTTTTCATGAACAAATCGCTATATTTACTTTTCTAACGGGTAAATCAATTCAGAAACTTAAATTATAATGGTTTGGAAACGCTTGAAGCCAGATGTAAATGAAATCCTTGGCGCAATTGAAGAACTTATTGCTAAAGAAGATCGCTACCAATTAGGTAAGTAGGGGCCTTATAGAGGTCTAATTATTTGATAGCATTCTGATCATTAATTTCTTCAGAAAACAGCGCCAAATTCCGCGCCGTGGATCAACGAGTCGCAACTTACGACGAATTCAAAGGGATCGTTGATGGCTCACACCTGCGCGCGCTTGACCGCAAGGAGCAAGTCGACTCTATTTTGGCGCCAAACAAGCACTGCTGGAATCCTGTTGCAGGTATAAATAATTAATTACGCCGCATTTCGCTCATTTCTTTTTTCTTTCAGCCGCGCTGGACAGAGAAATAGAAACGATTCAAAAAGCGATCGAGCTGGACTTCGAAGTAGAGGCGATTTCGACTTATTCGCAGTTCAAGACTTCGTGGCGACGCGCCCAGGCGAACCAAGCAACGCGTCAAGCTATTTTGCTGAAATTGAACGACGCCGTCATTTTCAAGGACTCCTGCGAGCCGCTCGATGAGATCTGCGACTGTCTCGCCTCCATAAATCAAAAAGAAGAAAGAGTTAAAGCCATTCTTGCGTCTTTGCAAAAGTCGAGAGAGTTCAGCTTGGCTTGTGCTTTTCTTGACGCCAAGTCTAAGGCGACTTTGGATAATTTGATCGGGAAGCACTTTTCTTGAGTTTTTCCTTTTCGATTTTTCTGCTTCTTTTACTATATTTTTATATCGAGTTTGAAATATATTTTCTCTTCTGCAACACCCTTTCTTTGATACAACTTTAGGCCAAAATTAGCATCATCTTTTGACTTACTGATTTTTGATGAATAAATTAAGCATAAACGAAAATGAACGGGATCAATGAGCCCGCGTTAGAGTCGTGTACCATTATTCGTTTCCCAGAGAATATCGCTGAGCAAATTCGCCAGAACCTGAAGCTAGAAAGCGAGAAGCTCCAGTCGCTAATCGAGAAAGATGCCAATGACACGTATTACGAGCAGAGCATTGAGGTTGGTTGAGTCGTTGTTGTTGTCAGTTTCAAAAAGGGAAATCAGAATCGACTGACGGTGAAATGGAATCAGGACAAGCGCCATTGTGCCGTAAAGTGGGATGATCAGCTACTCAAGGGCAGACTCTGCGACTTGCCGACTGTGGTCGAAGCGTACAAGACCACGGACAAGAAAACTTTCTATAAGAACTCGTCCATAAGGTGAGCACCTTGACTGAGATGCTTCAATCTGTCTGAGATTTAGATGCATGTTTGGAGTTAGAGCCATAATTGATCGTTCTTACAGTAATTTCACGATTTGAGGTGTAGAAATACTATCGGAAGTAGTTGCGCTTGTGAAAACTTCGATCGTTAACCTTATTCTCGTCCATATCTTTCAAGAAAATTAACCACTTTGATAGTCAAATGCTGATATGCGCCGAGCACGAAAAAGACATCAACCCTCGCAACGAGATCCCAGGGATGAAGGACGACAGGAGGTTTCAACTGCTCGCTGGAGTGACACCACCGCTGAAAAACGTCAAAAAGAGCCGTTTCAGGAAGGTGATCAAAAAGCGCCATTGCGAGGCGCCAGAAGTAGAACGAGAGCTCAAGCGACTACTTAGAGAAGATCTCAATGCTTCTAGGCAATTTTGTCAAAAATAAATCTCGGATGATTCTTTTTTGTTATTTTTTGCTTTGGCAAATTTGAACAGCGTAGAACACGAGCTGGTTGAAGACACGGAAATGAAGGGGAAGAAGGGCTCGAAAAAAGACCAGGACAACAAGGAAATGTCCGACATTCTTCCCATGCTCTCCTCGTCAGAAGAAGAGGACGACGACGATGATCTGGACGACAAGTACACGATCGATCCACTTGATCGCCATTTAAAAGTCGTCGCGGAAGGAGTCTTTGCCGACAAAATCAAAAAAGTGCAGGACCAGGCCCAACGCACTGTTGACGAAATCCTTCGATTCAGGGAAAGGAGGGCGAAGAAAGAAGCCGAGCTAGAAGTTGTAAGTCTCTTTCAAATTATCTTTCTCGTCGTCTGGTTTACTTGATTCTGATTTATTATTGTTCAGGCTCGGAAAGAAGAAAAGAAGGAAAACCTGAGGAACTATATCGAAGAGTTAAGAAGGAAGGAAGACGACAAAACTGCCACGTACCATACGATCTGTGAAAAATTCAAAAAATATTGACCTAAAACAACAACTTACTTACATCTCTCTCTCTCACTCTTTCTCTTTCCAAAAAATTCCATTCGTTGTTAAAACGTTTATTGAATAATTTGAACTAAGAATGGGCCAAAATGAGTCGCGGTTGGCGTTTCGTCGAGCGGTGATTCAACTAGAAACGGGCGACCAGGGCGATGATGCGTTTTGGGAGAGTTTTTGGAAGTCGGAAGGAATCGCCAATGCTTCCGACATTTGGGCGCTTATTCCCAGCTCCGAAATTCGGTCGTTGCGGGAAGAACATCCAAGTTCTCTCGCCCAGTTGATCTACAAATCGGTAGAGCGTCTCGAGTCCTCGCTGAAAGAAGCCAGGGAAGAAACAGAAAAGGCGAAAAAGAATCTGAAGCAGACGATGAACGCTGTCCGTTTACTCACTCGATTGACGCCCCTAGTCTACGAGGATTCCGAGTGGGTCGGCTTCTATCACTCCAAAATCCCGTCCCAAGACAACGATGGCGTTGAGAACCGAACGCTAGCCGACAAGCTGGTGGAAATCATCATCGAGTTGATGTTCTGCCCGGGCATCGGCGCCCATCACTCGGTTTCCAAGTCCGACTCCGCTGTTGAGGCCATTTGGGAAGCTGGAGTTGGCATTCTTGTTTCACCGCCGTCGGACTCGACCCTCGAGAACACTCGCTGCGAGCTCATCCGTCTATTGATCACGCTTTCTTCAGAAACATTGTACACAGAGCCTGCTTCGGCGGACAAGTGGCAGAACGGCCAGGCGCCGCAGAACAGCTGGGTTCCGCTCATTACCCGATCGCAACATTCTCTGCCGCTTCTTGCCTCCCTCTTGAACACGATCTGTTCTTACGACCCCAGCGGCGTTCCTTATCACCACTTACTCTGGACGGATACTCGAGAGCCTCTGGTAGAAGCTTGTTCGCAACTACTCGTCGTTCTTCTTGAAAAACCGTCGGATAAGGGCATCCCTGGTTCTTTTGAAGACGAAGGAAACAAGTTCCTTTATTTGATCAATCGCCTTCACAGAGAAGAGGACTTCCAGTTCATTATAAAGGGCCTCACTCGACTAATTTACAATCCATTACAAAGGTAGCTACAGAAAAAGAAACAATAACTTGAATTTCGTGTTATTGAAAATTTTGACTGAAAATTGTCTTTTTCTGATTGAAAAATCACTTCAATTGAATTTACAACATACAAGTGTTATGCTTTCTCGTTAAGAACGTAAGTGGAAATAGATAGAAAAAAGTCGAATTCAAAGGTATTCAAAATATACTCTTGAATGAATCTTTATACCAAGTAGAAATGCATCATATTCAACACGACAAAATCTATTTTATACCATTTATTAAGGGAGTACGCAGCGGATCTCATGCCGCTATAATCTGCTGTGTACGCTCTTAATTCTAATCACCACGCGTATAAAACAAGTTTTATTCGCAATTAGGGGTGTACTCGTCAATTTTGCCCATCCCGCAGACTCATCGTTAAAATGGCCAAATCGGAGGCTACACCCTTAAAAAAAGTGCAATCAATATGTACCTACTATTTTTTTCTTCGACAAATGCTCAGCCATTTATTTGTCTTATTTAATGTTCTTTTGCAAAGAAAGGAAAACCGCTAAGTCTGCTTGTTTTCAGCTCTTATCTGCCTTCATCACAGAAGCGGCTGTCGTGCCACCAGGAGCTGTTGCTACTGATTTGGCGCATTTGCGATTTGAACAAGACGTTTCTCCACCACATTCTCAAAACTGGCGACATGCTCGACCTGTTGGTGCCGATTCTGCATCATTTGAACGAGGCCCGTAACGATCCGTCGCGGCTGGGACTGATTCACATTTCTGTTTTTCTGCTTTTGCTTTTTTCCGGCGAGCGCAATTTCGGCGTCCGCTTGAATGCTACTTGGACATCTAGAGCGGCCCTGGATGTTCCCAGTTTCAATGGCACGCATGCCGACTTGCTCATCATCATTTTCCACAAGTTGATCACGACTGGCCATGCTCGAATTTGCTCGCTATATGACTGCCTTCTTACAGTTATCGTCAATATTTCTCCCTATCTAAAGGTACGAAGAGAAGCCTAACTCCAAATTTGCACTTGCAAACATAAAAATAGGCTCTTTCTCTTATTTGAAATTGATCTTGAAGCAAATCTAACCCTCCAAAATAGAATCTGAGCATGGCGACTGCAACGAAGCTCCTCCAACTTATGGAAATTTTCTCCCAACCCTCGTTCCTCTTCTCGCACCAGCAAAACCACCATCTCGTCTTTTTCCTGTTGGAATCGTTCAACAACCTGATTCAGTACCAATTCGACGGTAACTCGCCACTCGTTTACTCGATCATCCGCCGCCGCAAGATCTTCTACCAACTAGCTGCTCTCCCGACCGATTCAAACTCGATCGACAGACTCAAAAGCAAAAGAACCAAAAAGTAAGCACATTCTCTTTTCCGCCTCTTATCTTTCTAAAAGCAAACAAGTCTTTCACATCCAGCAAAAAACCTCTTTTTTCTCACAGCAGCTTTTCTGTTAGAGATTTTTGCAAGCCCGAGTCTGGCTGCCAGACTCAGAAACTCAATTCCCGATGTCAAAAGACAAGAAATATTCCTTCACAGGTTTTTAGTGAAAACCTGTGCCAGAATCATGTTTTTTTTAATTCAGGCTTACATTGCAAAGCTGAAAGTAAATTTAACTCAAAACCCTGAGTTTGACCCTGTTTTAGGGTTAGGGTTTTACTAATACAGGACCTGAGTATGACGCTTATTGTTTAAACAAGTTTTCAATGACGCTGATAAAATTTTTTTAATAAAAATTATTCAAATTTGGACAGGAGCTTTTAGGAAGAAGAAATTGTCATTTCGGTCTTTTATCCTTTCTTGTTTTTATGAGTTGCTAAAAATGAATAGTAGTGACGCGAAAAAGCGGCACGAGAAGCTCAAGCAAATCGCAACAGAGCATCGCGAAGAGTTCCGCAGTTCCTCGAACGCTGGAATCAACGAGGAGAACCAGCTCAACTCAAACATCGAGTCAGACGAGTCAGTCTCGATCGGCGACGAGAAAACGCGACTTTTGAGACGACCGTGGCCGATAACATCTTGTCAAACGGGGAGATGAATTCGAGCAGCGAGAAAAAGAAAACGAGCGAGCAGCTAAAGTTTAAAAATGAAGAGACGCTGCTCAACGAAAAGGCTGAAAACGAAAGCCAAGAAATGAGTATCGAAACCGGGCAAAATATTCAAATAGAGCATCATAGGTAAGATATCAATCATGGAGAATTAATTTGTTACTTAATATTTTTGTTAAATTAATTTCGTAAATTATTTTTTTTTATTGGCAAAAGAAGGTTTTTTTTATCGGTAAATTACCGATAAAAGTTTTAGTTAGTTTCTATCTATAGTAATTGAAAAATCTTCCAACTCGAGCCATTTTTATCTAAAAGTTTAATAGCTCTATCCCGCAAGTGATGAAGATGACGGAAGAGATATTAGACGGAACAAAGCAAACAGAGGGTGAGTAAAACGCCTCTCTTGTCTTTTAGACAAGATTTTGAGACTCCGCTTTTTAACAAAAGTTTCAACAACAAATTAGTCGATTGCGATGTTTCGGAAGCGCCGCAGTGGGAGGCCACGTCGAACTGGGCCTCCTCCTGGAAAAACAGACTGCCCTTGCAGACGATTATGAGATTGCTGCAAGTCCTCGTCCCACAGGTTGAGAAGATTTGCCTCGACAAGCAGATTTCGGATGAAAACGACATTTTAAAATTCATCAAGAGTGGCACCCTAGTTGGTCTTCTTCCCGTCCCACATCCGATTTTAATCAGGTAATAAGCTGAAAATGGCAATAGTTACAATCGTTTAGGCGTTATCAAACGAATCTGGGTACGAATAGGTGGCTCCAAACGTACACCTGGGGCGTCATTTACTTGAGGAACACGGACCCGCCGATTTGGTTCGACACGGACGTGAAACTTTTCGAAATCCAGCGATTTTAATATTCGAACTTTCGCTCAAACTGACAGTACTTTATACGAGAACTTGAACCCTCACTTACTTTACCGCCAAAGCATGATTCACCATTCTTTCAAGCAAGGTTCATTTCTTTCCATATATTTTGCAATTTCAAATGATTCAACTTTGTCAAAAACATATTTCTTCATTTCTGTTCACTGATCTTCAATCGCATGAAAGTTGTAACCTATCTTCCGTAATACTTCTTCCGTAACAATTTTCGTTCTTATCACTCTTTTTTATTTATTAATAATCTTCTTCTCCGTTCAATCTTATTCTACCTTTCTTTTCTTTAGCGATGGCGAGTCAACATGGGGAAGAAAACAAGTACAAAGTGGGCGACTATGTATATATAGAACAGTCGCAGGAGAACCCCTTGTCATCAGAAGAATCGACGAACTTCAAAAGACGGCACAAGGCAATGTCGCTGCTAAAGTTGTTTCTTACTATGTAAGTCTTCTTTCACTCCCTCATCTCTATCTTTCTTTTCAAGCGACGAAGGGACATTCCAAATTCATTAGCAGCCCTGGCCGACAAACATGCCAACGACATGGCGGAGTCGATGTTCTCCGAGTACAAATTCAACGATGTCGAGAAACACCAGCTCACGCACAGAGAAGTCTTCCTCTCCCGCCAAGTCGAGACGGTCAATGCCTCGCTTATCCGGGGCAAGTGCTCCGTCAGAATACTCAGCGACGCCGAAAACATGCAGATGTACATCAAAGAGCCGGATACGTTCTACTACTCGCTGGTATTCGATCCCAAGCAAAAGACACTGCTCGCGGATGGTGGCGATATTCGCATAGGATCCAAGGTAACTTTTCATTTGTAACTAAGTTTCAATCGATGATAAAATTAAGTATCAATGCCAAAACATCCCAGAAGTGTTGGAGGATTCATCCAAAGACGAAAAATTCTCGGAAGAGCTTGAAGAACTCTGCTGGGAACCAAACAGGATAGATGATCTCTCGATTGAGCGCTTTACGTGTCTCTTCCGCTCGGTGGGTACATTCGCCAGAGCGTTGGACAAGCCGAGCTGCGGCAAAATGGGACTCGTCGACGCCGCTTCCATGGCTTCGCGGGACATGACCCTCACCACTGCCTACAAATATCTCCACGAAGGTAAATACGTCTTTCCTGGCTATCTCTATTTAATTCTTTAAAGCTGGCTACGACTTCGCGAAAGCAACGGAGCGACTTCTGCCAAACAACGCAGCTGTTGCCGGCGAAATCAACGTCGGTCCCGTCTTTGTCCGCGACGAATTCGAAGACTGGTCCAAGGCCGAAGCGCAGCTCTTCGAGGAAGGAATGCAAAAGTACCAGAAGGAGTTTCTCTCAATCCGCGACGATTACTTGCCCTGGAAGACGCTGTCTAGCATTGTCGAGTTCTACTACCTTTGGAAAACGAGCGACCGATGCGTCGAAAGGGTAATTTATCAATAAAAAAGATGATTATTAAAGTAATTATTAAAGAAAAAGCGAAAAATGACGGAGGAGCAGCAGAAGCTGAAGTTCGTCTTCATTCCTCCGTACGACAAGCCGTCGAAAATGTGCAAGCACGAGAACCAAATGGACGAGAAATCGCGAACCCGTCCCTGCGAAGGATGCTGCGCCTTCGAGTCCGAGGACAAGCTCTGGTTCCCATGGGGCCCCGAGCGCTATCACTCCTGGTACTACACCATTTTACTATTAGTTGCGTATATAAAACCTGAGATATATAATACGAGTATATTATATATGCATCCTTATCTAATATTTTTATATCAAGGGGCACTAATATAGTGTTTGAAAGGCTGTGCTCGAAGTGTTGGCGCTACTGGAAGAAGTACGGTGGCTTGCAGTTGCCAAAAAGCACTAGAAGACGAATCATGGTCGGGAACGACAAGGTAAGTTGCTATTAGCAAATTACAGTCACAAGTTTGCTCGCTTTTTCAAAATTCACGCCTTCTCTAACACGCCAAAAAACAACAACTAACAACTAATTCTAAAAACGCTGCTTCAATTTTAAATCGATTGATTTTGAATTTAAAATCGCGCTTTTCATGATTTTTAAAAGTCGGGCATAATTGTAAAGAGGTGTGATTAGAATCGGCCACTGCGTTTCAGCACTCATCTTCAGAAGCTTCCCAACAAAACGCCTCTCTCAGTTCAGCGCCGGGACCAGAAAAACCAAAAGCAGCGCCAGCAGAGTTTTTACCTCCAGACAACAAGAGCAACAAAGGTAGCTTCGAGCATCAATCTCGAGAGTTTTTTCAGGCAGAAAATGCTCTTTTTCATTGACATCAAGAATCGAGTTTTTCTGGCAGAGTTTTCTCTCAAATTTCATAAAATTTTCTTCCTAAAGAGCCTGCCTGGGAATCCCGATCTTGATGTCTTCTTGCATTATTGCAGAGTTGCTAAACTTTCATTCAGAAAATGCGAGTAGTTTGCAAAGATATTTGTTACGAGAAAAAGATCGCATTGAACCCATTCCAGTCCTTCAAAACGGACATGGAGGCTATCAAGGTATTCAAAATAGCAAAAAATCGTTGTTGAATTCAATTCACAATTCAGGCCGAGTGCAATGCCAGGTTGAAGGCGAACCCAGACGCAGGCTCGGTCCGGAAAAGAGTCTTTCCGAAGCTGCACGAAGAGGTGATCAATAAAATTCGCGCCTCGCAAGTGAAACCAGAAGAGAACTCAAGCGCCAAGCAGCCCGTAAAAAGTCCCAAAAAGGAGGAAAACACCGCCGAAACGAAACAAGAGCCACTAGATATGAAACAAGAAGCAATAGAAGCAGAAACCGATGCCGCCGAAAACGGACCCGAAAACCTACGAAAAGGACAAGGAAAACTTCCGGTAGGGAATGGACTTTAAAAAACTATCAACTTTCAATTCAATAAAGAAAAAACTATCTGCCACTTTCAAAAACAAAAAACAATCTTTCTTTCGTTTTCTCAAGCAAACAAAAATGCAGTTGACAAATGCTAGATATAAAAGCAAAATTAAGGATTTAGTCTTTTATGTTCCCGATATTGCAGTAACAGTCAATTTAGAATAGATGTTTCTTAGTAGATATTCAATTAACTCTTGCTATCTTGTCAAAAGCCTGATTTATCGAGGGCTTTCCCCTTAAACTTAGCTGATATGTATGCATCCTCTGAAATATGTTTAGCAGCAGATGAACAGTAGTCGAGCACGACGGGACGAGCAGCTTGTTTTCATGATGCGTCCAAACGAGGAAACGAAGTAAGTAATGCCCACTACTAATGTGAAGATAAATTCCATATTGTATAGAAAACTCCGAGAGCAACACGTAAGCCTCTGTCGCAAGTATGCCCGTCGACCAAGCGCCGGCGCCAGGGAAGAACAGAAATCACAACTCATCGCGCTTCTCTTCGCTTCCCAAAACTGAGTAGATTTAGTCCTCTCCGCAGCTCCGCCTGCTGAGGCGGATAATACAGCAATCTTCCATCTGACAACTTAACTTCGTTCAACTCAAGCTCTACTGTAACAATCACTATAGAAAACACCCTTGTTGAACTAGAATTCAAAAATTGATTTTTGAATTTTGAATTTAAACTTGTCATATGGAAAATGAAAAATCAACTCACGGCCAAAACATAGCTTTTTGCATATGCTCAAGCATTTTTACATGTTGCTTCTTTTGGTTCTTTTTGAAAAAGACAGCTTGGGCGAGTCAGCTGTTGATGGACAGTAGCAATACTGTGTCTTATCAAGAGCTTGCTCGAGACCCTCCCACCAGACCCGACAAACACGCACACACACACGCACATACACAGACTAACACATGTATACTCTAGGCTACTGTACCTCTTTTACGTTCTTTCCTCACTTCACCATCTTCTGACCATTTTTTATGTTAAAAGCTACTGATCATTGAAAAGCAAACTGTTTCCAACAACATTCGCTAAAAAATTGATGATCAGATCAAATGCTTGCCAATTACTGTACTCCTTTCTTGATGAAACGATTTTATATTATTATTTTTTTCAATTTATGTCTTTAAAAATTAGAAAAATTGTACTTTTCATTGCCCTGTCCTCTTGCTTTCTCTCCTGTAAATAATTTTCCGGTATATTTTTTGCTTTTCTTCACCATTTTTGTTCCAGAAAAAGCTTTCTTATCAGCAATTCCTCGAATTGCCATCGATATAAACGTAACCACTTCAAGTTGTGTTCCAAAAGAAACTAGTCAAAATTATTATTTCCCTGCTAATTTGGTCATCTACAAATCCCCAGAACTCACCAACAAAGATTTCATTCATCAACTTAGCGAAATTCTAACGAACGGAGCAGGAAAACTGCTCTGTTTGTCAAACTGCCACTTTTAGGAAAATTGTCTAACCTCTTGACCAAGTCTCAAAAAAGAGCATAAAAGAACTCCAACAACTGCGAAATTCTACCGCCAGGCATTTTTTTTTAATCAACATGGCTTCACCTAATTAGGAAAGGAAAAAGATTGCCCTCTCCCCAGTTAGCTGCCCCCCTGTTGATTTAAAAATCGTGTGTGGCGGTATGTTTTGATGAGCTTTTTTGGTTGCTTATTTTTTGAGCGAAACCAACTTCTTTTTCCTGCCCATGTTCAATTTTTCCATGAATATTTCGTCTCTTCTGAAACGTAATGCTCGTGCTCGCATTATTATCATCTTAAGTTTTTTGTGATGTAAATACATAGAATACGCACAATAAACCCTGTTCTTTGTCAATTTTTCTGACCATTATTTTTCCAATTTTTAGAATACGGGAGGGCGAGTAAAAACTGAGAGCAATGGCGGAATCGGTCACGATAAAAGTTATGTGCCGTTTCCGGCCGCTGAACAGCAAGGAACTGGCGAGGCAGGACAAGTTTCTGCCCAAGTTCATCAGCGACGAGCAGATCAAGCTCGACGGGAAGACATACACCTTCGACCGCATTTTCAACGAGACGACGCAGCAGGAGACCGTCTACAAATACGCTGCGCAGCCGATTGTCAAGGACGTCTTAACCGGCTTCAATGGAACGATCTTTGCGTATGGCCAGACGTCGTCAGGAAAGACGCATACGATGGAAGGTGTTCTTCACGACAGTAACTTGAGCGGTATCATTCCGAGAATCGTCGACGACATCTTTAATCACATCTACGGCATGGACGAGAGTATCGAGTTCCACATCAAAGTCTCGTACTTTGAAATTTATCTGGACAAAGTACGAGACTTGCTCGACATCTCGAAGACAAACCTTCCCGTGCACGAAGATGGCAACCGCGTTCCCTATGTCAAAGGAGCAACAGAACGCTTCGTGGTCTCGCCGGAAGATGTCATGGACGTTGTCGACGAAGGAAAGTCTAACCGATCCGTGGCCAGCACAAATATGAACGACCAGTCGAGTAGAAGTCACTCGATCTTCCTCATCCAGGTCTCACAAGAAGACAAGACGAAAGAGACCAAGCTCAACGGAAAGCTCTACCTCGTCGATTTGGCTGGTTCCGAAAAAGTCGGCAAAACAGGAGCAGAAGGCATCGTTCTCGACGAAGCAAAGAACATCAACAAGTCTTTATCCGCCCTTGGAAATGTCATCTCGGCTTTGGCGGAAGGTACAAAGACGCACATTCCTTACAGAGACTCGAAAATGACGCGAATTCTGCAAGAAGCGCTCGGTGGAAACTGCAGAACGACGATCATCATTTGCGCCTCCCCAGCCGAATATAATGAAGCCGAAACGAAATCGACGTTGATGTTCGGTGTGAGAGCAAAGACGATCAAGAATTCGGTCGTGGCGAATGTTGAACTGACAGCCGAGCAGTGGAGAAGAAAATACGAAAAGGAACGAGAAAAGAACAAAAAAGCAAACGCACAGATTGAGTTGTTGAAACGAGAACTCGAACGATGGAGACGCGGAGAAACAGTGCCCGAAGAGGAGCAAGTCAATGAAGACGCAGTTCTTCTCGCGATGAAAAAGGAGCCCTCGCAAGGAGGAGCTGCTTCTAGTAATCACTCATTAATGATCGATCCACAAGGTCAAGGTGATAGTTTCTTGGGATCCGTCCGTCCTTCTCCCTGCGCGACGCCACTAGGCAGTGCTAAACGCGATTTCCCCTCTGCTGAAGAATCGTAAGTCTTATTTCGTAAGATCTTAGTTAAAAACCTATTTAGCGAGCTGTATAAACAACTAGACGACAAAGATGAAGAAATCTGCTCCTTATCAAGAGTTAACCAACAACTACAAGGTACCCCTTCCTTTCTTTCTCTGTAACAACCGCTTTCACCGTCATTTCTAGCGCAACTAATGGAGCAGGAAAACCTCATCGCCTACATGAAAGGTTCCGACGACCGAAACTCGTCAGAATACCAGCAAATCTCCCAAGAACTGCAAAACTCAAAAGAAGAAGTGGCTGACTTAATGCGCGCACTTGAGGATCTGGCTGTTAGCTATGAGCAAAAGGCAGAAGCACTCGGAGGTAGTGTATTTGATTTGTGTTTGGTTTATTTTTGGTTCTTTCATTTTCATGAAAAAAGCTTGTTCGCTTGATAAGCGGGAGTTTCTGAGAGGCCGAGCTCGCGCGGGCTGGAAAGTGCTGGAAGCTCCGTCTTTTTGAGTTGGTACCAGGGCATGATGGGACCAGCGCTTGAGACGAGATGCGAGAGGCTAATGGGCTCAGGACGTGGCTCGTTCTTCTTTCTGAATTGAAAGTTTAACGAGTGGATCAAGTCTTATATCTATATTTATATGTATAGTATCGACCGAATTTAATAGAAATCAACTTACCTTGTCATCATTGCGCATATAGCCATAGCAGACGAGCTCATTTTCGCTGATTTTTTTGTCTTAAACTGAATGGATCATTTTCGAAAAAACATGCCTCTCAAAGGACGTTCTAGAGAATCATACTAACTCATTTTTGTAGAGGCCGGTCGTGAGCGCGAAGCAATGGAAGAAGAACTCCGACGTAAAGACGAGCAAAACGTGAACTTGTTGAGCGAACTGGAACTCGTCAAGGAACAAAATCAAGAAATCCAAACGCGAACGACAGAGACAATGTCGAGTTTGCTCCGTGACCTGAGCGACATGGGCATGGCCGTGAATCCAGAGAACACGGCCGAGCTCAGCCCCAAAAAGGTAGAATCACTCAATAGTGGAGCATACGGTACTTCGTTGCAGTATCTTTCCATCTTCGAGTCGCATTGGCAGGACCAGCTTGTCAATTCAACTCTTGAATCGTTTCATCTCATAGTGCTCACTTCATAACCGATTTATTTTCGTTTATGAAATGAGCAAAATCATCATTTATCTTCAAAAGACATTATTCATTTTATGTTTCGTGGCATTTGGTTTTTATCAAATGTCATCTTGAATAATCATAATCATCGATTGTTAGCTACAGTGTTGTAGTGTCTTGTAGTTGTTAAAAAAAGGCTAACAGAATTTGACGACGAGCTATTTTTCAGTCCGATGGTCAGGCTTCAGAATCTGAATTCACTTCTGCCAGACTTCTCATTTCCAAGATGAAGGGCGAAGTTCTACAGGTACTATCTCTTCTGCCCTCTTTTCAAAAAATTCATCATGAACCTAGGTCATAAATCGAGCGAAGCAAGCAGAAACGAATCTAACCGATCAGCACAAATTAACCGAAGCGAAGGAAAAGGAACTCCAAGAATACAAGGAAAAGATCAAACAATACGAAGCGCGCTCGGTGGAACTCCAGCAAGATTACAACGAATCCGAAGCGTACGAAAATTTTTCAAAAGTTCCAACTTTTAATCCTCTTTTTAGGAAGAAACGATCGCTAGAAGAAGAGCTTGATCAAAGGTGCGCAGAGTTGGAGGTGCTAAAACAAGAAGAAAGAAGAGCACAAGGTAAGAAAAAATCTAGTGGTGTTTGAAGTCTACTGCAAGCCACTCATTTTACTTTCTTCAGAAAAAGTCGCCTCCCAATCTGAATCAGTCGATCATTTCCGAACGTCAATGGAAGCTCAATTGGAAAGTAACCGGGAATTCCATGCTCGTCAAGTAAAACGCCTTCGCGAGCAGATCGAAGCCAAGAACACCCAAGTAGAGTCACTCCGGGCAAAGAACAACGAAGCGCACGCCGAGTCCGACCGAATCAAGTCCGAATACGCCCAGCTGCAGAGACATGCCTCTGAGAAAGAGGGCAAGCTCAAGGAGATGGAGACGAAACACGAACAAACGAACCAGGCGAAGAATGATCTTCGAGGCTTGGAAGAAACTGGTCAGAGCTCATTTGTAGTATTCAAGTAATAATTGACTTTCTAGTTGGCCGAGAACTGCAGACACTTCATAGCTTGAGAAGAATGTTCGTCAAGGATCTCCGAGAGCGTGTCAGAAAAGCTCAGGTAGAAATCATCCCCGTCGTCATTCTTCATTTTCAAATTCTAGGGCGAAAGTACCGACTGCGATTTGGTGGAAGGATCGACCGCGCAAAAACACCGAATCGGCTTCTTAGAAACGAATTTAAACCAACTTACCACTGTGCACAAGCAATTAGTGCGTGATAACGCAGACCTCAGATGTGAATTACCGAAACTAGAAAAGCGACTTCGAGCAACAGCCGATCGTGTCCGAAGCCTTGAATGTGAGTATTCCGGGTCCTTTTCAGCTTTTTTACCGTCGATTCTATTTTAGCTGCTCTGCGAGAAGCAAGAGAGGGTGCGCTGAAGGACAGGAGAAAGTACCAGGGAGAAGTCGAGAAAATCAAGGTTTGGCTTTTTTGTATTATCGATTCTTGAAACTTTTCTTTTAGGAAACTGTACGAGCGCGAAACATTGCCAGAAGAGCTCAACAGGCGAACATTGCCCGTCCTGTTCGCCGGCCAGAGGTAAAAATCGACTTCGAAAAGGCGAGAAAATGACATCCTAATTCTAGGGCGCCCTTGGTGGCAGTGGAATCCGAAGACCCGTCCGCTCGCCGCAAGAAGAGCCACAAGGTGGCATTCGCAAATGGCCCGCGTCCGTCAATCGCTCATGATTTCTGCTCGGACGATCATGTTTTTCAAATTCTTCATTTTACCCTTCGAGACTATCTATTTTATTTTCTGCGATATCCTGTATAGAAACTTTATTTTATTATGATAATTTTTCACTTTCACACATTTTTAAAATTTCTTCATCCCCTCTTTTTCGCTTTAATTTTTCGGCGACATATTTATTTTTTCTTTGTTCATTGTGTGTCCGCCAGTTTTATCAAAAAAAAAAGCGAAAAGATCTCACAATTCTAGCGATTTGCCTTCTCTTGCAATTCTGTTCCGATCCAACTGCGCAAGTTTATCTTCAGTTCTTTTTGAAAATACACAACTGAACTGTTACAGTATTAGTTTTGGTTTCTTTTTGGAGCAATCCCCTTTTTTCCCGTTATTTTACTATTTAATCTTTGTCTAGAGCTTTAGCCTCAAAGGAAAAATTTACAAGTAGTCAATTTTGTGCATTAAAAAACGAAGTACGATCAACATCGTTTACAGAGTATTCCGCAACTTTAAGATACACTTACAGTCAGGGGAGCCACTCAAACTCTTGCCAAAACAGATCTCCAGTGACCGTGGCTATCCCCTTGCTTGTTACAGTATCTCTGCCTGTATTAGCATTTGTGCAAAGCAATTTATTTATCAACAGCATTTTGTATTATGTACTACTGTAGTGTTCCTCTCGCTTAATTTCACTAGAGGTGTTTTCAGAACATCAGCTCGCCAAAAAAGCTTGTTCGGCTTCCCAAAAATAAGTGCAACTGTCTCTCTCTCCCTCTCTCTCTCTTTTCCCCAAGCAATTTTCCTATCTATCAACCCTTCTTTTTTCCAAGAGCTTTTTACTGATCAGAATAAATAACTTTAACTTTAAACTTTTGAACGCATGGACTTGCGCTCAATCATCTAAGACTAAAAAAGATCAAATCTCCTCCATGTTTGCACTTTTGAGGTTTAGGAAAGTATCGTCCTATCTCTCTTCTTATTCTTGCTGTTTTCTTTTTTACTCTTCGACTCAGCAACTTTAACGAGTAAACTTTAAACTCTCTGGTTCCCAAACTATTGTTATCTCGGCTTTAGACGAATGATACAGCTACTATTACTATTATATTATTAACTAAGAATATTATTTTATTCCTATCATGTGACGTGCTCAATAACATGCTGCTCTACCTGGCTCTTGACCTCTGCCTGGTTGACAAAAAGACCCACGAGTCAAGAAAGATAAAAATGAACTTATCGTTTCCTTTTAGAAAAGAATGTTGGATTTCTTTAGCATTCTTTCGAAGGGCGGCCTGGTTCTTTGGTACTTCCAGGCGGACCTGCTCAAACTCGACTTTCAAGCAGCGGTGAATGAGATGATCAAATATGCCCTCATCGATGTATGTAATGAAGAATATCTTTTTAATAACTTTCTTTCAAGAAAAACTCGGGGACATTTCACTATGACAAGCTGGCCCTGCAGAGTGAGTTGGACAACGAATTTGATCTGGTGTTCATTGTTGGCTATCAGAATTTTCTCCAGTTGGCGTATATTGACAAGCTCTTAACTGAAGTCAAGAAGAGGTTTAGGGACATGTACAAGAATCGTTTGGAGGTAAAGCCATCGATACTAGTGATCCAATGTGATCATGTGCTTTTTGTAGGACGGAATCGCTGGTCATTTGGAAACGAACTTCGACGGATTCGACTCTGTGTTTAAGAAAACCCTGGCCCAAGTAGAGTACGACTCTAAAAATGCAGTACCAAAGAAGCCCAGAGCTTTCCAGCAGTCCGAGAAAAGCAGTAAGACGATCAAGGGCTCTGGTTTGATCGAGACAAAAGAAGAGAAGAAGCGAAGAGAGCAGGAGGAAAGCAGAATGAAGCAGCTTGACGAGCCCGACGAAGACGAGATCCAACGAAACATAGAAAGGATGAAGGGCAGCTATGGAAAATCGCCGAAGCCCGCGAAAAAGGAGAAGGGAAAGAAAAAGAAGGAAGCGCGCAAATGGCCCGGCGAAGGCACCAAGGAGGACTTCAAGGAGCTTGATTACAGCAAAAAGAGCGAAAGCAACCTTGCTGCTGACGTGATCAAGCCCACGACGGAGGACAAGGAGGCCAAGGGAACGATGAAAGGCGAAGTGAAAGGCCTCGCTGTTGAAGAACTCGACATTGACTCAAATAGTAAGTGCGCGTAATCGAAATATGAACAGTTTTCTAGTTTAAAAGTTGTGCATAATATATCGATCAATAATTTATTGGTCTTTGCAAAGGATCTCAAACTTCAGGTGCTTCATTTTAAAAACAATAGAACATACATTTGCACAAACGTGAAATGATAAACTTTCTAATCAATGCAAAAATCTTAGCGTTCATTTCATATACTTTTTTAATTGCAAGTTATTGGCTATTTCCATCATATCTGGTTAAATACCAGAAGAACAGCTGTTTCAATTTTATGCCAAGCGCATCTGTTGAATTTTAGATAAAACCATTTCGTTCCAAATGGTTCGTTTTAGCTACTCCATGGAATAACTACCGGTTCAACCCACTAATTTGTTAGTTACAATATATTTCAGCCTCTGCTTCTTCCAGCTCAATGTTGAGCATGTTCAAAACTCTGGTGAGCCAGAAAGAACTCACCGAAGCTTCCATCGACCCGATTCTACAGAAGTACAAGGATAACTTGATTTCGAAAAACGTTGCATCTGAGATTGCAACAAAGCTTATTTCCGCTGTAAAAAACAAGCTCGTTGGCCAAACAATCGGCACTTTTTCTTCAATTAAAAAAGTAGCTCCTTTCTTCAACCACCCCGAAAGTAACATTGAAATCGTAGGCTGTCTTCAATGGACTTGAAGAGTCCCTAGTTCAAATTCTTACACCTCGTCGACGAGTCGACATTCTTCGCGATGTTTTACATGCAAAAGGAGAGGGCAGACCCTATTCCATTACCTTCTGCGGCGTCAACGGTGTCGGCAAATCCACCAACCTGGCTAAGATCTGCTTCTGGCTGGTTGAAAACGGTAATAAAGATCCCGCCTTGTAAACAAAATTAAGTAATCAAAATTGTAGGTTTCCGCATCATGATAGCCGCGTGCGATACATTCCGCGCTGGAGCTGTTGAACAGCTCAAAACGCACGTCCACCGAATCAACGGAGTCCATGCCGACTCTGTCAAGCTTTTCGAGCAGGGATACGGAAAGGATCCTGCCACTATTGCCATGCACGCGATTTCTGCTGCGCGCGATCAGGGCTACGATGTTTGCCTCATTGATACTGCCGGCCGTATGCAGGTGCTATTCCTTTTCTCGTTCCGCTCTCATTTATTTTTTAAGGATAACGAGCCTCTTATGCGTGCTCTTGCCAAGTTGATCGCTATCAACCGGCCTGATGCTGTCCTTTTCGTCGGCGAAGCTCTTGTCGGAAATGATGCTATCGACCAGCTCACCAAGTTCAACAAATCCCTAGCCAATCATAGGTAGGAGTCTTCTATATTTCGATCTCTAACTAATTCTTGCAGCCAAAGTACTAATCCTCGTTTGATCGACGGAATCGTACTTTCCAAGTTCGACACAATAGACGACAAAGGTAAAGTAACACACAAGAACGTCCATACTCACCAATTTCAGTCGGTGCCGCTATTTCCATGACGTACACAACCGGGCAGCCAATCGTCTTCATCGGCACCGGGCAGACCTACAAAGACTTGAATTCCTTGAACCCGAAAGCCGTCGTCAATCTTCTTCTCCGCTGAGCGTGTTTATTTCTTTCTCCATTCTGTGCAATTCGTGTTCATTTTTCTTTACAAAAAAAAAACAATTGTCTAGTTCCACAGTTTTCTGTCCTCCACAACGAAACTATACACTCATGTTGGATATGTTAGAAACTTCATTTCTTCAGTTAGTGCTATTACAGATGTTATCTAATTAAATCCGATCCATAGTAATTGAAAAAAATGCGAGCAACCTGTACCATTTTGATTTTCAGAAAGTTGAGAAAGAAATGGAAGTGAGCGATAGTCTACCAAAAGAAATCGAAGCCAGCTGCTCTGCTTTTGAAGCTAGTTTAGACGGCATTATGAAAGGTCAGTCTTTTGAAACAGTCAGTATTAAGACTCATTCAAATATAGAGGTTACAAAGCTGACGGAGCTATCACAAGAGGAAGTGAAGAAGCTCCCACCGTTGGAGCAGGCCAAATTAGATCTGTTATCGCTTTACACAATGAATTCAATGGCCTGGGTTTACAACACCGTCAATGGCGTCGATCCGAAACAGACAGCGCTCAAGGACGAGCTCCAAAGAGTCCAAGTCAGCATGAAAAAGGCCCAAGGTTAGGCTGGGAAAGTGGAAAGGAGAGGCATTGATGCGCGTTTTATTCAGATATTGAAGATAAGAAGAAGCGGCTGAGGGTTGACTCTCAAGCAGCGAAGAGAGTAGTTGCGCACGAGATAAAAGAGTACGGAAAGAAAAAGAAAGAAAACAACAAAAAGAAAAAGTAAAAAATGAACGTTGTTTTGAAGAAAAAAAGAGACTCATTCTCCTGCCATTACTGTGATTGTAACAGTTACTGTACAAACGATTCGAAGAGACTTTGGAAGATCTTTTCTGACGTTTTACTTTCTTTTTAGAAAAGAGATGGACTTTATATGTCGGTATAAAGATTGCGAACTTGGGTTTCTTACGGGCGAAGAATTAATCATTCATAAATTAAAAGAAAACCACGACGAAGACTTTCATTTCGAGCACAGGCGACCCTTCAGAATTTACGCTTGTCCGAAATGCGAACTCGAGGTGAAAGTAATCAATCTTTACTCAACACTAATTTTATTTCAGTTCAAGAACGCATTTCTACTTGGGAAACACATGAAGGAGTGCGACTTTGATCCAGATGAACCGACGAAGAAAATTGAAGACGTACTTGGTTCTCAAATTGAAAACTCGAGCCATTGGAAATGCAATCTTTGCGAGCGTAAATGAACGGGTCAAACTGTAATGCACACTATAACAAACTAAGTAGGGACTTCTCATACAAATGAATCTATAATCATGTTTTTTATCAGTTAAATACCCTTGAAAAAGACGTATCGAAGGCAACACTGCTGAAGCATCTTCATTCGCCATTCAATGGACACATTTACGATGTGGCTTGTTTCACGAGTGCCGATCCAGAGCTCCGAAAAATCGGGGAAGAAGCTCGTGCGGCTAAGCAAAGGATGATGCTTGAGGAATCAGCTGCTGAGAACAAAACCTTAGATGAGAAAAAAGGTACTTTCAGATTGAATACTTGCGAATTTTAAAGCTTATTCTTAGAAAGAAAACTGGCCAAGGAAAATACTGAAACAGGGAAATTACGAAAGGAAGAACGAGAGTTGAAAAAGAAAGAGCGAGAAGCTCAGAAGGAACAGAAAAGATTGCAGAAGCAGGCAATGAAGGATGCGAAGAAGGCGGAGAAAGAAGCCGCGAAGGAAGCGAAACGAATCGCGAGGGAAGAACTGAAGGCCCAGAACAAACTTCTCAAGAGCCAAGGACCTATGCTACAATGTCAGCATCTTCCTACGCCGATTATTCTTCAGGGAACGCTGCTAGACGTGGCCCAAACAAACGGCAACGGAGAGAGTAAGAGCTGCTCTGAGAAAACAGAAAATTTCGTGGAGACGATGAATGACTCGATACCATCGATAGACATCGACGATGTCTGTTCCGAAGTGATCATTGAATCAGATGAAGTCGAAGAGGAGAACATAACAACTGCCGAAGAAACGAGTCTAGAGACATTTAGCGAGGCTGAACAGTCAGTTGCAGAAGCACAGAGGGAAGAAGAACAAGAAGTTATTCTACAGGAAGTGATTCCTTCTACACATGCCCCAGGAATCGCCTCAACTCAGATTCAAGCTCACCAGCTCGTTCCCGTTTCCGCAGTGACTCAGCAAACTCTAGAAACTGCTTACACCCTTGTTTACCTTCAAAATACGCCTGTAATTTTCCCCAATCATCAGGCAATTGTCCAGCATTGTCCAATTCTGCCCAGAGCTGATCATAAGATACTTCCAAAGCCCAGTTCAGCGAATGGCCAGCCTTCTGGATTAGGATCTGAGGCCGGTTCAAACAACTTAATCATGTCGAGCCATGTAAAGAATCCAGCAAAAATCCAACCATTCCCAACAGCTCCTCAGACGATGACGATTCCTTCGATCGAGGACCAAGAACGGGCCTCTCCTCCCACCTGCAAGATGGATGAAGAGGCAGATGAAATGCTACGGATCTTGGCGAATGATTGGCCGTCGTTGAAGCAGAATTAACTCTCAGAATACTGCTCTATTGACTGTATATAGATTTTAATTTTTATTTTTTGAACTTGATACTTCTTGGATTCCATCCGGATAATCCAATTCGGATTCCATTACGGATAAAATTATATTTTGACCCCACTTTTGCTCTTATCCGAACTTCAATTCTATAATCTCTAGTAGAGGGCCTCTACTCACAACTCTAAACACACATCATTGCCAGTTATAATAATATGGAAATCAGAGTTCAACATGTGTTTTTCTTTTCTCTGTCGGTCTAAACCTAGGGTAGACACGTGCTGATATTCTTTTGGCTGAATACCCCCAAAACCCCATATTCAGTACCTCCCCCTGGTTTAAACTAAAGAATCTTCTACTGGAAAAATGTAAATAAAAAATATCGCCTTTAGAAAACACACTCATGTCCTTTGCTGTTTCATTCCATTGTTGGTCAGAAGAGGAGTCAGTCTTTAATTCGTCAGGTTAGCATGACTGTTATTCATAACAAGTAAATTACGAGTTGTAATAGAATTAATTGATTGGCAGGAGCAGAGTCTTATTAAATGTTTAAATCAGATGCAAATATCGCGCTTAATTCCTATCACCCGAAGAAGCCAACTATGAAGCATAGTGTGTTCCACGAAATGCGCGAGCACTGGACTCGAAGTAGAAAAGAAGTAATTTGGTCTTTATCAAAAGAAAATCGAGATCGGCTTCAGAAACTCAATGCCCTTCTCACTCAAAATCGCGTCTTGTCTATTTTACCGCGACCTCTTGACTCTTCCGTTTTGATGATGTTTTCCAATGGCTCTTTGGTCAGTTTCTCTCTCCGCAACAACGACATAGACAATATAACAAAGAAGGACAAATTTATCCAGCATTCCTCCGATCCAGTTGATGTCGCACAAGTGAGCGAAAAGTACGTTGTCTCCCTGTTATCTGGCTCGCGGATTTCTGTCATTCCACCCGATTTGCACCGGCAGATTTCTCCTCCAGAGCCGCTGTACATTGTTGACATGCCCGACAACGCTTGTATCCGGACGAAAGGATCGTTTTCAGCGGTGTACTGGTCAGAGCGAATTGAAGATGGAGCTCGAGGCCATCTCATGATCATCTCTCATTCCGGAAATTCTGAAATCGTCGCGCGCGTTCCCTTCAACTCCCTAATTCAAGACGTCATCTTTTCTGAGCTGAATGCAGATTCCTTCTGGCTGCTTGAGATTCCCGACCCAGTGAATCCAACAAATATTCGCATGACCCTCTATTCGATCAAGCTTAACCAAGGGTTGAAGATCGTTGACGAGCTCGAAATCCAAATGAAATCTTCCGTTGTTGTGTGCGAATTGAGCCCGAACGAAGAAAAGTTTTGCTTTGGCTGTTCTGATAATATGCTGATTGTGTTTGATACGAAGACACACTCGGCAGAGCATGTTTATCTCCCAGTTCGGCCGAGTATTTTGTCATGGCATCCGGGCAGCCATTTTCTTGCTGTTTCCTCGCGCAATGGAGAGGTTATGTTCTTCGACGTTGGCCTTACTTGTATCGAGTTGAGTACTATTAATGGATCTTCTGATAAGCAGTCTGTTCTCAAACTTGGCGGCACGGTTTATTCCACCCATACGATTATGCTCAAACACCTGAAATGGCTGTCGTCGAAGCAACTTCTAGTTAGGGCTTCAATGATTCTTAATAAAAGATTTTTAATAAAGAACATATGGAATAATTAAGACTTTTATACACATTAAGCCCAATACAAGTCGTTTCCCTCGGCCAGCCACTGGTTCTCGTCTCGTTGACTGTCGGGAGACAGGAATCTGGAGCACTGTCGCTTGTCAAAAGTCACGTTAAAAACGACAACTTCCAAGAAGCCATCAAAGTTTTGTACTCAATTAATTGGAACATGGCTCCTGGAGCAGGGATCCGAGATTTTGTCGTCTGGACGATCGCGCACCTAGCGCTCCTCTTCAGCGCGCGACAATCATTTTCGCTCCTAGGCGCGCAGCGCGAAAAATTCCCATCGGCGGGCTGGATTAGTCAAAAATATGCCGATGGTTTCCCTGCGCCCTCGCGCTTCAGGAGCGATGATTATTCATCGCGGTGGGCCCGAGAGCGCGATAACTTATTTTCGGCCACCCTGGCTGTGCGCGACACCATATTTTCGCCCATGAAAATTTCAACATGGGGGGGACCCCTTGATACTCGATAAAACACTGTCATTTTGGAGTAAGCTACACGATTAAACGATGGCGCGTGATGTATAGCCAAAATTAGAAGAAGAAAAAGCATTTATAAGGCGATTTCAATATATCCAATTGGATTATTTATAATTTATAATCATTATATTTATAATTTTTATGAAATTTTCGAAATCTGCATGTTCAAAAACCAATAAAAATATATTTTTCAGTCATAAGTTGGCTTAACATCAGAATCCAATTACCTTAAAAATTTTTCTTTTGATAAATAGTCAGATTTTACGCATATTTCCGGTGCCAAGAGTCACTCTCAGCGATTAGCACGACTTATTTGTAGGTTACGTTGCGGGAGGTCAGTACAAATTTACATTTTGTTTGTCGGCTCTCTTATGAGGAGATGGACAATTCCATTTTCAAAAAAATCGGTCAACTTAGTCAGCAATCTCACGCTGATCATTTGATTCGTGCGCCGACTAGGTCGGCAAAATTGAAACCAAGCGCCACCATCGCACTCCCGCTCGGCAGATTTTCGACCATTTTGAAGCGTGTGAGTATCCGGCGTTATATGGCTGCGCGATCGAAAATCATCGCCCCCTCACCGAGAGAGCGAGTTTATACCATCGCGCTTGAACGCTGCGCATTTGAACGCGCGAGTATTTTTTGTCGGCCTGATGGGGCTGCGCGATCGAAATTCATCGCCCCATCACCGAGAGAGCGAGTTTTTGCCATCGCGCCTAAACGCTGCGCATTTGAGCGCGCGATCAGAATTTTAGCTCCTGCGCGATAACTCAAATCGCGCCTGAAAAGTGGGCGATCGTCCAGACGACAAAATCTCGGATCCCTGTCCTGGAGTCGCTTACGCCTCCCTCACTACCATCTGTGACGCGTTGATCGTCAAGCCGTTGAACTACACGACCGAGACACAACTCGAAGCTGCCTTGGCGTCGTTCTATGCTCCAACGAGAGCCATCAACGACCTCGTTGTGATTGAGTACAGAGATCACGTCGTTCGTTACGCACGCAGATTTCTTCATCATTTGCTGCGCCACAGAAGACTACAAAAAGCGTTCTTGCTTGCCACGGACATTGGAGCGCAAGATCTATTTCTCGACATCCATCACATGGCCCTTCACTACAAGGTTGTTCATTTCTAAATGAGAAATGAAAATATTAATCATTGATTCAAGGACTTTGAATTGGCATCCGAGGCGTCGAAAAAAGTTGATGAAATGATGGAATCCCCTGGTGAAGACGACGGTCGAGATGAGAGACATGACGATCACCAAGATGTTGACAGCGAAGATGACCCTCCTGCAATCCAGCGATTTATGAAGCACATAAGCGGTAACTTGAACAGATCTATTCAGCCACAATTATACCAAATTCAGCTCGGAATTCGAAGGAGCGCAAAAAAGGGGATGGAAAGGGAAAGCCGCCTCCTGCCCAGCCTACTCCCGAAAATGCTTCGACGCTCAAAATCAAACATTTTGGCTTTGTTTGACTCTTTTAATTTTCTATTTTTCTTCTTATTTCTGTAAAAACTATCTCCACTGTTCTTTTCCTTCTTTCATTCCGTTTTTCAAAATATTATTTCTTTATTTTCCTATTTCTTTCCTCGTTGATTTCCGAATTTAAGTAAACATGGGGTGGACATGAGAAAGGATTGAAGAGAAGCATCTCACTGGCTCAAGAAGATCTTTGATCGATGCAACGACTGAGGGAAAAATCGGCAGCTCGACGGAAGGATCTCGCTACTACGCTAGGCTTGAAAAGGTAAAACTCATTTTAATGCTGCCTGAGAACGCTATTGTCAAAATAAGTGAAGATGAGCTCAATTCGGTTCTCAACTCCAAGTTAGACCAGCAGACGAGATCGGTTCAAAAAAGCGAGACTGAGAAGAAAGAGACTGAAGTTGAGGAGGAAGCTACTTCAGTCAAATCGGTTAGTCTTTCTTCAATAAATTTGCCATTCTTCTTCTGCTAGATGAGGAGAACTTCCAGTCTTGATATTCACCGATACCTTTTAGGCTCCAAAGTATACTGATACGTCGACATTTCTGAAAGGGACGAACTCATTGAATCCACACAATGACTACTGTCAGAACTACATCGATACAGGCCAGTACCCGGCGAATTACATCCGAGACGTGTCAATGGAGAAGCGATTCGCTGAATATCCAAAGATCAAAGAGTTAATCGACAAGAAACACGAAGTAACTCAAAAAGCCACTGCCCACCCACTTACTTTTCAGGTTACTTTCTAGCGTTGCGTTTCGACCTCTCCTAATATTTCTTTCAGTTGATCTAAGAAGCTACAACCTGGAAGATCTCGATTGCCAGTTCGATTCAATCGTGATCGACGCTCCCTTGGAAGAATACAAGACGACCGCCCTAAGGTTCTAATTTGTTCATTGATTGACTTTCTATTTCAACGAGCATTCAAGTGACGACAACTGGAAATGGGAGGACATCATGAAATTGAACATCGAGGCGATTTCGGCGCCACGAGGATTCGTCTTCCTCTGGTGTGGCTCCACAGCTGGTCTCGATTTCGGACGACAATGCCTTCAGAAATGGGGCTTCAGGCGCTGCGAGGACATTTGCTGGATCAAGACTAACCACACAAGAGGTTAGCTCAGGCTATAGTTCTGATGTTCTAAGGATTCTAGTGCGCCAAAAGCCGCTGCAACCAACTGGCATCTTCAATCGGCTGAAGGAGCACTGTCTTATGGGAATCAAAGGCATCATCCGTCGAGCAACCGACGGCGATTTCATCCACGCCAATATCGACATCGATCTTCTCATTGACGAAGAACGCGAAGTCGGCAACGACGAAAAGGTAAAACACGCCCCTTATAAAGCAAGTTATATTTTTTCTAGCCACACGAGCTGCTGGACATTGTGGAGCGTTTTTGTCTTGGTCGTCGACGACTGCACCTCTTCGGCCGTGATTCGTACATTCGCCCAGGCTGGCTAACTGTCGGCCCCAAAGTCACCAATTCCAACTTTTGCCCTACAGGTACTCGTTTCAAACAACTCCAGGTCTTTCAAGCCTTCTTCTAGTATATAAATCGCACTTCAAAGACAACCCGCTCGTCGTCACCACCGAGGAAATCGAGCGCCTTCGCCCAAAATCCCCACCAATGAAACGCCCAAAACGCTAATATTCATTCTATCTATCTAACTACTATTCTATTGTTTCTATTGCTTCTTTCTTTCTTTTTTTAATTCGTGTTCTGTGTACTCTTGATATTCTATTTCTACCCGATAAAAAACAACATATTCTTCTTATTTCTGTGCTTTATTCGCAAGACATTAATCCTATCTATTCATTCGAAAAGTTCAACGTCGTATTTTCAATCAAAATCGTTTATTAGAGAGTCTCTTTTGAAAATGTGCGACGAGGAAGAGTATTTCGAGATGAACTTTTGTAAAATGAATGCAGTTCCGTTTGGTGTCGCCACGATCTACAGAGACTCGCTTCCCTGGCAACTCATTGTCGCCGACTCCCATCGAGGTACAGAAAAAGGGCGTAAGGTAAGTTAAATTTCTTCAGTATCTAGCTTGGAATTCGACTCCGACGAGTTGATCGAATCCAAGCCCGGCGCGGTGAAATGCTGGGACTCCAACATTTTGTTCGATCTTGACATGGAATACCTCTCTGACAACTCAACGACAATAACTTCGCTATCAACTGGCACTTTCGATCTCAATCGGGAGGGAAATCTCCAGAATATCATCGTCGGCGTTCTGTTTACGAAACGAAATCCAAACTCGCATACGTACAAAACCTCGGTGAACTTTTACGAGAACGCGCTTCTTGGGACTGAAAAAGATCCGTCTAACAGAATCGGAGAGTTGATTAACTTTATCACTCTTCCTGACGAAGCAATACCTTACAGGGAAGGGAATGCGAAAGGGTTTAGTTGTCTTATTATAACATTATCTTATTGCAGTTGCCTTTCAATTTCGCTGATTTTCAAACATTCCTTTGGCTGATCCAAAAGCATGCAGGCGAGCATCTAAATGTTTTTATAATGCTGTCGAACCAAGGCTACGGCGTTTTCGAGCATCGATCCAAGCAGTTCTACCAACTCGATACTTTCAAGATGGACAAATGGTTTCCCGAACTCCAGTTGAAAAACAAGAGCAAAAAGGTCCGACCTCCAATTGCGATGGACATCTGGTTCGATCGAGCCCTCGGTTTGCGCTATACATGCACCGGGGATGAAGATGGTACTCTCAGTCTTTCTGTCGTGAAAGTCGATAGTGACGGGGCGGAGGCTAAAGAAGAACATGTCAGGTAAGTCAACAGAGTGCGAAATCATGGTTAAATCGTTCTGTCAGAAAGTTTTCTGCTCCCATCGCGCAAGTAACATTCGTCGCTCCGGGTCATTTACTAGTCGCTGCAACTTGGGAAGGCGCGGTGATGTACTTCGACTACGATGTCAACGGCCTTAGCAAAGGAATCATGGTCGAGGATTCGATGAATCACGACGCCGTCACGTCTATTTCTCCCATTGAAAGACTAGGTAAACAAGACAACCGCTCATTCATAAACATCTAACTCTGCGAAATAGATGGACATGGCTTTTGTATTGGGACCTTTGGGCGAATGCTCTTGACTTACAAAATAGAAGGCCACGATTGTGTTAAACAATGGCAGCGCAAATTCCGAACGCCCGTGCTACAAATACGCTCCTTCGATCTCGTAATAAACTCATCTTTGAAATCATCTGCTAATTTGAATATTCAGACGGGCGATGGTTTGCAAGACATCGCAGTAATATCCGCTGGTGGTCTCCATTTACTACAACTCAACGATAATTTAGTAACTAAGCATATTTCGCAAAAAATCGCCCCGAAAAAATAATTCTTATTCGTATATGTACCTCAAGATTTTTCAACGTGTCAAAAAGGCTAATCTTCAAATGTCCCTCTTCTTCCTGAAAATTGTCAAATCAGTGCCAGTTAGATCCTCATCCTTGATTCCATTGATTTCAGATGCAATATGTTCGAGTCATGTGTGTCAATGTACAACCTGCTTCTGGTGCGATTGAAGGTGGCTATTGACTTGAAAAGCTCGGCTGAGATCAACCCGGAGCTGTTGATTGCGATTTACCGAGCGGTAACAAACGATTCTGACCCACCTGTAGTACCAGACGAAGAATGGAAAGGCCACCATGAATGCCTTCGCTACATCATTACTTCTCTCGAAGAGACAATCGGGAGCAAACTCGACCACATAACCGCCAATGCGTTGATGGATAAAGACAACGAAAGTCTCTACAATCTCGCTGAAATTCTCCTTGGCGTTTTAGACATCTCTGAAGACGAACAATCGCTGCTCGAAAAACAAGAACACAATACAGAAAGCTGTGACACGGAAGAATTGATGAAGATCGAGAGTGGCAACACGCTTGGATTGCAAGAAACGCCGCACGAATTTGCGCTTGAGGAATCTGAACTTCCGCTCAGGTACTTAGTTTTTTCTTTTTCTTTGTTATTAAAATAAAAAACTTTCGGGCGGCGGTGGGACTCCCTAGATTTTCCGCAGCTGGCCAGGCTGCGTAATCACCCTTTGTCCCTTTAGTTTGGGGACCCGAAAGAACCTCCCGAGCTGGTGAAGCTCATCGTCATTTGGGGTTTTTATGTGACCGTGTGACGGTCAGCGCGAGCTGACCTTTCGGGCACGATCCTAAAGCTGCTTCAATGTTGTTGGTTCTGTTGTAGTTCCCTCCATCGATCGATGCAAGGACCCGCAACAGAACTCTTGTAGGGCCGGCATGAGTTTGTTTGTTTTAAAGTTTGACCTGAAGTTATGCTTCAAAGCCAAGTCTGGCTCGGGATTCGAGCACATCCCCTGGATTAATCAGGAGTTTTTGTGCCCATACCACGTCCTGGTCCACCAAACCAGGGCGCCCCCGAGAGTTGCATCGAAAAGTCAGCCTTTATTTCTAATTTTGAATCGCGAGATCAATCCTAATCCTTATTTTCAGTCCGATTCCAGATATTTCCACAAATGACGGTCCAAGATCTCGCTTCCCTGAAGTGGTAAACTCTTCCTTTTCTGGCTCCGAGATCGTCTCTGTCGACATTCCTATCAAGCAAATCGACTCATCGCGCAGTCACAAGACGGATTCTTCAAAACCCTCGCTCATGCGCAAAATCGAATCGCGCATCAAAGAAACAAAGTCGAATCAGTGCACACTAAAGCCACAAATGGTCTCGCAGAACAATCTCACGGTCAACGATGTCGAGTGGACAGAAACCTCCAAAGACACAAGGACATCCGTCTCCAATCAGAAACTCAGGCATCAACGAGATTCAACCGCAAACACGCTTGAGAGATTCGAAAGCGCCATCGTTGAAAAAGACGGAGAAAATGAGGAAGAAGAACGGACCCTTGTTGAGCCAGAAATTCAAAATGCCACAACAACGGTGTCACCAAGAGAAGTCGCGCCATCTTCACCGCTTCCTGCTCAGAGAACTCCGCCTATGCCCGTTCCAGTTACTCCCGCAAAATACGTTTCGTTGGATTCCTCACTTGCTATTTCCGATCATGAAGAACTCGGAGTCGGTCAAGCACCGACTCTGGACAAGAACGACTCTGATTCTATCGCGCAAATTCTAAACTCGTTGAAGAACACGGTCGACAAGTCAAAACAAGCGAGAAACGACTTTGAGCATCAAAAGAAAATCTACGAATTAAGTCGAACCGATTCGGAAGAAACTGCAAATCTTTGTCTGAGCACCGACCTGGAAGATCTCTATCCGAATAAAAGAACCAGCAAAAAGCTAAAAGAGCGTCCGGAAAAAACCTTCAAAAGGGATGTCCTCGAGCGAGAAGAAGCACTTGAGCGACTGAAGCAGCAACTGTACGCTGGAGACTTGGAAGCGCAACTCCTTGATTTGGAGCTGAAAGAAAAAGAAAAAATCAAACAGATGAAGTCCGAAATATCCCCAAGGTTAGACTCTATCTGGTTCTGTTCGTGATAATATCTATTATTAGAATCGAAGAGGTCGATTTGAATAGTGCTCCTTGTCCAGTACCATCTGGTAGATCGGCACCACGGGTTCAAAAACAACGAGCAAAGCAAGTGTCAAAGCCGGTGAGGACTAAGGTCGTGCGTAGACCACAACTGAACATTGGTCCTGGAGATATGTTAAAGGAATGGTTTGAATCTGACCGAGATCTATAGCTTTGTACTTGAAATCTATATCTATTGCCACCTTTTGTTGATAACATAGAAGACTATTCCACCTTTTTCAATCCATTAACAGACAATTATTGATGAGCTTCCAGTCTCACTCGATCAGGCGACGATTAAACGACTCTGTGACAAACAAGAGCAGCAAGCGATTTTGCTGCACAAGGAACAGCATCAGTACGATCAGCGGCTTAGAACGAAAAACAACAGAATCTCAAGTCTCAAACAGCGTCAAGCTCTTCTCAGTACGACGAAACTTGATTAAAATTCTTTATAAATCAATATTTAGACGATATCCAAGCGAAGGAAGAAGCAGCTGACAAGCGAATTCGCGAAATCAAGGAGAACAAGGAGCGAGAAAACCAGTTCAAACGCGAGGTCCAAGTCAAGCGCCAAAACAACGCTAGAATCAAGCGATACTTCGAGCAGTACAAAACCGGGCTCAAGAAAACGCTCGTTTCTCATCGCCACAAAGGTAGCATTATGTAACAAGCAAAACGAGGTTCAACTCTTGGTGTTTTAGAGGAGAGAATGCTGAAAGAGATCTTCAACGAGGGATTGAGTATCCAAAAGGAGCGAATTCGAGAACTGCGAAAATATGCGAAAGAAATGCGCGCAAAAGAGGATGAAGCACGCCAGAAAGAGCTCGACGCGATCGAGACACACTACAGCAATCAATTCGAACTTCTGGCTGACGAGATGCGAGAACAGAAGGAGCAAATCAAAGCCAGCCAAAAAGACAGTAAGCGGCAGCTTGACAAGGTCAAAAAAGCGCTGAGAAGTCAACTTGAAGGCGAAATTCAAGAACTTCACGTAAGTTATTAGTAGTTATATTTGCTTTTGAGATATTATATATTCAGGAAGCGATAGTCCGCGAAAACGAATCAACCTTTTACCGAGACATCGAGGAAGACCGACTCAAGAAGCAAATCAGAATGGCCAACTTCCACCAAAAAGTCAAAAGAGCCTCAAAATCCTAACTTTCCACATTTTAACCCACTTTTTCTACTCTTGATTTCTAATTATTTCTTTTATTTTTATAAACTCTGCTAATTTGTTTTTTACTTCTCTGAAAATAAAATAAACTTCCATTGAATGGAATCCATTCCATCAATTCGGTTGCTTTGATTGGCTCGATTGACAATTGATTCTATTGCGCCATTCAACAATTTTGTTTCCGATTTTAGTGACATTCTAGTGATGAACATTGTCGGTTTTATTGTTCATTTCAGGTAGAAAAGGGTTTTCGCATCAATAATGATTTTTAATTATTCTAAATATAGTAGACCGTCATTCTACTTTTCTGGCAAAATGGGCGCACTCTCGATCAGCAAGTTGTTCGATCAAGTGAAGGTGTGGCTCGTAGATTTTGATCCCGTCTAGAATAGAATTTCGCCTTTCTGTCAGAGAGAAAGTAAGCAGGTACCTGTGATTGTGATCCAGCTTGCTACTCCGCCTGGTGAGCCATTGAGAGTGCAAAGAAGCTCGTTGTTTTTCATCTCCTCGGAAGTATCAAAATCCACCTCGAAGTTCAGCTCAAATGCGACACATGTGCCGTGGACCCATGCATTATCCGTGTTCTTATGATCGTCGATGTAGTCTAAAAGGCGTTACCTAAGGGAGACATAGATGAGTACCTTCATGAAGTGGACACATGTACGCTTCGTTTGATTCCGAAAACATGTAGTTGAAATTTTCCCTGACATGTTCGCTCATTGTTCCTCTTCCGAAACACTGTTCGTAAAACATCGCCCTACACAACAGTAATTGTTAAGCACAAAAGAGATGCTACCTGAATTGCACGGGCAAGTCAACTTCGTCATCTGCGAATACTTTCGGCAACTGCCACTGGAGATATCTTGTTTTTCTACAAAATATATTTTATGAATGGTAAACTCTCAAACTACTCTACCTGATGGCGAGAACTTGAATCATATTTTGACCACCCGTGGTCACATTTTCACCGTCTGCATCATTCAGCCATCGCCAAACCAGTAAAATCAGCCTAAATCATTGAAGAATTCTGACAAAATCTTATTCAATTTACTGTCTATTTTCACCGAAAGTTTGAAGCCTTCCTCTTCCCGAAATACCGGTTCGGCCGACCGGATTTCTTATATCCGCCATTTCCTCATCAGTAAGCTTGTCAATATTAGTCGACGAAGCGTCAGGTTGAGAGTATTTCTCCGGATCGTAAGAGGGATAAGCAGTTTGCCACGAGACTCTAGCGTCAGGTACCGGAAAGCGTCGGATCTTTCCTCCCGCATGGAGAACATAGAAAGGAGCGCGAGCCATTTTGTGATTTTTATGCTTCGAATCGTTTGATAAAATTTGCCTCAGATTGAGAGGAATCTAGCAAGTATTAATTTTTGATAAAATAATGTCATTTTTACTTGAATATTCGGCGGAGGCCCGGCATAATCTCCCTCAGATACAGTGATGTCGCTCTGAACCATCGCTTGGGTCATCCAACGCATCGTTTCCGACATTTGCTTGAAATGTTGTTCCATCATAAACTGAAAGGCGTCTTGCGAGGCTCCAACAATTTCGAACTGATTGATGACTTGAGTTCGGTTTTCATCGACAGTGTCTTCCAAGTTCTGAATCAACTCGCGAACAGGCGCCAGCTCTTCTGTTTTAATCTCGTTGAAATAACTGTCGGTGCCCCATTTCTCCAATGCAAGAAGTTTTGTGCTGCCACTGTTGAAAAATGAGCGAGACTTGGAATCAGACTGGTCGTCCTCGTTATGCATTCGTTTTGAAATCGCTCTGTGAATAATGGAAATAAAATTGAGGGGCGCTGGAAGAGGCGGTTTTGTGTAATATTCCATGATCAGCTCGTACTGTAAATAGTTTGAGACCTCTTCAGCTTCTTCTTCAACCTTGTCGTAGGTTTTGGCAAACATAGCGATCAGAAGATTGAGCAGAAGAACATTAGCAATGATCATGTAAGTGGCCATGAAAATTGGAACGAGTGGCATGTGATCAGAGCTATCGGCAATTGGACATCTTGGAATTCCATCTTCGGCTGTTTCTGACGGACTGTAGGTACATTCGAGTTCGGAAACATCCGGAATGAATTCGACTTCTTCAAGGAACAGTTCTCCGTAAATGTGAAAATACGCTCTCCTGAACATTCGCCGAAAAGTAAAAAGGACATCGTTGTGATTAGGATACAGCAAGGCTTGCGAAACAACTCCGTAACACATGATAAAGACGGCCAAAATAGAGAGGAGGACAAAAATATCCTTCATCATTTTCCGGATCATGACCAACTTCGGGCCCAAATTGTGACTCATGGTGAAAATGTGCAGCAACCGAAGACAGTAGAGCACGAAGCTGATGCACATCAGCCCGTGCGACCAGTACATATTCTTGTCAACGCTCATTTCTTCGCACGAGCTTGATTCGTTTTGGTAGATCATGTAAGCGTCGCATTCTTGCAGCTCTTCCTTTGTCACGAAGCGCATGAAAAAGCCGACGTAGAATGTAACAAAGCCGAATAAATCAATGATATTCCAGCTGTCAGTTATCCATTCAATCAATCCCTTTCGAATATAGTGTAAAAACGCACCTTGCTTTTTGGAGATCGAAGGCGCCTCAAAGATCTGTCTGACTTCTTCGATGACGAAGCAGAATACCCAAAAAGAAAGAACCCACTCTGTCCACGAAGGCGTCGTCCCGAAATCAAGGAGGAGAACACGCGCAAAAAGAGTAAGAAAAATAGCAAATGAGATATTGTGCGTCGTAAAGATCACTCGCGGTGCGGAATAGAATAGAGCTAAGCGCATGAACCAAGAGGGCTCGACTAAATTCACAGGGAGACCGTCCTCGATGTAAACGTCATCGTCTTCATTTTCTTCTCGCAGCTCCATAAGACGCTTCGTATCCTCCTCGTCGCCCATAATTGAATCTCCGTCGGTTACTACTTTTTCCATCTGAATACTTGTACTCCTAGTTGGCTGCGGCGTCTGATCCATCATCGCAGAAGGAGCGCGCAAATCGTGCAATTCCGCCGCCACTGCTACCAAAAGCATGCTCTCCGAGTCCGACAGAACAACGTCGTCAGAATAGTAGAATGTAATAAACTTTTTCCACAGCAAAATAGGCGGGAAGACGAGTCCAAGAAGAATGCGCGACCAGTTGGTTGATGATCCCATTGAACCTTGCCAGGCGCAGGCAGTAACCATTTGTACGCCAGGATGCGTTTTGATAAGGCGCGAACCAGCAGCAATCGCCAAATCGATCATTTTCACATCGCCGAAATGCGGCACCTTCCTCAATAAAAGCCGCACTACATCCTGGCGGGAGTGTTCATAGCACTTGTCCAGAATTCCCTTCGCCGCCAGTTCAAATTTTCTCGAGTACTCGTCGATTTGCACCAGAAAAGTCTCATTGTCGCAGTTTTCTGCCAACCGTTTTAGAATTCTAATACCAGCTAGGGCAGCAGTGAGGCCAAGATCGACATTAGAAAACAGGGCAAAAGACATTTCAAAATGACCCATAAGCAGCGACCAGAAGAACAAGTCCCTCATCGGATAGAATGGCTCGATTCCCTTGAAAGTCATTTGGTCGATGTCGTAACAGGATATGTAACCATCCATTTTGAAGATGATATTTTCAAAGTTCGCCAAATTTGCAATGGTGACCTGTTCTCCTGGAAGATGCCTTGCCCAAAGTGTGTAAGCGGGCGACTCAGACTGCGGTGTCTCGCGGTAAAAGCGCACCAACATCTGACCATACTTTGGATCCAACCTCATCGCGTTTAAAAACGAGCGATTGACAATGTCAAAGTCGAACAAAATCTCCATAAACTTTACCCTATCCATGAGAATGCAGGTTCGGAAGAGAATTCGTCTGTCTTTGGGCGCTAGTTGTTCAATCTCGTCAGTGCCTTCCAAAATTTCTCGTGCTTTTTTCGGTCGATTCCAAGCCATGCAAATGTAAATCTTCATCGCCAGTGATTTTTCGAGCGAAAGAATAGCATTCAAAATTGCTTTATCGATGAAATTATCCGAGTTGCCTGAGAAAGAAAAGACGTTTATCAGTTTTCCGTCAAACATAATATTGTACTGAAGCATGCTCAGCAACCATCGTGTCCACTTTTTGATGTCGGTAATGTCGCTTGTTTTGCCGCCAAGATCGTTTTCTTCCATCAGTTCTATCACCTTCGCTGGCGTTATTTGGTCCATTTTGAGGTCCAATGCTTCAGCAATAACGTCGCTGAAGCCACCTGATCCTTTGAGCAAAATCACTGGAATTCCTTCCATAACTGCTTTGTACGCCTTCTTCAAGCTGGTCCATCCACCCTGTACGACTACACACACTGTTGGCACTTGATACTTTGGAACGGAGAAGATGTTCACTTCTTCGCCTGGATTGCTTCGGAGAAAATTCTCAACGCGGGTTCTGTAAGTCATTTCTTTCCCATGCTCTCCCAGGCCGCCGTGATCGACGAAACATTGAAAACGATGATGTGGGTCCAATGCTCTGACGTCGCCAGTGGCTGTGTAAGGATGTCGCCTGTTCGGGTTCTGTTCCATTCCAGTGCGATTGAACTCGCTGAGCGTGTTCCAACCGACGAAGCCAATCAAGTTGATGTCGTCGGCGCAGCCGAGTGCGTATTTAGCGATGGCGTTGCCAACTTCTTTCGCGATTCCGACATTCGTTCCGCAAGTTAAAACCCAGGCGTTCGAAGAAAGGATAGCATTGATTAGACCGCGGCCGAATTTCTCGCGAATGACGGGACTCAGTTTCAAACTCGCGCCAGAACCGACAACGGAAATGATCATTTTTGGCTTTTTTAGCTCCCAAGAGCTAATTGCCACGTTCCAAAAAGCCTCTGCCGGATCATCGCCGCGGACTTTTAAATACTTTCCTAGATAGCAATTGTCAATATCTTAGTTTATTGGTAAAACAAACGAGCGCGAAAAAGGATTTCTATTTACCGAATTTTCCACTGGTTCCATAAAGTAGCTCTCCCTGATGAGTCTCCATTCTAGTTCTTATTGATTCTTCAAGCTCCTTGTGTCATTTTTCTCAAGAATTTTTTAATCTACGCGAATGTAAGATGAACCAGTTTATCGCTCTCCAAGCAAATTTACATTCCGCGGAATATTTACTCTGTAAATCATAATAACCACTTCATTTGTGTACACCAGTCATGATTTCTCATTCCTCGATGATGATCTAAATAAAGAATAAAATTTTGGGGAAAAGCAAGCTACAAGTCCCTCCACTTTGTGTTCAATTTTGATGACATTGTGGGAAATTTTCGCATTTTCAAGTGACATCTAAGTAAATCGAGATCATTACTATCTTCAGCACAAACGTCTTTTTTGAAAAATCAACGGATTAAATCAGGTTCTTTAAGAAACGTCCAACTTATTAGCCAGCAGGAAGGCAGATCGATTGCAACATCCAAACTCCATTCTATCTTCCGCGCCAGATAATCGGCTCTAATTCGGTCGGGGCATTTTTAAAACTGCGCTGAACTACAGTGCGGAATGCAGCTCATCCCCGAGTTTATCCCGTCCGTGTCTCCTGTGCGTGTACTTTTGCCCCGAGCGGGGAGAACGAAAAGCTCTTGCTAAAATCGGACAATCGGACAAGCTCTAGACCGCCCACTTCAAATACATTTACACCGCGCTGCAGATTTATTCACGCGAAATTATTCGCACGCAAATAAATAAAAAAAAAATACACGCACTCTGAAAAAATATACGATGAAATTATCAACAAAAAGATCATGAAAGAGCAAATGAGCAAGAAAAGAGTCCGAATTCATTTATTCAGCGCGAGTAAGAGCATGAATCTGTTAGAGACTAGCAATACTATTGTGAACAAAAGCTACTGTAATCACTACAGTAGGAGGTATCTTTCTTACAAGCGGACCCAGTCCTAATTCAAAATTTTTATCCTCCAGAAATGGGCGACTACTATAGCTTATCGATTTAACAAGCATTCAAATTTGCTAATAATCGTTAAAAAAAAGTGTCCAAAATCACGTCGATCTCAATATTTGCTTCCGTTATATTACGAGGGGCCTTAAGTATTCGGCACACACAAGCACACACTGTCCATTGTCAGTGTCTACATGTATCTATCTCACCGAATTCGATCAAATTTCTAATCGAGAAAAAAAAGGGACGATCAAAACAGAAAGAATCAAAGCCGCGTGCCGTGTGCATTAGTACGTGTTTTTCCTAAGTAGAGCAGCGATAGGAGGGGTAATCACCTTAACTTCGGCAAAAACAAGAAAGAAGATACATCTTCTGTCCCCTGCTGCGCCGCGCATTTTGCAATAGATGGCTGATCCCGCCAGTTAGCAAAGAAAGTTTAACCCTTGAGCTGCATTAACCTAAATAAGACAAAAATCTTAAAGCTGAAAAATTTTCGGACTCTTTTGTGAAGCCTTCTCGCACAAAAGATAACAAAGCACGAGGAGAGGCCATTCAACTGGGCCGAGAACGACGCACTCGGCCCCAAACGCAGCATTAGAAAAAGAAGAAAACGAGCAAAGACCATCACTTCCAAGAAAATCTCCGGAAAATCAAGAATCTTCTGCTGCTTCTTAGAGTCTAAATCAGAGAGAAAAGCGAGGGGAAAAGAAACAGAGCTGAAGTGAAATCAACGAGGACTCTTGACTCTCCGACAAGCCAAACTTCCGAAATGGGAATCATTTTCGACGATGAAAACGGGCCAGCTTCAAAAACCTTCAAAGCAGAACCAGATCAGCTGGGCTGTTCTGCTCTCGTCTTAGGAAATTCTTCCGTCAACTGTACTGATAACTTGGAACTGGAGAATGTCGAGGTACAGTCGACGGACTCGACAGACTCCGACCACGAACCTGGGTAAGCGAGAAAGAAAGGGGCAAGTACTTTTTTGTTAGTCGAAAAAAAAACGTGTGAATAATTTTCGAACTTCGAAAACGCTGCACCTGTCGGTGAGCCATTGTCTTAGACTCTTCAAGTAGCGCCACAAACAAGGAACTAGTGCTTGTGGTAATCTCGCTTATTTCGCTCCAATTGAAAATTTTCAATTTTTCTGCCGAACGAACCATAGTTCTGTAATTATTAGCTCATCAAATTCGATACGTACAAGGGTCACGAGGAGGCTGCTTCAGCGAAACAAAGAAACTGTTTGTTTCTGATATTTCCAGAAAAGCTGGCTGCTCATTGTCTCTGAGCAAAAGTACCGGAACGAGTGAATTGGGCTTTTGTAGTGGCTTTCTTTTAAATAAACAGTCATTTCGCGATCTTTTATTGTCTGATATAAAATATGAATTTTCTAAAATTAATTAGTTATGGACCATAACTTATGGTAATTGAATCAAGGCTCTGATTTCGGCTGAGCGATGAGCGATGTTTGAGCTTGAGCGAGCGGAGCGATAAACAAAACTCGAATGGCCGCTTGCGGCTTCGAGTTGAAAATAAATTTAAGCCGCGCAAGCCGCAGAGTTAAATACATCCTTCCGCTCGCTCACGCTCAAATACCGCTCATTGCTCAGCCGGAATCGGAATCCTGATTTCCATACCATTTAAAAACAGGTTGGCTTTTGGATCGTTTTTCCCTGCGAGAATTTGAGATGCAAATAGCTCCATTTTCCGGGCAAACGAAAAAGGTTTTAACACAAATAAGCTTCAAAATTTGCAGGGAAAAGAGCTGATCAACGATTTGGGCCAGAGAATAAGGCAATCTCAAATCTCAAAAGAAGGCGGAAATTATTATTTGTTTCCTTCTATTTCTAAATCTATCGAAATTGGCAATCTCTTTTTCGTTGTTGATGCAACTCGGAGCCGAAGTCGGAGATAATTATTTCCGAAAAAGCGCGACAAGCGCACCAAACAAACTCGACTAGATTTTGATCCTCTGTTGTTTACTCTTATTTCTTTTATTTAGGAAAATGTTTATCGGCGGACTCTCATGGCAAACTACAACCGGTAAATGTCGAATGCAATGACCTTTGTCGATTAACATGGACGCAATCATTTAGAAAGTCTAAAAGAATACTTTTCCAAGTTTGGCGAGCTCAAAGAAGCGATGGTCATGAAGGAAGAGTTTCATTTCTTTATTCTATTATTCCCGCGCTAGAATGCTTAATTTTACAAGAGCTGGTATTGTTACTTTCGCTTTTACAAATTGTAATTGGCTTTGAAAGATGGCAATTACTATGCTCTGCATTTTATTGCCCTCTGACATTGCAGCTTTCGAAACTTCTCAAAAAAGGATCCCAACACAAAACGGTCACGGTAAGTGAATCTCGTCTTCTTTTCTTTTTCGCAGCAAATAATTAATCTTCAGAAATCGCAGACTGCGATTTTTCGCTATTGTTACAGTTGCGCCTAAAAATTCTATTGTTGCCCCTCTTCTCTCCTGTTGAGGGTGGTTTTTACGAGGTTAATGAAGGCTGCTGGGAGTTGTGTAAAAAATTAAACTGTCACAGCCCTGGAGTTTGATCATGCGAGACATCGCCCTTTATTGCAAGAATTGGGCGCCGGTCCCTCTTGTAATTGCATTTCGCGCAACTGCCTTCTGCAGTTTATGACGGCTACAGTAGCTGTTTGCAGAATCCCGAAATCCGTTCTCGATTTACTCATTTTCTTTTCAGGGGCTTTGGATTCGTCACTTTTGCCGATCCCGCTGCTATTGAGGCCGTTCTAGCGGTAGGAAGACATGAAATCGACGAAAAAATGGTAAGCAATAAATTGCATTTGCACTGATGCAGCTTATTATAACAGTTAGAACATAACTGATGAATAAGGGTCGTTAATTTAATCCTCATTTTTCCTACGATTTCAGATGGTTAATCTCTAGTCATTTTTGAGTCCATTTTTCCGGAGGTAGTCCTTGCTGCGCCATCGTTGAGCTTTGATTCCCAAGAACTTGATCAAAGTAGGGTTGCATAAATTGCTAGTCAGAAGGATCCACGCAAGGTTTTACTTACTAAAGAAGATTTTTCCAAAATTAATATCCGAAAATTGGAATTTCAGCCTAAACTGTTGCGAGTTTGGCTCGCTTAGAGCACACTTATTTTCAATGTCAATACTTTTTTTGGCCACTTATTCAAAACTTAGCATTTGTGATTAACAAAAACTACAGTCATTTCTACTACTGTAACATATTGTTTCAGATCGACCCGAAAGTCGCCTTCCCGAAGAAGTGCACGCCAAAGGTAAGCAAGAAACTACTTTCTCAAAGGCGGATGTGTGTCATGTTGGATGCGGGCTTTACATTAGCAGTGTAATGATAACGTGTCCGACAAAAGTCGTCGGATAATTTATGGCTGCCCCCCTAACTGGTGGAGATGTGAGCATTTTTTTCTCTTTTCGCGAGGCGCCATTGAGCGCGCTGATTGCCACGGCTCTTGCCACCGCTCTTACTGCGCTCTCACATCTTCTATCGACATTTTCCTTCTTCATAGTCATTTTGACATTTTCACTCTTAGAAAGAGAATTCTCGGAAAAAACAAAACCTCTCAAAAAAAATCCAAAAAGTCAACTTTTTTGTTCACTAATTCGCGAGTAAAAGAGACTAACTCCTCATCATGTACGACAGCTCCGAAAAGCAGGTAAATTGATAATTGAGCCCACTTATCATAGATTTCCTGACTCGACCTGAATTGAACCTCGTTTGTGAATTGTAGCTTACACTGCTTGTATCGCTTTTGTTGTCTTGAAACTTTTTTTTTTGGGCGATTTTACGCACGGGAAAGCCGTAAATAGCCTCCATTTCAGGAGTTAATTGCTATGACCAACTTCAACTTTCAATAGGACCCGAAATTTTCATTGTCTCGGCGTTTTCTTTTTGAAAATAATGCAAGTTCCTTTTTGTTGGAATTTGATTTTCGCAGCGCGAAAAAAATCCCAGGACTATAAACGCTTTTTATACTGGCATACATGGGCCACGTAACCCCGCTTTTTATGTGTAGTACCTCTTTCCTTGATCAAACCTCTCTCTCGCCTGTCTTGGATCAAATAAGCAAGGCCGGATTAGCCCATAAGTCCTCGTCCGGGGCATGTTCCATCTCGTCCAAATTTGAAACAGCAGGCCGATTTATCGTTTTTTTTTCGAGCACCCGTTTTTTTTCTGCGATTTTGAAGCAGCGAATTCGTTATAAATCACTTTGAATAAACAGAATTTCTATTTTACACAATTTTACTGCCACTTGGTGCATCCTTACGGCTCTATTTTTTGGTGCATGTACGATCTTTCTTCTTTCGTTTTCGTTTTCGTGTATTGAAAAATTTTTCAGATGGTGACACGAACAAAGAAAATTTTCGTCGGTGGATTATCTGCTTCTACTGTTCAGGCGGACCTGACCGCTTACTTCTCGAAATACGGAAAGGTAGGGACTACATTCTATTAATACTGAAAGCCCTCGCGTAAATTGTCGACCAGACATTGAAATTAAAATTCGCAGTTCAGCACTGAAACTTTGGCCCAAGATTGTCAATTTTCTGAGCACCAAATAAATCCAAAAAATCGATCTTTTTGGGCTCAAATTTTAAATTTTCATACTAACCCTAACCCAACCCTAACTTACACCGATTTCTAGTCTACAATGTTTAGGAGTCTCTTTTGAAGAGAATTTTCGGGCAAAAACTGACTGTAACACTTGATTGTAGGTGGAAGAAGCGATGCTTATGTTCGACCGGCAGACAAATCGCCACCGAGGCTTCGGTTTCGTCACTTTTGACAGTGAGGACGCTGTTGAAAACGTAGTGGAGATCCACTACCACGAAATCAACAACAAAACTGTATGTATACTACTCCTATCTTACTGTAGCTTTATTACCAGCCGGTAGCACACTTAGTGGCGCTCACAGAATAATTGATTTTGGCAAATGATCGCGACGATGACCGTCTGATCTTGCTTGCTGATCATTTTAATTACGTAGACGTTGTTTTTTCACTCTAGCTAGATTATTTATATTTATGACTGGTTCTTTTTGAAAAAAAAATATTGCCTGCTTACGGTGAATAGACGTTTCTTTACCAAAAGATCTCCCCTAAATTGTAGGAAAAATTTCATGTCCTAGAATGATGCTAAAAAATCAGTCATGTGCTCTTAATTGTTGTCTCCTTATAAATCAAGACTTTGAAATTATCCCCATTTCATCCCGAATCAACAATTTAAGCTCATGACAGAAGTTTTTACCAACATTTTAGGGGCAAAAAAGAACGTCTTTCAAATAATTCAAAGGAGATCTTTTGGTAAAAACTTGCCGCTATCAACATTTTCTTGCCCGCAATCGTTTCCCGGGTCCAGTTTAAAATTTTGGTCCAAGCGGGCTGTCTGCTTGACCCTACGGGCGGCAAGCTATCGGCCCTAATAATGATTGTATCAAAAGTTAATCAGAAGCAATGATAATTCAAAAACCACGTGATCAAAAATCCTTGGTGAGATCTCGAGTTTTTGCGCTCTAATTAGAGATCATAATTTTTCGATTTTCCACTTCGTAAAAATTCATGAAAAGGAAGCTTCCTCCATTTGATGGATGAAATTTCGGGGCTTCCAAAAATAGCAATCGCCTCTTTTATTGTAAATCTTAAAAAAAGCTGCTGCCGGTTGAGTTAGGGAAGCTTTGAAAAGGAAGGATTAACCAGTTGCTTCTTGCAGGTCGAGTGCAAAAAGGCACAGCCTAAGGATGTGATGATGCCCAACCAGTCACAAAAGAGAATGGCAAATCAGGCCTTTTTAGTACAAGGTAGCCAACCTGCTCACTTTGGTTAGTAGTCTCACTTAGCGTAGTGTTTCTATCGTTTCTTGGTTGAAGGGAGGAGAGATTTCTCCCTTCAATTACGTGCTTGAAAGCGCCACTTAATTTATTCAATTTAGGCTTGCCCGGGGTTTACTTGAACCCGATGCTATCCAGCCAGATGTCCTATCAATTCACCAATCTACCACGTACGCCACTTGCTTCTCCAAGTTCCACTTTTCATCCTCTTTTCTTTAGTTTTTGGCAACTACGGCGCCATCCACTACAACCCGGCGGCGGCAGCGCTGACCAACGCCGTCGGGGCCAATTCCTCTGGAACGGACGCCAGCAGAAACGGTCTTAATTATCAAACAATGAGCACGAATGATATTCAAAACTATATCGCTCAGGTACTCTAAAAAATGAAGGAATACGAAGCCATCTTTTCTTTTAGTCGCAGCAACTGTCGCTCATGTCGAATCAACCCTTAATGGCGCCGCTCAATATTTCCAACGTCTACCAGTGATCAGATGATCCTTCCTTTCAATGAACTTTTGGGTGAACCCGTCTCGTGACCAGCCTCTGAAAAAAACCAACTGGTTTTGGCCGTTTTTAAACAATCATCCTATCTTTACAATTATTTTTGTTAACCGTCCGTTACTTTTCCCTGGTCATTGCCAAATTTATTTTTCTATTTCCTAGGTCTTGCCAGCCTGTTTATCTTTTCTTATATGTTACAAAGGATTCATCAAGGTTTAGCCCCTTTTTTTTCTTGCGCGAGAGGCAATCACAAACTTTCCAAGAGACAACAGCCGCCAAATGCGGGCTCATGTGAAGGCTGTTAGCAACACTTCTGGTACCTCTATCTTCGTTTTCTGACCTTTCATCGGCGAATTAGGGCAAATCCACACTGACATTTCTTCTCCCTCTTTCTCTCCCGCACCATATTTTTAAGCAGAGACTTTGATCCTTCCTCCAAAGTTGATGATATTTAAAGCGAGATTTTCTCTCGCCGAAACGACCCTTTCTCTCTCTCTTTTCTAATCCCTCCTGTCGCTCATCAAAAAACAACCGACAGAGCAGCGGAAAAGCCCTCGAAAATGTACCTTTATCTTTAACCTTTTTGAATTAGCTTCAACTTCTCAAGAGGAGCTGTTACTTCTTTATTTATTCTTTCATTACATTGTGATGCGCTTTATAAAAAAATGCAAATTTTCAAAGTCCAAATTTTCTCGTGTTCTATGCTGTTTATTGGCAAATATCGAAAAAGTACCACAATTTATACATCTCAAGTCTTCAGTTCTAAATAAAACAAAAACTACTATTGAATACTTTTTCTTTTATCATTTGCAATCAAGGAAGAATAACTTACCAGAGGAAACGGTTTTTGCCTGCCCAGTGTTATGAAGGCGCGAGCAAAGAGTCTGATTTTAATCATATAAAAATGTTTCGGTTTGATTTGAAAAGCAAACAGTGGGCCCTGCGGAGAGATGCATTGCTGAGCAGCTTTTTTCAAAAAAAAAATTAAATATCTGAGGAGCACCAAAAAGTAAGAGAAAAAAAAGATGAGCAGGGCGAAAATGAGTAGAAATACAAGCAAAGGATATTCAATTTTTTTCAATATGAAATTTCTTGGAAATTCTTAGAAATTTGTTATGAACTCTAAAATGAAAAATATCCGCTTGAAGATCAAAATATGGCCGGTTGGCAATGAGATTTCAGCAAATAGACATTGCTGATGAGGCTTCAAATACTCAGTCCTATCTGAGCCACAACGATGTGTCAATTATGGGTAAGTGAAATAAATTTGCGAATATGAAAATTGCGCGCTGATTTATTAAGAGTTAAAATGTTAGGTCAGGCGAGCCAAAACCACCTCTTGTTTTAAAAATAGTGTTAATTGCTTTATGATATACAGGGACTTGATGCAATTTGTAGAGCTGGATTCTGGCTCCGAAACTGGCTCTCCAGCTGGGACGCCCGTGATTGCGCGAGTCAAGGATAGCTATTTGAACTCGCCAGCTGCCACAAGAGTCATTGCAAGTCTGAAAGAAAACAACTCTGGAATACCTTGCAGGAACGGTTAAAAAATGACACTGATGTTATCAAATATTCAGTTTTGTAACGGTTGTTTATGAGTTCATTTGAATGGCGAAAATTGAAAGTAGTGATCGCAACTTTGATAATTTCGCAACAGAACTTTCTTTTGAAATTGAAAATTTCTAAGAAAACCGTGACTCTTGATATCTACAACTATGAAAGAGCATCATCAATGTTAACCCCAAAAAGTCTAAGCAGCCGCGAAAATGCGAATAAAGATGTCACCTTGCAAAAGCATAGGAGTGGCCAAAGGTAATCAGTCCACGGCGGGGGGCATTTGCGCCAGATCGGGGTCGCCCAGCGCAAATTACTCAAAAACGCACAGAAAAAGTTTACTTTTTAAAAGACAGATCACACGGCTCATTTATCAGGAGCACTATCCATGAGCAGAAACTGGACAGCTCGTTTAGCTGAATTGCGAGAATTAACTTCCAGAATCAGAGACGACAATGCTAACTCGACTAGGAACAGATAAAAAATGAAGTCCCAATAAATTAAAGACAATGAAATTAGCTGCAAAATTAAGAAAAACTTCAACTTTTCGATTAAAAAATTTATCTCCGAGTAGCAGTTATAATGACTCCCGCCGAGGCTCGACAACTAGCTCTAGTCGAGATTTCGGAAGTTAAGTTCTCCTCCATGTCTTCAAATCGTAAATTTTTCCGTTCAGATGTGACACAGAAGGCGCAACAGACTCAAGAATACGCGACTTAGAGAAAGAGAATCAACGATTGCTCGATGAGAATATGCGTCTTCACAAAGAGCTGCAGCAAGCGAAGATGAAACAAGAACAGTTGAAAACGAGGCATCAGGTACTTTCTATTAAAAAGTTCAAAAAGAGCACAGAGTTGAAAATGCTTCTAAGTTATCGACAGTTAGGCTTTCGCCAAGTTGTATTTTACGGAAATAGGTGTTGATAAGAAGTGTCTTTTTATTGCTCAGTGAATATTGCTCAAAAGCTGTTTTTGTCTTTTTGGATAAATCACATGGCGAAAGCTTTTCCTGCCAAGTTCAGGGTGTGATAAGTTTGTCGACAACGATCTCAGAAACTGCCACAGTGAAAATCTTTTTCTGACCTCATAAAAGGACAAAGATCGCTCCCTTTTTTGACGTCAGCTTGGAAATTCGATTGTTGACTTCAACTTTAGAACGAAATCAAACGCGAAAAAGAAAGACAACTGCGCGAAAAAGAAGAAATCAAAGAAGTCCTACGAGTCGCTGTCAGCTCGATCCAGTCGAGAGGACCAAGTATCGACGTTTCTCCAGGAAAGAGTTTCGAAGAATGAAAATCAACTTTAGTTTAGTAGAAATTTGTTGAAATTCGTGAAGAACTAACAAAGGATGAATTACGACTTCTGAGCACGATAAAATAAAATTTAATTTCTTTGCCCGCTTTGTACATTTGATATAATAAACAATATCGAAGAATGCCAAAATATACCATCAGTTTACTGTCCACTTGAATTGAATAACAAAATTATTGAATGGCGCGACGGAATCAAATGAGCCAAACAAAGCAATCGAATTGATGGAATGAAAGTTTATATTATTTTCAGAGAAGTAAAAAACAAATTAGCAGAGTTTAAAAAAATAAAGATATCAAAGACTTTTGTTTCGTCCAAAACTAATGAGAAAACAAAGACTCGCGAAAATCGCCCACTTCGCCCACTTCGGACCTGTTTTAGTGTTCGCTGTTAAACTCACCTCATTCAGGGACTCGTCTGAACTGTCGTAGTTTCGGATGACGTTAGTTCTCACGACCCGAGGTGCGTTTTCTGGTTGATTCGTTGGGGCAGCTGGCTCTGTTGATGTCGAGGTTGTCTCTGACCGTGATTCGCGCAAATGAGAAGTTGATTTTTTCGTAGTTTTGATAGGCTTCGGAAGGGGGATCTCGCTTCCCTGTGTGATTGCAAAAGGAATATTGGAACAAGAAGCTGACCGAGTTGTTTTCCGAGCTCTTCTTGACCCTCTCTTTTTCGACTGCGACTCGTCATTGCTCGTGCTCGTGCTTGGTATGTTTTCAGAATTGCTGGTTGATGGAAAAACTGAAATAGGACTTGGCGAAGGCGAAGATGGCGATTGTGACGAAGCAGCGACTGACTCTTTCGAAGGCTGACTAAAATACTCATCAGCTTTGAGAATAATGAAGTCGTCCTCGTCAGAAGAGACTTTGTGGAATCGATGTTGACTGGTTGATTTTTTCCTTCTGTTCTCATTTTTCAAAGTACTGCTGCTGTTTTTCTTCTTGGAAATCCGCTTTGCACCGACGAATTTAACCGGCGAAACTGGGCGAGATCCACTATCCCGGCCACTCGTTCTCGAGGAGCCCCCTCGTCGAAGACGCTTTGGCTTGATGATCGTGTCTCCTGAATCTTTAGTGAGTTTCTCAATTTTTTACTCGCGAAACATAAATTTTCTTATTTAAAATTTTAAATGTCATTGCCCGCCTAAATAATGAGTAATAAATAATACCTGGCTCTGTTGATGTCGAGGTCGTTTCTGATCGTGATTCTCGCATCGTTGATTTCTTTCGAATAAAATGTTTTATCGGTTTCTTCTTCTCGTTCGGAACGTTATCAGGAGTTTTTTTTATGAGCCGTTTTTTAACTTTATGGAATGTGGGTCGTTGAGGAGTTTTCACGGTGTCCTAAAAAAATTCTTAAAATACAGTCCAAGTAAGTAAGATCTAAAGAATATGTATCTATCACTCGTAGACAGTCCAAGAAAGTAGACTACAGTGGATAGCGATTATAACTTTATTATTATTACCTTGGTCTCCTCGAACTTTTTCTTCTCCTCTTCATCCTCGGGGAGCTCAAGAGCCTCGTTGGTGACGGAGACGATGTTCTTGCCGTCGAATTCTTGGAGTTGCTGGACGCAGTACTCGTCGTTCGGCTCACACAGGTAGAGAACCTCGAAGCCTCGCTTTGTCACACGCTCGACAAAGGCGGATTTCTTGACAATATCGACAGACTCGCCAGTGATGAAGTAGATATCTTTCTGACCATCTTTCATTCGGCTGACGTAGTCTGTGAGGTTGGTGAGCTCCTCGCCGCCATCGAAGGATGATTTCCATCGGAGGAGCTTGGCGATCTTGGTTCGGTTGTTGGAATCCTCGTGGATGCCAAGCTTGATGTTTCGACCGAACTGCTCGTAGAAGATTTTGTAGCTGTCTTTGTCCTCGGCGAGTTCCTCGAAGAGTTCGATGCACTTCTTGACGAGGTTCTTTCGGATGACCTTGAAGATTTTGGACTGATGGAGATTCTCTCGAGAGATGTTCAAAGGAAGATCTTCCGAGTCGACAACACCCTTGACGAAATTAAGGTACTCGGGGATGATTTCCTCGCAGTTGTCCATGATAAAGACTTGTCGAACGTAGAGCTTGATCGAGAAGGGATCGAAGGGAGCTCGCTTGGGCAGGAAGAGAACGGCTCGGAACTCGAGCTGATCTTCGACGGAGAAGTGCTTGACGGCGAGGTGGTCTTCCCTGTCGTTGGTGAGGGACTTGTAGAACTCGGCGTACTCCTCGTTGGAGATATTGTTAGGATTTCGCGTCCAGATGGGCTCGGTCTTGCTGAGCTCTTCAAGCTCGGTGTACTTCTCTTTGGTGGTCTCCATCTTTTCCTCCTTTTTCTCTTCGTTCTCGATGGCCTTAGCTTCTTCCGGCATCCATTCTGGCTCAAAGAACTCATCATCGGTTTCATCCTTCTCCTAAATTCAATACAGTTTTAACCAGAACCTTATGTAATTAATCTTTAAAATTTTTAAAAATCCATGAATAAAGTAGGGATCTGGATTCGCTTAGCGAACTCGCCAGAAAGCGAGGCTTGGAGAATTTGCTTCGCTTTGCTTTCGATTTTACCAAAAAATAATCGTCGAACTTTAATTTAATTAGTTCGGTAATTCAGAAGATATTATTCGGTAAAATTAATGAAGGTAAAGCAAAACAGAGAGGAAGTCGTTTCTTAGAATACAGTGTCGACAAACTGACATTTCCATTTTTCATTTGGCGTGAATTGACTATTCAAATTTTCAATTTCAATTCAACGGCGGCAGCGAAAAAAAGAATATAAATTATGAAAATTGAACACAGTTGAAACCAGCGAGAGAATAAAAAAAGCCGCACAAAGGTAACAGCTGCGGCCAAAAGCTAAATTAATGATATTTCCTGCTTAAAATGTACAAGTTGCAGAGTTTATGTTCAATCGCTTTTACAGGAACACAAATCAGAAGTTAACTGTAACTTAGCAAGCAGCTAAGCAAAGAAAGATTGAACCATCAACGCTTCGCGGAAGCTCTTTATTTTTCCGCTTGTTCAAGTACAAAATCGAATTTAAATCAAATTATAGTTTTATCTTTGAGAAAATATCGATACTGAGAACTGATAATAATAAATTATTGTATTCGTTACATCGCTGTTACCTCTCTGTCAGTGATCTTCTTTCGATACATGCCGATATGTCTTTTGATTTGTCTCATAAATAGCCAATGCATGCTCATAAATCGCTTATGCATCTCGAATTGGTATATTTCATACTTGACAAATATATGACTTTAAGTATACAATTTGAGAAACTTACCTCCGATTTAATTCGATTCGTTTCGCGAATTTGGAGGATCAGGCCGAGAAGAGCACAAACTAAGAGATATGATAGCACAATCTGCCATTTCAGGCTTTCGTCAATAACATAGTCCATCTAAATAAAACTGCTGAATATTTCTGACCTTACTTGTCTTCATTATTGAAAAGAGAAAGAAGAGAGAATGTTACGAAGAGTGCAGAATCATATGTTAAATTGAGAGCTCAAAGTGTTAATTATATTAAGAAAATAATTCTAGAAATTCATCCCTAACCGAAAAAAGGCTCAAACAATCAGTAATTTTCGGGCACTCGACCGATAACCTCGCTACACTTGCTTTTCGTTCGGGTTTACAAATAAAATACTACGCAAATTTGATGCTACCCATTTCACCAAGATTCGCAATACTCGAGTTTTATTTATTCAAGGGTTCATTTTCTTTTGAATCAATTCAACCTTTGTTAATTCTTTTCAAAACACACCAAAGATAAATCCGATGTTTAACCTTCCGTTCAGCGCTGACTAAATTCCACTGTTTCAGAAGGATTCATGGTGATTTCAGCACACATAGGCATGGACTTTTGCTTTGCTCTCTCCCTGTCGAGTTTACTTGACGTGAAGGAAATCCGGTAAAAGTATCGTACGCAAGTAACTACTTCTGGGAGTCGCACAACTCGATGAAATTCCTTGAGAGCGCAATCGACGAGACGCTGATTGAAGGAGCCAAGACTGCTCTCAAGCATCTCCCGCGACGCTTTCTTGTTCTGCTCAATCTAGTTGCAAATGGCGGGTATGCATCGCAGAGCTACGAGAGATCCTATGTCAGTGTTTGACTGCGCTGGCGTGAATGTGGTTCTCAAGATGACCGAGTACGTCAAGCACGAGCGAGAAATCGCCGCGAAAATCAAGCTGCTAAAACGATTAGATTGGTTTCCGCAGAACCGATAATGTTTTCTGTGCCTTGCTTTTTGAAAACCCAAAGTAAAGTTGCAAATTCAAAAAGGAAGATAGATGTGTTGTCATTGACAGATTCGTCTGAGCGCACGCTTTACACATTATCCGGAATCCGCTGGAGAAAATATATAGATATGGAAGGACAGCTGGATTCTTACTGGTACTGGGAATTCGAGGCGATTAAGCGTAAAACGGAGTACGTGATAGCCAACTTTCGCGGAATGCGTGATCTGCAGCTTCACTTCAGTCAAAGCTCAGCCCCTTAGACAAGCTCAGGCGAAGGAAATGCGGAGACGGAGGCATGGCGTTCGCAGCGCGAGAAATCAATGAATTTGATTCTTTTTCAAGAACAGTTGTTTACCTCAGAGCCAGAATCATCTTTTTTGTCAGTTTCTGATGTTAGGAACTAGCAAAAAAGATGAATCCTCGGAGATTTCTTGTTAGATTGTCGTTCCTTATATGAATTTTAGCGTTCCTCTGCTAGTAAAGGACTCTTCGGTTTTTCACGTGCTGCCTTTACGCCCGCGCCAAGCATCTTCCCTCAGCAAAACGACTCTGAGAGCGACACAGTGTCGCCGACATTGACAGTGAAGGAAATTAATCTCGACAAAAAGAAACAGTGAGTCTCTTGGAGATGAACCTTGCCTTAAACCACGGGGACCAAAGTAGTCACCAGGTGGAATTTACGTTTGAAAGAGAATTCGACTAAGGCAATATTCTGTCACTTCTGATGCCTTTTGTGAATGACCCAATTTCGACGAAAACTTTTCGGGCGTTTTTGGTCACGTGAAAGAGCTCGATGTTCGAAAGCCAGGAAAAGCAATGTCAAAGTTTAACACTGAAGAAGAGTCCAAAGATTATTCGTTTATTTTTTATCGACGGGGGAATCTTTATTTCCCAAGGTATTTGAAAGAAAACTGCGCGGAAGAAACGACAAATTTAGTCACAAGCAAAATAAACTCTACCTGAAAATTTTTTATCCAGCACGTTAATATCGTTTTTTGTACTTTTTAGAAACATAAAATACATTTCTGTTGAAACAATAGGAGACATCAACCAGTCGTCGAAAGAGCTCTACAGAGAGTTTTCCGATGGAAAGCATGAACTCGCCAAAGCCGAGTTCACTATCGAGGTTCAAATTCCGCACAATATCATATTGTCAATATGGAACGAGGGCCACTTTTAGTTACAGATGTTAAACGGAGAATAATTGTCTTTGTGTCGCTTCTTTTTCTATAAGAGAGGTAGAAACAGCTTTTTTTCGAAAATAAGCGATTTTTGACTGGCGCTACAGACAAAAAAATCTTAGATTTTCAATTTTTTTCTTCATATTTAGATAGAAACATCTTAGATCTAGGAACATCTCCCTCGAAATTTGTTTTAATCATCAAATTTTTGGGTAATGGGGCTCAGAAGCAACTCATCTCTGCGAAATTCTCGATTTTCGCACATTTTCAACCTCGAATATCTCGAGTCACGTAATAGGAAAACAAATTTTATTCACATTTTTGTGAAGCTGAACCGCTTTTTTAGGAGCATTAATGAGGAAATTCTGTAAACATAAATAAATCTGATGTTTTCTTTTATGTAGCTAGAGTCCAAAATCGAGAAAGCTGTTTCTACCCCCATAAACGCATTTTATGAAACTTTTATTAGGCGAAAAACAGCAAAAACCACAGAAAATATAAAAAAACCAACGAGATAAATATGGAAACAGAAACAGTAAGAAAAGATCTATTAGACTAAAATCCCGAAATACGACTGTGATGGCGCCAGATCGGTTCTGCTCGTGCTTGTCGATACTCTTCCTCGAACTCAATTAACAAGAAAAGTTCGTTGTTGCGCCTCTCGAATTCCTAAAATGAGATGTCAAAATTTCAAATATTAGATCTAGATTTAGAAGGGATAACTTTAAATTTTGAAGATTTATTAGTATTGGATGAATTTACAAAATTTACTCTCCTCGTTGATTGCAAAAATAAAAATAGAACTTATTAGAAAAAAATATATGATAGCTTATGATAAAAACTCATAAAAATGAAGAGTTCTCTTTGTTGATTGCAGCTGAATAGGAATACTCCCACCGTCAGGTCGCAATCACACGATCTAGTGGTGAAGATTCTGGTTTTAAGGGTGTCAACAACGATCGGGTTAAGCCACGTCCAATAAGGTCATGAAAAGAATTTTTGTTATTTATTTGATGCTGATTCCACAGCTTTTTTCAGATCTTCATATCTCATCTAGTTTTCGAGATAGGGCCATTTCTATGGACGCGCTTATTCATAATTTGGCGTTCTACAGAAAGGCTTCTACAATGTCCATCCCGGGTTCTTCGACGTCGATCCCGACTTCTTCAACGTCGATCCCGGCTTCATAAGTTTCAACCAAGGCTTTTCCAACAATAATCTAATCTTGGAGAAGCCATGATCGACATTCAAGAAGCAATAATAGAAAACTGAGAAGCCGGAACTGGCATCTGAGAAGCTAGGATTGAATAAAGTGACGGCCGGATCGGATCGAAAGAAGCCGGGATTGACGCTGAAGATGCCAGGAATGACGTTTGAGCCTCCAGGATTGACGTTTGTAAAGCTAGGATCGAAGTTTTTTAAGCCAAAATTGAAGTTGGTGAAGCCGGGATTGACTGTGGAGAAGCCAAGAAAATAAAGTTATATGATCAATCAATTTTAATTTGGTAAAGCAAGAAAAAAACTCAAAAGAAATAAAAATCCCGCACTTCCCAAAATCCTGAATCGGCAGAATCCTGATTTGGCGATTTGAGAAATACGGGATTTCGAGAAATTTAGGATTTGAGAAATGGGGGATTTTGGGAAATGCGTGAGTAGCAATCAGCGCTAGAAAAGTCAAAAATTCTTGCGCTTTGGTGCCAGAAACGGGGATTAACGAGTGCAAAAGCTAATTTCATTCCTTTCTCTCATATAAGAAACGATTAGATATTTCATTCTAATCATAATGAAATTCGGAGCAAGTGGCAATTTATAACTGATAAGGTCGCCTGGTCGTAAGCCCTAGTATTTGGTTCGTTTTCGAAGTAATCCTTGACCGTAAGTCAGCGTATTCTTAGCAGCTGGGTGGCTTACCACTTTCGGGAACTTTTTAGTTCAGATAACCCGATGTTATTATTAAGAACAGGGGCTCTAATGAGAACCAACGCCCGAAGAAGCTCGAAAAATGAAGCAAAATTGAGGGAAAATCGTTAATCTAAGTTCACGGAAGCAAAAATTGGCCTTGATTTTTCTCCATTTTTTTGAGCTTCCTCCGGCGCTGGTTCTCACTAAAGCCCCTGTTCACAACTTCCGAGAATAGATTCTGATAGAATAGAAAATGCTCTACAATTTGCGTACTGAAAGGCTGGAGTATTCATCCCTTTCCGGGCACTAGAAAATTTCTAGTGCTCAATTTTGGACTTCAATTGCTACCTTTATGCCGAAAACCAAGTCGGATTTCGATGAATTTGGTACCAAAATGATCGCCGCGACCTGGAGATTCTTATTCTTTCTCAAATTAGAAGTAAGAAAGGCCATCATGGGGTCGATTTTTCTACCATTACACCTAATTTAAAAGTGACAGATTTCTTACAGTAGGTCATCTCTGATTAGGTAGATCTTCTATTTGGGCATTTTTATGAATTCGCATAAATGAAGGTATATTTAATCTCTCGAAGAGATTATTTATGAAAAATTTCGGGACATTTGTGACTGGCAGTGTCGAATGAGAAAGTAAGTCAGAAATATCGGGTTGCACCGTAATAATTGTTACAAAGAAATTATTTCGAATGCGAAACTCCCGATGCTTCAAACAAACTCTCTTGCTAAATAAATCGCTCTTAAATATTGTTACTGAATCTTCGAGTATATTAATATATAATAGATAGAAAACATATAAAACAAAAATTATAGCTAAAAACTTACTCGGATGAAGGCGGTCGCTCGCGTCTGCTTGTCCCAGATTTTTTCGCCCAATATAAATTTAGGTCTGGACCCACGTCGTGGTCGTTTTTCGCGCTGCGTTGCCTTAATAAATTTCTTAATCAAATAGAGTTGTATAAAATCTAAAGTATATAAAAAAATCTATAGTATATAATTTACTGTATATTCAAAAAATATTTCTGAATTTTTTTTAGAATTATCTTTCTGAAGTGGGATTTTCTTCGAAAATTTCGTCGCATTCGAAAAATCGCTTAAACTACCTGTTGCTGAGGGAGTTCTGGTGGTGGCGGTGAAGCTAGAACTGGAGATGGGGCGAGAACTGGTTGAGGGGCGAGAACTGGTTGAGTGCCGAGAACAGGCGCTTGGGCTGGGGCCGGATCGTCTTCGTCTTCGCTTTCGTCTTCGCTTTCAGCTTCGATTCCGTTTCTGCATGGGTTTCCAGCGGGGATTAGTCCATATGTTGCCACGTCCCATACTTTTGCTGGCAGGAAAAAGATGATTGCTATAACAGGTTATTTTGAGGCAAGCATAGATTGGTGGAGCGTTGGTCGTATGATAAGAATCGTATCTATGATGTCATTATTGTTTTATCGAATTCAGTAGCAGCAATTTTTGCAATCAATTCAATGATCTTCGACTTTTAAAGAGCGCTAGTACAAAGCGAAGCAAAGGAACAATGTGCATGATGAGCATAATTGTGGAGATTCTGCAAGCATTATGCAAGGCGTAAATCCCGAAAACATTTTGCTTGGTGGCGCCGATGAAGACACGCTGATTAAAAATTTAATCGATTGGCAAAAGGGCTTCTTGTCCGAAAAAATTGAGATCAGACGTGGTGAGTATGGCGTTAGTGTGTATACTGTCGAAAATCTAGAAGAGGACGAGGAACTTTTCACTTCTTATAACAATTATCTTATTAAACTTGATAAAGCTTTCGAGGTATATAATGTTTCATAACTGAAATATAAGAAAGTGACGCTTGTTTTCGGCCTTGAACGACAGAGTCGAAGTTAATAAAAGCTAATTCTTCAAACCGAAGCTATATGTCGGCCTCAAAAAAACCTGTTGCCTGTGCCCAATATAAATGGCAATATCCAGTGGATCAAGAACGACCAAAGGTCAATGCCGGGATCCGGGGCTGGAATGGGTTCGGGTGGAGTTGGGCTTGGTGGTGGCTTCTTGCCGGACCAGTAGAGAGCAGCCATTAAGCAGAGGGGCACTTGCTTAAAAATAATCAAAGTTACTCGTATAATGCTATACTATGAAAGTAAAACATGTAATCCTAAAATATACTTACAGCTATAGGAAAATATTCAAGCATACTGTGAAAAAGCTTACTTGGCTGCTATGAAATAAATACATGTTCTAGAGATTTTTTGATAGAATATAAAAAGCTGGGCGACCACTAGCAGAAAATTTGAAATCAACAAAGACGTTCCTGACGGGAACTCTCCCTCCAAATTTTACGAGTGTTCTTACGGGTTATATTTCAAATCTGATAACCGTTGCGTCCCTTCGATCTTCAAAAATAAACTCCGATAGCTAATTTTCAAACAACGTCGCCTCCAATTTCCGACAGCACATGTCGCGCAAATTTTTCCACAACACATTTTTTCCTTGGAATCTGATAACCTTGCGAAATCCATAAACAACCATGATCAACTGTACTTTGTTGCGAAAGACTTGCTAGATTTGCTTGTATTTGTAGCAACTTTGTTTTTTAAAACTCAAGAAATCAACGAGGAGAATTGAAAGATGGGAAATATATTTTGTTTCGAATTGAAGTGAGTATGTACAGAACTAACGCATTACTAATATAAGGGTCAAAGTCATCTATACATAATTAAAAAGAAACACAACTCAGGGAAAAGAAAAAACAGGATGAGTAAAACAGGGTGCGAGTATCTCTCAATCAAAGAGTTAGAAAACTTGTTCTCAAGCAAAGCCAATCGCCGGGTGCTGAACTTCTATGTTCTGGTGCGCTTGGTAGTGTTGGTACATCGAGGGGTTGCTGTAGTGGTGCTGGAGCATCCAGTTGTGGTACTGCTCGGGCGTCGGGACTGCGCTGGCGCTGGAGCTGACACTTGGCGCGGAGCTGCTTACTACTGGCGCAAGGACGGTCGAAGAGTTTTCTTTTGCGTGCGGATCGACGGGTTCCAGTTTGACGTTGCTCTCGTGCTTCAGTAGCTGGTGGCTTTGCTCGCTCAGCTTGTGCACATCGACAGGAAGGTAGCCCAAGTGCGAAGCTGCCATCGCACTGGCCGGATCCAGCGCTGGCCAGCCCAAGTGCGCGTGCGGATGAATCCCGGCCCCGTGCTCGCCATGCTCTCCAACGGGCTCTGGGCTGTGGCCAAGTTCAGCATCACTGAAGGAAATAATTAGCGAAGAAAAGATCATTATGAAATTTCAATCCATTGAAAATCAAATTCGCAAATCGGAAAGAGAACACGATTTTTCACGCTGAAAAAATTGTAAAAAGAATTTGGGAAATCGACTTGGTCCAGAGCGCAAGCGCCACTCGAGCAAGGGGAAAACGCGCGGGCAATTTTGAGCTTACTGTCGGACTCGACTGGTCTAAGCCGATAACTGCTCGAGTGCTGACCGCCACAATTGGGCATTACCGTCTGAAAAAATCCAAACGGGGGTGTATAAGCACATCATCGAAAATTATTCTTGAGCCGCCGACTGGCCGAGGGGAATTCTAGCGGTTTTCTAACAAGGAAAAAATTTTCATTTATTCTGACTTAGATAAGAATGCAGATAATGATTACTACGTTTAGGAGAAAATTCGGATAATGACACTCGCGCGACAATCATGGCCAACATGAAAATGAGTTTTCGCAGATGAGCTCGTTTGGAAAATAATCATGACCACTCCAAAACCACTCCAAAACCGCTCTGCAACCGCCCCTACCCCATGCAGTTCCCTCTCGCGGTTTCTTTAGCACAACAGGTGGTGAGCTTACTTTTACAGGGGCAAGAAACTTCAAGGGAAGAAAAAGACGACTTTCTCTTGAGATGACTTTATCTAGCTAATTTTTCATCAAGTTGTATCTGTCTAATGATGCGCGAAATTGCCATGTCTGATTACGATCAAGCAGTGATTCTCACACTAGAATTCATTCACCCAAGAAAAATGACTTAATTAAAAAAGAAAATGGCGATTTCTTACTTCAAATTAAACTGAAAAAACGCGCAGAAATGCACAAGTGGAAAAGTGCTTAAAACTTTAGAAGTGTAGCGGAACTAGCGCAAAAAAAATGAAGAACGAAAAAAAAATCTGCGCTGAGAAAGGTACTATTTAATAGCTCCGGCGATAACCAAGTGCACTGGGCTTTGGTTTCGGATAATCTTGAAGGCTGCGCGTTTGGTTTCCTTCCGTCGTCAAAAAATCGACGCAGTTCTAGCGCTGGCTTTTTTGCAAAAACGCAATTCGTCTTAATTAACGGAGCAACACGATACAAGAAAACATGAAGCCTAACCGAGACGGAAAGCATTTGTCACTTGGTGCGACTTGCTAGTTCCGTTTGAAACGAATTTGCAAAAAAATAGTATCAATTACATTTGTAATTGACGCTTTAGCGTTCGTTTTTGAGGAGCCTTCAATTATATTTAATATAATTCTTTAAGGACCCCCCCCCCGTCAGCTTTTTTCGAAAAATCAAATTTCAGAATTTTAAAATTTTGACCCTGAAAATGGATTCTACGGGCCAAAAACGATTTTGAGGCTTCATTTTTTGGGGGTCTATCTCGACTCCTTCACCCTCAAAATCGCGTTTGAAAATCGTACTTTTTGAGGAAAAATGACGAAAAAGTCCCAACTTTGCTAAAATTTCAGATTTTTCTTGGTCAAAAAAGGCTCCGAACAAGTTTTTATGATAAATTGAACTTCCAGGAACACCAAGAAGCCAAGATATGGTTTTTTTGAAATTTTCGATATTTTGAGGAAAATTGTTGACGGGGGGGGGGTCCTTAATTATGATCTATTTTGGACGCTAAAAATAAGAAACTGTAAAAACGCGATGTTAACAAAAAAAAAGTGGCCATGAGCTTGCTTAAGTATAATGAGTGATTTTTGCTTTCATTTTCATTATTTTCATATTTTTTTGTCAGAGAGAATAAAACGGCCCAGGCGCTGTGAAAAGGCCGTGGGAGCGTTTTCGCGCTTTTTGTTCCTTTTCGAGGTACATTTTGGCGACAATGTTACCAATACCCACGACGGGATCGATTTCGCCTTTGACGACCGCTTGGAATGACGAAATATCATCACACTAGCCGTTTTCCTACGACAAAACGCTCCTTGCGCGCTTTTGAAAAATGAAAATCGTGCTCCTTCCCGACTTGGCGATTGCGAATAAGTACGTACCGAAGAGTGGTTCCCTTTGCTTCTGCAGCTCGTTCTCTTTGGCGGCGGTTTTTGAACCAGTTCGACACTTGGGTGACTGTCAAATCCGTCATCTCGGCGAGCTCGCGTTTTTCGCGAGGACTAAAATTAGGTTGACCTCAACACTCTCCATAATTTTCAACAAGTGCCCCTTCAAGGGCCACTATCATCATCATCATCTTGGGCTTGCCTAGCTGCATTCCCGATAGAATTGAAGTTGACTTTTGGTACTCAAGAATCTTGGGAAGTCCAAAATGATGATTTAGGCACAAACAAGTATCAAAAGACAATTAAAACCTTCAAATTTGTCACTTTTGTTATTTTTGCTTCATACAAATTTTCTTAAAAATTTTCAATTTACCTTGGATAAGGCGATTTGAGGTACCAGTCGCGAAGAACTGCGCGTGATTTCTCCTTGAAGCAGTAGCTAGTCTCTTCTCCATCCCAAATCGTTCGCGGCAGTGGAAACTTTCTGCGGACCCGGTACTTGCCAACGGCTCCAAGAGGTCTTCCTCGAACTTTTTCAGCTTCAATGTAGTGTGCTTTCAACCACAATTGCTGTAGTCGATCGTGGAACGCAGGGGAGTACTGTCTTGACTCCAGAATCTAATCAAAAAGAATCAGAATTTGAGTTCTAGCGTGTTTAAATTTGAATAGAAAAAGGGGGTTTCAATTGAAGACCCTTGTATTTTTAACAAAAATAGTAATTAATCTATATTTATTGCGAAATTTGAGCATTCTGAGCGTTAAATTACCTTGTAAAGCTCGCGAAAATCGCCGCGGAAAAAGGCAGCGGTCGCTTTTGCCTTGAGAATGGCTTCATTATTCTCCAGCTCTTCGGACTTCGGGAGTCGCATGAGGAACTCTTGTAATTTCTCTCCATTTTGGCTTGTCTCTAGCACCTAGAATTGGCGATAATGAAAAAAATCAGACTCATCAGGGACTACTTACTTCGAGAAGACATATAATCTGCTCAATACTATATCGTGGTCTAGCCTCGCTCATTTTTCACTAATCAGATATTAAGTTCCTATTGAAGGTGATCTCTTGGTATATTTTGTTTCAATTGTGACCAATTAGGCTTTGTGCAGCTGCTCTTTCGTCGCGCCGGCGCCCCCAACAGGCTAGGTGGCGCTGCGTCCGCTCACCCGCTCCAGCCTATTCCACCGTCGTAATTTTCCCTTATCAATTACAGTAATCAAACTTATAAGCTCTCTTCCGTTTACTGTATAAGAAAGTTGTCAAAACCTAAAACTTTACCTTGACAAAAGATGAATAAAATTATCGAACTTATTCATTAAGAATTTTTAAATTAATTTATGTCAAAAAAAATGAAAGAAAAAGTGAAATAAAGATTTTTTAACAATCAGAAATCTTATTACTAATATATACTGGGCTTGAATTTTGTGGAAAATTGATAAAGATTTTCTTGAATTTTGAATTTTCGATCAGAGGAAGGAATTTCTTGAGCGCGAAGGTTAATAAAGTGATTTTGAATTTGTTCCGAGTTTAGTTTCCGAGATTGAAAGATTTTGAATTTTTTGAATCGCGCTTTCTCTCTAGGATGATAAGCAGCGCAGCGGATGCTCGTTAGGGCTCTTGAGTTGGATCGTATTTCATCTGTGATGAATGTTCAGCAAAGATCGATCATCGGTGCAATTAAGCCGCCAGACGCCACTTGCAAGCATACGATACTTGGCCACACTTGTAGTACCTTTTACTTCTTTACTTTTGACATGGCTTTATAAAGTACTCTTCCTTTGCTGGCTCGTGTCTTAAATTTGAACATCAAGAAAGAGGAGATAATTTGCAAGGAGTAGGGCTCGCCATCCTGTGTGGAAAACCTGAGTCAGGCCGAGCCCAGATCCTAGCTACCTATCCTAGTCTTTATCCATAGGATTTTGTATGAGCTGAACTTACTCTTCTTGCTCAAAACTAAGCTCAACTAAAAAATTTATTTTTACTTTTTATCAAAAAAAAAAAATCGGTCTGAACTGTCGCCACCTGGGTCGGCAACCTGTGTAGAAAACCTGAGTCAGGGTCTGGATAGGCTGAAATGAAAAGCCGCGAAGCGGCTTTTTCAAAAACGAAGCCGCGAAGCTATTTCCCCAGAATTTCTCATAGATTGTAATGAGAATATTAGCGAAGCCGCTTCGCGGCTTCGTTTAAAAAAAGCCGCTTCGCGGCTTTTCATTTCAGCCTTTTCAGACCCTGACTCAGGTTTTCTACACAGATTGCCGAGCCCAGGTCGCCACTGTACCAAATTTTCACACTGAAGAAACTAAGCTGTCTAGAGACAGTAATTACGCTACATGGTTCCCATGAATAAGCCACTTTTTCACATGAGCGGCGAGATTAATTCTGGATGTCGGCCACAGATGTGTGAAGAGAGCAATGTTCTGCCTAAAACGATTCGCGTCAACAAATCGCTGCATCCTGAGATCGGCTTGGCCTTGTTCGAGAATTTCATTTTTGTTTTTTCATCGCGTGTTACGCCCAATTAGCAAAAGTTCGCTACTTCAATGCTAAGACTCTTCAACTTCAAACGCGCGCCCATGGCTCCCACAGACGATAATATCGGAACTTGCATCTACTGTAACTCGTCCATAAAACAAAGAACGTAAAAAAGGCAGTAGATAAGTTTACGATCTTGAGACTTTTTCTCCAAAAGACTATTTTTGGGCACAAACTCAAGACCAGAGCTATTTATTATTCCACACGAGAAAAGAAGAGATTCCAGAGGAGTTATCATTTGTCCACTCATGAAATTGAGTTCTCTCTTTCTTGGATTGTTTCCATCTGACGCGGCGTTTCCATTTTTGGAAAGCGGCGGCGTTTTTCCTCGGCGACGTTGGCCACGGCCCCGCAGACGTGCGTGACGCCGAATGCCTCGGAGATACTAATTCCGTGTTTGGTTCCTTTGCCAAAAAAGAAACGAAAAGAAAGCGAAGGCGATCGGATACATATCTCTTTATTCAAGCGTGATTAGTAAATCTGGGCTCGGCAACCTGTGGAGAAAACCTGAGTCAGGGTCTGGAAGATCTATAATGAAAAGCCGCGTAGCGGCTTTTAAAACGAAGCCGCAAAGCGGCTTCACCAACTCATTATTTCAAAAGTTGACAAATTCTGGCGAAGCCGCTTTGCGGCTTCGTTTTAAAAGCCGCTACGCGGCTTTTCATTATAGATCTTTCAGACCCTGACTCAGGTTTTCTCCACAGGTTGCCGAGCCCAGTTGTAAATGGTGAAAGTAAAATCTGCTGAATTCCGTGCCCAGCTTCAATAAATCCTCAAGAAAGATCTAATAGGATAGAAAGACCATAATGCCTCGCTAATCTTGTTGTTGTATTGTCCGTGTGTCAGCTCCGTATCAAGCTCGCGCTTCTTTCCGAAAAAGAAAATGAGTAGACAATGCAGGGCGGTTTCAATGCAACTGGGCCAATCCCAAAACATGAGTGGCGTTTTCCCCTTTTCAAGATTTTTTTTTTGACAGTTCGATTACCTTGACGACCGACACCAACACCTTGAGCGAAGTAAAGTAGAATTGGCGGCGTTATCCCGTGACCGTTCTCTACGTAACGACTCGTTTTGTTCACGAGTTTGCTAGGTAATTAATTAGACGAGAAAAAAGGGTGTAAAAAATCCCTCCGTCGGTGGCAATTTTTGGCGTAATGAGACACGATAATCCAAATCTCTTTCTCTCTCTCTCGCTTTTTCAAAAAACGGCAACTCTACGTAATCTTGCGTTGAGCTTCCGCTACTTCTGTTTGGAGCCGAAGCACTGTCGAACATCCTTGCGAGGCTTTGATTACTACAGCTGATAAATTACTTTCTGGGGTGACATATTATCGCGCGGCAGGAGTTTGAAGAGCGTATTCTATTTCGAAATTATGTTGTTCTCCGATACTGTAACATAGATTTCTCTTAAGGGGGGTCGACGAGAATTTTTCAGGGGTGATCATTATTTCGCTAATACACATAGTCAGGATATGAATCTTATATTTTTGGAATCTACATAATGAACAGAATTGTAAAAATTGACCATTTTTGGTGCATTTTCGCGAAAATGGCCCTTCTTTGACGGGATTTTTGACCGATTTTTTCACGCCAAAATTTTTTCTAGTTTTCGCCGCCTGATTTTTACAAGCCTTTTCTATCCACCAGTAAAATCAGATTTTGCCTATCTTATCAGGTTTTCCCGCATTTTTGGTCACGGAAATCCCGATTCTCGTCGACCCCCTCCTTAAGATTGTCCTGTAAATAGCCCAGTTTTCGGTCGAGGATTTTCAATAGGATCATAATATATTGACAGTATTTGGTTTCGACATCAAGTTCGACGATAACAATTATAATTCGGTGAAAAATAAAGTTGAGCTTTGATCAAAGAAGAATATTTGAAGGACACGTTTGGAGGCGGCGGAGCATTTAATACCTTTAGTCCCGGAGCATGAAATTCGCCTTGGTGCTTCCTGTGAAGACTCTTGCCCAAATCGCTTGATCAGGATGAACTAGGCCCAACTGGATGCACCGCCGGGCTCGAGTTTCAGCAATTCAACGCCCAAATTACGCGGATTAATTTTTATGGATAAGCCCTGCTCCTCGAGTTCCAAGCAAAACCGTACCCCAGAAAATAAATTCGAGACGGCCCGTTCGACCGCATGAAAGTTTTTGCCCTTGGACTTAGCGGAAGTAAGCTTCAAACGACTGGAAAATCCTTGAAAGTAAAAGTAGTGGAGAACAGAGTTGCAAATTTTGATTAATTTTTCTGAGCTGAGCTGAGCTGAACTGAGTAAAAATTTCTCTGAGCTGAGCTGGCCTATTTCGGAGGTTACTGAGCTGAGCTGGACATTTTCAGAGGTCATTGAGCGGAGCTGAGCTGAGCAGACCTTTTGTTTAAGAGAGTTGAGCTGAGCTGAGCTGAGCGGACCCTAATTAGAGCTGAGCTGAGCTGGTTTTTACTGTTTTTTGGTAGTAAAATTGTATTCGAATCATTGAGCTGAGCTGAGCTTAGTGATAATTGTCTGAGCTGAGCAGAACAGATCATGTTCGAAAATAATTGAGCTGAGCTGAGCTGAGCTGAGTGAAAATTTTCTGAGCTGAGCTGAGTTGAGCAGATCAGATCATTTTCCAAAATCACTGAGCTGAGCTGAGCTCACTCAGCCAGCTCAGCTCACTCAGCTTAGCAAATTTGCAACTCTGGTGGAGAATCGTGGAGGCACTTTTTGTATTTTATGAAACCAAATCTTTGACACTTGCAAGGAGCTGTCAGGACTGTTTCCGCTTTGTCGATGTTAGTTGGAATCATTAGCCGCGAAATTGTGATTGTTGTTTTGTCAAATTAACTCGAGCTGAACAAGTTGTTTCACACTATCGATCTTGGTTCTTCGCACTGTGTTTCGCTTCTTGAGCAAACTGATAGCACACTTTCTTCCAAAAACACATTGTATCAATAAAACGAAGTCACTCAAGAGTTGGCAGGAATTCTCATCAGAAAAAGATCAGACGAAGATAATTGTATTTTATTGACATAACATTTTTAATGAAATTTAGGAAGTTAACGGTAATTGATTGAAGAAAATAGCGGTCTTGGCATCTTATTTTTTGGAACAAATTTCCTTTCCCATCCAATCGTAAGTACACCTCTCTCCTTCCGCGCATTCACGGCCGCAGAAAAGCTCGCATTTGTCGTCGATTATTTTGTAGCCAGACTTATACGGCTATGAAAATTGCCCATGTTTTTTGTAAGACTAAAAAAGTAGCTCTTCAATAGCCGTCCCTTGCAAACGCATTGTTGCTGACCAACAAGATCAAACTGGCATTCTTCATTTTCTTCGCATTCTTTTGAGCAGGGTGCAGGGCTAAAATAATCAAATTTTTGATGAGTTTGAAATAATCTTACATGATGCACGTTTGGATATCTTTTTGGTACTCGGCGCCTTCACTACACTTGCAGGTCGGCTTTCCGAACATGTCAAAAACGCAGCGACCAAGTGCGCCGCCGCAATCGAGATCGCACCTTGGGACGTACGAGGTCGGTTTCGCTTCCACCTTTTTGCAAATTTCCTTGCCCATCCAGTCGTACGCGCATTTTTCATCGTCGGCGCAGATCAATCCGCAGAATAACTCGCACTCGCCCGATTCAGCGAGTCTGTATCTTGCCGGGCATTTTTTCTCCGCTGTGGTTGGTGTTTTTGCAGTTGCTGGAAGAACAGGTCGGCAGGTTTCTTTTCCCATCCAATCGTAAGCGCATTTTTCATCATCAGCGCAGCTTAGGCCACAGAATAATTCGCATTCGCCCGAATCAGCAAGTTTATATCCTGGCTGGCATTTCTTCTCCGTTGTCGTTGTTATTTCTGTTGTTGCTGGAAGAACAGGTCGGCAAGTCTCTTTTCCCATCCAGTCATAACCGCATTTTTCATTTTCAGCGCAGTTTAATCCGCAAAATAATTCGCAATTGCCGCCGTTCATTTTGTATCCTTCCTAATTCAACTTTAAGATAAACTTTCTCCAAACATAAGTCGCCAAAATCTTGATCCTACCTTGCAGGTGCAAACTGGTCGCCCAAGAAAGTCGAATTTGCAAAAAGCGCTGCCATCGCATTCAAGCGGACATGTCGGGCTGCAAACTCCATTTCGCAATTCATACCCTTCCAAGTCGCATTCTTTATCCGTAAAGGTCTTTGGTGGATTGGTTCCACTTTCGATAATGTGTTTGCACATGGCCAAGCCGTTTCCACTGACGTAGCAATCGACTGCTAAGCATTTATCTCCGCAGGCTGATACGCACTGTCCACTCTTGATTTGGTTAAATACATTCACACTTTTCGATTATCTTTTTTTCTCAGAATTAACGCAGTGACACCCTTAATTTTGACGGTAGGTTATAATTAGACCATTATCTAAGTCCTTTGGAATTAGAAAATTTTGATATTTTGAACGCTAAAATTCAAGATATTCGACATTGTTTCATTCGTTAACCATAGCTCAAGCACTTCGCCTCTGCTGCAAATCGGCTGGACGGGAACATCAATGGAAGTCTTCGTTGATTTCAACTTTTCTTCAGGCGGCGGCTCAACTCCTCCCTGATCAATTGGCTGACGCGCATCGTTGAGAAAGTAGAAGATAACTCCTCCGCCAACAAGGATACAGCCGACTAGGACAGCGATTCTTTGAAATATGGTTAGCGAGCAAATAAATACTAAATAAGCAAAAATAGGAAATTTTTGGCAACGCGCGTAGAGCAGCTCGGACGAGTCCAGAGTACAAAGGACGCTGTATTTGTCGACTACGACCTTCGCGAACTACAAAACATGGCGAACAGACCACTTCCTGATTATTTTTTTCTTCGACGAATTTCTATTTTCTTCCTTGGTTTCTGAAGCTCCATTCTCGGAATTTTCTTGAATCTGCGCTGGTGTATAACTTCCCTGAATAAAAGAATTATATTTTATCTGATGCTCTTGGTTTTGTTTTTACTGAAGATCTAAGCGTAAAACGCATATTTTTTCTTGAATTTATATTACAAATTTTCTTAAAAATAAAAAAGGAGTATTATGAAAAGGAAGCTCGCTCAAGCAGGAAACAGCTTGAAAATAAAACCATTTATTGAAATCCGAAAAATTTTTCTCACATGAAATATTGTTTTTTATCAATCAATTGTAGCGATGTTAGAAAAATTGAAATTAACAGATTGCCTTTTTAATAAGTTTTTAAAGTTCACTACCTGCGACATTTCTCTTTATGAGACATGAAAACGGGGACAATCGGAACTTATATTTGCTCCGATCTACGATTGCTCAGTGCAAACAACGACATACTAATCAACTTCAATTTTTTGTGGAGGAAGAGTCAGAGTTCTTGTCGTTAAGCTCGACTAGAACAGTTTTCTTTACTTCATCAATTTGCTCGTTTCTGATTCTAGCTTCACTCAGGGACTATTGAATTTTGGCTTTTAAATAAAAGCTCAAAATATTCTTCCTTGATTTCTTCCTAGCGGCTTGATTACAAATAAACTTCTCCGGTCTTGACAAAAGCGTAACGAAGGGAGTCCAAGCTTGCTGTCCAAGAGTAACAGCATACTCGTGGAAGATCATGATGTTCTCCTTGTTTATCGTAAGAATATCATCAACCATGGTCAACAAGTATCGCACAGTCTGATCGCGTGCAATCTGCCCGATCAAATTCGTGAGCGCTTTGGCTGCGTTTTCACGTAGTGATTAAGAATTTGCTGCATATTGATGGCGTTCTTTTTAGCATCGAAAACGTTGATGAATTCGAAGGCTTCTTCCGAAATCATTTTGCTGCGAGAAAAACAGTAATGGAAAATGTAGAAATGAATAAGTTAGAAATGAACTAATAAATGAACAAGGCAAATTTCAGTCGTCAGGAAAATTGAACTAGAAAGAAGAAAGTTTGAGATAGTTTGCTCTATTTTGCAGCAAGCAGGTCTTGCGTTTTGCTCAAGACTTTACTCAATTGACAGTTGATACTTCGCTTGTTGAAGTTGCTCTGAGGCTTTTATTCGCTAAAATAACTTTATTTGCGAATAAAGCTTTATAAAAATGGTAAAATCTCTAGAATATGAGTTTATTTTGGGTAATGATATTTTAAACACGTTAAACGAAATGGACAACCCCATTGTAAGTAATTTTATTATTTTTCAATCATTATTTGTATTTAGCAACGTTAGATATTTATTACACTACTAAAAATAATTTCAGGAAGCATCAGTTTACAGCAGCATCTTTTCATGGTTGTGCTTGATGATATCAAGCCAATTTGGCGAGCCCGCTGAGCCCTTTGCTGAGTTCGAGACGGAGCTGCGGATCGAAGAGCAACCAACCGCGATTTCTCCTGGTCCCTCCTCACGATTTCTCCTGGTTCTCCTCGCGATATTTTTGGTCACCTTGTTGACCTCGTTGGCGATTTGTCGCTGGAGAAAGCGACAACCACGGGCACCATTCCTGAATCCAAGAGCGGGCAACGATCCTGGCCCTCAACCAGAAGACGACGCCTTGGCCCGAGATGACTCTGAAAGCGAAGACCAGACCGATGACAACTCCGATGATGATGATGATGACCAGGAAGAAAAAGAAGAAGAAGTAAGTCTATTTATTAATAATAATTTGACTTTTAAAATTTTTAAGGAGCCCCGAGCGCGACCTCGAAGAGGAGCAATCCCAGAGTTTTATATTGGGGAACGAGTCTGGGATATAAAAATTCAGCAATCGGCACCATCATCGTAAGTTTAGCAAAAATAATATTTTTAGCGATTTTAAACTAGAAAATTTGTTTTAAGCATCTGAGTTTTGCATTCAAATAATTTCTTAGTAATAATTATTTCAATGCACTCAATGCTTTTGACTTATTTTCTCACTCGACACTGCCAGTCATTTCCGTATTACAGTTATTTTCCTCTTTTGTGGACATTCTTTGTCCCAAATTTTCGTAAAAATGTCCACAAAAGTGGGCACGAGCCCTGAAAAAATGTCCGCGCTAGGCCGAAAAGGTTTCTCTAAGTCAATTTGATAAAACTAAGTTTTATCTATTTATGGCGATATTCAAAAGAATCGGCAACCGCTGTCAATTTTCGTAGCTAGCAGAAATCACTAACAATTATCCTTTTTTGTAGCTCAGTAGGGTGAGAGTATAATACAGTTTTATGATCCGCAGAAGCTGGAGATCATTTTGACTATTGATAACAGGGGTTGATCATGTACCTTGAGGGCATTTAGGCGCCTCCGAAGTCCGAAAATCTAGCCAACTTCGCAAATCAGAAGACACAGATGATCGCTGAGACAAATCGAGCAGCCCCTTTTAATTCTTATTTCTCAGAAAAGAGTCGACAAATGACAACTGTCGTATCTACTCCCTAAAGAACTAAAACTAATCCTTCCTAAAAGCTTTGAATCATAGTCTATAATAAACACTGTTGCAAATTTTCAGGACCCTGAGACAGGTTTCTACGCAGGCCTCTTTATTTTCCGATTAAAGTCTCACTTTATCCATTTCTCTTGCTGAAAATCCTGCAGTAGATTCAAAATATCTGCAAAATACGTTTTGCTCTTAGAAGTACTGAAATGCTCTATCGTTGTTGATTTCCTAGTCCGTTTTTATACTCTTTGGAAAGGAATCTCAACGTGTCAATGTTTCATATTTCTCAGCGCAGCTGGCGGAACAAAAAAAACTTAAACGACACTACTCCCTCAAGCTCTCATCATTTAAAAAGTACTTTGCCTCGATTCTTCAAATTCCTCATGCTCGAAATATACAAGAAATTCTTCCAAAAAGAGTTTTAATTTTTTATTTCTTATAGAGCCGGTTGTTTTCGGGGCCGTGGTAGATGCTATGAGCGGGGGAAGTGGCGGGTTTAGGAGGTGTGTATACTGAAAAAAGGGACTTTACTTAGGAGGGTATACTTAGGAGAGCTATTTCTAGTTCTGGTGGAAACAATTCGACGGTTTTCTTCAAATTTGCCAACGAATTTATTTGAACTGAATTTATTGCAAACGTCCAATCTCGAGGAAGTCTTGCAATCTCCCATCTTTAGAGCAGTCTAGTTAATCTTTTAGTTTTTGCGGATAGAAAGTTATAATTAAAGTTACTTGACCACTAAGTCTCGAATGGAGCCTTTCACGCTCGCGCCAAGAGTAGGATCATTTAAGGACCCCTCCGTCATGTGATAATGATTTTTTCAAACACGGATATCGGGTTGATCCCCTTAAGATTTTACAAATATTTCTTGATTATTTTGTAGCTCGATAGCTGCTCTAGGGCACCAGAAGGAAAACAAGCTCATAGGCTTCTTAAGGGTGTCGCAACGATAAGTTAAAGTAAAAATATTTTTCAAACATGGATATCATTATGATCACCTTAACTGATCAAAATTTTTTTATGTTGAAAATTTAGCTGAGACCCTTGTCGAGGGCACCGCATCAAGTGTATGATGATATCTTAAGGGTTTCACTAAGAAAAAAGAGTTTGAAGATTGGTGATTGGCCGAAAAATGGGCAAATTTAGCTAAAAAAAAGCCCGAAAATCGTGATTTTCAAAGTCGATTTTGAGGGTCAAAGAGTCGAAATAGAATTTTACGACAATAGAGAAAAATGATCCTCAGAACTCAGAGAATCGATTCCCGAAAATAGTCAAACATGACGGGGGGGTCCTTAAATATAAATTTGATAAATTCTCCTCAAAGAATATTTTTACTTATATCTACGAACTGGTGTAGCTTTATTTTGAGCTGGAACTCGTCCCCGGAAGCACAATAAAATAAGGATAATCGGCAGTAACATGGTATCGATAGTCGTGCCCATGCCATTTCCCGTGGCACTCATCAAGGCCCTTAATGAATGCTTAAAAGCAGCTGCGCTTTTTTCAGAAATTTTATTCGAGACTCAAAAAAGGCTCAAGAACTCTCACTGAAAACCCATAAGTTATAAAGGATGATTTCACGTGAATTCACCTTTGAAGTCAATTGTGCTCAATAATTTAACCTTACGACGACAAATGTGCCATATATGGCACAAAAATGGGATTGAGACTAGGTTCATGTTCGAGTTAAGGTTTCGGGCTGTGTTTTGGTTGGGGTTAAGGTTCGGTTTCGGGCATTCTATTGGTCAAAAGATCGCGTTAAAGTTAATGTGCCATATATGGCACAATTGTCGTCGGCGGTGAAATTCCTGTTTGTCGTCGTAGGGCAATTCACATGGTTAAAATTTCCAAAATTGTACATTTTTTTGATAGTCTTTGTTACATAATCATTTTTTGGAAATTGAGAAAACTGAGAGACGCTTCACTAGATTAGTGCTAGAACTTTCAGAAATTGCAGGAAAAAAATTTCTGTAACCTAAATTTTTGGAGTAATCTCAGGACCTGAGACTCAGGTGAAAAAGTAGCCAAAAACGCGATTTTCTGCGAGATGCTCTCCTTCTTTGGGCCGTAGCGCCAGTTGTGGTTATATTTAAAAAATCTGAGATACGCTTCACTAGATCTATGTTGAATGTACATATACATGAAAAAAATTTTGAAAAATATAAGCATGTGTCGGCGTGAGCGCCGGTCAAAAATGGCCGATTTCGGAAAAATCGTTGGGGATCCCCTTAAGGGTACGGGTGTCGGCGAGGCTCTAACTAGGGCTCAATTCCTCGGGATATAGAAGTGGTGGAAAAAACTCGCCTGCATAAGAGTAAAGATCCATCCTAGTTCTACATTTTGTCAAGAGAAAATTTGGATTTATAAAGATTTTTTGTTTAAAAATTGGCTCGAAGTCGTGATCTCGACCTAAAATGGTGAAAATGGGCCTAAAAGAGGCTTCAATTCCGAAGAAATGAGCCTTAAAACATACCTTTTTTATATTTTTATTCGAAAATTCAGACTCTTATCTTTATTCAAGGTATATCTTTTTGTCAAGAGATTTTTGAGATTGAATTACATTTCGTATAGAATTTAGCTTCCAGCCGGTCGGGCAAATGATGGGAAAAGGGGATCAAGCTAGAAAAGTTTTTCAAGCTACATCTATGAGTTACACATTTTGATTTTTTGCTCAACTGTTCCCCTGATTTCAATTTATCGAAATTGAATTTAAGTTTTTAGGGATTTGAGAATTACAACGGCGAAGAATATGTCGAGCTGGAATTTGAATACAGTCAATACAGAAGAGGCAAGAAGAATAGTCCATTGACTATATGGCGACACCGAACAAGGGTTAGCGGTTTATAATATTCATCTCTTTGAGCCAACCCTAGCGATTTACACTTTTTCTTTTGACGTTTCTTTTTCATCTTCTTTCACACTTTCTTTAACAGACAAATATATCCACCACGATCTTTCTACATTCATCTTTTTTCTAGTCCTCATCTTTTTTATCCTAAACTGTTCATTTCAATAAAATATGGAATTCCAACACTATCTTTTCACTTATTCATTCTATTTTTTCCGCAACGCTTACCAAAGAAACAGCAGGGCTTTTTATTTCTCAATTTACTTCAATTTCGTTTCATGTATGTACATATTCGCTTAGGTAACGGAAACTTACAGTAAGTGAGAATAATGAATGGTGAATCGAATGCTTTCTGGACCGAATCTAAAGCATATTCTCAGAAATACAGTTGGTGGAGACATTCAGACACGCTCTGGAAAGACAGTTCCAATTGATGGCGGCTGTATGAGTAGAAACACGAATTCATCATTCAAATAGGCCTAGGAAGAATAATATCGCCCGCTAAAAGTTAACCTTGTACGGTCCTCGAAAAGAGAGAAAACTTAAAATTGAAAATAACCGTTCATAGAAAAGAGATAGGACGATACTTTCCTAAACCTCAAAAGTGCAAACATGGAGGAGAATTGATCTTTTTTAGTCTTAGATGATTGAGCGCAAGTCCATGCGTTTAAAAGTTTAAAGTTCAAGTTATTTATTTTGATCAGAAAAAAGCTATTGAAAAAAAGGAATTTTTGGGAAGCCGAACAAGTTTTTTTGGCGAGCTGATGTTCAGAAAACACATGATACAAAATGCTGTTGATAAATAAATTGCTTTGCACAAATGCTAATACAGGCAGAGATACTGTAACAAGCAAGGTGATAGCCACGGTCACTGGAGATATGTTTTGGCAAGAGTTTGAGTGGCTCCCCTGAATGTAACTGTAACTAAAAGTTGCGGAATACTCTGTAAACGATATTGATCGTACTTCGTTTCTAATGCACAAATTTGACTACTTGTAAATTTTTCCTTTGAGGCTAAAGCTCTAGACAAAGATTAAATAGTAAAATAACGGGGGGGAAAAAAGGGGATTGCTCCAAAAAGAAACCAAAACTAATACTGTAACAGTTCAGTTGTGTATTTTCAAAAAGAACTGAAGATAAACTTGCGCAGTTGGATCGGAACAGAATTGCAAGAGAAGGCAAATCGCTAGAATTGTGAGATCTTTTCGCTTTTTTTGATAAAAAGCCTTTTCGAAGTCGATTTTTACCTCTGGTCGGGCAATGTTCGCCTGATGAGCTCTCCTGGCAATATTTCGCGCTCGTACAGTTTCCTAAAAGAACACTTTCAAGAATCGATAATCTCAAAAGCCAAACCTTGATTTTCTCGACTTCTCCCTGGTACTTTCTCCTGTCCTTCAGCGCACCCTCTCTTGCTTCTCGCATAGCAGCTAAAATAGTATCGACGGTAAAAAAGCTGAAAAGGACCCGGAAAACTCACATTCAAGGCTTCGGACACGATCAGCTGTTGCTCGAAGTCGCTTCTCTAGTTTCGGTAATTCACATCTGAGGTCTGCGTTGTCACTCACTAATTGCTTGTGCACAGTGGTAAGTTTGTTTAAATTCGTCTCTAAGAAGCCTATTCGGTGCTTTTGCGCGGTCGATCCTTCCACCAAATCGGAGTCGGTACTTTCGCCCTAGAATTTGAAAATGAAGAATGACGAGGGGAATGATTTGTACCTGAGCTTTTCTGACACGTTCTCGGAGATCCTTGACGAACATTCTTGTCAAGCTATGAAGTGTCTGCAGCATAGTTGGAAAAAACACCCGAAACTCGCATGAATCTGTTCCCATCAGCGGTGGTGCTACTGCTTGCAGCAGAAACTGGCATCAGCAAACCGTTGATAGTTGGTTCAATTTGTAACTCGTGCTGAAGGGATTGATGACTAAGTTCGTGGGGACTAGGTTCGTGAGACTAGGTTCGTGGGTTTTGAAATTTTTTTATAAGGAAAAGGGGGTGCGACTAGGTTCGTGGGACTAGGTTCGTGAAGACTAGGTTCGTGAAGACTAGGTTCGTGAAGACTAGGTTCGTGGGACTAGGTTCGTGGGACTAGGTTCGTGAAGACTAGGTTCGTGAGACTAGGTTCGTGGGACTAGGTTCGTGGGACTAGGTTCGTGGGTTGTAAAATTGGGTAAAGTTGAATGGTAAAAAATGACTTTCCCACCCCCCAAAATAAGCCGCTAGGCTCTTTAACTGAATTTCTATGTTAGCGCTGAATAACAATGGTTGCCTTAGAATAGAAACCCACGAACCTAGTCCCACGAACCTAGTCGCAACCCATTTTTCCTTATAAAAAATTTTAAAAGCCACGAACCTAGTCCCACGAACCTAGTCGCACCTCCCTTTTCCTTATAAAAAATTTCAAAACCCACGAACCTAGTCTCACGAACCTAGTCGCATCCCACTTTTCCTTATAAAAAATTTCAAAACCCACGAACCTAGTCCCACGAACCTAGTCAACCCTCCTTTTCCTTATAAAAAAATTTCAAAACCCACGAACCTAGTCCCACGAACCTAGTCGCACCCTCCTTTTCCTTATAAAAAAATTTCAAAACCCACGAACCTAGTCCCACGAACCTAGTCGCACATAATTTCTCCTTATAGAATAAAAATAATTACCAATTAAAAACCCACGAACCTAGTCCCACGAACCTAGTCGCACATATTTTTTCCTTATAGAATAAAAATTCTAACCAATCAAAAACCCCCGAACCTATATTTAGATAGCAATATTATATTATATGATCATATAATTACAATACATATATATAAATATATATAAATAAATATATACATATAAATAACACTTAATCATTATAAATAAAAATATACATATAAAATCAAAAACTCACGAACCTTGTCCCACGAACCACGTTTTCCAGCCAGCCACCCACGAACCTAGTCTCACGAACCTAGTCCCCACGAACTTAGTCATCCCACACGTGCTGAAGGTCATCATTTTAAAGGATTTTCAAGGACTACTCTTGTGAAATTGAAAAGTGGAGGAACTGGTCTCTTATTTGGCAATCTTGTATCAGGCTGACGGAGAACATCAAAGAATGTAAGCAAGCAAGCTTTGAGGGGTCAGAAATTCATCGTTAGCATAGAATATTAAAAGCAATTAAGACTGAGAATATTTGTTTAATCTGATTAGTTTTTCATTATTTGCCGCACGAATAAATTGTGCTTTTTGTCTAATCTATTTCAATAAAATCGTTTTAAATCTCTAGAATTGATTGACATTAGTTGAAAAAAAAAGTTAATTATTTTACAGAAAAGTATTCGTGACCTTATTTATTGATTTATAACTTTTTAGAATGTTGAGCTTTCAAATCATGGCGTTTTTTTGTTGCATTTTTATCACACAGCTGTTTATACTAGTTTGGAAAAATAGTAAATCATCAGCAAAATATTTTAATACCACTAAAAATATTAATTAGGAATTCTAAAGACACGATTGGCAGCTGCAGAAGAAAGAATAAGGCAACTCGGTAATTTCATGACATTTTCTATGATTAAACGAAGATCAAGAAACGCAAAATGATAACCAAGCGCAGATCCAAGAACAAGAGCAGATCGAAGAACAAGCGCAGCCAGATCAAGCTGATGCAGAGCAAGCCGAGGCACCACAGGTTCGTGTATCAACATTCTCGTCCAATTAGTATTAGAATGATTGAATTTCTATAATTAAATCTTAAAAAAGATTCGTAAAAGACCGCGATTCAGATACAGATATGGTCAATTTAGCAGTGGCCAAATAAACAGATTTTGCTCAAAAACGTAAAAAAAATTAAAATCGCAATATTTAATTCACAGTGAGTGATGATTTATAACTGATAAGGTCGCTTGGTGATAACTTATCACTGATAAGTCCTAGTCCTTGGTTCGTTTTTGGAATAATTTTTGACTGTAAGTCGTCTAATTCTTAACAAATAGCCTATTTGAAATAGGTAGCTTACCACTTCCTGGAATTTTTTTGTTCAGATTTCCTAGTGTTATTTGTGACAGATTTCCTACAGTAGGTCAAAGAGTGCACTTTAACGGTTGATTTGAAATTTTTAAACTTTCACAAATTCTTAAAACGCGTCCGTTTTTTGACATATCTCAAAATCAGAAATTTCGATGGCCCAGATCATAAGGCTGCTCGTAGGAAACATCACCATGATATTCCTCGAAGAGGGATTTTCCATCAAAATCGAAAATTTATATTTTTGCGACCATTGCAATTATTGGCTTATTTTATTATTGGCTTACATATCAAAAAGAATAATTATTTCAGATCGTTCTTCACCCATCCGCTGGGCCGATCGAGCGAGAAATCTGGGCGCGTCGAAGAGATTTTTTTTAGCTATTTGGTATTTATTTTTCTTGTATCCTTTTTCATTGTTCACATAATAAACATTTTCTTACACTATAATATAGTTTTTCTTCTTTTTTTTTTCGAAAAATGTGTAGCAAGCAAAAGAGGAAAATTGAGAAGGAGTCAAGACATCAGAAATACGGAAAGAGATATCTCAGATCGCGACGGTATCGTAGACTGATGATCGTCTTCAGAAAGTCTCATCATCCATATCTTGGTTCTAGAACACGGGGCCATGGGACGTGTTTTCATCTTTGAAGTCAGTCTTCCCAGATCAAACTCTGAGTCCAAAGCATGGATAGAGAGATTGGCAGTAATCAGAGAGCATTTACACCAGAGCCGGACATGGACGCAACACTGATCTCAAGGTGAGATAGCAAATTTTCGGAATTTAGACAACTTCAAGCTGAAATTCTAAATTTTTCGCTATGCTTTCATATTTTTTTTGCAGTGATGAAAGAGTCAACGATGGACTTTCGCCGGAGATTCTTCCATTTCGGGATAGTGTTTATCAAAATCAACATCGTCGTGTTGACGATGATGATGACGATGATCGTACTTCGCTCGGCTCAGGTGACCTCCTGATTGATGAAGATGCCCCCGTTCCTACGCTTCTGCCCGGGCGGAGAGCAAAACGCTCTCAACGGCAAAGCGCAGCAAACAACCAAAACCAAAGTGGTCCGCTTTTTCAATCAGATGATGAGAGTCGTCCGGTTCGGATCAAGCGACCGCACTCTGTAGTTCGTCGGCTTTTCCCAGCTGACGACTACTCTAACAACCAACCATCCTCCTCTCGGAGGAGTCAGGCTGGGGTGAGCATATTCAATTGCTTCTATTCAGTCAAACTTAAATTTCTTTTCCCGTGGTCACTAAATTTCAACTTATGCCCACCCAAAAACACAGGACCTTTTCACAGCTGGAACGTTTTCTGACAACAGTCCGCCGCGAAAAACTCGTCGCGCTCATTCCCGAGCGCCAGTCACCATCAACCAGTACATTCAGCGCGGAGGAAGAACTCTTTCCAGCGAAGACATCGGTTCTTCGAAAAACAAAACCCAAACTGAGGTGAATCTAGAAGCCGCAAAGAGTGTGAACCAGAGCATTTGCGGCGAAATCATCACACCAGCGGCGCAGTATCTAGATGAGCTACAGTTTTATGAGGACTCGCGATCACGACATCGGGAATACAATGAGACGCAATTCTTGCTCGGAATGAATTCTCGAATGAGAGGAACTTCTGCAGCACGGACTCCTCCTCAGCAGTATTCTCCTCAGCAATTCCGTCCTCAAGAATTTCATCACCAGGCGTATCAACCTCGGCAATACCATCCTGGCCACCATCATCCTCAGCAATTCTACCCTCAGCAGTACCATCCTCAAGCCTACTATCCTCAAGGATATCAGCCTCATCCCTACCCTCAGCAAAGCGCATATGATCCTTTTGTCGACGGAAATGGACTTAACCGACAATCTTCTTCTCAAAAGTAAGAAACATTTTGTTAAAAATCAACTGACTGAAATAATAAGCTTTGATATGAGCGAGCATTGCCAGCGCAGAAATTTGGAATCAATGACTTCTAACTTGTCTCCCATCAGATCTTCTTGGAACCGCGAGTACAGAAACAGGAGCAACGAAACCTTCACTAGAGCTCCTGATGAGAGTGCGATGTCTTTTCTCCAGGTCAGATGAAGTACTTCGAAACTGAACTCCGCAATTCGCCGGAAAAGAAAAAAGATGATCTGGATGAAAACATAGAGGAATGTCAGGAACGGTTGCTTTCACTAATCTTTATCTGAATATTTAACAAGAGATCAACTCGGAAAAGCTGAACGCGCATGAATTGGCAAATACATCTCAGGCACTGTCCATCAACCACGATGACAGTATCGAGGTGAAGAAGATGAAAATCGCTGGCGGGAAGTTGATAAAGCACATCAAGTCCCAAGGAAGCGACAATGAGTGGAAGCTAAAAGCGGAAATGGAAAATGAAGAGTTCCAAACACTTGGATCTCCAGAAACCCAACCTTGTAAGATTCTTTGTAGGAGCTAGTATAAGTAACATAAATAATTTTAGTTGATGGTAGTCCAGTTGTACCGACTCGCCGAAAGATTTTGAAAAAGAAGTCGAGTTCGAAACGGCGAGAAAGAAGTCACGCGGACATCTTCAAGAAGGCGCAAAGTTTTGAAATCAACGAAGAAAGCGCGCCTGCGCAAACTTCAAACCAATACCTAATGAACGTAAGAATTCGGAAAATTAATTAACAGAGCTGCTTAAATAATACGTTTTAGCCGGTGGATACTGCAGCTTCAAAACCGTCGGATACACTTGCAAGCTTCGATCATTCGAATCCACTGGTAATTGACTTCTCCAAACAGCTCGAAAGTAATTACTTTTCTTTAGAATTTTTCATTGGAAGAACACAGTGCTCCGGTCAATCTTCTAGGAGATGAACTGGTTGATTCAAAGGTATGGAAATATATATTCAACGAAAAAACTGACACTAAATTTAGGGACCCGAAGAAAGAAGAAATGATCGACGAAGAAGTGACGAGTTTTTAGTTCCAAAATCGACTCAGAATTCGCGCAAATCGCAGCAAGTCAGCGTGATCACTTCGCAGACCCTCTTTCCAGAAAACTCTGCTCCCTCAATCAAGACCTCGTCACAAAAACCGGCCAAGAAACGATCAGGACAACTGAAACCAGTTTACCTAAAAAGAAAATCATCTGGCCACTCAATGAAGAAGAAGATCGCATCAGAAAGTCCGAAAAAAGAGTCAGGCGCCAAGGTCGAAAAGAATCGCGAATTACAATTCGAGAAATTTCCGTCGATCGAGGAAATTTTAAACGGGGTAAATTTGAAAACCCTTTGTCAACATTGAAACACATTTTAGGCGACACTGGATCAATCCATTATTTCCAGCGCAATCGAAAGTACAGATTCAGAAGAAAAAAATATTCAGGTAGTTTTTTCGTACAAGCAACTTAGTTATAAAATTTTTAAGGATAAAAAATCACAGCCAAAAAGAATGTCACAGGCCGAGAAAGAGTGGAACAAGTTGTTTCCAGACGACAGTTTTAGACAGGCAAGCGTTTCAACAATTTAGAACTACAAAAAGTAGAGAATGTTTTTTTGTCACTTTATATTCTGAAAAAATAGCGTTTTATCTCTTCTCTTTACTAAACTAAATTTTAGGATATCGCCGCTAATTCCACGCAGCAGCCGGACAGCAGCCTCCTCTTCCCCATTGACGACGACGACAAGCCACGCAAACAATACATCGGCGCCTTCAATCCACTCGCCGACGAAAGCTTCAACACGACCATCAATAGGACGCAAGATGAAGCCAGGTTGTCGAGAGAAAATGACAAGCCATGGTCTGCGCAGCGCAAACCAGGTGAGCTTGAGCCAGCGACGAGCCAATTAGGGACCAAGAATCGGTTTTACGCAAAAAATTCCCAAAACGCTCATTTATTCTGAGAAAATATTGATAAAGAAGATGAACTCGTCAGAAATTAGAGAATCAGTAAAGCAAGAGCCTCAAGAACATGAGAATTTTTTCATTAATAATGGTAGTGATTTTTTCCGACGGTTTTTGCCCCCCGCAAGTATTTTTAAAAAATTCCCCAAATAGTTATTACTCATTATTTAGGCGGGCAATGTAAATTTGAAATTTTTAATCAGATAATTTATGTTTTCAGTAGATATAGGATAAAAACTTGAGAAACTAAAAATTCAGGAGACACGATCATCAAGCCAAAGCGTCTTCGACGAGGGGGCTCCTCGAGAATGAGTGGCCGGGATAGTGGATCTCGCGCTGTTTCGCCGGTTAAATTCGTCGGTGCAGAGCGGATTTCCAAGAAGAAAACCAGCACCAGTACTTTGAAAAATGAGAGCAGAACTAAAGAAGCCACAAGTCAACTTCGATTCCACAGAGACTCTTCTGACGAGGACGACGTCATCATTCTCAAAGCTGATGAATATTTCAGTCAGCTTTCGAAAGAGTCAGTCGCTGCTTCGTCACAATCGCCATCTTCGGCTTTGCCAAGTCCTATTCCTGTTTTTCCATCAACCAGCAATTCTGAAGACATACCAAGCACAAGCACGAGCAATGACGAGTCGCAGTCGAAAAGAAGAGGGTCAAGAAGAGCTCGTAAAACAACTCGGCCACCCTATTTTTCCAAGATTCCATTTGCAATCACACAGGGCAGCGAGATCCCTCTTCCGAAGCCGATGAAAACTGCGAACAACAAGAAAAAATCGGCTTCTAATTTGCGCGATACACGGTCAGAGACAACCTCGACATCAACAGAGCCAGCTGCACCATCGAATCAACCAGAAAACACACCTCGGGTCGTGAGGACCAACGTCATCCGAAACTACGACAGTACAGCGTCTCATGCTTCTTCTTCCAACGGGAAAAAGAAACGAAGAATCGGAATAATTAAGCTCCACGGCCGCAATTGGAATGGTAAGGAGTGGAAGAGTGAGGTTCTCCAAGCCGAAGGAACGTGGGTCGAATGTGTCGAGTGCAAAAAGTGGCGCTATCTCAAAGAATGCACAGGTAAATCAAATCTTCAGAGCTGCTCTTAATCAAATTTGAAGACCCTGCGTTATTGCCAGACTACTGGATTTGCGAAATGAACCCTGATCCCCGCAAAAAATACAACCACTGCTCGAAACCTGAGGAAAAGCCTGACCATCCGGTAAGCAATCAGTCAATGCGAAATCCTCTAAGAGTACTTATCAAGGGCGGGTCAAAATACTGGATTTACTCGGATATTCGACTAACAGTTGGCTCCATTGTTTGGATTGGAATTCATGCTCCAGGATTACCATGGCCTGCTATGGGTTTTTGGTCTGAAAAAAGTAGCTCAAATTGTAGAAAAATCACTTGAAATATGTTGGAATTAATTTTTCAAACCTTGAAAGTTGAAATTGACCAAGAAAGGGGCGAGTTTATGCGAAACAATGGCGACCACGACAGGTAAAAGAAATCCCAGGAAATGACGACCAAAATTTTAAGCGTTCACGTGACGATGATGCCTTGCGAGCTCGGCAAATTCCAGCGGCCGATCAACAAATGGGTGCCTACTTACGACATGACGCCTTTTGTCGATTACGGTCCAGACTATGTAAGGCACTATTTGCTGCAAGAATCGAAGACAGTCCGCGACAGGGTAAGCCGATTTCAATGGGTTTCTCAAATGAACTCGATTTCTAGTGGCGCGCGGCTTTTCTCTTCGCGAAGCATGCGAACATGGAGGAAAATGCAGCACTTCGTTCAGAAAAATACGGCCTCGAGTTTCAAATCATGAAATGGTCGCAAGACGAAGCTCAGCCGGGAAAGAGCGCGAAGTACACGTCTAACGAAGCCGCCATCGCCAACATTGAGAAAAGTCTCAAAATTGGAAAGAAGAAGAAGAATAAGAAGTCCAAAAAATAGGAAAAGATAAAAAAAGGTTCTTTATAAACCTGGGCTAGAAAATGCCTTTTTTCCATCAGCTGCTAGAGAGGTGGCGCTGTAGCATGAGCATCGCCCAATCAGAAATTCGATGCATTTTATCTTTACACAGAATTCTTCAAACAAAATATTGCAAGAAATGTCAAAACGATTTTAAGAAAAAAAAATGGACTGGAAAAAGAAACAAGCAAACTTTTAAAATTCTAATTGGAAAAAAGCACTTCACATGTATTCACTGTCATATACTCACTTTTTTTTATATATTCTACTGCCTTATTTATTCTTTTTTTTGATAAATAAACAAACTAAAATTACATCTTTTTAGACAATTGTTCTCTTCCTTGATCTCAGTCGGTAGATTTAGCTTTCTTTTAGAAGAAACTTCTTATCGAGAAAAATTCAGATGCTTGGCCCAAGATTGCGAATTTCTAAATTTGAAATTCGGCTAATCAAAAAATCTGTCGTAGCTAGCCCACCCTCCTGTTCAAAATCGATTCTACTATTTTCGCCATCTGTGGGTCCCTTCCTCTTCTGCGTGCTTTTCACCCAATAAAGCCTCCTTTTTGGCTCAATAAATTGCAAGTCAATTAATTATTTCGCCTAAATTAGAGCAATGCCGCGGCACAACAATTCCTCCGCTAATTAGGGTGAAATCAGCACGCAGTGGGGGAGGCGCTACCTACTACTGCATACTTTTTTTTAACCCACGGTTTTTTTTTCTTCTTTCTCATTCAGAAACGATTTCCCCGAAAACAGAGAAAAGAAAATTCTGTTATAGAGTGTTTTCGCTCTGGGCTCGGCAACCTGTGTGCTAACCCTGAGTCAGGATTTGAAAGGGCTTTATCCATTGGCAAAGCTCTTTCAAATCCTGACTCAGGGTTAGTACACAGGTTGCCGAGCTCAGCTTTTTGTCCTGTAACCCACCAAGTACTAAGTAGAGAGTTAGGTTTATTAACCCCCCGTAAAATACTTTTCTTGATGTTTTATTGGGGCCCTCTTAGTGTGTTTTTTTCGCGGCGAAAAGAAAGAGAGACAAAGTCAATTTTAGTCCATTTGGCGAATTTCTTTGGACAGTAAAGCGGAAGTATTAATACCGCCCAGAGAAGAAAGAGATATAAAATAAATATTTGAGGATAAATATTCAATTTGAAGAGCTAAAACGACGGGCACTTCTAATTGTGACAGATTTAAATTGCGAATAATCCAGTAATTATTCTATAAAATGGCAGTAAATAGAAGCGTTCTTTTCTTGTTTTTGTTTACGGGGAACAGTCAATATTTGAGCGGCGAATACTGAGAAGGTGTTACCCATTTCTGAAAAGAAATAATATCGAGTATTTGAGTTATCCACCTTCTCAGTCAGAGGGCACGAACAAAAACGACATCCTTGAGGGTGCTTGTTTAAAGGAACACACTCTTGTGCCTCGCTCTCGTTTTTCGCTGAGATGGAACATCATTTCCCCTTTGTTCTTTTCCTCGATATATTTCAAATTCAAATACAGAGATTTGCTAAATCGAAGCGTATATCACTAAGAGGAAGCGTTCATTTTCTTAATTGACCAATGGTCAATGACCATCCATTCTAAAAAGGATTTGGCATACACTGACGGCTTCGGTTATTCATTTTTACAACCATACTAGGAATCATTTTCATTCAATAATTCAAAATAATGCTCTAGTTATGGTCTTTGATAGTAGATTGGGCGATCCCTTAATTCTTAGTAATTGTCTAAAAAAGAGTTTTTAAGACTGAGTCAGGGCCCTTGACCCAAGCCCTACTCAACCCTAAAGCCTAACTCCAGTATCCAGTAAAAGATTTTTCTTCACTAATGTTTTATCAATATCTTTTCCGCTTCAAAAAAGTTGTCTTTTTACGATATGATTTCGACCTTGAAACGTCCGCTCATGATAATTTTACAAAGGATTCTGGCCAAATCCGTTTGAATAATAGAAAAACTCGAGCATAAAGAAGCCACTCGGTATTTGCGCATGGAAAGACAGTGGGCCCCGTCCAAACACTTTATTTTTTCTTCACTGTTACAAAAAAAAATCGTACCGGATGGAAAATATTTGCCCAGCGAAGGAAAAAAGAAAGCGGACCCTCCCACTCTCCTTTTTTTCGCTCGCAGCTGGAGAGAACTCTTTTTATAAGGACTTTGCCCCGAAAGGCAACAATGCATATATTTGCCCTTCGCGTTATTGTGCTTACTGACGTTTTTCAACAGTCATTTTCTCATGATTCACGAGACCTGTATGTGTATGTGCACCATCATCCCAGACTCGGGTATATAAACCGTGGATTATTTTTTCAGATACTCGAAACTTTGAAAGAGAATATCCGGGAAATTATCGAAATCAAAACTACTGAAGATCAATCGAGATGACTACTGTCGAGCAACTTATTGAGCAAACGAAGAACCTTGAAATTCAAGAGAACAGGGATGAAGATATTCACGACGCGGCAGAAGCATTTATCAAAATTGACAGGTTGGAATCATGGACGACTAACATATAAAAATCTTGTTCTTCAGAGACAACAGCGGAGAAATAGACGTATCTGAGCTGCGCCAGGCCTTCAACGACGCTGGCCACAAAATCACAGGTCACGAGGTCAGAGACTTGCTTTCCAAATGGCAGCGCGCTTCCCCGACAGCAATCACATGGGCTGAATTCGTCGTGAAATTTGTTCAGCTCCGGCACCAAGGGTTCGTTCGCCTTTTATTTGCAGATTCGTTTGTAAAGTTCATTACAGGGATATTGGGCGGACGTTTGCTGAGAACACAAAGGAGGCCAAGGGCGTCAATAGAATCGGCTCAGTGACCAAGTCCTACCACTCGTATCCAGTTGAAGAAAGAGTCGGATTTGCAGATTGGTGCAATCGGGTCCTTGGAAAAGACAAGGATCTCAAACATTTACTGGTAAGAACAAACTGAACTTCTCACGTATTTTTCTCACGCGGGTCCAACCTGGGAACCCAGGTGGAGGTGTGAGAATAATGGGTTTTCGTCGTGGGTATGCTGGTTTGTGATTGGCTCAGGGTGAGAAAACAGGCTTCTTATTGGCTGAAAAACCCATAAGCCCCATATTTAACATATAAATTAAGAAAATGACTATTGATCGAACCTTAGCTCTTCAGAAAACCGAGCTTTTCGAATTTCAATCACTCACTCTGCTAGAAAATCAAAATATGAGCCTAATGCGGGACTCGAACCCGCGACCGTTGGATTAAAAGTCCAACGCTCTACCGACTGAGCTAACCAGGCCCTGCACCTCCACCGCCAAGAGCACTATATATTTGATCCGCCAGCGCTGCTTGTTACAGTCACTTATCGCTTCATTCAGCCACTTTCGATCGAAAATGAAGATCTCTTCGAAAAATGCAAAGACGGAATTCTCCTTTGCAAGCTAATCAACTCGGCCGTGCCCGACACGATTGATGAACGCTCAATCAACAAGCCAAAGCCTGGGAAAGACTCGGTCGACACTTTCCGACAAACAGAAAACTGCAATTTAGCGATCCAATCTGCAATTTCCATCGGCGCAACCGTCGTCAATGTCGGCGCCCAGGACATCATGGAAGGCAAGGGACATCTGATCTTGGGGTAATCATCAGTTTTCAAACCTCTTTCTTATGAATAATTTCAGCTTGATCTGGCAGATCATTGAAATCGGACTCATGGCTGGTGTTTCTCTCGAGCAAAATCCCCACATCGCGGCTCTCCTTGAAGAGGTAATGATAATCCCATTTGAGTAAAAATAATCCTCAAAATTAAGGATGAAGAACTCAGCGATCTGCAGCGACTCGGACCAGAGGGAATTCTTCTTCGTTGGTTCAACTTCCATCTTCGAAATGACAAGTCTTACGAAGGACTGCCGCTCATCACCAATTTCAAGAAAGACTTGGCCGGTAAAACAAGCAATAATTGCTCAAAAGAATGATTTCCTCTTCAGATTCTATTGCTTACATCCATCTGCTGAGCCAGATTCAACCCGAAGATCACATGCCCAGAATCAGCTCCGACCACAGCGCTAACAGCGACCTCGAGCGAGCGGAAAAGATGCTCAAGCTTGCCGAACAGCTCGAGTGCCGAGCTTTCCTGACTCCACGCGACGTTGTCAACAAGAAAGAAAAATTAAACCTGGCTTTCATCGCGAATCTCTTCAACAATCATCCTGCCCTCGTCGCTGAAAACATTGCAATCATCAACGAGACCAGGGAGGAGAAAACGTAAGTCCGCCTCTTGTTGAACAAAAACTGACTTGGAGATTTTTAAAGTTATCGAAATTGGATGAACTCGCTTGGAGCCAACCCACGAATCATCAGAATTTACAACGATATCAGAAGCGGTGTTGCTCTTTACGATGTTATGAAGAAAATTGACCCTAATATCGCTGGGAAATACAAGGTCGATAGAAACTTCAAGGTAACGCTTCTATTCTCCGTCAATTGTTACCTGATTATTTCAGTCTTTTACTGCGATGATGAGCAAGATCGGAAACTGCCAGCGAGTCGTGGATATGGGCAAAGAGATGGGATTCAAATTGACCGGAATCGAGGGAAAAGACATTTACGACGAGCATAAAACATTCGTCCAGGCGCTTCTTTGGCAAATGATGCGAGCATACACGACCAAGGTTCTGCAAGAACTGGGCGATGGAAAACCCGTCTCCGACGCGGACATCCTCAAATGGGTCAACGAAAAGTTGCCTCAAGAGCACCAAGTTTCTTCCTTCAAAGACCAGAACATCTCGACTTCTCTTCCCATCTACAGATTGATCAACGCCATCGTCCCTGGAACAATCGACTTCTCCGTCGTCAACACTTCCCGTCCCGACATGATGAAGGAGGAAGACAAGTACAGCAACGCTCGTTACGCTCTATCCCAAGCTCGAAAATTGGGAGCCACTGTCTACGCGCTGCCAGACGACATCATCGAGGTCAAACAAAAAATGCTCGTCACACTCTTCGCCGCGCTCATGGTCCTCGACACGACCAAAAACTGAGAGAAAGAAAGAGGCAACTTACTGTACAAACTTCCTGCTCAAGCAATCAATCTTTCAATTTCGTTGCTGTAAATAATAAAAAAGAAAAACAACCAACCAAAACTATTACCAGACTCGGCAACCTATCTTCAGATCAGCGAAAGAAAAGATGTCTTGAATGATGCCTGAAATCAAGGAAGAAAGGAAGAGACATTAATGAGCCTGCCTAAAACCCTGACTCAGGTTTGGGTACAGGAGGGGACCTGTCAAACAGGTTGCCGAGCAATTATAATTACAAAAAAATTGGTTTTATTTGACCAGGAATGACCAGCATTGTTTTAAACGGTTACGAGTAACAAATATGATGATAGTGCAGTAACTTGTGACACACTAGTTTATTTTGTTTGTTTGTATTTTTTGTTTTTAACACGCTCGCTACATGTGATGAGACGGTAACCTTAAATGTTAAAAAAAGTCAGGGAGGAAAGTCTTTTTTTATAAGCACAATCTAAAAGGGTGAATCTCTCTCAAATGGCATAAATCATGGTAAATCTCAAATAGTAATACCGACATCGTGACTTCAGTGGGAGAAGCATTCGCGCGGTTTTGGTGATTGAGGACCCCTTAAGATTGTTTTTAATTGCTTCAAATTGCGCGTGAAAATTAATAAATCTAACAATAATGGAACTCTTACCTTGCGAAAGAAAGGTAATTAATTTTTTTTATCATTGATGATTGCACATTTATTTCGCAAAGTAGGGAAAGTTAGAAAGAAATACATTTTTAAAAAATAAATTTGAGAATTTTTCATAATCGCAATTACCTTCTCTGTTCATGAAAGGCTAGTAGTGGAAGAGCATTTTATCAGTAGGGTGTGAATCTCGAGCGTTTCGCTGGAAGTAGGATTGTTACGTTTTTATTCAATCGAAAGTGCTAACCTGAGCCGGTACTGCTTTCCTCTGGAGGTGGTGGAGGGTTGCCACTGGCTGTGGCGCCGCTTGGGTCCATCGTTGATGGATCCATTCCACCCATCATCATCATCATTTGCATCATTTGGTTCTGGTCACCGCCCGCCATCTGTTCCATCATTGTGTTAAACTGCTTCATCATCTTCTTCATTTGCCTGAATTAGAAATTACAGATCATATAAATCCACGGACTTCCTCAAAATAGCGACTCTATCGACAAAAGTCGTCCTTCGCTTTTTGATTGGCCGAGAAAACAAATCATGGCTTCTGATTCGATAGGAAAACCCCAGAGTCCCAGCTGTTTTATGGTCTTACAGTAAGAGGCTTACTTGTTCATTTGTTTCTGGCTCATTCCTTCCATTCCGGTCATCATATTGAACGCAGGATTCTGTCCCATCGCCGATTGCGAATTTCCCCCTGCGACGAACATATCATTTTCAGCCATTTTACTCCAGTCCGTTTTTTGCCAGTCTTCGCCGGTATATCCAACGCCGGCAGTCGGATCGTACCCGTCCGAATACCCGGATACGTAAGAACTCTATTCATTACACGATCAGTAGACGCTTACAGTGGCTGTAACTGTATTACCTGTTGCGTGCCAGCATTATTTTTCGATTTGTCTTGAGGTACTGCTGCTTTGCATTCGATTCTAGCGCCGTTGGGCAGTGTTAGCCACCTGAAATTGAAAGAAATGAGCCCAAAAGTGGGGATTGAGCCTAATCACCTTTGGGTGACAATCTTGGCGACTATTCCGGGGTCCTTGAAGGTGATAAACGCAAAGCCCTTTGGCATGCCTGTGTTCATATCACGTGGTCGCTCGACGGCATCAACCTAAAATGATTTTTTGAAGAGTAGACCCTAGAAAAACCACGCCTTTCCATTTTACGAGATGAATTCTAAGCTATTTTTAGCTAATTTTGGAAAACTAACAAATCCGGTATTAAAATTAAAGCCTCGGTTAAAACAACTCAAGAATAAAAAAACCAAAGTCCCCAAATGTTCTTTTTCATAAATGGAACATCCCAGCTGGGCGTCCAAGACACTGTGGCCGAGTGGTTAAGGCGTTGGACTGCTAATCCAATGTGCTCTGCACGCGTGGGTTCGAATCCCATCGGTGTCGTTTTGTAAATTTTTTTTTACTCAAAATTTCAACATTTTCCAACCGAATTCGTTGGTTTTTTGATGGTTTAACGCTAAAACTGTCAAAAAAGCCAATAAAATAAGCCGTTATTACGACGATTTTGGTTGTTTTAAGACTAAAAACCATTGAAACCGCAGGTTTTTTGGTCTTTTTTCGCACAAAACCATCAAAAATCAAGGGAAAGACCAATTTAAAAATGAACGGAACTGACCATTCCGTAGGTAGTAAAGAAGTCGGCAAGCATGCCATCGGAGAAGTCGGATGGAACGCCGCCGCAGAAGAGTTTGTCGTCGCCGTTTTTCGTCTTGAGGTGTTGTCTCTTCGCGTCCACCCTTTTTCCGTCGATCGAATGAGGCAGGTTCTTGATGACATTGTCGACGGAGTGCGTCGATTCGAAGACGATGAAGCCGAAGCCGCGCGATTCACCCGAATCCGGATCAACCTAAACAGTCAGCCCCGGGTTAACTACTCCCGGCCCTACTTTGACTTGGCAATATTTAATCGGCCCGTACGCCGAAAAGTACTCTTGCAGTCTTTCGGTCGTCGTTGTCCGATCGAGCCCGCCGACGAAGATCTTGTAATCGGCGTCTGGGTCTTCTCGGTCGCGGTGGAATCCGCCTCCGCCTCCAAATCGTCCTCCACCATCGTTGTCGTATTGATTTCGGCCTCCGGAATAGCCGCCCGGTCCGTTTCCGCCGGAACCGACAAAGGAGCCGTTGTAGGAGTCTCTGTAGAAGGGACTTTTCAAATATTGTTGTGGATTAGAAACGAAGGGTAAAAGTAAATGTCGAATATGAAAACCATAAGTTAATCTCAAATTAGAAAATAGATTTTAAAGACTATGCGACGAGCGTCGACAAAATACAAGCATGATTATTTTTCTTTATGAAATAGTACGGCCCTTCATTTCTTTACCGAATTAAAAAAAGCCCGTTTCCTATTATATCTCGACGAATTGTCCCTATCATCTCCTCCCTCTCTCGACTGCGCGGATCCAGCAGCATCCCTATAATCTGGACCAGCACCACTCGCCCCGACGTATCCTCCAGATCCTCCGCCCCCACCGCCGCCTCTCCCACTCCAGCTGGATCCATGGTCTCTGTCTTCTAGGGCGAGCCGGGCTGGCCTTCGCCCCAAGCCGAGATCTCGATACTCTTGTCCTCCAGCGGCGATGATTTGTTGCGATCCTTTCGGGGCCACGAAATGCTGAAGAATGATTTAAACATGAAATGCAGTAAGGGACATTTACCTTAATATTTTTAGCATTTGGGTCTTCGGGAGGAAGCTTTCCTTCCTCCCTAAACTTGGCCGCCTTCGCCCTCGCTTCGGCAAGAGCTTTTTTAAAGGCATCTTGATCAGCCATTCTTAAATTCGGAGGAAGAGAATTTCAAATTTATTTTTCTGGGCATTTTTGAAACATTCATGTCAGGCAATTACGAATGCGTCAATTATTGACGACAAAGAGAAAAGCGGATCCGGAAAAAATCGTCGCATTCACTCTCCATGTGAAAAAAAGAGGAAGAAGAATAGAAAAAAGGATCATGGCGATGTCGGGTTTACATCCAGCTTTTATAGAGAAATTCATGTTGATGGCAATGTCCAATTTGATGAGAAAGGTTGAGAACAAACGAATGGAAATGAAAAAGAGAGAAAAAAGGGTTGAGTTAATTTTTGTTCTAGAAAGAAGCAGAAGCCATTGCAAAGATAGAAGCAAATGCAGTTGAAAATTCGATTCCTCCGGAAGTTGGGGGAGTGGAGAGTAATACTGCTTCGGTTCTTTATAATCAGGAACCGGCGACAAACTCGACGATCACTGATTTGGGGGCGAACTTCACTGAAGCGTTGAGCATGGCCGATTTGACTACTGTCGCGAAAATGACTACTGGCCTTGATTGGAAAGGTTAGAATAAGGAGTCTATGGATAAGGTTAGGGTTAGGACACAGACTTTTCAAACAATTGATATTGATGGTATACCCTTAATTCATTCTAAAACCGATTGGCTGGAAAGATAGTTTGATAATTCAACTGGATTTCAATGGACCGAAAAATTGCTCGTACCGCGACAAGGGGTTAAAATTTTTAACTGATTTCTAGCGCGACTGGTGCTCATAATCGTCTTTTCAATAGTTGGCGCAGTGCTCATCCTGGCAGTAGCTGCTTATGGTAAAAATAAACTGATGATAATTTACAATATTGATATTAACTTTTATTATTAAAGTTGTATGAACAGCATTTTTTCAAACAGTAACTTGAAATTTAGTTAAATTGTTTCTAAGGGCTGACGAAGTGTCGCAAGCAAAACGAGTGGGACTTGCCCCAATCGACGGATTTTTACAGACCGAGGTTGGTAATTTTTTCTTTTGATAAATTGGCGATAAACGGCAGATAAAATTGCACAAAATGTAAATGCGTGTTTTGTTTAAATGAGTTTTAGGTATGCAGCAAAACCGGCGTTCCAGGATGTTCCGACTTCGTTTGCCACACTGTCTAACATGGAACACGATTCCACTGGGGTCGATAATGAAGTGCGACTCTGAATAAAACGATGTTTACTGCGCTCAAAAAAGAATACTCGAATCAATAAATACGATGCGTTGGTTAGATAATACATTATTAGGGTTGAATTAGCAAAGACCATAATGGCAATTTGGCTTCGAGAAAAAGAATTCTCGATAGATGTGGTGGGGTTGTTGAAATGTAAATCAAAATCGAAAATAAGTTATGCGCCGAAAACGTTGATGAGCAGAAAAACGAGAATAACTGATTAAGTTTGAACTAAAGCCTATATCTTCACTTACTAAAAGCAGTCTGTTGTTGACTACGCCTTGCCCATGAAAACCCTCTCCGACGGAATGACCGTCACTTCTTCCAGCAAAAGAACATCATTGATCACTCCTTCCTCTTCCATTCCAAGCACACGCTTCACTGCACCGTGAGCTTTTTTCCGAGGTCGTCAGATTGATCAAAAAACAATAACGCTTTCAATTATCAATGATTCGTAGAAATTATTAATTGGACCTTTCCTAGTGCGCGTAGTAACGTCTGTGCGATCATGCAAATTTGGTCTTGTTCTTCGAGAGAAAGCGTCGTGTGGATTCTGTAGGGGCCGGAAGCGCAGGGATCGGTTAGACCAACTGAGTAGGGGTTAGGTTAGGGTTAGAGCTCGAAGGCTTACCAGAGCCAGGGAGGAAGATGCCACCAGCGAGGACTTGAATCAATCTTCTGAAAGCTTTTGGAAGAGGGAGTGATTCTCCAAGAGGATTTGAGAGAACCGCGTGGTGGCACAGCAAATCGATCATCCAGGGCGAGAGAGCGTCCATTTCTCTGTAGCGCGACTTGAGATCTTTGACTATTCTGACGAGCGTTCTGATCGTGTTGTCACTCGCCTCGATTTCGAACCAATTCGCATGTTTGACCGCTTCTACCGCTTTGGAAACGTGCTTCTTTTCCAAGTGCAGTCCTGGCTCGAGTTTGTTCAAGTTCTCCGGCGCTGTACCGACCATCACTCGGACAGAGCAATCCGTCGACGAAATTTCAAAACCGTTTTCATTTGGGAGAAGTGTAACTGGCGTGTAACCGGCGATAGCACGCATTTCTTCGAGCACACGGCGCGATAATCGCTGCACGACTTCGTGAGTCGGAAGCGATCGCAATTGAGCGACGACATCGGCCGTTACTGATCCGTTGAGCATCGTTCCTTTCTTGAAGCTTCCCACTACTTTGACGTCTTCGATTCCAGGGCATCCTAGGTGGATTTTACTATTTATTCCTTCTCATTTAGGATTGATTAAGGAGAGACCGTAATTGCTACTTCACTTTGAGAAAAATGTGTATGAACGAGTACAGCTACCGTTGATAAAATGATTTGCTACTAGGACCACGGTCAGAAAAATGGGGTCGCTCATCGTATAAAATTAAGATCTCTAGGATCGAATATTTATTCAATAAATAATCTCTCGAGGCTACAAGACAGCCTCGGACTATAACACTCATTCGTCTACCTTCTCCAGGGTTGACGATCAACTCTTCCAGCGCAGAACAAACCCTGTTGGCGAGCAAGGCGAGTTCCCGGCAAAGCGTTTCGGTGGGAAGCAAGTCGTCGTTCTTTTGAATGAGACATTCTTCGAGATGGAGATCACGCGCGGCTTCGCACTCGGGATCAACAGCCATTGGAAAACTATCCGGACTCATGTAAAAGTCAAAAGGAATATGAGGAATAAAGGCTTGTGGCCGTGGTCCACGAGGTCCCTGATTACGAGGAGGCGCTGGGCCGCGGAATTCCGGGCGAAAACCCGGTCGGAACTTCATTTCTTGCCCCGGTACTGTCATTCTTAGAAAACAAGATGCACTCTTATTTCCGTCTTGTGGAAATATTGTAAATAATTTATTATCCTAGTTTGGTTTTGGTAGATAATCACAGAGAGAGAGAAAGAGTTATTGAGACTATTGCTTCTCAAGCAGTAGCTTTTCTTCGTTCTCCTTTGACTTTTCTGCGATTAAGCGGCCCACTTCATCTAAAGAAGCTACTGTAAGAAGGGCAGCACTTCTAGTTTTTCAAGAAGGAAGAATGCTTCTTACCGTGCATTTCCATATATTTGAGAGAGCATCGATCGACACACACCGATTCGGCCTTATTCATTTCTCCTTCTTTGTAATTTTGCGCTAGAATTATCGATTAGCTCAGAAAAGCGGATTGGATTGCTTACCAATGCATTTGTAGTGGCAGGAATCGACCATTTTGTTGAACATATCAGCCATGGCCTCCGCCTCCAACTGTTGAGCCAAGTCCGCCATTTTTCTCTGAACACAATGGATGGATCAGATTCTTGATAGAAGGGGCTTTTTCTTCATCGCGTATATACATTTTGAGAACGGTTTCAATTTTTTAATTAATAGAGACGGCTTCAGAAATGACGCTACAGACGAGCTTGTTCCTCAGCCATTTCGTTGAGAATCGGCCCAATTTTCTGGTGAATATTCATAAACTAAATGCATGTTAGTTACAGTTCCCCTAACTGGCTATTTTTGTACTTTTATTACGCATTCGTCGGCGCAGATCGACTCCGGCCGAGTCATTTCGCCAGTTGAATAATTGCCGCGAATGCAGCGTGTGAAGCACAAGTCCGTGATTTTCTGGAAAAGATCTCGCATCCCTTCCAGCTCTGCCAATTGCATTTTCGCCTCAAAGTCCGCCATTCTTTCAGTCTAAACGAAAAACGCCATCAGGAGGGTTAGAGAGGAGCGCTGTCGTCGGTGTCCTCATGATAATAAGTTAACTGAAACTTTTTCTTCTTTGCCACGAGTGCTAGGTTTTCTTCCTTGGTCCTCTTCAGCTTTCGTGGTACTGCTTTTTTCTTTTTCTCCTGTCCTAAGTTAATTTTAAGAATTTCATTTGAGTATTATTAGGATTTAAGCGAAAGAAGACAAGCGATTTCGACAATAATTTTTCATAGAAATAGACATAAATTTGTTCAATTTTATTCGTAGAAATAGTTGAAGAAAATCTTGATGACTCAGAATCATTTAACATAACATATATTATATAAATACTAGGACAATCACGACCTACATGGAATTTTCAAGTAGAGGCTATCATTTTCTTTGAGTAAAGATTTTCTGAAATGCTCGGTTTTATTTTGACAAAAAGGGCGCCACTAGTGTTAATCAGCTGTTTAGTCCAGCGGTCGATCATTATCAATTATCTTTTCTAGTTATCTACTCCATTCACATGAATATTTGAACAAACCAGTACCTTTTAGGGCACTTTTCGGCGAGTCAAAGGCCTTTTACTTCTTGAAAACAACCATCAAAAAAGCCGATACTCTCTATTCTAGCGTTTGATGATTTCAATATTGTTTTACCTTGTCCTCTATCCCGATGAAGCAAGCCCCGAATCTTCAGCGGCGGCGGATTTTTCGGCGGGTTGGCTTCTAAAGCTGGCAGTATTGTGATCTTCAAATGCTGCATCACGAACCGTTTGATGGTTTCGATCTGTTCGTCGGTGGGGTACTCGTGCCACTGCTTCAGCAAGAAATTCTCGAGCACTTTCGGGAAACGAGCGAGAATGCGCGTCCACGAAGAATGTTTCTTATTTTGCTCGACGACGTTCAACATCCAGTATTTGAAAGCAGTCAGTGTCGGCTCGGTAAGCACCTTCTTCGTAAAGTTGTTGTCGCCTTTTTCGCCCCAGAAGATGTTAATAGAAAGTCCGTGCGACAGAGCAGAAACTTGATGCCACCAAAGAGCTGGAATGTAAAGAAGATCGCCGGGGCGGATTGTGGCGAAATGACAAGTTATGTTTTTGAGGTTTTCTATCTGGGCAGGGGTTGGGTTTTCCAAGTCGACGCTGTCTAGAGCTCCAAAAAGGACGATTATAGATCGAGAGACTCGGCATTCCGTACAGAAAACCTGGGTCAGGTTCTAAAGAGTCATAAATTATAGGACTCCTAATGATCATCTTAATCTCAGTAGCTCTTTCCTTGATTGGACAGTTCTTCCCATAGATCCAAGTGGATTGGGCTCGAGCTCCTTCCAAAACTCATTCGAAATGAGCCGAACAGTCTTCTCGCCTTCCAAAATCATCAAACAACCTTCATCCGGATCAACATGCGTGTACTCGTAGTGGTCTTTTCTCGCAAACCAAAGAAACGGACCTGCGTGGATTTTGTTCTTTTCGACGTAGGGAGGTACGCAGTGACAATGCGCGATGTCGGGAAAGGCGCGTTTTATGTTTTGGGCTGCGAGGTAGCGGCTTTCTTTGGCTTCATCAATTTGTATTTTTGAATGAAAAATGAATTGGATAATATATACTCAACGACAGATAAAATAATCAGATTCATTTTAGGGTAATTGGAGTAATAAATTAAGATTGATTCAGTAATAAAGGGACTACAGTACTTTTGCCCTGAACGTGAGTCAAGTGAAAGTGAAGATTCATTTCAAAATTTCAACTAAGGGTACAAGTCAAGATTTCAAAGGAAACGCTTCATTTTATAAATCAAAATTTCAATAAATGAAAATTAACAATGTCGGAAAAATGGATTTCCGGTTTTGCTAGAAAAACAAAGAGAAAAGGCTATCATTTTCTGAATATGATAATTCCAGATTTTGAAATTGCTTTTATATCGAAAAAGGGCGCCACGAGCCTTTTTTTCTAGTTACAGCTGGCTAGTCCGGCTGTTGGTATCTTATCAATTATCTACCTTATCTACTTTTTAATCTACTGAGTAAAATTGACCAGCTCCTTTCAGATCGTTTGTGTCCAGTCTTGAGGTCTTCAATGTACTCTCCAACTGTAGTTTCGTGAATACAGTACTTCGTTCCTTTTCGGTAACTCTCCAAGTTCGTCTTTCCTCTGCATTGAACCTTGCAGCTTCCAATATTTCTTTTAAGAAAATCCAAGTCCCAGGCTCGACAGTCGAGCTTTGCCAATGCGCCTTCGATTATTACTGGAACGTTTTTGTGAACATATTCGGCTAAATACTGAATAAACTTTTATACCCGAAAAAGAGAATATTTCTAATACCGCGTAAATCCGAAAAGCCGCTTGCGGCTTCGAGCAAAATAACCCATAGCGCGGCTTTTCTGATTTTTCAGTCGAAGCCCCATCGAAAAGCCGCATGCGGCTCCGAGCGAAAATGAACTCAGAAAAGCCGCGCCTTGCGTGCGATAAATTTTCTATTACTTTAAGCCGCAAGCAGCTTTCCGATAATAATATTATAAAGCCGCGGAAACCTAGAAATTGAACTATCAAAAATACAGATATTGAAATTAATTCTTACTGCGGAAATCTTCTATAGGTAAATCTGCTGACTTGATTCGTTTTATTTCTAAGTTCTCTTTCGCCCACTGGAGCATCCCTGACTGTATTTTGGGATTTTCTTCGACTCCTCTTTCTTCAGCAAGTTCTTCTTCTTTAGTTCTCGAGCGTTCTGCGAGCAGCCAATCAGCGCGCGCGCCAATTTTGAGAGAATCAGAAATCAGCTCCGAAGAACAAGAAACTTCAAAAGCGCCGCTTCAGAGAAAGAATCAAATCAAAGAACGGAGAAAAATCAAGAAAAGGAAGCAAAAGAAACGCTAGAATAGAAAAAAAAATAGAAGAAAATGCAATCTACTCACAGGGGCCAGTTGATGCTTGGTCAGTTGCCGGATGAATTTCTTAGATCCAATGTGTAAGTAAACGGTTTTTATTCACAGTTCATCGAACGGCTATGGTGTACTGAATTTCTTTGTGATTCATCTCATAAATAATATTTTTCGAAAAAGGAACAGATTATAGTAGAAATAACACTTAGAGATAATAATCAGACAAATATCTTGTTAGATTTCGGTTAAGAGTACTCAATCCTTGGGCTATCATTTCATATGAGCATAGATTTTCTGCAATGATCGTTTTTATTTCAAGAAAAAGGGCGCCACAATTTTCACAGCAGCTGAATCCGGCTGTTGATTACTATCAATTATCTACTTTATCTTCTCATTGCATAGAATTCAATTTTCTACAATCATCTCTGAGTTTTAAATTTACTGCTATAGGCACACTGAATTAACCCTTGCTCTTTATAGTCAACTGCAGCGAGAACAAGGAGAACGAGCTTCAGTCCGCGCCGCAGAAGCACTAGCAACCCAAGAAGCTTCCCGAGGATCAGCTACTCCCGTCGCTGGCGCCAGTCCTGGTCAGTTTCCAAGCCATGTTCCCTACGTTACTGTGGGTCGCCTGAGCGTGACAGTAGTCGAAGCGCGCCTGGCGAAGAGTTACTCGATGTTGGGAATCACGAGAATGGACCCTTACTGTCGAATCCGCGTCGGCCACAATGTCTACGAAACGGAAACGAGCCACAACGGAGGAAAAAACCCAATGTGGGGCAAAATCCTCTACGGTAAATGTCAATCTGAATGTAGGAAAAGTAACCTTTGCATTTCAGCGACGCTTCCAAATGGAGTCGACAGCTTCACAGTGGAAATCTTCGACGAAAAAAGCTTCACCAAAGACGAACGAGTGGCCTACGCAACGATTCCTATTCCACCGCGAGTTTTCGATGGAGAAACTGTCAACGAGTTTTACAATTTATCTGGAAAGCAAGGCCTCGATCAGGAGGGACAAGGAACGGATAACAGCATTATGAGATCAACAGAGTCAGCTTTTATTTCAATTACAGAGGTGGTTTAGAATATTGAATAGCTCCATCAAGCGACCTGATTAGTCAACCTCAAAGCTAGAAACAAGGTTCTTGGCTCGACCAGTCAGTGCGCTTGATGGACGTGTTCGTATTCGTGAGACACCTCTGTAATAGATAGAAAAAGTCATTTTACCGAAAAATTATTGCTAACATACCGCAATAGGTAGCCGTCTACGGACTATTTTCATCATTTGCTATCCTGCCAAAGTAAATTTGATCCTCTCCTACAACAAATACCAGCAACCAATGTTCAACCAACCCTACGAACAAGCCATCATCAGTCAGTCCTTTCAAACCGCTCAGCAAGCACCTCCGCGTCCGGCCATCACCGAAAGTGTAATCAGCAATTATCCGAAATCCCTTTGAACCCTTCCAATTTTAGGATATCAATCAAATTCACGAAATGTTTCCAACGACCGACAAATCCGTCATCAAAACAGTGCTTACTGCTAATAACGGCAACAAGGTAAAATTACAAAAAAATATAAAAATAAAAAAAACTTGAGTAAAACCGAGAAGCCGCTTGCGGCTTCGAGTTAAATTAAAATTAGCCGCGCTTGCGCGGCTTTTTATTCTTACATACCGGAAGCCAAAATCGGCTTATTCTTATTTAAAAATATATTAAACTTATCAAAAAGAATGGAAAAGCCGCGAAAATGCAGCTTATTTTTTCATTCACTCGAAGCCGCAAGCGGCTTCTCGCTTTCCAATAAAATTAACTCAAATTTAAGGACGCCGCCATCGAAAGCCTTCTTCAAATGCAATAATTCCACCGTTCTGTATCTGCTGATCCTTCTTCTATTTCTTCTTTCGACTACTTTTTATCTATCTTATTCAATTAAATTCCGATTGATTCAAAACTCCCAATTTCTTTCTTTCGAAAAAAAGACGGAAAATCAAGTTCATCTTAGATAGAAAAGGTCCCGCGGGTTGAAAGTTCAACAAAGAGTGATTTTCGTTACTTTTTCTTTTGCTTTCCTCTTTGTTGGTACTTTTCCAAAATAGGTGGAAAACAAGGGGCGGTAGAGTTCGCCCAGCGGTGCCTATAGTCGGCTCGATTTTGCATTCTCAAAAACAATTTTTTTCTGAAAAAAACACCGACAAAACTGATTTTGGAACCCAAAAGAGCTGGACGAAAAATACATCCAGTCGCTTTTCGCCCGTTTTTTTGAATATTTTTTACGAATTTTCACCGCCACTCGCTACATTACTCGTTTTTCCCGCACTACTACTATTTTGTTTTTGATATTTTTTTATAATCGTTACGAATGTTTGCAGTCAAAGAAGCCATCCAGAGGTACTCAGAGAATTTTTTCCGTTTTTACTAGTTTCTTACTCTTTTTTGCTTCTAGTATCAGGAAGGATTGAGGAAGAAGAAAGAAGGAAAAAGCGACCGATAAGCCGCTTGCGGCTTCGAGAGAATATAAGTTGAAAAAGCCGCACCTATATTTTCTTTTACTCGAAGCTGCAAGCGGCTTCTCGGTCGCTCTTTCCTTCTTTTTTCTTCCTCGACCCTTCTTGATACCAGATTTTCTACTCTAGAACCAAGAAGAGAGTAGCATGATCAATTGCGAGTTGGTTCATCCTTTTTTGGACCTTCAGATGTTCCAGGAAGAATTTTTAGCCCACAAAATTTTTTTTTCGATATCAACTATGCTACTTGTCGTAAAAGTTGCTTTGTAGAGAAGTCGATGAAGACGCTGATGAGGCCGGTCGACCGGTCGATGCTCCAGATGATCGCCGCGACTCCGGTTACGCGGACGAGGAGGAGAATCTCGGATCATCAGACGATTATATCACTAAACACCACAAAAGACGCCAGGGTATAAGGCCATTGATTAGTATGAAAGGTAAGGCTTTTGAGAAAGAGCTCTTGACTGATTGTGAGCACAGATGTAAGAAGTTCGGAGGTTGGAGAAGGAAATGTGTGTAAACTGGTCGAGGAGCTGAGGAAGCAGTATCCCGAGCTGCCAGTTGCAAAAAGAAGCAGAAGACAAGCAAGCATATGTTCAACTCTAAATGCTATAGAATCTGAAAGATTAAATTCAATCAACCCTGAACGCAAAAGGTAAACCAAACTCTATTCGTTTGATTATTGACTATCTATATTTAGTACATTCGAAACTATCGACTCTCTGGAACTGGCCAAAGACTACATTAACACAAAACTAGTTTCGCAAGTGACGACGACGGATCATGGTCGGCCCAGAGCGTCGACTGTGACCTCGGCGCACGCCTCAACGCCCGCGCTCTTTCGGCGTCTGTCGGTCAACACTCCTTATATACCGGAGACGACGAGGGAACGGGCGAAGAGCACGGAAGCAGACACCGACCAGCTCATTCTCTCCATAAATCAACTCAAGACCTTCACTTAATGTAAGTCCCTGTTCTCTTCTATGTCGCTATCTGATGGTACCGATATCATTCTTATTCCAGATTCATTTCCCTAAAAAACAACCCCTTTTTCAGATCGTCATTGTGGCCGCCGATAGTAAATGCTAACGAAACATTTCACCGTTGTTTTTTTTTGGTTTGATTCCATTCACTCATTTCACAGTTCAAATTTTACACAGTTGTAACATTCATTTGATTTGAAAAAGAAAAAGAAACATATTTCAATAAAGAATACGTTGTACATAAAATCTTGTTTTTTTTTAATTTCAGCAGGTCTTGTTTTTATTTTAAGTAAAAACCGATGCTCTGCGGTTTCCGCCGGTAGTTTGCTTCTTTCACCGCCTGTAGTTTCTGTCTGTAATTTGAAGCTCTGTAGACTGGCTGTAGGGGTGTTTGGGTGCCAGTAGTGTTTACTGTTTCTGTCGCCGCGTCTCTGTAAATCTTGATTTTTCCACCATTTTTCGTTTCTGCTTCTTTCAATTCTCGGTCAATTTCAGAGGGCTGGGCCAGATTGCCACGGGTGCATTTTGCGCTCGAAAACGGCTCACTCGTCCGACAGAAGCCACTGGTTTCTGATGCAAATCTCGCCCGGGGCGTGTACTCAAAGCGTGGCGACTCAGTCGACAAGTATCTTTCCCATGTTAATTCCTGGTTACTTGTGTCAGCAGAATTGGAAGAAACATCTTCTGGAACATCGATGGAATGAGTTACTAGTGGATTCAGATTCTTGTATGTTCTCTGGTACTCGCTCATATACGTACTTGCCATCGACTCCTAAAGAATATATGATAGATTCAAATTATATCAGTGATTTTCCCTAAAGTCCCTAGTCATTTCCTAATCCTCTATCGTTAGGGGGTGCACAGTGGGAAAATCGGATAATTTAAAAGTACATGTATCTATATTGTAACCTATCAAAAAGATCCGTTTTCTTCTAAGGATCATTTTATTTCATTACACGGAAACCCAAAAAGCACATTTTCACCCCTAAAATCACGTGAGAAGGGTAGACTAAACATACTTTTGCCTATAGAAAAAAAGTGCCAAAAGGTTACCTTGTAATTTTCTAGCATTAAAGAGAGCAGATCATGCGCTTTCAAATGATAGTCATATGATCTTGTGCACTCGTGAGCAAAAAATTCTAGAGCCGATTTTCTGTCAAAATCCTTCACTTTTCGGCCAAGTGGGGTGTTCGAATCCCGACGATGACATTTTTTTTTCATGACCGTTTTCCACTCTAAACGATTGAAACTGATCATGTGATCCAGCGTGAGTCATAAATTGTCCTCCGGAGGACTTCGCTGGTGGAAGAATGCTCCTGGAAGAGGAAAAAGTAATCATAATTTAATAAAATTTATTAAACCCGGGCCCGTCCCTGGCTTATAATTTTAAATGGGCTTGACGGCCCTTCGGGCCGTCTCAGCCCCGTCCCTGGCTTTTAATTTTAAATGGGCTTGACGGCCCTTCGGGCCGTCTCAGCCCCGTCCCTGGCTTTTAATTTTAAATGGGCTTGACGGCCCTTCGGGCCGTCTCAGCCCCGTCCCTGGCTTTTAATTTTAAATGGGCTCGACGGCCCTTCGGGCCGTCTCAGCCCCGTCCCTGGCTTTTAATTTTAAATGGGCTTGACGGCCCTTCGGGCCGTCTCAGCCCCGTCCCTGGCTTTTAATTTTAAATGGGCTTGACGGCCCTTCGGGCCGTCTCAGCCCCGTCCCTGGCTTTTAATTTTAAATGGGCTTGACGGCCCTTCGGGCCGTCTCAGCCCCGTCCCTGGCTTTTAATTTTAAATGGGCTTGACGGCCCTTCGGGCCGTCTCAGCCCCGTCCCTGGCTTTTAATTTTAAATGGGCTTGACGGCCCTTCGGGCCGTCTCAGCCCCGTCCCTGGCTTTTAATTTTAAATGGGCTTGACGGCCCTTCGGGCCGTCTCAGCCCCGTCCCTGGCTTTTAATTTTAAATGGGCTTGACGGCCCTTCGGGCCGTCTCAGCCCCGTCCCTGGCTTTTAATTTTAAATGGGCTTGACGGCCCTTCGGGCCGTCTCAGCCCCGTCCCTGGCTTTTAATTTTAAATGGGCTTGACGGCCCTTCGGGCCGTCTCAGCCCCGTCCCTGGCTTTTAATTTTAAATGGGCTTGACGGCCCTTCGGGCCGTCTCAGCCCCGTCCCTGGCTTTTAATTTTAAATGGGCTTGACGGCCCTTCGGGCCGTCTCAGCCCCGTCCCTGGCTTTTAATTTTAAATGGGATTGACAAAGGCCTTTGATCCGAAATTCTTGATTTCGCTGATTATTATTATAGTGTTGTCCCCAACCCCACCCGCTCCCGTCATTATTAAATTTTTATTGCTCAAGATTTTATTAGCTTTATGGTTATCATTTTGTCAAGATTTTATATTCAAGAATTTTTACAGTGAAATTTAAGTTTCCTCATTTTTTTATTTTTTGCTCTGATTGCTCAGGATTGGTCCGGATGAGTGTTTTATGATAATTTTTATGATCAGTGATCATTAGCGATCAAAATCATGCAAAGAAACCCTAGTTACGTCGACTTTGAGAAAAATCAGATTTTGACCTCAAGTGACCTCACGTGACCTTCAATGACCCCAATTCACATGTTAAAATGATCAGTAGATCATGGGCTTTCTATCGATATATTTTTCATCCCAATAAGAGGATGATAAAAAATTCGATTTTCCCACTGTGCACCCCCTATCTATCGTCAATTTAGGGAGGCATCTACTTCTTTTTTTATTAACATTAATAAAAATAGCACCTCATGTTCTTTGATTAATCTTGTGTACTTCTCCCTCGTCCTTCTCGTCGGGTCGAATGCATAGTAACTCTGTCTGCTCATTATCTTATCGCTAGAATTTATAAGAGCCAGACGCTCACTCTCAGGATACTCAGAGTTGAGACTCTCTCTCTCTTGTTTGACGCTCAGAAGGCGTTGCTATGGATTTAAATATTGAATGCTCTTATTGAAAAAAAGCTAATAATGAAATTGCCTTAAATTCCCCTTTGAACTGGACTCGACTTCCGTCACACTTCTTTTTACTGTCAATATTGATTATTGGTACTTGCTCTTCCTTGAGTACCTTACTGTAATCAGAAGTAATGCAAGCAAGACAGTTACTGTTTGAAAATCAGACTGATTTCGGACTTTGTTTTCGGGGGGAACAATCGAAATTGATAGAACTAGAATCGGTCCTGTAGTTGGACCATGAATCGGCTCTCTGCAGCGATAAAAGAGCTGAAGACGAAAGTTCGCGAGTTGAAACTTGTCAAGCGATGGAATGAGGTACTTTTTGGAGTGTTTTCACTTCGTAATTGAGAATATTTAGGTTCCAGAATCGTGGAAACGAACAAGGCGAATAATCACTTCTCAGGGCATCGCTGTTGGAATTCTTTGCTATCAGGTATTTTTGCTTCTTTGGTGCCTCACTAGAAATTAACCTGAGCGTTTTAGTTACCAATTTACGCTGCTTTGCCAGATGCTCCGAAAATGCCGCCTCTTCCAGAGACGGGAATTTATCCTCCAGAAGTGATCAAGAATTTCACCGAAGAGCAATTCCACGAAGCGATGAATCCGATTCCATTCTTTCCAAACAATTACAGATTTATGGTAGCACATGAGCGTCTCAAAGGAGCATCCATAGCTATGGTTTTAGATACTATGTTGAAATTCTGAGCTTCAGGCTCGTTTTTTTTGAAAAAAATTAAAACCATTTCGACGGGAACAAGATGGAACTACTGTAAAAGCTGGTGGGAGAGTTTAAAACGGCCGAATTACGATTCATTTCTGCCAGAAAAACATAAAAATGCCCCGAAACTGACAGTTTCTTTTGAACTACACGCGCTAATAGAAGCCGACTATACATGTAAGCGTCTACTTTTTTGGTTGCTTTTGAAGTTTAAGACGAATTAAGTGGAATCTGGGTGGCGATTTCGTTTCAGACGCGGAGCGCTACAATTTCTCCGCGAGCTGAATCGCCTCGACTGCGAGCTCGTTCTCTACACGACGTTTAGCTTCAACACGCTGCAAGAAATGGCCGAGCAGTTCTACAAGAAAACCGACGGAATTCTCAATCTTACTGGAGGCGAGAATTATGAACCGACGCTGGCGGAAGGCGTCAATTACAAATTATTTGTGAACTCGTGTACTTATGACAATGGGAAAGGCTTCATAAATAGTATTCAAAAAATTTTTCGTAGAAACCAATTTCCAGGCCAACCAGAAACTTGAGCAGAGTATAAATATAAAATGTACTGATTTGATAAGAAATCATTGTTATTTATTTATTCAATATGATTGGCAAAAGACTCCGGGACACGAAAGATTTCGAGACAACTAATGAACATGCATCTTCATTTTATAACAGTGGTTCTCGGTCGAGTTCGAACATTCAGTTTCTGTTTCCTTGATTCACTTTTACTTTTTGAAAGGACATAAAAATTAGCAAAGCTGTCTTGATTTATTTGGATTCTCTTCCAAAAGAGGGCGCTTCATGCAAGGAGATCTCGACGGGGGTGCAGATCGAACTTGATTCTTATCGCTCTAGTTTCTTTGCTAAAATTGTTACAGTTTTTTACGCAGGACTAGTTGATAACTACGCTCAAAAATTTGAATCTTCTAAATTGAAAATTGAGAAGCCTTAACAGTGATTACGTGAAATCGTTATCAAGAATGAACAGAAAGAAGTCGGAATTAATACACATCGACATGGAGCCACTTTGGGTTGAAGAGTCCTGGCGCGAGAATTGCATCTTTGTGGAAAAACTCAAGCACAGCGAGTTATCGAGTGATAACGAGTCCCACTTTCCACTGATAACGAAAGTTCTGAGTGATATTATCCTGCTTGTACAGAAAGAGAATGACACTGGCGTGCCTGAATTATTAAAAGTGATAAATCTGTCTTAAAATATGATCTTGAGTTGATTTAAGCATAATACGGAAACAATGCGGTCAAAGTGTGGTAGATTTGCATTTTCTACGAAAAAAAGAGCTCTGGGCCAAAAAAAACCCAATCTTGGGAAAATAAAAAAATAATGTTGGAAATAATATTGACCGCTTTAGACTATTGTGGTTATTTTGGCGGAAGTAACAATCGATTTCGGACGATGTCGACGGGAGCGAGTCTGGGCGACATCTCCCGTCGAAATCCGCAGGAGGACTTTGAGCTACTCGCGCGAATAGGCAGCGGAACCTATGGCGACGTCTATAAGGTAGGATTCTAGTAGCGCAGAGGCGAGATTCTAGCGTTCTTGCGGCGCTTGATTCGGCGCTCCTTACCGCACTCACTGATTTTATTCAGGCGAAACACACGACGACGGGCGAGCTCAGCGCCGTCAAAATCATCAAAATTGAGCCCGGTGATGAATTCAATTTGATCAAAGTAAGCGAATCGCATTTAGCCTTACGTTTTCATATTGATTTTGTGGTGCCTAGCAAGAGATTGACATGCTCAAGGACAATGAACATAAAAATATTGTGAAATACTTTGGTAGCTACCTGCGCATGCAAAAGCTATGGATCGCCATGGAATACTGCGGTGGTGGCTCTATTCAGGACATTTATCACATCACAGGCCCCTTGGCGGAGAAACAGATTGCTTATGTTTGTAGGGAGACCCTAAGAGGTGAGTCTACTTATAAATTACTAGGCTTCTACTTCAGTGGTGGCTCAACTTGGCCCGTCGTAAATAACGCCCCATGTACTAAAGATTAGCTCTCCCAAATTAATTAAGGCTACCCTCTTTAGTCGAGGGTGATACTATGGACTCCATAGTATGGAGGCCAGAGGGAGCCCGCTTGACGAGGGAAGATCCTTTGAAGCTCTCTGTTAGACCCACCCCTTTCTGACCTCTCTATTGCGGTGCCAACTTGAGCTCACCCCTGTACATCAATTTAATTAAATTAATTAAAGGACTTGGATATCTCCATCGGAAAAGCATAATGCACAGGGACATCAAAGGTGCTAACATTCTCCTGACAAACACTGGCGACATAAAACTTGCTGATTTCGGGTAAGATTATGCTAATAAGCTAAAAAAAACTTGTGTTGTTTGTGAATAATACGTCGTTTTCAGCGGTTGACTTATTTTGATTCTAGTGTCTCTGCTCAAATTACCCAAACGATCGGAAAACGCAAGAGCTTCATTGGCACGCCATATTGGATGGCACCTGAAGTCGCAGCTGTCGAACGCAAAGGAGGATACGATGTCAAGTGCGATGTTTGGGCAGTCGGTATTACAGGTAAAAAACAACTCTTTTAGCTGCCGTTTTGATTGATAAATTTTCCAGGAATCGAAATGGCCGAGCTTCAGCCGCCAAACTTCGATCTACATCCGATGCGAGCTCTTTTCTTGATGAGCCAGCGAAGCTTCAAATCTCCTAAGCTCAAGGATCAATCGCGCAACAAATGGTCAAAGGAATTCCATGATTTTATCAAGGTCTCGTTGACCAAGTCGTCGAGAAGTCGTCCAACTGCTGAACAACTTCTTCGACACTCGTTCGTGATCCAAGGTGCCTTTATCTAAAATTCATTACTTACCTTTACCCTTGTTCAGCTGGATTGAGCTCGAATCTTTGCGCAGAACTGATCGAAAAAAGCCGTAATCCTTCCCGTCCACAGCGAGCAGACGAGCTAGACGAGGAAGATCATGACATTGTCGGCCCTATTTCAGTAAAAGGCTCTGGTGGAAAAGACCTGGAAGCTCCAGACTCTCAGCCGCCAGCTGTGTCAAAAGACGAAATCAACGAACTCGGAGATCGTTTGAGTAATTCAACGAGTGTATCGAACAGCACGAATGATTCCCAAGCGACGCTGGTGCGACCAATCTCGCGTGAAGTGAAGGATTACGAAAATACGCTGATCCGGCCAGTTTCCAGAGCAGCGGGAGCTAGCAGTAATAACGCTGGTGCTCCACCAGCTCGTCCGAGCAAGCTCCCCGCGCCGCCGATCCCAGCCGGTCCCTCGGTGCCGCCGAGACAGCATCACAAACCGCTGCAGCCAGCACCGCCAATCCCTTCATCTGCCAATGCCAATTCAAAAGCAATTCCTTCTGAAGTTCAACAAGCGCCCGTCAGACCTCAACACAGGAAGAGAACAAACTCCGCGTCGACGGACTCAGGAAACAGCAACCCTACAGTCACGGCAGGAGCAAACAATCAAGCACCTCAAGTGCCCGCCCGCGCCCGTCCTCCAAAGCCTCCACCACCAAATACAACAGGCAGCAAAAACGTCTCAAATGGAATTTTATTACAACCAAAAGTGCACATGGGCGCTGGTCTTAGGTAAAAAATCAGCCAGTAGACACCAATAGACACTTAGAGACCTCTTTCAACCTTTTTTCTAGTAAAATTTTCAACGGTTGTCCTCTGGAAATAAACTGCGCGACAAGTTGGACGCATCCAGAAACTGAAGAACAGTACATTCTCTTTGGTTGCAACGAGGGGCTCTATTACCTGAACCTGGGCCTGCTCCACGAGGAAGAAATGGTGCGCCTTCTTCAGCGAAAAATCAGCTGGATGATCATTTGGGACAATATCTTAATCACGCTCACGGGCAAAAAGAATCCACAATTATACTCGCACGACTTGGCAACTTTGATAGACAAAACGGCGAAGGCCACGATTGCTAGAATCCCATCAGTTATTAGTAGACGATTTTCTGTGACCAGAAGTATACCAGATACTAAAGGTGAAAAACGGTCAATCGGTTAGTTCTTCATTTCCCTTGAATTAGGTTGTATAAAATGCGACCATGTGCGCAACGCAGGGGACATTTATCTGGTGGCGGCGACGCACCACTCGATAATTCTCCTCCAGTGGCACGACATGCTCCGTCGCTTCGTCATTTTTAAGCAGGTGGATATGGCGGTACCGGAGCATTCGCCCTTCCGTCTTGTCATTTCATCCCCAGGTAAGAATGAAAAGTGAAACGAAAAATGGATGTTCAATTTACTTGTTGCCAAAACAATTAATAGAGAGCGCCCTAGGGAACATTACATATTACTTCTGCTATTCAAAGCACTTTTTTTCTTTTTCGTAGTTTTTTCGATTCTAATTGAAATAATTCAGATAACAGCAATGGAAGTCTACCGTCCGTTCTCGTCGGTGTTTCGGCGCCAACAACGCGCGACACGAACTTTCACGTCCATTTGGTCGATCTTAACGTCGCCAATCCCGAAATTGTTATCGACGAAGATCACCTCCTGCCCGTCACCATTGCCAAACAGCTCGAATACGACACACTCGTCATCGGCTTCGATCGCTTCATCAAAATCGTCTCCAAGCGCGGCGTGTTGAAACCGACGCGCAAGCTACGCTCCGAAATTACATTCGACTTTGAGTTGCAAGACGCCGTTTGTCTGCCAGACAGCGTCCTTGGCTTCCACAACCATGGCTTGCAGGTACCATCGATAGTGTTACTATTTATCTTATTATTCTTTTTCTAGGGAAGATCGTATCGGGATGAATCAATCACCCAGGAGCTTAACGACCCAAACAAGAATTTTAAGCTACTATGCGGCCAAGGAAAGGGTTGAAATTTTGGTTATTCAAGAATGCACCATCAGTTATGTTAAGACCATTTTCCGCTAAACGAACATTTCCTAAATTCATTTAAAAAAGGGGTCTTGCGATGAAGGGCATCACCATTCAAATCCATCACAAACTTTCTGCGGTAGAGAGTTTTAGAAGAAACTTCCCGAGTTGTAATAACGGTATTTTGAGGAATCAGCAGACAAAGTACAGTGTTGAATTCTTTGATAGTAACAAGTGGTGAATAATACGTGATGCCCTTAATCGCCAAAGACCGTTTTTGTATCAGCTCAAAACACGCTCGTCCAGTGACGTGGGCTGAGGTTACGGTAGCAGCAATAATAATGGAAAAGGCATCTGATTTCAACCCTCATTTCAGGCGTCATCGTGCTAGAAACAAAAACGGCGCTGACCCAAACGAGTGACATTTGGCTGGTGACCGGCTGCGGGCCCTAAATCAACCGTGGTTCCAACTCTCCGTTGATTTGCACTATTTCTAGGTTAAAAATGGATCTTCTAAATTTATTAAAATATTGGATCATGCAAAAAAAGAATCGTAGGTCGCTATAAGTTACTCTAGAGCCCACTTTGGTTCGAACTTAAAAATCTAAACTATTGCTGTTCCTAACCCTAATTAACAAAACAAAAATGAAAATCGTAATCTCAGTTCAATTGCTGGCCAATAACTGCTCCAATAACAAGTCAGCTCCAGTCAAGATTCCAACAACTGTAGCAACCTGTAACTGAAACTGACCCAAAACTGAAACTACAATGAAAATACTTCGCATTCTCAAAAAATCAAGGAAAAGGTTAAAATCGCTAATTTAAAATGTCAAAAAACATGACTCCTTCTTTTTCGGTTTAATTTAATATCCGTTTTGTTAAAAATAACTAAATGCTATCAATATTAAAAATCACTCTTTTAAGTTTCCACAAGCAATCGTTTTATTTTCCCATTCTTCGATTTCTTGGTTTTCTGTTGAAAAAAATCAAAGTTAAAATTAAAAAGCCAAAATTTTTCATTTCAAATTGAAAAATAAGCTAAACATTTTTTATTCAATGATCCAACTTTTCAATTAAAAAAAAATAATATTTCTTTCGCCGTTTGTTTACCTTCTATTTTACGTTACAAAAATAAAATGATGAAAAACTTTTTTTTATTTCTACTTACAAAAAATGACACTGAAGAGGCTCGTTTAACTCTGCTTCTTCTTGCTACAATATCTGAGTTCAAAAATTGCCTTTTCTTATCTTTCTACGTTCCCCCTCAATCTCAAATGAAAAAAATCCCACTTTTTTAATGGATCTTCCGAAAATTGTGCCTTTCATTTCTTTCTGTCTCAGATTGCACCATTCGGAAGATGAACTATTACAGTAATTAAATGTCTATTCTGTCAAACCCTCTTTCTTGGACATATTCAAAAATCATCGTTAGAACTCTTTCTTTTTTATTTTATTTTGCTCCTGAAGATACTCACCCGGATGGTGCTCTTTTTTCTTTCCTATTTAATAAACTTAATTTGCATCTCTCTATTCTTCGTTATTAGATTCATTAATAAACAAATGAACAAACAGTTACAGTATCTTTGAATAGCTAGTATAGGCAGAAAAACTAATCACCCCGAATATTTTTTGAAAGAAAATCACTAGTAGCGATTTCTAACGTGTTTGTTACGTTTTAGCATGAGTTGGAGCTCCTGGGCTAAAACTCTGGCTAAGGAGGCCCAGCGGGGCATTGACATCGTCCTCGACATCAACGAGGAAGCGGCGAGTAATGCAACGCCGCAAGCTGGACAAAGCAATCCCGAAATCGGTTCAACTGAAAATGCCACCGACCCACCAGTCTTACCCGTCGAAGAAAAAAGCGAGGAAACAACAAATAGAAAAGGTAACACAAATGAAAATGATATATCGAATTAGTTGACGTCGTGGTTTATCATAGATATTGTATTTCCAAGTACTTTCAAGAAAGGTTGTCTCATAATCAGGGAAAAGGCTGGGAAGATTTTAACCTACCAGATGTCAAAAATCTTATTGAATCATTTTAACATTGAAAATCATACAAAATTATATTGACTTACGCTCGACGGATTGCAATAAACCGAAATACTCCTTTAGATAGATCATTTTAAACTGATACTTTTTTCTGCAACTTTTCCGCTTTTATACCTAGCCAACAAGCAAGGCCTTCTGTTTCCAACAGCTGCAAAAGAGTAGCTATCTGCCTTTGTAATTTTTTTGATCTTTATCAGATTTTTTACGGTAGATTTATGCAAAAAGATCGACCCACTTCGTAGAAAACTCTTGGGACTATACAATCTCGTCAACATGAATGAAGCAATAACTTTAAAACTTTTTCAGCGCCCCCGACGCGTAATCCATCCAAGTCTGAAAATTGGAACGATCAGTGGTCAGAAGACGCGCCAAAGCCACGCCGCTCTCCTCCGAAGAAAACGTCTCCGCGTTCCTCGAGAATCAAGGCAAAGCGATTGTCAAAAGCAGAAGCGCCTCCAGAAGAGAATAAGGAAAGCGAAAAGAAAGTGAATGGTGTCAACTCGCTCATCGATCCCCACGACCAGGATCCAGGTGGCGGAGAAAAGGAACACACTCAAAAGAGGGAAGAGGAGGAAAAGTTAAGCTTGAAAGTAGCTGCCGACCTGGGGGATCCTCGGAGTCCGGCAGAGGAAGAGGTTGCCCTCGAAAGCCAGCTGAAGATTGACTTCCTGAAGGAACACACAGAAGCGATGGGCAACAGCTTCCACGAGATTACGAAGCAACTCGCCCTCCGTGAGCAGCAACTCGTCGGCGTCAGCACCAACAATGCCGAGCTCCAGGCGGAAAACGATGAACTCAGAGGAAAGGTTGCTTATTTGGAAGAGTACTCAAGTGACGTCGCCAATTTTTCAAGCAAAATAGAGGTACTTCATCAATTTCTTTATCTTTTGACATCTTTTAACATCTTTTTGATGTTCTTTGTAATAACTTGTTTCTTTCGTAGATTCTGGAAGAAGAACTGCACAAGCGACAACTCCAGCTCAAAGCAGCCAAGGATCAAATCGCCTCGTCTTTTTCAAAAAATCATGTGGACGACATTATCAAAGAAAAAGACGATCAAATCCAAGGGTTGATGTCGGAGGGCGAAAAACTCTCCAAGGAGCAGCTCACCCTCAACAATACCATAAAAAAGCTGCGATCGCGCGTCAAGGAAACCGACGAAAAACTGAAAAAGTCGGATGAAAAGGCGAAAAAGGGTGAAGACTCTTCTACGAGACTCGAAGCAGAACTTGAAACTGTCAAGGTACTTAAGTAACCCAAAGCTAGGGTGGATTTTAATTGCTTTTGTCTAGGAAGAAGAGTCTAAAAAGTCCGAAGCGCTACGTCGCCTGACTTATGAGAGTGAGAAAGCGCACGACGAGATTCAATCCTTGCGCGCAAGCTTGGAAGACAACCAGGAGAAGATACGCTCGTTGGAAGTGACCCTCGACTCAGCGTACAAGGAAATCGCGGAGCTGCAACGCACAATCATCGAGAAAGAGCACGACAAGGAGGGAGCGGTGAAGTTGGAGGAGGCCAAGTTCACGCTGCAAAAGCAGTTTGACGAGTCCGCCCGGCAGTGGGAACTTGAACGGCACCAGCTGAGGCAGCGCATTCAAACGCTCCAGGACGAGGCGCTCAGAATAGAAGGCGACTTCGGTAGACGAGAAGACAATCTCAAGCGGCAACTGACTAACTATCAGTCTCAGCTAGAAGAATCCGAGCAAAGAAATCACGATCTCGGACAATCGATCCAAAGCGCTACTCGCCCCCTGTTGAGACAGATTGAAAACTTACAATCGACGAACTCGAGTCAAGCAGCGAATTTCGAAGCGCTGGAAAAGTCGTTCCAGACGAGAATAGAAGAACTTCAAGAGCAGGTACAACCAGCAATAATTATCCATTTTCCCTCATATCATCAAACATACGCTTTTATATTTTATCTTCAACCAAACCTTCAGATCGCCGTTCATCATGAGTCAGATCGTACAATCCGCGACACAATTAGCGAACTCAGAGCGCAAATAAAAATCCTCGAGCGATCGCGCGCCGAAGCCAACGACCTCCAAGCCAAGCTCCAACTTCAGCTTGACGAGAGAATCAAATCGCTTCAAGAAGCAGAGGCAGCGAAGGAAACACTCATTTCGGAATACCAATCGGAGAGGGAGCAGTTGAACAGTCAGGTCGAGCAGCTTCGCAGGGAAATCGTCATTCTAGAGGGGAGCTTAGAGAAAGAAAAGGCCATTGGGGAGAGCGAAAGGGCCAAGAGACTGCAACAAGAATCAGAGACCCAAGGTAATTATCTTTATACATTCCTTATGATTATTCATCTCGATTTTCTAGCGCTCCAGCGGCTTTGGAACTACCCCTCGCAGCAATCTACCAGCCTTCAGCAGGACTCCCTCAATCTTCCAAACGATCGCGAGTCCGTCACCTCCGATGGCGACATTTCCTTCAGCGGCGTTTCTGAAAATATCCTTGACTCTTCCTTCTCATTGAAATCGACCCCGCTCGGGCCAGGCATCATCGAGACGCTGCAAGCCCAGCTGAAGCAGCGTGAAGGCGAGCTGTATCAGCTCCGCAGTGACAGAAGCGAGGCTCAGGCGCAGCGCGAAAAACTCGCCCAAGAAGTGGTTCGACTCAGCGAAGTTGCCGACAAAATCGACGAGTTCAAGGGGCTCAACTCGGCTCAGAAGCGCAAGATCGTCGAGTTGGAGAAGAAGTACTCGGCCCTATTGACACTGTACGGCGAGAAGGTGGAACGCGTCGAAGAGCTACAGTACGATTTGGCGGACGTGAAGCAATTGCTACGCGCGCAGACTGAGGAGTGGGCTCAGCTCATGTCCAGTCCAACGAAAAGCAGCAGCAGCAACACAGAAACAGAAGCAGCTCAAAGTCCACCACCGCCCAATTCTTCTTCTTCGCATTAGTCTAATATCTGCTCATTTTATTTTATTTTATCTTATACCTATTCTGTGCAATCCCAACTTTATTCCAAGTTGTTCAAGTTGATACTATCTAAATATCTACTATCCACTTTTTTGTTGTTGTCGTGGCGCGATTCTAGTGCCATGCCAAATGTTCCACTTTTTTCCATTTACGCTTTTACAAAAATAAAAAAAAAAAGAAAATCTACGGATTACCAGGAGCGCCCCGTGGGGCCAGACTCAAGAATCATCAATCTCCTAAATTTATTAATAACAGACCTAATTCACTCTTTTTTAAAATTATAATTCGCATTTTTTTTCGCATGAAAAGGCAACGTTCGCAAAATTCCGATCTTCTTCCAGATTTACCTATTAATTTTCAAAACGCTCATTGTTACTTTCTTTTCCTTTGACGCGGTAAAATGCTTGAATTTGGGTTTGAAAAGGGTGGATTTTCCAATGTGACAGTTAAGGTAAGAGACATGGTTTCTTGGGCTTGCTTTTCAATTGAATTATTGAAGGTAGTCCTCGTTGTCTCCAAGATCAAATCAATCTTATGGTCATAAGCTACTGGCAGGGGCGAGTGCTTGAGTTCGTTTTCACAGCATTATTCCGATTTTGATCAATTCTTCAATACACTCGCCCCAAGCAATATTTTTTTTTCTTCTTTCGAGATTCTTGAGTCGGCCTTGACGCGGTTTCGCCCTGCTTACCAACACGCAGTTCTCGTTAAAAAATAATTAAACACATCACAATTAATTTTGACGCTTTTCCCAAGCTTCCCTTCCCCCTAAGTTATATTCTATCCTAATCGACATGGATAATCCAACACGTGCAATATTTAAGTTATTTTTTTTTTGTAATCAACAATCCTATTCTTCTGTGGCCTTTACAAAGCATTTTTGCGTTCTGTCTTATTTAAAGCTTATTTTAAATACTGAGTTTGTTTTTACTTCTAACGAATAACTAAAAATATTATTTCGACGATTCAGTAATGGCTGTTACTGTTAGTTTACTTGTAGTTCTTACTCTTCTCCAACTTATAAACTATTTAACTTTTCATAGGTGCTTGAGGGCGTTTTTATTTGTTTCTTGAGAGGCACTAGAATTATTAAAGAAATGCTCATGTCCCAGGCAAGAGTGGTGTTACTTGAATTCTAGTGGGTTATGGTAGCCTTTGATTGGCCCAGAAAAATGATTCTGATATCTGATTGGCTTCAGATTCCCGAATAACGCTACAATAGACATTCACTCCCTCAGGTTAAGAGTTGCTTGAACGCTTGATCTTCTACTTTTCGGACGAAAAACGTCTGCATCATATAGATTAAGAGCACAACTATAGCTATACGTATTTATATTATTGGTGAGCAAGCGATTTTCAAAGTTCTTCCGAGTAAAAGTGAAAGCGTTCAGTTAATTTTTGAAAGGAGAAGTGTTTCTTTTAGTGTTCTCTTGTTTCTACTTAATTTTCGAAATTGTTGAACCTCCAAAATGACATTTGGGAGAGTTTTCACGCGTTTGTTTTAAAATTTAAATCTATAAATTCGGATTTATTCCTCTTGGTGACGAGATAATATATTATTTAAAAAGCAACGATTCGGCAAGTCTTTTCATTTTCAATTTCTCATCGAGTATAGTCTGCGCTTTCAGCACTGTATTGACTCAGTAGAACTTTCAAGACTTGTAAAGTTGAAAATTTACTCTTTTCACAGCCCATTGATTTCGATTCTCTTCCATGATTTCAAATTCTGGAGATTTTATTTAGTTTTAGGGACAGTCTGAAATATTATTTTTATTAGTTCAAAATATTCTCGCTTATTCTCCTTCTCACGGGTTTCTTTATTGTTAAACATTAAGTTATAATCCTTCCTTTTGCATATTTGTTTTTATTTGAAACCTGTCTGTATCTGTGGCAAAACATACTTGAATAAATTTTATATACAAAAAAGATTGTTTCTTTTAATAAAGTATTAGCCTTCAGAATGGGAGGCAGCTTCATAAAGGAAGCGGACAATGTGGCCAAAGACATTTTGAAAGATTTTCGAGAGGGCATCATCTGGGTTGGTCGTCTCTTTCTAGGTAAAGCTGCAGATTCTTCAATGCTATCAGTCAGTTACCTCACTCAGAATACCGAAAATCGCTCTTAGCTCTTTCAGGACACCGCCTCAGTTTTTTTTTGGGCCAAGACTACGAATTCAAAAATAATGCTTTGTCGTAAATTTCTTTTTGCAGTGTCCACATTCATCGAGGATGGAATTCGAATGTGGCATCAGTGGCACGACCACAAAGACTACATCGGAAAATCATGGAGCTTTTCCGACAAAATCGCCACATTCATCGTTCTCGTCAATCTCGTTGGCCAGTGTCTCTGTGGCGTATTGGTCCTCCTACGTATTCTCGTTACCCCAAGGAAAGAGGCAGATCATCTCTAGAATCATCGTTTTTTTGTAGATTTCGTAGTTTGATCTCTTCGTTCAAGTGTTTTATTGCTTTCTGTCATCGTTATTCTTCAAACAATTGTATATTCCATAATTCAAGATGCAAAATTCCTCATGCGCCATCTAGGTAGCTGCTTTTCTTCTCAAACTAGCGCTAGAACTGTATTTTTAGCCATGATAGGAGCTCTGTGTTTGCTGCTAGCGGAGCATCAACATCGGCAGCAAAAGGAAAAGGACAAAAAGTTGCTCCCGGTCTTCCGATTCTCGAGGAAAAGAAGCCTAAAGACGCGCTGCAACTTTTCGGTCGTGTATTTCTAGTGCTTCTTTTCTGCACCCTTCTTCATTTCAACCAAGACAAGTCGAAGGATGCCCAAGGACCAGATCAAGTTCCAGGTAAAGATCATTCCCTCCTTCATCTTTTACCCCTCTTAGACTATTTCTTCGACGCTGTGGGTATCAAGAAGGAGATGATTTCTGACGCCGTCGGCCTCTTTCTCGTCATTTTGGTCGCGGTTGGCTTGAGAACGCGTTTGTGCTCCTTTATACTCATCATTTGGATGGTGACGCTCAACTTCATCGTCAACGATTTCTGGTCGCATTCGAACACGTCGGTCATGTACGATTTCAAAAGATATGGTAACGATTTCTGCCAAAGCCACTTTCTCATCCGCTTTTGCCTTCAGATTTCTTCCAAACATTAACTGTCGTCGGCGGATTGAATCTACTGCTCGCCTTGGGTCCTGGAACGATCGCGCTAGACGACAAAAAGGACACTTAGATTCGCCATATAGTGATACAGTGATAAACTACTGTGTTGCTAGTGTAGTGTCTAGTTAGAGACAATTTCATCTGTAAGAATATTATTCCCTAGATCAATATTTACATGCTGTACAAGCTCTTCTTCGCGGGATAGAGTATTTTAACAATTAACGTTTTCCGATTAACTTTTATTAAATTAACTCTTTCAATTCAAAACTGGGTCAGTTGCAATATTCAAAGTGAACCCCTCGCACGCAACATGCTTTAACAACTCCTTCAACTTTATCTTCTTTTCGTTTTTAATTTGTTTCCTTTTAGATCATGATTGTTGGGGATTGCGCGGTCTGCATGGCCGGAATGGCAAGCGAAAGTGCCATCTCGGCTTGCCCGTGTGGGCACATATTTCACCAGGCGTGTTTAGATGAGTGGCTACGGCACAACCGACGACGACCCATTTGCCCGACATGCCGCGCAGAAGTGGCCAGGTCTTCCATCGTCAAAAAACTTTATGTAAGTGAAAAGTCTTTCTTGCTGAAACGTAAACTAGTATATTCTCTTTATGATAATTTTTTATAGTTTGCGATTCCCAACATCACGCTCAGAGATGATAACCGCGACTTGATGGCCGCATATGATTTCATTACTGCTGAAGCCCGTGGTTTGCGTTCCGCACTCGCTACTGTTCAGAAGAAGTATAACAAATCGTTGCGCATTTTCTTATTTGTATTTATGGGATTAATTGCAGTCCTTTGGTTTCAAGAGCAAAGACGAAAGCAGGACATTGATAAAGCATATCAATGTCAAAAAAAGTGGTTCTGCGTTTGAACTTTACCAGTTGCTAGGTCTAGGATCTGGGGTGACAGGAGGTGATCTGAAATGAGTCGCCAGAAATGAATCACCAAAAGATGTGATCGGGTTTCTCGGATCACCTCAAAAAGGTGATCGAGTCCCGATCACCAAATCAATTTCTGGGAGTTCCTCGATCACCAAATTCGGGTGATTGGATCTCCTACCTCGAATTTCGGTTTATGAAGTTTTTTAATTTACTTTTTAATTCATTTTTTGTTAAGTTTTTTTCATAAAGTTTTATATTTCTTCCGACAAAAAGTCGCTTCAAGTGTCAGAAAGCTTTTATTCAGAATTGTCATCTTCTCTAAGAGAAGACTTGTGGTTTGACATCAGTTGAATCATTTTTAAAACCTTCCGTTTTTTCGATAGAGAGCGCGAGAGAAATCTGGTGCAAAACGCCATCTTTCTTGAGAGATTTCACGAAAATTCGCACATTGCAAAAATCAGGTCAAATGGATTACCACCTTCGAAGTAAAAGAGGGCCTAAGTCACCGTGGTCGGTTTTACCGACCCCGTGTATTGAGAAGTTAATCCTTTCTTTAGTTCCTTTTTTGATTTTACGGAAATTCAGAACCCTTACCGTTAGTAACTAATGAATCCAAAGTAAAGGGTAAGTAAGTAGATGCAAAGTATTACTGAGTCGGATAAGAGGGTTGAAGCGTATTTCGCTCCCGGGACGAGCCCTTTTCATGAAAGTAGAAGGTGAAATGGAGATTATCTCTTTAAATTTCAAATAAAGGGTGGTCGAAAAATTGATTTGACATCAAAATATCCACCCCTGCCCTGACCATAATCACACGACTTTGGTGATCGAAAATGTTTGGATCACCAGTCAGAGGTGATCTCGATCACCTAAATCACCAGAAAATTCAGGCGGGTGATCGGTTCCGATCACCTCGTTTAGGTGATCCGCGAAGCTCTATCACATCTTTCGGTGATTCATTTTCGGCGACTCATTTCAGATCACCTCCGGTCACCCCAAATCCTAGACCTAGACCAGTTGCTTTATTACTCTTTTCACTAAAACTACTGCCATTTCACCACCAGAGTTATTATTTCATCTTTTTCTACATCTCTTTTCACTGCCATATTATCCGCTTGAATCTTTCCATTCTAAGCTTTCATTTTCTCCACCTTTATTTGACCTATTTCTTTTCAGAGTCGTATGACAATCGTAACGGAATGTTCTGTCTGCACTGATGAGCTGACCAACGAATGCGCCATCTCAGCATGCCCCTGTGGCCATACTTTCCACCGAGCGTGCTTAGATGAGTGGCTCAAGCAGTGCAGAAATCAACCAATTTGCCCGACATGTCGCTCGAAAGCGAACAGGTCTTCAATTGTTAAACAGCTCTATGTAAGAAATTCTCTTTCGTTTCTTCTTTTCCATCATCATTTTTGTAGTTTGCGATTCCCAACAACACAACTCTAAGCGAAAGCCCTTCTAAAGACAGCTCCCGCCTGCGAAACAGAATCTCCGCTTTGGAGGCTCAAGTGCTCGAGGAACAAAGATCGAAGCGCGAGAACGAGGGAAAAGTACAGTCGCTGACGGAAGAAGTGACCAAACTCAAAAAATCACGCGACAAGTTGAAGAACAAAGAAAAGGCTGACAGTACGCGTCTCAGCGCATTGAAGATGAAATGCGATCACATCGCTGCAGAAGCTAATGAATTACGCTGCGACCTGGCGACTGTTCAGAGCAAGTACGACAAGGTCAAGGAGCTGGAAAGCGACATTAGGATCGTCGACAGAGTCAAGAACTTGAGACAGTGTACTACAGATGATCCGTCTTGGATTCAAGTAAGTTCTTTTTTCAAAACAATATTCGTCGAATTTGCTTCTTCACAGTTCAAAAAATCAGTTACCAAGAGCACTATGATGGCTGTGTAACTTTTTTGTACTTTTGGCTGGTCGGATTTATTTGAATCCGAAGGTCGCCTGAAATGATCAATATTATTTGTTTGACGTTTGCTAAAGATCGACCTAGGGTCTACAGAGCCGCGCGGACATCAACGAAACATTCAAATATGCGACCATGATCCAGAAAGAGTACACCCGTCTACTTGCAGAACATGAAAAGAGAAACTCTAGAATCACCAATTTGGAGAGGGACTTGCGCAGGGAAAAGATGCGTGTCGAAAATCTCAAAGAGGTAATTTCTAAAATTGAGCGTTTCTAGAACATTTGTTGATATCAGGGCCAATTTTCATAGAAAAAAATCAGTTTGGTGCACAAAATAGGCGGAAAAGGGCATTTTTTCGGGTGTAACAGTGTCTTTTAATCGAATTAACTAAAAAATTTTAATCAAAATTTTGATTTCATAGCGATATTTATATCTAAAAAGAGGGAAGCTAGAATATGGCTCGCTTTTTAGTGCTGATTTGACATAGGAATTTAGGATAACCAACTGCTAATAAGACAAAAAGAAAGCGCCCAAGAAGAGATCACCGCGATTAGAATGAAGTTCGATCTTGCAAAAAGAGCGAACCCAGAGTCGGAGACTTTTGTGCGCATCTGTACCGAGTCGCCTTTGTCGGATGATTTGCTGGCCAAACTCAAGAAGCGAAAAAGCGACGCTGGCAGCTCGAGTTGCATCGATTTGACAACGCCGCCGATGAAGAAGCAGAAAACGACGCCGTATGGAAGCTGCTCCTCGACTTTTTGCGACAGCTCCCTCTTCAACGATGCACTTGCGTTGACGGAAAGCAACACGCCGAATCTTCCGGAAAAAGCGACGCAGAAAACCGACTTAAAAAGCCGAATGCAGCGGCTGGAAGCGATAAAGATTGCCAACGAAAGTGATGGAGACATGGAAGACGACGACTTGGACGATGAGAGCTCCTACAGTCCAATTATTCAACGCTCTTCAGCTAGACCAGTCGAAGCAAGAAACAAGAGTCCTGAAAAACCCCCGCCAATTCACTCAAGTCCTCCATCAGTCTTCGCTCGCGTCAAAGTAAAAACCGTCCCACAGCGCTCGCCAAAGAAGAAAACTAGAAGCGAACAAGACTCGAGCTCGCTGGACGTTTCAAAACTCGTTGCTCAATCGAACCTCTTCAAGAAAGAACGGACGAACCGCGGAAACAGACCCTTCAATCGCCTTGGCGGCTCCTCAAAAGCGAATCCGATCAAACTCAAGTCGTCCACGCGCAAGCCAAATATTCGTGACTTCTTCGCCAACACCAAAATGTCCTGAGACACTTTTCAAGTTGCAGCTTTACTGAGCTTCGTTTGCAACTTATTTTTTTAATTTTCAACTTTTTCTGTTAAAGCTCATCTTCACTGACATTCCTTTCTTTCACTTATACTTAAGAAACACTATTAATTTTCATTTTGCAAAATAGTTTCACTTTCAGTTGATTAACGCGCTATTTCTTGTTTAGAATTTTCACTGAACTAAAACAGGATCATGTCCGATCCTGTTAAATCGTTCATATCGGGCGGTGCAGGTGGCATGGCAGCCGTCGTCGTTGGTCAACCCTTTGACATGGTTAAAGTCCAGCTTCAGAGCTCCAATCATTACAAAGGATCTCTCGACTGCGCCAAGGTAAGTTACCCACGTCTAGCTTTTTTTCTGAGCTTCTCTTTCTTGATTTCAACGACAAATTTCAGGACATGGTTCGGACTCAGGGAGTTCGTAGTCTCTACCGAGGAGTCATGGCTCCGCTCACTGGTGTCACTCCCATCTTTGCCCTCTCTTTCGCTGGTAACGCTGCTGGCTGCAACATGGTCCGCAAAATTACTGGCCACGAGAAGCTGAGCTATGGTGAGCTCTTCTGCGGCGGTATGCTGGCCGGAGTCTACTCGACAATCATCATGGCTCCAGGAGAACGAATCAAATGTCTCCTTCAAGTCGCAAAACCTGGCCAGTACAAAGGCATGGGCGACTGCGCCAAGGAATGGTTTTTGAATTTCGATTAACTCAATGATCTGGGTTAGGGTTAGGCTGTTTCCTATGTTATAGGTTGCCTAGTCTAGTCAAGTATAAAGCGACTGATAAGCAACCGGACAATAATTTGAAAACCATGAAAAAGCAACTGATCGCCGATGGTGGAGTGAGAAATCTCTACCGAGGTACAGTGCTTACTCTCGCCAGAGATGTGCCTGCTTCTGGTTGCTACTTTGGCATGTACGCCTACATCAAGGACCAATTGACTCCTGAGGGCCAGGAAATGTCGATTAGCTCCATCCTTGTCGCCGGTGGTCTCGCCGGCATGGCCAACTGGGCGATTGGCATCCCCCCAGACACCCTCAAGACTCGATTCCAGACCGACATCTCTGGTAGATACGCCGGTATCAAAGACGTCTACGCGTAAGTCCACAAAAACAGAACAACAGCAGCAGCTGTTGATGCTGATATTGATGTCTCTTTCTCTCTTTTAACGAGGAATGTTTAGCGAGGTGATGGCCGAAGGAGGCTTCAAGCAAATGTTCCGCGGATTCGGCGTTGTGATGATGCGAGCTTTCCCCGCCAACGCCGCGTGCTTCTTGGCCATGGAATTGACAAAATCGGGACTGGACAAGCTTTGGTAAGGAAGCACTTCTTCCGCTAACTATTTATACTTCCAAAGTCCTCTCTTTTCTAGTCCTATTTTCGTCGTTTCCAATCTTTGTTAAAAACAATATATACCTCTATTTTCAAAGTCACAAGTTCGTTATTCGCCAGTTGCAACTTGCGTTATTAATATTATTTATTTAAACGTTCGACTTTCCAACTTTGAAAGCTTAAATCTTTAATTTATTTTGAAGTATCTCGTAATCACGAGATTTTTCTTTTGCGAGATTTGATTAATATTTTGACTGTACTAAATTAATAGCGTACTAATTATTTAAATACTTAATTTACCACCTTCTAGCTTTAGAGAAAATCTTAGGAATTTAGCGTACTCTTCCTTGATTTCACATTTTTAATTTTCTACTTTTTTCTATTTTGTTAATAGTTAAATTGAATCAACAGATACAACCAGTAGCAAGCATCATTGTTTACATTTTCCTTTTCAAGATCATCCTCTTTTGGTACTCAACTTAAGCTTCTATCAACTTGTCAATCCTTTCTCGTAATTTCGAATCGTATTTATTATTGGTATTTGTTGGAGAGACTCTTCTTTGCTATTTTTACTTATTTTTTTTTCTTACTAAATTCTTTCCATTCCTTTTTCTTTTCAAAAATTTTCAGTTTCTTTAGAATTATAGAATTATAAAATTCCAAATTTCAAAAAAGTGTCTTCTCCATTTGTGCCGTTCTTATTATTTATTTAATTCCTATTTATTTAAAAATAAACCCTTTTTCTCGTACTTCAGTCATGATATTTTATCGTAAAATATGTGATGTGTTTTCAATTTTCAAAAATTCAAGAATTCAATAAAACGCGAGCTCTAGAACAGTTCTGTTTGTTTGCCAATTTTTGATAGTTCTTGGCAGTTTCGATCGTTTACAAATTCGGTAAGGCAGAGTTTTGTTAAATGCAGGGTAGAAGCAGGCACTTCTTTAGGGTCCTCCTTTTCTATAAAATTTTGAAAAATCGAGAAGCCGCTTGCGGCTCCGTTGTAAATGTAGATAAAAGAAGCCGCGCAAATGCTGCTCTGAAATTCATTTTAGGCTCGGCAACCTATATTGAGAGCCTGAGTCAGGTTTTCTCCACAGGTTTCTCGTATTTTGCTCCGAGCCGAATGCGGCTTCTTGATTCATCGATCAGAAATACATAAAAAAGCCGCGCTTTAAGCTTTTTTCGATCTTTTCGAGGAAGGAAAGCTTCAATTTCTTCGTCCAAAATTCGGAGTTGCAGGCTCAACAATAAATTTTAGCGCCATGCACGTGCTAAGTGGGCCTCTCCTCCCGCTGGTCACCTTAGGTCGTGCTGAAAAAAGCTCTCTCTCTCTTTGTCTAGCGGACGAGGGGAAAAATGCTGTTCCAGGGAGGAAACTTTCCTATTATAAATTACAAAGTGTTAAAAAATGAGTAAGTTTGGCTTCCGCGTGTTATTTTTTTTTATTTTACGATAGTTATGATAATGATAAAATCTGTGGGCCAGACACTTCCTATTCGCAATTATTTTTAATTAGTAAGAGCGACTGAAAATGAACTTTTTTTTAAATTAATTTGAGAAATATTGGATATTTTCGAATATTTCAGCCTTTCCAGTAGAAAAAAAGTTACTGCGTCTTTCATTAAATATTTTCCAGGACCCTGTGTCAAGTCTTTAACACAGGTTGCCGAGCCCAGCTACTGCTAGAAAGCCTGAGTTTTTAAGACTTGCGGCTTTGAGATAGTTATATTCGCGCGGCTTTTTTCCTTTTCTTTCCTCGAAGCCGCAAGCGGCTTTTAGAGTCTTAGTAAGCCTAATATTTTCGAAAGAAATTACCAAAAATGAATAATCTCTTTTGAAATTTTGAAAGTAAACGGAAAATTTCGGTGTTATTTTCTAGCGAGCAGTATTAAGGAATTCGTTGTTAGCATTTCAGCTGGGTCTAGCAGACCCTGTTCGATGCCTACGGGCTTCTTGCGTCGCAAAGACAGTGCTTTGCTTAGCAGAACTGGAGAATAACATCATTCGACAAGCATCAGCGAGACGCTCACACAGTGAAAAGCGACCCTGTTGTATATAAAACAAGAGCATGAAAAAAACAACAAAAAAAAAATCGAGAAAAATCTTCTTCAATTTCAGAAGAAAAAAAGACTGAAAGTTAAAAATAGACTTTCTGAAATTTCGTTTTTGAAAAATAAAATTGATATCGCGCCCTGCGGCACGAGTTAGCTTTTTTCTATCCCGCTAAAAGTACTGATTTAAACTGCCTGTGGCTGTTTTTAACCGCCGAGCTACTGTTTCTATGACAATCAAGGGACCTGGCAACAAAATTTATCAAAGAGATTATTTGGTCGATAATTGAAATCTTTAATTTTTCATCTTTGACCGAAAATCGCTTTGAATTTTTGTGTTTTTCAATAAAATCAAATTTTTGGTCAAAAGTTCAAATTTGAAATTTCATCTTTTGACCAAATTCTTGTTAATTCTAAATGGCAGCCCTCCAAAATGAAAAAGAAAACGATTCTGATGGATGTTTTGTTTCCTTTTTCTTCGATTTTGATCGACGTGATCGTCAAGAAAAAAAACGAAGCAGCTCAGTAAGTCAAGGTCATTGAGCTCGAGTGCCATCGGTTGGCGCCGAGCCATCAACCACCCTCTATCTTTCTCGCTCTCTCTCTCTCTTTTTCCTTCTCCTTAACACGGGCCCGTTGTTCTGACTTTTTTTATCAGGCGTTTATTTTTGCTGTTTTTGGCGAAAAATGGTCTTTTACCTTTTTCAAGATTAAAAAAATACTTTAAATTAACCTCCAAAATAATGAATTAGAGAATAAAAATTTCTGACGACCTCTGTCTAAAACCTGAGTCAGGATTTGAACAGGCATAAGTTAAAAGTAGCGGCCTTTTAAAACGAAGCCGCGAAGTAGCTTAGCCATAATTAATCAGAAATTGATGATGATAGTAATTTAAAAAGCCGCGTCTAAATAGCACAACCCTGACTCAGGTTTTGTACACAGGCTGCCGTCCCAGAGAAGAGCTGTGAGAAAGAAGAAGAAGTGGCTGGCCGGCTCTTCGTTGGGGAACTCTTGAAACTCCCCGAGGCCGAAAAGAGAAAGCAAGAAAAATATCGAAAAAACACGCGATCATTTTTTGGTCGAATTTTTTGATAGATCTTAGAAAAAATATAAATTAGATAAAGAAAATGAAAAATTTAAATTTTTGAAATATTATTTTTTTTCTCAATAATTTTTTTTTTTTGAAAAAAAGACGCTTTTGACGCCGAAAACATCCAAACACGCCCCCGACCATTTGAAGCGCCGCACTTTTTTTTCACAGTAATTTTGAAAAAAAAGACGCCTACTACTGAGAGTGACCCTTTTAAGGCAATCAAACTTTTCAAACTCAGACTCTTCTTCTTTTTTTATTTCACAGGAGTTATGTAATCGAGCAAACCGCGACGGGGCGCCCAGCTCGAGAAAAAAAAACTCAAGAAAAAAAACAACTAAAATGAAAATGAAGAAACAGAAAAATAGACCGAGAGCTGAAATCCTTATCTTTTCGTTTTTCAGAGACGTAATTTGGTATTCGGACGAGATCGGGCGAAAACCTGCTACTTTGAATATTAACCAGGTGAGTTTTTGAATTAATTTTCGAATTTTTAATTGCTGAAAATTTTCTAAATAAGGGGGTTGAAAAGAAAATATAAACTTTAACGAGTCTTTTGACGCTCTTTCTATTTACAGTCGATAGTACTAAGACAAAATAAGGGAATAACCGTCAGATAAAAAAAGAAGGCTCGAATCAACATTATCTGATTTTTATAAACGAATGGTTCAAGATACCAGACTCAAGAATAACTCCTTCTTTTTATTAGACTTTTCATGTCTACATTACAGTAAATAAAACTCCAGAAATATGTCGCGGCTTTTTTTCAATTTCAACTAAAGCCTACCATTGAGCCCCTTTGGTCCAGAAATGGGTTAAAAAGCCCAGCTTTGGTGATGAAACCCTTCGGTTCCCATGATTCGTAGTTGCCCCAGACAGTAATTTTGGCCGGCCAGACAGAAAAGCCAAGACAATGGGAAATCGATAAAAAACGAATAGACACGGAGAGAAGTGAACAATCATTCCCATGTTGAAAGAAATATCTGATTAAAATATATTGGCTCGTTCGCAGAGTTTTTCTTTCTCCTGTGTCAATAAGCTATATCGATCCGTTTTTTTTTCTCTGGTGTCCAGGGACGTGATAGCTAATTCAAATTCCTCCGCAAAAAAAAAAAACTCAAAAGAGAAACAAGCAAAAACGAAGCTAGAAATAGAAATCGAAAAATCGAGAAATAGAGAATTTCAGATTCGAATTTGAATTCCAATTTTGAAGATTAAAAAATTGACTTAGTTTTCTGATTGATTTACAGATCGTTTCGTAATAGAGTCAATATTGAATTGAACATTATGCAACGCGAAAATCTCTATAGCGAAAAATACGTCACTTCCAGAACATCGAAATAATAAATAGTGACGTTGCCAGAGAGTTTTGCTTGAAATGGCGGTAGAAAGCCTTGAATTCTAGTTTTTCAAGAGCTACGGTGAAACTTTTTACGAGCTGTAATTTATCTATTTCTGGCTTACTAAGTTTCAGACTTGCAAAAAAGAGGATATTTAAAGAAATGAGCAACGATTTCGGCAAATTGTTTGTTGCCAAATAAAAATGACAGATTCAGAAAAGAGAGGGAGATATGCACACACTTAAAATTTGACCTGCTTCTTTCTGACCCAATTTTCTTTATCATTTATCCATATATTCAAATTGCAGATAATAGTATTACAGTAACTACTGTGCCGCAAAGCTTGCTTGGCGACCTGCGTAAAAACCTGAGTCAGGGTCTTGGAAAAAACTTCAACGAAAAATTGCTATTCATTAAAGCTTTTTCAGGACCCTGACTCAGGTTTTGCACACACGTTGCCGAGCGTGGACTTTGAGGTCCTGAACTAACCTTTGTCTTTTTCAGAGCTGATGAAGATTGCACTTCTGATCGATTAAAGAAAACGCGCAAAAACGAGAAAACTGCAAAGTTGAAAAGCGAGAGATTGAGAAACTGCGAATTCAAAAAAAGCGAAAACTTGAAAGTCGAAAAAGCGAAAAAGATGCAACTTGCAACGAACAACGAGCAACCGTCCTACAACAACAACAACGCACTGTTGATGCCCAATCATCAAGCGCAAACGCACGAGAACCACCCTCCTCATCAGCAGAGCCAGCATCACTTGGCAGCGGCGAATGGCACTAGTGACTTGCCACACTCCTCGTTGTCTTCCTCGATGAGTCCGATGATGAGTCATTCCCATCTTTCATCGCCGGTGCGGCAGAATAGAGGAGACTCCTCGCCCGGCTCACCAGGAGCGGGAGGCTCGGCTGATCGCAAGAATCGAACCGTCTCGTTCAATGAAAGCCGCTCAGGAAACGGTGAATAATAATAAATCGTTTGTTATGTCAATCCTGTAGTTCCTACTTTAACAGTCAGTTTATCTTGTCTAAACTGGCGACTTTGACTACTGGCAAGTCGGAAATAGAGGTTGGAGCGGTCGAACTTGAAGCTAGTATAAAAGCTCCCTAGACGCGTCGAAATGGGTCTATCTTCTTGGCCCGCGCGTCTAGGGCCTAGCGGTATTGAGCTCACATTCTCAGTCTTATATTTTGACCGTAAGGATAGCCCGATTTCTGACACCAGCGGAAGGGCAAGGACGTTTCGTGGCCAAAAATTTATCGCAAGGTGAATTTAAATCCATAACGCTGGTGGTTGCTTATTTAAACAATTACGTACTCAATTCGCGCTTTTCTAAGAAAAGTAATTGCATTCCAACAATCGCATAAGTCAACAACCCTTAAAATCATTCATCCCCCAATAATGACTCTTAAAATTTGCTGAACCAGCAAATAAATCGACTTTCTTTTCTTTCAAAGCAGCCTCTGTAGAAAACCTGAGTCCATTTACTAAATCTCATGGGTTGGAAAGAAAGAAACTCGCTTCATTTCCTGGTTCTGCAAAGTTGGAGTCCCAAATTCTTTTCTCCCAATCTGGGAGAAAATCTTGGGACTCGTCCTTTCGTAACTCATGTGGGAGGAAAACAAAGTAACATTCAATCCACGCACACATGCTTCTTTGCTATCACGCCTCATCCTTTCATATTTTGGCATCCCATGTTTACCTCAAAATTGCTCCCCCTTTTTTGGATAAAAACGCGAAATTTTATGGCTTCGCTCGCGGGGTGAGCCCGCCAGTTTCACGCCCGGGTGACTTTGAGTTTCAGTTCCACTTCTTAGTGGAGCTTGACCGGGATTCGCCCTGCTACTAGCTTGTTAATTAATGATTACTTAAAAACCAACTGATAAGCCGGGTGAAAGTCAGACGCAACAACACTCGCCATTGTTGAGTTAACATTTTTCCTTTCAGTTTTCAACTCGCTGGATCGCCGAGAGACGGACAGAACGGTTCCTAGACAGCAGCAAGTGCAGATTGTTCGCAAAACGGCCGAGAAGGTACTTTATTTTATTGAAATTTAAGATACACAGATCTCAGAAATTACCAACTAGCATTCTTATTTTTTATTTGAATTTCGCGGAGGGGCGAGTTGTATTTTTGGCGCAAGGTGCGTATTGAATTGGATAATTCAAAGCCGCTTATTGAGGGCTAGGGCGGGTTTATAGATGTCAGCAACTCACGTAGGCATGACAAAATCGGCGTTAATAAATTTTGGCCCGGGATAAAGTGCTCTCCTTGCTCGCTGGAGCAAACATGGCGCTCCTTTGTCTTTTCTGTTTTTTCTTTTCTTTTGTCACTCAAGAAAGAGAGTGTCTGTCTCATCCAAAAAGGCTGCTAAATTAAAATTAAGGTGCTGCCACCCCCGACACAGGTGGTGCGGCAAGCGAGTCCGGTCGAGCAGCAGCATCAACAGTACGGGCAGAATCAGCAGAGCCTGCTTCAAGTCGCCAACTCGGGCAGCGCGGAGAGCAGCTTCCGACCGCGCGCAGTCACCGCGCCATCGATGACGACGAAGAGGCGCAAAGAAGTGAACCTCGATTACAAGCGCAAGGAAAACGAACGCCGCGAGCAGAGAGAGATTGAATACGCGAATGCAAGAGCCGGTAACCAGGACGGTGAGTTTTACCGACGATCTCTAGAATCGAAGGCTGTTTTTCAGAATCGCTTGATGAGCAAAGCGATAGAACGCAGAACAATAAGTACCGGTTCGCATTCAAGAAGAACAAAATTAAGGTAAGCAACAGTTTCAAGATTCGTAAATAGAAATAGTCTTTGTTGAAAATTTACTTGGTTTTCTTTGAAAATGACAAACGAATTCTGCATTTAACGCTTTGAATTTGACATTCAGGCTCTAGAAATATATTTCTTTGAATATTTGGATTAGAATCTATCTTCTGTAACTCCCAAGAATTCCCAATTTATCTAAATCATGAGTAAAACAGCCAAATCAACGACTATTCTCTTATTAGAAATTATATTATCAAGGAAGGCTCACCTCTTATTTTCAGGAGAATAAGGAAGACTTCTCGCAGCCGAAGGCTATGCCGAGATCTAGCAGGAAAAAGATGGACGGTGGAGTCTCACCGACGCGCGAGTTGTCTGCACAAAGGTACTGCCTATTCTTCTTTCATCCCTTTTTGATCGCTGTTTGTAGTGCACCAACAGAGGATCATGAAATCGCAAAGTTGAGAAATCGCTCCGCCTCGGCGTCGAGCAATTCTGATTTGAAGAAGAAGCGAACGAGAAGGCGACGGGGACGAAAGACAACGGGTAACATATCCTATATATTTGCCGCTAATGCATGTTCTGTTGGTCCTGTGGGTATGTGTCGAATACGAAGCACACACATTTACAGCTTCCATTTACTCCCATTTATTCATTTATCGAAATCAAGTTTTTGAAAGTGTTCTTATCCTTGATCCTTTCCAGGAAATGGCCAAGACGAAGGACAAGTCTCAGAGCTGACGATGGAAGAAGCCATCAATTGGATTAGACAGGACGCGCCACCAATCGCTGACGTCTATGACCATGAAGCTCACGCTAGAATCGAGAAGGAACATGGCTGCGAGGTGAAAATTGTTAACGGAACAACCTACTTTACTCCCAGGTAAATCACGCTTGGAAACGTATTAATTAACATTTAATTCCTTAGCACTGATCGAATGCAATATGGGCAAGTGTCATCTCAAAGTCATTCGAACGAGAATGACTTTAGAGGCCACTCTCAATGGAGGAGTCCGGATGATGGACGATATCCTGAAAGTAATTCGGCGACGACGCAGTACGCGGATAGATTCAATAAGAACATTTATTCTCAATCCGCGCCGCTTCAACCAAGGATTGTCAAGGTAAGCCCTTTTACTAAAAGGCTTTTAGAGTAGGTTGATCGTAATATTGTACTTGCAGGGAGAAGTGAGCTCAACGAGCCACGACTACAAGGCATTTGGCGATAAGCTACGAACGATCTGGGCGCAGCAGGACACGAAAAGTAAGAAGGATATCTGGGACGATCTTGGCACTGGCAAGCTGGCGAACGAATCCGTCCTATCAGTGATTGACTCTGAGCCGAAGACTTCTGCGAAGTCTTCCGTGCCAGACCGGTCGATTTGGTCGAACGGGCCAGCGAGCACTTTGGAGAGCAACGCAAGTCCACCCAAGCCGATAAGGAAACCCAATGTGTGGGAACCGCGTCCGCAAGAACAAGTAAGACCCCAAAGAATCAACAAGCAAACTCATCGCTCGTTCAGGCTGGCAGTTTTGGTTTCAACAGTTTCGAGCGCGAAGCAAGCCCAGTAGACTACTTCAATTCGAGCAAGTTTCATCCCCGCATGGACGTGCTCTCCCTGGACACACGTGACAACGACGAACTTTCCTTTCATTACGACCAAGCCAATATTAATAGTAACTTGAGCAGTGTCCCTTACAGCCCCTTGACTCGGATTTCCTCTGGCTAAAAATTACAAAAAAACAGTGCCCAAATTTCCAGCTTTCTTTTTTATCTTACTACTCGCGTTAAATTTAAACAAATCCAACAGAAACAACTCTCAAAAAATCTATCTAAAATTATTCCAGTGAAGTTATTTTAAGTTTTATTTTTCATTTTCCAAAGTTTTAATTTTCAAAATTACGAGTTAAAAAGTCCAATTCAATTTTCAATTTCAAACTTCAGCAACTACTTCGTCAACACTCTATCAAAAGGTCAAATTCGAAAAAATCTTCCTCAAAAAAATTAAGAAAGCAACAAGTTTTGTTCTCAAGCTCCGCATTTGTTCCCGGCTTGAAAACATTTCCGTGTCTTCGTGTTAACTCCTTTCTCTCAAAAAGCTAGGGTTAGATCACTTTTTAAGTTAAACATAATTTCATTCGTGCTCAAACAAACTCTTCTGGATCGCCTGCAACAATCTGTTTTAAAACCTAAAACCTGCTAGGATAGTATTCGCGACTCAACCCATCTCAAGATGCCCGGCTTCGAAACTACGATGTAGCCACGGGTCGGGCTCTTGTCAATTCAACTTTCTAGAGTACTAGGGCCCCGTACAGTCTATCAGAAAAATCCTCTGATAAATCAAAAAAACAGTTTCTTCACAGTTTAGGGCTCCCAGGAACCAACATTCTATTTTATTATTATTATTATCTATTTATTGCCTATTCAAAAAAACGAACTTTACACAACGAAAAAACAAAGTAACATGTGTCCGGACCGGTCGGAACGGCCTCACCTCTTGTCGGGCAATCCACGCCACTCCCGCGCATTCATCTTTTCGCTTTTCTCTTTTTTTTGGTCTAAGTGACATCATGGAAGACTAATTCGCATATTCAGAGGCGGTAAATTAGCGCACTAAAATCAAGTCTTTTTGCACTAGTCTTACCATTTCTGAAGTTACACTAAGCAGGTCTTGGCAGCCTGTGTGGAAAACCTGAGTCAGGATTTGAAAGAGCTTACGCGGCTTCATCAGTCTTCAGCTCTTTCAAATCCTGACTCAAGTTTTCATCACCGGTTGCCGAGCCCTTGCACTAAGTCACTCCTAAGATACACTAGAGCAAGTACTAAAGTAAAAGCGCTAGAAAGAAACTGAAATGCCGGCAATTTTAACACAAAAAGACATTGAGAGTTAGCCGCAATTTTATATTTCATTCCTAACAAAAAAAAACGACTCCAACCCTTTTTTTCCAAAATTGAACTTCAAAAAAGAATTTGGTGCATGTCTAGTTTTTAAAAAAGCTCAATGTAAAGCTGCGGCCCGTTGATTGCTCGACAAGTGTTCCGACCACCTTGTGACAGGTGCCTTAACTACGAGTTCCCTCTGTAGCAAAACAATTTCTGATTCGTTCAATTTTACATTATTGATTCGGTCTTACTTTACAGGGGCACCTACTGTGCAGCCCGAGTGTGTGTCACAGTAACTACTATTGCTGCTTTACTTTGCATAGATTTATCCCGTCTATTATTTGACAAGTGGCGATAAATACCGACTTATTATCTACAATAAATATTACCTCTTCAAATAATCGAATGGCGATGGCTTTGAATCTATCACTACTTAATAGATATAGAATGTCCAGAACTAGAATTTTCAAATTCGAAAATCGAAAAGTGCCTTAGTTAGGATTTAAACCAAATAACAAAAAAGCAAACCAAGCACTACCTGACTAGGAATTTATTTAGGAAGCTAGACTCGGCGACCTGTGTAGAAACCCTGACTCAGGGTCTTGAAGAAGCTTAGAAATACTGAATCCCTGACTCAGGCTTTCTACACAGGTTGCCGAGCCCAGTTAGGAAGACAGAAGCAAATATACAAAGTCGAGTGTACATTGATTCGATTTCAATTTCGCTGTACATCAATTTACTGAGTTTTTAAAAATGTTGCTTATCCGATATAAAAAAGACCTCCTCTCGAGAAACAGGGCCAATTCACGTAGCTTCTCATTCAACTTTTCTTCAAGCCTTGATGCGATTTTTTAAATCTACTAACTAGTTAGTATCTCTTTTTATTTCCATTTTCGTTATTTTTTTTACTTTGCGCCTCTAAAATCTAAACCGGGCAGTTACTACTTTTTGAAAATTGACGCATCTGACGAAGCAAAAACAAGTGCCAGTTCTTCTTTCCGAAACACGAGCACAGTTATAATTTCAAGAGCCAAGCCTTTATTTAATTAACAAACACGGTTTACCTAAATCTAAACTTATTAGATCTTATTACCGAGTCGGACCTCGCTGAATTCAAAAAAAAATTGCATCCAAAATCGAAAATTTCAAAATTCTTAAATTCCAAAATTATTTTTTTTTCTTTAGATTCCTCCGTTTTCTTTACGTTCTCTTGTATATTTTCGTTTTAGTATTATTTTCAACCTCTCCTTGTTAATCTTTCAGTTTGACAAACAAGCTTTCCATCCCATTTTTAAGTTTAATATTCCCGAAAAGTAAATTCCAATTTTAAAAGAAACCGATTTTTATTTCCAATTTTCAGTTGAGCCAGCATTTTCATTTCGCTAAATCTGGCCAAATTTAAGTTCCCAGTTTTAAGTTTCCCCGTCCTACAGTCAGTAGCCGCCCCTACTGTAGCTCGCTTTGCAACAACAACATCTAGCCTCTCTTCGAGTGCTTTTTTGTTTTTAATTTTAAGTTCAACTGTTTCAACTTTCTTCACCAATCTGCTGTAGACTCAATTTCAAAGTATTAATTTTCCTATCCTCTCTCTCTCTCTCTTTCTCCCTCTCTCTCACTTTTACTACCTGTAGGCTGGATATTGAGTGAGTAGTTTTTCATTTTACTTGTTTAGGAGAGCAAAAAAAAAACTCGAGAAAGCGGGGTGCTTTTTCTTACTGCACCTTGCCGATTCTCTTCCTTGATTTCTCTCCCTTTCTACAGCTGTTTCGTTAATTTTTTTCTTTTCATTTCCGATTCATACCTGTTTTTACCTTGCTCCATTTTGCGCTGATAGATAATTCCGTTTCCGTAACAGAAAGAAAAATATAAAAATTCAAGAGCGTTATCCGTGATAGGCTTTTCGATTTTAGCTCCCAAGTTAAAAAAAAGAAAACAACACTCTTCGCCTTTTCTTGTTGGTTCAGGATATATTCAAAGTGGCTGGTTACCAGACTGGCATATGTCGTTTGTAACCGATTACCATAATAAAGTAATTAAATGCACCATTGTTTCTTCCTTTTTCTTGCAGAGAAGATTGAGTTTCAGCAGGAGTTTTTGAGAGCAGACGATAGTAGAGCATAGATTACATACAAATATACTGGTACTCTCATTTCTGAAGGGCTTTCCGAAGATTTTCTACTAAAACTTGAAAAGCCGCTTGCGGGATATCTGGGCTCGCCAACCAGTGTTTAATACCTGAGTCAGGGTTAGGGTTATTCGACCTTCTCAAGGACCCTGACCCAGCTTTTCTACACAGGGTGCCGAGCCCAGACAGCCGCGCGTTTCTCAATTTTTAGTGACAAAGGCAGAAATTTAGTCAGTCAGAAATGAGAACCGCGGTAAATCTTATTAAAAATTGTTTATATTCTCGCATCATTGGTATTTATTGACTATTTTATGTTGAATTCGTCGCTGATAAATGTATTTTTTAAAGAATGGTTAGTGACATGGATAAATCCATCGATATCGCAGCAGGAAAGATCTTCGACTGGCTGCTAGACAGGCGACATTGCAGCGCAAAATGGGAGAAGCGCGTCTTGCCAGCTCGGGAAGCAGCGAAAGAACTCGAAAACGAGTTCGCCGATGACCCGATCTACAAAGAACTGATGAGTAGCTTTGGCTATAAAAGGAGCAGGGACGAGCTAGACTTTGTCTTCTGCAGCGAGCTGCTTCGACGAATGGAAGAAAAAGACGGCAGCGCCGGATGGACCGGAATCGGAGCCAGCAATCGCGTCAAGAAATGGAGCTCCGTCGTCTCTTCCTACCAGGTTTCTTTCTTCAACCTTTCGTTCGTTGATAATTGAAAGTTTTTGGAAGAAAGAAAACGCACATTGGGCCGAGTGTGCGACCAGCCTGACGCGTCTCTTGCAGAAGGAGCTCGTCTCCATCGAACGGAACTCCCAGAAGATCTCACAGAAGCAAGACGAGTGTCTGAAACGAAACGACGCTCTATTGAAATCGGCAGCTTCTTGTCTTACTCGTTACAAAGAAGCATGTAGCAAGCTATCTGTCGACTCTGCGCATCCGATCAAGCCGCAAATCCTTAAAGGTAAATCCGAAAACCATAACTTCAGGTCAGTCTTGAATTCTCAAATTAAAATAAACGAATCCTCCTATTGGATTTCTATAAAATGAACCTGCATGAGTAGCCTCAGAAGGACCTCGCAATTTTTGATAATCTAAGTAAATGTCCCTAAAAAATTCTAGAGCTCCATTCGATGCCGGAAAAGCTCCTGTCAATCAGCGAAAAGATCGCTTCCTTGGCAGAAGTTCGCGAATACTACCTCGACTTTGCTGCGAAAAGTTGCCAGCTAGAAATAACGACGCCATCTCTCGATGCATTGAAGTTGATCGGTGAGAAACCGGCCGCCACGGTCTTCGAATATCAGGAAGGACGAGCGCCGTCAAAAATCATCAGAGACGTGAACAGCGAGGTCTATCAAACGGACTTCGATCTGGTGGAAGAAGTCGAAGTCGAGGACGTTGAGTTTGAAATTGAGATGATTGAGGAGTTCGAATTAGGTACAGTCGTCATTTTATTGTTCTTCTCAAGATTATTTTTTATAGAAGAAGAGGACATTGAGATTGAAGAGGAAAGTAATGGAGTTCTCGTCAATCAAACTACAGGAACGCGATTTTACAAATGAGCCTTTATTTATTGTATTGATTTCTCCAAGCGACTTTTTGGTCATTCTTTCATATGAATATCGCTATCAAAGTGGCCAAAGGAAAACTGGCTCTTTACTTGATCGAAGACGCGGAAATACGCCAGAGTTTAATGGACGACATCGCGGAGCTAGAAGCATTTTGCTATGGCAGACAACGTTGGATTTCTTCAAAACTGATGATTTTGATTTCATTCTTTTAGAACTTGCCAGCGGCGAGGAACTAGCGAAGATGAACAATTGGGCGAAACTGATTGCGCAGATTGAGGCGGAGCTTGCTTCTCCTCAGTTGCAAAATTTCTTCAAATTGAGTGAATTTCCAGAAACAGCCGACAAAATCGTCCACGACTTGGAAGTTCACAAGGTACCAGTTCTCTCCTTGACGTTCCCTTCTCATCCCTTTTTAAGATTTCCGCTAGCAAGCGCGAAAACGAAGCGAAAACGGCGCTAAAGGAACGCGAAGAGCTGATAGAAGAGGGAAAACGACTCCAAGAAGAGAAAAAGTGCGTCTTGTTCCGAATTAATGCGTTGAAAAGTTTCATGGAAAAAGCCCTGTCAGATCATTACTCTGGTCGGACGGTTCGAATAACGGGTTGTAGAGTTTAAAAATATACTGCTGTTGTAACTTACACATTTTCTTCATCCTTTTTCTGTGAATAGTGCTCAGCCAAGTTCATTTAATTCAGACGTGCAATCGATTAATTTAAAAGAATAAAAAAGTGGTATTTCGAATGCTTGTTTTAAGAAAGAGACAATGGAGTTTGTGGCGTACGGAGAAGGAGAAGGCGATGGCAGCAGTAGCGAAAGTATGGACACTGGACTCGGCCAGATGTCGGAAAAAGTGCAGGCGATCGCGCAAAGCCTGTACATTGAGCTGGAAGGGATGGTGCGCCAGTTTGGCCCGGAACCGGCGCAAACGGTGACGCCATTCCTAGTGCGTCTGTTGGAAACGCTCGACGAGGAGATCAAGCAGCGACGACAATGCGCGGCTGAATTGGAATTGGCCAAGGCCGACCGTGAACAGCTGCTGAATCACTATGAGCGCGAACGGGAGCTGCGAAAAAAAGCTGAAGAGTCGCAATTTATCGCTGAGGATGAAGCGGATTTGGACAAATCGGCGCTGCAGGAGCAACTGGAGGATTTAGAAGGACGACTGCGTTATTTGGACACGAAGGCGCAGAACTATGATGATATTTCGAGGAAAACAGCGGAGACGGAAGAGCATTTGAAGCAAAAATACGCTGAATTGTCGAAGCGACACGCAGAAATCCTGCAAAAGTACATTGGATTAAGCTTGGGCTTAGAAAAGTATTCATTTTTTTTGTTTGAGTATTTTTCGTGTAGGTCATATAAAGCTAAAAAAGTGGGTCGACCATAACTTGGTAGAAGAGAGACCAGGGCGATAAGAATCAAGTTCGTTCTAGTCCCCCGTGGAGAGTTTCTCGAATGGGGCGCCCTCTTTTGCACGTGTATACAGATATAACAGGGTTGTTCTGCAAGAAAAATAATAACAAAAAATAGATTGATTTTTATGAAGAAGACCATCAACTGTTATAAAATGAAGCAAGAGCAATGCTCTTGCTCTTAGAGCATGTGGTGGAACAGGCATAGAATGGCCACCAAAATGTGACTCCTATCGAATAAACAATCATAAACAGTCAAAATTTATCAGTATTGTTTTGTATATTTTATTCATTATAAGAGCTTATCAGAAAGTGGTCAGGAATACTGTCCCCTCCTGTGACCCTATATACAGGTTTCTAAGCCCAAAACTAAGCGAGGAAAACAAATCGTTGCGGACGAGTCAGAGCTCGACCCCGCTTCATGAGCAGCGGGCGCCGCCGAGAATCAGTTCGAAATCGTCGACGCCCGAAAATGTCACCACAGAAACATACAACATTAACATCATCAACCGATCTGACCAGTATGAATCGTCTTCTGGCTCCGACTTGAGCTCTCGAAAGCTGGAACACAACAAGTCTCTGGACGAGGAATTGAAGGAGTCACAGTCGAGTACGCAGTCTAAGAATCACTCGCCTTTCACAGATACGAGTAGCGACATGATTCCCGAAGACGTTGAGGAGTTGATCGCAAAGACAGATGCAGCCAGTGTGAGCAAAGATACGACAGGTTGTGATCTCTCCACTCAAGCTACTTTTGACAGCAACAGGTAAATTTAACTCCTTTTTAGAACCCTTATCCTCCCGAACCCACCCAAAACCCCCCGAAATAAACCCACCTAAAATCCACCTATGAACCGCCCAAAAACCCATCAAATTCTACAAAAGGCAGTAAAGTTAACATAAATCGTCGTGTAGTATTTCGAGCTCACGGTCAATTGCCGATCTGGAGCAAGAAAACTCGAGGCTGATGGAGACAAAGAATGCACTCAACGTCGTCAAGGATGATCTGCTCAGAGAACTGGAAGAAATGACGAATCGATATGCAACGGTCAAAGTCGAATTCGAAAAGGCAAAGAAAGAAAAAGGTTCGAATTTGATGATGATTCTATATGCATAAGTACTGTTTTCAGACATTGTCTACAAACGAATTAGCGTGGTAGAAGCTGATCTAGCAAAGATGCGAATGTCGCATGCGACATTGGAGCAAAACGAGGATCAAAACGAAGGACAAGATGATGAACCGACCGAGAAGCGAAAACGATTCACGCGAGTTGAAATGGCGCGAGTACTGATGGAACGAAATCAGTACAAAGAACGGCTGATGGAGCTGCAAGAAGCGGTCAGGTGGACGGAAATGCTCAGGGCCAGCAAATACGAGCAACTGGAGGAGAAGAAGAGCGAAAGTACCAACGCGCAGAACTCGAGTGGCAAAAGCGGCAAAAGTGGCGGGATCTACAAGTTTTTCTCCAGCCTCTTCGGTGCTTCAACGGACAGCTCTTCTTCTGGAACTCATGGGAAGCACGTTTCGCATTCAAACTCGGATACTTTCGATTTGAAATCGCCGAGCTCTTCTATTTCCCCGTCCAACTCGGCCGAGCTCAGCGAGCTTTGCAAAGTAGCTGGATTTGTTCAGGTAAAAATGTTCTTTACTTCCTTGTCTTATTGTAGCCCTCAGAATACCGAAAAGCACATGTCCCAAATGTCAGGCTGGATCTTGCCGGAGAGCGAAGTCGACAGAGCCTACACGTCAAACATCCCAATTCCCAACCATTGTGCTCCTCTTGCTGATAGTGACTCCGCCAATTCAAAGGAAACGTTAATTTTTTAATCATTCTCTGTTCAAGAGCCAAGTTTCGAAGCTCCAACGATTGAACTAGCTTAATTTTATTTTAACACTGTTACAGATTTGGTGCGCTACTTGTATCGACGCTCCTGAGCCACTCATTTGCATCGTCTCTGCCTCGCGAGCGAAGGTAATTTACTATCTCCTTTTACACATTTTTTGACATTTTTCTTTTTTAGGCTTCGCGAATCACAATCTTCAAATCCTCCGAACCTCAAAAGCAAATCAACTCGTTTACACTGCGCGATGTCGTCGTGCTCTGTCAAATCTACATTCCGGGATGCCCCGAGCCCAAGAATCCAGATCCCACGCTCAAGCAGCCGATCACTACGCGGCCAGATAGCATTGATGCTACTCAAGGAACACTCTGGTTCGGCAGTCAACATGGGATTCTTTATGTTCATAAAGTCGCAGGTAAAAACCTTTTTTTTTTGCAGCTCTGATCAAGTGCCCTTGAAATGAGGGAAAGATTTTTACAAACAAACTGTTAATAACGTCGAAATTTAGTAACTCCAGAAGACACCAAAGCCCTGGGTCAGTTGCGTCTTGCCGATTCAGTCGTGAGTCTCAACTCTTGCGAAAACTCGCTGATTGCTGCTCTGGCAAATGGGAGCCTGGCTGTGATCCGACAGATCAACGGCGTTTGGAATTTCAGCGACGTGAACATCATTGACTTTGGCGCCCCTCACTATGCAATCGGCTGTGCTGCCTACATCCCTGAGACCAAGAAGCTTTGGTGCGGCTACAGAAATGAAGTCAAAATCGTTCCAGTTTTGAAAGACGATAAAAGCGAGATGAAAACGATTCAAGCGCATCCTCGAAACGAATCGCGCGTTCGACTCATTTCCAAACACGGTGGTGGCGTTTGGGTCTCCATTCGTTTGGACTCGACTCTCAGATTGTACGATGCAAAGACGGGGCAACACTTACAGGTAGGTTTGATTCTTTGTTCAACTTTGAATTTGACAATCTAGGACTTGGATTGCGAGCCCTTCGTTTCAAAAATATTTGGCGACTCATTATGCGATCGTCCTTCGTTCTCCTTCGTCAGAATAACTGCACTCCACGCAGGCAAAGATCGACTGTGGATCGGCACTGGCCATGGCATCGTTCTAGCCATTCCTTACAAGCAAAACTTCAAAAACTCGGTAACAGTCGAATGCTAAAGACACGCTATCTTGAGAAAAATCTTCTTAGGAAAACAAGAAAGAGTTCAAACTTCCCGAATGTTCGATGAGTGCCGCTCTTCTCAGCGTCCACGGATTTCGTGAAGCCGTCAAGTTCTTCATCAATCTTGGTTGCTCAGATTCTGGTATGTTTTGGAGAGGTCTATTTGGGGTTAGGGTTAGGGTCTATTAAGAAGCTCTTCTTTGTGACATCCAATTGAGGATTCAATCAACCCCAGAAAGACCCCGTAGAATGTCTCCCGACTCGTAGAATGTCTCCAGAGCTCGCATAGTTTTAAAACACTAATTTTCAGAACGCATCGCTGCCGGTGGAATTGGCTACATTGATTTCCGAACTGCTAATCAAAGTAACCTGTCGACATCTTCAGACATGCTTTCAAAAAGCTATTTCCTCTGCTGGCAAAACTGAAACTCCCAATTTCCCAAAATGTTCTTTCAAACCCATTTCATTTAAAAAACAACAACGATTCTTCAAACATTCAAACTCCATGTTATTGCTTAAATCTTCATTCTCCCGATTTCTTTCTTTCATGTACGTCTTTATTTACCTTGAAGTCCGCTTAATATCCTTATTTTTTTAAATTCGACCTTCTCGCCAAGAGGAAGTCAGTCTTCAATTACGATGATTTCTTTCTGGCCAAAGGGTCTATTTCATTGAGGTTGGTAACAAAGATCCGGATTTTCGAGAGGGCTTCTCTTCAGTAATTAACATGGAGGCCCTCTTCTATTTATCTTACCAATAAAAAGGTCATGCATTCATGATTTCCCTTTAGTGGAAAAATAAGGGGGTCAACTTGTTAATTTTAAGGGAAAAGCAACTCAGAAAATCCGTGTCTTCATGTGTACATCCTTAAGTTTATCAGCTGCTCATTTTTTTGATTCTTTTGATGAATATCGACCTAAATCATCAGTTTAACTCTTCTATCAATTACAGTTTTAACGATCCCCATTTTTTACTATCAAACCCGTTTTAACCTTTTTGTGTATTTTTTAACCCGTTCAACTTGGTTTTTATCCCATCTTTTATCCTATATTTGTTGCTTCAGTTTTCAAAAAAACACTTTCATGAAACTTTCAAAAAACTTCTTTTCTGTTCCGAGTAAATTCATTTCTTTGTATTGTTGTAATGAAAAAATAATAAATAAAAGAATTTGATGAGATTAAGAAAAATTAAAGAAAAATGAACGGTAGTTGGGCTGGAATCCAATCGCGATACGGACCTGCTCATTCCGACCGAATGGCATCGAAAGTGACGGATGCGTTTCAAGACGGCGGCGAGCCATCGATGGACGTCATCAATACCATCATCGCTTCTTATGCGGCGTCGACCTGCGGCGAGTCCGAAGCTGGATGCGCTGCTGATGACTCAAACACGAACCCGATTCTGTCACGGTGCCAATTCTATTCCATTTGAATTTATTATTTTTGAAATTTTCGAACGCTTATTTGTGAATTGGTAAAAAGAACGACTCTCGAAACTACCGTAGTTCCCATGGGTCGCAAATGATTCCTCCTCGACATTCGACTCCGATCAAGAGCCACGTCAAGGATCACAGAAGAGAGCAAGAGCAGCAAATGAGCGAGTTTGTCCATCCACTTGCCATGAAAATCCAAAAAGAAGGTAGTCGTTATTCAAAAATCCTCCGAAATCACGTGATTCCAAGAAAACACGACCGACGACAACCACTCCAACGCCGCCACGGATCAGTCTGACAACAGAAGTGAAGGCGGCGAGTCCTATCGCGAAATCACCAGTGGCATTCTTCACTCGATCTCCGTCGTAACCAAAAAAGTAAGCAAGCTACCTTTGTGCTCAAAATCTAGCGCTGTCTTCAGTTGAATTGGGCGACCCAGCAGCTGGAAGAGACTTCATCCCTCGAGGCTTCGCTCAACGCGGTGAAGCTCATCTCAGAATGCGCCAATTCCATCGCCAATTTGAAGAAAGCACGCTCGACCAAATGAAAAGTCGAAAATTAGAGAACACTAAATCCATTTTTACCTGAATCCGTGAATCTTCCTTGTTTTCTCATCTTTCTTTTCTGTAACCAAAAAAGTGATCTTAGTGCAATATTAAAACAATTATTTCCTTAACTATTACTATCGGGAAAGATCTGTTCTTCCAGTAAAACTCGCGAGTTTTACTGTTTTAAGTTTATTCTTATTTGAAACTTCTGTATTCTGAATAAAATACGGTGTATAAATCAAACAAACCAAATATTTAGAATGCTACTGAGGCATTCTTGATTTTTATAACCCCTTTTAAATTGACCTTTTATCGCATGAAATTTTAAAATACTTGCAGGATACTCAATGCAGCTTCAGCCCCTCCCTGGGCCTCCCATATTATCAACACTCATAGCTTGCAAAAAGCCAGGCAAGCACAGTTTCCAAACTTGAAAAGAACGATTCCAAATAGCGACATATGGATCTGCGCATATAAACGGAAAAATTGTATATGTTGAAAGACTTTATTTTTGTATCTGTACAGCGCACAGAATTATCCATTGCGGAAGTACACATTGTATCTTCGTTAATTCTCAATTACAAGACTTCGCCAGCGAGCAAATAGGTTCCACTATCTTCTTCGGCCCAGCTGAGACGCCATTCTTCGTCATCTTTACAAATGTCTTTGCGTTTCCGAGACTTCTCTGTCCCCTGCACGAGAAGTTGCAGACGATCTTGGTTCCTCGGGGGAGCAGCTTGCAGTTTTTCGTCAAGTTACTGTTTGTCCATGCGGAGGATATGTTCGAATATGGCCCGTACTTTGAGCAGTATTTCTCGAAATCGGTATCATTGTCGACGCTCAAAGCTAGAATTAAAATTACACTGACTGAGATTTTTTTCCAAAGTTAAATTTACCGTATGAACAGAACTTCTCCGGCTTAGCCATGGGCGCTTTGGGGTTCGGCTTGAACTGTTTATTTGGTCTACAGGTAACAGCGGCGAGGTTTCCCTTCCTTGATCCCGCTGGACACGTATATTCGCATCGCCCGCTATCGTTGCAGGAAAAGGTAGGTGTGTACTTAACTGACGACTTTGAATTCTTGAAGCCGTAGACTTCAGCCGGATCGCCGCATCTCGTCGGCGGGGCGACAAACGACGGCTTAGAGAAAGTCGGAACAGGGGCCTTAGCTCCTCCCGAACTTCCGGCGCTGGCTTGAGCTGCTGCGTTCACTGCGTCATGACGCGTCACGTGATCGTAGACGGCAGAGACACCCGCTGCTGTTTCTTTCATTGTTCGCTCGAGGTAGGTGTCCGGTACTACGAATCCGAATCTGATAGAATGCTGTTATTGATGAAATGTCATGAAAAAATGGAACTTACCGGCCCTTGTCACGCAATTCGAGAGTGTAGGAAATGTTGATGCCGTTTTTGTGAGCCCAATCGTCTGAACCGCCAGCAGCTGGATAAAAAATTGTTCGCCCTAAAAGTAATTAACAGTAGCTGCTAAGTATCGTGAGCAATAAAATTTCCTAGAATGAGAAGAAATCGTATGCCGTCAGTTCCTGAAAATAAGATATAAATCTAACCTTGTCCGTATGTCCATCTGCTAGGATGATAGTCCCATTCTTTGTTTTGATTGTATATTCTGTCAGTCATTTCTCCTGCCAAACGGTAGAGTTCATCGCTTATGGTCTAGACCCCCTCCAAGTGTTGTAATAAATCTCACATAATTGCCCCCGTTCAAAATGTGTTTACAAACAAATTTGGGTCATTTATAATAACAACATCAGGAGCAGACGGAATCAGTAGACACGAGGGTTGAGAATCTAGACCGTGCCTAGGTAGTTGTGTGGTCGAGGTGCGTCGATGGCGTACGTGTACGGAAAGAGAATGACCTCAGCGTACGAGTGCATGGTCAAGTACGCTTCTGGCTTGACAGAGAGGATGTATTCTGTTTTCAGGGAAACGAAGTGAACACTCCACCTTGACGGGTTCCCTTATCTTTCCCGTTGCCTGAATGCGCCCGTGTCTCTGGCTCTGAAAACGCGGATGCTCCTTGATAAGAATCGTCTGTGCACCATTTCGATGCGCCAACCATCGGGTCACCCAGACGCCACATCGCATCGTAGTTTCTGTTCAAATCAACCCCGATTCCACGGTACTCGCCGCAGCCGGACATGTACGCGCCCGACTCAATCTGACTTGCGCGCGTCTTTGCATCCGTATTGGGGTTTCTGTTCTTTCTCCAGAATCGATCGTGGGTGTGCGTGAATTCGTATCCGTCCGGATTGACCACGGGCATGATGTGCCACTCGACGCCATTTCGCATGAAGCCGAATTTGGAGGAAGTGTCGTCCACGAGCTGCCCGACCAAATACTGGCAGAATGCGTGGCTGACCCACTCGCGCGCGTGAATGCCACAATCGACAAAGACCTTGTGCGGGTTCTTCATGCCACTGACGTCGTCAATGACCAGGACAAAGAGATCGCGATCCTCCCACGACTTGCCGATCACCTTCTTCTCGACACCGTCCAACTGGGCGATTTGGTCGCTCCATTCGTAGATATCCTCCATGTTGTGATATTTGAAGTAATCATACTGGAGGTGTGAGTCTTCGAATCGGTTAATTGCTTGCGAATGTTGTACTCTTAAATACGAAAAAATCAGAAAGACACGATTTTTCAACACATGTCCAAATCATTCTATTACAAAACTAATCTGGTCGGTATGAGACTTTTTTGTACAACCATGAGGATCTGCAAAAAAAGATAACGCTCCTTATAAGTGGTCAAGACTATTTTCTATTCCTCAAGATCAGTAAGGTAAAATCAAGGAAATTTTTCAGCCCAAACACGAATAATTACGATTTGGCGCAGCTGGTTAGCTCCAGCTGCGAGGGGCTATATAAGAGCTTCGGAAAGGGATGAATTTAAACTTTTAAAAATGAAACGAAATCGTCAAAATCGTCGATCACAATTACTTCTGTAGTTTTTATCACTGAACGAAAAAATATTCGATCCAAATAAAAGTTATCCGTGATTTACCGAGCGTTTATTTTTCTCTTGAAACTTACTTGGAACTCTCTGCGGCCGAATCAGCAATCATTTGGTCGAGATTCGAGTGCATAATTCTGTAGTTCATTCCGGACATGTGGATCTCTCTAAGAACATCGTGTTTGTCTTCTTTGGTGACACGTGCTTTGATCGAGGCTGAGGGACCTTTTTTCGTTCATCCCTCTGATCAAATATTGTCCCTACGCGAGTTCTGAGTCCGAACCATCGCCGACCGACGAAATTAAAAAAAAGGAACAAAATCGAGTTGATCCAGTTTGAAAATCATTTTCAAAAGCGAAACTTTCCTCAGCCCTTCCTTGGAAGCTATCATTGAGCTTGATTCTAGCGAGCGAGTCTGGATACCAAAAGTCGAGAAAGTGTTTGTTGTTGATATCAACCAATGTGTCGAAATGCTCCTTGCTTTCGATGACTGCCTCGATGACGATTTCGCCATCGTAAGAGGCACTCTTCTGAGCAACAGCCGAACCTGCTAATAAGCACTTTTTCCGCGCTCGCAATTAGAAATAATACTCAAATTAGAAGGAAAACAAACTTGGCTCGGCAACTTGTCTATTTTAAAAGTAGGACTTGTTTTCCACCAGACAAGTTGGCAATCCTGTCTCAGAGAACAAGCCTGACTCAGGTTTATGAAGCTGATCGTTTCGGTCAGACCTGACCCTGACTCAGAGTTTTGCCCAGCTTTTTATTGGAAATGTATATTAGCATTCAAAAATATCAAGCATGTTCTATCTTTTTTGACTGTAAACATGTTCTGTGTTGAACAAAGCCTGTACTACACAGGTCAGGGTCATGGACTCACGGTTTTAAATTCTCTTATATTTTGTCAAGTTAGTACCTCCAAAGACGGGAAACAGTCCCTGACTCAGGGTTTTAGACAGATCAATTTACCGAGCCCAGGTAGTAGTTTCTCTTCGTTTCCGATCTCTGTATTTATACAATTTTCTTTCTCTATTTATGTTTATTGCGAGCCGCACCTGGAGGACCTTCATTTGTTCATATCAGTTTGTGTCTCCCTGTTCGCTTGGCATGGTCAGCATTCCAGCCCTGCGGAAGCTAGCCGCGCCGTGGCGCCGTTTCGACAGTTTATTATCTCAACATTGATCCACCCAGATTGTTCTAAAACTTCGTTTTTGCGATGTTCTAATCGTATTCGGCTCATAATATCGCCACCTAAACCCATAATACGCGCCGCAACTCTTAAATTTTTAAGCCATTCAAGACGACTCGCCCCATCGCATCGCCAAAATTCAAAATCAGCACTAACTTTTTGACAGTTTGAACATCACGTGACAAGTTTGGTTTCAAACGCTCAGGGTAAAATAAAATGCAACAATCAAAACGAGCTCGGTTTAAAATAAAAATTGTATATTCGTGAAAAAGAAAGAGAAAAAAATAAAAATAGTAAAATAGTAAAAAAGAGTGAAAGAAAATTATTCTAAGTAAATCAAGAAAACGGTGGCGGTCACAGCAAAGTCCGCTTCTTTCAAGTTGAATTCGACGAAGGAGTCGTGTTCTGTGTTGGAGAGCATTCGGGAGGCGACGGAGACGTCTAAATTTATGAGCATGGAGTAAAATGGGGGATTTGGGTAAGGAACCTTGGTCGGCGATTTCAATCAATCCCATTGAAACGATAAAACGGTATCGCTTGGGCACGATGCCCTTCAAGCGCAAGTGAATTTCGTCGTTGCTGCATTTGATGATTTCTTCGTCAGAAGCCGACTGGAATTTCTGTCCAGCAAAGTTTGCTAAAACATGAATAAATGGTATATTTAAGGGGGAGGTCGACGAGAATCGGGATTTCCGTGACCAAAAATGCGGAGAAACCCGATTAGATAGGAAAATTCTGACTTTTCAGATTGAAAGAAAAGGGTTTGAAAAATTAACCGGCAAGAAGCAGAAAAAAATTTTTTTTGAAAAATTTTTCAAAAATAAGGGTTGAAGTGGGGGTGTCTCGTGACCAAAAAATCTCGAAAACCGAGTTTTTTTTTCTTTATCAAATATAATTAATAAATAATTAAGACCCTTAAAAATTAACCGGCGATCAAAAAATTAAGGGTTACTATCATAAAAAAATTTTTCTTATTGATTAAAAATATTCGATTTTCGTCAAAATCGTCATTTTTACCCATAGTTTTCATAGAGAAAACCATTTTTTCATAGAGAATTTTACCAAAGTCGTGGAGACTTGGATTCTTTTATTGATAATGATTAAGATACCATTAAAAAACAATATCTTGCAAAAAAAATTTGGATGAAAATTGTTTTTGAGCGAAAAAACTAACTTTTAACTTTCGAAAAATCTCGGATTTCGGACAGAAAATCGAAAATTTTCTTAAAAAAGTTAACAAATGCGCAAAAAGCTGGGGACCAAAAATGTTCCTTTTTATTAATGAATTCAAAAATATAATCGAAATTTTGAAAGAACGAAAAATTTTTCTCGTCGACCCCCTCCTTAAGCATTTGATCAAGCTCGTTGTTATTTGAATTTTCCACTCAACTCCTAGATTCAAGCATTACCTCTTATGGACTTCTCTAGCACAGCTCTTACTTCTCGCATAACTGCTTTTCGATCTGGAGACATTTTGTATGTGTTCATGTATTTCGGGCCAAGGGCGACAGCTTTGAACCCAGTTTGGCTTCCATCGTTTGAGTACTAAAACAATTACCGGAGTGCAAGAATTTAGTAGAATTTTCTTACCGAGAAAATTGACGCCGTCCGTTGCTTCATCTCTGGTTGAAACATGGAGCTGCGTCTAGCCGCGCGGGCTTTGAAGCTTTCTGTAATTTCGATTAGTACCAGGTACAGGAAGTGCTCGTGTTACGGAGTTGTAAGTGGGAATCAAGGTTACCTGGATTTTTATTGTTTTCTGCCATCCCGCAGGGTCTCCTAAGCTCGACTGCGAAAAAGGGGAAGAAAAACGACTCAGTAATAATATGTTCTAGAGATCGAGTGTGAACCTTTTCAAAGTCATCCACGCTTTTACGAATATAGACTATATTATATAGTCTGTATTATTTTTATTAACAGTGTTAAGAGACAGATTGTCAGGGATTGATTTTTCTAGTCCTCCAAGTCTTTTTGCTTCATTTTAGAAAATAATATTCTTCTTCATAAATTCTGGCTCCCCACAGTTTTGAAATCAGCTTTATGCATTACGTCGACCAAAAGAGGGCGCCAGGTTCTGGCTGATCTCCCGGAGTTGGTTCGATTCTTATCGGATCTTATCTGTTGTTTGAAAATTTGAGTGTTAGTAACAAAAAACTTTATTTTAGAAAATTTCATTTTGCATTATTTCAAAATAATTGTCGTCTATGTTTTTTGAGCAAAGACAGAAGTGAGGAAAATGAATAGGCTTGTTGACTATCGAGTTGTATTTCGTGCATTTGGCCATGTGTTCGGTTAGATAGTACCCCTGGTGGAGCATCTGGGGGATTAATAAGGGGCTCTTTGCATTTAGCTGGCGTGCGATAGGGCCAATATACCATGATCGGTGTCATCGAAAGCGTGGCGACCCCGAATTACTGAAATTGAAGAAATCGCAACAGAAAAGACAGATGAATTGAAGAAATCCCCATTTGGTCCTCTTTTGGCGAAAATAAGAAGTTGACGATTGCGGCGGCGGGGAAATAAGAGAATGCGCCCTTATTATATTCAGAGAAGAGCGAAGATTGAGGTTTGACAATTAAGGATTCAGACACTTGAATCCAAGCACTTTGGGGAAGAATGGACGCGACGTTAGAACAACCACTGTCAGAAGCAGAACTTGTCGTCAATATTGGTAAGACACAAATAATTTTAATATTTTACTTTTTGCCTGAAAATAGAGAATTCGCAGTCCTTCGATTGAAAGAATAATCCAGTTAAAAAGGCGGTAAGACTGACAACCTTTCTTCGATCATTTTAAAGTTGCGTGACGTGATTTATAATTGCGTATAACTCAGACTTTTGATCATAACTTTTAGTGTTAATTTCATTCAAGAGATATGAATCATCATCATATGATACTTGAAAATCGCTTTCGAGATTTTCGTTATGAACCCGTAGGTGTTGTTAGCATTTTTGCAGTTGTCAAGGAAATTTTGTCAATTTATGATTAGACCGATTTGATTATTTATTATGGTTTCTGTTTTTGGCGTGATTTAATATGGTTAAAACACTTATTTACCGTTATTGTGAGCAAAAAACTTGATTCATTTTTTTGGGGAGAGAATGGCCGAAATCTACAAGGATTGTCACTTTATGAAATTCTAGCAAAAGAAAGTTTAAACTCTCTTTTTCTAGTTTAGAAAGTAGGCTCTTCAATTTGCTAAAAAATAGAGTGTTTTGGAGGATTATCGGAGATTCTAAGTACTAAGTACCTCGTCGTGTCTTGGCTTACATACTTAGGAAATATCGCGAGGAAAACAGTAAGTTCTGGTGATTAATTGATTAGCTCGTCGATAGAGCACGTCTTCGTCCTCAGAGAAATGTGGTATTTGTGGGCAGCCTATCTCTCACTTTCTTTTCTATACGATAAAATATTCATCCGCCTTCACGATCCTGCAGCTTTCCTCGCTAATTTACAAAGTTTTAATTGCTAATTAGTGTCCAAACGGACAATTTCCACTTTTTTTTATAGACCATGCCTGACTCCTTACCTTCCAGGCGTCAGAAAATCAAAGAGGACCAAACAAGAGACACCATTTTTAGCCGGTATCAATTGTTTTCGAACATTTTAAATTCTAACCCCGTTCTTATGATTTGAAAAAAAAAACTCTCAAGACAAAAATTGAGCGATTATTTTTCGGAGAATTCCAAAAATTTCGCTCAGCTCAACAGTCTGAGCCAGCTCAAAAATCAGTTAGGTTCAATTTGAATAAATTCACTTAAATTTGAGTAATATCAGCTCAATCTGAGCAAGCTTAGCTTACCTTGAGCACTCTCAGCTCCATACAAATCGGCTTAGCTCGAAATCCGAAAGCTCAGCTCAGTCTGAGCCAGCTCTGTCTTTAATGAGCCAGCTCAGCTCAATTTCCGCCAGTTTCGCTCAATTTTTTCGCACTCAACTCGATTATGATCTAGCTCAGCTTCATATGAACCAGCTAAGCTAAATATCAGTCAGCTGAGCAAAATATGAGCGAACTCCGGTCAATTTGAGCGAGCTGAGCCAGTTTTTTATTAAATTTGAGCGAGCTAAGAAAAATGTAAAAATTCACTAATCTGGACTGTTGGCAGATAAACTTGATACCGAATTGAATTTTGCATATTAGATTCCAATTACGGTAGTAAGATGTAGCATTGAGTCTGATCTTGGTTAATTACTGTATTTTTCTTCAGGAGCTGAGAGTTCGTACTCGTCCGAAACGGGAGTTTGGATCTCGGAAGAGGCCGCCGCTAATCAGAAAAGGTCAGAAGGGTGATTATGTTGAATTGTTAATTGATTCGCATTTCGGTGAAGAAGAATGCTGGCTTCGGGAAAAGTGGGGAGGAGTGGGACAAAAGGAGCGGGCGCGCCGTCGACGCCACCACCCGCTCTTGGAAGCTCGGCTGCTCTTGGACTCTCGCAGAACACGAACAAACTCCAAAAGAGAAAAAAAGGAGAGAATCATCATGTAATCAACGCGCCGGAAAAATGCGCCAAGAATAGACCTTCCGCCAGCAGCAAGAAGAAGAACTTACGCAGCAACCAAGTGCAGTGTTCATTCATACTCAGTTTAATTTAAAGAGACTTTGGAACACTCGTTGTTTGCCTCTTTGAATAATTTAACAGAGGGGAGGAATATAAATGGATAAACTTAAATTATTAAAAACAATTGAAATTGTGAGTTTTGGCGATTTTTAGTGCAATTTACAGTTAGGGCTGGCAATCAAGTCGAACAAAATCGCCTCTTTTCGACATTTATTCCCGATAAAATCGCTAGAATACAGTAACAAGCATTGAAGAAAGACTGAACCCTGCAAAAGAAGGAAAAGAAAATCTCGCTTTTCCAGGAACGAAAGGAATCGATTCAGATAGTAGCTTTAGATCGCTTTAGAATTGAAAAACGAGCGCTGTCACTTTTTGACTGTTGCGAAAAAAGTGACCGCCAAAGGGATGAAAATGAACAAGTGCGTCTTTGATTCTTGCCACTTGCGTATACAATAGCGTCTGTTCCAATTTTTCTTGTTTTTTCTTTCGCGATGAATAATTCACTTGGGCGGGATAAGACTCTGAGCGCGACTGACTTGAACTTTTTGAAATATTAAAAACTTAGAAGCGAGAAGCATTTAATGATGATGCCTCGATTTTAGCCGAAAAACAGAGAACTTCTGTCGAAATCGAGAATCAAGGAAATCCTGCCTTCCCACCCGCGCCGCCCGAGATTCGGGAGGAGAAGAGCCCTGCCAATTACTACAAAAATCAGACCGTCTTCGAAGATATGAGCAATTATTCAGCTACAAAACTTCATTGAAAAGGGCTTTATTTCTGGAGAAAACAAGTTAATTTTAAGGGTATCGACCTTGATTTGGGTATATTTTCGCTTCGTGGCTTCGTTTTTTTCCCTAAATATAGGGGGAGGTGTCTGGTACCGACAAAAAATTTCGACAAATTTTGCGTGGAAATTTTCAACCAATCAGAAGCCTTGATTCAGCAAGCTGGCCAATCAGCAGCCGTATAGCCGCCTACGCAAATTTTGTCGAAATTTTTTGTCGGTTCCAGACACCATCCCAAAAATAGAGCCCTAAAATCAGTACTAGCAACGGAACAAATCCACATCAAGGAAGCAATGGAGAAGTGATGACCCCCTTTCACCCATCGGAATGGGAGTACCAAGTTCGTCAATTCCAGCGATTCCTCCGCTGGCAACACTACCAGGTTTCGCCTTGAGATTCAACTTTTCAACTCTGGGTTTCTATTAAACATTTTCTTTAGCAAATGGCCCATGAGCAGAGATTAGAAGATCAAGCCACATTATGCGGGGTAAGTTTGAAATCAATCGCCACAGCAGATTTCGCCGGGATCATCTCCTGACGAGATCCCTTTGCCGCGTCTTTTGCTCAGATTTCGAATCTTGCTACTTATTAACTTTTCATTTTTTATTCTACTCCAACTAATGGATATAAAGGGCACTCATCTTTTATTACAGTCTGTTTCTGTTTCCTTCGTACAAGAAAAATAGACTTTGGTTTTTTTGAGAGTCCTCGTAAATTATCAAATTGGTTAGGGTTAGGGTTAGGGTTAAGATTTATTTATGAAGATTTTATTTCAAAATTATCACAGTGATACCCTTATTTTTTCTTATAGAAATTATTGAATAGAAATTCATAGAAAAATTTTCTATAAAGCCTTAGCTATTTCAATAATTTTTTGAATAAAAAATAAGGGTATCACTATGTTAAATCGTCCAATACAAACCTTAACTCACCCATACCCTTACTTTTACCAATCAATTTTATGATCTATTTAGCATGTTTTCTTGGATTAATTAAGGGTGTAACTTCATTAACTCTTACGGAAAAATTCACCTGAAAATTGAGGTCCTCAAAGTCTAGTCCTCAATGATCCCTTTTATTTCTAAAATTAAAAATTTTGTCAATTTTTATTTCTTCCCGTCGTTGGGGCTTATCACAGGGTCAGTCAGGGCTGGGAGTCGCGCGTAGGCATCCGTTTGATCGTTTGTGTCTTCTTGTGTCATAGAAATTTGGACAGAGAATAGCTTATCGCCGGCTTCATACTTTGGCTGCATCTAATATTGATTGTATTCAGATGTTTCGGGTGCTGGCGCAGTTTATTCATGCCCTAGGTAGGTGGATTACTGTAGTTTCAGAGCCACCCTGTTTTTTTTTATTCTGTCTTAATTGCGATATCAAATGGGAATTAAATGGAAATTTAGGCACGCTGCTGCTCATAACTGGTCTAATATGTCAATTGATTTCAATCGTCTCCTCAAAATGGATCAGCCACTTTCTGACCTCAGACGCCTCTGTCGTCTATTACGAAGGTTAGGGAATCAATTCCAGTTTTCCAAAATTTGTGAAAATGAACTTTTTATTCTAACTTTTTATTCCCAAAAAGGACTTTGGCATCGCTGCACTCAGCAAGCTGCTACTCCGATTTCTCAGGAAAGGTTATTGAATTATTTTGAAGAAATTTAAGGGATCCCCCCCAATTTTCCCAACTTTGACCCCTATCTACTTTTTACTCGTCTTGCGTGAGGGGCTGTATATGGGCTCAAATTGAAGCCCGTTTCTTGACGAGCAAATGCATGCACGATAAGCCCCTAGTTATAAGATTCACTTATGCTTTAGAAGCCGTCAAAGTGACTTAGGTTGCCAAAAACGGCCATTTTCGGCCATTTTCAAGTTGTATCTACTATTTTGTGGCCTTATGCATTGCTAATATTACTTCATTTTCATGAAGTTTAGACCCTTGGCTACATTTGCATGCATGATAAGTGTGATTGATAAAGTAACAGAAAAAAATTCTTACGAACAACTTTTTGAAGCCATTTTTACCCTTTTTTTAGCTTCAAATTGCTCTCTAGCGCCAATTTGTGGCCAGAAGTTCTAGTGCGGTTATTATATTCTTATTCAGTAGATTCTAGGCTTTCGATAGACCCCTTATTCGTCTACTTTTGATGACACTGAAAAGTCGAAAAAAATTACGATTTTCACGCTAAGTCAGGGCTCCAAATCGCGGGGGCGTGCGCCGGGAGCGGCCAAGTCAAACCGCGCGCGCGAACAAAACTCTTGGGCGCGAGGTGCGCCCTCCCCAAAAAATTCGGGAGCAACATTTTTCAGCGCTCACGGCGAGTGCCGGGCGCGCCCGAGCCTCTTGTTCGCGAACCAAGGGCTCGATCGCGCCTAGGTTCTGGCGGAGCGCGGATCGAGCTAGCAGCGCCGCGTCGATGTATAGGAGTACCCGGGCGAGTAACGCGAAGTCCTACTTCACGCGGTCGCCATTGATGTTTCAGAAAAGCTTTTTCGATTTGTTTTTTCTGTTAAACATATCTACATTCTCTCAGCATTCACCTCCCACTTTCAGATTTTCCTTATCACAATTAATTCTTGAGCTAGAGTGAAAAAGAGAAATTCAACTTCAAAAGGCATAAACTCCTGCAAACTTCATTTCTTCTCAACGAAATTTGATTCACCGAAAAGCCGAGAAAATTCTGTACTAAAGTTACCTAATGGGTAGGCTTATAAGATGAAAATTCGGCCCATCTTTATAAGTTAGTTTAGAGGTTATATGGCACAGTTTTGGAAAGCTCAGAAGCTGAGCTATCATTTGGGCACCATATCAAGGGGTCTGGTTTATGCCCGCAAGCCAATTCATGAGACCGGAAGTTCCGAAATCGGCACTAGATCTCTTCAATCGAATTTTTTAGTACCGGTAGTCACTCGAAATGGCTTTAGAATAGGCGCGTTAGAAAGCGCAGTGTCTGAGCTTTCCAAAACGCTAATAAAATCTAGCTGCCCTGCTACCTAGTGGTCGCTAGGGGCGCTAGAAACTCAAATTTGGCACCGTAAATGGGATTTCTTGCACTAGAACTTGCTCATTTGGTCGAAATTTAAGGCTTGAATTTGTTAATAAAGACGTAAACATCTTAGTAGTGACGTTTAACAGTGACAAAACCAACCGGTTGAGACCAAGATTATGCAGTTTTCTTCCTAGAAATCCTTAAAATTCACTATTCTAGCGCCCCTAGCGGCCACTAGGTAGCAAGGCAGCTAGATTTTTTTAGCGTTTTGGAAAGCTCAGACACTGGGCTTTCTAACGCGCCTACTCTGGAGCCATTTCGAGTGACTACCAGCACTCAAAAATTCGATTGAAGAGATCTAGTGCCGATTTCGGAACTTCCGGTCTCATGAATTGCCCTGCGGGCATAAACCAGACCCCTTGATATGGTGCCCAAATGAAAGCTCAGCTTCTGGGCTTTCCAAAACTGTAACATATGACCCCTAAACTAAGCTAGAAAAATGAGCCAAGTTTTCATCTAATAAGCCTACTAATGGGGTTATGAAAACAATCACCAGCCGAGTGGAAGGTGAGCTTTTCCGGAGTGGATCGGTTCCACAGCGGGCGTTCGCGTTGCGCGAGGCAATATTTTGGTTTGTTTGCGCTTGATTCCCGCAAAGTATGTGCTAATAACTATGTTCCATAGTCTTAGACTACTCTAAGACTACTTAGACTCCATAGTAGGGATTACAGATTCTTATTACTTTAATGATTTTCATAAGACCTCATAAGATAACTTTTCAAATTTGAATTTCAAAATTGAAAGTGCTGAATCCATTTGAAGTTAAACTTTTCTTTCGTCGATAGCGACTGAATTCAGAATGATAGAGAAAAACTTAAAACTACAAAAAGAATTTTTGAAAATAGCTCATGTCGAAATTCATAATGAAGATAATTCATCATAATTTTGAAAGATATTCTTCAGGGGAAGATTCTTTCATTCAATTTTCACAAACTGATCGATTATAAACCGAGAAAAGAGGCGCAAACTCGGACCCGCCGGCGCTTTCATTTTGAAAATTTGCTCCCCAACTTGCTCGGGAGGGCGCCGCTTGCTCCCGAGATTCTCGTTCGCGCTTGCGTTCAAACTCTGGCGCTCACGGCGCGCGCCCCCGCGATTCGGAACCCTGCGCTAAGTACATTTTACATGCATTTTCGCGATTTTCAAGTGCAAAAATTTTGGGTAACGATGTCTGTAATGGGGTACAATTATACATCAAAATGATCCTTAGGAAACGAGGAATTTAAATACGGCACTAGTACACCCGTCATAAAGATTTGAAAAATCAGGGGGGGATCCCTTAAGAGAGGAGAAAGTTTGATTACTGTCTCTCACGCGTGCGAGACAGTATGAGTATGCGTCCGAGTCAGAGAGACCATAATAGAAAATCAGATAGGATTGTGTAGTTTTTATTGAAATTATTATTAGTGGGTAAAATGAAAACTTGAGCATAAAATAGTAATTCGTAGTAAAAATTAAGCCCTCATACAGACTAATAACATTTGTAACTTACAAATTGTAAGCAATATAATTCTAGGATCCTAACGAACGGTATTTCGATAACTTTTGAAAGTGGGCTTGCTGGAATTGGCGTGGATTTTCCAATGGTCAAAAGCTCGATGAAAATTCGACTCCAATCAGGTTCATATTTAGAAAGAGAATTGGTGCCAGAAAATTATCTATTCAGCGTTCTTGGAGCGCGAGTTCTACTTATCAGCGCAATAATTTGTTCCTCTCTTGGATCGGCCATCGTCTGGCTCGCGTGCAAGTGCTCAGTGTTAATACAGGATGGTGCAAAGCCGTGTGTTCTGCTTCTAACAGGTAGTGGCTGATTTCCTCGCGAATGTAAAACAACGGTCTTATGAAGGAGCGCTCGCCTGCATCAGTGGAATCCTGAGCGGCACGGGAGTCACGTGGCGGGCCATTCAGGTGCTCAAAATGTCAAACTCTTTCTACAACCAAGAAACTATCTCAAACTCGAACGACGAGCTAGCTATTAGTTTCGATAGGAACGGATCATTGAATCTTTAAATCCGGAACTCGTATTCTTGAGTCCAGAATCTGGACGAAAATGAAACAGTAGCTGATCCTCAGAAAAGCGGGGTCTGGTTTGGATGGGCTAGCATGGTCTTTCTAGTGATCGCCGGAGTAATTCTAGGTAAAGAAACAGGAAGGAAACATAAAAGACTATTGAAAATCTTCAGCTCTGGCGTCGCGACTGCTCCAGCCTCGCCGCTCGTATCCCCTGCATTCCACAATCACGCAGCCTGTCTCAAGATACACCGAATACCTCTGAATTCACAACTAGAATTGTTCAAGTTTCACCGCTCAACGCCAAAACAAAAGCAGATTTACTTTACCCTGCAAAGGAGCGTTTTATGCTTCTCTTTCCTGACAGATAATCAACGAAGAATAAATTAATCTATTTAATGATTTTCTATATTGGTTTTTTTCTGCTAAAAGACAAAAAACAAGGAAGAGACAAAAAGATAGTTCTAATTATATTGCGCTTCTAACAGCAGATCCAAAAATTAATTGATTCTATGGAGAAATAACCTTAAGAATCTTGTCCTCAGTGAAATCAGCTCGGCAGAAAGGGCATGTCTTCTGAGGAAGAGAAGAAAGGCAGCCGAAGCAACCTTTGTGACCACATGTTATCAAGACGGCTTCGGGGTGATCGTTGCCAAAGAGTTCAAAACAGACCTTGCATTTAGGCTTTTCGTTTTCTTCTTCCCCGTTTGTTTCATCGGACTCGTCGGACGAATCTAAAATTTATCAAAGGACTTATCATTTACTAAGTATTACCCAGATCGCTGTTCTCCTCCTTCATAGCATTTTCTGTGAGGATCAACGATCGCTTTTGAACTCTTTTGCGCCAGTTTCTATTCTTCTCTAACTCTTCTCGTGCCTTATTCTCCTCTGTTTCTGCATCTTCAAGAGCTTTCTTCGCCGTAGCCACCTTTTTCTTTGCATCTTCAACTTTCTCTTCTGCGACCCCTTCATATTTTCTCGCTTCTTCATAGATCCGATTGACAATGCACACAATTTCGTATTTATCTAAATGGATGTTTAAATTCTTGATATATGTGGTCTAAATTGTAATTTTTTTACTTACTCTCAGCTGGCAACGAGTACGCAGCTTTATCACAGCATGAACCAACAAACCTCTCGCGCACACTGAGTTGATCGGATCCACAGCCTCCAACTCCGATTGCAATGCATATTTGCTTATCCTTCATGCTCAATATTTTCTCTACATCTTCTGAGTTAATAGAACTCTCCTTCATAACCCAGTTGAAAAATCTGTCGAGGCAAACTAGCCCGATTTTCGTTTCAATTTCGTATTCACTCAGCAGCCGTCGAGCGATGATTTTTGATAAGAATCAACACAAGACACGTTATTGGACATTTTAAAGCCATCAATTACATCATAACCTTCATTTCTCGTTACAGGCTGTAACTTACAGCAATCAAAACTAAATTTCATTATGATAACATTTCTCAACAGATACACCGAATACCTCTAATTTCACAACTAGAATTGTCCAAGTTTCACCGCTCAACGCCAAAACAAAAGCAGATTTACTTTACCCTGCAAAGGAGCTTTTCTTGCTCCTCTTTCCTGACAGATAATCGACGAAGAATAAATTAATCTATTTAATTGAACTTTATGAAAATTGAAATCAACAAAGACGGAAGTAGAGGAAATAAATTTATTGAGCTTCTAACAGCCTACGAAAAGAGTGTGATAAATTGAAAAAGAAATCAGTCAAAAATCTTGAGAATCTTGTCTTCAGTGAAATCAGCACGGCAGGTTGGGCATGTCTTCTGAGGAAGAGAAGAGAGACATTTGAAGCAGGCTTTGTGACCGCAAGTTGTCAAGACGGCTTCCCGGTGCTCGTCGTCGAAGAGTTCGAAGCAGACCTTGCATTTCAGCTTTTTGTTTTCTTTTTCCCCGTCAACTTCAACTAATTCGTCCGACGATTCTGAAGTTTATTATTACTAAATAGCTCACATTTTATAAAATATTACCAAGGTCGCTGTTCTCCTCCTTCATAGCGTGTTTTGTGAGGAGCACGGATCGCTTTTGAACTTTTTTGCGCCAGATTTTCTTTTTTTCTAGCTCTTTGCATGCCTCATTTTCTTTATCTTCCGCAAATTTAAGCACTTTTTTTGCATTCGCGACTTCTTTCTTTGCATCTTTAACTTTCTCTTCTGCAATGTCTTCATCTTTTCGTGCTCGTTCATAGATCCGATTTACAATCAGAACAAATTCGAATTTTTCTTAAAATGATGTTAACTTTAAATTTGCGTATGGTTATTCCTATAATTTAGAATGAATAAATTTAACTACTTACCAGTTGGTGGCAACCTAATAGCAGCCTTCTCACAGCATGAACCAACAACGGATTCGGAAAAACTGAGTTCCGAGCCACAGCCTCCAACATCATCATGACATTTCCATTTTTCATTTGAGTCAATACATCTGTTTATACCATCTAGGCTAACCGTATCTTTCATAGGGACGATTTAGAATTCTCTACCAAATAAACCGATTTTTGATCTGCCTCTCAGTAGCCGTCGAGCACTGATTTTTGATAAGAATGAAAACAAACATCTCTCTCATTACATCATAACTCTGATTTTTTTACGATAATCCAAACTTTTTCAATGACAAAAAGTTGCTCCTTAAAGTTCTCAACCCCTGAGAAGAGCTAGAATCAACAAATCAAAAGTGTATTTGTGCAAAATTAATCTCGAAGAACCCAACCTTCAAAATGGAAAACAAACATGTTCTTCACTCTTCTTCACCTTCTAGCTAAGGGTTTTGCCTGATAAATGATTCACGCGGGATTATAATAGACATTCAAATATATATATTTTGTAAAATGAGCATTATACAGAAGAAGTTTACATGGAACTTTTTTGAAAATGAAAATATACGATTCGATTAAATAGTAAAAGGTGGTAATACTGCAGGGAATTCGGTAGTCTTGTAACTGTAATGCAACTGTAACGAGCGCGACGAACGTGTAACGCGTGTCTTGAAAGGTTAAAAAAAAGCAGCTGTTACTGTAGTTTCCTCAGTAGCGCTTCCTCCTTGATTTTCGCAGTATTGTGATAGTAACTGGTGGTTTTTTTACAAGTGACCTTGGTTTTTTCTTCGACTGGGCACTGTATTTGGCCCGAGTGAGTTTGAAAAAGTGTGTTTTTTGAACTTTTACAGTAAGGCAACTGTTTAAATAGGTACTGTTTTGGCGGGTTGTGTCGTATGAATCATACGGTATGATACAGGCAGTGTTTCATTATTTTTTTCAACTAGAAGTAGGGTCTATATAATAAATAATTAATATAGTATTGAATCAAGCTACGATTCCGGGCGTTTCCAATTTTCGACAATGACAGTGTCGCGCCCGTGCTCCTGGACGCACTTGGTCAACGTCTGGAAGATGATTGGCATGCGGCGATTGATGGCTTCGATGTGCTTTTTGTGGAGAATAGGGGAGATCGGATCGTTGCGTGTTGCTTCTATCAACATCTTCGTCAGTAATCCGCCCTGAGAGAGGGTTGATTTTGGCTCTTGAAAATACAAAAATTCATGTTGAATCCCGTTTTTTTGAAAAATGGTCATAACAAGCCCCTTTCCTTTAGTTCCACAAGTCTGTCAAAAGTCGACTTTCGCAATAAACAGCACTGAGCGACTGGCGCTAGAATACTAAGCTCGTCGTGGTGCGGATTGCCAAAGGATTTCGCATTGTCGAGCAAAATGATCATCGACTCAGGCTGCTCGGCCCAGACTTCGTAATGGTGCCTATCCGCGTTGCCAATGATGAAGTCAAAAATCGCCATGTCCATCATGTCTAGAAGTCGCACGCCTTTGTCGTACGGCGGATTTGGCTTCACTGAAATACGAAAGTTTCCCTCGAGCGCACTAGAGGTGAGTCTTACCGTAAACGCTACAGTAATCTGGATCCGTCTCCCACTTGGCGCTCTTATCGTCTCGGTATGTCCGCTGATAAGGATGTCGTACCTTCTCCAAAGTGAACGTATCCGCCATCCAGAGTGTCAGGCTTCCTTCCATTATTTCACCCTGAAAGAAATTTGAAAGACGGAAAGATAATCAACAGAGAAGAAAATTTATGTCTTCTCTTTGTACTGTAGAAGTGTGGGCGAAAATGAGACAAATTCAGAGACCATAATAAAAAATCAGACCAGTGTCATTCTTATTTGCTTTAGTAGGCTTTAAGGTGATAAAGTGTTAGCTATAGCTATAAGATAGCGATAGGAATGATCAAAGAAGAATAGATAGTTCAACAAAATTAACCCTGAGTCATGGTCCTGACCCTTAATACAGATTTTCCCGCCCAGGTCACTAGAAAGTAAGCCGCGTAGTAGCGTTTAAAGATGATCTTACATGACCGCAGGCAAGCTCCGTCTCCTTGCAGTAGTAGCACTGTCCGTAGAAGCAGGTATTGCCGTTTTTCTTCTTGAAGGTATCCTTGAGCCGCTGCGTCGCAACCGGCAAGATCTCAGTTTCCAGGTTGATTTTGCGGCCAACGACAATCGGCGCTCGGCGAAAATTCAAAATGCGATCCAAGTGGAATGAAGCGATCTCGCCGTTGTGTCTGTCGTAGCCGTCGTATGCGTTGCCCTTGATCACGTGTTCACGCTCGTAGCGCTTTGGCTTGAAGATGGCGCGCTGGTTGCCTTGAAGATAGAACATCATCTTCAGTTGGGTTCCTTTCGTCAGAATGTCAGCTTTCATGATCTGAATTGAGTGTTATCAAAGGTAAATTTGAGTAAAACCTCAAATTTTACCTTGGTATTAGTCATGGCAAACATGAGCGATCCAAGTCCCTGGTGATTCTGCGGATAAACCGATCGCACTCGAAGCCAGTCCCTGGCGATTTCCCAGTGATTGGTATTAGCCTTTTCCTCGATCTTGATTCCAATTCGATCGATTTCATCCTCGATGAATTTCTTTCGAATTGAAGGCTTCATTGTCGGCAGCGGGAGGGATCCACCGCCGGGGAGTTTTCCTGGCAGCGCTTTTCCACCTTTCTGAATTGAAGGAGTTAAAATAGTTTAGGTTAAATCAGTGTTCTTAAAAAATCGCTCAAAAATGATGCATTCGACCGCATAATACAGCAGCGGAGCGGTTTGCGGTTGTTTAGTTGCTCGTGTCCCGGCAGATATGCAGCGATTAGCTTGAGCTCCTGCAGCTGCACCTTTTGAAGAAAAAAGGACTTCTTCGGACTAATCAAAACATGCCAGCATGGATCATGTCAGCGCTTCTTGCATGTGAGTAGAAGTGACACGAGACAGGAGAAAGAGATTGAACTTACCGACTGATCGCGTTTGGATCCGCCGCCAGGTGGCGCTTTTTTCGGCGGCTCTGGAGGCGCTTTTGTGGTCGAGACACGTGGCAATGCCCTTTTCGATGATGGCTTTGACGGCTCTGCAGTTGTCGTCGTCGTTGAAGTCGTCGTGCTCGAGGAAGTTGCGGAACTCGCGGAAGTCGAGGACGATTTCGTCGTTTGGGAAATTGGAAAATTTGCTACTTGCGAAATTGAAGAGTTCGGCAGATTTTGGAGAAGCTTCTGCGGCTGTTCAGGAGCAAGCGGAGGTTCGTTCGGTTTTCGGTTGTAAGCTACTGCTGGTGGATACCGGTTCACGCCCTGGGGCAGGCCGCCACCGGCGTTGAAGAGCTGGTAGTCGCGGGAAGGGGCATTCCCACCGCGGCGGTAGCGCTCTGGCCGATAGTTGGGGTCTGGATGGAATGGCCCGTGATAGCTTGATTGGGAGGGATCGTTTCTTCGATGCGCTAGAATTTCTGGCCTGTTTTGTGGCGGAAGGACGTGGACGGATTTAGAACTTGAGTTATATTTTTTAAAAAGTAAATACTTTCATCTTGAATTCATCTTGCTAATGTTCAAAATATGTATGAGCGTTACTTGTTAATTCCGAAGTGATGTTTTTAGGAAAATTTATACAGACTTGTTTTTAAAGACAGTTATGGTTTTTGAAATCATCAAATCTAGAAAGAAATAATCTTCGCAAAAGAAGAAATCTGGGAAAAAAAATCTCCGTGTCGGGGAATCGAACCCCGGTCGCCCGCGTGACAGGCGGGAATACTCACCACTATACTAACACGGATCTGAGAGGTGGTCGAAAAAGAATATTAATATAGCTAATTTTTGGAGATTAAAGATGACTGTTTTTCGTCGATATCAAGGAAGAAGAGCTTTTTATTTCTTTTCAATCAAAAGATCGCATTTTAAAACTTATGTTAAACATACTCTTGGCTCCTTATCAGCAGTGATAAGCCGCGCTCGGCGGGGGATCATTGATCTTTGCCGGAACAAAGATCCTAGCTGCTTCGCATTCTAGTTTTTACTCTTGTTTTTTACAAAGCAGCGCTTTTTTCTTTCTTTCAAAAATCGCTTTTTCTTTCGCGAAAGAATGATTAACTCATTCGGTTTGTTTGGCCATTTAAATGACCATTTCCTTTTAAAAAAATTTTGCTAGAATTCCTTGAACGAAAAAAGGGGGCTTTAGAAAAGAACCAAGGGCCCGGAAACACACGCGTTCAATAATAAACAAAACATAAAAACCCAAAACAGACAACGTGGGAAGAAATTATGTAAAACAGCTAAACAGCGTAATTCTAGCGCTTTTCCTGTGAAGCAGTTTTCCGACGTGTTTTTCGCGAATTCGCCACGGCTGCTCATCTATTTGAAAAAGTTCACGAATCTTTCTCTTTTTCTTTTTTTTTTGTTGATTAATTAAAATGTTAAAATTCTAGTGAAAAACTCTCGCGAACTCTTTCCTTCACGTTCTAGCCAAAGAGGACGAGTTATCCAAAGGACCACGACGAGACATGGAAATAGAATCAGCCGCTGCTTCAGCTTCATACCTTATTTTTTTCATGAATAAAGATTTAAAAATGAAAAATAAAAAAAATGACTTTGAAAAATATTTTTTTCCAAATTTTCTCGTGAAAAATTCCAAAAAAGAGACCAAAATTGCATTTCAAAATACAGAACTTTTGACGGATTTAATTACAGTATAATTACAGGGGTTCCTTTTTTAGTCGGCGGAAAATCTAAATATTTATATTGAAAAAATTCTAGTAATTTTAGTAATCGAAAGACCGCGCCGGCGGTCTTGTTTTCCTCCATTTTTGACCGGTTTCGCAAAAGTGATTCTAGTGCTACTCGATTTTTTCTGCTGCTGCGCTCCTATCGGTGTTTGGGAAATAGAGTGTTATCAGCGGACATTGGCGGCTTATCAGGGCGGCCAAGTCGAGCCTGGGTTAGGGCGTATGGGCACTACCTTGGGGCTTACTGGGGCATCGTCACTGTATGTGGATTCGTGGATGATCTTCTGGCGGTTCTCTTTAGTGCCACTTGTGGCTCATCTTTCCTCTGGTTTTATTTTTTCTGATTCGGAGTGTTTGGCGAGGGATTGAGAATTGAAAGCGCCTTGGGCGGAGGCGCCGAAAAAATTATTAATTTTAACAACCGGTACCCCACAGCCGGTCCACATACAGGGACCACTGTACCTCGATCCTAATGTCTCGGGCTAATTAACTACAGTCGTTTTCCCCTGCTTCCTGGAGTTAATTTTGGGCAAATTGGATAATCGTCGATGAGTCGAAAAATAAGAGAGAAGAAATAAGAAAGTTGAGTTGTTCTCTTTACTACTGTAATAATAACAGCAGCGTTTTTTTTTCTTATTTGAAAGAGTAGATCTGTTCCTTCAGACATTTCTACTGTCAAATGTTAATTAATCAATAATTCTAGCTTGAAAAAGATAACGGGCGATTTTTAAGATGGATTCTTCGTCTTCTTTTTCGCGGTGTAAAAATATTTGGCGGCGTCTAAGCAAGTTCACCAAATCCGATCGGAGCTTGTCCAAACGCGTTTACTCAGACTAAACTCATTACACGGCATGTTTCATAAGATGGTGGTCACCACCACGTTCCATAACATCGCATTTACAATTTTGACAAGATCGACAAATTACTAACTCAAACTTTTTCAATTAAGCAAGTCGAAAAGAACGAAACAAAAAAAGGAAGCGGAAGTTTTGGAACTTCAGTTTCCATTTTGGGTCCGCGGGTTAGAAATTGAGTTAGCCCGAAATAGCCTCACGAGTGATGGTTTGTGGTCTACCATCTGGGTCAATGGATGCGCGATGCTCCCCGCGAGCCAATTTCAACAACATTTCAACCCTTTCAGAAGCTAGCATGAAGCTCTTGTGAGAAGACTCATAAACAACAATATTCGTAGTTACTTATTCGAAGATAGGTAACTGCGAATAAATCGATTATGATAGGATTTTTTATTAAAATAAATATTAAAGAATACAAACTAAACTAAACTTACAAAAATAAATTATTCTTCCTCTTCGATGCTGGTCTTGCGAAGTCCAAGAGGTGGCCAGCTAATGATTTTCTCCAACATTTGGGAAAAAGTCGATGGTGGATCAGGAGCTTGTTCCAAAGATTGTTCTAAAGTAGATTTTATCATTCTATACTTAGTATCTGAAATTACCTTTTGAGACTACGATGACCAAAAGTTCGTCGAGAATTGAGTTCATAAATTGATGGGTTTCTTTGGCTTCGTTTGTTCGTCTCAGAAGATCTGCAAGGGAAATTCCGCTTAACTCGCTTGAGAATGATCGCGGTGAGATGCGTTGTTCTTCGTCCGTCGTCTTCTTTCGTGGTGTGCGCGCAGGCATGAAAGGGAATTTACGGCGCTTCTTCGTAGTCCGTGCACTAAAATGAAAATATATTTTACTTTTATCAGCAAATGGAACTAAAAAAACTGATACAAATGCGATTTTTGTGAATAAGCCTAGGACTTGGGAAGTAAAAAATTATTCACAAGTTTTTACACTGTAAAATTTACAAGACAGATGTAAATGAGCCATTTCTCAAAGCACAGATCTCATAAATCACTTATGATTTCTTTAGAATGCGAACCATTAAATCTTCCATGATTGCATATTTCCTACCTTGTGTCGGGAATTCTGGGCGAGATTGGCGCTGAATCGGAGTTTCCAGGGGCTCCACAAACCCATAACTTCTTGATAAGCTTCATTTCTATGAAAAGACAAATAAATTTATCAAAGTATTGTATTAATAAAAATTCACGAATTTTACCTCCTTTCGTTAGCGCCAATCGAAACTGATTTTTTCTGGCAAAACAAATTAATATCTATCAACGTTCTAGAAAAACTACAACCAGCTTTTCAAAATGGAACGTTCTATTTAATAAATTTCATACATAACACAAAATTAAAGCACGTTTTGGTATATTTTAGAAAACATAGCGTCAGAAAATAAGAGAACAGAAAAAAACAGCAGCATTTACTCGTTGATCAAGTCATTGAATTGAGCAAGATCGTCGTCAACAACCCAGCAGTCGGCGGTTCGGTGGAAGTCTTTCTTAGTAGCGTCGAGGTTGTCTTTCGCGGCAAACGTTTATTTCTACATTGAAAACCAAAACTTACTTCATAACTTGACCTAAAAAGAACTTCACACTTTGCCATGAATTCAAAGAAAATTCAAGAGCAAATATTCCACGCAAACGCGCAAAAAAGATGAGGGAGTTGGACTGTCGTCATCTTCGGAATGAAGGATGAGTATGACTACGTAACGACATGAAACGTAAGGTTTCCCAGATCCAAAGTCGCGATCCTCAGAGAAAGACGATCAGGTTCCATCCGGAGCCCCAATATCCGGGTTCTGTGTATCCTTTTATCATTTATGATCGCGACTTTTCGGATCGGAGTATTTAAAGCGCCGTCCAGCTCGATTTTCCTCATTCATTTTATGAACCAATTTTTTCACTTTTTTGCAAATTAAAAGAGAAAGAAGAAGAGAAATGGGATACGACCGACACGATGACCGGGATCGAGATCGATCTTATGATCGACGAGATCGCGACCGGGACCGAGGTGGATACGACCACGACCGTGATAATCGCGGTGGTAGTCGCGACTACAATCGACGAGGTTATTTTACGAGTTCCTATCTTTGATTTTCAAATAAGGTTTCAAATCTTAGATTTCAAATTTTGTTTTCAGATCATGGTGACAACCGCCGCAGCGGTGGTGGTCGAGGCGGACGTGGTGGCCGTGGCGGAAACGCAGGTCGCGGAAAGCGCCAAGACAAGGTAGGACTTTATCACCACCTTATGGCCCCATGGGCTCGAGCGCGACAATTAACAAAAATTCAGGCTAAAGAGCGAGAAGAGCGCCTCCAGAACATCAAGCGCGAAGCCTACCATGGCGGTGACCAGATCGAGCGTGCCAGAGCTGATCTTGCTCGACAGTTCGACGCCCTCAACTTGAGGGCCGATATTGCCAAGTTTTCCAAAACTGATGAGGACCGGAAACAACATGATAGAGGTTGAGTGAAGAGTTTCTATCAAAATTATTCTTTGAATTTAGCCAGAGAAGTCGCAAGAAAGACCCAAGATGTCCCAGTGGCGAAGATGAGAGGAGAGCTCAACCGCGGACGAGTGATCCAGATGAAGACCAACAACTACGCTCTCGACTTCAAGAGCAACGACGCTGTCTTCTACATCTACGAATTCAAAGCGAAAGTGAGTTTATTTCAACTTTGTTTTACAGCTCCGTAACTTTAAGGTTGCTGCCTCCGCTAAGAAAGGCCCAAGCAAAGGGCCTGCTCCAGACGTGAAGAAAGAGAACAAGCGGAAAATTGTCGGCGTCCTCTCTCAAATTTTCGGGGTCAAGTTTGCTTTCGACGGAGACAAGATGTTAATTTCTCCACGAGAGCTTCGAAACTTCGGGGAATTAGGGAATCGCGATGGAAGTGTCTACGAGAATCGAGATGTCGAGTTCCGCGTCACTTACTCAACTGGCCACAAGGAGGAAACTGCGGAAGGAACTCTCGAACGGAACAGGCACCGAGTCGAGATGAAAGCCCTTTTCGACTTCATGGAGAGTGGAGGACAACATCCCCCCGAAGTAATCCAGGCGATCGAGATCATACTTCGAACGAACCCCGCTCTGCGAGCAGCGTAAGTCTATGAAAATAGATCTTTGTCTTTACTAACAATTATCTCAGTGCCATCTCAAAGGGTCGGGCTGCTTTTTGCCCAATTGCGAACAAAGATGCAGATCGCCGAATCATCCCTCGCGGCCGTGAAGTCTGGCACGGAATTCACCAGAGTGCCAAGATCTCCAACTGGAAAGGCATCGGCACGAAAGTCACCCTCAGTGTTGATTGTGAGTATTTTAGTACCAAAACCTAATCGAACCATCTCTAGTGGCCTATGGCATGTTCATGGAGCACAAGTGTATTGCTGACATCCTTCGGGATTCGTACGATCCGGACAATCTCCATGAACTCGCGGACAGCATTAAGCACCTCAACATGGAGGTGAGAGGTAAGATGGAAAAACTTATTTTTAAAAGATACATAAATTCTTTTTCAGGAGAAGACGGGAGGTATTACAAGTTCGAGAAATTCGGCCCAATTTGCCGAGAAACCCGCCTTGGAGACGAGTACCACGACTACAGTCCAAATGGCAACTTCCCAGTTGTCGTTACAACTGCGAAAGCCGGTGGTGGTGGACGTGGTCGTGGCGGTGGACGAGGCCGTGGTCGAGGCGCCGGAAATAAGATGTTTCCTGCTGACATGTGCCGCCTCCTCGCGGGGCAAAGACCAAAAGTTATCTCTGCAGATGACAAGGCCCACCTCATCCGAGCTTCGGCAGAGGCTGCGCCGATCCGACAGGCAAGGATTCAAGAGATCGTCGAGACGAAAGAACTCTTCGATGATCAAATGCTTGAAGGCTTCGGTATGCGAATCAACAAAGAAGCGATGAGCGCTGAAGGTCGAGTCCTCGACATGCCAGCAATCACTGCTAACGCGGGCCATCAAGTTGACGTTGAAAAGTCAAAAGGCGAAGGAAACGGAACTTGGAATATCAACGCCTTCAACAAGGCCGCCGAGGTGCCGATGTGGGGACGAATCTGTATCGGCAGCCAAATTCGAGATCGACAGACCTGGGATACCTTCGGCAAAATGTTTGTCAATGTTGGCAGAAAACTCGGCGTTGAAATCAAGTCCGAGCCGATGCTAGACGAAAAAATTGACTCGGGCTTCGAATTCGATCGAATCATTACGGATCACGCTAAGGAAGGAAAATATCTAGACAAACTTGCATTTGTGCTTGTCTGCGTCCCTGACTCTGGCCCCGACTACGAAGTGGTCAAGTCCATCGCCGAACTCAACAATGGCATCCTCACCCAGATGGTCAGATCCAAAAATGTCATTCGGCCAGAGGAAGCGATGCTCAAAAATCTTTGGTACAAGGTAACATCCCTTACATTGAAAAATATCTAAAAACAATCTTAGCTCAACGCCAAACTCGGCGGCGAAAACTGGCGAATCGACGTTCCTCTACCACCCTCGCCAACTCCTCTTATGATCATGGGAATGAGCATCTCGCATGCGGAGCCAGAGTCGACTGACCCATCTCTCGTGGGTTTTGTTGCATCCACGGCTCAAGGTGGAACTGGCTTTGTCAACTTTGTTTACCATCAAGACCCCCGCCTCTGCATCATCCACAAAGACACCCTCAAGGCCGCTCTCAGGCACCTCATCGGCCAGTTCATCACAAAGAACAACGGTGCCAAGCCAGAGCGGATCATAATCTACCGAGGAGGTGCCAGCGAGGGAGCCATCCAATCGATTCTCAAAACGAGCTCATGGAAGGCATCCGAAAGGCCCTCGCAGAGATCGACGAGTCTTACCAGCCAGGCATCACCTTCATCTGCTCCGTCCGAGGCTCCAAGCAGAAATTTTTCTGCGTTAATGACGAGGACAAGGACGGAATGGGTGAGAACATCCCCGCTGGAACCGTCGTCGCCGGCTACGGAAACGGCCTTCCAGGTAAGTCAACATGCCGCCTTCCTATTATCAATTCTTTCTTTAGACACCTACTCCTTCCACCTTGCGTCACAGGCGGCTTGCGGAACAGTGAATCCGACTTTCTATCAGGTCCTCCATGACGACAACAACATCGAGCTCCAAAATATGTCAGAAATGACATACGCGCTGTCTCTAGCAACCATGCGCGCCAACCGAGCGTAAGATAGATTAAACAAGTCAAAGAAGTAAACATTATTTCAGAACTTCGGAATGCGCCCCAGTCAGACTCGCTTCCATCGTAGCTGAACGAGCTCGTGTACACTGGAAGGGCTCCAAGAATCTCGAAAAGGAGCTCCCAAAAGTCCGACAATACTTCGACTCCCACGACAAGCGAACTACCGTCAAGCAGGTGTTCCAAGACTCGCTTTTCTTCATCTAAGCCTGCACATCTCTCACCCCCGTGCCAAGAAAAACTAACTGATAAAATATCAACCTCGAACTACACACTGCCCCATGTACCCTCTTTACCTCACAATTCTAACTGCCCTCTCCATTGTATATTTTCCCTCGCTTAGCTTGCCCATACCCAATTCTTGGTCCCAACTGCAGGCCTCTCTAAAATGTTTATTAAATTGAAGTTGATCAATTATATCGAATAAAGTCCCCGAAAATGATCTGAGTTTTATTGCAGGAGTTTTCATTTTACAAGCCGACTTTGCGACAGAATTGATTTCAGAAAATATTTCAGGCAGGTATTTGTTCATCAAAAGTGTAAAAAATGAAAATCATGCAAAATTCGATGCAAAGAGAAAGGCAAGAAAAGAGGAGTACCTATGGAGTCAATGAATAAAATATCACACTTCAAATCTGACCAAAATTCGAACATCGAAATTAAACATCGAATAGCCCCGCCCGCTGAGGATCCGATGCATGATAACTGCGGAACATGATTTCAGAGATACGCGTCGGTTCATTTATATCTGACTTTTGGAGAGCATTGACCGATCGAGCATCGAAAAACTTCGGATTATGAAAATTTTCGCTGCAACGGCCGCTGCTGTAAGTATCAATGAGAGAGATAGAGATTAAAAGTTCTTTTAGGTCGCCGCTAGAAGAGGAAAATGGGAGCCAAAATTTCCAGTTACCCTTCCAGACTGGCATAACGGCGAATATGGTGATATGATCGTTCAAACCTGGCAGGTTGCTGAGTTCGAAAAAATTGGTTATGAAAAGGAGAAGGCTATTGAATGTCTAAAATTATTAATTTCGTATCAATTATTACTTTCTTGGGAGTTAAGAGCCAAAATAAGGAAAAAATGAACATTGACCAGGGAACACCAACTAAAGCCCCTAATGGCCGAGGACTTGTGACCTGGGCTAAACTTTGGCAATTCGATGAGGATACAACTGGAAGATACGTCGTCCCATACGCGATCCAAAACACTGTTCCCGCAGATCAGTGGCAGCAAATCCACGACGAGCTCGACGACTTCACGAAAGCTTTGGGGTGTGTCAGATTCGTCTTTGATCCCGACTTCACCTACCCCCACGGTGTTCACATTGCCGGTGAGACATCCGAAGGAAACGGTTGCTGGTCTTACGTGGGTCGCTGCAATAGTTGCTCCAATGGCGTCAGCGGAATTCACGATGGATGGCAAGCACTTCGACTTCCTAACTGGTGCATCGCTGTTGGTGGCATCCACCACGAGTTTCTCCACGCTATTGGATACATGCACGAGCAGGATCGACCCGACTGGGCCGATTGGATCACTGGGGGCGATGTCGGAGATATCGACCCTGCAAACTGGATTGACACTGGTCATCCCTTTGAACCAGCATCCAACGTCATGTACAGCGGGTTCACGCTCGTCAACGGCAGAAGCTATAATCCCCACCCACTTCTAACCACCACCGATGCTGAACAAGGCTACGTGCTCTACTGCGAAGCTAAGCTAGACACTCATCCGATGGAACCAAAAACAAGGTGCCTTCATTACGATCACGTTGACGTCATCCGACCTATTTTCGAGCACAAGCTCTGTGACGGCTTCAAGGATTGCTTGGACGGCGAAGACGAAGACGGTCGACTTGCTACTTGCGCTGATTACGAAAGAACTGACCTTGGCTGCTGCAAGGTAATAAGCATGGGTTTTGCCAGCGCCACCTGCACTGCCTCCGGAGACATCGTTAATGGCAAGGATCAATACCTTTGCGAAGGTCCCGAAGGAGTGTGGGAACTTCGATGGACCAATAACTACGGTTGGTTCCTTGCATCCTCTGTTGGAGGTGGATCCTACTACTCCACTGGAAACCCAGACCACGATAGCACATGTATCGGTGACTTCGGCGAGTTCGAGGGCGGCTACGTATGGAGCGACTACGATTTGGAGCTCTCCTGCAAGCCTGGTGACGGGCCACATACTCATACTCCTTGCGCAAATCACAACTGCGATGACAATTATTATTGCCAGAACACCGCCGACCTCCAGAGCTTTGAGTGTATCTGCCGAGTTGAGGGTACTTGTGATCCAACTGAGCCGCCAACCGAGCCCCCAACTGACCCGCCAACTGAACCACCAACTGAGCCGCCAACTGAGCCACCTACAGAACCTCCAACTTGTAACTGTGATCCCGCCTGCACAGATGGATTCACGTGTGTCGATGGAGAGTGTGTTGATTTCGATGAGTGCGATGCTGGTACTCACAATTGCCATAGTTTCGAGATCTGCGTGAACACCAACGGTAACTTCCGATGTGATCCAAACGAAACTATGCTCTCTGAGTGTGAAAACTGGACTGTTAGATGGAACAGGGTAAGATTGAATCTGTTTATTGTAAGAAATGATAAAACAAATTTAGCGAAAAACAAGCCGATATATCTACAAAGGTGAAGACTCCGTCATCCTCGCCAACAAATTCAAAGTCAAGAACTCTCCAGTCAATCCCCGAACCGACCTTTACCAAGGTTTCGTTGTCTGGACCAAGGATGTCTGCGGCGCTGACTTCCTCAAGAAGATCCGATCCGGCGAAGTTGGAGTCTCACTTGTCGACACTGAGAACATTTACCGATTGAACTTCCCCTACTTCAAGAACGACGGAAAATACACCATGGGAGGCTTTTCTTTCGAATTGACCAAAGTTATCACTAAAGATACTCCATGGACCTTCAAATCAGGTGATTTTTTAATGAATATCTTCGCCTTCATTTTTCAGGTGTTCCAACCAAGAACATGGGTTCCGATGATGTCCAAATCGTCCTAACTGGACTCGACAAGGTCAACTTCTTGGACGCTTACGGACAGGACTGGTGTCTCCTTACTGCTGCCAACGCAATCATGGCCGCCGGCGAGTACCCAGACTTTCTTACCATGTGCGTCATTGAGAAGAAAAAGTTCTGGAAAGCGCCAAAAGACCCACTTGCATAAACGTCGACTGCTTCAATAAATTGCAATTCTATAAGTTCTATTCAAACACACAAAATTAAAGTACGTTTTGGTATATTTTAGAATACATCGCGTCAGAAAATAAGAGAACAGAAAAAACAGCAGCATTTACTCCTTGATCAAGTCATTGAATTGAGCAAGATCGTCGTCAACAACCCAGCAGTCGGCGGTTCGGTGGAAGTCTTTCTTAGTAGCGTCGAGTTTGCCTCCGTTGAGGATGATTTCAGCGTTGTTTTCGTCGATGACTTTGACGGTGTAGGCGTTTGGTTCGAGGAACTCGCCGATGAGGCCGCTGGAGCGGGGAAAGACCTCGTGGCTCGCGGATGGCGAAACTCATGCTTCCCTTCTTTGTGGCTTTGATGATGAAAACAGCATCTCCGACCTGGATGTGTGCTCGATCCATGCTTCCATTTGGCGCCTTGTGTTCGACAATTTTCGCATCTGCGAAATCGAAGACGCCAGTGAACGAATCTCGCTTGCCTGCTTCGGCGGAAGCGTCAAGATGAAGACCGTCGCGGTCCATGGTGATTTTTGCGCCTCCAGGAGTCGAAAGAGTAATTTCGCTCATGATCACTTGATCTTCATGGTGCTTGTTGCCAGTTGATTTGGTAGCGGCGGAGACCTAAATTGCTCAATTAAGAAAATTCGAAGAAAAAATTTTTTTTGAAGAAATTTTTAAGTTTCTTGTTCTTACCTCGAGAGATGTATCTGGATCTCTGAGGAGCTCGATTCTCGTGTTGGCTTCTGGGTTGTAATCGAAGCAAATGGCTGGCTGGTCGTTGGAAGAGACCATAAAGTGGGGATCGCCATATGCAGAGCCGTAGTTGCTGTTGTTGTTATAGTTGTTGTTGTTATTGTTGTAGTTGTTCTTGTTTTTCTGGGCGAGGACAGTAGCGGCAAGGAAAGCAAAAGTCTTCATTTTTAGTAGGTTTAAACTTTAAGTTTTTGCTCTCTTTGTTTGATGCTGATTTGGGCAGCGAGGAGAGCTGCTTTTTCAAGGGCAGAAACAACGCTCCATGTGGTTCCATCAAGCAAAACAAACAACATCTTCGTCTGAATAAGTCGCTTGTTTGAAAATGTTTATCACTAATCAATACGATCTGTCGTTCAAATAATTTCCATACAGCAGAACAGATAATTGAATTTATCTTGAACCTTACGAAGAATAAAAATCTCGATTTCAATTTTCGACAAGTTCTATTTTAAGTTAAAAATTTAAACAACTAATCTGCCAAAGAAACCGGATATCTGGCAGACTTTCATCATAGCCTATAATTTATAGCCCTTATATTTATAACGCCCTTTTTTTTGTAGAAAATAACTCGACATCAAAACATTAAGTTTTCTATCAGAAATACCACTGTAAAATCATCCAACCTAAGAAGAAGATGAGTCACATTCCGACAGCCCATTCAGCCCTTATCAGTATGAATATAGGGGTTCGCATCGTCCAAAAAATCAAAGCCACGTGGCCGCAGAATTTTTATATCAAACAATCATTCAGCTTTCAAAAGAAAACAAGCAAGCAGTACGTCAAAAGAAAATAACAGAATTCTGATTTTTTCATCGAGGAAAAGATATCGAGAAAAAAGAACGATGAACGCAAACTTATTTCCAGAAGAAGATCTCCTGAGAGAGTTCATTCACTCTGTAGTTCTTGATGCTGTCAGCATCATTTTCTGTGTTGTATATTCTTGGATCGTTCAGAAAGTAATCGTCCTCTTGGCCATTCTGTTTGTTTCTCTGATTTGCGTAGCTCTTTACCTCATCAACCCAGCGTATGTCGAAATTATTTATTAGTCCGTTTCATAAATCACCTGTACAGTACAGGCTGTATTTGTAAATTTTTATTGGAAAAATACGAATTTTGTCATCATTTATATCTGCTCCCTTCTTTCATTGCCTTCTCATCATATAACTTTGCGTTTGTAAATAATTGTACTCTTGAAACAATATCTTCCTCTGTCTGCTCAATTTCTTGTGCCCAAATTCCAACAACGACGAAAGAGAAAAGCCGAAACGCCAAAAACGCTGCGGAAATGTGAGCTACTGTCACTAAAAGTAAGTTCTTATTATTGAACCACTATCAACCCTTTTTTCATAATTTTCAATCAAATCTTTCCCCTGAGAAAATGATTCTCCGCGGCGAAAAGTATCGAAGGTCCTATCGCTTGAATGATTCGATGCCTTTGAGGAATTCGAATCGGGATAAATCATTGCGTAACTGAAGAAATCGTCAACGCAAAAAACACCTACATAATTTTCCAGATTAGGTTTTCGCTTCTTCGAGACCTTTCCTTTTTTTCTAAAGAGACAGAGAAAGAGAGTTTGTGAAAATTTGACTCGTGTTTTACAGAGGTAGCGAAATGGTCAGCCGGATATTTGAGGATTGCGACTACTGTGGAAAGAAGAAGATATTCTGCAATGATCAGGTGACTTTTGGCTCTGTTTTGACTGTATTTTTTAATTTATTAGACGAAATTTTAAAAGAAACGGGTCCAGGAAACCCCGTTAAACCTGGTGTTCGTCCTTGGGATGACCCTGTTTACAGATTTTCGAGAGTTGCTGATTGAAATCAACAAAGATCGAAGTTGAAGCTTGAAAACTTCTGTTGAGTATTTTTGGCGGGGCGCCCTCCATTGTTTTTCAAATCGATTCGGTTCGTTTTCTTTTTTTGTTTTTCATTCACCGTCACCGCCCGGGCAGTGCGAATCTCAAATTCGTAAAAATAAGCAAATCTTCTTTTCAAGTGCGAACGCGAGAAAATGGAGAATAAAGAGAACCAGAACCCTTCCTACCAGGGCCACAACAATCGCTCTCAGTACTACCAACAGTCTACTGAGCCTTCTACTGCCATGTCTTCAAACCAATCCTGCCAAAGGTAAATACAGTAGTACACCATCTTTTCAAAGTTTTTTCTGTGTAGCTCTTACCCTCTTCATGTACAGCAAAGCCCCTGTGGGAGGCCAATGACTTCACAACTCACCGGTCTCTACGCTTCGCCTTATCAAAGGAATCGTTTCAGTTCATTTGCCACACCTTTTTTGTGATTAATTTTAATGAAACTTAAAAACAGAGATTCCTTCTGCTCAAACTGCCAGCATCCGACGATCGCCAACAGCCCCATTCCCAGCCACGTCTACAATCACAGCCCAAATATGCACGGACCGCACACTCCCAATCATCAGCCGCACACGCCCGAGTGGGTAACTCAGAAGAACCCGTGGTTCATGACCCCCGTGCGCGGGCCACACATGGGCGCTCCGACTTCGCATCCATCTGCTTGCGTTCCTCCGACCTTTGACCCTTACATGCACTCGCCGAATATTTATCAGTCTCCGAACTACATGCAATCTAATCAAGGTTCATCTCAGTACTCATTCATTTGCTAAAACAATTTTCTAGGCCTCTCTTCCATGATTTACGCGACGCCTCCTCCTTTGACTAACCATGGCCAGAATACTCGCTCCTACTGTCGCCCCAACAATGTTCATCATCCTCAAGTTCAGCCTTCCCAACAAGCGAAGTCATTAACCGAATCGATGAGCAACCTTTATCTTCGCTCGGCTCCTCCCGGTAAGCGTTAGATGAAATTAAAAAACTTTTTGCAGCAGAAATTTTGACTTGTCGATTTTTTGAGCTCAGTAGAAAGAGCGAGAAATTCTGAGTTGAATCCACTTTCCCATGAGGAAAATTTTCTAGAGAATGACGTCACAAATGACGTCATAAAGTACCAAAAACCGAAAACTTTGAGTCGGTTTTTGAAAGCCTTTCCGATGGATATTTCTAGTGTTCTATGGGTCAAATGGAAGCTCAGGAGAAACTGAAGGTCCATTTTAGATGATTTTTAGGAAATTCCATAAAAATTTGGCTCTAGAATTTTTTGAAAAAAAAATTGCTAAAATAAGAATTTCTTATTTTAGCAATTTTTATATAATGATATTTATATATGATATTTAATATCAAAAATGAACCTTAAATTTTTGATAAGCTTTCATTTGAGCTATTTCACGCCGAAAATAACCAACTGAAAGGCATCTAAAAAGTGACTCAAAGTTTGCCCAAAATGGCCATTTTTGCGGTCTTCACAGGTCCCCTGTGACGTCATCATCTGGTATTTTTTGGTCAAATTTTGACTGATCGAATCAGAATTTTCCGGGCTTTCTTTAGAGCCCAAAAAATGAATGGGTCAAATTTTTTGCTGCAAAAAGTTTTTTAATTTCATCTTAATTAACGTGACCTTTTTCTACTTGCTGTTCTTATTGATTCATCGCCATCAAGTCTAAAAAGTATTAAAAAACAACGAAGAATGCAGATTTATGGTGTTTGAAAAATCGACAATTTCTAGAAAAACATATTTAGTCCATGCTCTAGCTGAGGGCATTAGGCTTTTTCTCACTTCTATGTTAGGGTTTCCGCCGATTCCAGATTCGAAATCCTCTTCTTTCTTCCACACTCATCACTTAGACAAAATGAATTATGCGACGAATCTATTCAACAAGTCTTCTGTTGACAACAGGTACTCAAAAATATTGTTCATCACGGTTTCCTATTTCTCGATTTCAGGGTTCCAGTGGATCAAATGGAAATTGCCGGTGTTTTCTGGGACATTGAAAACTGCGCTGTGCCGCATCAGAAGAGCGCCTTCGCCCTTGTTCAGCGAATCCGCGAGCGAATGTTCACTTACCTACGCGAGGTAGAATTCATGGTCGCCTGCGACGCCAGCAAGGAGACCAAAGCCGTGATGGACGAGCTCAACAGTGCGCAAGTGAATATTGTCCACATCAAAGGAACAGCGAAAAACGCAGCGGACGAAAAACTACGACAGGCGATTCGCCGATTTGCCGACGAGCATCCTCCTCCAGGTCAGATTGAAATAAACACAATCTATTTTGAATGCCTTTTAAAGCTACTATCATCATCATAACTGGCGACATCAACTTCGTGCCCGACATCGCTGACCTAAATAATCGGAAGAAATATAATGTTGTTCTTATTTACCCAGAGCAGGTACTAACCAATCATCATTTAAATTTCCCTTCTTACTGTAATTAAGGCTCCTGATCCGCTAATTTACGCGACAAGCACACGAATAAGTTACGCCGAGTTCGCACTTGATCTACCGCCGCGCAACTCCATTCAAGATTGCGAACTGATGGTCGTTGTATCAAATCTGCCAACAACGCAGCACTTACCTAAATCGGCCATTCGAAACCGACTGAGTCAGTTGTTCGAGAATACTGGCGGCCGGGTTCAGCACGTCTTCGGCAAAAGCGCGTCCGTTAGCTTCCGAAATCATGACATGGCCAGACGCGCCTTGAAGCGGCTCGATGGAGAAGATGTCTTTGGAAACAAGATAACTATAAGGTGAAGACAACGATGACTTATCCGTTGTTAACTTTGTAATTAGGGAAAAGGCGATATTCACAGAAGAAGAACAGCGTCGAAAAGGTTACCGCCAAATGGCCCAAATTCAAAATAGCCTGTCTTCGTCAATGCCACCCGATTACGGCTCCTCGAATTCTAGCTACGCTCCAAGCTACGCTTCTGCTCTGAGCGGAAGTTCCATCAGTAAGGCGCGGCAGCTGACGATTGCGAAACCTCCACCAGTTCCGCAGCAATTGGCCGATGGAGTCAAGGTGAGTCCTCGTTGATTTCAATTTCGAACTTCTTCATTTTTAGCTGACAATCACGAACATTGATGCCGCTCTAGGAGAAGAAGGCATCAAAGAAGCGCTGACGTCGAAGATCCACAAGTGTTCGCAGATCATTCGCCTCGTCATCCAGCCCTACAATCGCTTCACCATGACCGCCGACGTCGTTGTTCCCAACATGACCGACGCAACCAGCGTGCTTGAGTCCTGTCAACGCGCGCGCCTCGGCAAGAAGCGTATTCTAGTGACGCTAACCCAACAATCCGACATGCGAATGAACGCATTCCGCGCGAACGTTTCCTACCTCATCCAAGACGGCAACGCTGTGTCGCTCTCTGAACTGCAGGCCAAGTACAACGAAGTTTTCCACGACCCGACAGCGTGCACGCTCGAGAATCTCCGACGACTGGGCCCTGGATTTTTGAAAATTGAAGAGTCCGTCTGGTCACGTGGGCGAAATCCCTGCGAGAGCTGTCAGACTGGTACGCCTTGCCGCCTCTGCAAGCACGATTTGGACCAAATCAACGTGCGCCTGGCCACTCCGATTCGCAAGAAGCCACCAAACCTACGAAACATTCCTCAATCCCCCTTCACTGTCTCTCAACCACACTGCGACCGTCACGTGCAAGTCGGCGTTCCCGTTTACGATGCATCAATGGTCAAAGGCTGGGATCATCACTAAATAATGTTTACTGAAATTTCTAGACATCATTTTCGAAAACCATAATGCATTTAAATAATCCGCCTAATTGTATTTTTAAAATATGTTAAAAATCGATAGTAAAGACTGACAAATAAAATAGTTAATAGAAAGAACCATCGTTAACTCTACCTTATTTTCCACAAATCTTCCGAAAAAATCATAGCGAAACTGTCTGTTAGCCAGCATAATACTTTGTAAAATATAATTTTTGCTGACCCCGGTCAAAGTCAACTGTTCACTGCGCGAATTCGCAGCGAAACTTCACTCACTACTGGCAAACCACCACGGCATTCTCCCACTCTGCTCACTCAATATTTGCTGGCAAGAAGAGTTCCAGCACTTTCCCGAAGTCAGCGGCGAAAATTCAGAAGGCGTCTACCTCGAGCATTTGGCGTCTTTCGTCCCTGGCGTCGAAATAATCACCTCTCATCATGGACACAAGATCATTTCATGGGCTCAAACAGGATCTTCAACCGACGGAGACACTGAATCTGTTTCCTCGTCGTCGACGACCTCGAGTCGACCAAGAGCACCTCTCGGGGACCCATCGATCGTCAACTTTGGCCGCGAATTGACAGAGCTTCTCAAGGAGCACGACGGATCAGCAGTCGCTCTTTCTCAATTGAACACCGTATTTTCTGCGAAGTTTGGCAAGGTTCCCTTCCGACCCGGCGTTCCACCAGTTCAACAACTCGCCAGATTGAGTCACGTGGTCCAAGTGCTCGGTCCTGAAGGTGCGCAAAAGCGAGTCATCACCCTCACTCACAGAGCACAAGTGAAAAGATTCACTCAAGAAACGGTGAAGATTCTCAAATCGCTGTCGGACAGGAATTGCTACGCGTCCGAATACCCACAACTCTACTCGGATCACTTCAAAACGAACTTCCGTTTGTCGGACTTTGGCGTGTGCGACTTGGCGGATCTGCTGTCCGACGTACCCGAGGGACACTTGGAAACGACCGGAGAGGGGCCTGATTTATTAATCTCGCTGCCGAAGAAGAATCGGACATCAGATGAAATCCAGCGCACGAAAAAGTTCGGCAGCGAGGTCGCCGAGCTGCTCAGCGATTGCGACAAGTTCAGCCTCCCATTTACCGCATTTGTGCCACACTACCACCATCACTTTGGCAGGCAGTGTCGCTTGAGCAACTATGGATTCACCAAACTTCAAGTAAGTTGATTAATTATAAAATAATTTTCAAAAATGTCATTTCAGGACTTGTTTGAAGCCATTCCTGATATTGTAACAATCGACGAAATACCGAACGACAAGAGACTGAGCTTGACGATAAAAGAAAAAATGTCGATCCTTACGCGGCAGACAGAAATGCTCCTCGACGAAAACAGGGATTTGACGCTGCTCGACTTTGCCGATGTTTACATGAGAAAGTTCAATCGTCGACTTGAACCGACTCTTTTCGAGGAGCCGTCTATCAGGTGCCTCCTGGATCGAATGAGCTCTATCCTCCTTCTCGAGCCATGCATAAGTAAGTTCCTCCGTCAAAAAGGTTCTAAAAGGGTTGATTCTAGAGTCGCAAAGGTGCTACCTTCGCCGCGTTTCCAAAGAACAGCACAACAACTTCTTAACTCTTCGAAAAGACCTCCTCCGCGCCCTCCTCTCCAGCGAGTTCTCCCAGTTCATCGAGTCCGATCTTCTGCAGTCTCGATACGAGCAAATCGCCAAGACCAAGTTCGACTCCTGCGACTACGCCGAAAACAGCTCCTTGCCGTTCCAAGAGCTGGCTCGCCGCGCCATCTCCGAATTCATCTACAGCGACGAGCATCCAAAAGGTTTCCAGTTTCGAGGGGTGTTCTTCGAAGCGCGCCGGCTTTGGAAACTCTTCCACGACCAGGAAGCCCAACACGACTGGGCCTACGACCCTAAAAAGTCGAATTTTCTCAATGCCATTCAAGGAAAGTGTTCAAAAATTATGTAAAGAAAACCTTAATTTATCTTATTTTTTCGACAAAATTTTTGAACCTTTGCAGTCGAATTCCGTCACAAATATCCATCGGTGCCGACGAACACCATCCGCGAAATAATGGACATTCTCAGTCCCATTCTCAACCTCCAAAAGCAAGCCAATCCATTGTTCGGCTTCAAGGCTCCTCGAAAAGACTTCAGAATCGGTTAATTTGAACTCTTCACCGCGTATTTTTTCATTCTGTGCTTTCATCTTCTACTGCTATGTTTTTGATCTTATATTAATCTCACTAAGCGAGTAAAAAAATAAAAAGAAATCAAGTCATTATTTATCAAATCTTTTTCTAGCAAAAGCAGGTCCAGTAGCAAAAATGATTTTCATCTTGAAAAGCTTTTTATGGCTGATTTGGCATGCAGAAATCGCCATAAATCAGCGCCCAAGTGTCAAAATTACAGCCAAGCGTAGTCCTGCTCATCCTGCCCTTCGATTGTGTCATGCAACCTTTGCACTCTGACCTTCATTTGGCACGTGATCCGTGACATTATATTTCCAAGTTTACGAAGTCTCTTACCGTCAAAAAAACAATCTTTCTACCCCTAAAATGTCGACAAATCGTTCTCCCAGTGGTCTTTTTTGTGGAAAAATGTTGCAAAGTTTTCATTTTTGGACGTTTTGAAACCAGCTCATTAATTTGGCAAAGGTCTATCGTTCCCCAAATAAAGAAATTTTTACGTAAACAGCAATATACAATCAAATCACCTAAAATGCATAAATTAATATCGAAACGATGTGATTGACGGAATAGCTTGAAGCGTTTCCGGGCGGCCTTTAGCTCCCCTCGTAAATTTTTATGGAAGGCAGATCTTTTCCTAGATCGCCGAGATTATTGGCGCCCATTAATTTCTTAATTTAGAGATAAATTCCGCCCGAAAATGTGCAAATTTTAGAAGTGACGCATTTTTCGCCAAACAAGGAAAACTGATTTTTCTTTTCTTTTTGGATAATTTATTTCAATGAACTTTTACTCAGTCACGAGTAGAGCAACTTTTTCTGCCACTTCTTTTCCTGGCAAAAAATAAAATAGTATATAGTTTCTTTCTTTGTACAGTTAGTATTTACAGAAGAGTTTTTCAAAGTCTGCTCGTGTTCTTATTTTGAAGAGTCGAGGCATAAATTGAGAAGAGAGCATTCTTTTTTGAAATATGTTTTTTGAAGTGCGCGAAATGGGAATAAATAAAACATTAATTGCACAAATCGCTCAAAGTAATTTTGAGGAAAAGACGTTGTAAAACTCTCAGAATTACTTTTCTTGTTGACCTAGCAGAGTGACACCCTTATTTTTCATCAAAATAAAGCTTCATGCTTTACCTTGCTTTTAGGAAAAAATAAGGGTGTCACTTGATTTACTCAAAAGAAGAGATAAAAGATATTCAATTAACAACGTGTACCCCCTTATTTTTGAGCGATTCTAGCAACCAACAAATAATTCAAAATTGAGAAAATAAAAAAATGTCAAACTACAGTAAGAATACAGTGGTGAATCAAAATATATATATCGTCTAAGAAAAAAGGGTCGGCAGTCTGATCAAAAAAAGAAATTTGACGATAACTCACTTTTGCGTTTTCTCGGGGAAGTTTGTGAAAAATTAAATTTCAAGTTCAAAGTAGAAATTGAGAAAAATAATGGGCACTGTTTGAATCTGACAGCTTCGGCGTGTGGTTTTCTTTGCGTCGAGAACAATTTACAGGGCCGAGGGTCGCTTCTTGAGGCTTCTTCGAGAAAGCCGACCTCGAATTTACTGAGGGTGTTGCTGCTGAAAGTAGTGGGACGGCGGCAGGGCGAAGAGGGAGTGCGGATGCTGGTGCAGTCCCGGGTGGTGTGCGTAGTGAGGGTTGAAGTCGAATGGCTAGAATTCGAGGGTAAGGAAGGGCAAGTAGTTTTAACACTTACCAGTTGAACTTGAGGATTAAGATGGGGGAGGCCGGGAATTCCAGGAGGCATTAGCTAGAAAATATCATTAAATTTTCAAGCACCTTTCTAAGAGCTCAAACCTGGCTGATATCGTTAGTTCGATTTCGCTCCTCTTTTCTTTCCTTCTTCCATTTCATTCGTCTGTTCTGGAACCTAGAATAATCATGTCAAACGACAGTTTTGGGATACGGTTTCTTACCAGATTTTGACTTGGCGATCAGTTAATCCAACATTTTTCGCGACTTCGAGTCTTCTTTCTCTGCTCAGGTACTGGTTGAAATGAAATTCCTAAAGCAATTAATGATGATAATTAATGAGAGAAAACAACCAACCTTTTCAAGCTCCAAAAGCTGGAATTTCGTGTAAGGAACTCGTTTCTTTCTTCCTTGAGCAGTGAGCCAGTTTCGCGTTGGGTCGAATTCAGATGCTAAATTGATGTTCTTGAGCTGGGGCAAGAAAGAATGTGATGGTGTATAATTATGTCTGTATCTCGTAAATAAAAAGGCGGGCGACCTTCCCCGCGCAAATAGCGCGCACATGCAAGACCCTTATACTCCCGGAAGGAGAACTCTTTAATGAACCCGCGCTGATTTAACGAGCGCCGCCATTTCATATTTAGTGAAACATAAAATCGGAGCCCAACTCGCAACCGCCGAGAAAAGATCAAGCGCTGAGCACCTGAGATAGATAAGCCATTTAAGCATATAACGTCATCGCCAATTCCTAGCCCAAATATTCCCAAATCATCAAATTAAAATTTTAAATGATTAAAAATGCGGGAGGGCAAAGGAGCTTGTCTCAAGATATATAACACCCTGTCATAAAAATACAAAGAGGTGTTTACGGCTTTTTGGCCGCTTAAAATATCACTCAAAAATATGCCCAAAATGAAGACATCGCGAAGACCAACGATCTTGACAGGACTTTACTAGAATCAGAGCTTTGTGGAAACACTCTTCCAGAAAGAAAATTGATCAGTTACTGGATTAGTTCTGTCAAAATGATCTTGAGGAGCTATAGTTTCCCCCCTTTCCGAGGTACTCTTCCATGATTTCAACTTACAAGTTTCGCCGCTTTCGGTCTTGACCGGGTCGCTTTCATCTTCCGATGGAGTGCTGTTTTCGCCGTTGTTTTGCGAGGACCCATTTTCTGCGCTGTTCTTGGGGCTTGTTTCTGACTCGTCCATGCTCGTTGCACCGGGCATGGCTCCAGAGGAGCTGCCAGCTGACGGTCTCGGGGCTGAGGAACTGGCGCTGGTCGCACTTGGGCTCTGGACTTCTCCCGGAGTTGGAAGAGCGTCGATTCCTGCCTCGGCCGAGCTGGAGAGAAGCGTCGATGGGGCGTCAGTTGAATTGGTCGCTGTATCGCTCTGCAACTCGTTCACGGAAGATGGTAGATCTTCTGAAAATTTTCCAGTTAAAAATCTAATTGGAATTATCAAAGATTAAAAGCGTCAATTCTGAATCATCAATGCGATCATTGATGTTTCCAGCCCGGAAAGTCGGATTCCTCTCCTTCAATTTCTAGTCGACAATCATGGGCACATCTAGTAATTGGCGGCATTATCTAAAACGGTACGAGCCGCATGACTGTATCAAATATAAAAACGCGTTAAACTGTTGACCCAGCGCTGGGGCATGGGAATGAGAGCAGTAGCGTTGTGGTCGATAGTGTCAGTCATAGCGGCCCAGTAAAACTCGTCGACCGCGGTAACGGCCGCGCGTAAAACTCGCCATAACATCGGCTTAAATCTAATGGTTCATGAATTAAAATTTTATTTATTTCAATCAAGCCCACGGCTTCCGCCAGCTCCCACTTTCATTTACCTTTCTCCTTTCTCTTTTATTTCAGAAAACGAAAAAAAAATCACACGAAGAAATTTGAATTTCGTCTCTCGCGTTTTTTTTTTCTTTTAAAGTCGGTGACGGCGAATTTCCTTTGATTTGGCCATCTACGTGCTGATTAGCGTCCGTGTGTATAAGTTTGAGTAAGTCTGTCGCCTAAGCCTAGGCCATAAATCGCGACCTACTCGCTGGTTTACAGCCGTAGCCACTTCCCCCTCATCTAATTACTGATAATTTTTCCCCTTACTTTAATGCCTTTTTCTTCAAAAAAAAAATGGTCGAGAAAGTGATATCAAGGAAGAAAATTTGGCAAAATTGACCGAAAATCAAAAATATTTCGAAATTTCTAGCCCCTAAAGGCCGTATCCAAACCTTTATTCTAGTAGCCCAAACCCTGCATTATCTTACCTGTGAGACCTGCGCTAGATCGTGCATGAGCGGAGTCGATAGCGCCAGAAAGTCGCAGTTGATTCTGCGTCGATTGCGAAGAGGAACTGTACATTGGGTGCACTTGGTAGCCGCCTGTAGTCGGGATATATGGCTAGATGTTCAATGTTATTTTATTTCGCCATTTGAGATGTTAATTTTTAGTCCTCCGAGTTCCCAAACTCGAATTAATTAATTTTAAAAATTCTAATTTATTTCTTACCTGGTGCAGACCCTGTGAGAAGCTGTAAGGGTAGGACATCATGAAAATGGTAGAATCAGACTGGCGACAACGATAATTAAGGCTGCAGCAAAGCAATAAAGCAGCTTAGCCGGAAATTGCGCGCGGAAGCGATTGGGCTATAACTTAGTATCCTCTGGTTTCTTCTTCTGCGTTTTTTTCTCCGACTCTTTTTTCGAAATCCTACGACTCGTGATTTTCGACACTCGTTTATTGTTGTTTGTTATCTGTGGCTATAATTTGCGAGCTCGTTTAACTAACGCGATTGCGATTTATTGAAAAACGAATCTATTGGATATGTATTCGGCCGCCAAGCGGCGCAACTCCAAGGGTCGAGGGGCGCTGCTCAGCTCTTCTCGACTTTTGGGCTGCTCTTTCTGGTCAGCCGAGGCTACTACTCGTCAATAGGTTAAGCTAACCCTTTTCGACTAGGGGTTCAAAATGAGGAAATAATCGGCAAATATTTTTATTGTTCGAGGAAACGGACAAAATATGGGAAATTATGAGTAAATTGAGTTGAAATTCCAACAATTTATTTTGACCAAAAATTCTAGCTCCATCATATTGCCATATCATAGTGTTGGGGTTAGGGTTAAGGTTAGGGTGACCCTAATAGGGTCAAGGTTTACGTAAAGATTGGTTCGAGTTAGGTTCGGGTGAGGGCTAAAGTACAGACAAAAGAATACAGTAGTATGAGACAGTCTTCATCTCGCCCGCTAATTTATGCCCCCTATAAATCTGCAATAAAACATATGCCATAAAAAGGGCTGAGAATTGAAAACTTTCAAATTTCAAAATTCTGTTTCTGCCTTACACATTTTTCGCCAATTTCGCAATTGATAGGCATTACCTCTTCCGCGCAAGCACGTAATTAGTATTCGCTTTACCAAAGGGGCCATAAAACTTTTTATCGTCTTTCAATGTTGTATCAAAAAATGTTGTGTCTTTCAACTTCAAGTAGCGAAAATCCTGCTGGAACCAAAAGTACCTTCTGCCGCGAAGACCAAAGATTTCTGAGGCTCTATTCTAGCGCTGGATCTTTTTTCTTTTGTGGAATGATCGACTGAATCAAACTGAAGTAGCGAATCTTTGGCTCAGGCCTTGAGAAGCATGAACTCGTAGCTGGACCCCTGTACTATCTAGCCATTGTACAGTATGGCACACAGAGTAGTGAAGGTGTTAAGGGTTTTAAGTTATCACCAGTAAACTCCTTTCGGGCGTTGGACGGAGGAATTTACTCGCGTTAATCGCCCCGAGCCCCTAGCCATAACATTTTTAAAGAGGGGAAATGGTTTTTAACTAAAGATTCATTATCACCAGTAAAACAGAATCGCCAGGCGGTAAAATAAGTCCAATAATCGACGCCAAATTTATAGCGAATCATTATTTTCTCGCTCGCCACTCGCGCCGTGAAATCCAGCTCTCATTAAAATATAAAATTAGCCCCTAAAATTGTTACTCTCTTCCGAAGCAAATAAAACACGGCCAATCTGAAAAGCAAAAGCAATCATTCTCACCTTTTTACTTTCGTAAAAACTTTCCTCGACTATCAGAGGCCTAACCCAAGATTGTCGATGACTCATCGACAATCTTGGTCGAAGATTGTCGATTTAACTTCGGAAATTGGACCCCAGATTCTTCATTTCCGCATGAAGAAGTATTCTAATGCACTTTCGGCCAATCAGAAGCCGAAAATAAGGAAATGAACTATCTTGGGCCCAACTTCCGAAATGCTATGGACAATCTTCGACTCCCAAAGTCAAGAATTTAGGTGATCTTTGGATCGGAATGAATTTGGATTCTAAGCTTGGAGAAAATCACTTCTAACGGGTCATTTTACGATGCAAATATTGCACAGAGAGAGATAGAAGTGCCCGATGATTGAGCCTTCGCTGCTTCGGCCTGACCTTTCCGCCGCAAAAGAAGAGCCCAGGTCAATATTGCTCTGTTTTTTTGCGCGTTGATCTTTGCATTTTTCTTCCGAAGCAGCAACTTCTTCACTAAAACAACTCCAAATTTATTTTCAATCCCAGTTTTTAAAAACGAAAAACCTGAGTCAGGATCTTGAAAGAACAATAACGAAAAGCCGCGTAGCGGCTTTTTTATCGAAGCCGCGAAGAGGCTTTACTGTTGTTGCCATCTCAGTCTATCCTGAACTCTAGCAAAGCCGCTCCGCGGCTTTTCATTAGAGATTTTTAAGAACCCTGACTCAGGTTTTATACACAGGCTGTCGAGCCTGTTACAAGTAAAAAACTAGGACGATCGACAATTGGCAGTGGCAGTTTTATTGAAAACAGGTGAGAGTTTTTGATTTCCTGTTTCCCATGAGCCTGAATTTGGTACATGCGCCTTTGGGCAGATTAGACTTGCCCTGGGGAGGGTGGCGAGTATGGGAAGGGTTGAACACTCGGGATAAGCCACTGCAGCGGTCAAAGCCCGAAATCAAGCGAGCAATTGACGTTTTTATTTCCGCGCGCACAATAAATCCCTTTTTGATCTACCGCTTGCGCCTAAACATGTTCCCCAGTTAAAATGTCAAAAAAGGGTTGAGACACATTCCAAATCGCACAATTTGACAAAATCGTTGTAGTCTATTGATTTACACACATTTCGACGCTTTCATCTTTCATCATTTGGATTTCCTTCTTCCGCAATTTGCTCAATCAAAACGTAAAACAAGAAACAACGAAGAAAACAAGCTTTTTACACTAGAATTCCAATTTTTACGGAATTCTAGAGCTCATTGCACTCCTGGGCTCGGCAACCTGAGTAGAAAGCCTGAGTCAGGGTTCTAAAAGAGTAAAATGTAAAGCCGCGTAGCGGCTTTTTTTTAAAACGAAGCCGCAAAGCGGCTTCGCCAAAGTTACCAACTAAATGAATAATTTTAACTAGCGAAGCCGCTTTGCGGCTTCGTTTTAAAAAAAGCCGCTACGCGGCTTTTCATTTTACTCGTTTAAAACCCTGACTCAGGCTTTCTACTCAGGTTGCCGAGCTCAGTTGCACGCATTTCAGAGGCGAATATCAACATTTTTTGGCCTGGATCTTGAACCTAGAATGCTGATTCCGTCGATTCTGGATCTTTTTCTTTCATAAAATTTTCAGTTCAAAAACGATCTCCCTGCTAATTTAATATAAATCAGGGCATCCACCTTTACGAGCTTCGATAAAAATTAATATTGTTTTTTTAACTGTGGCCTGGTAATTAACGCAGTAAAGCTGTCAAATTCGCCTTTCGAATTATAACTACTCTATAAACTGTGGGAACCTTGGAGGCGGTTTTCCGATGGTTCGGAAATCCTTTTGACTTTTTCGGATTGGGCCCGCTCCTTGGTTGGAAATCACTTTCATTTTCGGGCATTAGTTCGAATGCTCCACACGTAAAATTGACTACTCGCAGCTCAACATAATTTACTGCTCGTTAAAATTCATCGCAGAACATAATTTTTTGCTCGAGCTTTTTCAAGAACTCAACAATTAAAATCAGCAAAATAAATCACCGAAACAAGACATCTAAGAAACAGAATTGTCGAAGAAATAAACATGGCCAAGCGAAATCGACAATCTTGGGCCGAATTTTGGAAGTTTCATCGACAATCTTGGACAAAAAAAATTCTTAGAAACGGAATCTTCTTCATCAAAATCAGTAGAAAATAGATTTTATGAGCAAAAAATAAATTGTTAAGTTGATTCAAGATCAAATATAATTTATGCCTTGAGCTCGGCCTCGTCAAAAGGACAGCGCCTTTTATGTGGAAGAATTGTAAAATTTACATTCTGACCAGAAAACCTCCGAATATAATTGGCAATATGAAATTGCGCGCCGCAAATTTTATAGGCCCAAATTTCAACATAAAGGTCGTGTGAATGCGACGCGACGGGAGTATTCCTACTCAGCTGCAATCAACAACGAGAACTCTTCATTTTTATGAGTTTTCATGTCATAACTTTTTTCACATAAATTTTTTTTTCTGCAATCAACGAGAAGAGCGAAATTCGCAATAATTCTTCGACACTACTTAGTGCTCAAAAATTAAGGGCATCCCTAGAATAACAAATTGACTATACGCAGAAGACCTATGCTAAGATTTTAGTTTTCAAATGAAAATAAAAAATAAGGGCGTCACACTACTATAAAATGTTCAAAAGGTATGCTAGAATATCGAATATTTTATTATTTTTTGCACAATATTATCTCTGTGACACCCTTATTTTCTGTTTTCAAGCAAAAGCTAAAACCTTAGCCAAGGGCTGTTACGTTAAGTCAGCTCGTTATTTTATGTGGATACCCTTAATTTTTGAACTTTTTGCCCTTTACGAGCTCTACAACACCCTTATTTTCTGCTTTCAAATGAAAGCTAAAACATTAGCCAGGGACTGTTACGGAGGATACCCTTAGTTTTCGAGTTTGCCACATCTTCAATAAGCATTATTGTTCTTATCTTGTTGACACCCTTATTTTAAAGAAGAGCTGTTCAGAATATATAGAAAGAACGCGTTTTTGGCTTGGAAATGAATGAGAAGGGCAATCTCGTAAATCAACGAGGCTGCGTACTTGGCAGTATCTTTTCTTTTGGGCTTGATGTCGTGAATCCTGGCGTTGGTTGATTTGCTTCGAAAGAAATTAAATCTACGAGTTGATTAAAATTCAAAGCAGCAGCCATAAATCTCGCCGTTTTTTAATTTCAATTGTTACCGGGAGGAAATCGAAAGGTTTAATTGCCTCGTGAAAAATTAGTATTAATGATAATTCAAATAAATAAAAAGAAACGGAACAACAATCAGCGGAATTAGTTTTATTTGTTGGTGGAAGTTAACACTCATTTAACATGATGTTTTATGTTGCGCGATGCTAAAATATCCGGTCTTTAAATTTGCGCCAAGCTGGGCCACAAATTCAGACTCGCTTTTCGTAATAAAATAGTTATTTAATCGACGCCTCCTGGGTTTTTATATTTATGGAGTGGAAGACTCACTTTTCATTATTTGTCCATTTATCGGTTATACGAAGAATTATCAAGGTTAGGGTTAGGGGGGGGGTCAAGGCTGTAACTAGCAGAAAAATCTAACATCTGAATTAACGATTCGACACCCTTATTTGAGTCTTAAAGGTTTAAAGATTTCAAATAACGCGAATTAAGACCATTTTTTTTTTAAAAAATCGATGAATCATCAATTAAAATTCTTTAGAATTAAAAATTGTCAAAAGAAAAATGGTCTGAATTCGCGCTATTTGAAATCTTTGAACGTTTGAGACTCAAATAAGGGTGTCAAATCGTTAATTCAGATGTTTGATTTTACTGTTGTAACCCTAACCCTAACCCTAACCTTGAAAAGCAATTGTAAAAGACAAGTCAGAAAAAAATAATGAAGGATGGAAGATTGACTATTTTAGTTAAAAAAATATTTGCTAATTATCATTGAATGTCGATAATTGTTAGTTGTTTCGGCAATGGATCGCGATTCCCTTTATTTTGACGAGTGATGATGGGCGCTTGTTAGTAAGATGTATTCAACATCGGTGGAAATGGCAAATTCGCTAATTTTACGAGTTCGCGTAAATCCCAAGTGGTAAAGATCACCCGACGAGCTCGTTTTGAAAATCTAAACACATCAAACGGTTAAGCAGTTTACTGCCTTTGCGACTTCTCAACCTACAATAACCGTAAATCATCTCCGCGTAAGTGACGACAGCACCAGAATGACATTGCCACATTCATTTTTACATTCATTAGCCTCTTCTGAAAACAAAAAGAATCAGCGCCACTTCGAAAGCTATTTATTTTTCTTTCTAGAATTACAAAGAAAAACAAAGTTTATGATCAAATTTTGCTTCTGAGACCTATTTTATTCAATTTTTCTTACCAAAAGAGACGTTTATATTACGAATAACGTTTCTTTTATACGCTCAACTTGTCAAAAAGACTGTTTTGAACTTAGTTAGACTTTATTATTTTGACTTAGTTTAATTTTATAAATAGTATCGAAATCAGCAGCTTTTGGCAGTCGCCATTTCCTTTCAGATTTTGAACTCAATATTATTGAACTTGGCTCGGGAACCTGCGTCAAAAATCTGAGTCAGGGCCTGAGTCGCGGCTTAAATTTTCATTTTAGCTCTGAAGGTCCTGAGTCAGATTTTGGACGCAGGTTGCCGAGCCCAAATTTCGGGGCACGAATTCGATAATTGACGATTTGTTTGAGAAGAAGCGACGTCTTTCAAATACAGATCGTAGATTTGCGGTCCGCAGCGTACTTGAGTAATCACTCCGAGAATATGAGCGCATAAATCAACACGGCCTTTATAATTCCCTTTTGATAAAAAGATCATTTATGAATCATGATTCATTAAACCTGCACTTGCGAGATGCAAAAGAGAGAAAAGAGAAACAAAACGATTTTGAAAGAGTTTTTTTTTTCACTCTTTCAAAATCGGTTATTTGAGATTTTAAAGTAGGAAAATTGATTTTATTCAGGAGTTATGTAAAATTTGCAACTTGTCAGGAAGTTAATCAGATCGGCAATGTCGCCAATCTTCTCGTCCAAATCGTCTTTTTTCAAGATGTATTTGAACTCGATGGATTGAGACCATTTTGATTCCGTTCGTTCTCCGTCTTTTTTGACTAAAATTGACGGAGTGGAAGGCCATCCCATCGAGTTGAAAGCTAAAAAAAAATTAATTCGCCGCCGAAAATCATCAAAACTCACCTTTTTATCCTCAAAATTCGGACTTTCAATCACCCAGGATGTGAAAGTGATAAATGAAAAAATGCCCAGAACAACATGTGCTCAACCCGTGTTCTAGAGATGAGCGAACGAAATTTTCGACTTTTTCCAATATTCGAATATTCAAAATGCCAAAAGACGACTGGGAAAGAAGAAGAAATCTGCACCGATATTTATTTCCTTTCCCTTCAATTCGCCCTTGACTTTAACCTTTAGCCGTCTATAAATTTAATGAGCGAACACATTTTTGGTTGTTAATGTCAGCTGATTTCTCTCAAAAACTGACACGTTTATTGGATGCGGCGCCGCCAGAAAAGCGCGCCACGTTCGAAAAGCGAACTTCCGCCACACCTGCGGATTCAACCTTTCTTTCATCTTTGACTTCGATTTACGGCGACCCTACTTCCATTTCTAGCCGTTTTATTAAAAAAAAAACTTGTTGGAATTTTTCATGATCGCCTGGACTCGGCAACCTGTGTATAAAACCTCTCGGCTAGACAACCTGTGTAGAAAACCTGAGTCAGGGTCTGAAATATCTTTAATGAAAAGCCGCGTAGCGGCTTTTTTAAAAACGAAGCCGCGAAGCGGCTTCGCATATTTTACCTTTTTAATCTATTTATTATTTTTGGCGAAGCCGCTTTGCGGCTTCGTTTTTAAAAAAGCCGCTACGCGGCTTTTTATTAGAGATATTTTAGACCCTGACTCAGGTTTTCTACACAGGTTGCCGAGCCCAGTAAAATCTGACTCAGGACCTTAAGATCTCTATTGAAAAGCCGCTTTCAGACCCTGACTCAGGTTTTTTTTACACAGGTTGCCGCGCCCAGATCATTGCAATCCACGAGAAAGCCTTTTTCTTTGGAAAGAACATTTTTTTCCGATAAAATGAACGCTAATTCTATGATAATTGTCGCAAAAAAGCAGATAATTATTATTAATAATTCAAAAATATCAGACAGATTTTCACGCTTTCCGTTGCCTTTTCCTATCAAGGGTGAGTGTGCTTATCCGCGGAATCATTAAAATTAACCGTTTTCCGTGTTCCAAGATTAGAAATTATATTTTGGGGAAAAGGGCGAATTCTGCCGCGCTTTCCGACTTCCAACTAATAAGAGCCTCTTTTAATCTCGACCACTATCAACGAGCACTTGAGGGATAGGCGAACTGGTCCAATAAAACGGCTTGCCGTCATTATGGAGCGCATGATTTGTATGCATGAGCCCTTCAAGGCCGTCTTTATCAGCACTAATGCTCTAACCGGGCCATTATCGCTGTGAGCCGCTATTTATGCTGAAAATACTCGAAAAATACGCTGATTATGGGCCATAATTTATGGCGATGCAGCATCAAAAATAAGTAACCCCAATTATATCCCGTTTTTTTCAAGGACGAAGACGATGAAGAGCGACTAAAAGCGCTGATTCGTGCGCTTGTCGACGGCACGGGTGCGCACTTCCTTCGAAGGCTCTTTATGACACTTGGCTGATAAACGAGTGGCGCTTTATTTGAGTCGATCAAAGTGATTTACTCCCGATCAAGCAAAACGCTTCCGATCGGATTCAAACTTGTACAACTCACAACTTTCGCCCATTTCGAAATATATAACAACACGTGACGCTGACACCACTGAGTCGACAACATCTGAGTGCTACTCCTGATAAAGATTCGATCTTTGAACTTGACTTCTTCTTGTCTTTTTGAATATCTATTTCAGCCTCTTTATTACCGAACTGGTTACTGACTACGTCAACTCGTCACCCCTCAAGAGCCTAATCTCGTCTTTGGTTGGAGCATAGACTTTGGATAACGCTCTCGTCGGCGATACCGCGATATCAGGAGTGAGCGTTGTGGCGCCCTTGCCGCCCTCGAATTCGTATTTAACCGGTGACGAAGCTGGAGACGAGCAAGAAATACGATCGAATACCGGTCGGTTTTGAAGAGAAAAGCCCTCTGACTTCTTTTTTTTATTCACTTCTAGGGATGAAGCTTCTTCAATCCACTTTGCTCGCTGTTGCCTTTGCGCAAACTGGTGATTACGGTGATTACGCTTACAGTGTCGACCTTACTGACGCTGCTGACGATTCGTTGTACTTCGATCCTCGAGGACGAAAGAACAAGAAGCAGAAATACACCACTCCAGAGCCAACGACCACCGAAGCAGCTACAACCACTACCACTACCACCACGACAACCACCACTACTACAACCACCACGACTACAACAACAACTACGTCCACTACCACCGCACCAGCCGAAGAAGAGAAGCCAAACAACGTCGAGTACGTCGTCCCTTACCTCTACGAAGACGATAATCAGAGTGAAGGTTCCCAAGCCCTCAAGGGTAACCAAGATCTTGCTGGAATCATTGATGATTACGAGTACAACTACCAGGATTCTAGCTCCTATTCTGACAGCTTTGCTGATAGCCAGCGAGGCAAGAAGAAAAAAAATAACAACAATAACAACAACTATGACAACAGCAACTACGAGCAAAACTACAACAACAACAACCACTACAACGAGCATCCAGTTGACCTTAACTGGGCTCCTCAGGTAAGCCAAAAATGTAGAAATTTAATACTAAATTCAAACCTCAGATGTCCAACCAGACGGAACAGGTCTCTAACCAAGTCCCACAACAGTCTAACCAAGTCGCTCAACAATCTAACCAGGTTCCTCAGCAATCGAACCAGTACGAGCAGACTTCCAACCAATACCCACAAATGTCGAACCAAACTGAGCAATACTCGAGCCAGGTCGAGCAAGTATCCAACCAGGTTGAACAGGAATCCAACCAGTACGAACAAGACTCGAACCAATACCCACAACTCTCCAACCAAACTGAGCAATACTCCAACCAGGTCGAGCAAGTGTCCAACCAGGTTCCACAAGAATCCAACCAGGTGGCTCAGCAGTCCAACCAGCAGCCCCAGCAGCCCCAACAAGGATACGATCAAGGATATTAAACAACGATTATATGTTAATTTTTATGAAGACGACATAAAATTACTCTCTTGTTTCCTTTCCCCTGCATCATTGTTTCTTGTAACAATAAACTCCTGCGATAGAAAATTCTTGAAATTGTTGCTGAACATAACGTATTGAAACTCGTTTATTCTTAAGAAAACATGCATAAGTAAAGAATAAGCATAAATAAAGTTCACTCAAAGCTAGGGCCACTACGTAGAGTTTTCTGTGCGATTCGAAACCGGTGTTGAGCAGTCGAACTGGCCAGTCGGGAAGAGAACTGGGCGGTAATGACCGTACGACTCATGCAAAGAGATGATTTCAGATGAAATGCTGGAATTGAAGATTTGGATTCGCTCTATTCCGGCATCTCCTTGTGGAGAAACAGTTGTGTAGTACCGACGAGAATCATCAGAGTCATCTTCGCCTGCATCAGCACTCTTTTCGTTTTTGTTCTTTCGTCGCCAGTAGGTTGTGCCAGTACTGTAGATGTAACCGTTCAATTCAATAACAGTATTGTACATATGCGCTTGCTGCAAATATCCCAATAATGACCAGGTCCCGGATTGACCACTATATTTATAGACTCTGCTCGATCCACCGTATCCTCCAATCGTGACCATATCTTGTCCAAATCCTAGACATCCTGCATAATAGTTGTTTTCCCTAAAAAGAACAAGTGAGATTAATCATCTCAGATGATCAATTGTTGAAAATCATACATTGGATGCGGGTCAAGATGAGTCCATCCGTTTGATCTAAGCAATTCCACATAACGTCCGCCGTCTCCGCCGATTGCAACAGGTTGATTATTCAAGTGAGCCATGCAGCCCCCTTCATGGTCCGCATCAGTATTGTAATTTGAAAGAATGGTTTTTGTGCCATCAAAAAGCTGCGTCCACGTATAAGGAGAATTAACAAACCCAGAGTACACTAAAAAGTAATAATTCAAAATTACATGAAGATTTTGTATCAAGTATGAAATGTAACATTACTATAAATATAGAACAAAGAGCTAAGGAATTATGTTATATTAACCTCCATCGGATGTTGTAACTATTCCAGTGTAATATCCAACGCCTTTTTGCAGTGTGACGGAAAGCTTGCGAATTTCGCATCCGAATATTTGATGGATCTTAATTTAAGAAATTTTATTTAAAAAAATATTTAAACAAACATCTGTTTTATATCCGTAGTCATCATCGTATCCTCCAAAGATATAGACATTATCTTGGTAGACTGCACTGACTGTGTATCGAAGGCTGTTTTCATAGAAACTGTAGTATCGATTTTGCTTTAGAAATATTAACAATTTTGTCAAGTTGAAAAAAAAAACAGTAGAAAATTCTGATAATTTTCCTGAAAACCGCCGTTAACATGCGTAACATAGCCGAGATTATATGATGAGCCACTATAGTTCTCATGTTCCGATAGAATGGTAAGATATTCTGTTGACTTGGAAGGAATCTCGTCAAAGCATTTGCATTGCGAAAAGCCTTGCAAGATTTCTCGATTGTAGCAATTATCGATGCAGCCCCAGTTGTTCAAACAATTCATCGCGCAGTGGTCGAATTCTTCTAGCGCAATTACTTTGCATTGCTAATATATAGATAGTTCAATAATCCTGCGCTTGATCTCGAACCTGAAATTCAAAGTCCGTTTCTAAGTTATCACAAGTTGTGCAGAGAGGGTTATCGCAGTCCTGACATCCGTTTGGGCAATTCTGTCCACAGGGGCAATCCGAGACGCATTCTGTGAACTCAATCAGACATTGATTTTCACAAAGATGATCAGAACAGTTGTTGCGGCAGTCAACGAAAACCTCCGAGCATTCAGTATCACACTGTTGGCCTGAAATTTACCGATTATTAATTTACGAGTGTCTCGACATCACAAACCAAGCTCCAAGTCAGGGCATCGCGCGTCAAACTCAGCCAAATCTGCCGAAAAGCCAACTTTCGCCAGAACAAAAAAGCTTGAAAGCTTCATCTTTTCGTCTTCGAAACTGAATCAAACCACCTCCAATCCGGTCTTAAACGTATTTCCAGAACAGTTATCAGTATTCTATCTGTTTCCGCTTGCAGTTAAGCCACCGCATTTGGTGATCCGCTGTCGCTTCTCAAGAGCCGGCGCAATAAATTAATTCCTTCACTGTAAGACCTGCAGTCTAGGGACTTGCGAAGCTTCTAACAAAGCTCGTTATTAAAGATAAAAATCGTTATTGTGCTTTGACGATCACAACAATCTAACTAGGTTCCTCAGCAATCGAATCAGTATAAGCAGACTTCCAACCAATACCAACAAATGTCGAACAAAACTGAGCAATACTCCAACCAGGTCGAGCAAGTGTCCAACCAGGTTGCACAGGAATCCAACCTGGTGGCTCAGCAGTCCAACAAGCAGCCCCAACAAGGAAACAACCAAGGATATTGAACAATGTATGTTAATTTTTATGAAGACGACATAAAATTACTCATTCGTTTCATTTCTCCTGCATCTTTGTTGCCTGCAACAATAAAGTCCTGCGAAACAAAATTGTTTGAATTATTGCTAAACATAACGTATTGAAATAATTTTATTCTAAAGAGAGCATTGATTAGTTCAGAAAAAGCATAAATAAGGTTCACTCAAAGATAGGGCCACTACAATGAGTTTTCTGTGCGATTTGAAACCGGTGTTGAGCAGTCGAACTGGCCAGTCGAGAAGAGAATTGGGCGGAAATGACCGTACGACTCATGCATAGAGATGATTTCAGATGAAATGCTGGAATTGAAGATTTGGATTCGCTCTATTCCGGCATCTCCTTGAGGAGAAACGGTTGTATAGTACCGACGAGAATCATCAGAGTCATCAGAATCATCTTCGCTTGCATCAGAAATCTTTTCGTTTTTGCTCTTTCGTCGCCAGTTGTTTGTACCAGTACTGTAGATGTAACCGTTCAATTCAATAACAGTATTGAACATATGGTTCTGCTGCAAATATCCCAATAATGACCAGGTCCTAGATTGACCACTATATTTATAGACCCTGTTCGTTCCTCCGTTTCCCCCGATCGTGACCATATCTTGACCGAATCCTAGACATCCTGCATGATGTGTATCCCTAAATTGAAGAAGTGAGAAAATCAACTGTTAAAAATCAAACATTGGATGCGAGTTTAGACGAGTCCACCCGTTTGATCTAAGCAATTCCACATTATTTCCGCCGTCGCCTCCAATTGCAACAGGTTGATTATTCAAGTGAGCCATGCAGCCCCCTTCATGGTCCGCATCAGTATTGTAATTTGAAAGAGTGGTTCTTGTTCCATCAAAAAGCTGCGTCCACTTATAATTACTACCAACAAACCCGGAGTACACTTGAAAACAAATTATTCAAAATTATTCAATATATGTTGCGTAAAAATAAATAGGGAAGCTGAATGATTCGCACCTCCATCGGATGTTGCCACTATTCCAGTATAATACGCGACGGGTCTTTCCAGTGTCACGGAAAGCTTGCGAATTTCGCATCCAAATACTTGGTGAATCTAAATTTTAGGAAATATATTTGAAAAAATATTTAAACAAACATCTGTTTTATAGAAATCATTGTCACTATCGTATCCTCCAAAGATGTAGACATTATCTTTGTAGACTGCACTGACTGCGTATAGAAGGCTGTTTTCATAGAAACTGTAGTATCGGTTTTGCTTTAGAAAAATCAAAATTTTTTTTCAAAGTGAAAAATACAAAAAATATGATAATTTTCCTGAAAACCGCCGTCGACATGCGTAACATAGCCGAGATTAGGTGAGCCATAGTACCAGTTTTGCGATAGTACGGTGAGGTATTCGGTTGACTCTGATGGAATCTCATCAAAGCATTTGCATTGCGAAAAGCCTTGCAAGATTTCTCGATTGTAGCAATTATCGATGCAGCCCCAGTTGTTTAAACAATTCATCGCGCAGTGGTCGAATTCTTCTAGCGCAATCACTTTGCATTGCTAACATCTGATAGGTTAATGATCTTAGACTTGATCTCGAACCTGAAATTCAAAGTCCATTTCCAAATTATTACAAGTTGTGCAGAGGGGGTTTTCGCAGTCCTGACATCCGTTTGGGCAATTTTGTCCACAGGGGCAATCCGAGACGCATTCTGTGAACTCAATCAGACATTGATTCTCACAAAGATGGTCAGGACAGTTGTTGCGACAATCAACGAAAACCTCAGAGCATTCAGTATCACACTGCTGGCCTGAAATTTACCGATTATTTATTTACGAGTTTCTCGACATCTCAAACCAAGCTCCAAGTCAGGGCATCGCGCGTCAAACTCAGCCAAATCTGCCGAAAAGCCAACTTTCGCCAGAACAAAAAAGCTTGAAAGCTTCATCTTTATGCCTTCGAAACTGAATGAAACTACCACGGATCCGTTTTTAAAGGCATTTTCAGGATAGTTATCAGTATGCTATCTATCTCCGCTTGCAGTTAAACCACCGCATTTGGTGATCCGCTGTCGCTTCTCAAGAACCGGCGCAATAAATTAATTCCTACACTGTAGGACCTGCAGTCTAGGGACTTGCGATGCTTCTAACAAACCTCGTTACTAAAGATAAAAATCTTTGCTGTGCTTTGACGATCACAACAATCTTACTAGGTTCCTCAGCAATCTAACCAGTACGAGCAGACTTCCAACCAATACCCACAAATGACGAACCAAACTGAGCAATACTCCAACCAGGTCCAGCAAGTATCTAACCAGGTTGCACAGGAATCCAACCAGGTGGCTCAGCAGTCCAACCAGCAGCCCCAGCAGTCCAACCAGCAGCCCCAGCAGCCACAACAAGGGTACAACCAAGGATATTAATCAACGATTACATGCTAATTTTTATGAAAACGACATAAAATTACTCATTAGTTTCCTTTCCCCTGCATCTTTGTTGCTTGTTACAATAAACTCCTGCGATAGAAAATTATTGGAATTGTTGCTAAACAAAACGTACTATTGTATTGAAATTATTTTATTCTAAAGAGAGCACTCATTGGAATAAGCATGAATAAAGTTAACTCAAGGCTAGGGCCACCACGTGGAGGGCCAATAAGTAGTCGTTTCTGTGCGATAGGTTGTTGTACCCGGATTCGAAACCGGTGTTGAGCAGTCGAACTGGCCAGTCGGGAAGAGAACTGGGCGCCAATGACCGTACGAATCATGCATAGAGATGATTTCAGATGAAATGCTCGAATCGAAGATTTGGATTCGCTCTATTCCGGCATCTCCTGTAGGAGAAACAGTTGTATAGTAGCGACGAGAGTCATCAGAGTCATCAGAATCATCTTCGGTTGCATCAGCACTCTTTTCGTTTTTGCTATTTCGTCGCCAGTAGTTTGTTCCAGTACTGTAGATATAACCGTTCAATTCAATAACAGAATTGTACATATGATACTGTTGCAAATATCCCAATAATGACCAGGTCCCGGATTGGCCACTATATTTATAGACTCTGTTCTTTCCTCCGTCGCCCCCGATCGTGACCATATCGTGACCAAATCCTAGACATCCTGCATAATGTGTATCTCTAAATCGGAAAAATGGATAATCGAATGACGAAAATCATACATTGGATGCGAGTTAAGACGAGTCCACCCGTTTGATCTAAGTAATTCCACATAATTTCCGCCGTCTCCTCCAATTGCAACAGGTTGATTATTCAAGTGAGCCATACAGCCATATTCATGGTCCGCATAAGTATCGTAATTTGAAAGAGTTGTCTTTGTTCCATCAAAAAGCTGCGTCCACTTATACGGATAACGAACGAACCCAGAGTACACTGAAAAGTAATCATTCAAAATTACATGAAGATTTTTTATCAAGTATGAAATGTAGCATAACTATAAATATTAAACATAGAGGTAAGGAATTATGATATAGTAACCTCCATCGGATGTTGCAACTATTCCAGTATTATATCCGACGCCTCTTTGCAGTGTGACGGAAAGCTTGCGAATTTCGCATCCAAATATTTGGTGGATCTTAATTCAAGAAATGATATTTTAAAAAATATTCAAACAAACATCTGTTTTAAAATTGTCGTTGTATTCATCGTATCCTCCAAAGATATAGACATTATCTTGGTAAACTGCACTGACTGCGAGTCGAAGGGTTTTTTCATAGAAACTGTAGTATCGATTTTGCTTTACAAATATTAACATTATCGTCCAAGTGAAAAATCAAAAAATGAATTCTGGTAATTTTCCTGAAAACCGCCGTCGACATGAGTAACATAGCCGAGATTAGGTCGATAGTTCGAATTTTCCGATAGTATGGTTAGATAATCGGTTGACTTTGATGGAATCTCGTCAAAGCATTTGCATTGAGAAAACCCTTGCAAGATTTGTCGATTGTAGCAATTATCGATGCAGCCCCAGTTGTTCAAACAATTCATCGCGCAGTGGTCGAATTCTTCTAGCGCAATTACTTTGCATTGCTAATATATTTATAGTTCAATAATCCTGAGCATGATGTCAAACCTGAAATTCAAAGTCCGTTTCTAAGTTATCACAAGTTGTGCAGAGGGGGTTTTCGCAGTTCTGGCATCCATTTGGGCAATTCTGTCCACAGGGGCAATCCGAGACGCATTCTGTGAACTCAATCAGACATTGATTTTCACAAAGATGATCAGGACAATTATTCCGACAGTCAACAAAAACCAGTGAGCATTCATTATCACACTGCTGGCCTGAATTTTACCGATTATTTATTCACGAGTGTCTCGATATCTCAAACCAAGTTCCAAGTCAGGGCATCGCGCGTCAAACTCAGCCAAATCTTCCGAAAAGCCAACTTTGGCTAGAACAAAAAAGCTTGAAAGCTTCATCTTTTCGTCTTCGAAACTGAATCAAACTACTTCCAATCCGTTTTTAAAGGCATTTTCAGGATAGTTATCAGTATGCTATCTGTCTCCGCTTGCAGTTAAGCCACCGCATTTGGTGATTTGCTGTCGCTTCTCAAGAACCGGCGCAATAAATTAATTCCTACACTGTAGGTCTTGGGACTTGCGAAACTTCAAACAAACCTCGTTACTTAAAATAGAAACAGTTGACCCAAACTGGGTTCCTCAGGTATTTTTAATAATACAGTTCTTTTCCTCTTTTGTGGACATTTTTTGTCCCAAAATTTTCGAAAAATGTCCACAAACTTGGGCAACGTCTTCCGAAAAAATGTCCCATCGAAATCGCTTAAAATTTTTTTTTAAGATTTGAGTACGCCGAATGGTTTTCTAGACTTTGCATTTATGCTCCTGAAAGACTGACAAAGGCCCCTTTGTCTCTAGTTCAACCTTTAATGTTGTTTTTTTTTCGTAAACAATGAACAACTCGATCTTGATTAGCGAGAATTAATCTCAACACAAAAAAAATTGTCTTTTTTATTTCTTTCCGCGAAAAAATGTCCACAAACTTGGAACAGCATCTTTTATAAAGTGTCCCACTTAAAGGCCTTTAAATGGAAAAAATGTCCACAAACTTGGGGTCCACAAAAGAGGAAAAAAACTGTATGTAGAAAATTTTTACTTAATCAATACCTCAGATGTCCAACCAGACAGAACAGGTCTACCAAGTCGCACAGCAATCTATTCAGGTTCCTAAGTAATCGAACCAGTACGAGCAGACTTGCAAGCAATACCCACAAATGTCGAACCAAACTGAGCAATATAATATTGCCAAAATTCGAACCAGATCAAGCAAGAATCCAACCAGTACGAACAATACTCGAACCAATACGCTCAACTCTCCAACCAAACTGAGCAATACTCCAACCAGGTCGAGCAAGTTTCTAATCAGGTTGCACAGGAATCCAACCAGGTGGCTCAGCAGTCCAACCTGCAGCCCTAGGAGTCCCAACAAGACTACATAAAATTACTAATTCGTTCCCTTTCCCCTGCATCTTTGTTTCTTGCAACAATAAACTCCTGCGATAGAAAATAGTTTGAATTGTTGCTGAACATAACGTATTGAAATGATTTTATTCCAAAGATAGCATTCATTAGTTCAGATTCTGGACTTCAGAATAAGCATAAATAAAATTCACTCAAAGCAAGGGTCACTACGTAGAGTTTTCTGTGCGATTTGAAATCGGTGTTGAACAGTCGAACTGGCCAGTCGGGAAGAGAACTGGGCGGTAATGACCGTACGACTCATGCAAAGAGATGATTTCAGATGAAATGCTGGAATTGAAGATTTGGATTCGCTCTATTCCGGCATCTCCTTGTGGAGAAACAGTTGTATAGTACCAAAGAGAATCATCAGATTCATCAGTATCATCTTCGCTTGCATCAGAAATCTTTTCGTTTTTGCCCTTTCGTCTCCAGTTGTTTGTACCAGTACTGTAGATGTAACCGTTCAATTCAATAACAGTATTGAACATATGATTCTGCTGCAAATATCCCAATAATGACCAGGTCCCAGATTGACCACTATATTTATAGACCCTGTTCGTTCCTCCGTTTCCCCGATCGTGATCATATCTTGACCGAATCCTAGACATCCTGCATGATGAGTATCCCTAAATAGAACAAGTTAGATGATCAATTGTCGAAAATCATACATTGGATGCGAGTCGAGATAAGTCCATCCGTTTGATCTAAGCAATTCCACATTATTTCCACCGTCGCCTCCAATTGCAACAGGTTGATTATTCAAGTGAGCCATGCAGCCCCCTTCATGGTCCGCATCAGTATTGTAATTTGAAAGAATGGTTCTTGTTCCATCAAAAAGCTGTGTCCACTTATAATTACTACCAACAAACCCGGAGTAAACTTGAAAACAAATTATTCAAAATTATTCAATATATGTTGCATAAAAATAAATAGGGAAGCTGAATGATTCGCACCTCCATCGGATGTTGCCACTATTCCAGTATAATATGCGACGGGTCTTTCCAGTGTGACGGAAAGCTTGCGAATTTCGCATCCAAATACTTGGTGAATCTAAATTTTAGAAATATATTTGAAATTTAAACAAACATCTGTTTTATAGAAATCATTGTCACTATCGTATCCTCCAAAGATGTAGACATTATCTTGGTAGACTGCACTGACTGCGTATAGAAGGCTGTTTTCATAAAAACTGTAGTATCGGTTTTGCTTTAGAAAAATCAAAATTTTTTTTCAAAGTGAAAAATACAAAAAATATGATAATTTTCCTGAAAACCGCCGTCGACATTCGTAACATAGCCGAGATTAGGTGATCCATAGTACCAGTTTTGCGATAGTACGGTGAGGTATTCGGTTGACTCTGATGGAATCTCGTCAAAGCATTTGCATTGCGAAAAGCCTTGCAAGATTTCTCGATTGTAGCAATTGTCGATGCAGCCCCAGTTGTTCAAACAATTCATCGCGCAGTGGTCGAATTCTTCTAGCGCAATCACTTTGCATTGCTAATATCGGACAGGTCTGATCTTTTGATAAATCTCAAACCTGAAATTCAAAGTCCATTTCCAAATTATTACAAGTTGTGCAGAGGGGGTTTTCGCAGTCCTGACATCCGTTTGGGCAATTTTGTCCACAGGGACAATCCGAGACGCATTCTGTGAACTCGATCAGACATTGATTTTCACAAAGATGGTCAGGACAGTTGTTGCGGCAGTCAACGAAAACCTCCGAGCATTCAGTATCACACTGCTGGCCTGAATTTTACTGATTATTTATTTACGAGTGTCTCGATATCTCAAACCAAGTTCCAAGTCAGGGCATCGCGAGTCAAACTCAGCCAAATCTTGCGAAAAGCCAACTTTCGCTAGAACAAAAAAGCTTGAAAGCTTCATCTTTCTTTGTTCGAAACTGCCTCAAACCACCTCCGATCCGTTTTTTAAAGGCATTTTCAGGATAGTTATCAGTATTCTTTCTGTCTCCGCTTGCAGTAAAGCCACCGCATTTGGTGATCTGCTGTCGCTTCTCAAGAACCGGCGCAATAAATTAATTCCTACACTGAAGGAACTTCCAACAAACCTCGAAATCGTTGTTGCTTTTGATGATTTTCTCCATTTTGCCAACTTTGACAGATCAACTTTGTAAGCGTAATTCTTAATTGTCCTCATTTTCGTCGCGAATAGAAGATTTTATAAAGTGGGATGGATGGAGTGTCGTCGTTGCTGGATAAGCCCCGATCGATCACCCAGTTCAAGCAACTCTTCGTAACATTCCTCCCGCGGCACATTTTTCAAATAACATTGTCCCGAACGCGCTGAAAAGAAAAACGCTTGAATGCAACTTTCGCTCAGAATATTCCTTTTACTTCTCGCTTTTGGCCTTGCTAGAAAAAATGATGCCCGGACAGTTGAGAGAATGGCTTGGGAAGCTCAGATAAGGGTTGAAAATAAAATACTTTGCTCTTGATAAATTCAAAGAAGCCAACCCTTTTGATTGATGGTTTTCACCGCCACTTGTGCCCACGCAGAAAGGTCGAAATGCTCCTGGATAAAAATCTGGCTCGGGCTTCAAATAACCCTAATTTCATCCTTCCTTTCCTTAGACCTTATGTTGAAGCCTGATATTTGGTATGAATACAAAGGAAGTCTGGAGAAATACTTTGGAATGTACTCGGATCTTGTGAATGTCGAATCAAGCGCTAAAATCGACAGGACAGAAATTTACTTCCTCCAATGGAATAAAATAGGCGAGTTTTCCACTAATTTCTTAGCGCTTTTTTGAAAAATAATGAAAAAAAACGACGGAAGAAAAGCGATTCGACGTTTCCAAGAAGCCGATAAGTTACGGCAACCTCCAGAGAATCGAGGCGATCGTCAATTTCGAGCGGGAAATCCGCCGGATGGATCTCAACAACGCCTGCGAAAAAGCAGAAGAGTTCGGAATTCGCGATCAACTACCCGCTTGCAATGTAACTTGTCTCCATTTGATCATAGACTGATGGTTCTTACTTTAGGTTTCGGAGCACGCTAGCTGCAACCGTTCCTGGGGCGAGTGGAGCGAATGTCACTGCTCTTCTGAAAAACCCTTCCGTACTCGATATCGAATGGCTCCGCCAAGACTGTGCCACGCGCCAGTATTTCAACTCGACGAGTCAGCTTTCTGCGAAACCGACTGCCAGGAAACTTTTGGAATTGTGGACAACCAGTCGAAGTTCTACAGCTCTTCTTCCTCAGGAAAAGTTGTCAAATGTTACGAGATTCAATCGAACTAGGATCTTTGTTCTCCAAGATCAAGGAATATAAGAACAAAAAGATCTAGCCGACCAAATGCGAGTAATTAAGATGTGCTCTGCCCAGCTGGTTATGTCCAGATGCGAAAGAGGATATAAGAAAACCGGATTCGGATGAATTTTACACTTGATAAAATGAAACAAGTATAAAGAATAAGGAGCAGTAAACCGCTTGAAAATGCGGTCTATTGTTCTGTATTTTTTCTGACACCCTGTTTAGGAACGCGCTTACAGTTGGCCTGGAGAGGTTCCTAATATCCTTTTTTTCGACCTTTCAAACAACCTCGACCTTTTTCATGGTTCGAACTATTTGTGAGCTAAAAATTGTCAACATTAAAAACCAGCACATCAAGACTCAAGCTCATATTACTTCGATGACTACCACGAATACGATGAAAATGCCTACTACTCTGGAGATGAAGGCTCAAACATCTCAGGTGGATATTCCGTCGATGACGATGAAGACTACTTCTGGATCTAATAAATTATAAATAAACAGAAATTTTCCTTTATACTTTCTTTATTCAATATTATTATAAATTTACAGCGAGAGTAGTGTGCGTTAAAATTATTGAATTATAGATAAATTACAATTATAGTAAGTTTTAGTGGAAAAAACTACTGGCAGGAACGTAGAAGAGTGATAAAATGGAACTTTGAAGATGTTGTTGTTTTTTTTTTCGTTGCGCTAAGGATTGGTCGAAAAAGGGTCGTTTGCATCGGTGCTCGGATCATATGGGCGGGAAAGTCGGGCAGGACTGGCTTAGTTTGAATCCGCTTGCTCAAGCCGAGCTTTTTCGGCTTATATACTATCAGAAATCAAGGAAGAAAGCTTTTGGAAAAATTCTGACTCGTTGGCTGAATGCAAACCGATTCAAATTTGCCAGTCCCTAGTGTCTTCGACAACGTTGATTCAGAATTGCATCCGGATTCGGCTCTAGAACATTCTTTTGTATGCTCTTGTGCAGCGATCCCAGCAACTTGCCACAGTGATGGTCCTCTAAAATTCTCGAATAGCTCCTCTGTTTGGCTACTGGGTCTTTCTTGCCTTCAACAATGACGTCGAGATCTTGAGAAGCTGGAGGAGCCGAGTCGTGATCGATCGTCTTTTTTGCCCACTCGGATGACTTTGATTCTGTCTCTAGGTCAGAGGCGATCACGGTTGAAGAAGCAACGCCAAGATCGCACTTTGCTTCGCCACCTTTATTTGACAGTATTAAGAGTATTTACAAAAGATCAGCTTACTAAGATTGGCAAGACGGGAAGCAGCGACCTTTTCCATTGCTCGTCTCATGATCGGATATTCCTGAATTGATATTTATCGTCTAAAAAGTGGCTCTAGCTTCACCTCTAGTAATTCGTTGAAATCATCAACGTTCAACGAATACAAGGAGCAACACGTGACTGCTGTTATCGTCGCCGTCCGCCGACTCTTCGTCAGTAGCCGAATTTCTAAGGAACAGTCGAATTCCGCCCGTTACAGTCGATCTTACCGCCGAAATACGAGCCATCTGCCAAGTGCCGCGCTTCTACCGATTTCGAACTATTCACTTTGACGACGCCGTGCTGTATAAAATACATCTTCTTGCCCACCGAGCCTTCTTTAATAATTACATCGCCCGGCTGGAACACTTCGAATGCCAAGTTGGAAATGATCTCTGTGACAAAGTCCCCATCAGCGTCGCGGAAAAACGGCACCGCCGCCACCAAATGACGGCAGTTGAAATTTACAACTTCTTCTCGCAAATGAGAACTAAAGAATGACACTTCAGAAATGCTATTTTTTATTACCTGAGCTCGTCGAGAATGGAACTCTCGTCGAACATCTTGCCCTGGTATCTATTTTCGTAGTAGTCGTGTACTCTTAGTCTGAGGCTCTTGGGAAGGCGCCTGTACTGCATGTACTCTTTCACTTGCATATACTTTTCTTTGTACTGCCTTTTGGACGAGTCCATCGACTGGATAAGCGCGGTCGCGTGTCCGATAAACATCGCGAAGCAAACAGCGCCCGACACCATCGAGATCATCGTCAGCCATAAATCGTCGAGCGAGCGCGGCGCCTTCTGGCCGTATCCAATGCAGAGCATGTGGCTCATCGCTTTGAACAGGGCCCAGGAGTACTTTTCGTACCATTCCGCGTTCTAGAGTAAAAATTTGAAATGGTGAATAAATTTTTCTTTTCATCGAAATCATGGAAGAAGTGACCTAATTTCGCTCTTTCGGAAAAAACGAGTCTAAGAATTAAAAATTCAGAAGAATATTGACTCGAATTTATTAATTTCGCCTTTTGGATTAAAAGTCCGATAAAGTCTTCCCCTTAATTTCTTTTGGTAACGAAATCGAATTCTCTATTAAAAGACGCTTGAATAATTATCTCAAGTTATTCCCCCTTGAAAGGGGCGTCTTCCCAAAGAAGAATGACATTAATGAATATTTCAGGGAAAATCACCAAGCTCACCGTCAAATTGTCAATAGAGACCCAAGAGTCCTCGGGATAGTCCTGAAGCATCGGCACTAGAAACTGAAGGCAGCCATTCCAATGGCCAATCAATAGCATCAAACAGATCAGATTGAAGATCCGCATCGCCGCCACTATTTTTTAATGGATTAATAAGCTAGTTTTTTGTTTAAACGAATTACTGCTAGTTGTAGATAGAACTTCTTCCCATTGATTTACATATCGGATTAGTCGGCTGAGACGGAGAAGACGCAGCAATGGGAGAATTTTGGCAAATCGTACTAATTTGACGGCGCGGGATGCATTTGCGCCAGCGTTAAATCCATAGACTAGCTGAAGAATATAATCCAAAGGGATTGTGCTGTTAGGCCTCATTAAACTTTAAACTCGCTACGTAAAACATACGTAGTTCCAATATCGAATTGTTTATTTATCACCCAAGAGCTGTGAATGTCTATATCGATCTTTAATCTAAAGTTTCTACAAATAAAACCTGAGTCAGGGTCCTAAAAGAATTTTAACGAAAAGCCGCGTAGCGGCTTTTTTTTTAACGAAGCCGCGGAGCGGCTTTGCCAATACTATCAAGTTATTCGATTTTTTGGATTCATTGTTCTTAAGGACCCCCCCTCGTCAATAATTTTGCCAAAAAATCCAAAAAAAATATGAAAAGGCGATTTTTGATTTTTCGAAAATTTTTTTGGGATGGTGTCTGGAACCGACAAAAAAATTTCGACAAATTTTGCGTAGGCGGCTACTCGGCTGCTGATTGGCCGCTAAGCCGAATCCAAGCTTCTGATTGGTTGAAAATTTCCACGCAAAATTTGTCGAAATTTTTTGTCGGTTCCAGACACCATCCCTTTTTTTTTGGGGAGGGGGGAATTTTTTCTTTCATTCTCAATCGATGAGGATTAAAATCTTGTTTGATTTCACAAGAATTTGTGAGACGTGCCTAATCATGTCAATAAAGAACCAAGAGAGAATATATCTTCTTCTGATTTCTTTCGGGTCCAAAATAACATCCGGGTCGGCGTATTCCTTCACTATCCCAGTTCGGAAATTGATCACAATATCGACGAGAAACCAGCTTCTCAGAGATGTAAAAACACTTTCATTTGTGGATAAACACGTTTTTAAATCTGTATCGACGTGGCCCTGTCAAGCGACAAGTTGAACAGCATCCATCCGGGAATGGTGGTCATGTCCTCGTTGAAGAAGGTGATTCCGACGGGGATGACGATCATTGTCACGATTAGAAACGCCAGCGATATCAGGTCCCAATAAAATCTTGGAAAATCAGTTAGCGATTTTTTGATCGAAAATGGTTCTGAAATCTGGGCTCGGCAACCTGAGTCAGGGTTCTCAAAGAGTAAAATGAAAAGCCGCGTAGCGGCTTTCTTTAAATACGAAGCCGCAGAGCGGCTTCGCCAAAGTAATCATCTCAATGAATTGTTTTAACTAGCGAAGCCGCTTTGCGGCTTCGTTAAAAAAAAAGCCGCTATGCGGCTTTTCATTTTACTATTTGAGAACCCTGACTCAGGTTTTCTTCTCAGGTTGCCGATGTTAGTCTGAAATGGTTACTGCTGGTGCACCTAAAATTGGAGTAGGGATGGATGATGACTCCATTAATGTCATTCTGCCTTTCTCGTTCCTGCTCTATTTTCAGGTCTTTTGCCTCGTTACAGTAGAGAAGATGACACGAATTAACTTTCAAAAGTAATTTTTAGACAAAGTTAATTACTAAAAATGTTACTGTTTTTTAGACCTTTTTAAGAAAATGAAGACGTTCCTATGGCTTTGTAGGATCCGAAGACGCGCAGTGCAAATTTTGAATCAGGCACTCTGAAATTGCGGGCACAAACGCCCGCTGTCGCTTTTAAAGTGTTTGTAGCTGGGAAGGGCCCCTCGCCAGGCTTTTTCCCGGGTTCATAAGCTTTCTGGGGCGGTTTAAATGGTGCCTCGCCGGAGAAAATCGCCATCGAGCGTTTCTCTTTCTCTCTCTTTCTTTGGACTCTGATCTGCACATTGCATGTTTATTGCTGTCCCTGTCTTAAAATTTAACACTTGTTCAAGTAGCTGCGCGCTAAAAAATGCGCTAAAAAGACAATAAAAACTGAGCTCAACTTGTCAGAATAGAAAACAACAAGCTGAATGTTATAGATAGATCGAGGAAAATCAATTTTGAACAAATTTGAAATTCTACGTTTTTGAATTAAAAATGAAGCTCAAGTTTTTTCTGTTGCGAAAGTGATTGAGCGAAAACGACGCAGAAGAACATGTCTGACACAATTGATACTGCTGGGCATGAATATAGTATGCGGGGAGTATCCTATCCAGAATATGAGCTAGTGGCCGGGGCGACATGAAAAAATAATGAACAGCGGCAATGAACTTGAACCCGATCGCGGTACTGACAAGCAGGTTTCTCAAAAATGTCGAATGTTAGCAGCTTAATTTTTCACTGTAATAACTTGACATACTTATTGGAAAACCTGAAAACCTGAAGTACAGCGCTTGAGAAACACTTCTTTCTCTTCCGAAGTCAACTCTAGGTCGGTATCTTGGTAGACACGGCCTTTCAAAAGTGCTAGAAAAAAAAATAATCAAAAAAATTCGGCCTAAAATATTGGGTGGTGGCTCGAGTCGCCAGAAAATTCGATAAAAACTCAATTTTTTTCGACAGTTTTTTTTTCTGAAATCTTATTGGCCTACCGGCTGAATGCGGTCAGCTGATTGGTCGAAAATTTAATCAAAATTTTCTTCAATATTATCGCATTTTCTGTCGATTGAAAGATTAAATTTGTCATTTTTCTACTCAAATATTGAACAAAAATAAAAGAAGAATCAACGAGGAGATCCTTAATTATTGTCAGATTTGATTGTGTCACTCTTCCTATTACGGCGATTGAATTCTCTCTTTTGAACAATTTCCGCCGCTGCAGCAGCTCTTGGTCGTCTTTTGGATCAGTTTTGAAGAGTTGAAGATTTAAAAAAAAACAACAAAAAAGTAATGAAATGAAACTGGACTTCGACAGAAAGAGCTTTCTTGGAGGGAGTGTTGCTCTCCATCGGGTGTCAGGAGTCGCCGCTGGGGCTATCTGCTTCTGTTCAATTTTGATATTGTTTCTCTTTTGATATCCATCTGGTTGGTCTTAGTCTGAGTTGTAGTTGTTGGTAGGATCGGGCCGCTGCGTTGTCCCGTAGGGATTCGGGACCTTCCTTCAAGTGCTGCTCATCGCTCTATTATTCAGCTTAGCTCGTAGCCCGTAGGATTCTGAAGTAGCGACTAGCGCCTTCTTTGATCCCATTACCGAATTAAGTTTTCGAATCTCTGCCTATCGCTATATCTACAATTTTCGCTAAACACGGGGAAAGAAAGAACGCTCGAAACTCCGCGCCAAACTCATTTAAAATACTTATGAGTTGCAGTTTGATCCAGTCAGGAGCAAGAAAAAAAGGAGGAGGAGCAATACTATGCTATCATACTTCTTTTGAAAATAGAAATGCTACCCTAAAATGTTCGACAAAGCGGGGCCTCAGATTCCTAAAATGTTGATTTGTCGAGATTTTAAAGGTTTTTTTAGTTATTAAATTTGAGGGTTGGGGTTAGGGTTAGGGTTTGACTTATTAATTGACGAATCAACATTTTAGGAATCTGGACCTCGATTTGTCGACATTTTAAGTAGCCCTTCTATTTTTTTAGTAATTACTTATTACTATTTTTACTTACAAAGAAGTGCTCTTCGAAGTTTCAATAAGGGTTTCTCTGTTTTACAAAAATTTGCGTTTCGGGTCGATTAGATTTGGGCGAGGGGCCATTTGTGCCATTCCAAGAAAAAAAAAAGAACAGCGCGCTAGGTTTGTATAAGATATGCCTGCATAAATGATGAAGTCCTGTATGTATACTCCTTACACATTTTGCTTCTGCCGATTTGCTTTCGGAATAATGATAGAATGATCAATAAAGATTAGTTTAGCTTAGCGAATACCTGAAATTGGAGTACGGGTGGATGATGAAGACGCCGTACGACTTTTGCCGCGAGCGCTCGTTTTCTAGCGCCTTGTGGGAGCCGTACCAGCGCAGGCTGAATTTGGAGGTCGGGACGGACATCGAGCCAGATGCTATTCGATTTGTTCCTTCTGGAATTCATCGTTAGTTAGGCCATGAGTTTGGCCGAAGGGGGCTGAACTGGCAGCCCTGACTGTAAATTCTGCTTACCTTGTTTTTTACGCAGGAAGAGCCTGAGCATATCTGAGGGCGAGTACTTTACATCTGCGATGTCTGCCGTGCTCTGGTTCCTCTTTCTGCCCAAGTTGTGGTCCTTCTGCTCGCGCTTCAACAAGCTGGCCGACGAATGCCACTGAAACAAAAAATAATAAAAAAGGAATATGTAGTGATTTCGGGACTGTGAAGCTACTCACTACTAAAAAGAAGTACAGTAAGAATCCTGATCGCGGCGGGAACTCATTTTTATTTATCAGTGCGATTCGAAATCTAGCTCGGCTCTTTTTTTTCCCGCTCGTCAAATCACGCAAAACGCAAGGCGACGTTTTCAGGAGACAAATCACTGTGCTTATACTGAGCTTCGAGGATTATTCATGCTCAACATGTACTGTAGAAGTGGTCTAAGCGCGCCAGATCTATCTTGAGAACATTTTCCCAGTAAGAGCGCAGTAAGCTTGCATAAATCGAGAATGAGAACAGAATTTTAGCTGGAAGTCTACTCATTCTATCGTGGCGGTTTTTAAGGGGGTTTATGTCGTTCATTCAAAAAAATTACTATAAAATTTTTGAAGTAAGGGGGTCGAGGTTAGGGTTAGGGTTAGGGTTACTATCTAAAATCACTAGGAAAGAAGATTTTTAATCTGTCAGTACATATGATTTAGGGTTACGGTCATGGAAAGAATCTGCTTCAAAATTGATGATAGACATAAGTAAAGGCTCTTTAGTGAGATAATTACTTTCAAAATTTGAGAAAAGACCTCACTCACTGAAATTAAAGGTGTAAAAATAATTGAAGCAAAAGAAGATTGAGTTACTTTATTGTATTACTATGTATGGATGCTAGAAAATCAACATTCACGACAAACCCCGCCTTGAAAATCCCTGCCAAGATGGAAGAAAAAGAAGATTAATAGATTTACTTACTTTTGCAGATTCTGTCCATTGAACTCTCTTGTTCACATCACTATCTAAAGTACTTCAGTTAGACAACAAAAAAGCTCTTCTTATTTTGTAGAAGAAAAAAAAAACGAATTATTCGCGAGAGCTATTCTGAGCGCGGTGCAATTGAAGACAACGAGGTCAACTTTGGGGTCGCTGGCGCCGGCGACAGCCCGTTGCCCTTGGAGCACTTGATTCTGACACGATCGATCAGAATCAGATTTTAACACCAATTCTCATTCTCATTCTTTTAGCTTCTGGTTATCTGTAAGTATGCATTCTTTCTCGTTGTTGATTTCACAGCCGGAAAAAATGACAAAATTTAATTCAATTTAGAAATAAAAATAATTTCAAAGAAGAGTTATTTCAAAAAGGCTGTTTTTGACACTCTAATGCATCTTTTAAAAATGCCAAAATGAAAATGCCATTTGAAAAGGTCTTTGACCAGAATTTGGAGACAAGTTATTAGCCATGACGTCGATTATTTAGAGTGCTGATCGATTGTCTCGTGGTCATTTCGGAAACGGCAGAGTTCTTTATCAACTCTTTCTGACTAGACGTCGCTATCACCAGCCCTGTTTTTGTGGTTCAGCCCTTTTCAGACTTGTCTTCTCAAATGCAGCTATTGATTACTCAAGCGCGAAATTGAATACTGTATCAGTAGGCTTTCTAGTAAAAATTTCCTCTTTTTTTCTCTAAAATTTTTTGATCAAGACCGTTAGTTTCTATTTCTACTGAAGGCAAGTTTACTGTTGCTGGGAAGATGTCGGTACAAGCAGCTCTCTTGAATGTCACTAATCAGCTGATCGCGCGTTTCCGAGTCTGAACCGGCGTGCCCATTTTCTATGAGCTCCCTCTCATGCATGAACTGTCTTGAAGACGATCTGGACAAGCCTTCTACTCTGATCTGGGCGGCTTAGGCAGATTTCAATTGTCACTCTCGCTGGCTTGATTAAAACTCAGATCGCATGTGAGCTTGAGCCGATGGGCCCTAATGACCCAGCCTGGCACTCACTACATCTACCGAATAATAAATACATCTCAATCCGAAAAGCATAGAATCAGCACGAATTATGCAACCTCCTTTAGTAGCATTAGAACTTTGCAAAAAAGCATCTTTACAGAAACTCCGCATTTTTGCTTCTCTTGGGAGTTAGGCTTACTAAAAATTGATACTTCTGTCGTTTTATCGATATCTTCGGACAATATCAGACAGGCTATTATCAAGACATCTACAGATACATACACTAAATCACAGTATTAAAAGTACAACGGTAACTTTGCCCGGCAACCTGTGTAGAAAACCTGAGTCAGGGCCTGGAAAAGCTTTATAGAGAGGCCGCAGAGCGGCTTTTTAAATAAAAGCGGCTTCGATAGTGGCTTTGTTTTTAAAAAAGCCGCTCTACTCTAAGAAAACTCTGACCAAGCTATGAAAGCTATTTGAAGCCCAAATTTTCTTCCAAGAAGGAAAGGTGCAATATCGAGCGCTAGCGATAAATAACTCTTGCCAGAACGATCAGAGCATAAATCAAAGCTCAGCAGTCTAAATTGAGCGTCTAATTTTTCGTGGCTTGGGTCAATAGATCGTGTCCTTTGGCGTTCTATCTCTCTCACTTCCTCGCGCTGGTCCTCGATGCACAAGGTGTAGATGAAGCTCGAAAAGGCCTCCTTCAGTCTCTTCATCTTCCTTTCCCTTGTCCGAAAATTCGAGGGAAAAAAGGTCGAAGGAGGGCCAGACTCGAATGGCGCGAAAAAAAAGAGGATGCACGAACTATGTGGCCACTTGAGTCGGGCCAAGCCAAAGCCGGATCATCTGCCTGACCAAATTATTTTCAATCAACTTTTTCTCGCCTCTGGAGTCTATGCTTTGACTACCAGCGCGTTACATTATTCTCTGTCCCGGCTCATCAGTTCTTCTACTCGCGCTGCTAAGTGACTGTAGCTTTTTAATCAGTCGTCGAACAGGCGCTAATCAAATGACACCGCCAAAGGTCGGAATTAATTTGACAGAAACGTGATTTTTCTCTTCCAAGCCGCAGTCCAAAGCCTCCCGCGTAATTAATTTCCACTTCCTTTTTACTGCATTTGCTTTTGGACAAAAATCTATCAGAAACCGTATTGCAGATAGCCGGTTTTAAATCTACGTCAAATCATTTAATTGATACTGGTGTCGTTTTATCGATGTTTTCTGCCAGACAAGGTGTAATTGTTAAAAATTTATGAAAATGTTTTTTTATCATAGCTAAAACGGGGTTGAAATCGTTTGTGGAATTGTTTTTGACGCCCTTTTGAGGGTGGACATCACCTGGGCTCGGCAACCTGAGTAAAAAACCTGAGTCAGGGTTCATAAGATTACAAATGAAAAGCCGCGTAGAAGTTAAAAATAAGATTGAGGAATAATATTGCGAAGCCGCTTAGCGGCTTCGTTTTAAAAAAAGCCGCTACGCGGCTTTTCATTTTTGATTTTTATACCCTGACTCAGATTTTCTTTTCAGGTTACCGAGCCCGGGACATCACAAAGTGGGATTTCTAGCGCCATATTATTCTACTCTTTTTTCTATTCCCTTGATATTATTTTGAGATCACTGTTAGAATAAGGGTGTCAATGTGTTAAGAAAGTCCGAAAAATATTCAAGAAAATGGGTTGTGCGACATTAACCCCTTGGAAAAGAAGATTTAGAGAAGATGTAAAATTTAAACTCACCCTAAAAATTGAGAAAAACCGTGTTCGACTTGACTTACTGTATTTTAGAAAAGGTTTTTTCTTGGTGGGCTCTATTCTTTGCTTTAGCTGTTTGAGGCGATGGGAGCGCGTTTTCTCAAAAGACATATTTTGTCTTCCGAAAAGGAGGAGAAATTATTTTTTCAGAAAAAGTATTACACCGTACGTGAATTATTTATGCTAGCTGCAGATCCTCACGCCTATTCGAATATTCACATTGCGCATGATCATGAAATGTATGGATTTTATCTCTTGCATTTTAAATTTCGTCTCGCCTCTTCCTTCGTGTAGCTCAATTCTGATGCTCCTCCTCCTTGATTTCGTTGATTCTGAAATTCGCCGAACTTTGAATTTTCGAAACTGGAATTTTCTCTCGCTGGATTTTTCGCGTTCATGATGCTGGCTAAACTAACTGGAGCATAGAGCATTCCCCTCCCCCTCTCTCTCTCTCACTCTCTCACTTGTGTCATAAACAATTACTGTATCACGTGATCGATAGAACAGCCACCATCTCGGTAATGACTTGAGCCATTGCTGCGGCGGGTGTACTTCTTCTTTCGTTCGGCTTTTTAGTATTACTAAGTCACACGAGCACAAATGGCAAAAGAAGAAGAAACTCTGAAGAAAGAATAATTCTGATTTTTTTGCTTCTGAGGTGACGGGTGGCGTTATTAAACGCGATTTGTGGGCACAGATCGATCTCCTGGCGGAAAAAAGTAGAGTACGATTAATGCCTAATGCTTGAATTATTCAATGATACTGTATTCTCTTCTGTTTGCTCTTCTCCGAAGTTCTGGAGAGCAATAAAATAATGATCGACCTTTTTTTTGATCCTGTCTGCAATATTAAATTAACGGACAAAAAAGATATATCGTCTTGAATTATACATTTGCCTTCTATCTTTCAATAATTTTCAAGAAACATTAATACGGTACTATTACGGGAGAATGATTTTTGAAAGATCTCGCCGTAAGGGAAAATTTGAAGGGAGACCTTTCGCGCTGTTTTAGCTTGATGACGCCCTTATTGTGTTTTTTCGAAAGAAACCTAGCGTAAAAGTTAGGGTTAGGGTTAGTGCCAAACCTCTTTCTAATCCTGACTCAGGTTTAATACACCGGTTTTCGTGCCGAGAAAACTTTAATCCTTGGTTTAATTACCGATATACTTTGATTTTAAGTTTCCGTAAATTATGAATCATAACTTTTTAAACCACTTTTTTTAACCAAAATTGACTAATTAAAAACTGATTTATTGAAATTAAACTTGTTTAATTTGTAAGTAAGGGTGATAGGTGCGATTCTTAAGCGAATTATGCGCTTGGATAGATCAGCCCGGGCGGCTAATAACATAAATTGCACTTAGCCTCTCAAAATGGATTGGTGCGTTGCCAGTCTGGATCAACACAGACACGTTAGTCAAGTCAGCTGCAAGTTGCAACTTTCAACGCTCAAGTCCAATTTCATTGATGAATTTAGCCAGCTACTATTCCATTGATCCATCTATTCCACAAGAGCAAGATAATTTCAAAAATTCCTATCCATATTTTGTTAATTTCTAGAAATTATCACTTTTTCGAAGACCATAATTGTGCTTTCCGTGAATTTTTTATATAAATTCTCCTGAGTAAGAGAAGATGATCTGACCAAAATAAGTTCAGGTGTTTCCGAATTTCTTTGACGACTGTTGTCAACACAGTTGCACTTACAAAATTACAAATGAAAATTTTCATTCAATTTGCAGAAACTGGCGAAGCCGCTTCGCGGCTTCGTTTTCATAAGAGCCTCTGGGCCAGAGTTGCAAATTTGCTAAGCTGAGCTGGCTGACTGAGCTGAGCGACTGCTCAGTGATTTTGGAAAATGATCTGATCTGATCTGCTCAGCTCAGCTCAGACAATTTTCACTCAGCTCAGCTCAGCTCAATTATTTTCGAACATGATCTGTTCTGCTCAGCTCAGCTCAGACAATTATCACTTAGCTCAGCTCAGCTCAATGATTTGAATACAATTTTACTGCCAAAAAACAGTAAAAAACAGCTCAGCTCTAATTAGGGTCCGCTCAGCTCAGCTCAGCTCAATGACCTCTGAAAAAGGTCAGCTCAGCTCAGCTCAGAAATCTCCAAAATAGGCCGGCTCAGCTCAGAGAAATTTTTACTCAGGTCAGCTCAGCTCAGAAAAATTATTCAAAATTTGCAACTCTGCTCTGGGTGTTCCTGGTGTGCTTCCCCTCAGGTTCGCATCGCAAAATACGACTGGTGTCAAGAAGAGTGGAGTCAAGTGCGCGTATACTTGGCGTACATCTGGAGCAAATCGGCCGGCCGAAAATGCAAATGATTCCTCGTCAGCATTATACACTCCGCCGCAGTATAAGAAAAGAATAATGAGATCAAGGAGTAAGTGAGACCCAATATGTGGCGAGCTGCGGTAAATTATCGAGCTTCTCTTCCTTGTTCTCGCTTTTTCGTTTATTCGTTTATTTTTGTCAAAAAAACCGCCATACCCACTTTTCATTTCTCATTTTAATAACGAGAGCTAAATTTGGTAGCGTGGGGCGCTACTACTACTAGTCTCGTAAAAGAAAGATAAAAACCGTTTTAAGGAACACCCCAACTCTCGTTTTGCCCCCACTTGTCACTTTCATTTTTTTTCGAAATTAGAAATAAGAGCTTAAGAAATAAAGGATTAACTCTACCCCGCGGGGCATTTCAGTCTATTTTCAGAAGAAGTCCTGAAGAGAAGAGCGTCGGAATCGGACGAGAGGAAGTGCCGGTAAAATGGCGAAAGAGATCCAGGCCCAGAAGTGGGGCAACCAGAGCAGGGTTCGGTAATTTGAGCTCACGCTAAAACTCAAGGAAACAAAGCTTGAGACGCACGTTTTTTAATTTGAGTTTTGAGAACTCAGAGATGAGAGCTCACGTGAGAAATCAATTCTGGCGATCCATGAGCCAATCAGGGAAGCGCTCGCTTAATTTGAGTTTTGAAAACTCAAAACTCTCAAATCTCCCAAAAACTCAAAACTCCCAAAACTCTCAAATCTTCTCAAAATGATTTCTCAAGTCACTTTGAGTTCTCAATTTGAGGAAATTTGAGCGTCTAGCCAAAATGAGTTTTAGCTTGAGCTCAAATTACCGAACCCTGAACCAGAGAGAGTACATATTCGCCCTTGTTGGCGGCGCGATCGGCCTCGGAAATGTCTGGCGCTTTCCGTACTTGTGCTACAAGAATGGAGGTGGAGCCTTTCTTATTCCTTACTTTACGTTCTTGTTCCTTGGCGGAATTCCTATCTTTTTGCTTGAGACTTCCCTCGGCCAGTTTATGCAGCAGGCGGGAATCACCGCTTGGAATTTAGTGCCTGCTTTCAAGGAATGTTTTAAATAGAAAGATCGGTTATTTTTCTTATTTAAAATATTCATAGACTTGACGAATCTAGGACTCAAATTCAGCAAAAAGCTTCTTTTTCTTATATTTTCACAAAGAAATTTATGTGATCATCAAAGTCCTTGGAATTTGTACTTGAACCCGTGAGACCCTAGTTGTAGTCTTTATGGGCTAATCAATAACTTTTATTGATTTTACGAATTTTTTTTTTTTGAAAAGAAAGGCAAATTTACGACTTCCTATTTGGAAAAAAAGAAGACTTAGCCTAAAATTCCCTAACGATTACTTAAAAGAACAAAGTAATAAAACAACAAAAAAGGGAATCGGATGGTGTTCGGCAATCATCATCTTCTGGCTAAATTGCTACTATATCATCATTCTCGGCTGGGCGCTTTTCTACTTGATGAACAGTGCTCGATCCCCGCTGCCGTGGACAACTTGTGACAACGAGTGGAATTCGGAGTGCTGCACGACCACAATTGTCAAAGATCCTCTTACTAATTCTAGGAAAGTGCTATTTTCGTAGACTAGAGAATACCGCAGAGATCGACTATTTTGACTAAAAAGGGCTTTTAGAGATTAAAGTCTGAATAGGGTTAACCCTATTTAGTGATAGTCCCCTAAGTAGGGAGAGAGGTTTTCATTTGTCAATCGTATTTTATTTATCACACTATTATTACATAATCATGAAGGAATTTCACTTCATTGCATGGATACGATCTATATATCAAACAACTTCAATTGCTTTAAACTTTTAAAAAGAAGAATGAAGTCTCATTTATGGTCTTTTATAAATCAATCATTTCTAGAAAAAAAACATTTCGATCTTCCGTGTTCTGCAAGAGTTGTCGATCAAATGGAAGGCACAACAATAAAGGTCAAAAAGGAGAATTTTTCAACCCTTTTTAGATTAACACTAAATTACTAGTACTATATCATTATATAGCCTTTTCAGTTGAATATTTCATATGCTATAGCCTATAGCACAAGATGAAGCATTCTCGAACGACCGGAACTCTGTCCAGCAGACAGCGCAACGAGTTATCCAGAGCTGGAGTTTTGGAAAAGACGCACTCTTCAAGTTCATAATTCAGCTGGAATCGATGACATTGGTGCTCTGCGGTGGGAAATTGTTGGGACTGTTTTTGTCATGTGGGTGGTCAGCTACTTTTGCATTTTTCGAGGAACGAAGTCGACTGGAAAGTCCGTTTATGTCACCTCGACGTTTCCGCTTGTCATGATGATGATTCTCATCGTCCGAGGGGTCACCTTAAAAGGAGCAGCAAAAGGACTCGCTTTTTATCTCAAGGTATTTCGGGCAATTTATTTAAAGGTTTCGCCTTCGTGGCATTTCTTTGAAGCCTTGAGATAAACCGTTGTTTCAGCCGAATTTCCCAAAACTTTTGGAGATCAATGTCTGGATCGACGCCGGAACACAAGTCTTCTTCAGCTACATGATCGGCATTGGAACAGCAATCGCGCTTGGTTCTTACAACGACTTTCATTTCAACAGCTTCAAATGGTCCCTATTTCTTTGCGGATTTAATGGTAACCCCTTGTAGAGATAAATTGACTTATTTCTTTCCTTAGCATCCGCATCCTTCTTCTCCGGCTTCGCTATCTTTTCGATTCTCGGCTACATGTCCACATTGACAGGAATCGACGTTGCTGACATCGCTGAAAGTGGCCCCGGACTTGCTTTTATCGTTTATCCTCGAGCAGTGAGTTTGATGCCCCTTCCCAATCTCTGGGCCATTCTTTTCTTCACGATGCTTTTGATGCTCGGCCTCGCTAGCCAGTAAGTAAAAGAGAGCCTCTGTAGTTTCCAGTTTCTAAAAATGCAAACCTAGCTACGTCGGCGTTGACGGTCTCGCCGCCATGATTGCCGATCTCTACCCAAAACAATTCAAGACGAGTTCGACGGGACGTCCCATTCTCGTCGGTTGTATTTGTCTCCTCTGCTTCCTGGTCGGACTGCCAATGATGACTGATGTAAGAAAAAAATAGACGATAAGAATTACGACTATTGATTATTTTAGGGTGGAATTTACGTCTTCCAAATTTTCGACATTTATGGAGCGTCCGGACTGTGCCTCTTGTGGGTGGCATTTTTCCAGACGTCGGTTGTGGCTTGGATTCACGGGCGGGATAATTACTACAAGAAACTCAGCCTCATGTATAGCAAGGTAATGGATTTTACTGCTAGATTCGATATTGAGACACCGTTATTTTTAAGGAAATCAACGTCTTCCGCTACCCTTGGTACATCTTCGGCTATCTCTGGCAGTTCATCACTCCCATTGTTTGCATGCTGGTTTTTGTCATCAAACTGACTCAAATGGGAAGAACGGTTTATGACAAAACGTACTTGTATCCAGCTTGGGCCGATGCTTTTGGAGTTTGCCTCGCGTCCTCCTCCATGATTGCAATTCCGACCGTCTTTATCTTGGAATACCTCAGGAAAGCGTTCTCAAACCTGTTCGGAAGCAAAAAGTGCGAATTGAAAAATGCCCGAAAAAGATCTAACGGAGGTTCTTTCATCGCTGCCTACAACCGAGAAGTGTCCTTTTTGGAAAACATTCAAGACCCTGAATTTTACAGCAAATTGTCAACCGCTGCGTCGAATAAATGGAAAGACGTCATCACAGAAAGAATTTCAGCTGAGACGAAGGCAATTATTTCGGGGCTAGAGAAAGAAGAGACGACAGAAGAGAAAAATATTTCATCAAAAGATGATTTTCTCATAGAATCGTAAATAGTCTGTCATTTCATTTTATTATAGATTTCATCAAATATATCTACTACAAATAACATTTTACGCATAATTTAGTCAATACGGTGGTATGCGGTCATGTGGGTATTATACCCGCGTTCACTGTTCCCCCCGAACGTGGGTATTTATACCCACGTTCACTCTTTCTTCCGAACATGGGTATTCGATACCCACGTTCACACTTACTGGCGAACGGGGGTATTTTCCAGGCTTTTTGAAAACAGTTCTGTTCTAGAGCCTCATCTGTTTCGATGAAGACGGGAAACACACCGATTTTCGGACGTACAAAAAGGTTCATTTTATAGCTTTAACTTGAAAATTTTTGGAGAATCCTTCAAGACAGGCGCGGAGCGCATACTGTCTCCGACTGGGGAACCAGCTTCGGCTGCTGACCGGGCTGTCCTGTTGTAGTATGGCTTGCGTGAAATAAAGACACACTACAATTGTAGTAAAAAGCTAATAAGCGTTTCCGATTTATTCTGCGACGAGCGCTAGCACAGTCTCAGTACAGTAATCTCTAGGCATAAAGCCGTAGGTCTTGCTCAAAGTGACCCCTGAGAACGTTACTGATTTGATGGAGGGTGTTCTCCTTATATAGTGATCACTTTTCTACGGGGATATTCTCGGCCTATTGGAGAATATCAGAGCAGTGCCCAAGAATATTGGGGGGGCGTCCGCGGATATTCTCGGCCTTTCCGAGAATATCGGAGCGCCGCGCGAGAATATCGGCGGAGCAGCCGAAATTATTGGCGGTGTAGTGAACAATAGACATAAAAGGGAAAAGGGAAAGGTCGCCGCGCGTTGGGCGCGTACAGTGATCAGTAGCAGAAATGCTAAGCAGTAAAACAGTCATACGTTATAGTCATACTATAACACTCTTCCCTCCTTCATTAATTAACACTTGTGCATCAATGTTAATTCATCGATTTCGGATTGTTTTTCAGGTGATACTGATAAAGTACTGTAGTTCAGTCAATTTCTGTTGCAGCAATTTTATTTTGCCAGGGTTTTTGCGCGCTTGTAAGACCAGAGTTCCGACAATTCAATCATCCTTTCCGTGAAACACTGAAAACGTTGACTTTTGTCCACAATCGAAAGAAGAAAGTGAATGTTTGAGTGGGAAAGATGTCGATTAAGGTCTTTTTCGAGACGTGTAGATGTCGCTTTTTTCTCCAGACTTAATCCGATCACGGTGCTTTTCATGTAAGGCTTCTGAAATTATGAAGTCTTCGATCAACGAAGGTACGAGTTGTCAGAAGAATTAGAAAATTTTTTGTTATGTGAGCGGTCCAGAATAACTAAAGAAGATTCACTTCTTTCCTCTTCTCTCCTCCCTTCGATTAGAACGTGTTCCAAGTTCTAAGTATTCGTTGTAGCTGACTTTTTTTTTCTTTTTTTTTTTTTTGGGCGAGTTGTTTGATTTTTCTTCTATTTCTCCGTCATGGATCCGTAAACTTTCCGTGCTTCCCTTATCAAATTGCATAGTTTGGTGATGATAAAGTGCGTTATTGTTTGGTTTTTTTTTTTGCATTTCGTTGACCTCGAGTTATCTAAATAAGTCAGAGTTAGCTTTTGTCTTTGACTCGGCTTATTCGCAGAAAGAATTATCGAGGTGAACATATTTGGATTTCGCAGTGAAGTCTCTTCCCGAATCGACGTTTTCTGTCTCTTCTGCGTGAGTTGTAGACATGGAGTTTCTTGGAGGACGATCTTCTATCCTTTGCTTCATGTCTCAGAAAAACTTACTATACGACACTTTCTGTCCTCTAGTCTTTCTTCTAGGCACCGCTGATGTTGATATTTCCTCTTCATTTTCTACTGGTGGCGCCTGACTATTAACTACCGAATCTTCATGCGGTTTAACGATTCCTTCTGTATCGTTATTCTTCTCCTGAAGTGTCGTCTGCTCCTAGGTATTTCCTTTTAGCCATCAACATACACTTTTTCTGACATGTCATTTTACCTTTGGCGAATTCTTAAGATTCCGGTGCAGGATGCGTATGCGATCGCGATGCACAAGAAATCGCCGCCTAGGAGCTTCGATCGGGGTAACAATGTACGTATATTTGTCGCATCTTTTTCTAACGACAAATCCTCTTTTCCAAGGAGTGTAGAGTTTTCCACTTACTCCTGGTGGAATCATAGTTTTTAAAAGAACTTCTGTTCCAGTATCTATCCCATTAGAATCAGTATCGTCAGGTATCTCCGTCGATGCTACTGCTTGCTTCGCAACTAGTTGCGAGAGTGCAGCACACATTCGAGCTCCCGACTCTTTAACCCATAGTCGGACATCTTCGGGGATTTCTTCACCATTGTAGGTAGTGTTACAAAATGGTTCGGCTAGAGTCCAGCCATGAATGGCTTGAAAGGGGCTTGAGCCCAAGGCTGAGTGGTAGCTAAGGTTCATTGACAGTTGGATTGATGGGATGTAAGTGTCCCATCGGTTCTCTTCTATGTTTAACGCTTTGAGATGTTTGACGATCTCACGGTTTGCTCGTTCTATCAGGCCTTGTCCTTGCGGCCTATAAGGTGTTCCATAGTTGATGCAGGTTCCAAAGGACGTAAGTAGTTCTTTTAGGATGCTGTTGGAGAATTCTTTTCCATTGTCGCAAGAAACTGCCCGTGGTGGTCCTCTTAGGAAAAATATATCGATTATTGCTTTAGCAACATGAGGTGCTGATTTATCCACGATGGGCCTGAGCTCTATCCAGCGAGTCAGATTGCATATTGCCGCCAATATGTATTTCTTGCGTGTTGGAGTCGATGGCAGGGGTCCGAGAAGGTCGATGGTTACGGTCATGTATGGATGTTGTTCTTTCGGAGCTGCTACTGGTAAAATTTTGGGTTTCTCCAACGCTGCCATCGTAATACAAGCTGGGCATTGTTTGATGTAGTCTTTTGTTTTACGTGACATTCCAGGGAACAAGATTCCAGATTTCCTCATTGCTTCGATCATATTTGTTACTCGCGCGTGTTGTGGAAGATGGTAAGCTGAAATGATTCTCTTCTGTAACTCCATTGGTATTGGTATCCGATCAACTTTCCCTACCAAGATGAAGATTCCGTCTTCAGCAAGTTTGAGCTTATATTTTCCTTTCAATGGTTTCCAGTCGTGTTTGAATTTCAGAAGAGACTCATCTTTGTCTTGACATTCGCGTAGCTCCGCTTTAGAGATTCCTTTGAGCTTGATCCATGTTGGTATCGCCTTATGAAGGCTTCTGAATTTGGTTTCCGTTGCATGATCGATATGGTTGACAACTTCAGGTGGATCAAGTCGGCTAAGGCTATCACAAACGCTCATTTCACGTGATTTTCCATCCAAATGTTTGATCGCGAAATCGTATTCGCTCAATTTTTGGAGCCACCGCGCTTTCTTTGCTGATGGTCGTTTTGTCTGTCCGGTTTTATTTTCCGAGCAGATGAATGCAAGACATCGACTGTCTGTTCTCCAAAGAAATGATTTTCCGTAGCAATGATGGTGAAAATTTTCGAGTGTTTTGATGAAGGCATACATTTCTTTCTCATGAATCGGCCACTTCAGTTGTGAATCTTTGAAAAATCCACTACAGTATCCAAGTGGACGTTCAGGCTCGTCGCCGATTTTCTGGCTTATCATTCCTCCGTATCCCGTGAGACTCGCATCGCTTGTTACCATAAGTTGCGAATCGGGATCACGTGATGGGAAGGCGAGTTTATTCTGTTGTAGAATCGCTGCTTTTATCTCATCAAACACATTCTGATGTTCATTTTCCCAGTCATAAACTGATTTTGTTCCACTCATTTTGTATAAAGGCGCCAATTTAAAGTTAAGTCTTGGAATAAGCGAGCTGTAGTATGAGCACATCCCGATGAATCGACGAAGAGCTCTCTTGTTTGTTGGAGCCGGATAATCTCTGATTGAAGCTAGGTTGTCATGCTCGGAGGAGTATCCTGAAGGGGTTATTCTGTATCCAAGAAAGCTTATGCTCTTTCGTGCGAAGAGGCATTTTTCCGGATCGAGAATGAATCCAGCGCTTGTAAGTCGATCAATCGCCTCCTCGACAGCACTAAGATGCTCTTCTTCCGATTTGTCGATCACAAGGATCTCATTCAGAGTAACTAAACAGCTATCACTTATGACGTTTCCAAGTGTTTCATTTAATGCCATTTGGTAGACATTGGGAGCAATCTTCAATCCTGGTGGAATACGTTTGAATTGATACTGTTGGTCAAGTGCACTGAATGCTGTTAGTGGTCTGCTTTCCTCACATAAGCTCATGTGGAGAAAAGGCTGCTGAATCTCAATTTTGCTGAAGAACGATGCTTCTTCCAGCTTTTCCAAGGTCTCTTTCGGTTCGTCCTGAAGACGGTCATTTCCAGCTATTCTGAGATTGAGCGAGTGCATGTCTACACAAACGGTATGTTCTCCTGTCGTCGTTTTGACTAGTTGAAGTGTTGCGTTGTATTGGCTTCCTTTAGCTTTTTCGATGATTCCAGCTTTCTGCATTGCGTCAAGTTCTTTTCTTAGCCAGTCTTGCTGGCTGATGGGTATTCTCTTCGGTCGGACCCAGGCTCCAGGGAGTCTTGGGTCAAGTAACTGCAGTTTAACTTTAGGTCCTTTATATATTCCAACGTCGGTCTTCTTCTTCGAGAATGAGCAGGAATGCTTCTCGAGAATGACTTTCAGCTTCTCTTGGCCTTGTGGGCTCAGCTCTGTTTTTGATATAATATCATTGATATCATCAGCCGACAATCCCCTAGGAGTTTCGGTTTCTGAGTTTTCCGGTACCGAGTCAATTCTGGCCAGGAAAATCTTCGGTACTGTGGTCGGTGGGCCCGGGTATGTGATCAAGAAATCGGCTTTCAACTCACTTGACTTCATGATCATAGACACGTCCGGCACACCAGGCGATGAGCTGGATTCTAAGGTGAGTAAAACTCGGTTAGAGGGCTGCTTCTCTTCTGCAAGGTCTTCGGCAGCAAGTTTCAGGGTATTGAAGCCC